ATCCTTCAGTACCAGCAGTGGTGCCGGAAACTAGTTCGTACAACTCCAGAGATGGTACTACCAGAAGAGGCAGAGCCAGAAGAGGCAGATCCAGAAGTGGAAGATCCAGAGGTGGCAGAGCCAGAAGAGGCAGAGCCAGAGGTGGCAGAGCCAGAAGAGGCAGAGCCAGAAGAGGCAGAGCCAGAAGAGGCAGAGCCAGAAGAGACAGAGCCAGAAGTGGCAGATCCAGAGGTGGCAGATCCAGAAGAGGCAGAGCCAGAAGAGACAGAGCCAGAAGTGGCAGATCCAGAGGTGGCAGAGACAGAAGAGACAGAGCCAGAAGTTGGGGTCAACAAGTAGTAGTTGTCAGATTCAGTAGTCTTCCCATCAGATCCAGTGAAGTAGGTGGCAGATGTAGAGGTGGAGGTCAAGGATCCACTCCATCCTTCAGTACCAGCAGTGGTACCGGAAACTGTTGTAACAACTCCAGAAACGGTGCTACCAGAAGAGGCAGAGCCAGATGCAGATCCAGAAGTTGGGGTCAACAAGTAGTAGTTGTCTGATTCAGTAGCTTTACCATCAGCTCCAGTAATGTAGGTAGCTGAGGTGGAGGTGGAGGTCAAGGATCCACTCCATCCTTCAGTACCAGCAGTGGTGCCGGAAACTGTTGTAACAACTCCAGAAGAGGCAGAGCCAGAAGAGGCAGAGCCAGAAGAGACAGAGCCAGAAGTGGCAGATCCAGAGGTGGCAGAGCCAGAAGAGACAGAGCCAGAGGTGGCGGAGCCAGAAAAGGCAGATCCAGAAGTGGCAGAGCCAGAGGCAGAGCCAGAAGAAGGTGTCAACAAGTAGTAGTTGTCAGATTCCGTAGTCTTTCCATCAGATCCAGTGAAGTAGGTAGCAGATGTTGAAGTAGAGGTCAATGATCCACTCCATCCTTCAGTACCCGCAGTGGTGCCGGAAACTGTTGTAACAACTCCAGAAGAGGCAGAGCCAGAAGAGGCAGAGCCAGAAGTGGGAGATCCAGAAGTGGGAGATCCAGAAGTGGGAGATCCAGAAGTGGCAGAGCCAGAAGAGACAGAGCCAGAAGAGGCAGAGCCAGAAGAGACAGAGCCAGAAGAGACAGAGCCAGAAGTGGCAGATCCAGAGGTGGCAGAGCCAGAAGAAGGTGTCAACAAGTAGTAGTTGTCTGATTCAGTAGTCTTCCCATCAGATCCAGTGAAGTATGTAGCTGAGGTTGAGGTGGAAGTCAAGGATCCACTCCATCCTTCAGTGCCCGCAGAGGTACCGGAAACTGTTGTGACGATTCCTGTCAAAATGGGAGTAGACATAGCTGACGAATTTCCGTAAAATACTGAGCTATACCCTATCTTTGTTGGGGTTAAGACGTAGGTAGAATCCACTTCAGTCGCCTTCCCATCTGTCCCGGTGGAGATTGTTGTTGAGATCGATGTCAATGTCACAGATCCGGTCCATCCTTTAGTGCCGGCAATAGAGTTGGATATTGTTGTAACACCAGAGGCACTTCCAGAAGTGGGTGTCAACAAGTAGTAGTTGTCAGATTCCGTGGTCTTTCCATCAGATCCAGTGAAGTAGGTAGCAGATGTTGAAGTAGAGGTCAATGATCCACTCCATCCTTCAGTACCCGCAGTGGTGCCGAAAACTGTTGCAACAGCTCCAGAGACGGTGCTGCCAGAAGCAGATCCAGAGACGGTGCTACCAGAAGAGGCAGAGCCAGAAGTGGCAGATCCAGAAGTGGAAGATCCAGGGGTGGCAGATCCAGAAGAGGCAGAGCCAGAAGAGACAGAGCCAGAAGTGGCAGATCCAGAGGTGGCAGAGACAGAAGAGGCAGAGCCAGAAGAAGGTGTCAACAAGTAGTAGTTGTCTGATTCAGTAGTCTTACCATCAGCTCCAGTAATGTAGGTAGCTGAGGTGGAGGTGGAGGTCAAGGATCCATTCCATCCTTCAGTACCAGCAGTGGTACCGGAAACTGTTGTAACAACTCCAGAAACGGTGCTACCAGAAGAGGCAGAGCCAGATGCAGATCCAGAAGTTGGGGTCAACAAGTAGTAGTTGTCTGATTCAGTAGGCTTTACCATCAGCTCCAGTAATGTAGGTAGCTGAGGTGGAGGTGGAGGTCAAGGATCCACTCCATCCTTCAGTACCAGCAGTGGTGCCGGAAACTGTTGCAACAACTCCAGAAACGGTGCTACCAGAAGAGGCAGAGCCAGAAGAGGCAGATCCAGAAGTGGCAGAGCCAGAAGAGGCAGAGCCAGAGGTGGCAGAGCCAGAGGTGGCAGAGCCAGAAGAGGCAGAGCCAGAAGAAGGTGTCAACAAGTAGTAGTTGTCTGATTCAGTAGTCTTACCATCAGCTCCAGTAATGTAGGTAGCTGAGGTGGAGGTGGAGGTCAAGGATCCACTCCATCCTTCAGTACCAGCAGTGGTGCCGGAAACTGTTGCAATAACTCCAGAAACGGTGCTACCAGAAGAGGCAGAGCCAGAAGTGGCAGAGCCAGAAGTGGAAGATCCAGAGGTGGCAGATCCAGAAGTAGGTGTCAACAAGTAGTAGTTGTCTGATTCAGTAGTCTTACCATCAGATCCAGTGAGGTAGGTAGCTGAGGTGGAGGTGGAGGTCAAGGATCCACTCCATCCTTCAGTACCAGCAGTGGTGCCGGAAACTGTTGCAACAACTCCAGAAACGGTGCTACCAGAAGAGGCAGAGCCAGAAGAAGGTGTCAACAAGTAGTAGTTGTCAGATTCAGTAGTCTTCCCATCAGATCCAGTGAGGTAGGTAGCTGAGGTGGAGGTGGAGGTCAAGGATCCACTCCATCCTTCAGTACCAGCAGTGGTGCCGGAAACTGTTGTAACAACTCCAGAAGAGGCAGAGCCAGAAGAGGCAGAGCCAGAAGAGACAGAGCCAGAAGTGGCAGATCCAGAGGTGGCAGAGCCAGAAGAGACAGAGCCAGAGGTGGCGGAGCCAGAAAAGGCAGAGCCAGAGGTGGCAGAGCCAGAAGAGGCAGAGCCAGAAGAAGGTGTCAACAAGTAGTAGTTGTCAGATTCAGTAGTCTTCCCATCAGATCCAGTGAAGTAGGTAGCAGATGTTGAAGTAGAGGTCAATGATCCACTCCATCCTTCAGTACCCGCAGTGGTACCGGAGACTGTTGTAACAACTCCAGAGATGGTACTACCAGAAGAGGCAGAGCCAGAAGTGGCAGATCCAGAAGAGGCAGACCCAGAAGAGACATATCCAGAAGTGGCAGAGCCAGAAGTGGGTGTCAACAAGTAATAATTGTCTGATTCAGTAACAAGTCCATCCCCACCGGTAACTAGACTAGTGGAAGTTGAGGTGGAGCTTACGCTTCCTGTCCATCCCTTAGTAGTAGCAGTTGTACCTCTAACTGTAGTTTGGATCACTGGACAAGAGTCAGAGTCGGCATACCAAGAAACCACACTGTTGAAATTTGTTGTTCTGGATCCTCCAGGTGGTTTGTAACTCAAAATTCCCAGAAGTGACGTTAGACTTGCCGCAACAACCCTGATAGGGTAGCTGTCTCCGGCCTGCAGAGTCACTGTGTAGCTTGGAATCGAAGTTGGCAGAAGCAGTAGAGCAGCATTGTTGATTTTAATATCGCCCGTGCTGGTACTGAAGTCCTCCGAGTCGCAGCACGAAAATGCAGATGGACTTCCCATCATGAAAATTGCATCCAGTGCGTCCAGATAGAACGTGTAAGAGCCGGTGGTCGTTGGTGTGAAGTACCCTTCAATTTGCACCGCGCCGTCCAGACTCACATCAAGGTCTAGCACGTATGTAACGCTGACATCGGCCAAACTACCAGGGTCGAAGCTCATCAATTCCTGAGCGGTGTCTAGAAGAAGTCCAGACTGACTCACGGATTGTACTCTAAAACCTGATGTGGAGGAGCCTGTAGGTTTACACGCACCAGAGACTGCCCCAGACGCTGATGAACCTGAGGTTGCGGAACCTGAAATTGACGATTCAGACGTGGAAGCAGAGAGTGTTGTAATAGTTGGTGCCAACAAGTAATAATTGTCTGATTCAGTAACAAGTCCATCCCCACCGGTAACTAGACTAGTGGAAGTTGAGGTGGAGCTTACGCTTCCTGTCCATCCCTTAGTAGTAGCAGTTGCACCTCTAACTGTAGTTTGGATCACTGGACAAGAGTCAGAGTCGGCATACCAAGAAACCACACTGTTGAAGTTTGTAGTTCTGGATCCTCCAGGTGGTTTGTAACTCAAGATTCCCAGAAGTGACGTTAGACTTGCCGCAACAACCCTGATAGGGTAGCTGTCTCCGGCCTGCAGAGTCACTGTGTAGCTTGGAATTGAAGTTGGCAGAATCAGCAGAGCAGCATTGTTGATTTTAATATCGCCCGTGCTGGTACTGAAGTCCTCCGAGTCGCAGCACGAAAATGCAGATGGACTTCCCATCATGAAAATTGCATCCAGTGCGTCCAGATAGAACGTGTAAGAGCCGGTGGTCGTTGGTGTGAAGTACCCTTCAATTTGCACCGCGCCGTCCAGACTCACATCAAGGTCTAGCACGTATGTAACGCTTACATCGGCCAAACTACCAGGGTCGAAGCTCATCAATTCCTGGGCGGTGTCTAGAAGAAGTCCAGACTGACTCACGGATTGTACTCTAAAACCTGATGTGGAGGAGCCTGTAGGTTTGCACCCATTGATGGCATTTGTTATTCCCGCAAACGCTAGTTGGGCTAACAGCACTGCTTTGAGAAAACTACTCAAAGTCGAGACCTGGGCAAACATAGTACCAGTCTAGTGCTGCAACAGGTATTGGATTAGTACGTTGGACTAGTCCTTGGTGATTTCAACAAGTACTAAATCTTCGGCTTTTCGCCATTAATGTGGCCAATACTTATATCAGCATGTGAAGGATAGCTAGTAAGGAAAGTTCTCTAATCTTTCATCCTCGCGCAGCCGCCGGTAGGATCCGGATTTCCAGCGACAGCCTAATACTAACCGATCCTACACGAGGACCCCAAGGTGTCGTCATGAATCAAAATGTGACCTGGCACCTGAGCTTGAAAAGATCTTCATAGTGCAGATAACCCAGGTCGAAAAAATTACTTAAGTCCGTGCCTGCGGTCGTACGAGCTTTTCTATTGTGTACTTGCAGCCGAAACCTGTAGGCATGTTGGAAGCGTGGGCCAAGCAAATAATGGAAAATCTTCCAGTCAGTTAATACGCGAGGAACTTTTGAAGTGTTTCGATCTCGGTGCATTGACAGACATTCGGACCTAGGTGTTTTGACTTCGATGACGAAATTTATCTTTTGCATGGATCTGCAGAAAACGTTTAACGTATCAATAAACAACAGTTTAGCTGTGGGGCTTTATTTCACTACACTTGCTGCTGGCCCGCCTAGTAGGGTACTGAGCCCTGTAGGCAAGTCGAATGATACATTTCGACTAGTGGAAGTTGCTTCTCTACCTTCATGCTAAGTTCCGGCTAGTAATTGCTTTACAAACCGTCGATCCTGAAAAGGCACCAGTCGTGGTTTAGAATGCTCAAGCTCAATGCGAGGAACACTTCACCACATGGGTTGTGATTTGGCAAGGTGAGGAAAATTCAATTAGGTGTTTCTAAGTAGAACAAGCCGATGAGATGGCATCGATGGTTTGGTTCGAGACATCCCAGGGCTAAACAATTAGCAGCAGTATGCCCTGGCTTGACTTGCCTTGCTAGTAAAAAAAGTGGATGTTTTCGCTCTTGAACGTTTATGCAAGGAAAGTCTAATCCCTTCTGGGAAACTCCCAGCCTTTCTGGCGTGAGACAAAGGTCCGACACCAGGATGCAACTGTCTGATAGCTCAACAGCCTGCTTACGACCTTGGTGTATATGAGAACACAGAAAAGAAGTTCAAGCAGATACCGAGTGTGAGCTATCAGCGCACAGTGGCCGAACGCTCTAATTTGGTCGCAAGGGAGGAGTAACATTACTACTTGCAAGCGCGAAATTTGCACCAGATCTCCATATTCGCAGATCTCGGGGCTTTCCGATGCTTGTTCTAGACTTGTACATTGAGCAGTTCTCTTCGACGCGTTTGCTTCGAAAAGTTAAAGAACTAGTAAGCTCCGTACGATATAACAACAGCCAGTGAGTGGCTTCCGGTCGAAACGTCCTCTTCAATTACTGATGGACCCTAGGGAAGCCTCTTTCTGGTTTTAGCTGAACGGCCTGTGTACATTTGAAGCTACTGATCTGAGTGCTTGTCAAAGTTCCGCGATACCGCTTCTCAATATATTCTCAATATATACTTGACATCCAACAGCGGCGCATGGTACCGCCCAGGCAACCAACTACGCATGAAGTATATCGCAGTCTTATACCACGTATTATTCTCTTGGGTTTTTGGACTCGATTCCCTGGGCTGAGGTCTCTTTACGCGCAGACCAAAACTTTCTTGTTGAACGACCTGTCGGGATTGGAAACTGAAGCTTGATCAATATCGCTCCTTTTACACCACAGACCAGTTAAACGCACGATATAGATCCACCACATAATTCTCAAGACCAAGGGTCCTGGGGAGAGTCTAATTGAGCAAGATGCTTGGCATATTGTGAGTAATGGGCCCTATTTGAAAACAGTCCGAGATTCTCCACTCCATCGCTATCACCTGTGTGTGCTCCTGCCAGCCAACCGCTGAAGCTTACAAGAACTCTGGAGTGTTAGAAGGTCTTCATGATTTTCCTCAGTATGGATATGAAAGAAACAAGCCTCTCTACAACACGTTGTTTTTGCTCCTCTCATCGTTCCTAGAGGCATTCAAGCGGAGCTACGCTCCACAACAAGCCCGAGTGCAGAATTAATAGATCTGATCGACCGTTAGCTCCGCCTTTCACGAGACCATCCTTAGAGTGAAGTTCACCGAAGCTGTTCCAAATGAAGATTCCCAAAGAGAAAGCGTTCCAGGGTCCCGCTTCTTACCTTCTCTAACGACGTGCATTGCAGGCCATAAGGCAAAACTGCTTTTTTCTAGGAAGCTTGGTGCATTTTGGATCTGCCATGCCGAGACCCTGTGGGCTGCAGTGTCGATCGACGCTCGGAGAGTTGAAGTCACAATGTACAGCATCCCGTTTTTCGCTCTTCTGCTGACTTATTTATCATTATGTTCGATGTGCGATAGAAGGTGCGATTCCTAATCAAACAAAACAGGCGTACAGAACGCAGTCACTTGGCACATGTAGTGAAGGTTCCTGTTCTTCATCGCCTCCACCCCCATCGCATGGAAGCTCATACAGAACGCAGTCACTTGGAATATGTAGTGAAGGTTCCTGTTCTTTATCGCCACCACCCCCATCGCATGGCAGCTCATCCAAACTTCACTACTTTTTTTGTAATATTTCCGTTCTATGGGCTGCCGTTCTTTAAAACCGACAACGAGTAGCACGCAGCTCTTTGACGCTTGATATGTCCACAATGCTTGATTTAGGCACGCCGGCGACCTTGTGTAAGGCCACTTGACATGTCATTCAACGCCCAATGACGCGGCGAGCACAAATCATCATAGAAACGATCGGCGGTTGCGATAACGGACTTGAAAGGCTATCCCTCTCTCGATCTTGGCTCCTTGCAGAATGTCGTGCCGAGAATGCCTGCGGAATAGAGCCCGAGTACATAAGATTTTCCAAGCATATTGTTTCCTTGCCAACTGAAATAATTATTCGGCTCGAGTATTTTCTCTGCTTAAGCACGTTATTCCAATGGTTCTATGAAGTGCCTATACCTGGACTAGTTAAAATCCAGGGTGAAGAAAAGCTAGCATGGACTACGCTTGAAGGATTGGCATGACTCACCAGTCACCCTGAAGGAATACCACGCATAAAAATTAGTAAAACGGGAATTATCTCGGCTCCTATGTGTGACTTACATTGCTCTCACGGCCGTGACCTCCATCCAGGGCCGTGGAATGTTTGTGAAAAACTTGGTCTATCTTCTTTGCAAGGAAATCGGTCAAAGTTAAGCTTTGCTGTCATATCAGATTTGTTACAAGCTGTTAGTCCATTGCACTCCAGCATGTGATCTGAAGGCTGCAATAGTGTAGGTTGTTTTCCAGATGCTTTGGAAAGCAGCACATCTTTCCCCGCTAATAGTTACTCGATTAACCTGTTTACCTCAATCTAAGGCAATTGAAATAAACGGAAATCAACTTATGAGCAAGGTAATCTCAAAAATCTTGTGGTAAATTCAGAACCGGATCGAGCGGAGCTTCAAGGAAGCTTACCAGACTTCGATCCGGTTCTGCTTTTATTTCATGAGCAATAGCGGTGGTGTACGTAATTTGGGCTCTTGAGTGGCTTGACCTGACGGCACTGGACATAGTAAAATAATTTGAAATTTATTTAAAACCCTTCCTGTCGCACCATTACGCGAATGGCTTTGAGGCTTCTCATCTCCCTGAGTTCATTTGGGGCATAGGTTGGGATTTCGCTGTATAGACGCTAAAAAAGGCCAGCCCAGACGTTCTTTTGCAGCACTGGCCGCCAGAACAGGTTCTCGAGTAATTTTGAGCCCATAGATCGCGTGAGGTTCAATTTTACATATGAAGGGCATTTTTACGTGGAAGAAACTTACTTTCCCAGTTTGTGAGATGTAAATAATGCTATCATGCCTTGATTCTTTATTCGGTGGCCGCTAAGTGAAACTTTTAATAATTTGTATGTGGATGGCTACATTGAATGTACTGGGCTTACTCTTATTACTGACGCCAGGCACCTCTACTGAGAAAATCAAAACAATACAAATATATCCCAATGACTTGCGTTAATTGGCTACATGGTAACTTCTGCCCCAATCAAAGTGTTGTCCGTATCCGAGTCGCTTAGGAGTCTGTAACTTTAAAGAAGTGCGTTGAGAAGGTCAGGCTCGAGATGTTGAAATCACTTTAACGAAGCAAAACCTTTGGCATGAATGACAGTATGTTTTCCCTTTCAAACACACGGATTTCATCATGGAGGATTCGGTGCTAGTGACAAACGCATGGATGTAGCGGTATTTCTATACTACCTCAGATTCTAGTTAAGGCCAGCCTCTACTCTCCCCCAGGCCCCCGTCTAACTTGATGACCTCAATCGTCTCGTGATGCGATGAGGCCATTAGGGGAAGTCACTCTTCTTCCTTGTGGGTGTATGCTATATAAGGACCAAGTATCTACCAATTCAACTTGCCCGCAAATTGCGTGTAGTTGGCAGATTCAAATTTAGCAAATACGGGAACCCTGGAAACTAATGGCACCGTCATCGAAGAGAGCCCTGATAGCAGTGAGCTCGTATAACGAACCCTTTTACAAGGATGGCTCGAAAACCGGAGTTTTTGTCGTTGAAGCGTTGCATCCATTTGATGCACTAACAGAAAAAGGGTTCGAGGTTGATATTGTTTCCGAGACGGGATCGTTTGGGTACGACGAACACTCTCTTTCTCCTGATTTCCTCAATGGTCGTGATCTGGAGGTGTTTGAGGATCCATCCTCCAAGTTCAACATGGCGATGGCAAATGTCAAAAGGGCGAGTGATCTGAGGCCAGAAGACTACTCGATATTTTTCGCCTCTGCAGGTCATGCAACTCTGTATGACTATCCGAAAGCCGGGGGGCTTCATGTTCTAGCCTCCAAGATTTATGCGAACGGTGGTGTGGTCGCCGCAGTATGTCATGGGCCAGCAATATTTGAGGGCTTGATGGATGAAAGCACTGGGAAACACATTATACAAGGCAAGTCTATCACCGGTTTCACTGATGTTGGTGAAAAGATGCTGGATGTGGACAGTATAATGGAAGCGGATAAGCTCCACAGTATTGAAGATGTCGCTAGGATATGTGGAGCCAAGTATTTACCACCAATAGGCCCCTGGGATGATTATTCGGTGACGGACGGTCGCATCGTTACTGGTGTCAATCCTGCCTCAGCGCATTCAACTGCCGTCAGAGCGATTAATGCCCTGCGGACTGGGTAGTCCATTATCATTAGTTGAAGGATGACATCTTTTCATACAACACTCCAAATTGACTCTCTGTGATGCGTACCTTTTGTGATGTACGTAGAATAGACGGTCCGAACGGGCACATCCCGAAGAGACCACTCTATACAAGCTGGTGAAGGACAACATAATACAGACTTCATTTCATCCTCTGTTGGTAGCTAGTCAACAGTGGAATCTCCATACGCTCAATAGTGATTAAAATACCAGTGCCAAGAACGTAAATGCAAAACACAACCTTAAAAACCTCCTTATGTCGATACTTAAATTATTTTCTAACCTACCAGACCTGTAATTCGTCAAAGTAATCTATGCGGGCTGGATGGACCTGAATTGCTTGCGCAATGTAGCGCCGAGCCAAGTCATCCAAGCCAGGATTTGCGCAGGAAACGATCGCTATAGTGCCGCTGCTCTCTTTACAAAAATCTTGTATCAACGTTTCGACGCTAGGCCTGAACTTATGCAGTTCGATTTCGTGTGGTAACCACTCCAGATCCGCATTTCCCCCCTGGGACCGCGTCACGTAAATGAGTAGTTTATATTGGATCTTCATGTGTGCTTTACCAATTTTCTTACAGATTGTCAACAGCGTGTCCCTCATAGTGTCTATCAAAGATTCAGAGGGAACAATCCATACAAAAGTGCATTGAATGACTTCACAGTGATCATGGGAATCAATTAATTTTTGCAGATAGCTGGCGGGCCCCGGAATTCCCGCCCCACTTGCTAAGAGCAAAACGTTTGAATAAGATCTTAGTGGCGCTTCGTGCCCGTATGGACCCTCTAATGCTATTCTCAACGGCAAGCGAGCCCCATCACTTGGGAGGGCACAAAATATGTCTCTGGTGAGACCATTCTTCGCTCTCACCAGTACGTGTAGAGCTTCTCCAGAATTCATTAGCGTAAAGGGGTGAGATTGCCAAAACCACTTGCGGCCATTAACGTATACGAAAGCATAGCAACCGGGAAAGAACTTGAAATGACGCTTATCCACGCAAGGGACAGTGATTCTGAAAATTTCGTCCGAGGTTGATAGTACCTGTGCATATGCGTTTTTATATCCTCCCGATGCAAATAGAAAGCGCCATGCTCTGCAAATACGATCCCATACCCATAAACCAGCTGCAAGGTAAATCCAGCCAAGCCATCCGAATTCTGCACAATGTTTCCAACAACCATAAAGGAATATAAGCGCCAATGAGATGTGGACAACGAGAAATATTTCATACTGTTTAGCTTTCAAAATATGAACAGAGTGCAACACAAGCACGGCTGAAGCCACCGTAGCTATTACACCCCATCTCCAATAAGCGAAACTCACGAAAAAATACCACAAAGACACCCGCATGCGGATAGCCACATACGCGACCCATAAAATAGAATGGACCACTGCGTAGAAAGTCATTGTTCGAGCTGCCCATTTATGAAAAAATATAAGGCTGGAATAAGGCGCCCCTGTCAGCTGCTGTATGAAATTATTACGCCCGGCCAGCAGAATTGTCATTGGGATCAAGCCAAATGCCAGTCCGCCCGAGCGGTTGGCGATGCATCGTACCAGGAAAAAGAGCTTGGTGTCCATTTTCGAACTCAAGACGGGATAATTGTAGAGAGACAAGCCTGCATTCGCTAACAAAAAGCATGCGAGAGTAACTGCCTCCCCCCTAGTTGGAAGAATTACCTTGTAAAAAGGCAGAACCCTAGTTTCTGAATGATGAGTAGTATCGAAGACCGCCGGAATCAAAACCCTGGACCGTACATAACGGGAAAGCTTTCCATTAGATTTAGAATGCCTGGCCCACACAGCGAGAAGTATAATTATCGCCACAAACCCGTTGATAGCCAAGCTGAAAGTAAAGCCCGCAGTCAGGTTATAGAATGTACCTCGGTAGTATTTTAAGCTCGGCAAAACAACATTATCTGGTATAACCACGGGCGCTGTCAAAGCAGCATCTGGGACAGGCAAATAGCTCTGAAAATGGCGGGTTGCGTTCGACCAAATGCGCTCATAAGCGTTTTCCGATAAGCTGGAGTTCGTCACTTGCGCACAGAGCCCTCGGTACTCGTCCAGACGTGCTTCTACTGGTAGATTTTTGGAATGTTCGCTTGCGAACGACATAAAACATTTCATCGTTGTTTGCATATAGGGCAGATATGAGCCGCACGCCTTATCGTAAAACGATGCGTCAGGATCGTCTCTAAACATCCAATCAAGTCTATCCGCCTCGGATACACAGGCCATCAGTACCAGCAAATCTGGTGGCACGGGACTAGAGTGGAAAGAAACAGCCACCGATCTCAGAAATTTAGACATTAGTATTGATCCTCCTTAATAGTATCGCAGCAGCCGCTGGAGCATTATTGATGTTCAGTTACCGATTCCAAACTAGCATTAACATCTTGTGTTAACCTTTTCCGTTCACATCTCAGGCGCACTCAAATATATAATGATGCCGCACCCAATTGCACCCAATTTGACACAATTATCACTCTGAATCATTTTCCACGCTCGAACAAGAGAGGCCCAAGATCTGCCAACATCAACGAACGACGGCCACCGATGCCAGCGGCCCTAGCCGGCACCACCATGTTTATAAAATAATGTTAGTTGGTTTAATTCGTAGGGCTAAATATTTCTTTAACTTTATAGGAATAAATAAAAAGTCGATTAAGATCGGAGACGCTCTGCGTGCGAGATCAAACTCAGCAATAGTAAATTGAAGTCCACGTTGAGTGCGTAAAGGAACAGGGTATGCGTCAGCAATGCTCTCGACGTCGCAGATATTGTTGGCAACAAACAGGCTCCAACCATCGATTTTGAAAACGTTCCATGTCGTTTTGTATGTAATGTTTTGGGCGTAAAAATCATCGCGTCTAGTGAAAAAAGGCGTGTGTGCTTAAAGTGGACATGCCTGGCCTGCCGTGGTGTTTGATTGTGGGGAATTACAATTGGTCGGCAAAAGGCAAGTTGCTGACGTCGCCGACAGCGGCGTAGCTGAACTTGCCCAACTTGAAGTCCTTGACCTTATCTAGAGAGAGCTGCTCGGAGAAGAGGTCAGTTTCGTTCTTGAGAGCCAACTGCAAGGAAGCAGCCTCCTTGGCAACGGAGATGTCCTGGCCCTTCTTCAAGGCAGCGACGACTTTTTGAATGTTCTCAGACACAACCTTGGCGTCAGCACCCTTGACATATAGAGAGAACAAGCCGGCGTTGGAGTAGGTGTCTAGTTTGGCCTTGTGGATAACCGAAGACAAGTCGAATAGCGCAGAGGTCAAGTAGGTGGCCAAGACCTGGTAGGTGGCAAAGTCGGACTTGGCGACTGGAACGGCAATGGCAGCAACAGAGTCGCCCTGGCTAGATCTCACACGGGTCTCGCCGACGTAGGTCTTTGGCGTCGTCTCTTTAGCCAACGAAGTACCTTGAGGCAAAGAGGCGAACAGCGAGTCGTTGACGAAGCGCTTGAGGTCGCCTTCGTTGACGCCTTGGCCAACAATCTCGATGTTGTCGCGAGTGTAAACCTTGTCAGCGTAGGCCTTGATATCGTCGAGGTTTACTTTTTGCACACCGTCGTACAACAAGGCGTTACCAAGGTCGTTGCGAAAGACAACACCGTATAGCAACTCTTCCGAGGACTTCACAGGGCAAGTTTCGGCCTGGGCCAAGTCAGCCTTGGCAGCAGGAAGAACCGATTCTGGAAGCTCGTGAGGTCTGAAGGAGGTCTTGTAAACAACGTCGCCCAAAGCCGAAACGTAGTATGGCAGGTCTTCCTTCAAGAAAGTTGCCTTCAAGGTGATGTATTCGCGGTCCACGGAAGACTCGAAACGGCCACCCAAAAGCTCTGACTCACGCACCAAACGCAGAGCCGACTTGTTGCCCGTGTTGTGGAAGTTGAATCTCGAGAGCAAATGGGCCACACCGTCCTTGGTGGCGTAGCGCGAGCCACCATGCACTCTCACAGCAAGCGTAGAAACCTTGTTGGCGCTGTCTTTAGCCGAAATATGGTACTGTCTGGCGGCCAGCATTCTCATTCTAGAACCAATCATTGTTAACTTGAAGATGTGCGTATGATGTCGACAAAAATCCCTGTATACAAAACCAATCGCTGCCCTTAGCCTGGAGTGTACAAAAAGAAGATTGGAAAATCAATAGAGTACTTAGTAGTCCAGTACTTCGAAGTGGTCAATGCACTATATGATTTGAATGTTTCTTATGTCAAGAAAATCTTTCATACGACAGTTGAATATTGGAAATTCAATGAAATAAAGCAATATGATTGGAGGATACAGAAAACTCAAGACTACTTGACAGGCAGGCCAGTTGATGCGATGAGACCGACTTTTTAGGATTGGTGAGCAGAACGCGTCGACAGCGGTATTTTTCTGGGGGAAATATCTTCAACTTTAGAGATTCTGTTGAGTGCGCATGATGCAATGCCCGTTTACACGAGAGGTCCGCGAAAGCTGAGAAAAACAAGACTGTTGTGCTACTTATGACAGTCGAGCGGGCGGAGAGAGACGTGCTGGAAGAGCTTAGACACCAGGCTTTAGGGTTACCTTTATTCTGGGTAGCTTTACATAGCTTCGAGTGTCAGTAAGGCTGACGACCTAGAGCCCTCTGGGGACCGGCGCCTGCGACTCAGACCACGCCACTCAATCTGCCATATGGCAGGGGTCGTTGGTGGGCGTTGGGGGCGAGGCTTCTTGTCGCTTCGGTGCCCGGCCCTCACAGCGTCTGAACCGACAACAACTTAAAACAGGGTAGGTTCCAACGCCTTTTGAATCATGCTTCTTGTGGAAACATACAAGGCAAACCCACTGTAGCCACCATGCTCTCTACAATAGCGGCCCAAGTTCAGAGAACTTATACGTAACTTCACCGGGAGAACACGAACGGGCTAGCCAACAACCTCGCAGCGTTTTCTTGTACATACGTGATCTACGGCGGGAAACGAACTGAGAGAGAGAACGGAGAAACGGAGAAACGGTGGCCGACTCCCATCACACTCGAATTGTGCGATGAGCTTCATCTTCTATGAGTTTTTGTAGTTAGTTAGATTGAAAAATTTTGGACAAGTATTGATTGATCTTCGAGCTCATCGCTTCAAGAAGGTCGAAAAACAGCGGCGCAATAACTGGACCTATAAAGCACCCATGGCCACGCAGTCAACTTCACCTGAACCGGCAGGTCTGGACGAAGCTATGGTTGGAGCGTTGTCCTCGTTGGAGGCCCGTGGATCGAGCCCTGAAAGCTTTCTATACAGAGAGCTATGTCGGACGCACTTGGGGGAAAGAGCGGCCGCTATCTTGGATATTCTGATTTCAAAGGGTCGCCTGAGCGCTAGGGAACTTTGTGATCGGTCAGAGATGGATCTGAAGGGCGTGAAACGGATACTTGTGTCGCTTGTGCAACTGCGTTGCGTACAGTACCATCGGGAAAGCGGAGGTGGGCGTCCCACAGTATACTACTACTTCTGCGAAGACGGAATGCTACTCATGCTCTACGCGGGGGAAATAGTGGACACCATCAAGGACATGTTCCAGGATGAAATAGCAGCCCAAATCGTGCAAAACGTGCTTGCTCTCGGTTCGCTCACCCTCAAGTCGTATTTGAGCGCAGGACTGTCCGAAAACTCGCCCATACAGATATCGTCGTGGTTTGCCAAACTCGCCGAAGCTCGCTTTTTGTCTCCGCTCACCGTGACCGACTACTCCACCCTAGGTGACTTGTGGACAACACTCTACACCAAAGAATACAGCGCAATTCCCAAGTCGTCGACTCTGTCGGATCTGAAAAAACGTAGTGAGGCTAAGCAAAAAGCGAAAGAACAGTTCAATCGTATTCTCAGTCCTCCCGACCTGTCCACGTTCATTATCACCGACCCGCAAACCTCTCTCAGAACGGTTACCGACTCCGTGCCTCTCACCTTCAACCTTGGGACCTTCCTGAAAGTGAAGCGTTCAAAAGAGCTGGTTCAGTTTTCTGCAGCAAGAGTTGGAACTGTTCCAGCTGCGGTATATAAGTGTTTCCTTCAGGCTACAGAAAAATATTCTCCAAGTGTCATAGATCCCCTTACCAAGACAGGACTGCTGCAGGACGCAGATGAAATCAATGCAATTCACGACGAAGCCACCTATGCAGAGGAGCAAATCAAGGGCGTTGTTATCACTGCTTCGGACGTTGCTCAGTTCCTCCCATCGTCGTTGGACCTACGCGGTACTATTTCATCTCAAATAAAAAGAGCTCGTTCAAGCGGAACCGAGCCGCACCATAACAAAAGAGTCAAGACAGAAGATGGGTTTGTTATTCCCCCGTTACCCGCGAGCGCCAATGCAGAGCATGAAGTTGACAATGACAATATCGACTTGGATTTCGATGAGAATGACTCAGATCCCCATTCTGTAATGCTCATCAACGCACATTTGAAACTTCTATCAACCAATACTACTCCCTTTTTGAGAGAAGGAAATCCCGGTCGCTTTTACGTTCCCTACTCACAGCTTTTGCCGATGCTGAAATCCTCAGTCTATGAAACTTTGATAAAATATACATTAGGACCATCAGCTGCTAGAATCTTGCGCTGTATTACTGACAACAAGCTTGCATCAGAAAAAGTTATCAATTCCATGGCCTTAATGAAGGAGAAAGATATTCGCTCAGTTGTATCGGTCTTGATAAAATACAACGCTGTGGAAATTCAAGAAGTTCCGCGAACCGCTGACAGAGCCGCCTCAAGATCCGTGTTTTTATTTCGCAGCAACAAGAAGCACGCTTACGATTTTATGAAGAAGAACTTAACTTGGAATATGGCCAATCTTTATCACAAAATGGAGGATCTAAAGAATGAAAACATTACATTATTAAAGAAGGCCAACAGGGATGACGTTAAGGGGAAAGAAGCCGACCTTTTACTACCTAGTGAGCTTAATCAGTTAAAAATGGTCAATGAACGTGAGTTAAACGGCTTGGCCAGAAGCCAAAGGCTGCTGTCATTGTGGGAAATCTTCAAATTTTTCTAACACAAAAAGTTTATAACTTTATGTAAATTAAATGCATGTCAACATGGGCTCAGAAGCAGCCTCCAAGTTTGGCCAACGCATGTTTGTTCCATGGGCACAAAAAGATACCTCGTTGAATTTTTGACAGATTCTCCAGATTGCAGTAAAAATCACTCATGGTCTTTGCGCTTACCTTACTTTGGCCCTCGGTGGACACTCGCAGCTGAATTTTGTTGTCCAAAGTTTCCCAAGATTCGCAGTCATTAGGGAAGAAAAAGGCTGACCTTTGCCAATGCTTCCGGGAGTCGTTATCTTTCGAAAGTTTGTCCTTCACTTTTTCAATGAGAAATGGTACATCGCGATGCCTATCGGACATTAAGCCGGAGAGAGACAATCCCTCAAGTTCAGCCAAAATCGCCATCATCTCATCAGGGCGACTTTCTAGTATAGATATAGCGGAAATCGTAAAAGTTATCGTCAGATCTGGCCCATGGACGCCGACATAGTCAAGGAGTTCGCTGAGTGCCACTTCGCGTGTTTCCTCCGAGTCGACGTTGTAAAGAATTTTGGCAATCATAATGACTATCTGTTTATGTTGGCCCGGGTGCTCTAAAAGCACTTTGAAGTGGTTCAGAGCTTCATCAAATCTATCCAAGAAAAAATGCCCCAAGCCCATGACAATGTGATTCGATAGAATGGATTTGATTGCCACTTGATCTTCGTGTTCACACATAATTCCTTGAGATAAATCTGCACTTTCGATAGCAGAATCGTATGCTTTAGAGCCCAAATAAACACGCGCCATTTGGCTCTTGATAGAGGCAAAATTTATGAGCTCAGCATCATCTTGGGCCTGCTCGAAACGCTTCTCCAAAATTTCTAGAAGTCGATTAGAAAGCTTTCGTGCAGCTTCAAAGTGATGTAGTCTTTCACGCGCCAAAACTGCACACTGCAAGGCAAACTTATCATCGGGATGTTTCTTCAAATATTCATCAAGGCCGAATGCGACGGCGCTGAGTTCTTGGCCGGGTCCAATGTCCCTTTCATCATCACCGCTACCGATGCGTGCAGCCAATATGCTCTTCGCATATAGAATTTGAGTTGCTGTTGACTTCCCATTCGAGAGCACAAAAGAATGTGCGAACAAACGCCGACTTTCCCCTATCAAACCCTCTTTCTCAGATGTCAATGCCAGCCCTAGCCACGGTTTTGCGTCCTGAGGGCTTATACTTTGCGACTTCATCAACACAGCTCGCGCGAATTCAAAATCGTTGTATTTTAATGCAAGCAAAGCCATATCATACCACACGCTTGTATCCTTTGGGCCCAAAGCGGCTGCTTTGATGAAGCAGTGCTGAGCTACGCGCACATTGAGGTCTATGGAAGCAATTCCAAAGCCAATCCAGGCTTCGGCAGTGTTGGATTGGAAACCAATGGACTTTTTGAAGCTAATAATCGCTGCATCTCGAAGGTTGTTTGATTTTAAGATGACAAACGCTAGTAGTTCGGTAACTCCAAGGTTATACCAGAGAGAAGCCCGAACAGTTCTCGATAAAGCCGAAAGCTCACAGCATGCAAGGGCATATTTTGCCGAAAGAATCAAAAACTTCGTGGAAATTGCAACATTATCCTGGTCAGTCTCTGAAAACAAACCTGAGAGTGTTATTGAGTCAACAGCGTCAACTTCGTCAGTATTTTTCAGCTCTAAAACATCAAAGATATTAACTAAGCTTTCGAGCGGCAGGATATCAACCTGGGATTGAACCACACAAAATAGCCTCAGCGCATGGGTGAGCGCCAACCATAGGGCCTGAGTACTGTGACTAATGTTCACCATTATATGCTCGATAAGGCGTATAGCATCGGCAGCGAGAGATACAGATTTAGTCAAATATCCCTGCGCACAAAGCACAGTACAGTATTCAACCCATATTTCCACCAAAGATACTTGAGTGCTCTCAGCCAGAGGATCGGCATCAGCGAGAGCACGGAGGATGGCAAGACTTTCATCGTACAATCCCAGTTTCGACAACGAAAGAGCTTTGAAATATTGGGCATGGTAATTTTCAGGCTCAACTTCCAAAGCTTTTTCAAATACTTTTACTGAAGCTTCTATTCGTCCACACGAGTAGTACGCTTGACCTAATCCAATCCAGGACTCCAAATCCAAGGAATTGACGCGCAAGGCTGACTGAAACCACTCAATAGATTCTGACTCCGACTGCTTCTCTAGACAAGCAATCCCAAGGACACGGTAGGGCCAGTTCGTGGCTTGTAAGGCCATTTTTGATTTTTCGGCTTTTACTACCCTCTCAGCAATTAGTGAAGCAGACGACCAATTACAAGAGTCGCAGTATACGCGACACATGTACTCGGCCGCAGTCAGATCACTGGGGTCCAATTCGAAGGCTCTGAAGTAGCATTTGAAAGCACGGGTTGGGTCACCGTAATGCTGATCATAAATATCTCCTAGCGTGGAATACCCGCGACCAAAGTTCTCAGAAATTTTGACAGCCTGGACGAGTTGTCTAAAAGCAAGCTTGATATACTCAGACTCAGCTGTAATGATGGACTGATCACTTTGCTTACTTATATATCCCTTGGCCATTCTCCAGTGGTTCAATGATCTAAATTCCAAAACTTTTAAATCAGCTCCCTCAACGTTGTTCAAAATGTATTTGAATTTGTCAATGGCCGAGTCGTACTCTTTCAAGTGCAGCTCACTCCAAGCAAGCTCGGAAAGTACTTCGTAGTTGTCCATATATCGTTCTGACACCGCCTTTAGCAGGTCAAACGCATCCTGCCATTTCTGTCGCTCTATGAAAATCAAACCCTTTCCCATCTTCGCATTTACATTTTCGGGATCATCAGCAAGGAGCTTTTCAAACAGTGCCAGAGCGGTGGGGTGATTTTTAGGTGCCTCGAAATATGTATATATCGTAGCAAAATCCAAAGTCAGCTCGCGCTTGGAGTTTCTGAGATGAGCACCAATACTTTTAACGTTTTGAGCACATAAAAGAGTACCGGCTTTAACATATTGAAGCGCTGATTCGTATTCATGTGTGGAAGTGTAGTACCTGCAAACAATGCGATGAGCCACGATGCTTTGTTGTGTTCTTTTTATGTTGTTCGAAAGAGAAAGCAGAGCCTCATCCTCTGAGAGCCCAGACACTGGTTCATCAACCGAGGGATCCACTAATTGTTGCAACCTCTGTTTTTCAGACTCGTCTACCTCGTCATCCACCGTCTCCATGACTGACTCTGCTGACGAAGTATTGTTCCGCTTGGGTTCATCGTGGAAAGTTCTTTCATAAAATTCCTTAGCACTATATGTGGACTGTTCTGAACAAACCCACGCATATAGGATGGCTGCCAGGGGCTCCTTTGGAAATTGTTTGACAAATTTGGATACGATATTAATGTCCATATCGTTGAGATTTGCATAATCTTGCCATTCAAAATATAAATGCCATGCTAACAAAAAATCGTGGTTTACCACTACCATGTCTTCAACCATGTTCTTCACTTTCAAGAAAAATTGAGGCTTTATGTCTGCAGGCATAGATTTCAGAACCTTAATTCTGTATTCGAGCCACTTAGCCTCAAGGTCCCGTCTTTTTTCATCATCGTCTGTTATATTAATTAACTGTTGATAGAACGCATCCACTTCAAACTCTTTGTACACTTCCCATGCAATGGAATTGACTTTTACATCATAGTCTGGATCATTGGCACTAATTCGCAACCTCTCGCGGCTGACCAGCTTGGCTACTTTCTGTTGCTCTTCGGAATTGACGATATTAAGAAGGCCCTGAAGCGCATCTTGAGCAGAAATCAAGTGCCGAGATAAAGTTTCGCTCACGGGTCCCCCAGGTCGCATGTGCCTGAGGTAAGACTCCTGGCAGTTTTTGTGGAAATTTTTGAAGTTACGAACGTCACTTATTAGATCGATCAACGATTGTTGTTTCTGTAATAATAGTTCTGCATATTCTCCACACAGGTCGAAGTACTCGTCGAAGGACACGATATTAGGAGCTATTTCGCTAACTTTCAACAACATGAAAAGGCCCTTCCAGGCCAGAAGATTGTCAGGCTCTAGATCGATAGCAGTCTTGTAGTGTCTCTTAGAGTTCGACAGCTCATTGATGCAAGCATATGCCTTGCCCAGGAATACATGCGCAAAAAAGCAGTTTTTGTCCAGCTTCAATGCTTCATTCGAACTTTCAATTGAATATTCATAGTCCTGGCTAGCCAAGTAGCTCTTGGCATCTTTAAGGTGCTGCTTTAGCTCGGCCATGGGGTATTTGATGACCTTTTGCCTTGTTTGATCAACTTTGCTCAGTTGTTCACTATATATATATAATATTTACAACACGATTAATTAAGATGTAAGACTGATGTGATCAAATAAAGTAAACCACAGGTTAAACTTAAGATGGAACGTAGCGAGTCTGCTTTATTCTCTCAGCTCTCAAACGATCAAATCCAGAAAATACGCGATGCTTTCCAATTCATAGATGAGGACGGTGATGGAAGAATATCTAAGAAAGACCTCGTAAAGATGTATTCCAACCTGGGAAAGAGCCAAATGGAGGCTCAAATCGATCAGATGCTGGCGTCTGAGAATAACAAGGAGCTCACATTTCCGGAATTTTTGACACTCATGGGTGAAAGACTGCGTAATTTCCCGGAAGACCAGGAAATGTCGGACGCACTGCGAGCATTCAATCCTTCGGGTGGAAACGAACTTAATGTCGATGTTGCTGAGCTGAAAAGCTATTTGCGAGATGCCGGGTCAGACATGACGGCAATAGAAGCTGTCTTGAAACAGTTTTGTGCTACACAACTGTCAGGAGAACAGATTTTCAAGGGTCAAAAGTTTCTTGACACGATAGAGTAAAGGAGAAAGCAAGCTCGATGGTCCAGAGCCTCCCGTAGCTTTTCGATCAAACTTGCGTGGGTGAAGCTTTTCCCCTCTCCTCTACTGCCGTTGGTTCAAGAAACGGTCCAATCGGGCATGCATCATGGCGGCACTTGCCCAGGTGAACCTTAGGCAGGTAGTTTATATAAAATTAAGGGCTAACGGGGAGAACAACCACGCATACTGTGCCACTGCTCTCCTCTCATGAGCCATTGCATGCTTCCTTCTTCATATTTTGTTATAAATTTTATAATAGTTCTTATTGTACATGGTGCAGGCGGAGAGGTTGCTGTGGGCAATCGCACAAAGTCAAGGCGGCCGTGATCTCGTTCACAGGTCGACAATCAACTCCTCAACACTCCAATCCTCGAACGAACCATCGGGCAGATACCTTCTGATCACTAGCGGGATTTTCTTCTCGGCAAGCTCCTTCATGGCGATTCTCAGCGGATCCGTTTCACCCTCCAAGTCCACAAACACAGGCGCATTCATGGATATTTGCAGGGCCCTTGTCCCGAGAATACGGGCGCGCTCGTATTTGGTCATGTAAGGCGTGGTGGTTCTCTCAGACTTGGGAATAGCCTTTTCCTTTAGCGTTCTTCTGCGATTACTCTCTTGCTGCAGTTGGAAGTCCTCATTCCCTGTCCCGCCAGCAATGATAGTTTTTCCGTTTTCGTCCTTAGTCTCGCCATCCTTGAATTCTTCTGGAGCTTCATACACCTCAGCATCTGAGAATTGCTCGTTGTCAAAGTCTTCAAAGTGTTCTGGACCGTCGTTAAACCTGTAAGCATCACACCAATGTTAATAAAAAATGGCCAACTTCGACTGCTGAAAGATTGCCATAAAAGATAGTCAAGTCTTTTACTGAGCTCCACAAATTTCTAACATACGCTTCCTCGTAGTCAGACATCCTGGCCTGTCTAGTTCAGCTCCTTCTTAATCATTCCATTTGAGTTCATCTCGTTGTTCTTTCTGTAGCTTTAATATTGAAAAGTTTTCCTAGTGATCTGACGACCGGAGGAACTGCGAAGAGCGACTAGCAAATCAACTCGATATTGTTCAAGTGGTCAATTTGAAATGGCTTTGATCTGCTATCGGTCCAGAGACATGGTACGGGGTACTGCCAAATAGGATAGTACTTGAAGTAGCTTAGGAAGACTAATGGGGCATTTCCAAAACTAATTGAGAACGCGGTATTTTTGAAGGTAGGTATTACAATGTCGACTTTTTTAGGTATATGAAAGGAGTAGCATTAGGTAAAGCAATGCAGAGTAGAGTCAGTAGCTGCGGTGCTCTTAAAATTCGGGCCGCGCCTGCGAGAATTGATATATCATATCAACTAGCTGGTAGGTGACAGTATAGTATGAAGTGATATAACCGAAAGGCTAGACACCGAACCACACGCACCGGTAGTAATTTCCCCAGCAACGGTCTTGCTGTCTGAGCTCTGGCATTCTTCAATTATCTGAGACTAGCGCGTCGTACCAACGTATTGCAGAAACGTTTGAAAGCGGACATTTCCAGTGTCTGCTCTTTACTTGTCACTCTTATCATTGAAAGACACAGGTATGAGCTCTGCTGGGCACAAATACAATCCTCAGTTTAACTATCGGATGACAAGTAAAGTGCAACGTCTTTCAGTCGACTTTCTATATAATTCTCCAGTCGGTTTTGTACTCGCCGTGCTGTGAAAAATCCATCTAACGTATATAATATAACAGCTCATCGGTCACAGCTAGCTCATCACTCGAGCGAGACCATCGAACAGGCTCTTAGCGACCTGGTGCATACTGTCAAGTAGTGAGACCTTCTAAGGTGGGAGAGAAAACTCAATTTCTGCACCGGTTTTATGGGATAAAGACATGCAAAGTAAAGAAGATGGCGTGCAGCTGAATAATTACGATGAGGGAGCCTTCTCGGATTTTGACATGGCTTCAGACTCCGATCGTAGCGTGTCGTCCACTTCCAGCCGTCCGAAAGTGTGGCACTGTGAGTACGACGGGTGCACGAAGTCGTTTTCGCGCCCTTCTCAACTCACGGAACACCAAGAGACAGTGCATAGGGGAATCAAGCCATTTGGGTGTCCCGAATGCGGCAAAGCCTTCGCTCGAAAGTCACATTTGGAAAGGCACATGTTTTGCCACTCGAGCGAGAAGCCGTATAAGTGTTCCATATGCCAAAAGGGTACTACCACTCTGCAGCAGCTGCGAAGACATGAAATTACCCACACCAAGTCGTTTAATTGTCCCTACGAAGGATGTGGCGAAACCTTTTACAAACACCCTCAACTTCGATCGCATATTCTTTCGGTACATCTGGATAAGCTGACCTGTGAGTTCTGTGGCAAGAAATTCCAACGGCCTTATCGCCTTCAAGCCCATATATCAAAACATCATAACCCAGATACAATATTCAAGTACCAGTGCTCGCACAAATCGTGCGTTGAGTCATTCAAAACCTGGACCGCTTTACAGCAGCATATCAAAGAGCATCATCCTAAACTTCCCTGCCCCATTTGTAACAAAGCATGCGTTGGCGATGCAGGATTGGCGATGCACATGAAAATCCACGACAGTTTGACGGTTATCAGGAACTGGAAATGTGAAGTCTGCCACGATCTATCTTTTGCCAAAAAATCGGATCTGGTCTCGCACTATCAAGAATGCCATCAGGGCCTAGTAGTGAAGCTGCTTGAAAATGAGGCATTGCTTGAGACGGCAGTCTCTGATCGTCATCCTCCGGTCTCAAATTCGGAGCCTACACAGCTTAAAAGGACTGCAAGAAGAATCGATTTCAATGCTCAATCAGAGCTAGATTCTATAAAAACGGAGGTCACCTTGCGCAAGCACTTAGATGCTGGCATTTCTGCCACGACCTTACTGCTCAATTCTGCTGGCAGAAAGCTAAAGTGCCCATACTCAAAATGCTACAGGACCTTCAAAACTCGGAACAAGTACGACGTGCACATCCAAAAGCATAAAATTCACGAACTCAAACTGAAGATATTAGAAGACTCTGACAGAAATGACAAGTCAAAGACCAACCCAAAAATCGAGGAAGTTGATAAAAAGGGTATGACAAAAGAAGTCCAAGGCGACCTTAAAGATGTTGATAACATTTAATGATACCTTTTGGTGCCGCTTGTAGCAAAAGCGTACCTACATAAGGAATCTTAATGAGTGTTGAGTACATGTAACTAAGAAGAACAAATTATTCGTAAATACTTGCGATCTTGTATCCGCGCATACCGATTAATATACTGGCATTGAGATGCTCGTGTACAGAGAGTTATTATTCATTTTGACAGATTCATGTCGCTCATAAAAAACAAAAGTTCGTCATCCTCCTCTCCATGATTCATGGAGTCGTCCTTTCTTTGGCCACTATTGCCAGCGCCATGGGACTCTGGTGAGGAGGCCACCACAGCCTTGTGTAGTTTCGCATGTGCAGGTGTTGCCATTGTTGTTGGCACCGAAAAGTTGGCGACCGACTTGAATGGGAGTTGCTTCGAGAAAGAACTGGATACACTACGCATTGAGCCCGGTGAGGTTGATCGATTCCTGTTGATAGGATTTGAGTTATTGTATGTGGATTTCCCTGCTAATAAATCATCATCCTCGTCCTCGTCCTCGTCCTCGTCCTCATTAACCGAACTTCCGCGCAACAGAGACTTGTGTGTGTCGTTGACGCTTTCATTGAGATTGTAAACGACTGATTTTGGTCTATCAGCAGAACTACGTCTGCTAAAATATTCATCAGTACCAGTACCATCATTGCGATATGAATTTGAGCGGCTTTGTGATAGTCTCGTCGGAATCGATGAGTAATGGATGGATGGTGAAAAAGAGGAATTGGGAGAGTGAGAATTCGACCTGTTCCTTGGCTGACCAGCCTGTGGTCGCTCCATTGACATGGACATAGAGAGATCTGTACTCAAATTATTGTTAATTGCTTTCATTCCCTGAAATTTTAATAAGGAACTGGTCATGTCAGCCCTAGTACCCCTGTCGGTCCGCTTCGATTTTAATTCTTTGGGTTCATCCAAAAGTTTCATGAACTCCACCAAATCGCCCGAAGGAGATTCTGTCAATTTAACTGGCCTTTGAGTGCGTTCGATGCTATCGGACCTCCTTACACTTGAGTGGCGACGCAGGCGGCCAAATGACGAGGAATACTTTGATAGACTTCCGCTCCCGATACTAGAGGGCTCCATATGTGAATCATGTAGAGGGTTCGTGTTGGTCGTCATAGAACCAATACTGGACCTTTGCGCCCTGAGAGTAGCGACAACAGAGGAGCCTGAGGCATTTCGACTTATGCTATTACCCTGAATGACTTGAGGGATGGATCCACTTCCTACCGAACCAGCCTTGAAGGGTTGAAGTTGACGATTTGGTGCAAGGATCTTTTTGTGAGGTGATGGCTCCATTAAAGCATTGGGACTGATGTTTGTGTTAGGTGAAACTGACATTGACCGTTGCTCGATTTTCTTCAGTGACGAATTGGGCGCAGACAAGGCATGAGAGCGCGCTGGGCGGGAATCTGAAGTGAAATTGCCAAATTGATTCGCATAGTATTCGTCATTATCGTTAACATAGAAGTCTGCGTCCCGCCTGTAAGATACAGATATCCTCAACGATCCATATTTCGTTCGGATCGGTGTAATTTTTCTTTGCTCCAAATGAGCCGGCAAGTTCGTTTCATTGATAGCATTCGAATAAGAAGCAATCAAAGATTTACTGAGCCCAATTCGGCCCTTCGACACAATCGGCTTGGACCCATCCAAAATCCTAGCTCCAACAAAGACTGGCGAGGACATCCCTGAGCTGGTAACGGGCTTCGACAGCCGCATGTGTAGTTCGCTTGCCGGCAGCAGACCTACTAGCGTGTGAAGATACCGGAATAACAAGACCAGTTGACGATATATCTCCTGGATATCAGATTGGGCCTCGTGACTGGAGCCGGTCTCAGGGCCAAAGATCCCTGTCTCGGAACCAGTCCCTGCTTCGCTTTTACGTTTAACATCGCTTTCGTCAGCACCATTCTCCAGTTGTACGAGCCACCGCTCTAGCATGATTTCCGACTTCTTTGTGCCTTTGCAGACATTCCAAGGGTTTCCATCCTGATCTTTCAATATGATGGACTGCGACGGGCTCAAATGTGTCAAGTCCAAAAATGTTTCTATAACCAGAGGTGGTACATTACTTGTCCCATCAAATGAAGTCCAGGGACCCATCTCCTTCTCCAATTCTTTCATCCCCAGGGATTCGATGTTGAACCAATTATTTGTGGTTGTGGCGACCTCCGTACTCGGCTGTCCTTTATAATGCTTCGACTGACAAACCAACAGCGATGCCTTCAAAAAGAAGTTGTTTACCAGCTCCCAGAGCTGTCTATCCATGCTTGAAGTCATCTATTTTCCCAAGTGCCACCAGTTCATTGAAATCTGTCAAGGCAAGAACCAAACAAAACTAGCTGTTTATCAATCAAAAGTTATATACCAGCCTCGAAACTTCTAATAAAAGTTGAAAATGGCTGGGGAACAGTCTAAAAGACCTGTAGTAGAACTGTTTTAGTCCTTACCTTAATCTTTAGAGGTTTGTGGGATGAAGAGGTCAAGTTACATCATATTGACCTCTATTGACAAAGGCGCATTATTCGTTTAGTGTTATATATATACACAATACTTCAATCGGCCGTAGCCTGCCAAAACCAACCAAGGACGAGAATCGAGACACGGACCAACTGTTATATGTAAGCCTTCCGGTTTGAGAGTTATTTAAATACAAAATTATTATAAGTATGAAATGCACCAAGCTCAAGCGCCGGCTGTGTGATCAAGTCCCTTCTTTTCAGTGTTCCACAAGTCGTAAAAGAAATCTAACGCGCAACCCGTACTCCAAGCCTGTGTGGGACTGCTGTCACCGCAATAGCTTCCATCCTTGTTAGTCAATTCCGTGATCCCAGCCCAGGGACTCTCGAAAATTGCGTTTCTTTGGCCCTCGAGACGATTGTACAGCTGTTGCAATAAAAAGGAAGAGGGATGAACACCGTCCCTTGTCCGGCAATGAGCATCTGCCACCAAGTGGAAATAGTGGTAGGCACGCAAGAAATAACCAAAGAGCCATACCCACTCTGGACCCTGGTGGTAATTGCGGCCCTTGGAAGTAGCGAAGTCTGTAGAGTCCTCGCCATTGTTGTAATACGGACGGTAGTTGTAGTCGCTGGGATCTAAAGTACGCATTCCAACAGGGCCCCGTATAATTTCATCGGCATTGTTCAAAGCAGTCAACGCATGCTCTGGGCTGAACAACTCTGGGGCAACTGTCATCGCAATCGCAAAATTTGGTCTCAACTGGTAGTCCTCATATGGCTTCCCAGACCTGTACAGGTCTTTGTAGATCCCACGTCTGTTTACAATGGTAGGGTCGATATCATAATTGTCATCCTCGGACTGATCTGAGGGAACAAAAAATTTAAGCTCGAAGTTTTCCTGTAACAGAGAATTCCAACTGGAGAAACTAATCTTACTGCCATCCTCCTTCTCAACGTCGACAAATTTGAATAAATTCTTATCTTTCAAACCAATCACGAACCGCAAGGCACTTTTTAAAAGTCCATTTATCTCAACCGCCGCGCCGTCACGAGGAGTTCCTGGAACACCTGTGGAGCCCGCTTTGTCACTCTCCCCCATTTTGTCCATCCATGTGCCACAGTTGTATTGCGAGCCCCCGTGTATTAGGCCAGTAGACCAATCGACGTGAACTTCAACATTGAATCCCTCATCCGACATGACCCTATCCAAGTTGGGCCCAGCGTTGGCCTCGCGGTATTTGATTCCCTTCGCATGTCTGGCCAAGATCTCGTAAATAACCTCTTCGATGGTTGATTCATAAGCAAAAGCTCTAGGGTCATCCTCTGGGACATAAGTATCGTCAAGAGGGAATCTCCTTGACACCTTCTCCTTCAAAATAGCTTCTCCACCAGGAACAATGCTCACATAATCCTGAATCGACTGTAGAAAGAACCAGGCGGCATCACGAGCGTTATAACGAGGGTTACGGCCCGCATCTAGAAGATTAGGAATCATTCCATGTTTGAGTGTTTTGGCAAATGCAGTTATGTGCTGCTTCGCGTCATCGTATCGACCTGTCGTCAGCAAGAGACCACGTAAAGCGATAAAAACATCTCTACCCCAGCACCGCATGTAGTTACTAGAAAAGTGAGGTAAACCTGCTGCCATGCATGGAACATTTTTTTCCGGGATTAGCGATGTGGAACACATTGTGGAGACCATTTGAATTGAAGTCAATGCCAAGCTCTGGACGAACCTAGTCGACTGGCCAACATTTTCACTCATTAACTTCAAGGCTCTAAATCTGCAACTCTGGTAAGCTGTACCTACCACAAGCGCAAAATAAGTTGGCACCAAGAAGGAAGGTAATTGTCTAATTCTTTCGAACCGAGATCTCAGCCACTGCTGCATATCCGACACGCCGCTTTCACCCTTGTAATTCTCCAGCCTCTGGACCAAGTAATCTAGGGCCCAGTGTCCCTGACGCAAGTGTTCGCTTAAAGGGTGGGCCAAATCGTTAGAAAAAATAATGTTTCGTAACACAGAAACCCATCCTTGCAGGCCGCAATATGTCAGTGTACCATAATTGGGTATATTGTAAGCACCCACTGAGCCCGCACTCATGTCACGTTCTTCAGCATCACAGCGATAGAGTAACGCATTGAGAGAATATAAGTTCAAATGTTCGGATGCTTTCAATGCTCCGCTCCTCAAGAAGCTCAATAATTTGTTGTCGATCCCGATTTGTTGCGTTTTGAACACAGCAATAGAACCCGGAGGAAATTCACCAGTAATTTCAAGGAATGACTGTTTTGAACCGTCATTGTAGCTAACATGAAAATCTGATAGTTTCCTCAACTCAGTGGGAATTCCGGTGAGATTCTTTTCATCCCTACTATACTCACCAGTCTTGACTAAAGAGTACGCAAAATCGAGTTCGCATCGAGATCCATTGAAGATCACTTTAGGGAATTTTTGATCGCCAAGGTTATCATTAAACTTGGTACGCGCAACCAAAAACCAACCCTTACCGGTCTTTGAGTTGTTTCTTTGGAACGTTATGTATTGCCCATCGTGATGTACATGCATCTCTGAATCTTCTATCTCTGCACTACCATCGGCAATCTCGTCCCTAATTTTGTTAAGTAGGGCCTTGACCTCAGATATGCCATCACTTTTCTCCGTGCTATATCTCCTGGTTTCTCCTACCACGTCCAATAAGTAGGGATAACATTCGTCGTACCCATACACCGATCCAACAGCTGAAGAACAGAGGCTTACTAGAGCAGCATTTGGCAAAGTATCTTCAACAGTCCTTTTTTGGAAAGGCGTCTCGTTGTCATGTGTGCAATCCATGAACAGTGCGTGTGGCGGAGTAGCAGTTAATATTTTAGGAATGTGGACTTCAATATCGTTAGCACCTTTAAAGTCGTGAGTTTCAATGTCGTGGGCATCGGATGGATAGGCAAATTCATCTAAAGGAAGAAACTTGTAAGACCCAATGGGTCTACCACCATGTCTGTGAACTAATCTCGAAAGCTCTTCTTCCGACCATGCTTGCATGGCTTCTCTGATTAGTGAAGATATACCTAACCTTTCGACGAACAAACAGTCCATAGCTTCAGATCCTGAAAAAAGCTCAGCTACAACATATAAGTTTGGGTTATGTTTCCGCGCCACGTCAAGATAGTACTCTCCGACGTGTAAAGGAGTGCTATGGCAGTTGTCGATTCTGAACCCATCAAATAACTTGGCGTTGATCTCGATATATTTCGACATCCTATCCCACAAGTAGGGGGAATCTTCAGGTTTCGATCCGTATCTCAGCTTGACACAGTCACCCCAAACAATGACTTCGCGTCTCAAATAAGCCCTTGACTTATTCGAGGCGAAGTCAACTAATGGGTCACCATTCCAAATCCAGCCATTATTCGCTAAAGCGTAATCCTCCCCATCAGCAGCCTTAAACCTAGTGAAATAAGGTTCTACTAAAGGCGCTTCTGGTGTAACAGTTCCCAACTTAGGTCCATGGTTATCGAGGCGCATGTACTTGATCCTATTGAACAATTGCTCAAGTATATCACCCACATCATCGTCATATTCTCGGTACAGAGGCAGATTCAATTCGTCAATAAGTTTATGTGCTTCTTCGACGACAAATTCAGAAAGCTCTTGGCCATATAGAGACTTGAGAATCGTAATAAATTTAGCTGTATCGAGAGTATTGGAGAATCTTGCTCCGAGCTGCCCGAAACCTTCACTTGAGGCATTTTCCCGTATGAAAGCGGCCAGCTCAACGAGGTCATTCTTGACATTATCTGGAATCTCTACGGTTTCATCAGAGATCAAGTTCCAGTCGGAATTAATAAGTTTTAGGGCATCATCGGGACTCACTGTGTAAAACTCCCAGAGCTTTAAAGACCCGAGTACGTGCGCTTTTATCCCATCCATAATGCGGAATAGATCCTGAGTACTCTTTAAATCAACAGGTAGGCCCAACGACGACAAATTTTCACTAAATTCCATCAACGCAGTATCCAACTCGATCGCGCTGGTCAGATGCGGCGCCGTCTTGTGGTTGTAGCCTGCGTCAGGATGTTCCTTGAGCCATTCTGAGTTGTTGGCCGTGTGATTAAACACAACGTCAGTCATAGCCAAAATCCCATGCTGCTTATGCAGCTTTTTTATCAATTTGAACGCATCATCCGAATTGTTGGGGAAATATTCAGGATCAAACTGGAGTTGATCGGCAATCGAGTAAGGCGAATTGGACTCGCCCCTCTTCTGCAGCGGCGTGAAATGTATCATGTTGTAGCCTTTGGAAGCGATTTTTTGAAAAATGGCATCCCAGTCGGAGCCCATCCACTTGGAAATTACAGATTCCATGGCAACGGAATTCAAAGGCAAGTATTTGCCCTCGATGTACAAACTTGGCGGGGAAACAAAATAGAAACGACGGGTGGTTTCCAGCTCATCTTGACCGTTCCTGAAGGAAAAGTAGAAACAGAAGGCGCCCGGGGAGAACACCTCAATCTCCACATGCGAATCACGGTGAAAGCTGGCCTTGATCTTTTTCTTCGAAAATTGTTCGCGCGCAAACGGTGTCTTGCCATCAACTGGGCAATTGGTCCATACCAGTCCGTCACGTGCGAGTGGAGATCCGCCTGCAATGACCAGCTTGATGGTGAAAAGCGGCTGCGTCCCATCGTAGTCTTCTGGAAGCGGCAGCGCCGGTAGCGTCAACACACCCTGTCCGTATGAACAGCTTACGACCGGCTCTCCGGTGTCCGAGACACGCAATAAAAGCACCCTATTCATGGTATTTTCGAAGGACAAATCAAACGAACAAGTTCACTACTCGCTCAGGTCTTTCACTGTACGTAAGACCCCTATAATTCTTCTCGAATCCTCGATCTTCCGCAGGCTTCCTCGAACGTTATGCTCAACGACCAACCAGCAAGAGACAACTATCGTATAAGTCCGCACTCAATATATTGCAAGCCAAACGTACCCAACTTCTGCAAACGCCTTATGTACACAAACAGCTATTCACTAATCCTACCTCTCGATTGCAACACTATCTTTGTAAGAATTTGATTCTCGAGCGGCAAACCAACCGCCTCATTTTTGTTCCCGAAGTCTTGTTCTTATATACTTGTAAATTTAACCATGCTCCATACGCTGTTCCTCCCCTTATTGCTCGATTTTGTGCTCTCGTCGAGGGGAGAGGTAAGAAGCTGAAAATGGCGTTGATAGTGATGAATTTGCCAGTACTGGATTCAGATTATGAGGACTTGTGCATTTCCCACCAAGTGCGCCAGCTTATCCGAAGATGGGGACAAGCCGGCGAGTCTTCTTGAAACTAGGGAGTGGCGTATAGATTTCGGCAGTCTTCTCTATCCCTTTAGCAGCTTAGGCCATGAGCTCAGAGTTAGTCGGTTCACGTAATTTTGTTAGCACTCTTTTTGTTGCGCACGCAGCGGTCAGATGGTTCAGATACAGTTAGCTGAGCACGTATCAGTAGTTGTGGTTGAGGGAGAACTGAAAGAGAATTCTTGAATGTGACTATCCGAATGTAGATCATTTTATACAAAACTGGCGTGACGCTAATGTTTTACCAGACGCGGCAGCCACCTTCTTCAAATCGGCGAAGGTGGTTGGTGGCACATCTAAAAATCACTGGAACGCGGAGAGAAGCTTGAAAAAGGCGTACAGAGCCAATATCAACCAGAACACGAAGAACAACACCAAGTTGTTGGCGCCAAACTTGTAAACGTATAGTTCCTGCAGCTGTTGCAGATATTGCACGATAACCTTACCCGAAAGCTTGGATTCACCCTCTGTTCTCACACCGAAAGAGAAGGGCACTTCGCCAATGGCTTCGTTTTTGGGCAGGGGCAGCTTAACGAGCAGATCCAGAGCGATCTTGAAGCCCTGGGCATTGATATCCTGGGCATGGGTTTCTAGCAAATACTTCTTCTGGAGCCCGAAAAATCCGCTCATGGGGTCGGACGCGGTGGTCAATGGTCTGGCCATCATGCGAGCACCGGAAGAAATAACGCGGCGATACAAAGGCCAGTCCTTGTCGATGCCCACGCCGGGTGCATATCTCGTACCCAAGACAAACGCGTGGTTTCTAAGCACGTCGAGAAGCTGAGGCACGCTTTCCGGGGGATGTTGCAAGTCTGCGTCCATGCACACCAGGTACTGGCCCTGGGCATCGCGGAAGCCTTTCAACACGGCAGAGGACAGGCCTCTCTCATCTGTTCTCACAATGATCTTGACGTTGTAGCCTTGTTTTTGCAGAGCTTCCACTTCCTCCACGGAGCCATCTTTAGAGTTGTCATCCACGAAGATCAACTCCGTGGTTTTGGAGCCGGTGGTTCCCAGCGCCGCAAACAGCCTGGTAGTTAGCGGTTGAATGTTGAGCTTCTCATGGTACGCCGGAACAATAACAGAGTTTTCAATTGCCATCTTGTTTGCGTCTAGGCTTGTTAAAGATGGTAGCACCAGAGAGAGTACGTTATGCTTTCATCGTGAAGAAACTCTTGACGTGGTCCGACCTACCTCGTAAAAGGTGACTTTTCTAAAGTGAGCCAAGCGTCCCGCTAAAAGTGTCGAGAGAATGCGCTAACTCGAGATTTAGCCCGTCTAGTGCTGTTGTGCTTCAATTTCACCATCTACATTGCCATTGTCTTGAATGTAGACCTGAACGTTTATTTTCAGATGGTCGTCTAGAGGTGTCATTTTATCAAGAGTAGCGGTTGGATAGAGCGCAGACGATTCCCTGTTGTGTGGAGGCTCGAGCCTTAATTGAGGATTGGTGCCATAAAACCTCGTTTTACTAGTGATGAGCCTGAATTCCAGAAGAACTGAGGAAACACAGCTGTAGCTTGTCCCACAGATGGATTGGTGCAAAACTTTAACGGCAATCAACTACAAGGGCACTGACGGTGTTTTCGACACAGGCAGCTATCAAAAATCCAGGCTCAACATCTTTGAGAGCATATAATGGCATTTAGGGCCCGGTCAGACTCGAAATGTTTATGATTGATGGGAAATTACCTATAATTATTCAGAGTTATCAGCTGGTTTACTGAAAGTTATGCACCACGATCAAAACATTAAATTCTTTCAAAATTGTTTCCGGTAACCAGGCTCTTTTTCGAGTCTCTGGTTATACATATGTACATCTTTTGCTGTCTAGTATACATTTCTTAACCGATATGATATAGCAGAAGAGCCAATGTCCCTTATGGCTCTTGTGTCCCTTCTGCGCCAGCTGCAGGGGCCGTCTCTTGAACCACTGCTTCTTCGACCGCTGAGCTCTTCACATCTTCAGTACCCTTAACTTCTTCGGTGGCCTTTACTTCTTCGTTGCTCTCGGCGGCGACGTCTTGGCCAATCCACAGCACATTATTGCACCGAATAAAAATGTCACCAATTTTTCCCTTGGATTGCGAATCTATGAACTCCTCCGCATCTGAGAGCTGTAAGTTGAAGTAGTTGTCGGTTGATACCAGTAGGCCCTTGTACTGCGTCTTGTTGAACTTTAGAGTAACCACTATTTTCTTGCTTATGAGATCGCGCAAAAACGGCTTCGGATTAACCGGTGTATGCTGTGTATTGAATTAGTATAATAAACTCGGATGGGCCAAATCGGGGCACTATAATGCTACGTACGTGTGACATTGGGCGCTCAGTCTAGCTGTTGTGCGGAGTAGGGTGCTGCCACGCTCATCGTCGGCTGCTGGCTCAAATAAATCAATTTATCGTTATCACAATAAACGATGACAGAGTGTTGACACCCATGCCAGGTAGGTGGCATATGCCGCTTCAATAGGCAGGACTGGACCTCGCTAACGAAATCGCCTTTGTCGGAAGCCACAAGGATTTACTTGTGTGAAGGTATATTTCTGGAGGTTTCCCTTTTTACACCTTTCCCGAAGTGACAATTCGTCCAAATAAGTGGAAAATGGAATATATCAATGGCCTTAGGAATGAAAGAATGTCCAATCCACCCACATCTTAGCTCATCCGACCGCCCATTGTACGTGAATATAGCAAAATGAATTAAATAGCAAATTAAAAAGTACCGCGAAGGGCCTTAAACAGGTGTTAACTTTAGTTTGATATTGGGTTTGCCTTTATCGTATTCTATCCTCAACATAGCCCATACTAAGTCAACCAATACCGTAGCCAGACCTAGTGCATAAACGAGAGAAATAGCATAGAAAAAATTACTATTTCCCGAGCCCAAATCTACCCACAAGTGGTAGAAAATCGGTGACAGCACAGAAACATGAATGAACAGCAAAGTGGATATGACCGAGTACCTGAAGTATCCAAATAAAGGCTTGAAAAATGGCACGAAACTCAGCAGGAAACCGCCATCACCTAGGGTCGGATACGACTTCGTGAGCGTTATCCAACTCAAACACAGGATAAAGGCGTAAAAAGGCTGCTTGTAAAAACGGAGGGAAAAGGGTAGAATACACGAGATCACGAACAAGTTGAACACGGCTTTAAAAAAAGGAATGAACATCTCGAACAACTCCACAAAAAAATACCACCACAAACCCAAGTTAGGTATGATTTTGCTAAATGTTATTATCACTCCATAGGTGGAAAAAAGGTAGTTCCAGCTTTCGTCGTTGACTTTGTAACTGGAGAACAGCAGCATTGCCAGAGTAGCAGCCGTCACAACCACGGTCTTGAGTTTGTCTTTTTGTAATATCGCCAGCATGGGCATCAGCAACAGTAGTGGATATAATGCCAAATAAGCTGCAATCGCAATCGATACAGATGCGAGAGTGCAGTTTCCCTGTAAAGCACTCAGGAGGGCGGTAGATATGGCCAGATTGCTAAACACCACGGACGACTTGGAGACCGACGACAATAGCACCAGCGGATTAATCACGTATACTGCGCCGGGCACCCAGGCCGGCAGCGGCGAGTTACGGAAACACTTAGCCATAGAAATCAACTGGTATGCAATTAGCGCGTCCGCACAGGCGTACAGCAGCGATATCAGATTCGTACTGTTGAAGGACGACATGAATGCAACTAGCAGTGGCGGATGGTGAACAACACCTCCTGAATACAGCGGGAAGTCGTTTCGAAGCAGAAAGACACCCTCTTGTAGGCTTCGATACGATGTCACTGGCGTTGAAAACTCAACCGATTTGTCCAATTGTTGCTGTAAGAGCGGAAACACGGTTGACGCCCCGAACCTTGAGGCGAGACACGCGGCAACCACCTGAAGTTCCCTCAAATTCATGTTTTGGATTCGCCAATCAGAAAGCTGTCGGGTGTTTTGCGTGAACCCGAAGACGCCTGGCACTATTAAAGGTTCAAAGGTTTATTACGCACTTGGGTTTGTTTTTCATCAGGATAATTAGGCATACGACGGAGGTACAACAAACAGACGACACAACATTTCCGCAAGCCGGGAGGCTCGAGACCAAGCGTATAGTCAAAAGTGGGCTAGTATGGCATGTATTGACTTTTGGGATGGGAAACCTTTCTTTTTGAACTGCCTTTTGTAAAAATCGTTTCAACATGAGAGAATCCTTTTCTTGGATACGAACCAGCCATATCGGTGCGTATGGTCAATACACTACCGCCATATTAACTAAGTATCAACTGTCCCTGACGAGGCAACCCTAATTCTCTGGCAGCCAGATGTCTTCACCTTGATTCCAATTGGTCTTCAGATCACTTTGTACTTTTCACGACATCGCCGTCACCACTCAAAGCCGGAGGGGACGGGAATGTAGCAGGAACGAATAATAACAAAAAGACGCTAGAGACGAGTGGCGAGCTTTCTTTTATGCTTGGGTTCCCTGAGAGTATAGTGTTTCTAAAAATTGGGCATGTTTTTCACGCTTTCTTAACCGGAGTTTCGGGACTCTCCTAACTAACACAGTGTCCAGGAAACGGTTGGAGCGTCCACGAGCCTCTGTGGCGCGTCTCGGCTCACCTAAACGCTAAAGAAAGACGAATGCCTCATACCGCAGAAGCTTCCTCACAACGTATATAGCGATATGATCGAGTTTACCCTCCACGGTGGCAAACTAGTAATTCGATTTTCCCAATTAGCTTGTCAACGACAAGTAAACACAACACAACCGTGATATACACCGGGAAAAAGCGCGAAGAATCGGCACGCTAAAGCCTACCAGAACTGTTGCAACAGTAGCAAGTAGCTTTGAGATTACTGTGATAGCGGCATTGAGCTTCCTTTCGGTCTTAGATCAGCGCTTTTCTTCCGTTGCCCAGCCGGATCTCAGCAAGGAAAACAAGAACTAGCCCTACGGATAGATGGATTTCGAGACGAACGAAGACATTAACGGCGTCCGTTTCTCGTGGAATGTGTTTCCAGCGAGCAGAACGGACGCCAACAAGAACGTGGTGCCCGTAGGATGTCTTTACACGCCGTTGAAGCAGAAGGAAGATCTGCAGGTGATGTCTTACAATCCGGTCGTATGCGGTGGTCCACAGTGCAAAGCAGTGTTGAATCCGTACTGTGAAATAGATCTGCGCTCCAATGCGTGGACGTGTCCTATTTGCAACACCAGAAACCATCTTCCAGCGCACTACGCGAACATGAGCCAGGACAACATGCCTGCAGAGCTCAGCAACACTACGATTGAGTACATCACCAACAGACCTGTCCAGATTCCCCCGGTGTACTTTTTCGTGGTTGATATAACCGCTGAGGAGGAAAATATGCTGGCTTTGAAGGAGTCTATCATTGCCTCCCTATCGTTACTTCCTCCAAACGCTTTGGTAGGGTTGATCACTTACGGCAATGTCGTACAACTTCACGACCTGTCTTGCGATACGATCGACAAATGCAACGTGTTCAGAGGGGACCGTGACTATCAATTGATGCAATTAGTTGAGATGCTCACTGGTGAGAAATCAGGTGCCGCGGGTGCGGCCGGTGGTGCTGGTAGTATGCCCAACTTACAGCTAAACAAGATTACTCCTTTCTCCTTGAATCGTTTCTTCTTACCTCTGGAGCAAGTTGAGTTTAAGCTAACCCAGCTCCTTGAAAACTTGTCTCCCGACCAGTGGTCAGTTCCAGCCGGTCACAGGCCCTTGCGTGCTACCGGTTCCGCTCTCAACATTGCATCGCTGCTTTTGCAAGGCTGTTACAAGAATGTAGCCTCCAGAATCATCCTCTTCGCTTCCGGTCCCGGCACCCTAGCTCCAGGGATGGTTGTGTCGTCAGAACTTAAGGACCCGCTCAGATCTCACCATGATATTGATTCTGACAATGCCAAGCACTTTAAAAAGGCTACTAAATTTTACAGTTTGATTGCCGACAGAGTGGCTCAAAATGGCCATACGGTGGACATTTTTGCTGGTTGTTACGACCAAGTCGGGATGTCCGAAATGAAGCAATTGACAGACTCTACAGGTGGTGTGTTGTTGTTGACCGATGCATTCTCTACTTCTATCTTCAAGCAATCCTTCTTGAGACTATTTTCGAGCGATGAGGAAGGGTACCTGACTATGGCCTTTAACGGAAACATGTCGGTTAAAACCAGTAGGGACCTTAAAGTTCAAGGGCTCATTGGTCACGCTTCTCCGGTTAAGAAGACAGATGCGATTAATGTCAGCGATTCTGAAATAGGGGTGGGCGGTACTTCCACTTGGAAGATGTCTTCTATCACCCCGCATCACTCTTACGCTGTGTTCTTCGAGATTGCCAATAACGCGGCTGCCTCCGCGGGCGTGATCGGTGGTGACAGACCTAAACTGGCGTATATCCAATTTGTTACCACATATCAACATGCTTCGGGTACTAATCGTGTGAGGGTGACCACTGTGGCCAACCAACTATTGCCCTTTGGCTCACCGGCTATTGCTGCTTCTTTCGATCAAGAAGCTGCTGCTGTTCTTATGGCTAGAATCGCCGTGCATAAGGCTGAATCTGACGACGGTGCGGACGTGATAAGATGGATTGACAGAACTTTGATCAAGCTCTGCCAAAAGTACGCTGATTACAACAAGGACGACCCAAGGTCATTCAGACTGGCTCCAAATTTCTCCTTGTACCCTCAGTTCACCTACTATTTGAGAAGATCTCAGTTCTTGAGTGTATTCAATAACTCTCCGGACGAAACAGCATTTTACAGACACATTTTCACAAGAGAAGACACTACAAACTCTCTAATCATGATCCAGCCCACCCTGACTGCATTTTTCATGGAGGAGGAACCTCAACCGGTGTTGCTGGATTCCGTCTCTGTGAAGCCAAATACGATTTTACTGTTGGATACCTTTTTCTACATTCTCATCTATCACGGTGAACAAATCGCTCAATGGAGAAAAGCAGGCTACCAGGATGATCCTCAATATGCTGACTTCAAATCCTTATTGGAGGAGCCCAAACTAGAGGCAGCCGAATTGTTGGTTGATAGATTCCCATTGCCAAGATTCATTGATACCGAAGCTGGTGGATCGCAAGCTAGATTCTTGCTCTCTAAATTGAATCCTTCGGATAGCTATCAGGATCAATCTGCAGGTGGCTCGACTATTGTTTTGACAGATGACGTATCATTACAAAACTTCATGGTTCACTTACAAGAGGTGACGGTCAGTGGTCAGACATGAAATCGCAGTGTGAAATGGAACGACACGTGCTTCCACCTACGCCTAATCAACTTCAACTCCATAATTTATGGCACGCGACGAGAGGATCCTCCTGGTGAGCTTAGGTCTTACAACAAAGTAATTCGCTCGAGTTGAAGAAATTCATGTCTCGTTTACCTTATGGAGCTTCTCAAGCAGGAAAAGTAACGTACATATTGACATTTAATGTAAACGCTTTGCAAAGGTAAGAGAACGTGGCTACACGCGCCTTCCGGCTACAAAACTCTACAGCTCGAATATGTGCATATCTAGCGTGATACCGTCCAAGACAACAAAATTGTTTAAAGGAGACTGCTTTTTGCCCAAGATATTAATGACATCCTGAGCTACCGCTCCACCAATTACAGCGGCAACAGGGGCAAATTCAAGACCTGCTTGCTCTGCAAACTGGTCGACATATATTTGCTGAAGTTGATCGGTCGGAAGCCCCAATTGGACAAATTTCGCCAAAGCCTTTTCCTTCAGGGTAGCGGGTGTCACTTCTCCAACGCCATCTGGGTATTCAAATAGTGCCAGAGTCAAAGGAACTGCATTTGTGAGTCTTTTGAGCTGTCTCCTTGTCAATTTTCCCTTGAAAGTTCCCTCACGGAGCACTTTCTCGAATGGCGTATAAGTATTTCGTGTCACGATAGTTTCGAAAGTTTTCTTCTGCTCCTCATTGTAGTGCTCAACAACTTCAGTTATTCTGCGATTCTGTGAGACAGATCCCAGCGCTGTCGGCACGGAGCTTTTCAATTTTTCGTCCGTGGCGTCAAATTCGATCAAATCCACAAATATGTAGCCGGAGAGCCCATTGAGCCCCGCCACAAACAGTGGAAGGTTGAAGCGCCGTGTGATAGCATTTATCTTGATGATTTCGGCACTGGTCAGATCTGTCCCGATGACCAGGTCGAACTGTTGGTAATAAGCATCTGGCTTTGAGCCAAAATGTTCTGTATCGATCGTCAGTTCCACCCTGCTATTCATATCTTGTATTCTCGGGGCTGCAGCAACCAAACGCTTGGTCCCCACCTCTGCTTTTCCCAAAAAGAACTGCGAGTCCAGATCCTGACTGCTTACATCACTGTCGTCGATCAAACTCAGCGATCCTACCCCGCTAAGCACCAGATTCTTCGTAATTTCTGCTCCAAGTGCCCCCAAGTGTATCAGAAGTACTTTGGCATTGCGCATTCTGGCTTGTGCAGCCATTCCCCACAGCCGAATCTGTCTGTCATACAAAGCGATTTCATCTGATTCAAGGTGTCAATATATCGCTACAATCGATCGTTTTGAAAGCCAAGAAATATCTCATTGTCCAGAAAACACATACCTTCGCTCAACTGAGACTTTTCGGAGTTCATGAGGGCCAAGTTAGTTTATTTACGTCTGAATTTGTCTCTGATAAAGTTGAAGGTGATGCCCAGCTAATATACTGATAATGAAAATTGACATCTCTAGTTGTTAAATGTCAATATCAACTTTCTAAGTCGATGTGTCAAGCAAGCTTCAAGAATAACATCAGCGAATACGGCGATGGACTTGCTCAAAATCTTGGATACCGCTCCGGAACCTGCCATTGTAGATGCTCGAACAATGGGTGTTTCAGGCGATGTATCGGGCGATTACTGGCTTCCAACGCCGATGTGTCTGTATCAGAAAAAACTGAGTGAACAGATCGTGTCGCTCCACTATTCTGACATTCTGAAATACTATGAGACCGAGGACTACAACACAGATGTAGTACTGCATTCGATGCAGACGATGTGTCTCAATAGCGAGTACGTTGCGACCCATCCGTACTTGCTGATCGACCACGGCATGCCCAAGTCCCTTATCACCAAGGACATTCCAAACCATCTGGCCGAAACGAGCGGGAAATTTGCTGTTTTGAAAGACCTGGTCGGACTGATTCAGGATTATAAGACGGAAACAGCACTGGTGTGTCGATCAGGACGTACGATGGATCTGCTGGAGGCTCTCCTGCTGGGAAACAGGGTCAACATCAAGCGTTATTCTGGTACATCGATCAAGACCAAGCAGAAGGTACGCAAACACGCATGTACGTGTCATCTTTTCCCCTCCGATGGGAGCCCCGACGGCTCCTCCGAGTTTAAAATCGATTCTAAGATACACTTCGATCTTCTCCTGTGTGTGGATCCTTCAGTAGATACAGCCAGGCCGTATGTTCAACAGATTTTGACCCAGAATAGACCCGTGGAGGGCATTGGGCAACGTGCGCCGATTGTACGGCTCACCGCGATCAACTCCATCGACCATTGCGAGCTTTATCATGGCAGATTTCTGAAACCAGGAAGTCGAGATTATCTAGTCAAAGTTGCTGCTGCGGTGGTAGTACTAAGGGATGTGGTTGGAACGCTGCCGCCGGACCTGCGACCAATATACTCTCAGGGACTCAGATATTTGCGCGAATGGCTGGAAGACCCCAGCATACCTTGGCCTTTGCCTGATATCTACCCCATTAAAACATACACTCCAGTTGATGTTGAGAGGTCTTTGCTAACCGAAGTTCGCTACAGTCAGCTTGACGATCCTTTGGCTCAGGCGCTAAACAACGGCCGTAAGCGTGGTCGGCGTCCTAATTCATTGCTTTACAAAGATTCCGAGACTTCTTCCTATTACCAACTGAAGAGGCTGAAAAATGACTATTCTACGAATCCGCTCAATCAGGATGTAGCCCAGCTCACAGGGATATCGACCACCAAAAATGGCGGAACCTTGAATTATCATCTTTCGGGCGGTCTACTTACACACAAATTAATACAGGCCATAGGAGAAGCATATAGTAATTTGGAAAGACAGAATGCAGAGCTCGATCATTTCCAGAGTATAGAGGGAAATCAGATTATTCGGGCAGAGGTGATCATGCAGGAATACAACGATATCAAGCAAAAGGCCCATGCTCAAACAACCAATCATGCGGTCAATATACAAGAGACCGCAAGGTTGACTAGCGTTGAAGAAGAAAAAACCCACGAACTTCGACGTATAGAAAAGCAAACTGAAGAACTCATGCGGGCTACTAGAGAAAAGGGTCCCGAGTATGCGGAGTTGGCCGATCTTTTCATGCAGATAACGGAAATACAGGAAGCGATTGAACAACAGAAGCGCTTGGCACACTCTCACATGAGCGAACACAAATATATGATGGAAGAGGTCCAAAGGGCACAAGATGCCATTAAAGGCTTTAAAAAAGACGAAGCTGAGTTGGTGCAAGAAATTGAGCTGCTGCAAGAAGGAATAGATAGAAAACTAGTTGAAGACGAATCACAATCAATTAAGACGCAAGAGAGGATCCAAAGATTGATGACTCAAATACACGACGAGAGGGCAATATTGAACTCTGTAGAGAAAGAGATGAGCTCTGTCACGGAACAATTAAAAAAAGTACCTTACTCCCGGGTTCGCTCGACAAATTCAACCCAACGTACCAAACAGAAGAGGTGAGTTCAACGTCTATATAGTGATGCATGTCAAATTTTTTTATTGACCATTTTTTAGAGACCATTTCTTAAGCGATCTGTCCCACCCACAGCTTAACAGGTGTGTTCCTCCACGAGCAATGTCTACAGACAAAATTTTGTCGCTGTGGCCTCGCAGTGATGCCAGTTTTATCCATGAGTCAGCAGCGAACACTCCTATAGTTGTATCGTAGGAGCTAGAAACAAGACACTGTCCGGTGCTTTTCTCGAATTGGACGTCACTGACAATATTGTTGTGGCCCATAATGGATGCAGGTGTACTTGAGTTTCGAATGTCCCACACTTTCACCGTGCCATCACCGCTACCTGTGGCTAGGTGGTGGCCATTAGGCGACCAGCTGACGGCGTATATTGGCTTTGCATGGCCCTCAAGAGTCATGAGAGATTGGCCAGATCGCAGGTCCCAAACCCTGGCAATTGAATCCAATCCTGCACTACAAAGTAAAGACCCGTCACATTGGAAGTCTAGGCTGTATACTTCCTTTGCATGGCCCTCCTGCAACTGCAGCTCTACTTGTGTTTCTACGTCCCACAGTCTCCATGTCATATCGAAAGAGGCACTTGCCAAGTACCTATCACTTGGATGGAATTTAACATCGACAACACGAGCTTCGTGGCCATCAAACTGGGCTGAAGCCACTTGAGATTTTGGTTGCCATACCTTAACTTTGTTGTCCCCGCCTCCCGAGGCCACAAGCTGCGAATTCGAGTTCCACGACAGTCCCCCTACCTTGCCCTGGTGAGCATTTTCAATGCTATTTATGATCCCCAAAGTGCCTGGGTCCAGGACCTGCAGGTCTCCCTTCCAACTTCCACAGACAGCCAGTTTCTGGTCCGGAGATAATCGTACTCGCGACACGGGCCTTGCCGCAACTATTTGAGATCCTTCAAGTTCGAAAGTCGCCAGTGATCTGTTCAATAAACGTCTCTTTTCAATAATTTCTCTCGTATTGTGCAAGTGGAAGGCGCTGCGTTCGACCTGTAGTCTTTGTCGAGCTCGGGCCAGCGAATCCCGCACCAAAAACCGCCTGGCCTTAATCAAAGGTTCGGAAGCCGGTGTGTAAAACTCCTCATCGCCGTCGTCATCTTCCCCCTCGCTCTCGCTTTCCTGCTCATTGACCTCTGCAGCTCGAACCAACGCATCTTTCAAACTAGGATTTTGGAAGGCTAACTCAATCAATTTCTCTCTACGCACCCTGGGTGTTTTTCCAAACTCATTGCTGCTGATACCAGCAATTTCCAATCCCTTTTGTACTTCTGTATCAGCAGTAGGAATCAACTTTTGTACCTCTTCTCGTTGGAATTCTAATCGCTTAACAGCTTCGCCCACAGGTGCGCTATTTCCATCGTTTGCATAATCTGTGTCTATTCTTATTTCACTCAATCCAATTCGATCTTTTTGGCCACTCATTGATGGCTGGATGACTGGATGGCTTCAACCAAGTTCAATCATTGGTCATCGGTGCCATGTATATATTATACAATATATATTATATTAAATATGTAGAGATGAGCTAGGTTCAATAATGACAGGTAAACAGGATGGTAGAACTAAACAAAGTGAGCCATATACGCTACATTGCGTCCTTAGATGCGAAAAAGGATGATTACGAGTACTGGTTAACCGAGCACTTGCGATTGAACGGAGTTTATTGGGGCCTTACAGCGCTTTGTATGCTTGATGCGAAGGATACATTTGATAGGACGGAAATGATTACGTTTGTACGCAGTTGCTGGGATGCAAAAGCAGGTGCATTTGGTGCGTTTCCTGGTCATGATGCACATGTTTTGACGACTCTCTCTGGTATCCAAATTTTATCTATATACGATGCGCTAGAGGTGCTTCGAGAGTTGCCGGAGGGCGACAAAAACGAGGATATGAGAACGCAATGCATAGCATTTTTGAGGTCAAACCAGCTGCCGGACGGTTCGTTTCAAGGGGACCGTTTTGGAGAGATTGATACGAGGTTTGTTTATGCTGCGCTAAACGCGCTGTCGATTTTGGGAGAACTCACACCCGAGGTCGTTGATCCGGCTGTGGATTTCATCCAGCGGTGCTACAACTTTGACGGTGGATTTGGATTGTCACCAGGAGCGGAAAGCCACGCGGCAATGTCTCTGACGTGCATTGCGGCCTTAGCTGTTGTCAACAGATTGGACGTTTTAACTCCTCAACAAATCGAAGATATTGGATGGTGGCTGTGTGAGAGGCAGGTTCCTGAAGGGGGGCTGAATGGCCGCCCTAGTAAGCAACCTGATGTCTGTTACAGCTGGTGGGTTCTCTCATCCTTGGCAATCATAGGTAAACGCGACTGGATCGACTTCGACAAACTTCGAGAGTTCATACTGCGCTCACAAGATGATAAGAAGGGCGGAATTAGCGACCGACCGGGAAACGAGGTGGACGTCTTCCACACTTGTTTTGGCGTGACGGGTCTCAGCTTGATGGGCAAGGACGGTTTGGCCGAAATAGATCCCGTTTACTGCATGCCAGTGTCTGTTACAAGAAAGTTTAAGAGGTACCCATATTGAAGTGGCTGCTTGCGTAAAAGATATTATTTCACCCTAATGGCCGCTCCATCTATTAAATCTCTATCAAAAATAAACTTCATCCTGAACAACTTTCCTAGATGACGGGATGTACTCCAGGTATCTTGCCGAACGCTTATGTACAAATGTTGATGTGTTAGCAGCCTTGCAACCGTTATAAGTTACTTCGAACTGCGATGCGGTTGTGTCGCCTAGGATCAATGCCGTTGGAATGGGTGATAAATGCAATGTGTGGTCTAGGTCCCACACGACGGGTCGCACGAGCGATGCATACGGCGACAGGTGGCCTTGGTCCAGTATTGTTTTTACCAGCTTGCGTGCCTCTCGTACGCCCGCCGAAAGCTGGTCTTGGGATTTAACAAGCTGATCTATACCTTCATAGTTGTCATTGATCTCCTGCATGAGGGAGTCCTGCGTAAAACTTGCTTCAGCTTCACCCTCGTGCTCTTCATCGATCACTGCCGGAAATAAAATGTTGTGTCTTTTAAATCGTCCATTCATGTCGTCTCTCACCAATACCAACTCTTGAGATAAATACACAATACGCGCAGGATTGGAAGCCCATATTACCTTCTTGCACACTCTGCTGACACGCTGGGCAAACTTGCTAGAAATGGGTCTTTGTGGCCAGATCCCCGTCGTACCCAGACTTACCATGGAGGTCCATGGATCATTGGGACCTGGCACAAAGACGAACGTTGACTCATTAATGAGGCGTTCGAAATTCGATAGCAATAAGGCCAATGCATCGAAATTGTTTTTGTAGGCGGTCGTAGCACTGATGTTTTTACTGTTCATCACTGGGAATAAAGGCGTTGAGGTGAAAGAGCCCTGGAAAACTATTGCGAGTGGAGGATCTGTTTCCAGTTTGGTGAGCACTTTGCGCAATGCCTCCATTATGTGAATCCGATCAAGGAAAATGTCCGCTCCTAATATCACAACTCGGTGATCGCTCATCTCCCTCTCAAGTAGATGAAGCCTGATTTTCAGATCTTTGTCGAGTCTTGAAATGTAGTAGGGATTAGAGAGCTGGTGAACTCCGAGAAGATCTAAGTTTCCTATGGCATCCATGGTCACATCTCGCCTCTCTCCAGGAGGATGTACCACGGAGGCAACATATAACTTTTGGCTGGCTGAATAATAGATTCCTTCAGCCAAGACGATACACCCCGGCACGTAAAAGGTACCTTCTGTAGGTATCGCCTGAGATATGTCTATTTCTACAGAACCAGAGGGGTCCTCTAAAGACCAAATGCCCTTTGCATTGGTTCTCAGGAGACCCAGGATGAGAAAACTCTTTCCATCTCTTCCCAACATGTTTTTGATTTGCGTAATGGTCATAGTCTGCGTGCTGTCATTTCTCATAGAGTCGTTGAGGTTGGTCATTGAGGACAGTGGCTGAAATGCGTCCCCACCGCCTTGAAACATTTCGTTCCGCATTGTGCGGTCTTTGACAATGTGGTACCGCGTGGCATACAGAGACACATTTGATGTCTCGGGGGGTAACATTGAAGTCTTATCATTTTTTGGAACCTTAAGCCGGTATTGTCTTGTTGTTATGTCGTAAACGAATTTCTGTTGGCTGTGGGCATTCACAAACTTGTAATGGGCTTGCCAATCTATGATTGGCTCTTCCGGCTGTCCTGGCCCATCTTGGGGATCCTCGTCGACCTCAATTTCTTCAATTGGGGACTGAGTCTGCGTGCCCGCCTCTAGCACATCAGGCTCTCCAGAAGCACCTCCTCGGTGTGCGAGAAGAGTGTCTAACGTCTTGAGCTTAAAAGCACCCTCGGAGTTGCCATTATCAATCGGTTTCGCACGATCCAAATTTTTAGGCAAATCCGTATCCGACCGCTCCACGGGTCTACTTCTCTCCCTTACCTCTCGAATCACTTCTTCGACCCCTGCTTTGTCGATGAACAGACCTCGTTCCTGCTGGTCCCAAATCGCGGCAAACTGCTCCAGAAACTGAAAAGTCCCGCTATCCTTGCGCCAATTGATACCAAATCTCGTTCCAATATACTCAGCCAAGGCTGCGAGCCCATCTGATTTGATATTGAGCCCGTATTTCTTTGACAAGACACGGTATGCGAGAGGTCTCAAAAGTCCAGGTGGAATCTTCACCGGCAGAGCCACTATCGAATCCATTTTTCCAGGCTAAAGGTGAGCACTGCAAAAAAAAAAAGCTTCAAAACTAATGAAGCGTTGAAGAGCCCAGAGATTTGGAACGTTTGTATGGTTCGGTATCTGGTTTCTAGTATGGATCACATCGAACGCGTAAATGGATTTAATATTCGACAACTAATTTATCGATCATCGTTTACGCGTACATCAGCAACAACTACGGCCAACCAACAGTGATAGCTTCTGATCCTATTAGCATCAACAGGTACTCTGAAAGAGGTGGGCTATTGAATCTTGAATAGCGGGCTCTATTCAGGCTTTCGAAGGCTAATTCTACGGCTTTTTGGGACCCACAATTGATGGAGATGTGGGCATCGACAAGAGAATACTTTAAAGGCTGGCTTGGGAGCGGCCAGGACCAGCGAAAGAGGGAACATGGGTCGCTGGACAATTGGAGACGGCGGCAGGAATATGCGGAGGGCAGTGGTATTTCGGCAAATCGTGCATCTCACAGGATTCGCAAGCCACAAGCGTCCCGCAGGCCAACTAAAAGTTGGCGAAATGACTCCAAAACTGCTGCTCAGCTATCACAGGGCATTTGGAACACTGTAAAGGGTGTTTTCTCGACGAGGGATCAGGACTTGCAACAGATGAAAACAGCTTACGCCGATTTCAAACTTCAAGATCTAGCGGAAAAAACCAGCAGGACCAGGGCACAGGTTCAAAGGCGGATTGCGACCAGTGCGGCGCTGAAGCGGAAGGTCCTGGAGAAGAAATACGACGAGAAACTTCTACATGAGCTCCGGCGGGGACGGAGTCCTGAGAGGAAAGTGGGGTTGCGGACAAAGCGATCGCGCAATATGGAAACGGACAAGTTCGTCATCCTCCAGCACAAGTTTGACTCACTGGCCTCCAAGGTAACATCCCTAGAGAATGAGCTGCAACTGGCACGAAAGAAGCTGATGTTTGCGCGCGAGAAGAATGCTTTGCTGGAAAGTTTATTGAATGACGCCAATATAGACGACGAATACGTCAAGTCCAGAAGACGCATTTCCAATTTACAGAGGGCAGACTTGAAACCTGAGCCAGGTGCGCTACCACCGTCCCCGAAGCGCGCTCTCAGTCCGCTATACACCTCCAGTCCCGCAAGGCTGCCGAATTTTAAATTCGACGTCCCAGGCATCGATGCTGTCCATGACGTCGATAAAGATGCGCGTTTTGGTGACCCTGGTCTTGGAGAAGGAGATCCGCTGTCAGGATTTTACGAGAAATATCCCAAAATACCAGGTACTGAACTTTTAAAAAAAGATCCAGAAACCTCACTCTCACCTATTAGGCTCGACTTGTCGAGGTACTCAAATACCAGGGACGCTCCGGACAATTAGCGCTGACGGTGCAAAAGGTGTCGCCGATAATGTTTGAATTCATCGCGATTGACGTTACCCGGCGCTCATCTGGGACCTCCACAATTGGATAAGGAGGAAACCTACTCTTCCAGCGTTATACTCGAATGGTGTGCGACGAATTGCACAGAAGTTGAGCTCTAAGCACTCGTACTTCGTGGCCATATAAGTCCTGATACATAAAGATTTGACACTGGGAATTTCAGCTAGCTTTTTCCCATGAGTACAGGCGATTTTCTATCTAAGGGCATTGGTCTCATTCAGAAGGCCATTGATCTGGACACTGCCACGCAGTATGAGGAAGCTTATACGGCATATTACAATGGACTGGACTACCTGATGTTGGCCCTGAAGTATGAAAAAAATCCAAAGTCTAAGGAGCTTATAAGGGCTAAGTTCACAGAGTACCTAAACAGGGCAGAACAACTGAAAGAACATCTGGGGGCCGAGGAGGAAGTCAAGAAGAGTAAGAAGGGCACATCTGCGAAGAAAGACAGTGCGAACTCGAATAACGACGATGACGCGGATGACAAAAAATTGAGAGGCGCGTTATCTGGGGCGATTCTCACAGAAAAGCCCAACGTTCGGTGGGAGGATATTGCCGGTCTGGAGGGGGCCAAAGCCGCTCTTAAAGAAGCGGTCATTTTACCTGTCAAGTTTCCGCATTTGTTTACGGGCAATCGTAAACCGACGTCTGGGATCTTGTTATATGGACCACCGGGTACAGGTAAATCTTACTTAGCCAAAGCTGTGGCAACAGAGGCCAACTCCACGTTTTTTAGCATAAGTTCCAGTGATCTAGTGTCCAAGTGGATGGGAGAGTCCGAACGTTTAGTCAAACAATTATTCGCCATGGCCAGAGAAAACAAGCCCTCCATCATCTTTATCGACGAGGTGGACGCGTTGACAGGTCAAAGAGGCGAAGGCGAGAGTGAAGCCAGCAGAAGAATCAAGACCGAGCTTTTGGTTCAAATGAATGGGGTGGGCAACGACTCGCAAGGCGTGCTTGTGTTGGGAGCCACGAATATCCCATGGCAACTGGACAGTGCCATCAGAAGAAGATTTGAAAAAAGAATATATATATCATTACCTGACCTCGCTGGCCGTACCCGAATGTTTGAGCTTAACATTGGCGAGACGCCGTGCCTGCTAACAAGAGAGGATTATCGAACTTTGGGGCAATTGACAGAGGGCTATTCTGGTAGCGACATCGCCGTAGTGGTGAAAGATGCCCTTATGCAACCTATTCGAAAGATCCAGAACGCCACTCATTTCAAAAACATCTCAGAAGACCCTGAGCAGCGTAAACTGACTCCGTGCTCGCCCGGCGATGAAGGTGCGATTGAATTGAGCTGGATCGATATAGAAGCTGATGAGTTGCAGGAGCCAGAGCTCAATCTCAAAGACTTCTTGAAGGCCATCAAGACCACTCGGCCTACGGTCAACGAGGAGGATTTGAAAAAGCAAGAGCAATTTACCTCGGATTTCGGTCAAGAAGGTGTCTAAGTTGTAAGGCATGTAATAGAATAAAACGTATAAACCAACGAAAACCTAATAAAAGAAAATCGAACTTCCTGACATCATTACTGTTTTAATCGTAGAATTTTGTGTTGTTTTCACGGTCAGAAACTTTTGCATTCACAAGTTTAACTTTAACGACTGAGACATTTTCGCCTCTTGTGTAAACACGGGCATCAGGGTTCGCTTTGAGCAACTCCTTTTCGTAATAGTCGAACTCATCGCTCGATGTGTCCAAATGCTCTGCGTAGCCACGTAGCGTGGCGCTCATCTGCGAAAGCTCTGACTGATTCAACTCCTGGAGCAAATTGAGCAGCCTACTAGGGTGGTCCGGATTTTGTTGCTCTGGATCAACTTGTGCGGGCTCAGCAGGCGTTGGGGTGTTGGACATGCTACTCTTCCGCAAGGAAAGCTTCTTAGCAGTAACCCAGTCGTGGATCAGAACCGAAACCTGTGGGTTTTGAATGATGTTTTCGTACTTTTCTGTATCTCTCTGGGTGGCCATGATGATGAAGTGGCACCTGTCAGAGCTCGAATGCTCTGCCCCCTTCGGCACGTATACTCTGTCGGGGGAAATGTAGGTGTAGTTCATAAGCGACACCGATGGGATGCATTCCGGCTTGGAACAAGTAGCCAAGTGGAGGTATTTTGAGGTCTTCAAGAGGCTCAGAACGTGGTCAGGTAAAATCTCTGGACAGGACATTGCAATTTCCCTCGTAAATACAAATGAAAGGTGGTTGAGACCGATGCAGTGGTATGTGAAAGGTGTAGTGAAAGGTGTAGTGAAAGACACCCTTTAGATTCATTGTTACATTGCTCTTCTATCATCTAAAAATTTCAGGGTAAGTTTGCCGAACAACCAGAACGACTTGCGTTCGAGTCCCAGCGTAGTAAGCATTTTTTAAGCTGAGACAAAGTTTGCCTTCATGACCATGTCGAAGCAAACGATGGATGCTAGCCGCCAGACGAGGAAGCTGGCGTTAATGTGCTTCTATGGAGTATTCATCTTCCACACCAAGGCTCTACTTCTTTATCGAGCATGTAATTAAGATGCCGGAAAAACACACTGTGAGCGCCTCGTATTCGTGCCACAAACTGCGCATTGTCTCATCCACCAAATGCTAAGTCAAGACTCTTGGGCCCTGACCTTCTCTTTTCTCAATTGCGCTATAGCATCCTTCCAGGCTTCCAACACATCGCTACACTGGCCATGGAATTCTTTAAGGTTGTCGTCACTGACAATCACCTTCAGTAACTTGTGCAGTTTGCTCACTCGTAGCGCCTCCAGGTCGAAGAACTGTGGATTGGAAGCCATGTTCTCAGATATTTTACTCAACAACTTGTGCGATTCCTTTATCTCGTCAACACCGGGAGGTGCGTTGCGCTGAACCAGATTGGTCTGCAGCTTTCGCCGCAACAGCATGGAAATTTCGATCCTCTTGCCGTGGTCCAAACGAGCAAGTTTTCGGCTAGGTGCGGTGGACGATGGAGGGGAGCTGACTGCAGGTTGAGGTCGTGAAGAGCTGGAAACCGACCGGGACGAACTGGACGACCGGCTCGCCTTCGATTTACCCGACCTACCGGCAGATCCAGCTTTGTCGCCTTTGCCGTCTATACCCTCTCTTGACGTTTTGGCAGACGGTGTTTTGCCTTCAAAGGGATCCTGTCCCGCTTCGATTTTGTGGTCTTTCCCCCCATTTTCTTCCATGTCGAGCATCCGCTTTTCTTCCCGCAGTCTCTGCAGTAGGAACTCGTGCAGAGAAGTGAAGTCTCGGGCTTCTTCGTAGGCCCTAACGAGAACGGGATCTTCAGAATAACGGGAATCCGCATTTCGCAAAAATTCGTCGATGTGCTCTTTTGAGAGCGGCTTCAGCCTGCTTGGCTTGTCCCAAAAGTACGTTTCGTCGTTGAAGAAGCACACGGCCACACAATCCGCTCTCCTTCTGCGGTAAACGTCCTTTCTCAAGAACCTTTGTGGGAATACAACTGCCGGCCACGGTGCGAAAGACCCGACTTTACACAACACCAAATCGCCCGTTAACAAGTTGGAAGTCATATGCCGGTCCGTGAGCGCCCGCCTGTGGTTGTGATTGAAGCTCGTAACGTCTGGTGTGTTGTACATGTGGAATGTGTGATTAGGCCAATAGAGATGTTATTTGACCGCCCACATATAATGATATACGGGCATGCTCATCGCGAGCACCAAGCAACTAGCGAAACCATGTCCACTATCAGCGGGAAACGAGGATCACACTATCGCTGGCGTAATGTATGGACGACGTACTCTGGACTTTGATCTCTCTTGTTCACATTGCTTGTAGTATCAAGATTAGGACAAAAACGCCAACTCAGAGCTTCCTGGAAGAAATGCAATTGCACTCCCAAAACATTGAAAAAGGTGGGACGGGCGCGGCCACCGTAAAGGCTTTCCATTTACTCAAACAGCTTGCACAGAGTGAATCAAAACCTGGAGACGGGAAAAGAACACTACCGTGTAGCTTTGTGCAAAATTGAAGCTCATGGCGATCGTCTGCGACCAACATCATTGATGGTCTAAGGCTCACCTGGATGTTACGCCTTTGCCATGTGCTGTTGGTTGGCGTCAGAGTCTTATCGTGTCCTATTTTACTGTTATTACTGCAGCTCTTATTACTATGATAAGTGTTATTGTTACTATAACATAATTTCGTGTCGTCGGGCAGTAAATGGCACCCGATAAAAGCCAAGAACTACACGTTTGCCTAAAGCTGTTAGTCGAATGTCAACCCTCCAGGCCAGGCCCTTGGACTTGTCACCAGCTGACTTTCTTGGTCAGAGGCCGGACACAATTTGCTAAGGCCGAATATGTGCCTGACAGAACTGGCAGGGACGAATTAGAGTCCACCTGGCTGAAGCCGAGTAGAGTGCTTCTGTGCCGCTGCCGGCCTTTGCCAGGGTCCGCTCGACCTTACCAACTGCCTCTCTAGCGAGGCCGAGACCGGCGTTTTTGATAACCTTTGATAAGACGCTATCGTCACGTTACGCCGGGACCGCTCGGGCGCACAACACCTTATCGATGCTAATTTTCAGTCTTCTGCGGCAATGGTCCAACTTCATTGTGTGACGGTGCTACAAGCTCTCGCAGAAGGCCGGGACGGTCCTCTTTTTGGAATTTCTGGCTATCAAGTCTTGCATGGTTGTCAGTGTTAACCGGCACGATAAAAGCTTGTAGAGTCATCAAAGTGGGTGAGACCGCACCAGTCATCCCGGTGTAGAGAGGTGTCAGCAAAATGACTGAACTCACGAAAGTTGTATTAAAAGGCGGCGATCCACTGGGGTCTACCCTCGAGAACGGGCATTTTCAATAACCAAACGGGAAAGAATTCCATCGCTATTCTTCTGGAACTATCAAGATGTCAGACATCAAGCTCGATAGCACTAGAACGGCCATGAAAGAGGAGGCGGATGATCTAGAGCGCTCCACTTTGAGTAGCTCAGCCAAGGACCTCCACAGTATCGAAACTCAGCAAAAAAACCTTGCGGAAAAATACGGCATACGGGAGAAACGTCTACAATGGAAAATCGATTTATGCGTGGTGCCGGCGTTGATTTTGTTGTATTTTGCTGCGTTTCTGGATCGCATCAACATCTCCAACGCCAAGTTGTATGGTATGGAGGATGACCTAGGGCTCCAGGGAAACCAGTTCAACATTGCCCTCACAGTGTTTTTCGTACCGTATGTCGTCTTTGAGCTGCTGGCTAATTACCTGGCGAAGCTTTTCCGGCCACACTGGTGCTTTTCCATCAGTATTTTCGTGTTTGGATGTGCCACAATCGGCTGCGGGTTCGTGAAGAGTTTCGGCGGACTGGTGACCGCGCGCATTTTCTTGGGTATCGCCGAGGCCGCCACTTTTGGGCTCATCTTCTACATTCTATCCTCATACTACACACCGCGTCAGGCACAAAGGCGCTTCTCCTTCTTTTTCAGCTCCACCACTCTTGCTGGAGCTGCAGGTGGCTCCATCGCATATCAAATTTACAACGGCATTGGGAACAAATATCTGGCCAACTGGAGATGGATTTTCATCATCGAAGGTGCAGCAACTGTCGTCATTGCATTTTTGTTGTTCTTCATCACTCCAGACTTCCCAGAAACGGCTAGATTTCTCAAAGACAACGAGAGAATTTACCTAAAGGAAAAACTACAACTATACTCCAAGGTCGAATCTGGATTCGATGTTCATTTTACGTGGCGCGATTACCTACCACTTCTCAGAGATCCAATTTTTTACGCCAATGCCTTGGCTTACATGGGATTAGTGGTGCCAAGTTATGGTTACGCTTACTTTGCAACTACCATCATAAAGCTGCTCGGTTACACGGCCGTCAGTGCTCAGCAGCACTCTGTGTACCCATGGCTGGTGGCCTTTGGATACATTAATATTGCGGCCTTCGTTTCAGACTACGTACAAAACCGTTGGTGCTTCATTTTATCTTCGAGTCTCATTGCCATTACAGGACTTGCGATGATTCTAGGCTCCGACGATCCGCATGTCAAGTACGGTGGCTGCTTTGTGTCGGCGATGGGGCTGTATAGTGCGATGCCTGCGCTAATCTGTTCTACATCCTTGAATCTTGGCGGTCACTTAAGAAAATCATTTGGAACCGGTTTCCAAATTGGTTTCGGCAATATCGGCGGTATTATTGCAACATTTTTGTTCTTACCAACAGACGCACCAACTTACCATCGTGGTCTTGGAACTTCCCTGGGATTTGTTGCCCTTTCAATTGCATGCCAACTCTTCATTGTGATCTACTTGAAGCGGTTGAACACTAAAAAATCCAAGCCTGATTACGTCACAAAATTCGAGGAACTGCCGCGACGCGAACAGATTCTAAGAGGAGATCGGGCTCCCGGTTTCACGTACATGTTGTAATCCTAATTAGTTTATGCCAGCATTTCAAAAGTAACTTATAATATAATCTATCAAGTATGATACAGATTGGTGCTCACAGCTGTTTTGGAGGCTTACGTTTAGGTCCCCTTGCCCGGCTTTTAGTGAGATGTACTAGCGTGTCACTCTGTTGATTATTGTTTTCGATACTGCCACTTGTTGAAGCTGGTTTTAGCAGCTTCGCAATTTGAGCGTTGTTTGTCTGGTCCATAAAGGGGATCGGGATTGGTTTTCTATCATCAAGTGATGGGTTTGGAAAGGTCTTGCTCTTCCCACGGTGAACTAGCTTTTTCGCCATGAGCATGGCTTCAAGATCTTCCCCTGCGTCAAGTTGCGCCTCTTTCCCAATCCTTGGAGGCACTGTTCGGTCCTCCTCAAATGACTTATTTCCACTCTTGTCCTTTAACTTCATTGCCTCCAGGCGTTTCATAGCTTCCGGCATTGAAACTTTTCTAGATGGCTTAGGAGGTGCCTTGACCAAACTTGCTCTTTTCGAGAATGCTTCGGGCATAGAAACCTTGCGCTCCGGCTTCGGAGGTGCCTTACTTAGTTTCTCTCGTTTGCCTACCGCTTCAGGTATAGTAGCTTTTCGTTGTGGAGCAGGCAAGGTAGGTTTGAGATTTTCCTTACCTTTTGAAGCTAGGTTTTGTTCAGGAAGGGCCTCGTGAAGGGTTGAACCACCCTTTCCAACTCTTTGTTGATGTTCTGATGACAAAATATTCTTTTCAGGCAGGGCCTTTCTAAGCTGTGGGATGTCAAGGTGCTCCGTGCCCTGCTTGACACCTTTTACCTCACTTGGAAGGGCTTTTCGGAGTTTCGGAACTCTTAACTCACCGACCATTTTACCCGATGATGCGTTGAAATCAATGCCATTACCACCTTGCCCCATGTCAACATGTTTAAGCTTACCTTTAAAATTGTCAAATTCAGGCTTCGCTTGGGACTTCTCGGGCAGCGTTTTACGCTGTGATGGGATAATCGGTGACTTTACATTTGGCGATGACACAGAGCTTTCCTTTTTGAGAGCAGAACTCATGAAGGTCTGTGGAGGCCGTGTGAGTTTGGGCGGCGGAACGGGTAGTGATGATTTTGGCTTAGTCGTTTCCGTTGCAGCATTATTTTGTAGTGAAGCCATGTAGGATATTGGTTTGTCACCCTTATGAATAGGGAGTAGCTTGTTGTTATTATTGCGTTCAGAAGCTCGAGAACTCCTGTTGTTTTGGTCTTGCCCTACGTAGTCTGCAGTCCGCCGACCATCTGCCATCAACAAATCAGCGCTCTGTTCCGGTCCCCCTTTCAAAGTGGGAAGCATATCAGTGCCCTCCTTCTGTGAGTGGGATACTTTCATTTTCTCAGGTCTTGGGGGTTTTGTTGGAGCATGCTTCGAGGTTGACTTTAACTCTGAGTTTTGCCTTGCGGGTAGTGGCGGTGGTGGTGAGTCAATATCATCAACGGGCTCACTTTGATGAGATCTGATGGATCGTGGCTGTCCTCGAGAGGGTATCGAACGGGTTGCTGATTCACCAGGCGTCGCCTCTATCAGTCCTTGCTTCAGCTTCACCAAAAGCAAGTAGTCCTCTTCAGAGATGGTGTACTGTTTGGAAGATTCTCGGTGATCAGAAGCAGGGTCTGAATATTTCACAACTGAATTTGTGTCAAGCCCTGATCCAGGTAAATCCCGTCGTATTGGTGAAGTAGAATCATGTCCACGTCTCTTGGGGGAAAACGTCCTCTCGTAGTTGTAGGCTGATTTGTAGGCCATTTCAGAAGCCCGTTCGCTAGCGCCAATATATTTCTCTGTAGATGGTACATATTGTCCGCTCAGGAGCCGGTGGGCTGCCTCTGCATCTTCGGGTCGGTACTTGGATGTGACATTTCTCATGCCGTTGATACTTTGTCTACGCTTGTTTCTTTCATAATCCAGTTCCTCGACCCGAGCAAGATAGCTGGCTAGGTCCTGGTCGCGCTGAGGTAGTCGGGGAGACTCCATTGACAAGCTTCTTAGCACCTTTCTGGCACTCACTGTCGAGAGTGTGATTATATACAGAAGTTAATTTGGAAATTCATTTGTTCTCCTGTAGATCTCTTCTTAAGTGAGAGACACAAGAAACTGCTCGCCTACCACAGATGGCTGAACCTGATGTAATTGACTATAGATTTTCTATTCAATGTAAATAATGGCAATTTGCGTTTGTTTCACTGCACCTTGATTTCATGTCTCAACGCAGCTCGATAGAAGAGCTTTTCTTGGCCAGCCAAATTTGGGAACCGCAGAACACGAAGAACGCAACATAAACCAAAACGGCGATTGACACTGTTTTGGCCACACTATTATTTCGGTTAGTAAGTAAGACTTCAGAGTAGGGTTCGAGATATCGCGGGAGAACTTGCAAAGGTCAGTTAGCCGATAACCACACGAGGAAAGTACCAATTTGATTTTGCCATGGTTCCTACAGCATAAGCACCGCAAGAACAAGTATTCCGTGAGCCCTTCAACCCCCTATTTTGACCATATATGCCACATACGCTTTTCCGTCCTCTGGATCGTTTATAGACCCAACGAATGATTCGTGGCCAACGTTGAACAAATGGGCAATAACCGACAGGATGACGATCCCAAATGCAGACACTACTGTACAGAACCAAGCCTTACCAGACTGTTGAAAAGGGGTTAGTAATTTGTTAATAGAATGTTCACCGGTTAGCTGCAGAGAAAGGGGACATTAACAACGGCGTGCATGCCTAGATTCGTTCCAGCAAGCAGCCTGATTAGCTTTGTTACTCAGGTTAAAAAGGAAAGGTCAAACATACGGCTACCACTGGCTTCATTTTTTGGTAAAGTAGTTTGGACTTATACAGTTACTAACCATCTATAACAGAGCAGTACTTCTATCTACTGACCCAATTAAAGTTCATATCGTGCTCTACCAAAATGAAGGCTGGTGACGAAGTGCTGGGTATCTATTATCCTTAGTCTGATTCCCATGCAACAAGATAGGTCTCTTGGCCCAGTTGGTTAAGGCACCGTGCTAATAACGCGGGGATCAGCGGTTCGATCCCGCTAGAGACCATTTATTTTTTGCAGCTATACTCACATCAATAGCTATGCATTGTGATCCATTGAAGAACGTGGATAGCGGTCGCGTTGAAATACTCAGCTTTATCCTGAGAGATGGTGTGCACTGGACTTTTTGGGTCTATACGCCCTAATGCTGGTTCGGACAATATCTGCGCAGCATTCGAAATAAAGCAGTACTTTTTCTATTGACCAATAAAGTTTTCAACAACGGGAAATGTACAATTCTACAGACGTGTTTATTATATTTTCTGAGTATATGGTTTGTTTTGAGTACAGTTATATGACTTACTCGTCGTCTTCCAAGGTCTGGGCGGCGATACGGTCCAAATCTCTTTGTCCGTTTTCAGAGATTCTTCTGCCACCCTTTGGAGAGATTTCGACGATACCAATCTTTTCCAAAGCTTGCAAAACTCTTCTGTTGACGGAACCGGAGGCGTCAACGTGCTTGGAAGGTCTGACACCTCTGCTCTTGGCGTTACCGTAAAGCTTGTTCAACTTACCGACACCAACTTGTTTTCTCATGTAGATGTGTCTGGCAACGGAGGCGGCACGCATGTAGAACCAACCTTCGGCGTCTTGTGGAGGCATTTCATTACCGGCGGAAGTCTTGACAATGTCAACGTAACCTGGAACTTCCAACTTACCTTGTCTTTGCAAGAAAGAAGCGTAAGCGGTGATGAACTCTTGGGCTGGAACGTCTCTGTGGAACTAGTTAGTAAAAACGAGGCCTATCAACTGGGAAAATCGAGGGGAAAGTAAACGATTGGGGTCCGCTTGTCAACATAGGCGCGGGATGTGGGCGAGAACACTACACCACTCGCAAGGCGTCCTGAACCACATATCGGCTTACTGGGTCCCTATTGGACTCCAAATCGGGCCCCAGCCATTTCAAAACAATCCACGTTATATTGGAGACCCACACCTACGCTGTATTGTAACCTTCAATGATCAAAATTCGTGTTCCCACATGTGTAAGTTAAGATTCAACCGTTCTTTGGCCTGCTCAACAGCTCTAACCCTATCGATAGTACTCTCCCCGGTAAACTGCGCTTTTAACGTACCTAACGGAAACACCTGGCATCTTTAATCCTATTGAACTCTGTAGCTATGCCCGAAACACCTGTAATCAACAAATTTGTCAAATTGTTCAATTATTACCTGACCAGAGGCAAAGGCAGCGAATCGGAAGTGACAGGACGGAAGGTGGTGTGTCCCAGGCTCTCGGTGGAGCTGTCTGGGAGGTTAGAGGGAGAAACGCTGGGCTAGGCGGAAGCGGAACCATGGCTAGGCGGGAGCTCCTGGAGTCTAGGCGGAGACTCCAAGGGGCCCTAGAGGGATGGCATGAGTCTACTCTCTGCCTATAATTTGCCTCTTTTTGCGTCGGTCAATTAAGAAATTCGATTATAAAATTTCACAGAAAAATAAAAAGCAGTCTTAAAAAAACTTTCGGTGGTGTATGGGTTAAAAAGCAGTCACACGTAAATGTTATGTGCCAGCTGGTTATTGATATGGTTTCCAGACAGTGAGTGCTATGCACTACCGGTGTGTTGACCAGTGCTATGCACTACCGGTGTGTTGGGCCCGATAATGTCGAGCACCACCGACAATATCGAGCACCATCAATCGCGCCCTCTCTGGGAATTCCACCAAATAACGCCTTTACATATGGAACGCTTCAATCACGGATGCGCAGGTGTGGAACCATTGCCGAGAATTAACACATCCTTCGCTTCCTAACCTGTTATTAATGTACATTAAATTGCCCAATTATCTTTTTACAAGTATATATACTTACACAGCAAAGATAGCCGCGACAACGTATGGAAGATTGAAGATATACAAGGTGAAGTAGCAAGCTCAAAGCCTAGCAGTTTACACCTTGAAACCCTTAGATCTCCGTCTACCTCTAGCTCTTTCGAACTTGCGGCCCTTAGACAAGATTCTTGGAGCCTTGTGCTTGTGAGGACCAGCACCGAAGTGTCTGACGGCTTCTCTGGCTTTTCTTGGACCTCTGACGATCAAAGTGTTTTGACCCTTTGGAGCTCTGACAGCCAATTGGTCCAAGGTGATGGTCTCACCACCGGCCTTCAAGATTCTGGCTCTGGCACCAGCGGTGAATCTTAGGGCAGCAACAGTGGCCTTTGGGAATTCAAAGATTCTGGAGTCCTCGGTGACGGTACCAACAACGACAACAGTCTTGTTGGCGGCACCGGCTTGACCCAAAGCCTTGGCGATTCTGGAGACGGACACTGGAGGTCTGTTGATCTTGGACAAGAACAAAGATCTCAAGACAACCTTGTTGAATGGAGCATCAGTACGACCTGGAGAAAAAAAAGTTAGTAACACAGCCTTTGTAAAGAAAGACGACGAGACGGCAGAAGGCGAGAAAAAAATAGGGTCCTGCTCACAAACCGCACGGAAGAAAACTCGAGCTCCACGACAGCGATTAATTAGGCAGACTGAGCGGCGCCAGAGTCTAGCGCAAGCTGTGTTGGGAGCAAGAGTTTGCCGCACTCGCAGAACGGGTCTCAAGCCAATAGAAAAACAAAAAACTCGAGAGCATGTGTTTCATGGCAGGCCAACATGGAGAATCCACGGTTGTCCTGCCAAACCGTAAGTGTATTCAAAAAAGGTAGCGTATTCCAGGGTACGCAATCCGACGAGTGAGTAAGAGCCCAATCTCTTTCTCTTTCTTCAACTGTGCTTGCGGAAGGTAACAAGTGACCGGGATCACTGAGTAGTTCACATACGAGCCAAGAAGGTGTAAAGCTTGACCAACAACTTCAAGTAGACGTTGTCAGACTTTGGGGCGGTTCTGTGACCGGATCTTTGGTGCTGTTTGGAGGTGTGATCGATACCCATTGTTGCTGATTTTCGGAAAGATGTGAACAAAAGAAGAGCACTAGAAGGAAGAAGAGCTGAAGAATGAACATCGACTTTTTCAATGCCCCAGGCCTGGTGAAAAATTTTGGAAAAAGTTTGCGTGGGTCTCGCAAAGCGTAAAGAGTGATGCTCGTGATATTCAACCACGACGAGTACTCTTCGCCGGTCAAAGGCGAGAGAGCCTGTGGCCTCATGGAATGGGCATGGCGATGTGCCTCGAGGTCGAGAGCAGAGCGATGCTTGATGGAGGAAAGCGACGTCTAGGGTCTACAAAAAGACAGACGAAGGCCGATGTGAATTTACATTGCTTGCACTAATAGAAAATAAACCGACCCTAACTCCAGCACATCCTAGAAGCAGCGTTGGAAGTTGACTGGAGGAGAATTATAGGCCGTGCTCCTCTTGCAGCTCATAAGCCCGAATGCATCAACGATTTTGGGCGAGCCGGGTCCGAAAAACAGGCGCTACTTACAAGATCTGTATACATGTCACTATGTACTAGTGCGACGCGGAGCAGTGTTAGCGGACTATGGACCGTAGACCAACGGCGGCGCAACAAGCAGTGGCTTCTTGGTCTAAAACTTCTTGAGCTTCACACCTACGGCGAGCACCCTCGCGCCCAAGTAGCAAGCTGCTCCCGCTAGCGTTAGTCCCGACGCAAACAAAATAAATCTGTTGAACTCGGCGACAGAACGGTCACCAATCAACGTACCACATATAGGAATGATGGGCAAAGTCATGAAGGCCGACAGAACGTAGGACGTAGAGTAGCGTTTCCCAAAATCGCTTGTCCTGGAAATCTGCGCAATGCACACCGCGGTCATTGCCATGACAGACCCAGAAGCAAATCCAAACAACAAGACGTAAGCCCATAGCACTCCAGGAACACCGCCAAAGGGCAGCAGCATCACCAAATTCAGTACCGCCGTCACGAACGTCATCACGATAACAGTGTTAAACCTTCCGGAATACTTGTCGGAAATGTAACCCGGTATGTAGCGACCGATCATTTGCACTGCATTGGAAACTGTGACAATCGTGAACGCCTCACTTTCAGAGTGGCCCCTAGCTATCGCATACGACGCAATGTAGGTGTTGACAGCCATTATCGAATTCTCGGAGAGAGAGAAGGCTAAAGTGGTCAACAGATATTTCCGGTCCAAGAAGTACCTTACGTTCAAGGCCCCTGTCACATAAAAACGGAACATATCAGTGCGAGAGTTGAACGGTTTGGCCACCGGTTTGCTCCTTTCCCGAGCAAACGTACATGCGAAGACCAAAAGCACCAGGCATACCAGGGCCAGAATGCGAATTGCCCACGGGAATCCAACCTCGCCGTACAGATTCTTCAGCATCAACGGGAAAATAACTCCTCCCAACGAGCCGCCCATGGCGGCGACACTGGCGGCCATCCCTCGTTTCCGCGAAAACCAGGTGGCGATACAGCCGATAAGCGGTGTCGTCAAGACACCCGTGGCCACTCCTGTGAGCACAGAAAACGCCAGCACAAACTGCCAAATAGTCTGACAATTGGCAGTGGCCACCAGTCCACTAACAAACAATCCAGACCCAACACAGAGGGGAAGAAACCCGCCATTTCGATCGAAATACGCGCCTGTGAAGACGCAACTGGCGCAGAACAAAGTCAAGTAGAGAGAGAAAATCCACGACACACCAGACGACGAACTGGACGCCAGTTGGTGCTGGGAAATATATCCTTCTATGGCACCCAGAGAATTCATTGTCCCCCAGATCGGCAAGAGACCCACGAAGGATCCCAGTAGCGCCAAGTATGCTTGTAAACCACCATCGGGAATATCAGATTCCTCATCGTCGTCCAGAAGATCCCGCTCTGATTGTTGAACGTAGTGTCGTGCCGTACTTTCCACGCTAGGATCCTGGGGATACAACGCATATTGGTCGGTAAAACCAGAAGAGGAGCCGGGCCATTGGGCACTTTGGGTACTTTGAAATATTTTGAAACTATTCTTTCGAGAAATACTCACATTAGGCTTTAATTGCAGTAGCCGAAGCATATGAACAGCACTGCTAATCCGTAAAGCGGGGCGGGTAGTCGACAAAAGTCATGATTCAGGACACACCGTCTCGATATCCGCGAATATATGTGTCTTGTGGACCTGCTCGCAGATACGCACCCCTTGCAAGGCCACTGATAACCACTGCGGTGCTCGGCTTCCGCTAATAACCATAGGATCAATCCAGATCAATCCAGCCATCTATCATTGGTGCAGGTGCGGTTGAGGATTTTTTTTTTGAAGTCAGACATTTTGAGTCATATACATATATTCGTTATAAGGGTAGGTAGATAAACGTTATGCTGGGCAAGAGCGGAGCGATAGATCAACCAGCTCTGAGACTGCTTGGACTAATAAAGCCATCCAGGTCAAAAGACGCGCGCTGTGAGGCTAGGTAGTTAAACGTTATGCCACGCTTGACCCAAGAAAGCCATCTACGTCAAAAGACGCGCGTGTTTTAGAGAGCTTTCAAGACGTTTTCCGCAGAGGACACGTTCACGCCGGTCTTGTCGGGCTCTTCGTAGGCAGCAATGACCTTACCATCCTCAACGACAATGGCGTAACGGAAGTTGCGCTTGTTACCGAACACCTCTTCGGAGTCAAACAGAGTGTCTCCGGACTTGGCAAATTCGCCGCGGGTGTCTGCCAAAACGTGGATATCGGCCGGGGTCTTCAAAGAGTCGCTCCAGGCTTTGGTGACAAAAGCGTCGTTCACGCAAGTCACGAACACGTTCTTCACGCCTTTTTGCTTGAGTTCGTCCAGTTTGGCAATGTAGCCTGGGACGTGGCTGGCAGTGCACGCAGGCGAAAACGCCGCTGGCACACCTACGATGATGTGTTTACCTTGGCTGACCTCTTTGCCAACGTCAACGGCATTGCCTGGGGAGTTTTCTTGCACACCGGCAAGTCCAGTCTTGATTTCGTCACCTACTTGGAACATTCTGAGAGGATTGGCAGCTGTGTGAAGTAGTTTTCCTTTCGAAGATGCGTTCTTGAAAGAGCTAATAGCACAGGCACTTGGGCGTAACACTTTTAGCATGGGAGGCCAGGAAAAATTCAATTGTCACTTAAGCTATTCCAAAGGACAGTCGACCCCTATATATAGATGAATCTGCAACATCGTAATTGCAAACCTTAAATGTGAAAACCATCCTCAGAGTCCTCTGATACGTTTGCCATAAGGTCATGGGATCATGAGACGAAGCCCCAGTCGCCGTTTGCTGCGCGAATTGGGTGCCAATTACGAGCGAATAAGATAGCAAAATCGGAACAGTAAACGAAGGTGTAAAAACTTGATGGGTGTGCAATAACGCCCAGAAATTGCACATGGGATGCCTCTGAAAATCCAGCCGATGCACAGTTGGAACGTCCCTTCCATCTATAAGCCGTTGGCACCACTCGTAGCTGGTAATTAGGTTATGCGATCACTTCATACTAAACTGACACACACATATATATAGTCACGTGCCATGTGCACTATTGGCACGTGATCGGGTTATACAATAAAGTCATCTGGCGGTGGTTGTGGCAGAAGGGAATGGCGCGCCGATGATGGGACGTCTGCGAGGTAGTACAGCCGGTGTGAGAGGTTTTGCTACATTTCCAGCGGCCAACGCGCTCGGGGAGTACCGTACCGCACTCGAGGGCTGGTGTCGGGTTCACTGGGGCCCAGGTATGGTGATCACGTGATCAGGCTCTATCAGGGAACCCAGTCGTCCAAGACCAAAAGGTCGAAGCCAAGTGGTTGACACGACGGTGACACAGCGGGGCCAAGTCGTCCGTACCTCCGCTTTGTGCACTCGAAATGTCCTGCGACGACTACGCGGGTGATTCCGCCTACGGTATGGTGGAGAACGAAGAAGACAACTACGATGAGTTCATGATCTCCGGCGATGAAAGCGAGATGGAGGTGGAAATGGAAGAAGAGAGCGCAGGCAGTGGACAAGAAGATTTCGAATCACATTCTCCCCAGCCCGATCCTTTGGAAGAGCTGTACGCTGCCAACTTGGCTCAAGCAACCACTTATGTGCAGGAGCAGCAACTGCCACGCGCCCTTGAAGTGCTGAATCGTACTCGTTTGCAGTTCGAGTCGCGCGCAGTTCCCATCCCGTTGTCGATTTTCCTCCTGCGATGTCACTACAAGCTCTGGGAACGAGACCCTCACGAGAAAGGGCTCTTTCAACAATTTGCAAGCGCCGTAAGTGACCTCAGCTCGTCAATGCCGGCTCCGTGTGGGACCGATACCGTGCTGGTAGTGCGCCAATGCCTCAATGACCTGGTTCCCAGTGTCGGTTGTGTAGCAGTCATCGATCCCAGCTCTATCGCCAACAAAGATACGATCACTTCACGCAAGGTTTGCTTGCAGCAAATGGCCTCCATCGGCCAGCAGTGCGACGCCCATTTGTGGAAAACTCGTCTGCTACAGTACCAATTGTTAGAATTGCAACTAACACCTGGCGATGCAACTGACACGACACAGCAGGGCCTCCTACACGAACTGGAACAATTAACCTCCCCGCAACTGGACCATCTAGATAATGTCGAATTCTTACTTTTCTGGTATTTGCATCGATCGCTACAGGACGGAAGCACCTCGGCTCCACACGTTGCGCACGAAAAGCTCCCGGATTTGCTCACAACCGTTTCAGGGCTTTTGCAAACTTCTTTCTCCCGGCCCTTGCCGCTATTGGCCACGCTTCATTTCGGTAACGCCTACATTCTTCTCGAGCAGATACAAAGCTCGCACTCGGCGTACCGTCAGTTGTCTTATTTCAATGCCGAAATCTGGGAGTCGTACAAATGCCTCGAGGAGATTGGAAACAAGACCAAATTCCACGATCTGACGCTTTGCGCATTCATATTGTCCAACATGCTGCTGATGGGCCAAAGGACGGACATGGAAGCCATTATCTCGCCATTTGAGCTGGAACAGCTCAAGGTCTTGGAGTCCCAATTTTCAAGAGACTTGGAAAATCTGTACCAAGCGTTTGTGAGCTATGATCTTGCCAGCTTCGCACGGGGGCTCCAGTCGATAGGCAGCTTCAACCACGTCTTGCAACCGTTGGTCGACTCCCTCACTCATTTGTTGCAAGTGCGCAAGCTATGGCATCGCGTGGCCGCTTGCTATTCCACCATCTCGATTGCGGACATACAAAGTATGCTAGCTGTAGATCCTCTGCCTCGTTTGTCTCGAAACTCGATACTTACGATCCTTATGCAGAGCATCATGAATGACACGGCACAAGTCTACTTTAAGTTGGACCTCACCCGAGATCTCGTGTTCTTCGGAGAGGAAAACCGCAAACCACTCAGCGCCTACACGAAGGACTCCTACTTGGACGCGCGAAACAGCATCCACAGAGATGCAGGTGTCTCGTTAAAGCAGTGGGTTGACAACGTTGGCGTTTTCAACATGGGGCCCCGTCGCTTGAAAAATTTGACACCCTTGGCTTTTGTGCAAGAGCTTCACAACGCTCGCGAACAAGCTGCTGCGGTAGATCCAACACTTCAAAGCAGGACCTTGAAGTACACGCAGCTCGCAGAGTACGTGCGTGATGCCCTACAATAATCCCAGAGTTGAGCTAGTTGCGACAGGAAATTTTCTTAACAAGTCTACCAGCCGCGAAAAACGCTACAGCGTACAAACTTGAAGTTCTAGCTCGCTACTAGGCTAGACTTGATTGACTAATGTTTTCAACTTCATCACCACTTGTATGGCAAGCTCTTCAATTTTTCGTGTTTCGTGGTTTGAGCCACGAAATTAACAGAACATTAGACCCTGTCGTGTTAAACAACTTGATGTCACAAAGTGAATCACAGTGGAAACGTCGACGTAGACTAATGATTCGCTCGGAATATCTTCTCGTAGGTCGTTGTGCCCAGCGTCAACGCGAAATTCCAATCAACCACGACTTTTCTTGGAATGGTTTTTGTAAATAGCTTTTCGCGACGACCAATATACTTGATCCACGTTAACCGCTCCAGGCGAGGGCATCAGGTATTTGGAATATAAAAGGAGAAATGAAATGCGAGTTGACAGGGTATCGATTTGCTGTCTTAACTCTCTTTCTGTACTCAAACACTTTCCATCGAACCAACTCGTATTCCGCTCATTATGAAATTCTCCACTTCCTTCGCTGTTGCCTCCATTGCTGTCGGTGCCTCTGCTGCCTTCAACGAAACCAACTACGTGAACAGCACTGCCACCACCGAGGTTGACAAAACCGCTGTGTTGACCATCACCTCGTGCTCTCACGATGCTTGTGCGACTGACACTAGCACTCTAGGTGGGGCCAGTTCCGCTGCTGCCGACGACGTCACCTACGTAGATGTTACCACTACTCCGCAGAGCACAACTTCTATGGTCAAGACAGTGAAGTCTACCTCAACTCCTTACACTTACACGACTTTGTCTACCCAAAACTCCACCGACTCTGGCTCTGGCTCTTCCACCGCTGAGCTGCCAGTGTACTCTGGTGCTGCTAACCCGATTGCTGGTGCTGGTGTTGGTGCATTGGCTGCCGGTGTTGCTTTTGCGCTTTTGTAAGGTGCTGACATTAGATCACGATTGGACACCATGTGTCCGCGCCTCATAATGGGCCCGAGGCCCTTCTAATCTCCTGTACTATAAATACACGTATATTATCTAAAACGATAGAGCATTGAGTGCTTGCATTCTTTGAGTGTCGGTGGCCGGATGCCATGACTGTAAGCTCTTCACTCAAGCTTCCCGGGATGACACTGCGGTATAAAGTGATATCTTGATGGCCGGCACGTCAGAGAACCACAATGCCCCTAAAGTCAGACGCACTGGCATGACACACGCAGGGTGAAAATACCTAACTTCCATGTAGTCGGTGCAATGGCTTACATATTATCGCTTATCGGTTTTGATTACCTTAAGTACTTGTGGCCAATCTAATAAAACCGGTAACATCGATGACGCAGATGAGGCCTAACAGCACGGATGAGGCACCTGTTTGAGGGTAAAATGCTAGCCAAATTTTACCTGCAAATAACGCCGCGCTGATGCCACACAGACCAATTTGCTTGACAATGCAAATTGGGCTATGTCTGATCTTGAGAAGAGAACATAGTAAAAGCAGCGGTACACAAACGCCCTCGATCCAAAGTCAAATTGAGATCAAAGATCGTTGCAGGGTGTGTTGGTGTTGGTGCCCTGTTCGTATTTCGCTGTCAGTGAACGTAAAGCGAACTTGAACGTTTAAATTAATTAGAAGTGTCCGATCATGTGAAAGTAATGTAAAATTTTCCAAAGTCATCGCGATGAGTACTAATAGGTAAAGTACAAAGCAGCTTAGACGCTCGTTCATTGGAAGCGAGCGACAGGTTTTGGGAAGGCACTTTCGTCGCTGCCTCTTTTGACAGAGAAATAGCAGGTCTTTTCAGTGGAAATGGACTCTAAAAAGCCGAGTTCCCGGGGTTCGAAGCCAAGTCGAACACCTGAACCAAGAACCTCCAAGCAAAAACCGCAGCAGAAAGCCGCGAAGCGACTCAGAAAATCGTCACTAAGCAAGGCACAGCGCAATTTTGCTGTTTTCAACAAAGACCATAAGCATTTGAACAAATATGAGAACTTAGAACTGGAATCGAGCGGGTCAGACGGGGATGATGAGCAAGACCATTCGGGGCAGCAGGGGAGCAAGAGCAACAAGAATAATGCAAGAGAACAAGTAGTATTGATAGAGGACGACGGAACTCAAGACCCTCGTGAAATTGACACCATTGAGATAGTGGATAGTGGGAGTGAGGAGGATAATGGCGTCCCCAATATCCAAAAAAAATCCGCATCGATCGATCCCCAAGAGGATGGTTCAAACGCCTTGGATGATAACCAGGACTTTATATCTTTGAGTATGAGCTCCGATGGCGAATCTAGTGGTGCCGATGGCGACGACCAGGTGGATAACAATACCGCTGGGGACTACGATTACGATAATTACGACGACGAGTATCCCAACGAGGAGCCACAGAAGAGCAAGCAAACTCTCAACACTGACTACCCGTGGATTTTGAATCATGACCACTCAAAGCAGCGTGAGATTGCTGACTGGCTTACCCTTGAGATCAAGGACTTTGTCGCATACATATCACCCAGTCAGGAAGAAATTACTGTCAGAAACGCGACGATCGGGAAAATTAGAAGAGCGGTCAAAGAACTATGGCCGGACGCAGACTTGCACGTTTTTGGATCTTTCGCTACCGATCTTTATCTGCCAGGCTCCGATATCGATTGCGTTGTGAATAGTAGTGCAGGTGATAAGGAAAATCGAAACTGCTTGTATTCTCTAGCTAGTTTTTTGAAACGTCGTAAATTGGCCACTCAAGTTGAGGTCATTGCTAAAGCCCGAGTTCCGATCATCAAATTTGTTGAGCCTGAGTCTCAGATACACATTGATGTCTCCTTTGAAAGAACAAACGGAGTAGAGGCAGCCAAAATAATACGAGGTTGGCTAACGCAAACGCCGGGGCTAAGGGAGCTGGTGCTGATTGTCAAACAATTTTTGTCTGCCAGGCGGCTCAACAACGTGCACACAGGCGGGCTGGGGGGCTTTAGTGTAATCTGCTTGGTGTACGCATTCTTAGAACTGCATCCAAGGACTTTGAGTGCTGATATCAGTACAACTGAAAACCTAGGAATACTTCTGATGGACTTATTTGAGCTTTATGGTAAGAATTTTGGTTACGACCATGTAGCAATAGCTGTTCAAAGCGATGGTGCTTCTTACTTACCTAAACAAAAAAATTCGAATTTACAAAATCCTAGGACTTCCTTCTCTCTGGCAATTCAAGATCCAGGTGATGCTAACAACAATATCAGCCGTGGGTCTTTCAACATTAGAGATATCAAGAAAGCCTTTGCTGGTGCCTTTGATCTCTTGACTAACAGATGTTTTGAATTGGACGCCGCGACATTCAAAGATAGAGTTGGTAAAAGTATCCTGGGGAATGTAATCAAGTACCGGGGTAAAGAAAGAGATTTTAAAGATGAGAGGAGCCTGGTAGTAAATTCGGCAATTGCAGAAAATGAACTTTACCATCGTAAACGTGGAAGAATAGTCCACGATGACCTTTTTACGGATGTGAGTGATGAAGAGAAAGAGCAGGACATTTATGTAGTCGAGAAACCTGCGAAGAAAAAGCACAAGAAGAACAAAACAAAAAAGAAGGAAAGCACTGCTAAAGACTCAGCTTCAGAAGTTGGTAGCTCAGCCGCTAGAAAGAAGACGAGTACTGACGTCAGAAGTAGCAAGAACGTCGAGAGTTTAATGGGGCTGGATGCGACCGACGACGGCGATGACGATGGATATGATCCACTTAATCCTCCAGTGGATGACGCCGCGAAACCGGATTTAACGACGAAGTCGGTGAATGCTCAGACGAGACGCGACTATTGGCTAAGCAAGGGACAGACGTTATAGGTTAGCGATACATATTTTGCATAGATTTCATGATATAAAGGCAATGAGGATAGTGTTTTGCATTTGATATTTACAGGACAAAGCTCAAAACTCATCTTTACGTCGCAGCCGTTTCTTGTCGGTCTGGAACTTTTTATCACGAAGTCGTGTCTCTCTGGCCTTACTTCTGATCGTGTCCCACCTTCGTACACTCTCGTTGGTTGGAGGCTTTTCGAACCAGCAAGTAGCTTTAACCTCATTAACGAACTTCTCCAGACAAAGTTGTTTGTTGGTTTCCCGACTTCGACTTCCATCCGATTGGATTACGATAGAGTCTTTTGACTTGGCCCAGAACCTGAATTTCTTGGCTCTCAGTTGATCGCTAATTTCCTGGGGGACCCATGAACAAGTGGAAAAACTAAAAATGGTCATGGTGCATTTACTATTACATTTATTGACTTTCTGTCCTCCGGGGCCACTGGATCGGTCAAACTGGAAGGAAAAGGTTTTCACAGGTAGCGTTTTAACGTTAAGGTTCTGGAGCCACTGTTCGGGGGATTCACCCGACGATGTAGAAAAATGACTTTTGCAGTATATTGGCAGAAGGAGGCTTGATAGGCGTGGAGGTTTAATTCTAGTCACAAGAGCGCTCATGATGTGCACAGTTTGATTATATGGATTTTTGCAGAAGATAGTAGAGAAGTAAACAAAAAAACCTAGCCACCTACGCTATATTGGCGTTTCTAGATAACTTAAAAATAGGCCGTTAGACAGATAGCTCCCTCAGCTTTTCCATTGCAATTAGAAACCTCTGTACTTGGTATACCTAAATTCAAAATCAGCATTTCGATCGTGCAGCTAAATTAGATAGACACCTTTGTCTTGGAAGTTCCTATGACAAAGTGGATTAAAATGACAATAGCGAAGCCGAGGGCAATAACAGTGTCTCTTGTGGTATGGTAAGTGCGGTATCAGCAAGTTTAGCACGCAAATGGTCAACCTATAAATGCCAGTGGTTTCGGCTCTACCAAACATTGTGGTGAGAAAGATACAGTTGAATACCTCAAAAGAACATGGCGTCACAAAATCTATGCCGGCCATAAAGCTACTGATGACAACAGGAATGAATCACAAACGATAGAATTTGGGGAATATATCAGATATTATGCTCTCAATCTTCATGAATATTTGCGCCATTCGCTATTTCACAAATTCCTCCCTTTTGGCATTTCAGCTCTCAAACTGCGAGCCGTTCACAAGAAAAAGGTAGTTGTTGTCCTCTCGTGTTTGCACATTCTGATTACCTAGATCAGTGAGCAACTCTGAGACTTTATAATGCCTAAGGTAAAGAACCTTTAACCTGGTGTAGTGTCATATTAATCCTAATGAGTCTGGTGAAGCCAAAAATATATAATTCTTGAACACACAAAATAATGAGCAGAAAACAAACAGGAGAGGTCTACAGAAGGAATAACCAAAGTTGGGTCATAGAATAATTGCACCAGCGCGTTACAGGAGCCTTCATTGCCTTCGAGATGACAGTTGGCGAAGTGTTTGGTAGGGGTCGTTCAGAACGATGAGAGGATGCTGGTGTTTATTTAAGACCATAAGCATGAATATAGGCATCGACCAAAGTAACAGGTCCCCTGGCTCGCGTTTTATTCCCCACAAAGTCTGCTTGATATCGAAGGCATGGCTACTCCTTCCGAAGCAGTAGGAAGTGTCTGTAATTTCACAGAGAAGCTTCGAAAGGAGCATGAGCTCTATCTTTTGAAGTACTGTTTATTGATTCACCAAGACCCAACGCAGGCATTGGGTCCGCTGGATCAACGCCCTCAGAAGGTACCGCAAATCCCAAGGTTTGTCGTCACTGAGCGCATGACAGATACCGGTGATAGCTATGTATGCTCAGGGGGTGACCCCCAAGGAGAAGCAAAGATCGATAGACGCGGAACGCTGCTGGGAAGCCGCCACTTCCTCTTCCCTACGTTCACACCTCCTACACGACCATACGGCGTCTATGTTTTGGTGAGAGATCTCTTGAAATGTCTTGGTAGACAGGAAAGTGCTGAGCAATTTTTGGAGATGCATCAGGAACTCTACGGTCTTAACGCCACATCTGAGGAATTGGCGTTTCTGCGAACGCACGGACTGGTTCAAGACGCTGATTGCTCAGAAAATGAGATGTATGTTACGACAAAATCTGTATTTATGCTTTTTGGAGCCCGAGTGGTGGTTGGGGGAACCAGGTTGGTCGACGACTACTGGGAGGAAGCTATCAAGGAACAAGGGTTCCTGCCGCACTTTCGCGTTTTCGAAATAAATTCTAAAATACTGCAATCTGTGACGACATTGAAACCTACTGCCAGTGATGACACTTCTCTCGTTGCGGATGCGGATGCGGCTACCAGGATACCGGACGAGTTGCCTCACTTAACAGTGGCAGAGGAGACTTCCTCAGAGGTAATTCAAGACTATGCTAACCAGTTTAGTAATGGTGAGCATTTGAACATCATTATTCCAGGCCAAAACATAACCGGTTCCTTGGAACTCAGTGCACAGTGCAAGCTACCGAAATACCATAGCAAAATGTCTTTACATGCTGCGACCCAGTTGGGATTTCAAGACACACCGATAGGCTCGATCCCTGTAGCGGCTCCGGTCGCTACGACTTCTCATGAAAAGGGTGATAAACGCCTCTTGAGCGGCATTTTAGATCCTTTAGTGATATCAAAGGTTGACCGGAGCGGTGTGACCCAGTGGGGAAACTCTGGGATAGTTGCTCAGGACGTGTCTCTCAACATCAATGGGTGGAAATTTGACTCGTTACCAGTCAAATCTGTTGGAAGCGCCAATTCCAACTACTCGATAAAGGGACTTCCGCTATATGATAACGTGAAACTGGCAGAAAGACTGAAAAAACTGACGCCAACGGAAATCAACGAGATGCAATATCTGCATGATTCTGTCTACGTTAACACGAAGCTGCAAAGTGCCCGAAAGGTAAGAAAGACGAAATGGACGAAGTACTGGCAATACAAAGCCGGACTTCCTATTGGTATAACAGAACGAGACGGCGGCCTAGCTCTGAAAAAATATTTTCAAGAGGTTGCAAGTCATATTGACGTTGTGAGTACGATTAACACTGCCCTTGACCGAGAGGAAGTCAAAACTATCAAAAGAAGGCCGACTGCAAACTTTTTGGGTTACTCTAACGTTACAGGATTGAAACCACCTTATGTAAATGATTGAACAGCCAATATATACTATGCGCTGAATTGGTGGCGGTGAATGAACCTCTCTCGCAACGAATTATGAAAGTCTACTTTTGCTTGGGCGGTTCTTGCGGCTCTCTTATAAAAGTTTGGTCTTCACAATTTCCTGGCGAATTCTGAAGGTGTAGTATGCCATGATCAGCATTAGTGCTACCAAGGGAATCAACCAGATGGTTAGCTTACGCACAATTTCATCGATATGGGGGCCCCCGTTATCGCCAAACGCATTCTGCTTAGAAGACTCTCTGATCCTTTGCTGTTCTAAAAGTAACTTCTCCAATTTTTCATCCAATTTGAAGAAATCCTTGAAGCTTTCATCTATAACTGCATCGTCTTCTCCACCATTACCATTGCTCGGCTTACGAGAAGCTAATAGTGTTATCACCTTTTCCAATTTTTTGGATTGCAAAGACTGCACAGATATTAGTTCATCGATCGCATTGGACAGCACACTGATGTCGTTGGCCAAAACTTTACCTTCAAGTCTGTTGAGTTTCTTCAATAAGTCAAAATTCGAGATGGACCCAGGGTCACTGCTCATCTCAAGCGCAGTCTTTTCGATCAATTCTTCTTGCCCGGTCTTTTCATTAATCACCTTGGTTATCAATCGAGGTTGTTCCATGGCGTTCACATTAGGGATCAAGGACTCGTCGATGACGTCGTCGTAAACCTTGAACTGTAGGAGCTCGAACGATTCATCTGTATCGGCGTTGTCAGCAGTTATACCAAACTTGTAGTTCTGCACCGGGAGGCTCACTTTGCGGGTTTGGAAGCACACTCTGTTGTCAACTTGAACCTTGAGAAAGTTATCGTTGCCACTACTATACGTCAATCTTACAGTAAGTGGAACGGTGGAGTCCTGATAAGCGAGCAGGCATGATGCGAAGGTCTCATCGTAGATATTACTGCTGGTGAGTTGCTTGGTGCCGTCATTCAAGTGTGCACGAAGGGTGCTGCCCAACTCGCCATTGCTGTCTATGAGCAATTGAAGCCCGTCAAACTGCGAGGGTCCATTGTGCAGCTTCAAGTCGTCACTGCCCTTCCCGCTGACAAACCATAGCGCTAATCCACCCTCCGACTTCCCCCTGTAATTGGTGCTTCTGACTGTCCACTCTGCGGTGAATGAGTCTCCTAACGAATACTCTTTTTTGGACCAAAGAGATCCGACAGACGACTTCTTGGGCGTCAGAACCACTCTGCCTTCGTCTAGAGTTGTCTGTCCACCGGAAATCCACGTATTGGGCAATTTTTTGGCTTGGATCAAGTCCGGCAATGAGAAATCCACGTTGGACGGGGATGCTTTGGTTTTTGGTTCTGAATGCGACAGTGCATGTTGGGCCAGTGCCAACAGACCGAAAACATTGTAGAAGAGCATTTTGATTAGCTTATGACTTGATGTTTCTGTTCTTTGGGCACTACCTGCAAAGATAAACCTGGGAAGATATATAATTTATAAATAAGCATAGTGAGTTTGAACATAAAGAATGAGAAACGCGAGTGTAGAAATCAACGACCACTTCATTCCCTGACTCTCTTTATAGTACCGGACATGAAATTAAGTAGCTGAACAAGCTAAGAATGCGACTTGGGCATCCTAAGCACTCTCTGAACAGCGTTGTTACGGAAGTTTCAGGGCCCATTGAGGCCCCCAACAAATCCTATGTGTTGGTTGTTACATAGCGCAATCGTAGACTGTTATCGTCATTAGCGCAATCTTGCTTTGTATTTCGGACGCCTTGTCCTGCACCGCCCGTCGAGGCTCCTAAAAGAGCCTTGTGTTGCTTCCCCAACAGACGGGCAAATAGGCCGTCACTGCTTGCAATCAAGACATTCAGCATCTGGAGAGCTTTCCTTTTCACTACTTACTAGCGTCGCAGAAGTACCATTTCTTGCTACATGGGCACCAACGGTGCTCGTTGCCAGAAGCATCTGCTTAACACGCTGCTTCAAAAACTTACTATCTGGAAAGCCCCCATCGACTTTGCGGTCCCAGATTATGATCTCGGCGTCTGCATCAAGGTACCCCAGAATACGGAATTCGCCCGCGTCGCCGGGGATCAACGAGATTTCCGCCAGATCATCTTGAAACGTCTGAAGAAGCTCTTGAAGATACCACGCACTCCTCAAATTCCACTTGCACCTGGTACAGAAACGTATAGAGATTTTGGGGTATGGCATTGCTGATCGTTTGCAGGTCCAGCTAATGACTCTATGGTTAATTTTGAGATCTGGCTATACCATACCTTACCGTAAATAAATCAAATGGCCTGAAACTAAACAAATAACATAGCTCATACACACATGGTCGACAGAAAAGCACAATGCCCTCTTTCACGGATAGTTTCTGGTCGAAAGATTTTGATGCAGGTGTAGACCAGCTATTCCACGAATTACACAAAGGTTGTAGCCAAAATGCGTTGTTTATTCAGCTATTTGCGTCAAGAATGCAGTATGAAGTGAATTACGGGCGTCAACTCTGCAGCACTATTTCAAATATAGAGGGATTTCCTAAGGAACTGGACTCTTCGCTGTCGTTGGACAGTGCTCTCAGCCGAATGGCGAGTGCCATGGAGGATGAAGGGAATCAGCATCTGGTTATAGCTGCGGACATCGAAGCCACCGTGCTTCGACCATTTAGCAAATGGTGCGAAGAACACGAGCAGAGGATTGATTACTCGGAAAAGATACTGAAAACTAACGTCTCCAACTACCAAAAATCCAAGAAATATATTGAGAAGTTGGAGCAGCGATATTTCAACAAATGCCGGCAGCTTGAAGACTACAAGAGATCCAACTTCACCGATGACGAACTCGTCGGTACTATGAAGAATTTGGAAGTATTCGAGGAACAGGAGTCGAATCTCGCTAAAGAGAGAGAGTTTGAAACGTTTGGCAAATTTGGCAATCTCGATTTTGACGTCAGAACTATGCGCGAGACCATCAAGCTTCTTCTCACGCAATTAGAGAAATCTGAATATAAGGTGCCGTTCATCAACTTCCACTTCGATGACACTAATAATGGCAGTGAGATTGTCAAATTCATCATGGAAAACCTCAATATCAAAGATGTAGATCAAGCGGAATTATTCGGACAAGACCTTCTCAACAGCGGCTTTCTCAAATACTGCAACGGTGTTGGAAACACCTTCGTGAACTCTAGGAAGTTTCAATATAGTTGGAAGCCATATGCATACAAATTCGCCCAAGTCCCACAAACCAGCGCTTCTGGAGGCAGCGAGCAACAAACCGAAGAGGCCGCTCCTGTGTTTTCGGAATACCTTTCGGACTTTACTTCGAAGATCTCAGGTTCAGCAAGTCCAGAAACAGCCCCAACCACCATCTCTACCCTTGAAAGAACGCTATACAAGCTCAAAAAAGAAATGGAGTTGTCTGACGCGAAATATCAAAAAGAATGCAAAAAGTTGGACGAGCTTCGGTGTTCATTGGAGGAACTTATTGTAGACCATTTCACATTTATGGAGAAGTGCGAGTTAGACAGACTCAAGGCCTTAGAGAAGGTGATTTTGGACTTTTCGCCTATTCTGTCAAAAAATGCTTCAGCCATGAATGAAATACTGGCCGTTGTGCTAAAAACTGGCTCAGAAGTAGACACTACTCTCGATTTGTCCAGGTTGGTTGAAAGGTCGAAAACAGGTGTATTCCAACCTCATGTCATCACATACAACAACTACTACAACCCAGGAGGATACCAAAACTTTGGGATTGATTTGGACAGTCGATGTAGGCTGGATAAGACAGTGGTCCCGCTGATCATTTCTGCCATTCTTTCTTTTATGGATCATATATACCCGGAGCTGCCCAACGACAAGGTCAGAACGACAGTGTGGACCATACCCGTTAAACTGAATTCTACTCATAAATTGAGAAGTGCACTCAATCAGGCATCCTTCGAAGAGGAAGCTGAAATTATCAACATCCTTAACGACTTTGCAAAGGAGCCCAGTACCATAGCCAGTGTCCTTAAAATATATTTGCTGGAGCTGCCTGAACCTTTGATCTCGAACGATGTGTATGACATCCTCGAGGCTCTGTATGCAGAGTTTCCTCCCACAAACGAGGAGAGTGACGAACAGGCTACGATCGATTCACGTAGAGTCAATGGAATTTCAAACGCTCTCAACTCATTGTCGAAACCGCACATCGCTTCTCTGGATGCCATTACTTCCCATTTCTCGAGGCTCATAAAAATCCTGAAGATGGGCTCCTCTGCTACAAGTGAGGTATTGGCTAATGAATTCGTGCAGTCGGTGTCTCAAGAGTTCTCCAATTGCATCATTAGGGTGAAGACTAGTAGTGGTAACAATCTGGGATACAAAATCTTTTTCGATCTACTGATGTTCAGGAAACCGATTTTTCGAGAGTTGAGAAGAAGCAACTCAAAGGTTTCAGACGATACGCACAGCTGAGCTAGTGAAAATACCCGTCAACTACGACCGCTCTTAGCCTTGCCGAAATGTCATTAAATACCGTAGTGTTGTTACATTAAATAGCTGCCACTCTATAAACCCGTTTACCATCTCTCATTTAACCCAATGTTAATCCTTGTCCAATTCTTTTGTGAATAGTCTCCTTGGTTGGAACCTCTTTTGCTCTTCTGGAGACAAACGCCTCTCTTTTGCAAGTTTTCCATTCTTATCCACATACTGAATCGTGTTGCCAATACTTGGATTTTCGGCTATCAGAAGCTCTTGGCGGCGCCGCCTAGTTTCCTCACTGGCTGTAGAATTATCATCAAAAGGATTTGCCAACGTCTTTTGTCGTACCATTGGCTCCTCGCCTTCTTCATCAGACGAAAAACACGACCTTGAGTTGTTGTTCCAATCTTTGGCTAGCTCGAAAGTGACAATCTTATCACTAGGAGTGCCCGGCATCTGTCTGGCCTCTTTTCTTGCAGGTTGTCCGGCGCTCTCGGGCTCCCATGGATCTGCCCTTACACTGCTCAAGGCCGAGTCCTCCTCGTCGAGCTGATCCTGCAGAAGAGACGAAAAGGCTTTTGAGGCCTGCTTTTGCGAGTTAGACGGCAGAAGCTGTGGAGCTCCCTGGAGCAACTGAGATGTCGCAGTCGATGAAGGAGGAGCCAGAAACCTGTTCTGGAAACGATCTCTATCGCTAATTTCGGTACTTTCCGTGCTCTCAGGAAATAGGACGCGACCTACACTTTGAAATTCATGACTTGCGTCGCCGAAGTCTAATTTCTTCTTGACGCTTTCGGAAGGTTTCACGGGGGTGTATTCGGGCGTTCGAAGGCCCTTGGCCGGAGAACGTAGTAGAGGCGATCTGAGCCTGTTGAAATGCGACATATTGGGCTTGGTACCGACACTCCCGGGAGTAACAGGAATGCCAAGTTGCGGCTGACGCTGTGGGGACGTAGGAAAAAGCTCGGGCCGTGCTGGAGCGTCCATTACCACGGACTTCCCACGTCTATTCCTTGACCTGGGAGGAGTAGCAGGCGCCATTATAGTTGGTATCTGTAAGGTAGGTACGCGATGTTGATCCAAGGGGGCCAAGTTCGACTTGATCTCGCTAGAAATGAGCTAATTCTCTCTCTTTTATTTAGTTTGAGAGGTGTGGTTGAACCAGCCATTTGCTAATCATCATTAGATTATAGATAGATTAATAAATACCAGCCTAACGAATATACAGAAGAGAAGCTGCAATTTGGATCAAAAAAATGCTGAGAGGCCCATCACATGAATAGCAAGAATCAAACCCACTATGTGTCAACCAAGAGAGCCTGACTAACTATGGCGTAGACCTTGCTGCTCCGCATTGGTACCTCCACTGGGCCTACGTCGCTCCCGTAAATAGCGATATCAAGTTAAGTTCCTGTTTTCGATGGCTCACGAATAGTTCTTCATCAGCTACCAACCTTTTTATCTGGCCCTTCATGCGCTGAACCTCTGGCTCTCAAGAATTTGTCTGTGTCGGATAGTAATACGACTTGCGGTTGACATCATAAACAAGAGAGGCGCACCTGAAGCACGCGCGTTCTAACCAAGGCTTCGCCGTTTACCTAACAGTAGCATCAAAAATGAGATAAAGCTCTAGCATAGATACTGAACCTGGTGCACCAGTATATTTGGCTTCATCCATTGGGCATAATATGAGTTAGTTTTGCCACCTCGTCGAAAAGGATATTGACCTCTGGAAATCAATAATAGCCAGCTTATGCACCATTTGAACATGGAAACCTGTTAGCAGACCATAGCCTGCCGATAAAAAGGGTTGGTTTCCACGAATTGTGGTCTGACCTACAGTTAAAATGGTATGATTTGGTTGGGCGGGCTCAATGGCCACCGTCTTCGCTGCTTTCTTATCTTTCGAACTCGTACTAACGCTCCCTCCCACTATGTTGCAGAATGCATTGTTCAACCATGCAACGAAACAGAAGACACTGCTTCAGCGAGATTTGGCCAAATTTGAGCGAGACCTAACAATTGCACCAGTGTCGTTACAGGGTTCAATTGCTGCAACTTTAGTTTCGCTGGAAAAAACAATCAATCAGTACCAAGACCATTTGACGAGGTTTCACGCTACCAACCCCAGCGAGGATGAGAATTCAAAGCTGAAGTACCAGACACGGCTAGATACATTAAAAGCGGATTATGAGGGCGCTAAGGAACGTTACCAGGCTTTAAAAAAACAGTGTAACGAAGAAAACTCGCGGGAAAGGCTGTTTAAGTCCAGCAGCAATCCTTTTGACGAGGAGCAGATCGTGAACAAGCGTAATACAGGCAGTAGTGCAATGGCTCAGACCAGTGATGCTGGCTCCACCTCTTTGCCTCTATATCAAGGATTACAAAAGGAGCAAACAGTGTTTGAGCGCGGAAACGCACAGCTTGACTACATTTTGGAGATGGGTCAGCAATCTTTGGATGACATTATGGAGCAAAATGCGGTTTTGCAGAAAGTACAGAATCAGATGACCAAGGGTATGCAGACTCTCGGTGTTTCCAACGAGACAATTAACAAAATCAACAAGCGCGTGTTCAAGGACAAACTTATCTTTTGGATGGCGTTGGCGCTGATGTTCGTCGGATTTTACCTTGTCCTCAAATTTCTGCGCTGATCTGCCAGAAAATTGTTTCTAGGCATATGTACAATAGTAATTAGAATAAACGAGAACTTATTGGCGGTTTCGGTTGTCAAGCTTTCCAATAAATACAGCTGGAGAGGTCACCGGCCACTAGTACTTGCCCAGGACTGAGGCGAAGCTTGTTTGAAGCAGCCGTGTTCTGCTCTATACCGTTTTTCAGGACAGTACCTGGTTCGAGAAGTTGAGGAATATTGATTGGTCTACACGATTTGATTTTCTTTCCATTGCCCAACTGACCTTCTGAGTTGGAGCCCCAGGTCACCACCTCATTATTTTCTAGCTGACAGAAAACATGCTCCTTGCCACATGCCCAATGTGCTATTTTTGAAGATCTTGGCAAAACTGTTGAGGCGCCGTCCGTTATATCGTTCACGACTTTCAGCTTAGTTGGTTCCTGCTGTGAATGTTTGAAATGACCATTTCCCAATTCGCCACTGATACCACTGCCAAAGGCGAAGTAAGTGATCTTGTCTATGTCCTCTTCCAAGGCTACGTTTCCCTTGTTCTTGAAGTATTTATGAACATCCTGGGGCAAAACAGTTGCAAATGATGTATCACCACCAGCATTGATATCCACAACTCTGAGGTATGTATCCCTTGAGAAGTGGCCGCTAAAATTAGTCACTTTTTTAGGAAAGGGAATGTATTCCATGTCGTAGCTAATAGGCTGACCCAATTGCCCGTGGGTGTTAACGCCGAATGAAAAAAGTTCACCCAGTGAATCTAGGGCTAGCGTGTGATAGTTACCGCAAGCAATTTTCTCTATTTTTTTGGAAGCATTTCCGGAATCTGAGACGCCATGATTCAACAATTCAATTTCGTACACCTTATTGCATTCTGGAAAGGGGTCGAATTGAGAAAGGGTTGGAACGCCAAATTGGCCCTTGGATTTTATTCCTGGTGAGCGCTTGACACCAGTCGCACACGTGTATGCCTTTCCAGCATTAGAGATAAAAACCAAATGATCTTTGCCAACATCAAACTGAACCACCTTGTTTTCGCCCCGATTGGTGAATATTTGGGTTGTATCTAGCTTTCTTTCATACTTGCAGTAGGTTCTCCATGGTAATAACCAAGACCTCATGGTCTTCACGAACCGGGACCTTTCGATATCATCGGCCACCGGGATTACTAAAAGTTCACCTTTTTTGTTCAAAGCATATGCCACACCGTTAGATCCCTTCACGGATACCAGGTTTTGATCTCCTAAAATCAGCTTTCTTGAGGCCGTATCCCAAAGGTACAAATCTCCTCGGTCATTGATGGCGAGGTTTCCATTTTCAGCAGAGAGGAAAACATCACTTAACTTCTCACCATCAAACTGCGGGACACGGAGCGGGAACTTACTGTTTTTACCATCGTTGCGGCCATACCCCCAATAATACAAACCGGGCACCGAACTTCCAGGTTCGTCAGCTGGTATTGTCGGGAATTCCATCTGGCGCTTCTTCTCCTTCCGCTTCTTGAGGACCTCGATCGCATTGTCGTCCAATTTCGAGCCTGTTGCCAGCCACCAGCCTTTGATCTGGGGCCATTGCATGTACAAAGTGTACGCTGCGCCTAGTCCAGCCACCACGAAGAGACCTCTTAAAGCGGCGGAAATCTTCATCATCCTCGCCATTCTGTCGTTGTGTTCATTTTCAACCTCTTGTGCAGATTTTTCTGCCCACTGGTAATCTTCCTTACTCCGCTTAGCGGTGTATGCTGCATTGTTCAGCTTGCTGGCCATCAACTCCGCATCGTCAAACCTTGGTGTATTCTTATACAACGGAGTGCAACTCACGATTGAGCGACGACAAGGTCGTATCACAGACCTGACCAACATTCCGGATTTTTAGTGGAGACCGCTGGACTTTTTCGCTAGTTCCCAGCTTTGGATATCCAGTCGGTCATCATCCAGGAAGTTAACTATTTAAAGTTTAAATTATATATGGTACTTAGTTATTAAACAAGCCGAAAGAGTGAAATCAGCAACACTGGGCACCCAACCAGTTCCAACACACTCGAATATCACTAGGGAGAATCCGAATATAATGATTACCAACAGCTTCAAGCCATTAACCGGTTCTGTGAACTTTTGCCGACCATTGCACACTAGTAGGATTTTATGGGACGATCTAGACGCTGTTCACATCAAGAATACCAATCGATTTCGTCAGCTTCTTGTAGAGAAGGGTGAGTTTGCTCCCCAGCAAGCAAATACGCTAGTGGATATAATGTCAGAAGCATTGAAAGGCGGAGTGACGCATGTTTCGCAAGACTTAGCCTCGAGGCAAAGGCTAATACAACTGGTATATCAGCAACGAGTGGATTTTGCGAAATTGAGAGACCAGCTACTTTCTGCCGACCGCAGCGAGTTCTACTCGATTCAGAGTGAGCACGAAGGGATACGCAATGACCTGGAGAAAATGCGTACTAAGCTCAGGGAGGAAATAACCAAGGCTAACGCGGGTTTCAAATTGGATCTGTCGTTGGAAAAAGGGAGAATAAGGGAAGAGTCAAGCCACCATGACATGCAGATTAAGGAAATTGATACTCGGATTGACCAGGAGGTGAGCAATATGAAAATGCAAATTGACTCTGTGAAAACCCAGGTTATGCAGTGGCTAATCGGGGTGTGCACAGGTACGTTTGCACTAGTACTTGCGTATGTGCGGTTACTGTCGTAAAACGGCGAAAAGGATATTCAAATATATGTATAAAACATGCATATTTGTTCTAAGTTATGTTAAGGGGAAGAAGGACCATATTTATTTTACAATTGGAACAATTCGCGCAAGATCTTGACGGTGTCATCTGGGGTCTGCACAGAGTGTCCGACGGTTCTGGAGTCGGTGTAGATCTCGTAGTCGTTACCGCCTTGCATGGTCTTGTCACCGAAAAAGTGAATCTCCTTGAAGTTGTCGCACTCAACGTGTTGTAGACAGTAAGTTTTGTCCCAGCCGGTAGGGAAAACATCGAAAGAAATTTGGCCACCGATGGAAAAGGTTAACTTCAAGTGGGCGAATTCCTTCTTCAAAGCCTCGACAAACTTAGCTCTGATTTGGTGTTGCTTGTCGTATTGTTCAAACTCGTTACGTTCGGCGTTGGAAGCGTTTCTACCGATAGGCGAAACGTTGATCATACCGTTTCTGAACTCCAAAAAGGTTCCTCTTCTCTTTGGCAATTCAATGCTGGCAAGGTACTTGAGGATGAAGGTGGCCAATTTGTTGTACTCTTCTTCACCAATCCAGTTGATGAAAGACTGAGAAGCCAACTTCTCACCCATTCTGTAAGCAGTCAACCCGTTTTCAGAGAAAGCGTAGTCAAAGTCGTTCAACACATTTGGGCCCAACTGTTCTAGTTGCTTGCTCAAGTCAGAACCACCGACAAAACCGATGACCACTTTCTTTCTGAGCTGCTTCAAAGTCTCTCTCACTTCTTCAGAGACGGTAAGTCTAGCTGGGGTTAGAGTACCATCGACGTCGAAAAGAACGAGCGTGTCTGGCTTTACTTTGTAGCTGAATTCTGGGGCAGTCATTATAGTCTGAACTGAGAGTAAAGTGAGTTTCTGCAGAAAGGCTCAGGGATTGAAAGAAAATAATCCTCAAACCTCAGCCTGAAGAGTAAATAAACCAGTTGTTGGTGTTTATATAATAAATATGGACAGTCGGGAACCGGCGATGTGGCCAAAACCTCCGGTGGTTCCCAAGAAGTGGAAAATTTTTGACAACAACGTGTTCGCGTCAGGAATGGTCGCAGGGTAATGAGATGTGCGAGGTGAAAAACGCGAAGAGGTGAAACGCGTTGATACGTGAGCCACGAGACCAAAAAGGTGCGAGAGATAGCGAAAAGTGATATGTACAAGGCTTCTGTATGTCTGAGGTGTCACAGCTGGCTTGGTGCCACTGTGAATGAGGCGACATGGTGGGAAAAAATGATCAAATGCATGGTTGGCCGAGTCAGGCATGATTCCCGCGTTTGTACCAAAGGCGTACCCACGCAAGCGGTATCCACGCCAGGAACCCAGTGGTCGATGCTTGCTACACTACCTGCGACCGTGGGACGCATAATCATGTTAAAAAGACAGGTTTCCAATTTTAAATCCTATACAAAAAAAACTTAAAAAAGGCTAGAGCCGCGTTTCAAACAAATCCACTCAAAACCTGTTGCTTAGGCCTTGGCGAAGTAGTCTGGGAACTCTCTGACGTTGTCTTCCAAAGAACCCTTCTTGGACAAGAACTTGACGAAAGCACCGTCGTCCTTGACTTCACCGGCATCTCTTCTTCTGACGTACTCGGCTCTGTTCAAGTTGGTGAAACCCCACTTCTTGGACATGATGATCTTTTGTTGACCTGGGAACTTGTAACGGGCTCTTCTCAAACCTTCAACAACAACGTCCTTGTTGCTGTCTCTGGTTCTGACGGAGAAGATAATTTGGCCAATGGCAACACGGGCAGCTAGACCGTGAGGCTTACCCCAGGCACCTCTCATACCTTGTTGCAATCTATCGGCACCGGCACACGACAACATCTTGTTGATTCTCAAAACGTGGAATGGGTGGACTCTGACTCTCAAGTGGAAAGCGTCTCTACCGGACATCTTGGTCATGTACTTGTTGGCACAGATACGAGCGGCTTCCAAGGCTTCGGACGACAATTGTTCCAATTCGTTGGAGACCAAGTGGACACATAGAGGGAACTCATCGACAGTCGCCTTCTTCTTACCCAAGTCGTAGATTCTGATCTTAGAGTCTGGGACGGCTCTGTTGTATCTAGACTTTGGGTAAGGCTTGTTCTTTTGGTATCTGTAACATCTAGCTGGTCTTCTGGCCATCTTGAAATAGAGTGCTGAGGTACTGAGGATCTGAGAAGAATGGGAGGAAAGAGTGGTAGTGAAATGGGAATGACTTAACTGATGGGAACTTTTTTTGTCAGTATTGGTGAGAACCTGATGGCGGATGACAAATTTGCGTTGTGCGTATAAAGTTACATACCGTCCCGTTAATAGCGACCCGAATTTCAGACACACCACGTGATATAGAAACTCGGGGCCAGAAGCCACAGTATCTGCTTTTTTCCCCTTTTGGTGAATTTTCTTAAATATTTTCAAAGAAGCATGTGATTTTTCAACAGGTGGCGGTGCTTGCAGAAGATGTATGGGTTACCAAAAAGCAGTCACAACCAAATTCGTGTCACATGGCTGGCGGCGTCAGTTTTGAGACTAGTGATATATATGGCTGACACTCAACGCGCCGGGACAGACCACACTGGCGGCGGCTTTGGGATAGGCGGACGTGCTGACAGTTCGCCACTGGGAGCGCTAGATCAGCTGTAAATTACCTAAGCGTTGATGGGAAAATTTCGCAGCACTCCAGGTCCATATCAGCTACATACACTTTGAGCGAGAGGGCTCCCAGGTTTCGGGCGTAGGGCCTGTGTTCAAGCTCTTACGCCAGGGTGCTTGCGGTCTCGTGCGAGCACATAACATGGCAATATTTTCAGAGAGCAGCGGGTAGGCGTTTGAACGCGCACTGGAGACCAAGACTAAAACATTTTTGGCAAGTGTGAACGGTTGACAGGGCCTGTTGATGCACATTTTGCAGCAATTTCCAGAACGCGTGGCACAGAGCGCGCAACAAAAGCGCTTGCCCATGCAGATTAGCAAAGACTCCGGAGCCCCGTAATACATTCGCGAGACTAACAAAGGGGAACGATGGGCATCGAACGCCGACAGATCTCGTGCCACGATCGGGTGGTCTACTTCGCCGGAACGAGCCGCTCATTCGCGCGTCTCCTTCCTTCAGTTTATCATGCTACTGCTGGTTAACGGTCGACGCTTGTGGATAGCCGCAGTGTCTCTCCGTTGGAGTGCCCAGCTGCACTTTTTCCCAAAGACAACATCTTTTCCACCCTCAATAAGGTGTGTTTTTCACAGGGGACCCGGCTCCCTGCGTTCTTGTGATCCCCAGCCGTTGATTACTTTGGAATAGAACCTAAAAACGCTCAAACTTTGAGCTACCTGCAATGCGCCAGTTATATGCCATTGCATCCAATTAGCATGATATCATCAACGCCTGGTCTCGTAGCCGCTAGTGCAAGACTCTATATCTGACATGCGAAGTTTCAGCACGGGCCTTCAGGCGCACTTTCCAGCGACACACCTTCAGGCGCACTTTCCAGCGACACACCTTTCCATCTTGCAGACAGCGCAACCAGCTATTCGAAGGCCGACCCAGCTAACACCTTGCTGAAGCCTACTCTTTCGTTTGTAGAGCGGCTAGTTCGTTATTGTTATTTCAGGCTTCGTTTGTTTTGATATGGAAAATTTTCTATGATGCCCATCTAACTAGCTCATCGCATCGAGAACATATACTTTATTATCTAGAGAGCAGTCAGAACTCAAGGCGTAAGAGAGCTCCTTTACCTTACCCAACTCCAGACTTGCAAAGATGGGAAGATACTCAGTCAAACGATACAAGACCAAGAGAAGAACCAAGGATTTGGACCTTATATTTAACGATCTAACGTCACCAGAAAGAATCCACCAACTGCTGAATCAACCTTTGGACGAAACTAAACCAGGTTTGGGACAGCACTACTGCATCCATTGCGACATTTATTTTGAAACGGCCTTCGCCCTCAAAACACATTTAAAAGGTAAGGTACATCGCCGCAGAGTAAAGGCGCTCAAGGGCGTGCCTTACACACAGGAAGTGTCTGACGCGGCGTCGGGGCTAAATTTACAGAAGTTTCTAGATAGAGTCCAGCAGATCGGTGAGCAAAAAGGGCCTCAAAAGGAGGCCAACGAGGTCCAACTAAAAGAGCACCTGGACGCCAACCTGGCGAACGTCGCCACCACAGAGCCCACGCTGCCTCATTTGGCGGAGGAACAACCGTTGGCTGCGAACCAACCTTCCGAAGGCACACAGAACGACATCACGATGCAATGAGGTTTTGCGGGCGGCTTGATTGCAGAGCAGTTGGTCACATAAGGATCGAACCTCTTTTCCGTGAGCGGGACGCATTGGGTTATGTACATTAGACGTAGCGGAAGACACTTTGATACATTTTTCTTTAATTTTCTTTGGAACGCCGTGACTACAATTACACACACACTGTATAGCCTGTCTGGGAGTCAGAAATACGTATTCTCTGACCTCTGCGTTTGTGGATCCTCAACTGCTCTGTCCAAAATCCACATGCCCCGTCTTTTCCGCATGCCGAGCCGCTTCCCGCTCTCCGATAATGATCTCGGAGCATACGTTACATTTGATACGGTCTCTTGCAGTGTTGAATGAGTAACCTCTCTTCTTCATGTCCAGGGCCACATCCTGAGCTCTTTCCAGTACCTGACCCAGCCTGTCGGACCCTTGATTCAAGACGCGCAGCTTTTCACCACTTGCTACCTTTAAAACCTCCATTGCATCGTAGTGTACCCCGTTAAATGCTACCATAATAAAGTCGGAGAATCGCTGTTCATTGAACTTTTCGAACTTAGCTGCATCCACATCTAGCACATACACGGACAGTTGCAACACTTTAGACAGCACCGCCAATTCAATGCCTCCTCCCCATGAGCTTTTTTTCAATATCCATTGTGAATACTCCCGATTCGGTCTACCAAGTATGGCATCTGAATACTCCATCGGGTCCGCCGCCACTTCAGACGCCACAATCTCCCTGTAAACTTGCGAATGCGACAGGTCGCCGTGGATGCAGTACGAAATGGCATGGAACATGCACGAATTATCGTCAGGAACAGCGTGTATCTGCAAAATTCGATCTGACCAAATCCCCTGCAGCGATATCTGGTTTTCTTTTAGCTTTCGAGGCACTTCATGTGACGGTGATTCTAAGCTGTGTGCGGAGGTCGACTCCAAGGTAAAATTGACCTTCTCGCCTGAAGCTATCCCCAAATCTTCCAGCTTTTTACCTAAATTAGTTTCTTGCGTCAAATCCACCACCTGGGGAGGGTACCCAAACCTACACGACGCGAAGGGCTTCCCCAATTCCAATTCTTCCGAAACCGTTTTCAATAGCTCAGAGACCACACAATCATTGCTTACAGTGACAACTCTGGTACCAAATTCCGGGCAGCTGACTTTGATTCTCATGTTGACGGCGTGTGCTACTACCTTGGCATAGCTTGTTGCCATCGCTAACCAGTCCTAATTATTTAGGTGACTTCTCCCTCACATGCATGCTTTAATATCACTGCAAACGTCAGCTCGGCCTTATCATGACTTCAGGCACTCGCATTCTTGGAAATACCTCGACATTACCAGAACCTTATGCATTTTATTGATTGTTGTCTCAATTCAATCGGATCCTTTCATATCACTAGTGGCGCAAAGTCATAGAGTTGAAGTCTCCCTGGATGTTAGTTTCGGCCGTATCCTGCGTCGCAGCAACACTGAAACGGGACAACTAAGAACCAAAAACCCTTTCAGGATACCATAACTTCCCCAGACACCTAACCGACAATGTTCTTTAAAGTGCAGAATGGCAGATCTTTTTCATGTCCCTCAGAAGCTATTTTCTCGGTTTAATTTTTTCTCAATCTTTGGCGTCAGCGGACCCGCGCCTAAGCAAGCTCATCGATGCCATAATAGATGAGAGCGTCAAATTTTTCTTTGAAAGAATGGCGATGAGATGAGGAAACGGTTAGTACGGACCAGGCCAGCTGGCGAGAAAATTGGTGATTTTTGTCGAGAAGTTGAATTGAGCTCAGTTGGCGTTAGAAAATTCACTGGAAGCAAGCAGCTTTACCGTGCTTCTACCACACTCGCATGCCACCAAGTTGAGCATAGGATTCACATACCATGAAATCAACTTCACAACTAAACCAAGCGGCCACGGACTATAGTTTCAGCCCACGTGTACCTCTAAAACTGTACTTGACGACATGCGTCGGTCTACTGGAAGAAGCACAGGGGGCGTTCCAAGTGGGTAACGTGGAGCGGTCGTACATAATGTACGTTCGATACCTGGATCTGTGTATGAAGAAGCTGCCTTCGCATCCACAGCTGGCCGGAATGCGTTCTCACACAGAGGACGATTTGGCCAGGAAAGAGTACTTGCAACTGTTAAAGTTGGAGGTCCCCGCCATACTCAAAATCTCAGAAGATCTGCGATTGCAACTGGATAAAACATTTGCTCAGCAGGCAACGACGCTGGCCGCCAACGTTCCCAAATCACGTTTGTTGCAAAAAGAGACTGTGGACAAAGTAGAACTGCCGTCCAGCTTCGACGAGGCGCGCTTCAGACAGTCCATATCTACTTTCCAAAGACATACGGAAAACGCGGGTTCCACTGTTCCGTTGAGACAAAGAGAGTCACAATTGGTTTACCCAGAATTACCACAATTAAGTCAGCCGTTTTATGCATCCTACTGATCATCGTTTTTCACCGGTCGTTATGATCGTCTTCAGTTCACTTTACCATTCTCCAAATCACGTATTAATTAAGTATTTCACAACATCCTTCAATTCCGCAGCGTTTGCTGACCCGGTTTTTCGCGTAGTGTCGTTCACCACACCTACCAGCTGGTCAAGTTTATGCAAAAATTCTTCGGTCTCAGCCAGTGAAACTTCGCCATCGATCAGTTGGTCCATCAGGTACCGCATATAACGTTGATGCTGTTTTTTCTTGCGAGCGTCAAGGTCAAAGGTTTCGTCCGAGCTCGCATGTCTGTTTAGCCATTCACGAACCGTCAAACGTCTTGTTTCGCCTTTGGCAGCATTTTTTAAGGGAAGCGCACCATCAAATTCGGTTTCAAACATCGTTTTGAAATGGGATAGCATTTGATTTATAGACGCATCATTCGCGCCTGAAGAGAAGCTACTATTGGATGCTTCAATCAGGCGCAAAATTCGGTGTTCCCTGGCAAGCACAATAAGTAGGAAAAAAAGATTCAGCATGAGTAAGATATTGGTCACAGTGATTCCACTGAAAAACCCAGGTTTTTGAACTGTTATATCGTTATTCTGTGACTTTTCTTCAACGACTGCTGCAGTCGACTGAAGTTGGGGCGTTTTGTTCGAAATGCGACTTACACGCCTACTTTGAGGCTGCTTCTTCCGGGGCGTTTGCTTCACTTCTGTGCTTGACTCTACCGTAAAGTCATTGACAAATGTCTTCAAAAGCTCAATAAACTGTTCAGTAGCCTCAACTTGGCCAGCCTTACAACTTTTGTCAATCATTGCTTTGATCCAGCTACCCCCGGTCCAGTCAACCCAAAATGACACCCTAAGGATACTGGTAGTTGCCGAGGCCCAGCGCATCATGTACCTCGTTTTCACGGAAAAGCTATTTCCACTGGGCACATCTGGAGTTTTGGTTGTGTTAACGACATTAATACAGTTTTCGTAATCTAACGTCAAAACAGTTTCTAAAGCATGGCATTTGGTAGACTTTGGACCCACTGCATAGTTTAAAGCCTTCGTGTAAGTATATTCACGATATTGCTGCCCATCCTTGTTGACTTGGTCAAATGCAGGAATTGTCGATAAGTTAGACGAGTTTTGACCCTTCAGAAACATCTGGAGAAAGTCAGTTTTATCGCTACTAAAGATTAATTGATAGATGACGCCAGGAGGAGCATCGAATTCCACTTCTGCTAGCACAGTTTCGTTGTTGGCTTCTGGATCATACAAAAATGGCGTCTCTTGGAAAAAAGTGGGCCCATCATATTCAAACCCAGTCTCAGATTTGAGCCCATATACCTTCTGGGATGAGGTGCGAGCTTGGGACGATTCCTCAGAATCACTTCCATCCTCTATCGCCCCCTCATCTTCACTTTCACTTTCACTTTCGTCGTCATCATCATTGCCGCTTTTTCTCGACCTTTGCTTTCCCATTACGATAGTTGGGGTGAAGTCATCTACTGAGAGAATGGCCTCTTCAATTTCAGCATCATTGTCACTGACCATCGAGGCGCGACTAGGAGGAATATCGAAAGGGGTTTCTGTAGATAGCGTGGTTGCTACTAAGTCACTCTGTGATCGTTGAAGATTCTCTCGAAGGCTGGATACACGGGCTGCTTCACTGTTCAGATCAACAGCCTCGCTGACTGGAGAAGCCCTGCACTTACCCCATACCGTCTTGATAAACTCAAAAGTAGGGTCTCTTGAAATAAAGCTCACAAATTGGTGTCTTCCTAGTCGAGTTTCGATGGCAATTCCATTAGGAAACAGACCAGCGGTTGAAGTTTTTTCAATAATAGTGATGTCTTTCATTGCAATGACAACATGCGTAACCCAACCGAGTAGGTTTGAGTTGAAACATAGGTTAGTTTCTGTAACATAAAGTCTTCCTTGGAATAAAAATTCTCGACTCAATGCACAGCTAAAGTCATCGAGAAGACGATCGTCCTCTGGAATAGATTTGAAAATGCGATGAAGTTCTGCATTTCGTTCATCGAGGGCATAATGATAGTCAGTACCAGCGAAGCGTTCTTCCACGTAGAGTTTTTTGTTGAACTCCGGGGCCACTGCATTGGGTTTTTGCATTTGTTGCAAGGGCGAGGTAGGCGAGTGAGTGCTGTCGGTACTCACGGAACGCTTAGAACGTTTGGTTGGAGTTGCTTTACGATATGTTATAATTCCTGGCTTAGATTGAACTCCTGACTCCGACAGCGCTCTGGAATGAGATGAGGCATTAGCAGAGGGGGGAACGGAATTTTTCAAATTGAAACTTGTCAGCATGTTGTTCAGAAAGGAAGTATTAGAAGCGTCTGATTCGTCCTCACCAAGAGTTGTCTCTGCTATTTCCTTAAGATCGTTGAGCTTGGAATCTTTCGTCGAATCGATAATCTGGTTGACAGAATTCAGGGCTGTGCCATTTTTAGTTGGCGGACTATTAACACCAGTTATTGGATCCAAAGCCGTCAATTGAGGGTCAGCAGGTGATGACTTCAGGGCAGTATTGTCAACAGATGGAATCGAATTGCGGCTTGAGTTTTGAAGCGAACGAATCGGCGATTCAGAAATCTTCTTCTGGCCTGAGCACTCGATAGGCAGGGGCAGTTCAGATGAACTTTCTGTGCGTTTTTCAATTACCGGGGCTTCATCATTGTCATCATCAACTGGATCCCAGTTTTCGAAATCCGAGGTCGACATGGATGCCCGCTTCGTGTTTTAAGTAAGTGGCGCCTGAGTTGGAGTCCGAAAATTTTGGGAAAAAGCTGGGTGGGGCACTTTTATCTAGTTACTCAGCTTTTCAAAGCGGCACTTTCACTTCGACTGGTAGAAATTACGGTAAAATGGTCTTTAGGATAGTGTCCAAAAGAAGAAGTTATACCGAATATCTTGATGCTCTTTCAGTTATATGGTCTATTGCTCACGCCTTTGATGGTTGAAGGACCATCAACAAAAGTCTCAAGCAAATCTACGCCCACAAATGGAGATGATGATGATTCACTTTTATTTTCTTGTGATCCAATCAATAAGTTTCCCCTATGCCACGTTGGAAGCACTTAATGATGGGGCGAGCACTAACTAGAAACCGAACGTTACAAAATTTGGCACCGAAATTTTGAAATGATAGACCCTCAGGTTCTGAGTCGTTGGAGTAAGCTCTGTTCACTACCGGCGATTTCAACACCCTACTTCTCTTGCGTCAAGTCTCAGAGCGAACTTAATATACACACTTAATAAGTAATATAGAGCATTATGTACGCGGTCGTGGTAATATTTTGAGACCCTTGACCTTATACTGTTGGCGGTTTCTGATTGTGGACTGACACCATATAGACTTTGCTTCATGATTAATCTAATAGCTTTCAAACGTTGTCCAGTCTATTAGTTCTCTTTTCTACTTCGAGTTAGTAATGTTTGGGTATTAAAAGGTCAGCGGCTAATTTATTGGTATTAGTTTCACATCCAATCGCTACTTGCTAAGTTGCAGCTAACATAAATGGGAAGCTTGGAGATGATGTAAGTACACCGTAACTCGCCGAGTGTAGGTTTAGACGCCTATCTTCTTTCGATGTCTATGAGATCGTCGTTATAAACGCCAGGTATCAAATAGCAGGTGTATCCCTTCTTTTGATAGACGAACCTACCTCTACTTTCAGAGCACTCTGTGCCTACATACCAACAATCAGTGTTAGACAGCTTTAAAAGCAGTCTGATCAATCTAGGCTAAAGCGGAACATAGCGAGACTGTACAACATAGAAAATGTGTCAACATCCCAAGTCACTCAATAAAAATAATGTTTTTTCGAACGCTCTCAAAGCAAAGCGATGTGGTTATTGACCTTGGCCAAAGCGTATCATGGGGGGTTCGCTGATCCCAATATTTTTGTTTTTGGTGAAAGCCGGAGACTAAGGTCACAATAACATCGGCTTGAACCGCATTTTGGCAAGAAAAATGAAGAAAACTCTCGAGGTCTGTTGAAAACATTGTCACGCCAGGCATCATAGATTTGATCTCTCACAGCAATATTAACAGTTATTTTCTTTTGTTTAATATCTGTTTGGGATACAGCCTGCTTTTGCTTGGGCGTACTTTGAATCTACGCTTTTCAGCCATATGCTTATTTATATTGCGGCTTTCCACGGTAAGACTCTGCATTTAGGAACTCCAAGTAGCCTTACTTTGTGGTGGTACAGATCTTACGATCTTTGTGTCGAATTACCCAGGAAGAATTCATTGTCAATAAACTGAAGTACTATACAAACGGCTCACAGGAAACCGAGTGTCAATGGGGTTGAAGATGATCGGCTGAACTAGAGCTCAACTCTCGCACTATCAACACAGATCATTTCGTAGGAGGTGAGCACAATCAGAACAGCACCGGTTATTTAGAATTGGAAGTTCATATTGGAACGCATAACGGAATAGTTACTCCACACGCGAGTTTCTGACAGGTGTTGGTCCAGATCGCAGATCTCATTTGCTGAATGACAACGGCAGTTGAAATGCTGCAAAATAATGGCTTGGCCAGCCCTGAAAGGCACAATTCGACAGTAGGCAATGGACTGAAATCAAGTGAGAAGCTCGGCAATAATATCCATACTGGAACAAATAAGGATATGGACAATGACAGTCAGCATTATGGAAATAGTTCAGTCTCTAAAGCCCCAGAACTTCCACATGTGGAAGTGAATCAGTTGCCAATAGCACTGCTGATCAGGAATCTCACAGTGTTTTCTGTGAAGGAATTGGTCCAGTTTTTAAAGACTAGCGTTCATGAGGGCCAAGATACGAGCGTCAAGAAAACTTCATTTCTACAACTGGTGATTTTTTTGAGGAATCAGTTTCTTAAAATCTACGTTCTTGTAAAATGGTGTCGAACAATCAAAAACAACAATTTTAACACCATGATTGATCTGCTGAACTGGTTTCGAGGCTCCAACATGGCTGTCAACAATTGCATATGGGCTTTGAAGGCTAGTTTGGCAGGGATGCTAAATGCAAAGCTTCCGAATCCCGACCTCGTCACCGCATTGGAAGTCTTAAGTCTAGGCCGGCCCAATCTCCCGACACACAGTTTCTCGCTAAGCGGGGAGGAAGAATCAGAGAAAGGACCCAAAGGCTTCTCGGTTCCTTCTAAACTGATTTTGAAAAAGCTTCGCGATATGAACATTATCATGTCCGTCAAAGTATCGCTTATGGAACTTCCCGATCAGTTCAAACAGTACACGGTTCGCGACGGACGGCTTGTGATTCATGTAGAAAATGAATTTGAGGTGCAATTATCCACGACTGATCAGCGCTCGCCGTTGTTTTTTGTTGACCTGAAACTGCTTTTTAATGAACTGCTCCCACTTAACAAATATAAGTTAGAAAAGGTTATCAACGAGGTTTTGTTCAAAAGTCCCCGTCCCTTGTTCGCCCTTTACCGACTCTTGCATAACTATGTTCTGTCCGTCCAGATGTACATTTTACATGCTGAGTTATTGGACCTGGAGTCTAATAGCAAATATTCAGGTGGGAATCTCAAACATCACTATGATTCCAGAAAGAATGGTATCACCTTAAAATACTGGTTGCACAGTAGGCTTAAGGGAAAATGCAACGCAATTATCGGCGTTGACAAAGAAAGTGGAAACATTACTCTCAAGTGGAACATTGAAGATCTCCCCGAGGGTAATCCCTTGGTACCAGTACGGTATTCTAATGTACTGAATAATTTGGGCAATATTCTAGATGAAATTATGTTCAATCATTCTCAGATAATCAAATCCCAATTGCTATCCACTGAAGTTTTACATGAGGAAGAGGACATATCGGACGCTTTGCTATTCCATGTACCATCTACTCCAGCATCTGTCATTCCAATACAAATTAAAATTAATCCAATTAGTGGCATCTTTTATGCAAAAAATCCCAGTGGACTGCTCACTTATTACATCAATCAAATTAATAAAACAACCACCACTGATGATTTCGTCAAGGTCTTGAACAGGCTCAAACTCGACAAGACCATATCGATATTGAAGAACATGTTCGAAAAAGTCGGCTGGGTTTGTAACAATGTCATCAAGCTAAACGCACCTATCTCAATAGAGTCGACGGGGACGCAAAAGATGTTGTCGCGTGATTTATACATTCGACTCCAAAACTGGCCTGCCAATTGGTATCTGATATTAAGCGTTATTTCTTCCAATGCGTCATGCGCCCTCGAAAAAAGGATAGGAAAAATAACAGCTTCAAATGGCAACTGGGAGCTCAAATATTTAGATACCAAAAATGTTGCGACCTTGAAGTTGGAGTCAATGACATATCAAAAGGTTATACATTTGAAGAAAACTAGCCTACACTCCATTATTGATCATATGATAATTGACTCGCTAAATGGGCTGCACATGCGGAATAAAATCTGTGCAGGTGACAGTTTGGACGCTGTTCCTGAGTACATATTCCAAGATAATAGCTCCAACCAAACGTCGGTCTTAAGCATAGAGCTAGAATCATTCTTAGGTGGCCCAAATGCATTGAACAACCTTTTGGAGAAAACAATGTTTTTACGGATCGATTACCAAGAAAACAAAATAAAGCTTTTCGGAAAATTCAAGCACAACAGCAAAATGATATGCAATCAATACAACGAGGCTCTTATGCAGTTCATTGACAAAGATTCTCTCTCCTTTTTCATGACCGAGACGTTTATCGATTTAAACAATATTGTTCAGCACTTCAACCCTTTCAAGCAAAAGCTTATGCAGATTGTGACACTTACAGATGTCATTGAAAGGCTACACAATTTCTACTCAGAAAACTTCAGCATTGTGGCCCTCAAACCCAACGAAATCTCTTTCAAATATCTCAAGCATAGCAATGACGAGTATGACTGCTTGATCCACATTCAAACTACTGACCACAGTGTTGAGAATTTAGACGTGAAGCTTTCGCCTTCCAATCCTCAATACATCATCCAGCCATTCATAGAGTCCAGTAAGCAGGATTACAAGTTTGTGTTCAATTACTTGCAATTTACCTCAGGGTTCTTTGGGGTTGTCGAATCCATCCTGAGTACTGCTGGCCGCAACTCCTCTCAAGCCTCTAACGGCTACTCCACCCTTGCGCTCCAGCTGCACAACCTCTCAGAATACGAGTTAATATACTACAATGCTGAGGTCAATTCTAAGATCACTTTGATGATAGAGCTTCGAAACGTCTTCCTGAACGGCTCCCAGCGACTGCGGTACTATGTGCACTTTGCCGACGACGAGCACATCTCTAGCAAGAGCCCTGCATATCCACTTGTGCACCGCGTACGAAACACCGTTTTCATGGTAGATAACTCTTCCTTGGTTAACAGCGATACGATTTCCAGTCTGGGCTCTCCTAAGAAGCCGAAGATCGCTTCTGCCATCAGGCTAACTGACGGAATTTGTTGTGATGCTACAGATATCGAGCTCGTGATCAAAGAAATCAACAGCATTCTCAGGGTCAACTCCATCTAATAAATAGACCTACATCGAGCAAACCTACTCACACGCACACTGGGTAGATAATATCCGGTATACATTGATTTGCTTGGAGAACAATTTTTCGAACTTTTTCGAAAAAAGAGTTCTATCGGCAGGGGCGCTCATCTTCTCTACCTAGCGGCAAGAGATTCAGTACTGTTTATGTTTTACCCTGGGTATCCACTAGACTAGTGGGCCATCCTAGTTATCTCAAGGTGTTATATATTTCCCCTATATAGTTGGCTTCAGCGCACTGGCAACGATAGCATTTCGTCGGCACGGTTATTGCCTTTTGCAGCTATGAGCATCAGTTTCGGGATATACCTAATGTGTGGTGCTCGCCTCTTGTCAAATAACATTTTTTATAGCAACTGATGCGCTAGCCCGAAAGAGTCACGTAAAAGGAAAGCGTTGAACATACCTCAAGCAAAGAGAGAAAACACAATGGTAGTCTTGGATCATGTGCAGTATATAAAACCTATGCCAACTACTTGAACATCTTACCTACCTTGATTGAACGTCTTCCTCGCTATAGCCATTAAGACATCATGGTAGAAGAAAGCCAAAAAGCAGTGGTATTGCTACAAAAAGGAGAAATCAAAATCGAGGATAGACCTATTCCGAAGATTGAGGATCCGCACTTTGTGAAATTGCATATCAAGAAAACGGGAATATGCGGCTCTGATGTCCACTATTATAAGACGGGCGCCATTGGCGACTTTGTTGTGAAGAAGCCCATGATTTTGGGCCATGAATCCAGCGGAGTGGTGGTTGAAATAGGCGACAAGGTTACCAGTGTTAAGGTGGGTGATAAGGTTGCTATTGAACCTGGAATCCCTGGTAGGTATTCGGACGTCACTAAGGGTGGAAGATACAATTTATGTCCAGAAATGGCATTCGCGGCGACTCCGCCTATTGACGGCACGCTTGTCAAATATTACTTGGCACCTGAGGATTTTGTGGTCAAGCTTCCAGACCACGTTTCGCTTGAAGAGGGTGCTCTGGTGGAGCCCTTGTCTGTAGGTGTTCACGCCAATAGACTTGCCAAAGTCAGTTACAACCAGAAGGTTGCCGTATTCGGTGCTGGTCCAGTTGGCCTGCTAACAGGTGCAGTAGCCCGTGCGTTCGGTGCTAGTGAAGTTGTTTTCGTAGACGTTTTCCTCAACAAGCTGGAGCTATCCAAGAGTTTCGGCGGAACCAAGTTTGTGGATTCGTCCAAGTTCAAGGATGAAAACGATTTGATTGCAGAGGTCGAGGGTGCCCTCGGAGGTGCACAACCAGAGGTCGTTTTTGACTGCACTGGAGCCGAAGTGTGTATCCGAGCCGGTGTTAGAGTCTGCAAGTCGGGTGGGACGTATGTGCAAGTTGGAGCAGGAAAAGAGAATGTGAATTTCCCCATTGTCGCCCTTATAGCCAAAGAATTGAAAGTTCTCGGATGCTTCAGATACTCCTTTGGTGATTACCGCGATGCCGTTCAATTGGTTGCTAACGGGCACGTCAATGTCAAACCTCTAGTGACACACCGCTTTAAATTCGAGGAAGCCATCCAAGCTTATGATTTCAATGTGCAGTCTGGGTCCGAGGTCATAAAGACCATTATTGATGGGCCAGAATAATGTGGTGGGGTGCACCTTACGGGAGAAGTGCTACGCTATATAATGGAATAAAAGAACGAGGCGGAGAGCGCCTTTAGTATATTATGCCTTAGGAGAGCGTGATAGAGCCAGCTCGTGAACGCATCAGAAGACCCGTTCAACTACCTGGCATCCACACAGGAATGGTGTATATACTATCAAGGAGCTCTGTGCGCTTGGCCTACCGTTAAAATGTGGCAATGAAAAGAATGACATTTAGGATGTAAGCTGAGTATAGCAAGAAGTTCCGCATCACATCCAGCCTGATAGCGACCTGGCTAGAATGGGCAAAAAGTCGATTATGGAGATCCCGAAAGGTATGTATACTTTACAGGCCTGGGAGCGTGAGTTGATTTATAGAAGTTGGGAATACCGCTTCAATTCTACACGACGATGTTGGAAGGAGTTTCCAACACTAACGTAAGGAGGAAGCCACGACGTACGCCCATCCTTCGTCCCTAGTGTTCCTGTGGAGCGGGTTTACTAAAGGATTATGGATGTCTTCCATAAGAGTCTCTACCGAGAGACAGGGTGTATCCTCATGAATACAGTCATCGAACAGCTATATGTTTCGCGAATAAAGGGGAGAAAGCCCAATGACAAGGAGTACGCCAAACTCTCGAGGAGACTAGCTTGAAAGATCATAACACTGAGTACGGGTTATTTATTATTATTAGCACGAGACAATTTTCCATGTCGACCGGACAGCAGAGAAAGTAGGTATTGACTTTAATAAAGAGCTACAGAAGTACTGTTTCTATTGAGTGTTCTTTACTTACTGTCGCAATCTTTTGATTGTATTGTCGAGCTTATTTGCAATTCTTTACTCAAAATATTTTGTGTCATCGTGCATCGTTGTGACAGTTTTTTATCAATATTACCTTAGCATTCAATGGTCTTGCGCCACCTAGCCAGTGAAGCTCAGAAGGCATTCTCCGAAGGCTTTATGCCTTGTAAGTAAACAGTAATGAGAACACTTAATGAATGAATGACGCAGCCGTCTATAATTACAGAGATGGTAAGGAGCATATAGTACGAAATGGTTATGTAATTCAATGAATAGCCAATTTGTAAATTTGATAATGGCACCCAGTTTGTGTCATAGCATAGCATGAAAAATGGTTTTAAGCCATAACGTTCACGAGGAGCATCGTACATAGACCGTACATGGTATCATCGTACTGGGTATCATCGTACTGCCGGGGGTTTTGAAAAGTATATTATTCCTTGTGACAAATTCATATCAAAGTCATCTAGAGGTCGAAACCTGCTATTATGAGAAGCATAGGCCTCACAACATTATTTGCTTGCCTCGTGCTGCTGATACGATGGGCGGCAGCAGGCCAGACCCACGAATATAACTTCACAACTGGCTGGGTACGAAGAAACCCGGATGGTATGCACGAGAAGATGATGATCGGTTTTAATGGTGAATGGCCAATTCCAGATATCCACGTCAATAAAGGTGATCGCCTCATCGTGCGGCTAACTAATGGGTTTGACGACCAGCCAACATCATTGCATTTCCATGGTTTCTTTCATCGGAACGTGGACGAGAATTCCAACCAGATGGATGGCCCTCAGATGGTAACACAATGTCCCATCATGCCTGGAGACACGTATGTGTACAACTTCACGGTCGACAACCAGGTTGGCACGTATTGGATGCACTCACATTCCGGAGCGCAGTACACAGACGGAATGAGAACTGCTTTGATAGTTCACGACGAAGACGAGCCGTTTGAATACGATGAAGAAATGATCATTCAGCTCAGTGACCACTACCATAAACCGTACTACGAGGTCATGGATGAATTCCTCACCCGCTACAACCCTACTGGTGCTGAGCCTGTTCCTCAAAATATCCTCTTTAACAATACGGTAAATGCTTCGATAAGTTTCGATCCTGATACCGTCTATCTCCTGCGGTTCATTAACGTCGGCAATTTTGTGTCTCAATACGTTTACTTGGAAGATCACGAATTTACTATTGTCGAAGTCGATGGTGTTTACGTCACACCAAACACCACCAGTTTGTTGTATTTAGCCACAGGCCAGCGTACCACGGTTTTGGTCCATTCCAAACCCGAGAGCAATAAAAATTACGCACTGATGCAAATTATGGACGAGACCATGCTTGATGTTGTAACTCCAGGTTTGATATTGAACAGAACCAATCAAGTTCTCTACAATGGTGAGGCACCATTTGCTGATGAGTACTTTATCGATAGCTTTGATGGGGTCACGAATGATTTTTACTTGACGCCCCTAGAAAAGACGGCACTGCTTCCTGATTATGACTATCAAATCACCTTGGATGTGAAAATGGATAATTTAGGTGATGGCGTTAACTACGCTTTCTTCAACAATATTTCTTATGTTGCTCCTAAAGTTCCAACTCTGGTGACCGCGATCACCGCACCAAAGCATCTTGTGAAGAATCCCTCAATTTATGGTGAAAATGTGAATCCATTTATCCTGGAGTATGGGGAGGTTGTAGAAGTCGTTGTTAACAACTATGACGATGGCAGACATCCATTCCACATGCACGGGCATAATTTCCAAGTCGTTCAAAAATCTCCGAGCTTTTTGGAGGACCCCTCGGGTAATGGCGAAGATGGTGAACCGATTCCTTATAATAGCAGCTCACCGTTGATGGAATTTCCTGACTTTCCCATGCGTAGAGACACTGTTGTTTTGGAGCCAAATGGGCATATTGTACTAAGGTTTGTGGCCAACAATCCGGGCATCTGGATGTTTCACTGCCACGTCGATTGGCATCTTGAACAGGGTCTCGCGGCTCTTTTCATTGAGGCTCCTTTGCAATTGCAAGCAAACGAAGCTTTAACTGAAAACTTCAAGCAAGTTTGTTCGACAGGTGACGTGCCAGTAGCAGGGAATGCTGCTGGGCATGTCGACGATTGGCTAAATCTGGCAGGGCTTCCAAGGCAACCCGATCCTTTGCCGGAGGGCTTCACATGGAAAGGTTATGTTGCGTTTGTCATGTCATGCTTTGTTGGTATCTGGGGTCTCCAGACCATCGTGCATTATGGACTCAGCGAGTCTATTCAAGATGATGAGTCAATGTACAACAAACTTAAGGAATTACTTGAGGAGCCAGCGGAATCAAATTAGGGCGATAAGCCAGAAAATGGTGTTTTCTCAACTAATTTCGGTTGTGCAAAGTGAAGCTTCGTTGATCCAACTAATACTCGGTGGCTTCAACTTCTCACTTCTTTTTTATTATGCTGTCGACTCTCGGCTGTAATACCACGAGCACAATATCTTAACAGATCATATTTCAATATTAGGTGCTTCAAGGACTATTTGCTCACCAACTAAGATGGTGATCCCGAGTTACACCACTAGATTTTTACCTTTTTGCATACCTCGTTAAGTATTTGGTCCGGTTTGGTGTAGTGACTGACACTCCACGCTAAACCCTCTTGTAGATTCGCTCGCAGTGGACGCGGTGAATTTATGATTTTTAATTTCAATCAATTCTTTGCACTTTTCTGATAATTTTTGCATTGGCTTTTGGCCTTTCAGTCCGCTATCGAATATTGGCCCCATGTTGACTCAAGTTTCCTGTTTAAGCCTGTTGCCATATAAAGACGCATTGTCCATTTAAGCCTTGATTGCTAAAGTGCCACCGTCTTAGACAACGCTAATATGGTTCTCAAATGCAAGCTAGCGATGCCACATTTCAACTTTTATTCTCGGTTGATCAGGTCGTGGTAATCTCTGCGGCATGGGTGTAGGGACCAATAAATGAGCTACTCAGCTACGAACACTGTAAACCAATTACCAATCTTACGTACCATCACCCATCCTTCCTCATGTTTTCCAAGGCCGGAATATCACGTTAGCTTAGCAATCTCGATCGGAAGCTCGATTTGAAGCTTGATGGAAATACGCTGTTACTTGACAACTTTGTATAGTGTTCCGAAGATGTTTGGATTCAACACAAAGATGCAAGAAATGGCTGTTCCACATTTTGCATCCCTGGCATGAGCTTTATTGTACGTTCTCATTAGCCGATGTACCAAAGTCTCCGAGTGATTTTATCAGCGGCAGGTGGTTGTCGCCGGTAAGAAGTGGCCGTAAGAGACTTTGGGGCCTATGAACACCCAATTAATATATTACCACAATCAGCTACTATTGCGATCTGGTACTCATTACGGCTTGAAGTAAAAGTCTTATTGTTTGTTCATTTTCTCCTGCTTCTCAGAGGCCCTCTGCATTGATCATGGATGATTACTTTAGTTCCTTTCAAGGATTGAGACAAAGAGCATGAACCAAGATTTCACAATCGATATACAAGAAAGCTCACATTAAAGATTAATCAATCAAATTATACATGCAATTAGAACTCTGCGAGCTTATAGCCTACCTCAAATTCAACCTCAAGGATAGTAACTACTGAATTACTCGTAGACCAATAAATCTGGTTTGGATTCAGTAGAGTCTATGTGTCACCTAACCCAATTGAACAGCTATCCGGGTCTGGCTTGGCATTCAAGTGCTGTGATTGTTAGCCAGGCCCACCAACCTTAACATAAACCGCCCAGGAAGTTCTCTCACAGTGTACTCAGCGCCTAATCTAAATTAACTGGTAGCCTTTTGTACGAAGCTGTTATTATTGACAGTAAAATTTTGAAATTGTCTAGTGTGTAAAGATCCTGTAGCATTCAAAAGCTCTCCAAAATCTGCGGTTTGGAGCTCTATGGCCATGCTGGGAAGGATTGCCTCCAATGGGATAAATGCTTCCGTAGGTTTTCTAAAGTCGGGCCTACCAAAAAGCTGCAGGAAAAGCCTAATCAATGGTCATCGTAATATTCATGCATCCCGTTCGCTACAGTCCTATGAAGATGAAAAGGCCATTTTGGAAGAGATGGCACCTAGGTTGACCGACAGAGATCGTCATACCTCGAGCATTTTGCGTAATATTGGTATTTCTGCTCATATTGACTCTGGTAAAACAACTTTCACAGAGCGTGTACTCTTCTACACTGGTCGTATCAAGGCTATCCACGAAGTGCGTGGTCGTGACAACGTTGGTGCGAAGATGGATTCTATGGATTTGGAAAGAGAAAAGGGTATCACAATTCAATCTGCTGCCACCTACTGTTCCTGGGACAAAGACGGCCAAAACTACCATTTCAACTTGATTGATACTCCGGGCCACATTGACTTCACTATCGAGGTCGAGCGCGCTCTGAGGGTTTTGGATGGTGCTGTGCTGGTGGTTTGTGCAGTTTCCGGGGTTCAGTCGCAAACTGTAACTGTCGATCGCCAAATGAGGAGATATAATGTGCCAAGGGTTACCTTCATCAACAAGATGGATCGTATGGGTGCAAACCCTTTCAGGGCTATTGAGCAAATTAACAGTAAATTAAAAACTCCTGCGGCAGCGCTTCAAGTCCCCATTGGTGCCGAATCTGAGCTCAAAGGTGTGGTTAACATTATTGATCGCGTGGCATTGTATAATGAAGGAGCTAAAGGTGAACACATTGTGACGGGCCCTGTTCCTAATGAACTAAATGACTTGGTTGAAGAGAAAAGAGCCGTTCTCATCGAGACCTTGGCCGACGTCGATGACGAAATTGCCGAATTGTTTTTGGAAGAACAGGAACCTTCAGCTGATCAAATTAAAGGTGCTATCCGTAGAGCTACTATTGCTCGTAAGTTCACGCCTGTTCTCATGGGTTCGGCTTTGGCCAATAGAAGTGTACAGCCTGTTTTGGATGCCATCGTTGATTACTTGCCTAATCCTTCCGAGGTACTTAATACAGCACTAGACATCTCCCGGGGAGAAAGTAAAGTTAACCTGATTCCGTCAGTCTCTGAGCCATTTGTTGGTTTAGCCTTCAAACTAGAAGAAGGCAAGTATGGTCAATTAACTTATATTCGTGTCTACCAAGGGCGTATGAGAAAGGGTGGTTACATTACCAATATCAAAACTGGAAAAAAGGTTAAAGTTTCTCGTTTAGTAAGAATGCATTCGAATGACATGGAAGATGTTGATGAAGTTGGCTCTGGCGAAATTTGTGCCACTTTTGGTATCGATTGCGCCTCCGGTGATACTTTTACCGATGGATCCTTGGAATATTCCATGTCTTCCATGTACGTTCCTGATGCTGTCATTTCACTTTCAATCACACCAAATTCAAGAGACTCAGCAAATTTCTCGAAAGCTCTTAATCGCTTTCAAAAAGAAGATCCAACGTTCCGCGTACGATTTGATCCCGAGTCTAAGGAGACCGTCATTTCAGGAATGGGTGAATTGCATTTAGAGATTTACGTTGAAAGAATGAGACGTGAATATAACGTAGAGTGTACCACTGGTAAGCCTCAAGTTTCGTATAGGGAGTCGATCACGATACCTGCAGAATTTGACTACACTCACAAAAAGCAATCCGGTGGTGCTGGTCAATACGGTAGGGTCATGGGTTCTTTGAGCCCGCTTGAAGGTTCTAATGGCAATAAATTCGAGACCGCCATTGTCGGTGGCCGTATCCCAGATAAGTACTTAGCTGCATGTGGTAAGGGATTCGAAGAAGCTTGCGAAAAGGGACCATTAATTGGCCACAGGGTTTTATCTGCTCATATGTTGATCAATGATGGTGCTATCCACGCCGTTGACTCTAATGAATTGGCCTTCAAGACCGCTACCATGGCCGCTTTTAAGCAGGCATTTATGGAAGCAAGACCTGTGATTTTGGAACCAGTTATGGCTGTCACGGTAACGGCCCCCAATGAATTTCAAGGAAATGTGATCAGTTTGCTCAACAAATTACAAGCTGTCATTCAAGACACTGAAAATGGTCAAGATGAATTCACAATCAGTTCCGAATGTTCGTTGAATACGCTTTTCGGATTTGCGACTTCGCTGAGGTCGTCCACACAAGGTAAGGGTGAATTTTCTCTAGAGTTCAAGCACTATTCTCCAACTTCTCCTCACTTGCAAAAGCAACTGATTGCGGACTATGAAAAGGCTCAGCAACAGCAGAAGAAGTGATCGGTGTTAGTCATCCGTTCAGAGAAACTCAAAAACTTATAATTCTATCCTGTTAATATATAAAAAGATGTAAATAGCCGTTATGTTAAAATAAAATTATTTCCGAATTGTATATACCAAAATAGACCTCTAGGGTTGACTCAGGGCGCTTTACTTATTTGGTGTAAGTATCATCTGCTTTTATTTGACTGAGTAAATCATCAATTTTGGGGCCCATTAATGGTTGTCCGGAACGCGTGCGCTGAGTAACTCTGGAGGATCTAACTTGCCTTTGTCTTTCCCGCTCTCTGGCGTCCTTTAGCCTCTCTTGTTCCTGCTTCTGTCGCTCTAACGTTTTCTCATGTTGCTTTTTGTTGCGCAGCTTTTTCATTTCCTTCTTCTCGTCCAGTTTCTGGCGGTTACCAGCAGCATTACGCTCTTTCATCTGTTTAAAGCTGACTTTAGCCTCACTACTCTTCTTTTCCGGTGCTGTATATCCTTCTTCTTTCAAAGCTTTCAGATAATCCTTTCTCAAACGGGCCTTTTTGACCAGGCTCTTTTGGATTTCTCGCGCTTTGTACTCTTTGCTATGTTTCTTCTCGATTCGTGGTGCCATCTTATAGCCAGTAAGTATGATTTTAGGACTCAAACCGATGTGTTCACCTACTTCTTGATTTCAAGCAGAAGGCGATGAGCTTGGCCAATTTGAGTAGTAATATTGAAAATTATCAAAACTAACTCTATAAACTTGAAAAATCTTGGGTACCGCTAAAGAAGAAAACCCAACTTTCGGAGCTTCTTGCTACCCATTCACGTCAAGACTAGGCAGCTAGTGTTGCCATTGATCAAGACAGTCGATAGAATTTGGGAAGCAACTTTGTCTTTAGCTTCTTGTTTAGACCGAAGCACTGCAAACTGCATGATAGATGAATGGAACACGGTTATGCCTAGTACGAACAATGCCTATTTGGCGACTCCATTGGTCTAGACGTCAAATGGCAAGTATAGCGCCCAATTTGCCCCAGGAAATCTATCAAATTGTCGCCGATCAGCATCACCCGCCATCATCAGGTATGGAAGTCAGAGAGCTAAACAAAATTCTAGCTTACGTACGAAAAAACCAGATCCTCACCATACAACAACGGGCATCAGTAATTCAGGGTCTGTTTAAGCGTGATGCCTACCGAGAGGTTGTGACAGTAGCAAAGTCTGCACTTTTTGATGAAGAAAACAATCTCCGGAATGATGTTTCCGCTGTTGAACTGAAAAAGTTCTTTTCGGCATTGATCTCTGTCAAAAAGTCTATGCAACTCGAAAACTATATGTTTCAAATGATCAAGCAATTTGGGCTAACGCGAACGCCACTGACCCTCCACGTTGTCAACGCAACATTTGTGCATTTCTCATCATGCTACAGCTTTTCAGAATCTCTACTCTTTTGGGTTAAAATCTACAAATTCATGCAGGGCCATGTCAACTTTACGAATTATGAGCACGAAAAACCAATACTGAAACCACTCCTCTTCTATCTGCGAAGTTTGGGCAACATAGAACCTTCGTCCGTGCAAGATACATTAAATTTCATAGACAAGACGCAAGGGTCGCTTACTGCATCTCAATTTGCATCCACTTTGTTGTACTTGGTAACATACAACAGAAATTTCCACCTTGCAGAGACCTTGTGGTCGGCCAAGATTGAACGAAACTATCCTGTATACATTTCTGACTTGACCCAGATCTGCAAGGCTTATTGTCACTTCGGTAAGTATTCCCAACTTGAGGAAACATACGGTCGATATCCAGAGGCTCATGACGATCATTCACAGTTTGACTACTTGCTAATTGCCTATGCCAAGCAGCAGAATTGGCAAAGTCTACAAAATCAATTTAATTCCTTATTTGGCATTGGAGAACTGCCCAGTATTAATCATTACGGGATTGTAATGTACTCAGTGGCCCGTCTGGGGGAAAAGGAAATGGTGGAAAAGTTATATAAGCAGCTGTTGAGGAGGGGTATGATTCCTTCACTTCCTGTTCTACAAGCCCTTTTACATGTTCATTACAAAACTGGTGACTACAATGGATGTTTCCAGTATTTCGAGCTATTCAAAAAGTATGGTATCAAACCAACATCGGCTAGCTGTCAAATAATGTTGCGCGTATATCGCAACTTATGTGATATCGATGGCTCCTTACGGTTCTTAAAAAAAATGACAGAGGACAAAATTGAGATGCAAGAGAGACATTTCTCCACAATAATAGGCACCTGTGCAAAAACAACTAACCATGTCATAGCCGATGAACTTTTCCAAGTAATGAAAGGCCATTATAATATAACCCCAACTGGCAGCTCAATCGGAGCTCTTGCCCATGTTTACATTGAGAGCAAAATGCCCCAGCAAGCATTAAAACTGTTCAAAGAATATTGTAAATCAGGTCATTCAATAGAAAATGAAATCACCGTTTACAATAAGGCCGCAGAGGCTTATATGCATATGGGTCTCAACACGAAGACCGAAAAGGTTTTCAACGAGATCTTGAACAAAAATTTGTCGGCTGACTCTGAATTCTACGCAGTCATGTTGAAACACCTTTCTTGGAATATGAAGGATTTTGAGACTGCAGAAAATGTTTTAGAGCAGTTACTACACCATTCAACTCTGGAGGCAAAACCCTCTCATTTTGAAATCCTGATGCAAGCATACGATAAGATCTCGAACCGGGATGCCGTTCTTAATCTTTACAAAAAATTGTTGAACAATAAGGTTCCTGTCAACTCAAAAATTATCTACTATTTGATCAAGTCAACGTTTAAAACAAAGCTCAAGACTAAAGAAAGTCTCGACGAGGCCATGGATTTTGTTGAAGACATTATGCAAAGAGCTGCCAATAGGACTCTGGACATAACGTTTGAGAAATTACATCCGTCTGTCATGGCGTGGCCCATGAGGGCCGCTGCGAAATACCATAGTCCTGTAAGAGCCATGGACTTGATGAATAAATACAATGAGCTTTTTTTCAACAAGACGGACGCAGTTTCCAGCAACCTTGTTGTAATGAGAAGCTTATTGGTCTTGTCTGCGGAAGTTCATCAGTGGGACGACTTCCAAAAAATATATGAAAGGTATCTTAACAAAATTGGATACTATAAAAATTTGCCTTCAGCCCTTGTTGAGAACCAAAAATTGAAGTCCCTATTGATTGGAGTTTTGAGGTACAAAATTAAGCACCTGGTAGCGACCTCTCGTGCGGAGGAAATTCCGGTAGTTCTGAAGGAGGTATCCGCCAAACATTTTGTCATTGATAATGAGGCTTGGAATGAAGCCATCGAGAGTATGTTCTGCGATACAAGAACCATTGAGGACGGTCTTCAGGCGATAGACTCAAAATTGATTCATGGTTTTAATTTGATTCATAAACACAGGCTTTTAAGGAGAAATTTTGCTGCTAAAACATCCACAGACAGAAACCCATGGCTGCTAGAAAGAAAGAAGCAAAATCCAGCTAGTTTTCAGCCAAAACTGTATCTCAAATCCGCTGTCTTCGAACGCGTCATCGAAGCTATGGACAAGTACTTGAGCACACAGGATAATCTTGAGGCAGAACTCAAGAGGCTCACAAGCAAATACAAATATTTCATGAAAAGCTACTTAATGAAGCCTCGAAACAAGGTATCTGGTTGGGAAAACATAGAGCTAAAGCACTCGGTATACCTCACGAGAGTAAGAAGGGAAAAAAGAGCTATCAATCCCAGCGACGTTCCTTTCTAAAATTGGTCCTGAACGCCGTTGATCGGGTCAAGAATCTAAATGGAAGACGCCTGTTTATAGAGCATTGTGTAAGAAATGACTGAAATGATATTCAACCACCCCCAAAATCTTTATAACGTTTTTTTCGGTCTCAGCAAAGCTTCAATGTCCGAAGGAAGCCGTCATCATGGTGTAGTCTTGACATCACTGTGTAGCCTTGACTTTCGTTTTCTGTGTGCTCTGAGACTGTGGAATGAGCACAGTCGACTGTCCTTCCGTTTCCCCATATACCAAGCTCCCAATCCAAGGTTGGATGTTCCAATGCAGCTTCAACGTCAGCTCCCGCTCGGAGAGCTTCTCTTCAACATCCCAGATCGAGTACTTCGATTTCATGTTCGATAGAGAAATCTGGGAACTTTCCTTGTCGGTGATGATGGAGTCCCATAGAGTTACCTCGCTCTTAACGCCGGGTTTTAGCTTTCCGTTATACGCCGCGGTGACATAGACAAAAACCTGTTTCGTGTTCCAATTGAACAACGGGGCCAAATCAGCATTCAAGTCAAACGACACTTTTAAATTCTCTTTCGGTTTCCCGTTTATTGAGCCATAGTATCGGCTCGTTCTGACATTGATGGATCTGAGTACAACAAGGTTAGTAAAATACCTTTTTTCAATGGCTGATCATGATGTAATCAAAGCTCTTACATACGGTTTAACGTTGGACACCGATGACGATAGATGGAAGGCATTCTCCATGTATAGTTGAGCCCAAAAAGTAGCGACCACGAATGCTGCGGCGAAAATAGCAAAGCTAAGCGCTTGATTGCTGGTTTGTTGGAACCTTTGTGAAAGTGAAAACATCAATATTAGATGCCGTTCTGGTCAGAGTATCTACACAGCCTTTGTACCAGGCTCTATTGGGCATGCTTACTTACACCTTAAAAGATAGAATGGTGTACTGTTTTATTAGATCACACTTCACCGTCTATAGCGACTCTTGGTCACCCAATGAGTTTAGCGTCGTTGTCCAGCGACGCTGACACTCCTTCGGAAATATGGTGACACATATCAAATATGTCGAAGTACAAGTCCACCATAGCACCATGAACCTCTCGAGATTCATCGCTTACTCCGCTTTCTTAGGTTGTTGGGTTTCGAATTTACTGTGCTCATAGTCAACTAGGGTGCTTACAATCACCAGCATGGCCATGATTACATGGCCCACCACCTATAAGGTCTCGCAAATTGTGGGAATTTTGGCGGTCGGAGGGACTATATTAGGAATGGATATCGCTTCAATTTCACTATTCTTGGGAGAAGAATATTTCAAGGAATATTTCGGCTACCCAGGTCCTCTTCTCCAAGGTTTAATAACAGGTGCAAATCCTGTAGGAGGTTTTATTGGGTGCATCTGCTTTGGAGGTTTGACAGAACAGGTGGGCCGCGTCAGCACTTTTCAAATTGTAGCTTTGGTATGGATTTTAGGCTCTGTCATATCAGCATCAGTTTTGAACCTGGCAATGTTGATTGCGGGTCGGTTGGTGCGTGGAGTTGCGGTCGGTATACTATCCGTCTTATTACCGGTCTATATCGGAGAAGTGATACCTATCAATAAGAAAGGAGCAGCTACGTCGGTAGTTCAACTGGCGCTAACAGTCTCTATTCTGATAATCTTCTTCATGTGTTTTCTTCTAAATAACTTAGAGAGCCAGCTGTCCTTTCGTGTGGCTTGGGGGCTGGAGCTTGTACCAGGCTTGGTGTTCTTCTTGCTCACCTTTAGCTTGGCTGAGTCGCCAAAGTGGTTGGTTAGCCAGGGCCAATATAATCGTGCTCAGAATGTGTATCGAAATTTCAGCGCGGTCAGTTTTTCTGGAACGGCAGATGCCACTAAAATGGACGTGTTGGACATGTGCGGTCCCGATCAAAAGACAAAATACTCAGATCTGTTTTCCAACTCTTTGTTGAAGCTCACCATGATTGGTATTACCGTTCAAATGCTGGTTCAACTGTGCGGCATCAACATTATAATGTTCTACATTGTTTTCATATGTGAAATGATCGGGCTTAGAGGCGCTGGTAAACTGAGTGCAGCATCTGCCCCGTATCTCATCAATGTCGTGTTCACATGCATCCCGATCTTAACACTAGACCGTCTGCGCCGGAAGCTTGTCCTAGCGTATGGTGGAATTTCTTTGGCCTGCACCATGACATTGATAGGAATTACGATGGGAGCCTTGGGTCATGGTGTCACTCCCAGCAACGGCAATGACACGGTTGTTTGGGAAGTAACCGGAACTCCGGGCTTCGTTATTTTAGCGTTATGTTTTCTATCTGTGGCAGTTTTCTCGTCAACGATATCGTGTTGTGCATGGCTATACACTAACGAAGTTTTTCCCGCACGGGCCAAGTGTAAGGGGATGGCTTTTTGTATGGCCACGAGTTGGATTCTAAATTCCTCTTTAACCTTTACAACTCCGCTTCTTCTCAGCAAAATTAAATGGATTACGTTCGTCATTCTGGGGTCGGTTACTGCCATTTTGTCCTTGGTAGTCGCAATATGGTTTCCTGAAACGAAGAAGCTTCTGAATGACGCGCCACGAATCGATAGCAGTCCTTGTGAGGAATCCATTGAGGGAAAGGAAAGTCGATCTGCGGCACCATCACCAGCCGACACCGACAACAACGGAATTCAATTGATAGCGGACCCCCAGTACGAGGACATCGTATAGCTCTCAGCGATGAATACTTAGTGGCTTCAAGTTTTTTGTCAAAGGGTGACTGCACAGGCGTCGATGCTGGGTAACTGATGATTTATCTAATTCAGGCTGTATTGGCATCAAATACATTTTATTTTCAATATTTTCTGTCAAATTCACACTATAAATATCTATATAGGTGTATTGACGTTCCTTTCTCTATCCCTATCAAAAGGTTTGATAAAAGGGCGTCAGGACAAGATCTCCAAATAAGTCGTAGGCAAGCCGACAACTTCTTGACCCCATTCCTCCGAACATGTGTCCTCACATTTGCGGCTAAAACGCTTAGAAACATTTTAGGTGGACGATGGAAGGACCACTTTCGTCGTACTCTTGCTTCGAGATCCACATTTGTTGGAAAGTGGTCAAAGAAGCCAAGATAGAACCACCGATCCAGACAGAGTACTTTCTCTCTGGAGGAGCAATGATCTTAACCTTCATCGAAGATGGAGCCAAAGCGGTAATTTCCTTTTGCATTCTTTCGGCAATACCTGGGAACATGGTAGTACCACCAGACATGACGATGTTACCGTACAATTCCTTACGGACATCGACGTCACACTTCATGATGGAGTTGTAAGCAGTTTGGTCGATACCAGCAGCTTCTAGACCTAGTAGACCTGGGTGGAACAAGGCCTCTGGAGCTCTGAATCTTTCGTTACCGATGGTGATGACTTGACCATCTGGCAATTCGTAGGACTTTTCGATGGCAGAGGATTGAGCAGCGGTTTGCATTTCCTGGTCAAAGTCCAAGGCAACGTAACACAACTTTTCTTTGATGTCACGGACAATTTCTCTTTCGGCGGTGGTGGAGAAAGCGTAACCACGTTCACTCAAGATCTTCATCAAGTAGTCGGTCATGTCTCTACCGGCCAAGTCGATTCTCAAGATACCGTGAGGCAAGGAGAAACCGGCGTAGATAGGAACAACGTGGGTAACACCGTCACCAGAGTCCAACACAATACCAGTGGTTCTACCGGAAGAGTACAAGGACAAGACGGCCTGGATGGAAACGTAGAAGGCAGGGACGTTGAAGGTTTCGAATAGAATCTGGGTCATCTTCTCTCTGTTCGACTTAGGGTTCATTGGGGCCTCGGTCAACAAGACTGGGTGTTCTTCTGGGGCAACTCTCAACTCGTTGTAGAAGGTGTGGTGCCAGATTTTCTCCATGTCGTCCCAGTTGGTGACGATACCGTGTTCGATAGGATAACGCAAAGTCAAAATACCTCTCTTGGATTGGGCTTCGTCACCAACGTAAGAGTCCTTTTGGCCCATACCAACCATGATACCTTGGTGTCTTGGTCTACCCACGATCGATGGGAAAACGGCACGAGGGGCATCGTCACCGGCGAAACCGGCCTTGCACATACCGGAACCGTTGTCGATAACCAAAGCAGCAACCTCTAGATTGACGGAGTTAGTATTAACGAACATATTGATGCCAGGATTTGCAGGGCTGCCGTCGCGAGCCAAGGTGTTTGGAGAGCCTCAAGACACTAAGGAACAGAAAACAAAACCAAACAAAAAAAAAAGTGCCTGGATGTCCACACGCGTTCCATTGCCGACGAATGGTGGATCAGCTACCGCATCAGCAGCGCCATGGCATCCAGTGGACGATCAATCACATCGGAATTACACGTCTCGGCTGTTTATTTTTTTTTTCGTTTTCTGTTTCTTCGGACGGTTGAAAATAGGGGCTCTGATGGATGCCGGCTTGATCGATTCAAAATTGCTGAAACCACCAAATTTCCAGCATCAACAAAGCGTCCATATCCATCGGTGTGTGGCCGCCTTCAAAGCGCTACCGCAGTCCCAATTTCTACACTTGTATACTGAAATACCCCTTTTCCGGAACATGATATCCGGCCTAACCACTCAGATCAAAAAAAAACAAAAAGTAAAGATCCAGATCAAGCACGCTTAACGCCAGTGCCTGGCTCCATTTCTGGAGCCAATGGCACCACCGCCGCGTGTTGTAGGGCTTTCAGCCCCTAAATCTCGAACTGCGCGACCCCGAAGCGACAAAAACACGTCCCAAACACCACCGAAAACACGTTCAAGACGCGACGTTAAACAACCCCAAAAACGCCTGTAGATAGCCGCAAACTGTAATTGCACTACAGGTGCACCATAACATACCTGAATCCATTGTACTTGTTGATGAAAAGTCTTTTGTTCGGCTTGTCTTGAAGTAGACTTGTCCTGGTGTATGTAAAATGTGTGTTGCAGGTGGCAATCTTTTTTAAGTAAATCTGCTTGAGCCCACCTGGGAATTCCCAAAAAAATTTCAGAGTTGACGGACTTACCCGGAGACTGTGCGTCAGTGAGTGACAAAGTGATTATGGTGAAGAAGGCCGATTTCAAAGCGGTGAGGCGCGCGGGCTAGTTGTGATGCGCCTTGCGGTTGTGAAAGTCTGAAGTGGTCCTTTTCTGTAGAGGGGACCATATCCCGGGGAGAAAATAGTCATTCTCTTCCGACGAAAAGGAGGGTGAAGGCGAGTTGAGCTTCGCGGGTGGGATGAGCTTGTGTTCCTGGGATCAGGGACTGTTGGACTGAGAATTTTGCTACGAGAGCCAACATTTGACCCCCTTTGCTTGGCGGTGGTCCTCCCGAGGCTCGTTTAGAATATGATGGATATTTCACCTTCGTTGGGATTATATGTCACTTTATACAATTATGTCGTCGATTTCAAGGGCTTCAAAGGAAGGCCCTTTAATCGCCAGTTTCGACCTTTCGAGCCCACGCTTAGGATTCACTGGCGCTGAGCAGATAAACGGGGCAGGCTTGGGGATTTACATCGAACAACGGGAACTAAGAAAGGGGAAACAGCTCCTATGTATGGCACAGTTTTACGTCGGGCACCACGGCAAGGACTCTATCCTGCTTCGCGATTGAGAGCATTGAAGTACAAGCATTGGGGAGACTATTGGCCAGCTGCCTCTCCGGTAGTGGCTCTACCAAGGATTGAAATTATCTTCTTTCCCATTAATTGTCTCTATGGCCCTTTAAGTATAGTGACAATGTGAAAAAGTCACTCTTCGTTCCTGCACATCTACAAAGTTGCAGTGTTCTGCTTCACACAATGGCTGGCAAAGCTTCCAAGAAACAGGCTCAGGCCAATGTTCAGGCCCTGAAGCAACTTCACACCGTCTTGGGTGGGGTTTTGTCACTGGTTCTATTGCGGCTGGTCTTCTCTTCCAAAAAGCGGTGGTTTTGGATGGTTATTCTCCATCTACCAGCTGCAGCCTGTACCTACATGCTGGAAAAGAACGGCAGGCCTAGGTTCGACTCGTCGGGCCACGTTGTGCGGGAGGGTATGGATCTAGCGCAGAAGGGCCTCACAGAATGGATGTTTGACATCGTTTACTTGACACTGCTTGCCGATTCTGGAGTAGTGGTTTTCAACACCATGAAATTTTGGTACGTTATGCTCTTGGTGCCTGTTTATATCGGCTATAAGCTCAAAGGAATAGCCGGTCCGATGCTGGGTGGTAACAACAACGCCAGGGCGCCATCCGAGAGCTCCACTGCTCCTGCAGCCGAGACAAAATCGAAGAGACAGGCTAAACGTGAAAAGAACGGTGACAAAGTCCGGTACAAGTACAAGTAAATAACAGGCCTTTCTTTAATAGTAAAATCGATATTTTGCGTAGTGCGAAAGTACGCCTTCAGAATCAACAACATACATAGATGAGACAAAAAAAAAAAAAACAACACTATTTCATGGCGAGAAAGGAGCTCTATTGCTCTGGATCAACTGGGATGAATGCTGTGACGATTGAACGTAGGCCAAGACCCTGCTTTCCCTTTCTCTACTCGGCAAAAAGACGGATTTGCCCGTTCAACAGCAGCCCCCGGAGGAGTTCGACAGGCTCTGGCCCTTTAGATTCACGTTGGCCTTGTCGTCCTTCTTCCCGGAGTCTCTGTGTTGCTGGGCCATGCTGTCCTTGATCTGTTTGGCCATAGTCAAAAACGCCTCCTCGACGTTGGAAGAGTCCAGCGCGGACGTCTCCAAAAACGGGATTTGCAGCGAATCCGCAAACTCTTTGGCGACGTCGTGCTCGACCATACGTTTGTCCTGCAAATCGCTCTTGTTGCCCACCATGAGTTTCAACACTCCTGCGGTAGCGTACCGGTCGATTTCTTGCAGCCACATTTTGACATCGTTGAAGGAGTCCTGGTCTGTTACATCATACACAATGATGATACCGTGTGCACCTCTGTAGTAAGACGACGTGATGGTTCTGAACCGCTCCTGACCAGCAGTATCCCAGATCTGTAGTTTCACTGTTTTGCCGTCCAGCTCCACGGTTTTGATCTTGAAATCTACGCCAATCGTCGAGATATAGTCGTTGGTGTAGGTGTCGTCGGAAAATCTCAACAGCAAGCATGACTTGCCCACACCGGAGTCTCCAATCAGCAAAAGCTTGAACAAGTAATCATATTCACTATTCATGATGGATCTTACGGAATATGTCGAGCCTTCTTATGGTCTGGATATCTGCTTTTCCAGTGGTTGAAACAACGACCGAGATAATCTTTAGAAGGGGCAATTTCGATGGCTTTCGAGTTGCAAACCGAAGAAAGTACGTACATGGCGATGCTGGGTCCAGTGTCAGTAAAATGGCAAGTGATATGGGAATGTCGGTAGTTTACCTGCCACCCAGCACGCGCGCTGACGGAGAGGATGGGCAAAGGTAGCAGCAGCCCAGTGGTATTGTGGAGGCCAACTAAGCTTTCTGGAAATGATTGTGCGGGTGTGAAAACGTGACTTTTCCGCAGGTGAGCACGCGCAGTTCGCACGACACGAGCACTCATCCTCGGCAACAAGCAAGCACGCTGGGCATAAGCACGCTGGACATATTCGGGTTTTTCCGGAGTCGTTCAGTTGCTCTTTCTGACAAAAGTGCGTCGGAACTTCTATGAAAAGTAGGGCCGTGGCGGATTGACGCGGTTAGAATAACTATGAGCTCACTCCGTTTGCATTCCCACCTTTTTGGAGAACGAAGAAGCCCGCCTCGAGTTGCAGATTAGCCAAGGTACAACCGCAGATACGCCGACATCGGATGCTCGCACGTGTCAGTGGGAAGCAGCAAATCCCGAACTATGGCGAATTGAAACAGAGGCACTCTTCGCTCCTCCGCTCCTAGCAAAGCCCAAAAGCAGCATTGGGCGTTCGGGGAACACGATCACAAATATTTCTTGAGTCCAAGAGCATGCGCCAGGCCCCCCACCGGCCGAAATGTGATAACAAGATATTTATTCTCAAAAATACTGTTGCCATACGCCACGGGCCCTCTCTCTCTCTCTCTCCCAAAAATATGCGCAGCGATACTCTTGGCTCCGGCAGGAGCTGCTCCTTTGTCGTTCTCGATATCGTTACGCCAGTGTCGTAGCTCACAGGACCGGGAAAAGGGCCAGTCCAGGGACTTATTCGAAATCTTACTCAAGCAAGCAAAAGCCATGGCTCAGACCATATATCACAGCACTAAGACGACACTCAGGTCCATTACGGCTTGCCGGTGCGCTCGGTCGCTCTGGCGCTGGCGGCGACATGTGACCTTCACGTGGTCTTGAGATGGCTCCATCGTCTATTACCCTCCTTAGCGTCTTATACGGGCAAAATGTAAACACAAAATTCCAGTGTGTACTTATAAGGTCTTTTGAAATCATGTAACCAAAACAGTCGAGATCTGAGCGTAAAGGATCGCGAATTAAGCTCATCTGATCGACTAGGTGGTCTGTACACGAATCATGAGAGAAATCGTATGTGAACCTGCTACTTCAAGGTGCAACTTGGCGCGAGATAACCATCTATGTGGTTAATTTGCGTGTGTGTCAGTCGCGTTCGAAACGGTTACTAACTTTAAGCAATAACTTCTTTAGATCCACATTTCGACTGGCCAATGTGGTAACCAGATCGGTGCCGCGTTCTGGGAAACTATCTGCGGAGAGCACGGTTTGGATTACAATGGGACTTATCACGGACTGGACGACATCCAAAAAGCGCGTCTAAACGTGTATTTCAATGAAGCCTCGTCGGGTAAGTGGGTACCACGTTCGGTGAACGTGGATCTGGAACCTGGGACCATCGACGCGGTGCGCAACTCGCGCATTGGTAACCTTTTCAGACCTGATAACCATATCTATGGACAGTCATCAGCCGGTAACGTTTGGGCAAAGGGCCATTACACGGAAGGAGCTGAGCTTGTGGACTCTGTTATGGATGTCGTTCGTCGCGAGGCCGAGGGCTGTGACTCCCTGCAGGGTTTCCAAATCACACACTCGCTAGGTGGTGGTACAGGCTCGGGTATGGGTACGCTGCTGATCTCAAAAATCCGTGAAGAGTTCCCAGACCGTATGATGGCTACCTTTTCTGTGGTTCCTTCCCCAAAGACCTCCGACACCGTTGTTGAGCCTTACAATGCTACATTATCCGTGCACCAGCTCGTGGAACATTCTGACGAAACTTTCTGTATCGATAACGAAGCCCTTTACGACATTTGTCAAAGAACTTTGAAATTGACCCAGCCTTCGTACAACGACTTGAATCATTTGGTTTCCTCTGTGATGTCAGGTGTGACCACTTCGCTGCGTTATCCGGGGCAACTAAACTCTGACTTGAGAAAATTGGCTGTCAATTTGGTTCCCTTCCCTCGTCTACATTTCTTCATGGTTGGTTACGCGCCATTGACCTCCATTGGATCCCAATCCTTTAGGTCTCTCACTGTTCCGGAGCTGACGCAACAAATGTTTGATGCCAAGAACATGATGGCCGCTTCTGATCCTAGAAACGGTAGATACTTGACCGTGGCCGCTTTTTTCAGAGGTAAGGTCTCGGTCAAGGAAGTTGAAGACGAAATGCACAAGGTCCAGACTCGTAACTCATCATATTTCGTAGAGTGGATTCCTAACAACGTGCAAACCGCAGTGTGTTCAGTAGCACCCAAGGATCTCGATATGTCGGCCACGTTTATTGGTAACTCAACCTCCATTCAAGAGCTATTCAAGAGAGTGGGAGACCAATTTGGTGCGATGTTTAGAAGAAAGGCCTTTTTACACTGGTACACAAGTGAAGGTATGGAAGAGATAGAGTTTTCTGAAGCTGAATCTAATATGAATGACTTGGTTAGTGAATATCAGCAATACCAAGAAGTGAGCGTTGAAGACGATGAAGAGCTCGATTATGCTGATGAACAACCAATGCCAGAAAACTTTGAGTAAAGCGGGCCGCCCGCTTCTATTGTTACTGAGAGAATGGATGAAGAATAAAGAAACCAAGTATTTGAATACCATACCCTACCAAGGCCGCTTAATAACAAGCTAGTCATCTCAAGTCCTTGCTCTTGCGCCATCTCATATTGATGACGCTTAAGTATTCAGCACCCTATAGGAAATAGTCGTGTCCGGCTAGCTGCATCTGCAATATCTTTTATAATGTATTTTCAATTGATTTTTCTTGGAGGAACCCTATGATAAGGGACTGTTATAACTACTCTCTACCCGCACACACACACATATATCCCGGTTGAAGGTGTCGAATTTTAGTAAGTATTTCACGTAGTAGCCTTGTATCAGGCGTAGTTTGTCCTTCTTTCAAGCACAATTTATTCAAACATCCCATTTTACATTTATAAAGTCAACCTTAATGCTTACAATGGGCTCAATATATGGTTTATTTTGTAAAGATCATGCAGCAAACATCTGGCTTATGTTCAGTGTCAAGAACCAGATAGTGTACTGTCCTAAGAATGCGCTGCGCTTTTGTTATTTGGTTTGCGTCAAAGGTGCACGATTTATACGTTCTTCTTGACTTTTATCTTTACCTTGTGCACTCTTGCTCTCCTAAACTTCCAGCCAGGGTACCTTGACTGCAAATCTCTGTCTGTAGTGCAGGATGTTCTTTGAGAGAATCTGCTTTGTTTGAATATGCAATTATAACGGGGCTAAGCGCATTCATAAATCCATCAATCTCCCGGCAGCCTAGGAAAGTCTTCTGTAGTCAACTTCCAAATGCTCATTGGACAAAGACAATTAATTTGTTTGCCTTCATAACTATGATTGGTCTCTCATTTGCAAGATGTGATACATTACTCACTTTACTGTAAATATTGAAGTGACACACGTCCATTTTATCACCTGAGACAGAGATGAAACCAGAAATGCGAGCACGAGTAACTCGTGAGAGGGTTCCTTAGTCTATGCTGGTGACCTCCGTTGCTCTCAACTTATGCTCCTCTACGTTGTTGTTTACAAACCGCAGTTTTTGGGAAGTCTCTGAGATCTCAAAACGGTTAGGTGATTGTGAGACCCGAATTTATCAGAGCGAGTCAGCGTAGGCGGTAATTAAATTACTGACTCGTTAATACAATGATTTGATTGACATTGTGAATGGTATTCTAAGTACCTGATATCAAGTTTGGAGCTTATAAAGCAACTTCTGGTAGGCTGTCCGTAATTATTTGAGCAATAAATCTGGTTTATATCGTTGACATGAGGCCATTATTTTTACAAAGTCCTGGCGGGAAAAAGCAGGTCGCGGTTAGAGCTGGATAATTCAACAATTACATCCAACAAATGGGATTTTGAGCCGTTCGATAACTAGAATGACTGACCAGGGTCTTTTCGTGTTAACGCTGTTTTTCTGAATACCATTGGCGATTATTCACCTTATACACTTTTGTTTTACTGACGTTGGGAGTCGAGTATCACTTCGTACTACCCTGACGCTAGGTTGATGGTTAGCATTATGCAAGTTAGTGCTACTCAAACAGTACCAGACCTCTACCAGTCGATAGCTACAATAGAACTCAAATCAGTAAATGCCGAACAGGTTACCGACTACAACTCCTTAAAAGCCAACTTTCTATATATCACTTTTTCCCACGATGGCACAAAAAGAAACGACGCAGTCAGTAATTGTTGTGAGCTCGCTCGGAGTCAGTCCCGATCCAATTGAATTCAATGGCTCTAAATTGTAACGCAAGAGGTCTATATTTTATCTAGAGTGACCGTGAAGAGTTCTTTCAATGCACAACTCTCAAACTGACACTGATATATCTTAAAATTTTTTTTTTTTGAAAAATACTAGGTTAAAATGAAATGCGATGAGATGAGCTGAACTTGTACCCATTTGGTCCAGAGGCTCCGAGTGACTAAGTATAGACCCTCTTCCACTAAAAGGGCATATGTACCATGTTGCGCTACTCGAGCTCTTCTTGTCGGTTTGCCGTACTCAAAAGACTCAACAGACAAATAAGACCGGTTTCTCACACGGCGCTTTTGAGAAAACCGCTTAACTTGGATGGAACCAGAACACAGTCTAGCAATGAAGACATTGGCTTTTTGAAGTCATCTGCTGTTTCCATGACACCAGGCTTTAATCCATTTGATAATTCAGATGCAGTGGTCCAAGCGGGAGAATCAAGAAGCATAATGAACCTATGGTCTCTACTAGAGGCTTGTCTCCATTCCGGTTACCTAGACCGAGCTTTTTCCATACTTAAATCTCTCTATGGTCTGAAGTCCCATCGCAACTCTTTTATTGATGATTACAACAAATATCTTATGAAGTTTGCAGAAGGCGTAACGGACCTCAAAGTTTTGGACAGAAAGGTGTTCCATGACCTCCAGAAAAATTTCCCAGCAACAGAATATAACGACAAAACATTGGCTATTTTGCTTCACAATGCACTTAAAATTCCAACGACGAATGAGAGTCGCTCCGAGCACTGCCAGACCTATTTGAAAATGGCCGTATCTGGATACAGAGGGATAATGAGCAATGTCGACATACTTACAGTGGAAAACTATAGGACCTTGGTCCACGACTTGAAGCTTGTGGAGCTAAGCTATTTGCCTGTCGAGCTGCGGACGCTGGTCGACGCGGCCGACCACACAACTGAAACTGCTGACTCAGCTCCCATCACGCCAGTTGGAGCTGGTAACATGTCGGGTACAAAAAAGGAAGATACAGGTCTTACATTGGATAGGGACATTCAATCTTTAAAAAAAGATGCGAGCGAACTTTTGGCCGTCGACACGATAGGTATGAAGGTGGTACGGCATACGCTGTTAGGAATAACGCTCACCGACGATCATCGCAAGCAGATAAGCGAGTTTAATTTTAATTCTGCTTCTAATCTTCTAAACTTTGAAGAAGGCAAAGAAAACATCGACTTTTTCGAAATACATCGCCTTCTGAAGACGGAAGACGAAAGGGCCGCATTTGACAAGGCATTAGACACTTTCAATCACGATAGACAACATCAATTGGAAAATCGTGCAACTGACGCAGCTAAAGAACGTTGGAAACATGATTTCGAAGAAGCAAAAGCAAGGGGAGACCTGTCAATTCAAAAAAAGCTTAACATTAAGCTGTGGGAATGGTTTAATCAAATGCTACCTCTAGTTAAAGAGGAGGTCAAACGATGCACTGATATTGCAAACAAAGCGGTATCGGATCCTTCGCTCTCATCACAGGAAAAAAAACAAAATAAAGCGAGACAGGAATACGGTCCATACTTGACTTTAGTAGATCCTGAAAAAATGTGTGTTATAACCATTTTGGAACTATTGAAACTCAATTCCACTGGTGGAGTGATTGAAGGTATGAGAACTGCCAGAGCCGTAATATCGGTAGGGAAAGCCATCGAAATGGAATTTAGAGCGGAGCTTCTATTGAAGAACGAGTCACACGTTTTCAAAGATATCAATAAGAAATCTCATGAGTTCAAGCTCTTGGTACAGCGAGCTCGCAACACGTTTAGGTCTATGAAGATAGAGGAATCAAAAATATTATGGCCTCAGGAGGCTCGCGCCAAAATAGGGTCGATACTAATCTCGATGCTAATCCATGTCGCCAAGGTGAAGGTCGAAGGTGTAGACCCCGTTACCTCGCAAAAAGTTGAAGGCGAGGCTCCGGCATTTTCCCATGGATACCAATATCACAATGGCTCAAAACTTGGGGTACTGAAGATTCACAGATCTCTGGTACATCAACTTAACGGCGAACGTTTAGTTGCAGCCGTTCAACCTCAACTTCTCCCAATGTTGGTGAAGCCTAGACCTTGGAAGAGTTGGAACTCCGGTGGATACTATTATACACAATCGACTCTTATTAGGTCCAAAGATTCACCTGAACAAGTTGCGTATTTAAAGGCCGTTTCTGACGCAAGCGCTATAGATAACGTTTATCGTGGATTGAACGTTTTGGGTGAAACTTCTTGGACCGTGAATCGGAAGATGTTCAACATCATGTCTCATGTATGGAATACAGGAAAACCATTCCTCGATATACCCGGGAACGAGAACAAGCTTGTCTTAACACCACAACCACCAAGGGATGCCGATCCTTCAGTCCACAGGCAATGGAAACTGAAAAACAAAGAGTTGGCAAACGAGTTCTCAAGTAACAGATCAGCACGCTGTGATGCAAACTATAAGTTAGAAATTGCGAGGGCCTTTCTTGGGGAAAGATTTTATTTTCCACACAACTTGGATTTCAGAGGGCGGGCCTATCCACTTTCGCCTCATTTCAACCACCTGGGGAATGACATGAGCAGAGGTCTGATGATGTTTTGGAACGGAAAGCGCCTTGGCTCTACTGGCTTTAAGTGGTTGAAGGTCCATTTGTCGAACCTTTTTGGATTTGACAAAGCTCCTTTGGATGAGCGTGTTGCGTTCGCTGAGAGCCATGTAAACGATATTAAAGATTCGGCAGAAAATCCGTTAGATGGCAATGGTTGGTGGAAAAAAGCAGATAAACCTTGGCAGGCTCTGGCTACCTGTATTGAACTGAATGAGGCGTTAAAAATGGAAAACCCTCACGATTTCATTTCTCATGTTCCTGTTCATCAAGATGGTACTTGCAATGGTCTACAGCATTATGCAGCCCTAGGTGGGGATGTTGAAGGTGCTACGCAGGTGAACTTAATGCCAAGCGACAGGCCTCAAGATGTTTACTCGCACGTTGCAAAGTTGGTTGTAGCAAGATTAGAAAGAGCTGCTGCCAAAGGCGATGAGATGGCTGCTATTTTGAAGGATAAAGTCAAGAGAAAAGTAGTTAAGCAAACAGTGATGACCAATGTATATGGTGTGACCTATATTGGTGCGACACATCAAATCGACAAGCAGTTATCTTCTGTTTTCGATGATCATAAGCGCTCTTATGAAATGTCGAAATACCTAACAAAGCATGTGTTTGCATCCGTCAGAGAGTTATTTGAAGGTGCGCACTTGATTCAAGACTGGCTAGGGGAATGCGCCAAAAGAATATCGAAGTCAATCAGACTCGATATTGATGAGAAGGCTTTCAAGAACGGAAATAAGCCAGATTTCATGTCTTCGGTTATTTGGACCACGCCTCTTGGATTACCAATCGTCCAGCCATATCGTGAAAATGGTAAGAAGCAGGTAGCCACTAACCTTCAAACTGTTTTTATTAGCGATCCTTTCGCCGTCAATCCCATCAACGCTAGGAGGCAAAAGGCTGGGTTTCCTCCAAATTTCATCCACTCTCTAGATGCTTCACATATGCTGCTTTCAGCTGCCAGGTGTGGAGATTATAAACTAGACTTTGCTGCTGTCCACGACTCTTACTGGACTCATGCTAGCGATATCGATACTATGAATATCCTGTTGAGAGAACAATTTATCAAGCTTCATGAGGTCGATCTAATAGAGAGGCTTAAAAATGAATTTGATGAGCGCTACAAAAACTACCTGCAAATTTTGAAGATTGACAAGAAGTCAGAAGTAGCTTGTAAAATTGTCACTTTGAGGAAAGAATTGTCGCAAAAACTTGGTCGACAATTCACATTAGCAGATGAAATTTACATGGAAAAGAAACGCGTTCAGTTGCTAGAGTCGGAGGACCCGGTCGAAAAAGCCAATGGGGCTGCAATGGTTACAACTGTCTCGCTAATTGGAGAGGCCGGTGACGTCGGATCACTCGAAAAGTCCAACGACGCGAGTTGTATTATGGTCCTGGCTCCTCTATCATTGCCGCAAATTCCACCAAAGGGGGATTTCGACGTTCGAGAACTGGAAAACAGCAAATACTTTTTCTCATAATCACCTTGTTATGACAAGAAGATGATAAATCACAAATCTGCATATGATTCAAGATATGGATTTAACCTTGTAAATACACAACATTTAACCGTTTCACTTCATTTTACATCAGATTATAAAAAAAAATATAACCATGCATTTACCGTTTATCCAGAGTAAAGTTTATATAATTTTTCCCTGCTTCTCTAAGTTGTCAATCAGATTTCCCAAAGGATACATGTCTTTCCTTTCTACAAGGTTGTACTCCTTGGCGAAACTGATAAAATGAGCAAAAAGCGAGTTCCAGTGAGCTTCCAGTGATAAGTGTATTATTTTGTCGAAGTGATGATGGTACATGTGGGCAAAGATTCTAAACATTTGTATCATTATCCTTTGCACATCTTGAACAAAATTGGATGGGAAAGGATACCCATTTTGCGTCGGAAACAGCGTCTGGTCTGACACCTTGTTATTGATCCAAGTTAGGGCAAGATCGATGTACTGCCCAGCTGGTAGGGACACTTGTCTGCTATTCGCGTCCAACCACATATAGTCTGTGTGAGGCCCTGCATTCATGGTAGGGTACGCATCTGGCGTAACATACTCTGCAATGATGCCGTAAAACTGGTTGAGATTAGTGTAAAAGTCGAATATATTCAGAGCTACCCACTCCCCCAGATCCACATACTTGGGAAGCTGTACGATTGTTTTGAATGAGCCCTTTACAAGGGCAGTTCTGACGAACGGTTCACTAAGAAAAAGAGCCTGCTGGGTGTTTGTAGTCTCAGGCGCAGCGGTGCTAGCTCCATTTGGGTTAACACTTGGATGATTATTAGCGTGGCTATTAGTGCTATCTTTGCTGGGGCTATTGTTGAAACCGTTGTGATTGTTATTATTGTGCGAATTCGCTGCATGTCTGACAGGTGATTGCATCTGCATCTGTCTTAAAGATAGCTTAGAATTACTTCCATGGATATTGGAATATACAGAGTTTACCGGAGTCGCAGAACTACCCACATTTTGGCTCTTGTTTTTCTTGCTACTTCTACCAAAACCTCTGCATCGAAGATTTAAAAACGTTAGTAAACGATATACTTGTTTCTCACATCGTGTTATTAGAAGCAGGCACATACTTGAAAGTGTTAAAGAACGACATCAACTGTACAGAGTGTGTCAGTGCTCGCGGTGCTCTTTGACGCAAGCTCAACGCACCATGCAGGTATTTGACTTATCGATATTTAGTGATCTGAGCTGGAATATTAAACCTTCAAATGTACTCGTGGACAATTTGATCACATGATTTGATACTCATGGTCAAGATGATATTCAACGGTTACACGGCTAGTCAAGAAGCGCTGAATAATCGTCAATTTCAATTCTTAACGTTTGCCAAAAGATTTGTCTCACACTGCTGAAAACTTGGTTACTTCTTTCTATAGAGTCTATAAAAAAACCTCATGTTTTCGACCTTCAAAGGATAGTCGATCTCATCTTTTCCACGATACCACAACGAGTCATGTTCTTGAATGAGATCCCACGCTCCCTGTGACTCCTGGCCCCTTTTACCCAGCAGTAGAGTGTCGATCAGAAACTGAATGGGAAATTTTTTGGTTCCAACCGTAATGTGGGAATAGCTGCCTGCACTTTCAACAATCAGAAGAAGACAACCGGAGCTGCATTCTTGACTCAGTTTTTGAAAAAATCTAATACTGGCGGCCTTCTCTGCCAGGAAAAGCTCGTTTGTTGTGAACAGTAGCGTTATCAAGTTCATAGACGGGAGGCGTAAGTCTTCGGGACCCATCTTTAAAATATTCTGGTTTATGAACTTGATCTGCACGTCTGATGAATGATCAAATAACCAGGCTTTATCCATGGTCTTCGTTATCCTTTGTATTTCCAGGGACCAATCCGCGATATCAACAAGGTTGATCCGAAGGTTCTTGGCAGTTGTTTCCCTTTGCACAGTCGAGTATTTGGCCGTAAAATCGATAGAGGGTGCAAACATACTGACTATACTTACTAGCTCACCGCCTGCACCGCCGCCAATACATAAAACTTCACTGTCAGTGCCCTTCTGTATGACTTCTCTGACACCTTCCAAATGGCTAAATAGCGAAGCATAAGCAATAGCTCTGGACGGTGACCACCTACAACAGTATGCCGTCCTCTTTGTAGTGGAATCGAACGCGGCCGCATAGTTTCGATTGTATAGTTCGGCTTTCACGTTTTGAATCGAATCACTCAAAATTTGCTGCTCGTCTCGGTAAAGCTCCTGATCAAAAGTAATTTTGAACAAATCAACGATATCCTGAGGTGATAAGCTACACGCATGGTGTGCTGGAAGGGTCTTCGACGTGTCTTTAGTCATGCTTTGTGTCAGTGATATTTTCCGCCAATCTCATCACATCTCATCTCATCTTTAACTTGAAATTAATAAAGCATGCAGTTTTCTCGCAGCACGTATATGAAGAAACGCTCTCGGTTGTCTCAAAATTTACTCTACACACTAGCTGTGAAAGCTCGAGATCAGGCTCATCTCCTCGTGTATAATACCCTTTTACTATACAATTGAATTACACGTTTAAACCATACAATTGAAAATTCGAATGGAAGTTCAGGGCTTTGGATAAGCGGTCTGAATCAAACCAGGCCAACCAAAACCAATACTATGAACCCCAACGAGACCTATCTGTGACAATATTCACAAGGCCATAGCAACATCAGTGATAACATGCAGAAGTGAACACATCAAATTAGAACCTTTACAGTCAAAGGCCGAAAGAAAAACGGAGAAATAAAGTACTTAAAAAGTGAAATGACCATCAGGACATTTATTCTTCGTCTTCCTCGTCCTCTGGAGTGACTTGGTAGAAGGCCAACTTGTATTCGTTGGTCTTGGTAGAGATGAATCTGATCCAGTCTCTCAATTGGTTCTTCTTCAAGTACTTCTTGGTCAAGTACTTCAAGTACTTACCGGAGAACTTGGTGGTAGAAACAACAGTCACAACGGAGTCGTTTTGTTCCACGGAGATGGCGTTACCCAAGTTACCCAAGTGGCCGTCGACCTTGATGTGGTCGATCAAGTACTTGGCGTAAGAAGCTGGGTCGAAGACACCGTTCTCAGTTGGAGAGGAAACGTCGACGGTGAAGGTCTTGGTGATCTTTTGCTTTCTGGAGGTCTATGGAATGAACCTGTTAGTAAAAAGTGGCAAGGCGTGATCAACCCAATTCAGTGCCTACTGCTATTAACAATTACAATCGCGAAGCTGCACGTATGACAACGAAACCAATGCGTGTAAATAATTAACAAACAGAATAGCGAGTCCATAGAGAAGCCTAGGGACCGTCTCACGATTCTCATAGATCTAACAGATATCAGAATTTGAGACGGAACCGGTACAGTCTCCCATAAACCTTATATCGTTTTATCACCCACATTCTTGTAAAAGCTATCGCAGGAAGTCACTTTTCGGTCGAGTATACTCTGAGTTCACCAAAAAAGATGGTATTCAATCATTTCACATACAACTGGAGCCATGTTTGTCGGTAGTACTTGATAATTCAAAAGAGAGTTCTGACGAAGTATGTGCAAGCTCAGTATACATGTACATTATATTATGGAAAGTAGCGCCTGGGCACAGTGGAAAGTTTCACTCGATGCTGAAAAGTTGCGTGGGTTCTGCTTGTTCATTGTCACGTGTTATTTTACAGAAAATTCAAGAAATCAAAAATGGTTAAAAAGGTGTCCGGATGTTTATAGAAAGCAGTCACAACTCACATTTGGTCACATGCTAATAGAGTGTCACATGCCCTTGGGATCCAGGCAGCATTAGACATGGCAGAGCTGTGACAGTATAAGGCGAGATGGTACGGAGCGAGAATTCATGTAGAGTTTCGGGGTGTTGTGGCCCCTTTGAAGAGTGAGATTCTTCTCGAACTCATTATATCCTTCACGACGCGATGGAAAAATCCGGTTTTCTGGTGCTAATATTGTGAAATGCGACCTGCATCCAAATGAGAGAAGTGTATTACATTTCTTTGGTCAGAACTGTAGAGCGGCATCACCACGCACACCAAAGGTAACTAGTAAGATTGATGGGAAGCGAAGATATTCGAGAGCGTGTGCATCACCATTACACAACAAAAACCCTGTCAAGAGATACCGTCACCTTTGTTACGCCGTGTTTAGAGCAGATAGGTCGCGTGTGAGGCTTCTCGTACGTGGGCAAGATCGTACTGACCTGTCGATTACTTAAATTGGGCTCATATTCCATGTAACAGTTAGAACGTCCAAATAGTAGTGAATGGGACCAGCAAACTTTCTGATTGACGATCAATTATTAGTGTGGGACATTTGAGAGTTCTTTTTTCGGGTGTGCCATCATATAAGTCCTCAGCTCTGTGTTACTCTTGAGAGTTTCATTATATGTGATTATAGGTGTCATTCTAATTATGTATATTGACATTTGGTTATCTTCCAACTAACTAAAAACCAATCATCAAATGGCACAGCATTAAGGCCTCTTATCTCTGACTTTTACAATGGGCAATGAACTGGTCTCTGGTCTTAAGGAGTTGAAGCTAAGCAAAAAAGTCCGTGATAAACAGCACAGTAAGGGTATCGAAAGAACAGCCCCATCGGCAGGGGATATCCCAGGGCCACTATCAGATACTACGCAACTCCGGCATGCTAAATCTCTCGATAACCACAATAGCTTACCTTCGTCGGCTAACTGTGTGCCGACCGCGGATGGTCACCATGGCTCCGAGTCAGACTCGGATTCCGATACATCGCAACAATGGCAGACGGTTCCGGCAATTTCGTCCTACGACATATACAACAAAAGCGGTGAGTTGGCCCTCGCGGCTCAAAAAGACACACATACGCCATCCGTACGAAGTGGGTTTTTAGCCAACTCTCGGGAGGTTTCCACAGATCAACTCAATGTTCAAAAGCGAGTCTCCACTTTTGGCTACACCAAAGTTGCTGATGAAGAACAGGCACAACGGTCCCATGCTACTAACCAAAAAACTGATTTTCTTTTCAGTCACAAGGCTTTAACCGGGTCTGTAAGGTCCTTGAACAAAACGGGGACACCTTCTGAATATGAAGATGAGTATGAAGATGAGGAGGAAGCACATTCTGAACTAAATCCGGGAAGTCAGTTGTCCTTTACAAAGACCTTGTTGAGCGAACACGAAAAGCTTGCCTACGTGGCTTCTATCTCAGTATTAGCCGACGAGCTGTGCACGCAGTTGGCACTAACTTGTCTTTCCACTAATGTAACGGGAAACCGGAAGCTAGCACATAAACTGCAGCTCCTCCAGAAAAATATGGGTACTTGGAAAACTAGCATTCTCTCGCGACTGTATGAGCATCTGGAGATTTCTGCGGGAGAGATCACCATGATAGGAAACTTAGCCGCACATGGTGTGGAGCTTAGAGACCTGTGCAAGTGCTTGAAGGTCGCACAAGTAATTAACAATCCTTGGGAAGACAAGCAAGCATCCGAAATGAGCCCTGAGCTGCAGGAGGCTGACATAAAGAATCCCCCTCCTACGAATTCCCTACACCCCAAAGACTTGCACCAGGAGTCCGAACTAAACATTGACGTAGCGTGGACAATTGTTTGCGACCTCTTCCTCCTTCTTCTCGCTGACAATCGGTATGATGCCCGATCCCGCACTCTTCTCATGAAATTCTCAGAGGTTCTGAACATCTCTAACACAGAAGTTTGCGAATTTGAAAGACGTATTATAGATGCATTGGATATGGAGCAGTCTACAGAGGAGCAAGTTTGGAATGAGACTGAGCACATGAGATCCCGTCGCAAAAAGAACAAAAAGCGAAAACTTTATTACGTGGGTCTCGCAACAGTTGGCGGCTCTTTAGTATTGGGACTAAGTGGCGGACTTTTAGCCCCTGTAATTGGTGCTGGTATTGCAGCTGGGCTTTCTACAGCAGGTATAACTGGTGCAACTGGGTTTTTAACCGGAGTAGGTGGTACTGCCTTTGTTGCGGCTACAAGTACCGTTATTGGCGCTAAAATCGGAACAGAGGCTATGTCAAAAAGAATGGGCAGTGTTCGAACATTTGAGTTCAGCCCTTTGCACAACAATAGAAGGGTTAATTTGATAGTGAGCGTTTCGGGTTGGATGACAGGTAACGATGATGATGTGAGGCTGCCTTTTTCAACTGTGGACCCCGTGGAAGGAGATTTGTACTCTCTTCATTGGGAGCCGGAAATGCTTAAATCGACTGGCCAAACTATAAACATTCTTGCTAGCGAAATTTTCACCCAAACTGTTCAGCAGATTCTTGGAGCAACTATATTAACTGCATTCATGTCAGCGGTCCAGATGCCCATGATGCTTTCAAAACTCGGTTATCTCATCGATAATCCTTGGAATGTGTCTTTAGATAGGGCTTGGGCGGCTGGTCAAATTTTAGCTGACACCCTCATCTCTCAAAACCTGGGTCAACGTCCTATAACGTTGATTGGTTTTTCTCTTGGTGCCCGAGTAATATACGCGTGTTTGGTGGAGCTCTGTAAACGTCAGGCAGCTGGACTGGTTGAGAACGTGTACATTTTCGGCTCCCCTATAGTTTACAACAGGGAAGAACTCGTAATGGTTCGTTCTGTGGTTAGTGGCCGATTTGTAAGTGGCTATTCCGATAAGGATTGGATTCTGTGCTACCTTTTTAGAGCCACCAGTGGTGGCTTCAAGAGCGTTATCGGTATTTCGGAAGTAAGGGGCGTGCAGGGCATCGAGAACTTTAATTGCACTGAAATAGTTGAGGGGCACATGGCATATCGTAAAAGTATGCCCAAGTTACTAAAGAAGATTGGTGTATCAGTTCTAAGTGAGGACTTCGTGGATATAGAAGAAGCGGCTGACCCTGAACAAGTACATCGTCAGCGACAAGTAGGATATGACCTTGAAAAGGCACACAAGAAATTGTCAAGAAAGAAACGCAATAGCTGGGTACCTACGTGGATGAAACCAAAGAAAGCAAAATGGCAAGAAATGTACGAAGAATCTGCATTATCACAGGAGAAGGATGACCACGAGGCTAACGCAGATTTATCTGACGTAAATGGACACAACGAAAGACCGGATCCAGCTCTTGTGAATACGAGCGCACTCATGAAGGAGCTGGCTAAGTTAAAGCGTGACGTCAAAATGTCACCAAGTAATGGGGAACAAGATCTCGAAAAGGCGGATACTTTTCCTCATATCGATACAGCGTCGACTCGCAGCGGAGAGGAGTCTGCAGTAGAGCCCAGAGGAGGCTTTCCTTTACTCAACGCAGGGAAAATTGTATTACCGGATGACAATGTACGCTACGAGAAGACCAAGAACGAGACAATCGACTTCTCTTTTTCTGATGATTTCTAAGTGTGCTAGCATTCTAAAAACCAAATATATATCATTCCACTTAATATTATAGAAAGGCTTCTGAGTTCAGTTCAACGTAGGAGGCAGCGTATGGTAAGTCAAAGTTTTTCATTACTTCCGGGTGCAAAACACCCAAGTAACCGATCTTCTTAGGTTCCTCACCTTCTTTTGGTCTAAACATGATCTTTGCTCCTCTTCCTGGGAAAAAGGTTGGTAGGGAGTCATCTTGTTCGATCCAATAGCCTCTAGAAAGGGAAGCCTTACCATAGTCGGCTACCCATTGAGTTCTAAAAGTTTGCATGACTTTTCCGAGTAGCCCTTGAATAATTTCAAAGCCTGCATTTTTCCCTACGTAGATAGCAGCCCAGTGGCGTTCGTTGTAAGACTTGCGCTCCAATTTTTCGTTTTTGAAGACGACATCACCAGCTTCGAAAACCTTAATTGGCAGTGTATGCTTTCTGTTTTCTCTTACTGTCTTCAATATACCAGGTAACAAAGTTGTTCTCACAACTTGATATTCAGCAGTCTTTGGGTTTGCTAGCTTGACAGCTTGTGTGCCGTCATCTTCAACCCTCAAAAACTTATAATTTTCATCATGAGAACACAAAGTAAGGGGCAAGACTTCGAGCCATGACGCCTGTGCCGAGGCTGTTCTGAAAATATCGGAAATTTTATTAATGGGCAACGGAGCAGCAACAAAGTTGGCATTTGACAATTTTTTCCCCTTAGGTAGTTTATTGTAACCATATCCAATTGCTGCGTCCTCCATAATATCACATGGATGCAAAATGTCAGGCCTGGTAATTGGAATTTCGACCTTGAGATAGCCCTCCTTCTCTGAAGGAGCAGAGGGCAAAGACATTCTTTTTAAATTGGCACTTATCTCTTGCGGGGATTGGTTCAATCCTAGACAAGAATTGATGTATTTAGTGGAGACTTCCATCGATCTTGGAGTGAAGTTGGGAGTGGTACGCGATTGATTATTATGTTCCGATACTACTTCGAGAGGTTCGACAGTGAAAGGTTCGGAGCAGTAGCGGGAGAACATGGCGACGAGCTGATTAATAACAATTTCCACTTTGGTTCTATCCGTGGCAGTACACTCTATGAACACATTCTTGGTGCTCTTGGAGATTTTCGAATGTTCGGAATTAATTAAAGGTGGTAAAGAGCACACAGTTCCTTCGCTATCGTACACGACGGGGAAAACAGGAGAATCCTCAATAATGTGAACAAATCTGCCAATATTGTTTTTCTGGTCTGGCTGCTTGTAGTGTTCAATCAGCTCAGCACCTGTGAATTCCTTACTTTGATTCAAAGGCACGAACTTGAAGTCTTTTGGAGGGACCCCTTTATAATAGAAAGGACCCTTGATGGTGTCGGCATCGTGAGTACCAACAGCCACCAGAGTTCTGTTTCTGCACAAATTAGAGTGAAGTTTGTCCTGTAGATCAATGAATGACTGATAAGACGCATCTGTGAATGTGATACCTCTTAAAAAGGCAGCAGCAGCATAAGGTCTGATCTGCTCGGTCGAAGGCTCGACGTAGAGCTGGGTGGTGGCCTTCGTCAGCTTATACCGTGGAATCTCTTTTCTCCCCAAAAACTCATTCAACGATTGTGCGATACCTTCTGTGCACAACAAATCGTAACGATTAGCACCAATTTCAATTTTGAGCTCTGGCTCGACATTTAGCTTGAGCGCTTCCTCAGTAGTGTCTTCATCCAATTCTACCCCAAATTCGAAGCAAAGTTCGTCAAACTCTTCATTGGAGTACTGTTTTCCGAGTAAATCAAGAAAGCCTTTCTTTGGAACAGAGATGGTAGGCATTGTGGTTAAACTCTCCAGGAATTCAAAGGCTGGGCTCGAGGGCTATCGATTTGACTTTGGGATAATTCTCCTTCTCAGTCATTAATTGGAAAAATTTGATGCTCGTATGATATGATAAGTGATCTGGCTCTTCCATCTATAACAGATGCATCACTGACTAGCACCGGCTGCCTTGCGATACGGTATTAGGAGCGTGTCTTTCTTACTCGTAATGAATTTTTTAGGTCTCTCTTCTGCCCTCTCAAGATGGTAACTTTATGCCTGTTGGTGTTCATTTGAGGTCTCCGCAGACTCGCTAGCTGCACGTTTGAGATAATCAAACCAGTGGGCTATCCTCTGCTTAAACCAAATCTGTATCTGCGTCACTTATTACAGTTTCGTCAGCTCTCTGACTCTTTTTGAGGGTATACTTCAGTAGTAGTGACCGCAAATGTTCAACACTGACGGGACGCTCTAAAACATCATCAAAAATGCCAGCCTGTTGAGCTTCTTGATAGAAAGCCGTGACCGCAATAATTGGAGTGGCACTGTTGACGCTGTTTGTATTGCGAAGCAATTTAACAATGTCGATGGCGCCTAGCTTAGGTAACTTGAGCGCTGTGAACAAGATGTCGAATTGAACTCCACTTGTGACGCGACGAACCATCTCATCACCCATCGAGACACTTATCACCGAGCACCCAAGATTTTCTAAATCCTTGGTTAGTTTGAAGCGGTGGATAGGTATTGGCTCGCACACGAGGATGTCAAGGTTGCAATATAGCTCGCTCGCTGCAGACGAGCTTTCGCGCCCACTGCGGCGGCGACCGCGGGAGCCTGCAACTCGCGACAATGCCCGCAACTTTTCAAACTCTTCAGGTGGAACGTCTCCCAAACTAGAATGCTTGGAAGAGGAGCGCGAATGCACTCTTGTACGCGAGGATGTATTTTGCGGCGACAGGGGAGACTTGAATCGAGATGCGGGTGATGGCGAATCATTGTCTTCGACTGCTGAAGATGGTGATTTGGGGCTGTGGTCCATAAATATACCGGTACTGCGCCTGTGACTCATGCTAGACATATCAACACTGCCTCTTCTATTTGGCGAGTGGTTTTTAGAAGCATTGGGCGACGCGGATGACCGTGAGGTAAGGCTTGCGACACCCGGTGAGCTACTAACGGTACTGTACCTCAGCTGCTTAGAGCTATCCGATAAAGAACTTGAACCACTGGACGCTCGTTGGTGGTGGTGGTGGTGGTGCATGCCTTGTTCGACTAAATGCTCATTCTTAAGTCTATTGATTGCGTCCTTGTTGGCCCTGTCAAGAGCTGGTAAGTTTCTGAAATTGAAAGACCCGAACTCTGTTTGAACCTCATTGAGCTTGCTGACCCGACGCTCTCTTAAATGTAGAGGGATCGCAAGCGGGATATGCTTTGTGGAGGGGGAGCTGTTGTTGCTGCAACTTTGATGTTGTACAGACTCTAAAACGGATCCCACGGTGAGCTTTTGTACTGGTGTACTGGATTGACTGCTTCTCTCACTACTTGTACGTTTATGAGACCTTTCCATTTCGTTACTCAAAAGGTCGGGGATTTTTGGTTTTTCAGTATCGGACTCAGTGAAGTCTTCAAGTTGAGCGCCTCGCAAATCAAAATAGTCTGTACTCTCAGGATGTTGTATGTCTGGAACGAATGAGCCCGTCTCGTCATACAAATTTTCCCATACAACGTCTTTAAAATAGGGATGCTCGAAGATCTCCTGAACGTCGCTGGCACCAAGTCTTTCGTGAGGGTCAATGACAAGAAGTTTCTTGATGAGATCTTTGGCATCAGGCGTGATGTATTCGAGTTCTGTCTGTTTGTCTGGAAACTCGGGCCAATCTATCCGACCCGCCAAAATGTTACTGAACACCTCTTCAACTGTCTGGGCATGGAAAGGAGGATACCCAAAGAAAAACTCGAACAGCATGCAGCCTACAGACCACCAATCACAAGCGTCTGTCTCGCCCGTCCCCCCAATAGTTTCGGGAGCAAGATAGTCCGGCGTTCCAAAAAATCCTCTATTTTGGTTCGAATCATCGGGGTTGAATAAAGCATAGTCCGGTGTGGGACTATGATTGTCCCAAGATTCTGAAATATTGGAAGCAGTCCGCTTGTGCAAAGACATTGGTGGAGGTGAGCCGCCGCTGTGAAGATCCATCATTGAAAACGACAGCTGGGATCCAGATCTATGGAGAGCCGAAGCGTCTAGTGCTGACTGTGAACTAGAGTTGGAACTTGATCTCTCTCTTTTGAAAATAATTCCATCTAAAGCATTGCTGGAACCCGGAGGATCATCTTTCAAGTGCCACTTCAGCGAACGGTCCCCAGTATTCTCCTCAGAAGCAACACTATTTTTGCGGCTGGTATGGTGACCCTCTTTAAGAGTAGCACCTGTGTGTCTGGTTATCAGCCCCATTCTGGAGAGGCCAAAATCAGTCAGCTTGAGATGCCCGCGGCGGTCGATTAGTAGATTATCAGGTTTCAAATCGTGATGGATTATACCGCTTTTGTGCATGTCCGCAACACCATAGATCACCTCTGTAATATACTGTTTAGCCCATTGATCTGGTAAACTTCCCATCATTTTGATTAGAGTTGCTAAATCACCTCCGCTTAGGTACTCCATCACCAGAAATAAGTTCTCGCGGTTTTGAAATGTGGCAAAAAGTTGAGCAACGTATGGTTTATTGCTCTGAGCCATCATTATAGCTCTTTCTGATTTGACATTTGTTACCTGATTTTTAGCAATCATATCAGATTTCTTGAGAGCTTTAATGGCGTAGTACTCGCCCGTCAACCTTCTTTTAGCCAGAAATACGCTCCCGTATGCACCTTTACTGATTGGTTTTATGATATCATAATCCCTAATGCTAGGGGTGCTAGGTTTAGCTTGGTTAGTGGCCAGAAGCAGCGGGGATAATGGTTGTTTAGGTATAGATGCAGAGTGCACTTCGGGTGTCAATAATTCTGATGATGGTGCATAGGGCGACGTTCGCGGAGATCTATCCAGGCTACCGTGGTTAAGAGATCGAATTATTGAGTTTTTTTGTAGAGAGGCCAAAGGTGTGCTATGTCCAGCAGAAGAGCCTGCTGAGTTTCTTCTCGGTGTTGATTCCTGACCGCTTAGTCTCAGTTGGCCACTTGAGTCCGGCAAAATCAATTTAGGGGTGGCACTTACAGACTCAAAGAGCTTAGACTGGTCGCTGCTGGATCCTTTAGTCGCTATGTGCAAGTCAGAATGAGGGGCTGTAGTAGTTGTGGGGGTCACCGAACGAGAACCATGTGTGATGGTAGTTGTCCCTTCTGGAAATTCAGGGTGCTCGCTATTCAAATCATAAATCTTTTTCTGAGGCAATTCATCGGTGCCAACATATGCATCGGCAAAGATCCCGCTCGGCGCACGCTGTGGCTGGGGGGACGCAATCTTCTTATTCGTACTCAACTTTAAGTCATTACCAGTTAGAGACAGAGCTAGTGGGGATCGTGTCATATGTCGATTGGCTTCATCACTCTGCAATGAATTTAATCTGTTTCGCTCAAGTTTCTCTTCGATCAACTGTAGCACGTAGTAATCGATCTCGTTTTTGATCTTGAATGAATATTTCATGGCATGGTCGAGCCGAAACAAAAACTCCAACTTCTGTGATGCAAATTCCATTGTGTCATTTTTTAGGGCATCGATAGCCAAATTGTCGCCATCTGTCTGTGGCTTCCACAGCAAGACACTGTCGATGTTTTGGAGGGTTCTCGGAGAGAATTGATAGACAACTTGAGCACTAATATCCTGCTGAAGATTGACCTCTCTGAGCTCACTCGTATTTGTGTTGATAGCATCGTCGCAAAGTTCTATAAGCGAAGCCAAGGTTTTGAAGGGGAACCTTAGGCTGCGAAAAATGGAACTAGAGTTCTTTTGTCCGCTCGAAGTTTTTTTGAAGATGCTCAATTCCAAAGAATCGCTTTTTGAAGTGCTCTCACTGTTATAGGCCGACGGTTCCGCACTCAACTTCGGAAAAGGTAGGTTTTTGAAATGGGATATGCGGCCGTCATTGGATTCCAAGGATACAAACACATCTTCAATATAATTGCGACGCTCCACTATCTTGTCATGAAAGAGTTGTACCATACTCTCGATTTTATGCTCAACGATGCAAGATTCGGAGTGGGTTTCCAGCCACCACGCCGGTACTGACGACTCGCAAACTCGGCAAAGTTCATTCTTAGGGGTCGGTAATTCTAGCTCATCCGTTACCATTGAATTCTCAATTTCTGTGAGATATTGCGATAAGATGATAGCTCCAAATCCCAAGCGCTTTACAAGATCCTGCGGAAGATTATCCATGGCTCCCAATTCGCAGAACGGCTTGACGATCCACATAGAATGCGAAGGAATCTTGTGAACACCATCGAATATTACTATACCCTGTGCCTCCAGTTCGATAACGCTGGGATTTACGGCAGACACGTCGGGATGCTCAGTGCCACTCAGATCAGTGGACGAGCTGGTGGAATCATTTGGATGTCCTGCCTCTACCAAGAATCGGACACGATAGCTGCAGTCTTGGGCTATCATCAAATCTGTAGCCCTTTGAAAGACCGAGCGGTCTTGTTCGCTCCCCACCAATATCTCTGAGATCATTTGGCCCACTACCTCATTAGACTCTATGCCAACTATTTCTTTCCAAATAGAACTGAGATACCTGACCCTGCCGTCCATATTCAGCTCCAGAAGGATGCTTGCGCTAGTGTCGGTTGCTACCTTAAGGTATTCATCATACGATAGCGTCGATCCGGAAGGGGATGACGGAAATGTCTTGCGGGACTGGGTCGAATCGGGGCTTGCACTTCCGGATTTTGATAGCTTACCTGTGCTCTCCTCAGAGGAAAGGGAACTAACGTCCATCGTTACCAAAAATAATCTGTGTACGTAAAGGCTTGTGCAATAGCTCGTTCTGGTTCTAAAGGTCGACCCTAAACTGTCAGGAGGATCGAAAGCTAGCACTTATACAGCTCACAAAAGTTCACTATGACTTTCAGAAAATGTATAGATCCAAGCCTCTACGCGCCTGAACGCACTTTGTAGAGCTACAATTCGTTTGTTGGTTCTTACACTTTCAATATACCTTAAGATCAAATAGTCATTCAATATCTATCTAAAATGCAATCAAGCGGCAGAACCTCAGATAAGCTCATCGAAACAAAATTATGGGGTGGCAAGTAGTCTGAAGATGTCCGGAATAGTTTATAGTTGTACTTAGGTCGAGTTTGAAACCATATATTAGCTAGTAGTCGCCCGTGTCCCCAGGACGCCCCATGACCAAAGACGCTGGTGCTTATAATTCTTGCCAAAGGCTGATACTTGTATTTAGGGCATAATTAGACAGGAGCCACCGGTTCCTAACGCTAAAGTATTGCTGATTTCGGCTTATTCTCCCAAATGGATTGATCTTGCCAGATGATATTTTTGACCATGCTGAGAATAAAAGCTTTTAAGTTGATATCCTTGGCGAGTCCTCTATTGATGAGAGGTATTTTGGGCAAACAGAGATCTGCTACTTTCGGTTTGGCGTTGAAACTTGGTTTCAGGCAGTTGCGAACAGGACGACCACTTTTAGGCCCAACAGTTAGCGCTTCAAAGACAGGGAGGAACCCATACCTGCAACGGACCCGAAAAGTAGATATATCTAAAATACCTAAGATGAGCAGTGAGAACACGTCGAGTGCGTCATCCACTATCAGCAAGCCAATCGTATGGGTGGACTGCGAAATGACTGGTCTGGATCACACCAAAGACAAGATCATCGAGATTTGTTGTATCATTACGGATGGAGATTTGAACATCGTGGACGAGGCTGGATATGAGAGTGTGGTCCATTGCGATAAGTCGATTTTGGACGGGATGGACGATTGGTGCGTGGAGCATCACGGATCGAGCGGCTTGACACAAAAAGTACTTGAATCAAGCAAGTCTACAGAGCAGGTCGAAGACGAATTGCTCGCATACGTGAAGAGGCTTATTCCAGACAAGCGTAAGGGCGTCTTGGCGGGCAACTCCGTCCACATGGACCGCATATTCATGCTGCGGGAGTTCCCACGCGTGATTAGCCACTTATTTTATCGTATCATCGACGTGAGCTCGATCATGGAAGTATCGTTCCGGCACAATCCTGACTTAGCGTCAGTTTTTCCTCGAAAGAAGGGCGCGCACACAGCGAGGTCGGACATACTGGAGAGTATTGCCCAGTTAAAATGGTACAGGGAGCATTATCTCAAAAGTGCGCAAGAGACTCGCGAGTTCGTGGAGAGGCAGAGACTACAAAACGAGGATGGTCAGATCGCTGAGTCTGGATCAGCCAAGAAGTCTTCGAACGGCTCTGAGGGCCTTACGGGCGTCATCAAGGGCATCCGGGAGTCTATCGCGGGCGTCTTGAAGCCTCAGGATGAACATCATCTTGACAGAGAGGAATCTCCTTCCAAAAAACCTAAGCTGGACCAAGAATAGATCCCGTATAGCACTTATTCCAGCAAAGTTTTCCCGAACTCCACACAATAAACGCTACCCTAAACAGCCTACATACTCCTAAATTTAGGATTGGTACGCTTGCTCATATGCTACATTACCCTAAAGCACCTTATAGAATTTGGATAAAAGATGAGACATCAACCCCCGTACCATCAGCCACTCTCTCACATCAAGCTTTCCTAGTTAAAGAGGCGCTGGCACTCTACCGAAACCCTCTACCAAACTAGGTGTGCTGTCCTCATCATTTTTCGCGCTGTACGGCCTTTAGATTGGGCTTAGCTTAGTTTTGAATGTTGATCACTGTATACGTCTGTGACTATATAAAGCGGGAGTTTTTCAGTTGCCGGACTTCCCAACTTCGTTCTCGTTCTGATCATACTCCAAGAGATAATCGGGTAAGTCAACTTTGATCGGGCGGAAACGATCCAAGATTATTTCGAGAAACACACAAACAGTCTCTCTGTCATGAACGGAAGTGAACAAGGTGCTTTGGAGGCCAACTCGGCGTGTACTAGCAATATTCCGGTGGATTTTAAGTCAACGTTGCCACCACGGAAAAGAGCTAAGACCAAAGAGGAGAAGGAGCAGAGGCGGATTGAACGTATTCTGCGGAACAGACGTGCAGCCCATCAGAGTCGCGAGAAAAAGAGGTTGCAGTTGCAACACTTAGAGCGCAAGGCCGCACTTCTGGAACAGATATTGAGCTGTAAAGACGTGGCAAAACTAGTGCAAAGCAGTAAAGAGCTTAGCACGATGTACGAAGAGTATCAGTCACTGTCTGTGCAAACAGCGGACAGTGGTGCATGTTCTCACGATGATGACGACGAAGAAGTTGCCACAGGTGGCCACAGGACTCCAGAGTCATTGTCTTCTTCCTCGTCGCTGTCAGCTGCTCAGCTCACAAAGCTCACCCCCGTATCTAATTCTGTGCTTTCTTCTCCGGCAGCGCCAGAGAAAAACACAGAATTGCTTTCGGGAGGACTCCATCCGGACATTTCCACAGATACTGCGAGGAAACCATTTTGTCTCAACGAGGTATCATCGGACTCGAGCGTGTTGAATCCCCTACTGGACTTCCCGGGGGTTGAACCCGAGAACAATGCTGCCACAGATTTATCCAACTGGAATCTTCTACTGACAAACGGCGACGAAATTTCTTTACCACATTCCTTCGACGAACACGAATACCCTGTCTTAGACATGACTGATAATTCCTGGGGCCTTGACCCGTTGCGTAATCCAGCTGTGATTAAGCTAAGCTTGAGCTTAGCCGACAAGTAGACAAAAAACTGATAGTAAGGGAGACTTTTAGACAAGTTGATCGTTTTGAAAGGCTCGATCTCTGACGACTGGACCTCTTAAGTGTAGTGTTCCTGTCTGAGCCTGAAAAACACCTTTTTGGTTTCGTTTCCGCCCGATACCATCCTTTGCTCTCGGTTTTATTCTTCCTGTTAGGCTATGCTGCTTGTACTGCCAGAAGCGCAGTCAAGTTCGATCCTGGAATTAGATGATTTCATTTCCATTCCCTGAATGGAAGGGGTTTTTCAATTGTGATTGTTTGACAAAAGGGATGTCTTGCGGATGACCATCATTTGTTTTTGCGTTTCAAAGAGCATGTCTCGTTTCGGCATGTGGCGCGCTCTTACATGGAGCTGCGACTGGCCTGATTTACCCTTTATTTGGCATGTCTCTAGAAACTCATTTCCACGTGTGCGTCGCTCTTAGACATCACTAATTCGATACAATTGGGTTCGTCATTGGGTTAAGTGTCGTGACGTTGGTTCTTTTTTCGCCTCCATCTGGTATCTCGGCAATTCCTGTGTATATTATAAGTTTTACAGCTGGTACATATCATATATTTTGAGTAAGTTTCTTTTAAAACGCGTGTTTAGCATTGTCGGTTTTAATTTGACGTTATTTTACGTGAACTAACGTAACTTAATCTAGAATGCCCTTACAAGAAACGAAAACGCGATGGAGAGTTCTAACGTACCCTTTCCGGACATTGACCCTTATGAGGAGTTGCAAGTGAAGCAGTCAGTTACCCCTACAGAGCTCAAAAAATGCTATCGAAAGTTGATGCTTCGATATCATCCGGACAAAACCAACGATTGGACACCAGAGGCAAAGGAAAAGTTCCACAAGATTCAGTTTGCATTTGAAGTTCTTGATAAGTTTAAGGACACTTTCGATAGAACCCAATCCATCGAGGCGTGCTTCGCAGGTGAGAGTCTGGCGGACTGGAAAGACTTGTTTGACACCGACGTGGTCATCGATCGTGACACGATTGCCCAGGATAAAGCTAGGTATCAAGGCAGCTCGGATGAAACGCAAGACATCATTGAATCATGGAATTCAAATGAGCAAGCGAAGCCTTCCAAGAGATACACGCCCGATGACGACCAATTCACCTTGCTCTTTCAAGAGATTCCCCATATCGAGGCAACTGACGATGACGAAGCGTACATACACGAAAGGATATCCGCTTTGCTTGCAGACAAACTGATAACAGACTCCAATGGCAGCTTTCAGCGGTGGAGCGCCAATCGCAAGAAATATCTAAAAAGTATGCAAAAGCGTCTAGCGAAAGAGGCAAAGCAAGCTGATGACATGCTTGCGAATATCCAGGACTCCCAAAGCGCAAAAGCAGCCTTAGGCGATGAAGATCAGTTGCGCCAGCTTATCCAGAAGAAGAACAAAACATCATTTGATTCTCTGATTTCTAAGCTCGAAAACCAGGCCACTTCGAAGGGTAAACGCACAAAGAGAAAGACTGGAGATATTGATGACGACCAATTTGAGAGGCTGCAAGCGAAGATGGCCAAGAGACGTCAGCGTTAACCTTGTAGATCATCAAACACTCCTTCTCGTGACCTTGTGAGTACAAAGTATCTTCATGAGATTACTGGTGAGTACACCGCAAAGAGATCAACGCTTCGGGGAACTCCGAAGGGCAGTAGTTTATAACTAGGATAGCAAACTTAATTGCCAAGCAAGTGTCGACAACTTCCTCATACTATCTTCTTTCGAATTCTTGGTGGATTGTCGAGATGGCTTCCGGGATTTTGCTCATCCCAGGTCCAATTGTCATCAGTGAAAATGTCCAGAAAGCTCTAGGTACTCCCTCCGTGTCCCACACCAGCCCTGAATTTGTGGATCTGTTTGCGAGTACACTGCAGAAAACTCGTCAGTTATTCCAGGCAGGTGAATCTGCTCAACCGCTGATAGTTGCCGGTAGTGGTACGCTAGGCTGGGACATGGCTGCTTCCAACCTGATAGAGCCCGGAGCCAAAGTTCTTGTTCTATCAACTGGGTTTTTTTCGGATTCTTTCGCTGAATGTCTACAGACCTACGGTGCTCACGTCGACAAGCTCACGGCTCCTCTCGGTGGTGTAGTGCCGTTGAGTGATATCCGGAAAACCTTAGGCGGGCAAAAGTACGAAATGATCGTAATAACGCACGTTGACACCTCCACTGCGGTCTTGAGCGACGTTAAGAGTATCAGCGAGGTGGTCAAAAATGTTTCTCCGGATACGCTAATTACTGTGGATGGTGTATGTTCGATCGGCTGTGAAGAGTTTGCATTCGATGCGTGGGGCATCGATTACGCGTTAAGCGCTTCCCAAAAGGCCATCGGATGTCCTCCAGGTCTTAGTATATCTGTACTGAGCTCCAGGGCGATTGAAGTTGCGTTAAATCGCAAGTCTCAATCCTCATTCTTTGCGAGCTTCAAGAAATGGATCCCGATCATGCAGAATTACGAACAATCCAAAGCAGCCTACTTTGCAACGCCCGCGGTACAACTGGTCAATGCCCTAAATGTGTCGATTGGTGAAATCCTGGAACAGGGACTCGAAGCCCGCATTGCAAAGCACCATGCCACTAGCGATTGGTTCAAGAACAAACTAAGGACCGAAAAGGGACTGAAATTGGTAAGTTCAAACCAAAGAGTATCAGCTCACGGTCTGACAGCCGTTTATGTTAAGAAGCCGGCGGAGGCGATTTCTGCACTCAAAAAAAAGGGTATTATCATCGCGGGTGGCATTCACAAAGACATAAAGGGAGAGTACATCCGTGTGGGCCACATGGGCGAATCTGCCTGCAACGATTCGCTCTGTCACATTCAGCTATGTTACGAAGCCTTGAGCGAATTGGAGTTGTAAAGCACTCAAAATTCCCGGCCCCGGCAAACTTGTGTAGACTTTTTTTTGTAGTATGCCATGAAAAGCAAGTTTAGTTGAGTGGTGCTGACGAGAGACTTGCATTGAAGACAAGCCGGTGGCCGACGGCTATCAGCGTTCGAGAAATCAGTGACAGAAAGGTAAAAAGTGATTTCACGAGCACCGACGTCCCGAGCATCCAACGCCCGACCAGAGCACTGGAGTGTCACCCGTACCATGTCAATTGCTCCCTGAGCAAGAGAAGTCATGAAAACCAATCAATTTCCGGTCTGCTGCACCACGCCCATGGTCCGTCACATGCGTGTCCAGAGTCACATTCCGTCCTCTCGAGTCAATTAGCAGCTCACGAGTCAGATCAACAGCATCTGGCCAAAACGTGAAAAAAATTATGTTCCCACAGGTAAAAATTCCCCACCAGGCAAGTTCAGTAGATATCGCCCCTAGCAAATCAATCTAGTGCAGGTGGTCACTCATCATCTGCATGTCGATTGAAAAATCCAATTTGTGAATCAACCACCCAGTGATAAAAATTGTGGGTTTTTTCAGAAAACTTCAGAAATTTCGGACTCGATGCACCCTCGCTCAGGTGAGATTGCACAGCTTCACTCACAGCTTTAAAATCGCATATGACTTGAAATTCCATTGATGATGATGTTAGGTAGTTAGCGATATCAATTTTATATTGCCCATCTATTGAAAATTTTGATTGGAAATTGACAGCCCAAATGAAAAATCCAAGTGAAATGTATATAAACCCTTAACATGGACTACCGACAAGAAACCAGTAGACTACCCTTACTAAAGTAAACAAGTTCTATACTAGCTATAAGCGAAGTAGCTAAAGCTAACACTAATCCATTAACTTATTAAAAATGCCATACGCATTGTCGGAATCCCACAAGAATCTCATCTCTTCGCACTTGAGCGAATCTGACCCTGAAGTGGAGCAGATCATCAAGGCCGAGATCGACAGACAAAAGCACTCAATTGTGTTGATTGCTTCCGAAAACTTCACTTCCACCTCCGTTTTCGATGCTTTGGGAACGCCTATGAGCAACAAGTACTCTGAGGGGTACCCAGGAGCCCGTTACTACGGTGGTAACGAACAGATTGACAAGATGGAATTGTTGTGCCAGCAGAGAGCTTTGGACGCATTTGGCGTTTCCAAGGAGCAATGGGGTGTCAATGTCCAGACGTTGTCCGGCTCGCCAGCCAACTTGCAAGTGTACCAAGCCTTGATGAAGCCTCACGAAAGATTGATGGGTCTTTTCTTGCCAGATGGTGGTCACTTGTCGCACGGTTACCAGACCGATACCAGAAAGATTTCCGCGGTCTCCACTTACTTCGAGTCCTTCCCATACAGAGTGGACCCAAAAACCGGCATCATCGACTATGACACCCTAGAGCAAAACGCCATTTTGTACAGACCCAAGATTTTGGTCGCCGGTACCTCTGCCTACTGTCGTCTCATTGACTACAAGAGAATGAGAGAAATTGCCGACAAGGTTGGTGCTTATTTGATGGTTGACATGGCGCACATTTCTGGTCTTATCGCTGCCGGTGTTATTCCTTCTCCTTTTGAATTCGCTGATATCGTCACCACTACCACTCACAAATCTTTGAGAGGACCTCGTGGTGCTATGATCTTCTTCAGAAGAGGTGTCAGATCTGTCAACTCCAAGACCGGCAAGGAAGTCCTATACGACTTGGAGAACCCAATCAACTTCTCCGTTTTCCCAGGTCACCAAGGTGGTCCTCACAATCACACCATCTCAGCTATGGCAACTGCTCTAAAGCAAGCTGCTTCGCCAGAGTTCAAGGAATATCAACAACAAGTTATCAAGAACGCCAAGGTCCTTGAAGAAGAATTCAAAAAACTAAGTTACAGACTGGTTTCTGATGGTACCGATTCGCACATGGTTCTTGTGTCGCTGAGAGAAAAGGGCGTTGATGGTGCCCGTGTTGAATACCTATGTGAAAAGATCAACATCGCTTTGAACAAAAATTCCATTCCAGGTGACAAGTCAGCTTTGGTGCCAGGTGGTGTTCGTATCGGTGCTCCAGCTATGACCACTAGAGGTTTGGGTGAGCAAGACTTTGCCAGAATTGTCAGCTACATTGACAAGGCCGTTCAGTTCGCCCATGACGTTCAGCACTCATTGCCAAAGGAAGCTAACAGACTCAAGGACTTCAAGGCCAAGGTTGACGAACTATCCGGTGAGTTGGAATCTCTAAAGCAAGAAATTTACTCATGGGCTGGTGAATTTCCATTGCCAGTGTAAGACACCTGCGTAAGGGAATTTCTCAATACACTGTCGCCAACGACAACCATCTTGATTCAGATTGATTCTGATCAACTCTGCATTTTCAACAAATAACGGACTTTGGGATATTTACAGTACGAACCAGTATAGTTTCACATAACAAACAATAAATTCAACATTGTATGCTAAGGATTATCAAATTGTAACCTACCTCTCAAAAAGTATTTCCAACTGATGATACTTTCGATGAATTAATTGGACAGCTGTAGTTGTGGCTCTTCGTTTGTCATATTATCGGATTTTAAGTTACAAATGTTCAATTCGACTCGGTCAAATTTATACTAGTTCGCTTGCTGGCTCTACTTTTCCGGCAGTAATTAGATGAATGAGGCAACGACAAGAACCCAGCGTCCTTGAGGACCAAATCACAATGCAGTATAAGATAAGACAGTCAACACCTTAATGTCTTCTATGCCTAGGCTTTTATCTAACCTCAACGATTACGGAAAAGATATATATGTTGCCTGCAACAAACTGACGTCCGATTATGAAAGCAAAATGCGAGAGTGAACGAGGAAGGATTCAGAGATCCATGATGTGTTAATTAGTCAGTACCGGCGCTATGTCGCCGGGCAGTATTGTCTTCCTTTAGTTCGAATGGTTCGACCAGTGCAGATATTGAAGTCTCCTTAGCTTCTTTTGCAGATGGCACAGGGGACTTTTCCTTCATTAATAAATGGCCAGCATGGGTAAAGATATAGTCATCGAGAGAAAACAGCGCCGGATCTTGAAACAGAAGGTAATAGAATTTTAAGTGCTTTGAAAACCAGTCTGCGGGTAGTGCATCGAATCTCTCGCCAGTAAAGACGTTTTTCAAAGACGAGATTTGCCCGACACCCTTAGCTGAAGGCCGCTCTATCGTTTTCATAGTTGTTTCCAACAGCTCAAGTCCAATATCACGCCATGATTCTTCACCAGTGGTACGGTATAAATAGAAAATGGACTCAATGACGTCAGAGGATAAATTGTAGCTTGGAATGGCGCCATCAAAGTATTTTGGCAATTGGGTGTCAGTTACCCATTGTTCTGATTCACGAGCCTGGTCCGATACTATTTCTTCTCCTAGGTGGTAGTACTTCGAGGACAGGGTCGAGACAGCATTGCCATCATTGTCGTCACCTACCTTAATACCTTTGCCTTTACGTGCCCCTTTCTGATCCCGATTCGGTGGTTTTGAAGAATCGAAGTCACAAGGTGAATTTGCACACTTAAAAGCGTGTACAGCGTCAGGCATCACACCCAGTAACTTGTACGTTTGAACACAGCCTCTCGTTATGGATTTAGCTTTCTCGATATAATCATCATCGGCGAGAAGCTTTCCCATCAAAGTAAAACTCGAAGCAAGGGCGCAGCTCGAGTGATGCATTGTGTAATCAGGAGATATCTCCACAATTCGTTCATCGTTTAGAGCCCGGTAATAAACTTCGGTAGAAACCGAATTGACATATGATAGGTTAAGTCCTTCGGGGTTAGGTAGCAATGGGGTAAAGACCATAAGCTGCCGAATTCTATCAAAACTGTTCACCAAAAATCTAGACAACTTGAGGTCCTTTGTAGTGTCAACGCCGTTCAGTAATTGATAAAACTTTGCCATGTTGTCGTAGAATGGCAAGCTTGCACTATCGGCGGAGAAGATGGTTTTCTCTGAACCGGGAACGGGTTTAAAGCGGTCAGTTTGCAGACAGTGTACATATTCGCCCTGCATGATACTTTTCATGACGTTCCCATTCGGATGCTCGCCGGTGACAAGTTTATCCTGGGGTATCATTTCACAGCCCGTAGCATCCACAAAACTTGGAAGCAAATAATCGATGTCAAAATTACCTAAAGACTCGAAAGCCGTTTGATAAATATGCTCAATTGCCTCGAAATACTTGTCATCTTTAGTTAGCTGTGAAAGCCTTGAAAATTCTAGCGAAAAAGCACCCAACTGACCAATGTTCGAATTCTGAAAGGGAAATCTATTGTTCAACACTGAATTCCAGGGATATTGTAAAAGAGGAACGTGGTTTGGGGTGTCAAATGATTTCAACAATAAATCGGCTAATTCCTTAGCTTTGGTGAGGAGTATGGTCTCTTGGTGGCCCGATAGCTCGTAACTAGATATCAAAGCACCAAGCAAGCGCTGCGCACTCTGTGAAACATCAATGAGTGCCTCTTTAGATCGAGTGAAATCCATTTCTGAGATGAACGTCAGTACTTTGCTAATATCATCCGGTTGGTTCAAAATATAAAGCATGTCCAATGATTCCAGCATAGTGGTAGCTCTTGAAAGACCATTGGATGTGGGATTTTTTGATAGCGGCTTCAGTTCGTCACTTCCTAGAGCGAGACGGGAGTAAGCTCGCCAAGACGTCATAAATTGGTGTTCGATCCTTTCGCAAATTTGAGCCGCCTTCACAGCATCCTTGCGCCCAAAGTTTAATGCTTGAGTCCGCCTTAAGGCTCCTGATGGCTTATTGTGGGTCAATGAATTTTTAGAGGAAGCATACCGTATCGGGTACCTAGGTTTATCTGTTATCTTCTCGGATTCCAGCTCGAGTTCCAGCTGTGGATATAATGTGAGTACTTCTTCTTGTCTATGAATAAGTGGGAAAAATCGGTTTTTCTCCACCAGTATTTCTAGGTTTAGTAGTTCTTCCTCGGCGTCATTGGCCGCTGGCCGGGCTACGGACGGCAGACCTTCTAAACCCGCAATTTCTGCGACGGCTACACCATTCGGTACTAGCGGTATATGCTTATCTATTTGAGGCAGCGACTCGGTTTCAGCATAAGAGTTGAGGGTGTTGACTTCATTTAAAAACGTGTAGTAGAGCAGCACAGACACCGTCCCACACAGGGCCACAACGGACCGAACTCTTCGGATATATGAGACCAGTAGCTTCATAATCTGCTGCTGACGGGTCCAGGGAGATCTGGAAGACCTTTAAAAATCAAGACGAGTCTCATTAGCAAGGCGTGTGCAAATTGGCGAAACGCCATTCGATGAGTTCCGAGGAAAATATGCAAACAGCGACGTTTTCGTTGGTAATGATTTCTTGATCTTCATAAATTTGATGGAAGGTCAAGGATAGGATCAGTACTTACATTGTCACACCAAGTGCCTGGAGAGTTCAGATTGGGCCCATTGCTGCGGCTGTAGCCTGTCGTGATGTTAAATAGTCCTTTCTTTCCTCAAGGTCGTCTTTATAATTCGAAAAATAATCAGGTTTATCGGAAGAATACCATCCACTCCCGACAAAGACACCTCCTGGTCGATATGCTGATGTTGATTCGATGATGCGATTTTACAGGTTCTTTTTGTTTCCTAATAAGATTTGTTTATCAAATGTCCTGAATTATGTCAAAATTATTAACTGTTTACTAAAAAATTGAGCTCAAACCAAGCTACCCAGAAAACATCTGGCCGGCCATACTCGATTATCTTCAAATACTCTCGATTATTACTTAAGAAACTTGGAGCAGTACTTTGCAAGCCTTAAACCCTACATGACCTCCATTGTCAAAAGTGTTGATGCATGGTTTTTGGGCCAAGTTCAAAATTTGTTTGAGTATTAACATTTTTCGGTCCAAACACATTGAACTAATGTTACAACTAGTCCAACATCAGACCGATTTTGATTGACGCCTTTAAATTGCACCTAAGTTCATCTGCTTTCTTGTGACACAATATTTTCTGTTGATAAATTGATTTGGAACAAGGATGGTAGTTGGGAACCAGAACTTGTACTCATGGTGAAAATGCCTTACTGCAAACAAATAAACTTTGACAGAATAGTTCGAGAGCTCTGGTATGTGAAGGGTAACCTCCAAATTCATATAGTTACACTTTCCTGTACAAGACCAGATTGCTATTTTGGTTTGGATCAGAGTGGAGCCAGAGGAGGATGATGATCAGGCTTAGTGGATGCAGGATCCAGTCAATAACCTATCGGAGAAGGGAAGATACTTGACTCTGGGACCTTACACGCCCAAGGACTGTACTGGGATATCCAGCACATAGAATAAACAGATGGGCGGTTGAAAATGCTGCTGCCTTCAAATTGAGCCTTGAGTCAATACCTCTGTGTCCTCGGTCTGTAAGCATGCTGATAGTAACTCATTATCGGAATCAGACTAAGATAGACGACAGGCAGAGTTGCTGGATCCGGTCACACACTTCCATTCGAAGCTGCATGGGAAGGCTCGAGAAACGCGTCAAATAGTGAGGCTACCAGTAGTCTGCGAAAGGACAATTTTGCTTTCACCTCAGGTCATTTAACGCTATGATCCATTCATTCCATAGGCTAGACCAGTACCAGTGGTCATCAGCTAGCTCTTCATGACAATGCCGGCCCTTGCGCTGGAAAATTGCTTTCGTCTCAAAGAGGCTACGACCAGAGGCAGTATAATATTGGAAAAACCTGCTCGGCAACTAGATGCATCCTTGTCAACGTCAAGGTAGACTATTTATCTATCACAAGCACTTCAAAAATTACCAGTCCCTGGGAAAGGCTTGAGCTTCGGAGCAGCTCCCATAATTGCTGTAGAAAAGCTGTGACACTGGCCGCTTTGCTCACTTCATCAGCAACAAGACTCAATTCTCCTATTGAATACTATGGTCAAGGTGGGTTAACCAAAACATTGGTTTGTTGGAAAGATTATCACCCATTTTTGTTTATCAGCTCTAGCCACCATGGCCGGTTCGCATTCAAAAGTCGAGATATTCACTATCTTCACTACATTCCCGATACTCACAGCGTCAATGAGACTCGTGATCTACCTCTACCTGTTGATCGTATCTACTCCGAGATATGCAATTTGTGGATTGAAAAATGGACCGTGCGTTTCATATTTTCGACCTTAGATGCACCTTCACTAAATTGGCCGATAAAAAACGTACCTGCACACTGTTCTATTCTAACTGTAGAATGCACGTCGGCTACCAATGTCTTCCATCATGCATTTCTCCCAAAATACAACGTGCAGTGAAGTTAGCAGGTAATCCCAAATTCGAATAGAGCAAGCAATATCTTACTCAGGGCCTCAAAAAGTGGAAGACGTCATAGCCTAGAGTCCACCGTGAAATTAGCAGCTTTTAGGCGGATTTGACGGCGCATTCGCTTTTCGAATTTCGAGTCGCCTGGATTTGTGTACTGTTTTCCAGGAGGTTACCAGCATTGGGCTATAGTGCAGAGGAAAAGAGCCGCTTCTCCGAATATTCAAGGCGATAGAGAGCTTTGCCTGTTGAACCTGAACACTTGTACCACTTGAGAAAAGGTGTCTACTGCGAAGATCACCAACCCTGCACTTATTGTAGAGCTCGCAGATTTGAGCAAAGCTTCGGCACATCCTCATGTAGCCCGGCGAGTTTCCATCAGGAAGTGGTCCACGCACAACTATCGCATAGTAGCGGCGACCCCCACACACACAGTTAGCGACGTTATCGCGACGCGTTGAGGAGTTATGTGAGCTTGTAACATAGGAGCAGTCTCGAATCAATGCCGTCGTGTCAACCTCCCGAACTGTCCCCTTCGACACGCGCTATACTATTTGTCTAGAGGTGGTACCAGCCTACGCAGTGCCACAGGTCAACCGGTATATTTCGGACAGAAAGACTTGCGGGCTCGACATGAATATTTGTGGGGATTCCCAAATGCTCAAATTGGCCGAATACCCACCATGACCAAGAGGACTGGGCCCTGGCGACTTCTTACTGCATCGTCTCACTTCGAAAAACCTTTACTTCATCTACTCAGGCTGCCAAGGTTGACAACGTATTTCTCACTCTTGTATAAAAGGTAGTTAGCGCATAAAAGTGACTTTCGAACCGCTTGAATGTGCGGTTGTTGGGGGAGAGGCAGTTTGAGGAATCTGCGCCGGACCATGACAGAATTGCAAAGAGTGATAAACAACTCAAATTGAAGTTACCTGAGTCAATGGAAAACCGTGGGAGATCAGGTTCTTGTGCATCAAAGATGTGTGTCCTGGGGGATCAGCTAAGCTTACAGAAGGTCACCAAGAGGTTTTCTCTAGTCGTTCTTCTCCTCCCGGCCACGTACGGTCATCGAGTCGCCCAATGGGTCTTCCTCGAGAAATTTTATATGCATCATGCATGGCCTAAAAAGAAAACCATTACAGTACTTTGAGGTAAACGATGCCACTGGGAAACCCGATCGGCTTCAGGTCGATCTTATCATCCCGACGTGTGTCCTAACATGTAAGAGGATATCTCATGTCTCGATTTACGTTCAACCTTCCTACGTGGCTGTCAACAAGCTTGTGAAAAGATAAAGTGACTACGGTAGATGACGATACGGTATGATGTCAGTGCTAGCGTTGCCAGCAAGACCGCGCTCCCATAACCAAGTGTCTTTTTTTTCCCGATTTGTTTTTTCCCGAGCGGTTTTGTCCCGCCGAGAGCTTTCATCTGATCATGCGCCGAACATTTCACGAGGTGTGCCTATGTGCCTGTGTCTCCAAGAGCTCGGACTGTGTAATGAGAAAAAGGTGAGGAAGATGCGTCCAGCCCTAAAAGAGTCACAACAAATGGCTGCGATGGAGGTCGAACGCTAGCAGTTACTTGTGCGCTTCGAAATGACCGATGACAGGTATAGCTCGGCCATTGAGAGAGAGAAGAGAGGTCAGTTTTGCCACTAATTCGACAAGGAACGCTACACCAACCCAATTCCATTCTGGATCTCGGCGCGCCCTGTCAAGCAAATTGTAGGTCCAGCTCCGGTGACAATAAGCGGGTGCCTACCAACTTTTAGGGCGAAAAATCTTTTAGGGCAGCGAAATGAGCACAATGGCTCACACTGACTCGGGGTCAATGGTCTGGTGGCTACGAGAGCGCTTGAAAATTAAAAGCGGGCCGGCTAGACCATTTAGAACCGGGCGCTAGCAAGACAGGACTGTAGGAACTGGGGAGCACTGTCAAAAAAAAAAATCGGATAGGACCTGCCGCTATGTGCACATGCTATAGTTCACCAAGTCGGTGCCGGACCCACAGGAAGCTGAGACCGGCCTATTGAAACATGTTCTGGGTATGTTTGTGCTCTTATATATAGTTCTGGCAATGAGCCTGTGTAACCTTTGTGGTTTCAAGGAAATGACAGCGCATAAATAACCACACCTCTTTGTCTGACATGAATGCGACCCCATTGTTCAACATGGAACCTTCTATTTACTTGGTCCAGCATGCTTTGGAGGACCAATATCTACCCTCCGCTGCGGCAAGTGCTCCACCTGCGGCCGTACCTATGGTTCCTAGTCAGCACTTACAGATTCAACAGCCAGCCACAGAACAGCACCCCTCCACGCGACAGCGGACGCAATGGACCCAAAAGGAAGATGCGTGTTTGCTTGAATCAGCCCTTACGCTGTCCCACATATTGGTAGGCGATCTCGACTTCAAGGCTCGCAAGTTGTTTTGGCATCACGTATCTCAAACTCTGATGTCCGACCATTTAGTGAGTAAAAACAGACGCCAATGTAGAGATCGCTTCAAGCTTCTCTACCAACGTGCTGTTTCCCGCAACACTTTCGATCGTCATTTACAACCCACCACACAAGTTGAAGTACTTAGCGACAAGTGTACGCGTATGTTCAAGTTCAGTCAGCACCGTGAACTGACCTTGAACACCATGAACAACGGCAGTCCACCATCTCCAACTATCCATGCCTCATCGATACCACCCTCCCGCGTTCCAACATCTCATCTTATCGCAACTCCCTCAACTACTTCCTCGTTAGCATCCACCATTAAAAGTCCTCGAAGAGAAACGGATAATTCCGGTGATACTGCACGGACTGCCTTACCAATAGCACATTCATGGTCTGACCACAACACGCCTTTTGGAAACTCTCCCCTGGAAAGCTTTGGCAACAGCATAGAATATCGGGAGCCCACTGCGAGCACCTCATGGGAGATACAAACTGTAGTGTCCACTCTTGTCTCCATGAAACATCAAATAAACCATTTATCAAATCGCATTGAGTGTATCGCTAAGGTTCTATCTGTTAATGATAGCCATGTAGGCACGGAATCTCTCAAGGACACTCATTTCACGTAAGATGATCTCTTCAAGATCAGAGTGGAGGTGCTTACTATTATGAATTTATGCGCCTGCCTCCTGGGCCTATGTCAATACCTGGCGGGGCCAATTATGATATCATTTCACTCTTAACCCCAAGTTGAGGCATTATCTAGTCAGCCCTCTTGACGGTCGGGCTCTTCATCTGCGCCAATTTACCCAATTGTCCAAGCATACCAGTGTCATCTGCCGAAGCCTCCAGCTATAAGAAATCACGGAGGGCCAGACACATGTTTAAAGGCATGATACGAACATTTGTTGAGTATACCAGTAGGAGTTTCTGGGATTACGGCGTTCCTGAACTAACTTCACAAAGGTCTTCAACGCTTTGTACAGAGCTTAGATCATTCTGTTGGACAGAATGAGTTAGCTGGCACAAAATTGACATCGATACAACCAAGGTCTCGAGTCTACCAAGGAAAGTAATTACACACCGATGCCAATAAAGACATAAACACTGATGTTTGCATGCGCCTATCAAACAGCATATATAGGCGAGTAAAAGAGGCGGCCAAGCTGCTATTCATAGGCAATCAAAAGTCTGGGGCTTTGGCTGTCATCATGAAGAAAACACTTAAAAGCCCTACGGTTTACCAACCATTTACCTGAAAAAAGGTCCGACTTGTTAGTTAATCCCAAAAGGAACACCAAGTGATGGACTTCGAAATTTTGGCCTGGTCCAAATATCATAAGGATGGCCACTTCGTTAGCTCATCAGTACCCTCGTGTTTAATTACAATAGTCCGACTTTCAGTTAATTAGACATGTAATGAAGTGGGTTGGGTCCCCTATGACTTAAAAAGTCATCAGCCCAAGCAGACTGCACCGCGAATTGAGCCTTATCAGGACCGAATAAAACCCCTACTGCTTACATATTTTTCATGTCGAGAATTTGAGCTTGACAGACTCTGTATTTTTGTCAATTTCTGCTATAATCTATTATCTTTCTATGGTTACGGATGGATATTCCGTTCTTGTGAACGGACATGAATTCCTGGGAGAATCGGTTATGGGTGAAAAGTCTGTGCTTTATTTCAGGGAAGGTGAACGGCTGAGTTCCAAATCAAAGAATATTTCAAGTGTGATGGTGAAGGATGATTTGGAAGCCCTCCTGTCTCTGGGGAGGTCCCAAGATGGGTTTGTTAAAAATGATTTGAGGCGACCAGTTTGGCTTAAGATCCTAAAATCCAGAATTGCATTTGACGCCAGTAGGGCCAGTAGCATGGGTAAAGAATGGTCAGATATTGTAAGCCACAAAGATGAACACCAAGTTTCGCTAGACGTCAGACGTTCATTTGGAGATATCAAAGACGACGCAGCGAAGGCTTTTCTGCGTCAAGCTTTAGAGCAGACTATTGTAAGAGTACTTCGGAAATTTCCGCAGCTCAACTATTACCAAGGTTATCATGATGTGGTAGCAGTTTTTGTTTTAGTTTTTCTGCAGACTCAGAGGTCGAACGAAGATTCAGAATTGAGCGATTCTACTAGCGGTTCATCCAGTATTGCCGAATCCGAATATCACGACAATCTAAGCTCTAGTTCAATCTCTACTAAATTGGCAGATGATTCTGTACTTTCCATTGATGGTGATCTATTGTTTGAAGCTGTGGTGATTTTTACCTTGCTCTACCTACGAGACTTCATGATGAACTCTTTGACTTTCACTATTGACCAATTATCGCTGATTCCATTGATCATCAAGCGGCATGACACCAACTTCTACAACCGCTTCCAATTGCACCAAATAGACCCCTTTTTTGCCCTTTCCTCGATCCTAACCCTTTTCTCTCACGACTTAAGACACCAAAGTCAAGAATCTTTGAGTATCGTCTTTCAAATTTTCGACCTTGTCATTTCGTTTAATTCTATGATGGTGCCACTCACTATTTATAGTAATTTATTGTTGGCCAAAAAGGAAGACCTGTCAGCAAGACTGCAAGATAACCTCCAGAATTTTGACAATGACACCGATTTGATACATGGGGTCATTCAGCAAGAGATGATAGTTGGATCTGGCCCACAATTATGGAATTCTGTCCTTGAAGCTACCAGAAAATCTGACAACAGCATAGGACAAGAAACCAAAAGAGTAGTAAACAAGTTCAGTGTCCTTATGACAGAACGGGCCTTGCCTGTGACCATCGAAGAGAGTCTCAATTGGCTGGAGCAGGAGGTGCGGTTGAGCGAAGCAAGGTCTACAACGCCCCAAGGCTATCGCCCTCCGGCAGTTTCCCGGTGGAAGATAATTACTCAAAGTGGCGGACCAACGCTAGTGAAAATGTCTTTGTTTGTGGGCTTTGCCGCTATTTTGTTAAAGCTGTACATGCGAACGTTGGACAACCACTCGGGGTCTTCTATTTTTACCTTGAAGTCCTATTTCGACCACTTGAAAACTCTTAAATTTTCAGGTCTCCGACAGCCGCGTAGGGTATGGCTGGACCCCATTCAGAACTTGTTAGAGACTATAGGTCGGCGCTCAACTTCCTGAATACGTCATTTTGGACATGAGGAGAACGTGAAACCGAAAGTACTGCTGCAAATTCTCGGCGAGCTTTCCGTAACGATGGTTTGGTTTATAATTAAGAGGAACTCAATTTCAACAACTACTCCACATCTATATCATAAATGAGAGTTGTATCAGTCGTCACACCTTGCCAGCCTCTGTTGCCGCTCGTGCTGATTAAGAAACGACTCGTTGGATCGACGTAGAGATTAGATATTATACCCCCATGGTGGCCCGGGACAATCAAAAATGGCACCTTAGAAGAACCGTGTTGTGAAACGTCGTAAATTCGAATGTTATCGTAGGACGCGCAAAGAATGTGCTTATTGTTAGCCATTGTCCGAACGCATGATACTGGTCCTGATATACTAGGAAACTTGAGGGTTTTTGAAGGGGTCGTGCCCATTTTTAGGTCGTACTCCTCGACAACAGCGTTTCTCCTGCCTGCGTAGATTCGGTCACCATCTGTAGACCAGCACGCAGACATACACCAGGGAGGTACTTGAGGGCCGCGCCCAAGCTTCATAGAGGGCCTCGTCGAGAGCCGTCGATCCCAAACTTGTACGGCACCATTGGTGCAAGAGGCTAGGAAAACGTTCTCGTCATAATTTGTTTTTAGTGTCTTCTTAGAAATATTCTCGGGGTTAGCAGGGTGGTCAGCTGGCTGAGTGGTGTCGTTTTGAGCTTTTTCCTGCGCTTTGCGCTTTTCTTCCTCCTCTTCGTCTCCGAAAAGAGAATCTAGGTCATCATCCTCTCTTTTCGTTCCTGTATCGTCTATCTGCTCGCCATTATTATTGATGTCGCTAATTTGCACGCTAGAGAAAAGTGGCCTAAACTCCAGTGCCGAAATTTGTGACGTAGATCCAACAAACTCGTTGGTATACTGTCCAGTATTTAAGTCCCACTCTAGAATTTGCTTATCCCATCCACCGCTTATGAACCTGTCCTCATTATTACTGAGTGTTAATTGATTAACAGTGCTGGTATGCTTTTGAAAAAGGTGGGCAATTTGACCTTCCATGAAGCGACATCCTTGCATAGTAATGCCACCGTTGTTTAGTCCACTTAGCAGAAACATGCATTCGCTTTGTACTTCTATGGCATGTACGGGTGAAACCACTGGCTCATATTCTTTGCCAGTCTTGAACAACTTAACGTCCTTGCGAGCCTGGGGCACTTCATTTTCCCAGTAGGAGAGTAAAATTCCTGCATTGGATATCGACTCTACGAGTGAATGTTTTTGCAGGATTGTCAGCGAAAGCTTGCCTTCGATGGTATTAAGGAAGTCATATTTTCTGACGAACCCGTCCTCCCCGCCTAGAAACAGATACTTGAGTCCCTTCGACATAGTGATGCTGTGAACGTGAGTCTGAATAGGAATGGCCGCGGTGGGATATATAGAATAGATGTCCGCAAGCTTGGCAGAATTGGAAAGTTGCGTGTAATACTCGTGGACTTTCTCAAAAGCAGAGGTCGGTCTCGGCAATTGAGGGGGGTTCTTGACCTGGACTTCGCCCTCGGCGCCTTCATAGTTATCGTCGTCGTTGTCTTCATCTTCGTCGTCATCTCCCTCATTCTCCTCGTCCTCGTCTTCGTCGTCGTCCTCTCCGTCTGCGTCACTGCGACGAGAATCTTGCTCGTTGTTGTCATCGTCAATGTCATTATTATCGTCATTGTCGTCGTTGTCGTCATTGTCGTCGTTGTCATCATTTTCGTTGTCCTCACCGTCCATATCTTGGTCCTGATCCTGGTTGCGATCGCCATGTCCGTCTCGGTCATCACCTCTTCTCGCTATATCAACCATTTCTTCGTCCAATTCCTCGTCTTCATCCTCGTCTTCTTCGGCCACTTGGTTTTCATTGAGTATGTCATCTACACCGTCCATACTGAGCCCGAATTGAGGTGAATAATACCGCTAGGAATGCCACTATGGTCTCGTCCATTTGTTCACCATGGTTGACATGTTCGACCAATCTTGTAGTTAGTCTCTAAATCCAAAATCTCTATGTACGAACACAAACTGTTGTACCATTTGGTTACCGAGCAAGAAACCTCTCTAAACTCTTTGTCAGCAAATGAGCCTACATATTATAAGCACTCTTTGAGCTTGCATGGCGTGGGTGGACTGAAAAGCCTGTTTCGTCAGAAATATTTTAACAACTATTGTCACACAACAGAATAAAATGACAAATGGTATTATCATCTTCAAACGTGACAATGCCACCTACTTTTACCACACTAGGTGCCCCGAAAACCACTATAAGTAGTTTGACAGCGTTACTTGTTCATCCAAAGCCATTCTCTTGTGTGTGGCCAAATTAAAACGAGCAACGTCATAATTGTGCAAAGTGACAAGAGTCGAGAGTTTCCACGTCTCTTCAGGATTCCCCATATCAGGCGGTATAGTCCGGTCCTGGCATATATACAAATGGTCTTTGCCTACCACCGTAACGAGGCTCTACAACTGCCAACGCCCATAGCTTTTACTACTAGTATCACCATATACGGAGTTGAAATTGATCTCTTGAAATGAACTTTGCACAAGTCCCCAAGGCACTCAACACCAGTGTGGCAAAGAGTACAGTCCTCGCTTGATAGTTGGCTGTCTGCGTTTGAATCCGACTCACAAACAACTAGTACCTGCCTCTCCGGATGTCATTGGCCGCAGAAATCCGGGGACTGACATACAAATTTCCCCACAACAACTCAGCCGCCTTATCGGAGATAGAGCTGGAAATCCCCTGGCACACGCGCACGCTGGTTGTGGGATCTAATGGAGCGGGAAAATCGACGTTGCTGAAGCTACTGAGCGGCAAAAACCTGTGTTTGACTGGCCACATACGAGTCAATGGACTGGACCCGTTTAGCCCCCATTCCATGCACAAAAACGAGAGCGACGAGTGCCAAATAACCACCTACCTGGGCACAGAGTGGTGTCACATGTCAATCATCAACCGTGACATTGGCGTGCAGGAGCTGCTAGACAGTATCGGACTACAGCATCACTTGGAGCGCGGCCAGATGCTGATCGACATTTTGGACGTGGACGTGAATTGGCGCATGCACCGGCTCAGCGATGGCCAAAAGCGACGCGTGCAGCTGGCGATGGGACTGCTAATACCATGGCGCCTGCTTTTGCTTGACGAGGTGACCGTGGATCTCGATGTCTTGGCTCGGAGCCGCCTATTGGCCTTTCTGCAACAAGAGACCAGCGTACGACGCTGCAGTATTGTTTACGCAACGCATATATTCGACGGCCTTGCCGAATGGCCTGATAAGGTCCTGCACCTGCGCAATGGTCGTATAGTTCAGCAACTGTCGTATCCTGCAGACGTCAAGTTCGATCTCCAAGGTACCAACGACGGGACCGTCATTCAAAATCCAGACAACAACTCCGTCAGAATTGGTTACGCGAAATCCTTGCACCCTTTGGCACTAGCCTGGCTCTCCACAGACGAGAACAAGCTCGCGACGAACCAGCGACTCTGACTCCCGAGCCAGTGGTCCCTTTTCGTTTCTGAGAAATTATCTGGTCATTACGCGCGGAGAGCTTTCCAACCGATACATGAACCCTACCTTCAACTCACCTCGTTTCTGGGATAATGGTACCATGTTTGGCCATCGTGGTCTCACTGCTAGCCATGTACGAGGCCGCTTTTGTTGTCTTTCATTTTGACGATCGTTTAGCGTGCCTCGAACCCGAGCCGAAAAAATAGATACGATAAACGAGAACATCTCTTTCGACAAGATATAAAATGCCAACCGATTCGAACGATAACTCCTGGGGAATAGTGAGACTTGTTATCAAAACAATATCGCTGTTATTTTAGAAGGATAATCGGATAAGAATTAAACTGTTGCAACATCGTTTGCATCTCGTTTTTTCTTTGAGTGTTTTACGACCAAATCAACATACAATCTTCGATACCTCATCATGGATTTAGTTTTGGAGTTTTTCGACTCTTACGGACTGGACTATGTTTATTCCAGAACCCTGCCAGCGTCCCTGGCTTCCGGCTTCCCAACTGGGCTGCAGCAGGCGCTGTCACTCAACCAAGGTAATTTGACGGGCGTCGCATCAGCAGCGACTGTTTCCGGTTCCAGCGGTATGTATGGGTACAGTCCATACTTGTTCAAAATGAGCCAATACACCTCGGCCTCGCTGCTGCCCCGTTACAACGTGTTCAGACAGTTTTTGTCGTTGTTTTGCATCACCACAGTATTCGGATGGCTGTTGTATTTTGCCGTAGCGTCCTTTTCTTACGTCTTCATCTTTGACAAAGCCATCTTCAACCATCCTCGCTACCTGAAGAACCAGATGTCACTGGAAATCAAACAGGCAGTGTCGGCCATCCCATTTATGGTGCTTTTGACGGTGCCATGGTTCTTATTGGAACTGCAAGGTATGTCCAAGTTGTACATGACGATAGACTATGAAAACCACGGAGTACGTCAGTTTTTCTTGGAGTACGTTTACTTTTTGATGTTCACCGACTGCGGTATTTACTTATTGCACAGGTGGTTGCACTGGCCAAGCGTCTACAAAATGCTTCACAAGCCCCACCACAAGTGGCTGGTAACTACTCCTTACGCCTCGCACGCTTTCCACCCAGTGGATGGCTACATCCAGTCGTTACCATACCATGTCTACCCTATGCTTTTCCCACTACACAAAGTGTCATATTTGATCTTGTTCACTTTTGTCAACTTCTGGACTGTGATGATCCACGACGGCGAGTACTTGGCCAACGATCCTGTGGTAAATGGTGCAGCTTGCCACACTGTACACCACCTCTATTTCAACTACAACTACGGCCAGTTCACAACGCTCTGGGACAGACTGGGTGGATCTTACCGTGAGCCCGACAGAGAATTGTTCAACAAATCGTTGAAGAAGAGCAGCAAGACATGGGATGAACAGATTAAGAAAATGGAGGTCATCAAGCAGAAAGTAGAAGGGGACAAAGACGATAGAGTATATGGGACCGAAGAAAAGCTGCTTAAAAAGACGAATTGATTCAGAGACTTTGTGCCTCAATCAATTAACGCTTTCCTAAAATTATAAACGACACATACATAATCTAACGCTACATGACTCGACTCTTGTCAAGTTAAGTTCATAGAACAAAAGCTTTGAAGTTGCAATGTACTAAAACACTGCAGGGCTTATTCGCATAATAACGTCTTGTGTGACACCCTATTTGCCAACACCAACTCGATCAAAGATTTGATAGGGCTGACGATCCTGAAATAGCCCCAAAGTTCTCAAACTGTGTCTTCCATAGCTGAAAAAAACTACCGATGGCTCAGAACGAGGGAAAGCTCATTGTAGCGACCAGGTTCTCGTGCATTTACCAAAGCGGATCAACAGTCACGAAAGTAACACCTATTGGATCGGTAGTGAGGCCTCATGATCCTCTCAGTGAGCTAGAATTGCTTCGCAGACTTCAGATTTCCAAGAATCTGCACATCATCGAACTGCTTTCTTTCGACACTCAGCAAGGTACTGTTCGTTTGCAATTCCCTTACTACAGACAGAATATGCACGAGTATCTGATGACTTATTATCGACGGCCTCGCTGGAACCCGTATTTATTGAATGGGGAACAGTCGCAATCTTCAAAACGTGTCAACGGATTACCGTTAACGCACGCAATTTCATTCTTCCAACAGTTGGCAGATGCGTTGACCAGCATTCACGCTTTGGGCATTATACACCGAGATCTGAAACTACACAACGTACTGGTCGACGAAGCTGACGCTCAAAACGCTACACCAAGACTTATTTTGATCGACTTCGGGATTGCCTATCACGAAGAGACCTCCTCCGAGGCCCCAGACCACAAAGTAACGGATGTGTCAACGTCCATCTACAAGGCGCCGGAACTACTATTCAGCGTGAAAAATTACTCCAGTGCTATTGACATTTGGGCCTTACTGGTGCTTATCTCACAGGTGTTCAACATGGATAGCTTGAGCGACACGCATATTCCAGCATTTGTTGATGATGGGTCCGGGGAACTGGAGCAAGGCAGCGATATACGATTAATTTCCTCGATCTTCGAAAATCTGGGCATCCCAACGCTCGACGAATGGCCCGAAGTCCGCGACCATGGGTCGCCTGCTTTTGAAGGTATGTTTGGCCGTGAAGGGAACAATAGATACTTTGTCAGCCAGCCAATTCAGGTTCAACACAAAATGTGTCTTCGTCTTTTTCCTCGGCTAGTGGAGATATCAGAACCAGCTAAAACTACTCTCATAAGATGTCTGCTTCGAATGATGCCTTTCGAATCAACTCACAGAATTTCTGCTATTGAGATCTCGGAACTGTTGAAATCATTGCATGACAAGCAGGTAGAGAGAACGGCCCACTAGGCTTTGAATTTTCGCTCCAATTCTAAAAACTTCACCAACTCTCGCACCCTTTGCAATTCATGATTATTTATTATGTGCCGGCGAGTCATCTCTTCTACAGAGACTTCTGCACTCTTCTTGAGTCTAGTTGGCGATTGCTCCTCTTCTCGCTTCACTTTTTTGCTTTTAATTCCATCTCTAATCCCAGGGGTAGACGGTGTGGTTGGGGACCGCTTGAACGTCGAACCATCTGCCATTAATCTTAAACTGGATGAATCGCACCCCACCTATTGCCGACACTTTGGTATTGTACTGCTAGCTTCTTTATTTCACAGTCATTTCCACGCTTAACTACAACAACAACACGTACAACATGACCAAATCTGGACCACAGTAGCCATACTAAACAGCTCTGTCACCCAACAGCAGCACTTGGGAATCGAGTGGGAAAAGTAGGCTATCGAGCTTACAGAGAGCCTAATATTATGAGAGCGTCCGGCTTATTTCACTTTGCATCTTTTTGGTTAAAAAATTCCATTGCCCTCTTGAAACAAAATATGGCTATTTCACTGTCATCGAAGTTCCAGTGAGTTGGTATCGTTAAGAAGAGATCACGCACGCTTGCCAGGAATTTTGAAATCAAAGGCAGTATGTAAATTTCATTAGAAACGTAAGTTGATCGGAGTGCACGCAATGGGGTGCACCCGGCAACATGCACTATTTTTTTTATAAATCTGTTTGCTGAAAAGAACCTTCAACCCGGATGCCAATTTGACCCGGTGAGATGTGTGGTATTTTGTGCCAGCAAGAGCTTTGAGTTATTATTCTATTGAGCGCCGTCACTTTTCCAACCGAGAAAGTCCAACTCCTTGGCAACCTTGTCCTCCGACTGAATCTTGAGAATTTGAGTATCTTCCAAAGTTTCCCCCGAAGCCTGTTTGAGCTTGAGAGCTTCGATCGCTCTGAGCTTTTTCAAAAGAGAGCGAATCTTTTTCTCCTCTGGTGAGGCCTCTTTGTTAACCTTTGGCTGAGCAGTCTCATCTACCGTCAAAGCTTCGGCTCCAGGTGAAGGCTCATTTTTGTTGTTCTCCCTCTTTTTCCTGTTTTTTGCAGCAGCCTTGCTATCTTTTCCAGATACACCTGGAACGACACCAACAGTGCCTGGCACGACTTTTGCGTTTCTGATAGCGGCCCCCGGAACAGAAGGAGCGCCACCGGCACGTCTAGCGTGGGGTGGTCTATAAGCCCCAGCGGGCTTGCTGCTCGCTCCGGAAGAGGCTCCATTCTTCTTCTGGCGTTTCGAGAGGTATTCGGTGGCGGAGTCATGAACTTCGACTTCGATTTTTCCGAGTTTAGGATCGGAGAAAGAATCCTCCGTACTCGTCTCTTGGAATTTGATAACATGACTCTTGTTCAACTTCGAAGATATTTGGTGTCTCCAGTCCACTTTTAGCAGTTCTTTATATTCCTTAACGAAACACAACGTACCTGTGACGTGCCATATTTTTAGTCCATTGTCAACTCTTAGTCTGGGTGACGTCGTGGCCGTGAGAATGAACTCACCGCCTGGAGACCATTTACACACAGATGTGTTTGCAGCATCGAATTTGGTTATGCATCTGAATTTGTCGTGACGGTCCAAGATCTCGACAGAGCCTTGCAAGTTACCAAAACCAGCGATAAGAATGTATCTACCAGTTGGCGAAAACAACATAGTATTCTTCGGCTGTTCTGGTAGCGAATGCACCACGTTTCCTTTGAGATCAAAGAATGTGATCGTGGCAGGCATATACCCATAAATGACACCAAATTGTCTTGAGGTTGGAGACCAGGTGAAATCGTGAATGGGTCCCTCCTTGGAAAGCGGTACGCGAACCGATTTACCTCCTAGTGTCCCGTTGGCACCCTGGAAGGATAGCAAGTACAAGGTATTTTCACCGTAGTAAGACTTGTTAGAAGAATCAAAATCTGTGATCGCCATGCATAGAACAGCGTTACCCTGTAGATTCCATTTCAACTGGCATGAGTCGGCCTTGAAAAAAGTCTTCGTTGCGATCTTCTTTTCTGTGACGCCCTCGGCAATAGAATAGATGCTCAATATGGCAGGTTTGCCGGATTTCTCGGGTGAAAATGTGCAGATCGTAGGGAATTCCGAGGGAGAGATTAGAAAGCTGCTGATAGGCTGTTCGGGCACCAGCTTACTGTAAGGTTTGCTGAAGTTGAAAGTAGCATTGTCGGCTGAGTCTATTTTCACGATTCTCACTTCTCTGTCAAATTGCTTAAGCGCAAAGTTGTCGAGCTTGCTGAATTGCAAAGCCCAGCCATTCTGCATTTTAGCTTGGTACGCATATCTGGGGGTCTCTGACGGCGTTTCTACGTTGAGCTCCCATATTTTCACGTTCTTATGGTCTGGTTCTGAGATAGATGGCCTTTCCCACGTACTGAGAAAGTTACCAGACGGGGAGAAATGCAGGTCGTAAACGTCTTTGAGACTTACCCTCAATAGCGACTGTGTAAATTCGACTCCTGTGAAAACGTGGACCGTTTCCGCAGTAGCCAGGGCCATGAACCTTCCACATGGCGACAACAATGACACCTGGATTTTTTCTGCCTCGTCTCGAGTCAATTGATCGAAAGAAGGATAACCTTGAAAGAGGTTGATTTCCGTTGAAGTTTTTGCGAAGAACTGAGTTGACATCCTAAGCTCTAGTGATGGTTTGATCTCAACTGTATACTTCAACTTGGTTCTGGTTAGATCGCCTTGGCGCGCTTCTACAAAAACTTTTCAGGCCCGTGAGGATCAGGTTATACGGCTCGAATTGACAACACTTCCGAACGGAGGACTATAACAAACCTTGGCCCAAACATGAATGGAGCTTTGGAACTCGCAACCCCATAGAAATGTAGTTGAGTAGTAGCCCATCTCTTTATCCCTGGAGAGATGGAAAGTTCTGCGTCGTGAAATAAAAATATGAGGTATATTCTTTCTCATAAAGTTTCAAAAAGGACCGACTCCCTTCGGAATTAACAGATTCAACTAGCGTCAAATAGCCTATGATATTCCAATGCTCTAAATCTATCGTATGCTAAAATAAAATGCGGTGCATCTCGAAACGATCTCAATTAGGTTATTGTATGTTTCTATAATGGCGTTCTGTCTAATGTGGGAGCTCTCACTTGTCTATGTGTAAAGCCTCTACGAATCGAATACGTTTCTAGGTGCCATCAAAGTCGTGCGGTTGTGCAAGTTAGTGGGAAGTATCACAAAACATTGCACCATTGCAAAGACATTATTGTACAAAATGACCAAAACGCCTTACCGATATAAATCACTTGAAGACAGGTCGTGACAACGAGGATAGTCATCCAACCAGAAAGCTCGAGTGCCTGTCACGAGCTGGCCAGCAGCTTGAATCACTCAAAAACTGCACTCTCAAGTAGTTCCTTCAGGCGGCAACTTTGGAGCTAGTAACGTCAGGCGCACAGAGCATGCCAAAGTGTTCGTTCAAAACCTTAATCGGCCTCGTAGTTTGTATTCTGAGTATTCAAAAAAGCAAGGGATGTGAGAACTGTTTCTGTTTGCTTCTTTGTGATGATCTGTACTGTAACTATGGCTCATCGATGGGACGTGTACCCTGGGTGCAGTTTAGGATATGTAGTCAAACGAGGCCGTCCTGTAGGGTAATTATATACTCACAGTGAATTCTATTCATGTGTAAAACCAATTTCCTTGGGAGTCTATCGATCTGCTCGGCGTTGTGCTTGTTCTTGCTCTACTGACGCGGCCATGATCACTTCGTACTATTTTGACATATTGTTGTTGTTCACTATATGCCACGCAACGCAATTCCAAGAGCCAGTATCACTACCACCTGGTAGCTGTGACAATGCCGCCCGAAGAACTGGCCTATACCGAGGTAGTTGAGCAGCTTACTACCGGTACGTATTGTGTGATGACCCGTCCATTTAAGCATGTAGTTATTGAACCCAACATCAGCTCGCTAAACATCACCAGAACACCACAAATGAGCGCCGATGCAGGGCCTTTTGAGACGATCCTGTACACATTCAATTCGCAGATGTCTTTATAACGATTCGCAGGCGACCAAAGCCGCGAATTTGGGCGCGATGACAGAATATTTGAGCTCGGAGGCGGTGCCCTACATGCTGAACACGACTTTGAAGCCAGAAGTGTTGGATCGTGAGATAAAGCTTAGGCTCCTGCCTACGCAGCACTCTTACTGGCCAACTATCTCGGGACGTACGAAGTACAAGCACTCAATGACGGCAATTGGCCTGATAGTGCGAACGTTGATGCTGCACAATCATAGCATCCTACACGTCAGTGGTGTTGAAACCATCAGCGGTACCAGCAAGGGACGACGGTACAATACAATTACTGAGAACGATAAGGTTGTTATACACTGGCACAGCTGTAAAGGGGACTCCCTTGAAATGAGTCCCGAGGATCAAGCTTCGCAGGCGAAGTCCGAGGCCTCTGATATACACCGCAATAACAGTACAAAACGGGAAGGCGAGCCGCGTTTGGACCCTAGCCACGCCATGTGGCAGTATATTCTGAACCCGGGCCAAAAGTTCTCGCAAGAAATGTTTTCTCAAAATAACTTGAAAGCTGATCGGGAAAGCTCTCGCACTATTTATGGCATTTTCGTCTTTGAGCTCAACCACGACAATACTAGGGTCCTCGTGCATACCATAGACAATGCTGAGTTTTCGGAAAAGCCCAAAAAACACCCTACAGGTGCTCTCGCCTGTTAGAATTCGCGGCGCATGAGTGTAATGAATGAAACGGCCATGTAAATAGGTTCAAATTTGGAATAAGAAGTACAGACAGATTAGACCGTCGAAAACGTTGATGAGACACTCAGTATTTTACCCTCGACTACTTCTATTATAACAAAAAACCGATTAATTATATATGTATATGTTTATGGATTAAAACAACGATGCAAACAAAACAACAAATGCCAGAGCGAAAACGAGACTCTTTTAATGTGCCAACGCGTACCCGGATTATTTTCTAGTTGTACTTTTTTTTTTTGTGCTACACTTTTGTCCTCGAAGAACGCTGTATCATTTTTAGGTGTGAAAGGACTCTGCAAGCACCGCGAGATGGCCAAGGGCCCTCATTGAAAACCTTTCGGCTTTCATTAAGCTCCCACGGTTTGGCATTCAAGTTCATCAGACAGCAAGTCCGTCGATGATACAAGATTGCCTTTTGGAACGTCTTTTGATGGCGATTTTTCAACCCGAGTCTCCTCAGAGTTGGGAATACTTGACGTGGTGCTACCTGCCGAGATACTGCCTGACATATTCCCCCCAGAGGTGGAGCTGCCATCGGCTGAGATACTGTCACGATGATCTCCGTATAATGAAGCGACAGCGTTGGGATTGGTCACCAGACCAGAATAGAAGAAGTTAGCATACAAATCATCAGAAGAGTCAGAACCAGAGCTGGAGGCGAGTTTCTGTGACAAATCCCCAGACTTGCTAAACCCCGAGGGTACCTTATTGGGCAAGAGCAGCCCAGTCATGCGAACAAAAAATGTCTGCATGCTCCGGGCGGCAGGGTTGACTAAAAGGAGGTTTGTCGCCACATATGTTGCAGACAGAATCAACAACTGTTCCCGACTTAGGGTTGGGTAGCCAACCTGCGGAAGACATAACCATTCCGCCGGAGCTTCGACACTTGCGCTGTCTCTCCGCAACTTGGAACTCGTTTTTAGGGTGCCGCGACCAGCGCGTAGCGGTTCAAAATAGTACTCCGAGATAAACTGATGTGGGTTGGACACAAAATGCGTGAAATTTGGGTTTCTGGTTTTCCTGGAAGGATGTGCACTTTTGAAGGGGCACGCCCCGAACATGACAAAGAGCAGGGTTATCCCCAGCGACCAGTAGTCTGCCAAAAACGTATCATGAGGACTTGTGTGTCCTTCGGGTGCAAGATATTTTTCGGTGCCGATATGGACGTCGTGGGAGATTCGTGTGGTGCAGCTGAGACCCCAGTCGGCTAGCTTAACCTGCCCCTCGGCATCAATCAGAACGTTTTCCGGTTTGATGTCTCTGTGAGCTATGCCTTTGGAGTGCGCGTACTGAATAGCAGAACATAGCTGTGCCACCAACATGGCAAAATCGATCTGCACTCGAGTCTCGCTTCGAGTCTTCCAGCTGCGGATGATATCGTACAGATCGCCCCGCGCTGCAAACTCCATGACAAAAACATAGCAGGTGTCACGCTCGTGGAAGTCCAGCAACGCACAGACGTTTCGATGTCCTTTTCCCAGTCTTTTGAGAATGTCGTATTCTCGCGCCACCAACCGCGCCAGCTTCTCCGCTGTCGCCGGGTCGGCAGGCTTTTCGACGATTTTCAGAGCCACGTCCTGCTGGCTGCCGGAGTCGAATGCCCGATAGACAGTGCTAAACGACCCGGTCTGAATTTTCGATAGTCGAGTGTACATAGTAAGCACAAAAACAGCGGTGATACCGGAAGTCTGCCTCGACCGTCGCAGTGCCTATTGGTCCGTAAAGTGCAAATCGAAAAGATTTAGAGTACAAATAAAAAGGAGCCTGCGTCTATTGTTGCTCTTCCAGCAGTGACCTGACACCGGTCCACACACTAAAGACTGAGCTAGATGAGGACGATAGGAGCGAGAACAAGTACTTGGCTTCGGTTAGAGCAAAGTAACAGATACCTCTGTACGGCTGCGACACACGATCCGAGCAAAGTCGTAAACCCAAATCCTCCGTCAGCCAACACGCACCGTTGCTGTTAAATCTTTTGACCACGAAAGCTAGACCTCTTTCGCTTGCACGCTTATTGAACTAAGCTGCAACCTCGTTGCTCCGTGAGTTGCTCGATGTTAAGCGGTGTGGCTCGTATCAAGACTGTCAAACCGTTGGGCAATAGTTTTATAGATCTACCAAATTTCGAAAACAAGCCAAACAGAAACGATCGCATGCCATACTAGCATTTATCCCCCTCCTACCACCATCAAGTTTTATAGCATTTCCGCAACTCAATTGTTTGCACTCCACAAACAGAAAAAAAGCATTTGGCAAACCGCCCTGCGCAAACCTTGCTCTTTTCAACATTAACGCGACTAGATCCCATCTCTTTCTTACATCTTTTGCGAACCGGCTGCATTGAACGCAAAACCCTTTCCATGCGTTTGATCATATGAGCAACTGAAAAAAACCATGCAGTTGACAGGTGATGACGTCCAACTCGGGAAGGCCTGAAGTTGAGCTCCTATCGAGCATCGTCCGCGATGGTGGAAGACGATAGCGCACTCAGAGCGTCACAGGCGGCGTGTGGCTGCTTTCAAGTGGACTGAAGAATGAAAAGGGTTCGAGAAATGGGCACGCGGTGGAGCTGGAGTGCGTGTGTAGCTTGCTGAGAGGGTTTCTCAAACGAAAAGACCCTCTCCGTAGAGGCCCAGCACGGCCTCGACCAATCCCACAACAGAGATCCCGAACAGAACCGGGATGGGCCCCAGGCAACTGCTGGCACTGTGGCACGTGACCGGAGGAGTGCCGGAAAGCTCAGAGGCAGCGGCGGGGGCTGCCGGTGGGGCCGCTGGAGGGGCGTCTTCGGGAGCGGGCTGACCGAGGTCGACGACAGAGTCGTCCAGGGACGCGTCCAACACGGGCTCGGGAGCGGGAGCCGGGCTGACAGCCTGTGCTGGCAGACCGGCATCCTTGGGCCGCTGGGAGCGGCAGCGGCGCATCTTGCAGACACGCCCAGCTAGTCCGACGTAGATCCCCGACACTGGGCCCACCAGCATACCGTAGAGCAGGTACGGATGGCGCAAATGCAGCGGGGCCCCGAAGAAACTCAGGCCGAAAAACACCGAGGAAACCGCGGCCAGCGACGCCGCCACGCGGGCCACGGCCTTGGCGGGCCGTGCCAGCTGCGTGCGGAGCACATCCAGCGGTGTGCAACGCGCCAGGATGGTGGCAGAACACAGAGTTCCGCAGTAGATCCCTAAACTTGAGACCGCGATGGTCTTGGTAACGGCTAGACAAACAGACATTTATGTGCTTTTGGAGCGGCAGAGAGAGGGTAGAACGTGGGACCGAATTCTATGAACTGCTGTCACGAGCTATATACAAAACGGTTGTGGTTCGCACCGTATGTCAACTAATGTATATTGTCTGTCTTCCGAGATGAGGATAAGAGAAAGCGGACACATAGGTGGTGATATATAAAGCTCCAAAATGACCTTGTGTCGTATTGTACGAGCGGGCACCGATGATGAGATCTGTTTGTTGGTTGTCACCAGCACTTGGCGGTGCGAGCCCCAAAATGAGGGTGGGTTTCGGACGTATTTCAGTAGTCTTCCGGGATATAATACGGCTGGCTTGTTGCTGCGTCTTCGTTCCCGCTATTTTACAATAGGGCAGTACAGATCACTTTTTCCCAAAATGACGTTGGGACAGGTCCCGGGCCGTCGAGCGCTTAGGCGTGGTTACGTTGAGGCTGGCGATGGCTACTGTTTCCGTTAGGAGTGTATGTTCGAGCACCGGGGCTGTGGCCTGGAATGAGGCGCTGTACTTTGGGTGAAATCAACTTCCGGACTCGTGAAACTCTGACTACCGTCAACAAAATCGAAGTGCTGCCGGCCATAACGGCCGCGATATAGAAAGTGAGCAGCGTTTGGTCTGTTTTGGGAAAAGGCATGCTTTAGGGTTGAGGGGCATGCTTCCAGCTGAGGATTCCTCCTTCCTCTTAGGACAATATTGAGACAATGTGTGGACACGATAAAGTATGTTTGCTCGAGTTTGTGGTTCTGTTCTGACACCAAATATCAGGTTGAAAGAGCAGTTTATTTGGAGCGAAACAGCCTTTACTGGCAACATTGTTTGTTGCTGATAGTATATCGGACGTTATACAGCAAGGTGACTCAGCTTTACTGTGCTGATAGTATATCGGACGTTATAGAGCAAGGTGACTCAGCTCTACTGTCCAAGACTAAAGAAAAATATCACTAGTCTATAGAACGTAAAGCTGGTGTTTGTACAAATGCGAGTCAGAGCTACATGCTCCAGACATATCAATTATCGAACCGCCCAAAAAGTCATTAATGGAGGGGGATAACGCATTGGGCAGCGCGTTGATATAGTAGGGTGCAATTTGACTTGCTGTCGTTAATCCTCTACTCCATCATTCTGTATTGGTAGGTTAGTAGGTGTTCGCACACTTGCCATCGCTTTTGGTTGATAATTGACTTCTTGCTTCACATCATTCTCACCTCGTGCCACACACTGAATATGTCGAAATGCCCAATTGCGTGGCCCCCACCCCCCAAAAAAAATGCTTGGTCAGCCCCAACTGGTATTTGACAACAATTATGCATCGACACATCGCCTTGCGTTCTCCCTTGCTCGGGCAAAATGTCAACAAATCGAATGGCCCAAACGAAGGGCCCAACGTCGCAAAAAAATCTCCACGCACCCTGTCTCTTTTACTTGGCTGGTGCCGAGTAGAGCTACGCCCTCGGCACCTTTTATGGGAGTATCTTGTTCGCTGACGCTAGTTTATCACTGCCGCTTCACGCTGTCATGGCCTTTTTTTATAATAAAAAAAGGTCAAAACTGGACTTGGCTAAACATTCCCATCAACGCTACCAACAGAGGAGCAAACACACAAGCAATGGCGGTCCAAAAGGTCATCAGAAAAAAGTCCAAGGCGAAAGCGGATCCCCTTGCTAGACAGAAGGCCATTTGGATGGTGGGACACGGGCTCACGCTCGGACTTGGAGCTATCTACGGCCTCTTCTATCTATATCAATGCTTGACATTTTATCGCTACAGGTCATGGAAAACATTGTTTCTGATTTCAAGGCCTACCCAAAATAAGCCCAAGACGTGGCTCAAATGGTTATGGCGCTTGTGTCCGCAAATTGCGTATCGTCTGTCGCTAATTGGAGCGTTGGCAGCGCACTCTGTGACCAGCTACCAAACCTGGTTGAACTTGAACCCAACGTGGTACGATCTTTTGAGTCAGGAAAATTTCCAAGGCATCTTGATTGCCGCTCTTTGGCTTTTTAGCAGGGCCTCGATTTTCAAGATCCTACCTTTCATGCTCAGTAGCTTCCTACACTTGACAGTGAAGGACGCAAAGAAGGATGAAAAGGACACGAAGAGCGCCGAGGATGCTGACGAGGAGAAGACCAAGAGCTCAAAATCAGCTGATAGAACTACATCCCTGTTGCATGTCATCGCTTACTCGGAGCTCGTTGTGGTGGTCACCTTGATCTTTGACACTGTTACATTCCGGGACGGGGTTGCCGGCTTCTTGCTGGTCATGTACCTGTCGATCTACTGGCTGAGACTGAACTTTTCCCCTTACGCCCAGGAAACCTTGCTGAGACTCGTCATGAAAGTGGACCAAAAAGTGCCTCCTAAATACCAGCCTCAGTGGAAAGAGCTAAAACAGTTTCTATATCTGCGTATGGACGACAGCCGCAAACGCCAAGCCGAGGTAGCCAACAAATAGCCTTTTGTGTAGCGCATAACAAACAGACAATGACAAGACTAAAATCTACTAGGGTACTCTACACCCACCAGGGTCCACTACGGATCACTACGACTTTCCGAAGGTCTCGTCTTTGTGTCAGATTTTTGAGCTTTTGGTATATGGAGTATCTTCCTGTATGTTCAGAAGCAGAACTGATGTTTAAAGTTATCATCATGCAAAGACGACTGGCCCACCCCTACTACGCGGTCAAGAATCCTGGTTTCGGCACTAATAATCGATTGATTTCTTCTAGGTCAGATGGTGATGCATGATTGGTATCCGTGGCACATATTCGAAGAATCATCGCCGGATAAAATTAAAGACGTGGAAGGTCATTCATCTCTCCAGAAAAACAATCTCATCTATTATTAAGCTGCTGTTCCATGTACTCATGGACGCCAGGACAATTCGAAACGCCTTCAAGAGCTAAGACCTATCGAGTTCGTCCCGCTCGTAACTTTTCCTGATCATAAACGAAGAATTCCTTAACAATTTAGTCCTGCATATACATCCTCAGACTTTAAAATATTGTTTTCATAATCATGTAAAGTAGGAAAAAGAGCGGTAAAGAACTAGACGTGGCCTCATGTCTATTCCCAACCTCCGAATTGCAATTCGGCTGGCCCTGGCCCTGGCCCATCAGTGGTGATAGGTTGGGTATAAGTTCTCAAGAGGCCCTACTTTTTATATGTGGTGCGTAGAAGACACAAATGAATGGAAAATTTTGCCAACCAGTTAGGGCTTCAAACCCAGGCCAGCGAGTACGGGAGTGGCGAGTACACCAACAGCGTTCAACCAGCACCAAGCGAGTGGTGGCTGGTCGGTCCTCCTTGGTCGGTCCTCCTTGGTTGGTCCTCCTCATGACGGGGCAAGAGTCCCCCACTGGATTCCCGATACGTAACGATATGAATGAGGTTGAATTACAACAGACTATATTATGTAGATGGGTGCTCTCAAATATAGAAGTGGACATACCACGCTTACCCTAAAGCATACTTGAACTCCACATAACTTAAGCGGAAGTGGCTCTAGCGTAGATGGCTTGAGTGGCGTGCTTGCTGACTGGCTTGATGACACCGTCTTGTTCCAATTGTCTCAAGACGATTCTGGCCAAAGAGCCACCGAGCTTCAATCTGTCGACTAGCACGGAGACGGACACGTATCTGTAGGTTGGCACTTCCTTCATGATTCTGTCGTACTTCTCTTGGTCCAAGATAACAGCGTGTTGGGCCTTGTCCTTGTGGGACTTCTTGGACCACTTCTTCTTGGACTTCTTACCACCGGCCATGGCGGCAGCGGCTTTCTGGGCCTTAGACAATTGTTGTTTTGGAGGCATATTACTGCGGAGAGAGAAGGTATGTTAGTAAAAACGGTCCACACAATCAAAAATAGGCGTACAAGACTTCTGGAGTCTGGAAGAAACCCAGGCGGGGACCACACGTAACTAGGCTAGTCTTTGAAGCATCTTTGCTATCTCGCCATCCTCAACGGCTTGGAATCCACATTCCGCCGCATTTCTGAAATCCTGCCCAATTTGGAGCTCCCACTCGGTTTTCAATAAGCCATTCGTGTATCGTCGACACCCGATTCCTGTCTTCCAGAACTACTGACCACCACGGTGTTCCTCCACATACTCTAAATTCCGTTGCTGATTTCAAAAGCTAAGCTCAAGTAACGTAGGTACTGCCAAATGACTTACTAACTTTGTTCTTTATTCCTGGGTTACCAACTGGTCCGGGATCCCAGCAGAGCCTGCTGCCGGCACATTCCTAGGCTGGCCTGTCCTGCCTAGCGGCCGTGGTCTGCTGGAAGGAGAGCAAAGCTGTCCAGGCAGGAGCCCAGCCTGGCAGCTCCTGCCTAGCGAGGAGAGGGCGCCTACTCGTAGCTCACTCCTAGGCAGACAAAAGTTGACGACCCGACCCGCACCCACGCACTTTTCATTTTTTTTCAGCACGCCATGAAGTTTTGTGGTTGTGTATGGGTGTGCAGTCAAAGGTGAAAACAGGCATACCTCAAACATAGTGAAAGCTACGTCCCCGTTAACTGTAGACACTAAAGGAGTAACGAAACAAAAGAATAGGGCGGTGTGGCTTGGGACGCTAATGATGGATATACGTGGCAGAAATATACCTCAGCTCGGTTTTGGACACAATATAGGGGAAATGAAGAGCAATGAAGAGCATTGAAGAGCATGTGCCTGCGCCTCCGCGTCACATCTTTTAAAGGTCGGCACGTTTTTGTCTAGTATCCGATATAGTGTAACGGCTATCACATCACGCTTTCACCGTGGAGACCGGGGTTCGACTCCCCGTATCGGAGATTATTTTATTTTTGCCAATTATTTTTTGAGCTGGCTCGTGTGTGGTGACTGTCTAATCAAACCTCCGAAATGCTGACGGTGGTTTGACAGAATTCCAATAAGCATCGGGCACCTCTGGCGGCGGAAAGCGACAACCCTAGGCTGTTTCCGAGACGCTTGCATTTCGCCACACTAGGCTATCTGGGATATACCAGCCGCTTTTTGTCAAGAATACCATCCGCGCCGGTTGTTTAATTATCGCAGCATATCACTAACTCAACACCAGCAGCTATGGCCAAGCGAATCGCTGACTCACAGATGACGCGAGAGGCTCTAGATGCCGGGCGTTCGGATGATGAGGACGATAGAAACTCTGACCTCCACCAGGGCTTCAAGCCAGCTTCTAGTGATATCATGAGCAAACGGAAGATTGCCCAACCAAGAAAACGGAAACAGATGGCATTTGGGATGGACAACAGCAAAGGCAACGGGGAGTCCGCAATGGCCAACGCTTTTTCGTTTGGAGCTGCCACGCCAGCGAGCGGCGGCTTCTCGTTCGGCAATGCGAACCAACCGGTACCTGCCACTGCATCTGCCACTGCAGAGGGGGCCTTCTCCGGTATAAAAAGTTCCACACCAGCCGCAGATAGCGGTGACGGTAAAACCGACAAGAGCGACAGAAACGCTAAGCACAATGCTCTGAACCTACAGTTTCAAACCAAAATCGGCGAATTTATCACCAGGGACCCATGCGTCGATCTTTCGAGTGCATTTGATCAGTACAAGCGCTATTTGGAGGATATCAGGAGCGGTGCTGAAACAAGCGCATCTTCCGCATCTAAAGCCCCTGCTCCCGCGCCCGCCGCTAAGCTTGCTCCCCCACCCGCACCAGCTGATGCCTCCTCTGATTCCGAGTCTGACGACGAGGTCAAGATCCAGGGACCTTCCTTTACACTGACTGAACAGCCAACCACCAAGGACTCGGTCTTCAGTTTCGGTGCCAAAAAGAAAAGGCAGGCTGATAGCGATTCTGAAAGTGATATAGAAATCAAAGGTCCCTCCTTCACCTTCGAATCTGCCACTTCCGCTCCTAAAAGCTCCGTTTTCAAGCTTGAATCCACCGCTACGCCACAGTCTCAAAGGGAAAGTGCCACCAAGATTTCCGCATCCGTTTCTGCTCCGTCGGAACAGGCCCAAGACGCTGCTCCCGCGGCGAAGGAAACGTCCTCAAAATTCAGCTTTGGTGCCAGCACCACAAAACCCGCCCTTGGGTCTAACGCTACATCTCAAACAACGGCCAAAACGTCATTTACATTTGGTCTTCCACCCAAAGAGGCTACTAATACATCCGAAAATAAGCCAATTGCTTCCAGTCTCTTCGGCACAGTAGCTACCGAAACCAAAGATCAGCAGCAGGATATACCCAAACCATCTTTTTCATTTGGTCAGTCCACTTCCCCAGCACAGAATGGTTCCGAGGATAAAACGCCTAGTTTCACGTTTGGCAGCTCCAGCGCCTCTAAAGATCCTAGCACGACAGGTGGAAACAAAGGCTCTGAAGACTCATCCAAACCTAAACCTTTCACATTTGGAAAATCTGTAACCACGGAGAAGGCCAATGGCGAGAAGACTATACCCTCGTTCTCGTTTGGTCAGAAGCCCTTATCACAATCAGGAAACGGAGAGAAGACAATTCCCTCTTTTTCGTTCGGTCAGAAAAAAGACACGTCCTCAGAGGACGGGGAGAAGCCCAAACCCACATTCTCTTTCGGTTCCTCTAACGCGTCTACAGCCCCAAGTTTCAGCTTTGGCAAACCAGCAGAATCCACGGGAGCTCCCTCTGGTGGTTTCAAATTCAACTTGCCGTTCTCCTCGGCGCCCTCATCAAATCAACCCCCAAAGACAGAAGCCATCAAAAAAGTTGAAGATTCTCCGGCAGTTGAAAATGAGCCTGAAGTAGAAGATTCAAAAGGTATCAGCATGACGAATGGCGAGGAAGGCGAAGAATTGCTGTTTTCCAAGCGTGCCAAACTAATGGTCATCAATCCCGAAACTAAGGCCTACGATTCCCGCGGTGTAGGAGAACTGAAACTCCTACGGAACAAGGACGACAAAACCAAGACCAGAATCCTTTGCAGATCTGATGGTATGGGCCATGTACTTTTGAACACGAGCGTGGTCAAAACTTTTCAATATGCGGCAGCCGATGCCGACAAAGAAAACTTTATAAAATGTCCTATCATTAACGGAGAAGGAAAGCTCGAAAACTACATGATTCGCGTTAAACAAAAAGCAGATGGTCGTCAATTTTGTAATTCTATCAAAGAGGCACAAGATAGCATGTAAAAGTATTAAAGAAACAGAAATTCTGAAAACATCAAGATGTCACCTTTCTAGTGTCTCCCGTCGACATTTGGGACTGGTTTATCTTTTCGTCTATCTAACCCATGCATATTATTTAGATACCTTACTTCAGCCTTTCAAACCTTCTTTGATCAATTGGGTAAAGCGCGAGTAAGCCCATTTCACCCTTCTCTCTTCCCTCTCATGGCCTTTGGTGCCCTTAGGTTCCGACATGAAAGTCTCGAGCTTGAAATTTCTGCTCAAAAATACGTTAAAAGCTGCAAGAATGGAATGGCTATTTTCGAGTTTTAGACTGCGATCTATAAGTCTCTCAAATATAGTGCCCTCGTATCTAATTTCTTTCTTACCGTGCACGCTTTTCTTGGACTCGCATTTCTTAGCAACAGAAAGCAAGAACTGGTATATGAGAATTTCGATGAAGAGCATCCCATCACTGTCTAAACCGCCCATCAAGGGAACGTGCTTGAATACGTCAAGGCTCAAAACCTCTTCACCCAGAAGAGTGCCAAAAAACCTCCCTTGGCACGTTATCCTTTTAAGCCTTCGATCCTCATCCAGGTCTTCCTCATCTGCCGAAGCATCCTCAATATCCGAGTTATCGTTTTGTTCAAATTTTTTAATCATGTCCCAAAACATGAATTGAAATGCCTTCGCAACATGATGGTTCTGTTGGCTCAACTTAACACCAAGGAGGGAATAGAATGGGTTATATGAGCCCTTCTTGCCTTCCATCGCAAGACAATGTATTAGGACTCTTGGAATCTCTAGGCTTTGTTTGTTTTTTAGATTTAACTTCTCAACTTTGGTGAAAGCATCCATAAAGTCTTGTGCTGACATTATACTAACAAATATAGCACGTCTCACCTCTGTATTCATACGTTGAGCCCTAGCAATTTCACTCCAGTCAGGAATGTCGTCGAGGATGTCATCTTGAATTACGAGTTTCTTTTTGGAAGGAGTTTTTGGTCCCAGGTTGGAATTATCTTGATCCTCGAAAGCGGAGACCATGTTTCCCTTCCACGAAGCGCCAACTAACCACCACTTACCCCTAGTTTCAATGTTTTGAATATCATTCAACGTAACCTGTAAAGGGTCAGACGTCGATGATGCACCACCAATAAAATTAGTTAGTGTTTTCTTCAAATTCGCGTGGCTGGCAGCCAGTATCGATGGTTTGAGTCTATTGTTTTTCAGGTCTGACATCACTTCCAGTAAAAACTTCATCCTTGGTGACTGTCTTACGCTCCTCACATTGTCTAAAAGTTCAGAGATAATCTCCTTCAGAGCCTTAGGGTCATCACCACGAATCAAAGGCCCCGAAATCGAGATTATCCTCAAGAGTAGCTCTGTTGAAAATTCGTTGGGGGTCCTGATCAGCATTTCAATAACGTCGTAAATCAGCCGGCAGGAGATAAGCCCGAAATTGTAACAGTAGGCCAACAATCCCACCAGGTTATTGCATTCTTTGGAGACTACAAGTGATGAGCCTTCTTTGCCCTCTCCGGCGGTAGCAGATATCTGTTCTTGATCGCGTTGGAAAGTTTCCAGCAGTTTTTCTACCCATGCTTGGATAAATGAGGCACCAACCTCGGTTCCCTTCAATTTCCATAAACTGAATACCACGGCAGCGTAATTTATAATGAAACTATCCAAAAGTTTGTCTCGATGGCAAACGATGTCCAATGTTTGTTCCGCCAGGGCATCGTTGACGTGCTGTCTAGGGAAAGACTCATATATTTCAGCCAATGAATTCACTATGACAGTGATGTTAGACTCAGAAAGCTTGTTGAGAGCGGACTTGACCTTCTTCTTCAATTCGGTAACATTTTCGGAGTCTTTATTGAGCAAATGTTGCTTCCGTAAAGAAGGCGGCACGTATGCAGAAAGATCTGTGGTAGTAGGTGCCACATATGGATTTTCCCTTTTGGTTGGTCTTGAACCATCAGAGCCTTCTTCAGAGCCAGCCTCGGAGCCTTCACCCTTGCCTTCTAACTCACGGAGTTGTCTCCACTCTTCCTCGTCGAGATCGTTTTCATCAAACTCGTCAAAATCACCTTCCGAAATTTCGTCGTCCGAAGAAAAAGGCTTTCCTTCCTCCTGTTCACTGGCAGTTTCGCTGGCGGTACCGCTCTTGGCATCGGCCTCGGCCTCCATTTCGTCTGCGGTCTCACTTTCAGAGCCGTCGCTGCCGTAGTTTTCGAAAAAATCAAGGCCCTCTAGTAAGCCTCCGATGGCATCAAATTCGTTGTTTGCCCTGAGGTTTTTGTTTTTGCCCTTGATGCCGAGCTTTTTAGAGTAATAGTCGTAGTCCCATTGGTCCTTCTGTGCTTGGGCCAACTCGGCGGGGGACAACGAGGGTTTCGCGGTGGGGACGGGCATTTCGGTCTTTGAGGAGGAAGATTTCTTCTTTCCCTCTTTGGCTCGTTTGAGAGCTGCCATGGTTTCTTCCACTGTCATCTCTGGAGATTCGTCGTCACTTTCATCAAAACTGGTACCATCCTGGTCTCCAGAGGTATTCAGAATTGCCTCCTTTTTTGCTTTCGCTCTTTTGAGAGCTGCCATGGTTTCTTCCACAGTCATCTCTGGAACTTCACTATCGTTGTCGTCGTCGTCCTCTTCTCCTTCCACGTCGTCATCCTCAAACCCCCCAAAACTGTCATTTTCATCTTCGTCGTCGTCATCTTGGTCGCTGTTGACATTCTCTTTGAGACCCGAGGGAGTCTTTACCGATTCTGAGCCGGACTTCTTCTTCTTCTGTTCCTTAGCCCTCTTCAATGCTGCCATGGTCTCTTCCACACTCATCTCCGGAGACTCTTCGTAGTGCTCCTCCTCTTCCTCCTCTTCATCCTCATCACCAGTTTCGCTTCCAACAGACTCACTGTCGTCGTCGGGCCCACTCCCGTCGTCACTGTACAACTGTTGGCTATTCTGGTGTGCACCGGCCACTCGTTTTGGCCGCGTTCCCTCCGCTCTTTCCAGTCTTCGCACCTCTCCGGCTTCTCTAGCCTTCTGCCGCTTACCTATCCGTTGCTGTTTCCGTTTCTCCTTTCTCCCTACTTGCTGTTTCCGTCTGCGCTTGTTGGTCCCAAAACGAGTGTCTTGGTCGTAGTTCACCTCCTTCAACTCATCCAAAATAGTCCCGGGAATGCGTATTCCATGTCTATCTCCTGCCATGCTCTCGTCACTCAACACACTCAAAGAGAAACTTAGGTGGATACTATGCCTTGCTAGGATCTCATTATTTCAGTTGGATGAGCTTAAGCTCATCGCTTCATCATTTATAAATCTTTAAATTGTTCCGTACCACATGATGCCTATATATCAGGAATATCAAGTTCTGCAGCTCATCTCGTCAACGCTCCATACTAACGTAAGACTAAGGTCAACATCAAACGGGATGGGTCGCAGCATTGACCTTAAGTTTATCGCGGACCTCTCGGTCCTCGTCGGAACAGGAATCTCGGTATATTACTTGGTATCGCGTCTACTCAATGAATCGGACGGAAACCCGCTTTTTGGCAAGTCTAAAGAAGCAAGGCAGAAGCAGTCGCAAACGTGGGAAAACCTGGTAGCCATGCGGCCACAGCTTCAGGACGTGCGTCTCAGCAGCTACGAACGCAATGTGCTGGGGTCTGTGGTGCTGCCGCAGGACATCGAGGTGAGTTTTGCGCAGGTGGGAGGGCTTGAAGACATCGTGGAAGAATTGACGGAATCGGTGATTTGCCCGCTTACGATGCCTGAGCTGTACTCCTCAGGGTCCTCGTCGGATCCCTCAGGCATGGCGAGCGGTGGGCTGCTGACAGCGCCACGCGGCGTGCTGCTGTACGGCCCACCTGGATGTGGGAAAACGATGGTCGCAAAAGCACTGGCGAAAGAAAGCGGGGCCACCTTTGTCTCGCTGCGCATGTCGTCGATCCTGGATAAGTGGTATGGAGAGTCGAATAAGATTGTGGATGCGGTTTTCTCGCTTGCCAACAAGATCCAGCCGTGCATCGTGTTCATCGACGAAATCGACTCTTTTCTACGAGAGCGCGCTTCGTCGGACCACGAGGTGACGGCAATGTTAAAGGCGGAATTTATGACTCTGTGGGATGGCCTTACATCCAACGGACGCGTGCTAGTTTTAGGTGCCACTAACCGCATGGCGGACATTGACTCTGCGTTTCTGAGAAGACTGCCTAAACGCTTTGCAATTCCGCTACCAGGCCCACAAGAAAGGCGTGCGATCCTCAACATTCTACTGCAAGGCTCGGAGCTGGACGCTAAGGACTTCGACCTCGAGGCCATAGTGAATGCCACTCGCAATATGTCTGGTTCAGATCTAAAGGAACTATGTAGAGACGCTGCTTTGACCGCTGCGAGAGAGTATATTCGTCAAAAACGGCGGCTCGCGAACTCCGATGACCCTTTAACAGCGAGCGCTATTCCAAAGGGCATCAGACCTCTTAGAACCTCCGATTTTCACAAGAATCTGCGAATCGAAGCCCGGGTACCCCTCGGTTCAGCAGGTCTGGATTAAAGGTTGTGAATCTATACATAATTTGGAATGGTCACCCTGTCGTGAGGGGCAAGCCCACGGAGAAAAGGTTTGGGGTTGATGGCTGGAAGTAGAATGTGCATCATGGCAGAGTCTCATCGTGTCTTTACTTAGTAGACCCCCACCTCTGTCACCTTAGCGGGCCAATCGGTTTTCAGAAATCTTTAAAGATTATCACAGAGATAAATAAGATAGCCCGTATATTTCCTGTGTACACAAATTCATAAGCTGTCATCTATCCTAGCTCATATGCAATTTTAATGTTATTTTGGTCCCCACTATTCGTCAAAGTAAAATATATTTATTACCTGCTAAGCGTAGAGACTCAGATCTAGAGGTACACTGCTTCCTCTTCCACTTGGATAAAGTTTCGTTTTGCTTGAAAATAGTCTAGGTTTGGGCAACTGGGAACTATTGGTCCATTTGAATCGACTGTCATCAATCGATACTTTGGCCCGATCCAATTTAACACCTGTAGTTGTGGAGCTTCCACTAATTGTGAAATTGTTAGTTTCGAGTTCGGGTTGGTTCGTGTGAGGATTTGAGGCATGAGTGGAGGGAACAGCATTTTGTGAAGAAAATAACCGTTGCTTATGAGAGTTGTTGGTCCTTACTGCCGGGGCTCCTGGGGGCGGTGGGGGAGGTGGAAGCCTTGAACTTGAGCCCGATGTATCATCTGTCACTACGTTAGACGTATTAGCAATTGGAGGTGGAGGTGGGATTGGAGTGCGAGTAACTGATGGTGGCGCTGGAGCACTAGGTACAGGAGGCGCACCAGTCGTTGGAATTGCAGGCGCCATTGTTGCGGGCATTGTAGGTGCTGTTGCCCTCGTCGAGGCTACTGGTGTGGAAACGTTTGATGTCGAGCCTCCTGAACCATCGACAACATGTGAATCATCCCTCTTCCGCTCAATTTCAGCTAGAAATGGTAAGCCACCTCCAACAGAAGGCGGTGGGGCAGGAGTCTGCGGCGCGCTCGATTTGCCGGGCAATGAATGCGGCACTAGAGGAGGTGGTGGAGGTATTGGAGCACTAGGCTGAGCACTTTGAGGAAGTGGAGGAGCTGCAGGAGCACTTGGTGCAGAAGAAAGAGGCATAGGAGGTGCAGTCGAGACCATAGGTGCTTTTGGTGCTGATGTGGGAGGCAAAGGAGGTATTGTTGGGTTGGATGAGGACGTATTTGGGGTGCCAGGGACACCAGAGAAACCAATGCCGGGAATAGGAGGAGCACCACCACTTGGGAGAGGCGGCGCCGCCGTGGAAGGGGTGCTGTGGTTCAATTTTGAATTCATCTCATCCAAAAACGACATTCCGGGGCCCGAAGTAGGTGGCTTTGGAGCTTCCGGGAGCTTAGTAGCATTCACTGGCTCCGAACTCGTTGCTTGTTCGACTTTGGTCGAATAGTTCTGATTCTCGCCGACAACAAAACGATCGTCGCGTTTCTTCTGGATTTCAGCAAGAAATGGGAGACCGCCGGATGAAGGAGGAGCAGCTCTTGGTGTCGATGGTGCTTTAGGCGCTGGAGGGGCAGATGAAATTGGTGGTGCCGGCGGTGCTGGAGGGGCAGATGAAATTGGTGGTGCCGGTGGTGCTGGAGGGGCAGATGAAATTGGTGGTGCCGGTGGTGCTGGAGGGGCAGATGAAATTGGTGGTGCTGGCGGCGCTGGCGGCGCTGAAGCTTTGGGAATAGCCGGCGCGCCAGGTGCTTTAACTGAGGGAACAGGAGGTGCGGCCGTGTTCGGAGCCAAAGAAGTTGCGGCATGCGTACCTCTTTTCGTAGGTCTGGAAACAGGCATATGGGGTCGAGACGACGGAGCTTTAGGAACAGCGGGAATGGCAGCAGGGGGGGCCGAGCCAGGCAAAGGTGGAGCAGAGCCCGGAATCGGTGGAGCAGAGCCCGGAAGCGGGGGAGCGAACCCACTTGAAGGTGCTGGAACAGGGGGAGTTGGGCCACTTGGCGGCGCGGTAGTTCCACCGCTAGTTGATCGAAGTTTGGGGAGCCCACCGGCAAGGATGTCGCTCAATTGGGGCGCCATTCCAGTTGGAACCGGAGGAGCCGAAAGTGCGGGTCCAGACTTTCCCGACGCTCCAGCGGCGGGCATGCCTGAGTGAGAAGCATGGGACTCACCCACCACGCCGCCGCCTACCCTTGGACCACTTCTATCGTTGGTTTCAGCCTTTTTCAGCCGAGAGCCCTTGCGGATATCGCTTAGCAAGGCATCTCTCCCGCCGGCCCCGGGATTGGGCGCCATCGATGGCGGTTTGGGAGCACCGGAGCCCATACCCATCATTGGAGGAGGTGGCGGAGGAGGTCCGGCCATATCTGATGAGTTTTAGTACAAAAGGAACAGCAATTCGGAGTCACAGATGTTAGTGTTAGCCGTCGCTTGGTGTCAGGTATAGGGGAGAGAGTTTTCGATTTTGAGAATTCATTAAAAAGTACTCATCCGTCACGAGTACGTTCGTGAATAGTTATGTACTCGAGTACCTGTGTCGTATAAAATTATATTTATGTACTCGTCTTTTGTGAGTACTTTCGTATAACGGTATATAGGAATGTACTCGAGTACGGGACTCGTTGGTGGCAGATTGTAAGGGCTTTACAAAGATGCGCGCGAGGCCGCGAGCAGTGGTAGATATCCAGGGCTTGTGTTATTCTTCTTGTCTAGCTGCATCGCCTTTAGCCTTACTCCCGTGGAACACACGCTTGCTGCCTGCCAAATGACAGTCATTTTTGGACTGTCTCACGCCATGATGTTAATTTACAAGAGAAGTCACGTACCGCCGCTATCTTGAAGATCAGCCGCCAGTGTTCACGTCTGAGAGCTGTGCATGTTAGAGAAGACTTGTTAAGCACCAAATGCAAATTTCCCGTATATTGTGATAGAAGTCCGGCTGATCAATTTTTCATGGTATAAATGGCTGAGGCACACAACTTACTTGACCTGCTGGTTACCACTCTTCCTCTTTACTCTTGAGATTCTTTTTTAGAAAAATTGAAACCAGGGGCTCTTCTCCCATGGAGGAGAGCCTCTATGTGCATCATCGAAGATCCGTATTTCGAAAGTGGGATGCGGATTCAAAGCGATGCGCAGAATAAGGTAAAATGTCATTTGAGTCAGCATTGCAGGGAACCATCACATAGGGGAACTGCATGCGCTGTGATACGATTGAGTAAATTTTGTTTGGCTATCCTAAAGGCTCAGTGGCACATTTTTTTCTAATGGAATGAGAGGTAAAAAATTCATCTTGAATTGTGTAGACCAGAAGCCTTCGTAGTGGCGAGTCGAATGTATAAGCTTCATATATGTATGCTTACTATGCATCAGTGTCATGTTGTCACTTTCATCCTTTCCTTGAGCAGTGTCAAAAGAGCAGGTCCCCACTCGGGACGGCGCTTGTACTGGCCAACATTTTCCTGCATCCCCGCGATGGCATCGTGCATATCTTGTAAGACTGGGGTCTGGGAGTAGTGCTCGTCTGTCAAAAATTGCTCGGCCATGTTCCACAGATATGTCTTGATGGAGAAACACATAGCACGTGAATTGGGCCCCAGTCTCACCAGACACTGGCGCTCAGAGCGATAGAACAAACCATGACCTCCGCGTAGTTCCTCCAAGGTCATGGCAGGAATGCTCTCGTCGTCGGTGCCCTTGTTGTCGTTTGTCACATACAAGCGGGGATGGGTTTGGAAAGAGAAGTTGAGACGCATCACCAACTTACCCATTTTGTGCATCTGGAAAAACCGGTTCATATGCGACTGTAGTTTCTGCTTGTACTCCGGCACAGGACCGTGCACTAAAGTGAGAGGTTTCATAAATCGTTGTCTAGGGTTAAAGCCGGCCGCGAAGGCGAAACAACCGACAAACAGAAAATATTCATTGTCAAATTGTCCACTCGCATTGGGTAGCATCAAGAGCAGATCCTCCTCTACTAATCTCATAAGCGCTAAGATGAGCTCATGTGCCCGCCTCGTCTCATTGCAAGTGACCAAGCACTTATATCCCACAGCATCTCGTTGCCCATTGGTGGTTCCAGGTTCCTGTGTTGGTTTGGTTGTCGTTATCATGTCCGTGTCTTGGCACCTGTATTTCATAAACTTGAGTTCGGCCTCGGAAGCGTGCAGGTATTGGCGTGGGTCAACGGGGTGAAACTCGTCCAGAACCTTATTGTGGAGAACGCCAGGTGACTCCTCTGTAGGCGACAACGATACCTCGAAATACTGAGGGAAGCGCTCGACGAGGTAGCTTACCACGTGGTCGTAGAGCTCGCAGAGCGCCACTCGGCAATTCTCTACATCCTGGGCCGTGATGATAGTTTCCTGTTGCAATGGCGGTGCGTCTTCGATGCCCACGCCGCCGGAGTCGGCACCATTTTTCCGGTGGTCATTGATCATGGCCGGATCCAAAAAAAACATTACGTCCCGATACTCCTCCCGGATTATCTGCCATTTGGCCTCAATCCTGTCCTTGTACGTTTGGTCAAGTACCAACCAGTCGCCCATGGGGATTGGTCTAATTCCCATGGTGAGCTTGTACTCGCCTGCCTTGAAAGGCTGGTACGGGAAAGGTTTGTTCCGATGCCACACGCTGTCACTGGGGTGTACCTCGTTTTTCATTAGCGGTAGGGGCTCCCATTTTCTTTGGCCTGTTACGTCTGTCTTTCTCACCTTGTTTTCGCCCTCTGTAGGTCCGCCATCATTATCAGTGGATAATTCCTTGTACAAGAGATACGAGAAACAGCACATTAAAGGGAAAGTGACATGTTTTCCCAGCACAAAACTCAAATCTAGCATAGGCTGATGGGTAAATATGCGTAAAAAGTGTGAGCGGTTTCCGTTGCTCCTTTCTATTTCTTAGTAGAACGCTTAAAAGCCATATATAATGTTGCAATGGCCAGCGCTCTTCGGGAAAAACCACGCTGTTGATATAAAGACAGCGCTGGAGCCGATGTACTCATTGTTTATCACCCAATACTAGCTCCATGCGGAGTCGATTCCCGATGAATACGCTTATGACGACACGATATGCCTTAAACTCTCATGCCCATTGATAGGCATGCCATACCTGTGATTTTTCCACTGGTAATTTTCAGCTTTCCTCGGCGATAAGCATAAGGGAAACTGGATTATCTTTGGCCCCGACATCTCGTCAGTAGCCATTGGACTTGGCTGCAAAAGAACGACGATCTAATTGAAGCAACAACCAGTCGCAAACCCGCAAGACTCGGCCCTCGAAAAGCTGCTGAACCATTGATCTTCAAACTGGTCGTTCGTGGGCCCGTGTACGTATATAATGATCTCATCAGGCTCTCGGCTCACACCGAGTTACGGGGAGGACTGTTCCTGACCCAGGACGGCGATCAGTATTGGAACGTTGATCTTGCGGTCTAGCAATTCGTTTCTGCCAGGCACAACGTTTACAAAACGATCCAGGGAGTTTGTCTGGTGCGCTTTTTTGATCTCGGCTCGTGCCTTGACGAGCTCGAGAATCGTGATAGCGCGCTGGATGTGCGGCCCATAAGCATAAACGACTACCGTATTATTTAGTAGCAGCTGCTGTACCATTTCGGTAACGTACTCCTCTGTGTTTGTGTTTTTAGTTGCATATTTTATAAATAGCTGGCCGCTGTTGGGCTGTGGGATGACGGCGGGAAGACACTTGTCGCGGATAAACGCACAACATTCGGCAGTTTGCGAGGTTTTGAGACCCGTGGGGGCGTTGTGGTAGAGCAGTACACTCGATTGTGTCTTGAGAGCCACGTCGGACTCGGGTTTGGGGTCTAATTTTGACATGATGCGCCAACTTTTTTCTGTGTGGGATGAGTATTGTGTATTTAGGTTAACACAATAGTCATTATTTTTCTAAGACGAGCCCGAACGCGATGAGAATACGATAGAACGAGAGGATGGGGGAGCCGGAGAGAGGCGAGCTGGGCAGAGCTCGTGAAAGCTGGGCAACATGCTATCTGATATCTGCTAAATATAGGACGCGGGCCTGTGGAAACCAGATTGTAGTGCTCTGGTGCGACCAGTGGTGGTTGGTAAGCAAAGGCGGGCAGAGAACTGATGTTGGTCTTGTTGGCTACATAGCTATGTGTGTGGTGGGCAGCAGCGTAAAACTGTAGGAGCTGTAGTAGGTCTACCAGTTTTCATGTTTACGACACTCCTCATCACTTACAGACTGTATTTAATTACATGTATAAGAATAGCCGGAAGAAGGTGTGTTAACAAAACACAACGAGGGAGCAAGACGAAGAAAAACAAAACAAAACTGGCGGTTTGAGGGCGTCTCTCTGTGCATGGACCGACACGAACCCCGGCTCAGACGAGGACATGCCGGGCAAACCGATAGAAAAGGATGCCGCGCCATGACTGTGACTGTGAGCCTGCCTTCTGGAGATGGCATTCCGACGACATCACCACTATAGCGAGCACAGCGCTACCAAACGTTACTCGTGCGGGCTCTCCGGGCCTTTTCCAATCCAGTGGTAAAGGGATAGCGCACTTGTAGTGTCAGTGACGTATATAGTGACCACCATTTTGAAATGTGGAATAGAAACGGTGTCGCTGCGCAACGAGAGACCGGAGAAGTACTGACTTCAAGCGGTACCTACAGCTGACGAAGCCATCAACAACCCTTCTCCGCAGGTGTAAAATATTGATTCTGCCCACCACGGGCCATCTTAATATGTAACAACAGTTGGAGCAGACCAGCGCACTAACAACCGTGAGAAGCTAGCTACACTGCGTTTTCGACACGCATCTAATATACGCTTGACGGCGTTTATTCCAGCTGCTCGTCTCTTGTTCTCTGTCCCTCTCTCCAGTGCTTGGCGTTCGAATCGTACCAGCCTGTGACTGCTCATATAATAACCCATACACCCAACAAAATCCAGTTTTTGTGAAAAAATTAGCGCTGTTCCAAATCGGGTATAAGGCCGCCGAGTGCATATCCGAGCCGCACAGAGAAAATCAGATCACGGGACATCAACGAGAAGGCACGTGAGAGACTCTTGGCTTCAAAATTTTTCACTCACTATGCACGGGTATCACCAGAACATCGTGGCCAGCGTACCAAACCCACCGTCAGCTTCTTCAACATCAACTACACTTTTGGGTTCTGATTGTGCTCTTTCTTCTCTCTTTTCTCTTAGTTCTCCAGCAACTTAAGGAAACCTTTAAACAGCCTATTCATCCGTATATCGTTCGAAATGGGAGGAGTCCGTGAAAAGAAAGCCGAATACTTCGCTAAGCTAAGAGAATACCTCGAGGAATACAAGTCCGTGTTCGTCGTTGGTGTCGACAATGTCTCTTCGCAACAAATGCACGAGGTCAGAAAGACCTTGAGAGACCGTGCCGTCATCCTCATGGGTAAGAACACCATGGTTAGACGTGCCATCAGAGGTTTCTTGGCTGACTTGCCAGACTACGAAAAGCTGTTGCCTTTCGTCAGGGGTAACGTTGGTTTCGTTTTCACCAACGAATCTCTATCCGAGATCAAGGACGTGATTGTCTCCAACAAGGTTGCTGCCCCAGCCAAGGCCGGTGGTATGGCCCCAGAAGACATCTGGGTCAGAGCCGTCAACACTGGTATGGAACCTGGTAAGACCTCTTTCTTCCAAGCCTTGGGTGTCCCAACCAAGATTGCCAGAGGTACCATTGAAATTGTGTCTGACGTCAAGGTCGTCGAGTCCGGTAACAGGGTCGGTGCTTCCGAAGCCGCTTTGTTGAACTTGTTGAACATCTCGCCTTTCACTTTCGGTTTGACTGTTGTGCAAGTCTACGACAACGGTCAAGTGTTCCCAGCCACCATCTTGGACATCACCGACGAAGAGCTAGTGTCTCACTTCGTCTCTGCCGTCAACACCGTTGCCTGTGTTTCTTTGGCCGTCGGCTACCCAACCTTGCCATCTGTTGGCCACTCTGTTGTCAACAACTACAAGGACTTGTTGGCTGTTGCCCTTGCCTCCAACTACATCTACCCAGAGATCGAGGAGTTGGCTGACAGAATCGAAAACCCAGACAAGTACGCCTCTGCTGCTCCAGTTGCCGCTGCTGCCTCCTCTGAAGCTCCAGCTGAGGAAGCTCCAGCTGAAGAAGAAGACGAGTCTGACGACGACATGGGTTTCGGTTTGTTCGATTAAACAAAGTTTTAAACAATTAATTCTTTTCAATTTTGTGTAGTTCTACATATAACCATAATCGATTTTTGGTTCAGTATGATGGTTGTGACGAGGGTAGGCTACTCAGTCTGTGGTCGAATTTCGCTGGGTGTCATCAAGAAATAGTTTGATTTTCCCGTCGCTGACACCGGCAGCGTCAGCGACAGTTGTTGAGAGATAAAAATTCAGGGCCATGCGAAGAACACTTCTTACATTGTAATTCTTCGACTACATCCACTGACCAAGATGTGGATATTCTCTGAAATTAAAGAGGTCAAAATGAGGTCTTTCAATTCTCGAAAACCACCGCTCACGTCGAACACCAGAACTTCTAATACAAGATCTTGTTTGTCTTTGCGGACCCCACAGCAACAAGCCAAGAACGTTACCGAAGAAGAGGAAGAAGATGAAAACCAGCCTTTCATTACGCAATCAGAAACTGATATTGACACCACGATCGGGGTTATTTCCGTCAACGGTAGCGTTATTCATTATTCGATAAACGCATCGTCCACCGAAAACGTCGAGCCACAGGACCAACAGGGGCAAAATTACACTACTCCAACGGTCGGTGAGAAAGGAGAGCTAACGTTGAAACTGTTGAATATCTATTTGTCATTGTTCATTACAGATGCTAATTTTGCGCAAGGTTCTTCTCATATGTGTTCTTCGACCAGGAAACCGATTGATGATAACAACCTGTCGCATGATGCCTTTATTAGCTCTATCCCTGATTCTATAGGTCCTTTAGTGGATGTGATTGGATTAACCGATGGTATCATACAGAACATTGCCGGGTTCTTGCGCGACACCACTTTCCAGAATAAGTGCCAGCGCGAGGAGTGGAATCAAGAGGACCTGATACATTTCCGATCACAAATTACCCTCGTCATGAAAACGCTGATATTGAAATATGCTCCCCAAGCCAGCCTGTCACCTACCTGCCATCAATTCGATACTGCCCTGATGTTATTGAGAAAACTGCAAGCGGTCACCCACTACTGGAAAAAGTCTCGTCGCACCCAGGACGTGGATGCTCGCGGAGATTGGATTTTGTATCAACTGCAGAAACTTCAATGCGTACCACCCCCGATAATCGAATCTCTGAACGTTGATATCATGATGCCGGCTTTTTCAACACGGCAAGCCAAGAGCTCCACAGGCGAGATCGAGACTCTCGAGACTTTCACCACGCTGTACGCCATTCTGTTAATGGAGCTGAAGAAGCTTTTTCAATCGATGGTCGCCATTTCTGAGACCACCGGGATACTGCCACAAATGGATTGCGCTTTACTTAACGGATGTCTCGAAGGGTTTTTGCGCAATGCCTTCATCAGTGGCAGTACAGAACTGCTAGTGGACCTGGATAAACTAGTATTAATCTGGACTCAGTCGAGTCATGCTCTGAGAGAAGGGACGGGGCTCTGGGCTCATAATTTTATCGACAGATGGAACCTGGAATGTCCAGATCCAAAATCCAGCACCGTGTTGGGCAGTACAACAAATTTATCCAACTGCGACCGCGTCAGACCCGAGTATGACCTGGTGCGTTTGTTTATCCGCGAAATTGCCGACATTTGCATGCTGGGGACAGAGTGCAGGACAGAGTTGTTAGAGTCCGCCACGCTGAGGGTCAGGGCACCGAACAGCGGGCTCGGGTGGCTGACGATCTTCCAAGACGACCGGCCACACACCTCTCGAGCCCTCACAGCGCGCGAGATCGAAACTTTATCCGCCAGTCAGGGGTGCCACGGCCACAGCGGATTACAGCGGTTGCAGGGGCTGTACGGGGGCGAATTTTCGCTTCTAGAGGACGAGACCACCATGAACGCTACTAAAGTGGGGCCACCAGTCCATTTTTGGTCTCGTAACCGTCACCACCGCCACCGTCACCACCACTCGCATCATTTTCGGGACTGGATCAAGCGCGGCTTTCGAGCCGCCGACGTTGGCCATCGCCACCGACTGGTAGACAAGTGCCATCGTGCGAACGCTAAACTCAAGAGCTTGGCCCACAGGGTATATGGCTGCGACCACCTAACCCTAGCGCGGCAGACTACGCCTGTTGTCACCCGTCGCAGCCATCCGCCACACGCCGCTTTCCGCTTGGAGGAGGCCTATGACCACACCACCTACAGCGAGACCCTCTACCCGCTACGTCGGCGCTACCAGAATCTGCGACGCAAGAAGGATCGTTTCATGTTTCTGTTTTTTGGCGAGGAGCGGTGAGCGATCCTTGTGAGCGCTGAGCACCCACCTTAAGATGGCGCAAAAGCGGCACCATTGGATTTCTTGCGACACCCCCCCCCTCTTGCGTGTGATTTTCTCGGTTCCTATCCGTCTCTGCCACCCGCCACCGCCACTTTTCCTGCGGCTTAGCCGCCCACGCCTGGTCCCGTCAAGTTTCCAATCCTAAGGTCCATCAGACGACCCCACGATTTACGTACAAAAGGACATCACCACTTTCCCGCAAAAAAATCAAGTTGAGGGGCTCGCTCCCTTTCTCGGCGAAGACTATATAAATGAGAAGAGCTAAGGGAAAAGTTGTCAGACTTTAGTCAGTGTGTAAGAATTATTGCAAAGTTTTTTTGAAGAGTGTCTGAGAAGCGCTAGGGTATCCCCACCGAGAGGCGAACACCATTAGAACGTGGACTATACGGCAGCAACAGAATCTAAGGTCAAGGTTGAATTTTTTTGTTTTTTGAATCGCGAAGAGCAGTTTTATGAAATTGGTCAGTGGCTTCGGGGTCCGTTTTGTTCGCAATAGTCGCTTTATCCACACGCCAAGTCGCCATGGGCAACTCTTAATCAGCAGCATCTTCTGCAAGACACGCAGTATCGAGAAGCTGGGTTCAGCGAGAACCAGATTGTATTCCGAAGGTCCTCTCTTCGGAAATCACAACAACACATTTCGAACCACGACCAAGCAGGGCGCCTACGGATGCACGGAGGTACTTAACCAAGACCTGGTGTCAGACAATATGCGGCGGGTGCCGCTTGCGTACGAAGTGGTGTCGGAAAACAGCTCGACGTACTTCCCCAAGCCGCCTGTGATCATCTTGCATGGGCTGTTTGGCAACCGGGCGAACAACCGAACCATTGCAAGATTACTGAACGAGCGGTTAGAGCGGGACGTGTACTTGCCAGATCTACGCAACCACGGGGCGTCTCCGCACATTGGACGCCACGACTATCCGTCGATGGCCGCAGACGTGGAGCAGTTCATCCAAGAGCGCAACTTTGAGCACGAGCCTATCATTGTGGGCCACTCCATGGGGGCGAAGGTGGCGATGAGTGTGGTGCTGCGCAAACCCGAGCTGTGCTCTATGCTGGTGAGCATCGACAACGCGCCGGTCGCAACGGTGCCCACCATGTCGTTCCCACGCTACGTCAAGAAGCTCTTGGAGATCATCGAGAATCCCAAGATCCTGACTTTTGCAGACGCGGAGAAATCGCTACGCGAAATAGAGGCGTCTCCCGTGATCCGCCAGTTTTTGCTCACGATTTTGCAACGGGTCAAGGACGAAACAGGCGCCTCGCCCTCCGGGTACCGTTTCAAGTCCCGTATCCCACTCGGGATCCTGAATGATGCGATCGTCAAGGGCAACATCGCTAATTGGGAATTCAACCCTTGGGTCCACAGGTATACTTCGCCTGCGCTGTTTATCCGCGGTACCCGGTCTCACTATGTGGCAGACGAGCTTCTGCACGACGTCGGACGGTTTTTCCCCCGTTTCGAGGTGGGCGACATTGATGCCACCCACTGGGTCAACACCGAAAAGCCCCGCGAATGCAGTGATCTGATTGCCGATTTTATCGAGCGTCATGAGGAACTGTGACAGTAAGACATGTTAGGAGTAGTAGAGGCAGTAGCAAATGATATAATAAAATGGCCATAGTTTTTATAGTGTCCAGCGGCCGAAATGAATATTACGATTATCCAGTTGTCTTTGTTTTATTTTTCTTCTATTTAATGGGTGTACGTGCGTGCGACACAGCCCCACACGGGCAGTTAGGCGTTGATGTGCGTCGTAGCTTTCATACAAGTCCAAACTTTACAACAAAACCAGCAATCGCGGTATTACTCTGCCCCTTCCCTTGGTTATTACAACCTACGTGGTGCTACACTGGCTTTTCAACCAGAGACCGTTCGAGCGCTGGCGATGTTTCCTCACTTTGTACAAAAAAGTCACAACCCGGATGTTGGAAGATAATAGAAGTGCATGACGTGAGAAACTCTTTCCAGTTCTTGATTTTCTGCCAATCTGCTGGAAATTCCCAGTCCAATCGTTCTGTGAACCTCTTCTAGCCATTGCCTGAGCTGTTGGTATCAGGCGTACTGTCAAACCAAAAAAAATGAAGCTCTTACCCCATTCAAAGCACTTCCCTACCACCCCAGAACACTCAATACAAATCATTCAGCCCTCGGTGACGGTCCCATCTTATTCCATCCTAAGTGCCAACCTCGCGTCACTAATGGAATAGTCATCAAGTTCGAAACCATATTGCCAGTGACACAAACCTCTATTCTGGCGTTCCCTGATCACCAGTCCCGTTCTACAACTCAGCCCATCATACTTCTCGGCTTGTCCGCTTGTTGTACTTCCTCTCGCTATTTTTATCTACAGTACCGGGTCTTTACAAACAAAGTTTCGACCTGCTTATATTATACATCTACTTTTCGAACCTACAACAAACTTCGCACGCCAGTACGAATTACGCAGGGCTATCTATGTATACCGAAAAGCTCGTTGAAAGTTGTTGCTCGAGACCCTAATTGGCAGCTTGGCCCAATTTTTTGGTATATATACCCTACCACCTTGCGGACGAATCATCCCGTGTTTAACCGCCAGGGCACCTATCGCGACCTCAACGTGCAACAAGTACGCTATAAGAGAAACCTCTGTTGGATAAGCTACGAAGATCGTATGTATTGCTGTGGCCAGGAACAGTGAGTACTAACCGTGCTAATAAGCGACTGGAGGGTTTGAGACGGCAGAGCTCCTTGGCCACTAATGTTATATATATTACGGCAAGCCCAGGACCCATTCGAACCCCGTGAGAGACAATAAAAAATTAGGTGTGAGCAGAATAAAGAGTCAACACGAAACAAACGCCAGTCAGTGCTCTGAGAAACACGTTATACGGACGACGCGCGCGTACAGACCATCCCATCAGTTGCTAGCGTTCCGCGCTAGGTTATATTGACACGCCACAGACGTCAGGCCCGGTTCCTGAAGCTACCACCGTCCGTAGACCACACGCTGCAGATAGAACGCGACCTGTACAAGGACAGTATCGCATCCGCAAGACGCCGGTGATGTCCCCTGGTTGGCACTGGACAAGCGTGCCAAGTGATTGGATCCTTCTTCCGTCCCTCTCGGCCTCGGAACAAGAGGGCTTGGCTTTCTTACCGCAAACACAGCACGCACGCTTTTAGGTCCTGCACATGGTGAAACCAACACTAGTACGAACCCGGGACATCTCGGTGGTGCATTTTCGGCCCAGCTTTTTTTTTTTTAGCTTGAAGGTCCTTCAAATGCCTTTGCCAACTCGTCGTCGCTACGTACGCGTGCGCTACTACCTTGTTCGTTTTGGTTTGTCTGTGTGTCTTTCTGTGTGTCTGTTGCTAAGTTGATCTCCCTATCGCTTCGGGAACTGTAATAGGTCGAAGTCCTGAGTGAACTTTTTTCAGGTAGCGTGGGCTAAGAAAAAATTTTCGTGTTGCAGCTGATCCACGCTCTTGTTGGCGCGGTTTTCTCTGCCGTCCAGATCAAGAAATCACCAAGGCCAGCTCCCAGCAGATGGCCGCGCGCTACAAAATCGCCAAATTTGCTTACTCTTTCGGATCAAGGTCTTTTTTTTTTTTAGCGTCTCGAGTTGGGTAATGTTGGTGGCGATGGCGTTGGTTGGGGAATGCGATCTGTGGTTTAAAAAGAACGTGGACCTGGCCCAGTTTTGTCTCTACTACACACGAATCAAAAAAGTTTGGGAATTTCTTGGGAAAACCTTTGGGAAAACCTTTTGGATTTGCATCTCGTTGTTGACCTTTGATCTCAGAACAAGGACGCATCAGGACCATTCCATCGCACAACAACAGCAACAACAACTCGGTACTCCGCAAGTCTGTTGAGCCAGCAAGCTACGCTAAACTGGCCTAAAACAAAAGAACACAGATCTGATTTACAGCTCTGCTTTCGAAGACACGAGTCCTTGATCCTGAATCACGCTAAAGCATCCCCGGTAGGAAAAAAAAACTTTATTTTTAGTTTTTCTGATTTCTCTCAGTTCACGCCGGTTATTGTTTGGTTATTGTCACTGTGTTCGCATTTGGAATCTTCCGCTGCTCTCCTAGGCTACCTTTCCAAACTCACTCGCTCAAGCACGATAGCTACTACTCGATAACTTTGTTTTGGTACTAACATTGCAGCTTGCAAGAAGACCTTTCCTCTTTTTGGTTTTTTTTACTATTTGAAGGCTTAAGTGTCACAGTTGTACTTTGTCGGGATAGCATTCCATCATGTCTCACAACGACCCGAACAACTACTACGACCAGCAGGGCCACGATCAGTCCCAGCAGCAACACCCTCAAGAGTATGCGTCTGATCCGTACCAAAGTTATGGCCAACAGCCACAATACGACGAGTACGGACAGCCCATCTATGCTCAGGATCAGTATGATCCAGAGGCTGCTGCCCACTACGACCCTAACGCTGCGGAGTATTACGCCCAACAGGGCTACGACCCCGAAGGCATGGATTATGGCCAAGGAAATGGCTACTACGAACAACCCCGTGGCATGGGCCAAGACCCGGAAAACTTCTCAGATTTCAGCTACGGCCCACCAGCAGTTCCAGGCTACGAAGGCTACGGGACTCCCAGCGCTGGCCAGTACACACCATCGCAAATGAGCTATGGTGAACCCAGATCCTCGGGGGCATCTACCCCGATCTATGGGGGTGAAGGATTCGATTCGTCGGCGATCGCCATGGCTTTGCCTAACGAGCCCTATCCAGCATGGACGGCTGACAACCAGTCTCCGGTCACCATCGAACAAATTGAAGACGTCTTCATTGACATGGCCAACAGATTCGGTTTCCAAAGAGACTCCATGAGAAACATGTTTGATCACTTCATGGTTCTCTTGGATAGTAGGGCTTCCAGAATGTCTCCTCAACAAGCCTTGCTATCTTTGCACGCCGACTACATTGGTGGCGACACTTCTAACTATAAGAAATGGTATTTCGCCGCCCAGCTGGACATGGACGATGAAGTGGGCTTCCGTAACATGAACTTGGGTAAGCTATCAAGAAAGGCAAGAAAGGCCAAGAAGAAGAACAAGAAGGCCATGAAGGAGGCTGAAAATGACGGAGCCGAAGGTACTGAAGCCATGTTGAATCAGCTCGAAGGTGACAACTCGTTGGAGGCAGCTGATTTCAGATGGAAGGCAAAAATGAACAAGCTCTCTCCAATCGAGATGGTTCGTCACATCGCTCTATACCTTTTGATCTGGGGTGAGGCTAATCAAGTCAGATTCACCTCAGAATGCTTGTGTTTTCTTTACAAGTGCGCCTCCGACTACTTGGACTCTCCACTATGTCAACAACGCGCCGAGCCAATGCCAGAGGGTGATTACTTAAACAGGGTTATTACTCCACTATATCTATACATCAGAGCCCAAGTCTATGAGGTGATTGACGGTCGTTTCGTGAAGCGTGAAAAAGACCACAACAAGGTTATTGGCTACGATGACGTTAATCAACTCTTCTGGTACCCTGAAGGTATTGCCAAGATTATCTTTGAAGACGGTACTCGACTTATTGACTTGCCTCCCGAAGAGCGTTACCTAAGGCTAGGTGAAGTTTGCTGGGACGATGTTTTCTTCAAAACCTACAAAGAGACCCGTTCATGGTTCCATATGGTCACCAACTTCAACCGTATCTGGATTATCCACGGTTGTATCTACTGGATGTATGCTGCCTACAACGCCCCTACCCTATACACCAAAAATTATCAACAATTGGTTAACAATCAACCTTTAGCTGCTTACAGATGGGCTTCAGCTGCTTTGGCTGGTACTCTTGCATGTATCATCCAGCTTGTAGCCACCATTGCTGAGTGGTTTTTCGTTCCTAGAAAGTGGGCTGGTGCTCAACATTTATCTCGTCGTTTCTGGTTTTTGATCCTCATTACGGTTGTCAACCTGGGCCCTATCGCCTTTGTATTCGCCTATGACCAACTAGATGTGTACTCAAGAGCTGCACATATCGTTGCTGCTGTCATGTTCTTCGTTGCTGTGGCTACTATTATCTTTTTCTCAGTTATGCCTTTGGGCGGCTTGTTCACATCGTACATGAAGAAGTCGACAAGACGTTATGTGGCCTCTCAAACGTTCACAGCGTCATTTGCACCATTGGCTGGGCTAGAGATGTGGATGTCTTACTTATTATGGGTTACTGTGTTTGCCGCCAAATTTGCGGAATCATACTACTTTTTGATTCTTTCTTTGAGAGATCCTATTAGAGTTTTGACAACCACAAAGATGAGATGTACGGGTGAGTATTGGTTTAAGGCCAAACTATGTTCTATTCAGCCACAAATAGCTTTGGGTTTGATGATTGCCACAGATTTCATTTTGTTCTTCTTGGATACTTTCATGTGGTACGTCATTTGCAACATGGTTTACTCTATTGGAAGATCATTCTACTTAGGTATTTCCATTCTCACACCTTGGAGAAACATTTTCACTAGGCTGCCTAAGAGAATATACTCGAAGATTTTGGCCACCACGGATATGGAAATAAAGTATAAACCAAAGGTGCTGATATCTCAAGTTTGGAATGCCATCGTCATCTCCATGTACAGAGAACATTTGTTGGCTATTGATCATGTCCAGAAGTTGCTATATCACCAAGTTCCTTCTGAAATTGAGGGTAAGAGGACACTAAGGGCCCCGACCTTTTTTGTATCTCAGGATGACAACAACTTCGAAACCGAGTTTTTCCCTAGGGACTCTGAGGCTGAACGTCGTATCTCATTTTTCGCTCAATCTCTTGCCACTCCAATTCCCGAGCCTCTGCCTGTTGATAACATGCCTACCTTCACTGTTTTGACTCCCCACTACTCCGAAAGAATTTTGCTATCTCTGAGAGAAATTATTCGTGAAGATGATCAATTTTCGAGAGTTACTTTGCTAGAGTATTTGAAGCAATTACACCCTGTCGAATGGGATTGTTTTGTTAAGGATACTAAGATTTTGGCCGAGGAAACTGCTGCGTATGAGGGAACCACTGAGGATATTGAAAAAGAAGGCGAGGGCGGCATTAAATCACAAATCGATGACTTGCCATTCTACTGTATTGGATTCAAGTCTGCTGCTCCGGAATACACCCTTCGTACTAGAATTTGGGCCTCTCTGAGATCTCAAACTCTTTATCGTACTGTGTCTGGTTTCATGAACTACGCTAGAGCAATTAAGTTGCTCTACAGAGTCGAAAACCCTGAAATTGTACAAATGTTTGGAGGTAACGCTGAGGGTTTGGAGAGAGAATTGGAAAAAATGGCTAGAAGAAAATTCAAATTTTTGGTCTCCATGCAAAGACTGGCTAAGTTTAAGCCTCATGAGCTTGAGAACGCCGAGTTCTTGCTAAGAGCTTATCCAGATTTGCAGATTGCATACCTGGACGAAGAACCTCCTTTGAATGAAGGCGAAGAACCAAGAATTTACTCCGCGTTGATCGATGGCCACTGCGAGTTGTTACCAAATGGTCGCAGACGTCCTAAATTCAGAGTTCAATTGTCTGGTAATCCAATTTTGGGTGATGGTAAATCCGATAATCAAAACCATGCTATGATCTTTTACAGAGGTGAGTACTTGCAGTTGATTGACGCCAACCAAGACAACTATTTGGAAGAATGCCTGAAGATCAGATCTGTCCTTGCCGAATTTGAAGAACTGAATGTCGAACAAATTAATCCTTATGCTCCTGGCTTGAAATACGAAGACCAATCCACCAATTACCCTGTTGCCATTGTTGGTGCTAGAGAATATATTTTCTCTGAAAACTCTGGTGTTTTGGGTGACGTTGCCGCTGGTAAGGAACAGACTTTCGGTACCTTGTTTGCCCGTACTTTGGCTCAAATCGGTGGTAAATTGCATTATGGTCACCCTGATTTCGTTAACGCGACTTACATGACCACCAGAGGTGGTGTTTCTAAAGCTCAGAAGGGTCTACATTTGAACGAAGATATTTACGCCGGTATGAATGCTCTCTTACGTGGTGGTCGTATCAAGCACTGTGAGTACTACCAATGTGGTAAGGGTAGAGATTTAGGTTTCGGAACCATTTTGAATTTCACAACCAAGATTGGTGCTGGTATGGGTGAACAAATGCTTTCCCGTGAATACTACTACTTGGGTACCCAATTGCCATTGGATCGTTTCCTGTCTTTCTACTACGCTCACCCTGGTTTCCACTTGAATAACTTGTTTATTCAATTATCTGTTCAGCTGTTCATGTTAACAATGATGAACTTAAACGCCTTGGCTCACGAATCTATTCTTTGTGACTACGACAGAAATAAGCCTATAACTGATGTTTTGCATCCAATCGGATGTTACAACTTCTCTCCCGCCATTGATTGGATTAGACGTTACACCTTATCCATTTTTATCGTTTTCTTCATTTCTTTCATCCCTATTATTGTTCAAGAACTGATTGAACGTGGTATTTGGAAGGCGACCCAAAGATTCTTCAGACATATCATTTCTCTATCGCCTATGTTTGAAGTATTTGCTGGTCAGATTTATTCCTCTTCTTTACTGACTGATTTAACGGTCGGTGGTGCTCGTTACATTTCTACGGGTCGTGGTTTTGCAACTTCTCGTATTCCATTCTCCATTTTGTACTCAAGATTCGCAGGCTCTGCCATTTACATGGGTGCAAGATGTATGCTGATATTACTGATGGGATCTGTTGCTTACTGGCAAGCACCTTTACTGTGGTTTTGGGCCTCCTTGACTGCCTTGATGTTTTCTCCATTCATCTTTAATCCCCACCAGTTCTCTTGGCAAGATTTCTTCTTGGACTACCGCGACTACATTAGATGGTTGTCCAGAGGTAACAACAAATACCACAGAAACTCTTGGATTGGTTATGTCAGGATGTCTAGGTCTCGGATAACCGGTTTCAAACGCAAGTTGACGGGCGATGAATCCGAAAAGTCAGCTGGTGATGCCGCGAAGGCTCACAAAACCAACATGATTTTGGCTGATATCATTCCTTGTGCCATTTACGCCGCAGGTTGCTTTGTTGCCTTCACTTTCATCAATGCACAAACTGGTGTTAAGGACGCAGATCTTGTCAACTCGACATTGCGTATTGTCATCTGCACTTTGGCTCCAATCGCCGTTAACATGGGTGTTCTATTTGTTTGCATGGGTCTCTCTTGTTGCTCGGGTCCACTCTTCGGATTATGTTGTAAAAAGACTGGCTCTGCGATGGCTGGATTTGCTCATGGTGTTGCTGTCATTGTGCACATCATCTTTTTCATTGTCATGTGGGTCTTAGAGAGCTTTAACTTTGCCAGAATGTTGGCTGGTGTCGTTACCTGCTTGTACATTCAGAGGCTGATCTTCAAGATCATCACCATCTTCATGTTGACTCGTGAATTTAAGAATGATCACGCGAATACCGCCTTCTGGACTGGTAAGTGGTACGGAACTGGATTTGGTTATATGGCTTGGACCCAACCGGCCAGAGAATTCTTGGCCAAGGTCGTTGAGCTGTCGCATTTTGCAGGTGACTTTATGTTGGGTCATTTCATTTTATTCTGTCAACTACCACTGCTCTGCATCCCATACATTGACAAGTTCCACTCTATTATGCTGTTCTGGTTGAAGCCATCTCGTCAAATCCGTCCTCCAATTTATTCTTTGAAGCAAACTCGTTTGCGTAAGCGGATGGTGAGAAAATACTGCACTCTATACTTTTTGGTTCTGATTTGCTTCGTGGCCTGCATTGTGGGTCCAGCGGTTGCCTCCAAGTTCATTTCTGGTAATTTCGGTACCAACTTGAATGATAACATTGGCCAGCCTATGTTGCAAAATCTTGTTCAACCTAGAAATCAGAGCCACGACGACACTGGTTCCAGCTTGCAAACCAGAAGCCACTGGTATTACAGCACTCCTTCGTTGTCAACCTTTTCCACCAAGCCTTGAAAAAAATGGGCGATCCTGTAAAATGGTTCAGAGGCTTCTGATCCTTGTTACTTTATGTACTTTACTTATATGTTTACTCATCTTCAACCAAATAAATTTTAAGAAGTTGTTGCAAATGGTAACCATATGGACTCACTTTAGTTCACATTGGCTCATCAGCTCGCGGTACATACCAGAGCATCTCGTTTGAATGTCAGGTCGAGGGGTCATTTATATTTGTCGCGACGTTCCCCACTGACGTCCAGTACTGACATATAAAAAGAGACAAAACTTGTATCAACGAAATCTTCCCGGGCATCACTTTAATGAAGACTAATTGACCTCGAAATCATCTTGCTCAACTAGCACATCGCTACGAAAATGAATCTAGTTCTAATCTTGACCAACGTTTTCATAACGTACTTTGTCTTTGCCTCGGGCATCATAAATGCCGAAGAATTCAAGCTCGACTACTCAATAGCGGCAAGCGAACTACCCCCCGTTGAAGTGGTTGGTAACAAGTTTTTCAACACTGACACTAAGGAACAGTTCTTCATTAAGGGGATTGCTTACCAGCCTAGTCATTCGAGCGATCTGCAAAGTCTTGAGGCGCTAGGAAGTGACGCAAAATACATCGATCCCTTGGCATCACCAGAATTGTGCTTAAGGGACGTACCATATCTCGCTAATCTGGGTGTGAATACAATAAGAGTATACTCCATTGACCCAAATAAATCTCATGACGTTTGCATGAAGGCACTGTTGGAGAAGGGGATTTATGTCCTGGTAGATCTATCCGAACCGGATGCGTCTATCTCAAGGGATACGCCTAACTGGGATGCCCGTGTATACCAAAGGTACAAAAATGTAGTAGATGCAATGCACCAATATCCCAATGTTCTAGGGTTTTTTGCGGGCAACGAAGTCACAAATGATATAACAAACACAGACGCTTCTCCATTCGTGAAAGCGTCAATACGCGATGTTAAAGAACACATATCAAAAATGAACTACCGAGAAATTCCTGTCGGATATTCAACGAATGACGACGAGGATACTCGAGAAAACCTTGCCAAATACTTCACTTGTGGAGAATCAATTGCTGATTTTTATGGAGTTAACATGTATGAATGGTGCGGTTATTCGTCTTTCCATACTAGCGGATATGATAAAAGAACACAGGAATTTAGGAATTATCCGGTTCCAATCTTCTTCTCGGAATTTGGTTGCAATTTGATTCGACCTCGACCCTTCACAGAGGTAGAGGCGCTTTACAGTAAACAAATGACAGATGTTTGGTCGGGTGGGCTGGCATACATGTACTTCGAAGAAGAAAACCATTATGGTGTGGTGAAGATAGATTCAAACAACCACGTTGTTGTTTTGAAGGATTTTGAATTCCTGAGAGATGAATTCGCTAGGGCCAACCCCAAGGGGACGATCAAATCAGAATATCTGCGAAGGTTGGAACTAGCCAACAAAAAGCCGCCCAGAAGAGAATGTCCAGCTCTCTCCAGCAATTGGAAAGCTGCCGAAGGATTGCCCGCAACTCCTAATCAATCTAAGTGCGCCTGCCTGGATAATGCGTTACCTTGTCTAGTGTCACCATTCAGTGACCGATCCAAATACAGGGAATATTTTGAGTATATATGCGGTGAAGTAGACTGCACTGATATCGCGGCAGATGGTGAGAATGGCCGTTACGGTGAATTTTCAGATTGTAGTGCAGATCAGAAACTTGCGTTGGAGATAAGCAAGATGTTTTATAGCGGCGCCGATGGCGCGGAGGCCTGTCCAATTGCAGACGAAAATATTCACTTTAACAGTGAATTTAAGAATAAGCCACAAGATCCAAAGTGTGCCACCTTAATTCTTTCTATTGAAAATGTGTCGAAAGCACGTACAGCCGGTGATCGAAATTTGAATCGAAGTAACAACGGAATAGCATCATCGGGAAGTCACAAGCAAACAGCAGAATGGATTTTATTTCTGATGGCATTTGGAATATGGACAGGTTGGCTTTTATAAAGAAAATATAGGATAATCAAAGCACAAATTGATAAAGAAAATACGTTGCAGTCATTACGAGCAGGCTTTGCTCCGCGCAGCTAGTTACTCTCGAGAGAACAAGCCAAAAATCCCTATCAATTGACTAGGTCCTGGGTCCCCAATTGACCCCCAAGAACCCTTTCGCTTTGACCACAGGCACTTGGGGTTTGATGAAATAATAGCGCTTCTCACCTGGAATATCCATGTACATGGAAACCAATTCTGGAGTGTAGCTCTTTTCAGATTCCCTAGCTTCCACATGCACCAATGCTAGTTTTTGCTTTGATTCGGCATGGAAACGCATGTAGTGATGCTCTTTGCCGTCTTTGCCAATTCTTCGAGTGGAGGATATCGGCCTATTTCTGGTCCACCTGTCGTCCGTCAAAAGCTCTCCATAAGCCTTTATTCTCTCTTTTGACCGCTCTGTATCATTACATCTCAGCAACTGACGCGCATGTGGGTCCGCTTCCACCATCGAAACGGCTCTATTGAACATCCGAGTATCCCCAGAGGGTGAGAAAAGCTCTTGACCAAGCAGGTAAAGAACAAGTCCTGCTAAGCCCGTGGCACCAAGGACGAGGACACCTGATACGGTGAAAGAAGTGTAGGTTTTGATCTTGGGCCACAGAGGTGATTCCTTCTTCTTGCCGGCTTTTTTTGTATCATTCTGTCCAGCTGCAGCGCTCTTGGCATGTGCAGCAGCATAGTAGCGAAAACCTTGACCCAAAGACCTTTCAATCGATGGTTGGATCCTTAACGACGCAACCAATGGTTGGTCTAAAACACTCTTTAGCTTGAACAAAAACCTAGGTAGCATAGGAGGAGGAAATGCAAGAATTAGCGCAAAATAGTCAAATAAAGTATTTCAATTGGAACAACGCTATGTGAAGTGTGAGTATGTTTAATCAAATTACCACACCTGATCCTCAGTGTTGCATGGGCCCCAGCGTGGTACCCAAGCAGAGCACTGACGTTGGAGTATATCAAAATTTAGTGATAAATTTGAAATTTAGGCTGCTTGGGGGGGCCATAAGGTCGGCATGTGTGTGTTTCTTTCCAAAGCGAGTTTCCTCGCCCCTTTAGTGCAATGGTTAGCATACATTTTTCCGGTGGATGTGATCCGGGTTCGAATCCCGGGAGGGGCTAACACTAAACTCAAAAACCTTTCAGTTCCGCACTAGACTGAAAGGGTTCTTTTTTGGAGCACAATGCTGTGATCATCCTTCCAAAACCAGCTATTCCAAGTGATATACACAATTTTTATGTCGGGCTCTGCTCCCTGCCATGCGGAGAGGAATTCCCCGGAAACCTTTTGACCGTAACGGGTAGCCTTCACAACTTACAAAACCCATACCGATTGCTTTCCAACTCGCCTACACTCCTGTACGGATTGATACTCACATTATTGTAACCCGACAACTTTGAATGAACTCCACAGTGGTTGGCAGTCCGGAAATTATACCAAGAGCAATGATCTACATCACTTTTTATCTATTTGTATCTAGCATAAGCTGCGACACTCTATTTAAAGCAAGACACCTACGGTAGCGCTCACAGACACAAGCCTTTGACATTGCCCTACGTTTGAAGTATTCTTAGTGCCTTTTGTCGCAGCCCAAACGGAGTTCGAGCTGTCCTACCCGGTGTAGTTTTGACCTGTACTACCCACCACGTGATCCAGAAATCAGTTGAGACTGCTCAAATTACTAAACCCACACACCCGAAAGGTTTATGAAAAAAGTTGAAAAACTATGGAAAGCTACAAGTTGTCTGCGTCTGTACGCTTACACGAAAGTGTCTTCAGGAGCTGGAGGGGTGCGAGAAGCGTAGGCAGAGACCCTGCTGGGCGGCTGGTGGGATGGGCACCTGGCGACAGTATGGCGCTCTGCCTATGGACTGGCGCTCCGAGCCTGGAATCTCTCTTTTCGCAGTAGCTAGGCAGACGGCCTCACCACGGTAGCGACTCCCGGTAGGTTCCAACTTTCGTCTGTGCAGAATATCCAAAACATCAAAAGTTACAGTTAGCGGAAACTAGCGTTTCGATAGGGATTTATAGATCGAATAGAAAGGCAACACCAAAATGGCTAAGCAATCTCTAGGTATGTGGTGGGATAGTGTAATGAAAGCAGCAGTGGGAGGTAACGGAGAGACCAGCTCTATGGGAAAAAGTAGATCTGAGTGGACATGATTCTTCGATGTTAATGAGATATCCATGGGCTTCCCAGTAAAAGTTTGAAGATCAGAGAATAGGCGTGGGGCGTCTTTCTGGATACACGACCAGATGCAGGATCAACAGGTGCATTCGATTCCATAGTGTTTGATTCGTGAGCTTGAGCGAGGTTAGCATACCCTCGATGTCCGATGGAATTAATGAACGACTTGGTTTCTCGTTGCTGTGTGTCGAAGTTCCTCTGAGTGCTTAATGTGTTGCGACCCTTTACTAACTTTGTTTTTAGACGTTTCCTCCGACAGAAGAAAGGCCAGAAAGGCTTACTTCACCGCTCCATCCTCCGAGCGTCGTGTTTTGATGTCGGCTCCTTTGTCCAAGGAGTTGCGTGCTCAATACAACGTCAAGGCCATGCCTATCAGAATGGACGACGAAGTCTTGGTTGTCAGAGGTTCTAAGAAGGGCCAAGAAGGTAAGATCTCCTCCGTCTACAGATTGAAGTTCGCCGTTCAGGTCGACAAGTTGACCAAGGAAAAGTCCAGCGGTGCTTCCATTCCTATCAACGTCCACCCATCCAAGATTGTCATCACCAAGTTGCACATCGACAAGGACAGAAAGGCTTTGATCGAAAGAAAGGGCGGCAAATTGGAGTAAATAGCCTACCATTAATAAAACTACTATATCAGTAACATATTGACCCAGGAAGTTCTCTGCATAATTGCTAGCTCTTTTACGTAGATGGTAATGCACATTGCACACCAGGAACCAGCCAGGACCATTGCTGGAGGCAAGGCTTTATCACCACCTTGGCTTATTCCGTCTAACACTGCGACGGAATAGTCTAAAACGATAATTCACAGATGCTCATTTGCAAGGCGAAGGCACCGCGCTTGTGAGCGGCTTCTACGTTTTAGTGGATATGAGAGTAATTGAATGCAGGAAATGTTGTGCATTTAGTGTGAAGGATGGCTGGTAGTTAAAGTCATTGGCTGTTGAGAGGGCTATGAAAAACCAAACCATCATATTAGGCACGAGACATATACCTCTGGCAATGGACACGCTATTAAATGTTACCTGCAGTCTGTCATCGCCTGCCGTAGCTCTCGGAACGCTTTCGTGCTAAACCGATTTCGCCTATGCACATGGGTGACAGCAAAGTTTAAAGTGACAAGACATCTTTATTTTAAATGTCCCATGGCAGCACACGAATCCAGAGAAACTGAACTACGGAACAGTCAAGACCACTAGCTCACGATTCCCTGGGCTCTCTAGTTCTGGCCTCGCCAGCACTTTTACGAAGCCAATCAATTAACTCCTTAGTACGAGGTGATCAGAACAAATTTGTACGCAATTTTGGCGATCAATTGCCCCAGATTTCCAGAACACATTGCTTGCTTCTATCAATACCATCGCCGGCTTTGAGTCTGAAGTGATTATGAGTAGCAATGGACCCACCGATTTGTTCAACATGGAGTCACCGACTATGAATGCGGGAAATCATATGGCGAGAACCCGCAGACGGTGGTCCAGCACGTCTAAGGATAAGCGTCCAAAACTAACAGAAATGACGGACGGCGTTCATGAAGAGGTCGAGACGGACTTCATATCACCAGGTCAGCTATATTCTACCGAATCTGGGCGCCTTTTCCATGCAGGGAAAATACTGATTGTTCTAGTCGGACTGCCAGCAACATCAAAGACCTTGTTATCGGTTGCCATTACCAGATATACTAAATGGTTAGGCGTCCGCACCAGCTCTTTTCACGTTTCTGAATACCGTAGGAAGATGACGGCTTGCGAGGATCATAACAACTTTCCTACTGATTATTTTTCTGCTAAACCTAAGACTTCAGAAGGCCGCTCAAAACGGAAACAGATTCTGGATAAGGTTCTAGACGACATGCTACAGTTTTTCAATAGAGACAAAGGTCAGCTAGCAGTCTATGATGCTTTGAATATTCTGGTCGAAGAGCGGGTCCAGCTGGATAAAATTTTCTCCAAAATGAATACCAAGGTATTGTTCATTGAGTCCGTAATGACGGATGCAGATATGATCAAACACAACGTCGACATGGCGTCTCGGTCCGCAGACTACGTAGGCTGGTCTCAAGAAGCTGCGGTCTCCGATTTTATGCATCGTTTAAAAGTTAACAAGCAGCTCTACGAAGAGATGACCCCCAAAGAGCAACTGTCTTATGTGAAATACATTAATTTCGGCGAGAGACTGATTGTGAATAACAATCACTTTGGGTATCTCATAAACAAGATCGTTTTCTTTTTAATGAATCTCAGAGATAAAAAAGGGTGTGTGTATTTCGCGCGTTGTGGTACCAGTGACAATGACAACTATATTGATGACGAGTTACTGAATAGCGAAGGTACCGCATACTCCAAAACGCTGACAGACCTAGTGGTGAAACTCGTGAATGAAAGACGAGCAGCTCAGGCCACATCCTATCCCCCATCCATGGAGCATGCCACAACGCCTAGCGCAGGTTCTCCTACAAAGACGATAGGAAGTATTGGTGGTATTGAAAATATCATTTCACCTGGACCAAGTTCGCGATCGATGTCACCATCACTGTCACCGCTGCTAACTACGCATGCTTCCTTGAAAAGGACCGAATCCACAGGAAATGCGTCAGTGAGACAACCGGTGTCTGGCGATGGAGGAGATGAGGATTCTTTTGTGGTGTGGACGGCTCCTCGAAAACGGACTTTTGACACTGCCAGATTTTTTGATGAAAAGGGCATTAGCGTGAGACAAAGATCCCAATTACAACAGTTACACCCTGGTGTAGTTGCAGATATGACGGGTAGTGAAATAAGGCAAAGCTATCCTGAAGAGTACAAAGAATGGTTGAAAGATCCTTACCATTACCGTTTTCCACGGTCGGAGTCCTACCATGATTTGGCTGTACGTATGGAACCCCTGCTCTTGGAAATGGAACGCATGAGGGGCGACATATTAGTTATTGGACATGAATCTGTCTTGCGCGTGTTGTACGGATACCTAATGGCCTGTTCCTGCTCTGATATTCCTCGCCTATGCTTTTCGAGAGACCAAGTTATCGAGATTTCCTTTAGTCCATTCGAAAACAAAGTGAGAAGAGTTCCTATAGTTTATGAAAATTCGTCATGTTTGAAATAAATAATTCAACGCATTATTCGCAAATCTATGTAGTCTATCGCAGTTGATTTAACCTTTTTTAGTGTTTGTAATTTGTACAAGGCTCTTTTATAGGTGCACTTGTTACCATGCAGCTTAGGATGCTTTCTTGATTGATAATTTCGAGCGACTCTTTGATGACACACATCGCAGAGTCCAAGCGTTCAACTCGTCACGTAAATTAAATGGACAGCAGTTAAACGAGTCTTTTACCCAAAGTCGTTGACACAAACGCCAGCCGAGAAGCCAACGCAAGAGTCCCATATACCTTACAATGGCCACGGCCAAGTAGTAACCAGAGCCCAAGAGACCCCCTAATGCAAGGCCAACGGATACTTGGGCCAGCGAGTGATACCCCAAATATACACGGGAGAAGGCTACCATGGCGGCAACAGCGCTCATTATCGCAACTGTGAAGAACTTCCGAATTTTGCCGATACCCTCCCACTTCAGGACAAGCGTCAACGACCAATAGATTAGAAAGAAACCCATGAATTGCGAATGGGCACTGGGCATGCCATATTCAGATCGGATGGAGTTGGCTTGAAATTCACTGCTTAACACAACAGGGCGTGGCTCTTTGATAATGTTCTTCAAAACATTGTTCAGTAGCTCATTTACCACTTGTCCTCCAGCAATAACAACTGCTTCTAGTTCTCGGCTGGAAACAAACCATGAAAAATAGAAGATCAAGATTCCTATTGGCAGTAGAGAGAAGTATACAAGCACATAAGATATAGGATCAGAAGGATTGTATAAGATATATGTGTCATCAAATGGGATTAACGTAGGGTCCATAACGACCTCCGTAACATTCATATCTACTAGCGAGTTCGGCTTCCCTTTCCAGCAGCAGATGGTTTAAATTTTCTACTCTTAGAATATTGATGCTTGCCAGCTAACAAACACTGTCAAAAAAAATGTAAATAAATAGACAATTAAATATATACAGAGTACGCTAAATTAGACCCTGGCCTACAAATCTGAAGCAGAGATAGCAAGTTGGGTCAATTTGACTGTGGATTAACTAGTAGAGGAGAGAAGCGACGAGTAAAGTTTCATTAGATTGAGTTCGTGTATATCATTAGAATTGTGAAGTCGAAGCAGACCTTGAGTATGGGGGTAGATCGAGCGGAGGATATAGAAGCATTAGAGAGTAGAAGAGTAGTCTTTAAAAGGTTGAGAGGATATAAAAGTAAGATAGAAATGGTATGCAGAAAAGGAGAAGAAAAGAAGAAAGTGAGAAAATGAGAAGAGATGCTTTGTAAAAGTTAAGAGGAGCGAAGAAGGGAGGAAAACAGTGGAATAGGAAGAGACGAGAATGGTTGAAACAGGCTGATAATAGATGGGAAAGAAGTTGATACCGATTTGAAAAGGCATTGAAACCGGTAGGGTAGTCCAAGAGGAAGGTGGTAAGAATAATTCGCCCAAGATGATTGAAAAAGATGATCCACATGGTTGTGCTACCACTTGGAGCATTTGCAGTCAATGCCACATATGGCAAATACCGTCTGCCTTAACCTCATCTGAGACCTAATTGGAGTTTCTGCTGCTCACGGGCCCACCTAGCAGTGTCCTTTGTGGACTGGCTGAAGAGAGGGTTGCTTCTCGTCTTCTTGATAAACTCCGCGACCCATTCTTGAGAATAAAATTGTTTTATTCTGCCGTCTGGGAACATAGCAGCCACGTCACCGATAATTCCAACAGCAGCTCTAGCCGTAGAATCTTCGCTGTTAAGCGTGTGGTTGTCTGCGATGTGGCCTATGAATTGGAAAAGGGTACCTGCGTATGGGAACAGAGCATCTGGGTTCGAGTGCAAACCCGCTACCGTCCCCACGTATGCATCGAGTACAGATTCATGGATCTTGACGTTGTATTCAAGTGCTTCCAAGGAAGCATTTTCAGGTCTCGTATTCTGAGCAGCAACGCACAGGGCCATAACCTGGTTCAGATATGGAATAAAGTCGGGCCCAATGTTGGAGGCAATGTCCCCAAATACCGAGAGAACTGCGGGCTTAAGCTCCTTCTTGGCGGAATTGGTGGAGATCATCTGGCCCAACACGTTCATGAACGCAGGCGCAAATTGCTTGAAATCGTCTTCTAGACAGTTGGAAATATCAGCAATCAGCCCAACAGCCGTGATGGATACTTGTGATTGGACTTGGTTTAGAGCGTTGACTAAGTAAGGTGAAAATGTTTCCAAATATTTCTCAAAACTCTTACCTAAGGCACCAGCCAAGGATGATATGGAGTAAAAAACATCATCTTCCACATAAGAGGCATCTTTCTTATCTAACAGTTTGATGAAAAGGTCCATTAGCATGTCGGATACTGACGTAACGGAAGCTGGATTCTTGCGGATTACGGCGGACAGGACACTCAAAACATTAGATTGCAACTCTTCCAAGCTCTGCTTGTCTTCTGTGTTCAGTTGAGTCTCGTCTACTGTCATGGTTTGTCCTAGTTTGTCCAAAATAAAAGAGGAAATCGAAATAGCAGACTCCGCAACTTGATCTGTGGAGAACTCGACTAAGGTAGTCAAAGCAGAGAATGCCGAAGCTCTGGCACTATTTTCGTTGTCAATGCGATTAGCAGCTTTGATCAAAGAGTCCACCAAAATGGGGTAATAGTTGTAGATTGGTGAACCTTGGGTATCAGCCATTTGTTCGACGAGGTTTATAATTGTCCACGCGCAGTTTGTGGCTACCTTTGGATGATCTTCAAGACCTTGCAAACAGACGTGTATCACGTCGGGTAGATGAGTTTGTGGGTCTATGGCTGCAATCACTAGATCCGCAATTCTACCGACACACCAAGCAACAGTCTCTTTGACTTGCAAAGATTGATCTTTGATTAAGTGAAGGATCGGTGGAAGCGCTTGGTGGATTAAATTCGTTAGTTGTACTTTGTCAGGCCCATCTAAAATCGAACCAAAAGCCATGACAGCAGCTTCACGATTTCTCCAGTTATCACTAGTGATATTGTGTTCGACGTATCGCAGAACTGGCTCCACAACGTAATTACCACAGTTTTGGGCAAACAGTTGTAGGCAAGCGCCCGCCGACATGGCAACATTCCAATCATCATCTTCAGCGTCTTCATTCTGCCTTGAGAGGAGATTCAACAAATTGGGAATAACTTCTTGAATGGAAGTAAGTGCGAAATTGAAACTTTGTAAGGGTGACTGTGGGAACTGGGCCAATTCGTACGCGATGTCGATTTCTTCTTCACAGATAGTAGACCAAAACTCAACTGCCATTGAAGCAACCTTTTCGTCTTGTGATTGCATAGTCGAAACGGTTAGGGCATATAAGGCCTGCTCCATATAAGGTTTCATCAGGAAGTAGTAAAGGGACATGATTTTACACAAACACCCGAAGGCCGCAGCTTGAATCTCGGAGTCGTCTGTGGTTTGCGTTGCTTCGCATACCACTTGCATCAGGTAGTTCCGTTCGCCCTCTCGTTCCATGTTATTCTTGATGAAAGCTAGAGAGTCGGCTAGCGCATTTAGAGCAGTTAGCCTCACAGCCCGGGAAGGTTCACTTGCCTGCGCACCTTGAACAATTGCAATTAAAATGTTGTTAGACTGGGCCACCAAAGTTTCGGAGCCTGGATCTGCAGCCTCACAAATATAACCGAGCGCCAAAAGGGAAGCCCGCTTGAAGTTTTCCGGTTGCTGTGTGGCGGTGTTGTCAACCATGATCGTCATGAGATCCGGCCATAGATTACGAGGGAGTTCTGTCGTGGCAATGGCTGCTATCAATTGAGCAGACGCATTGGCTACCCTAGTCTCTGCGGCCATAAGGGCAGAAAGAGCATACTCACGGATGGCGGCACGCGACGACTCGTCCACTTGCGAGATCCATCTCTGGGCCAGTTGCTGCGTTTTCACGCTATCCCTACTAATGAGTTCATTTTTCAATGTCAAGGCCGCCAGGATTCGTGCCTCTAGCCTAGTGCTGTCATCAGCCAAGACCTGAGCCAGTAGACCAACGTATTGCAGAAAATTGTCGTTGGAAAACTTCTTAAGCTGCGTTTCACACTGCAACCGTACCGTTGGGTCGGGACTCAAGATGGTCTGTTCCAGCACCTGTGCCAATTGGGCAGCTTCAGCGGACATGGTGGGAAAAGTGTTTAGCAACAACGGTAAAAAATTGGTCAGCTCCGGGACTTGTTCACGCCGGATGGCTTATTCTCGTTCTTCTAAAAGCTGTTGTCGTTAACACAAACACTTGAGAGCGTCGAACAACCCAGGGGATATCAGCAGTTCAACTAAGAGCTAGACAAAAACTGCAACAGGTTACGCCACTTGGTGTGTTTAGCAATCGTTCTAACCACACAATGCGAATGTAGCGTACTTTACCTAGAGCGATATACAGAGAGGCAAAAATTCCAAATCCCAGTGGCAAAGCCTGTCGGTTCAGTCCAAGTGCGTCCCGACCATGTACTTCAACACAAAAGGTTGAAAATTCTTATGATATATCCCAGATCACCTAGCACGAGCAGAGGCTCTGTCAATTTGCCCTTGCACCATGAGCTTGGCTGGACATGGACTGTGTATTTACCAATACTATCTACCTATTTTCACGGCTACTTGTCTATGACAGCCAGAGTGTTTGCAGAGCAGCGTGTTCTCCTTGAAAGGACCACGGCACACAAGTTCCCATTTTCCTCAAGTTTCCAACCCTCAAAAGCAAGCTGTTTTCGTCGTACATAATCTTCGTTGCATGCATAGATAGCAAAGCTGTCGCCAGCACTCCTGTAGCTGCGGCTATTCAATTGTACTTCGCCTCAAGTTCCTCAACCAAGGCAATGTACTTTTGCTCGGCCTCCTCCTGGGAGACGCCCTTATTCTTTTCCCAAGCATCCCACTTGTACTTGTCCTTGAAGTTCAAAGCACTGGGACGAGCCGTGGTGTTGTCACCGGTGGTGGCTTGCTTGAACAACCCGTAAAGTTGTAGCAATTCGTCGTTGGAGGGGGTGGATGAAAGGTTCTTGACGGCCGCAGCCTTTTGCTCAAACAATTGGGAAGCCATGGTCTGTGCAACAGTGGAGATATGTGCTCTGTGGGACTTTGTGTAAGGTGAAAGTGGCGTGTAAGGGTTAAAGTAAGTATGGGGACACACACAATCACCAAGTTTGTTGGCCAACTCACCGTTGTGGGTGATGATGATCATCGTGGCAAAGACGAACAACAGGCTGGTTTCTAAGAGCGGGTAACGGACTTTTTCAGAACATTTGGCACGCCTTTCAACGGAGAAGAAAGAGCTGAGGAGTATCGGTTAGAGCCTCGAATTTGGGTCTTGACGCACTCGAGAGAGCTCTATTTGCATATCCTTTTATCTTTGTTTTTTGTATCTGTATAGCACATTACACTGTGCCAAGATTTACGCACACCGAACGGCATAAGCGAGAAAACCCAACGTACCCGGTCAGGCTCGGTTTTGTTCGATCCGGATCTGCCGATTGTGCCTTCTACGACGGACTACACAGGAGGCGACAAGACCGGGAAGGCTGGGAAGCGGAAGTGATGGCCCGGTGTAAGTAGAATACCGAACAAAGCTCGGCCATGTGTCTATATAAGGAAAAAGATCTGAACAATTGCCCGGAAACGGGCTCACGCCATGCTGATATTTGGTCGTGGCCCGCCGAGCTAGAGGTCTGGAACGTAGGTACTGGTAGGAAAGCTACCCTCCCCCAAACTTCTCTGGCTCAGCGCTTTTGTAAGTTGACCAACTTCGGGGCAGCAGCGACATGATTTAATTAATTATCTTTGATATACATCGTAGACGACAGACAATATATACGTTCGGAGTACATTTCTCAATTGTACTCAGAGTGCTAGCAACCAGCAACAATCTTAGCTACCAAGCAGTTTCCGAGCCGTCGTAGCTCATGAATTTGTCAAAGTTCTTGATTTTTCAACTCTTGTAAGACATTCTGTACAATGGCCGACGCAGATTCATCGGGGGCAATTAGTGACACTTGTTTGCGGATCTCGGGCTCCAAGCCTTCGTAAAACGCTTGTCTCATGTCACTGGCAACCAGGCCAGGGTGGGCACGGGCAACACTATATCCCTCCGGAGACAATTCCTGCTGCAACCGCCTGAAAGAATAGTTGAGACCGGCCCTGGATAAACCGTAGCCTGAGGTGAACTCAGGCATCACCATGCCAACGGAACCAACTATAGATGTAACCGCCAGAACCCCTTTTGTCGCTTTTTTGTCAAGAAGTGAGTGGGATGCTCTGACAAGCCCGATAGGGCCCAAGGTGTTAACCACAAAGTGCTCGAGGTAAAGGTCATCTGAAAGAGACAAAACGGGCTCCAGCCCTTTGGAGATACCTGCATTGGAGATCAAAACGTCGAGCCCGTCTGGGATCATTGCCTGGGTTATTTTGGAGGCAGCCTCCACGCTGTCAGCGGATGCAACGTCCAGTTGCACGATTTTCATGGGAGCGAGCTTCGGCTTTTATATATTCGAGTGCTCCGCGCCATTGTCAATCGCGAGAGGTCGCTCCGGCATCCTTCTCGAGCACACACGTAGTCCAAAACACATATTTCCGCCATCAAGCAGAACTACAAATGAGCTCTGGGAGAGATTTGTAAGAATGAGTTAATTCGGCTTTCAAAAGTATGCCTATCGGAGGCAAGATCGAAGCACTGAGTGTCTGTTCGGAGCCAACAACAAAAGCTCATTTTTAGGAAGGGCTTTTGGGCGCCTAGCTATACGACATTGTTACCACATTCGAAGTCCGTAGTCTGCACGTGATGTGGGCCGCTAGAGTTGCCAACAACAGCGTCGTCAGTTTTAGCTAGAACGCGTATCAGAGCGGCGTGAGAGGGCCGACCGACGTCTCGATGTATCACTAAAGTGCCCCGTCGCCATAAGAAAGTCTACGGTGTCGTCCTGTGTTGTCCCGTGCGCGTTAACCATGCTTGACATTACACTCAAAAGAATGCTTGCCAGACCCCCACCCCAGTGCCGGTACATATTTCAGGCGATGGTACCGTCACTTGTCGCGCGTCGTTGGGTAACGGCTTAAGCTTGATACTGGCTCAACGACACAGCCGTTCGAAGTGATATGAACACCAGTCGGACATTGGACAACTCTGGCTTTCTGGGCTTGGAACTTATAGAAAAAGAGTGCCTTGGGCGAGCTACTTGGTCTCTGAGCATAGTTGTACGGTGTTTGTACTATAGTCATTCCTTCTTAGGTGGATTCAATCGCTCTCTGCCGCGGATCAATTGGAGATCACTGGGTACGACGATTCACTTTAAGCCCCTCTGATTTGGAAGAGCCTTAGGCTATTAAAGGATAAAGGCTGAAAAATTGTCTCATCGCACAGCTAGGTGGCAAACAAAGGCTATCCGCTTACTTCTGAAGCCATTTATCGTATCTATTAGGATCGGATTGGGTGATCTGCATCTCATCATTCCTGGTACTTTCGGCAATCAACATTTTAGTAAGATACACAGCGTGCTCCAGCCACAACCATCCACTTCCAGCTCCGAGTGATGCCTGCCCCTGCGTCTCCACCGCCATTGAAGCGTCTTCCTTCCGGAGGAAGTCCTAACGGGAACCTAGAGCCCGTCAAAGACCGTCGCAGAAGAAGATCATCGAGTATTATTTCGCATGTGGAACCAGAAACTTTGGAAGAGGAAAATGATCAGCAGATGCTTCCCAACATGAATGCGTCGTGGGTCGATCAGCGTGGTGCCTGGGCAGTACATGTAGTAATCATCATGCTGCTCAAGGGATTTTTCAATTTGCTTCCTGGCATCACCAACGAGTGGTCCTGGACGCTCACCAATACTACCTACGTGATAGGGTCCTATGTCATGTTTCATCTGGTCAAAGGGACTCCATTTGATTTCAACGGCGGTGCATATGATAATCTTACAATGTGGGAACAGATTAACGATGGCATGCTTTACACACCGAGTCGTAAATTTTTGATTTCAGTACCCATAGTATTGTTCCTGGTGAGCACCCATTATTCGCGCTACGACCTTCAGCTGTTCTTGTTGAATTTCTCGCTCACTACATTTGTTGCAGTCGTGCCAAAACTGCCTTTAACACACAGGCTCAGGATCACAATCCCATTTTTAACGGGACCTGCCCAAATCAAATGATATTGGCAATGCGGGCGAAGCGAACGGAGTAAGCGAATTGAGAATTACAGTTTTTTTGAGTGAAAGGTGTGAGTTTTAGTGTGTCGAGCCGTCTGGTTGCGTTAAGGTGGTGCGTTCCTTAACCCCTGTAGGTAGTTCGAGTCAAGTGGGTCTAATGGCCCTCGTGTGGCGACCTATTAACTCTGTCGAGCCATATAATTAAAAGCATACAGTCTATATATTGCCTTCAAAATATCGAAGCATTCTCTACAGGTCAAGAGAGCAAGCAAACAAGACCACCACCTCCTAGGTGGCACTCTCTTGCGTTCACTTAGCATTTGTACTCACATCGTGATACACATCGAATCTTACCTGACTCGTTACGGGAATCATTCTCCTCATTCTATCAATTGCAGCGGGATCGAGTTCGGCATAAACGATCTCCTCACCTTCTCCAGCCTCGGCGATAATATTTCCCTGAGGATCGCACACCAAACTATGGCCATATGCTTGGTAACCACTTCCAGGAACGCGAGCAGGGGAACATAATAAAGTGTAAAGTTCATTGTCAATACTGCGAGCTCTGGCCAACAAGTGCCAGTGCATTGGTCCTGTAGTAGTGTTGAAGGCACTCGGGTAAACCATTGCAAAAGCCCCTCTTCTGCCACTCACAGTAGCTAGCTCCGGGAATCGCATGTCATAGCAAACGCCAAGCCCAATTTTTCCCTCTGGGATGTCTACTGTAGTACAGGAGTTACCGCCAGTTAAGGTGTCGCTCTCCTTGAATGTTATCCCACCAGGTATATCCACATCAAACAGATGCATTTTTCTGTGGCGCGCAATCAAACTCCCAGACTCATCAAAGATCAGACAGGTGTTGTAAACGCTATTATTGGAAGGTTCCAGTTCGGGAATTGTTCCTCCGACGAGGGTCACCTTATGTTCTCGAGCCAGCTCACTGAGAAAGTCGACGGACGGAGACGATTGGGTAATAACTTCGGCATTCTTGCGAAACTCACTGGTGGCATACACAGAATTGAAGCATTCTGGCAGAACTACTAATTTCGTATCAGGCTGTTCCTGCATGGCTTTAGCCACAAAGTTGCGGCAGTTTTGGAAATTGACAGTTTTGTCAGGCAATCCACAGGCAAATTGGATCAAAGCCACCTTTAATTTACTTTTCAATACACTCATGGCTCTGAGAATAACTTCAATTTATATCTACCTTTTGAGGGTATAACGATGATTCAGACAATTATTATTGTAATCCCCCTGAAAATATATTCTTTCTCACTGCAAAGTGTCCTCAGAAATATGCTGTAAGACTAGCTCTCACTCCGATGGATGAAAGTATGTTTTGTGTCTGTTTGACCAATTCGGTACTCTGCAGCTTTGATTAACTTTTGGTATTTTTCAGTTATTAATCACCTTATCGGAAGTTTGGGCCAAAGATAGCATAAAAGCCCGGCTTCGCAACAGATTGTTGAGAGAGGAGCTACGACGTTTCTAAATCATTATGATAACTAGAAAACCACCGTGATCGCTATAAATTTGCTGTTTTTTGGACGGAATTCAACTGCCTCAATAAATAGAGGAACATGGAGGCCACGAGATCTGCAGACGAGTGTAATTATATCAAGTGAGGAAGGGAAAAAAGTGTAGTAAAATCGCGGCAGTTCCCCTACCCTGGGCCCTTCTCTAGTTGCGATTGAGACATTTTGGATATTCTTTTAAGGCTACCGAATAACGATCGTACAAAATGGCGTCAGATGTTTTGACATTGAAGGCTCTGTCTGATACCATTATAGTCAATTGACAAAGCTACAATGTAGCAATCGCTTTTCTCTAGAGTGAGAAGCAGTTCTAAAGGGAGATTCATTGTCTGAAATTAAGTTAGAATACAAAAGGTTTGTTTAATTGTCGTTGATGTGATATCCGGCTTCTAACTCTGGATTTTTTTTTGGTTTCGTGGCACTTCATGGCAGAACAGTCTCAATGAAATTCAGTCAAGTACATTTTCTGTCATCCTTAGGTAACTCGTTAACTTGATGGATTGACCACTAGGTAAGTGGCAGTCATAAGGCCCGGGGTCAAGGCAAGGTCGCTTTTGTGACTGCTGCTTCTCAGCGAGCTCCACCTGTTTGAAGGCAGACGAAGTTAAACTTGAATAATTTCTTACCCTATGCAATAATAAAAGCTCCTTTATCAAAGGGTAAATTGCTGCTCTCTTATAAAAATGTTGCCTTGAAGACCTGCTGAACCATCAACTTCAATTATTGTATTAAGTTGCGAAAGGACATGCATCTTGAAGCTGTCGAAGCGGACCAACGTTGTCAGCTGCTACCTTGTTGATTTCTTGTTCACGTTATCAATGGATATTAAATTTACACTTATGTAGGATACATGAGCCTCGAGTTATCTCTCCGTGACTATCGGAATTATGAGATTGGTGAATTGAAGGTCTGTTCTTCCACGGAATTCGACTTCGGTGCAGAACTTTTACTATGCCTTCCAAAGTATATCATATTGTACAGGAACGGTGGCCTGCTAGTATATCAAATCCTATATTTGCAATATCGTCCATTTTCTTACCGCATTCTTCGTAGATATCTTATGCTCATCTGTCATTTATTTCGCTGACATTTGTATGATCATTTTGTACAATAATGTCACAGTTCCTTGTCGACATCTACACAATTTGCCGCTATTTGACAGCGTATAACCCAAGCTCTTCCGCTGCTCAGGTAGAAAGAGTACTTTTGTCTGCAATATTCAAAACTATAATTGGCACGTCCAAAGGTTTTCAAGTATCCCTCATTGGAAAATTGAAGTAAGAACAAAATTTATTCCTACTCTTGCTGAAACTCCAGAGAGTCAAATGTGTGACTAGTGACTACGCAATTATTAGTCAGACTATTTGAAAATGTCTTCTGTCAAACGTTATAATTAGTTCTTTTCTTTAACCACAAATCTTATTGACATAAACATAATCATTTTGTATTGTAATGTCGCACACTGGACCGACCACTGAATAACATAAATACCCAATTAGCGCCTAAATATCTACACTCAAATGAAAAGACATATTTCGTGGTACTTTTTGTAAGATTTCACGGAGAACGACCATTCCTGACATTTAGTTCTTAGTCAAACCACTCCTGCGTGTGTAATGATCTGGGTATTAGCGACAGTTTCAAAATATGTAGCCAAAAATGTGGATCAAGTTTCAAACCTTTCTCACCGAGCGAGATCCTAAGTAGGATCTAGAGCATTGATTGGTACTGTCGAGGTATTTAAAACACGGTCAGGTTGTGTCCTTCTACTTCAGTGCTTTTTTTAATCTCAATTGCATCCTGGGAGGCTTCAAAAGGAATATAAGTATACACGCAGCCATGGCTAGGACCATCACTTTTGACATTCCTTCCTGTTATCAACTCGTCGAGCTGGTGGGTGAAGGTGCTTATGGAACGGTCTGCTCTGCCATTCACAAACCGTCCGGGACCAAAGTGGCTATCAAGAAGATTCAGCCCTTTAGTAAACCTATGTTCGTGACGCGAACCCTGCGGGAGTTGAAGCTACTAAAGCTTTTTCATAGTCATGAGAATATCATAAGCGTTTTGGATGTGGTTAGGCCTTTGTCGATGGACAAGTTTCAAGCGGTGTACCTGGTCCAAGAGCTTATGGAAACCGACCTACACAAAGTAATAAGCGGAGGCGGCTCAAGCTTGAGCGACGATCACATACAGTACTTCACGTACCAAATCTTGAGGGCTCTGAAAGCCATTCACAGCGCCCAGGTAATTCACCGAGATATCAAGCCATCCAATTTATTGCTGAATTCCAACTGTGATTTGAAGGTATGCGACTTCGGTCTGGCGCGATGTCTGGCGTCTAGCACTCATTCGAGGCAAAATCTGGTAGGTTTTATGACCGAATACGTAGCCACACGCTGGTATAGAGCACCGGAAATCATGCTCACTTTCCAAGAATATACAACTGCTATGGACATCTGGTCCTGCGGGTGCATTCTTGCGGAAATGATAACAGGTAAGCCCCTTTTCCCGGGTCGCGACTACCACCACCAATTATGGCTCATATTAGAGGCGCTAGGGACGCCTTCATATGAGGATTTCGAAAATATAAACTCTAAGCGGGCGAAGGAATATATTTCGAATTTACCGCTACGACAAAAATTGCCCTGGCAGTTAGTACTTCAGACGCAAACCGCCAATCCCGAAGCACTTGATTTATTAGACAGAATGCTGACTTTTAATCCTGATAAACGAATAAGTGCGTCAGATGCTTTGGGCCACCCGTATTTAAAGGTATATCATGATGCGGAGGACGAGCCAGAGTATCCACCCTTGAACTTGGACGATCCATTCTGGAAAGTTGACAACAACCTCAAACAACAATCTGATGAAAACGAACTGTCCATGGACGTTTTGAAGCAAATGCTTTTTGAAGAGGTGAGTAAGTCTCTTAGTTGAGCACTTGTGTTGAAGTGTCAGGCATTTTATAGGGGAAACTATGTAATTTGGAATGAACTATCGGGGTTGCTACCAGTCTTTACCTACATGTTAGGCTCTCCAAAGTTTTGATGTTTTATATTATTTTACTTGCACGCAGCCTCTTAAATTAAAGGACGGCGATGAGATGAGTTAGTTAGCCTGAAGTTACCGCTAAAAATAAAAAAAGAGCTGAGAACAATAATACCATGATACTTCCACCAGAAGTGGTATACCAAGTGCTAAGTTATCAGTTCTATGACTTGATGGCCAATGACCAGCCTAGCAATCCTGAGAAGTTTCACTCAAATCTGCGCATCTTCCTGCGGAGCAATCTTACAGTTAATAAAACCTTCTACCATATCTGCAGGGTCTTGGTATACCGGTATCTTAACTTCACTTCCGCTAAAGGCTTTTACAAACTGCTAGAAAGGCTCCGAGGCAGCCCTGAGGTATTACCCTATGTTCAAGTCGCCGACTTTCAGGAACTCACTTCCATTGGTCTTGGAAGATCCAGTGAAATGAACAAGAATATTAAGAATCTGACCAACGAAACACTTTGGGAATTTCTGCGTCTAACTCGTGGATCCTTAAGGGAGTTTTTGGCCAGCGAACATATCCAAGGGGACCTTGACGAGCGAATTATACATTTCTTATTAAAACCTGGAACCGTCTTAAGCGTCGTGGATTTCTGTGGAAGCTCTAAGGATGATTTCACAACAACGTTTACTAGCGCTGTCAAACAGCTGTACGACAATGAGGAACCGGTAGATTACAACTACCAGATCACATCGTTGGGACTCAATGATTGCACGGCCATAGCATCAAAGACTTTAGGGAAACTGCTAAGAACTCTCCCAGAGCTTCAAAAACTAGATCTTGCACATACTTCCATTGATGACCGGACCCTTATTAGCGACGTGCCGCACTTGAAGAGCTTGACACATTTATCGCTATCAATGTGCTCTCAACTCACCCCCAGAGGTCTTCTGGAATTCTTTAGTTATCATCGTGCGGTAGCTGATGAAGACAATATATCCACTCTTCAGTGGCTCAACCTCCAAGTACATCCGCATTCTTCGTCATGGACAGATGTTCAGCTTATGTTCTTGCTAAAGAAGCTGTGTCGCTACGGTCATAATAAGACACTACAGTACTTAAACGTTGGAGGTATGCCTTTGCACTTTAGTGACGATCTCACTGCTGTGAGGTATACTCACTACTGGCATTGCCAAGATACATTGCATTTTATTAAACTTAACTTTCGTCAACTTAAAAGTTTAAGCCTCAAGGATAACAACATCACTATACCTAAACTGAAGCACTTCCTGTCGCCATTGGAAAATTCGGAAGCTCCCTGTCAAAGGCTGAAGTATTTGAACATTGTCAACAACGCTTACATCAACAAATGGACAATTCAGGATCCTGCATTACTATCAGACTCAGAACATTTATGTGCTCTTGAACTGTCATTCAACCCATGGCAACAAATTGAAGCTTCAAATTCCCGGCATGAGATTAAATATCGAGTCTCAGACAAGAAGTCACTAATTCAAGATTATTCTTCGGCTCGAGAGGTAAAATGGAAGTGCTACATTGGCGCAGCATATGGAAGACGCTACTGGTTATACAAGACAGACGAATTTCTCAATCGCGATGACATTGAAACTAAAGGGTATCTGACGTCGTACGATGCACGAGGAAACAAGATAATAGAGATCGTAAAACAGCCTGATTTTCTCAAATTCGCCCAAACCAAGATTATGTTAGGGTGTGGTATAGTGCAACAGAGCCGAGTTCGTCGAAATTTGACGTATCGCGATCTCAAGGCCCCTGTTTCTCAATTTTTGAACCGGAACAAAACATTGGCCACAAAACCGGGCATTGCCCCACCGCTTCAAAGCCCTATCAGGCCACCTGGCGGGTGGCGGCTTATCGACAACGGAAATACCGAGTCGGAGATAGATCTCGGAGAGTCTCCGGACCCCCACATCGTACCGTCACCGATTGCTGTACCCGTTCCAGTTCCACTGTCAGCTCCAGCTCCACCCCTTATGCCTGCCGCACCTGATTCCAGAAATGGTTTGTATTGGGATCGGTCTATCCCCAACTTCCAAGAAAGCTTGCACCCCGTGGAAACAGACTCTGAGTATCTCAATGACCCTGAGTTGCAACGGCGCAGATCTAGGTTAAGCTTATTCGGTGGGAACCTCGAAGCTAGTTGTTTCACAGCCAGACAACAACCACCTGGAAGTGGATTCTTTTCGAGTGTAGTCGATCAGGGCTCCCTCGATCCCCTTGTCAAGGATAAGGAGGGCCGTTTACTTAACAACTTACCCGAGGAATACCGCCTCCATTTAGAAGTTGTTGCTGAGTACACCGTTTTTGGATGTGTCGAACGTGGTATGTATAGATACTACAGCTTGAAGACCTGAATTCATGGTAAGTAGTGCTCACTGGGGTTTCGAGGATGAAATAGAGTAGTGTAGGTTATCAGCTGTAGGCTTTCTTAATCTTAGCGGTATAGAAACTCAATCAAAAGAATTTCAGCTCAGTTGGTGTTTCTTTGACAGCTGACGCCAGGGTACTTTTTCATTGTTGACGCTTCGAACTCATCGGGCAATGTAATTTTTCATCGATCTTAAATGAATAACGAAAATTCGTTAAAGCGTTCGGACAGCGACACAGGTGAAAAGAAGGTAATTAATCTGGGTAAGCGTCACTTCAATTCTTCGAGCGCTGCTTTGGGAATCAGGCACTTCGACAACGATTCCATTTTTTCGTTTTCCTTGTGCCTTTTTTTCAGAAGTATCTCTTGAGTCATCTGGGTGATACAGAGGTGAGGGCCAGTCAGTAGTTCGAGAGACCTAAAGACATTACTCGCAGCAGTGCTTTGTGGTTCAATAACGCGAAAAATTACTCAATTTACGATAGTTGTTTTTGACTCCTGTAGCGAAGAGCAATGTCTGAATACCACGACTCCAGCGCCGACACTAGTGGATCTTCTGGCTCTACGGGTGACAACATATGGCTGTCGCATGGGAATGCACCAAAAAAACCGGATTCTTTTTTTAAGGAGTCCTTTGACCCTTCTGGCGGCTCAGGTACGCCTTCTTTCAGCGTTTACATTGATTATTCGAACTTCGCAGAAGGCGGTGACAGCCACTCATTTGAGTCGGCGCTTCAAAGCACTTCATCCTTGAGATACGCACATCAACGTGAGGTGTCACCCACTGCATCAAATAATGGATATCAGCGAAGCATCGCTATCAATAATAACACGCAAGGCGTCAACAGCGTGCGAGAGCCATCTAAGCTGAAATCCCAAAGTACCGACACCGTTGATACGGATCTTCTTGTGGAACTCGGGGAGAATCAAACTCGTCCAAATACCAACACGAATGCCTTGGAGGGCAGTGAGGACGCTAATCTGCTATTGAGGCCACTTAAGCACCGCCCCCGAATTCAAGACAGAGACAGCAGCCAAAGTACAACAGGATCACAATTTGATACTAGTAGCATACGACAGTCCTCTAATAATGTAAGATTGCCGAATGCGCGATCGTCGTCATTATATGGAGATGAAAATCCAGACAAACTGCATCCATCCACGTCAAATCTACCGCTACAAACAGAAGCAAATGACGTTAATACTGAGAGCTTGGAAAATGAGAGACAGTCAAAACCTTCTATGGAAGAGGCCATGAAATTGTTCAAGCAAGAAGTCGTTTCTCGGCCACCAGTTCGTTTACTTGAGCCCAGAAGCTCTCAATCTCAACATCGCATGGTACCCAACAAAAGGTCAGAGAATTCTCTGCAAAGTCGCGTAAGTGACCAAGCGTCGCGCTTGTCACAAACACGCAGAGCCAGAAGGGGACCGCGGTATCCGTCTCTATTGAGCTCAATTTTGGTTCCCCTGCCCCATCCAAATAACCCCCCAACGCGATCCGCGCCAGAAAATCTGCCACCAATCATACCGGCGCTGCGACATATATCTGGTAGCTCAGGTCGTTATAAATCGCCAAGTGACACTGGAGATCTCGCACGCGAAGAGGGTGGAACAAAAGAACCTCAAGAAGAAACACATAACAAAGATAAGACTTTACCATTAGACAGTACTCTCGCTCTTCATCGGGACGGCCATACCGATATGCAGCATATCTACCGGTATCGAGAGATTCTACATGAAGCAGACTTAGAAAAGGAAATATTTTACGCACAATTTGTTGAGCCACCATCTCTATCGGTACACAGCTCCAAGCTTGGCCAATTGAATCACATTTTTAGCATTTGGAGGATCGTATTGCTCATTCTAACGTGTGTGATCGTACCGCCTCTGTTTTTCGTTATTGCCCTGGAGCTGCGACCGTGCGTGCCTGACAAGACCCTAATGCATCTAATCATGAATAAAAAATATCGCCAGGGCATATTCACGGGCTTTTTGTGGGATGTGAGCTTACGATGGTTTCGCAGGTTGTGCCTCCTATTGGGAATTCTGGAAGTTCTCATTATAATAGCAGGCGTAGGCGTAGGGTTTGGAGTAGGCTTATCTCGCGCATAACTGAATCCTTCAAAGCACAAATATCCACGGAAAGAAAAATTTCAATCGTCGATATGAGTAGGATCTCTCTCAATGCACAATTAAGTTGACCTTGGGCTTTAATACCGCGAATACCCGCATAAAATTAACGCTGCCGATATGACCAGCGGCTACGCAGCTCACGACCAAAAAGACGGTTGTTGTCAGAAAGTTAGGGCATGGACTTCGCATTGAAGTTCAACTTTTATATACGTCTAAGGTTAACTTTCATTATATTCAACGAAGCAGTTGCTTAAATCTCCTATCTAACTTGAGACTTATTCTCATTCTTCCTACGGTTTGTTTCTTTGGCTATCACATACCGAAATCACGGCCCGAGACTCCAGTGTCAGTTCTTAAAATCAATGTGAGGACCTAAATCAATAATTAACAACCGACAGGTGCACACATCGTTTATATTTTTGGCTTGCTAGAGACCAGTCAAGTAAGCTAGGCCAACCTGGTGTACACGTCTAATTTCAGGACATTATAAGAGCAACAAACGCGTGAGGTTTATGATAAAAAGTACGAAAAGCGAGTATTTCGGATGGGTGGTCAGTCCCAGTGCTAAAATGTCAAGTCCCAGGGGCGTAGCTTCGCAATCGCTGGACAGATTCCATTGAATTTATGATTCACTGGTCAAGTTTTGCGCCACACACCAAGCCTGAAGCCTGAGAGTGGTATTTGGAATGAATGCTGTTCTGAATAATTGCGAAAAACGAAGAATGAACGGTCAAAATTATAGCTGATATCGTGGTAAGGTGCCTTCTAATTTACCCTATCCGGGTAGAGTGCTTGGCACTGTCAGCGTTCTAGAAGCCGAATGCTCTTCTTAAATTTCGTAGGAGCCTACCAGCACACCTGTTAGAGGTGCTGTAAACTGAGATGGAAAATTGGCCGCAGACTTGGATGGTCAGGAACAGGACGCCACAGGACTCGTTTCAGCTTTATTATTTAGAGCTACCAAATGGTAGCGATCAATGCTGTTTGAATAGCATCGACTTGTATAATAGAAGACTGAGGTTGTGTCATTATTGTACAAGGTGATATTCAAAGTAAGTGAAGGTAGATATGAATGTGCATGGAAGATCTAAAAATCATGGTCCGAGGGTTCAGATGGAGCTCCAAGTATAGCCCTGACGTATCCTCTGATGATTCTAACCATTTCTGGAAGCTCTGGTAAACAAAATACACTTAGCTTGAATTTTTGTACAACCATTAGGCCCAAAGCCCAACTATCACATAGAGACTGCTAGAAGTTGCGTATTAAGCTCCAATTTTAATATCAGGTACGCAAAATATTATACACATATCAAGCAACAAAGTAAATTAACAATTCAGAAAGTTAACTACTGCAGACGCTGATCGGCTCCAATATTCTTCCTTAACGAAACTTGTTTTTCTGCCGAGTCAATTCCTATCACATTTGGAATTCCTCGATCGTCTTAAGTTGTGGTTTCCTTTGTTCCATATTGGGCAAGTATTAGCTCGTGTTGGCCATGGCAAAAGGCATAAAAAGTTATGCTTGTTATAAGCCTGTGCCAAAAAAAACAACAGAGTGGCTAGATAGCCTGATGAATCTCGGATCTTTTACTCTAATTCGATGTATTGAGGCTGCTCGGCCTTGGGCGAGCTTTACTACGGCAGAATGGTATGTGATGAATCAAGCACCGGTGTACGTACGCGATGAGATGAGATATTGCCAATTGTGGATTGAATCAACTGAAGATCTCCACATTTCGTCTTGTACTCTTTGACTGAGGCCGGTGGCATGGCTAACAAAGACCAGCAATTGTCCCATGTGAAAGAGTTTTACTGCCAATATACCAATCAGCTACACAAGAAGCATAAGTCTTGGCACGATGGAAAACTCAAGTATTATCAATCAACCCATAAATTCCAGCTGTACACCATTGACGATGGGATTCTACTAGGTAGTGGGCTTGTCACCAATGCTCGACGGGTAGAGCGTATACTAGACGGTTCCAGATTCAATAAAGAAGAGCACAAAATATTCAGCCAGTTCTTGGTGATGATAGACTGCTTACACTGCGAGTATGACAAAGATATTGGCGGTCTCGCAAATAACGGTCCAAGAGCTTTCAATATGAAAGAATATCCAGAGGGCGCGCGAGATAACTCTCGTGACTCTAGGGCCAACACCAACCTGCCTAAACTAAAAGCATACGACTCAGGTTCACATCATGATAGGTTAGCTCTAAAAGTCAACCAACCTTTCCGACGACCTAAAATTGAGAAAGATAGAGCGGTGGGAATGAAAGCATTCAAAGAGTTCAAGCCGCTAGTGCTCAAAGAGGCTAGTAGGCTGCAGCCAGAAAGGCCCTCGTTGGCTTTGAATATGAAACGGCCTAATCGGAAGGCGGCTGCTAGCGATGGAACCAAAAAAGCTCTTCCGAGTTCACACGTCAATGGGAATAATGTATCGGTTAGGGATGAGAGACCTAAGATGACAACACCTGAAATGCATTTTGCGGTAACAGAGCCACCAGTGCATAAGATTATATGTCAGAAATCGGCACCACTAGAAATCTCGAGCAACATCGGTGAAAAGCGACCGCCAGCGGAGGATGGGGCACCGTTCAAGCGGGCGCCTTTTCGCATCCATCAGAAAACTATAACCATTCATCATGAACCCATCCAGCTTGGCTAAGCGGATCAGCGGGGTCGGAGGTCTCTAATTAAAGTCTGGTTGTGAGTTATTCCAAATTTGAAATCCTATATAATTTATATAAGTGCGGGGGGATTAGAAATTTTTTTTAATAAGGTTGGTGTTTTTTTTTTGATGATCGTTGTTGTTGTTCATTCATTTTTCGTCATCTCGTTAAAAATTCATATATCTTAGGAAGAAGGAATGTGAGTGCATGCGTAAGAGTGTATGATGTTGGTTAAACCACTCCGATTAAACCTGCTGAACTCTGGTTTCGATCAAGTCGAACAGAGTAACGATATCGGCAGAGAACTTTCTGATACCTTCAGACAACTTTTCGGTGGCCATGGCGTCCTCGTTCAAGTCGTATCTGAAAGCAGCCTCGTCATTGATGAAAGAGACCTTGTCGTCGCCCTCAGCCTTGGCGGACTCGGAGTCCAAAACCTGTGGCACTGGCTCCTCGGAATTGAGGAGTTCATCCAGTAGGCCTGGAGAAATGGTCAAAAAGTCGACACCAGCCAAAGCCTTGATCTCGCCAACGTTTCTGAAACTGGCACCCATGACAATGGTATTGTAGCCATGCTTCTTGTAGTAGTTGTAGATCTTCTTCACGGAGATGACACCTGGGTCGCTCTCAGCGGTATACTCTTGCTTTTTGCTGGCCTTGTACCAGTCGAGGATTCTTCCGACAAATGGCGAAATCAAAGTCACGTTGGCCTCGGCGGCGGCGACGGCCTGGGAAAAGGAGAACAGCAGGGTCAAGTTGACGTGGATGCCGTGCTTTTCCTCAAGCTCCTTGGCGGCTTGGATACCTTCCCAGGTGGACGCGATCTTGATCAAAACACGCTCCTTGGAGATGCCAAAGGACTCGTACAGCTTGATGATGTGCAGAGCCTTGGCCACAGTGGCGTCCTTGTCAAACGACAAACGGGCGTCCACCTCGGTCGACACACGGCCAGGGACGATTTGCAGGATGGCCTTACCGAACTCCACCAGCAACATGTCCACGGCCTGCTCGGTCTGTTCGGCAACGGTAGAGCCGTTCTTCTTACCGTACTCGACAGCGGTATCGATCAACTTAGCGTAAGCCTCCTTGCGGGCAGCAGCCAAAATCAGCGAGGGGTTGGTGGTGGCATCCTGCGGCGTGTACTTGGCAATAGACTCAAAGTCACCTGTGTCGGAAACCACAACGGTACCCGTGGCCTTCAATTGTTCCAAAGAGTTGGATTGCTTTAGCTTCTTTTCCTGGTGAACCATCTTTGGATGTGTATGTGTGTTATTAAGTATCTGCGATAGATTGTCTGTTGATTCTGAAAGACAGTAGCTAGCACAGTGTTTAGGGTAGTAAAAGTGGTAGTGAGATCAGACCCCTAACCTGGTTCTATTGGCTCCTTATATAGTGCCACGAATCGCAACAAATTAGGGTGTGATGAGCGGTTTTTTTCTACAGCCTTCCATGAAGCTTGACGGCGTGACCCACTACGTACAGTGTGACATATGATGTTATATTGCCAGTACTCAACACATTATCATCACGTCAAGCGCAAGGCCAATGAAGCACAACACGCACTGCTTGGGAAACGTTATCGCGCTCTGTAGCCATAATGTAGTCAACTGCAGTCTTCTTGACACGGATTGGTGGACATGTGAGAGACAACGGACCAGAACAAGTAGACAGATCGTAGTAGACGTTGTTCCTGTCCTTGTGAGAGGCGTATGTATTTTCGTATTTATTTCGTCCCATTGTGTGAAAGATGAAGTTTCCGGCAGTTACTAGAAGAGGAGGGCCGAGAGAGGTTACAGGAACGTTGGGAAGGGCTGCGGGCACCGGCAAGAATGGCTTGGACCGAGCTTGTTACGATCGCTAGGAATTTCGGAGTAGAGTGTTGGACGAGCAGAGTGTTGGACGAGTAGTAGTTGTAGAGCGCGGCCGTCTGGAACTACGCACAGCTTCGTCGAGAGCGGTAGCGCGAGGATATACATGGGATGGCCGTTGCTGTTGTTGGTCTTCCTGAAGTAATACATGCGACGCTTCCACAGTATATAATAAATGTGGGGGCAGAAAAAATAATCTTGTTAGAACAGGAAAAGGGAGGAGTTTGGAACTGGCATGGATGAGTCAAGCGCTAAGAGACAGGCGCTACGAGAGCCATGTGCGGGACATGTTGAGGGCGGGGCGGCGAACGGTCCCGGCACTTTATAGATATCACTCTGTACAATAATGGCGCAGGCATGAAGTCTGTCGAATTAAGATAGGAAACCTCAAGGTGTCAGGATAATGGCGATGTAGTTTTGAAAGCGTGTTTAGACGACAGTTGGGGGCGCCAAGATGGGGGTTCGGCTACAGGTAGCGCTAGCGGAAACTACCATGGCTGGCGGCTCGTCATGGGCAGGGACAACTAAGCGCGAAATGGTCTTCATCAGATTTATGTACCAAGCCCGAGGTAGCACGGCACAGTCTCGTTTGCATGCGCGCTTCCAGTTTGTTTCCCGTTTGTTTCCCGGACCCGTGGTTTACGAGCACACTAGACAGATGGATACCGTCAGACAGCATTTTCACAATATCATATTAATGAGGCGAATCTGATTCATCAGTAGAAAGAAAGCTTACTAAATTTGTCTTGTAAGTCGGACATAGTCATTGTAAGATGAGTAACTTGGATCTAGGGAATTCTATTTATCTCTCCGTGATTATTTTAGGCATTAGGGTTGGTTCAGTTATCTGAACAAAAGCCTGGTATTTAACAATTCTCACTCGGTGACTCTGGTCAACACATTTATTAATCACCCATTCTAGATCATTTCATTACCCAAGGATTACGGCTTCAATGCCGTACACTACCGATAACTTATCAATGGCCAATCCCGTTGGACAACAGTTGTTCTCTTCGGTTTGTCTTAGCTTGTAGCTCTATTTGTATGGCCTCGGTTGTGTACTATCATTCTGTACCACTGTGTCACATATTTACCGACGCTGATTATGCGATTAGACGCACATCACCATTAGCTTCCTCACACTATTCCCAACATATATACAAGATGTTACTTAGTGTCCTCTGTACATAAGATATGTAATTATCAATCAGCAAGCAAACCACCGTGCGTTTCTCTAAGCATTATCAACGGAACTAGTGGCAGTGAGGGTTGGTGTGCCTGGACAGAAACTGACCGCCCGTGTCCCGCGTAGCAGCTAGCCAGTCTTGAAACCACCTGTGTCTATCATTTCCACCGGAGACGCGTGGGCGCGTTCAGGAAACGGCACTGTGGCCCCATTATATTACATGCCACATAGCGTTTTTCTCGCATGCTGGTTCTTCCCGACCGTAACGCCTCACGCCGCTGACTAGCTTATCGTCGGTGTGCCGATCGGCAGACTCAGGGCCAATGATATTGATAGACGCTCCACGCTGCTTCTTTACCTCGGTTCGCTGGTGTGCGGTGGCCTGGCTAGCTAAGCGAGCGATAATACCATGGCATTCGATAACGCTCCAAGCATCCACCACTTTCGGCACCTGGAAACGATGACGGCTCCCTCCATCGATGTCTCTTTAATCAGTCAGTGTCACATTTTACTGTCACTCCAGATCAGGTGACCCGACAATGACCAAACAATGTCACATGACAGACCGTACTGTGGCTGGCTTACCAATAGCACGATGGCCCAGCGGTAAAAATTTGTCAAATAAAAGGCTCGAGCGTCGAGTGTGTACAGGAAGGTCCGCCGGATAGGTTTCTTATAGCACCGACAAGAGTCTTCGCAAGTTCTAGGATCCTATCTATCGAACTGCCCACAGTCGACTCCATATCTCGCCCTTTTTGACAATGACAGTTTTCCCCACCGACAAATTCGCCACTAAGGCCATCCACGCGGGTGCCCACACCGACGTGCACGGTTCCGTGATCGAACCCATCTCGCTGTCCACCACCTTCAAGCAGCACGCTCCAGCACAGCCAGTCGGTGCATACGAATACTCCAGGTCGCAGAACCCTAACCGTAAGAACTTGGAGGACGCCGTCGCCGCTTTAGAAAATGCCAAATTCGGGCTGGCCTTCTCTTCCGGTTCGGCCACCACTGCTGTAATCTTGCAGTCTTTGCCACAGGGTGCGCACGCCGTGTCCATCGGCGACGTCTACGGCGGTACTCACCGTTACTTTACCAAAGTGGCCCAAGCGCACGGTGTGGAGACCGACTTCACCAACGACTTGGTGAGAGACCTTCCAAAGTTGGTGAAGAGCAACACCAAGCTTGTATGGATTGAGTCTCCCACCAACCCAACGCTGAAGGTTACCGATATCCAACAGGTCAACGACATCGTCCGCAAGATCAATCCAGAGATCCTACTGGTAGTCGACAACACCTTTTTGTCGCCATATCTGTCTAACCCGCTAGACTTTGGCGCCGATGTCGTGGTTCACTCCGCTACCAAGTACATCAACGGTCACTCCGATGTCGTGCTCGGTGTGTTGGCCACCAACAACGAGGAGCTGTACACCAAGCTGCAATTCTTGCAAAACGCCATCGGTGCTATTCCTTCGCCCTTCGATTCCTGGTTGGCTCACAGAGGTCTGAAGACTCTACACCTGCGTGTGAGACAGGCCTCTATTTCTGCCGGCAAGATCGCCCAATTCCTAAACGACAGTGAATTTGTTGAGTCCGTCAACTACCCGGGCCTAAAGACCCATCCAAACTATGATGTTGTGCAAAAGCAGCACCGCGAGGCCCTTGGAGGTGGTATGATTTCTTTCAGAATCAAGGGCGGTGCCGAAGCCGCTTCCAAGTTCAGCTCTGCCACCAGATTATTCACCTTGGCCGAATCTTTGGGCGGTATTGAGTCTTTGCTCGAGGTTCCTGCCGTCATGACCCACGGTGGTATTCCAAAGGAGCAGAGAGAGGCCAGTGGGGTCTACGACAACTTGGTCAGACTTTCTGTTGGTATCGAAGACGCTGATGATCTACTGGATGACATCAAGCAAGCTATGCAAAAGGTTAGCAATTAGAGGACTACCTTACTATCTAGCTACTATTTTATAGACACAAAAATTTAGCAGTTCCGAAAGTAAGATAATGCGACTTGTGTTATCTTGTGACTTCACCACTGAAATGGACAGGTGTAAGTTAGATTCTTTTCGTAATAAATACAGTTATTTAAGATATTCTCGCTTTCATTTCGACCCTCTGCTCTCAAGGTGGTGGTACTTTCGGGAACGTCACAACTACCATTCATTGTTAAGGTGGCACTAACACATGCGGTGGGTTTTATTTTTATTCACTGGAGCCCTCGCTAACGAACTTATTACGCTCTCTCCTTCCTCAGCACCAGCAACTGTTGCCAATCAAAATTCAGGCTCTGGTGAACAGGAAGAAACCGACTTATTTATAGGAGACGCCCTCATTTGTAACAAGGAAGAGTGCTATCCTAAGATTTTTGAGCCCAAGACATTTTGGCAAGAAGTCAGACCTGCTCAGCATATTCCAGCAGGGTTGGACATCCGGATGGATTTTGATACAGGGATACGTGAAGCAAAAATAGGCTCACCCCAGAACGCCGAAACTTCCTCTTCAGTGAATATTATGGGGCCACAATCAGAGAGCTCGTTGGACATTCAGGCAAGCTACGAGTTTAGTAAAGATTTCGAGAAGATTCGGCATTCTATCAGATCTCTTGACTATACACAAGTGGATCAAATTTTGGATGAGCTACTAGAGTTCTCTCATGATTACAAGCACGGGTTCAAGATTGTTTCGCATGAGTTCTCATTACTGAAATCTTTGATTTTTGATCAGGAAGTCCCACTGACAACGAGGCAAATAGCATCGACAATGCTCACGGGATGTTTGCGTAACAATCCACCAGCTACACTGCATATATATGAAGCAGACCCTCAATTTACCCAGCAAATCTTCCAAGAACTTGCGAAGTTGACCAATAACCCACCTTCTCCACAACTAAATGTACTGGTGAAGAGGTACCTATCGATTTTACAAGCTATGCTTGATAAAACCCTGGATCTCGATGAAGCTGTGCTGCTGAAGCTGTGCCAGTGGGGCGATGACCAAGTGAAGAGAAGAGCCCTTGAGGTCGTATCACGCTCTTTCCAAGATCATGAATCTGGTTCACTCCAGAAAAGAACAGAATCGATTCACAACGTTCAAACGTGGGTGGATGAGTTTTCTTCAGGGCTACAGGATGAAAATGTTGATGAGTTACACATCAGAAATTTCTTCAACAGTTTGTACAATATCAAGAGAGACTTTGGCAAAAACGTGAAGGTCGACTCGCATTTTCTAAACTGGCTAAGCACAGAAGCAGATCTGAGACAGGCGCGTTTGCATAACGGCTTAAAAGAGAGAGACCTTGAGCAAGACGAATTCGATCAAAGGTTGATAGATAGTAGGCACCTGGTATTCGGCAACCCGATGGCACATCGTATCAAGAGGTTCCACGACGAGCTGTAACGCACTAGCCCTTATTTGCATCACAAATCATCTTTCAATACATCGTTAAAAATATGTTCTCATAAATACCCATACTTAGGAGGCTGCAGTACATCATAAGATATTTTGTTTTCACAATCAATCCTCCGTTACTTCATTCAGAAATTGTCCGTCTACTTCCAATCTCGTTCTGAATTTAGTCCACCAATTGTCAAAGCATTTCAATGGAACGTTCCCCTGTGTATCCAGAAATCCTGTTAAATAATTATGTGCATGTTTGACAATCTTCGCGGCCAGCTGTTGCGTGACCAGTGGATAGATCTTGGCCAACTGGCCAGGGCTTGTTATTGTGTTCTGACCGGGACGCGTCACCACAAGGGAGCTGGCATTATTTCCGCTCGTCTGCTGGAGCTTGACTTCTTGGAGCTTTGCAACAGCTTGGTTTTTGGGCTCTATAGAGATTCCGATAATAATTTCGGCTAGAGTACCTGATGATAAAGTTTCACCTGATGTATCGTCCTCCATATCAATTTCACCAAGTCCATCGCCTGGATCTGACATACCTGAACCGTTAACATTAGGAAGTCTGACCTTGAAAATGGCACTAGGCTTTTCAATGCTCACGTAGCCAAAGAGTCTAAACTCCTCCGTAGGGCTGAGTTTGAAATACACCGTACCTGCAAAATCAGGTGGGAATGTTACATTGGGTAATATGAATAATGAAATGTGAGAATATGACTTAGGTTTAGTGGATGTGAGGACAATGGTGTGTTGAAGCCCATTGGAATTGGGTACTTCAGTAGATAGTTGTAAGGCGTTTCCAGAGGCAATCGCTGCGAACATCTCAATTAAGGCAAAAAAGTTTATAGCAGTTTATCACAAGGAGGGTTTTGTAATTAATTGATTTTAGGTCTCTTGGAGTGTAGCTTGCTTCAATACCCGATTCAACCATTTTACTTTACTGATTGTAGTTTTCATTACTGCGAACAATATGGTCACATGTATGATAATCTACGATTGACCACGATCATACTGTACCGAGATGTCGTTAAAGTCTAAGCTGCCCCAATGCTTCTGAAATTCTGGCGTTACTTTCTTGTGCGCCCAAAAATTGGATAAGAATTGGTATTTTTATTCCCGGTATCGAGCCTGCTAATGCAAACCGAGCAGCTTCAAAAACAACGTTTTTGCGAACGCCGCAACCCTGAGCTACTTTATCTAGAAGATGCATAACATCGACCTCGGCACTTATTCTACCATTCAGCTCTTCCAAGACCTGGCGGACCAGCATCAAGTTCTGTTTTTCAATGAATTTCCTGACGTAGGGATTATTGTCGTAGCGTGGCCTTGATAGAAGATAGTAAAACTTAGCTTCAATGTCGTGTACTGTAGTGAGAGATTTACCGGCCAGCACCAAGGCGCCTTCAAGTTGTCCAAGGTTCGTGCCTGGGGTAGTTTTCTGGATGTGCGGCAACAATTTGGAGGCTATCTGCGTTAGCTGCTGGGGATCACTCAGTCTTTCCGCTAGATAGTGCTGATTAAAAAACCAGAGTTTATTCTCATCCACTTTGGCATTTCCCTTAGTCAAGCCATTCAGATTGAAGAGCTTAACTAGGTCGGGTATTTTGAAGCACTCGTGATTCTTGGCAGCTTCTTCACGAGGTGGAGACCAGCCAAATAAAACACAAAAATTTACAAGAGCCTCGGGAAGTATACCCTTATCCTTGAGCGACATTACATCCGCGTCGCCCTTGCGTTTGCTTAATTTTTTATCCTGGAGAGATGTCAGAAGAGGAATGTGAATAAACTTGGGCGGAGTCCAACCAAAAGATTCATAAAGAGCAATGTGTTTGGGTGTCGAAGGAAGCCATTCTTCACCTCGAACAACGTGCGTGATTTTCATTGAATGGTCATCTACGACATTGGCAAAATGGTAAGTGGGTAACTTGTCCGACTTAATCAAAATTGGATCGTCATAGCGCCTGTCACAGGCGTTCACCTGCGGTTGCATATTCAAGTTACCATGTAGCAAATCTGTAAACGTAGGGTATTGGTCTGGAGATTTCATCCTCACAGTGAATGGAAGGTTTTGTTTAAGCTTTGCTTGGATTTCGGACTCTGTGGCATGGGCGCAATGTCTGTCGTATGATACAGTAGTTGGAGGCCGGAGTTTCTGTGCACTATCCCTCAAGCCATCAAGCCTCTCCTTAGAGCAAAAACATCGGTATGCATGTCCTGAGGATAGCAGTTTCTCAACGTGATTCTGATATATAGATGTACGGTCAGTTTGTCTGTATGGTCCATACTTGGCTTCATTAATACCAGGACCCTCATCGATGGTAATCCCACACCATTTGAGCGAGTCGTAAATATTTTGTTCTGCTCCAGGAACCAGTCGTTTTTGATCTGTATCTTCCAATCTCAGCAAAAATTCCCCTCCTGTGCTTTTGGCAAGCAAAAAATTGTACAATGCTGTTCTCAAAGAGCCCAGATGTAGTTTCCCAGTGGGCGAGGGAGCAAATCTAGTTCTCACTGGAGACTTCGGATGAATGTCTTTAACAGGTTTTTTGGAGAGAATTGATTTACTGCCAAGCAAGCTTGAGCCTTTGACAAACAAATTTGACTTAAACCTTTTTAGCGTCATCGTAGTCAGCAGTGCAATATCCAGACCATTCTTAAGCATTCCTACGTGGGCTCGAACTCTAGTCAATCGTTTCCACGACGTGATGGTTAACTCTGCGAACTTATGAAAGGATGATTATTTACTCTCATAGTCACAAAGGACGTAATACATCAGCGGTAAAGCTCTTCATAAAAAAACCATCCAATTTCACCTTCAGTAGTTGCACCTAAGTAACGATTGAGTTTGCAACTTAGTAGCCACGATGGTACTTGTAGAATCAAAAAATGTCAATTGAGTGATGCCAATCGTAAATCTATGTCAAAATTACTGTACATATGCATGCAGAGGATCAAGATTAACGTGTCTATTAAGCTCATATCCAATACAGTGATCTGAAGATTGAGTATTTTCAAAGCACATATGCTGATGAGCGGCCGAAATGAACCTTGTCTGTTTCTGATACCGGATTAGGTAGCCATGGCCCAGCCATAACACAATGTACTCGAACTTTCTCGTGGTAAAATAATTGGGTCAATAGTTTGGGTGTCACTAGGATATACTGTGACGTATTCTCAACACATGCGTTCTCGACCATCGCTTTATGAACAATACGTTCGTTCGTGGCGTCCATACCTTGGTTAATTTCGTCCACAACCCGGAATGGAGCAGACGTAAACTCCTGCAATGCAATCATGTACAGGACTGTGGATACAGACCTTTCGCCACCAGACTGGGTGTGAGAGTCCAGCATTTTTAGGGAGGCGTTATCTCGAAACTTCACCAGAATTTCGATTTTCCAGTCTTCAAACAATTGCTCTTTTTTGAGATTCACCGCTCCAGCACTACCCACATTTTTGAAAAGCCTCGCAAAATTGATAGAGATTTTACTTATCATCTCATCAAGAACAGGCTCTAAAGTAGCCTGTTTCTCCTGCATTTGATTCCTAACCTGATAAAGAGCCTCCTTTTTACGTGGTATTATATTATTGAGGGTCGACATTTCATTCTCCGTTTGGCGCAAGATCTCTAAAACAGATTCATCTTCGTTGAACATGGCGATTTCTGATTTCAAGCTGTCTAACACACCTTGAATGAAGGCAAGATTAAAATTGCCATCCCTCTGATAATTTTCAGCGACAGTAGCCAGCTGATCTTTATCTGAACTAGAGTAACTTCTTATGTCAGCCAACCATTCCTTATATTCTGTGGTGTCTTTCATTGAAGCGTAATTTACTTTGGCAGTTTCGTACTCAGCTCGAAGCTCCACCTCTTTTTCATTGAAAAAAGCCACAACTTCGTTCATGGAAAGTTCGCTATTAACTGATTGCAGGTATTGAACTGTCGCATGGCTTACATCCTTATCGAGTTTCTGTAAATGGGAAATGAAATTGGTAACATCTGAGATGCATTTTATTTTCTTTTTCATGGCACTCTCAATCTGTTGCTTGCACTCGTTCACTTTTGACTTAACATGCACAGAAGAATCCCGTTTCAAGTCTTCCAGTTTGCTCTTCAAGCTATCGATAGAGTGTCTTGTCCTAGTGACTGCGACACGTGCAGCGTTTATTTTAGAGGCTTTGCTTCTGAGGGAACTGTCAATTTCTTTCTTGGCATTCAATTCACTCCCTAGGCTATCAGCGCTCTCTTTAGTGTTTTCTACCTCTTCTTCGTCCTTTCGTATGTTTTCCTTGAGCTGGTTGATCTCCCTGTTAATCTGCTCTCTAACCTCGTCAGATAAAATGTTGCCTTTATAAAGATTGGTCTCACTCATTTTAAAATCGACGGTAAAAACTTGCCTTGCGCCATACGATGAACGCTTGAAGTCATATATGTAGTCGCCAGCAATGACTCTCCGAAAGCGTAGATTCCCCCTCTCATCAGGTGTCATAAGAAATTTCAATACACGAGGGGATAACTGTCTCGTGTTTCTCCCTAACACAGGAATCGTGTGTAGACGATGCTGCTGGCATAACATCTCAATCACTTTAGCATCACCGGTCAGAAGGTCTGACACGTAGCATTCAAAGCCCAACTCTTTGAGCTTCGAGAGAGGATAAGGGGACGTTAACTGTGTACTAGATAACTCCCTCAAATTAACACGGAAATTCTTCAAGATCTCATCATTAAAACGAACATAAGCGTCGCCGTCAGCCATTGTTAATGCAATAGAAGTTGAAAAATCAACACAAGTTGCAACATATTTTGCGCATCTAGGATCCTTCGCAGAAACCAACATGATCGGTGGTTCTAGTACTCTGCCTTTCATCTCGGCTCTACCTCGAACATAGAGAACTGCTTCTCTAACGTCATCCACCCTTTTGCCTTTATTTCTCAAAATACCAATTCTATCGTTCGATGTCAAATTCAATTCTTTTCGTCGTAGAGATTCTTTGTGTGAATTGATTCGGTAGCGAATGCTCTCAATCGTATCTAGCAAACTTCTCCTCTCGCTCTCGAGACGCAGTATGTTTTCGTTGACTTTTCTCCTTTCATCGGAGAGATGTTCCAATTGGGATTCATCGGGAACGCTTAAATTAGCCAATTTGCTTTCTTCCCTCCTGAGTTGCTCTCTTGTGCTTTTGATATCCTCCTGGATCCTTTCCGTACGCCCTTCATAGTTTTTAATTTTGCTTTGTAGCAACTTGACCTCCTCTTCGTAATGATTCAGCTTCTCCACGTACTTCGGAAATGATTCTTTCGCCCTCCTGAACTGATTCTCCAAATCGTCCTTGATCATTCTTTTACCTATGGCCTCTTGACTAATACGGTCCAGTATATCTTTGAATGGTTTCTTGTCAGAAAGAAGCGATTTAAGCTGCGCCCTAGATTCTTCGCATGCCTTCTTGTACGATTTGAGCTTTAGTTTATGATCTTGCACTTTCACGTAGGGAAGCAGCTTTTGATGGATCATAACTTCTTGTTTTTTCTGCTGAAAGGCTTCTAAAGTCCGTGCTGAAGCCTCCAGCTTTTCGCGACTGACGCTCAATTCTGAGTATCGATGTTCTTTCACACTCAATTCCTTCGCCTCTGTGACCTCAGTATTTTGCAGTTCTATTAATTCTTGAAAAATATCTAGGGTTTCGAGGTCAACTGAGCGAACTGTTTCCACGAGAAGTTTATCTGGTTTCAATCGGGCAAACTCCTGGACCCGCTCTTGAGAAAGGAACTGGCACAGGTTATCTAACTGAATGTTGAGTTCGGAGACAACTTGTTTCACAGTTTGCTCTGTAACTGACACGCCGTTTAACAGATACGTTGACTTCTTCCTTTCGCGATTAATCACCCGAGTGACCGTGGTCAAATAGTTGTCGTCAACATATGCTTGATTTGATGTATTGTCTCTCTTTAATGTTACTTCAATAACACATTCTTCTTCTCCGTTCTTGATAAAATCCTCGACTTTTTTACTACGACCAATAAACTCCGGTTTCCCTGCTAATCCAAGGCAAACGCCGCACACAAATGTTGATTTGCCTGATCCGTTAGGTCCGATCACCATATTTAGTGAGGGCGACATGCAAAACTCTGTCAATGCATAGGTGACAAAGTTTTTAAGTTTGAGTCTCACTATGGCACCTGGATTGAACTGTGAAGGATCTTCTTCTCCAACCTTCAGTTTCTTTAGTTTTGCGTCATCATCGTTGTCCGAGCTCCTCATCAAACCATCGATTTCTTGTCTGGAGTTTGCTTTGAGCGGTGAGCTTCTAGTCCTAAGTGTATGCAGCAGGAGTATGTTTCGCTCTTGAAGAGACAACGATGAGTTTGTCGTTGGTCTATGCCTACTCCTAGAACTTTGGGATCATGACGAGCGCGTACTGTTGATCAAGCATTAGGTATTTGTTTAGTATGAAGTGATAATAATGACTGAAAGGATTCCTGATTTAAATTCAACTTTAAGATGCCATCCAAAGGTTGTCTTTTAGGATAGCTACCCGATGTCTCGAGCTTCCAGACTGAGAACAAGAACTACCAATTCAGACATAAGTCGATCTTCGAATAATGTAGAAGAAGATTCAGATAAGTTAGACACTTACGGCCTAGTCGAAGAAAATGGCGGTCGTCCATTTCACCTAATTGAGGGTCTTCCATCTTCAGCAGGGCTACCACAATACAAATCTGCTCTTACACATCCACTTTCAGTTAGAGACTCAGCAGTTTTGTATACTTCCATTCTAAATTCGAGAAGAACATGGATCAGTTCGGAAATGTTTGACATGCTTTGGTCCAAACAGTTTTTGACCCCCGGCGAAAAAGCACGTTTAGAACAGGAGGGGCTGGATCCCGAAAGCGTGGACGCAAGTGCAGCAAGAGAAAAAATGCACAAATTATGCGATTGCATTATGCTAGGAGGCCCTCACGCCTTCTCCATTCGACTTTTCATTGTAAAGAATGAAGAAACAGAGAAGAAATGGAACGATGCAATAGAGGAAAAGAAGCGCAATAAAGAAACGCGCAGGAAACAAGAACTAGAGTATAAGATGAAGAGGCAAGAAGAAAGAAAACAGCAGCAATGGGTCAGAAAGCAGGGTAAAGAGCAGCAACCGCCATCTCTCAAATCCTCGATAAGTATCACTGGAAATGAAGCCAATAACAGAGCAGGTACAACAAGTCCAGGCTCCACGGATCCCAAAAGGCAGCCAACTAAGCGTAGACAGCGGAGTGATGAGGGCTCACAGCAGTCGAGGGCTATTCCACAGGCATCTCAGCCGAAAAAGGGAGCCGCGCAATCAACAGAAGATCATAAAATGATCACCAATCTGAATTTGATGGCACAGAAAAACCCAGAGTTGAACTCCCTCATGATCATTGTCGCCGGTGGAAGAGCAACTTCAGAGCAGGTAGAAGAATTCAAGAAATATATCGAAAGGGCTAGGAAGATGCCAACTCCACAAGGATGGAAACCTACACCGTCTGCCACCTCTGCAGCCGCTACTCAAAATACTAAACAGTCTAGGGTTCCTGACAGCAATATTTCCGGGAAGGGCCGTCCTATCATTCCGCCGAAATTGCCAACTTCGAGAGCTCCGGAAGCTCCACGGATTAAAGTTGAAAACCCCTCTACCCTGGCTCGAAGTACTCCCCCCGATACAGCTTCTGCTGAACCCAGACAGAAAAGAAAGTACACAAGAAGGAAAAACGTGGAAACTCCTCCAGAACCCGAAGATAAATCGATGCAGCTCACCACCTTCCAGCAAAAATACATGCATAATGCTGACATTGTTTTTGAGTACGTTGAGAATCCTAATAAGCGATACAGCTTTCCAAAAGATGCCATCTTAGAGCTCTTAGACGATGGCGAATCTTATTTGATGTCCTGGATTATTATTCACAATCGCAAAGAGGTGGAGAAATATAAGAAGAAGATGCGCCAGAAATCAAAACCTGCAAAAGAAGGCGAAAAAAGTGAGGAGGAAATCAAACAGGATCACGAAGATTACGACGTCTTTGAGGATCCACATGCCCCTGATCCGCTTTATACTACGATGACCGTAAAGCTTATGGACATTCACAAGAAGTTTCAAAATATTATGATAAACTCTGTTAATCCAGCCGATAAGGTGAGAAAACGCATGTCTAGTATTCTTGATCGTGGTACAAGGCTCACAGGTTATAATTTGTGGTTTCAGTTGGATGCTTACGACGATAACGATTTAGGGGAAACTTTGCGAAGCGAATTAAAGGACTACGAAGCGGGATTTAGAAGTAAAAGACAGCGTAAGCAGTTTTGATATGTCCATTTTATTCTTTTTCCATTCGCTGAACTTAAAGGCGGTCGATTATCAAGCTACATAGAGTACTGTAGTTGAACGCCAAATTTTGCAGGTCTTAAGAATCCGTTGGATGTTTTTGATTCTTGAATGCTATTCGTGGGCACGTCGAGTGGGGTATTCGTGAGCTCGGTTCCAGCTGAAATCAGAAATTCCTTGTATTTACCTTCCCACAACACCTTCAAGTTTCTATCTCGCAGACTCGTACTGAGCCTCCAAACACTCGTAAAATTGGCCTCTCGTAATGAGCTTTCGTAATTTTCTATATTAGAGCGTTCTTGATGAATTTTATGCAATGATGGGGCGAAAGTGACATTCAAATCATCCAATAATTTTTGAGAATTTGAGGATCCCGCCATTAGATGATAGAACATGAGCTTGTCATCAGGATAGCCGGCTTTTCTCTCAATAGATGGCGGTGAAGCAGGTTTTGCCGAGTCTTCCTTTTTCAATTTTATGTCCTGGACTCCACTTCTCCAAACGTCACAACCAAAGGAAAGATTCGATTCAATCGAGTATAGATTAAAGTCATATTTGGAGCTGATGGTGGCGCCTGAAGAGGTCTTCACGGAATACGTCGAAGAGACGTGGCCAAAAAGAGGGTTCCACGACAGTGTCAGAGTCAAGGGCCTCCCTGTGTTTGCAGAATGAGTGCAATAACGCAATGTGGTAGAGCACGCAGGACTTGTATTCAAAACTCCAAACCACATTTCTGCCCCAAGCGACAACGACGAATTGTTATAAAGTGAAGTATTGAGCTTTGATTGGCTTCCAGTAAAATTGTGAAGTATACGATAACCAAGAAGACCCTCATTTGAAGATGCAATCCATTCCTGGCAATTGCGACCAGAGTCTTTTTGCAAGTACAACGTCAGCACACTTGTATGGGCAAGGCTGCTCAAACACTTTGCAACCAGCTGTGTTTCGGGATTTAAACGCTTTACCACCATTGCCTCTAATGTAGAGCTCGGATAATACATTCGACCGTGCCATAAAGAGGTGGACTCAAAGCCCTTCCTCGAGTATCGGTACTGATGTGGCGGCGTTATTTGACGGTACGATTCAGAAGCATCTTGTAGCAGCGTCTCTCGAGAACTTGACAAATATTTATCTAGACCCTCGCAATTGGTATAAATGTATGCAAGTGAGCCATTTATTACCTTGTTGTTAGAGAGTTCGAACGTCGAATACGTATTTCCCGTTGATCTGTTGGAAACTTGACACTTGAGCCCGGTGGGAATATCAAAATTCAGGAGATTCTCCGAGGTTGCCATAATGTTTTCATAGCTGTTATCTCGATTCCATCCTGTACGTAGTTCAAAGGATCGAAGCACCTTTTCCATGTAGTCGATCATTGATCATTGATTTTTCAAGGTTACACCAATTCTATGATTCTTCGGCTTGTTCTTTGGATTAATTAATTTAAACGTGAGTATATATTAAAAGCATCAATATCCTAGCCAGCATCACTGTCTCCACTTCAGTCATCAGCTTGTGAAAGCCCTTGTGATGAACCAAGTTCGGGAATTGAACATTGGCAAGGGCTCAAGCTCTGTAGAAATAGTGCCGAAGCAGCTTTCTGAGACGGATTTGAAAGAACACGAATTTCCCGTAGTGAGAATCGAAGAATTCGCAGGCTCCAGTGAAGAAACTCCAATCAAGAGCCGTAGAAAAAATGCTAAGACGTTGAAACCGAAACTGTCAACACCCCATGCTCTCAGTGCTGAAGCTGTAGTTACCGACTCACCGAGTGGGAGCAGTCGCAGACGCCGCTCTAGCAGTCGAACCTCTAGCAAGAATTTGAAGAGCACGACGGATATATCACCCGCATCCATGATTTTCAGAAATCTACTGATTTTAGAAGATGACCTAAGACGCCAGGCACGCGAACAGAAGATCTTGAAGTGGCAGTTTACCGTGTTCCTCTCGGTACTGGTGGGCATCGCAGCCTCCGCGTTTTACGAGCTCTACTTCTCCCAAGAGACTGTGCGGGGAATATATAAGGTGGTACTGCAGTTTCTGCTCATATTTATCCTAGTGACAGTGGTGCTTTTCCACCTGAGTGGCGAGTACCGCCGCACCATCGTGATACCCCGCAAATTCTTCACGTCCACGAACAAAGGCATTCGGCAATTCAATGTCAAACTTGTCAAGGTGAGAAGTACCGTGCCAGACTTGACTATAGATCTTGTTCGCTGGATATGCCGCGTGGCCGCGGCTGCTAACCTGGCATTGGCCGGTAAGTTGCTACCTGCAAGGGTAGCAGAGAAGAACTGGCTCGTGCGCCTTTGGGAGTCGGTGGCTCTGCGGTCTCAGCCGCGCATTGGGGCCATCGACGTGAAACTGGTCCTGAATCCAAGAGCGTTCAGCGCGGAGGTTCGTGAGGGCTGGGAAATTTATAGAGATGAATTTTGGGCACGAGAGGGTGCCCGCAGGCGAAAACAAGTGAACGACCAAGATAGGTGAGACAACCATCCTAATGGAGGTCTACGTCGCGCAGTGAAATTATATCTGCGAATTAAATGAAAAGGCTATATTTTTACCAATCTAATGAACTTACTATTATAACGATTACGACCCAAGCAAGCTACAACTGACTACCGGAATCTCATGTTGAGCTCAATTCTTACATGTCAAGCTTGGCCATCTGTGTCTCGATGTTCGTCCAGTATTTATATTTTGGATGGAATTTGTTACCCGCACAGCGTGGCGCCATACTCAATGCCCCTTTCTTAATATGTAGAACTCTAAGCATTATAGCTTGTAAACTTAGATAGAGAAACACCAGAATCTGAGCAAAAAAGTGACCCAAGATGATGCGAGGTTTTAAGCAAAAGGTTCGTTAATGCGAGGTACCGATGGTGCACATCGTTAACTTTTTTTTGGCGTATTTCAAGTTATATAATTACTAACAGTGGGGTGTTTTAAAGCTGATAAAAAAAACCACCGGGTCTGGTTCATCTGGTGGAAAGAAGAAGGATAAAGAGGACTCGAAGAAAACTTCATCGACGTCCCACAGTACGTCTAACAGTAGCAGTCCAGTTCCAGTAAATCCGAAGGTTCCTAGTGATAAAAAAAATTCTAGTACAGGATCAAGCACAAGCGGCACCAAACAGTCAAAGGGTAAGACGACAAGTACAGGTTCTGGAAATGTTCCACGCAGTCATTTAAACACGAAGAGTGTTGGTGGTGGTGGTGGTGTTACGGCTCCAACCGGCTCACATGCGGAAGACCCACACGGGCCCTCAACAAGTCAGAAAAAATTAGAAGTTATGGGAAATATCAATCAGCCACCAAAGTCGTCTCAGCCAACGCTTATTGCCGCAGCCTCATTGCCTCCCTCTCCCACCACGGCAACGGTGTCATTAGCAGTACCGGGAAGCGGCGCAAGCTCGTTGCACAAAGACGGGCCTTCAACGCCATCTTCATCCACGGGCATCGACATTCCGCGCTCGTCCCATTCATTTGAGCGCTTGCCAAATCCATCAAAATTGAATCCTGAGCCCGATCTGGATCTTATCAAAACCCCTCAGAGACACTCTTCGTCGAGATTCGAGCCTTCGCGCTACACCCAACTAACAAAATTACCTCACTTTGATGATGTTTCGCCAGAGGAGCAGATTGCCTTGTTCATAGCAAAAGTGGATCAATGCAATACGATTTTCGACTTTGGTGATCCAAGTTTCGATATTCAAGGTAAGGAGATCAAACGGATAACTCTTCAGGAGTTAATTGAATTCGTGGTGACCAGCAGGTTCGCATACACGGACGAAATGTACGCTCATGTTGTCAACATGTTCAAGAATAATCTATTTCGACCAATTCCACCCCCTGTCAATCCTATAGGGGACGTATTTGATCCAGATGAAGATGAGCCGGTCAACGAGTTAGCGTGGCCACATATGCAATGCGTTTATGAGTTCTTCTTGAGGTTTGTTGAAAGTCCCGATTTCAACCACCAGGTGGCCAAACAATATATTGACCAAGAATTCATCCTCAGGTTACTCGATCTCTTTGATAGCGAGGATATCAGGGAGAGAGACTGTCTGAAGACTACTCTACACAGAATTTACGGGAAGTTTTTAAGCCTTAGGAGTTTTATCCGCCGCTCCATAAGCAACATTTTCTTACAATTTGTTTACGAAACCGAGAAATTCAATGGAATTGCTGAGCTCCTTGAAATACTAGGCTCGATTATTAATGGTTTCGCTCTTCCACTCAAAGAAGAACACAAAATATTTTTGGTTCGCGTCTTAATACCCATGCATAAAGTCCGCTGTCTTTCTTTATATCATCCCCAGTTAGCGTACTGTATTGTGCAATTCTTAGAGAAAGAACCTTTTTTGACTGAAGAGGTGGTGATGGGTCTCTTGAGATACTGGCCAAAAATAAACTCCACAAAAGAGATCATGTTTTTGAACGAGATAGAGGACATTTTCGAAGTGATAGAACCATTAGAATTCATTAAAATCGAGGTACCTCTGTTTGTGAAGCTTGCGAAATGCATCTCTTCGCCACATTTCCAAGTTTCCGAAAAAGTTTTAAGCTATTGGAATAATGAATATTTCCTAAATTTATGCATAGAGAATGCCGAGGTCATCCTACCTATTATTTTCCCAGCCCTATATGAACTCACTTCACAGTTAGATTTAGAATCTCACGATGATGAACATGGTAATCGCACATCAGACCCCTATGTGTTAGTAGAGCAGGCGATCAGCTCCGGGTCATGGAACCGCGCCATCCATGCCATGGCGTTCAAGGCTCTCAAAATATTTCTGGAGACCAACCCAGTCCTGTACGATAATTGCAATTCTATGTATTTCACAAGTGTCAAGGAAACGCAAAAACGGAAGGAGGAACGTAATGATAATTGGCAAAAACTTCAGTTGTACGTCGATAATTTTAAAACGAACAGTGCTCCTGGTGTACACGGAACGTAAGGTTAGCTCAAATGATTACGGAAGTGGTATCACAAACCAAAAAATTAACGACTGCATGGAGGATTGACCTCCGCGAGCACGGAAATGCAATGTAATTGCTTGTTTCGGCAATAAATAAAGCACTTAAGTTTTGATACTCATTAACATCTGATTATTAGTTGGAAATTTTTGACCCAACAACCATGGGTGCAGCACAAAATTATGGGACTATTTCAAAGTAGATCTTACCCCAATGCAATTCGCTGCCCGACAAGTACTTAGCATAGAAACAACTTCCCGCTTCTCGCTACACGTACGTAGGTATATATATATATATATATATATGGCCTGCTGTAATTAAAGGGTCGTATAAACCTTGATGTTACGAAATTTGGTGAAGAAGGAAAGGCTCACATTATCCACTTCTTCAATTTTCCACTCATTGTCCACCATGTATATGCTCAAGCCCTTTTACGTACAGAAGACTGGTTTATTCCAAGCAAAGAGGATACTACAGTTTTCGTGTGGTACATTCAAGTCTTTGTCGACCAGACCCATAGCGCAAAACATAGGCAACCTTCAATTGAGGTCACCCATCATGTTAGGCATAGCAGTTGCAACCTCTCTGAGCTTGGTGTTGCCACAGATTTCAAGCAAACATGTAATCCGAAGTGACACGATCTTGGATGTGAAACAACGTCATAAATCGTTACCCGAAGAAGTGGGCCTACCTTTGCAATCTCACGCCACTACTAACAGAAGATTGTATTACAAAGAAATGTGTTTGGGATCTATTGTTGGACTGGTGACAGGCGTTGTGGTGGGAAAAATATCGACAGCGCTGGTATTTATAGCAGCTTGTGGCCTGTTAGGTGTCCAATGGCTTGAAAACAGAGGGCTGATTAGCAAAAACTCTACAGTAGGCCTATCCAAATACGTGATCAAAACAGGGAAAGACTCGGTTGATTTTAACACTTTGATATGGAACAAAACCAGTTTTAAAGTACCCTTTTTGATCACATTCATCCTGGCGGCAGTGAATATATGATAACTCGTATTGCTCGACTAACCACCCAGGTACCAGGTACGAAGCGATGAACGATGGAGGTGCTCTTCGGAGAGCTCGTGTGTAATGATATATCATTGAAGTTATTAAGTAAAGGCTTCTCTCATTGCTAAGTCATCAATCAGTACTGCCAAACCACAGCTTTGATTTCACGCACGCACGTATACCAAAGCCACTTAGATTATGTCACGGGTCCATTTTGACACCTCGAACTATCCTTTCAAATTCGAACCCTTTCTGCGACAGGAGTACTCGTTTTCTCTGGATCCTGATCGCCCCGTTTGCGAATTGTATAATCCGCGGGAGGGCCCTTCTTCGTGTCCTAACGGTACCTCATGTCCAAACAAGCACGTCTTGCCCATTTTCCACAATAAAATTGTCTGTAAGCATTGGCTGCGAGGCCTGTGTAAGAAAAATGATCAATGTGAATACCTGCACGAGTATAACCTGCGCAAGATGCCCGAATGTGTTTTCTTCTCAAAGAACGGATACTGCACACAGTCGCCAGAATGCCAGTACCTGCACATTGATCCAAGCACCAAGATCCAGGAGTGCGAAGAGTACAAAATGGGATTTTGTCCCGTAGGACCACAGTGCAAGAAACGACATGTCAAGAAGGTTATATGCCCCCGCTACGTGACAGGTTTTTGTCCCTTGGGAAGAACGGACTGTGATTTAGACCATCCTCCATTCGTGATCCCCAACGACCTCAGTAAGCTCAGAATCAAGAATGACGACGAAATAAACACCAAGAAACTCGACGAAGAAAAAGAGCGTCGTTTGAACGCTATCATCAATGGCGAAATATTTGCCTAGGTGGCACAGCCCTATTTTACTTCAAAGGAGTCTGTTAGATAGTATGTTACAGTCCGAAGCGTGTGTTGTTTCTGCCATGCTCGCCAGGCGCGATTTAATTGGCCAAATGAGTGGCCTCGAACGCCGGAGCCCGCTCTGCAGCGTTCTCTGCGTCGAACGTCTGTTACGTAATGAAAATTCCACGCAGCGAACTTTATAGTCACGTGCAACGACGTCTTATCTGCGGGCGCCTGATAGTAGAAGCGAATTTTATCATTATCTCTACGGGCTCCGTAGCAGGCCCCAAGAAAATGGAAAATGATACTCGCGAGCTTGTTTGAAGGGCTCGTATACTACCAATCGCGAGAAGAAGGGTAGCAGCGGCCATAAATCCACGCGGAGCTTTATATACGTACACAATGACCTCGATAATATATTCTCAACGAAAGGCGCGCCTTCAACTTTTTTCCACGCTAACTTTAGCCAGAACGCAGGTACGTGTGCCCTGGCGTACCTTATTTCACAACCGCGTTGTAGACGATTGATTGTCGCCTTCTCCATGACACAGTACTTGGAATTTATTCTGATAACGGTCAACGTTTCGCCCTGCCATCTAGTAGCTTTATACGGGAATGGCTTTTCTGCTTCTTTTCCTTTTTAGGCATAGGAAAAATTTATGGGCGGCCAAAGAACCCCTTTTTTCCGACATTCAGGGGTATATAAAGGACGCGGTGCCGAGCGAAAAGGGACACTTATCTCTCTCAGCAAGACCTCCCACCTGAAATAAAAAAACCACAAGACCAAGTGTTCCCACCTGAAGAACATGCATAGAACCTACTCTCTGAGAAACTCCAGGGCTCCTACTGCTTCCCAGCTACAAAGCCCAGCCCCCCCTCCATCCTCGACTAAAAACCGGTTTTTTGGTAGAGGTGGTTTGGCCAACTCTCTGCGTAAAAACACCGCGGGCGCTTTTGGACCTGATTTGTCCCGTAAGCTATCGCAGCTAGTAAAGATCGAAAAGAACGTTTTGCGCTCGATCGAGGTTGCTGCCAATGAGAGACGTGACGCTGCGCGTCAGTTGTCCGTGTGGGGTTTGGAGAACGACGACGATGTGTCCGATATCACCGATAAGCTCGGGGTGCTGATTTACGAAATGAGTGAGCTGGATGACCAGTTTATCGACCGTTACGACCAGTACCGTTTGACTGTGAAGTCTATCCGTGACATCGAGGGTTCCGTCCAACCCTCTCGTGACCGTAAAGCTAAAATTACCGACAAGATTGCGTACCTGAAGTACAAGGACCCAGCCTCTACCAAGATTGAAATCCTCGAGCAAGAACTCGTGCGTGCAGAGGCAGAGTCGCTTGTCGCCGAAGCTCAGTTGTCCAACATCACCCGTTCAAAACTTCGTGCCGCTTTCAACTACCAATTCGACTCCATTGTAGAGCACTCCGAGAAGCTTGCATTGATTGCTGGTTACGGTAAGGCTCTATTGGAACTTTTGGACGATTCTCCAGTTACTCCTGGCGAGACCCGTCCTGCTTACGACGGCTATGAAGCATCCAAGCAAATCATCATTGATGCTGAGACTGCTTTGAACGACTGGACCTTAGACGCTGCTCAAGTCAAGCCCAGTTTGTCTTTGAGACACGCCGATTACGACTACGAGGAAGAAGATGTCGAAGGTGTTGAGCCCATTGCCGAACAGGAATGGGTTGACGAGGAACCTGTTCAGGCCACCGTTTAACGGTAAAGGACAATCACAGTGAAAACATAAGTGAACAAAAATCACCAAGGCTTTTTGCAAGCTTCCGGTAAAGGCGGAAGATCAATTCTTTGCAAGTGTAACTAATAGTAAATAAAAACAATTGATTGCAATTCGTACAAGTACGCTTTAGTTTTGGCACCTTCTAAACGAAACTACATGCTCTCACGATAGAAACCGTGGGTATCGTATACCCGATGCTTTACCTCTGTAACGGCATTATCGCCAAGATATTCTCTAGCAAATATCACCAGAAACGTGTTTCTGATCGAAACTACACAGTTACAAGTCATGTGTGCTGTTCAAGAGGTAAAGATATATATGCTTCTGCTAACCAATAGTAAACAGGTTGATGAAAGGTTTATAATTGACCTTCAATTTCGATCAACTGCTAATGTTTTCCGCCGATCCTCAAACTGTTGATACAAGACTGTCTACCAATTTGGCAAAGTACCACCTTGTTCTACCCAAGATCTCAAACGTATCGCAGTTGGCCAAACTTCAAGGTGTTATCGCTAATGAGCACCATACAACATCAAAGTCTCTCGATGAGTACTTACGCGTCTCTCACTCGTCAATCAACCAGCATGTTCGCAAATTGGAACTTCAAAGAACTAAACTAACGCGAACGCTCTCAAAACTGCACCATGCGCTGGAGGATATGTCGATTTCTAAGGATCTGGCGCTCAAAATCTCTACTCGCATCAGATGTATAGATCAAGAGCGTCTTATAGTGGCTCGAGTGCTTCAGTTTGTAAACGATACTCAAGTTCTGAAGCAGAAAGTTTTCACGGTTAATGAAGCTCTGGAACGCTCAGATTACGAGCTTGCAGCCACCGCCATAGATTCAATCCTGAGTCTTCCTGCCGAAGTAGTATCTTCTCAATTTGCCAGTAAAGTAGTACCGTCGTCAGAAATCCCTGAGGATCCACAAGTGCTCCTTACCCAGTGGACTCAAAAATTGGCAATTGTCTTCAAGGAGGTGTTTGCAAAAGCTGCATCGGAGCAAGATGTTAACAAACTGAGTGCTGTCTTCAAATTATTTCCGCTGATTCGAAAATCCGAACTGGGACTCGATCTGTATTCCAGATACGTTTGTGACATCATAGCTGCCGAAAGTCGCAAAATCATGACTGGTGCAGCTCCCAACAACACAACTTTCTATGCCAAAGCCCTGTTGCTATTATTTAGAATAGTTTCGACAGTCATCAATGGTCATTCCAAGCTCATATCCGAAGTTTACGGAAAGCAACATATGGTCCATATAATGGCAAAGATGCAACGTGAAGCAGATATGCAGGCTGGACTCGTTTTGGATAGTTTTGTTGAAGCTAGGGGTATTGACGAGGTTCTACAGTCTATTGCAAAATTCGAAAAAGCTTCTGCTTCAACAGAAGCCAGCGAGGTTGAACCTCCATCTATGGCTCGAGTCTCTAACCTCATCAACGAGCACTCTATGTTTTTACAAAATTGGTCCATGTACTGCAGGCTATTTGCAACGAAATGGAAAGAGTTTAATGAAACAACAGTGGAGGAAGGGGTCTTGCATCTACCGGATCCAATACTAAATGGCCACTTCTATGGTAAGATCAACGATTCAGACTTTTTACAGAATTTCCAAAAGTTGGTAAGGTTCTATTTACACACTTCTTTTAACAGAACTGTTGAATTTGAGTCCTTACCTTCGCTCAACAAATACATATCCAAGAAGCCTTTTCAGCATGACGATGTTTCAAGCTACTCATTTTCGTCTACCGTGGAGGATATGACACTTTTGATTAGAAACTGTTTAATCCTTAATGTCAATACTGGCCGGAGCCTGTTATTAGACCACTTTCTAGATGTATTGAGGAGATTTTTGCAAAACGATTACCTGATCAAATTTTTACAACAGAAATTAAGACAGCTGCAACCGCGATTGACCAGCACCGTTACATTGAAGAAATACGTCCCGCACACAGAGTCCAATCCTGTGTCTCGTGCGGCGTCCCCAGGACTTGCGGATCCTTCGAAACTATCGAATCTTAGGTTCAACATCAAAGGCGCAGCTTCAAGCGCTTTTTCCAACATTCAGTCAAATATTCAAGCTGTTTACGCAGATGAGGAGTCTATCTTGAAACTGCACCATTATATCATTTACCTCAATACTCTGAGTATCGGAGGAGAATTTTTGCGGAAGTTACTAACTCAAGAGCTTCTAATTGATAGTCCAAACCTTTTGATTGACAACTTTCCTTTTAATTCCGAAGCACAGGTTCTCAAAGCCAAGGTGGAAAGCACGGAACAGAATATACTGTCTCAACAAAACAAACTTCTACAATGGGCCGTGAAACAGCTGTTCGAAAACCTGTTGCAACAGAAAATTCGCAAAATGCTGGGCTCCTTATTTATCCAGGGACCAGACAGCACCTACCTCTCCAGTGCAGTGGATTTCGAAGATATGTCTCATATTCAACTTTTTGCAGGCGATTGGAAGGAACTCATGATTCCATACGCCAACACTCTTTACAAAACGTGTTATTCCCAGCTCTTGTCCTTCATAGTGGATTTCTTGGTCGCTCAAATTGCAACCCGATTATGGTCTTTACAAATCAACGAACTAGGATCTATCAAACTAGATCGTGAACTCAGCTCTCTGATTGCCATTGTGTGTGGTGAACAATATGCGTTACGTGAGAAGTTCACCAAACTTACTCAGATTGTGCTAGTGACGGGCTTGGAGGATGATGATTTTGATCCCGGAACCAACGGCGATCTCAAGCAGGAGATTTTAGATGGCATCACATGGGTATTAACTCCTTCTGAGCGCATCCGCGCTGGCGGTCTGAGGGTAGACAAGAGACGGTGAGCAGTTTCTCTGGATGTTAAAGGTCGGTCTTCATTGGACTAGGCGACAGCGGAACGGCCACAGAATATGAATTACAGTTTCTTGCTGGATTTACTGGTCGAGCAAGGGAAATATATATACAATGCATATAAAGTTAAAAGGAGGAAAGCTTTTCGACCGCTCTGATTTCGCCTATACTCTGAAGCTCAACGCATGTCACTAACCTTACGCGAAACTATTATGATTACCACCAAATATGCTCGTCAACAGCGATTGGCTTTTAATAAAATTTCCCAAATATGAGATGAGTTAGATACCTCGTAGATATCGTACGTCACCAAAACATTCAAATTAGCACCTAGATTTGGGGCTTCCTGTCGCAACAGACTGAGTTGCAAGCCGATCCAGAACTTTGACAGACGTGGAGGGTCATTTTTATTTAGTAGTTCTCGGCACACTGTCCTACCTCGAAAATCCAGAGACCTTGTTGTGACCATTAAAATATTCGATTACTGCTTGCTTCGATTGGGCTCTACTAGGAGTTTTCAGAGTATTTTCAAACTCACCAAAACGTTCTCCGGACTCTCAAAGGAAACTTTCTTACCATGGTACCCCCCAGCGATGGGATGCCTGACGTTGCACCAGAAATTGGGACCTCTGCGCCGGGTTCAGGAATGGGTGATATCGGCCCTCTATCAGCACAGCTATCAGAACATCTTGCGGATGATATAACTCAAAGGCAACCCTTGAGTACTTCTGGCTCTGCATCGCCCTTTGGATCCGAACAACCCGCTGACCATACAGAGAATCTTATAGACGATCCAACATTGAAACTGGATATGCAAGAAACCCTAGATCATGAAAACTTTTCAAAGTTATTAGAACTGGATTCTAAAAATGATGACGATCTTTTCTCCTCTGCAGACCTGCTGGAACACGATATATCAGAGGACTTGGGTAAACTGGTACCGGGCGATTCACAAACGGCACACGATGCTCGACTGAATCAATCTGAGGACCCGCATGTAACGAATGGAGGGGCATTAGATGATGTACATTCGCATGGAGGTGAAAGTCATCATTCAGATCAAGACTCGAAAAATCATAATGAGCAGAACGCTCAGCAGGTCCAACCGTTGCTTCCACAGTCAACGCTAGCTCCGCAGTCACAAGAACATCAGTATCAGCACAGTGGACTAGATCAACGAGAAAGGATTGAAAGCTCAATTCAGCGACAAGAAGAACACGAACTGCAATCACCACAAACTAAAATGCATCACCAACAACAGCATGGACGCTCTCACTCAGGTAGCTCACATTCCTTGAATGATATTAATTTAGATTTAGAGCCTGAAATACCGTCACTTCAAGACGACTCATCGACAATCACGAGGGCATTATACAATCCCGACACTTTCCATGTCACTCCTGAATTACCAGATGACACAACTGCAACTATTACCGAATCGAAGAATGGCCAAAGTGCTCAGCAAGGGCAAAAGGATGAAGTTTCATCTCCATCGAATTTTCAATCCGTCTCTCTTCCACCTGCCCCACTTCCAGAGAACGCGGTCAACAAATATCCACCTGCTCCGCCGATGGATGTAGGTGCACAATTGGTGATGACTGAATTCCACGATCCAACTATGGATGAGGCAGAGCAATCAAAAATTTCGGCGTACGCTCGGCTAGATTTTCAGAGCTTCACATTCTATGTCCAGACACTACAGGTGATCATAGGTCGGCGATCCGAAAATGACTTTTCTCATAAAGTGGATGTCAATCTAGGACCATCCAAATCGATATCCAGAAGACATGCCCAAATTTTTTACAATTTTGGAACAGGCCGCTTCGAACTTTCAATTATGGGTAAAAACGGTGCTTTTGTTGATGATGCGTTCATTGAAAGGGGAATAACTGTTCAGTTAAAGAATCGAGCAAAGGTACAAATCGGTCAGATACCTTTCCAGTTCATTCTACCGGACCAGGAAGCTAAAGAGAAGAAGGCAATCGAACCTGTAGACGCAGTAACAATGAAAAAAACTCTCAGCAATAACACCAAATTGGCGGAGGCCTCAAGAAGTGCCACTCCCACTGCTTTACCGTTGAAGGGAACTCCAGATCCTAAATCAGAAAAGGCGAAGTTAGAGCCGCCGAAAAAGAAGCCAACCCCAAAGAAACAGGAAAAAAAGGAACCGAAGCCTCCTAAACCACCAAAAAAGGTCTACACACTGGAAGAAATTCCTTTGGAGTACAGATCAAAACCCACTGGTTCATATTCTAACCTCATTACAGCATGTCTTCGAAAATATTCGAGCGCCAAGGGAATGTCTCTCTCCGGCATATACGCTGGGATCAGAGAATTATTTCCGTACTACAAGTATTGTCCTGATGGTTGGCAGAGTTCAGTAAGGCACAATCTTTCCTTGAATAAATCATTCAGAAAGGTTTCAAAAGAAGGCAAAGGATGGTTATGGGGCTTGAATGAGGAATATATAGCCGAGCGTGAGAAACAGAAAAAGAAGCAGGCAGAAGCCGCTGCAATGAAGGCGAAAGCCGCACAATTAAAACTCGAACAACAGCAACAACAAAAGGCCAAAAAGGTAACCGAAAGCTCAAATACTGTCATAAAGTCTGCGTCAAAGATTCCTCCTTCTCGGCCCAAACCTAAGCAGCCAAATATTTCTCAGACGCTGGCTGCCAATAGAGCGGATAGAAAGGCGACTGCGGATGGAAACCAGCGTACAATGAAATACCTACAAGAGCAGCTCATGATTCTCACGAAAGAGCGTCATGGGTTGGATAAGCAAGTCATGGCCAGTATTTTAACGCAGGCTCTTGCAATGACTATCAATCAGGTAACACAAGCTGCAAAGTCTAAGGGGATCACGGGAAATCCACTAACAGCTTTAATTGACAAAAACCCGCAGCACCTGAATTTGATCTTAGCTGCAGCGGTAAATGCAGCTACTATCAAAGTGACAAACGGCAGTGTCAAGCAATTGGTAAGTATGCCACCGCCCACGGCAGCAACGCATCCTGAGGACACCGCGATGTTGCCCAACGTACAGAATTCAAGTCAATCTCTTCAACATGTCACAGCCCCATTTGAAAAAGTCAAGTCATCAGAGTCCTTCGATCCCAGTTCTTTATCTAAATTCTTTCAGCCCAAACAACCACCTCGAGTTTCAACTCCAGTTTCCACTCAAAGTGTTTTGCCATCAAAGAGACCTTCGAGTGAGACGGAATCCAGTTCAGAGGATGAATCTTCAAGTGCCGATGACAGCGATAGCGAGGGAAGTGATGACGATTCCTCTGCCCATTCAGAGAATGAGGATAGTGGCAGCGGCAAAGACTCGTCTAGTGACGACGGCAGCTCAGATGGTGAATAATGGCCACTATATATTAGCGAAGTATAAGTAATCCCAAATTGTAACAGTATGATAATAGTTTACTTCATTATATGTAATTACCATGAGTACGTATTGCTGTGAATGTGTTGCGAAAGCGATTTAAATCAACCGATAACGTTGTTGAAAGAACCTTCCTTTTCCTTGATTTCCCAGAAAAGGGTGTCAACATTGTGATTCCCATGGAAGTTCCATCCTTGCTCTGTAACGTGGTAAAGGTTTACAGAACCACCAGAGTAAGCATCTCTATGAGCGGCGGCCAAAATTGACCGTTTTCCGAGGTAAAGTGCGTCCTCAACTGATAGATCCCATTTGTAGTTGGAATCAAGAACACCATACGCAAAAGTTTGACCTGAGCCTACACAGAATAAATCTCCTTTCAGTCTTGTACCATCAGAATCAACGTAATATATCGTTGGTCCTTCTTTTTTGGTGTAACCACAAATCATTGTGCCCATCGAAAGTCCCGCGCCCTTATATTCATACACCAAATTGCTTAAGATTTTAGATGCGGCTGCAACCGAAATACGTTCTTTTTCTTTGAGCTCATGAAGCCTACATTGTGTCCCTAACCATGTTTCCCAGAACTGACAGTCAGCCGCACCGCCTGCCATAGTACCAAGCAGAAAGGGGTTGATTTCGATGACTTTTTTCACAGTTTGAGATGCAATCCACTGACCTGCTGTGGCACGGGAGTCTACTGCCACTACAATACCACCTTGAAACCTGAAAGCTAGAGTGGTGGTACCATGGGCAATCTTGATCTTGCAGTCCGGGTTTTGCGAATCATCTGTGTGCGCTCTAAGAAATTCTTGTGGAGAGGATATAGGAGGAACGGAAATTTGGGGAGCTAGCCGATTGAAAAGCGCACTGCCGGTGACAAAATCGTTCTGTAGCATTTCTTCGTTATCGTATTGCAACTCCACTGCTAGCGCATTGGTGTGGTTAAATCTATCGGCAATTGCTTGCATATTATTGATAAAAACTTCGTGGCCGGATTTGAACACTCGTTAGAATTACCTAGTGTCTACTACCACGGGTTCTGCGGTGTATAGAAGACGTCCGTGGTTTGCCACCTTTATTTCTCGAAAATGAGCCGTACTGTGTGATACAGGATTTCAGCAGCAGGATTTCAGCAACGGTATGCCAGCCAAGGGCCGAGTGCTGCTGGTCCAATGGATTGGGATCTATCAGTGGCTAGTTTGATATTGAATTTTCTTGCAACTGATCAATGGTATAATGATCGTCAGCGCCTCCGGTTACCTTCAAAAGAGCATCTCCTTTGCACAGAACGGCACGAGTTGAATGTTGCTTGCAAGGGTGGCGACGGCTGGCGTGACTAGAATTGATCTGCCAGGTGTGTATGTTATAGCGGGGGTGTCAATGCCTGGTCAAAAAGCGAAAATGCCAAGTGTGAAGTGTCAATCAACGGAAACCCAAAGCCGAATTACCAGAACCTGTTGGCCTAGTCACTTTAGCTAAATCTTCTAAGCAATGGAGCGATGAAGTATTATAGCATAATTTTTGCACCGCTGCACCTTGAACAAAGCTATTGGTGCTGAACCCTAATATTCTGTCAAGATTATCATCAATTTACGACAGAATAGTACAAAGCGATAATGTTGAAGAGCACCTCCCAACTTGTCCACCACCGTACCATTCGATCCTGCGTTAGTCTCAGGTGGTACAATGCCGAATGCACTTCCTCTAAACATGAAGACACATCAGCGGTATACTGAATCTGTATAGATACTTAGCAGTTTCAGAGTATTATCTCGACCCATCGATTTATCTGACTGTGTCACTGCCAGTCTCACTGTCTCGTAAAATCATCCTCGTGGCAAGCTATACACCGCCTATATCACACTTCAGAAAACCAAACCAGTCACTATACCCAAGATTTGCCTAGGTTTTGTGCCATACCAACCCTCTCGACTTCCACTCGTCCCGCTGCCAAAACATTGTAATCTTATCACCATCCTGACCACTCAATCACTCTCCGCTACTATTAAGCCACCCGTATACTCGTGTTTCACCTCAAACCGTCTAGCACTCACTTATGATGAACCTCAACACACGAATTCGAGGTTTGTCTTTGTGTCACATTGAAACGTGTTGGAATTGCCAGATCTGGAAATTTAAGGGTAGGTTTTATAACACAAAGATGGGCGGCTAGATCGAGTATAAAAAGGCAGGGTGAACGTGTAAGTTCCAAGATACTAAACGGCATTCTAAACACATCAAGTCGGCACTTATCTGTAACGAGATAGTGAATTTAAAGGAAAACTAGACGTACAGCGACACCTACGTCGGTCATTTATCAGATACTACTAGGTCTGGCAACCCGCTCAGCGTGGGTTCGAAATATATAGACGAGCCCTGTGTGTAGACTTTGGAATTAGAAGGAGATTTCGGCTAGCGAGGTTCAGATGGGCTACGTGGGCGTAAACTCGGCGAAGTCTTGCCCTGAAACTAACGTGCCCCCGGATGTGGACCATCCACCGTTTTACATCCCAGTCAGATCCATTGCCGATAGATTCGCACTGTTGCAGGAGCTGGGAAACGGGAGCTTTGGATCGGTGACCCTTGCAAAGAAAACCGCGGGGAGTGAATGCAGACATTGCGAGACCAACGCGTTACACGAGAATCAGGCTGAATTTCAGCACACGCGATGTGCTTTGCATCCACAGTATCGCAACACGCTCATGGAGGAGTCTAAAATCCCCAACGTAGAAGAAGAAAACTTCCGCAACAAGCAGCGTGGTGTCTTGGCCATCAAGACGATGATGACGCGTTTGCCAACTTTGAACGACTACACTAGGGTACGCGAAATCAAGTTCATCTTGTCGATGCCAGCACACAAGAATCTGGTGCACATTTTCGAGCTTTTCATCGACGACGCGAATTACCAGCTCCATATCGTCATGGAGTGCATGGAGCAAAATCTGTACCAGCTCATGAGAGCACGTCGCAAGCGCATCTTTTCGTTACCTTCTCTCAAGTCGATACTGACCCAATTACTGGCGGGAATTCGTCACATTCATGAGCATGACTTCTTCCACCGTGACTTGAAGCCCGAAAATATCTTGATCTCGCCAGCTAACCATTACTATAGCAAGAAGTGGATACTAGATGGCCACTATCCTGACAACTATGTCGTCAAAATTGCAGACTATGGGTTGGCACGTCATGTCGCTAATAAGAGCCCCTACACCGCGTATGTGTCGACCAGGTGGTACCGCTCTCCAGAAATTCTGCTGAGAAAGGGATCTTACTCTAGACCACTAGACATATGGGCATTTGGATGTGTGGTGGTCGAAGTGGCCACTTTCAGGCCATTGTTCCCCGGATCGGATGAAATGGACCAAATCTGGAAAATTCTGGAAGTACTGGGTACTCCTCATAACATGCCTGAAAACAGTTTAACAGGCTACAAGCCCCACGGTGGGTTTTGGGAAAAAGCTCGCCAGTTGGCCTCTAGGATCCGGCTAAAGTTTCCCTATGTTGAAGGTGTCAAGGTAGAAGCTATAATTGATAATCCACATTTACAACTACTCTGTGATGTAGTGAAAGCTTGTCTCGTATGGGATCCCAAAAAAAGAGCTACAGTATCTGAATTATGTCGTATGCCGTATTTTGAAAACACAGAGGTGGCTATTGATGCCAGGTCGTGGAACGACGAGAACTCTGACCAAGTTGTAGAAAATGGTTGGCAACGTGATTGGGAATCAAAAGTTTCACGCGTAAAAAGCTACAGCGACCCCCAAAACTCCGAGATTTCGTCATTAGCCCCTAATATCATCGATTTCAATGGCGGCAACACAAATAATTCCAAAGAAGCACACTTATCCATTTCTCAATTCTTGAAAGAGTCTGCAGATTCGGGGCCCGAAACGGACTCGGCAGTTAGCAGTAGCATTTGTCATGAAGACAAAATTGGTGATCATGAAAATTTATTGAGTGGTGACTTGGCTGGTATGCCGCTGTCCGAAGTCTTGGAAAGCGATTTACCTCTATCTGACAGTCTGCCTGGGGAATCAGGGCGGGTAGAGTCAAATTCCACAGGTGGAAATGACAGCTTCGCAGATTACTATGCTACCAAGTCCACCGACTACGAGGGCCCTAACCTAGGTGCGCCAACAGACGATCTAGGTCCAAACTACATCCACTACGAAGACGTAATCGACCAGCAACTACACCCACGGTGCAATGTGTTAAGAGATATGTCTATTGTTTCCGATTCATCTGATCATGTACCGCGCTCTTTTGCGGTTCCTCGAATCACAGAAACTAGTGATACTTCTCTGCAAGAGCATGATAGCACTAACTTTTCGCATGCGAATAGCCTCACGTTTTGAAGGCTAAGATGAGTGATATAGTTAAGTGACGGGGAGATGTGATACTACCTATCCTCAGTCTCAAATCCCACTCAAGTTGATAACGGGCGCAATTTACCCATTTCGCCGAAGTCTACGTAATGTTTTCCTATCCTTACCAAATGGTTGCCCCATGGAGTTGATCGTCAGGTTGACCTCAATAGGTACGTCTCAGAAGGCCGGTTTTAATTGCTTTGTAGTGGTAAATGTGAGTTTCAAACATTCCGGCTCATTTTCAGATGGAAGAACTTCCCGACATGTGCCTCTTAAGCAGCTTTGCGTTCATAATCTTCATTCCTTGTTGATTTGACTTTGACAGCTTGTCAGGCTCCGCTGAAAAATATTGGTTAGATTCCTTTGGTACATGAGTTAGATTGGCACACGAGAGGATATCGCTTGCAGACTTTTTAGTAGATGGTCGAAATTATCAGGAGCGAATCGTCACGAACTGGTGAAGGTGAACGATCGTCCTTGTCCCAAGGTAAAAACGTGTACAGCCTGAATCTTGTTAGAAAAACAATCACCCGCAATTTCTCAAGTAAGACCACCGAACCTCCAACACAACATCAGTATCTTGGAAGATTAGTCTATTCATTGTGATGCTCTCGTCTTTCTTAATGTGTAGCTCGTTATAGGTGATCTCATCGTTCTATTGTTGTTTAAACGAGGCACCTAAGTCACAGGTGAAAGGATCCACATACAAAGTGTGTCGTTCTCAGTTAACACAAGCTTCTGCTCTGAGCAGTTGACTACACCGAAGGTTTCTCGAGCAATAGTCTACTCTAAGATTTTGGAACTCAGTGACTGTATACCGTGCGATTGGTATTTCCTATTCAATCTACTTTGAATCCAAGTTCTCGTATAACTGCAGATCATTCAATTGCGACTAGACTTGGGTGGTGAAACGGAGCTCAAGCCGAATAATCGAACACGCTTTTTGGTAAGCCAAGTGGAGGGTCGTTTAATTAGCGATCTGAAGGGTCCTGGTTTATCTTTGGTGGGTATAAAATAGGATACAAATCCTTGCTGTTGAGCATCGAGAGGCTGCCTTTAACTGGCACCTGTAACACCGTTAAATCCCATACCGATATGGCAGAAAATAAAGCCAACGAGAACAGTGCTGCTGGCGAGCACCCATCTGTCTACGATGATGCTTCGGCTTTGATGATGCTTTCAAGAGGAGCTAACCATAGCAGCAACAACAGCTCAGCCCCTGGCTCCCAAGCTCGTAGGGCTTCGAACCTTGTGGCCAGTCCGCATTCTGGATCGGAGCCTCACTCCTCATCTGTCAACGATAGCAGAAGTTTATCTGTGCCAGCTGATGGACTGGGAACGATGCTGCCGTCAAGCGCAGAGAGCAGTTCGTTAGGTCACGAAAAGAGGAATTCTTTCAGTTCATCATCGCGCCGAAGCTCAAGTAAAGGCATGGTAGCAGCCGCAGCTCTAGCTACCGCTGCCACCGTACCTTTGCCACTCAAGAAGCAAGACCAGGAAAGGCGTAACTCAAAGCATCAGAATGCCGATAATGATCTCGATGAGCAAAAGCAGCCGAAAGTTCCACCTGTACCATCGTCTTATATTGTGGATCCTGACGCTGGCGTCATCACCTGCATTTGCGGATTTGATGATGATGACGGCTTTACTATTCAATGTGATCACTGTAATAGGTGGCAGCATGCTGTTTGCTATGGTATTCGCGATATCGACTCGGCCCCTGACGACCATCTTTGCATCACTTGTAATCCAAGAAAGGTTGATGTTAAAAGGGCAAAGAAGAGGCAGCAAGACAGGCTCAACCCAAAGAACAAGCGCAGGCGAAAGAATAGCCAAGATGATGAAACAATAGGGAAGTCTGCCACCGCTGGTTCTGTTGATTCTACTAATGACACTGGCAGCAGCTTGCTCAACACCGGCACATCGAATGTTCCGGAGACAAAAGCTTTAGACAAATTGTTGACTGCTGCAGAGCACTACGCGGTAGTTTATGTACCTCTCTCTTCAAATGACTACAAAGACAAGTATGTTGAGATGTTTCTCGATAAGCATTCCGACGACGACTGGGTGATACCCTACAACAAAAGCACGTTCACACCTGTACCTTTAGAGGTTAAATCATATGCTGAAAATGCTCGCTCCTTTTCAGGTATGCCAAAGCTAGGGCTATTCACACGGCAGCTATGTCCAACCGGATCTTTCCTGGAGGAAGTTTTGGGGGAAATCGAATTCAGTAACAAGTACTATGGTGACTGTAGGAACAACTATAGAATATTTGGTACCACCAAAGCAAAAGTTTTGATACATCCACATTGGCCTATTTGTATTGATTCTCGGCTAAGCGGCAACCTTACGAGGTTTTTACGAAGAAGTTGTCAACCAAACGTCGAGCTGGTGTCTATTCGCATGATGGATGAGAGACCTCGAGTAAAGTTTGTTTTGAGGGCTCTTAAGGACATTGAAGATGGAGAAGAACTGCACATTGGGTGGCAGTGGGACCTGCGACACCCAATTTGGCATCTTATCAAGGGTGAAAGTAAAAACGTGGATTCACTGGATGACCATAATAAATTTACTTTGATCCATTCTATAGACACAATTTTGAGCACGACTGATTGTGCCTGCGGGAATAACAGTAGGGACTGTTACCTGCTGAAGGTAAAGAGGTATGCACAATCACTGGCTAAAGCTGTAAAGTCTAAGACGAACAGTCGCTACAAGCTCAGCGAGATCCTACAGTCCGCTAAAGAACGTTCAAACAAGGTTCAAGCACCTATCTTGTCGAGGCTAGCTCACGAGGCAATTGGAAACGCAGAGCGCGCGAATCAGCTATTGGTGAACTTTCATGCTGCTAAGTTGAACTTTGACAAAGAGGAGGGGGTGATAAAGGGCTCATCTGACCTGAACTCCCAGTTTGGAAGTGGCGCAAGAGGCCTTCCATTCAAATTTTACCTTATAGATAAGCATGCTAACTCCAAAAAGCAAGATAATCAACATGTGGGATCTGTGCACAACATTGACCTCTTCAAGAAGTATGGTGAATCTCAAGTTACAGATCTGAAAGCACTCCCACTGCCCGTGAATTTACCTCTGCCACCCGGTCACACACGCGCGGGCAAACTTGGCAGTGGTTTGGAAGCGGGATTGCCAGAACTTCTACAGGAGAATGATTTGAGAGATATGAAGTCACCTGTTGACACTGCGACGTCTATCATAAACACCGGCTCGATGATTGTTGAGAACCGCAACCCGCTGAAAAAGAAGTTGAGTTTTGCAGACTACAAAAGAAAGATGAAACCTGTATAAGAGGCATGGTAAGAGGCATGAGTTGTGCAATCTAAAGCATTCAGCCAAGGGTTCTTTGATATACCATTGCAAGCCAACTGGATCTCCGCTAATGTTATGGTCTCACGAGTACTCTGGGACTCGTAGATACTGGGTAATTAAATATAAAATTTTCTAAAAATTAATAGAATTTAACACATCTACGGTTCTTTAGAAGCAGCGGATCTGTTGAGACGATCCTAGCCAGCGTCTAGTACTCTATTCAATACTATGGCTCACAGGGCTTTATTTCAGGTTGTTTTTACCGGTGCTCAAGTCTTCGGGAGAGCCTTTACAGAGGCCTATAAGCAAGCTGCAACTCAGGCTGGAAAATCCGGTGCTAACGCTGCTAAAGCAGGTACTGCCAAAGCTGAATATGGTGGGATCACACTTGATGAAAGCTGCAAGATTTTAAATATTGAGAATGAGGCGGACTGCGAGAGCGCTGACAAAATCGAGGAACGATTCAAGTACCTGTTCGACGTTAACGACAAGGAGAAGGGCGGAAGTTTTTACTTGCAAAGTAAGATATACCGGGCAGCGGAAAGGCTGAAATACGAGATTGCGGAAAAAGAGAAACTTAACGGCACGGGACAGACGAGACAGACGGAAAACAAATCTGAGAAGCCGTCGCCAACTCCGTGAGCCACTTGCCATATTGGAAGGGGCTGAACAAACATATGCATTCAACAAGCAGGCGGACAGGCAAATCCCGACGGGACATTGGCGCAGTTCGAACACCAATGGACCTCCCACTGTGTAATCTTGTACATAATCAGGTATTAGGGTAGTCATCGACACCCCAAGGCAAAGATCTCAAGTTCATGCTACGCTCTCTCCTCATAAGGCTCTTTGAAGCTAAGACAAGTTTGGCGTGGCCTGCATTTGCCACTACTCTCGTATCTACAGAAATATCTTGCAACTAACATGTTCTGGCATGGAGAGAGGCACAACAGACAATTCCAAACTCTCAGAACGCACTACACGTTCCTCTGGAAGCCATGCTCTTACGCACAGGCCCATTTTACCGGGTCGTATGCGCACCTCCCCATAGCAGTGGATTTGATCTAAGAAACCGGAAACGAAATGTACTCTGTTGCCGCCCTGTTTGGGAGCGGTCAGAGTGCACTCAGCTATGGGTTATGACTTGAATCAATGAATCCCGTATCAGTATCAACTTCGACAGAGCCCCACCACACGCACTCGCGTACGTGTGGCCACAAACTCCATCTTTAAATACACGGATCATCGAAACATTCGGTTCCTATAAAATTTTGGTAATTAATATTATCTTGAGATAGTATTAACCACTACTGATGATGGTTTCTTTAAACAAGAACTAAATGTAGAGTTAGAATAGACTTTCTGAATTTTCTTGATCCTTATATAGTCATCTCATTCATCAGAGAAAAAAATCGCTAAACATGGTTACCCGGTATAACTACTGACGAGCCTTAGGGCGTGAACCGAAGGAAGTGGACAGGCCCAGGTAGAGACGTCAACAGCTCTCAATCGTATTCGTACATCCGCCAATTGCGCTTCTCTGTGGTCCAGACGCATTGCTCCTTTTTTTGGTCAAAGATGGGCTTTCTGTAGTGTTATATTTTGATGAAATCAGCATTCAGTTCATCGCCTGAAAAACTTGACTCTGGAGACTCTGATGACGTGGTAGTAGATTCATCTTCATCCGATGAGCTTACTGGTAAATTTAATGTTGTCATTTCACTCATTTTGCCATTATCACTATAGGCATTTGTCCGGGCCATGCCAGGTTGCGTGGCTGGCCGCAACCCGTACCAAGAGGTCCCCGACGCCAATAAAGGATCTCTTTTTCTAAGAGGCGGTAGAAGGTACGCTTCACAAGGTATTTGGGTCAAGGGTACGCTTGAGGGGGTGATTTCGTGGTTTTGTTGGCGATGCGGATATTTGCAGTGGATCAAAAAACATTCTGGGGTGTAAGTAGAGTCTGGGCATTCCAGGAAATGAGGGAACGGACAGCTCAATCCACGGTAGCAGTAGCCCATGTGTGCAAATTGCCGGCACGTTGGAAATCGCAGGTTGACGTTTTCGGAATGAAAGAATAGACACCGGGTCTCGTTCGCATGTAAAGAGGCCTCTGCTCCGAGTTGGAACTCGCATTTCTGCTCTGCAAATTTGCGACACTGAGGCCACACAAATTCGCTACCGCCCGTGTGTGTAAGTCTGCACCTTTGACCGTATTTACAAGTTCCTGTCGTCAGGTAATCTCGGCACACGGACACTTTTGTGGCATCGTGGAGAAATTTGCAGCTCTGGTTTGTGCAGGTCCCCAGCTTGCAATAGAACTTACAGTATGCAGCATACGAGTTGAGATTTCGGGACGCTATAGTGACACGATAACCATTCCCCACCCACTGATATCTGTAGTTGTTCCATGTCAATTTTGGCAATTGCTCATATATCTCGCTGGATGCTCCACATATATTTTCTTGCCATCTTAAAAAGCTCAGGTAGCTTTCTTCGGTCAAATTCATCTGCCGAAGTTTGAGCTTGAATTCCTCGGTATTGCTTCCCAACGCCGAAATCTCGTGTTTGGACAAACTGACATTTTCTAGTGATATTCCCAATTTCTGGATTTGGAAAGCTCTTGTATTCCCTAGTCGGTCAGTTACAGTGCATAGGTCCAATTCAGGGTTGTTTTGCAATGCATCCCAGATTTTTTGGAACCTGCCTTCGGCTGTACTGTAATTAGTTTTAATCTTGTGCCTCCAATTTTCGACGTTTCTGCGTTTCTCCGCAACCTTATCAACCACGTTTACCTTTGATCCATATTTCACCAAGCGGTACCGTTGTTTAGCTTGTTCGAGATTCAACGCAAAGTATCCTTCGATTTCTTCGTCCAAGTATCGCAGCCTTTGTAGTAACTTGTCTTTTGGCAATTCAGTAGTCATTTAGGACTCTAACGCTATACTGGGTGAGATCAGGTCTGGCGTGACAGTTAATCCAAACACTATGTATCCTTCATGGACCTTAGAGCTAGTATGAGCCTCTACTTCCAAAATGCTCTTTGTTCGACCAATATAAGGTTTATATTAGGTATCGATTTGATGAACAATTTTGGTCATTTGAATCATCAACAGACGGTAAGATATGGGTAGGTCGCTTGCTATCGCATTGGGCGTCAAGCAGATACCTAACATCATTCCAGTGGATAGAGATAGCGCGAAACAACTGTGCGAGCAAGTCCTACAGTCGCATGGTGAGGAACCTGAAAAGATTGCTGAAAAGTTCCTGGAGATATTGGGGTCTGAAGACATTTCATTGAACTTTGTACTTCAGTTCAATGAGCAACTGAATCTCAAGGAGCCCTCTGAGCCTTCGGCTATCAAAGCAGACTCTGTTTCGTCTTCTAAAAATTCGCACTCTACGTTAACAGCTGGCTCCTTGGAGCCTTTGAAGAATAAAAAACCAGTTTCTACATCAGTGGCAAAGCCTGGTAAGGTAGCTGGGTCCTCTTCCTTGCCTTTGAAGTCGAAACCAAATCCGAAAACTGCCCAAGCTGTACAAGAGAAACCTTCAAAAAATGCCAGACAACGAAAGCTGCAGAACCTGCACGAAATCGACGACGTTCTCAAGGTCTTGGAGCTGGAGTCCACCGAAAGTGATTCAAAAAATTACAAGTGTAACTGCCAGGGTCGCAGGCACCCATTGTTTGAAATAGCGCCCAATTGTCTGTCCTGTGGTAAAATCATCTGTGCGCGAGAGGGGCTTCATCTAAGCGAGTGCTCATTTTGCGGAGCGGAACTGATGACCTTAGAGGAAAGGACTAGTATAATAGATGTTTTGAAACAAGAAAGGGAAGACTTGAAGTCGTCTCACTCGCCTGTGGCAGTTGAACGGCCCAAAAAGAGCAAAAGTTTCAAGATTAGCTCAGGCACGGGAACTAACTTGTTCTCCGAACAAGACAGGCTCTTTGAAAGACTGGAAAAGGAGAAACAACGAGAGCTTAAACGAAAGGAGGTTTTAGATGGCATTGGAGAAACCCAAAAGCAAAATCCCACCGCTGCAGACGACGATGAAGAAGATAAGGAGTTGAGGAATGCCCAAGACCGACTAGAAAGGCTTTTACATTTTCAGGATACATCTGCCCAACGTACAAAAATTATAGACAACGCCAGCGACTTCAGCATGAGCAACGATTCCAATATATGGGGCAATGCCCAGGACCGTGCTTTAATGCTAAAAAAGCAACAAAGGAATGTTCGAAGATGGGAGAAACTGGAACAAGAACGTCGTGGTCGACGCGATAAGGTAGTTATGGATCTTGTCATCGGTAAAGATGGTAAAGTAATTATGAGGGAGGCTACTAGGGTTCCCAAGACAGCACATGCAGCAGATGATGAAGATGTTGAAGATATCAGTGATGAAGAAGATGCAAAGGATTTAAGAGATATAGCTGGGCTGAGTGACTCACTTTCACAGTCGAAAAAGGATGAAGAGGATTTACTAGCATCGAATATATGGGACTCTGAAAAGGATCGGAAACAACTCAAAAAGCCCGTATATGTTGGTTTCTCCGGTGATGAGATTGCAAATAGCAGGTATACAAACGAGCAAAGCATGGGAAATAGGGTACAAATAAGCCAAGACAGTGAAAATTCTCTAGAACAAAATATTTTGGCTGTTCTGTGAGCTACAACGATAAAAAATGTGGTGGTCTGGCCCTCGTATTGGCTGCTACGTCTCATTCGATGCAAAGTTGCTTTGGTATGTATAGATTTTTCGTTCATAAGTTTGGTGCGTGACCAGGTCTAGTCGTAGTCCGCAATTGAACGGATTAATGTTTTCGAAGTTTATATGACATTTCACGATAAATTTGCAAAGTCTTTTCTCTTCGATGAAGAAGTGCGATTCATTGCGGCATTTGGATCAGGCCAATAATTTGCGTGCAATAAGACGTTATTTGTCAGGCGTATTTCGCTAAATTCTAAACGCGCGGTTGTCTCTTACACATAACTAAAGATGACAGAAAAATAAATGTTAATGCAAAAAACGCAACAGTGATAGGCTATGTAGATGAATCAATTTTAATAGTTGAATTCACTTTGGCTTTGACGCAGTGCCAAGTTGGCCATACGCAGCATTTTTGACTTGGCGTCCTCCTTAGGTTTCTTGACAGCATTCTCACTATTATTATTTTTGACACTCGAATTGCCCATAGCTTTTGGTCTTTCTCTAAGAGCGAAACTTTTGGCCAAATGGCCTAAATGCAAACACTTGATGTTGAAGAATTTCTTCTCAGTGGACAGATGAGTGGCGTAGGCTCTAATGTGACTAATGTAACCCTTCACGGCGACATCCTTGAAAGCTTGGTCCTCGAGAACTCTCCTCTCTACGTTGAGATGCCAAGTCGTGGCATTGTTATCCCACTCTGCCGAAACTTCTCTCTCATCCTTTTTATCGTTCCTTAACACACTAGAATCTGCAAAAGCAACTTTCAGTATTTCAGTGTCAAACTTCAACAGTTTCCAGCCTTTAGGATGATAAGGTTTGATGTGATCCATATAACCTTCTTCTTCGCCCGGTAGCAGGAATAGCAGCGATTCTCCACTCACACCGGCACGAGCTGTCCGCCCAATCCTGTGTAAATGGTCTTCAACGGCAAACGGAGGGTCAAGCTCGATGACGGAACTCACGCGAGGTAAATCTAGACCTCTACTCGCGACATCTGTACAAAACATAATCAAGTGCTTCCCGCGAGTTGCATCTGTCTCATTTGTGAAGTTGTGAAGGGTTGCCGTACGAATCTGCTGAGATAGCGAGCCATGCAGTTTATAGCACACCACCGAAGGCGCAGTGACCTGAGATAGACAAGGTAGCGAGGTAGAGTTACCTGACAGCGCACGAACAGAGTCACCTACCAGGCTTCGACTTTTCCCCCCGTCAGCAGAAAACACATCGTAATGAAACTCAACACTATCGGAACACGACAGGAAAATGATGGTACGCATGGTGTCTTTACTACCAGAAGAGATATGCGTTGCCGTTAAATTACTGAGGTGAGCAGATAGAGTCACCAATCGCAGTTTTGGTGGGACAATTGTGATACTTTGAAGCAACTGATCAGGAACAGTGTTCACTTCTTGCTGCTTTTGGCCGCTACTTATCAATTTGTAGTCTTTAAGAACGACATTACCGAGCTTGCTAACACTACCCTTTAGAGTAGCACTGCACAATGTATGTACGATTCGCCTAGGGAGTCCTGGATACTTGGAGTGATCCGGAGGAATTTCGTGCAGCAGCTTGATAATATCAGAAATCGTTTCTTCAAAACCCAACTCCATCAATTTGTCACCTTCATCTAAAATCAAGTACCTCAAGGTAGAAGCAAGTTGTTCTCGGATGACCCGAGTGTTTTGCAAATGATCCAGGATACGTCCTGGAGTGCCGACTATAAAATTGCAACCTTTGCGAAGTCTTGCTTTCTCCGCTTTCTTACGTTCACCACCAATGAGCAAACAGGGAACCAAATAATGACAACATTGTGTCAAGGTCAGCACGACCGAGTAAATCTGAGATGCTAGTTCTCGGGTTGGCGTGATGATCATCGCGAAACAGCCCGACTGGCGATCAACATGTGCTTTCATCCCCAAAATACGAGTAAGAATAGGCAGCAAGAACGCCAGCGTCTTACCAGAACCGGTTTGTGCGTGAACGAAAACATCGTTTTGAGCTGCAATCAGCGTGGGGATACTGAGTTTCTGCACACGGGTTGGTTTTGAAATCCGCATTTTGTCGTTTAGGTGTTGTAGAATCGGTGAAGTAATTCCTAGAGCTTCAAACGAATCTTGTAGCAGCGGGGCATTAGATGGACTGACTTCAACCTTATCATCGTGGGCATTGCTGTTTACCGAAGTGGTTATTTCCCGATTAGAAGTGAACAGCGACGACACAAACTGCGTGCCAGTATTGCTGTTAGAGCTGTTATTAGCATTATCTTTGCGGCTGTTAGCGTTACTACTGCTGCTACTCTTGGTGCTCCTTCCATCTTTTCCATCAGTTCTCGCGATTTTCCGCACACTGTTTGCACCACTGGCGCGACTGGCATCTCGAGCCCGCTTGAGCATCCCTTGCTGCACCTCCTGGCCATCTCCATCCCCATGATGTGAGCTGTTGAACTGTTTGTTCGCTCTTCTTCTATCCTTCCACTTTCCCCCGCTTACTTTGACTTTTCTCGGAGTCGAATCCTCACCAACATTGGTGTCAAGGTTCAAAAGCATCATGCCATCGTCCTCACCCATTTTTCCAGCGGTCAAGGCTCAAATTAAGCTATGATTAATGTGTTTATTCTCGCGATGAGCTACGCGATGAGATGATGTTCAGTATGCAATTATATCAAAAATTTTCAACTATAATTTAGATGTCAAAAAAGCTCGATGAGCTCTAAGGCCGACGCAATACGTTGATCAACGTATATGAATAGCCTTCCAATGTCCGAGACACCAGAAAGGCTAGAGAGCCAACTCTTTGTTTCTGAAGATGATGAAGATGTTCTGATGGATACCAGTGGGGCCGAAAATGGCGAGGAAAACGACCCTGTGGTTAATGAAATACCGATCAACCTCACAAACGGTCCATTCCCCATTCATATTATTCAGTATCCAAATAAACCTCGGAAAACAGCACACGACGCAGTGCTGCACCCGCCGGTAAGTAATGTGAGATACAGGACGAAATCAGCCCTTTGGGAACTGGATATACCTGCAAACACCGAAGTTTTCTATGACAAAAACAGAGCTGAAGACGATTGGGAGTCAGTAGCGCACCAGACCCTGAAGGGAGTTAGTGTAAACCGTGATGGGCAGTACGTGGGGATGATGTCAGAAAACCAGCTGTATTTGATTCCAGTGCACGCGATAGCCCAGGTGAGGCCATTTTTCAAATATATAGATACAGCCGCGGCCAACAATAAGCGAGATGATGACGACTCGAGCTCTGCACAAACAGCTAACCCACAGGCGAAAAAGGCCCAGGTGGTCACAATGTCGGTGAAAAGCAGTAGCGAAGCCAACCAACATCGGCTAGGTGGGTCTTTGCTCGCCCACAAGGTGGCAGACGAGGAAAGGTATCAAGAGCTGGAGTGGATCGAGGGCACTTTCCCGCAATTTAAGGAAAGCATCATCACGGAAGAGGCTAGGGTTTCTCTCAAGGCCGTGGGAGATGAAAATGACTATTTATCAAAAGCTATGTAGAGGATTTGAGTAGCTAATAGAGGGATGATAACGCACCGGGCAGCGCGTTGATATAGTGAGGCGCAATTTGACCTGCTGTCATTAATCATACCACATCTTGATCAGCTCCTCGGAGACAGCGCTAGGGGTCAGGACGCCCAGATCTGTTATCAGCGCAGTTATGTATTCGTGCGAGGTGTAATCGACCGCGGGTTCTAAAATCGACTGGTCACTTTCGTCGTTGCGGGTAAAGTCAAGCGGTCCAGCGGTGGGCGGCAGGTCGTCGGGGGACAGAGGGAACATTCTTACAAACTTGTGCGACTCTGTCACCACATAGAAAGGTTTGTTGGCGTTTTTTGCCAAAATTCCAATGGAGTATGTTCCTACAAGGTTGATAACACCGCCAGATTCAGCCACTCCTTCTGCACCCACGAGCACTTTGTCCACCTTGTGTATGATACTACCAACGGCGCTGTCGACCACCATCTTCACAGGAATACCCTTTTCCTGCAAAAGCTTGTAGAGCTGGGAACCCTGCTCCGTGGGTCTAGATTCCGTGACCACAACACGGAATCTCACGAATTTACTGGCGGCATGGCTTAATACAGAGTAAACGGCTCTAGAGAAACCATGCACCAAGATGATATCGTCATCAGAAATGAAATCCAAGCCAATTCGGGCGATGTTGTCTCTGGATCTCTTTGCTCTAGAAACAAAAAGCCTGCCGTTTTCCACCAAGTGTTTCTGACAACTTTCCCAATCACCATACAGATGCGTATTTCTGAACACAAATCGCATGAAAATATCACAACCGGCCCTTAGTGACATAGAATTTGGAATCGAGGTTGTCAGCGTCTCTGCTGCAGACTTGATAGTATTAATCATTTCCGCCGAAGTCCCAGGTTGTTCTACTCGCAGCATGGTTACAAGTGATTCAATGGCAGCGATTGGCATCGTCATTTCGCTGTCGTCTTCAAGGAACTTTAGATAAGTTTTGGTTATATCAAATCCGCTGCTCATGGTGTGGAATATATCTCTGTCTGTTGGAAGCTATAGGATAGCCTTCTTGCCTTGCTTTGGTGGTCCAGCTTGATTTCAAATAGTTGATGATAATAGTTAAATTCAATTTTATAAACGTCGATGAGAGATGAGCTTGCCAATCGGAAAAAAAATTCACAGCCATTGAAGCACATTTATGAGCTTTGAAGCCATAAAATATGTTTGAAAAAGGGTTGAGGCGACTGGGGGTCGTAAGGCGGTTTTTTTCAGCGAAAACTGACACTTCATTGGTGAGGAATATTGGAATAATAGCACACATCGATGCCGGTAAGACTACCACCACTGAGCGCATGCTTTACTTCAGCGGTAAGACAAAAAGGATAGGTAACGTTGATGAGGGAGACACTATCACCGACTTTTTGCCTCAAGAGCGCCTAAGAGGCATTACAATCCAAAGTGCCGCGATCTCTTTTAACTGGCAGAACAAGTTCAGAATCAATTTGATTGATACTCCGGGCCATGCAGACTTTACCTTTGAGGTCATAAGATCTTTGAAAGTGCTGGACGGATGCGTAACTATTCTAGATGCGGTAGCTGGTGTAGAAGCACAGACTGAAAAAGTGTGGAAACAAGCCAAGGGTATACCGAAGGTGTGCTTCATCAACAAGATGGATCGTGCTGGTGCCGGTTTCAGTCGTACGGCAAAAGAGATAATTGCTAAACTGAATACTCGTATTTTACTTGTAAATACCCCCATTTTCACTGCGGACCCTGTTTCAAGGGAACCGGTGTTTGAAGGTGTGTTGGACGTTGTAGCACAAAAGGTGTTGAGGTGGGATTCTAAAGACCCACTAAAGGTGTCTGTCGAGGAGGTAACAGTGGACTCTCAGTATTGGAGTGAACTTGTACAGCTGAGGGAATCCATGATCGAAACATTAAGTGAGTTTGACGAGGAACTGGTGGAATATTTTCTGGAGACCGCAGAAGGCGAATACATGAGAATACCTTACGATGTTCTGATCAAATCAATTCGAAAACTTACGCTGGCTAACTTTGCTACTCCCATACTTTGCGGAGCCTCATTTCGTAACATGGGCGTCCAACCATTGTTAGATGCTGTTGTCAATTATCTTCCGTCACCATTGGAAGCCAAAAAGCCAGAAATCAACACAGACGTCTCCATCGAAGTGAGTCAAAAAGGAGGCGCTGTCGTCAATAAAAACAATAACTTATGTGTGGCACAGGCCTTTAAGGTAATTACAGACCCCATCAGAGGAATTATGATTTATGTTAGGGTTTATGCCGGGTGCTTAAATAGCGGGTTCACCGTTTACAATTCGAGCACCGGTGCCAAATTCAAAATCGGAAAACTGGTTGTAATGCACGCCAATGTTGCAGAAGAAGTCAAGGAGCTGAGATGTGGCGAAATTGGTGTATTGACGGGCTCAACCGTTTCCGAAAATGTTAGGACGGGTGACACAATTGTGACGCACTGTATTAAAAAGGATGGTCTTAGATCGCTAGACAAAATAAAAGAATTGGGGCTAAAAATCAATCCGATCGAGACGCCGCCGCCTGTGTTCAGCGCCGCTATTGAGCCCAGGACCCTGGGTAACAAAAAGATGATGGAAGATTCCATTTCTAAGCTTATAAGGGAAGATCCTAGCTTGCATGTTAGTGTCGATGAGGAGACTGGCCAAACGCTGCTCAGCGGAATGGGTCAGCTGCATCTGGAAATTGCCAAGGATAGACTTCTTAACGAGCTCAATGCTGACGTGGAAGTTGGAAAAGTCATGGTCTCCTACAAAGAAACGATAAATGCATGCTGCGAGGTCCAAGATTTAGAAACTGAGGATGGCTTTAAATTTTCTATTACTGTTGAACCACTAGAAGTTGCTAGAGCATCGAAAAATCATGATGATCTTTGGCAGTCGCTTTCATTGGATGATAATTTTCTGATTATGGAAGGCCAATTGAATCATGGTCAGGAGTGGCCTTTTCAAGTGACCCTTGAACAGATCACAAGTGCCTTGATATCAAGCAGTATTGCTGCCTTACAGAAAAGCGGCAAGATTGCCAATTTTCCGTTGCACTCATGTGTTGTAAGAGTTAAAAGTGGCTGGACCATCCCCTTAGATGAAACTTCGGTGTCCAAGATTCTCACTCAGACCAGAATGTTAATCTTCGAAGCTTTGAACAAACTTGAAAAATCAGAGTTTGCGGTGTTGGAACCTATAATGCATATCAGTGTGAATGTGAAGCAAGGTGATATGGGTCATGTTTTACAGGACTTAACTGGTGCTCGGAAAGCCAACATTCTGTCCATAGACGATGAATACGATATGAATAGCGGGGAAAACGTGGATGTAAAATTCCAAAAAATAGCCGAAGATCAATACCTGCCAAAAGATTCAACGATGGGCAAGGCCAGTATTTCGAGTAGCGCAACAGCCAATAAGACTATCAGAGCTTTGGTGCCACTTAAAGAGATGGTGACATATATGAACCGGCTGAGAAGTTTAACACAAGGCAGTGGAAGCTACCATATGGGCTATCATGGGATGGAGCAGGTAACCACTGATCGATTACCCAACATTTTGGAGAATTATTAAAGCATCTGTAATTCAGTTTCACCTACGAATATACCTTGTAAATAAAATGACTTGTGGTGAAGTGTCTAAGTAGTTTTCATAACAATACCATAATAGAAGATATGAAGCTAATAAAACGAGTGGGCCCAAACCGAAAGTAATAACTACTACATTATATAATCGTAGCTAAGTTAACCTGTGGCTTTTGTTACTGCTACTCGCTCGCCAAGTCAGCAAATAAAACCAGTGATATTCTCAGGGCCCCATCTTGACCTAAGGTTTTTGATAAAATTGAATTTGGCGTATCTTCTGCCGTATTTATTGTCATTAGTCTGTCCAATCGAATTGATAGTCTTCCTTCTAGAGACTTCCAGCAATTGAGTTTAACCCTGAGGAACATCATTGTGATGACTAGTATTTACAGCTTACTTTACTTTTGTTAGTCTCTCATAACCAACCTGTTAGGCTCCCTCTGATTATTGCACCTCTGGTACTATTGTGGTTTCACGACAAGTATTGAAATAATGACAAAATGTGAGTCGGGCAATATTTAATAGTTCCGTGTAGCCATGAGGCCCTAATAAATATATCGCCAACCAGTCTTCGCCAGCCAGTGTTCGCCAGCCTTGTTGGGTCACAAAGAAACCCGACGCCCATGCGTCAATACGACAGAAATTACTATGTGCTGATTGAGATCGAAGGAAATAACAAGAAAAACACTAGTGCACAGCGCATGTTCCGAGAAAAGATACTTGCGAAGTAAGTTTATGGAGGATGTCAATAATAGCAAGTAGGAAGCGTCATCAGCTCTTGACTTACATTAAAATCATGATAACCAGCCACGAAAATGATAGTCAGCATAGTAAAAGTTAAAACCAGCTGATTTAACTCATCGTAACAAGTCTTATTCCTCGTGGCCCAATGGTCACGGCGTCTGGCTACGATTGTATCCACTTCTGAGACCAGGAGATTCCAGGTTCGAGTCCTGGCGGGGAAGACTTTATTTTTGCCTCCTCTACCCATGGGGTAGGTTCGGCCCCGAAGAACTTGACCATGATAACCTTAACGCCATTACGTAGAACCTGGCTGCAACAATTTCAAATCTGAACTCTTTCAACAATTTTATCAGTGCTTTCTATAACTTATTATTTAACAAATAGTGAGCAATCTCATTACCAAAAAACGCAGAGAGCTCTTCATTGCTGTTGTCATAATGTGTGATTCTCGCGATCATTTTCAGCATATCGTAGTTGATTTCCGTTAGAAGTCGGGAGTCATTCTGGTACGCGCAATGGGTGGTAATGTACCGACGTAGAAAGTTTGCTGTTGTGGGTATCACTCCCATCGCTCTGTCAGACACCAACTTTAAATAATAGTATAGTCTGACATGGCCGGCTTCACTAGAACTGCGCAGCTCTGTCCACGATTTTGTAACGATGTTTTTGCGCCTTAGTATGGGTTCTATAAATTGTGGAAAGATTCCCGAAGATCCGTTATGAAAAATGTTGGACAAAGTTGATTTTGCAGTCCCTTCATTTGTGAATGAGGTCTTCCAATAAAACTCCCCGCCTCGAGCCGCATCACGGCCATGCGCCGTAGCCATATTTTCCCATATCTGGGACATTGGCATGTAGGCGTTGATATCGTTGCTGAACTCCAGTAAACATTCCACGATCAAAAACAAGAAAGTTGCATAAGCGGCGTTCTCGAAATCGGTGATGTGTATCTCCATTGGACGGAATTCAACGCGCCATCCTGGAACATCCCTATTGCTAGGTATAGCAGCTTGCGTGGGTGGTTTGAATCGCAGAGTTTGCCAATTGGTGCTTTGAATATTTTCAAAGTGATCGGTGGAATTCTCATTATCCTGCATCACGCGCTCTTCAAATACCACTAAAGGATCTCTTATAAAAAGATGTGCGAAGTGACGAGCCAAGTCGTAATCCATAGGAAATACATCATTTGTTTGAAGTTCCTCCAAAACGGCCTCGTTTACGGGAACATCTGTGTCATTAAACTTGCGGTCAAAAAAACTGTTTCCGCCTAAAAACAAATCGACGGTGCTGTACCTAGATTTGGGAATCCGCAGAGGGTTGGAATTGGTAGAGGCGCCGTGCCCATTATTGAATTCTGGAAGAAGAGGTTCCACACTGCGTTCGTAAGGAGTGCGATCGTCGACGGCTCCTTCAATGACGTTCCAACGGACATCTTGATCCGCCAACCATCCTTTAAAGACCGGCGAAGCTGCTGTCGCCGCGAGAAAGACGGGGGCAAAGTTAAGGAGCGAATCGTAGAGATACCGCGCCTTATCTACAGTGGGTGCTTGAAATGTAATTTGCAAACAACTGCAGCCCATCCCAAATCCCATGGCATCCATGTAAATATGTCCCGGTTTTGCCGCTAATGCAGCCTCTTGATCCTCGGGAGCAAACCAGTCACGTTGGTAAACGGTGTCGTCGTTCTCAGGCGTATTTTCATCCTGATACATGGGAACATTGATGCAAACCTTCTCGCCTCTTCTGGTACGGATATTTGCTGTCAATGTTGGGAAACGGGCGTGACGATTGATCACTTGGTCCGGCAAATACAATGACCGCGAAGCTGTGTTGCGGGAGCTCCACACCTCTGCCACATCAGTGAAGCCAGGGCACCCCATTCGCGGAAAGACTGCGAGGGAGAGCAGTTGCACACCGCTTTTCTCGAGCTTTTCCTCCGCCAAAGCCCTTCTTTGTGCCATGTTCTCTTCGACGTATTGTAGAGCAAAACCGGTGTAAGGCCGCGAAGGAGTGGCCTCAATCATAAATCTGCCATATTCAGGATGAAAACACGCATTGTGGGCCTCGCATTCTGCTTTGTATTTAGTCTGCAATTCGGATAAAATATCGTCGTTGTCGATCGCCAAAGTAGCGTTTCGCTGCCCGTCATCAATCGAACACAGCATGTACTCCACTTCATCGCCCCACAGCAAGGGGTCGTCTTTCCGGCCGTTCGCTGCGCGAAAGACACTCACCAATTGTTTGATCCCATTTTGTCTTACATGTTCGTTGTGCTGGCGAGACTCAAGCCATTGTAGAGGCGTGCCTAAAGACAGTAGACCCATCTTGATGCTGGCGCCAGACGCTTACTCGACAATTGACGTGCTCCCCACTATTATTGCACCTCCACCTTGGATTTTAAATAAATCCTTGTTGCCGTCAAATAGTATGACAAATCAAAGTGCGAAAACTTCTTCTGACAACGCTGGTAGCAGCAGCAGAGGCAGAAACTGGTGAGCGTTTGCCAAATGAAGATGAACTTTTGAAAAAAAAAAGCACGCCGACACCTTAACTGCAAATATGCCAGGTCCCGTTTGATTCAGTGGTCCTGCAGGAAGCAATTGCCTGGTCCGTCGAGCTGGGGTGATAAGGAGCTCAGTCGACACTCGATGATCATATCACGTGCCAAGTCATCAGGCAAGGGCAGTTCTACGACAATTATTCTGAAGATCGTTCCAGCGCACTATTGGCTTTCAGGGTACTTGGTACTGCTGGCGGTCGTGTAGGTATTAATGATATGCTTTTCTGTACCTGATTCGGGTCCCCTAGGCTCTAGAGTGTGACGCTCTAGTTTCGTTTATATACCAGCGCCAAAATCTGGTGACTTTATCAGAGTTTTTTCGACCCTTACTGGACTTATTCTAGTCAGAGCCAGTTTTCGACCCGTGGGCTGTTTTCCCATGATTTGGAGAAAAGGCCCCCAAACCTCGTGAAAACCGTGGTTAGCTCTCTTCGCCATGGCATGAATCTAATATACTTGCCTTTAGCCTTCACTGTAATCTCCAACTACAGCACATCGACTCTCGTACTTCAGCGGCTCCTGCCTTGGTTCTCTTCAACACTTTGGAGATGGGAGGGAAGAGTATTTTTAGTTCTTCCCGCCATCTTCGAGTTTTATTTGGAGTTCCATAGAGCCTCCTTGAACAAGTTGCCATATTCTTTGTACTTATACTCTGATTGTCAAATTGTGTTTGAAGAACATTCATTTTTTATTGAGGAGTTGATTGATATTCCTTAGAGGACGATTATTTCCTTGGAATCTTAAAAACTCATACGCAAGCTTAAATCTACAGCTATCAGGCAGTTGTAGATGGCAAACCAGTCTGATCATATACCCAATGTTAATCAGACTGTGACCACCAACACATATGACTGGCTACGAAGCCGGGAACAAGAAGAGCGATTGAGCTTCTCGGCAAACTCAGCCGCAGCCAGGCATCCAATGGGCAGATGGACCAGCTTTGTTTGGAATAGTAGCAATGCTGCAGATATAAGCCCTTACGAAATACAGTACTCTGTGTTTGAGACTGTTTTTGGTTACACCAAAGGGCCCCAACTGCCCGACAGAGAAGCCAAGAGAAAGGAGTTCCGTGATGTAGTTCAAAACTGCACGAAAGCGATCACAGAACATGGCATTGAACTCCAGCGCATCAAAACAGGCTCCAGCGGATCATATTTCGTATACGGTTGGACTGATCCAACTATTCCATTGGGGGTTTTTAAACCCAAGGACGAAGAGCCATATGGTCCCTTATCACCAAAATGGACTAAGTGGGCACATAGGACATTTTTCCCTTGCTTCTTTGGACGAAGCTGTTTAATTCCAAACTTGGGATACGTTTCCGAGTCCGCCGCGAGCGTGTTGGATGAGCTTCTGGGAACTAATTTGGTGCCCCATACCGAAATTGTGACGTTGATGTCTAAAAACTTTTACGACAAGAAGAGAGCATGGTTTTCTACAGAAGCACGCGCAAGAGAAAAAGTAGGATCTTTCCAGCGCTTTGTGGAGGGGTTTTTGGGTGCTGGTGAGTTTTTAGAGAAACACCCATTCCCTGGCATGTATCGAGACACACAGCAAGTGGTTCGACCAAACGACGAATTTCATTGGAACACCCAAACTCTGTCATCTTTTCGCTTGGAAATCGAGAAACTAATTATATTGGACTACCTTATGCGAAATACAGATCGCGGACTTGACAATTGGATGATTCGAGTGCGCCAGCTACCGAACAAGACCTGGGAGATCAAACTAGCGGCCATTGACAACGCCTTGTCTTTTCCTTGGAAGCATCCCGACGAGTGGAGGTCGTTCCCATACGGGTGGCTGTACCTCCCCGTAAATATACTAGCGCAACCATTCTCAGAAACGACACGTAAACATTTTTTACCACTGTTGACAAGCACAAAGTGGTGGGAAAAATGCTATGAGGAGCTTGCTGTGCAATTTAGCCTCGACGCCGAATTCAAATCTCGCATGTGGAGACGACAGTGGGGTGTTTTGAAAGGACAGGCGTTTAACGTCGTTGAAACGCTTAAGAATCCTACACAAGGGCCTTTGGAGTTGGTGCGTCGCATGAGGACTCTAGTAATTGACGAAATAATGCACGTCCCTTCTACTACAGTACCACTAAATATCCTCAGAACTGCTATGGAGGAATCTATCTCTTTCTCTGCGTCATCCCCCATGGTACTCTCCTCTGTTCCAGAGGAAATCGTGCCCATTGAGGTAGCGTTAACGCATTCTTCGAGTCCACCCCATGATATTGTCGACGAGCCGCACCCCCTCACCCAGCCTTACAGCACGAAAAAGGTCGTTATTGAAAGGTTAGTTCTAGTCAACTCTAAGCCTCCAGTGTTTACGTGGTGGTGATTCGTTCTCGATACCGCGATCATGACGTTCGGTCCTGGATGTCACGCCTTTGAGGTAGTGATATTTCCTCTTCAGCTGTCTTTGAAAAGCCTTGACATTGCTTGTCGATAGCGATACCAAAGCATGTTACACATTATTTACATTAACCTCCGTGCAGCTTAAAATTCCCTATAAACATTTTGGAAGAGCGCTAGAGTGAATGTTGAATCTAACGAATTCGAGAGATCATCTTAAAAGATAGAACAGTTGACTCTCCTTACCTTCGGCTGCGTAAAATTATCGGGTAAACCGCCCCATGTAACAGTTTTGGACTTGAAGTCAGCCACCATTCGCAAGAGTACAAGTATTGGCTAGAAAGCTTCTGCCAAGAGAAAAGTGTCGAGTGATTTTTGAGAGTTAATTGGCTTAGCACGATGAAATTCGGTATGGCCCCAACTTCGCAAAATGCCTTCGACGAAGGTAGCTTTCCTAGGCTCTTCGCCTGCGAGAAACTGCCGCTGATGATCAGAAATTCCACATATGAAAATGCGTTCTGTCAAGATATCAATAACATTCTCTCAACTAGCAAATAAATGTGTATAATACATTCTGCAAGGTCCAGGGCACATCCTGATTCCGCAGAACAACCTTTGACTTTCTCCAAGTCGGCTCGCAGATGAAGTTGTGCTGGATCGTGTTTTATGGTCACATGTGCAGTGATACATTATCCGTTGAAATCACAGGAACGTTACCGCTTCAAACTTTGACTTAGGACAAGGCAAGAGACCATTTTCTATTACTGGGTCCATTCTGTATCTCAATTTTGGACCATCCTGATGAACATTTGGCCATGGGGAAAGAAAAATGCGTCTTCGAATAAGCTGGCCCAAGAAGACCCCAAACAAGCTCTGTTCAGAGATGACGATCATTTGATCGATAAATTGGCGGGCAATCTGGAGCAAAACCCGCGTATTATCGAGAGCCAGTTTGGCGAGAGTTTTTTGCAGAGAGGCAATCTCTTACATAGCTTGGAAAGCGTCAATTTGCTTGGAATTGGCCCTCCTGATATGGTTCACGTCACAAAATTTGATAAGTTCCGCCAACTGGAGGCCGGTGAGTATCATTTTCTAACGGGGCTCGATACCTCCTCGGAAGTGACACCAATTGCGTATATGAACACTTTAAGGCTAAATGAAAAGACTCAAGTTACGTCACTTGCATCGACAGGCCCGTCAACGCGAAATAGAGTGACAACATATTGTACTACCAATATTTTCAGTAAAGTTGACATGCGTATCCGTTACGAATCTACTTCGGATTTTCAAGTCACAGTTTTAGATTGTAATTCTGGATCCACAAACGCTCAGCCAACACAAGAACTGTGGGACGAAACATTGGTGAGCGGTTTTATACGAGCGGTAATCATCAACAATGACAAAGAACGCAAGTTTCCAGGGCTGGTAGAGCTCCCCATGGCCCTGGAAAATGGACTAACGTATGCCGAAAAACTTCTGTCCGTGGTATGCAGATTTCTTCCCCGCGGACGCGATGTAGGCTGTGATTTAACAAAACATACCTCGGCCTCAATTAAAAATAACTACTTGCTTGATGCTTTGATTAGCTATCTGCAGGTGGCCAAAAACCTTAATGTATTTGTGCTGGAGGTGCTCGAAGAGCTATGCATTTCGGATCCACAGAATGTGATTTGTTACTCGATTGCTTCAATAGTGGTGCTGATTAATAGCGAGTCGCATGATACACTGGCATTCAGAACCATAAATGAAATAATGCTGAAACTATTTCCTCTTGGATTAACTCACTTGGAACAGGATCAGTTGACATATGCGGCTGATATGTTAAATCTCGAGACCAGTCTCTTGCTAGCTAAAAATGACTACGAACTTGCACTACCCTTAGCTCAAAAAGTCACGGCAATTTGTTCCGATAATTTCGAAGCCTTGGGCCACCTAGCGCGGATTTATGTCCACTTGGAGGACTATCGTTCTGCTTTACTTGTCATTAATTCCCTTCCATCCTTACTACCACGAGACCCTTGTAAAGAAGCAATGTGGCAAATGTTTGCGGATAATGGATATTACCTTAAACCATTGTGTTCGGGTCCTCACTCTCGCTTACTTTCAAGCGAATATAACTTCATATCAAACACCCTTAAGTCAGTTAAAGACCAAGACTTAAGCTCTATGATTTTTGGACGGATTGTCATGCCCCCACAGGCAAACCGTGGGTGCATAAAGGAGCTCTGGGATGGCCCCTGCGTATCTCTTGGGCCAATATACGGACCTCAGAGTAAAAATCTCATCAATTTCGTCTCACCCGAAGAAGTCGCCTCTCTAGAAGACTCTGTCTTACTGAAAAGAAACTCGATGGCTGCTCAACTCAACTATTCTCTGGCGACCGCTTACGATTTGCTTATGAGCATCGTTACAAACATAGGGTGGAACTCACTACTGGAGCTGCGATCTTCGGTATTCGTTATGGAGCGAGAGCGTAACCAAGAATATACAGAAATGCTACAACCAGAATTCAAAGCGAAACGCCTTTGCGAAAAATGGCTCGATCATTTGTTTTTGGAACTGTATGAAGATCTCAAGATCACCTGCGACAATGAAAGTCACCGCGGGGAAAAGTTTAGTGGCCTAGAATGGGAAATCTTAGGCCTGACACACTTGCGTACTTGGAACTGGCAAGATGCCGTGGCCTGTCTGCGTACTAGTGTAATGGCCCGGTTTGATCTCGTTAGTGCTGAGAAACTTTTAGATCTTTCGATAAATTACCAACCCGCAGTCTCTAAGCTGTTAAGTTCGGAGGTTATACTACCTCTGCTTGTTGAAAAGATCAGTTACGAAAGTCGCTTTTACAATTATCTACAACTGCCCAACCTTCGTATTCTTGCTCACCTGTGCGCGCTCTTAGGAGTGGAAAATGTGCGGAATCACATATATGCACTCCCATTTGCACAGAGAGGCATCATTGCACTCATGGACAAATTGCTGAGTTACATACACGAATTGAACGAATAACGTGTGATCACAAAGTTATAGAAAGGTTCATCGGCGAACCACGCTAAATAATCGGTCCGCGTAGAAAGCTGATGGCATGGGACACGTTACCCGGATTTAAAAATTTTATAATGGGAAATCCAATACAATTCAATGTCGGGTGGAAAGCCTGTTGAATAATACTGTAATTATATTTGCCGTGTTGTAGGGATAAAGCGCTTTGATAATTGTAATCATTGCGAAGCTGTTTTACTGGCCTAAAGTTTGGGACCAGTTAAACTCTCTTCAAGTTTTTCGAACGTCCTAACACGCGAGTAAATCGGCAGGGAAAAGATCAGGGGCAGGCTATTGCAAGAGCTGTAGCATTCCAAACTACCATAGGGTACTAGGTTCAGTATAGACTGTCAAGGATGTCGGGGTCATTCTGGAAGTTTGGTCAAAACTATGCGAGCGAATCGCCCCTATCGAAGCTGCTAAACAGAGCGTTCGTAAAGGTTAGTAAGAATGACATCTCTGAAGAATTTGATAATCGATCTCAAGAAAAGATTGACAAGCTGTTGGAGTCACCTAGCAGTCATAGCTCCGAGGACGACGATTCAAATGAGGATAGTGGTGATCGCTTACAGCGTGGTCAGGGAAAGCAGGATGATGGTGCGGACGGTTCAGGGGATGAAGAAGAACATGAAAATGAAGATGACGGTAGTGATGGCCGAGAAAACGAGCTACAAGAATCAGAAAACGAGCTCCCGGGCTCTGAATCTGATTACAAAGACTATGAACCAAATATGGATATTTTGGATGAGCTTTTAGATGAAGAAGAGCTGTACACCGAACTAATGTGCTCTAACTTCAAGCTCTTGATATTTTTCAAATACCCACAGGTTTTGGCCCGGCTTGTGGACTACGTCACCAACGAGCATGTGCTTAACGAAAATGCGGACGAGCAGGCTGGAGCACGTCCTGAAGATGAACAAAAGGAGCCGGACTTGAAGTTGGGCACATCAGAAGCTGATGAAGGCAATCTGGATGTTGCTCAAGAAGACAAGGGTCATACAGAAACGTTAGAAAAGGGCGAAAGTCCGAGTAGCGACAAGGATACTTACTCTGACCAATTATCTGTATCGTCTGCTGAGACCAGTGTAACTCTTCCCGCAGAATCTGAAGAGCAATCAGAGACTAGGCGTGCTCGCATGGCAGCTGAAATCTTGTCAGCTGATGTTTGGCCGATTTCGTCTGCCTTCATGGATCATGAAGAACTTCTGCATCGATTGTGGGCGATGCTGGATCACCCTGCACCTCTATCAATCGTCCCTTCTACATATTTCATGAAGATCAATGAAAGGTTGCTTGACATGGACGTCTCAGGGATGCTGCATTTTATCCTGAGCAAACAAGATTTAGTTGATAAGTTTCTGACGCATATTGACAATCCTCCATTAATGGACTTTCTGTTGAAGGTAATTTCCACCGATAAGCCGGATACATCGACGGGAGTTATCGAGTTTTTGGGGGATCAGGGTTTAATATCAAAGCTTTTAGATCGTTTAGGAACTGGGCAAAGTTCTTCTACCAAATCCGCCGCAGGGGATTTCCTGAAGGCTCTAATAACCATAAGCGCAAATTCTAACAATGAAATTGCGTCTGCCATTGGCCCTAATGGTCTGACCAGAACACTAGTGTCTCCACCAATGGTGGAAAAATTAATGAACATAATGCTTACGGGGGGCACTTCCCTCAGTAATGGTGTTGGTATTATTATTGAACTAATAAGAAAGAATAATTCAGATTACGACTTCGTGCAGGTAATGTACACTACACTGGAAACACATCCGCCTAATGATAGAGATCCCATTTACTTAGGCTACTTGATTCAATGTGCTGCCAAGCACTTTAAAGAATTCAATAAGTTGTTGTTGGAAGCAGAATTACCTCCTCTGGAAACTCCTTTTGGCTTCATCGAACCCTTGGGATTTGAACGGTTCAAAATATGCGAGCTCGTCGCCGAATTATTGCACTGCTCCAATATGACGCTTCTTAACGAACCTACTGGCGAACAAATCGTTCTCGAAAGGGACGCTGTTAGAGAACATCACCTCCAAGTAGAAGGCAAGGGAACACTTCACAGTAGACCTAATGTAGAGGAAGGTAGTACTGAAGGTGAAGATGTCCTTGATAAAATGGCAGGGTTGAAGATTGCAACTTCGAACACCTGCAATAGTAGTGACGATGAGGAAAAGGAAAAGAGCTCGAAGGAAGAGGACAGTAATGCCGATACTTTCGACTCAGATGACTCTGGAGACGCCGAACTGTCGGAGAAAGCATTACGCGAGAATCCTGTCGTGGGGGATCATCTCAAAATTGCACTTCAGGATAATGATGTGATAAAAGCGATCCTGGAGATGTTTTTTGCGTTTCCCTGGAATAACTTCTTACACAACGTTGTGTTTGATATCGTTCAACAAATTTTCAATGGTCCTTTGAAAAGTGGCTTTAACAGGTTCTTGATAGCCGACTTATTTGCAGGTGCGAAGCTAACGCATCTGATTATGGAAGGTGACAAAAAATGTGAAGACTACGAGAACGAAACGGGACTGAGACTGGGATACATGGGCCACTTGACTTTAATTGCGGAAGAGGTTGCAAAGTTTGCTGCTTACATTGAGGAAATGAAGATAAGTTTCAGCACTGCAGCCGTAGCTGATAGTTTAAATGAGCCACGCTGGAAGCAATACACAGAAACAGTGTTGGCTGATACGCGTGAAAATTACAGCTCCATTCTCGGTGATTTCGAGGAAGGGGATGACGACAACGAGGATGGGGAAGCGGAAAATGACGATATGACAATTCAAAACTCAGAAGCTGGGTCCGAAGTCGACGCAGATTACCGCAGCTATGAACATGATGAGGACGAAGATGATTATGCGGAGTACAATAGTGTCGACAGTCCGAGGTATTACCAATATGATGATGGACACGGAAATAAAACGAGCATTCATCTGGACCCCGAGGTTGATTACGACATTGGCCCCGGCTCTTTTGCCGAAGAAAATCCTGGCGATTATCATGACGGGGACGAGGAAATTGACCAAAATGGAAAAGTCGATAATGCTGCAACTTCGAAACAGCGAAAAAACAAGTTCAGCAAGTACATGTCGCATCAACTAACAAGGGACTATAATGCTTCTACGTCATCAGATGAGGAAGAAGACAATTCATGGAGGTACTCATCCTCAGCGAATGAAGGAGTGCAGAAGAATCAAGGACTTTCTGAGCTTGAGGAACATGACGACTTCAACACCCCGCCATTCGGCTTAGAGGAGGACGAAGATGACTATATGGACCCAAACGATGACGGCCTTTCATATGCAAAGCCCCATCATCCGCTGTATGATCGTATGTTGTCAGGCAAAAATTCTGGCAGTCATTTGTATTCCAACCAGGACATTGACACCCTTGAAGAAAACGAAGAAGACAGTGACGACAGCGATAAAGACAATGGAGATGACGATGACGGCCAATACTCTTTGTGCCGAACCTCAAGTAAGGACAACATGGCTTGGGACACTTCAGAACAAAACCGAATTATCAGCACTACTCAGTATAGACAAAATCAGCAGGGTTTGGAGAGGTAGAAAACAATGAACCGGCAATTCCTAGTAACTTTTGGGCCAAGTACCTACAATAGTATTCACCGATTACTCTTCTCAAAGTCTCGCTCCACTCCCAAGCACTAGACGATAAGCGTTTTGTATTTGAATTATTAATGCATTTGTTTTTTTCCCTTTGATTTGTTTTTTAAAGCCTTCTACTGCTAACCATTAAACAGAACCTGGCAATTAGAGTTTGGATCCTCTGATGTTCATTGAATACCCAAATCGTCTGCTGTGCGGATCTTCAATAACAGGTAAATAGAATGCTTCATCCCGTAAAACGTGATATTATATTTTGCGTGCTATTCGTGACCTCACCACATGCTAACGAGTACTAGCCTTTAGTCGGTTTTTGCGTATCGCCCAAAGATCTGGGTTGGCTGTACGGAAAATGGTGAATGACTTCAGGCCCAACCACTAGTCAAGTAGGGGCGAATAACATAGAGGTCAGTAAACTGCCAGGTAATTAGTTCAAGTTTGAAAGAGACGGATTTAATTTCACAGTATTGATGCGTACACTCTACTCTCGTTAGAAATGTGGATATTCGAGATTTTAATATCTTGATGCAAGACATAACTCTTCTCAATTTTACAGGTACTGCGCGAAATGTAGTTTTGATTTTACATTGTTCAAAACTAAGACGTGAGCGCCATTATAGAGTGAAGGATCGGCTGAAGTTAACTCAGATGAACTCATGTTTGTGTCAAGAACGTCAATGACAGCGTTTGTTGTGTATGGTTTTCGTAAATGATGCTCCATTGAGTCTTGAAATTAAGCGAAGTTAATGTCTTGATTGATCTTTAGGGTCATCGCCAGTTGCTCAGCGCCAATTCCGAGCAGAAAAAGATCCCAACTCTATGGCTAACAAACTATCGCCCTTTAATCCGTTGGCAATTTATAACTTAGTGTCTGCAGGACTGTGGGCCTACCTGCTGTATAGGGTAATTGTCGTGTATCCCAAATTGGGTCAGCCTGCGTTTTTCCAAGACACCAGGGCCACTCTGAATGCTATCCAATGCGGAGCTTTGATTGAAATATTCAACTCACTGACGGGGATTGTGCGTGCTCCATTACTCACGACTGTCGCGCAGGTTGCCTCACGGCTGCTACTCACGGTGGGCGTTTTCCAGTTTTTGCCCGAGTCCTACAATGCCCACAACTTCACCTTCTTGACCCTTTTAATCGCATGGTCCACAACTGAAGTAGTGCGTTATTCTTTCTACTATTGCAATTTGACCTTGTCTAGCGGAGCCCCCAGGATACTAATTGTTTTGCGGTACAATTTGTTTTGGATCCTGTATCCTTTAGGCGTCGCCAGTGAGCTTTTGATATTATATTCCTCGCTTTCGGTAGCCGAGACTAACTATCCCGTTGCAGTGAAGTGGGGCTTAATTGCTGGCATGCTTGTTTACATTCCAGGGTTCCCAATGCTTTTTTCCCACATGGTTGCCCAACGCAAAAAGGTGATGAAGTCTTCAAAGAGCCATGAAAAGAAGCAAAGCTGATATGACATACAATCTTAACACTAGGATAATTAAGACAGTTGATCCTGAGTTATTCTCCGGCTCCGGTGGAATCCATCTTGTAAAATGTGAATCACCGTCCCAGATGACCAGATCTCTAAAATTTTAAGTATGTTACATTTTGCAAGAGCGAATCGGCTCGTCCCTCATCTACTTGTCCAGCAACGCTCTGGTCAGCGACAGTCAAGGTCGTGAAAATGAATTTACTCAATCGTGTGTTTGCTAGTGGTGCGCCCAACCTGATGCATCCCGCTTTCAGAGCGAGGTCTAGTGCTGTTACAAGAGCCTTCACGTCGACGCCAACGCCATTGCAGAAGATGGATATCACTCCTTTGAAGCTCTCCAACGAGCTGTATGCTATTTTACGCATTCATAATCGTCCATACCTCGTAACGAGAGGCGATAAGGTCATTCTACCGTTTAAACTAAAACAAGCAGAGGTTGGTGATATTCTAAATCTAAACGATGTCACCACTATTGGAAGCAGGAATTTCAAAATCGTGGACGCTCCTATAGACCCGTCTCTTTACAACCTCAGGGCAACCGTGCTGGAAAAAACTAAACGGCCCATGAGGATTAGGGAAGTTACGAAGCGCAGAAATCGGAAAGTTCGCCACGCAGTGAGTAAGCCCGATTTAACTGTCCTCAGGATTTCGGAACTCTCTCTTGTAGATTGAACTTCCCCATATAGAAACCTAAGGCATGAAAAGACGCTTGCAGAATGTCGCCGGAGCCTTAGAACGTGAAATATTCGATTCACCGTAAAACATTGTCAAAGTTGTTGCAATCACTTGTATATAGAGTCCTTTCTTATCTGGACGAACCAGTCTAAGAGTCATGTCTCCCGCGTTTTCTATGCCAGAAAAGCTTAACACACATATCATATGATATAGATGTATATTGGTCAAAATCACTGATACTACTAAAATAGTTTCGCTTTCAATTCCGAGGGACATAACGAAGCAATACATTTACTATTGGGTTCAGGTCAAACTGGAGCTAGCGCGTGTGTCCACCCACGCCAAAGCTAATGGAAATGGCTTTTTTGAAGAAAAAACTGACTACCGTCAGCCATTCTAATCGATCAAGGTCAAGCTCTGCTTCATCCAATAAAAACTCAGTCGGTTCACCCAACAGCCCAATTTATCCCGAGCTGAGAAAACCAGAACTACCTTTAAAATTGCCCTTGGATGCAAACACAGATGGGCAGCCACATTGGTATAGTGATAGCGCTTCGGTACCTCATACTGCACTTGAAATTTCTGTAGACGAGAGCTCTTCCATTAACGGGTTTAGTTTCGAGGAGATTTCTGATCAGGGCAGCTACGTTCAGGTAGAGAGCAGTAACAACCAGAACTCGACTCCGGAAGTGGCGGGCAAAGACGCTGCTCAGTCGTCTCGCAAATCGTCTGGTGGTAGCATGAACTCACTGTCCCTCGACAGGCTTATTTACTCATGGGATGTCACCAATCCGGAGGAATGGTCAATGGTGCGGGTATTATCGTGGCTGAAATTCAACGAATTTGATGAAAGCTGGTTGGCCTATTTTAGAAGACGACACTTGCACGGACAGTACTTCTTGAAGTTGATGGCCTACGACAATTTTGCCATACATGAACCTAACATGACCACGACAAAATCCTCTAATTATAAACGCTTCCAGTATATATTGAAAAGAACCCTGGAACGCAACGTTGTCAATGGCCACATCAGAAACAAGAGTGATAAATCCACGGGCTCCAGAAGCTCAAGTGATTCACTCAAAAGACGACGCCGTAAGAAAGAGGAAGTGGACCGACAAGGGACAGAACACACAATTCTCGGGAGTAAAAAGGCCATAACCACGGACGCTCCACAAGCGGCACAAGGGAGAGCAGCCACTAGGTTCCGAGCCCATCAAAAGGCTAATAGTGCGAGTTCTTTGTACCGCCGAAGTTTTATCTCGTTACGCGGAAATTCTAGCGCACCCGCTTCCAAGACTGAACCTCAGGTAGTTATAAGGCCCCCGTCTCGACCACCGTCTGTCTTAGAAAGCTCTTCATCGAACGACAGACAGCAGGTTAGAATTTCATCATCACCAATATCACCTAGTTACACGAGTCGTTTCAGAAGGCAACATAAAAGTAGCTCTTCAGAATCTTCAATATTCAATTCTTTGTTTGGTTCAAACAATGGTGTTTCGAGTAGCTCTTCTAATGATGCTACAGCCGCACACCAAAGGGCATCTATAAATTTCAAAAGTCCGTCTTTGGAAAGTCTTGCAGCGGACAAAACTCGTTCGAACGCTGTCGATACTACTAACAGGACAGAAGCTACGCAACCAGACGAAAAGACTAGTTTATGGGGAAAGTTGAAAAGAAAGTCGGTTCAATTGGATGCAGCTATATCACAGAGCACAACACTTTCTTCTGAGGTTGAGGCGCCGGATACAAAGACTCTTGCTGAACCAAGGACGGTATCAACTGAATTTAAGTGGGATGATTTTTTACTAGACAAGAAGTACTATCCACTCAAGAACGCTGAAATATTAGATCGATACATTTTAGTGACAAAGGATAATCGATTCTTTACCCCATTGAATGTTGGAATTATCACAAATCTGGAGGAATTCAAGGACTCCATGGCGCTTTCAGTTGGCATACGGCATAGAAACTTCACTATACATCTTACCGACTTTGGCTGCGATATTGGTTGTGCTATCAGTGACGATCTGCTGGAGACAATGCGGAACAACATGTTTTACAATATACCTAACAAGTTCTTTTTGAAAGATCAATTGAAGTTTCAACTGCATCCGACCGATAAAAAAGCCGATCATGAAGTACAAGCATCTATTAAATCAAATAAGAGTAAAGGGTCAGTAAAATCTACCAGCAGTAGTGTACTAAATTCGAATGATGACAACTCTACCGCTACTTCATGTTCAGACGTAACTTCTTTCGACGACATCGCGCATGCAACTGGCCGTGTTGCATATCCGCGAACACCTAATTCCTATTATGGTGCTGTGGTGGCTGGTTCAAATACCGAGGTTGATTACTGGACTTTCAAGGACTCCAGAAACGAGGAGCCATTACCACAAAGTCTTTCAAGGACACGTTCTAGGAATTTGAGAGGAAAAACTTCTAATGTCGGAAGTGCTTTCAATACCGGCTCCGTGTCTCACGGCGGGCAGTCATTCCAAGTTATTAGGAAGAGAACGGAAGACGAAATTGACTTTAACAATCGTCGTTCCTCTCCATATACCAACACTGATTTTGCACCTAAAAGAGATGCACCCAAACCCCCATCTAGTTCTCAGACTTCGTTGCCATCATCTGGCAACAGCAGTGCAACCAGCTCCCCAAAAATCCATAATGGTCGTAAAAACTCTGCCATTGCCCGCAAAGCGCGACCTCCGCCACCTGCCCCAATGTGGAATGCTATATCCTCTAAATCATCGAATCTTTCTTTGAATACCCACAGATCTCTGGAAGGTGGTTCCCATGAAACAATTGTTCATCCCTACACACCTGCGTCGACCCAAATTCTGGTTCCACAACCTTATAAAGGTAAAAGCGACAGCACAGCGATAAGTACGGATGACCCTACCTCTTCCTTCAAATACCGCCCGAAAACTGACAGATCCAATTCCACTCAATCTACAGTGAATGCCTCTGTAAAAGTGCCCCCACAACTACTTAAAAGGAGTAGTACAAAACGGATAGTTTCTTCGGCATCTGCCGCTGATAATTTCGATGAGAATGAAATTTCATTTGCCGACGCACCAAGACTCTCAGATTCCGATCAGGATGATGATCAAAGTGACTCTTCCAGTGAAATTATTTGGTCATCGCAATTGGAGAGTAACAAAGTTGACAGTTCTTTTAACCAGCCGCAAATAACGCTGCAACCACCGAGCTCAGATGCCATGGGCGATCGTTTAGAGCACAATGAAGAATGCACCGAAAGCTTTAAAAAAGAGCACAGTGACGTAAATATGACTTTAAGACCACCTCCAGAAGTTGTTTATGAGAACTTGGAGCGATTCTTTCCAGGGACAGATCTCGATAGACCAATCGTAGAGGGAAATACTCCTCCACCCTCACCTCAAGCAACAAAGTCAAGGTCGCCAAACACTAGTCAATCAACTACCATTCCAACAGAAGATGATCAGTCACCCTTCAGTTCAAGGTTAGGCACACCTCAGACAATGATCACCGACTCCTTGAATACCTCCAATGAAGTTTTAGGAGGTCCTGGTAAGAGCTTGAAAATTCCTAAACGAAGTAAGACCATCAGAATTATTGCTAGAGAAGCGAGCGAGGCCGGGAGGTCATCTCAAACAAAAAGATTGAAGCGTAAAAATACTAAGATGTGGGGGACCAGGGTTGTAGAAGTAACTGATAAGAGAACAGTCGCTATTAACAAGTCTAAGAATTCTAAAGGCGAGTACAAGGAATTTGCATGGATTAGGGGTGAAATTATTGGCAGGGGCTCGTTTGGATCGGTATTTTTGGGAATGAACGTTACAGCAGGCGAAATGATAGCAGTGAAACAAGTTGAAGTACCCAGATTTGGGTCCCAGGATGAGACGGCATTGAACGTACTAGAAGCACTGAGGTTAGAAGTTGCCACTTTGAAAAACCTTGATCATACAAACATTGTCCAATACCTTGGTTTCGAGGATAAAAACCACGTTTACAGTCTTTTTCTTGAATATGTTGCCGGTGGTTCAGTGGGTGCCTTAATTCGTCATTTTGGTAGGTTTGACGAAAAGCTAGTTCGCTTTCTGGCGGTCCAGGTTCTGAGAGGATTGTCGTACTTACACTCTAAGGGAATTCTTCACCGCGATATGAAAGCCGACAACCTTCTATTGGATGTGGACGGCGTATGCAAAATCAGCGACTTTGGTATTTCTAGAAAGTCGAATAATATATACACTAACTCCGACATGACAATGAGGGGGACGGTCTTTTGGATGGCACCTGAGATGGTTGATACTAAGCAAGGGTACAGTGCCAAAGTAGATATATGGTCTTTGGGTTGCGTGGTACTTGAGATGTTTGCGGGCAAACGTCCTTGGTCCAACTTTGAAGTAGTTGCTGCAATGTTGAAAATTGGAAAATTCAAATCTGCCCCACCAATTCCTGATGACATCAAAGAGTTAATTTCACCAGAAGCTAAAGACTTCCTTGATGCTTGTTTCAATGTGAATCCTGATAAAAGGCCGACGGCGGACCAACTACTCACTCATCCGTTTTGCAAGGTGGACGAGAGTTTCGTGTTTCAGGCCACAAATCTGGCGAAGTTCATAAGGTACAATGATAAAGGCAGCGCCAGCACTCTAGTAACGAACCACCAGGCTAAATGCTGAAGATTTTTCACCCGAACTCTTCAAAATATGCTACGTATTTTGTAATTCTAATTACGATTTATCTGGAACAGGTGTAAATGACATTAGAAGTGGATGTACTTAGATGTACAATAGCGTCACGAGCTATCATTAGCCGCTTCCTCTTCCTGGGGCGTACGCTTTTCTAGTAATTGTGATAAATCTGATTCGAGTTTCTTCAACAATGTGTTCATGACAAATCGTGGCTCGTCAAGAGGGAATCGAAGGGGGGACTTTGACGATAACCAAAAATTAGGTAATTCGTGGCTCATTTCCTCGTCATCTTCGAGAGCGGTAAAAATTTCAAGCCATTCTTCAAAAGAGAGCTTATGGTGAGGATCCTGACGGGAGAGTTTTCGAAGCCACCGAACAACTGCCAAATACTCATCAAGTTTCTTTTCTACCTGGTCTTGAAAGGAACTTGGAAAGTCCGCCGTATCACCTGAACTGGGCGGGTTTTTTCGAATTATGCCGACTTCCGATTCGGGACCAGCTAGTGCAGACTTGACTTCGTTTTCATTACTTCCACAATGGCTTGAACTCGAAGGGCTGCCTCTTCTCCAGGCTGATCGCAAAGTATGATATAAGGAACGCGACTTTCTAGTCGCATAATCAGCACTAAGATCTATGCCGTCTGCCATTGCATACAACGTGTCACCGACAGTACTTATCATTGCTGTCATCAGAGGAACCGCCATGATTGCCCATATTACAAAGAACGCTCTACCACAACCAGATTTAGGGGCATAATCACCAAACCCGATCGTGATCAAGCACAAGAAGCAGAAATAGACGGCATTGAAAAACGACCAGTTTTCAGCGAAAGAGAATACAACAGCCCCTAGGGCCCAAAATGCTATGAAGATGCATATGACAGTAAAGATTGTAAGTCTTTGCTGCTTTGACTTAGAGACCTTTCTGATGTTCGTGATAGCATCGAAAGCCTGCTGCGAGCTCAAATTCTTCTCGTTGGAGATCAGATCTTCATAAACCTTTGTGCGTGCATTCTCAATTCGATAAAAAAAGAAAATCGGTCCTGAAGAAGTTTGAATAATTGATCTTGTAAGTGCGACTATCAAACCTAGGATAATGACTCCTGACAGCGAGTAGACGAGCGTAACAATCTTCGCTCCAACGCTTGTTGGTAAAAGGTCACCAAGCCCGACAGTCAGTATTACTACAACGCAATAGTAGAGAGCTTCACCGAAAGACAGATCGATTATTTGAGAGAACATTGCCGACCCCCAAATAAACCAGAGCGATAGAATGAAAGTGAAAACCATAACATGGCGCTCGCTATTAGTCAAGTTGAACGTCGCGGGGTATTTATTGAATTTGTAGCCCCCGTAATGAATTAATAGAAGACTTGTACAGCCGAAGTACAGTAAGACAGTGAGAACGGCGTACCAAAAACCTATAGTCTTATGGACTTCCGCAGCAAAATCATTTTTTGCGCAAGCCACTAGATCAACAAGCAGCATCCCTCCAGCTATTGTCCAGCCCAAGATATTGCAAACTTGTGCTGTAGTATAGCTTACTTTCTGCGAGAAATGCAGTAGCAGCACAAAGTTCGAAAAGCATCCCAAGACTAATGAGATAACGTTGACTTCGTAAATCCCTTTTGGATCATGCAATTCGCGGCCACTCGTATCCTGTCTCCACTTGTCTACAACGCCAGCCACAGCTATTGTGTTTGCAATCGGTCCCAGGCACGCAGTCAAGACGGGGAAGTAGCTAGAAATCATGAACCAGATGGCGAAAGTCCTGCTGGAAGGCTTGGAATTTAAGATAACCACTTTTTCCTCGTTGAAAAACAAAAGCTCGTCCAAAAGTTCTTTGTACTCTAGTGACCGCGGACTTGCATCTTTCTCTTCTCTATTTGAATCTCCCATGGATGCATATTCTTCGCCAGTGCTGCTATTGTTCGTGTTTTGCTTAGCATCAGGGCGATGAGCTAAGCTAATAAATTAGATAGGTAGATTGGTTTTTATATTATCGGTTCTCGTGACAATGAGTAAACAACCAACTGTGTAGATGTCTATTAGCATCAGAATAATAACCCCACGTCTCTTAACATCTCATTCTTTAATGAGAGCAGTGGCTCTGCATTTGAGAAATAGCGCTATATTCTGTTTTCAGATATGGTGTACGATTTGTCGTTCTCCTACAAAAACATGACTTGCACGCGTAAGTTCAGTCACCGCGAACCAATTGTATTGAGCTTTAAGCGTTCCATAAATTCATCTCAAACATTCACAACCTGTTGTCAGCTCTTTAAAGAAGCTCAAGGCTTTTTTTAAAAAAAAAATTGCACTTATTTTAGGGCTTTTTGTAAGATCAGCAATGAGGTCCACTGTGCAAAACGTGGTGATTCCACAAGAACGGGCTTTGAGATACCAATTGTATAGTCCCATCCAATTCTTCCCTCCAAAAATTGATGCCACACAAACGGTTGAGTTCTTGCTCTCTTGAACGACTTTCCTCTATCTAGTCGGTTTAGGACCCGTCCAATCCTCTGAACTAGTACTTCGAAGGAGGACTATATTTAAATCAAGCAGCTTGCGCGTCCAAACACGGAGTTAATGAACAGCACATTTTCGCAACTTATCTTACTTGGCCATTAGGCAAACTTGATACGTATTGCAAGCTTGTAGGGACGGCTTTTTGTATTCAACCAAATGAATTTGGAAAGAGTGGTGTTTTAGATAGCAACGCCTTTAGTTTGTTCTTGTCAAGACTCAATTTTTGAACCTCATTTTATGAAAGTTGGTATATTAAATGCATACATCAAAACAATTTCTTTACAGTGTGGTTCTGAGACGTATCCCCTTTTCAGTGCAAGTATTCTTTTACATGTACACCTGTAAGCTGGCGAACTACCACAATGGAACGTTTTCTGTCCTTGTTGAATGAGAAACAGTTGGAATCAGTAGTATACGACCACACCAAGGCTCTACAGGTGGTTGCGGGGCCTGGGACAGGAAAGACTAAAGTTCTTACTACCAGGGTTGCATACCTACTACTAGAAAAGGGGCTCAGTCCTAACGATATAGTTATCACCACATTCACGAAGAAGGCTACACTGGAAATGATCGAGCGTATAGGGTTTTTACTCGAAGGATCTGGGATCAATCCCAAAAGCTTATGGATTGGAACCTTTCATTCTATATGTGCACGGGTATTAAGACAACACGGCTGGAGGATAGAACTTCCTAAAGACTGGAGAACGTTTTCGGACAACGACACGGACCCGATCTTCGCAAAATTGGTGGAAAAGATGCCGGATCAAATTAGGGATTATGCACACAGTTACAACCGAAAGATCAATTTGCTAAGGCCAAGTGCGACGCGAGACTGGGCAGTACACCCAGCAGCGGTTAAAAAGATGGTATCATGGCTGAAATCAGAGGGTCTCACTGCTGATGAATATCGTGCAAGAAATGATCACGATCCTGCCTTATTGCATTTTTATGAACAATACCAGGCGGAACTAAAATCACAGCATGCCTTAGACTTTGATGATCTGCTTTTAAATGCTTTCAAGCTATTGTCCAAACAGAGATGCTTACCAAACATTAAACATGTGTTAGTCGATGAATTTCAAGACACGAATAGTATTCAACTAAACCTCATGTATCTTTTCGCCCGCGGTAATGGGACTCACTCTCAGGGCATAACAGCGGTGGGTGATCCCGATCAGAGTATTTATGCATTCCGGAATGCATTAGCTGGAAATTTCGAAGACATGATCACTAACTGTCCCATTCCCTGCGCTCGCATAATACTGGTAGAAAATTATCGGTCTTCTCAGCGCATCTTGACAACTAGTGAGATGTTAATCAAACAACAACTGACGGGTCGCGATGATAGATTACCTTTAAGGGCTCAGTTTGATAGTGGCTTTCCTCCCGTGCATATACAGTTTCCTGCGAAGTTCTTGGAGTCCCGAGCTCTGGCAAGGGAACTCATATACTTACGCTCTTTGCCAAATCTGTGGAACTATAATGATTTTGCAATGCTAGTAAGGCAACGAAGGCAAATTAGACCTCTAGAAATTTCACTGATAGAACACAGAATACCATACAAAATAGTCAATGGCCGTGCATTTTGGGAGCTCAAGGAGATTAACGGAATGATGGATTTAATGAAATGCGTATATTCAGACTACGAAAAAAATGCATTCCTTAGGGCTCTGCAATATCCGCCTCGTGGTGTTGGCGCTGCTACAGTAAAAAAACTTGAGGGCTTATTCACGGAATATGAATCACCATTTGAGGCCTTGAAAGCTTTGAGTAGCCTTACACAGAAAAATGAAATGCCAGTCAAGGTTACAGGGGTCATAAGTAACTTTGTGCAGCTGATTGAAAAGTGTCGGGTAATCCTAGCCGATGCGACGAACTCTAAAGTAATGGGTACCTTATTTGAAGAACTATATGAGGGTTCGGGTTTGCGACATGAATACCTGTACCTGGACGGTAAAAAAAAGGCTGATTTGGGGTCCAAGCCAGAGGCGGATTACTCAAACAAAAGACATCTCAATATTCTTATTTTGGCTGAGCACGTCGCCAATTTCAAGCCAATGGATGGAGATCTTGTTCATAAGGAGGGCACACATGGTGAGGATATGGAAGAAGATGACGAGGTGAACATTCACGATGTGTTGCGGGAATTCATTGATTCCGTTAATCTCTACTCGACAGAAACAGAAGTTGACGAATCAAAGATGTCCGAGAAGCAAATACGACAAAAAAAAAGACGTGAAGGGGAAGGGTTTGTAACTATTTCTACCATACATGGTGCAAAGGGTCTGGAATGGCCCGTGGTCATGATTCCTGGCTGTGTCGAGGGTCTCATCCCGTGCGTTTACGGGAATAAGGATGAGAGCGATGACAGTGAAAGTGATGATGATTCTGACGGTGGAAAGACCACTGGCAAGAGTACCAACAGCCCAAAGAAAAAGAGGCCGAAGACAAATGAAGGTTCGCTAGATGAGGAGCGCCGCATGTTTTTTGTTGCACAAACGAGAGCAAAGTATCTATTGTACCTCACGTCGACCCTCACCAATGATTCTGAATCCAAATATGAGTCCTCGGTCCCGAGCAGATTTTTAACAACAGAACTTGTGAAAACCATGTGTGACGAGCAGAAAGCCCTTGATAGCTTAGTGTCCATTCAAACCCTGTACTACGCTGCCGGGAAAACTCCACCGACGGAGGTTGGTGATTTTTCACTTGAAGCACTCATAAAAGACTATAAAATGTTTTTAAGCTATCGGAGGGAGCGGATGATTTGGAAAGGTGCCACAGTAATTGATGCGTCGAGAATCAAGATTGATGAGAATGTCAATAAAGCTACAACCAACTATGGCTTCACGACCGCTGCAATGCAGTTAAAGAACTCGCCGTCGAGTTGCAGTGAAAAGAAGTATGCGCCATCTATCAGTTGTAAGCGGGAACGAGCTCAAAGGACCTCTTCCGATTTAGGTACTCTGTCAGGCAACAACACTGCACCTGCTTATCAGCTTTCGAGAAGTCACTCTAACGGTTCTGCTGCCGCTAAGATGTATGCACCGAAACCAACTGTGACCAGAAATATAGGAAAGGTACGATCATTCGCGCCAAATGCAGATGGTAATTCGCAAATTAGAAATAGAAAAGACCACCTTCTCTCAGAAAGCGATCAGAAACTAGAAAGCGATCAGAAACCAGAAAGCGACCACCTTGTCCTAAATTCAGATAAGTACAACACAGGAGTGAGATCTCTAAGCGACAGGCAGACTAATAGGTGCCGAAGAACCATAATCGCAGATTCTATAGACCTAGGAGAGATTTCTGACAGTGAGAGTGAGCCCGTGGTAGATATCAAAAGAGAAGAGAGCTCCAAAGCAACTTCTATTACCATGAAACCCGAAACGCTACGTCGAAGCCACCCCGTCGAAGGACTCAGTTATGGGGCGAGGGTTGCCGATGCAAAGAGGCTCGCAGACTCTATCTCCAGTACTATCGGCCAAAAACGAGCCCCCCTCCCAATGAATGAGCAAAAAAAGGTCAAGCTTGAAGTAGCAAAGAATGGTGCAGACATCTTGTCCAGGCTTTCGCAAGCTAAAAGAAGGCCCACCGAACCAGATGATACGGTCATCGTTATAGATTAAGAACATATCTATCAATATAGTGCATGAATTATCACAGCTTTATAAAAATCCGTTTCTTGAACATTACGCCAGCAGTCAAAGCCAAAAAGATGGAATATGCTAGTAAGACCAGAAATGCCTGTAATGGGGAAGCATCGATAGTAGGCATGGCCATATTAACTAAACCCGTTGATACATTTGCAACAAGAAATAAAAGTAAACCATTCGAGTTTAGGGCCTCTAAAGATGGAGGAGTTTGATAGTTTTTGGGCGTGTTACCGAAAAACACATCAACAATGCAGTATAGTGTTAGAGCGCTGATGTTGTACGACACAACCCAAAGTACGTAGGGAAGATTTGCAAACCTCCTCGAGATATTGAGGGGATCCCAAGCGAAAGCGATTTGAGAAAGGAGTATTGATATAAAGGACCAAATCAGCAGCCCGCTTAAAGGCGATGTCGAGGTCAGCTTATCCCATCCACTTGGTGTCTTAAGTTTACTTATTGGTTGTGACGAAGGTTTGTACAGATTATTTTTGGTAGGAATATTGCCCAAAACGTAAAAGCCAGTTGTTTGGCCCCACAAAAATATCGCACAATAGCCAATAAATGAGAATATTCCCTCTCGATTTGCCTCGAGGAAAGTATTACGAGGTCCGCTCACTAAGAAAGTAATGAACCCTTTCTTGAATACCAAAAATAATTCGTAGATGACAGACATTGTCAATGCCACCACAATTCGGGGTACATATGGTGAAAGTTGATCAACAGGCACCATAACCAATGGTACTAGGGCCAGCGTGATAAAAAAATTCCAATGTACTCCATATTCGGAGACATGCTCCTGATATTCAAGGTTTTTCACAAAAAAGAGTCGTAGTAAGCCCAGAAATAGTATGCTACCACTTGACCTTAAGGCGCTAATAGCCTTTTTGAGTGATTTTGCTTTGTGAACGCTTAGCTCATTTTTCAAAATCGATCTAGAGGACACCACACCGTTACTAAACACAAAAGATCCCACCCCAAGATCCATGATTGAAGTGCCCCATGTTTCCACTTTAGCGAATCTACGCGGAAAGATTTGAAAATCCACAGCAAGTATGGCCAAGACGGTAATTACCATCATACTCCCGCGGTAGACGGTAATGAATGGGCGTTTCACAAGTGTGGTGTTGCTATCATCTTGGCGCGAATGCCTGGTCTCTCTGGGTTCGAACTTCGTCATGCTCGCTCTTGATGATTTCTTCATCAAAATCCAAATTGCCAGGCAGGGACCCAGTAACAGCACATTTAGGGCCCCAGGATTATTTGCATATGTGGTAAGTGCGAGGAGGATTCCGCACCAATTAAAAAAGAAGTCGACAACGGAGTTTGCGATTCCGTTCTTAATTGATGATCTTACTAAATTCCAGCAAATGTATGAGCAAATAGCCACAGATGTTACCCAATTGATTTCTTCAATTGTGCCGCCGGTCAAGCCCGTTACAAAATCCTCTTTGCGCTGTCTTAAGTCAGCCATCGGTGTGATTCGGACATTCCGTTTTAGAAGTTTCTCGTTAGTGGGTAGAGTCTCAATTTCATGCTCTGAACATTTGAAAATTGGCGACAGCAAAACCAAAAATGACTTTCTAACGCTGTAGCAGCTGAAGCAGGGTATACTTAGGTTGAGAGGAAGTGAGACACAGAAGCTCTATTTAAGTATCGACTTCACGCATATGTTGACGAGTTATCCTTCTCACTGACACAGCTGAAGTGGGTTTACCTTGCGGCGATCCATAGGTCACCTGAGTGTGGACCTGTTCTTCTTCTTCCATCGCAGAGTTCGATTCTATTTCAAGCTGATCTTCGGCTCTACGGGCTTGATCTGACAACATCCGTCCCCAACTGGTCGACCTTTGAATAGGCTGGAGGGTTTCGGCAGGGGCCAGTCTCGGAATTTTGGGTTGCGGTAGAATGCCTAATTCTTTTTCCCCCACGTTAGAGTCGGTGTATGCTCGCTTGACTCGTTCAACAGGCGAACAACTGGATTGAGGGATGGTGCTGTTATCAAGTCTTGAAATTATCTCATTCCGACTATGACCCACTGACTGATGCGCTTTGGACGTACGCCGTATCGAGAGTTCCGCATTGTAGGGAGGCCCATCTGCAGGATATGTTTCCATCCCTTTTCCGTTATGAAGCTCAAGGTAAAACGCATCTTTCTCGCCTCTTGGACATGAAATGCACCAGTTGACGTCATTGAAATGGATCTTTGTGGTGGGTTTTTCCAAACACAACTTGGATCCTCGAGCGAAAAGTTCGATGATGAAACCAGCGGTGACGACTGGTATGCTATGTCGCAGCTTGATAAAGTCTATTTTACGTTTCATAGAGTTCCGGTGGATTTGGTTTTGAGCGATCTTTCGATTCTCTAAAAACATAGGGGCCAGGTGGTTCTGCCATAGTGTGTGTGTCTCGGGAATACTATTAAGGGCACCCAGATTTATGAGAAGAATATCAGTATCTTTGTTCAGGGTTTGCTTCAACTCTAAACCCGATGGTAATAGTGCTTCTAACATCTTCGTGATATGTAGCAGTTCCACGCCTTGGAATCCTGTTATGGCTACCTTTAGAGTGTTTGACCCTCCAGCTTTTGATGAGAGCCCCGGACAAGGCTTGATATGAAATTCCGAAAGAAAGGGTGAGCACCATGGATCTGGTTTCAGTAGCTTCTTGTAGTGTAGGCACCTCTCGAAGAAAAACTCTGTGACTTGGTGAGAGAATGACTGCTCGAATGATGTTAATTCTCGCACATGAGCGCTGCTTGGAACCACAAGGAAAGAGGGATGCAAAAGATCTGCCTTGCTGGTGGTAACTTCATAGCAATTCCCGCCATTTTGAGAAATGATTTTCTCAAGTATTGCACGCTGCTTGGCAGGGAACCGAGATAAATAAAAGTGCCCATTTTCAAAAATTTTTGGTGTTTCCTTCGGAGATGCAGCTTTCGGTACCGCAGATACATCGCTTGGCACAATCTTACTTTTCCTCAGCATAACACTATTCCAAAGTCGATCTCCGTCTGAGGCAAATTTGTCCCTAATAGCCCGCTGAGTTTGGCGCGTTTCTAAAGCGTCATCTGATAATGAGGTTGACGATGAATCTCTACGTGCTTCTATCTCCTCCCAGCACATGCATGCACCTTGTCCGATTGATTCGTAGTCGCTGACAAGACAATTGTCCAACAGATAGTATGCGAAATCCAGCAGCGCGTCTCTCTTGTAGCAGTCTGAAATCCATTTGGGGTGTACAATAGGCAAGCCCTGTAACCTAGCAGCATCAACGCGAGCTCCTTTCGAATGGTCGGTAACAAAGACGGTTGGGCGGCTCCAGTGGACTTCTTTGACAAAATGTCGCGTGTTGCACGAATGAACTCCTAGTTGTAGACATAGTTTGTCTAGCACGTCCGTGCTGAATTGATCATTGCGCGTGTCATTTACTCTACCAATGAATATAACAAAGTCTTTTAGTGGCCCCAACTGGTACCTCGTTTGCAAAACTTTGAGCATGCGATCTTTACCATTCTTGATATGCGTGTAGTTTGAGTGTGATTCCATGGAAATTTCTTCACCAGTAAGCCAAAGATCGTAGATCGAATCCAGAGCGTCTGGGGCCAGGAAGGCTATATCAAACCGATTCTGAACGGCAAACCGATATTTGTTGGTAGCGACGCTTCCGACGATCAACACGTTGACGGATTTAGTCAAGTCCTTTGAGTAGCCTCCCCCCAGCTTTGTGATTTTGCGCGATAAATTTCTTGAAACCTCTTCTGGCAAAGCGGTGGGACAAAACGTAAGCCCCTGAAATGGTTTCTGCATGGGAGAACTAGGTTGTGCACAGTGTATGGGCATCGCGAGTTGGTGTAAATCGCTGGTACTACATAATGTCTATTTTGCTGGTACGTGACCACGATCTCTTCGTATATGATGATTATCGAAATCAAGATTCCTTTTAAGCTGATGTACAAAGAGGGACAAGCCCAGAAGTAACTCACGACTGTGAAGGTTACTTGAACACTCAAATGAAGTGGTACTTCACTTAAAACTGAGATTTGGAGTCGTAAACTCCTGAATCGAGCACACATTAGAACAAACCTTCACTGCGCATCGTCAAAGAGCAGCCTTCCAAACAAACTGGAGGCCATACCGGGTTCGGAGTCGCAAGAACCGTAGTACTCTGCTATACTGTATACATCACCAACTTCAGACAGGAGGTAAACGACAACACGACGTGAAAAACAAGAGAGCCGCTTCTATGCATATAGAGAGTCACATTTATGCACGAATATGTATTATCGACGTATTATATGCTTATGTAATTTTCTCTTGGCATTTTGCCCTCGTTGTCTGCGATTTCGGGCAAATGGGGCGTTTTCTTCCCAACTCCTTCAGTGCGACGCAGATTGAGTCCGGAATATTACCCTCGTTTAAAAGGTGTCACCCCGCAATTTTAACAGACACCGTTTTGATGACCCTACCGAGGTCACATTTATGAATATAAATACGGTAGCCTTTACGTTCATACGCTGTTAACGAGCCTTGCGACCACTTGATTCCGTCTTTTCGTTGTTGCAAGCACGATTAAGACAAGAGTTCTGGAAAAGAGCCTCTTTGACTTTGAGCAGCGACCGTTTCAGTTTTGATCCCTACGACAGTAGATAAACGCCAACTACCGATACCCTTGATCCGCTGCCAGCAGAATATAGCGGAGTGGGAGACTGGAAAGCCAGGCACTGTCAAAAAAAAATTGTGTATCTAGAGCGCGACCGCGGTGTTTGAAAAGCAACGATTATCGAAAGTAGAATCGATTTGTTCAGGGACATTTCGGTTTTCAATTGCAATAGCCAGAAAAAAGGCGAAGCGCCATCATCTAGCGGATTGCGTAGCCACACACAGCCCTGATTGCATAGCCCTACGTGGGGTTGCTCCATCGACACTGTTCCTATGTCCAAACGAAAATACGGTAATCATTCCGATCACACGGACACCGATTTGCTGTTGTCCAAAACGGCGCGATTATCGCAAGCGTGTGACAGATGTAGATTGAAGAAAATCAGGTGTAACGGCGCAAAACCGTCTTGCGAAGCATGTACCAAAGTTGGGTTTCAGTGCCAGCACAGCGATAAGCTGTCCCGAAGGGGAACCCCGAAAAATTATACTGAGTCACTTGAAAGAGAAGTTGTGCGGCTTCAACAATCAGTACTTCAAATTCAGAAGCAGCAAAGTGTCGATGGTACCATGCAAACCCACGAGCAAGAGTTGTCTGGGTTGTCAGCGACAGTCGCCGCAAATCTTAAATCCAAGGAGCCGCCAGCCTGTGTACCGCACATGCACCCACGCGACTTCCTGCTTCAACTCCCGTTTATTAACGACACTTTCCACCTTTATGACAACTATGTCACAGAGGAGGGCCGGTTTCTGGGTCATGCAACGTGGAACATCCTTACACACACACTTTCCGATCTTCCAACAGACGCCATCGGTGAGGAGGATGCTTGGCTAACACGTTACCTAATCCAAAATTTCCAGCTTTCGCCAGATTGCATCCCAGTTATTCTCTTGCAGAAGCATCAGGAGGATGCGATTCTATGTGGAAAAGAGATCCAGAAATGCATTTCCCATTTTCTGGAAACTTCGATGGCCCTGGTTCCCATTTTGAATGCTGCCTCGTGGCGCAGTGACCTTACCAGGATACCCCATTCTAGAACCGCTCATCCAGCTGTCTTGCTCGCATATTTGTTCATTTGTCAGTGGCAGTGGTCATGTTTTAGCGACGAATCTTTGTTTACAGCTGCAAAGGTCGTTTGCCTTAACTGTACAAGGCCCTTGCTAAGGCTTCAGTGTTTATTGTTGGGAAGCTTTTATTTCATGGGATCCCCGGCCCGGTCTTTGTTAACAACATGCTCAACTGCACCGTTCGGTTCACAGCTCTTGAGGCACGCTACTGCGGAAATAATAGACTTAGGACTATATATCAACAGCCATCGTTTGACACCGACGCAGTCCCATGCCCCAATCAGTCATACAGAAAGGTTGACGACTTTTTGGTGTCATCAATTTCTGGATTCCTGGTGGACTTTGATTCAAGGCGTTCCCAAGACTAACTTTACAAATGACGAATTTACTCCGCCGAATATATCGGCTCTCAAAAATCCTCAATTGAAGCCATTCGAGTTGTTAATAGACTTTGTGGTCGGTTCTCTTGATGGCTGTAATTTGCTCAAAGCCCTGTCACCGAGTTCCCATACCCATATGGTGTTGATGTTAGAGACTTTTCGTAAAAAACTTGTAAAGTACAACCTATACCATCGTTTGACTGACCATGATGTCCACAGTTTGGCCACCTTTGTGACAAATATGACCCAGTCCTTGGCTACAGAAATTCAATTGACACTATATTACCTTGTTATCTGCTTGTTGACAAGCCTCAAAGAGTCAGGAGCACCATCCAGTAAGAAAGTCAAGTTTGCCGTACATCCAACTCAATCTTCCCTGTTTAACCAGAAAACCTCAAGTCTGAGAGGAAAATCCTCAACTTTGAAAAAGCCTTTGAAATGTCTCAAGGCTCAACAAGAATACGCATACGAGATAATGTGTCTTTATTATCTCACTGTTGTTGAACTGGATAACTCTAAGAATATAGCACCTTCACAGTTAAAGGCAGCCCACCTCATACCGTGCGACAATTTCGGAGTTATAGAAATTTGTTTGGAAACGCTGGCTAACTGGGCGTCAAATCATTACTCCAAAAACGACCCCGATTATCCCTTGATATATAAGAAGTGTCAATGCATCATTGAAGCTTGGTGCAGTATTTGGTACTTTGATGAGCCCGAAGATGAATTATTCATTCGATTGCAAGCTCTTTTTAACATTTCTCCAATACAGTTTCCAGCAAGGGCCGGTCAAACTTTCGATAAACTCCTTTACGTTCATTCTATGAAAATTCAAACAAGACGGTCCTACCCCTTGAAACAGTGTGGCGAAGGCCAAAATTCGGCTCTAGTGGGGGAGTCTCTCAACCTATTTGGAGAAAGTATGGCAACGCGCTTACCAACAACTGAGACGATAAATGCTCTTTTCAATCCTATGGCGATGCAGGAAGAGGACGAGGGTTACGCGGAGGATGATGATGAAGATGAGGAATCATTTCTAGAAATTCCCACTCCTAAGAAAACACAATCAAATCAAAAAGTTACTACAAGCAGTGGGCCTTTAGTCCAGCAGGGGTGCTCCACGTCGCTATTTGACCAACGTCCCCAGGTGGCGATTAGGCGCTTCTCCGACGGTAGTGTACCAGATCCCTCCCATGTCGGAAGCGATCATACTCAGGAGGATATAGAATTGAGCTTGCAAAGTAAAGTGGCCCAAAAGTCACCGAATGACCATTATCTATTAGTTCAAGGATTTAGAAGGCCCTCCCCCGCGGTTGGTACACCACGCTCTTTAGGCGATCTCTTGACCCCTGATCTAAATGCTCTGCCCCCTCAAAAATCGAGGGGTGAGTCCAAAGTTTCCATCAATTGATACATGTTCGGAACTTGTACTTCAAACTGTGGTTTAGCTGACCATTAGCCTGGTTTGTGTGGTTAATTTTTCAATGCGATGCTCATCTACTTAATTTTGTTATATAATAAATAGTAGCTAAAGGTCACCGGACTGAAGATAAATTACCTGATACCAACAGCAGCAGAATTTACTACAGATGTTTCGCAAGAGAGTCAAGCTTCAAAACTCGGTGGAAGGATCAGTAAGCAGCCAAAATAGACAAGTAACGCACTCCGCCAAGAAGCCACCAGGTAAGGGCAAGATTGATATATCTGAAAGCTATGATGACGATGATGATCAGGTAGAAACGATAAGTGTCAAAACACGGCCAATATCTACCCCTGTGGATCTCATAAATGTAGCCGGGGCTGATAATCCCCGTAGAACACACGATATAACCTTTTCCGCCAAGCAGAACTCACAGATCCTGAATTTAGACAATCTAGACGAGGACTTCGATGACGGAGATGAGGACGAGTTAATGTTTAGCGTACCATCCCACTCTGAAATTAAGCGTATACGAGAACTTCGGGCTTTGCAGCAGCAAAGGGTAAGTCCCACCGGCACAGGCTTTTTCGACTCGAGTCACGAAAAACCTGTGGAGTTCAATGAGGCCGCTTATGTCAAGTTATTGAACGAGGAAGACAAATTAGACTTGCTAGAGACTCTTGGTGAGCGTACTGCTGGCAACGATAAAACTGACGTGCTTTCAGAGCCGATGTCCAACGCATTTGACGACAAGCCACTGGCGCTCAGTGAACAGGAACTACGACGTGATGAATCGGAACGAAAGACTACGATCTTGAATGCCTTAGATGACGTTCAAGATAATGAGTGGGAGTCACAGCAAATCAGTAAAAATGAAAACGGATATTCAATTGCCTCCCTTCCAATAACACATGGCGACGATTTTAGTCTCGATTCCGTTCTCTCTGAGTTAAAAACTCTGGTGCTTAAAGCCCAACAGAAGGAGAAAATAAATTTCCTTAGACGCGATGCCCTTCAAGGAGAACGTGAAACACTGCTTAATCTGCGATCATCTTTAACATCAAAACTAGAGAAACTTGCGTTCGATTGATTCCATAAACACGCGGTCGCATTGCAAACTTTACAGTGGAGCTTAACTGAGGAAATACCAGGTTGGAGTGTATCAAGGCTTCAGGCTCCTCATAGTAGGACCTCTCTTACAGGGCTCAAATTTGGTCTAGTGCCAGCGTGTCGTTATAAACGGATAAATCGTCAAAATCCAGTGAAAACCAGATTCCTATTCATTTCCGTTTATCCTAATCACGGACCGACAAAGATCAGGAAGCCTTACTGAGCAATGAGCTACTTTAGGTAAGTGTCAATGGCATTACAAATTGACTTTAGAAAATATATTAACGTTTTTCTCTTTTAGAGAGAGCAATGGCTCTTTAAGAGCTTTAGCGCTTAACAAATTGGCCTGTAACGCCGCCGCATGTCAATCGGGAGGTTTGCTAGAAAAGCTTTTGGCCTCATTGCCCGTGTCATATTCTTCAAATACGACGAAGCTCTACTCCATTCCGTTGACTCTTAACGAAGTCGAGATTCTCTTGGCCATTTGTGCTTCTGTACCAGCAGATGAACTGCAAGCGCGTTCTCTATTAAAGAAGTGCGTGTTCCCTTACTTTTTAGCTAGCCCAAAGCAAAAGTTCACAGATTACGTTGTCAACAAGTATAAGCAACGGAACTTGAAGCACCCCTCAGAGCTGCTTTCCTTCGAGCTCGCTCGCTTCGTGATTCGAGCCAACAGAATGTTTCCACAACTAATATCCTACACTTGCCGCCTGGTAGACGAATATCTGCAAGTTGTTTCAAACGGACTGACGGTTGAAGGCTTACTATCACTCATGGGGTTCATGGAGGGAATGATTTTTGAAGAGGGACAGGGCTTGGCTTCCATGCTGGTTCCTACTCTTCGTCATTTTATGACAGAAGAGTTTCTGTGCGCAGTGGAGATAGCTACAAGATCATCGAGTAGTAAAGACGTCCTCATGTACTATTTCGACAACGACAGAGAAGTTTCGGCGTTGCTGTTTTGTGAGTTGTTAGAGAGGCTCCAAGTTACCTATGTTTGCCAGCTATTGGCCGTACCTGAAGGTAAATCATTAGATGAGTTCTTATTAGAAGTTCAGCACACTCATGCCAAAAACGATGACTCGGATCTCTACAAAGAATTTGACAAAATGATTGACAAGCACAAGGGTCCACTTTTGGAAATGTGTGCCTTCTCCTTCAAGCAGTTGTCCGAGATTGAACAAGGTGCGAAATACATTGATTTTTCAAGTCAAACTCGATTAGAGACTGCTCTGAGGTCTAAGGCACATATGCTGAAAATTCTCGCCCTAGGAATGTTTCTTCAATATGAGTTTGAAGAAGTGACCCAAGTCGTCAGGGATACAGTCATGAGTTTGCCAACAAATGGTTGTGCTTTCAAAACTCCTTTACTCGCGACTGCCGTGGCAGTCGCGTCGTTAATGAACTTCTTCACAGAGGCTGTCTCTGCGGACTTACTACGTGTATTTCCCATGCTGGTGGCGACGAAGAATCTTTCAAGGGTGACGATCTCTGAGATCTCAACAGCCTTCGCGAAGGGATTGGCTCCTCTTACTGAAGACACAATTGTAGGGACGATTTACACTATAAACAATTTGTTAGCTCTCGCGCAAGATGGCCAACCAATTCCAACAATCAAGGGGCGGCGATTGACAACATCTTTGGATAATGAGCACGACTTCGAACGAATGATATCTCAGAGGCCTGCTCGTTCAAATACAGTTGCAACTTTTCAATCGTTACAGAAGTTGAAACTTTCAGATATCATTCCTTCAAGCTCAGAGTCAAACTCGCGAGGCGCAGAACATGATCGAAGCTCGCTTGCACAAGAGGAAGAGGGTGGACATCGCGTTCATGATCATGAGGAATTGTTTCAAAATATCATAACCGCAATCACATGTATCGCTTCCATCTATAATGATCAGTCTATTACCGCCCTGACAATCACAATGCTGACACAAAAATATGGATCTATATCGCCAAGTCTAAACTCAGAAATACTGCAGGGATTAGCACATTTGGCTTTGAAAGTTACCACTTCAGAGTTCAATTTGCTCATGAAGTTCTTTAACGCTGTAACTAACCACGCATTAGAGATAAAGGATACGTCCATCATCAACAGCATTGCTGAAGCCAAGTCTACTATCGCGGTAGGTCTCTCTGCAGCTCCTGAAAGTAAGCTCTACAGCCTCTATCTCCGTTATTTGTTAGATGCCATCGTGGCTCGAGGAGATGTCGACCGCTCTGAACACCACAGGTCCCATTCCGAAATCTCAGAAGTTGCTAATCAAATTGCTTTCTATCTGAGGCCCTTGTCAGGTCTCTTGCCCAAGCCTGGATCTACACCAATTGATCTCACGCACGATGATGAACTGACCAACAAGTTTAGGAACGTTTGGTTTAACGCTGTTGTTCATGGATTTCATGGAGAGGCTCCGTTGTTCAAGAAATTTCATGAAGAGCTTTTAACAATATCCTACAACTCACCCCCGCTAGCTTCAGACTTTCCAGTAAATAACCGCGAAACGTCTCTTGAGATGAACACAATACTTCGCCGAGGCTCTTCAAATCACAACTTAAAAGATCAAAAGCATCTAATTGCGGATTTTTTGTCCATTAGTTTAGTACAAGCAAGGACACTCTCCACGTCGAAAGTTATGTTCTTGGCGGCAACATTTTTACTGGAAAACCTTAGGTGCGAGGCAGGGGACTGTTCGCATGCTTTGCTATATTCCTCTGACAGGTCTATTGCCAAAAGTAGCATCGATAAGTTTGTTACGTCCATTTCCATGGCGATGATTAAAAAGTATACCAACCTTGTCATTCATGGCAATCCGCGAAATTTTGGAGCAGAAAGTGCTGCAATTCAACTAACCAATATCATTATTCTATTGACCCACAGTGATATTGCATTACAGGATACAGCCTATCTCTGCTGCGATGAATTTATTGAAAGACTTCCCTCGAGTCTTTGTCACCGTGACTCCTTGTACACATTGTTAGACTCGCTCTCGATGCTTTTCGAAAGTGTTATAGCCTGTGAAACCAGCAAACATGAAGCGGTTTTCGATTTCACCTTGAAACATTCCAAAAGAAAAATGACTTTGCCCGACTCATATCACTGGAGGTCTTCCACTTTGGAAAAGCTTCAAAAATTTGCAACACGTTGGGTAACGGTCATTTTGAAAACTGCAAATCAGGATGCGAAGATATTGTTGCAATCTTATATCTCCGACTTGAGCAGTGTTCAGAGGCTGAACAGTGTCGAGTTTGGTGTATCCTTTGCGCTGGAAATGGCAGCTAAGATTTTGCCAGTTGACAGGGAGCTAGCCAATATTACTAGAAGTGGATATCGCCGACCAGATAGCATGTCCGGATTTCTGTCACAACACGCTTGGAGATCGAGGTTCATGAAAGATCAGAGTGTTTCCTCCTCTTACCATGATATCGATAATGAGAGATTCCAACTGAGGTCCAAAATTGAGGAGGCGCTCAACAAGGGTAAGCCTTCTACCATTAGTGACATAAGTGACTTTCTTGACCTATCCGCATCTCTTCTAGTATTGGAAAAGGGAAACGCGGCTACTTTGATTTACGATATCGTTAACATTCCATTTAGAGTTTTTTCCTCTGAGGCTATTAAGATAGCAACGAATGTCTGGCTATCAGTCATGAAAGAAAGGAGTGACGTATGCTACTTGCTATTGTCAGAGATCAGCAATTGTTGGAGACATTCCATTGAAGACAGAGAGGGCCTCTATTCGAGCGAACATGACCTTCAGGTGGAAGAGTTCAACCAAATGGAGTACTCTCCCTATAACAAGAAAGATATAAACATTCGTGCACATACTGCTAGCAAATGTCTGCAGCCTCACCTATTGATAATCAGGTTCCTCACCTCCCATTTTGAGGGGACAATGTTTGACAGCACGCACTTACTTCAGATGTTCACAGATATGTGTCTGCGGGGTTTAGCAAACCTAAGTAAGGCAAGCTTGCATCCTTTCGCAAGGATGGCCCGAAGTGAGCTGTTGATCTTTGGAACGCTGGTATTTTCAACGAATTTAAAGTATGGTACACGCTATGTGTCCAGTATGTGCTACGCGTTAGTTGATGCTGCGCTGAGTTGGTATGAGAAACCGAAGGCATGGCCCTTCGCAGCCAACGAACTGAAAATTAGAGCAGATTTAGCACTACTCGTAGAGCTTTACAAAAAACTGAAACAAAGCGAAGCAGCACTCGGCAAAGATCGCGGTAAAGATCTCGTATTGCTTCAATATTTCATGCTCAGCGAAATTCAATCTGTTGAGTGCTGGTTACGGCCATTGGCAAGACCAGCTGATGTAATGAAATTACCACGGAATCTCATATCGGTGGCTTTCGAAAAGAATCCACTCCTAGCAGCAAATTTGGTCGATAGGTATCCATCAAAAAAAGCAGATGAAATGCTGAGAGAGTTGGTCGTCAAGAACCCTCTATTGTGCGTTAGTACCGAAAAGACTTTGGCTCCGTTCCTCTCTAGTGCAAAAGATTTTCATTTCATTCTCTATTGGGTCTCTACAAGTCCTCTGCAATCAATTAACCTTCTCTTACCTCCGTGGGCTTTGAACAACTATGTCGTGCAATATAACATCCGAGCTCTCGAGTCTCATGATGTGAACTTGACCTTCTTCTACGTCCCGCAAATTGTTCAGTGCGTGAGGTGTGATCCAATGGGATATGTTGAGCGGTTTATCATCGACACTGCAAAAATCAGCGTTTTGTTCTCGCATCAAATAATTTGGAACATGCTGGCCAATAGTTTTAAAGACGATGACGGCGAAGTGCCCGACGAATTGAAGCCTAGGTTGGACGAAATTCAAAACAAAATGGTGAAGGCTCTCAGTAAGGAACAAAAAGACCTTTACGAGCGTGAATTTGAGTTCTTCAATGAAGTTACTGGCATATCAGGAAAATTGAGGCCTTTTGTTAAGAAAACGAAAGCTGAGAAAAAGCAAAAGATAGACGAAGAGATGCAGAAAATCAAGGTTCGCGATGGCGTGTATTTACCTTGTAATCCCGACGGTGTTGTGGTAGATATAGATCGAAGCAGCGGGAAACCTTTGCAAAGCCACGCCAAAGCACCATTTATGGCTACCTTCAAGATTGAAAAGACCATTAAAGACCTCGAAAAAAATGAGGATCGAAAAGTTGAGGAATGGCAGGCCGCCATTTTCAAGGTAGGTGACGACTGTAGACAAGATGTGTTGGCATTGCAATTGATTTCCATATTCCGTACCATTTGGTCGTGCGTAGGCCTGGATGTGTATGTGTTCCCCAACAGAGTCACAGCCACGGCCCCTGGTTGCGGTGTGATTGATGTATTGCCCAACTCTATTTCGAGAGACATGTTAGGAAGAGAAGCTGTGAATGGCCTTTACGAGTACTTCACAACGAAATTTGGACATGAAAATACTGCAGAATTCCAGCGCGCCCGCAAAAACCTTGTCCGATCTCTCGCTGGGTATTCCGTAATTTCCTATCTGTTGCAATTCAAAGACAGACACAACGGAAACATCATGTACGATGACCAGGGCCACTGCCTGCACATCGATTTTGGTTTTATATTTGATATTGTTCCTGGTGGTGTGAAATTCGAGGCTGTGCCGTTTAAGCTAACTAAGGAAATGGTTAGAGTTATGGGGGGGTCTCCTGACACTCAGGCTTACAAAGAGTTTGAAGAGTTGTGTATCAAGGCGTATTTGGCTGCGCGCCCGCATATGAATGCTATCTTGGAATGTGTCAGGCCGATGCTGAGCAGTGGACTACCTTGCTTCAAAGGCGAAAAAACGATGCGTAATTTAGAGTCGCGGTTTGCACCAAATAAAACAGAACACGAGGCGGCTGAGTTTATGATGGGGCTAATCAAAAAATCCTATGAGAGCATTTTCACCAAGGGCTACGACGAGTTCCAGCGCCTAACGAATGGAATTCCCTACTGAGTTTTTCGCGACTAGGAGAGCGCCCCCAAGAGGACCAATCCGTATGCATATATTGGACATAAAATATGAGATGAAGTGTAATGATAGATAGATTCGAAACTTAGAATATGCAACTTGCGACAGAGGATAGAAGATAAAACCCATACAATAAAATTTTGCCTCCAATAGAAATCTGGTTGAAAACATGGTTGAGAAGCTGGTTAATTCTGTGACGCCCGGTCACTACTAGTCGCCAGCACAGCTCACCTAAACATCAAGCCAAGCTTCCGTTACTACTGATATTAAAGCTCCGGTTTCGGCTCCGCATGTGGTCATTTTCAACGTGGGCCCGATGTCGGGTCCGTAAGCACGACTGGATCGGGTCACGTCCCCTTACAGAAATTGGCCATGGGCCGTGAAAAAATTGGCGGTATATATAGTACCGAGAATTTCACGATAGTAAGGAGATGAGTTCCTTACTCTTGTGGAGGATAGGTTTTAAAAGTCTGCAGAGAGCTGAATTGTCGTTGACCTGACTGACTTGTCTTAATCTCCGATCAGTCCGAAAAAGCGTTGCTCAATGTTGTCGGCTCGTCATATTGTTCAAAAACCTGTGGCTCGTGGGTTGGCCACGGTCTCCAAATTGACCAGAGACTCTAAGGTCCACCAAAACTTGTTGGAAGACCACTCTTTCATCAACTATAAGCAAAATGTTGAAAACATCGAGATTGTGAAGAGCAGACTCAATAGACCATTGACTTATGCTGAAAAGATCTTATACGGCCATCTTGACAACCCTCACGCCCAAGAAATCGAACGTGGTGTGAGTTACTTGAAACTAAGACCCGACCGTGTTGCTTGCCAGGATGCGACCGCCCAGATGGCTATTTTGCAATTCATGTCCGCTGGTTTACCACAAGTCGCCAAGCCTGTGACAGTGCACTGTGACCACTTGATCCAAGCCCAATTGGGTGGTGACAAGGATTTGAAAAGAGCTATCGACCTAAACAAGGAAGTTTTTGACTTTTTGGCCACTGCTACTGCCAAGTACAACATGGGTTTCTGGAAGCCAGGTTCCGGTATCATCCACCAAATTGTTCTTGAAAACTACGCCTTCCCAGGTGCCTTGATCATTGGTACTGACTCTCACACTCCTAACGCCGGTGGTTTGGGTCAACTTGCTATCGGTGTTGGTGGTGCCGACGCCGTCGACGTCATGTCGGACTTGCCATGGGAATTGAAGGCACCAAAGATCCTTGGTGTCAAATTGACCGGTAAGATGAGCGGATGGACCTCTCCAAAGGACATTATCCTAAAGCTCGCTGGTATCACTACTGTCAAGGGTGGTACCGGTAAGATTGTCGAATACTTCGGTGACGGTGTCAATACTTTCTCCGCTACTGGTATGGGTACTATCTGTAACATGGGTGCTGAGATCGGTGCTACCACTTCCGTTTTCCCATACAACAACTCCATGGTTGACTACTTGAAAGCCACCAAGCGTGGTGAAATTTCGGAGTTTGCCAATTTGTACCACAAGGACTTTTTGTCTGCTGACGAAGGTGCTGAGTACGACGAAGTTATCGAGATCAACTTGAGTGAATTGGAGCCATACATCAACGGTCCATTCACTCCAGATTTGGCCACTCCTATTTCCGCCATGAAGGAAGTTGCTGTTAAGAACAACTGGCCTTTGGACGTTAGGGTCGGTTTGATCGGTTCTTGTACCAACTCTTCTTACGAGGACATGACCCGTGCCGCCTCCATCGCTGAAGATGCTGCCTCTCACGGTTTGAAGGCCAAATCTTTGTTCACTATCAGTCCTGGTTCCGAACAGGTTAGAGCCACCATCGCTCGTGACGGTCAGTTGAAGACCTTCCAAGACTTCGGCGGTGTCGTTATGGCTAACGCCTGTGGTCCATGCATTGGTCAATGGGATCGTCAAGACATCAAGAAGGGTGACAAGAACACCATTGTGTCTTCTTTCAACAGAAACTTTACCTCTAGAAATGACGGTAACCCAGATACTCACTCTTTCGTTGCTTCTCCAGACATCACGACTGCCTTGGCCATTGCTGGTGACTTGAGATTCAACCCTATGACCGACAAATTGAAGGACAAGGACGGTAACGAGTTCATGCTAAAGCCTCCAACTGGTGTTGGTTTGCCACCAAAGGGCTACGATGCCGGTGAAAACACCTATCAAGCCCCTCCTCTAGAACGTTCTGCCGTTGAAGTCAAGGTTTCTCCAACCTCTGACCGTCTACAACTATTGGAACCATTCGATTCCTGGGACGGCAAGGACCCAACCGACCTACCAATCTTGATCAAGGCTCTAGGTAAGACCACCACTGACCATATCTCTATGGCTGGTCCATGGTTGAAGTACCGTGGTCACTTGGAAAACATTTCCAACAACTACATGATTGGTGCTATTAACGCCGAAAACAAGAAGGCCAACTCGGTCAAGAACTTCTACACCGGTGAATATGCTGGTGTTCCAGACACTGCCAGAGCTTACAAGAAGCAAGGACAAAAGTGGGTTGTCATCGGTGGTGAAAACTTTGGTGAAGGTTCTTCCCGTGAGCATGCTGCTTTGGAACCAAGATACCTAGGTGCTTACGCCATTATCGTCAAATCCTTCGCTCGTATCCACGAAACCAACTTGAAAAAGCAAGGTTTGTTGCCATTGACTTTCGCCAAGCCTGAGGACTACGAAAGAATCAACCCAGACGACCTTGTCGACCTTGTTGGTGTCACTGAACTGGCCCCAGGTAAGCAACTCTCTCTAAGACTAAAGCCTAAGTCTGGCGAGGCCTGGGAAACTCCTTTGAACCACACCTTCAACAAGGAACAGATTGAATGGTTCAAGGCCGGTTCCGCCCTAAACAAGATGGCTGAGAAATAATTCTGTCACTAAACTGGTCTGACTCAGTTCGGGTGAATGTAACTGTTTCATTATTTATTACAATATTCAATATTTATTCAATGGATTTTCGTGTTATTATTTGTGTGTTTGCCGTACGCGTGTGCGTACGTGCATATGTATTCTCTACTTTGTTTCTTGGCACTCACGCTCGGTATTCGAAGCTCCATCCTAATCGCATTTGGCACGGCTCGGCCGAACCAATGCGGCAATAGCGCATTACCAATCGGCCGGACCAAGAGATAGCACTACGATGAGACGTAGAAATGTGAAGCACAATGCATGAGAAATATGAGCCGAGGCATGATATTGGTGACCACTTACTGTCTATCTGTCTGTCAACCTAAAATATACATTTACATATAAATAGTGTTGAAATTGGGTTCAACCAAAAATCGTCCCCTCACTTAAAGGTAAGACAAATATACACGTCAAAGACCAAAATGAATGAAGCTGGGTGTATGTATGGGTTACGACCCTACCCAGATCGGATAACGAATGCGTTGAATCCTTGTTTCATCTCCGCTGTTTCAATGGGACATGCCTTGTTTTTCGGCGCCATTGGTATAATTCAGCTTATACATTTGATAAGGGAAGCCAGAGTCCCACCTCAATTTCGCTACTCATCTACCTGGAGATCTATGTCAACCAGGCACTTGCTGCATTTATGCAGTGTTTCCTTACAGGCAGTTCTACTTTTCTGTGTGATTGTACTTTCGCCGGTAGAGTCCACCCCAAAAGTTACGGAGTATAGCATTATCGTGCAACTGTTGTACATTGTACTTATCTCGTTACCGACTCAAGTGCTCCAGTTCTACAAATCAACTGTTTCACTAGCAGGCCAGCTCTTTTATTTTTTGACACAAGCGATGCTGCTGGGCTATCAATTAGGACAGCGTATAGCGTACCATCCTGACACCAGGTTCAATGTGTACACCGGCCACTATGCTGCTACGATTGAAGTAGCGTTATTGTTGAATTGCTTTTTGATCTTTTTGTATGACTTGAAGGCTTATGCTCCGTCTAAGGAACTTTCCGCTTATTATGAGGAGAAGAACCTATATCCTGAATGCAACATCTTTGAAAATTTGACTTTCACTTGGATGAACAATTTGATTGTCCAGGTGTTCAGAGATGGGGAGATTAAAGATCCCTACAAAATGTCACTCCCTCCTGTTAATCTCGACATCGGACAGCACGCTCGCGTGCTGGAAGCCAAGTGGGAAGCTGAAAAGTGGAAAGGAAGGAACTCACTTCTTTGGGCCATCTCTTATGCTTTTGGAAAAACTATCATGACCGCTCTATCGCTGGAAATATTGAAAAGCTTTTTGACCATTTTACAACCTCAACTTTTGAGATTATTCATCAATGAATTCAACAAAGATCAAGAACGTTCGCATCCTATGCTGAACGCAGTCTTTGTTGCAATCGCACTCTTTCTTCTAAAACTTGTTTCAACGTGCTTGTCAAATCAGTTCTTTATCACGATCTTTGAAGCAGGCATGGGTATTCGGGGGTCACTGATGACAATGCTCTATGAGAAATCATTAGCGCTTTCTAGCGAGGCCAGGGAGGATAAATCTGCGGGTGACATTTTGAACTTGATGTCAGTTGACGTCTTGAGAATTCAGAGGTTTTTCGAAACTTCCCAAGATTTGATCGGAGCCCCGATCGCTCTTATCACGACGTTGATTACACTGTACACGTTTTTGGGCTACGCTACTTTAAGTGGTGTTGTTGTAATGGCAGTCATGTTTCCCATTAACAGTTACCTGTCGGGTAAAATGAAGGGTTACGTCAAAACACAGATGAATCACAAAGACACCAGAGTGAAGACGGTGACCGAAATTTTGAACTCAATAAAAACTGTGAAGCTTTATGCTTGGGAGGAGCCAATGTTGAAAAGATTGGGCCATGTTCGTAACGACTTGGAACTGGGTTCTGCGAGAAAAATTGCTGTCTTCAATAACCTTACCACGTTGGCTTGGAATTTTCTTCCTATTTTAGTGGCTTCTTCGACATTTTTAATCTACGCAGTAACTATGAACAGGCCCCTGACACCAGATATTGTCTTCCCATCGTTGTCACTATTCGACATCTTAAACGACTGCATTTATACGATTCCCCGAACAATCACCAACTTCATTGAAACTGGAGTGTCGCTTGGAAGGTTAAAAAGCTTTCTACTTGCAAAACAATTAGACAAGTCGTTCATTCACTTTGAAGCATTGCCAACCGATGAAAAAACACCCGTGATTGAGCTGAATAATGCCACCTTTTTGCGGAGAACGATAGAAAAATCTACAGAAACTGAAACCTACGATGAAGAAGCAATAATTGAAAGCTCACGGGTGGCCCTGAAAAACGTGGACGATTTCAAAGTATTTAAGGGCCAACTGGTTTGTGTGATTGGTCGCGTAGGTGCTGGAAAATCAACTTTTTTGCAGGCGTTGATGGGCATGTTGCCATGTGTCGAGGGGTCAAGAGTGCGTCAACCTTTGACATTCAACTTTAGAGCTAACTCAGTAGCACTATGTTCGCAGCAAGCTTGGATTATGAATGGAAGTGTTAAAGACAACATTCTGTTTGGGCATAGGTATGAAGAGTCGTACTATAAAGCCACTCTTAAAGCCTGCCAGTTACTGCCAGATTTAGAAATTTTAGCCGACGGCGATGAAACATTGGTCGGAGAGAAAGGTATTTCTCTTTCTGGTGGACAAAAAGCACGATTAGCGCTGGCCAGAGCTGTCTACTCAAGAGCGGATGTTTATCTTTTGGATGACATTTTGAGCGCCGTTGACGCTCAAGTTTGCAAGCACATTATTGATCAGGTTTTGAGCAGAACTCAAGGTCTTCTAAAAAACAAAACAGTTGTCCTCACCACCAATTCTACGTCTGTACTGAAGTACAGTGATAACATTCACGCATTGGAAGATGGGGAAATCATTGAAAGCGGTACTTTTGACGAAGTCTCTCAGCGTGGTGCAAGTTCTAAGCTCAAGGCGTTGATTAGTGATATCAATGCCGGCCTGGAGGAAGAAACCGAGGAACAAGTTCAGGAACAACACTTCACTGGAATAAAGGAGCCGGATCTATACGCAATCGAAGAAGACGAAATTGGTCTGACAGATCATGTGGAGGCGGACAACATAGTTTCTCATGCACTTCAGTCGCGTAAAGCTTCGATGGCAAGTTTAAAACCTCGCGAGATTGTAGATCTTAATGCAGACACTCGAAAGACAAAGCAAAAAGAGGAAACCAAGGAGGTTGGCCGTGTGAAGACTCGGGTTTATCTCACATATCTTAGGGCATGTGGAATAGCTGGTGCTCTAATTTATCTCTTTATGTTAATAATGTCGCAAACTTTGCACATTAGTGAGAATTTCTGGTTGAAGCACTGGTCAGAAGATAATCAATCAAATGGTGGGAATAAGAACGTTGGGCACTATGTGGGCATTTACGTTCTAATTTGTTTGGGTTCATCTTTGTTTGACAACGTCAAAACCATTATGCTGCTCCTTGTTTGTTCTATAAGAGCCTCCGCAAAATTACATGACGCCATGGCACAGGCTGTTCTGAAGAGTCCGATGAGCTTTTTTGAGACCACACCTGTTGGTCGTATCATCAATAGATTCTCGAGCGATATGAATTCCGTGGATGACAATTTGCAATATGTGATCAGCTTTTTTATGTTGTGTGTTTTTGACTATATTGTTGTCGTCGTTGTCATTGGCTTCCAAGTTCCCATTTATCTCGTTGTTAATGCAGCTTTAATGGTTGTTTATTACTATTACCAGATGTACTACGTGACCCTGAGCAGGGAGCTCAAACGCTTGATGAGCGTTAGTTTTTCGCCCATCATGTCTATGTTGAGCGAGACATTATCTGGCCATATGGTAATTGAAGCTTTTGACCATAATGACCGCTTCGGGTATTTCAACCTACAAAACATCCAATTCAACATCAATTGTGTCTTCAACTTTAGATCTACGAACAGATGGTTGTCGGTGAGGCTCGAGTCAATTGGAGCGCTTATGATCTTAACCGTAGCCGTCTTGTCATTAGCAACAACCTCCAGTCAGAAACCACTGTCATCTGGTATGGTAGGGTTACTCATGAGCTGTGTGCTTCAAGTTACGGACAAGTTGATGTGGATTGTCAGAATGTCAGTGCAGCTTGAGACGAATGTGGTGTCAGTGGAGAGAATTGTCGAATATTGTGATCTACCTCCCGAGGCGCCTGCCATTATCGAAGACTCGAGACCGGAACAAAATTGGCCAGCACAGGGTGCAATCCAGTTTGACAACTACTCAACCAGCTACAGAGCAAACTTGGACCCCGTACTGAAGAACTTGACTGTTGATATAAAGCCTAAGGAAAAGATCGGAATTGTTGGTAGAACTGGCGCTGGTAAATCAACATTATCTCTTGCCTTATTCAGGATTCTAGAACCGACGCAAGGTACTATAACAGTAGATGGTGTTGACATCAGCAAAATCGGCCTGAGAGATTTGAGATCGAACTTAGCAATTATTCCACAAGATGCACAGGCATTTGAAGGTACCATTAGGTCGAATTTGGATCCTTTTGAGGAATATGATGACGTGGAGTTGTGGAGAGCACTTGAACTTTCTCACCTAAAGCCTCATATTGTAAAGATGGCTAAGGAAGGAGATGACTCTGATAAAGTCGGCAGTTTGCTTGACACGAAAGTTAGTGAGAATGGTAGCAACCTCTCAGTAGGCCAGAGACAATTGCTATGTTTATCAAGAGCTCTGCTTAACAGGTCCAAAATCTTGGTCTTGGACGAAGCTACGGCCTCAGTTGATTCGGAAACTGACAGGTTGATCCAAGAAACTATAAGAGCCGAGTTCCAAGATCGTACCATTCTAACGATTGCCCATCGGATCGACACCGTATTGGACAGTGATAAGATAATGGTTTTGGACAAAGGCGAACTGAAGGAATTTGGTAGTCCTGAGAGCTTACTTGCCGATAATAATTCAATTTTCTACAGTCTCTGTGAGAAAGGTGGATACCTGAAGAACAGACAATGATAAATAAGTATCTACCAATGTATAGTAATAGTATTTCTCTTAAAGCTCGAACACACATTTTTTTCCTCGGATTTTCATTAAAGTAAAGATTATCTACAGTCGTAAGTAAGGGTTCTTGTCCTGATTGATGGACGGGAATTTCAGTTTTTGCCGTGGAACACTTTTTGAAAGGCTTGTTCAAAGTCCCCAACAATGTCGTCAATGAATTCGGTACCAACAGAAACACGGATTAAATCCTTGGTTACACCAGAAGCCAGCTTCTCTTCATCCGTAAGTTGTTGGTGAGTTGTGAAATAGGGAGAGATAACCAAGGTTTTAGAATCTCCCACATTCGCCAAGTTAGAAGCCACCTTGAGAGAATCTACAACCTGAACACCGGAGGCCTTGAAAGGATCGTCCTCTTTAGTAGCTTCGGGCAAATCTTTAACTCCGAATGAAAGTACACCTCCAAAACCGTTCTGTAAATACTTTTTGGCGTTTTCATGGTGAGAATGGGAAGGCAACCCTGGGTAAGAAACCCATGAAACGTATGGTGACTTTTCCAAGTATTCGGCCAACTTTTGAGCATTCAAAGCATGCCTTTCAGCTCTCAAAGACAAGGTTTCGACACCCTGGAGAAGCAAGAAAGCGGCAAATGGATTCAAGGCAGGACCCAAATCTCTAAGCAATTCAACTCTAACATGCGCAATAAAAGCCAAGGGGCCAAGCGCATCGTTGAAAATCAAGCCATGGTACCCTTCGGAAGGCTTCGAAAATTGCGGAAATTTTTCAGGATAGTTCTTCCATGGGAACTTACCGGAGTCAACGATAACACCTGCAATAGTGGTACCGTGCCCACCGATCCACTTGGTAGCAGAGTGTGTGACAATGTCAGCACCATACTTGATGGGCTGCGCAAAGTAACCACCGGCACCGAACGTGTTATCCACCACGACGGGGATACCGTGTTTGTGCGCTACCGCAATAATTTTCTCAAAATCGGGCACATTGTACTTGGGATTGCCGATAGTTTCAAGATACACAGCCTTAGTTTTGTCGTCAAAGGCCTTTTCGAAATCTTCTGGGGCATCACCTTCGATGAATCTGGTTTCAATTCCAAGTCTTTTGAACGCAACTTTGAATTGATTGTAAGTGCCACCGTACAAGAAGGAAGTAGACACAATATTGTCACCGGCATGAGCTAGACCAGTGATAGCCAAGGTTTGGGCAGCTTGGCCGGAGGAGAGGGCCAGGGCAGCGGCACCTCCTTCTAAGGCGGCAATTCTTTTTTCAAGAACGTCGACTGTGGGGTTCACTATACGGGAGTACATGTATCCCGGAGTTTCCAATCCAAACAATTGAGCACCGTGCTTGGAGTCATTGAAAACAAAAGAAGAGGACGCGTAGATAGGGACCGCTCTTGGATTGTGAGCATTTTCCTTGAAGTCTTCTTGGCCAGCGTGTAGTTGTAAAGTGTCGAAGTGGGAGGGCATTATTGTCTGGGAACGAAGTATTTAAGTTGATTATAGCAGCAAACCCTTGAGTATCCTTATCCTAGGCCCAGCTTTGACACCCAACTTGAGCCCTTTTATAGGTCATCGAACGTTCTTGATCTTCCTGCCTTGCACAATGTGCGGAAAGAAGTCTCCGACGTACTCTTTGTGGGAACTGTGGTTGATTTTAGTCTGGCTTCTCTCTGCTGACCTCGATGCCACTGCCCAGGTGTTCAACGCTCAATTTGCTGACTTCTTGTGCGACAATACTCTACGCTTCTCTCTGAACAGCAACCTTTTCATGTGGACTGCCAGGCTTCCGGAACGGATCATTCCACTTGGTCTCCACCACCGGGGTGTACCTCAGTTCTAAATACAATGAGCATTAATTTACTATGAAGACATGTCACGCACAATGTCTGTTAGTCTGTGAACATCACAATTGTGGCATTTCACAGAAAGGTTGCATGTGCTCATCACCCAATGGCTCGAGAACTGTATGAAGTAATCTCACATGTGCCTTGAAACTTCCTATTTGATTCAGTCGCCCAAAAGAGTAATCCAGTTTCCCCAAATGAACCAAAAAATAAATGAGAGCTACGGGATTCGAACCCGCGCATCCGAAGATATCAGAGAATCTGACTTATTGTGAAAGCTAAGCCTAAATCTGACGCCTTAACCACTCGGCCAAACTCTCGTATTTGATGAAAAGTCCATGCTAATGGTGGGTTTTGAGGATAGCAAGAAAGTTAGTGGATGTCATGAACAATTATCACAACGATAACTCAAACAATAAATGCACCTGACAGACTACGGAGCCAGTAGACTTTATTGGCATTGGATGCGGACTAACCTTCTCTAAATCTAATCTTCGTAGTTATTGAGGCGAATCTGATTCATCAGTAGAAAGCTTACTAAATTTGTCTTGTAAGTCGGACATAGTCATTGTAAGATGAGTAACTTGGATCTAGGGAATTCTACTTATCTCTCCGTGATTATTTTAGGCATTAGAGTTGGTTCAGTTACCTGAACAAAAGCCTGGTATTTATACAATTCTCACTTGGTGACTCTGGTCAACATATTTATTAATCACCAATTCTAGATCATTCTATTGCCCAAGGATTACGACTTCAATGCCGTACACTACCGATAACTTATCAATGGCCAATCCCATTGGACAATAGTTGTTCTCTTCGGTTTGTCTTAGCTTGTAGCTCTATTTGTATGGCCTCGGTTGTGTACTATCATTCTGTACCACTGTGTCACATATTTACTGACGCTGATTATGCGATTAGACGCACATCACCATCAGTTTATTCACATCATTTCCAACATCATTACAATACACAACTCGCTTACATCTTTCTAGACCCGTCCTTTCTGCTTTTCCTGACTTGCGGGTCTCGTTATATATTTCTTTCCTCGCTCTAACTTCAATTGCGAGTGACGTGTGTTGAAGAGAGAGCGTGGAGATGGCCAATCGATGGGACAACGACGGAGAAGAGCTCTAGAAGGAGGTAGCTACAGTGACAAGCGAGAAAAAATCTAAGTTAGCAATTATGAAGCCACATTAGCTCGTCAATCGGGGTTGTGATAGTTTTTAAGATACTTAAACTAGAGACTCAAATATTATGGCGAATTCGTGGCTAAGCTGTTTTTTCGCTACCATTTCAATCCCTCCTTCCCCTGGCTTACCGTACTATAGGTTGTCTATAGATCCCCCCTCAACCAGCCGTATATGTGCTCGTCGGAAAGGTGTTCGTCTTATTTACTCATTTATTGTTTCGAACGCACAATTTCACATTCGAGTCAGCTTATAATCTCTGAGATCTTTGTGCAAAAAGCCCAAACGTGCGTAGTTCCGTATCATAGAGTGACACAGACAAAACTTCAAGGTAAGCCACACTGGTGATCAAGGGTTTACAAGCGGGCTCAACAGTCAGTCGAGCTTAGATTGGCAAATACTCATTTTAGGTTTCCTGAGTCTTAGACAAGATGGAAATGGGAAATAATGGGCGCCCCATTTTCCATGATGACATCTTGTTCAAGTAGGCAAAGTTTGAATCTTTTGAATCTTTTGTACCCTAACCGAGTCTCTTATTTTCCTTACATGCCACGCTTCAAGAATTCTTATTTATTTTGCCGCGATTTGGACTATCTAATTACCTTATCTAAATCCAGGGTCTGCAACTGAATAACAAGTAATAATAAGCCTTAGCACGCCGAAGCCAAGCTTTTCTTAAAACGAAAGGGAAGGGTTTTTTTCAAACTGCGGCGGTCTCAAAATTAAAAACAGCCGTTACAAGCCGTAGTAATAGTACTCACCAAAATCACCAAACAATGTGAAGAGCCAAATCCCTGTATAGGAGCTACGTTTGACTGAGTGCCATTAACAAATTAGAGAACGCTTAACGACATAATCAACCACGTGATAGTCTTGAACATTATTTACGTGAAATTAACATTTAAAGATAGTGATCGCTTGCGTGGCGTAATGGCAACGCGTCTGACTTCTAATCAGAAGATTGTGGGTTCGACCCCCACCGTGAGTGTTTTTTGTCAGTATTTTTTTTGCAGTACTGACCTTAACGCATCACAACAACATGATAATAGTGTTTTACTGAGTTCTATTTACTGGCAATCAAAGTACCCTCAACAAATGTATAATATTTTGAATTAAATTTGGACCTATGCTTTTAGCTAGCTGATTGAGAGACTTCACATCTAATTCGACCAGGTTTATCTGTTTTAGGTTTGCAAAAAAATACTCGTCTCTGCTCCGACATGAGCTAACTTGAAGGGTATTTTCCACGTTTAGCCTGGACGCCACCTGCCAAGCTTCAAGCATATTGGGAGCGTTAAAAACGGTGGTGTAATCCTGGACTTGTCGTACCCGCCGTGGATATACGACAAAAGGTAGAAGTCACCTGAATTACCATAGCACGATGACAACTGTTGGTCGTTTTCAGAGATTAGCATCGCTCTTGAGTTCCGTTGACGGTGGTACTTGCGCTGCCAGCGCTTCCTTCTGCAGTTCCATTCACACGACACACTCACTACTTGCTTCCTTTGGCCTCCAGAGGCTTAATTCTAGTGTGTGCCCAAACTTGCTCCAAGCCTTTTTTGAAAATATCTACGTTGTAGTCTACAACGGTGAGGCAGCTTTCAACGTCTGTATCATCAGGCCTAATCAATGCAACCAGTGCTAAACCGCGTATCATCTGGCGCAGATAAATCACAATTCCGTTATTCAATGCAGAGGAGCTCTTGATTTCTCTTTGCGGCCTTGTGACGCTATCGGAAATATTTTGAACCTTATAGAGATCGTGAAGGTCAATGGTGACATCAACAAACTCGGCGCAAGTTTCATACATCACGATATCCACGGGAGAAGAGTCCGTTGAAACATAAATTTTTGAGTTGATGTCAAACAAGAAACATTTTTCAATCTTTGAATGTTGAACCAAATTATCCAGCATATTCTCTAAAAACGGCAATTCTGGAATCAGTTTCTGGACTATGCGGGAAAACGCCTCGTAGATGGAATGGTCAAAGATTGACGTGAGATAAAAGCTCACCTGTACACCATCAAGCCCCAACTCCAGTAGTTCCTCTCCGGTACGCTGCATAATATCACGCTGCGTTTCTACCTTGAAGTCCTCGCTCAGTCCATCAACCTTGTGTATGAGTACCTCGATATTGATATCCGGGTTCACCCTGTACGCGTACTCCACAATTATGGCAAAATTTGTCAAGGCATTCATGTACTCGTCCTGGGAATCTATAACATACACCAGGGCCCCTACGCTCTTAAATAGACGTTCAGAGTCATAGTTTGGCTCGAAATAATTCAGCTGACCCGGAAGCTCCATCACTGCGAGGTCAATAAGTGTTGAAAAATGCTCCGTCGTCGGATTTGAAGTTGATTCCAGATAAAGAGTGTCCAAAGGTTGCATATTGTGGAAAACAACTTTGCAAATAGAAGATTTACCACCTCTGCAAAGTGAAATGATGGTGTTAGTATTAACCAGGTTGGAGGGCTACGTGAAAAGGGAACAATAACTAACTAACCTTCTTAGACCCATCAATAAGATGGTGGCTTTTGAATTGCTATCTTCGGAGTTCATTGTCGACTGGTGAGTTGATATCTTAGCTCGGGTTTTTGGGAGTGCCGATCGATCGTTAATCGTTTAGCTTTCTAATTAACGATATTGAATGGGCTTAAAGATAACTAGCGACGAAGGGCGACAGGACGCTTCCCTGAGCAAAACCTAGCAAAACGAATATAGAACTGACTTCGCAATCGTCCGCATTTTCATATCATCAACAAAATGCTGACTGGTATCTATCGCGTGGCTGAAATAAGGTTTTTTCGTTCTACTTTGAATTCTTTGTTTTTTAGATGTTCAGAGCATCCCACCAGTGAAAATTAAAGCTCATCGCCTATCATTCTCGAACACCTTTTGACACGGCCAATACGAGACGACCTCTGGTCACACTAAAATGTCTCAAAATGCTTTCGACCAAAAGAAACAGCATATACTGTCAGAGATCCAGAGTGATAGCCTAGACTTGTCACCTAAAGGAACCATTGATGAGCTATGTTGGCCGATAATGAATTTAATAAACTCTCACGCAGATATGGTGACGACTTCTTCGTGCTCCGGCCGACTAAGTGTGTTTGTTGAGGGTCAAAAACTTCACAATGAGGTATTAAAGTCGGGAGGGAAAGGTGAGGGTGGGAAATGGCTCTTTGTCTCTCACAACCAAAACGAAGTCCGTAATTGGATTCAGCGACTTAGTGAACCGATACATTGGGTATCGGAACCCGATAATTCGCAATTGGATCCGACGTCAAGATTGATTCTGTACAAATTTGAGCCATTTATTCTTCATGTGAAATGCCGGAGTTTCCATATAGCCAGTCAGCTCTTCAATACTGCAATGTCATGCGGTTTCCGAGAGAGTGGAATCGGCAGCAACAACATCGTTGCAGTCCGGATAAACATCAAGCTTGATGTGCCTATAGGCTATCTTGACCAAGAAACTAGAGAACTCAGGTTTTTTGTTAGCCCAGCTTACATCAAATTGATAGATGAAATGACGCTAGCAAAATACAATGAAAATGCCAGAAAGATGCAAGAGCTGTTAAAAAAGATCGACAGTCAGGTAATTACCATCAGTGAACAAGGATCGGTAGACAAGCAACCTGCCGAAAGCAAAGAGGAGCGTCGCCAGAGAAAGCGTCGGGAGGGCCTTCTTCGTCAACAGCAGGCATCGTAATACAAGTGATTGTTTCTCATGATGTGTGGTATAAACATTACAGAATAGTAGTTGAATTATCAAGCTAGTTTACATTATTCCTTAAGATAAAGCGAAATGCGTAAGTATGCCACGAATGGGTTGGAATTGGGCCCTTTTAGGTTAGTTGGTAAGATTTGAATTGTATCTCAGATAAATTGAGTCACGCTAAATGTACAGAAATGCTGTTTGTTGTCCATTAAATTTAGTTAAGGTCAGTGAGGAAGTTGTGGAGATAGGTTGTCATGACGTGTCAGAACCACGACAGAAGTTCGTGAAATTTATTTTCAAGAGAAAAATACTGACGATTACGTTCATTCATCATCATCAGATTCGGCGCCCATTAAAGCATCAAACATATTGACAGCTGTTTTTTGCTGGGGTGTTTCCTCTTTACTGGCACCTTGAACGTGTCTCAATGAGGACGAGCGCGTGGCAATAAAACTGTCCTTGGATACAGGAGCAGGTTCTCTTCTTGAGTTACTTCTGTTGCCCATTGATGTGTTGGAGTTCGTTCTCCTAGAGCCAGATCTTGAACTACCTCTGAATTTACGTTCCCTTTCCTCTAAGGCTTTCTTGGCTGCCTCTTCCTCATGGATTTGCTGTATGGTCTTGGGGCCTTCGTCCCTCTTGGCATTGTTCCAGTTCTTCACCTCTCTCAGTTCCTTCATATCTATTAACTTGAACTTGATCCTACTCGAGATGTCACTCGTTTCTGTCACCTTGTCCAGCATGTAGAACAATTGGTCCAATACCGTGGAGCCTTCGAGGGAGCCACTTGGCTGAACGAGGCGATCATCTTCAAATTGCTCACCAACAGTACTCAAGAGCTCCAATACTGACTCCAAAGTTTCTTCACTAGGACTATCAGACAAATCCTTCATTAATCTCCGGAAACATTCAAACATCATCTTGGCTGTTAATAGATGCGAACGATATAGGAAACCAATGAGTCTCACCAGACCTAACCCTCTTCTCTTAGCGGCAGCCATCTGATAATACTCATCAGACATCATTTCAGGTTCTAGAGGGGAACCATCCTCCTTTGTAGGAAGTTTGTCGCTCCAGCCCTTTTGAAACTCAGCATGACACCTGTCGACTAGATAATGTAGCACCAACTTAGGGCCAGTCTTGCCGTCATTTCCCTCTTCTTTGATTTCAGGGTCCATGTCTTTGACAACTTTGCCGCAAAGCTGCGCATACATGGATGACCAATGTGGTTCGTCACACGCCTTCAAGAAAATCTGTTCAATGACCACTTTGAGGGTAACACAATCAGTTTCCCACTTAGATTGATCGGCGATCTTTATGATATCTTCGGAGATCAAGTCGAATTTCTCAAGAGTCAATTTATTTAGTAAAGACTTCATCTTTCTTTCGGCTTCGTCCTTTTCGATCAATTCCGTTACACCGTCAGGAGCAAACTTCTTTTCGGTCTTCTTCTGTTTGGACTTTGGCACCCATCTGTTTGCACTAGGAACGAGTGGGGCTGCCTCCTCCAGGGCCTTCTGAGCTTCCTCTTCGGCCATCTTTTCGCGATCTTTTCTGGAAGTGTAGGCTCTGTTCGACTTTCTGTCATCACCCATTCTCTTTGATTTTCTCTTCGAATTGGATCTAGAGTTAGATCTTCCTTCCATGCCTCTCATAGAACCACTCTTCTTGAAGTTGACTCCTTGACCAAACTTAGAATCTCCTCTCGCCCTGTTACCTTGTCTCACTGTGCCTGGTGGAATAACAATTTTAGAGGCCACGTTTTTCTTCCACTCAGCATCTGTACGAACATTAACTTTCTCCTGAAACTGGAGCAGAAAGGTTGGACCGTAAGTATACTTAACTTTGGATTTCTTGTGTCTAGCATCTGGAGCCTCAATACCTTCGGGGTAATCAAAAGAATAAATGTCTTCCACAGCAGGAATTTGGTCCAATTTACTCAAAAGTTCGGTCATGGTCAATCTGCCATCATCAACATCGGTATCTTCGTCTTCATCTGGATTCTTGGCTTCCTCAGCGGTAGTTTCAGCGTCAACAGAAGCATCATCCTTCGTCTCATCTTCAAGTTCCACCCCAGTGGCCTCTTCTTTTCCAGACGTGGTTTCCAAATTAATCTCGTTATGTTCAATGTCAGTTGAAGCGAGACCTTCGGAAGGAAGTTTCGTATCTTCTTTTGACACTTCTTCTGGTCCTTTCCCAGACTCTTCTTCGGGTTCTTCCTCGGGCTTGGAATTGCCGGCATCAACCTTAGTGTCTGCATCGACAGGAGTTGAGTCAACTTGATTCTCAACGGGTTCGGTTTTGGCTGGAATCTTGTTTTTCAAACGCAGTTTCTCGGCGAAAGTCAAAGGTTTCGAAGGTTGAACAGTTTCAGCAGTTTCCTTAACAGGTTGGGTAGTATCATCAGTCACCGGAACTTCTTCTTCAACAACATTATGCTCCTCAGGGGTTCCCTCCGTCACAGGCTCTTGGTTTGTTTCCGCAACTGGAATACCGTCAGAAGTAAGTTCAGTAGCATTACCAGTTTCCTTACTTGATATCTGTTCGGTCTTGACAGATGTAGATTTTGGAGTTTCTGGAACATCTTCTGTGGCAGCGACGGCAGCAGTTTGGGGAGCGTCGTCCGATTTTTTCTGTGCACGCATCGCTTTTCTCAAGCGGACTTGTTCCAAGAAGCTCATTTTCAAGAGCTCATCAGCAGATGGCTCCTTCGATTCATCAGAAGAAGCTTCTGGAGCAGACTTATTTGAAGTGCTGACTTCAGGCGAAGCACTGACCGAAGCGACCGGCGTGTCCTTCGACGGCGATTGAGAGGCTGAAAGAGGTGCGGCCATGCCGGACATATGCTGACTGTGAATTGCGTTAAGATCGACTTGTTCGCCTGATCTGTTCGTGATCTCAATTTTTTTAGCTACAGGCGTGTTGCTGGTGGCCAAAGGTGTGGCAGCATTTACATCCGCTGGAGAAACGGAGCCTGGATGACTTTGACCGGCGGCGGCGGCAGCGGCTGCTGCAGCAGCCGCAGGATTGTAACCCTGAGCAGCCATAGCAGGCATATAACCGTAACCGTAAGAAGGGTAGAACTGAGGTTGGCCTGTCATGTTGTAAGATCCGTAACCCCATTGCATGTTAGGCATACCGGCGCCATTATTGCTATTACTGTTATTTCCGACATTCGTACGATTGTTCTTGTAATGACCACTGTTCTTGTTGTACCTGTGGCTATTACCGGAGTGCGATGTTTGGTTCCCGTTGTATGGTTTTTGATTTGATCTGGGGCCCTTCGAGTTGGCAGACCTAGAACCAGCGCTGTTCGCACGCGGGACTCTTGGCTGTTGCTGCTGAGCCTCAGAGCTGGCAGGTGTCTCTTGCTGCTCACTCATCTTCCTCAAGACTATGTTTCCGACCGAAATGTTTCTATCAATAAAAAAGATCGCTCAATGGGACCTTCCGCCAGAAAACACTTCCCAATTCTATTCCAACTCTAATTGCTAGCGCTTACCGTTCAATGACAGTTAAGCTACGCAATACACGATTGGATTCGTTGACAGTCGAATTTATCTTGCTCGTAGCTGACAAGTGGGTATTGTATCTGTTAGCATCGATTTTAAAAATTTTCCAGGCCATCTAGCGATGAGGACCAAAAAGCCAAAAAATCACATAATACGGTTGATTTTGAACCTTGGAAAACCGCGGTATATACTTGTATGCGACCGGATGACTATTTATTCGATGAATTGAACTATCTAGAGACAGAGAAGCCTTGTATATTAGGAGTTTGTATCGGATTCTTTCCGGCCTTCTTTGTGTTGTTTTTTTGCCGAAATTCAGCGATGTGAGCGGGGTAAACGTTCAGCCAACGACAAAGAGTAGAAGTATGCAATTGAGTTCACCTGTATGATTAGCCTACCGGCCGATTCATTATTTTTGCAACGCTTAGATTGTAGTGCGCATTTTATCACAGGGACGAATAACGTTAGACGAACTGCGTATCTTAATCTTTCGACCACAGGACACGTCTGTTGGCTAATGGGAGGCTACTGCCTGCAGAATGAAAGATATATGCAATAGTTTTGTTACCACTTAGACAGTTCAATCTACGACATCACTTGAATAGTTTTGCGACGGAGATTGCAGTTTCGTCATTCTTGTTCATAACCTTACCCACCGCAAGCTCAAAGTCTTCTTGAGTAACGTGGATCCTTCTTTCCCTAAGGGCATACATCCCTGCTTCCGTACAAACACCTTTGACATCAGCGCCTGAACATCCATTCATCTTTTCTGCAATTTTCCGCAAATTGATCCCACGGGTCAAGTTCATTTTACGCGAGTGAATGCGCAAAATTTCTGCTCTTGCGGCAACAGTTGGTGGTGGAAACTCAATCTTACGGTCGATTCTGCCGGGCCTTAATAGCGCTGGATCCAGAATATCCAATCTGTTGGTGGCCATGATGATCTTGATGTCTTTAGAGGTTTCAAAACCGTCAAGCTGATTCAGGAGTTCTAACATGGTTCTTTGCACCTCAGAATCTCCACCGCCGGAACCTCCTTCGACACGACTGGAACCGATAGAATCGATTTCGTCCATGAAAATGATGGAAGGGGCATGTTCGCGAGCCATGAGAAACAGCTCTCTCACCATTCGCGACCCTTCACCAATGTATTTCTGTACAAGTTCAGCACCGCTGACTCTGATGAATTTGCAGTCGGTGTGGTGCGCCACAGCTCTCGCCAACAGTGTTTTACCTGTTCCCGGAGGACCATAGAGAATGACACCCTTCGGTTGCGCGATTCCGAGACTTTCAAACAACTCCGGATGCTTCACAGGTAGCTCAATAACCTCTTTGATTTCTTTGATCTGCTTTGTCAAACCTCCGACCATGTCGTACGTAGAATCCGGCACTTTTTCCACCATCATGAGCGACACCAAGGGGTCTACTTTGTTCTCCAAAATTTTATGCAGTGCGTAGGAATCGCTCTTCAAACACACGCGCTGTGAAGCTTTGAGGTCTTTGACATTGATGTCTTTGGCAATATCCACAATATACTTCCCCTCGGGCTGGATTTTGACGAGCACCTTTTTGTCCGAAACCACTTTCACCACCTCACCAACATATGAGCCAGGCTCCTGTAGAAGCCGCAGCTCATCTTTGATGAAGCGCACTTTATCGTTAAGAGCGTTTCTCTGTGCTTCCAAACGTCTTAGATTTTGGGTTTTGGCCCTAATCTTCAATTCTGTTTCCTGGACCTTCTGGTCGAAATATGGTTTGATACCGCTTTCATGGGTGTTAAGTGAGACTTCACTGACAGCAACAGCACTCATTGAAGCGGAATAAACGATTTTGCGTCTCTTAATGAGAGTAATTGATTTTGGCCGAAGTATATCGAGATGTCATTATTACCTTTCGTTGTTTGCCACCGTTTAAATTAAAGGGCAATCATATCATCACATACGGAAACCATGGGCACAGATGCTTATACAGTCGTCACCCACTCACCAAGCTTCTCAGACCGTCTCCAACCAGCTTGAAGCTGCCGACGGACTTGTGTGCCTTTCGAGGTGTACCAGCTCGCCAGTGATGGGAAGATAATTTACCTCTAGAGAGGTCATATTAATGACAGGAAAGTATGAAGTGATCGTCAAGAAATGGGTCGCTGCATGCTTGTTAGTAACGAATTTCACCGGCTTCCCCGTACTCTACGCTAAGTTCCACGACACAAAGGGCTGTACCGCTACAGCTGACAAAACGGAAGGTAAGCCTAAGCCTGTCACAAAAAGTTCATCAAATAAATATAGATATATATGTCACGTGACATGAATCGTTTTCATGAGAGTTAGACACTAATTTACAAGCGTGGATTATAACCCTACTTCGGCACAAGTACCGAAACGGTTGTGTCGCGCGGGCCAGGATAACGAATACTAACCCAAGCAATGGGCCGAACTATCGTCGTAACGTGTGGAGCCACGGTCCCCTTCCCCCTATTGGTCAAAGCCGTGCTTACCGAACAGTTTCTGTACCAACTGAAAACATGGCGATTTGATCGTCTAGTCGTTCAATACGGAAAGGGCTATGCAAATCATTTCCAACAAACACTTCTGGACCAACTGCCAGGCGTGGAGGGTTCTCCAGGTGCTCTCGCAGACTTGGCAGCTGATTCAAAAGCTTGGATAAGTCCCTGTGGTGTTGAAATATGCGCTTTTGAATTCACAACGCGAATACAGGATTTGCTGCGGTTACACGCGGACGTGGTTGTTTCGCACGCAGGTACGGGCTCTATCCTAGACGCCTTGCGCTTACAGAAACCACTGGTGGTGGTGGCCAATACCGATCTGATGGATAACCACCAATTGCAAATAGCTGAAAAGTTCGAGTCACGTGGACACTTAGTCTCCGCTCTGCGTTGCGACACCGAGAGCGTTGTCAGTGCGATAGAGAAAGTATTGGCTCAAGCACCACAGCCACTGGCGGACAGCGTAAACGACGATTTCTCGCGACTTTTGGCTGCCGTGGCGTGGGCCTAGGTACGCGCAATAGAAAGGTAATCCTCTAAATACCGGATCTCCAGTACTCTTTCCCTCATAGTTACTAGCATTCCGTTTCCACATGAGCAGTTGTACGAACTTGAGAAGCTACATAGGACTCCCGGCCTAGCAGGGTTAGTTGGAGCAAAAAATTGATTTCGCCCAGGATCGAACTGGGGACGTTCTGCGTGTTAAGCAGATGCCATAACCGACTAGACCACGAAACCAATTATTGAGGTAGCCATAACCGAGCCTTCTATACACTCCTAGTATAAAGCATGTGACATCTCGAGGTCAACGGAATTCGCAGTGACGGACAGGACCAATTTACTGACCTGCACCCAACGATGCCCAATAGTCATCGAAAAGCAATTTCATCCTGTTTACGTTGACTACCCTGCTTATCCTCACTCCCATACCAGGTCGCACCGTAACCGGAGTTCGGAATTGGCGCGTGTCACGATTTCTGGCATCCCCCCTGCATTCCACAATGAAATAGCGCTTTTGGGAGCACCGTTGAAAGATAACGACAAGCGCTTCGCTGTTGTCGCAAAAATCTCATATAGTTCGCAACAATGTGCCTGATCGACTCGCCTTCGTAGTCCGGAGCATAATTCCTGTGTTGAAATAGCGGTTACCACTGAGCATCGTGCTTCAAAACATCGAGTCCATCAAACCCGTCGGAAATGGAGATCGCAAAGCTGACTGCATCAACGCCGACTGTGATGGCCCTAGCGGCACTCACGATGGTCGATACGTAAGACAGGAAGAAGAGTAGTCTGATGTGAAGATTTTAAATATATACATGACAACCAGTCTAGAAGTTTTTATTTGCAAGGCAAACCAGGGCAGAAAATACGCCTGTCACCTTTGCACAAGCCAAATCAGTGACACATGCCGGTTCATCAAGTGTTGGCTTCAGAAGATACCTTATGACATCAAAGGACGAAGTGACTGAAGCTTCTTATTTAGTACGGTCAACATTTGTGGGCTACGTAAACGTGCGAGAGTCTGTCGGTCAATGCCCATAAGTGCCCACAAAACTACTTATACGCTGAATGTGCAGTCTTTGTTAACCCACGAAGTTGTCCCTGTCTCCGCAGCACCCCAGGGCCAGCTCGCCTGGGTGCCTTGCTTCTCGCTTTTCTTGATGATGCACACTGACCCTCTAAGCCAAACCCCTAAGGTCCCATTCAGTCATCCATGTCATCCGTGACTTTCTGCAGCCATCACTTTACTGTTATCTTCTGCTTTATCAATTATCGTGTAATCACATTTTGCTCCGTTTCGTCTTACTTCGTTTTCCTTGTGGTTCTACGTTGGCAAGTCTGCAATGCTAGTCTCGAGATGAGGGCCATGTGTTTCAGAGGTAGCTCTAGGTGGGTTCTAGAATCTCTGGGACTCTGGCAGATAACTACCTAAATTGATAGATGGTGGAAAAGATAGTACACTTCGATAGATAGTATACCTAGGTAGCTAGAAGAGGTGAGGATGAATGTACGTAGTGGGGAGGCTTCGCAGTACGTCTACTGAAACAGACCAGAGAGAGAGACAGGCCGAGACAAACTACGTGGCGTTCACGCAGCAGTTTAGCGGATTGTTGTCCCAACAGTGACCGTAGGCTCCAGAATTGCACAAATCACTGTAGCGGTCGCTTCCCTGAAAACAGCCACGCCGAGGGAATTCTTTTTAATCAAATCGGTGATGCTAAAACGGAAAAGATGACACTGAGGCAGTTTGTGATGCGAGTTGCATGGAGATACACGACGCAAAAGCCACTATCACTTGCAAAGATTATTATGTGCGAATTCTGACAAACGTGGAGCGAAAGCGTCTTTCCTCCGTCTGCCGGGTGATAAAATGTGTGACAAAGACCGTTCGTGCGAGGTCTCGACGTATATAAGGTAAGGCGGACTTGATAGACGTAGAAGTAAAATCTGGCTCTCTCATGAAAAGAGGCTTCGTCGTATAACTCGCACGAAAAGCCTACGAAGCAAGCGAGCCATGGAGGCGCAAGTTAAAGGCGTGACGCTGTATAAGAAACCGTTCGAATTTGATCCCACATTGCCTCATTCGACGTCGCTGGGTGTCCAGCAAATCCCGGACGCTACACCCATAGACCCATTTGAGGTAACGACACCCGTCACAGAAACCAAAACGTCGCACACTGCAGAGGACTCCAAGGACACTAAAGTGGCCTATCGCGAACAAGGAAGCCACCTAGATCACGACAAGGAGCACAACTACACTCTTTCGTCGGCGACGGTAAATCCAAGCATGGGCTCCAGATCAAGCTTGCATGGTTTCAAGGCACCCTCACCGGCCCGAAAATCAGTTTCGGGGAAGTCTGTAACGCCCAGCAACGCGAGTGTGGCCAGGCCCATTATGCCAGCTCATACATCGTCTTCGTCTTCGGCCTCCTCTCTACTGTCAGTCTCTCCATCCTCGTCGCTCCGAGCCAAGCCCAGACGGCTTTCTTCGGAGGAAATCATCAACGAGATGGAGAAGGAACAGGATGCCATCGTGGTGCGGCTGTTACGCGAGATTGATCAGCTCAAAGACGAAAATAATCGGTTGCGCAAGAACCTTACTGCTGTGCTCAACGGAGACCCCCAAACTCCGGCCCCTGTAACCACCGGTTCTGTGCTTCCATCGCAAGTCTCTCGCAGGCCCTCCCTCAATAGCAACGTTAGTGACGGCAGCTTCCATGGAGGTGTCCTCGGCAGTGCCCATAATGCCCCGAACATCAACGTCACAAGCAATGCCAGCAGCAACTCGACCAGTGTGTTGGCCCTTACTCCCAACTGTACAAGTCCAGTGCCTTCGAGAAGACCGTCTTCTTCGGCGGTACCGATCGACACCCTGACTCCCACACTGTTGCTGCAAAGAAAGCGCAATTCGGTCCCTTCGCCCGTCCCATTCACTCCCAAAATGAACGACGAATTTCCACACTTGTATAGCCCACTGCCTGCCCCAAGTTTGGCAAACGCGGATTTTAAGCCGGATGCTCCAGAAGCGGGTGGGTATCGAAGGCGACGTTTGTCGATGAAATCATCTGGTAGTGCAAACAAGATTCCGCGATCTACAAAGTAATATTGTAGGGGCATCTCAGTTTAAATAGCATCTCATGGTCAGCATATTTCAGCGTTACATCTGAAAAATACGGGGAATAAAGGATACAAGATATATCAAGTAAGTAGTTTTCAAGCTATGTTGCAAACGCAGACGATTTTTAAGCGGGCTTGTGCCGTTCTTGCAAAATGGCATTTTTGGCTGCTAAGAATGCTACAGTCCTGGTGGTGAGATTCGATGGGCTTACAACAGAAGATACCCAGAGATTGTATGGCGTTCTTGGCAGTCAGTCTTGCTGACTATGGTTCGCGTACGGTGGTTTGACGTTCGAATGGGCCTTGGGTAAACCTATATCCAATGTTAGAAAACTTGCCGAAATTATGAAGTTGCCGAAGGTTAATGAAATAGACTCATTAATGGTGCGAAGAAAAAGAATTGGTCAAGTCAATGAGCAAAAACCGGAAATTAGTAAGATTTTGTCCAAGTCATTAGCCTCATATGTAGGTATGGTGCCGTCAGAACCACCAGATGGCAATGAACTTTTGTGGACTGAATAGCGTGAAAATGGATTTTAGGAAGTATCAGCATAGTGTCATAATAGTACGAAGTGACATTGACCGCGTCAGTAAAACAAGATTGTTCGAAGTGGATAAACAACCAACGCGACAGCGATTACAGAAAAGATGCCTTGGTCAGGCATCTCAATCATTTAACAGTTTAAAAATTATTATAACGTGTAGAGTTATCAATGGTTATCATGCCTAAACTTCACCACTTTTGTACAAATACCGGCTGCACGTCACGAATATGGTGCTAGGTTCATCGTCCACATAACCACAGGGAGCCAAGTAGGAGTTATTCTCCAAACAGATCTACTATCCAATACGCAGAGGTGAGATCAGGAAATGGAGCAAAGAACTGAATGAACAGTTTTGTAAGCTAGGTACCAGTGACGCTGACTCCTTATTAAAAAGAGAGTCCATGACTGAGAGTCTATGTCAATCTGAGCACAGTCAAACGAAGAGGAAAAGCTTCGAAGGCCTGATAACATCCATAACAAACATACACAACCAGCTGGGAGTGAATGCACTCGCTAAAAATTACAAGACCAGAAGGCAACAATGGTGGGACAGAAACAAACACTTAAATATATACAAAATAGTTGCTAGCGTTACGAACATTTATACTATGTGTCGCTGATGCCTACCTAGAGCGTTGAGGAGCGTTGCTAATAAAAATCGCTGAAAATAAGTGTAGAAAACAAACTTGAAACCGCTTCTAACCATAATTATCCCAACTCGAAGAGCAAACTAACATCAAAGATCGAAGAAGTCATTTATATACAGCTCTTAGCATTTCCTATACTGAAATTGCTTTTTGGCATTGTCAATGTTGATGACTCGGCCATTTCCTCCCTTCATTCAGTAATCCTGACGCCGGGAAACGGATAATAGATCATCTCGAGAAAATACGTTTGTCTACGAGTGCCACTAATAGTCCCAAATAGCCTCACGAACTTGCCGTATCGAAAAATCTAGGTGAACATTAGTGTGGATGAACTGGGTAATTTCACGGTGAGTTTCCCAGACTGTAGACGCTTGTCGATATTTTTGGATTCAGAGTTTGAAATAATGTGGGGCAAAAGAGGGTTCATAATAGCCAAATTCTAGCTTCGAGGTTGCAGATGTATCAGAATCCCTAGCCTTGAGGCATATACTGATGTTTACCAACGAGTGAGATCCTCTCAGGTTCTTTCCCTTTCGGGACTTACAATAGCCAGACAGTCTATAAAGCTCCAAGTTAGCGTATACAACCACGATTTCCAAAATAAAGACACATTGAAAACCGAACCAACTGATTAAACGTATAAGAACTGACGCAAAATCGATTGAACTTGGTCTCAGATTATCATGCCTTCAAGAATGCCAAGAAACAATTACCAAATCATATTTGTTGAAAGATGCTCTTTACCAAGTGTTTGATGTCGTTGGGATTACTTCCTCTGTTCTATGGAGTAATCGCTATTGATACCACCACCATCAGAACCACGTCTGTGTCTACTTCGTTCGTTTGTCCTGAGTGCTCTACACTGTCTGTGGAAGTTACGACGTCGAGTAGTGATTGCAGTAAGTCCAGTCCTAGTGTAAGCGCTAGCAGCTCTCGCCTGACGAGCGTTATTAGTTCAGATGTTCTTTCTACGTCCTACGTTAGCCAAGATAGTGCCACAACGGCATTTGAATCGACAGGCGGTGATAGTAGCGGGACGTCACTATGTTCCACGAGTGACTCAAGCGCGGTCTTCAAACCTTCGACTACGACTAGAACCGAGATTTCTTGCCCAAGGCCGTGTACCTTGACCACTCCCACGAGCCTGACAGCTTCAAGCAGTCCAAACTCTTCCAGCAGTCTAAGCTCTTCCAGCTCTTCCAGCTCTTCCAGTGCTTCCAGCTCTTCCAGCATTTCCAGCAGTCTGAGCTCTTCTAGCAGTCCAAGTACTTCGAGCTCTACCAGTATCCTAAGTACTTCGAGCTCTTCCAGCAAATCTTCCAGCCTGTCAAGCAGTTCGAGCCTCTCTAGCACTTCGAGCTCTGCAAGCTCGGCAAGCTCTGCAAGCTCTGCAAGCTCTATTATTATTCCAAGCACGTCGAGCATCCCAAGCACTTCGAGCATCCCAAGCACTCCGAGCATCCCAAGCTCTTCCAGCATCCCAAGCTCTTCCAGCATCCCAAGCTCTTCCAGCCTTTCAAGCAGTTCGAGCCTCTCTAGCTCGTCTTCCGGCCTTTCAAGCTCGTCTTCCAGCCTTTCAGGCTCGTCTTCCAGCCTTTCAGGCTCGTCTTCCAGCCTTTCAGGCTCGTCTTCCAGCCTTTCAGGCTCGTCTTCCGGCCTTTCAGGCTCGTCTTCCAGCCTTTCAGGCTCGTCTTCCGGCCTTTCAAGCTCGTCTTCCGGCTTTTCAAGCTCGTCTTCCGGCTTTTCAAGCTCGTCTTCCGGCTTTTCAAGTTCGTCTTCCGGCTTTTCAAGCTCGTCTTCCAGCCTTTCAGGCTCGTCTTCCGGCTTTTCAGGCTCGTCTTCCGGCTTTTCAGGCTCGTCTTCCGGCTTTTCAAGCTCGTCTTCCAGCCTTTCAAGCTCCGCGTACACACCAGAAATGTCCAGTTCCACAAGCTCTGCCTCCACCACTCCGCCAACAAATATGAGCGTCTCATCGCCAAAAAGTTCATATTCTACAATTGCTCCCAAAGGATCTGACACTCTCCCCAGTCTCGTTAGTCACACGCTGACCACTACCTGCTCCACAACATGGGAAACGGAAAGTTGCAGTTGCTCAACAGCTAACAACAATGCTTTTACCCCACACGTTCACTTTTCTAGCTCCACACTTTCTACCAGCCACTCTAAAATAACCTCCAACGCAACCACAAGCTCGAGCACTTCTGAATCTTCAGGTCCCACGGAAACTCTCAGTCATATTTCTCGCACGAATGAATTAGACAGCAAATCATTCGGCCACAGCACCGAGCGCTATCACGCAACTGACTCTTCGACACTTGTCATCCCAACTTTCGACATATCGAGCGTTGCATCCAGCTCAACAGCCCTCATTCGCAGCAGTGTAAGCTTCTTCAGCTCACATACTAGCATACAGTCCTCTGACGCTTCCACCGGGCTTGACGTAAACACAACGATAGCCTCGTTTCCTACGCCCAAGGTTCCTTCCAGCACCACAGTCAACACTCCCTCAAGTGCAGATACCGCAACTTCTCCATCAAGCGCTGCGTTGATGGCAAATTCATCTACAGCCTCGTTCATTGTGTTCGACTCTTCCTCCTCGAATGCCCCTGCCCCATCTTTTTTCACTTCTGCCGCTCCCAGATCCTTCACCACGTCCTCTTCAGTTGCTACAATAGCCTACACAGGCGGTGCTAATCGTCTACGCTTCCCACACTTCCTTATAGGATGATGGTTCACTGGTAACTTTCCTCGAGGACAAGACTATGCATAGAACGATTACGTCAGCGCTTAGTCATCAACGACCACATACGTTCAAGGTGATAGTCTGCGCTTCTTTTTTTCAAAGTTTCCACAATATTGAAAATTTTTCAAAGCTCATCGCATCAAGCACATCGCATCTCATCGACAACTCCAAGCATAAAAGTGATTGGCGGTTCTTACTTTCGCCTCCTTCAAGTTAACTTTAACATTAGTAACTTTGGTCTTAAAAGAGCTCTACAAGTAAAGAGAATAAGTCACTAACAGCAATGGCGAAGCAAGTTTCCAAAAAGGAGTCCAAGAAGGACCTGAAGGTCAAGAAACAGGAGAAGAAGCCAGTCGTCAGCTCATCGAGTGATGAGTCGTCGTCGTCGTCTTCTTCTGATGATTCTTCTTCCTCCAGCGGAAGTGAATCCGAGGACTCTTCCAGCAGCAGCGACTCTGACGACTCTTCCAGCAGCGACTCTGACTCGTCTTCCTCCAGCGAGGACGAAAAGAAGGTTGAGGAAAAGCCAAAGGCCAAAAAAGCTGCCAAGAAAGAGGAATCCAGCTCTGCCAGCTCATCTGATTCAGACAGCGGTAGTGAGTCTGACTCCGAGTCTAGCGACTCCGAGTCTGGTTCCAGCTCCGACAGCGAGTCGGAAGATTCTGAGACAGAATCCAAGGCATCTGCTGCGGCTCCAGCCAAGGCCGAAATCAAGTTGACCAAGAGCTCCAGCTCCAGCAGCAGCAGCAGCAGCGACAGTGACTCATCATCGGGCAGCAGCTCTGGATCCGACTCTTCCTCCTCTTCCTCTTCTTCGGCAGACTCTTCTTCCAGCGAGTCTGAGTCCTCTGAAGCAGAGGCACCCTCCAAGAAACGTAAGGCTGAAGAAAGCTCTTCCACCTCCGAGGCCTCTAACGAAGCCTCCCCTGAACCAAAGAAGGCTAAGACCGAATCTACCGGCGAGCCCGCTACCATCTTTGTCGGAAGGCTCTCTTGGAGTATCGACGATGAATGGTTGAAAACCGAATTCGAACACATTGGCGGTGTGGTTGGTGCCCGTGTGATTTACGAAAGAGGTACCGACAGATCCCGTGGTTACGGTTACGTTGATTTCGAAGACAAATCCTACGCTGAGAAGGCCGTCAAGGAAATGCAAGGCAAGGAGATTGATGGCAGACCTATCAACTGTGACATGTCCACCAGCAAGCCAGCCGGCGGCAACCCAAGGGCTGACCGTGCCAAGAAGTACGGAGACACTCCATCTCAACCTTCGGACACCTTGTTCTTAGGTAACTTGTCTTTCAACACCGAAAGAGACAACGTTTTCGAGATTTTTGCCGAGCACGGTGAAGTCGTTTCCGTGCGTCTACCAACCCACCCAGAAACGCAACAGCCAAAGGGTTTTGGTTACGTCCAGTATTCCTCTGTGGACAGCGCTCAAAAGGCTCTCGATGCTCTACAGGGCCACTACATCGACAACAGACCTGTCAGACTTGATTTCTCCACTCCTAAGCCTCCTCAAGAAGGTAACTCTCGCGGCGGTTCGCGCGGCGGTTTCCGCGGTGGCGCCCGCGGAGGGTCCCGTGGCGGGTTCGGTAGCAGACCTTCTGGCTCCGGTTCCAACTCCTCACCCTTAGGCAGACCAAGACAAACCGCCTCTTTCCAAGGATCCAAGAAAACCTTTGACTGAACACAACGGGAAACGAAAAGACGATCCGTTATTTGCATAAGAACTGCTACAGCGCGGTAAAGTTTTCATACATATTTCCATGCCATTATCAACTTTGGCGCTTCGTGTATAATAGTAAATTAAGTTGACACAGTAACAGCGGGTTTGCGCAAACGACGTGAGGTGTTTCAATTAAGAAATGGATTTTCCCCTCCATATGTCAACACTAAAGTAATAACATTTAGCTCTTTGAAATACGTCACTATGGCGTTCTTCAAGCACTTAAGCATCATTATTCATACAGACTAAGCAGGGACAACTCAGTTGGCGATGTTATTCCAAGTATTACTATACAGTACGTCGAGTATGCCGTCAATTAGTAAGTGACACATAATCAGCTTTTAAAGGCAGGAAACAAGCAGTGGGCAGAAAGGAAAGCAGAAAATTGCTAGATGCTGAGGCAAGCAGCTCCACACATTCCAGATATTCTTGCACTAGCAACTACTGCTTGAAGCCAGCCGTATCGTCATGAAATATGAGCTCATCGTGTGTCGATAGGGCCAAATCAGATATATCGTACACAATGACCGACCAGAAATGCCAAGAAAATTTTGGTGCTGTACGGTTTCTGGAGTTCAACCGTTTAATGCCATACACCGTTTAGGAAAACAGGCACTTCATAGCCACTACCTGACAATCCCTACCACGATTCCTTGTGATAAATAGTAGTGGCTCTTTGTCGTTCTCCTCTCTTCAAGATTACGATTCTTTAGTCACAAGAAAGAATGGGGCTTCTCACCAGAATAAAAGCCTCCCATTATCGTAAGGAGGAAATTGGCGAGCCCGGCTTAAGCGGACTGATAGACAAGACTGGGAAGAAAAGCTACAACTACTCAGGGAGCGGCAATTTCAAGGCTGGAAGCCCAGCAAGGGACTTTTACATAAATCAGGAGGCGCCTCATCATGTCTGGAAACCCAACGAGTACATTTGTGGGGAAGTGGTCCTTGTGCTAAAGCAGAGCTTGGAGAACGTAGCTGTGACTCTCTCACTGGTGGGAGAGGTCAAGATTCGGGGCCTGGGGCCCCGAACCCGTTCGGAAAAGCTTTTCGAACGATCAACAGTGGTGTATGGAGAGCAACAAGACGTGCCATCAAACAGTGAGGAATCAGTACTAAATGGCTTAACGAAAGGCGAGCATCGTTTCCCGTTTCGACTTAAACTGCCGTCCAACAATATCTTCACCTCCATAAAATTTGAAAGAGGATCAGTATCTTACTGCCTTCGATGCACTCTAGAGCCGATTCTTGGCCAAAACATGAATAAGGTCATCGCGTCGTGCGAAAAGAACATCTCTGTGAAGGTTCCCTTGGATGTGAGTAAAGTTCCGAAGCCAAAAACGAAGACAGTGGTACTCCAGTCTCCCTCAGCTGTAAAGCACAACAAGACCGAACAGGATAGTAGTTCTAGCTACACTAAGCGGACCACTGGATCTAGAAATTCAGGCTCTACCGTTGTATCGTCGGGCACTTCGAAAACCGTCACCATAAGTGTCGACTTGCCGTCCTCCGGATATGTCATCGGAGAAGTGATACCCATCAAATTGCAACTTGACCATTATCGCGAGTATTCGCACTCTGCAGGACTAATAGCAACACTGGTACGCATTTGTCGCGTCGGCGATGCCACGAAAGAAAATTTGATCGAAACGTATCGTAAAGACATCTGCCAAACCGTCTCTCCGATCTACGTTAATCCAGAAACCCTAGGCTGCTGTGTAACGGTTTATTTGAAAGTTCCACTAGATGCTTTCCCTACTCTGCAGCTGCCAAATAAAAGGTTCACCTTTCAATATTACGTTGAGGTTTTGGTCAACTTATCAAAGAAGAATCTCGCCTACACGGAGTCAAACAGAGTGGTGGACACGACAAATAATTCTCCAGTATCGAACTTGCCGGGCAAGTCAATAGAAGAGACCCTCACGTTTTTACAAAGGAAAATGCAGCCAGGTTTGGCTTCTAAGAGTTTTCAGGACGACGACCGAGAATCAATGATTTTCTACCAAGATATGATTAATGTCGACAAATTGAAGAGACTACGCAATGTCACTGGAATGTCCATAGAGGTTGTTGTTGGTACAACAAGATCTGTTTCAGAAAATGAGGCACCAGAACAGTCTCTGTCAACGAGTCCCTCGGCTGTGCTACCAGTTGCAGAGGCTGTAGAGGATGAACATGAAATTGCGGGCTCTACGGTGGCGGAGCACCCAACCCATCCAATAAACTCCGAGGACTATACATACACCAGAGAGTCAAAGCGGTACGAAGCGCCGCGCCCGAACTATTGGTTTGATCACGAAGAGCTCTCCAGTTTACCACTTCCCGTGTACACGCCCAATGGTCACATTAATATAAAAGAAGACAAAGACGAAATGGAGCTGCAAAGATTAAAAGAGCTCGAGAGCGAGCCACCAATGACCATTTGAGGACTCAAAGTTCTTGTGCTTGTTCTTTGGTCAAATTACTTTCCAGGACAAGTTGTAGACTATGTAACGAGAAACGATTATACGAAAATTTGAATGCTATAATTAATATTGAATAAAACTAGCTTAGATTATAGAGGACATCGATATAACCACTGCTGTGTGCTATCTATCGCTTATACTGAGTCGCGATGATGAACATTAGTGATAGAAGACGTATTTTGGGGCCATCAAATGCTAAGCTCTTAACTTTTGATAAGAGTGGCCCAGTAGAAATTGAACCAATATCTAGCTCATCAGTTCCAAATTCTACTTCCATGTATATTGAAAATGGACTCATTTGTAATGCTAATGGTTCGTCATATCTGGAAGTAACTGGTAGTACATCGGAAGCAGACCGCACGCTTATGTTGACGTCAGTATACGGGCCAAGACCTTCTCGTGGAGCATTCAATGCTAAGGCGACGTTAAGTGTGCAATTCAAAGAGGTTACTCTAGAAAAGATACCAGCAGGAGAGCTCAAAGAACTCTGCAATTTTTTGTCCAACGTGTTTAATGCAGTAATCAATCTGGAACGCTATCCCAAATCCGGGATTGACGTTTTCCTAAGTTTGATTCACAGCTCCAATGGGTCACAGCTGTACGAGCTAGAGTCAATAATATCCACATGTGTCAACGGGATAACGTTGGCGCTAATTGACGCTGGCATCGAGATATTCGATACGGTAAGTGCGGGAATCTATGAAAAGCATATAGTAGCATTTGTCAAGAATGGTACTGAGATCGTGGGTTTTTGGAAGGGAAAAGACAGTGCTTCGGAGAGTGAAGATATATTGAGCATCATCGAACAGTGCAAACTAGATTACTTAAAAAATAGAAAGGCCATGGTGGAGTATTTGGTACGATGCAATGATAAAGAGGACCATCTTCAGCATGAGGTAACGAAACAATAGTATCTATTTTTAACTCAATCCAAATTTTCCAGTACTGCTTTAATTTCTAGTACTCTATGTGAGATAACCTTGATATCGTAGTTGATTCTCCGCAAAAATTCCACGGACAAGTCGACACCCGTAGTCTGTTTAACGATGCTCTTGAAGCATTTTTCCGATAAGTATTTGTTCTTGCTGGTAACGTATCTCCCATTTTCATAGGCATGGCAGGCCATTAAAAAATTCGTTAAATCATCAATCATAGCATCTGGGGATTGACAGTTGATATTGGGCAAAGATAATCTAAATGGCTGTGAAATCATCAAAACTTTATGGGTATTTCTGCTGTGGTATCTCAGCTCAAAGATTCCTTCCTCAAAAAACATCAAATGATGATCAAACCTGGCAGTTCCAATCATGATATCTCCGGATCGCTCAAATGTAACAATTGAATTCTTTGAGCGGCTACCATATGGTGACGACGACGGGATCGTACCAGTCCAGCGGCCATTTGAAGACACCTTTGTCTTGCGGCGATCATTTCCAGTATCTAAGACCTTGTACAAGCCAATCCAGTCATCATTATGATGCAGCTTAGCAGGCAATTGCCAGTGCACATCGATCGGCGATGGGACAGTGATAGTATCACTCTTACCGTCTCCAACTTTAAACTCGCAATTGGGTGCTAAGTTTGCGGTTGCGCTCTCCAGAGCCTTTTGCAACATTTCGTTCCACTGCGGTTCGCTACTCCTAGGCGTTTCGTCGTCTTCAAAGACAGAATCAGTTGAAGTCAAATGCTCAACCAATCTGGCCTCCATTTTATCCACGATTTCTGAAAACCGTCTAATTGGCTTAAAGCCCATCAAGGTAGAGGCAACACCACTCTGGCGATCACTCGCACCATAGACCTTGTTAACATGCGGTTCCTCCACCAGCTTGATTAGAGCGAAGCTAGCAAGTGTCCAAACCCCAGCTAAGATCATATTATAGAGCGAAAAGTCGGTGATGAGGACGGTACCCCAGCATCCTGCAACACCCAGGAATCTTTCAGGGTTGCTCAAATAACGATAGATTCCTTGAGAGTTCAGTTTTCTCAAATTGATGTAATTCGTCAAAAAGAAATCACCATAGAACCATCCGAACTCTGATATGGCCGTCAACACCTCGTCATCGCACCATTTTTGCAAAAAGCACAGCAACAGCCCAAATATAATCTGCGTATAGTTTCTTTCAGTCAAGGACTTGAACTGGAAGCATGTTTGCAATATCAACAGGGTATACGTTATTGTCAGCGAGTAGTTGTAAATGAATTGCCACTGATAAAAAGAATGCACCTGAGTGTAACCGTTTTTCAAAAACAGTCTTGTGAACCATTTGGAGGTGGATTGTTTGTGCAAGATCCAGGAAACAACTGTGGAGGTGATCACCTTTGTGACCAAGGTGGCCAAAAAAAGTGCTTTGGCAGAGGGCTGGGTCACAATCGTCAAAGCGGCTGTGGCCACAACGCTAACAACGGTGAAGTAGTCGGTTAACCTTAATTTGTCGAAGTTAGTCAACCACAAGCCTTTCGAAATTAAGGGCCTTGAATAATTGCGATTTTCCTTAACAAGACGCTCGTCAATTTGTGCATTGTCCGATTCAACCGCATCCGAACCGTAGATCTTTTCGATGTGGGGCGTTTCACAGTATTTCAGAAATAGAAATTGCAGTAAGTGACCGCCAATAGACACCAGCAAGACTCTGTAGTCACCAGATATCAAGCTCAATCCATAGTAGCCCATGTATCCGATAGAATACATCGGGTGAGGTGAGATGTTGAACACACCATCGAAGACGAGCTTTGAATCTTGGAAGTAGAAAAAGTCTCCCCAGTACCACGCATAATCCTTAACGACCCGATGAGCATCGATTTTGACCCACACATTAAGAAGTATCATGGCCACACCTAGAGCGACACTGACAGTCCTACTGGATGATACAGTTTTGGGGATAGAAAGGAGTACAAACAAGACATAGGTCGTAAAATCCTGCATCAAAATGAGATCGACGAATTGGCGGAACAACAACCATGCATTAAACTCTTCTGGGTACGCTTCCACGCGGTACGACGAGGGCATTTTCGACTCAATTTCGAACCGACAAAAACGGGCGAGAAAATGACGGCTCTTTTTGCTAAAGAGTGCATGCGCCTTGGCATAGTTAGTCAAGGACTCGTATTTCGATTGGTAATGCAAAATCACACCTATCCCGACGTTGTAGCACAAGCGCCAGAAAACGTACTGCCATAGAAAGAACCTTTTGGTGCGCACGGGGCCAATCCTGGGCACCATATAACAGCACAGCACCACATTGGATACAATGGCAAAACTAATCAATATTTCGAGAAACGATTTCTTCAGAGTCGGGTCGAAGAGCGATCTAACCATATCGTGCGTTTTCGCAGGCACGAATTCAACATTACTAGAGCGGGTTCTCGCCACCGCCGGCACTGCTTCAGGAGAGGACTCTGGTGATCGAATTGATATCGGATCCGCAGGATCAATCGTTACAGTTTTTGAAGATTTGTGATTTTTCGGCATGGAGGAGGGATTAGTGATCCCTTATAGCTAGGTTGAACTAGAGAGCAAGCGTTTGGTGAAGATTTCAAGGCTGAGAGCGCTGGATGGCTTTTAACAAACACTATATGGGTGCACCAGACTCTAATTGAAGTGCTAGTATGTCAATTGGAAGAGTGCTACTATTCAAACCGAATTCACCAGTTGAAGAACTTTTCACATGTGGATGGAATCAGAGATCAATAATATCCATGTGAAGATCAAACAAACGGCGTGAGTGGCAAAAAAAATCCACCCATTCTGTTGCGAATGAGACTAAATAGTGTTCAATATCTTGCCCAGACGTAGCCAGTTTTTATCAGAGTCAATACTAGTTTTATCGGGGCGGTCGTATACATCTTAATCGTTTCGCTAGGCAGTCGACCCCAAAAAAAATGAGCGTCTTCTATGTCGAGATGTTGTGCCAGATATAAGACCATATTCTTTGTACTGGACTAGGCTCTTTGTCCTGGCCTTTCTTTTCTGTCGTCACGGTTTGTGCCCATGCCTAGGTAATCTATATATGAGGTTTGCTGACTAGGCTAACGTGCTATACATAAACTATTTAGAACTAGCAGGCAGTTCATACCCCCAGAGTGGAGCCGCCAACTTCGTCGACGCGTTGGTGATCCAGTGGGTTTGGAGCAGCCTCATAAACAGCCAGGAGCGGAACGCCGTCGTTGGTTCGCTTCTGGCCCGAATTTTCGCCTCGTAGCTCTAAATAGAAACATCTCGTCAGATCGTCCTCGTCACCACTCCAGTTATCCTCGATCAACACCGTCAATGATTCCGCGTTCTGGAAGTGCTGCCGTGGCAAAAAGTGTTCAACAAATCCGTACTCATCTCCCACGGTAGCGACACTGTCGGCTACATCGCCATCGATTCCGGCGTTCTCTGGGTTTTCAATCGTGTGCACCGGCTTTGAGTCTGCAATTGTGTCGAAATCAATACTTTTATTGTAGTTTTTGAATATTTTGATTGTCTTTGGAGATCCGATGCCATTGCCTGTCCTGCTGAATCTGACGACAAGCGAAAACACCCGACACACCACAGTGAACGGAATATGCAAAATTAGCTGACAGTCCGCATCGCTCCCCAAATACTTGGACACATCGCACTTATCGTCTTGGCTTTTAAGGAAACATTTGCTGAGATCGTTGGAGCCATGGCCAACTGCGTTGAAACATCGCACATTGGGTGTATTGATAAAGGGAAACAGAGATTGCGCTTCCGCCGTCGGTAAAGGTGGGTTGTCGTCGTGCCCATGCCCATGGTCGTGTTCGTGTTCACAGTTGTGAGACATTGTGTGTGTCGTTGGAGCTGCCAATTGGTGATAATTTAAGCTCGTAATTAAGATCGTCATCAATTTATCTAAAATATCGACACTTTAACCATCTTTAAAGCTAACATCAAGCATTAAGAACAACATAAATTTTGTGGAAACAATGCACACTGCCGAGTTTCTAGACGTAAACTCCACGCAGATCAGCTCAATTTTGGCTGGTGGCTATAACCACCCTCTACTTAGAGAATGGCAGAACGAACGTCAATTGACTAAGAACATGCTGATCTTCCCGCTGTTCATCTCGGACGATCCAGACGAAGAGCAGGCTATCCAGTCCCTTCCCAATATTAAGAGATTTGGTGTCAATAAGTTGGCGCAGTATTTGAGACCTCTGGTGGCAAAGGGTCTCAGGGCTGTCATTTTGTTCGGAGTGCCTTTGAAAGAAGATACCAAAGATCCCGTGGGCACGTCTGCAGACGACGAACAAGGTCCAGTCATCCAGGGTATCAAGCTGTTGAGACGTGAGTTTCCAGATCTTTACATTATGTGCGACGTGTGTTTATGTGAATATACCTCTCATGGTCATTGCGGGGTGTTGTATGAGGACGGCAGCATTAACCGAGAACAGTCGGTTCGTAGGATTGCAGCGGTTGCAGTAAACTACGCAAAAGCAGGTGCTCACTCCGTTGCTCCCAGTGACATGATCGATGGTCGTATCAGAGACATCAAACTGGGGCTGATCAACGCGGGTTTGGCACACCAAACGTTTGTGATGAGTTACGCTGCTAAGTTCAGTGGAAATCTATATGGCCCTTTCCGTGACGCCGCCTGCTCTGCACCTTCCGACGGCGATCGCAGAAACTACCAACTGCCCTCTGGAGGCCGAGGATTGGCCCGTCGAGCCTTGAAAAGGGACTTGGAGGAAGGATGTGATGGTATTTTGGTCAAGCCCTCGACTTTTTACTTGGACATCATGGCTGATGCTGCCGAGATTGCTCGCGATGTGCCCGTCTGCGCGTATCACGTTTCCGGTGAATATGCCATGCTGCACGCAGCAGCTGAAAAGGGCGTCGTTGATTTCAAGACGATTGCCTTCGAATCGCACCAAGGCTTCTTGAGAGCTGGAGCCAGGCTCATCATTTCATACTTGACGCCAGAATTTTTGGATTGGTTAAGCCAATGAAGTAAAATGAGTCGATTAAAAATGTGCTTATGTGTAAAATGCGGACCTCGACTGTTTGTTAGTCATTATGCAAGAATTTCGTACATACTAAGGCGTTGACTGCACCAAAGTTAGGCAAATTGTGCTTCTCTTTGCGGTTTCTCTTGCGGCTGATTTTCAACGCTGGCAAGCTCAGGCAAGTGCTCGGTAGAAGGCAGTTCTGGAGATGCAATTGGATGCTCTGTAGGCACATCTGGGAGCTTGACTGGAGCCTCTTCTTTGCTCCCATTCACCTCCTCGTCCAAATCTTGGAGCTCTCTATCCAACTCTTCCTCGAAACCCCCAATCAGACTTGAGGATAGAACCTGATCTATTTCCTCTTGATAGGCGATTTGATCTGCTACGGAGTCCATGAGATCCTCCGCACCCTTGAACTCCTTATTTAGCCTAGTCAAAACATCTTTCCCTTGCTGCAAGCCCACCATAAACTGTTTTTCCACCAGTTTGAATTCTACTGTGGCTACCAAATTTTCCAGGTTTATTAGCTGGTCTGCTGCTTGCTCCAGAAGGTGGTTTTGGTAATGTATTTTCTTCAGCAGTATACGTGCCCTAGGTGACTTGGTGCCATTCTTAGTGTCCTCTCTTAGCATCCGCTTGAGTTTCTCCCTTTCATTGAATATCAGCGTCTCCGTGCGCTTTGTGTACCTATGAAGTTCATCCTTGGAAATCTTCAATTGCAGAATAGCTTTATCGGCCTTTGTGACCTCTATTTTACTACTCCCTTGGCCCATTTTATGTTGATATCCACTTGATGCTACGATAAGGTACATTTATTCTTAATGAGGGCAATTTAGTACTCATTTAAACAAAGGATTACATGAGATGGATTAAACTCCTCTAAAGATGGATAAAGGTAGCACCGAGTATCGTAGATTACATTCAATAAACCCAAATGTGCATTTGACCCCCTAATAAAACTTGGATTCGCAGCTTATGAATCTTGAGGGTGGTCTTAGACTTTTAAAACATACTTGGGTTCCGCACTTTGAGAAATCGCGAAAGAGCCCGGCATGAAGGTAAGCTAAAGTGGTTGAAGTGGGGACCTTGAAGGAGGGTGATAAGATGGCTATACTGAAGAACTGTTGCAACTGATGCTTTCGCTTTAATCTAATTTTGGATTAAGTCTGGATATAATAATCTACACTGACACAGCGTAGTCGCCGCATTGTGCACTAGTTTACCTTTATATTCCCGCATGAAGCACAGACCGGGGTTTTCATCCCACTCAGTGGTCGGCCATATTGTCTATTTTTTAAAAAGTCGTTTGTGAATGAGGTCTTCTTTGAAAACTACGGCCAAGGACATTCATTACATTAGCAAATGGCCTACGTCATAACCACAGTGGGAACTCTAAAGGTGTGTCTTAAGTTGCCAACCACGCCACGAAGCTCACGCAGCTTTCTCTCAGAAACCAAACTTCATTTGCACAGTCGCGAGAAAATGACCGAAAGGAACTTAACCCTGAGCAACCAGCCGGTGGCCAGCTTCAAGCTGGCTTGTGTTAGCCATCAATAATACTGAGAATCAAAGTTATAGGTATATGGCTGGGGGTTGTTGTGAGTTGTCACTTTTATTTGCACCGTCGTTGTCACTTAACGAGATTACAAATTTTAAACACATGAACCTACTTGAAAGCCACACGTCTCCCATCACACCACGAAACCAGATCGTGTCTTCAGTCGTACAACAATTTCGACTACCCATCTATATCTAAAAGAGGAGGACTTCCATATCCTAGCTTTTGAGTCTTCTATCGGAGTGAATTTGAATTTACTCAGATACATCTTACTGGGCTGGTTTACTAAACACACCTAATAAAGGTAATAATGACCCACTACGATACGCGCACCTCTGTTGCAGACCTTGTGGGAAACACCCCATTGGTCGAACTAACCAAGCTTCCCAAAGCTTTAGGTGTCAAGGCCAAGGTTTTTGCCAAGCTCGAGTTATACAATCCAGGTGGCTCAATCAAAGATAGAATTGCGAAGGCAATGATAGAGGATGCCGAAGCCTCCGGAAGAATCCACCCTTCCAGGACCACATTGATTGAACCCACCTCTGGTAACACCGGTATTGGTTTGGCTCTGATGGGGGCTGTCAAAGGTTACAGAACTATCATCACTTTGCCAGAGAAGATGTCGAACGAGAAAGTGTCAGTCTTGAAGGCTTTGGGCGCTGAGATTATAAGAACGCCTACTGCTGCTGCGTGGGACTCGCCAGAATCTCACATTGGTGTGGCGAAGAAATTGGAAAAAGAGATTCCAGGTGCTGTCATTTTGGATCAATACAACAACATGGAAAACCCACAGGCACACTACTTTGGAACAGGTAAGGAAATCCACCATCAGCTTCAACAGTTGAACCAGTTCTCGAATCTACACGGTGTAGTGGCCGGTGCTGGTACTGGTGGTACCATCAGCGGGATCTCCAAGTATTTGAAAGAACAAAACTCGAACATCAAGATCATTGGCGCCGATCCTGAGGGTTCAATTTTGGCCCAACCGGACAATTTGAACGAGACAGATGCCACTGAGTACAAAGTGGAAGGTATTGGTTACGACTTTATTCCTCAAGTCTTGAACAGAGACTTGGTTGACACGTGGTACAAGACCAACGACATAGACTCCTTCAGGTATGCACGCCAGCTGATTGCCAGCGAGGGTGTTCTGGTTGGTGGTTCAAGTGGTAGTGCCTTTTCTGCGATGGTCGAATATTCCAAAGACCACCCAGAATTGACCGAAGATGATGTCTTGGTTATTATCTTGCCAGACTCTATTAGATCATACTTGACTAAGTTTGTTGATGATGAATGGTTGAAAAAGAACGACTTGTGGGACGACAGCATTCTAAAGCCATTGGGGAGAAGTCAAAAAGATATTTTCAACGGAGCTACTGTGGAAGACCTCAAGCTGAAGCCTGTGGTATCCGTTAAGGAAGATGCCTCGGTCGGGGAAGTTGTTAAGATCTTGACAGACAATGGTTTTGACCAACTCCCAGTGCTGGCCCAGGATGGCAAGTTGTGTGGTTTGGTCACCCTTTCGCAGCTTTTGAAGAGGCTCTCTTCCGGTGAGGAAGTCAAGAGCATTAGAGGCCTATTTTTCGATTTCAGAGGTCTCAACAATTTTGATGAAGTTTCATCTTACAACGAAAACAAATCTGGTAAGAAGAAGTTTGTGGAATTTACCGTTCAGAGTAAGCTTTCGGAATTGAACCAGTTTTTCGAGAAGAACTCTTCTGCCGTTATCACTGACGGACTGACCCCAGTTCACATTGTCACCAAAATGGATTTGCTTGGATTCTTGGCCTAAGCCGGTGCACCTGCATACCAAATTAAAACATCCATATATAGACTTCACTAAATTAGTTTAATAATACTTTTCGGTTGCATTAGGTGCAGTGCGCTAGGGTGTGCTAATCTTTTTTCTCCATACCTAACACTGTCATCAACGGTCCCAGTTGATCGGGTCCCACTTCAATACCCGAGTTTGCCAACTCTTCTTTGAACTCGGACATTGCCTTTCTTACATCTTTGTCGGTTAAAATTTTGACTACCTGCCATGGACCGGGTGGGGCTGACTCGTTTGCCAAACCCTTGGACACCATGATCTCGCTTACTTCCCGCAGTTTTGCCGCAACATTTGGGTGGCTTTGTATTTCGTCAAGCAATTTTTGCACCTGTAGATGTGCGTTGATGTCTTTGTTGGGCTTGCGTTCATCCCACGACTGAGCGTAAGACCTATAAAATTGGGCACTTGTAGTTGGCCTTTGAGAGTTTAAAGTGTATCTCACATGCTGGCATATCGAAGGAGTCAACCGTCTGGATAGTGATCTGAGAGAATTCATTTGTCTGCTTGCTTCTGCGAATTTTGTAGCGTCGATAAATCTTGAAATGCGTAGTAGGAATAACCTTCATCTAATTACCATTGACAATTACAAAAATAATACATACTAGCCTAGGTGATATGGCAACATATAGTTTGCGGGCTTCAGCATGGGCCACAATAACTCTCGAGTTTTATCTCTGGTCTAAGGTATGATGTATATAAGATGCAGGGAAAGGACTACGAGAACTTCCATCTATTTCCACAAACCTCACACGTACAGAACGTTGTAAGTGGCTCATCGGCCGATCTGGTTTGCAGCTGGTAATAGGACACCTTTTTCTCCTTACACTTACCACAGGTAAACCGGTCCGTAACGGAACGTTCCAGAGTGGCGCCCTGGGCGTTGAAAAGATTCTGTTTCGAGATTTCCTCCAGTTTCTTCTTTAGATGCTCTGGAGCGAGTTCCTTGGGATCACACGATACCAGGTAGTCTGGAGTCACGTCGCCCGCAGTAATTTTGTGCTTGAGATCCGGGTTGTTCCTGGAGATAACGTTGGAATAAACAACCCGATACTTGTCCTTGTACGCTTTCTCGTTGATTTCGCAGTTATGCAGCTTATTGAGCTCTTTCTCGACCGCTACTGCCGTAGTCAGCACCGATTGTGGCGGGTGTTCGCTCTCTTTAGCCAGAGCGTTGTACATCGCCCGGACCACCATATCCCTGATTTTGTGGTTGTATATGCTGGTGATGACGCCGTCGTTTTCGGCGCTTCTCGGTTTGCTGGAAACGAACTTGTCCTGTTTCTTTGCTTCGCTTCCAGAGCCCGCACCGGTCCCGCCTGGAGCAACACCACCAGCTGGGTGTGATGCACCCGCGGTTCCGGCCGAGTTTTTAGACTGCGCTTTCTGCTTCTTCTCCTTGGAAATTGCGTCTCTCCATTGACTGATCATCTTTTTAACCAGGTTTGCTATCTGTGGATTGCCAGACTTCTTGAACTGGTTGACAACGACACCAACTTTGGTTTCTCGTAGCAGCTTTTCTGTGGGACTCAAGTCTCGGTTGAGGACCGTCAAAATTTCTAGGACGGTCTCTTCATTGCCCTTACTCTTTTCGAGATTCTTGACGAGCGTTGAAACCTCCTTACTGTCCATATTTCGACTCCTGACAAGATGTGTTGGTACTTTAACTTTGATTGTTGTCTTGAAAAATGGATAAATTATATCTTAACATTTTTTAACGAGTTAACCAACAAAACCTAGCTTTAAAAGAGCCTGGTATCTGTTCACACCGACCAAGCAGCGTCCAACTGTGGAACACACACATCCAGCTATTTTGTCCAAGGGTTCTTTTTTGGTCACACATCTGTGTAAGTAAACTTGCTCATCAGTGCAGAATTTCAGCTCTTGGTGGGAGAAAGAATGAACAGACAAGCGCAAAACAACCCGCCCGCGAGGGTTGTGTATCTGGGGTCTATTCCCTACGATCAAACGGAGGAACAGATTCTCGACCTGTGCTCGAATGTAGGCCCAGTGGTGAATCTAAAGATGATGTTTGACCCGCAAACTGGAAGGTCAAGAGGGTACGCCTTCGTCGAGTATAAAGATCTGGAAGCAAGTGCCAGTGCAGTGAGAAATCTCAATGGCTACCAGCTGGGTAACAGACACTTGAAGTGCGGGTATTATAGCGGGGGAGACTCGGGGATGCCTGGGGGACCGGGAGTCGGTGCTGGTAGCAGCGCAGGCATGCAAAGCGACGAAAACAAAAACCCAGCATTTTTGGGACTGCCGGCAGGGGTAGATGTAAATATCAATATGACTACGCCCGCGATGATGATTTCTAGTGAGATAGCAAGAGGGTCCAAACAAGAACAACTGGACCTCCTACGAGATTTACAGGCAATGGCACGCAACAACGCGGAGCTGTTCACTAGCTTGCTCGAAGAATGCCCGCAGCTGACATTCGTTGTTGCAGAGCTTTTACTGACGTCAGGACTCAGCACGGTTGACGACTTGACGCAGTTGGCTGTACAAAACGTCGCTTCTACCGCCAACCCAGAGCCCAACCAGGACCCGAAAACTCTAGAGCATCAGAAGGAGCTACTCAGACAAGTGTTGCAACTGACGGATAGCGAAATTGCCGTCTTGCCCGAAGACGAGAAAATGTCGCTGTGGGATCTCAAGCAAAAGGCCATGCGCGGCGAATTCGGTATGATATAAAGCTTTTTAATCTAAGATATGTATACTAAATAGCAGGTTAGATTAGCGTCCGGACTACACAGCGTGAGGTATCGCTATGCTTTTGAGGTCCATTTGAGCATCGAATAATTTACAGTACTTTTCATAATAAACCAACATCAAAAAAAGATTGAAAACTAGGTTCCAATTTAGAAGATCAATTCGGGTACCAATTGCGCTACTCTAGATCTAGGACCATATTGTCGATACCGGAGAGCACGTAGATGTCTGATCCTCGAACCAGGAAGGCGAGGCATCTGCTCACTCCCGAGCTTTTGTCGACAGCGATTCAACTAACAAATGTGCCAGCTAGTTGGAACGAAAGTACGATTTCGTCGGTGGTAGCGGGATCAGGACCGATTTTGAACGTTTCACGTAAGACAGACCCACGCAACGGTAAGCTGGTGGGTATATTAATCGAATACGCTACCAGTAAAGACAGCAAAAGGGCATTGGAAGTGCTACGAAAGATCAAAAAGTTCCCGTGCGATATGGAAAGGATCATAATCAACACCACAAGTCAGAATACACCGTTAGAGCTGGACCGCGATACGTTTCCGTGGGACTTCGGGCTGGAACTACCTTTCGAGATGGTTTCAGAGGTGCCCTTGCCCAGAAGACCAACGAACCCGGCCCCGGCTCCATCCAATGGCTCGTCCACCGAAAATGCTAGCGTGGCTGCATTTCCAGATATATTGAGCAAGGCGTCCAAGCACTTGCCCGGGTTCGTGCCAAATTCGATGACAGCTCCGGATGCCATCTCGACAAATCTGAGCAAAATCGCCCCACTGCAATTACTAGAGATGATCTCCAACTTAAAAATACTAGCGAATCAGGATGCCAACCGAGACCAGCTGTGCAACTTCTTGGCGACAAATCCAGACATCAACATCTGCGTGACACAGGCTATGCTTGAAATGGGGTTTATCAATTACAGTGTTATTACCAAGACCATGGCCGAACAGGCGGCCCCTAGTGCCCAGTCGCCTGCCAACATACAAAATAAAACTCCACAGGGGTTCAGCAACGGCAATACACCAAGCAGCACTCCAATGAGTAATAATGCTCCTTTGAACACCTACTCCGCATCGCTCCGGCAACCACAACCGCAGCCTGCCGCACTGCCAACAACGGCTGCCCCGATGACCTTTAATCCTACGCCGGCAACCTTTCAGCAAGTACAGCCGGCGCCACCAGTATCCCAGCCCCAACAGCCAAGCTTTGGATACAATGCTGTGGCCAATGGCTCGCAATTTACCAACAACGCCGCCCCCACTAAAATAGATTCCAACCGCATCAACATGATAAAGCTCGCAGCACTACCGCAGCAACAGCAAGATATGATCAAACAAGTGCTACTGCTGACTCCCGACCAAATACGACTGCTTCCACCCGATCAAGTTCTCATGGTTGAGAATTTCAAAAGGGAGTACTTAATGTAAAAGTATATATGTATAAAACTGCAAGAGGACCATGCAAAACCTTCGTCAAGTATATGTGGATATGTAGTATGCATTAGACATTCTAACGTTCGCGAGAGTGCCGATGAAGAAGCTTCGCCAAATAAAAAAATAATGGTTGCTAAGAGATTCGAACTCTTGCATCTTACGATACCTGAGGATCCCGCTGTTGTACAGCGTTAAGAAGAAAACTTCTTGAATCAGGCGCCTTAGACCGCTCGGCCAAACAACCAGCTTCGTTGGTTTGAAAAGGACGTGTAACTCTTATCCTGGCGCGAAAGTCATATGAACGCGTGCGCGCGAGACCTGCTAATTCCCAGGCCACTGGTTTAGCCACCTTAGATGCGCTACCTTTCTATATCTAGGGCTTTGCCATTGGCTATTAGCCCTTGAAGTAAGGGTCCTTCATCCGCTGTCAGCTTCGGGAAATATTTTGGTGTCGCTGGTGTCAGCGTGCCAAAAGTGATGGGAAGGCAGTTGTCCCGTCTCAGCTGGTCTTTTATTGGAGCGAGTCAGCGTCGGTAGTTAGCTTGCTGGTTCACCTCCCCCCACATTATTCCTGGTGGTCACCTACCATCCTGTGGAACTGTCTGTCCTGGTCGCTGGTGCACTCTTCCCGGCCCATATCACGTCTACAGATACTGACACCGCCGTGACAGGATAATGGCAGTAATCAGTGTAAGACGTTACAGGAGCTGGCCCCAAGAGAGCACCAAGCACTAGTAGAGCAAGTTGGAGAGGTAAGAAGCGTCGTCGGCGCAGACTACCATTTGAGTTAGCGTCAAACGGAGCCATTTATAGCTGCCGGTGGTAAAGTCTCTGGTTGGTTTTCCTGCACATTCAATATAGGAGACAGTAGCCCTTCAGCACAGTCCTCAACCCAGCTGAGCTGTTTGACAGCTGAAAGCCGTTAATGCTGGGGATAATGGGAGCTACCAGGGAACTGATAGAGATGTGCGCCCAGTCGCATAATCAGCGTCAGTAAATATGTGACACAGTGGTACAGAATGACAGTGCACAACAGAGGTCATACTACGAGCTACAAGCTACAAGCTACAAGCTAGGACAAGCCCAAGGGAACAGCCGGTGTCGAATGGGCTTGGCGTTTGATAAGCTATCGACAGCGTACGGCATTGAGTCGCCATCCATTGATAATAGAACGCTCTAAAACGGAGAAATGAATAAAATTCCCCAGATCCACGTTACTCGTCTCACAATGTCTATGTCCGACTTACAACACAAGTTCAGTGAGCTTTCCACCAATGGATCACAATAGCTAACGCTAATTCGTCCCCATATATGACGTTTCGCTCAAACCCGTCATGATCAGTGAGCCGCAAGCCAGCACAAAATGACAGCTGGCTCACCCCAGCGCACCTCACGCGTAACCAAGTAGCTGCCCCGACCCACCAGGGCCACAGGTGGCCACGCTTCCTCCTGCTAAACCGCCTCTTCCTCGAGCAGCTTGGGACATCACCACACACGAAACACAACTCGATCCCACCCGTTGTGCGAGCTTTCCGCTCGTCGACGTAGCGCAGTCCGCCGCTAGCGTTTCCAGTCGCTCACCGCCAGCTTTCCGCACACGCTCCCACACCGCGCACCGTCGGTTGAAGGTTCCAAATATGGCCCGAAGCCTGATCCCACCATGTCCACGTGACCGTGGACCTAACGTGTCCAATATATCCAATATATATTGACCGTCCTCCATCGTGTGTCTCGCACCCGCAAGCCACTCGACCGCCCCATTCGCAGCGTAGGATGTCTGCTCCTGCCAATCTGTTTCCGGGACTCAACGAAGTTACGGATGTGCTGGAAGAAATGCCGCTGGAAGTGTCGCGGTACCTGACACTGCTGCGAGAAATCGACGCCAAGTGTGTTCACACGGTTCCGGAACTCAACGGCACGATACAAGAGTTCTTTGAGCAAGAGTCCGGGCTGGGTCCGCTGCAAAAGATGAGCGGGCTGTTCCAGGACCTGATGCCGTCGCTGGAAGAGAAAATGCATGTCTCTGCGCTTGCGTACGAGTCTGTTAGCAGGCTAACCGCGCGGCTGGAGCTGGCGTACGAGGTGGCCATCAAGAACGCGGAGATCCCCTCCAAACTGCGGCTGGGCAACGACAACCACCCGGCGATGCACCTGCACCACGAGCTGATGGCGAAGATCGACTCCAAGACCAACAGCAAGTCGTCCCAGGCGTTGAAGAGCGAGTCGCGCCGGGAGGCCATGGCTGCGCGTCGAACGGGCCCCGGCGCTGGGGCGGCCACCGCGGGGGCCGCCAGTGCGCAGGGGACGTATGCTTCGCAACCGGCCACGGACGGCCGCAAGAGGCGTGCGGTCGGCGGACCCACCGCGGCGAGTGGGAACACCGCTGGCGCTGCTGCGCTTGCTAGCACCCCGACCACCACTACCACGGCCACGGCCACAGTAGACATAAACCCGGCGCCGGAGAAGCCGCACTCGCTCTCGTACGCGCACGCGCACGCGCACGCGTCGTCGTCGTCGGCGGACGCTAAGCGGCGTAAGCGCAAGCCCGTGGCGAAGGAGGACTACACCCAACGGCCCAAGATCAACGAATATGGCGAGGCCCTGTACTGCTACTGCAATCAGGTCGCCTACGGCGAAATGGTCGGGTGCGACGGCGACAGCTGCGTGCTGGAATGGTTCCACTTGCCCTGCATCGGCCTGGAGACGTTGCCCAAGGGCAAATGGTACTGTGACGACTGCAAACGGTAGCGGAGAGGCCGAGGAAGCGAGGGACCCGTTGGGCGACCCGTTGGGCGACCCGTTGGGCGACCCGTTGGGCGACCCGTTGGGCGACTCGAGGGCCCCCGCCCCGTTCGTCATGACAAACTGTGAAATCTTTTATGCACTGGATATCACCACAGCGCAATGCAAACTGACCAACTTGCTAGCACCCTGGAGAGAGAACCCGGTGTTCTCGAGATTGACAATGTCGCTGAATAAGGTATGTTTTGATTTTGGGCTGGGCGCGCGCAAACGCGGGTGCGCGGCGCCGTCGTTCGCTTCGAACGCTGCTGTGCCTCGATTCTAACGCAAATTACACGGTTAGAACAACATTAGGGAATACAAGTTGGTGGTAGTCGGTGGCGGTGGGGTCGGTAAGAGTGCGCTCACGATCCAATTGATCCAGTCGCACTTTGTGGACGAATACGACCCGACCATCGAGGACTCGTACCGCAGACAAGTGGTGCTGGACGGGAAGGTGTCCGTTCTGGACATCCTGGACACCGCAGGCCAGGAGGAGTACTCGGCGATGCGCGAGCAGTACATGCGCACGGGCGAAGGGTTCATGCTGGTGTACTCGGTGACGTCGCGGACGTCGTTTGACGAGCTGATGACCTACTACCAGCAGATTCTGCGCGTCAAGGACGCGGACTACGTTCCCGTGTTCTTGGTGGGCAACAAGAGCGACCTGGAGGACGAGCGACAAGTGTCGTACGAGGACGGGGTGGCGCTGGCCAAGCAGTTCAACGCCCCGTTCATGGAGACGTCTGCGAAACAGGCCATCAACGTGGAGGAGTCCTTCTACGGGCTGGTGCGGTTGGTGCGGGACAACGGGGCCAGCTACAACTCTGCGAATGCGTCGGAGCCCGAGGAGGGCGTTGCCGACTCCGGCGCGCACGCCGCGGGCGCGCGCACGCCCGCGGCCGGTGCTCGGGTCGCGGAGAGCGGGACCGAGCGCCAGCAAGCGGACGCGAGCAACGACGCGGGCCCCGGCAGGAGTGCCAATGCCTCCAAGAAGCCAGCGGCCGCGAAGCCCGCCAGCAAGGGCACGCAGCGCCGCGTGGAGCGGCGCGACGACAGCGAAAAGACGGAAAAGTCGGGAGGATGTTGTGTTATATGTTAGCATAGGTATGTAGATGAAAACGACGAGCAGACAACGAGCAGGCGACGGGCCGGGAGCACGCTGGCGACGGGCCGGGAGCACGCTGGCGACGGGCCGGGAGCACGCTGGCGACGGGCCGGGAGCACGCTGGCGACGGGCCGGGAGCACGCTGGCGCGGCCCGCTAGTTCACAAAGTGCAAGCACACAAAGTGCAGCACCAGGCTCCCGCCGACAAACTCCATGAACGCGCGCTCCTTGCGGATGCCCGCAAAGCTCTCCACCCACTGCATCCGCAGACTCACCGCCAGCACGAACTGGCCCACACACGCGCTGAACCCGGCCAGAAACGCGTTCAACGGGAAACTGTCGCGCACCGCGCACACGAACCCAAACTGCGCGACGCCCACCACCACCAGGAACGCCAGCAGTGCGTCCACCAGCTTCAATCGCGGGTCCGCGCCGACCTGGTCGCGGTACGCGGCCCACGCCGCGGAAAACGTTTCTGCAAACTTGGACGACGAGCTCGCCACCGAGGCGCTCGCCGCCGACACGCTCGACACCGAGGACTTGGACATGGCCTTACACAACCGAGGGACACAAGAGAGCTGGCTTCAGCTGTGTGTGTGGTTGGTAGTTGTCATGGTGGTGTTTAGTTTTTCACGGGTCGGCGCCCACATGGACGACGGGATCTCGACAACGTGAGGGCGGTGACAGGTGGCAGGCAGGTCGACAACCGGGCTCTCCCCCAGCACGCACACGTTTGGTCGACCCAGCACACGCCTTGGAGCTCAAGTACGCGCCCACCCGCTCAACACTCGGACGCTCTGTGCTTCGCTCACTCTCGGACTTCACACGCCTCTCGCCCTCGCACTCGCACTCGCCCTCCCGCGCCATGGCCGAACCCGACGAGGACGACGACCACATCTACGTCAACGAGGAAACTGAACTCGGCACGCAGCGCGTGCGCGTCGCGCACGCGCCCGCCCGCCGCATTGTCCCGCCGCTCAACTTCTGCCCTGTGGAGCGGTACCTGTATCGGTCGGGCCAGCCTTCACCGGTCAACTTCCCGTTCTTGCTGGACCTCCGGCTCAAGACCATCATCTGGCTCGCCAACGAAGAGCCCCAGGACACGCTCCTCGAGTTCTGCGACGCCCACTCCATCCAGCTCCAGTTCGCGACCATAAACCCGGACGGCGGCGAGGACGACAACCCATGGGACGGGCTCACCGAGCACAGCATCATCGCCGCGCTCCAGACGATAGTCAACGCGGACAACTACCCGCTGCTGGTGTGCTGCGGGATGGGGCGGCACCGCACGGGCACGGTGATCGGGTGCTTGCGGCGGATCATGGGGTGGAACCTGGCGTCGGTGTCGGAGGAGTATCGTCGGTTCACGGGCAGTCGCGGCGGGCGGATCCTGGTGGAGCTGTTGATCGAGGCCTTCGACACGCGACTGGTGGCGATCGACCAGGAGCGCGCGCCGCGGTGGCTGGCGAGGACGTGAGGCTGCGGGTTGGAGGCCGGAGAACTGAACCGGTGTAGTGCCGAGGGCTACACCATCGACGCTGACCACCGGCGACGCTGACCACCGGCGACTCTGGCTACCTTGCCCTCGCAATCGCCGTCGCCCCTGCGCACTCGCTCCCGCGTCGTGGGCCTGCGCTCCGCCTCGGAAAAAACTAACCTGTCCCCCCCTCTTCACTACCACCACCACCACCACCACCCAACGACAACAATGGCCCCGTCAACCGCACTCGCCTGTGCGCTGCGCTCCCTGCCACCGCGCTCCCTCGCCCCACGCTCCTTCGTCCAGGACGCCCGCTCCACCGCAGACAGCTTCAAGTCCTGGGACACATGTATGGACAACAAGACGTGCAAGATCGTGGCGATCGTGGGCATCGTCGTGGCCTGCGTGGTCGCGATATGGATCGTGGGCTCGCTGCTGCGATGCTTCGTGCGCGGGGCGTCCGGGTTCGGCGAGTTCTGCTGTTGGTGCTGCTGTCGGTCGCGCACACCACGGGCGCCCGTGCAGACGGCAGCGTCGACGGGACCTGTCGCACCGCCGGGCCAAGTGCCCCCCATGGTGGTTTACCAGCCCATTGCCGCGCCCACAAGCCAGCCCGCTGCCTACTACCAAGAATCGCACAGCGTTGAGGAGATCGAACAGGACTTTGACCTCGAGGCCCAGCGTCTCCAACGCGACGACCGCCTCCCGGCCAGCAAACCTGCCGAGCACTACAACATGTCTGTATACCACCCGCGACTCACCACGACCCCGTACCCCCGCGACGCGGACGGTTTCCCGGCGGACGAGCCTCCCCCATCTCAGTATCACTACCGACACGGCAACTACTAAAATATCTTGCGACAGTATGTGTATATACGTGCTTATAATGCTTACTCGCTGTACTTCCTACCACCCCATTTGCTCCACTACGTACTCCCGCACGCCACGAATGCCCCGTTGTAAGGACGCATCCACGGTGCGTTCCACATCGTCCCACCTGGTGCGGAACCCGCGCGAGTGCAGGTGCTCCCAGGCCGCGTGGTACTGGTGAACCCAGGGCTCGGGCAACACGTCTCGCTCCAATGCCCGCACCGCGTTCGACCACGTCGCTGGCAACAACTGTGACACCACTGTGGCCGCGAGCGCCCAAGGAACCACCAATCGGCTTGGGAAACTAGTCAAAATGCGCGCCCCGCCCACTCGCTGCCAGTTGCGGCGGTTGGTGAGCACACGGCCGGTGAAGAACGCTCCCAAGGCAAGTATGCCGGCTGGAACCATCAATTCCTCGGTTTCGTATCTATCCGTGGCTATGTTCTTCGCAGAGTAATCTTTGGCACTCTGCCACTCGTTCGCCGCCGCACTCTTCTGCGTCTCCCATTCCGCCTTGTAGACGTGGTATTTGTTCACCGCGAACCCTCTCCAGTGGCCAAACCAGTTGTGTAGAGCCTCGGAATCGTAGATCTGGTTCCCAGTTGACAGCGTCGTGGTCGATAGATCCGTGGGAGTGGCCACGTCTGGCACCAGCGGTGCCTGCGCCTTGGCATCTGCATCCTGGTAAAAGTTTCGCGACATTCTGATACGCTTTGGCGTGCGCTATGTGTACCGCTATGTGGCTCCGTGGTTGTTGCCAGTCAAGTTCACTCAATGGTAAGTCAATTTAATATTCTACGGGCCCGCTTGGAAATTTCGACACAGAACGACACGAAATTCATAAAGGGCCATTAAGCCACCGTGCGTGTGTTCAAATGCGATGTGGTTAAAATGTATCTAGTATTTATTCTGTATATCGAGTTTTGTGCCGGTTTTCCTTCCTGTCAGGGGCCTTTGGAGTATGTTTTATCCTATTATCACTTCGTCTCTTAGCCCATCAAACTTTGGTAAGACGTGTACACCATTCCAACGGACCCTAGCACGATCAACGCGTAGTCCAAATACACGGGGCTCTTTTGCCACACAGTCTTAGCGTCTTGACACGCAGGCTTGCTGCAACCTCTTAGGTGCAACATGGGTGGATAAATGTAAACCAATGGGATGCAGGCAAAGGACCCGACGATGGAGACAAAAGTGTCGAGATTATCAGCTCCGAAATATGCTGCCAGTACAGTAAAGGCCACGATCAATGAGCGCACGGAGTTTTTCAACCACTTGACACGCCAGTCCAGTTTGCCCGAGTTGGGTCTGTACTGGACGTGATCGGCCTCATCCTGGCGCCGTTTCACGTAGATCTTGGTGAATTTGGGGAAGACTTTGCTTTCCACGATGGCAATGGCTGGAAACAATTGCAAGGGAGTGGACAGTAAGATGGCCAAACTGTAGAAAAACTGAATCAAATTCACCAAGATGCTATCCTGAGGTAGGTTCAACAAGATCACCGTCTGGACGTTGCTGCCGTAGCTGAGATACCCGAGCGTCGCTACTGACACAAATAGCACGGTTGAGGTGACGATTACCATCGCCAACACCAGGGGAAACTTTTCCGGGTGTTTCATGGAACTCTGCACCGGGATGATCAGCCCAATGCCTTCAAACGCAAAGATCGCCGTCCCTGCAAACAAAGTCCACCGCTTGGGGTTGAACCCGAAGATGATGCCTTCAGCCGGCTGGCACCCGAGATCAAAAAGCAGATGCTTGCCGGTTAACAAGATCACGATGAAGATGCCGCTCATGACAAAAACATTGGCCGCCAACGAGGGCAGTGACAGCTTGGAAATGTTTCTAATGAATGACAGAGGCACAAAAATCAGTAGCTGCAACACTAGCAGGTGTATGAGCGACACGTCGCGCCAGTGGAACACGTTTTCGATGAACGCCAGCAGATTCTTCGCCGTGAAGATCACATAGGCCCCGGAAAAGCCAAGCTGTGTTAGCACCAACGACATCAAGATGATAAACTTCATCCAGGGGCCGTAAAGATTCAATCCGATGTCACCAAACGACGAGACTTTGGTGGCCACCTTGGACTTGGTCAAAATGTAGTAACACCAGTACGAGTAGACCCCAAAAATGGTGAGCATAACTACCGAAAACAGTAACCCACCATTTTCAAATGCTGCGGGAAGGAAGAGCACCCCCGTGCCGATAAACGACTTGATCATCAGCAGGAAAGCCTTGGTGGTGGACGTGGTTCCCTTGGCGGATTTGGGAATGAGGACCTTTTTCCCAGTTTCACCTTCGGATCTTGCTAGCAGCGGGCTTCTCTCGTTGGGTTCGTGCCGTCCCACTTCTTGCTCCGGATAGAAATCCTCTTCAAACGACTCGCCGGCAAAATGGCCATATACGTACAGAAACTCAAGGAAATTTCTGGTCAGGAACGGCACTTTTTCCAGGTTATTGGCGTCTGAGTTCTGCGACTCAAAATCAGAGGTGAATGTGGCCGACTCGCTCGCGGACGACGTGGCCGTGTCTCGGCCAGACTTGTGTTTCTGGACGATATACTCGCGCCGGAACCCACCGGGCACCTTCAACGCGCTGGCAGAGGCCTCGCTTCGATGCGAATCCTCCTGTATCTTGAGATCTCCGGTGGAGTGTGTTCTTTTTAGCCCACGGTTGGGCGAGGTCATGCGGTAAAGTTCTCGGGTGATGTGGCCGCCTTGGCTCTCGAGGTTCAGGTCCCGTTCTGGGATCCCAAACTCCACTGGCTCCTCCGCCTGGTCCTCCAACGGCCTATTGTGCTCGTTGGACAATCTGCCGGCGCCATTGCCGGCGCCATTTTTTTTCGTTGCCATGTAGTCGTTGAGGTAGTTGGTGCGCAGACTGTTGATGATATCCTCGCGCTGGTCCTGTTTTGTGGTCTTGAAATTGGGCGATCCCGCATCGATAAATACCCTGGAGTCCACGCTTCCAACATGCTGGGGACTCTCTCCCAGGCTGTTCATCGCCATCGCTTTCACACTTCTTCCCAGCTCCCGACCATTTTTTGACGACCTCCTGCTGGCTACTGATTCGGATAAGAGCAAGATAGAATGCCTCCTTCGATTGTATTGTTGTTCTGGGATGTTGATATTGGTCGACAAACTGCCAACTTGGCTGGAGTTTTTAGAGCTCGACCCCATTTCAGCACTTACAGTATCCGCAGATCCTTAACAGCGATGTCCTAACCGCACTCAAGGTTGAAAGGAACCACGATTCAAGTAGCAGGGATAAGATCAGTTTCCCTTCGCCAATTGAAAGCATGAATATTTTGGATATCATTTTATCTATCGGTGATTAGCTAAAAAAGTGCTGATACTAATTAAGCCGTACAAGGAGTGGGGGAAGGGAGATCTGACACCACTTCAGTTAGGGCTGGCGACATACCATGTGTGTATTTGCTTGAGAAGCTTATTAATGTAAGGTTATGGAGGAGTTGCCTGGGAGCGAAGTACATAGATTAGACTTAACCACTGGGTTTTGACGACAGCGGATTTATTAGTTGGTAATTGTTCGAATGAAGGCTAACAAACGTGGGAAAAAAGAGGCGAGGAGTTAGGATGACCTGGTAGGTGTCCTTTAAAAACTAATATGGTTGTCTGAGCGCAAGCGACGGGCAACTTCCCAGAGGAACGACGTTCTCAAGCTCGTCCGCGAAAAGTAAGGTGCTGAGATCACTTTGTATTACTCCGTCGCCGGCGCTGACATTTTTTACTGCACAGCAAAACTTGGAGGGAGGGAAGCACTCGCGTTGCGACTGAATTGTGGTGCTCTTTGATCACACAAATGGGTGGTGCTAGGTGTGAATCATAGCTAGCATTCTGGTCCAGCGACGCTGGCGGTGACACGAAAATATGCAAGTGACACTCACGTGATTTGGCCCACAACACGACAATCCAAGTGATCAAAAATCCTACAGTTGGGCGGGGCCCGGTTGGGACATGTTCTGGCTCTTCCACACTTACTCTGCCCAGCAATTCTTGTGTAATCGAGCATCCAATGGAAAAGTGGGACGATCTGGGTTTGAAAATAGCCTACCAAGAGGCCATCAAGGGCTACGAGGAGGGCGGTGTGCCCATCGGAGGCTGTTTAATCGACAAAGACGGGAAAATTCTCGGTTCCGGCCACAACATGCGGTTCCAAAAAGACAGTGCGACACTGCACGGTGAAATTTCTACTTTGGAAAATTGCGGACGCATGAAGGGATCTGTGTACAAGGACTGCACGCTGTACACCACACTTTCGCCCTGCGATATGTGTACGGGAGCGATTCTGATGTATGGAATCCCTCGGTGTGTGATAGGAGAGAACGTCAACTTCAAAGGGGATGGCGAACGCTACCTAACGGAAAGGGGCCGCGAGGTTCGGGTCATGGATGACGCTAAATGCAAAGCGATCATGAAGAAATTTATCGACGAAAGGCCCCAGGATTGGTTTGAGGATATTGGTGAGTGAACAATTGGGCGGGCAAGCGCCTCTCACATGTATTTAGGTCACTTGGTTCTTTTTGTATCTTTTATTGAAAGGCAACAACGTTCGTTCCGCTTTCTTGCTCAATATCAATCTGCAATCATGAAATCGAATATTGTACCCATATCAACGTAGCGACGAGCACAGTTCTTTAGGTACTTATGGACAACCGACTCCATGGTTTGGAAAAGCTCACGATTCTGCTCCCCCAATGCCATTATTTGAGAGGCCGGGAGTGCGGCATCCGGGGCATCTGGGTGTTCCGATCGATAAAGCGGCTTTACAAGTCCCTTTTTGTTTTTATCAACGTCGAAAAGCGATTCGAAATATAGCAGTTGATTGTAGAGCTGCTTATCGGTGTACCGATAGCTCATCACACCCATGCAGTCTTCGCCTAAGCACCTTTTCCCAAACACCGAAATCTGTCTAGTGATGATACCACAGGTGCCGTCGTCGCATTTCAGATAGCCTGCGTAGTACATCGAAATATGCGAGCGAAGTGCTCTTTCGAGCTGACAACTCAATTGGAGAGGCGAAAACTGATGATGACATTGCGAACATTGAAGTCCGTTGTAGCATATTTGATACCGTTTAGACGCAACAATGCCTCCAAATGGAAACTGCTGGTTGCAGCTAGGGCAGTTCACGTTCAGCGGAGCTACGTCTTTAAAGCGTTCTTCATCCGATATTGCACTCTCTAAAGGTTGCAAGCTATCTCCGCTACTGCCATTCAATTCCCCGTTGGCACCAGCACGATTAATATATTTCCTGCTATCCAGCCCGAGCGATTGGCTCAACCGAACAATGTCGAAACTCTCAATACGTTCCAAGAGTCTCTCGACCGGTGAGAAAATCTGCTTCTCCAGGTAGTACTGGGGGTCGGGTCGCAGATTATTGTCCTTGACCATAACTTCGTTCAGAACCCTGGCTCTTTCTGCCGGTGAAAGAGGGGTTTCACTGTCATCTAAACCATCTTGTTTCGTAATGACAAATGTAATAACGCTACCTGCTTTGACTACGCGACCTGCCTCACGCATTCGAAGCGCCACTTGGACGGCAGGCATATTCTTGCCTCCAGGGTATGCCTTGGGATCCTTGGAAAGCCTAGTGTTTATTTTATACTTGTCAACGCGGATTGTATTTGATTCAACCTGCTCTTTGATACCTTCAAGATATTCGTAAACATCTAACAGAGCAGTCTCAGGATCTTTGTCAGAAAGAATAGTTTTTAAAACATGGATGGACACTTCTTTTGATAGTGGGCAAAACTCACGACGTTTCATGTCCAGGCCCTTAACCTCTAAAGCAGTTCCTTCAACACCTTTTTGATCAAACACAACCGTTAGGGCCGCGTATTTTTTCTTGGCGTGTAGCAGTAGTTTTCGGAATACGTTATCAATGTCAATCTCCAATAGACGATAGCGTTCGTTCACTAGTCTTTTGAAGTTTTCCCCGATTTTTATAGCTTCGCTATAGTTATCAGAGCCTGTGTCGATCATGACAGAATCCGTGTCACCATAGATTACAGAAAGAGCAAGGCTCTCGGCTAGCTGCCTGGTATTCATCAGGATTTCCCTACCTTTGTTGGTTACCAGCATGGCAAGTGGTTTGGCGTAGAATCTACTATTCACGTAACCCAGACAACCATACATCGAGTTAGCTGTCAATTTCAACGCTTGTTGTCTAATATCACATTGCACTCTTTTGTGAGGATCCGTTTCGGACTTTAACAACTTTTTAACCTCTCGACGCCTCTCAACTAAGTTAGCCAAGAGCCTGGGTAACACACCTTGCTTTCTACTTGAATCTGGCACGTTGGGCAGCTGTTCGATGTTATTAGGATCTCTTTCTACTGTAGTAAAACATATGTTAAACTCCTGGATGATGGACGGGTACAAGGAATTAAAGTCCATCACGAGCACGTAGTTTTTATGAAGACCTTTCTCCGGCTCGAACACTAGCCCACCTTGGTATTTAGCTTTCTTGGAGCTTACCTGCATATCTTCTCCCCCATCATCACCGGCTTCTTCTCTAATTCTTTGCTGCCGCTGGTTCCTAGCTTGTCTTGTCTCTTTGTCGGGAACGATGTAGTTGTTCTTAGAAAATTCATGCAGCAGAATATATTCATTCCTTCCCGCTCTTGTGCCCCCCAAAGTCTGGGACCACGCATTCCCCGCTAAGGTTGTCAATTGCTTGGTAAGAGACAATATCTGAATTCTAAAGGCCACTTCTGCAGAAATAAGCGCGTTCGTGACATTCTCTTGAAGGGCTAATATCATGGAATTGACATCGTTTTGATACTGTAGGTTTTGATAATTAACTTCCAGCGCCCTGTGTTCCTTTTGACAAGTGACTTGGTACATCTCCGGCAAATCCCAACTTTGACATTTGGGTGTAAGTGATTGTCCCATTTCATTGGAAATGTCACATAACAAGCGGCCGGCAAATAGATCACGAATGTAAAATTGATTCATACTTGGATTTCTTCCAAATTTGTCCGGCCAAACTTTTCGTGCTCGGCGTCCTAAGCAACTAAACATTGGGATTTTCAGTTCAAAACATCTATGGGCAATAATATCGAGAGCCGTGTTTTCTAAACGGTGTCCTATAATCACATCCGGGTCCGAAGACTTCATCATTGCACAGAAGCAACTCAACAAAGCTTTCTCGTTGTTAAGTAATCGCAGTTGGCCTTGCATGGCCTTGTTTCCAAGGTGCATAAGCCCAGTGGGGAAACTAGATCCTGTCGGAGGCCGGATCAAGGTTATCGTGTCATTTGGTGCCAGATCTTCGGGAATCGGCAGATCTTGAGCAAGATTCTCAAAGTGCGCTAATGTGATACTCACAAGCTCTTGTTTATTTTCTTTAGGATTCATTACCGTTTGGACTGAGAGTGCGAGACAGTTCAGATCGGGTACCTGCTTCTCTACCAATGGAGTTACATGGATTGGCTTAGAGACTTGCACTTCGACCGAGCAATGGGAGGAATTCGACAGCGCCGAAAAGTCACCGTCTTTGATTTCCAACCAGCATGGTCCCATCACTTTTCTCTGAACCACAAAATTCTCAAAAATGTGGCCATTTCCACCAAAAACATGGTGGAAAGTTTCACCCTCTAAATCACTGGGTATCACTACGTTCTTGCTCTTGGGAGTATTGTATGGCAGAAGAACCTTCAAGTATTCTGACTCGTGAGGGACTCCCGGTAGCTCGAAAGCATACTTTTTTGTCTCAGGCTTGGCGCGAATAGTGTCTAGACCATATTTTTCAAGTAGCAGCGGTACTATCTCTTCGTGTACTTCTGTGGCCGTCTTGCCGTCTCTTGGGAGAAAGAAAAGCTCCCTACTGAGGTTTTTGATCTGTACCATTGCTGAAACCAACTTTTTTTGTTTTGTCCAGGCTTTACCAAATAGTAAAAGGGAATTATCTACCTCAGTGTAATCAAGCCAGAAGAACTTGAAGGCATTTGTGCCAGAGTCCACGATGGCTTCACGGCTGAATTTTTGGCCAAAAGATAGAGCAGAAGATGGTCGTGATTCTATGGAGGTTTGGCTTGTAGTCGGTGTGCCCGGGGCGGTAACGAATGGGGAAGATGGTGAATTGGAGCTCGTGTTGAAGTTCACTCGCTTTGCCGCTGCTGCAGTTTTAATAGTTCTTCTATTTATCATAATTTCGTCGTCATCGCTATCATCCTCTTCGACGCGTTTATTGAGCTCGTCTTCCTTTTGGTCACTATTGCGGGACATATTTTGATCAATGCTTGAAGTAGCCATACTTCTATTTTTCACAATGGTAGGCGAGTTCTGGACCTCAGCGATCATCGCTTGGAGTGCTGCATCGTCTGCTAGGTCGGGCCTTACGTTCATCACCTGTAATGGAGACAGGCCATTCAGGTTGTCAGCCCCCTCGCCATCAATCTTTACTCTTTTTACCGTTGGGGCCGATTTCAAAGGTTCGGGAGCTATTCTTTTCACCAAAGGAGTGGCTGACAGAGTGTCGTTCGACGTTCGTTTAGGAAGTGGCATTACAGTATGTAAGGGCTTATCGTCAAAATCCTGCAAAATATCGTCGAAATCATCAGCGCTAAATTTCTTGACAGTTTTGGCTGGAGCCGCTGTCCTTTTGGCACTTTTCGAGTTTTGGAGTGATATCATGTCATCGATGGTTTCTTTGCCGATCCCATTGCCGTGTTTTCTCCCATTCTTGGATACACCTGTGCCGCGTCTGAATGAACGGTGTCGGTCATCTAGATCATCTTCTTCACCGGAAGAATATGCACTATCCCGGTATCGATCGTCCCACTCATCAACACCTCTGTCGACGTATCCTACACCATCGTCATCTACAACAAAATCGTCACGAAGCATTTCCTGACGTTTGCGATTGCGAAATTCATTCTCATCTATCAGATCATACACCTTATCATCTTCTGCAATGTGCTCATCTTCGTATAGCTCTTTCGATGAGCTTTTGTCCTGGCGCGCTCTTTGGAGCCTTTTCAAGGCTTCCAACTTGCTTACAGAACCCATGTTACGTCAAAGTATATCGTTTAGCAGCGAATTGATGGTTTGAGGACTTAAAAATCGATCTTTGATCCTTGCTTGTGTCGTCAACGTAGCTCTTTTTGTAATTTTACTTAGAAACGCGTAAAGTTTGATGAAGGTTGAAGTTATATGAAGCGCGTTTGGATTTCTTCTAATCAGTCTACTTGTGAATGAAATTTAAAGGAATACAATAAGGAAGTCCTGAAGACTTTGGTACAATATAACAAGAGGAAGAAATCAACGATCCTGGCGAGAAAGTCTGGTGTGGAAGCTTCACTGTTAGCATTTCTCCTGGAAGCTTATTGTGTGTGATCCCCATTGAAAAAAGCGGCATCTTTGGTTGTCGTCCATGTCTTTTCTGGACTCGGGTTTGAGACCGGGGTTTAACGGTAAGAAGCAAGAAAGGTCCTTCAGTCAAACATTTGCGGCATTCTCTCGAAGTATTGGTGACCTTCAAAAGAAAACTGGGCTGCTAGGCTCCAAGCGAGACTCACAGACGATCAGGTATGCGATTGAAACGGAAGCAGTTCCTCAATGCGAAACTCTACGTGATGAGGTCGAAAATCTGCTGAAGCAGGCCGATACTAATCCAAAGTTGGTGTCAGATTTTGCTGGACTGAAAGATGAGTTCTTAATGACAAAAAGACGGTACTACGAAAATCGAGCGAAATTTCCCATTAGAATGAAGACCTCCCGCACCGATTCCTCGTCCCGAAATTCTGGATATGTATCAATGCCCGCTGCCAAAATCTCAGAGACAACACCATTACTGCGAGACGAGGAACAGCAGGTATATTCTCAACAACAACAACAACAACAACAGCAGCAGCAGCAGCAGCAGCAGCAGCAGCAGCTGACACAAGAGCCTGGGGCAGAGCTTACGCAGGATGAACTCAACTTCCACAGTCTTATTCAGCAAGAGAGATCTCAGGAGATTAGCCGAATACATTCGGCAGTACAGGAGGTCAACGCCATCTTCCACCAATTGGGCTCTTTGGTGCGAGAGCAAGGCGACGACGTCGACGCTATTGACAACAATATTTCAGGACTTTCAGCCAATTTGCATAGGGCAAATGAACAGCTTGGGAAAGCTGAGCGATCGCAGCGAAAGCGTAATAGATGCGGAATCGTGACATTGGTCATAATCGTCGTGGTGGTCCTCGTGGTGGTACTTGCGGCGCTCAGTTAGTAGTTCAGGGAGGAAAATATCTTTCAGAATACACTGGGTAAGACTGTGTTGAACTTCTGCATTCCCACTGTTAGTCAGTGAACTATATGTACAATATCTATGTTACAATTCATAATTTGGTTTCTTCCTTGCCCATTAATCTGTTATCGTCTTTGATTCTTTTGAGTATTTGACGGCGGACGTTTTCGACTTCCTCGACAGCATCAAGCTCGCCTCTCTCCAAAACCAAGTTCTTCAGTAGACGGTTTTCCATCTCCAGAGTGTAAATGCGCTGTTGCAAATTCAAGGCCAGCTCGCTGAGCTCTTGAATCGACCCTTCCATCTCTTGCTCCTTGAGTTTCCGTTTGGGGTGTGATTTAGAGCGCTTATCACCACTTTTTGTGTCGCTATTTCGCCGGTCATGGATATCATTCTGAGATTTTTCCACGGTCCTAACCAAGGTACCATTATTGGTCGACGCAGAGACCTCCTGACTACTGTCAAGAGAATGCAAAGTGGAGCTTCTGCTCCTTTCGCTGGCAGCAAGCTTTTGTGGACTTTCTCTCTCGCTGTTGCCTTGGAAAAAGGAATCGACCAAGTTTTCAGATGCGTGCTCCCGGGATGCGAACTGGCGGCGAGGCAATCGTGGACCTTCCCTTTCGGGGACTGCTACTGCGCTGGAGTTAGGTAAGGTAGAACCTTCCGGTTCAGGAGTTTTTTTCTCGCCAGAAAGGAACTGTAGGATGAAGTTTGCTCCAATTTCTCTAGACGAAAGAGGCAAGGCGCTGTCACTGATATTTTCTTGTTTGTTCATTTGATGATGGGCAATTATGGCAGCAATGGAGTCTATCTCTTCTGGTTGCAGACCCACGGAAACCAATGCATTCCTAGCTCCATTCGGTACTCTGGCCTTCGGTAGCAATGTAAGTAAAGTGCTTGTTGGAATGGAGGAGTAGTCGGGCATGTGAATGTCTGTTGATGCGTTGGAGTTTCCGAGTCTGTGCGGATTGATATCGCTTTGCTGCGTCGTAGGAGTGAAAAAAGGTGTATTAGAGCTATGCGTTGTAGCAAGGTCGATTGTTTGTGAGTTTGAATCTGACACCAAGTTTGTGAGCGGGGAATTAACGTACGGGATTCCTGGTTGAGCAAATGGTTGCGGGGGGCCGTCACCAATATCGACGTTTGTGAAGCCACCGTGGTCGTCCGACGGCGATCGCGTTGACTCAAGCTGCCGGTTTTTATTAGAAAATCGTTGACGAGAGTTGTCGTATTGTGAGGCCAGGAACCTATTCCGGCGTTGGGACAAAAACCTTGAGCTTCTGTTTGAGGGAGCAGAGACCGGATTGTCTACTGTCTCATTCTCCGTGTTTTCATGATTGGCCATGTCGTACAAACGGGACGCTGACGCAGATGCCGACGCAGATGCCGAAGCCGACCCTGAAGCTGACGCTGAGGGCAGTTGGTGAGCACTGCCAAAAAGCCCCTCGTCGTTATTCGCATCATTATCACCACTATTAATGTTTTCGGCCTTGTCTTCATCTGGGAAAATGAATGTTTCATCGGCAAAAGCGCTAAGCTCTGCAGCGAGTCGATCATCCAGCCCCATCCCGCCGTTGGGAATTTCCGTTCCTTGCGCAAACCCACCAAAAGACGCAATGTCATTCTCGGAATCCGGCATGAAGTTGTCGACATACGCAAGCTGCTCCAAAAGTATATGAGGTGTAACGTTTGCATCATTGAAGTTGAAATTTAGCGCATTGTCCGAACCTTTCAGCATATCTTTTTCTTCACCAAAAAGGTTATCAAGAGCATGGTTCTTGTCGGAGCTCATCGCGAGAAAGTGCACTAACCAGTAGCGACTGTTGGCGAACGACGAGCTTTTTCTGAAACAGACTCAACTGACCTTCTAACTAGCCAGCGACGCTGTTTACTTGGACGAGCTCTGTCATTCGATGAGCACGACCTAGAATGAGAGTCTAAAAAATAAAAAATAAAAAGTCCATTTTCCGTACATCGTGCTATCATGACTTAGGTCATGTGCTCTTGTAAAGCCACAGTCCTGAGAGTGGTCACGTGCTCTGTAACTATGCAAGTTTATGCAGTTCAAGCCTGTAGAGGACGAGTAAGGTCACAATCGTCTTGCGTACTGTACCCAAACATTCGATCCTCACGCAGGCCAAGAGAGCGAATCTGCGTGATGTTTTTGATTCGCGCTGTTATTTGCAAGTGCAGAGCCATTTTTGGCGTATCTATAATGTGATGTTCTATGTCAAAGAGATGGCTACCAGTATCTGTTTCCGGCAGAGTGGTGTTTTGCAGAGTTTGAATTATTGTGCCGGAGGCTTTCTGGAAGCTGCGGCACTTTATCTTGATGCGATTACTATCTGGCCCCACCTAATAGTGTTGCAACGTGTTAATCGAAATTTGACGATATCTAATGTCGTGTTTAAAGCTTTAGTAGGCAATCGTGGGTGCGACGAGTATTGGAGCGAGTCAGCTTCGGCAGTAGTTAACTTGCTGAACAGCTTGCTAACTTTTGTTAGCAGGCATTGAGATATGTATTCTGCGTGATGGATAATAGGTCTTGATGGTTTGAGCCGGCTCCAACTTATCTCTGGGGCTATTTAATCTATTAATCTGGTTCGTGTACGGAACGGAACAAAGACCCGGTTTATAAAAATTCGGGCGGGCGCCATTGGGACTGGAAAAACCAGTGTTTGCACCCATCAGTTGGGTTTCTGGGGTTAAGGATATCTTAACTGTCGGTCAGGGCACTTCTGTGAGGTCGTGGGATCCCATTGGCTGATTTCACTGGCGTCGCATGTATCACTTTGTACCGATCTGACATTCAGGTGATGTTTCCTATTATGCAGATCAACGCTACCACAGCAGCACTAGATCACTGCCAATTGGCGCACTTATAATCAATGCTAGATGGCCATCGCCTGGTAGTTTATGCCCTGGTTACATATGAACATGCTGAATACACGATATTTTTACCACTCATCATTATGAGGGTCTGGGTATCACATTTTGCAGCTAGTGACGGGCTCCAGCATTGAAGATCAAACCAGAGTGGCTCTGGTGGCAAGTACAGCCTGCTCAACGCGGAAATCCTGCGCAGAAACCCCTCGGGCACTCAAGTGCTGTTGGTAATTCATTTGTCAAATAGGAACTGTCTTACAGGCCAGTAAGCAATAACTGAGGAGTAGTCCCCATCTCAGATGCCCTTGCCACAATTGAGACAACAGACTGGGACAATTGACCAGCCAGTAACGGAGAACTGGAGACTATGGTTTGGGATCATTTCGTACGCAACGTGAAGTTTGCCGGAATGAACCCTGGTTGGCGGCTACCAACCAGAAAGAACAGCTCTGGGACGAATCAGGTTGACACACTTTGACATATAACCACCTCACCGGGAAGCACGGTGGCTCAGCACAGTGGTTCAACACGGTGGTTCAGCACGGTGGTTCAGCACGGTGGTTCAGCACGGTGGTTCAGCACGGTGGTTCAGCACACGGAGGGTGTACAGGGCCACTTTCAAGCGTGTTCCCAAGTCCGAGATAGATGTCGTCGCGAGATGCCGTCCCAGCGGCTGTCCCCAGGTTCTGGCCCACTCGGAAAGGAAAGGTAGGGGACACTTGCCTGGCACAAGTGAAAGGCTCTTCCGGTAGAGCTACCAACAGCCACCCTTTGGGGTGGGGAAGCTAGCACAAGGCATGTTAGCAAGCACCATTATCCTTCACGCAACTGACCGTCTCTTGAAACGCGGGACAATTAGCACCAACGCAATGACTTCGAGGACATCAGTGAGCTTGTAAAACGTTGCGCGGCCCCCACGCTGCGCGGCCCCTCGCTGTGTTTGCCAACGGTGATCGAACCGGTGATGTTGGCGTTGCGTACGAAGTTGAGCTACCTGGGAACCCTGGTTTATTGGCAGAACAACAACAACGTCGCCGCCTAACAACGTCTCCGCTCAACAACGTGCTCCGGCCCTGTAAGCCCATGGATGCCAGTTAGTTTACCGGCACCGCACCCGTGGGCCGCCATCTCACGTGTGTTCGCCCGGCCCAGTATCCTAACGCCGTTCTGATAACACCGTCGCGCTCCCACGGATTTAACAGTACTCTCACTATCAACATCAGCTGAGGCTTCCTTATCATAGACGTACCGTGGGCCTGCGGACCACACAAACTTCCGATGCTCATCTCTCCGCGAGCACATCGCGCGATGACCCACAGTCGTCGCTAGTCACCACTTTGCTTATGGTATCATTATGCCCAAATCCTACGTGAGCGCTCGTTAGCTCATCCGTTATGCAGGAGAAGCTATCAAAATTTCCTACGAGAAAAATCCAAAAACACTCGTCCTCTGCGCGCTCCTTGTGTGTCACATTTTTCCCTGATAACGCTCTCTGTTGACTGTGGTGTTCGCTTGCATTTTTGCGCAGGAGACCGTAGAGATCAAAGAGTTGACCCACCAAGGATAAAACGGTGTACAAGAGCAGAGCAATCTTCCGGCTACATCTTTCAAGAATACAATAGACTCGAGCGTCGAGCGTATCAAGTTTAACAGCAACTTTGGCGGCCAACGAACCATATTGGCCTTACCAGAAGAAGGCTCTGGTTATTATAGAGATTCGACGTTGGTTTTTTGGCAGAAATCTTTTTTTCGCCGGTTTTTGACACAGAGACCGGTTTTTTTGTCATTTTTGTAGCATCTGCCGGAACAAGTGAGACGAGACTTTCAAACAGCGAAAACCTGTTTTCAAGCTTGGCTGCTGCGTTCAGTACCACCTCTGTGTTACGCACTCCCTCAGCTACTGCTTTTGCTATCCCATTCTGTTGAATAATGACCAGTGCGGAGCAAAATCCAGGCAGACTGGAGTCCGTCCTGAACCACATTCGTCTGTGGAAATCGGGCTCGGAGGACCTGAGCACGGAACAAGCGGAACCCCAGCTGTTTGTGGACTTTCTAAAGCGTTCGCACTGCGAGGAAAACCTGGACTTTATCCTCTCCACGGACCAGTATGTTGGTCCGCACGGTGGTCACTCCGCCAAGGAATCGGGCAGCAGCGATAGTGAGCTCTTCGAAGCTTGGCACCGCGACATCTATCGAGTCTTTATCGAGGCCGACTCGCCTCGTGAGTGCAATCTCCCGCAGGACCTCCGGCTCGCATTTGAACAATGTGCCCGTACAAGGGCATTCCCATCGAGGTCTCACATCGATGCAGCTCGTTCGCACATCCTATGGCTGTTGCGCGATGCACACTCGCAATTTTTACATCTCCAGCGCCGTTGCTCGGACCAATCCAACTGCCGCAGCTTGCATTGCAACGACAGCGCTGGTTCTATCAGCCAATCTAGCTCGCACACCGCATCGAAGGCCAGTTCGCGCTCAGGCTCGGCTCTGCCATCTCACGCGAGCTCACGATCAGGCTCCCAGTCTGGCTCACAACCCGGCTCTCTACTAAGTTCTCTACTCGCATCACCCTCGGCATCGCACTCGGGCTCTCTACATCCTTCTCAACTCGGCATGCAATTGGGGTCACGACCCCCTTCCCGTCTATCGTCTGCCGTCTTCGAGAATCCGAGTCATTCACCATCGCTTTCTTCCTCGCCCACCATCCTGTCGCCCGATGTTCGCATTATAAATTCACACCCATTTCTGGACGACTTCGCCGTGGAAGAAGAAGGCGAAAGCAACGATGGTGACGACGACACAGACCACGAACTCCTGGCCAACGACTCCCCAAAGTCAAGTCATAAAAATCGTCAACCCGGCCATACCACCGGCGCCAGAGGAGTTAGATATTCAGCACCAACTTCCGCGACTTCCTTCCCCTTCCCTGGCCGTGTCTCTCCCTTATCCACCCGGCCTGTGGACGCAGCATCTGTGTCCACTATCACAACCGCAACCGTGGATCCCGCTGGGACCGCGGACCGTGCTGTTCACCGGGCCAGTGGTACCTCCACTGCTTCCTCGTCATTCTCTACGACCACCAACTCGAGCGTGGGATTCAACTCTATGAAGCTCAAGCACACAGGCAAGAGGCTTGTACACAAATTGAAGTTTCGCAGAAGTAGTTCTGGCAGCTCTGGCTCATCGTTGAATCCATGATCCATCCCTGGGCGATGTCCTGTAGGACCACAACACCGTGGAGTACCAACGAGTTCCACCCCTCGCATATTACCCCCCCCCACACAACCGGCATTTAGCATATCATCACACCCCACCCCCTACCTTCTGCATAAAAATAATATTACTTCTATCCTCATCTACCAAACGAATTGGTGCTCGTTATCACCTTTTTGAGAGTGTAACATATATAAAAGGTCATATTACATATATTTTACTGTCATTTCATTGCTTGTATCTGGCACTAGCATCTTTTCGCCAAGCTGACCATATCACGCCCGCACAGATCGCGTTGTCTAGAGCTTGCTCAAGTGGAGTGGCTCACAGAGCCAATGCCTCCGCAAACCTAGAAATTCTGTTCTAACATGCAGAACAATCTAAGGCGTCACCCAAATTATGGATATCTCTGAAACTCTCCGAATTTATTCTACATTCTACTACAATGTAAGCTTCCAAAATGGTTGGTGCGATTTCCATAGCGAGACTACTACACCATCTCACTGGATGGTTTTGGCTCATCGGCGTCAGTATTGACCAAAATGACTGAAAAATTTTGTACAATATGTAATTAACGATGAACAAGAAAAGGCACTGAAAGCTCCGCGAATGTCTGGTGTATGACTCTTGCCAGGTGAAAAGCCTTTGTGGTGACTGAATCGGTATTGGAGCTCAGCAACGTGTTTGGAAACTATAAAAGGACTAAGAACGAGAACCTTTTTCCGCGACCGAATAGTGGAAGACTAGCTTAAAACTGATTTATTAGCGGTAACCATCAGTATACTTCATCTGCAACATGTTTAGAAGAAGTCTAGTGGCGCTTGCCCAAAGCACGGGGAAATCCATCCCGCCGGTGAAACTTGGCTACAAAAATATGCTGAAAGATCCTTCGGTTAAATACAAACCATTCACAGCAGTAAATCTACCCAATAGAGAATGGCCTGACAAGCGAATTACAAAAGCTCCACGCTGGCTCTCGACAGATCTTAGGGACGGTAACCAATCTCTGCCGGACCCCATGTCCGTCGAGCAAAAAAAGGAATATTTCCATAAGCTTGTGGAAGTGGGATTCAAAGAAATAGAAGTGTCATTTCCCTCGGCGTCGCAAACGGACTTTGACTTCACCCGGTACGCAGTCGAGAACGCTCCTGAAGATGTCAGCATCCAGTGTCTCGTGCAGTCGCGGGAGCATCTGATTAAGAGAACGGTAGAGGCTCTCTCGGGGGCCAATAAGGCAACCATCCACGTCTACTTGGCAACCAGTGACATGTTCCGTGACATAGTATTCAATATGTCGCAGGAAGAGGCTGTTGCCAAAGCCGTAGAGGCAACCAACCTGGTGAGAAAACTAACCAAGGACGACCCTGCCCAGGCTGCAACCGAGTGGACTTATCAGTTTTCGCCAGAAACTTTCAGCGACACTCCACCGGAGTTTGCACTGGAAATATGCGAAGCTGTCAAGGCCGCTTGGGAGCCCACAGCGGAAAATCCAATTATTTTCAACCTTCCTGCAACTGTCGAAGTGGCTAGCCCTAACAACTATGCCGACCAAATTGAGTTTTTTTGCAAGCACATAAGTGAGCGTGAAAAGGTGTGTGTCTCTACCCATGCCCACAACGACCGTGGCTGCGGTGTTGCTGCCTCTGAATTGGGGGTGATGGCTGGCGCCGACCGTGTCGAAGGCTGTCTATTTGGAAATGGTGAACGTACTGGTAACGTTGACCTTGTGACGGTTGCCCTGAACATGTACACACAGGGCGTGGACCCTGAATTGGACTTTTCGGATCTTAACTCGGTTGTGGAGATTGTCGAACGCTGTAACAAGATCCCAGTTTCTCCAAGAGCTCCTTACGGCGGTGACTTGGTGGTCTGTGCTTTCTCTGGTTCTCACCAAGACGCCATCAAAAAAGGTTTCGCTATCCAGGAAAAGAGACGTGCCAAGGGCGATCTAGAGTGGAAAATTCCATACCTGCCTCTCGATCCAAAGGACATTGGCAGGGACTACGAGGCTGTCATCAGAGTCAACTCCCAATCCGGTAAAGGTGGTGCCGCGTGGGTCATTTTGAGATCTCTTGGCCTAGATTTGCCTAGGAACTTGCAGATTGAATTTTCCACAGTCGTGCAAACCAGGGCTGACTCTCTAGGTAGAGAGCTAAAGGGGCAAGAAATTACCGATTTGTTCAAGGACACGTACAACTACAGCGGCAGCATCGGTAACATTAGCCTTGTGGACTACGAGGTCATCAAGATCGACAAGGAACGCAGAATTCTAAACGGTCAAGTGGAGATAAACGGGCAAATTTACGACATCCAGGGTTCGGGTAACGGTCCAATTTCGTCCCTGGTAGATGCCATGTCCAACCTCTTCAATCTCAGATTTAGTGTCTCCAACTACACCGAACACTCTTTGGGCTCTGGTTCTAATACCCAAGCTGCCTCTTTTATTCACCTCATGTACAGACGTGAGGTCGATAACGAAAACGCTTACAGGTGGGGTGTTGGTGTTTCTGAGGACGTTGGCGAAGCTTCTACTAAGGCCATCCTCTCTGTCATCAACAATATCGTTCAATCAGGCGATGTGACTTTGCCAGAACCAGCATCCAAAGCATCCTCTTCCGCATAAGCGACAGATAATCTTAATCAATAGGAAAATACTGAGTATTAATAAAAGTTTAACACATTTTAACGGTATTAGGATCACTTAGCCTCTCACTTCCAGCTGCACAGTGAGAGGATGGTGTGTAGAAATAACAAGCAGGGGCACTCCGTGCTCAGTGTTATCAATAACAAGAGAGGGCGCTCAGTCTAACATCTATATGTGATAGTTACATAACTGGAATAATCGAATAAAGATTTAATGCAGTGCATCATTTGAAGTTAACATTGAATAAATGACTACAATCCGTCTGATACACCTCTGGAAGCCCTCAAGAGGTACTCGATGTCGGTAGATCTGTTAGCTTGTGTATCACAAATATATTGTAGGTTGACGGTTGTTCCGTGTATAGTGCCCTCAATTTAACGTCGTTCTCGAATCGGTTTTCTCAGGCTGAAAAAAGTTGGTAAAGGGGTCTTCTACATCTGTCAAGCCATTCATATAATCAGTTGGATAGGCGGCCAGTTAGCTTTGCGACGCTCCTGAAAGTTTAGTCAATCAGAGCAAAATGCGAATTCTGGTTCAAAGAAGTGGTGAGAGAAAAGTCGCACTTGTCTCGGAAGCATATGCACTGATTTTCAAAGCGGTGGAAAATGAAGAGGATCGGACGAAACCGCTCTGCGCAATCGAATTGCTGCCTGCCTCAAAAATTAGCTCCTCATACCAGAAGATGACGTCGCACGAAGTTCATGGTTTTATAGGCTTAATTGAGCTGGATGGTCTAATCTTCATTTGCACCATCACAGGGAAAACGAAAGTTGCACAGCCGGTGCCCAAAGAGACTGTCAATAAGATCTTTGCAGTAGACTTCTTCTGTTTGAACGATGCTCGCTGGGACTTTGTTGAGCTTGACTCCAATGGCTTTCCAGTGACCTCCGAGGATGACTATAGAGCACCAACTGGCTCATATCCGGGTCCAGGAAGTGGCAGTAGTGGTGGAAGTAGCGGCGACCAGTCACCGATGGTACCCGGCCACCCTTGTCATGAGCTGCGTAAACTGCTATCCAACGGGTCTTTCTATTACAGCTCAACGTTCGATCTAACGTCCATTTTACAAAAGAGAGGCATGAGTGCTCATTCGCTGAGCTTCGACAATTATCAGGAAGAGTACATGTGGAATTCATTTCTGATGCAAGAGATTATCACCTTTCGAAATCATTTGGATGATACTGCGAAACGTGTGTTAGATGATGAAGGATTTTTGACCACGGTAATTCGGGGGTTCGCCGAAACCTTTATCACATATATTAAACAACTCAAGGTCTCGCTTACAGTAATCTCTAAACAAAGTTGGAAAAGAGCAGGGACGCGTTACAATGCTCGTGGTGTCGATGACGAAGGAAACGTTGCGAATTTTGTTGAGACCGAGCTGATTATGTATTCACGCGAGTACTGCTATGCATTTACTCAGATAAGAGGTAGCATACCTATTTTTTGGGAACAAGATACAGCTTTGATTAATCCCAAAGTACAGATTACCAGGTCTTTAGAGGCTACGCAACCGATTTTCGACGACCATTTTTCGCAACTGATCACCAAATATGGTCCTGTTCATGTGGTCAACTTACTCTCGACAAAATCCAGTGAGATCGAACTTTCTGCGCGTTACAAACAGCATGTTGCAAAGTCTAAAGACCACAAACTGAACAGAGATATTCTTTTCACGGAGTTTGATTTCCATAAAGAAACTTCTCAAGAGGGGTTTGCTGCCGCTGCAAAAATCAAACCACTCCTTACTCAAACGCTACTTGAGAGCGGATATTTTTCCTACGATGTACGAGAGCACAAAGTATTATCGGAACAGCATGGGATTTTTAGGACCAATTGTCTTGATTGTTTGGACAGGACTAATCTGATCCAACAATTTATATCTCGATACGCATTTGCATTATTTTTGAATGACTTCCACCTAATGTCGACCACGCAAGGCACGGCGTTCACAGATAGCGACCTATTCATTAAGCATAATACACTTTGGGCGGACCATGGCGACCAAGTTTCACAAATCTACACCGGGACGAACGCTCTCAAATCTTCGTTTTCACGTAAAGGTAAGATGTCATTCGCTGGTGTGTTGTCAGATGCCACCAAATCGGTCAGCCGAATGTACATCAATAATTTCATGGACAAAAACAAGCAGGTCAACATTGACACGTTGTTAGGGAGACTGTCAAATCAGAGAGCGGTCGCCTTGTTTGACCCTGTCAACGAATATATTTCAACAGAACTAAACAAAGCATCGTCCGAGTTTACCACGTCATCTACCATCAACATTTTTGTGGGGACTTACAATGTCAATGGTCTTACGCGGAAAGTGGACCTTTCGAAGTGGCTCTTCCCTATTGGAGATAAGTTCAGGCCTGATGTGGTTGTTTTAGGGATGCAAGAAATTATTGAATTGAGTGCAGGTTCCATCCTCAATGCTGACTACTCAAAGAGTTCTTTTTGGCAGAATATTGTCAACGAGTGCTTAAACAAATACAATGATCAATATTTGCTTTTAAGAGCTGAGCAAATGTCCTCCTTACTTATTTTGTTTTTTGTGAAGTCAGACAAGGTTAACAATGTGAAGGAAGTAGAGGGTGCCACCAAGAAAACCGGCTTAGGAGGTATGACGGGGAATAAAGGTGCTGTTTCGATCAGATTCACGTATGGCAGCACATCTTTTTGCTTTGTGAATGCTCACTTGGCGGCAGGTGTCAACAATGTCGACGAAAGACGTAACGACTATGATAGCATTACGAGAGGGATATGTTTCAGCCGATCGAGGCAAATTTCACATCACGACTCAATTGTTTGGCATGGGGATCTGAATTACAGAATCATGCTACCTAACGAGGAGGTGAGGCGAGAGCTGAACAAACCTCCAAGTGATGATTTTCCCGACAAACTACTCGTTTACGATCAACTCACTCAAGAGATAAATTCGGGAGTAATTTTCAAAGGTTTCAAAGAACCAACGGTGAAATTCCCTCCTACTTACAAGTACGACCACGGTACCAATAACTATGATACCTCAGAAAAAGCACGAACTCCATCATGGACTGACAGGATTGTTTACAGTGGCGATAATTTGAGACCGCTGGCGTATTCAGATGCCCAACTGATTGCTAGTGATCATAAGCCGGTTTACGCTGCTTATAGAGCGCAAGTTAACTTTGTGGACGAGGCTATCAAAAATGATTTGACTAAAAAGTTATACATGAAGTATAAGGAGGATCATCCGGACAGTTCCAATGAAGCCAGTATGGCTCTTGTTGATGTCGAGTACGAAGAAAACATTCGTCAAACCAGAACGACTGAGGGCGAAAGCAATGACTGGTCCACAATTAACTTGTTAGACCTCAACAAGGGCACAGCCCAGGTGAAATCACCTTCGCGGTCTCCATCACTTTCTTCCTCCTCAGAACTTTCGTCAATCCAGTCTGTTCCGCTGCAACCTGTGAGGAAAGATCCAGTTTCTTTTCCGTCAACCACCTCGTTGAACAGAGCTCGCGTTCCGCCGCCACCACCTCCAGCCCCCAGAGCCAACTCTCAACAGTCGGCACCCGGATCGCTTGCAGCTAGCGTGAGTAACAAAGACCTTCACAAACGTAGCCCAGAAGCTCAAAGTACCACTTCGATCGTTCCTCCGCCACCACCGTCCCGCAAAACGGCATTCCCACCCGGTTATAGCACCTCTATCCTTACACCAAAAAGCACGAGCGCTACAGGCTCGAGAGTGGCTTCCCCAACTCCAGCCCCTCAAGCTCTGCCTTCCTCCTCTAAGCAGACCAACGAAGAGAGCATCCAAAATCTGCAGAGTGTGTCATCAATCGATGATGCTGAACACAAAACTGCGAAGATTCCTCCTCCAAAACCAAGCAAAAAGCCAACGCTAGACAATGTTTCTATGGATTCGTGGAAGCCACTTACGCCAAAATGAGGGTGAGTTGGTGGCTGTGAAGCCAAACATGTAGTTTTTTTACGTATGAAAACACGCAGCAACGGTCAACTATTCAGCGCGCTTTTGGCTCTAAGTCTTCACGAAACCCGAAAGTTTCGTCTTTAGTATATCTATCTCGTCATCAACTTTTTGAAGTCCGATCTTTATGCGGTCAATCTCTTCGCTTTCTAGTTGCTTAGAAAAGACAATATCATCTGTTTTGTTAGATCGCAGGATGTATCCAGGTTTAGACATTAAAATCTTGAAGAAATCCTCGTTGGGCTCGTTAAATACAACCTCGTCGTAGTACGTCGCTTCAACCTGCGTACTTTCTAAATCACCTTCTGACTTGACACCATTGGCTGCAGATGAGTTATGGTACTTGTGCAATCTCAAATGGTGATAAAAACTGATAGGCTTTTCTCCGGCAACGTCACTAAAATGGATTTTGACGTTGATCTCGAACTCTCCCCATCCCGTCTCAGTTAGCTCGAATGGAGGAGCCTCCACAACCCTAGTTGGAGTTGGATAGGTTTCGTGTAGCTTGAATGTCACGCTTTTAATGATGTCGGAAAGATCCTCACCGTTGGGTCCTTTAACGAAAATAGTCCACATATGGCTATGTTCAACTGGAGCATTTGGTGGTTTTACATCGCCCATTTTCTTTGCAGTGTTCCCATAAAGAATAGGGCGCGCTACAGACAAAGTCTTGATCCTCTTAACTGGGAGCGGTCCCATGATTGAAGACGTGGCTGTTTAGATAGCTCCTTTAGGTTGTAGTTTGATTTGATGTTTTTATTGGTTATATATGTCACTTCAATAATTACATATCTAAAGTATCAAAACATCCTAGATATCCAAAAGCGCGGTTAAGCTGTCCAGATGGCTCTCAAAACCATATATATTGCAAGGGTATGGTAGTTGTAATTAAGTTGGATTTTCCGCTTATCTGGTGGCCCATTCCTGGTCAGACAATGATGACTAACTGGAAATCACACATTGCAATAGCACGGTTATCGTTCAAATTGGCTCCCAAAAGGTCCCTATCCTCCTCCTCCAACGGGTGTAAATAGCGACGTGCCTTTGGCCGAGCATGGAGTGAAACAGGCCAAGGAACTAGCTCACTACATCATGTCGATCGAGAATCAGCCGGAAATGCTATTCTCTTCGCCGTTCTACCGGTGCTTGGAAACGTGTGAGCCAATAGCGGATCTTCTCGAACTACCGATAAACGTTGAGCGTGGGATTGGTGAATGGTATAAGCCCGACCGAGCAATTATCCCGGAGCCTGCCTCGTTCGCTGTGTTGAACAATTTCTTTCCTAATAAGCTCAGTCCTGGATGGGATGCTACTGTGATTCCTAGCGATAAAGGTGAAACGGAGCAAGAGATCTTCAGCAGGTGCCGAGAGTTCTGGCCTAAGTTTTTGTCGAAGCTCGAGTCCAACTTTCCGAACGTGGAAACCATTATGTTGGTGACGCATGCGGCCACTAAAATCGCTCTGGGCATGAATCTCTTGGGATTTGATAACTGCCGTGATCCTATCGACGGGGACGGAACGACTTTGAGAAGTGGTAGTTGTTCTCTTGACAAATACGAACTAATTGTGAATGGAGACATTGCCCCCGAGCTGGAAAGCGTGCCACTTGCTGATAGAAGATGGAGACTTACAATGAACGGAAATACTGAATTTTTAGCTAAAGGCGAGGAAATGCATTGGGATTTCCAATATGGATTTGAAGCCGGGTCGGATGCCGACATCAAGGCAAGACGAGCTCTAGCTGAGGCCCAAGGGTCACAAGATAAACAGACACATGCCGATGCTGTGTCAGCACTGGAGTTAGCTAAGCCTTTGGTCGATACCGACGCTTACGAACATGTCTATTTCAGCGTTGACATCCCTAGCGATAGCGCAAAGACAAAGACCGAGGTAGAATCTGGAGCAACACTGCAGTATTCAGGACTAGATACCAACGCGCCACTGGTCAAAATTGGCGAAAAACTGTACGAAGGATCATGGCAAAAGCTTGTCGGAACCGAGCTGGTGTTTCCGGACGCTGCTGGTGTGGACGCGACAGGCATTGAACAAGGCGAAAGCGAATCCGAGGGACTCGACGATACTCCGGAACAGAAACCGATAGACGAAAGCAAGCCTCGAGCCGAGAAAATATATCGCATAACAGATAAACTTGTTTTGGAGCACGTACGTCCCATGTAGTTTATATAATAGCATGACGACACTCATTTTATTTTAGTGGCGGGTTGCAAAAGATAGGCGAAGAGGCGTAGCACAATTCTGATAAAACATCTTCTGTTTGCGGCTACGCATAAGAGAGCGTCGAGTTCAAAATGTTTAGATTGATCTATATAGGTTGCGCTTTATTTTGAACAAAAAAAGCCTTGCAATGTGTTCTATACGCCCGCAACACTCGCCAAGGGAACAAGATGTCACAAGTCGTTAAGCAAATAGAGGACAAGTTTGAAATAATCTTGGCATCATCATCGCCGAGGAGGTACGAGATTGTCACTGATGTCATGGGATTTGCTAATATCAAGTTGATGAAGCCTTCGTTCGAAGAGAACCTTGATAAAACGTTATATGAGGGAGATCCTGTCAGATACGTTCATGATACGAGTAGAGCCAAGGCCATTGGGATCGTCGACGATATAAAGCAATTGGAGATATCAGCCTCTGAAAAGCGCCCTAAATTGATTATTTGTGCAGACACTGTGGTCATCGACAGCGATAACAACATTCATGAAAAGCCCAAAGAATCACAGAAGCAACTGGCAAACCTGTTAAGTTTTCGGGACAGTGACGGCCCGGTCAAAGTTGCTACCAGCGTCACATTAATCATATGGCAAAACACCGAGGATTATTCGTTCGAACAGTTTGATGAGATATCCGAGGTCCATTTCGATCCTGATTTTCCTTTAGGGATTCTATACGACTATGTGGACTCTAGAGATGCCCTGGACGTAGCTGGTGGGTTCAAAGTGCAAAGCTTTGGAGGTGCGATGATCTCCCAGATAAATGGCGATTTCTTCAACATTGTTGGACTCCCATTAAACAAAACTTTCAAGGCCCTGTACAAGGCGGCATTCCCGCTGGAGGGCTGAGGACATCAGGAGCGAAGTGCTGTGAAGACAGCTTGATCGTTAAACACCGGGTAGGTGTCTGGGTGCTGGTGTGTGTGTCTGGGTCTTATAAGTTACGTATTCAGTGATTATATTCCAAGCGAAATAGTTCGTACGAAGTGTCTGTTTGCCAGTATGGAAAAATTTTAAGCTTAAGCTAGCTCTCAGCTCATCTCATCGCATCGCATAGGTTATCCTGTCACCTATAACTTCTCTTTGGCGCTACGAAACCAATCAGTTCATACTTGTCAGTGGTGTAACAATGGCCAGAAGTGCTAAAAACCAGGTTGCGGAAAAGAAGCGCGAAGCTGAGACTCCCTCAGAGGAACAACTGGAATTGAGCAATTCCAGCTCATCGGAGAGCGAACTAGATGGTCTTTCCGAGGAGGAGGACGAAGAAGAGCTGGAAGATGAGGATGTCGTGGGGCAGAAGGACAGCTCCTCCGTGCATACACTGAAGAAGCTAGATGCCAAGAAGACCGACTCGGCGAAATCATCCAAGAAAAATGCGAAGTCTACCAAAGCTGACAATCTGTCCGGTATCATTTACGTGAGCAGACTGCCCAAGGGCTTCCACGAACGCGAACTGGCAAAGTACTTTTCGCAGTTCGGCGACTTGCGCGAGGTCAGGCTCGCCCGCAACAAGAAGACTGGCAACAGCAGACACTACGGGTTTGTCGAGTTTGTAAATAAGGAAGATGCTCTTGTAGCCGAAGACACCATGCACAACTACCTGCTGATGGGCCACTTGCTACAAGTAGTGGCGCTGCCTAAGGGCAAAAAGATAGAAAAGCTGTATCGCTACAAACAGCGCGCGTTCCAACAAACTCCGGTGAAGAAAACAGCCCAAGAACTCAAACAAAACGCAATGGACAAGCACGCTCAAAGAGAGCAAAAACTGAGCGCCAAGGGTATCTCCTTCCAATGGTGAGGACATAGCCAAAACAACAAAAAAAAACCGAGAAGGTTCAGAACTACGACAACAAATGAACAAGTACACCATCGTCAGTGTTCGCTTGCGTTTTTTATTCGGCAGGCTTCGAAATTTGACTTTCCCTAGGCCCAGCATACACCCACCATATGTACATTAGCTATCATTTTAAAACATTATCAAGAGCATTGTTAAAACCATGGTCACAGCGCACACCCGCACTTATCGGCTCAGGTCTGACGGTTCACTCGTTCCTGATGTATCACTTTATCGATAATCTGTCACCATCAGTCGCCAACAAAAAAATTTCACAGCTTTCACGACAAGAGAGCCCACCAAAACACGTTCCTTTATAAGAAATCCTTGTTTTGACCCTGAGTTTTACTTAATCTTACACTGCTAGCCATTGGCTTTGATATAAGTTCGTAAGCGCTACCTTCAGTTTATTCCAACACTTTTTCGTTCCCAGTCATCAAAGATGGTCAAACTACTATCTTACAAGGAAATCTCAGAGCACAACTCGCAATCGGACCTATGGATGATTATCGATGGCAAGGTCTACGATTGTACCAAGTTCATGGACGAGCACCCAGGTGGTGAAGAAGTGTTGTTGGATCTGGGTGGACAGGATGCCACTGGTCCTTTTGCTGACATCGGCCACTCTGACGATGCCGTGAAAATGTTGGAAGACTTATACGTAGGTGACGTTGACAAGGACAGCGAACCCGTCAAGAGAGCTGAACCGGAACCAGCTTCGGCAACCACGGGCGGCGAAGGAAACGGTGTGCTTATCTTGGCTCTGCTAGCCGTGGCTGCTGCCATTTTCTACTATTTCATGAACCAGAAATGATTATCTGAGTGCGGATAGATTTTATATAAAGCCACCTGGCCGACAGCGGGTGTGCAATTGTAGAATAGCGAGTGCTTGAATCTGAAAGATTTTGGCTATATTTAAGTGTAATAGAGAACCCAAGTGTTTGGTGTTTCGCGTTTGGATCCCAATCGTGGATGTCACTTGATGTGGTGTGTTCATAATACATAAATATATGAAGATACAGATTTGGTGCGTTTCCCGGGAACGTACGTGAAAGGCTATAAATCGCACGGCAGGCCCGGTGGACTCTCAGGATGAACTTTCTATTCAAATCTATATCAGGTTTCCAATTCCCGTATTCGCTGGAGTCCGAACCATTGGCCTCCACGCCCATCTGGCAAGCTGTTAACGGACATCGAAAATCCGACTCTCTGCCAGTGACGGTGTTCAGTTTCGATAAACGCGCTGGAGATGGTGGTTTAGGCGACCTAGTGGCCAATGCTGTCTACAACTTCAAGGTATTGAAATTGCCCGGCATAGTGAAGGTTTTGGACGTGCTGGAGTCGAATCCCAGCACCAGCTATGTGGTTACGGAAAGAGTGCAACCGTTGGAGACGCAAAACTTAAGTCAACAGGCCCTGAATCTGGGTCTTTACCAGCTAACAGAGACCCTTGAGTGTCTTCATAACCAGGCGAAAGTCGTACTAGCAACGTTGTCTACGGGAACAGTTTTTGTTAACGAACGAGGCGAATGGCGTATATTCGGGCTAGAGTTGTGTTCAAAATTATCAGATCTAACTCATCTAAAACGCTGGGCAGGCACCTACAAGAATCTGGTATCAGGTACAAAACTCGATATTCCCGCGCTCACTACCTCCAATGCAGATTCTATGCTGCTGGCAAGGTTTGTATCCTCGGTTTATTCGCATCGTCCTGCCCAATGGAACCCTTTGCTATCAAGCCTCGAGCAGGGTAGGCTGACCCTTGCGCAGTTCATTGCGAGAGCTAAAGAAACCCGGCCCTTCCAGTCGACCCTCGTTTATGTCTACTTAGACCTAAAGGAGTTTCACATCAAAGATCCACAAGGCAAAATTGTTGCAATGATGGACCTACAGCGCAAAATAATGGAGGACCCTAAAGCATTGAGGGGTTGTACACCTGGATTTGTGGAGCACTACCTGATACCGGAAGTGGCGCAATGTATAGCGGCTGTCTTGGATGTTCAAGCTCAGCAGCCAATGGCCACAAACACCACCAGTGTTTTATCGTTTGTGGCACTACTTTTGGAGCTTACTTGCTCTGAAGATCCAATTACCGATTCAAAGCCAGTATTTGACAAATATGTCAAGCCACTGATCTTCGACAATTTCAAGCAGCCCGATAGACAGGTGAGATTCCTGCTTCTAGTGTACTTTGCCAAATATATCTCCAAGCTCTCTAACTCCGAGATTTCAGACCGCATTTTCCCACATTTTGTACAAGGATTGGCGGATAACGATGAAACTATGAGAATACAGACATTGAAGCGGATCCCAGATATCGTGCCAATGATAAACGAGCGTCAACTCAACAACGATCTCCTGCGGCACCTTGCCAAGACCCAGGTTGATGCTAACGTGGAGATTAGAGTGTGGACTATATTGACCATATCGGGTCTTTCTAAGAAGCTCTCTGCATCTAACAATAGGTCCGGTATATTAGCGACGGCCTTTACCAAATCGCTAAAAGACCCACAAATTAAACCCAGACTTGCCGCCCTGTATGGACTCGAAACATCACTCGAGCTATTCGACGTCGAAACTATAGCCAACAAGATTTTAACAGTGATTGCTCCTAGTCTGCTTGATAAAAACCAACAGGTGAGAAGCAAGGCAAAAACGCTTTTTCGCGTTTACTTGTCAAAATTAGAGCTTGAAGCTGAAGAGATTCCTACAGATAACAGTGAGGAAATTGCTGTAAATTTTGGGGCGAGTTTTATTCAGGACGACGCCAACGTCGTCGATAAGTTTATGGAAACTCTCAGATTTTCTAGCCCACCTGTTATGGAACAGCATAACGGCGACACGATTTCTAAAGCACAAAGCGACGCTGGCTGGGCCTCAGAAGAGGCTACATGGCAGGGGACGGGAGTCTGGGAAGATTCGAAAACAGATGATACATTTGGGAAGGCGGAAACGCCAGCTAATGTGAGAGTGTCTTCTAAAGGCAAGCCTCCAGGTGCTTCTTTTTCAGGTAACGTGAGAATTCAGAAGTCGTGGAATGATGAGTTGGAGGAGGATGATTGGGACTCATGGAACAATGCTACCGATTTACAAACGCAAACAAAGGCCCCTAAAAAAAACCAAAGCTTGAATTCCAAACATGTTCCGAATAACGAATCTCTCATGGCCAAAGAAGAGGATCTTTATGACCACTTTGAGGATGATGCCGCCGAGGATGGATGGGGCGATGAGTGGTAAGTGTAGACGATTTTATCATTGGTTAATAATTTAGACTGAAGCTATTATAATGTACATACTATTTCGGTTTAGCCACTACGGTGATATGTCTATCTAATAATTGATGTTTCTGTTGCCGCCTCTTGAGCCCCATCCAGAGTCTCTTGGCTTGAAACCACCACCACCACGACCGCCGTAGCCGCCACGTCCACCAAAGCCACCACGACCACGGCCACGTCCACCAAATCCACCGCGTCCGTACCTAGGGTGGCCACCGTATTGTTTTCTGTCAAATCTACTCAATTCAGGAGATATTTCTTGCTTGGCTTCTCTCATAATACTGATCAATTGAGCACCCATACCTTTGTTAGCGTCGGTAAAGAACGAAATCGCAGTACCACTGGCACCAGCTCTACCCGTTCTACCAATTCTGTGCACATAGTCCTCGATGTTACCTGGCATATCGTAGTTGATAACATGGTTGATACCCTTAACATCTGGAAAAATAATGTTAGTATAAGAAACGTTGAGAATAAGTTCACTACGGGCTCTCAAAACAAACAGCAATCACAGGAAGAAAATAATGATGAGAAAAACGTTCGATTAAAAATCTAAGCAGTCTCTCAATCTAATCCTGGAAGTCTCTACCAAACGTGTGGTTCTGACCGCCAGAAGAAGAGAGGATTCCATACGACTAACAAATACTACACACAAAAGTCAAAGACAATGCGGGTGCTTCTTGTCAAAGAAGCGACACCGGCAGCCAAAACAAAGTACAAAGAATAACGCGTGAGAGAATCAATATTCGTCCTTGATATCATAAACTTCAACGAAACTACAATTTTCAAAGTAGCATCTCCATAATCACACGCAACCCTCCATTCATAGAGTTCATATTCAAATGAACTGTAAGCTGCCTATCCGTTCATGCTAAGTAAGGTGCAGCAAGCACATAAGATAGCAATATTAAGATCATCTTTAAACCAAAGTGTAGTCGAAGCCATCATATTTTGAATCCTTCCGATGTAACATTCTACCAGCAGAATGTCGACGTGTGTCGAAGGGTAAAAGACAAGTCCATTACCACTTGACTTCATAATTTTATCCTGTTCCTGTAGCCATTTGTTAGATGTAGCCCTCTGTAAGTTCGAGCCACTGGCATATGTACCAGCCATATGCCAGTGGCTCGATTCACAGAGGAGCCAGTAAAAGAAAAAAAAAAAAACAAAAAATTCACATACCAATACCTCTCGCCGCAACATCTGTCGCCACCATGATTGGCGATCTCCCGGTTCTGAACTCTTGTAGAACCCAGTCACGTTCATTCTGAGCTTTGTCACCGTGGATAGCTAGAGCTGGCCATCCGTCTTCTCTCAAGTACCTAGTAATTTCATCACAAGTTCTCTTGGTTGAAGCAAAAATTAGAATCTTAGAGTCCTTATCTTCAGAGGCTATCTCCAAGTACTTCATCAAACGGTCTCTCTTCTCCATTTCGGACACGACTTCCACAATTTGTTTGATGTTGTGAGAAGCAGCCAATTCCAAAGAACCAACGTTGACCTGAATTGGGTCGTTCAAATAGTCGCGAGCCAATTGTTGAACTTCCTTGGGCCAAGTAGCAGACCACATCAAAGTTTGTCTGTCAGGTCTGATTTGGTCCACAATTTTTCTGATCTGAGGTTCGAAACCCATATCCAACATTCTGTCGGCTTCGTCGAGAACCAAGTAAGTTACTCTCTTCAAATTGGTCTTGCCAATTTCCAACATATCGATCAGTCTGCCCGGGGTTGCAATGACGATCTCAGCACCTCTCGTGAGGTCTCTGATTTGCTGGCCCTTTGGAACACCACCGTAAACGCAGGTGTTTCTAATTCTCGAGGACTTGCCAAACTTAGAACACTCCTTTTGAATTTGCACGGCCAACTCTCTGGTTGGGGACAGTACAAGCACAATTGGACCGTCACCTGGAGATAGTAGTGGTTGAGCGTTAATGTGCACGATACCTGGCAAACAGTAAGACAAAGTCTTACCAGAACCAGTAGCAGCAACACCAACCATATCTCTACCCGATAGAGCCATGGGCCACCCTTGACACTGGATACCAGTGGGCTTCTCGAAGCCTTCAGCCTTAACCTCAGTTAAAACGTAATCTGGGAAGCTAGCCTCATCGAAAGAGGTGATGGGCTTGGGAATATCCTTACCGTAAATAGTCATCTCGTTCTCCTTTCTGAAAGCAGCTATTTCTGCGTCAGAGCGATCACGAACCGTTTCGTGTTCCACGTAGAAGTTCTTCTCGAACTTTGGCAAGTTTGGAAGCTCCTCGTCCCAGTTAGGAGCAACAAGCTCTTGGGGTTCGGTGTAGCCACGAGAGTAACCACCACGGCCGCCACCGTTGGAATAACCACCTTCTCTGTTATAAGAGTTTCTGTCAGATGATCTGCCACCACGGAAATCGCCACCGCGAGATCCGTAGTTGTCTCTGTTGAATTGTTGATCTCTAGCACCGTAAGTCATTGTTTGTACTTATTGCTTATTGTAACAGGGTTTTAGTGAGGATGAACCAAGACAATGTCAAGGATCTAAGCAGCGATGCCCTCCTCCTTTATATACGTCGAAAATCGATACTAAAATTTTCCATAAAAAGAAACTCTTTTAGAGGCAGATGACTGTCAGTAAAAGACAAAGTGATGACATCGAAGAGGACGAATGCAGCGAGAATGGGGTAGCAGCAAGAGCGCACGACCAAGGTCTTGATTTGATAGCGACGCCATCAACTACGTTTATGTGTTAGTCTGTACTCCTACTAAACGTCAAGAGAGTTATAAGAAGTGGGCTCGGCCCTCGACCCTGTGGTAGCATTTGCCACAAATTGAACCGAAGCTCAGAACCAGAGTCGTCACAAAGCCCTCAGCAGTTTCTTTCACCTCGCTTGTTAGATATATTGTTTACGGATTGCTCTCCTCGCTTTCTTCAACGCTCTTCATATTGTAAGTACTTTCCCGTTGAAGATTCATTTGTCTATTTTACTGTGTGGGGCCAGCTTATGTAGCCCATTCATATGCTATTATCATGACCGTATTGGTGTTAAATACTATACATCAAGCCTGCCATTTGACCTTACATTTCACGAATTCGCTGAGTGAACTTGTCCTCGACAGCGTCACATAGGTCCATGAGATCTTGCAACCCTTTGTGCAAAACCTCCACCGCTGTAGAGTCGCCATACGTTTGTATTCTGATATTTAGTAGATTTTCACTAGGATGAGGTATCGAGTACCCACAAAATTCGACGTCTGGGTTTTTCATAATGATGTAACGCAGAGCATTGCCCAATGTGTGGTCTTCCTCTGCGATTTGAAATGAGGCACATTTCCCGTCTTCCGAAGTAGCACTAGAGAGTAGTCTTATCTTTTCTTTGTCAGCTTCTTCCTCTTCTTCATCTTGGCTGATGGCTTCAGCCATCATATCGACGTCCTCAGCTTCAGTTTGAGCTGGGTTTTGGCCATTTTCTAGTTGCTCAGTAGCTCCATTCGTAGCAATGTTTTTGACGTCTTCGTCAGCCATCTTGACAGCTGTGTTTATGGGACTCGAAAGGTTGACGTTTCGAAGCGATGAGCTTTGATTTTACAACTTTGAACTTTGAACTTCAACTAAAATTTTTCGTAATGAAAGAGCGAAGCTCCAGATAACCGAAGTGACAAAAGCACTCAAGATCTATTTACAATGCCTCCTCTAAAGGAACAGCACGTATACCGTAGCGTGGATTCACTGGTAGATCAGCAGTAAGAAAGGATGCGTAAGATAACTGATAATTGGAGCCAAATAAAGAGGTCCCTTTTAAGGTGTAATAGGAGTTATTATTACCACAGCGACGTAACCGCACCTTGTAGTAGCCGAGAATTTTGTTTCTAACGTTGTAAATGTATTTCTATTTTACAGGAATATGCTATGTACTGGATCATCCTAGTGCGGCCATCTAGAGAAGAGTTTCACCCAGAGCACATCTGGCAATGGCACAGCCGGCTGAGATGGTGTCTGAGATGTGCAAATCGTGGGCTCCCAAAGCAGGGTTGCATTCCACCAGGTCAAGGGCAATGAGTCTGCCAGTTTCAGCGATTCTTTCAGCCAAAAACAAACTTTCTCTTAGAGTGAGTCCACCTCTAACTGGAGTACCCGTAGCTGGAATGTATAGCGGGTCGACGGCATCAACATCGTAGGATAAGTGAATAGGGCTCTTACCATCGGGGTTGATACTCTGAAGAGCCATTTCGATGACGCCGTTGAGGCCGTAGCGGTCCACGTGGTACATAGAGTACGCCTTGATGTTGTGTTCTTTGAGAATTTTCTTTTCTCCCTCATCCACGTCTCTTAGACCAATGTAAGCAATCTTGTTGGGCTTCAGGCACTTTGGGACCCATTTGAGGGCTGGAGGGGTGTTTTCCGGGTCAAGACCCATCAAGAACGAGACGGGGCATCCGTGCAAGTTTCCTGAGTCTGTGGAAGATGGGGTGTTGATGTCTGCATGGGCGTCGATCCACAATAGACAGGCATCTGGATGCTCGCTGAAAACACCTGCCACTGAGCCCATAGCGATCGAGTGGTCGCCTCCCAGCGTAACTGGCAACCCACCATTCTTCACCACCTTTTTGACCGAGTGGTAGATCTTCTCTGTAGCTTCACCGACCAATTGAGGTCTCTTGACTTTCTGGTAGACATCCGACTTGTCAGTTTCGTTACGTTTTTCGTAGTCTTCACCGGCCAACGGCTCTTCGATGGCAACGTCCCAACCCAATTCCTGTAGTTGTTCGGGCAAGCCGTGTTTCAACAAGTACTTAGGGCCGTCTTCAACGCCCGACCTGCCTTGGCCACCAGAAAAGGGGGCCAACACCAAGCTGGCCTTCTTGCTGGCGAAAAAATCGTAATGTGGTCCTGGAAGCATAATCAAATGTGTGTTGTTAGGTGTTCGAAAGTGGTATGACTGTTTCGAGTCGTAGCTATTGTGTTGTAAAGGTCATAACTGTAACAGGCTTTCCAGACATGGATCAACGTACTTCTTTATATACGTTTTTCGGTTCTCCGTCACTTGCACTTGCGGGAACTTTCATTATCCGTTGTTGATAAGTCACCACTTATCTCGATCAAAGTATAAAAGGCTTTTCTGTCACCAAAATACCTTAAGTGAAGGAAATAGCGAAATTAGTGGAAAAGCCAGGAAACAAGCACCAATTGAATGATATGAGTGCAGCGAATGATCTCGAACAGAACGGAACTGCCCGGACAACTGGAGCTGCGATTCCAGATTTTGTTCAGTATAGGCAACTTCATCGCAAACAACTGTGAGAAGGGTGTACACGTTGATCTTTCCACTAGTTGACATTCAATAATGGCAAAATCACTTTGGCTTTCCAATAGCCGTTCGAGATACACTCGAGTTCAGTTTTTATCATTCATTATCCTAGCCCTTACAGAACTCCGGCCGCTCAAATTAATATACGACTTAGGCCGAGAACACACCTCGTCAAAATAGGATTATCCCTATCTTTCACCTTCCATGCATGAAATTCAATGTGCCACTCAAGTTGCTTTTTGGAGGGCCGTTGAGACCGAAAGCGTCACCAGGAGTGGTAACTCAATCATTACCCACTAAAAATGTCCACGGACAACAGGAACACTAGTGAAGTGAAATTAATCAGAGGCTTTCGAATAACTCCACATAGCCATGACGCATTGATAAGATAGCATAATTCGGTCCACACTTGCTTCACGCAGGGTGACACGAGCTACGTGCGTCAGTTGATGTGCCTCAATATTGAGTGATACCGAGAAAATCAGACAGAAGGAGGCCAGGGCATCAGGACGTGCAGTGAGAAATAATATAGAAAGGAAGTGAGTAAGATTAGGCTGGATAGTTAGACGACTAACTATACCGTTGGCTAGGATATACTTCAAGCCTATGGCTAAAGTTATGGTACCCAGTCACGCGACGACGGGGAGCTACGTCGGTGCTCAGTAAGCCGAGACCAAACCTTATAAGTGTCTATCTTGTATAGCGCCGTGGCGCAGTGGAAGCGCGCAGGGCTCATAACCCTGATGTCCTCGGATCGAAACCGAGCGGCGCTATTTTTTTTGGCTGAGATCACCTGTAGTGCAAGGTGATTAAGATAATTGTTTGGATGAATCCAGTAGTGTTAAGCCATCACTTCGGCAGCGCCATATTACCTGATGTCTACTACCAATGCGATCCGCGTAGCGGCTCGCGTCCAACCTGCTAAGCACGCTATCATCTTCCTACACGGACTGGGTGACACAGGATCGGGCTGGTCTTTTTTGGCAGAATATTTACAAAGAGACCCCGCCTTTAAATACTCAAACTTTGTGTTCCCGAATGCTCCTGTGATGCCAATTACGGCTAATGGGAACTACCCAATGCCTGCGTGGTTTGACATTAGAGAATGGTCCGAAATTCAGTCGAATCCCGACGTGGAAGGATTCATCAAAACTATGGATCTGGTTCGCACCCTCGTGGACGAGCAAATCCGCAGTGGCATTCCATCCGAGAACATAGTTGTTGGCGGCTTTTCACAAGGTGCTGCATTGGCTCTAGCCAGCGCTGTTTCTCTTCCAACTAAGATTGGCGGATTTGTAGCTCTCTCCGGCTTCGGCTACGTCAACGACAAACTTCTCGAGATTAAAAACGCGGTGAATCAGAAGACACCTATATTCCATGGCCACGGAGACGAAGACCCCATTGTGTCGCTGCGAATGGGACGTCTTGCCAGAACTTTCTTCCGCGACTCTTGCGAGCTCTCTAATTATACGATGAAGGAATACAAGGGCATGGCTCATTCAACATGCCCAGAGGAAATACAGGACCTTGTAGCTTTCCTTCACAATGCAATGAAGGTGTAGACAATGAGCTGCGTTGTTGAAATTGCAAAAAGTTTGTCATCAAGAATGATTCATTATCTCCTGGCATTTAAGATAAATAGACTGAATACGGTACGTGAATAAGAAATAGCCACCCAGCCACCCAGCACTTTACAGCTGACACTCAAACTGGCTAAAGGTGTTTTGTGTCCCGTTATCGTCTTCCTCGGCAGTTAGGTTCATTCTCACTATTGACGTTTGCAGGTACATGTCCGTGCTGTACTCACTCTCCTAGTCGATCTCCAGTCCTCACCGCCTACCTGACATCATTTAAACAAACAGCTTGTAAGTTCGAGGTTCTCAAAAGTAATTCCTTCAGGGTTGATCATGGATACATCTCTTTACACAGGCTTTTACACCTCTCAGAGACTAGTTGACGAATTTAACATGCTACAGGACAATGCGCCAATTGCGCTTCACGCGAAGGGCACCATCAACTCCAATACAGGATACGAGGCTTCAGATGACGAAAATACCAGAGACGCCAGCGTAATAGACGACAATGGGGTTCTGGAAAAGCCAGTAAGCGAAGAACTCTCAACGTCTACTGATGCTCACGAGGCACTGCGAAGTACAGTCGTCAAAAATATCGACATACTGCATCATATATTTGGCACTTTGGGTGGGAAGGATCGCTTGGCAAAGATTTTGAAGTACGTTCTGGACTTGCTCAAACTATTTGTAGGCCATGGCCGTGCCAAGATTACCAAGTGGGATCCACAAGTTTTGCAGTACTATTCCAAAGTACTTGCGCAGCTGAACTTACGTTTAATCCTGAAACACCCAATCACCATTTTGAAGATAATAACGGTTGCAGGCCTTCGCAATTTCGAGGCAAGGGCCTCCTTGATTAGCACGAATTTGAGTCTGTTTCGTCAGATTATGAGGTTTGGTGGCACCCCTTTCCGTTTGGTCAGTCTATGTCAAAAGATTGGTATCACGATGCAGAAAATTACAGCGGGCAAGCAGACCAGCATAAATATTGTGGGTTCTCAGTCTTCGAATGGTCATTCTCTCTCAGTAATCAACAAGCTGTGGCTCAACGAAGGATCACTTGCGGATTTTATTGACCTCTACTACGGAATCATGGATGAATTGATGCTCCTACATAAGTTCAAAGTCTGGCATCACGAAGGCACTTACCAGTGGGTGGCCAAACACGAATGTCTCTCTTGGTACTATGATATAATCCTTGGGCTGAAAAAGAATTGGGTATCGTTACAGGACTTGAACAAGGCTCAGCTGGAGCTTGAAATACAAATTCAGGTAAAGAAGCGTGCCCTGGAATTGTCATCAAGGCTACATGGAAAAGCTGCCTCTCCTATAAAGCAGCAGTTACTACAAGACTTACATAACGGGAGCAGCAACAGTTCACATACTCTAGATCGCATCCGAGAAATTGAACAGCAACGCAAGACTGTTATTCTCGATTTAATAAGGCTACTGTTTGATTTCGCGGCAGACACGACAGATGTTTTTCATCTGAAGACACCGCCGGGCACATACGCCGTTCTGTCTTTAGCATCTGGTCTCACTGGATTTGTAAAATTATGGAGAAACGCTAAATCGGAACTTACCAATCGAGTCTAGTCATTCAATAAATCTGAAGACAGTTTGGCTGTCAATAATTAATAATTCTCAGTTGATTAAGTTGCACGTCTACATTTGTGACGGGCCTTAAAGTGTAACAAATAGACCTAAATAAATAAATTTGAGGAACAAAACATGCAGTCCTAAAACATTCTTGCGAACGTATAATATTCCACCTCTAATTGCAGGGAAGAAATTTAGTAAGACTCTTAGTCTTAAGCAAGAGTGCAATGTTCTAAACTCTCGATTATTTAATTACTGTACTGGTGTAGGTTTCCTCAATTATGATATTTGTGGGGTTTTTATTTTACACACGTTGTTGCCAATCGACTCAGTCGCGCGACAAATCACCATTCAGTTTCGCCCTGAGCTTTTTGAAATGCATAGTCCTTGTGGTTTATGGTGGCTAGTCCATCCTTTAAGTTACACTTCCACTTATTCTTCACCCGAAGTACTTTTTCGTACAAACATAGTACTATATTATCGTCCTGACCCTCCTCATCACCCGAAGAGTTCAAATAATCATCTTCAGAGTCGTCCAGGTCTGAATTGATCTCGTCTGTCTCCAGAAGCGCACTTTTGCGAGCCTGTTTTGCTTGCAACTTCAGCTGCTCGGCAATTTGACCGTCTGGATCCTCCATGGTGAGCTCGATCTCCTCTTTCGGTTGGTCATCGTGTTTTGTCTGTGTCATTAGTGAATGACCTTGCTGCTGTTGCTGTTGATGCTGCGGGATAAATCCAGTTGCTTTTTCGTCGCTCGGTGAAGACATGCTGGGCATAGCAATACCTGGGGTATCTGTCAAATTAGGGGCTATATGGGCGTTGTGCAGCTCAGCATTTAATCCGTGTTCATCCTCAGGATCCCACATAAACTTCGCTACGCGACTATCCGACAGCTTTGTCTGCCATACCAATCTCAAATCTTGCAGCGTCTGTTCGTCGATACCGGCGCTTTCAAAGTCTTCTCTTACCTCATTGATGACATTTTCCACAATGCTTTCATATGCTCTCGCTCCTTCCAAGTTCGACATGGTCCTTCAAAGCGCTCAGATTCCAATTTTCGGCCGTTTTGTTTCCCTCTTCTGACTATATAAATGGATAAAACTTTATAAGACAGCCATATTTTTCCCACTTATTCATCACTTATTTTAACGAAAACGTCAACATGGAAGAGTAAGAACAACAGTACTGGCTACTTTCGTACAATATACGTGTGTATTTTGAAACTCTATATGTAACGTAGGATTATAGCCAACTTTTGAGACTGAAGAGCTGTCTTGAAGAGAGTCAATATATTGGTGGAAAATTCTTGCGAAAGATAGAGGATAGTAACCGTAACACAGCTTGATATTTCGCGTAGGTAAAGTGCCGGTGTTCAAGTTGGCCGAATGCAGAGGATCCTTTTGTTTCTTTTCAGATAGAGAGTGGTTTGACGGCCACCATCGCTAAGAGGTGCCTGATAAGTAACTTCAAATCATGTCAATACTTCGATGCAGGACAGTAGTTGCGAGAGAAGATACTGATGGAGTAAGAGAACAGTAACTTGATGAGCTATGCAGCATGTTAAGGACCATCCATCAACCCACTTGAAATAGTATCACCCTTTTGCACATACTGATTGATCGCCCCATCAGCCTTAACACACCCACTTACTTCTAATTATGCTGTTGTATCTTAGAACAACTACAAAAGATGGAACAGACGTAATTTCAAGCTAAGAATATTTAATGGAGCCTTAACCATATAGTTATTGTGGTGCAGAGCTCCTACTATTAAGAGGTAATGGTATATTTAAACTTGCCAATAAAGAGGGAAGGGGAATAATGATGCTTTTATCTCCAATTGCTGCGGCAGTAGAATGCTCACTTTTGAGTTGTGGCAATCTTTGGCGCATTTTGAGTTGGATCGCGTCTGCTTCTCTTCGATTATTTGATTCCGGAGACCACGAAGTTAATTAATGATTCAACCACATCTACGCGTCTCAATCAAAAACAAAACTGTTCAAGAAAGGTTCGTGAGTAATGGACAAACACCAGGGCGGTAGCTTCAGTACGCCATTAAGGAAACAACAACCTGAGTATTCACGGAAAACAGGTTCTTTTTCTTTGTCCAAAAACATCCCCCAGAGTTCACAGCAGACCTTCGAACTCCACGCCCATCACAACGGCAATCAACGCGAAAGCTTTAATAAAGAGAATGCGAACTCAGAATTTGATTGCAAAGATCAAGTTTCAAACGATTCTCGGCGGAAAAGAGCGCGCGTTGGGAGCCCGGAGCCACCAGCGAATGCAGAAATGAACTCATCACCCGCCGTGATTGAGATGATAGACCGTCACTCACAAGGTTCAGATCTGAACCCTTCTGAGGAATCTATGAACGAAATACGGGATGAGATATCGGCATCGCTGAACGGGGCCGCAAGGGATATCTTACACAGTGAAACCTCCGTCCATGAAAATGGCAACCAAACATCAGTCCTCCGTAATCTACTGTCACCGGCCAAGCGAATTTCCCCGGAAAAGAGCCAATTTTCCCCAAGAGGCTCAGGTAATCCTGAGATGTCCAACTTGGATAGTTTAACTCCACTTAAAAGCTACTTCCATGGCTCTGAACAGGGCATAACCCAGGCATTACAAAGTCGCTTTCGTCGAGAGCTTAAGAAGTACGAGCATCATTTACGCGCTAAAGATGAACAGACTGATGAATACAGGCGCCAAGTTTTAACCTGTTACGAGAAGATCAAAAGCTTAGGTGAAAATCTCGACGAGCAACGACTTGCATTTTCTGCCCTTTGGGCAGATCATGAAGTATTGAAAGCGTCAAATTCTGCTCGAGAGCCCATATGGGAACGGCAAGCGCTTGAATTAGAGAGCGTGTCTGCTGACAGAACAAAATTGGAAGAAAAAATATCCAAACTCAAAGTGAAGCTTTCTGAGGTCCGCAATGAGATCAACATGTTGAACCAGAACTCCCAAATATTACAAGAAAAATTCCATATACAAATCAATGACAATGAAGCGTTAAAGAAGCAGCTTGCCACACGAGCGAGCATGGAACAGAAATTAGAATCCAATTTAGAACGCCTCAAGCAGGATAAAGACCAGCTAAGTCGCGAGAAAGACCGGCTCGAGATTGAAGTCATAAATTGTAAGAACATTATCTCCAGTAGTGAATCAGAGAGTCGAGCTCAGGCGGATAGGATAGCTAGGCTGGAATCTCAGCTCGCTGAAAGAGATGACGTTTGCAAGGAATTGCAGGAGACAATCAATTCCTTCGAAGATATCAAAAAGCAGTCTACGACTGATCTTGAAAACCGTGTTTCGGGGTTACTTGCCAACATCAAGCAACTTAAGGGTCAACTGGCCGCTACCGATGCTCTTAAGACGACTATCGACGAATCTAATGCCAAATTGAAAACTTCAGAAATGAGCTTAGCTGCGGCACACAAGAGGATAGAGGGGCTACAAGAACAGCACGCGGAAGTGGAAAGGTATGCCTCAACTTTGGAGAGCCAGCTCAAGGAGAGCGCATCGACCCTGGAGACTATTAACGATCAAATGGCTATTAAGTCCGCTGAGGTGGAGGAGCTGGGCCACGATGTGGAAGAATTACGACAAAACAAGGCTCACTTAGAGGAATTTGTCAAGGTACGTGATACTGCTGTAGAAAATTGGAAAACAAAATACGACAGTAAATGCGTTGAGAATAACAAACTTTCAATAGAGGTCGAGAGTATCCAATTCAGAAATGGGAACCTCGAATCCGAACACTTGGTGGAACTCGAACATCTGCACCAGCAAATGACTTCACTTCAAGACACGCTTCGATCAAACTCGGAGCAGATCAAAAAGTTGGAAGTTGACAACCAAGGCCTGCGAGACGCTGCAGCCAAAGCTATGTCACAGGAGAATAAATCAGACTTGGCCGCAACTCACGACTTGGAGGCCCAAGTTTCTAGTCTGAGACAACACATTCGCGAGAAAGAGGCCGACGCAAGCAAGAGGCTACAACTGCTAGCTGAAGATCTCTACATACAGTACTCCTCCAAGCACGAGCAAAAAGTTAAGATGCTGAAGAAAGGATATGAGGCCAAATACAAAGATAAAATTGAAAAGTTAGACCTTGAGAAAACAGGTTTGCAAGATGAGTTAGATCAATTGAATAAATCGCTGCAAGCTGAACGCGAAGAAAAACATCTTCTGGTTAAGCGGTTGTATAAATAGTTGTAACTTGGGCTGTATATTTATTCATTCACCTTTCTCACGTGCCAAGCTTTCGCGTCACTATAATCAAGTGTATCAGTAGAAATCGCCATTTATCAACTTAGAATCTCACAAGACTTACAGCGAACATTAGCGGAGAAGGTTGTCCATAATAGTTGGCCCAAGGACCTCATCAACTGATTTAAAGTTGGGACGACACTAAGTACTGTCCTTAAGTTGTTGGTGTCCCTGTTCTGGTTTGGCCTTCGTCAACTACCGTCGAAACTCCAACGTTGATTGCTTTTCAATACGCAAAGACCTCCGTATAAGAATGCTAGAACCTGAAGAATCTAGCATCTCGGCAAGATCAGAGGGAGGTGCAACAACCTTATCTGGAACCATGCAGCTTTTATCACAATACAATGATCATACCCAGGAAAGAGACAAGAGCTTAGAGCAAGTAGAAGATCGGGAACAACATGCAGGGCAGGCGGATTACGACGATCTTTTCAAAGAAAATGTCAAGTTGAAACTTCAGTTAGAAGAGTATGAAACGGAAATCATTAGCCTGAGGAAATTCATCGAAGTCTTGAAGAATAATCGAGGACTCTCTCCCGACTCAATTGAACAAAAGCTTCTTGTTGACGAGCCACCCAAAGAGCCCACACTCCCGCCTCGATCAGCGGAAAGGAAGCGGAACACGAAAGGTCTTTCGCTAAATGCACCAAGTGAGTTACATGGGTCAGACTTGAAGACCCGCCATCTTCTCTCCCCCGCCGATCCTGTTCCGCGCGGGAAGTCTTCAATTAAGTCAAATCCTACAGTGCTTCCGAAACCGCAAGATAATGACCCTCTTCTCTCGCCCCGAGAGCTTGATCGCATCCGCAGATCCAGTTCGTCATATTCGAATATGATAGCGGCCAGTCCTGCTACTTCCATGGCCTATACAACCTCCAGAATCTCGCCATCCAAGAGTAATAAGCAGGGTGCTAAAGATGATGAGCAGACTACTCTCGCTTCAGAGAGGAGCTCTCTCAGCAGGCAAGAGTCAAAAATTGGTGGCACACCGATACGGGATACTGTAAGCTCACCCTTACGACAGACATTTGGGGGGAACATGCAGCAAGCACTTGGAGATAATCCTGCAAGTAAGTCGTATCCAAAGAGTCCTGTTCCCAACCTGCTCGCTAACGAAAGGGGAAACCTTGATTTCTCTCCGTCATCCAAACAAAATTTGAACAACTTTGCTGAGATGTTGGAATCGAGCTTCGAGAACCAAAATTCTGCTGCTGTGGATAATGGGCCTTCAACCAGACGAAGCGCTTCTCCATTCTTGGGTTCTCCCGTTACCTTAAAGAAGCCTATGAAATCGCCACTGTTAAGCCCAAATGCACAAACTCGAATGAAGTCATTACAGTTTTCTGCAGACGAGCGACCTCCCACAAATCTCACGTCACAAACCTTGCTTTTTCCTGATCAATTTTCCCCAAGATCTTTTAGCAACCGGAGTTTTCCTACAGCACCAAATCCAAGCGGTGCATTCACCGCTCAGATAAACCGGGAAGGCTCTACAAAATCATTAACTGACTCCCAAAGTGTCGTATCGGACATCCCATTATTCATACAGCCTGCAGAGCTGGACAGTATAAGAATCGATGTTATTTCGACTTTTCACAGAGATCACGACGCGCTCGATGATGTTGATAATATTCTTTTTAGTGTTATCGACAAAAAGTCCAGCCAAGAGATGTTCCGCTTTTCCAAGACAATTGATCGAATCTATGAACTAGATGTTTACTTGAAGTGTCATATGGACACCATCATATTGCCACCGTTACCCGAGAGACAATATTTTGAGGCCACTTCCCCAGTAAAAGTCGATTATAGGAGAGAGAAGCTCAACGACTACTTCAGTTGCCTCTACAGTTCCCCACAGCTTCCTCCTTCCGTGAGGCTGAAAATGGCAAAATTCATCAGCACGGATACCGTAATGAACCCCCCTACCGGCGATTATGCCAAAGAAGGTGTTCTCTTACTACGTAAAAGCAAGACTTTAGGTACTCCAAGCAGCTGGCGTGTTGTCTATGCCGCTTTACACGGAGGATGTCTATCATTTTTGGACAAGGGCCACGTAACGGAGAATATCAAATTACAGCATGCAGTGATCGAATTGCAGGCTAATTTACCTGACGACAAACATGGGACCAAAAATGGCTTTATTGTCGTCGTTCCAAAAAAAGGTGGACTTTCCAGTGGGACAAAATATTACTTCTGCTGTGAGAGTCCTAGAGAAAGGGAATCTTGGATTTCTAACCTAACTGAATTTGTAGAAGTTTCCGCAGCGACAAGTTTTTCAGTACACAACAAGTCTGAGAATTCCAGTGTATTGGACCATTCCTCTGTTGGCAACGACACGTCTACCGACATAGCGCCGAGCTACTTAGGTCCTATGGCAAACTTGCAGGAACCTGTCACTGCAGCTCCTACACAAGGTTCAGACGTCAATATCACTGATGAAGAGAGAGAGTCGAAAAGAAGCAGAATGAGGAGTTTTTTTCCTTTCAAGAAAGCCAGCTCGCAGACTCCCACACATTCAGAATTTTCGCACAGCAATGGTAATGAGAGGGGAGCTTCAACCACAGCAACTAATGAACTGTCTATCGAAAAATCCTTGCAGGCCATGGATTTGAACGCCGAACCTGCATCTGATAAAGTTTTCGGTTCGACTTTGGTCAACTGTCTGTCTTTGAGTTCACATTTGTATCAAGGATCCTATAACGTTCCGAGTATTGTCTACAGATGCATGGAATATTTGTATCGCAACCATGGGATAGAGGAAGAGGGAATATTCAGGATTAGCGGCTCCACCGTCCTTATTAAATCACTCCAGGAGCGATTTGATAGAGATTACGATGTGGATCTTTGTGATTTCAACAAATCTGTGGCTACAGGTAACAACGAAAGCAGCTATACATCTGGGCTTGTTGATGTCAATACCGTGACGGGGTTGCTTAAGCTGTACTTACGGAAACTACCACACTCAATTTTTGGAGACGACATGTTTATAGAGTTCAAAGAAGTGGTAGACTCAAATTTGAGGAGTCCTGGCCAGATAGCACTAGAGTACCGTCGGCTGATTAATTCCAACGAAATGCGGAATGAGAATTTGTCATTGATCTACGTTTTGTTCGAGCTGCTGGTGAAAATCAACCAAAAAAGTGCAATTAACAAGATGAATCTGCGAAACCTTTGCATTGTATTCTCGCCGACTCTAAATATCCCTGTGAATGTAATCCAGCCTTTTGTTGTTGATTTCAATTGTATTTTCAAGAACGATGATCCCATCAGCGAAGCTATGAGAGAGGAATTAGATGTCAACATCCCTCAACTATAGTCAACCCTCAAGCGGCGACCAATAGACGTTCAAAACCCCCTTTTAACGTGTTACGAAGTGTACAATATATAAATATATGCAAGTCCAAATCTGAATGTATGTTTTGTCTACTGAGTATTTCTCTTTCTCAAGACGTTTTCGATGAAGGCTTCGCCTGCTTTATAGGAAGACCTGACCAAGGGGCCTGATGCACAGTATAGAAATCCTAGTTCAAGTGCCTTTGCTTTCCAATAGTCGAACTTTTCCGGATTAACGTATTCCACAACCTTCATGTGTCTCTTTGTGGGTCTCATATACTGCCCAAACGTTACAATATCGCAGTCAATAGCCCGCAAATCCTTTAGCGTTTGTAGCACCTGCTCATCAGTCTCACCCAGTCCGAGCATCAGAGACGTTTTCGTCAGAACAGTTGGAACACACTTCTTAGCATGGTTTAATACGCTGAGAGATTGGGCGTAAGTAGCTCTCCTGTCTCTTACATGCGGAGTCAACTCCTTCACAGTCTCCAAATTGTGAGCATATACGTCTAATCCACTTTGTGCCATGACTTTGACCATGTCAAGATCACCTCTGAAATCTCCTGACAACGTTTCCACCAAAGTCTTCGGAGACTTTTGTTTTATCTTTTGTACAGTTTCCGCCAGGTGGTGCGATCCACCATCTGGTAAATCATCTCTGTCAACCGTAGTCAACACCACGTAACCCAGGCCCCATCTAGAAATGGCTTCCGCCGTATTTTCGGGTTCCATTGGATCCGGCTTCGCAGGTGTCCTATCGGTCTTGACAGAGCAGAACCGACATCCACGAGTACAAGTATCACCCAACAGCATGATGGTCGCGGTGGCTTTGGACTTGTCGTCCCCGCCCCAACACTCTCCGATGTTAGGACACTTGGCCTCCTCGCACACGGTGCTGAGTTTCAACTCTCGTACATCTTTCTTCAATTTGTGGAAGTTGGACCCTTTTGGGATAGGCACTTTGAGCCACTTTGGCAGCCTGGTGGTCTCCTCTGTATTTTGCCTTGCTTGCTGCAAAGGATCCAAAACGACGCGGGCAGCCTTCCCGTTGACAAAATCCTCGAACGACGGACCCTTATTGAGGGCATCGGAAAATGTTGTACTTCTGCGTCTTTTGGGGGCCGACGGAGTTGTAGTTGCTGTCTTGGTGCCCGATATGGCCCTTTTCTGTAGGAACAAGAAGCCTCTCTTGGGAAACATACTGTGCAGAGGAGTGAAACGTAAGGAGACGCCAATGCTGCAAACAAAGGGTCGGTAGCTTGAAGTCAGAAACGGTCTAGTGCTTTCTGAAGTAGTGGAAGACCGGGTGCAATCGACTACTTTTCACCGGAAGAGGTAGTCGCGATGAGCCCATCGTGCGTATCGCTTCGCTTCCATGTTGGCTGACACGGTTGAAAAATGTCCATAACAGATGCCCCGTCAACAGTGACAGTGGGGCACGTGATGAGTGACTCCGACGGCTCTTTTTTGACTTCGTTTTCCGGAGTCACAAAAATTGACCGTGATCACCATCGATGACCCGGCGACACTGTACGAGAGAATATCACTCTTGCACGGTATGACGCCCGCCGCCACACACCAGATTTACTACACTGGCTTATTGTAACTGGGATTACGCCTTCCTTTCGTCTCGCAAGATTGGAACTGATCCGCTTGTAGGTGGCTATAATGCATTCATTCATTAAACTTTATTTCTATACATAGCATTCGTTATGGCCGAGGGCCGGGAGTGGCCGGCCAAACTGGTCGGTTATTTTATTCGTCTCTGAAACCAACGAACTCGCCTTTTTCCACAACGGCAACCTGGTGTAGATAGCGGTCGTTCAACGACACTTCGCCGTTCATCACACCGTTGAAGCTGCACTGGCCACCGAACTTGTTCAAAGGAGTGACTTCGATGACCTTGTGTTGCCATGGAGAGATGATGATAGCTTTGTTTCCGGCTTGGACGGCGTGAGAAGTGTTGCTAGCGGATTTACCCATTTTCTGTGATTTGCTGGTTGGAGTTATGTGATATGCCTTTCGCTGAGATGCGTTGATACTGTTTTATTTACAAGAACTGATATATGAGGACGCTAGAGCGCATGCGACCTTTTTATACTGAATTTCGCAGCCGGGGCCCTGGCCCGGGTTTTGCTCGTTGACGTTGTAATTTTTGCCAGTCGCAAACGTTTATGTTTTGGGTCAAGGTTTGGTTGGCACAGGTGTCAGCATCCATCACATGAACAGTGAGACTACGGCGAAGAGCTTCATACCACCAAGTGGACGAGCAAAAACTGAAGAGGATTATGACGAAGGAAGCGGGAACTGACTGGCAAAAGAAAACACAAGCTGGAGCCGCGCCCTATGGAAGGTGGTCGAAAGAAAACGCCTGGGTACAACACACACTACGTATGGAGGGCGCTGCGAATAACAGGAAAAGCACAGCAAAAGTTGTTGGACAATAACGTCCCTAGATTCTACGTCGAGAGCGTACGGTGTACAACAAGAGTGGATCAATTCACGCCGGAGCCGTTGATTTTGGGCCTGTACATCTCTTGAAAATTCAGATGATCATTCAGCTGAACATGTCTGAATTTTCCTACGCACTTCACACGGAGACAGTCTCTTTCTTGTCATAACATTCAAAAACAGCTCTTTTCAGCCCATCCACATCAGTCGTGTGCCCATCAACTGCAAGGGTTATTGTATCGATTTGCTCCTGCCGCCTGTCATTCAACAATGTGTCATTAGAAAGCTCCAACATAAGTATATATATGTGTGTGCAAGTACATACATGGGCCACATTTTGGTCCGGCCATACTGTAGTTAGCTAGGTTGGCCTCTTTGATCCTCAGCACTTGCTGCATTTGCACTGTTCTTTGGACCCACACTTGCAGGCAGATTCACAGCTACAAGCCTTGTCCTTGGCACATCCTGTGGAGTCTTTCTGACTGCAGGTTGCACAGGAGCCACATTGGCCTTTGTTGGTGCAGGTGCACTGGGACTTGCTGCAGGTACATTTGGCGTCACACGCAAAGTTGACTAGCTCTCCTAACATTATTCTGGTGTTATGAACGAAACTTGGGTAGTGAGACGGTAAGTTACAGATTCTAACTAAGTGAGGAGGTCGCTGAACGTTGATATATGTTAGTTTTACTGGGGTGCCCTTTAAATACTGGTGTTTTTTTCTCCGTATGCGACTTTTATGCTGATCACCAGGATCGTGGTTTGCGACTTTTGCGCTGACACTTAGGGATTCCGACAGCGCCAGTTTTCCAGCAATGTAGCATTTGATTCTTGCTGGGCTTCGTGGGTTTTTTTACCGCGGTGTTTGATCAGCACACTTGCTTGTAGGAGTTTTGTGTTCCTGGTGTTACCAGAAAATGGCGAGGATGGGCCGTTCACGGGGAAAAAAGGTATAACAGCAACTTAGTTAATTGTACATAGAGTCTGGAGAACCATTCTCACCACTTGGTTTGGCCGCTGCGTGTCGTGTGGTGGCCCTTGGCCGTGGAAATATGGGAAATCATTGAAATATCACTATCGTCGAAATTCATCAGTCGAGAGGTACGGCTGTTGCGAAGATGGCGGGTGGTGGATCCGGAGGGGATCTTGTAGCTCTGGGGCCCCGACACCGAAAGTGGGCGGCGTGCGTCAACGGCCGGAGCAGGCGCTCCCGAGCTTCGTGTAGTCGGCCTGCTGGTGGGGCGGTCAGAAGACTCACGGGGACCGTCATGGGAGGTGGGTGGAGACGGCTCTATGTCCAGGGTCTCCAGATGGCGGGAGATGTCATCAATTGTAATATCCTCAACCGTGCGGTTGAACGTCTTGTTCAGCTCCTCGTCATAAACGTAGTCTTCGTCGTCTTCATCTTCGCCGTGGCCCAGCTCCTGCTGTACAAACGGCACTTCATGCTCCTCCACCTTCCGGTTGGTGTTTTTCCTCTCACTGGGCGTTGGGGTCTCACTGCGAGGCATAGAGGCCGGGGGCGAAGGCGTCGCTCTTGGAGTTATAGTCTGTGCCAGTGCAGCTTTCTCTGCTGCCGGGGTAGTGCTCCGCTGAGAGCGGGTTACTCTCTTTGCCGCATCCATTTGACTCTCTTCCGGCTCCGCCTGAAACAAAATTCGCTCGAATTCCGGGATCATTGCACGTCCCAACTTGATCACTTCCTCCGCCCAGATTCGTATCACGTCCCGGGCGCGTTTCGTCTTGTAGGGCTTCCAGTTGGGCTTGCAGCCACGCACTATCTCCTTGACGACTTGCGCAGACCCCCATTCGTTTATCCAGTTCTGGTTTTGGAGCCCAATGAGATGCGAGAAAACGCCCGACGCGATAGCTCCGTCAGAATAACCGCCCTCCATGACCGATAGAACTTTACCATGAGAGTGCATCTGAGCCAGCTTTAATGCATCTTTGGTGAACATATTGTAAAAAAAAGTTGGTACATTTACCCCATGTCTTTGCATAGAAGCCTGTTCATATTCGGATGCATCGAAGCCAGCACTTATAACCACCAGCGCCTTAAAAGGCTTTCCCAAGGTCTTCATATTTTGTTTGGCCGTTCGGAAATACTCGTCAGCTTTGGCAAATATTGTTCTGTATTTAGTTTGGTAGAGCTTGGTGAAGGCTTCTTCGGATTCGTAGCTTTGTAAATGAACATTCCAGATGTTCACATCGTGTGCATCCATTATACAAGTAGAAGCATTTCGGATGGTTTCCTTGGTTGCATAGCCCAGCTCAGAGGGGAAAGAGTTGATATCGTGCAGCGAAAAATAACCCACTTTCGGGTACTCTGCGAACTTCTTGCCGAATTCGTTGTATTCGCCAGCGGTGTCGACTTGTTCGTCAGGCTTAAATCCGGCACGTTTCCAACAGATATCCTGAGTACCATCACCGTGGTGCAGATCAAAGTCTAGCACTACTGCATGAGTTACGTCGTAAGTCTCTGCGGCATATTCAATGGCAATGTGGGCGTTATTTAAAAGACAGAACCCAGAGGGAGTTGAAGCGTGAGAATGATGTCCCGGTGGTCTTAAGGCAACAAACGCGCGATTACTGGTTTCCTCTGCGGAAGAGCCTCTGAAGATAGAGTCAACGCCGACCTCAAGGGCGCCGATAGATCCTTGAACAGCATCTATTGTTTGCCGCGACAAGTATATGTCGCCGACGTTCCATGATTCTGGGACCTCGACCTGACAGTCGTCTAACGCTTTTTGCGAGTTTTGGCAGAGCTTCAACAGTTCCTCTGGCCAATCCCTCCCGTGTACTCGTAAGACGTAATCTGTGAGGAGTGAGGTTTGCTTGGTGTGTGATGATTTCAAGGTGAACAATGCCGGGTACATTGTGATGGCCGCTCCAATACCCATGGAGCACGCAAGCAGTCTTTCCGGACGCTCCACGATCGTCTTTCTGTAGGACTTCGACACCCAGTGTCTTGGAAATTGGTGTTCTAATGACAAAGGTGACAAAACCACAACTGCCTTGGCGGACTCTGGTATTTTGGAAGCGCCATGTGCCGCAGTTGCAACATTAGGATTGTTTTTCACAAAGCTTTGAAATTGTAGTTTGAACTTATGAAGTGGGTCTTGAGTTGAAGACATCAGTCTAGTCCAGGCTAACCTTTGATCCTGGGTAACAGTTGTGGAATACTGGAATGCTTTGATATTTAGCGGATCAACTGGTCACTGAAACGAAAATGTGGCACCAAACTCAGTCAGCAAAACCAAAAGGAGGCAAGCTCAGCGTTGTTGGAACTCGGATCAACTATTGACTGCAATGATTATCCAGGGTTGGTGATTCAATTTTTCAGCGTGAACTTGACGAAATGAAAACAAACTGTATTAGGCGATTATCGTCGGGAGGGACACGCCCATACGCGACCAATGAATAAGATGTAGACGAGCTAGGAACCACAGGGCCACAAGCAATATGATAGACTTCCCTGCGATACGTGAATTTGCCTAACTTAATCCTTAATTCCATTTGTTTCAACTGTCCAAAAATATAACGGCTTGCGAAATTGCTCGGTTTCCGACTTTTGGAAAGCCACCGGCACAAATTACCTAGGTCCGAAGGCCGTTAGTATGGGATCTTGTCCGAATATTTTCCTCTCTTGTGCACCATTTTAAAGGCGTCACTAGGAACACAATGGCTAGGGCCGTCCTTTATATCGATTGTGTGGCATGATGGGGTATGTTCGAGTACTGCGATTTTTCGTCGGTCTTAGCCTTGAATAAGTTGTGGAAGCTGGTCCGTAGCTTCCGCGTAAAATGGTAGCACTCAATTGCTTTAGCTCTGGTAGAGGACGAATTTTTCGGATGCTCACCGATGGCCCAACGATGAATGGGATTCATACTAAATAGTTTATATCGGGAGAATGAGTAGTCAGCTTCCATTACTAAATTGTGGCTGTTGGACCGCATCCTATTGAGTTCCATTGGTCATGGTTCGATACCCTCGGCTGCAAAGACGGGTATTTGAAATGGTGATTCCCTAATTGACCGCGATGAGTCCCGACAAAACTGTTACTATTTTCGTATCGGTTATTCCCATCCACATCCGAACAGAGGACCTATGGTCTATCTGAGTGTTGCCTTCTGGGTTAGTTCATTGATATGTTTTGATCTGGTGTGTTATGATTGATTAGGCATCTATCATTTTATCTAATCTGGTCACCGGGTCAGCCGAGCTAGAAATTTGACGATATGGTTCGACGCTAAGTTAACAACTCCGAAAATGTAAGTGCAAAACCAACTGAGGTTTGTTTCACAACAGGTTGGCGAGAACTTGCTAAACTTTCAGACTTAAGGTATTGTCGAATCATCTTCTATAAGTCATGTTCCCGGGCGCTGGTCATCAGACTTATGGCAACCAGCAACAAATCAACCAGTCGAGGCCCCAGGGCCCTCCTCCTGGATTCGTCCAACAACAGTACTCGAGGCCGAACGCCCCTCCTCCAGATAACTACCAAGGATATCAGAGACCATACCAAGCTCCACCCTCAAACAATTATCAAAGCTTTCAAGGCTACCAAAGACCACAGGAGGCTCCTCCCAACCAACAGTACAGAAATGATATCCAGGCCAATCACGCACAACCCAGTTTTGTCAACGGACCCAGTCAGTACCAACAGCCCCAAAATTTGGCTGCTCCACCTCAGCAGTCTCAGCTTGCGGGCGGGGGATCAGCCAATGAGTTCTCCTTCCAGTACTCTCAATGTACCGGAAGACGCAAAGCATTGCTCATCGGTATCAACTATTTTGGCTCACAGAATGAGCTTCGTGGCTGTATTAACGATGTTCACAATATGCACACCTTTTTAACTACCCGCTACGGTTACAATTCGGACGACATTGTAGTTCTCACGGACGATCAGCAGGAAATGTCAAGGATTCCCCTAAAGCAAAACATCTTGCGTGCAATGCAATGGCTAGTGAATGGCGCACAACCCAACGATGCTCTCTTCGTCCATTACTCAGGGCATGGTGGCCAGACTGACGATTTGGACGGCGATGAAGAAGATGGGAAGGATGATGTTATCTACCCAGTCGACTTCCAGTCACAAGGACATATCATCGACGATGAGATGCATGACATCATGGTCAAACCTTTACAGCAAGGTGTTAGACTCACTGCTCTTTTCGACTCATGTCACTCGGGCACTGTCCTGGATCTGCCTTATACCTATTCGACGAAAGGTGTCGTGAAAGAGCCCAATCTTTGGAAAGATGTGGGTCAAGATGGTCTACAAGCCGCAATGGCGTACGCGAGTGGGAATACAGGGCGGATGATGACCTCTTTAGGATCCATGTTCAAGAGCGCAACCAGAAAAGCCACTGGAAATTCTAATCAAGATTACGTGAGGCAGATCAAATTCTCTCCTGCTGACATTATTATGATAAGTGGATCCAAAGATAACCAGACTTCTGCAGATGCAGTCGAAAATGGGCAGGCGACAGGTGCTATGTCTCATGCTTTTGTCAAGGTGCTAAGCACGCAACCTCAACAAACGTATTTGAGTTTGTTGCAAAACATGAGATCGGAACTTAGCGGGAAGTACTCGCAAAAGCCTCAGCTATCAAGTTCTCATCCTATCGATGTCAATTTACAATTACTTCTTTGATACTTCAAGGGTCTGTGGCTTTTTTATAGTTATTGGTAGAAAAAATAGAGTGGGCGAGTGCTCTTATATACAAGACATGGACCATGAACTTGGTTCACGACTTAACTTTATTCTTCATCCTCCTTGGATTCTTCTTGCTCCTTGATTCTCTTCTGCTCAAGCTCAGCTTTCACAGCTTCTTCTTTCTTCGTGTACTCCAAATCTAGGGCCTTCAACTTAGCCTCGGCATCAGCGATGTTCTTTTCAGTTTGCTCTTCTTGTCTAGAGGTGTAGTCTTCATGCTTGGCCTTTAGTTGTTCGATGACACTTGGTACCTCTTCCTTGTTCAAAGGCACGGTCACGTCTAGCTCGGCCAAGGTCGCAATCAAAGTTGGTTCCAAAGAGAACTTTCCAGAGGCTGTGGTGGCATTTGCGGAAGTAGCTTGCTTTTTCTTGTTTTTCTTAGACTTGCTGCCACTGCCGCTGAAAAAGTCCGCAGCCTTGTCTTTGACGATTGGGACCAAATCGTCAGCCTCCACTTTTCTAACCGGTTGCTTGTTGGCAGCAGAAGAGTCAGCTGGAAGATTCAAGGAGTTTTTGGTAGGCTTAACGTACGTGGGGTCGAGAACACACAAGACGTTCTCGATGGCAGTGATCTCGTAAGTGAAAGCTGGTTGACGGGCATGTAAGAGTTTTTCCTGCAACTTACCGACAATCGCATCCTTCTCTTCCAACAACTTGGACAGTTTTTGGTCTTCTTCACGCTTCAAACGCTCTTTTTCTAGCTTTTGCTTGAAAGATTTGAACTCGTTATCAAAATCAGAGCGAATTTGGTTGATTTGCGAGTAAACTTCGTCACGTTTTTTGTACAAGGCAGAACGCTTGTTGAACAATGTCTGACGCTTGTCGTAGACGACTTGGTTTTTGGATTGGACCTCGTTCAGCTTTTGCTGGGTAGCCTCGAACTTGTTGGACACTTCCTTGGGGTTCAACTCGTTGAGTTCCTGCTTCAAGGCAGCAATGGACGCTCTGTCCTCTTCCATCGATTTACGAACGGGTTCAATGGCTTGCAAATCACGTTGCAGCTTGTTGAGGGACTGCAATTCCTTGACCAACAATTTTTCTTGAACCAATGAAAGTTCACCAGACGAGATGTCGGCATCAATGGCCTGCTTACGAGAAGCAATGTCCTCGGTGGATTGGTATTGCGCCTTGCCACCAGTTCTTGTGGCGATCTGGGCCTTTTTGCGCTTCAATTCGTTATCCAAATTTTTGATCTGATCGTGAACAGCCTGTCTACGAGTCTTGAGGTCACTTTGAGTCTTGATGATGGAGCGCAGCTCATTTTGCAGCTCCTGTCTCTGATCCTGACCACCACCACCAGCTTGCTGTTGATCGATCTGCTTCCTGATAGCTTGAACCTCAGTGTCGATCTTTTTCAATTGGGCTTTCAAGACATCCAATTTCTTGTCTCTAACGCCAACATCAGGTCTTTTGATGTTGTTGGTTCTCTTGACAGGTCCTCCGGTAGACATTTTCACGCTCACAATTGCCACTTACTCCTCTTTCTCTTGCACAAGGGACAAATTCACAAATTGTATCGAAGATGGCGCTGTATTTTGTTTAAAATTTCGAGTGTGTGCCGATTTCCTTTGATTTGTTGACGTGGAAGAAACCAAGAGGAGGGTAACAATGAAGCCACTTCTAGTTCAAGCTACATGAATAAGAGTCTTATAAGGTGTTATTTTAGCCAAGCAGAATGGAGGGCTGGGCTATATAGTTCGTAGTGCCTTGATCCGAAATAAATGTGTCGAAATTTGCTGCTACTTCTGTGGAGTTTTTAATAGAGTTAGGTCACGAATGTGGCAGTACGAGATAACAAATGCAAGCGGTTCTATTGAAAAAGCATAAAGACATCTCGAGGGAAAATTGTTTATCTTGGGTTCTAGACGCACCCACCGGGGCCTTGGCCAAACGGAAAAATATCATAATGTCGAGTCAATGCCAGAAGAAGGCCCCAAATGGGTGCTGTTTCAAGTTCTAAAGTCGGGGAAGACCCGAGGAAGCTTCGAGCTAAGATCACAGCCTGCGAATCACTAGCTTGTTACGTTACGGAGGATTACCAATGTTTTTATATCGTATAAACTGGCTTTTATGACAGCCTATTTGACGTGCCAGAATAGTACATAGTGATAACATTGCCCTCCAAATAATTCGAAAACTCCTCCACCTCCTGTCTCTTCCCCAAAGAGATCCTCAGAGTCTCATTTCCAACATCTTCGGTTCAGCAAGTGGCATAGTCTAGACAAAACGGTTTGATCAAAGGTTTTACACATTAATTGATTATTGACTTAAGGGCACCTTTCGGTAACTTAACAACAGCACATTATTAAAAATGACAACTTTGGGATTTCTCAAAGCGTCCAACAACAAAAATTTACTTACAAGGTGGAGGTAAAATACCCTAAGCGTCCATGCTTTCCACTAACACTCATTACACAAGACATCATCAAGAGCTTCTTCGTGACAGTAATCTTACACTGTAAACCATCAAGCACATATATGTTTCATAGCTATTAAGCATCTCGGGGTATTTACTAGATCTTGAGCCACTTCCCTTGAAGCCCTGGGCAGAGCAATGCACTGGAAGGCCGTCATCTAGTACAGTCCAGTAAAGTCATAGTTTCACCACTTTATAAGGTCACGTTATATATATCAGATCCTACGAATAGACATAACTTCCCATTAGTTTATCTCCAGCGATGCCCAACGAGTTTCTTTCTTTAAGGTATAAGTCGAAGTAAAGGTGAGACCTCATGAGTTCATACGCCAAGTTAGTTGAGAATTTGAATGCCGAAAGCATATTGGCCAAGTTTCCTGAAGTGATTCCGCTCAAAGAGCGCCCTAATAGTTCGTCCAGCGAAGGCAGTCAAGACGAGAAAGGCGACCTGGTTTTCGATGGGCATGATGAGGAACAAATTCGTCTTATGAACGAAAACTGTATTGTGTTGGACTGGAATGATCATGCTGTCGGTGCCGGTACAAAGAAGTTATGCCATCTTATGAGCAATATCAATGAGGGCTTACTCCACCGCGCGTTCTCGGTGTTCCTGTTTAACACCGAAGGTAAGCTGCTATTGCAACAGCGCGCTTCGGAAAAGATCACATTTCCAGACCTATGGACCAACACTTGTTGTTCACACCCTCTGTGTGTGGATGACGAGATTGGCCTCGCTGGCTCTCTAAAGGCTAAAATCAGCGGTGCCCAAACAGCTGCCGTGCGTAAATTACATCACGAGCTAGGAATTCCTTTGGATGAAAGTCGCAACAAATGTAATTTTCATTTTCTGAACAGGATCCACTACAAGGCGCCCAGCAACGGGCCTTGGGGCGAGCACGAAATTGATTATATCTTTTTCTGCAAGCTACAGGAGAACCAATCTCTTAGCGTGGATCCGAACCCTAACGAAGTCCGTGATTTCAAGTGGGTCACACCCGCAGAGCTGAAGAGTATGTTCCAAGATCCTTTCTATAAGTTTACTCCTTGGTTCAAACTCATTTGTGAAAGTTATTTGTTTCAATGGTGGGAAAAGCTTTCAAACCTTTCGGAAGTTGAAAATGATACAGAAATTCACAGAATGTTATAGATATTCGAGCTGAGTAGCTTGCCCCCACAAAATTCGGGTCGTCAGCTGTAAAATGAAGTAAGAAAGGTGAAGATGGACATTACGTCTTAGGTCTGGATGGGGCCTCATCTGACAAATGGGACAAAATCGCAGTCTTCAGTTGAGTTGATGGGGTGTAGTATTACGTAACATAGAATAGAACCCTTATAGCATCTACGCACGTTGAACATATTTACAGTTAGTTTATTAGTTGAGAAGGGCGTTTAGCAATATCGCAGTGGCTACACTAACGTTCAGGGAATCCACGGAACATGTACGAGATGTCTGTCGACCGCGTGGTATTTCAACTAGAAAGTCACTTCTTCGCTGTAAGTTGGTGCGCACTCCAGAACCTTCGTTACCAACCACCAACATCACGGGCAGCTCCTGCAGCATTCCATTCAAGTCTTGAGGTGTAATCTTCTTGTTTTGAGTAAATTTGTCATCTTTGGACACACCGGCGGTGACAAAAGTCCAGCCACCTTCAGCCTGGGATCTGGTGAAGAAATCCAGCGGTTTGTCCACAGTGAAAATGGGCAAAACCTCAGTAGCTCCACTGCTAGTCTTAGATACCACTGGTGTAAGAGGGGCGCAATTGCGACGAGAAAGAACCACAAAATCCACACCTAGAAAATAGGCGCTGCGAATAATGGCGCCCAAGTTGTGTGGGTCCACTACTTCATCTAGAAACAGCCCCAAAGGAAAGTGCTTGCCATCCTTGACGATAAACGTGGACTCTCGTTTCTGTGACTCGTCATAAAAAGACTCCAGATAGGAGAATGTTTGGCTTTCCACATTACATGCGCCTATGCTTTTGATCTCGGGTAGTTGCAAAGGTTTTGTCTCGAGAACTATATTGTTGTGGACCCCATAGTTAGTCAAAAGATTCAAGCGGTGCTTGTCCACGGACTCTAGTGCCAAATTTTTGCTTCTAGCAAGATGCTGTATTTCTTGAGAGAGGGAACCGTAGTGTAGAAGCCTGGTAAAATATTCTCTCTTCTCCGCTCTAAGGGCTGAAAGCACACTGTTTGTGCCATAAACATACTCCATTAGTGGATTGGGCTTCAAACTCGACAACATGTTACGATTGCCGAACTTTGTTCTGTGCTCCTGATGCTGATGCTTGAAGTTTGTAGCCCTGCCAAGGCTTGATGACCCTCGAGTATCATTATTCCGAATATCTCTCGCATGGACGTGTGCGTATTTTCGTTTGAACCATGACTCTTTATCCTCACCAGCTTTTTCCCAGGCCTTAATCCTTCTTTCTTTCGGTAGGTTCCTGTCAAATGTAGAAGCCTTTGAACCAAGCCGTTGCTCGTTCGGTACTTTCACCGCAGGCTTGACAAAATTTGACACAGACCGTTTAAGCACGAGCTGATTCATTCTTGGGATGGCTATATCGATGAACTTCTTAAATCTGGATTTTGCTAGCTGGCATTTGATTTTTCAACATCAGAAATGATGAGCTGAAATTTCCACACTGCTTGCCTTCGTTGAACTCTGCTCATCGATCTCAAACACCAGATAACAACACAAAATGAGCGCCTTAACCACTCAAGACAAGCCTCTACGCCGTAGTTTTGTTTCCAGAGTGACAAATGAGACCAAGATCCAAATTGCCATGTCTCTTAACGGAGGAACCGTTCAGATAGAAAACTCGATATTTCCAGAGAAGAAAGCGGGCGATGTGGCCAGCCAGGCGACTGGTTCGCAAGTAATCGATATTCATACAGGGGTGGGCTTTTTAGATCATATGATCCACGCCTTGGCCAAGCACTCCGGGTGGTCATTGATAGTTGAGTGCATTGGTGACTTACACATTGATGATCATCATACCACAGAGGACTGCGGTATCGCTTTGGGCCAAGCATTCAAGGAAGCCGTGGGCGCGGTTCGTGGTGTGAAGAGATTTGGATGTGGCTTTGCTCCTCTTGATGAGGCTCTCTCTAGGGCCGTGGTAGATTTGTCCAACAGACCTTACGCTGTTATAGATTTGGGACTCAAGAGAGAAAAGATTGGCGATCTTTCGACAGAGATGATCCCTCATTTTTTGGAAAGCTTTGCCGAAGCTGCCAGAATTACCCTGCATGTCGATTGCCTGAGAGGGTTTAACGATCACCACCGCAGCGAAAGTGCTTTTAAAGCTCTTGCCGTGGCAATCAGAGAGTCGCTCTCAAGCAACGGAACAAACGACGTTCCATCAACCAAAGGAGTACTTATGTAGCTCTGATCCTCAACACTGGCTTACTCGAAACTTAACCTACTGAAACTCTTTAGTTAATACAGGTTACAAAACGCTGAAGATTTTCCTATTTACATGTTAATTAATGAAGTCGTTCCTTTCTATTGTATGTCCATGTGCGTGGACTGCGAACGTCATGCTTTAGGGCCTCTACCTCAGCTTCTTACCCTTGCCTTTATCGAAGTTAGTCAAGATATTAAGTAGCTCTTCAGCATGCTTTGTGGACTCTTCAACGGAAGTGCTACGTAGAGAGTTCTTTCTTGGAGGACGCTGCTGGTAGCCTCGACTATTCATTTGTATACGGGCCTTTGAACTCATACCGCTAATGGCGGTTGCCCTCAGCACAACTTTGCCGTTATCCTGCACGGTAGCATGACTGACAGCAAAAGGAAACTGCAACTGTCTCACGAAATCTCCCATCCGGTAGTCCATCTGAGAGGTAGAAACAGAGGAGGAACCTGCGTTAGCGACAAACCCTCCAATCGCTGCCAATCTGTCATTGCCTTCCACATTGAGGAACCTTCCCGGAACAACAGTTTTTTGAATCACACCGTTAGGCGAATTTCTTAGCCTGCCGTGTAAGTTGTACGTAAGACCACCAGTTCCAATGGGTTTGCGCAGAGATTTCGCACCCAATTCGACATTGTGGCTTGTAGACTCATTCAGAAACTCAACAGCACTATCCGTCATATCTTTCACGCTGAATGTCTTGTTTTGGAGAGCCTCTGGATCGCGCTCCAAAAGCCATTTCTTGAAAACGCTGCGCAGATCTTTTAGTTCGGCAACCCTTCTTTCGACCTCGGCTTTTGGGGTGGATCTGTCAACGTTGAGTAGAGAGCTCAATGGAACCAGTTGGTTTCTAGAAGCGCCAGAGGCCTCGAAAAGAGGGTTTGCTTTTCCCGGGTTATATTTCGGAGCGACACCAAGCTCTTGAAATCTTATACGATTCCATTGTGAGCCACCGTTGGCCTCAAATGTGGTCAAGCGCTCCAGAGTGTCTAAGTCGTTGTAAACAATGTATTTGGTCTTAGTCTTGGGCGGCAGGGAACTTTTCAGGCCCCACTCTTGACGATGTAGAGTGGATGGTCTGGTCTCAATAATTTGATGCGTTGGCGCATATTTGGGGGCCGCAGAGGTGAGTGGATTTGTGGACTTGGGTACATGAGCAAGTCGAGAACTTCTCAGGAGATGAGACAGGTTAGACGACATAGTTAGGCCCCTGCACAACTGTGTATGTGCTGATACTGGCAGGCCAGCTTTTGAAGTGCCAAAAATTTGATCAAGCGAAAAGTTCAGGAAGTAACCACAGACGAACACTGTTAACAACAAGAGCGGAGAGAAAGAACGACGAGCACGGCCATAATTCTGCTAGGTCAGAAGCTCTACTGCAAATCAGCGGGAATCCACAACTCAAGAGAAGAGCGGGTTGTCTTTGTCTTGTTGTCTTTGGCTCATCATGAGGTTCAACGAATTTTGCCAGATGCGACCCAATATGTATTAGATATCTAGATACTGGAGGTAGATGGGAGCTACATACCCCAAGGGTAGGTCCTTAAATCTGTCTTTTCGGAAAACTAAAATCTTTGTCTTTCGAGCCCCCGCCAACGATCATGGCCGGAATCGTGTGTCGTATCAAGACACGAATTCTCAAGATGACAAAATAGTGTCAGTAATCGGTCTCAGATGGTATATCAAGCACAGCTGAGGTTTAGCCTCATGGAGATGATGGACACCACTTACTATTTTGCCAGCTAGCCACATGAAGGGAGAGCTAAGCGTGGTTTGACATCTATCAGCCCCTCCAGCAGAAGTCATCATGTCTCGAAGCTCGTGCATTAATGTGTCGTTCCCCGAGGTTGAGCCACACGGGAAGGACACATATAAAAGAGGACCCCAGGATCAAGACTAAAGAACGAACATACGCAGAGAGCTGTAAATCAATAGTGAATGAGAACTGACCTTACTATGATAAAAGCAGATACACAGTCCATTCTCTAGTTACGGCTCTGGATGCTAGTCACATGACACTAACAAAAGTACATGGCGATCAATTTCCCTAGAGAAAAGCAATTGGTTTCGTGGTCTAGTCGGTTATGGCATCTGCTTAACACGCAGAACGTCCCCAGTTCGATCCTGGGCGAAATCATTTTTTGCACTCCTCTTTTTTCTGTTGGAGTGTGGAATCCAGAGCTACAGTTTCGCATGTTCTATGCTCCCGTAAAGCCATCCACTGTTGGTGTTTTTCTGTACCTTCGGTGGCCCAACACAACTAAGACCTGCCATATGACAGCACTGTACAGAATGATATGCTCCAGGTGCATTGTGATGACGCCAACTTTAGAGCCCAGCCTAGTTGGCACGGCGAGCCCACCAGCCACTAGAGAAAACAACGCGTTTAGAACTGATACGACCCCAACGGTGGGCTTGACGAATCCTCGTGAATCAACATATTAAAGTCGGGCGTAACAATCCAAGCCTGAGTGTGTGACGAGCCCCGAAGGACCAGACAGGCAGTAACTCTACTACAGCACGTCGTACAGGATTTCGGCTCATCGCCCCACAACATTGAACGGATTTGGATGTTTTTTCGTTTTTCGTTTTTTCGTTTTTTGTGGCGGAATTGAAATAGAACAGCAGCATCTCGAAGCTACGGGCCCCAACAAAGCCAGCCACTCTCGGAGGACTTATAACGCTTCCCAATGAGCGTACCTCCGGCCTAATCCACACTAGTCTTGTGCTGACACTATCGACGTCCCCACATTAAAAGTCGCCATTACCCGGCCTGTCATGGTGATTGCTCTGATTAGCTACGGTTATACGAAAGTGAAATAACTAAAAATTTTCCTAGTTCCTTTTTCTCACAGGTATATATATAGAGAAGAAATCGATCCAATATCGTCCACTGATTAATCACAGTGAGCAGAATAAGCATATTAACATTAGATTTTAACCTAAGAATCATTCAAGATGTCTGATCTGGCTAATAAAATGGAAAATTTGAGTGTCAACGACAACAAGGGAGCCCAAAACGGTGGTGACAGCTCTTACGTGCCGCCACACATGCGTGGTAAGAGAGGTGGTAGTCGCGGCGGCTCTACTTTCGCCAACAACGACAGAGACAGTGGCTCGTACTCGTACTTCAGTGGTGGAAACAAACGTGGAGGCAGCAGAAACGGGTCTTCGTTTTTCGGAGGAAGAGGCGGCGGATCCTTTGGCGGCAGAGGCGGCGGCGGTGGTGGTGCCACGCGTGGCGTGGGCCGCTGGAGCGGCGGCAAGCATGTGCCAGCCCCGGTCGACGAAGCTTTGGAGCTACAGCTGTTCGGAACTGCTGACGACTCGAACTTCCAGTCGTCGGGTATCAACTTCGACCACTACGACGACATCCCAGTCGAAGCTTCTGGTAACGAGGTGCCAGAGCCCATTTCCGAGTTTACATCTCCCCCTCTAGACAGCTTGCTGCTGGATAACATTATGAAGGCGCGTTTCACCAAGCCTACTCCGGTCCAAAAGTACTCTGTTCCCATCATTGCAGCCAAACGTGACTTGATGGCCTGCGCTCAAACTGGTTCCGGTAAGACTGGTGGGTTTTTGTTCCCTGTCCTTTCTGAGTCCTTCGCCAATGGACCAGCCCCAGTTCCTGAGCAAATGGCCAACTCCTACATCAAGAAGGCTTTCCCAACTGCCGTGGTGTTGGCTCCAACCAGAGAATTGGCCACTCAAATTTATGACGAGGCCAAGAAGTTCACTTACAGATCCTGGGTTAGACCCGGTGTTGTGTATGGTGGTGCCGACATTGGCAGTCAAATCAGAGAATTGAACCGTGGTTGTGACTTGCTAGTTGCCACCCCAGGTCGTCTCTCTGACTTGCTTGAACGTGGCAGAATCTCTTTGTGCAACATCAAGTATTTGGTCTTGGATGAAGCCGACAGAATGTTGGATATGGGTTTCGAACCTCAAATTAGACACATTGTTGACGGTTGTGACATGCCTTCAGTCGACAACAGGCAAACCCTCATGTTTTCGGCCACTTTCCCAATGGACATTCAACATTTGGCGCGTGACTTTTTGAAAGATTACGTCTTTTTGTCCGTTGGTAGAGTGGGTTCCACCTCCGAGAACATTACTCAGCACGTTTTGTATGTTGAGGACATGGACAAGAAGTCTGCCCTTTTGGATCTTTTGGCCGCTTCTGACGATGGCTTAACTTTGATTTTCGTTGAAACCAAAAGAATGGCCGATGCTCTGACCGACTTTTTGATCATGCAAAACTTGAGAGCCACCGCAATTCATGGTGACCGTTCTCAAGTTGAACGTGAACGTGCCTTGGCTGCTTTCAGATCTGGTAGAGCTAACCTATTGGTGGCCACCGCTGTTGCTGCTAGAGGTTTGGATATTCCAAACGTCACTCACGTTATTAACTACGACTTGCCAAGCGACATTGATGATTACGTCCACAGAATTGGTAGAACTGGTCGTGCTGGTAACACTGGTGTTGCCACCGCTTTCTTCAACAGAGGAAACAAGAACGTTGTCAAGGAGATGATTGAACTATTATCTGAAGCAAAACAGGAAGTCCCTGAATTTTTGAACCAACTTGCCAGAGAAAGTTACGGCAGCTCCAGAGGTGGAAGAGGTGGATTCTCCAGCAACCGTAGCAGTAGCACCAGAGATTACCGTCGCATGGGTGGAAATGGTGGCGCCTCTTACGGGGGCAGCAGCAGAGGTGGCAGCTCATCTGGAGGCTACAATAAGGGTGGCTCCTGGGGCTCCTCCGGTTCTTCATGGGGTAACTCTGGCAGCTCTTGGGGTAACTCTGGCAGCACCGGGAACTCATCTGCTAGCAACTCCTGGTGGTAAGCGGTGTGTCAGGGGTGGTGTCGAAACTTTTGTTCGCCATCTCTAACTCAAGATCCACTTTTTTTATCAATTCAAGAACCGTTTTTTTCCAACCAAATGTTACTATATTTTAATGATTAACCTGACTATTTGGTGTTCTATCTGGGTAATTATTATTCAGGTCATTTTCTTTTTCCACTGAAAATTGTATTTGTTGCATTTTCCATTCCCGAGGGGTGTTATACAATTGTACATTAATATGTTTGCTTACATCGATAAGCAAGCCGAGTGCCACTGAAGCTGTTAAAGAGGTAGATGTCATACATCGATTTCCTCATCTACAGTTCAATGGCCTCGTAGGACAGAATTTTTCTGCATGAACCATCATAATGCGCTCAATGTTGAGCATTGGCGCATCTTGGGGCGTTCTTACATGGTCCAAGCTCTTTTTCATATCCTGCTTCAAACCCACGTTTCGATGCTTTTCAATTCTACTGGTTATACTATTTGCAATTCTCGCTAATATTTGCATCGAAATTCAAGTTTGATTTAATCGAATCTGTTAGGCAGCTATAAAAAAAAAGCCTCAGCTGCCTAATTTGAATAGTTGTTCGATTTCTTTTGTTATATGAAGGAAGAGAAGGACGGAGAATTGTAGATGGTACAGTTGTATAATAGTTGACATTTAATAGATATAACATTAAATAGATCAAGGCACTACTATTTTTTACCAAATTCTTGAACCCACCATGTAAACTAAGGTTTGCACAGCAAGTAGATCCATCGTGTTTTTATTCAGACCTCTATTCAGAAATAAATAGTGCTAGGCAAGTCACTTTTATTACGCTTCCGTATTTTCTACGTTACTATCCTACGGTGAAGCCAGCGAACACAGCCTTCCAAAACACACTGGCTACGACGTGCGTTCCGGAGTCGCGAGCGTGGCCAATTTATGCCGATGCTCTTAACGGTTGGTCGGGCCCTCAAACGGGTGACGGGCTGCCGTCAGTTGATCAGCGGCGGCCAACGATAAAGTTTTCCACCGCGTGCAACGCGACAGATAACAGCACTTCTTATCTGTCATAGAACACGACATGTTCGCATTTCGCCGTCGTCCGCCATAGTCACGTGGTGTGCTTATTGACAGTGTTCGCTGGTAAGACTCGATTCTCTGAAGTCCACTCAGGTCGCGCCGGACCCAACTTCATCTCGTCGCTTTCCAAGCATGTCAGCCATCTCCCTCACCCGTTACGCCTTCCACTCCGGCCGCGCAAGCAAGTGGATCATCAGAATTGCTCCCTTTTCTTTTTCGCGCGATTTCCTGCTACACTATCGCTTCTAGCTGAACCCTGACGCTTCACAGCCTGCCAACATTAGGCGTACACTAGATACCACGAGCGTTCGTTGCTGGTGGCGTGCCCAACTTTCCTTTTTGGCTCCTCCATTCTACTAAAGCTTATCTGATAACATTTTTCATTCTGATACGGTTTTCTAGAGGTCAACGCTTAGCTAAACATACAGATGCGAAGCTGACCAAGCTAAAGGATGCTCCAGGACACTGGATGAGGAAAACTGGGCTCGTACGAGGCCGAAAATCGTTGTAGTTAGGGCTTTTAGCATGGTAACGGTTCTTCGGAACTCGCCGAAAAAACCAGGCACGGCTACTTTTCCACCTGTCGCTGTCATATCGCATCTCAATCTATTGTCGTTGTATCTCATCGCATGAGCTCTCCGAACCAGCACAACATTGCTGAAATCGGCTAACTTTACGGTGGACAGCGGCAATTGCGAAGGAATCGTTAAAAAAAATGGAGCATGTTTTAGCGTAAACCTTTGAAGCTCGCAAAAACGTATATATATCGACGGGCCAAGCAATAGACTTGAGCACAACAATGTCCAAACGCTAGCCAAACGGCAAGAGTCGAGATGAGCTACGAAAAAAACACCCACCAGGATGACGTGATTCAACGCTCGAGCTTCGAGGAGGAGGCGATGCAGGAGCAGAAAAAACTCCAAACCGTGGTGTCATACAACCGTGAGGATATTGGTAACCTGCAGCATGTGGTATCTACGATCATCTCCACATCAGGCCGCGAAGTAAAGCTCACCGGTAATGTGGACGATGCTATGAGACTGGCACTTGAGGCGCCCAAAATCGTGGTCACACCCGAGGAGGATCGCCGTTTGGTCCGCAAGATTGACCTGTACATGTTTCCGTTGCTGTGTTTGCTATACGCCATCCAATTCATGGACAAAATCTCCAACGGTTCCGCAGCCGTGATGGGTCTTCGTGAAGACCTACACATGCACGGCGACCAATATTCGTGGGTCGGTTCTGCTTTTTACTTTGGTTACCTGTTTTTCAACATGGGTCCTGGACAGTTTATTTTCCAGAAATCCAGATGGCTGGCCAAGACTCTAGCCGGGTTTGTGATTGTTTGGGGTATGCTTTTGGCCCTCCACTCGGTTCCCTCTGTTAACTATTCTTCTTTTATCGCCCTGAGAGTTCTATTAGGTTGCGCTGAGTCCATGGTGACGCCAACATTCACTGTCATTACCTCCCAATACTGGAAGAAAGAGGAACAGTTCATGCGTGTGTGTTTGTGGTTTGGTTTCAACGGACTTGGTGGTGTCTGGGCTAACGCCTTGGCCTACGGTCTCTACATCAGACAGGATTCGTACTCCATTGACGCCTGGAGAGTATTGTTCATCATTACCGGCTTGATCACAATCGTTGTTGGTGTGGCCATTTTCTTCCACATTCCAGATGACCCCTCCAAGGCTTGGTTTTTGTCAGAGCGTGAGAAGTTTATGGTGATCGAAAGAATTAGATCCAACCAGCAAGGCTTCGGTAACCACAACATCAAATGGTATCAGGTCAAAGAGGCATTTACCGATGTGAGAACTTGGCTATATTTTGCATTCTCCGTGGGATCTAACATCCCCAATGGTGGTCTAACTAACTTCATGAACATCTTGATCAAGTCTGATTTTGGTTACGACACTGCTCAGTCTTTGCTGATGACTATGCCCACTGGTGCCGTTGAACTTGTTGCATGCCCCTTATTTGGTTACCTATCTGTGGTGTGTGCTAAGAAGAAGGTTCCATTCCTGCAATACAGATTGGCCTGGGGTATCATTGCTGCTTTGATCAGTGTTTTAGGGACTTGTTTGCTAGCTTTTGCCCACGATTCTCCTAAGGCCAGACTTGCTGGTGCGTACTTGTTATACGTGGCACCCGTGGCTTTCATTTGTGTGTTGTCGATTATCAGTTCCAACACTATTGGGTTCAGTAAGAAATGGAGTGTGTCGTCAATCAACTTGGTTTCCTATGCTGCATCGAACTTGGCAGGACCACAAACGTTCATCCCCTCGCAGGCCCCAGGCTACACTGGTGCTAAGATTGCCATGTTGGTCTGCTACGCAGCCACCGTTGTCGTGCTGGTGGCTTTGTTTGTAATTAACTACAGAGAAAACAAGAGAAGAGACAAGATTCAGGCTGAGAGAGGTCCAGAACATGTCGTTATCGAGAACATGGAATTTGCTGATTTGACTGACAAGGAGAATCCAAACTTTAGATACGCTCTCTGATTTCTTATATGAATTTTGGGTAATTACTTCTTTTTCTCGCTGATTGACTTCGCGAGCTCTGCTTTTTTAATAATTTTATAAACTTCTTCAAGGACTGCTCTCTCTTAACATCTGCACTGTAAGCTTCCTAGCCTGTACTGAAAATCAATTTTCCCAACCTTCGTCGGTTTACGAAGCGAAGCATGTTGGAGGTTATTCAGAGCGCGAAGACATAGTATTCTTATTGAGGCGAATTTGATTCATCAGTAGAAAGCTTACTAAATTTGTCTTGTAAGTCGGACATAGTCATTGTAAGATGAGTGACTTGGATCTAGGGAATTCTATTTATCTCTCCGTGATTATTTTAGGCATTAGAGTTGGTTCAGTTACCTGAACAAAAGCCTGGTATTTATACAATTCTCACTCGGTGACTCTGGTCAACATATTTATTAATCACCAGTTCTAGATCATTCTATTACCCAAGGATTACGGCTTCAATGCCGTACACTACCGATAACTTATCAATGGCCAATCCCATTGGACAATAGTTGTTCTCTTCGGTTTGTCTTAGCTTGTAGCTCTATTTGTATGGCCTCGGTTGTGTACTATCATTCTGTACCACTGTGTCACATATTTACTGACGCTGATTATGCGATTAGACGCACATCACCATCAGTTTATTCACATCATTCCCAACAAGTAAATACTCACAAGGTCTATTGGAAACCTATGGGAATAAGTGGACCTTCTACGTTGTTCCTCTCTACTTATGACTAGCTACCAACTATTAAGGAGTTTCCATCAGCTATTTATACATGGACTCCCAGTTGATGCTAAAACTGTTCTTGAAATACCATCTTAGACCGATTATTGACATTATCCTGTCATGTTGAGGTTTCCTAGCGGTGTATGACATATTCCTGTCGTTCGAGGACACGAAATAATTATTTTTATCACTCAATATAAACCTCCCCCGATATCATGTAATCTCATCAAGCCTGTGTGGCGCAGTGGTAGCGCAGCAGATTGCAAATCTGTTGGTCCTTAGTTCGAACCTGAGCGCAGGCTTGATTTATTTTTGATAAATTTGACAACTCCGATGTAACAAGTGTGCCTGTAAACCACTTTTTCGATAATACAAATGCTTAATGCTTAATGCTAGATGGAGTATACGGGTCAACTTATTTTTTTCTAAACTTGCGCTTAGCGTAGCTAATAACCTGTGCGTTTCCCTCTTGAGACACGAAAAACCTTTTCTTCTTGTCATCCTTCCACAGAAGCACTCCAATATCGGTTGCGTAAGCACTGAGCGTGTTATATTCTTGTTGGTTGTCGAAATCTGTGAATAGATACCCCTCATAGCTGATGATTCGGTCGAGCTCTAGTTGCCAAAGTTTTATTTGATCGACCACAGTGGGGGGAAGGATCTGTAGACCTTCTTTGCAATTCGCGTCAAGTTCCATCTTTTTGTCTAAAGTTTGCTCAGCTAACCTCCGCATTTGTGGATGGGCGTGTGTTTCTAAGTAAGCGATTATTTGGTCGGCTGTAATACCATTGAGTAAGGCACGTCTGATTGAATCCCTGGTGATTTGACCGGTGACCATGTTCGAAAATCTCGACTTTAGATGCACGAATAAGCCCAAAACGGCGATTTGCAATGGCGAATTGGAATAAGAGTATATCTTAAAGTTTGTTTCCAAAATGACTGCACCGTCTGGGAGCGCCTGAGCGGTCCCCCCTACCTGGTCCGCATCTTGCTCACTGTCTTTCGCCGAGGATGGTGCTTCCTCTGCTTTTGCCTTGCCAGCTGCCCCCTGAGTCAAAACACTATTCATGGCACTTGAAGCGGAACGTATACTCATGGAGTCCGAGGTCAGCATAGATGCAAGTCTTGTTGGGTAAAATTTTGAGGGATTAGATGCCTTTTGAAACACAAGACCATAATCTCGCATGTCTTGCAACATAGTCTTTTGCGTTTCGCTCAAGTTCGTATCACTATAAGCCTTTCCGAGTTCCAACGCTCCCAGCATGAAGATGAAATTCAAAACATCAACTGGATCCATCTGCAGACTTTCTGCCAGTCTAAGGTACTGCAGAAGCAATGCCCAAATCTGAGCATTTGCATCTTGAAGTAAAAATTGGAAACCTTCATTCGTAATCTGTAATTCCCCCGTGCGATTTTCCTCCATTAATTTACTGTGTTGAAGTAGCGAAAGTACTTTTCGAGAGGGAGTCTGGGTCATTGGGGTACCCACCATGAAATGTAATATAGATTCCCATTTGTTAGCAGCATACTGATCCAGCATGGCTGGTTGGACCGCTTCGCTTTCGTCCTCCACAACATTGCCGAAAGAATTATTCACCTCTCCACCTGTTAGAGCGTTGCCGAAACTAGTTCTGAATATGGAGTTCAGGTTGATCATATATGGCTGCCCGGAATGTCCTTCGACCAATAGATGCAAGGATTTCATCGATTTTATGGCCTCATTGAACTGATATTTACCCGAACTATTCACCCACCTGTCCAAGTCTCGGAGGGATACGTCACTTTCATTGAAGACCATTGACATGATGAAGAATTTGGCAAGTTTTGGCAGCAGCCTGTACATGGCTAAACATGTCGCTGGTGAAGTATACAGTCGCGAGTGAACTTGAGGGGGTAGGTCCTCCAAATACTCATTAACAGTAGCCTTGAATGGGGCCCCAGACATACCAATTGTCGAAGAAAGGCCCTTATGACCGAGTAGAAGATGAGATAATTGGCCTATTTGCCCGTTAAGTGCCTTCTCAGTTCATTAAGTGTAAGTGTCTGCGTTATAAGTGATATGTATTTTTGCTGAGATTACGGTAGTCTGATCGAGATGGTTAGACCAACTACATGATTGATGCTTGACGAAACTAGATGAAACCGTCGGGAACTTGCAAAATGTTTGAGAAGTATTGAGAGAGTTTCGATAAATGACTCTGTGCAATTATTAGCATTGCCTGCATGACCGTAATGTATTATGATGAATTGTCATGATAATAAGTGATTAAGGTGTAGGAAAATCGATAGATCACAAGTACAAGTGTCACATAGCTGTGAACTTGTCTATCAATGTAGTTTATTTTTTCTTTCCTTTTTGACTAAATCAGCAATTGAAAACTTGTAGGTCAGTGTGATATTCAATAGCGTAATTCCGGCCGCCAGATGCACCGGAAAGATTGACGTCGTCTCTTGCCGAAAGCCCCAATAGTCAATTGCTTTCTAGCTGACAGGATTCTTGCATAGCGTTATTTTTTATGGGGGGGGGGGGTAGTCATCTTCCACTTAACACTCTATAGCTGACCCAATTAAGCTCTTCGATAGGACACATGCGGAGGAATATCCTAAAGTGCATTGTCAATTGATATCAAGGATCAGAGTTGAAGTTTAGCGTAGTACAATACCGCTGCCAACTAATCTCAAGTCTCGACCACAGTCAGTGTCCCTTCAGTTCTCGTGATAAATGCTATAGTTCATCGGATCAACTAAATTTTTACAAGGCTCAAATAGCTCAAGCGATGCTCTCGATGGCCCGACCGCTGAGCAGGAAATGTCCACCGCGGGTGTCATGAGGCCACAGGCGACTGTAGAGAAAGACTCTTCTTTTGAGCCTCTTTTGAAGCCAATTTACAAAGGTAAGAAACTCACCGACGAGATCAACACTGCAGAAGACAAGTGGAATCTGTTACCAGCGTTTCTGAAAGTCAAAGGATTAGTCAAACAGCATTTGGACTCATTCAACTACTTTGTGGACACAGATTTGAAAAAAATAATCAAGGCAAATGAGCTCATTTTGAGTGACGTTGATCCAGAATTCTACCTGAAGTATGTGGATATTAGAGTTGGCTACAAATCTAGTTCATCATCCAAGGATTACATAGTTCCTCCTCACGAATGCCGTCTTAGAGATATGACTTACTCGGCCCCTGTTTACGTCGATATTGAGTATACCAGAGGCAGAAACATCATCATGCACCGAGACGTTGAAATAGGTAGAATGCCTATCATGCTTCGTTCCAACAAGTGTATTTTGAATGGAGCCTCTGAAGCCCAAATGGCGAAGATCAACGAATGTCCTCTCGATCCCGGTGGGTACTTTATTGTTAATGGTACTGAAAAGGTCATCCTGGTACAGGAACAACTGTCTAAGAATCGTATTATTGTGGAGGCAGACGAGAAAAAGGCGATCGTCCAGGCCTCCGTCACTTCTTCTACCCACGAAAGAAAGTCCAAAACCTATGTCATTACCAAGAACGAAAAGATTTATTTGAAGCATAATTCTATTGCTGAAGAGGTACCGATTGTCCTCGTTCTCAAGGCATGTGGCGTTGTGTCAGATCTTGAAATTATGCAATTAGTCTGTGGTAATGACAGCAGCTATCAGGATATTTTCGCCATCAATTTCGAAGAGGTGGCCAAGATGAAGATTTACACCCAGCAACAAGCTTTGGAATACATTGGATCTAAAGTGAAGACAATAAGACGTCAGAAGCTGACTACTTTGCAAGAGGGTATTGAGGCGATTGCAACCACGGTCATCGCCCATCTCACAGTGGAAGCACTTGACTTCAGAGAAAAGGCATTATACATTGCTGTAATGACGAGAAGAGTCGTCATGGCCATTCAAAATCCCAAAATGGTCGATGACAGAGATTACGTTGGTAACAAGAGATTAGAACTCGCTGGTCAACTGATGTCACTTCTTTTCGAAGATTTGTTCAAAAAATTCAACAATGATTTTAAGGCAAACATTGACAAGGTCCTCAAGAAGCCAAATAGAGCAATGGAATATGACGCTTTGTTATCAATTAACGTGCATTCGAACAACATTACTAGTGGTCTCAATAGAGCGATTTCGACTGGTAACTGGTCTTTGAAGAGATTTAAGATGGAAAGAGCAGGTGTAACCCATGTCTTGAGCAGATTATCTTATATCTCGGCTCTCGGAATGATGACTAGAATCTCTTCCCAATTTGAAAAGTCCCGTAAAGTTTCTGGCCCAAGAGCATTACAACCGTCGCAATTTGGTATGCTCTGCACATCAGATACTCCAGAAGGTGAGGCGTGTGGACTGGTCAAAAATCTTGCTCTGATGACCCATATCACTACGGATGATGAAGAGGAACCTATCAAAAAGCTCTGCTATTTATTAGGTGTCGAAGATATTTCAGTAGTGGATAGCGACTCTCTTCACCTCAACTATTGTGTCTATCTTAATGGTACAATTGTTGGTGTGATAAGGTTTGCCACAAAGTTCGTATCTCATTTCCGAAGTTTAAGAAGATCTGGTAAGATTTCGGATTTTATTTCCATCTACACTAACTTACACCAGAAGGCTGTCCACATTGCAACGGATGGTGGCAGAGTATGTCGCCCATTGATTATCGTCACCGGAGGTGAATCACGGGTCAAGTCCGAACATCTGCAGCAACTTCTTAACGGTGGCCTGCAATTCGACGATTTTTTGAAACTTGGATTAGTTGAATATCTGGATGTTAACGAAGAAAACGACTCCTTTATTGCACTTTATGAAAAGAACATTGAGCCAAGAACGACACATTTAGAAATTGAACCCTTTACAGTTTTGGGTGCCGTAGCAGGTTTGATTCCATATCCTCATCATAATCAATCGCCCCGTAACACCTATCAGTGTGCAATGGGTAAGCAAGCTATTGGAGCGATTGCGTACAATCAATTTAAAAGGATTGACACTCTTCTTTATCTCATGATATATCCACAGCAACCGATGGTCAAGACAAAAACAATAGAACTTATAGATTACGACAAGATTCCCGCAGGACAGAATGCAACAGTTGCCGTCATGTCTTATTCAGGCTATGATATTGAAGATGCATTGGTGCTCAATAAGTCTTCCATTGACAGAGGATTCGGACGTTGCGAGACCAGGCGTAAGCTTACGACAGTTTTGAAGAGGTACCCCAACCATACACAGGATATGGTAGGTGGTATGAGAGTGGATGAGAATGGAGACCCCATATGGCAGCACAGAGCTCTTGGCCCGGATGGCCTTGGAGAAGTTGGAATGAAAGTTGAGAGTGGCCAAATTTACGTTAACAAATCCGTACCTACAAATGCGTCCGACAGCGTGCTTACTCAAACTCAAGCACAGTATAGAGAAACTCCAGTAGTGTACAGAGCTCCTGAACCTTCCCACATTGACCAGGTAATGATGTCTGTGTCAGAGAACGATCAAGCTCTTATCAAAGTGCTACTGAGACAAAATAGGAGACCCGAACTAGGTGACAAATTTTCTTCCAGGCACGGTCAAAAGGGTGTCTGTGGTATCATCGTAAATCATGAAGATTTACCCTTTAATGATCAAGGTATCGTGCCTGACATTATCATGAACCCTCATGGTTTCCCTTCACGTATGACAGTCGGAAAAATGATGGAACTGTTATCTGGTAAGGCTGGTGTGCTGAATGGAACGTTAGAGTATGGTACTTGTTTTGGCGGCTCTAAATTAGAGGACATGACGGACATCTTAATTAAAAATGGATTTAATTACTCCGGTAAGGACATGTTGTACTCTGGTATCACGGGTGAGTGCTTACAAGCCTATATATTCTTTGGTCCCATCTACTATCAAAAACTGAAACACATGGTTTTGGACAAAATGCATGCTAGAGCTAGAGGACCGAGAGCCGTTTTAACGCGTCAACCTACTGAAGGTAGATCGCGCGATGGTGGTCTTAGATTAGGGGAGATGGAAAGGGATTGTGTTATTGCCTATGGAGCTTCGCAGTTGCTACTGGAGAGGTTGATGATAAGTTCAGATGCTTTCGAGGTCGACGTTTGCAATAACTGTGGACTGATGGGTTACAGTGGCTGGTGTACTACATGCAAGAGTGCAGAGCATATTGTGAAAATGACTATTCCTTATGCTGCCAAGCTACTGTTCCAAGAACTGTTGTCGATGAACATTGCCCCTAGATTGAAATTAGAAGACGTTTTTGAACAGTAGCGATCGCATGCAAAAAGAGCACGCGTTTAAGTAGCATAAACATCAGTTTTAGAATAGCGAATGCATATTACATAACGTGGAGAATAAACAACAAGCATAATTTTTCATTCCCCAAAGATAAGATTGTAGTCAACCTTGAGCCTCTTGGCAAGCTCTTCCATAGTAAGCTCCCCTTCTGCGCAACTTGTAGTTTTGGCATCCAGTTTTTCAAGCTCTCTTTGTTGGAAAGCTTTACTTTCTTCTCGTTTCAGTTCCATTTGCCGCCTGAGGTCTTCTTGGTCGTATTCTGATAGCATTTTGAAATCGTCAGATTCTAGAATACCGTCAATTTCGTTCTCTAGCTGATCAGAAAACTGGTACTCGAACTTGCGCTTTTCAGCTTCAACTTCTTTTTTGACTAATTCTTCATAGCCACCCATTTTCCCTATCTTTAGAAGCGTCGAATTCATAAGAAACGCCATTGCTCCTTGACAGATAGCTTTCCATTTATCTATCAACAGTTGGACTTCTTGTTCTTTCTCATGCTTGTTAAGAACCTTTATTGCACTCTCTATCGAAGCACTTTCCTTCTTAAGGGCCCTTATTTCGTCAGCTCTTCTCCGTTCCGTTATTCCCTCTTGACCAAGTCCTTGTCGGCAGAAACCTGTGAAGCCGCCAGGCTTCCTGAAACCTTTCGCTACCTTGTTGGTGCTCCGTTCAATGGGGGTAATTGAATAGACCATCAGGACTGTGTTAGTGAGTGAGTGTGTATGTGTAAGCTATAATATTATGTTGTAATTGTTAAGTCTTTGCCGCCGAGGTCAAGAACTGATAATCAACGTAATCTCGGCACAAAACTACTAGGCATGAACAAAAGCTTCAAGAGCTTCTCTGATTGTAAAGTACTGTACAGCCACCGTCTCTCCAATATATATATATATATATATATATATGTAGGCCTAATATAATGCTCTTGCGTATTTGTGTGATCAGATCAATTATCGGAACTGTCCGACATTTGGACGTCTTCCATGTCATCATCCGATGGCTGTTGGACATTGCTTTCTTCATCATCTTCAGCAACACTCTCTCTTAGAATTCTGGCCTTTTCTTCCTTGACCTCACGCTGGACAGCAACGTAAGAACCCAATGGGGTTTTGTTCCATGCTAAGTCATTCAAAAAGCGCTCAACCTCGGCCCTATTGGTAGGACTGAAATCAATCTCAGATCTTTTGTTGAGAACGAAGTCGGAATTCTGTTTCAGTTTCTCGAGCACATTGCTTACTTGCTTGTTGAACTTGCTGTTCTTCGAAGACTTGATGTAGCGACGCAGAGCAATATAAGCGGGGGTGGATAGCTCAGGGAAAGAAACACTCTTGCAGTACAGAACAAAGTATTCGCAGATTAACTCAATGAATTGATCACCTAGGCCGTCTTGATAAACCTTGGTGCCCAAATAACCTTGGTTACATTTGATGTTGTGTTCGAAATCAAAGGCAGGCAGAGTAGACTTCTTTTTGGGCACCTTGGTGAAAGCGGTCGAGGACAATATCTCTGAGAGGAGTGGATAAATTGGAATGAAAGTTCCGGTGTTCTGGGAAAGTCTGATGAGCGATTTGATCAGATAGAATCTCAAAGGGAAAAATTGGGCAGTGGGGATCAACCTAATAACACCAATTGTGACCTGAACAAGTGGGTAAATCAATTGTCTCAACTGTGACTCGGTACCGTTTTCCTTTTCAGGATTACACTGAGCACATAATACTCTGGACCAAAAGTCTAGCGAGTGACAAAACTGCCAGTTGTAAACAATTTTATAAGCCTCAGCAGGGTTGACTTTAGCTGACTTCTTAGTTGTTGCATTTATGCTATTCCTCAAGTGAATGGCCAATTGTCTGACATATTCAAAACCAATTTGATACCCCAGAACTTCGTCAATGCCAAATAATTCTGCAGACGAATTTTTCTGAAAGTTAATCAAGGGCATCGTACGAATGTTCGTTTTACGACAGCTTTTGATGAAAGACGAGTAAGTAGTCTTGAGAACTGTGTCTAGAATTGATTTCTTGAATTCCCTTGATGCATTATTCAAGAAAGCAAAAGCTGTGATTTGAGTTTCCAGGTCTCTTGTCGTAGCTCCCAACTCAACAACACTTTTGACAATTTCTTTTATGATTCTTCTGTAGGACAAGAAATATGGCAGAATTTGATCCAATGAGTGCAACACCAATGCGGCAGACCCTGTGTTAGTTATGTCGTGAAGCATGGTGATCATGGAGCCAGCGTGAGATTTCAACACACTTGAAACTTTAGTGACGTTCGAATTGTTCGGAAGCGTCCTCGCCCCTTTCGTGATTTGATATGGATGTGCCTTCAAAATAGCGGCTGGCATGTCTTTTAGCGCAAGGAACATGAGCTCTTGGAAAGCCTTGCCGTCAATGACGGCAAATTTGTAAGTATCCACCAAGTCTTCTCTGTTAGCGTTCACAGCGGCCTTAAAGGCAGAAACAATATTTCTTACCAGTTTGATGCTGAGAGAGGACGCACCCAGCTCTTTCTTCCACTTTTTAACGAGTTTCAGGTCAACTTCGGTCGTAGTCTTGTCGACATCGTCTGACTGTCCGTTGGATTTTGAACTGACTCCTTCCTTTAGTCCACTTCCATCTACCATGTCTTCACCATCGTCATCTTCATCTTCGCCGTCACTAATTGCGTCCAACGGGTTAGTACCTTCGAAATTTAACAACTCCTGGTCATTTTCCTGCAAGTACTTGTAAAATTCAGGGTCCTTTTCGGCCAAACCGGCCATGTTTTCCACCATCCCCGCTTCATCCTCACTTGAAGAGACGTCCTCCTCCTCTTGCTGCTTTTCCTCGGGCTTATTCTCCTTGCCACGCTTACCTTTACCCTGCTTCTTAGGCACTTCGAAGCCGCCGGCAAAAAAGTCTTCAACGCTCATATCCTTGAATACCTCTTCTTTCGCCGAGTCACGCATTTTCTGTTCTTCTTTTGTCAAAGCTGCCTCCTCCTTTTCCTGTTCGGATTTGTTGCCTCTGCGTCCTTTCGTCTTCTTGGCATGGTTTTTCAACTTCTTCCTGTGGTCCAGCGTGTGCTTCAAATGCTTCGTTTGAAACTTCTTGGTGGCTTTTGACGCTTTTGCCATTTCTTAGAGTATTCAAAAGTGATGAAGTCACCTATCTAAGATCCTGAAGCACTATTGTCTTGGAAATGCTTGATCCATTCAGAAGCTCATCTCATCTCATCTCATCGTAGGTTTTGTATTTCTGAAAAATTTTCTACTTCCTCGATGACCTAATAGTTAACGAACTTGAGAAAGACCATAATGTATAATTTAGCCCGAATGCTAACTTCAAGCTAAGAAGCAGTGCATCAAAACTTAATGCTTTTGTTGGAGACTTGAGCGTAAGCAATCTCAGCCTTAAAGACAGCATTCTTGTCGCGAACTGTTGTTTTTTTTAGAGAAGTTTCGACCGAGTTCAGATTATGTATCGGAAACTAGGAAAACTAGCGGCTAAGAATGGCGCGCGGTGTGTCCGGCGTTTTAAATCATGCAATGCCTGTGGGGTTCACCTTCAAAGTGCGGATAGATCTAAAATTGGATTTTACATAGCACCCAAGACTTCACAGCGTCCCCAGGAACATGCGCAGCTGCAGGACCTGAAAGAGCTTAAATACCTACTTTTCAGCCAAGATCTCCGAACACTGCAAGATGAAAATATTCTGCAGCATGGCGGCAATATTGCTGATCGAGATAGAAATGCAACTGGTGCCCATTCATTACCGAGGGATACTAGACAAATTGTTTGCAAACGTTGTAGTGATGCCTTGCACCAAAATAGATACGAGCCCCACGAGTTCCGTGCTTTTTCAGCTGCAGAAGTTCATGACTTCGTGCCACAAAATGCCAACGTTTTCCACGTAGTTTCGCTTTCGCAATTTCCTTTGCATTTCAATGGAGCTCTGTTCACAGACCCAAACTACAGCTCAGCTTTATTGCTGTCTAAAGGCGATCTTTTGACACCGGATAAGGCTTTCCTTCAGCGGAAGGCCCCTCGATTTTTTGCCGATTTTTTGAAAGCAAAACTGGGATTACCATCGAGCCCCAAAGTAGTTGCCTTTTCTGCCACACGAAGTTGGAATATTCAAAGCGTGTTTTCGGTATTGCGCGGTGACTCCTACCTGTTAGGAAGTCCAAACTCTGGTAAATCGACGCTTGTTAATTCGCTCTTGAAAAAATACGGCGGCGCTAAGGTTGATTCCGATGAACGTGGCATTGACCCCGCAACATGCCAATATCATTCGTTGCGTGAACAAGGTGCTGGCGTTTCTCACATCCCCAACATGACCAGAAACTTACAGTCGTATAATATCGGCAACAAAACTATCAATGACTTGCCAGGCTTCTCTGAGAACGTTGACGAGGAGAGACTCGACGAAATGGTAAATGCCAAAGTGCTTGAGAGAATCCGTAAAACCCACCTTTTTTCAAAGAGCAAGTTGGTTAATCAAAGCTACGCTTCAGTAAAAGGTACTGATAATGGGCATTGCTATACAGTTAGCGGGCTATTCTATCTCGTGCCCCCGCCTAATACGATTAACCAGGTAGTGAATTTCATACCAGGGAATGAAAAGCAGTATCGAGACATCGACAAGGCTCTGTTGGTTGCGACGCAGGAGCTGAGCACCTCCTCTTCTGGCACCCTTAAGCAATATGTGGGAGTCAAAGAATCGCTGTGTCGGAAAGAAAACTTCACTCGACATGTAATACCACCTTTCCAAGGGACTGTCGAGATAGTATTGAAAGATATTGGATTTTTGCAACTGAAAGCTACAGGAAGGTACCAATTTTCAGGCCTCTATGAGATTTGGGTCCCTAAAAACGTTCAAGTGTGCGTTCGGGAACCATTGGCTCGATTAATTGAAACATGCTACGACAATCACCTCAAATCTCAGGGCAGCATTCCTTCTTTTCAAGACAAACGTCCTGTGATTAGCTTGACGTATCCGATGGAACCAGATGAAAAGGACGTCTTTTCTAAGATGCGTGAAATGTTTTTACAACGCACGCAAAACGAAATTTTAAGTAGACAGCGGATTAGTGAGGATCCAAAGAAGGTAGTCGCTCAATTACACCGCGAAGCACCTAACTTGTATTGGTTTTACAAATGGTAGATAGCCCTCACATGATAAGAGAAATCTTGTCGTTTCTCGTTGCGTCCCCTTTGGATGTTTTTTTACCAGGAATCTTATCAAGTCCCGCGCGGGCAACAATTCCAAAAAACCGTGACAGTCGAAATTCAACCCTCAACCCTATCAAACTTGAGACATCAAAGTATTTAACAAGCATACACACGGTTGAATAGTAAATAGTCTTTCAACATGGCATAGAACTTATAGTCAGCCACCAATTAAAATGTCATCCATTTCCGTTAGGTTCATCGAAGAATCTGACAAAGATCAATGGTTGAGGCTCTGGAAGGGTTACCTCAAATTCTACAAAAGCTCAGTCAGTGACCAAGCCACTGAATTTACCTTCACGCGATTTCTAGATCCCAACGTCAAGATGTGGTCCGCAGTCGCAATCGACCTTGAGTCTGGCGCTGTAGTTGGATTTGCGAATTATCTTTCTCACATGCAAACTTGGGACGTGAAGGATAAGATTTATCTCAACGACCTATTTGTGGACGAAAGCATTCGATCCAAGGGCGTCGGTAGAGCTCTCATCAATCATGTATACGACCATGCTGACAAACTAGGTACGCCTAACGTATATTGGTCGACCGCCACCGATAATCATCGTGCTCAATTGCTATATACAAAAGTTGGTCGCTTCTCTGGTTTTGTGAAGTATGTCAGAAGTTAATAGTAGTCCACGACGCGCGAGAATTCACGAAACTGCTACTCCTAACTTCCGATCTAGGCATGGTCGGACCAAAGACATTCTTTTGACATACAGCCTAAAGATAACTTAGGGACGTGCTTATAAATATTTTCGTAGTGGATCTGCTTTTCACTCTGTTCAATGGAGTTTTATATTGTTACACAGCTAACTTGGTATAATTGCCCGTGTCAAAATTGATTTGAGCATTTCAAGAAAACATTCACTTGGGATCCAGGAATTGCAAAATGGTTGACTCCGAGGTGTTAAAATGCCAAAACTGTCACATCCCATTAGAATTGGACTCCTCTTTGATGAATTTAACGCTTGCTCAGCGAAATTTGTTACTTAGTTCAGCTACTGAGCCCACCTCATCAGGGGTTCAAATACCCCCAGAACGCTTGAAACGGCTAAATGGTATTAAGAAAGTTAACGAACTCAACTTTCAACCCTCCGTACTCAACAACCTTGACTCCTACGTTTTTTTGAATGGCGATTCGAGTACGTTGCAGACCACTCAACTGGACGTGGAGTCCGGAGACGAGGGGGACGAAGACTTGACCTCAAAGACGCTAAGCTCTCGCATCAGCACACTGCGCAACATCTTTAATATTCTATCCGCGAAGAGTAACATAGAATACCCAGTTTGCCAAGATTGCTGTGACCTACTTATACAAAAGCTGAAGAGCGATTACGAGGATGGGTTGAAAGAACGCGACACATATTCCGACTTTTTAAATAGGCTCAATAAGCAGAGAGATCTGGAAAATGATGGAAGTGAAGGGCATGAAGAATCCTTAGTGGATGAGAGGGAGGAAGCAGATAGGGAACAGGAAGATTTGCTACGCGAATTGGAAGCTTTGGAGGAAGAAGAGGGTACCTTAGACTCTACGATAGAGGAACTGGAAAAGCAGCTGTTGCTAAAGAAGGAAATGGAAATGAAGGAGCTACAGCAACGAAACATACAGGATCTGGAAAAACTGGACTTTTCTAGGGAATTGCAATCTCTAAAAAACCAACACGAATATACACTAAACAGCCTCGATAGACTAAGAAAACTCAATGTTTTCAATGAAGCATTCCGAATATCGCATGATGGACCCTTTGGGACTATTAATGGCCTTCGGATGGGTGGACTCGACGAAATTCCCGTTCCATGGCAGGAAGTTAATGCAGCATTAGGTCAGTTGGTTTTACTACTTGCCACAATTTGCACTCGACTGCACTTTAAATTAGCTGGCTTTATCGTGCGCCCTATGGGATCTTTCTCCAAAATTGAACAGCTTGATCCGAAAACTCAAGAATGGCATAGTTACGACGCCTTTAACAGTGGCAGCTTCAAATTAGGGCGCCTGTTTCACAAGGAAACCAGTTTTGACCGCGCTATGGTCTCAATAATGGATATCATTGGTCAAATTACATCACATCTTTCGCGTGGAAGAAGTATGGAGTCCGATGAGATAGAATTACCCTACGCCATGGTTGCTGAAAAAATTAACGGAATGCCGATAAAACTGGGTGGGAACAAACCAAATTCCGAGTGGACAACTGCCTGTAAGTTCTTATTAACTAACGCTAAGTGGTTGTTAGCATTTTCGTCAACAATGATCAGTATACCCCAGGAGCAATGAGTAAGTGCTCATCGTACCAATTAAAAGTTGCCGACAGTTTGCTGGCGTACAAACAACCCCAGTCATTCAGCCTATACTTCGTTAACTCATCCTTACTTATTGTTGGTTGAGTTTGAACCCGACTTCGTATCTGAGAAACAATTCATGACGAAGATACCAGCAGACGAGGAAAAGGAAAGTCTTGGTTTTCTAGATGCTGCTCATCTGGCAATATCATTAAAAAGCATATCCAAGGGCCTCCAGATTGATTCAGATGACTTTGAGACTATAGCCCAACGAATCTTGGCGTCTGTTCCGTCAAAAGTACAAAGCTGCGAGTTCATCCAATACACTGGAGAAGTACTAGTTGCGATGACTACGACTCATCCTGATTTCGCTGTCCTTGCCGCCAGATGGGAGGTATATAACCTTCACAAGAAGATTGGTGGTTTGACCTTTACAGAAAACTTGAGTATCATCAATGGATTCCAACGTCCTCGAAGTGACGCACCTCTGGTGAAAAGACCTAGGGTAGGGATGAAACCGATAACCAAGAGGCTGATATCTGATGAATTTTATGATCTCGCTTTGCTTCATCGAAATGTTCTCGATGAAGCAATAGTGCCAAGTCGCGATTACACTTTTTCTTATTTTGGCTGGAAAACATTGTGTAAATCGTACCTCATCAAGCGTAACAATGAAGAGATCCACGAAACCCCACAATTTATGTTCATGAGGGTTGCTCTCGCAATCCACGGTCCGCGTGGGGACGTAAACAAAATTTTACAGACTTACGATTTAATGTCTCGCAAATTTCTTATACATGCTTCCCCAACCCTTTTCAATGCAGGAACGGTTAAACAATATCTATCCTCATGTTTCTTGGTTGCCATGATAGAAGACTCAATCGACGGTATCTACCGTACCTTACACAAGACAGCGATGATATCTAAAGCTTCCGGGGGAATTGGAATACATGTGTCCAATGTTCGAGGAAGCGGGGCTTATATTTCCGGCTCTAACGGAACTTCCAATGGACTCGTGCCAATGTTGCGGGTTTTCAACAATACAGCAAGGTATGTGGACCAAGGGGGAAGTAAACGGCCAGGGGCCTTTAGCATATACTTAGAACCTTGGCATTCAGATGTATTCGATTTTTTGCAGCTACGAAAGAACCAAGGCAAGGAGGAATTAAGGGCGCGTGACCTTTTCTGTGCCTTGTGGATACCAGATCTTTTCATGAAGCGTGTAGAAGCCAACGAAACGTGGAGTTTATTTTCTCCGGACGAAGCTCCGGGCCTACAAGATTGTTTTGGCAGTGATTTTAACGACCTATACGAATACTACGAAAGGACTCTCAAACCAAAAGAGACTGTGCAGGCACAGAAGCTCTGGAGAGAAATTTTACAAAGTCAAGTTGAAACGGGTGGTCCATTCATGCTTTATAAGGACTCTTGTAATAGGAAATCTAACCAGCAAAATTTGGGGACAATCAAGTCATCCAATCTATGCTGTGAAATCGTGCAGTACAGCTCACCCGAAGAGACTGCTGTTTGTAATCTAGCTTCGGTCGCCCTGCCTTCTTTTGTTAAAATACAAGGTGGACAGGGAACATTTGATTTCCGAAAACTTCACGAGATAGTAATGGTGATGACTACCAATCTAGATACGATGATAGACATATGTGATTATCCTGTCGACGATGCAGAGTATAGCAACAAGAAAAATCGACCACTGGCGATCGGCGTTCAGGGACTTGCAGACGTTTTTTACATGCTACGGATTCCATTTCAATCTGAAATAGCTCGCGTTTTGAATCGACAAATCTTTGAAACCATGTACCATGCCGCGATCGAAATGTCACTTGAACTTTCAAAGCGGTATGGCCCTTATTCGACCTTCAAAGGATCGCCTATGTCCCAAGGTTTGTTTCAATTTGACCTTTGGGGGCTCAACAACACAAACTATGACTTTCTTTACACGGATTGGAGTCGTTTACGGAAGGAAGTCATGGAACATGGGATAAGAAACTCGCTATTAATCGGACCAATGCCAACGGCGTCAACGTCACAGCTTTTGGGATTTGTAGAGTCATTTGAACCGCTATTATCAAATATATACACGAGAAGGGTACTCAGTGGTGAATTTACTGTCGTTAACAAATATATGATCGAAGATTTTCGCCGTCTGGGAGTCTGGGATGAAAAGTTGAAAAACCTCATAATCGCTAATGAGGGATCCATCCAGCAAATTGACGGCATCCCACAGGAGCTCAAAGACCTTTACAAGACTGTATGGGAAATTCCACAGCGTGCACTGATTGACCTGGCGGCCGATCGTGGCCCCTTCATCGATCAGTCCCAGAGTTTGAACCTCTACTTAAAGGAACCTACGATGGCGAAACTCACCAGTATGCACTTTCACGCCTGGAAGAAGGGATTGAAGACGGGTATGTACTACCTTCGGACCCAGGCAGCTTCCAGTGCTATCAAGTTTTCCTTAACCGCGGAGAATACGCTGAACAAGCCCGTGGAGATCCCTCAGGGTAAAAGCATCGAGACATTGATGGTTAAGGGCATATATCTACAAAGCTGCAATTCCAAGGTGATATTCACGACTTCTGACCCCACTTCTCTGGAGCCAAGCCCTGCTTTCAACGAAAGTAAAGATAGTTTTATCGACCGAGGCAATAACTTTGGAATTCACGATTCTACCCCAATTGTCTGCAGTTCACCTGCACCTACAGCTAATTGTGATAGCTGTTCTGGTTAAAGCGGTTGCGACTAAAGCTCTGCATAGAGCCATAGTAGTCGGGTCAATAAATACTTGTAAATAGATAGGTCACAATAAAATGGCTTTACCAGACTACATAAGTTCACTCTTGGAGATGAGTATGACCATTCATCTGCATTGATTAAAGCTATGTTGTATCTTGTCACTATGCTACAAATAGGGTGTCGGTTTTTATTTGTCAAGATTGGTGATTGGTATCTAAAATGCTAATGTTATATATTATATAAACAACTGGCACCGCCCCTAAAAATTACACTATATATAGGGGAAATGGCGAATGGTAAAGTTTAACGTTTTAACATTTGACTCACGGCACACTTAATACCTTGCTGAGCTACTAAACGAGCTTGTTTTTTCAATTGTTAGCCTCTTTGCACTGCTCAGTCGTAAAAATAAATGAGAATACCTCTAGAACTGCTGCCGTTGGGCGGCTTTTCGGTATTCGACCAGTTTTTGCACCAATTTGACAGTCACACACCCGCATCTTGCCCTTCCAGCCTGCCGTTGACGTGCTCCAATCATTCCGCCATTGAAGATACGTGTTGTTTTGAGTATCCCGGTGGAGTTATGCTTCAGACTCAGTTCTGGGATTACAGTCCTCCAAATGGAATGAACTCTGGCCACTGGAGTGATGAGCTAGAAAACCATTTAGGTCCGAATACTTCATTTACAAATCATGGATTATGGCCAGATAATTGTGATGGTGGATATCAGCAGTTTTGTGACAATTCTCGGCAGATTGACGATGTGTACAATTTGCTAAAGTCCGAGCAATTCAACCACGATGGTTTAGAGATTCAGGGCCAAGACCTCTTGCACAAAATGTCTAAGCTATGGAAAAGCAACACTGGAGATGACGAGTCTTTGTGGATTCACGAATTCAACAAGCATGCCACATGCATCAAGACGTTAAGACCACAGTGCTACGCAAGGTGGGATGGTACCAAGGACAGTTCCTCCGCTGACTACAACAAAAAAGCAGTTTATGACTATTATAGAATTGCAATGAAACTTTACGAGAGTTTAGACACCTTCAAGCTTCTTGGTGATAAAGGAATTGTTCCGTCTACCACCAAGGGCTACAGCAGGGATCAAATATCCGAAGCGCTAAGCTCTGGATTTCAAGGTAAAAAAGCTTTCTTTAAGTGCGATCGCAATAGGGGGTTGAATGAAATTTGGTATTATCATCTGCTGAAAGGCAGCCTTTTGGGCGAAGATTTCCAACCCATTGATGCCATGGGGGCGCTCACAAACTGCCCTGCAGAGGGAATAATGCTGTATCCTAAGGGCTATCGACCTGGTCATGGAGGAAGGCCCGGAAACCCAGGAAATGGTAACCGCGGCATTAGGGGTGTCATTCGCGTTAGTGGATTCTCCGGTATCATAATCAGAAACGGACATTGGATGTCAAACGGAACACCCGCAAATTTCGATCTGATCAAAGCTCCTTTCGGTAATTACTATCTCAAATCGAGAACTGGCTATTGTGGACCAGATGAGCGCCACAGCGGTGCTTTGGTTTGTAATAAGGGAGTCGGAAATGCTGCTCAATTCGAGTTCGACGAGTCCAAAGGCTTCTTGGGCCTTAATGGCGGCTTTGACTGGTACGCTGATGACTATCCAAGAGGGCACCAACAGTCACTGATTTATGCTGGTCATTCAGAGAGTTCAAAATACCCTATGAAACTGAAATTTGTTAAATTACACTGAGCGCTTTCATATTGTTTATATGTACACAAAAGTTTCCAAAAAATGTACTGAAGGAACGATTTCCACTTATAGAGAGTCACTCACGCATGTTGATGCTGACTAGAGATCTGTGATAATTTAATCAGGTTTGTTGTGCTATCGTCGTAGTTAGAATGTAGTCTTTGAACGGGCTGTCCGCCGTCCAGGTTCAAGAGCACCTTGGTATTGTCGTGGTCTACACTTTCATACGCCCCCGGCGGTTCAGTATTTCGCGGTTCGTAAGGACTTCTCGGGCTTTTCTCTAGAATTGCCACGCAGTGTTCTAATGTGCGCATTCGCATTTCTAGGTTGGCGTTTCGGGCTTCTTGTGCTTCCAGAGCACGCTGCAACCGCCCGATGCTTTGCTGTTGGTCGTGAACCATCATTCGCAGGCCATCTACTTCAGTGTAGTGTTCCGGCTCAACTTTTCTAGGAAGGTCGCGACGGGCTGCAGGTGGAAGGGAACCCGATGGGTGTCGGGAATCTATTCGCAGCCCTTCCCTCAACTGCTGTCGCAGAAGCTCGTCATTTCCTCTCGTCTTTCTCTCCATCGGTGGCGTCGGCACCTGAAGTGGTCGAGTTCTGGTTGTCGTAGGGCTAGTCACCAGAAGCTCTTGAAGGTTCTTTTTGGATGCTAAGTAGTCGCGTCTTATGTTCTGCAGAGTATCATCAGTTTCGGGGTCGTTAAAAAAGCCGGTGGTACCAGTTCGATTCATGGAGTTTGGCAATGCAAGCTTAGCACCTAGTTTTGGGGCCTCTTCCTCAAAGAAAAACGGTTAAAGTTCAGTGAACGCTGTATGTCTTTGTGTTTTTACTACTATGAATTCAATTTAGTATTTCGCGAACATAATATATCCGCGTACAAACAAGGTGAACACACCATAACCATACCCAACCATGTTATCACAGTTATACAAAGCAGGGTACGGGAAAGAGTTTGGTATTTTCGATGGACTGCTGATTACCGATGTGGTCAATTCTTGTCTCTTCTCATTTAAATTTTCAGGTAGTGTTCTCGTACATATCCTCGAGCCGTGTCACTTTATTGAATATTATAAAAATAAACCTTCAACCAACAGAAAACTCAACCCTATAGCTTTTAAAATAATCTGCTGTTTGAATTTCACAGCTTGACTCTTGATAACAATTGTGGCACCCCATCCATTGTTTTTTTCTGTTAATCCTGACAAGAAACATACGAACTTTTGAATTTCCACGCTAGTGCAGAAACTCAATAGGACTCTTCTGATCACATCTACCAAAGTCCGTTTTATGCACATTTTCGGGACTATCGGGCCTGCTGTAATATCAAGCTCTAAACGGTCAATTTTCCATATATGCAACGCGACACCTGGGCCATATATTGCGAAGCTTCGAAAAGCATTCTTATCATATTGTTCAAACTATTCAATGCATCTATACTGTAGAGAACCTGAACACCTCAGGCGCAAGTGAATTTTAACGCCCTTGCCGACACGCTACATGATACTTTCTCGAAAGTATAAAGAACACTACTTTCGGCTTTCTGGAGCCAAGCAAAACCCTCCGTCGACTTGAGTGCTGAGACTACGGCACTGTTGTAACCCTTCTTGGGCGGACCAACACTGCTTTTTTGTCGTTGACATGCCACTGCAAAACTCCGATGACACAAGCGTACGATGTGATATTTTATACCGGTGGTCCAGAACATCTAAAATAGATGGTCACATTCTACCCAATTTGAAGCATTAATTGAGATCACAATCCCAACTTTTCAACTAGGTGGTAGAACTCTCTACACCACCTTATAGAGTAATTAGACTTTCAAAAGCGCTTGCAGAACGATTAGTCGTGGCATCTGCAACCCTCACAGATCATTTTTTGCACATCGAGATCTGCCATTGAAAAATCGCGAGGTTGTCCTCAGTGCAATAACCGAGCTATTGCGACTTTTCAGCTCTCAAATCGAGACCGTTGAAACAGCTGTCGGAGCAACAGGTGTGCAAGAAGCTAGCTTCACACCAGTCAGACCCAGGCTTGCCCATTTGGAAGGAGATCAATTTTTGAGCAGCAGGCTGAGTCTGAAGAATTGCGATCTAGGAGGCGTTTTCGGACAAATATAAACAGCATCGCCCTTTCCGAATAAGTGTTCCTTTACCAAAAACTTGGTAGGACACTGCTTTATAAGGCCCTTGAACTCTATCGATAGGAGTATTTTGACCCTAGCGTGCTAGTTGTTTGATCACTGACGCGGTACTTCAATCCGTGATCGTCGAACGTGTTCCTCTTTGAAGCGTGATTGCATCTGAAATGAGCCACGGCAGGTTAGAGACGCACCTGAACTATAGAGCCCATGTCGGACCTTCCATGTCCACTGTAAAATCGCCCACAATGGGCTCGGCGCCCGCCGTTGATATGACGTCGGGAACGCGATGCATCCCGCAGCTACAGAGCTGTGAGACAATCGCAGAAGCCAAAAATTTGGATTCGCCATTGTTTTTAGATGTTTCGCAGTGCGGAGTACCTCTCCCGCTACCTGATTACACTCGCGTACACCTTAAGTTTCCTTCAACGCTTCTGCGGCGCCCCAAATTCCAGTTTCCACAACTGGTTCGCACCTTAGACCATAGCACCCAAGACCTTTTAGCATCGGAAGTCGATTTATGCTCCACATTTGTGTTTTACGATGAAGGTAGCACTTTGCAAAACTGCTCTTCCACCACATCCCAGATTTTGGACAAAACCATTACGCATTTGTTAGAAGTCAAGAATGGTAATCCAAAAACCAGATTTGTTTTTTTACAAGCAGGGAAAAGTAACTCGCCCACACCACAATCACAGCATTCCCAGCAGATACCCTATTCGCGCCCACCAGCATTGAAAAATTCGAAATCATCCCCTAACCTCAACAAAAGTACCTCGGTAAATGGCCTTCGCAAGCATAATTTGAATTTAAAGATTACGATCCCCAATCGGAATAGTCGTGTCGACAACTCAAATTACATGTTCGTGCAATCTTTTAAAAAGGACACAATACACTATTCCCCCGACAGTCTACAAAAGTATTTTACCTTTCACATGCCTCCAAGTATTCGGCCCGACGATGACACTCTACCGAGATGGTTGAAGAATTATTCGAAGGATGGCAACGAAAATCTGCAACAAATTTTGAAGTCATTTGAGTGCTTGGAACAGTTAGAGATCAGACGGCTCGAAAGCTGTTTGCAATCGTCATCTAAACAAGGACCGCAGAATGGTGGTGAAGATCTGTCAAATCGATGCGTGAAAACGATCTCAACAGGACGCCCAAGGTTACCGAAATTGTATTCGTTTCGAAAGATGCAAAAGCAGTACAAACCAAATAGACACGACTATGATTCCGATAACGATGAGTACAACCAACCAGAAGAGGGCAAACTGAAGATGGATATTCACGAAGAACTGCATGATGGAGAAAATCGAGATATCCGGTCTAAATTGACAAAGATCAACGGTAGTCAAGAACTGCTTGCGAGGGATACATCATCAGAAAGAATGAACAAAAGCCTCAAACAAGCATCAGAATCTCAAGACGAAGATGAAGAAGATGTTCTTGAAACACCTATGGATGACTACCTCATGACTTGTGGCATACAGTCGTTCACCAAGAATAGGTACTCCAACATTTTGCCCTACGAACACTCAAGAGTTAAGTTGGAGCCTTCGCCAATAGGAACAGAAAATAAGCATGGAATTCTTTCAACTTTTGCAACACCCGCCTCAAGTCCTCCTCTCTCAACCCAGGCACTGCGCAAAAGACGCAACTCATATTTCTCTCAAGATGGTTCGAACCGGGAAAAAAGCTTGGATGCTTTGAATGAACCACGGGCCGAAACCGGGAGGTCTAACTTGCGGCTACCAGCAACTTCATTCGACCACAGACAAAGTATAACAACTCCCAACACTGCCATCGAACATGACCAATTCAATGATTACTTCAATGCCAATTACCTGAAAATACCTCAGATCAATCCTGAATTCAGCTACATTGCTACACAGGCCCCATTACCGTCTACTCTTGACGACTTCTGGAAGGTGGTAATCACAAATGGCGTGAAAGTGATTCTTTCGCTGAACTCTGATGACGAACTAAGCATGAGGAAATGGGACATTTATTGGAATTCTAGTACTCTTAAGAAATTCGATGTGGCTGTCGAGGAAACTTATGAAAATGTGGGTGGCGTTAAGGGCTGTATCTTGAGAGTTTTCAAAGTAAAAAGGAACCGCAATGATGAAATAACCCAGCAGTCAAATGATTGCAATCCACATAACGTGAAAATCATTGAAACTGAGGCTAATGGTACAATAGTCAAAAAATCTAAAGCCCAAATCGACATTCCGGTAGACGGTATCAAGAGTAAATCACCCAGCGATACACACACTGTCTGCCAGCTTCAATACACGAAGTGGCTTGACTCTTGTGGGATTGTGTTGGGAGATGTTTTGAAGCTGCATCGCATAAAGAATCTTCTAGTAAAAGATAGTGATGATTTCATTGAAAGTATAAAGCGCGGTGAGACATACGAAGAAATAATAAAGGTTGGCGAATCTTCTGATACAAACAAGTCCAGTGAAGGTTTAGTACGATCAGGGAGTGGGTCGCCTTTATTGGTTCACTGCTCTGCGGGTTGTGGACGTACTGGTGTCTTCATAACCCTGGACTATCTCCTAAATGTTTTGGAACATCCTACAGATACCGGCAATCGGATTGATGTGTGGAACATACCAGAGGACCTCGTCTTCATTATTGTTAATGAATTAAGGAAACAAAGGATATCAATGGTCCAGAACCTCACCCAATACATCACTTGTTATGAGGCTATATTAAAGTATTTTGAATTAAGGAAAACTACGGGCAGTAACAACGAGGTAATCTAGTGATTCTGTTTGAGGGCCAAAACATGAAGTTGACCAATATGATTCCTTTCAATAATAGTAATTCATTTTGTAGTATGTAATGTCGACACGATTACTCATTCATGGATTTGGGAGGGTATAGACAAGTAAACCTTCAGACTCTCCAGCAACGCGTCGTCTACGGATGACAAGAGCTCCCCCAACTGAGCCCCCAACCCACTCTGCAAAACTTCGAGTGTTTGATTGATGTGCGCTTTCAGACTCACATTGTGAGCAGGGTCTCTTGTTTTCGATAACTCTCCAATCCGCAGTTGTTCACATGACGGAATGTATTCGTCACCAAGTTCCCTTCCGAAGTCGGCATCCTTAAGGTGAAACTTTTCGCAGTCCCCCTCTGCTGTTTCGTTTATCTCTTCTAATAGTTCGACCCATATAGCGACAATGGTTGGAAATTCCGCTAGGACGGGCAATACCAGAGTTTGGAGCATGGACGAAAGACCAAGAATGTGGATTTTTTTGGTCTTGGGCTCGTAAAAGTCTTTGAAAGAAACAATCCAAGTGCTCAGAAATCTGGCAACGAGGTCATTAAAGGGTGAATCACTGTAAAGAGTTTTTCTTTGTTCTAACGAGGCATAGGCATTTTGCTGTATCGTTGGCAACAAAGATTGATATTCCTCAAGTATCTGTAACACAGTGGGCGGGCTGAGAAATGCAATTCTGGCCATTACTTTAAGCAGTTGACCAGCTTGAAAAGTTGAGACGGGTTCTTCACAAAAAAGAGCATCGAATATGGCAGTAAACGTTCCCGACCTCGACAAAAATTCAGTAAGAGAGTTTACATCATTTTGGTTTTGTACCAACGTGATGACATCTAAAATTGTGAGAAATAGGTCGAAGGAATCATCACGAAGCTTTAGCAAATACTTTGACAAATACGCTATGATATGCGCAAACGATTCAAGTTTCATGAACTGCTCAGCACTTAAAATCAAGGTATAGCTCTTAACAATCTCTATGAGAGTAGGTAAAATCTCAGTTTGATTTTGCACGGCATTGTCCAAAAATGGAATAATATCGAAAAACAAGGTATCAAGTTGTTGCTCTTCTACTGAGTAGTTTTGCAGTAGGCTTTGCCATAACTCAAATCCATCTTCGTAGAGCAGAGAATAAAATGCAGAGGTTGAGTCACAGGCAACGCGTGTAATGGGTAAGGCAATTTGCCAAGTGGCAGAGGAATGCTTACCCAGGGAGTCCACCAGGTGTCGCAAAAGTCTTAATAGAGCATTCGTCAATATTGACTCGCCAGGCTCCTTGATGGAAAGCTCCCATAATTCAGGAATCACCTGCAGAATCTCCACGAGGACGGTTTTGGTGACTAAAGGCTTAGTTTGGATAATAATGTCACTCAATGTATTGAGCACATATAAGCGGGTTTCGGTGAGAGATACGGAGGGTAGTATCCTTTTTAGTAAAACGAAGACAAAGTCATCCAAAAAGGGCTGGAATGCATGCTTTTTGAAATTCCAATCATCAACTAAGGTTCTAAGAGTCTGTACCGAGGTCAATAGTATCACCCGATCAGTTTCTGAGGTCAAGAGCTGTAAAAAGAATTTATAGCACGTTTGCTTGCTTTCTTCTGAGCACTTCACAGTGCACCATTCATTTATAACTAGCGCAATTCTTCTCTTCAGTATCTTGGTGTGCTCTGGAGAGATATGCGAGCTGGTTGCCTCCGGTAGGAAGACATCGACGAGTAGAGAATCAAAGTCAACTGAGTCACTTATCGTAGTCGCACTAAGTTGGAAACTTGCGAAAATAGCATCTTTTCTCAACAAGTCTTCCATGGTGTTACTCAACTGCCTCACTTCTGTCTGAATTTTGTTTAGAAGATAAGGTACCAGTAAATCTGGGAATGTGCTGATGAGATCCTGAAAAAAGTTTTCTGCACAAGGCCTTATTTGGTATTCGTAACTGGTGGAAAGCTGTTCATTCATCCACTCCTCAGGGTCAAGAGACCAGTTCTCGAGCTCTGACAGCCTCAATTTGATATACCATTCCATTAGTAAATCCACCCACTTTTTAACAAGCTGCTCATTCAGAAAGTCTACTGAGATCCTCTGGATAGCGGCATCTACTTCAGCCTTATCGTTTTTGGCTCTTATCGTAACTGCTCCTTTCTTGTGGATGAAGTTGATTAACTTTTTCAATATCAAGAGCCCACGGATGGCTATTTGCTCCCAGAAATCGCCATTTATTTCAGCATTTTCATTGTAAACGTCGGGAGCGCGGTCGATCAACAGTTTTGTGAAGGCAATCAAAATTTGCGGCGAACAAGGTAAAAGGATAAAATTTGATGGCGATGTGCATATGAGGTTGAAGTATAACTTTCCAAAGCATCGTACAAATTTTTCAAAGGAATCAAAACTTTTGTAATTATCGTAATGTGAAAGGAGGGTCTCAAAATGACCGATGGAAATCTGTAAAAATTCTCGAGTGGGCTCATTTCTGTGCGGTGACTCGTAACCTTCAATCGTTAGACGCCTCAGGACTTTTAGTGCAAGGTAGGATACCTGAATTTGAGATAAGCTGTCCTCATCAACACTGGTTGCCGAGGTCCATTCATTGAACGCCTTGATGTAGGTTCTGACGATTGAAGAAAAAATAAGAGGTGTTTTACTCTGCATGGCTGGTCGACATCTACCGATTCTTGCAGTGGCCATAACTTTGACAACCTGATTAGTGATCAGTAAAAGATTATACATCTTAATATTGTCACGTAGTATCGAATCATTCTCGAATAATTGCTCAAGGATTTCAAAAAGGTTGGGCCAGTCTCCGGGAAAGTCCAGACGGGCTATGCGCGCTGTGGCTTGCGAATTTTGGATGCATAATTGACTGTTATTTTCATCAATGAGATCGAATAATCGTGCCCTAATAGAAGCTTTTTCGTCTTTCAAGATAGCATGGACTCTGGTAGAACGCCAGTACTTTTCCACGCCGTTTTTAAATTGAATGATGGCGAGCCACCGGATGTTCAACGAGATGGATAGATCTAGATATATGGATTGCAAAAGAAAATGGAATCCTTTTTCTGTCTCCCACAATTTTAGCTGATGTTCTGCCAATTTTTGGCTTTCAGATCCGATGTGTCTAGCATCACTAGCCTGCTCAAGAACCTGAACAAGGTTCAGCTCATTCAAATTTGAGGACTCATTAACCATGATAACTAAACTGAGCCCGTTTGTATACACCAAGGCTAGAGCAGCACTTTAGCACAAGTGTTGAACGTCTAGGATCGCTGGACAGGAAGATATTTTATTCAAAGGTCAAAATTAAGTAATGATCTCATGTTTCAGGCAAGATGTAGTCTATAAGAAGTGTTCCCTTATAATAAAATTTGAAAATCACGCGCCACGACTCGTTTGTAGAGCCATAGGTTTATGTTACACACTATCCACTGAGTTTCTTCAAGAAGTCCATCTGTGTGCTTCGTTATCACCTTTCCAGGTGCGTTCGACGTAGCCCAACTGTTCCTTAACCTGGCGGACAGTTTCAGGATCACCCATATTTTTGCCCAAATTATCAGAAATCTTAATCGCATGATTACCGTTGACCTCCAACAACTTTATGACAATGTTAAGCGGCTCACTATTTCTGGATGGATCGGTGGAGGTCTGGAAGTCGTTTGTGAAGTTTGTCCCGATGCCAAAAGTTGCCTTTAAACCATATTTGTGAGCAGTTTGTGCATAGTCTATGGCTTTTTGCGGATTCAAAGAGTCTGAGTAGCATATTATCTTTGAGAAGGCTGGAAGTTTGAGTACATCCATGTAGTGATGCGAGATTTTTTTAGTGTATTCCTCAGGGTCACCCGAGTCTTGTCTGACACCAACATAGAAATCTGAATAAGGGGGCTTGAAAGATTTCAGGAAATCTTCTGTACCAAAAGTGTCCGTTAGAGCCAAACCTGCATTTTCCTTTCCAAATGTCTGGACCCAGAATTCCATAGCATTTTGGTTAGCGTGCACATAGTCCCCGGTGATAGAAGCGATACCCATCATCCATTCGTGTGCAACAGTTCCAATTGGCTTCACTCCATACTTTTTTGCGAACAAAACATTTGATGTACCTGCAAAACATTTTCTGCCCTCTACTCCTTTTTCCTTGACGGCTTGCATGATTCCTTGCATTACCAGGTCATGGGCTTCTTTTGACCTTCTTCTTCTGCTTCCAAATTCACTAAAACTTATGTTATGTTCGATCAGAGTGCAAGCCTTTTGATAGGCGTTTTCCACTTGGTTGTCGTAGCTCCAGTCGGTATCAACAAATTTAAAATAGGCTTCGGAAATCAATGATAAAAGGGGAATTTCATACAATATGGTGTCTTTCCACAAACCGTGTACCTTTAAGTTGATATGCAGCCCACCTTTCTGGTCAGCAGGCTCTGTTGATACTTCAATTTGCTCACAAGGGATGATGGACAATTGGCCACTGGCAAGGAAAGTCAAATATTCGTCAGGAAGGTATGGAATTGCCTCTTTCAAATAGTCTATTTCCTCTGTAGTAAATTTCAAGTTACCCAGAAGATTGATCTCCTTCTTAAGCCATTCTACAGCCTCTTCATTGAAAGTCATCTGCGGTGATCTATTGGTGTATTTGTAGATGATTTTTGCCTCTGGAAAATTTTTGACTACAGCGGCGTGCATGGTAAGCTTGTACATATCTGTGTCCAATAAGGACTCGATAGTTGGTTTGGACATTGTTGATGGAGGTGTTCAATAGAGGACCTGACCTAAAGATATGACAGGTGTAATAAGGTGACACTTAAAGATCTTATTTTTTTTTGATAACAATATCACTTCTTACTCCATTGTCACTCGTATGTGTAATTTATATGAAGTTGCCGGTGCAGAACGAGAATAATACGAATCATACAGATCGGTTGCCGTTAGCATTTTAGCCCTATTTTACTCAATTTTATGTAATTACTTTCAGCACTCTATCAAATAAGGTATCCATTTGAACATTTTCAAGATTTTCAAACATGCCAGTAAAACTGTTCATATTTAGAAGCTTTTGAGATTTTTCACCGTTGATGAACTCGAGTTCAACGCCTTCATCCATGCTTTTTGTGTCCCTGGTACCGCTATCGTCATTTTTTCGGGAAAAAGCCAATTTCCGGAGTTCAGCTTCGAAATTCTCTGAAGCCAGTGTATCGAAGGTAGCATCGTTGTCGGCTTCGTCCAGCATTTCAGAGCTCAAAGTAGTGCTGACAGCCCCAAGTCTATTCTTGGTGTCTAAGAAAATAAAATCTGTGCCATGATTCCATCTAATGCACGCAATGTATTCGTCGTGCGAGAAGGCCCCGAGTTTTTGTGATAAGTCTGAGTTGAAAACGACGACATGTGAGGAGTGACTTGAAGTGGGTTGACTGTGTTGGTCGTGAATTTGTTGGTTGATTACCAATGCTACGCGGCCGCTATTTTCATCACAACTCATGAGCCTCGAGAGGTGGCCACTTTTATAAACGCCATTCACATATGGATACAGGTCAAATGAATTGTAAACCTTGCCTAGCAGCAAATCAACAGAATTTAAAGTCGTTTGAGTGGCGACTATCAGGTTGCAATCATTAACAAGCATCATTGCCTGCACCGCAGAGTCCATTGTGAGTTCATTGAAAGCAGTGTCAGATCCTTCTTGAAATTTTCTGAACAGGTTGAAGTCCAAAATTGTCACTTTATCATCAAATGCGTGGAAAATCAAACTTCCATCGAAAGACCAAGCCAACTCTACGGAGTTGTTGAAGTGATTATTATTCGCCGTTGCTACTTTCGATAAATGCCAATTACTGGATTTTTCATCAAAGCACCAATATTTTAGACCACCGTTGTTATCAGCAGTTAAACAGCCATGACCGCTGTTGATGGATCTAGGCGCTACCAATATGCTCGTGATTGGAGCCTTCGCCCCATGTGGGCTCAAAACCTTGGTGGATAGCTCCCATTCGCCTTCTGGAGATAATCGCCAAAATTTCAAAACGTGTAAGAGATCATTAGATGATAGCAGATTATCGGGGGGAAATTCTGTCTCGTAAGAAATCATCCATATGCCATCCTTCGTGAATTTCACATCAACTATTACTGGATCTTTCAAATTCAACTCTGACCTCACTTTACCCATGGAATTGTTGACGCCTGATGCAAGGTATTGATATGATATCTGCTCATTTTTGTAAAAGTCATAAGCTTGAACAGCCGAAGTATGAGGGAAATACAGATGCTTTGTATTGGGCTGGATCTCAAAGATAGAGCTAAAATCTTGTCTCTTGCGCTTAAGTAGTTTTCTTTGCTGCTTTTTTGACGCCTTGCCCAAGTCGGACGTTGATGCAGATGACTTAGATGACACAGCGGAAAAAGGAAATTGTGCATCTTTTATTGTGGAATGAAAAACAGAAAGAGGACCGCTAATGTTAACTCTGGATTTTAAATCCGTGGAGTTGAGCAACATAATTTGGTAGTCTGAAGTCGATTGATTGTCAGTTATCTGAAGGCCCACGCTGTAAAATTTATCGTTGATTATATTGCAATCAATCACGACGCCACTTAGACGAGGCAAAAACTGTTGTAAGTTGCTCGACAACTGCCAAAAACTCAAAACTTTTTCCCATCCACCAGAAATCAAATAAGAGCTGTCTGACGTAAAACACAACGATAGGACAGAATCTATGTGCCATTTTAGCAACCGACTTGATCTATCTTGCAAATTAATGACATTGATAACCCCTGAGGCAAATCCTATCGCCAATTGTGAACAGTAGTTGTCGACAGCCATCACGGTAACGAAGTGCGAGCTGGAAGAGGTCGTAGAAGAGGCCCCTGTCACTGGTAATGGAAAACTGTGAGCATCGTCTTTAGCACCTGGGAACAGAGGCTTAACACTTAAGCATTTCCTCCCATCGGCATCCTTTGTTAACAAACATAAATACTCATCATTAGAAGACCATGCAGAGAGTAAAACGTCCGAGAAGTCTTCGCGAAAGACCAATTTCTTCTCCGAACACACATAATCGTACAATCGGTATGTATACCCGGCAGATGAGTCCTGCAACGAAGTGAGGAACCTTACGTCGTAGTTTTGGGTATTTTGAAATATCTTCACCAGTGACTCTCCCGGCTGGAAATTCTCTCCCAGGTGCACTACTTTGGGTACCTCAACTAAGCGACCCTTGTAATTAAGTACAACGAGGTGCCCACGGGAAGAAAACACGCTTATCTCGCGTGCTCTGCTCTCATCTATGCCTTCCTGGAGCAGCAGGTTGCCCAATGCAATGTGAGATACTTGAGCCGCCTCTGGACCCAAAAACAGTTGTGTCAATTGCTCATTATTTGCGTACTTCAAAGTCTTCACACATTGTCGCGTTTCTAAAGAGTAAACCTTCAGCTGGTTGTTAAAAGGAACGATAACGCTTGTCTCATCATCAGTGAGCAGTGTCACAGTTTTGGCGCTGCACGATCGATTTCCTACCCTTGGAAACAGTACCTTGCCGCCCGAAACAACACCTAGCTTGTAATTTTGGTGCACTATGGGTTGGACCATTGGATTTACAGCTCGTGGGTCAGTTCTAGGTTGTAAGCTGGGTGCGTTGACCTTTCGTGTGCTTGGATTTGAAGCTCATCGCATCCATTTTCCAAAAATTTTTCCGAAATATTATACAAAAAAAATCACTTTCTACTAGCTTCAATCCAACTGACCTTTGAATTTATTCGAAAAGTTTTACAAACTATGAACTCAGAGATGAGAACAGGAAGAACGAGCAAACACACCAAAGCATAGGCTTTTTTGGTTGACATTTCTTTGGTTATTAAGTGCTATGATTGTTCCAGTTAGATGTTTTTCCTGCGGAAAGGTGGTCGGTGACAAATGGGAAGCCTACTTGAACATGCTTCAAGAGGATGAGCTTGACGAAGGAACGGCACTTACAAAGTTGGGGCTGAAGAGATACTGCTGCAGACGTATGATATTGACTCATGTGGATTTAATCGAGAAATTTTTGAGATACAATCCATTAGAAAAACGCGATTAGACCGGGCAGACGCCCCAAGCACTATGATCTCATTCATCGCCCACACGACAGCATATTTTGTATATTAAGAAAATAGGAAACCCAATTGTAATAAAAGAAGAACATTCTAAGAATAATTTGCCTCTCTTTGTGCTGCATTAGCTTGGCAACCAAACTTTTGAGATCGTCATTACTATCTAAACAACTCGCTTATTTACAGGACGCTGACAGATTTTGTCATGATTGTGTGGTCGCCTTATAGCTCCTCTTATACAGCAGGATAGAGTCAATTCGTTCCAATGCCATCTCAAGTAAATCTTTCCGCTTTTGTAGGTCGATATGACGCGCAATACGAGGATCCTCTTTGGCGAACAACTCAACTTGCTCATCAGATAGCTCCGTTAGCTTCCGATCCAGTTCAATCGGAAAATTATAAAAAAAATCGCTTAGTAACTCCACATTCAAAAATAAGACTGCCGTCGAAGTCAATTTGTCACTAACCGCGTTCAAAAAAATTTCGGGACATACGTCCTTCTCAGCAGTTGAATGGCACTTACTCTTGAGAGTCTTTAATCTGAAGTTGAGTAGCTGTGCTCGTTTTTCCAAAAAAGCGGCTTCCCTCCCGCGCTCCAACAGCAATGCAGAGAAACCGAGCGTTTCTTGGTGGCCGGGGTCTTGCTTAAGATATGTCATAACTTGTGATAGCTTACGATTCCCAACGGAGTTTTTGAGAGATTGAAATCTTTCATTGCATTGTCTCAGTTCCTCACGCATTAAGTTGGTCGTGTGTTCATGTGCGACAGCCCAATCGCGTTCTTCCAAGTCAATCTCATACTTAAATGGTTTGATACAGTTTTCCACCTGATCAGCGGTAGCATAAAACTTCGAATTCAGCACATTTACAGCGGTGTGGTTCACCAACTCTTTTATCAAGTCATGGTGCTTCAATTGTGTAAGATCCAAAACATTTTCCAGCTCCTTCAGAATTGCATTGGTGACCAAAGTAGTTGAAACTCTGCCAACGCCAATTTTAGTTAAGCTGCATGAAGATAGCTCGAGCTTTTTATGCCAGTACAAGGCTGAAGCATCATCTTTGCCACTTTTCTTCAACGAAAGCTCATGAACGTTGTCGTCCTTCCAATAACGAGAGGCCAACAAATCTAAAACACGTTGATCCAAGTCAGCCTTTAGAATGGACTTCAATTCAATTCTATTGAATTTCTCCTGCAATTCCTTGATAGCCAACTTCAAAACATCGACATTATTCAGGAGGTAGGATTTAGGTGTTAATTGGCGATCGTTGAACTCAACCTTGAAGAGGTAAGACGTGTCGTCAAGTTCTTGATGTATCAGTCTTGAAGTGGGTTCCAAAGCATCAGACATGGACACCTCAAGGATATTGATCAACTTTTCCCTCAGTTTTTTTGTAGACACTTGACAGCTTGTGAAAAAACTTCTGTTACTTCTGAAATAACTACGCTCAAAGGAGCGGGTTTCTTCAACTTCCGTTTCCTGGGTATTCTTGCGGGCAAAGAGGCCCTGTTTGGAACTTGAGTCGAAAAACTTTGTGGGGGTGTTGGGAGCTTTGGTGATGACACCAACATAACCCATTTTCAGCGGATACTTCTTGCTATTCAATATTTCTCTGGCTCTCGCAGGTTCAACCAGGTCTAGCTTAGTGATCACACCTATTGTTCGTGTGCCCTTTGGATCTGCCATCTTACTTGCTCTCAACGCACTGCTATTGGCCAGATCTACGTCAGCTGCCGATATCGCCAGTATGATGTTTGGTTCTGCCAAATATGTGTCACATAATTGCCGAATTTTGGATTTCAATTCGAGAGGCTGATCGGCTGCCTCCACCTGGATATACCCTGGTAAATCTACCAATGAGAGATCTGGCACTCGAGAAGACTTTATGGTTAGTTGGATAGGATCGGCTGAAACGGCCTCCGTGGAGGGCACGGCCATATTCAGTTCCATTAAAATCCGCTTCACCTCATTGAAGTCTTTAATGTTGTAGGCACGTAGTGAGGGGAAGTCGGCTGTGGTTTCATTTACGCCAGCCGTGTTAACTAGAGTAAGCTCTATCGGCCTTCTGGTGACCATATTCGAACCCTTGGGCAGGAACTCTTTGCCGACGATTGACTCTAGAACCGACGACTTTCCTGAAGACTGAGAGCCAATTACAACAATTGATGGCAGGGTGAGGTGAGATGACGAAGAATCCACCTTATTGAGAATGGCTCTAATCTCGATCATTTGCTTGGTCAAATTCAATATTTCGTCTTGCGTGTGATCCTCTTCTTCTTCTTGCTCCTCGTCTTCTTCATCGTCCCCTGTATTGGTATCATCCTTGTCATTCAAAGAAGCAAGTAGGGCACCAGCTGCGAGTGAATTCTCCGCGTTGTCTTCTTCTCCATTGGGCTGGGAGTTGTGCCCAAAAAACCCGCCCATCTTATCTTTCATACTATTAGCGAAATCCTTGAGCTGCGACACCTTCTCGTGCGAAAAATTAGTGGCTTCTTCCACCTTGTACGCTAAATAAGAACTCACAGCCGCTGCTCCTCCTCCTATGTACGCGGGTACTTTCACCGCTCTGGCAAGAAGTTTGGGAAAAAAAGATGCAAATCTGCGATGTGCCAGTTGATGCACCAGCTCTGGTGATATGTACATGGATCTGGAGGGCCTCACGAATGAATGGTAATAAGATGCTGGATGAACCCTTCTCAGAGGACCATAGTGAAACGTGCGCGACACTATGGCCCTCGACAACAGCTTTGAAGCCGGGAGATGGCCTCCTGAAGCTCGAGAGAACATAATGAGCTGTAGGAGCGTGGCTATTGGTCGCCTGTGGTCTACGGAGTGGTTCGATGGTTGAATAACCTTGGGGTTACGTTATAATAAACTTGTCTAATCTCTTGCTCCACCGAGTGTTATGATAATTCTCTACGAGTCTGACATTATTTAAGTTAAAGCGACAACTAAAAGTGCACCAGCGAGCGCTCTCTCATCGAAAAATAGCACAGCTCTGAGCTTTCGCAATGGTCTTTTTCAGAAATTCTTTAAGCTCACCAGTTTGCGCAAGTTCTGTTTGTTGTCCATAAAATAACCTATTATTATTTATTATGCTAACGAGTGCGCTGTCTACAAGACACTCAGCACCAGCAAAAACTACTGCTCTCAAAACAGTCACCCTTCCTCCATAATCACTGCTCTAACATACCGATCAATTTCAGCTTTGGTCGATCTTAGGTCTCGATATCGCCAGTTGGGAAATAGTCGGGAAAGCGGGGATTGAAAAACAAAACCTGGCATCCGGGCTCATATATCTATTATACATTTCTACATTAATATTAAGCTTCTGTAGATATGTTCGGCTCGCGATGCCTCAAAACATCTTACCAGCCTTGATACAGGGTGCGACGCTAGTGTAACCTTCAAGGGGTGTCTAATGCGGAAAAAACAATCAAAATTCACAATATTCAGTCATTGGCACCACACTCAACAAACACTCAACAAACAAGATAAGTGATCACAATACAATCAATGCCCACAAGAGTGACCAGTAAGGTCTCAAAGAACAGTTCGAGCTCTGCACAGGCAGTTTCCAAGCCAAAAGCTGCAAAAGTGCTCAACGCGAAGCCACCTAACAAAAAGAACACGAAGCCTTCTGCTGCTGCTGCTGCTGCAATTAAACCAAAAGCTTCCCTTCCCACTTACAAAGGTATGTCAGAACACGTTATTTCTTTTCCTGTTGAATGACTCTAGGGCCATCAACATCTGTACACTCAAACTAACGTCGGCTTTCTCTCATAAGAAATGATTATGGATGGCATTTCGTCTTTCAGTGATCGCAACGGAACCAGCCGCCAAGCATTGAAGAAACACATTTTGGGTAAATACGCGGTGGGTGATGGATTCGAGAACCATCTCAACCTTGCCATAAGGCGAGGGATAGAGGCCGGTGAGTTTTCACAGCCAAAGGGACCGTCGGGCCCTTTGAAGCTGGTCAAAAAAAATGTCTCCGGTAAATCTGAATTGAACGCAGATAAGGAAGAGCCCATTAAGCGCAGAAGAGAGAGTGCCTCAAAAAAGAAACCCAAGGTCGAGGACGAGAAACCCAAACTCAAGGAAGGAAGACGCAGCTCTGGTTCTGGCAAAGCTTCGTCTGCTGGCAGGGTGGCGAAGAAGCCCGCGACAACTGCGAAAAAATCGCAAGCCACCAAACCCCTCCCCAAGTCCGTCAACAAGACTGCAGCGAAACCTCTGGCCAAGCCCGTTACTCGAGTCATGAGGTCCACCGCAAAGACTATTGCTGCCTGAACCGTATGCATTCGAATGCGACCCATCTCTTCTGTTTTCTTTGGGGCGATGGTCTAGAGAGTTCCACAGTTCACGCACGACTCACACTGTTCGTCACTCGTGCTAGCTCAGAATAGCCGATTCCTCTGGTTGTAACCAGTTTAGCTCTATAGGTGTAATGTTACTATTTGCTATTAAACAAACGCTAACCCATCCCAGTCACACTGTTGTAACGAAGCTCAATCTTCGAACCTCTTCCGGAGTCTTGTCGAAAGATTTTACCACAAAACCTTTGAGGGAACAAAACCCATTGGCACAGTTTGATGTTTCCAATCGGAACTCCAGGTAGCCACTTCACTGCAACCAATTGTTATTCTTCATTTGATCGCTTCAAGTGCTGTTAGAGTTTTAACGAACTGATCTCGGTCCATCATGTCCCTCAATACGGCTCATCGGTTAATGTTTGTTTTCTAGAGAACTTTTCCCATTCGCTGCCCTAGTCTAGGGCTAAAATCTTCAATTGGCCGCTCTTGAGTGATAAGTGGCCTGTCCTGTCATCTCGAATCCAGTTTTAAAGATGGGGACGCAGGGACATCAAGAAGCGAACGTTAGTGATGAAGCCAAATCTGACAAGGCCATCAACGATCTACCCCCAAAGACCCAGCTGAATATAAATTCTATTGGCCTCCTGGAAAACATATCCACCCAAATACTTAAGCTTCTCACGACAAATAGCACTGAGACTCTCATCCATCTCACCATATCTGGCGGTGATACTTTCGAAGGTGAGGTCTTCGAAACGCTTCTGACTCTTTTCAAGCAAGTAAAAAACGTTTACTCAAAGCAACCACTGCTGAAAGTCCGGGATATAGCGCCCGGATTATGGTACGAAAATGAGCAGTGCCCTTATATTTTGAAATCTCAGGAAAATCACATTCTAGCTGCAATACGAAAGGCTAACATCGTCATATATCTATTGTCCATTATGGGTCGGCTGCAGTATGGCTTTTCTTTCCTAGACGATAATTTCATGGATATTTTTTGTCCAGAAGCCAAAGAGCTACCATTTGAAGACGACCGAGTACTAGCAACATCATTGGGTCGTTTATTGAAGCCACAGGCAGTTTTGTATCTTAATTTGAAAACACAGGCATATATTTCAGCCATGGAACCTTGGAAAGAGGAAAGCGATACTGCTAAATTATCGCAAATCAAACAAGAAACATTGGATATGGTGTTTACTCCGAATATGAGGGAGTTTTTAGTGGCCAAAAAACGTTTTCATAGTAACAAACTGAGTCCCTCCGAAGAAGATTTTGTCAAGAGGTGCGCCCATCGCAGAGACAAACTATGCGCATACGCGTCACTCGATCAACTTATCTCTGAATATGACTGGCTTGAGTTCTTCAAAGAGATTTTTCTCTATGTGCAACGAAACATAGGTTTACTCGTCTGGGGGAGAAAAACTCCAGGTTCTGGTGTAGAAAGCTGGGATATAAGGAGCAATTCCCCAAGTAGTATAATTACATGGTCTTCAACCTTGAGTCAAGGAAGTTCGACGTCTGAGCACTGTTTAGACGCTCGCAAGTCTTCTTCTAACGAGAGGCTCTCGCCCGCTGCAGCTCGAGAAACGCCAATCGAGAGAAAACCGAAGCAGAAACGATTATGGACAAAAGAAGAAGAAACTGCTCTCATAGATGCTCTTAAAATTTACGGTCCTTCCTGGTCCAAAATCTTAGAATTACACGGTGCAGGAGGAAGTCTTTCTGAGTCGCTGAAAAGGCGGACACAAGTACAGTTAAAGGACAAAGCTCGAAACTGGAAGATGTATTTTCTGAAAGGTGGACTGGTAGTGCCAGAATACCTGACGAAGGTGACTGGAGATCTCGAGAGAGATGAAAAATCCAAACTAAAATCTAAAAACAAGGTAGAAAAGAAACATATACCGACGCCAAAAATGCTGAAGCTCGAGACCGACTCCGCATCTTTGCAAAATAATCAGGAGATGCAAAGGGTGGCCACGATGATTGTTGCAGGTTCAGGAAAATCCCGATCATCTCAAGACTTTGCGACTCCGAGCCGAGATGTCTTGGATTCTGGACCAGACACTTGACAAAGACTCTTCAAGATGGTTTGATATTGGTGGTAAAAGCTTCGGTTTCTCGCTTTTGCTGACGGCGGTCTAAAAACTCGGGTCATTAAAGTGGTGGAGTGACATAGATCGACCTAAAGCCAACCAAAGGTTTTGAGGTTCCATCACGGCCAACGGACTGCGAAAGGAGTGAAGGGGAAGTGGCCAAGATAACGTGTCTGATTGCCTCATATTGCACACCAACCGAGAGTTTTACTCATTACACCATGGCCAGGGTCTCTTTCGTTGAAGCTAATTCTCGAGATTTTGAAGGTTCATAATAGGTTAAAGGAAGCTCAGTTGACAAAGCTACCGCTCTAAGCATTGTAAACATTCAAATATCAAGAATTGATCACCCTTTATGGAAACCGGACTGGTCTCAACTCCAAGCGTAATTGCTAGGAATGGGACAGGGTACGAGATGTTGACCTTCAATGATCAGACAACTCCAAACGGCGTTGCCAATGTGGAATTGGCGATCCAAGAACAGATCGCAATGGCTAGGAATGATACCAACCAGTTGCACAGCCTTATTGATCGGATCAAGGCCAAAGTTCGAGATGCAGAGCTCTTTCAAATGTCCAAAGGGGTGCCATCCTTGCGAAACGGAGGCGTCAATTTAACAAGTCATGTAACCCTCAATGGGCATAACAACAAGATATCAGATTTTTCATGGTCTTTGGACTCGAGAAGTATTCTGAGTGCGAGCCAAGATGGTTTCATGATAATATGGGACGCAGCATCTGGCTTTAAAAAAAATGCTATACCGCTTGACTCCCAGTGGGTTCTCACCTGTGCTATTAGCCCAACAGGGAATCTTGTTGCCAGTGGTGGTTTGACTAATAACTGCACGGTGTACCGGGTTTCACAAGAAAATCGAGTTCAGCAACAGATTGTATCCATATTCAAGGGACACACCTGTTACGTGTCGCAAGTGGAGTTTCTGGACAATGAGAAGATTGTCACGGCAAGCGGAGATATGACATGTGCCCTTTGGGACATTCCAAAGGCCAAAAGGGTAAGTGAATTTTCCGATCATTTGGGAGATGTACTCTCGTTGGCGTTGGCACCTGAAGCATCTCATAGATACAGGCAGGTATTCGTCAGTGGGGGTTCAGATGGGTATGCTCATGTTTGGGACACCAGGACTCGTTCCGCAGTTCAAAGCTTCTTCGTTAGCGATAGCGATGTTAGTACCATCAAGTTTTTCAATAATGGAGATGCCATTATTACAGGAACAGACGACGGTATTGCTCGTATGTTTGACTTGCGTAGCGACTGTTTAGTGGCGAAGTATTCTTTGAGTCAAGGTTTGCATCAACAGGTAAGTACCCCTACGCAGCAGTATGGGGCTGCCTCGATGGAGTATGCCATTTCTCCAGTAACAAATGCCTCTCTCACCAAAGCGGCTCGAAGTGCAAATTCAACTTATCTAAACAATCAGGGTCTAGTGTCTTTAGATTTCAGCGGCTCTGGCCGTTTAATGCATGCATGTTACACAGACTACGGATGTGTTACGTGGGATACACTCAAGGCCGAGATTGTAGGAAAGTTAGAAGGACACTCGAGTCGTATTTCAGGCGTTAAAACTAGCCCCGATGGGTTGGCTGTATGTACCGGATCTTGGGATGCCACTTTAAAGCTATGGTCCCCAGCATATGTGTAGAAGTTTTTCTTTTATGCCTTTGGGAATTAAGCAAGGTTCTTCGGTGTATTTTCTTAGTGCTAGTCTAATGCGCTACACGCACATTTCTATGACCTCTTCCATAAGGCCATCAGGAAGCTGTCGTAAGTCGAGAACAAATGATTCATCAGAGGGGATGGCTTCAATTTCTCTCGAAATGCTTGGGTAGTGTAATATTCGGTTGACTATCTCGGTGACTTTGTCTTCGTCACTTGCAACCAGGGCCTTGATGCATCTTTCAATGCCAGGTATTTGTTTTTCCACTAGCGTGTCATCCGTAAGTACAGGAACAGGCCCACTGGGAGCTAGTGCTTCATTAAGTTCAGGTATATGTATTGGCACTTTAATGCGGATATCAGAGTGATACCTTTCAGCGTGGAATGAAAGATCGTGCAAAAATTCTACTTCTCCGGCGCCTTGTAAAAAGGAGCACTGGATTGGATACGAAAATTCCCCCCACCCCTGTTCTTCTACAGTAAATGGGGGCCTCGTCTCTACTCGGATCGGATTAGGAAATGTAGGATGGAGGTGGTACACACACTTCTCAAAAATGTTAGCAGCTATCTCTTCGCCATCTGTATTTAGCATCCAAATTTCCACTTTCCACTCCCTTAGCGGCAATCCTGCCAGCGGATCTTGATGAGTATCTGTAATTGCCTGATGTGTCTTTATCCGAATCGTTCGTTCAACATAAGGCTTGAATTGATAGTTAGTTTGAAACATATAGGGCGTCAAAGGGTTGCAGTATCAGCCCCAGAACATACAATGGTCATAACCTGAGTTTCAGTAACAGGTAAACTTCAGTGATAAGGAGTACTTGATGATCTCGAATTTATAGCTTTGAGTGGTTGACCGTTCCTCTACTCTCTCAAATTTATTCCACATGCACCTGACTGGTGGTACATACATAAACGACAAACCTGCTTACCAATATATAATACTAGGCGCACAACGCTTGTCTTCCGAGTTCTATTGTAAGCATGCTTGATATCAAAATACACAATGCCTTGCAGGAAGTCCTCTAGATGGTTCCTGTCAAAACAGCTTAGTAGGTACAAGTGTTGCCTGGATTGGTGCCATGGGGCCCAGGAAAGCCTTAATCCGTATTTTTTTTAACATAATCCCAGAGACTCTTCAATAAACCTTCAGGTAAACTGTAAAGATCAATGATGAACTCACCCTCCTCGATATTATTAGTGATGTTCATGTCTGACGTCCTGTTATCCGTTACCATCTGCACGACGCCAACCAAATCATCTTCATTCAATTTAGTCAAGCCAAAAGCAAGTTTCTCCAGATCAACGCTACCCTTAACTGCACTGCCTGTGCCGGTCTTTGCTTTCTTGCTCTTGGATTCTGCTACAGTGGCCGCTTTCCGCTTTTCGCCACTACTCACAGCAGTTGCCGTAGGTGTCGCAGCCGCAGAGACGGCGACTTCATCTACTGGTCCGCTTTTCAATAGCTCCGCCTTCAACAGTGGTTTGTTTACGGGGATCTGAATGACATGGTCGGCCTCATAAACCTCTTTCATGAAATGTAGATCGTGGGTGAGTTTCCGTTCGCCACCCTTTTCCAACAGATGTCCACTTATTAGAAGCTCGAAGCCACCCCATCCTTGCTCTTCGATCTTGAATGGAGGCTCTGTGAAGGTTCTGGTGGGGTTGGCAAAGGTTGGATGCAAATGGTAGACGACTTTGTCGAACACTGTTGCTGGAATTTCATTTCCTTGCTCATCTAGTAGAAAGATTTCAATGCTCCATTTGCGCATGGGAAAATTTTCGACGGGAGGCGGGACATCCGGCAAAATAGCTTGCTGTGTCTTGATTCTTACCGTACGTTTCACAGACTAAAAACAAGCACCAAACGAGTTAGTACAACAATTATAAATAATCATTAACGATAAAACATCACTAATTGACACATACGGCCACCATTACGAGGACTATTTGTCGGCTATCGAGGCTCTAGCTTCAGTTCCTTCAAGATTCCCAAACTTGAATAATATGTCAACCAAAAAAAGTGAAGCGTAACGAATGATGAGATGCATTGAAATATCTACAAATATGTACAGATAGAAGAAGAGGGGAAGACAACAACTCTAAGGCTCCTTAGAATTGTCCTTCTTTTTCCTCCATAGTCTTTGGATTAGCTCGAAGTTTAGGAAAGTGAGATTATCATCGGCGTATCAAAAAGACAGGTGCGCTAAATGCGAGCTCTCAGATATTATGGGCCGCTTCAAATCCGCTGAGAGCAGGCTATTAGTTTCATAGCGCCGTTGAGACGGGAACGAAGATAGTAATTGCTAAGCGAGGACTTGTCATTCAAAAAACATTTTTGAACTGAGATGCAATACTGGCCCTAATCATTCCAGCTGAAGCTTTCCACGAGGGAGGAATGGACTTCCAATCGACTTTTTTGAAAACGTCTTTGAGTTGTAAATCGGCGTCTTTCCGACGCAGCTCTTGCAGAAAGTCGGAAACTTTAGCATCTATCTCGGCTCTCGAGGCCACGGGCAACTGATTCAAATAATGCTCAATCACGGTAATTTCCTTCTGCTCCCTTTCAATCAATTCGTTCCTGTTGTTCTTTTCAAATTCTTGGATTGATTCACTTCTCTGTGTGATAAACTTTGTGTACAGTTCGTGCAGCGTAAATTCGTCCAAAGTCTTCCCCTGGTTATCGATCTCCTTGTTTTTGATTCCCGAAAGAAGTCCTCGGATTGTCGTTTTCTTCAAATCATCCTTGGCTAACATTGCCTTTTTTAAGTCGGCCTTCAGTGCACCAATAGAATCAACGTAGGCTTGAGTATTGACCCTTCTTCTAACAAGTCGAAAACCGGGCACTAGAAATTTGCCTCCTGTTGTCAAAGTCCTACTCGTGAACATATTTGGACTGGGGAAACTGGATCTGTTTGCGCAAGGGTATGTACTCCAGCTTAGCACGCAATTGTCGAAGGATACCACCGGTTTTATTTGTTTGTAGTTTTTCCAATCAAGCCACGTATCATGTGAGTACGTTGGTGAGCCAGTTGGAAAGATATACAGAAGCACACCAAAAACTATCCACGTCCCGCCGCCGAGCTACCATCGCAAACCTAGGAGCAAACTCGAAAATCCGTCACACTGTTCAAACCCTGCAGATCCTTTATTTCTCACTCTCTTTTTCCAAAAATTCTGTCCATAAGGACACGAAGTTCTGAGTTTTGGACCCGCTGCCTCCCGATCTGGACCCATTAGGAATGTGGATTAGGCCAGCTTGTTGTTTTTTATCATCATCCCAATTTAAAAAGCTCGAAATAAGCTCCAAGACTTCAAATTTTTTGGGATCCGCGCGCGGAATTGAAACGAACGAGATCAATAAATTGGAAATAAGTTCTTTATCAACATTTTCTGAATCGCTGCTCGCTTTGAGCATTGCAAGTGCCTTGGTCAAATGCTCATTGAGTATGATGGCTTCATGGCGCAACTTTCCAATCTGTAAGACCTTTTCTTTGCACTCTTGTTGAAGAGCAGCCTTCTGACCAACCTCTTCTTTCATACTTTCTAATTCGGTCCGACAGGACGTCAATTCAACTGTTCTTTTATCACCCGCTTCTCGTTCCTTATGAAGCTCCGCTTCCAAATGTTTTACTATGTCGTCTTTCGCAGATGTCAGCGAGCGGTTTTCTGCCGCTTTCTCCTCTAGCTGTTTCTCTAGGGTGTTTAATTTTTCTTCGAGTGCGATTTTTGTATGCTCGCCTGCTTTTAGCTGTTGTTTGCTGTCTTCCAATTCCTCTCGCAATGTGCTGGAGTCCTGGTGTAAGTTACTCAGCAAAAGCTCCAGTTCTTGGCACTTAGTGTTAAGTTGATCTTGTTCCATCTTGTGATGCAGCGACGAAGACTGGGCTTCTGCCTCCAATGTACTGGCCTGTTCCTCAGCATAAGAGCAGCGCGCGGACAACTTCTCATTTTCCGCGTCAAGTCCAGAAAGCTCCTGGTTCAAAGTTCCCGTCAATTCGCGTAATTCTTCATTCTCCCTTTTCATCGAGTCTACTTTGCTCTTCAAACTCAAATTTTGAGATTCGTATTCCCTCAATTGTTCCTGGCACGACTCTAGCTCCTCCTGTGACTCCCGCATTTTGCTGAAAACTGACTTCATGGATGATAATCTGTTCAGCAAAGAGTCGTACTGATGTTCGAAATGGTCTCGTTCTTCTTGAACTTTAGCCAGCTTAGCACCCAATTCTCGATTACCTACCTTTGCTTGATCTTCAGACTCTGAGTAGCCCTTCAGCTCTTCAATTTCTTTTTTTAGTCTCAAGATCTCCTCATTGGCGTCTTCGCTACCATATTTCGGTTCCTCATCGTGGTCCATTGGGGCATTTGCACTGGAGCTAGGAGCACCACCATAATTCTCAGATTTTTCCAACTGTGTAGGCGGTAGAGGCTGGGCTGCCTCTATCATCGCTTGCGGCTCTAGATCTGGTACTGTCTTTGCGGGCTCTAATAGCTCCGGCCCAGCGACTTCATGCTCGCCAGGTTTTTTTTCGACAGAATTCCCCTTTGACGCCCTCTTTTTATTCTTCCCCATAGCTACTATGCTATCTACCTTTTATGTTGGAACAAGGTATTTGGTTTAGCAGGCTCCAAGTTATGTTTAGTTTTCATTATTGGTATTATTTCTGAAAAGTGGAAAGTTAGATGGACGCATCCATAAAAATATCAACATACTTAAGAGGATACATAAACCAAGTGAAGTGACTTATGGTGGGAATTGACCAGTTTTTCAAAAAGAGTGGCACCAGAGAACAACCGTCTCGAAAACCAGCAGCTCATGTCTCTCAGGCGACAACGAAAGGAGCACCTAAAATCAATAAAACAGAACATATTGAGCTAGTGGATTCAGAGGACGACATAGAAAATATTACAAGTAGGACGCGTGCAGAAAAGGAGGATACATCGTTAAAGATTTTGGATAGTGACACACAACCCATGAAACAGGCCAGAACTTCGTCAATGCCTTTCAAGGGAAAAGGAGCATCGCCTACCAAGCCTAAACCAAAAATCTCTTCCCCGGAGAAAAAGGGCAAAGCGACCCCGAAGCATGATTCTGGAAGTGAATCTCTTGAGGATATCTTAGCAAAAATCCCATCTGTCAATCTAGACGCTGTGCATGTTAAAGAAAATATCCAGTTTGATTTTAGAGGTGGGGCACAAAATGATAACTCTTCTCAAGATACTGGAAATGACGATGATTTTGCCAAAGGTGCGCCAAACTGTCTTCTGGGTTTAACAATCGTATTCACGGGCCAACTGCCGACTTTGGAGAGAGGCGCCGCGGAGGCCATTGCCAAAAAATATGGAGCCAAGGTTACCAAATCCATTTCAAGCAGGACGTCTCTGGTAGTTCTCGGTGATGAGGCAGGACCGAAGAAAGTTGAGAAGATAAAAAGTTTGAAAATAAAAGCCATTGATGAGGACGGCTTCAGGCTTTTGATTTGTGGGATGCCCGAGGAAGGAGGCGATAATGCTGGAGCGGAAAAGGCGCGCCAAAAACTCAAAGAACAGGAAGAGGAAGCTCAGAAGGAAGCTGAGCAAATGGCTCGGCGTGAAGAAGAGGAACGTAACAAACGTAAAAAAATACAACAAAGTGGAAATCCTTCAAAGGACTCCAAAGCGGTAACGCGAGAGGAAGATAAGTTATGGACCGTTAAGTATGCACCCGTGTCATTGACCCAAATATGTGGCAACAAAACTAGCGTTAACAAGTTGAAGACTTGGTTAAGCAATTGGAAGAGCTACCAAAAAGCTGACTTCAAAAACTCTGGTCGAGATGGCCTTGGTATTTTTAGAGCAGCAATGCTTTACGGGCCCCCGGGAATTGGTAAGACTACAGCAGCCCATTTGGTCGCCAAAGAGCTAGGCTACGATGTACTCGAAAAAAATGCATCTGACGTTAGGTCCAAGTCCTTGTTAAATGCTGGCGTAAAGAATGCCCTGGACAATACATCAGTAGTCGGCTTTTTCAGATCAAAGGTTGACGGGGACACGAAACAGAAAAATTTTGTCATTATAATGGATGAAGTGGATGGAATGAGTGGTGGGGACAGAGGGGGCGTTGGTCAGATGGCACTCTTTTGCCGCAAAACGTCTATGCCGATGATACTTATTTGCAACGAAAGAAATTCGCCAAAGATGCGTCCTTTCGATAGAGTATGCCTTGATATACAGTTCAGAAGACCAGACGTGAATAGCATCAAGGCTAGACTCATGACGATTGCAGTAAGGGAAAAATTCCAATTGGATCCGTCTGTCATTGAGAATCTGGTCGAGGCCACGAGAGGTGACATCAGACAGATCATTAATCTTTTGTCGACCATCTCTACCACGACAAAAAAGATTGGGCATGGCAACGCTCAAGAAATTGCAAAGGCTTGGGAGAAAAACATTGCTTTAAAACCATTCGACATTACGCATAAAATGTTTGACGGGCGCATCTTCTCTGAGATAGGTTCCAAGAATTTCCCACTATACAAAAAAATGGAGCTTTACTTTGATGATTTCGATTTTACTCCGCTCATGATCCAGGAAAATTACCTGCAAACTAGGCCATCTGTGTTGAAACCGGGCCAAACTCATTTATCGGCAATCGCGGATGCTGCTGAAAGTATATCGCAAGGTGATCTTGTAGAGAGGAAAATACGTAGCAGCGAACAACTGTGGGGTCTCTTGCCCTTCCATGCCATTATGTCATCAGTGAAGCCTGCGTCAAAGGTTGCTGGTCAGATGGCCGGCCGGATTAATTTTACTTCATGGCTCGGTCAAAACTCGAAAACTGGCAAGTATTTTCGTTTACTACAAGAAATTCAGTACCACACAAGGCTGAGCACCTCAACAAACAAGTTAGGCTTTCGAATGGACTATATGCCAACTATGAAACGAAGACTATTAGATCCATTACTACGCGACGGTAGTGATGGTATCACCGAAGTGATTCAGGTGATGGACGAGTATTATCTGTCTAAAGAAGATTGGGATTCCCTAATGGACTTCATGATCGGAAACGATAAGACAGAGACCCTGATAAAGAAAATTCCAACGGCTGTTAAAAGTGGTTTCACGCGAAAATACAACGGAATGGTTCATCCTGTCGCAATCTACAAGACAGGTGCTACAACTGCAGTCGGGGGCAGAGCCAAAGAAAGACCAGACTTTGAAGACGTTGTTGATGCAGATGATGAGGTTCCCCCCGCTGATGATGATGATAATGAGATCAAGGACGACACTGATTTTAAAAAGGACAAATTGATCAAACAAGGTAAACCAAAAGCCTCTAAAAAAAGGCCAGCTAAGGCAGCAACAAAGGTTGCAGCAAAAAAGCGTAAAGCATGAGGAAGTCTTGTCTCCTTTTATATAGGAATGTACGCGGAGCCGGCCATGCACCGGAAATGCACGACTTTATTACATGACAAATTTGAGGCGCATTATGATACTAAGGCGTCAAATCTTCCACTGAACGCGTTTCTCAACCACGAGGATAATCGGTGGTACACAATGTTTCCCGCGTTGTGAAACATTATAGAATGCTCGGAATCTGGAAAGATGGATAGATCGTAATCTTGTACGCCATTTATGTTAAGTTGGTCGAGCAGGTGCATTGTGTTCTTCAAATGGACATTATCATCAGCACTGCCGTGCATTAACAGAAACCTTTGCGCTTTGGCCAAATTCCCAATGTCATTTATCAAAGCGTTCTCCTCGTATGACACCTCGTTCGTTTCCAAACTGCCCATATAGCGCTCTGTATAGATGGAGTTGTAGTATCGCCAATCCGTGACGGGCGCAACCGCGACCCCATACTTGAATATACTCCCACCATCCAACTCAAGCGTCTTAAGGGTAACAAATCCTCCATATGACCACCCCCATATAGCAACGCGGTCAGTGTCGATATATTCAGCGTGACGTTTCATGTAATTCTTAGTCACGCTCAAAATGTCTCTTGGTTCCCAGTAACCTAATTTCCCCTTTGCCCAGCGTCTATACTCCCAGCCGCGGCCTCCGGTGCCTCTAGGTTCGATTTTCAAAACTACAGCGCCTTCGCTAGAGGCAAGGCTTTCATCTAGGGAAATGGAAAATCTAGAGTCTACCGTATGTGAACCGGGACCCCCATAGACATGAACAAGCAAGGGACGCTTTGCAACTGAATGAGTGTCTGCCGGTAAGATTTCCATGTAATCAATATCAACTCCGTCGTCTAATTTCATCGACCTTCGATTCGTCGAAGGTATATCGTATTTCTCCAATGAAGTGAGCATGTCAGTATTATCAGTTAGCTGGGTGATCGCTCTCGATTCATCGTTTTGAAGTAATAGGATAAGATCGCCAGCGTCCGAAATAGGCGCATTCGGACCCAGGTAACGTTTTACCCCAAACCTGCAGCTCAAACTAAGTTCAAAATCGTAAAACGCCTCTTTCTCATTTGGATCTTGCGGAGCATGGACCTCCTGACTGGGAGATGTGTTTACCGAGACGAAGAAAAGGTGCTGAGAAAACCTATTTTGCAAATTGGCCAAGAAAAGTATAGTCTCTGCGTCATAATCATAACCTATAATCCCCTTCCCGGTTACTTCCCATTGGCCTGAAGTAAGTTGATGGCTTAAGTCAGAATAGAGGTTGGGGAAATAAAAAAGATGAGGGAACCCGTTGTCATCGACCTGGACGTCCACGTAGCCCACCTCATTCCGATTAAGAGACTCTTTTATAGGAATGACTTGAACGTCATGTGTCCTTTCAATCCAGCCGCCGTACCTCGTGGCATTGATAGTTCGAACTGTAGACACCATATACGTGGACAGGTCAAAAACCTTGACATCCATTACCTGAGATCCGCGATCCGTATCCTTGAACATAAAGTTATTAGAGTCAATCCACTGGGCGTGATATAGAATTCGCTCTTTTTCTTCTCCTTTAGGTACTGTGTGTAACGCACCTGTCATCAGATTGTAGGACCATAAAGAGTACTCTGGATTAGGTGTTCCTGGCTTAGGGTAATTGATGGTTTGCGACCCATCGTAGAGCTCGTTATTGATGTAAAGAGGCAAGGTTTCTTGCTGAACTTTGGAATCATCAAACTGAGCCCACACGAGTTTAGAATCATCATGGGCCCACCAAACGGCCTGATCTGATGCTAGGACCTCCTCTTCGTATACCCAATCTGGCTTCCCATTTGAGATATGGTCTGAGCCATTAGTAGTTATCCGTTGGACTACCTTGCTGGCAACATTCTGAATGAATAAGTCATTTTCGAAAACAAAATAAAGGAAGTTTCGCGAAGGTGAGAATCGGGCATAGGAAAGTTTGTAGAGAGCATCTTCACCTGGGAAAGGCGAGATTGGAGTTATTATACTTTTCTTAATATCTTTGAGCCAGTAGAATCCTTTTGAGGAATGTCTATATTCTCTTTCCAAGTCCGAAGACATTATCGCGAAGTCCAATCGATGAGAAACTTCGAAATGCGCAACATTGTACTCGTGCTGGTGATACGTAAATTCTTTGCGACCCAAGTCCTCGTAGAAATTTCCATCAGCCAATTTGCGTGCGACGTATTTAGGAATACCGTTGCTGTCGTCGATAGTCAGGTACAAACCAGCGTCATTATCCTGTGATTGGTATAAAGATCCAGGTTTGATGAATGAAAAAGGATCATCGCTGAAAGAAAACTCCCCGTCTAGTACGGAGCTTATGTCAAAGTCGCGGCCCGAATGTGTTATGCCTGAGTTGGGACCATTTACTGGGGAAGTAGCAAGACGTGATGTTCGTTCCTGATATTGCCAGACAGTGAATCCTACCAATAGCCATGACAGCACAACTGAAAGTGGTATCACGAAAGCTTTCTTCGGCTTTATGCTGAAGTTGATATATCGCAACGGCGATAAGGTTCGTTGTGAGGCATGCTGCTGTGCATTAGAATCCCATTCGCCATTGGGTAAGGGCTCCTCACTCTGTGGTATTAGCTCAAAATCTTGCGCGGGCATGAATTGCGCGCTTGAGTTAGATTTCAGGAGGTACAAGGAAGGGATCCGCTTTTTGTAGGTGGCCATGGGTCCCTGGAAACCAAGTCAATGATTGTAGTTTGTATCGGGAAACGCTGCTAAGCACTGAACACGAGAAGCGGAGGTGCCACTTATCATAATAATAATGGGCGATTGTGGCCAAGGAAACTTATGACAGCAAGTAGGTCTTCCTATATGTGTCCTCTACACTCTCAATGGTACCGATGCGAAGTTTCATTGCCCTGATTTCTGAAAGCGGGCTAATTCAAATTGTCTTCTACTTCCAAGTTGGATAAAAAAGCGACAAACACAGACATCGGCAATTTGCTGGGCGGTCCCAATGGGCCACTCTTTTGATAAACCCTGCCGACACGACTAAAAAATGGCACTTTTCCTTAATAATTTACTTACAACTCTAATTTAACTATTCAACGAAAAGAGCCTAGCACCAAACAGATATTCGAGGCAAACTGAAAGAGTCCGTCTTAAGCCATTTATTGGGCCAAAGCAGCAATCTTGGCAGCAACACGTTCTCTTCTTTGTTCCTTGGTCAACTTGACTTGTCTGTACTTCTTGGATTCAGCAGCGTATTGTTCCTTGGTGAACTTCTTTTCGGTTGGCTTGAAAGCAGGGTCAGCACGGATTTGTTCGTGGGCTTCGGTGTAAATGTCTTCTAGAGCATCAGCTTCGATGTCATCGGCCAAGTAACCCTTGAACAATTCTCTGAAACGTTCTTCATCGTCATCGGCCAATTCCTCCATGTATTGGGAAACGTGGCCACCGAAGATGTAAGTTCTTAGCAAGTCGGCATCGACCTCCTCGGCTTCAAAGTCCCAGCCTGGGAATCTGCTCTCGGAGTGAGGAATGTACAAACCACCGTCGGAGGCACCCTTTAGGGCACCGAAGACACGGGCACCAGTGGTGGTTCTTTGCAAACCGATGTCGAGGAAGACCTTGAAAGGACGAGGAGCACCTTCGACGGCTTCGGTCAATTGGTATTCACCTTCAACCTCTTCGACACCTGGGTAGGTTTCGTCAAGGCCAAGCTTTTGCAAAGCTCTTCTGGCGACCAACAAACCAGTGGCGTAGGCAGCAGACCAGTTGGTTAGACCGTGGGTGATACCGTAGCGAGGCAACTCGTGGGAGTAGGCAGCGGTCAAAACAATGTCACCGGTGATGGTAGAAGACACGATTTGGCACACGATGTCCTTGTTGGTGAAACGGACCACAAGTCTGTACTTTGGAGAGTTGTACTTGGCCTTGTGTTGGGCGACCAGACGCTTACGTTGGTAGTAGTCGGTCTTACCTTCTCTTCTTCTTCTGAAGGGAGTTTGGAAACGAGAGTGGTAAGCAGAGCTCTTCACGTCCTTTAGGAAAGTCATTGCTGGTTGTTGGTTCGACAGAATGATACAAATGAAACAGACGAGGAGAAGTGAGACCAAACTTGAGCTCTTAGTTGAGATGACTAGTTCGATTCGGTGCTCACTGGCAGCTGAGAGACTGGAATTCACCGTTCGTTGCTAGCGATCTTAAATTTTTCATTTGCGTGGGTCTCTTTGGACGAGAGAACAAAAAAAGTTGCGTGTTTGAAAAATGATGGAATTTTAGCAGTCACAAGAAAGAGCCCGGGCGATGGGATGGCAGCTAGCTAAGAGCAGTGTCAGCGTCCGAAGGATTGGGATAGCCTCAGGTCACAACTCGAACTGTGAGCTGTAGACTATAACTCATGGGACTCCTTGTGACCTTTGCCCGCCGAGGAGCCAGAACAAATAATTTCGTGGAACGGCAAGGGTAGATATTAGTGTTCGCAGCTATGTCGACATTGTATATTCCTGCGCTGTGAGGCTTGCCAATACTTTCTTGAAACAGTTAAATAAGAATAGACGTTAGTCGTCAGTCGTCGCAGCTATGCTAGCATTAATTAATTTTGGGCTGTCGGGCTGGCTACTCTTGTAGCGATAATACGTAGAAATGAGATACCCTTTTTTTAGTGTTTTCGGGACCAAACAGAGCTTCCGGTTTGTTCATGTATGCGATGGGGTACCACCGTAGAATGGCAATCGGTGGGTGGACGACAGAAGCCTGGATTCAATGGCCTGTCTTGGAAAGCTGGGGCTTTTCATTAGAACGCATTGGCCTGTCGTTGACACTGTGTCACATCGTTACAAAATGATATGAAAAAAGATAGCAGTCGTTCGCTACCTTTGGATAGCTAGCAGCTAATGAGTCGTTTCCACTAGCCCTTCTTTTAATCGAACACCATCTGATATCGACCATCGGCATATTGTACAGTCATGCCGAGGTTTAATCTTGAGAACACACCTGGTGCGTCTACTTGGTGTGGCTCTTCTAGACTACTTACACAAGCCTCTATCATGACACACCTCGGTTGCAACGGTAGTCCAAATGTATCTTAAGTAGTCGTCTTCGCTGTGTAACAACCCAAGTTTTCTCGCAAACAGCAAGTATTGCGAGCCTAACGTCGAAACGCCTTCGTAGGGAGCACGTGGAAAGCTCGCTGTGCTGTGTCGCGTTGGATCGCAGTCGCCGCAGGGTCCACGAAACCCTGGTCCCATACAGCGCGACCCTTGCCGCACCACCGGAAAAAATATCCACTGCTTGTGGACTCAACTAATAACGCCTCTTCGCGGACATTGAATCTGCGGCGATATGGCGTCGTAAGGAGGCTCCGCAGATTATTTTCTACAGCTGCTCGCGCGCCCATCGCGCTAGTGGTGCACATAAGTTGTAACTTTCGCCAACCCACAGCACTAGCAAATGGGTCACTTGGACATTGTACGCTTTGATGGGCTCGACCACTCTTTGCGCATCCCGCCGGTATAATATGTCGGGGTTACTGGGGCCGTGAGGCTTAGACTGGATATATATTTTCAGTCTCTTTAACGGGTTTGTTTATCTGACACTTGGACATGTGGCGCACTGGCCGATATATAGAATAAAAGTGGCAAGCTGGATAAAGGGCTTTCAAAGAAAAACATCCCAGGTAAACCGGGTCTGATAGTATTTCGTTTACCCTTCTCACGAGGTTTGTGACTGCTCTGACATCGCTCTTGATCTGTCTCTTCCAGAAGGACGCTCCGATCACCCTCCTTTCAAGGTACCCTTCAAGTAAGGTTCAAGCGGATTTCAAAAACATACCACTCAAGCCAAAATGGCGAGTGAGCTGTCGCCTTCTTCTTATCCCAAGAAAACTCAGATATTGATTACAGATGTGCCCCAAAGGGACTTCGATAAGGAATGGCCGCAGGATCTGCAAAAGCAGTTGTTTGAACAGAATTTCCCAGATCTCAAGAAGCATTGCCTGTATTACACTCCGCTGGCATTTTTGCGCCGAGTGGTGATCATCTTCGATGAAGAAGAGGCTACAAACGCCATCCACGAATACCTGGTCCGCGAGCTAGCCGCTTCGCACCAATCCGTCAAGATTCACCTCACTGAGTCACTACTTTCTAAGCCTCGTGCAAGGTCGCAGGAGTCGCTCAGCAACGCTGAGGAAGTTGACTTCCAAACATTCAAGAGGCCACAACTTTCCTTGAGAACCGACAGTTCTCAGCCTGCGTCGCCGTCGCTCTCTCCAGACAGATCCAGCTCTCACTCGCCCACCGCAATGCGGTTCCCAGACGACCACAAGATCCACTACTATCAAGAGCCTTTGCCTAAAGTGCACGACGAAGGCAATCGTTCGGGTGCTGCAAAACTGCTTTATGAACCACGGCTGACTCTGAACACTACAAACACCGGTCAAAGCTCGGACAGCCTCTCACCGGCCCCGATGAGCCCTTCCATTACCCTTAACGAATTCCAACCATGAAATCTTTGCGCACCCCCCTCCCCATCATAGCATCGCTATTGTTGGCCTTCGCCTGTGCACGGGGAGAATACGTAGCTGTACAGTAAATTCAATTTCATTTGCATCCTCATTTACTTAATATTTACAAGGTGTTCTATGCTGTGGTATGAAGCTCGGTGGCCGTGCTATCATCCATGACTTGCGGACTGGAACTTTCACTCACAGCACCTTTGTTGGCGTAGTGAGCCCTAAAGAACGTGTAATGAAGCACAATATCATCAATGTTGCGCATTTTGGGATCGCTGGCAAAATCAGGATCTATGAAAAAGAAAACGGGCATGTCGATCTCTTCACCAGCCGCAAGCCTCTGCTCTTCGAAACAGAAGCACTGAATTTTGTTGAAATACGGCGACGCATCTCCGGGAGTAATACTGTAGGTAGCCATGCCAATGATATCTTTGTCGCTAGTGTTCTTGGCTTTGTAAAACGCCAGGGCCGTCTCTCCTGGTAAAACGCGCACTTCCCGCTGTTCTGGCGTGAATTTCCAAGGTAAAATCTGAGACACTTCGCTCGTGAATGACACCCTGATTCTTTTGTCGCTGTCTATGGGGATCAGCTTGTCGTCTGTGAATTTACGTCTATCTGTGATGGGTACGCCGCCCCAGCCCGTGCGCGCACAGATCGCCCGGTAAAAGGGCACTGCCGCATACGCTAGTCCTAGGAAAACCACCGCTATGCTAGTGAAATAGTATGCTGCTGTGCGATCTTTGAATTTCCTGTCTTCTTGGAACTTCCAAGCTCGAAGCTGTTGAATCTCCCGTTGCGTCAACTTCGAGAGGTCCACCGTGGGCTTGGTAGCATACAGTCTGGAGGACTGGACGCTCCTCGTAGCAGCCCTGAATAACACCTTGTGGAGCATACTAGATGGCTTATGTCGACACTACAGTGGAGCTTGAGATTCGGAGCGACTCATAGATGCTAAAAGCGACCAAACTTCCTCATCATCTGCCACGGGCTCATCTCTTGCGACAGCGACACGATAAAAGTAACAAACCAACATTGTTCATTCAAAGAACAATGCATGTGTGTGGTAATGGACGAGTCTGTGTGCATGTTTTTTAAGACCTATTGATGAAGTTTACCTACAAGTCATATGAGTTGGTAGAGGCTAGCGACCGTCGTCCCAGATTAGCCTTCGTAATTGTTGCCTACCATAGCTTTGCAGAGGTAGTCTGAGACTGACACATACTCTAGACTAGAGCCTTGTAAAATAGCTACCTTTCCGTTTTGTCGGCACGGCTCTGTGTCTGTCCTCTGCTCCATCTGGAATGTTGGTAGTGTTCGAGGCAGTTTACTTCTCCCCATTCTTGGCCGAAAATAAGCTGCGCCAAGTAATTCTTCACTTGACCTCAATTTTCTGACACCCAGTTGAACCTTCCCCATAGTGAGACCAAGCACGCTCGCCTATTCGCTACCTCGAAGCCGTTCAAATGCTGTATACCAACTCCTACCCGTACACGTGAATGTACTCTCCGGACTCGCGTCAATGTGCCAGCTTTGTTATGAGAGTGACGAGAGCTCATCAGCAACAGATGAACATTAAGGCCCATTGAAACCACGGCTTGAAGCTCCTCAATTGGTTTGACAATCGCATGAATGACACAGTGGCCCAATCGAAGCGCCGAAAGCCGTTTCGAGCGTGCTTATACTGCCGAAGATCACATATGATATGCGATGACCAAAGGCCATGCACTAGATGTGTGAGAAGAAACATATCTCAATTGTGCCGCGATGAAGAAACCGGAGGCATTGCCGAAAGTGCGGAAAACTCCCGAAAACCCCCGTTTTCCGGTCCAACCGTGGGCAAAACAACTGTCATGAATGAACCAAATGCATTCCTAGCCCGACAACCCCAGTTTGCCTCTGAGCATGTCGGCTCGGAGTTTTCGTCCCTCAACGAGTTTTTGCATATGCTTGAGGACCCGTTAGTTTTAAATGGTGATCCAACTACAACGTTACAAGCACTATCACAAGCGCCGTTTCAGTCGCAAGTGCCACCGGTATGGCAGCCGCAACCGATCCAATTAAGTGCAGAAAACCAGGCTACCTTCAAACCGACCCTCAAGGAAAATTTCTTTCTCACTGCGGCTGATCCCTCTCAGGAGATGACACCAGAAGACAGACTCAAATCTGTTATAAACGCTAAACTAGAAGCTGGCCTGTTGCGGCCCTATAATTACGCGGCAGGTTACGCGCGATTGCAGGCGTACATGGACAAAAACATGACAGTTGCGTCTAAACAGCGCATTTTGAACCCTCTGTCCATCATTCGGCCGGAGTTTCGAGCCATTGCGCGGTCATTGAAGGATGTAGATCTGGTTCTCGTCGAGGAAAGTTTTGAGCGCATGCTGCTCTCGTATGACCGCGTCTTCACTTCGATGAGTATGCCAGCGTGCTTATGGAGAAGAACCGGAGAAATTTACCGAGGAAACAAAGAATTCGCGTCCTTGGTAGGATGCAAAGTGGGCGACCTCCGGGACGGCAAGCTTTCGATATACGAAGTGATGACCGAGGAGAGCACGGTCAGTTTCTGGGAAAAATACGGCTCGATTGCATTTGATAAAGATCAAAAAGCTGTCTTGACGAGTTGCAAATTGTGTGCACCGAATGGAAACCGTCAAACGCCATGCTGTTTCAGTTTCACCATTCGCCGAGACAGATATAACATTCCAATATGCATTGTTGGGAATTTTATTCCAACGGAGGGATAGTGGCTTGAGGGTCGGCGCCCATGTACTCGTTCCAAACCTCGCTTTTCCGTATCTGACAGTTTTTAGCAACCAACTTGCCAATGACGTTGCTGGGCCCAATATGGAGCGCTTCGGTTATGTCCAGTGAATTTACCGTTTCGCAGCATTTGACAAATTCCACTACGTTGCAGCTGCCGTACGCGAACCGTTCTAGAGCATCGTGTACATCCGTGACTTGGCCGCCCGTGAGGTTGCAAATCATAGGGTGATCAAGGGTTTTTAAGGTCTGCAGTCCCTGGTCTTTCAGGTTTTCCCACATATAACTGAGGAGCGGCTCTCCAATTGGAGCCAAGACCTGTGGGTTGTGAAACGGAAGGCGGTAAGGATTTTTGAGCCGGGAGATTTTACAGCGCCCCACAATTCCGCGTAACCGAACCTGCCAGTGCTCGAAGTCCTCCGCAGTGCCTGACACCACGCATTGCTGGTCTGTATTGATATTTGCCAGCGCGACTGAGCTGCCCTTTGGCTGCAATTTAATCAGGCGTCGCACGTCGTTAGCCAAACTTTTCGCCTTAGGTGCTGAAATAGCCCACATGCTGTATTCCCGCGCGCCCTGCTGCTGCGCAACCGCTTGTAGCATCAACGAGTTGCGGTAGTGGGCTATTGCCATTGCCTGCTGCAACGTGAACAAACTGTTACCCGCGGCCAGACACGACAACTCACCCAACGAATGGCCCAAAAACACCCGTGACGCATTGTTTCCACGATTCTCGCTACAGTGGATCTTGTACAATAGAAATGAGCATGCAACAATGGACGCCGGTTCGCCAGGAGTTTGTTCGATTTGTTTCGCCACCAGACGTGCGTGATCACCAGCCAATATCGCCGGACTACGCTGTGCTAAATAAGAATTAAAAACATGGCCCAGCACCGGAGTTCCTTGGCCTGGGAATGTAATTAGTCTCGGCATATATGATAATACGACAATAAAGTCACAAATATTCAGGCCACAGTTCGAGAGACCTACCTAACGAAAGCCCTCTTCAAGCCCTATCCGATTGCAGTACTTGCTACGCGGTTTACAGGCGCCAATTTCACCAGTTTTGGTTATTTTTCTCACTCGCCGGTAACTCGACTGTTATCTGGTAAACAAACGGTGAGAGTTCAATAAATTTTAATTGACTCGAAACTGACAAATTTTCCGGTGCATCTTTCAACTTGGTGAAAACGCTATATAAAGGTTTTGGAAGAAGGGCATCGACGAAATCCCTTTGACAGATCAATTGAGTCTTTACTGAGAGAACCCATTTGAAAATTCGTGGTCGTGTAAAGTCCGGACTTGTTAGCAATATCAGACCATTCAATCAACAACACTCGCACTTGATACCAGCCAAGCAGTTTCCAATTTTAACATGACCGACGCTCTACCATTGCCATTTAGATACCAGTTCGCTGCGGGCGCCGTGGCAGGGATTTCGGAAATCCTGGTTATGTACCCGCTGGACGTGGTCAAAACCAGAATGCAACTTCAGGTGAAGGGCAGTTCTGGCCCTACATACACCGGAGTTCTGGACTGTATGAAGCAAATTGTGGCCCGTGAGGGTGCGTCAAGACTGTACAAGGGTATATCTTCACCCGTGCTGATGGAGGCGCCCAAGAGAGCTACAAAGTTCGCATGTAACGACGAGTTCCAGAAACTGTACAAGCGGGAGTTTGGCGTGGAGAAGCTCACGCAGTCGTTGAGTATCCTCAGCGGGGCGTCTGCCGGTTGTTGCGAGGCGTTCGTGGTAGTCCCATTCGAACTGGTGAAGATCCGGCTGCAGGACGCGAGCTCGAGCTTCTCGGGGCCGATCGAGGTGGTGCGCAAGATTGTCGCCCAGGAGGGTGTGCTGGCCATGTACAACGGGCTGGAGTCCACGTTGTGGCGTCACGGTGTGTGGAACGCGGGCTACTTCGGGGTCATCTTCCAAGTGCGTTCGCTGTTGCCCGCCGCGCAAACCAAGTCCCAGCAGACCGGTAACGACCTGGTCGCCGGTACCATCGGTGGTACTTTTGGCTCTCTGTTGAGCACTCCTTTCGACGTTGTCAAGTCCCGTATCCAGAACACCGCGGTCGTCGCCGGCCAGGTCCGCAAATACAACTGGTCCTGGCCCTCTCTGTTTACCATCTACCGCGAGGAAGGCTTCTCCGCCCTCTACAAGGGTTTCGTGCCCAAGGTGTTGAGGTTGGGACCTGGTGGTGGTATTCTGCTGGTGGTGTTTACCGGAGTGATGGACTTCTTCAGAGACTTCCACTACAGACAGAACTGATGCGCCCGCGTATAGACTTCTCAAGACATTTTAATTATAGCTTTAATACAATACGATCTTATCTCATATGTTTTCTCTACGATCCCGTCTACGAAAAAGCTACGACCTCTGCATCCTGCTACTAGCCACATGTACGTTCTACCGGCCCTTGCAGATCGATATGGCAGGGCCCTTGCGAGCCCTGCTGACGACCCACAAAAGGGCGCTAAGACGAACGAGATGTTCTCTCCGATGGACTTGACGCTAGAAATTACACCACAGAAAGGCGCACTAGCAACACGGTTTTATAGTCCTGGTTTGTATAATCCGCACGATTATTGGTTTTCTAAAAAACTGACCAAAGGTGTAGAAACTGGAAGAAGTCGGTCATATTCCTTAGCCTTTATATACTTTTCCAACGCTTTGCTTACCCGGCCACTATATTTCCCAGCTCTTAATTGAAGGGCACTCAAGTCAAGGAAAGTCATATCCACAACCTACGACTATAGCTAACTTGTGAGAGTTGCGAGCAGGACAGGATGGCGGCAGTTAGTCTTGATGGATCTGCGAGACAAGATCGTCTAGTAACGGTTCGATTTGCAGTGGAGCAGATGGAAGATTTGCCCTTGAACGTGAGCAACTTGAATCTAGACGTGGTTACGGTGCCGTGGCTAAGGCGTATGTGCAGACAGCTGCGGGGCAGCTGGACGGATAATAAACGGCTCCGCTTCCTCAGGAATGGACATGTATTGACGTCGAGCTCAGACCTGCAGCTGAAGCGATACTTCGAAGACTCCGGCGAAACGGTGTTCTACGTGCAGTGTATAGTCGGGCGAGACTTGACGGCACAGGAGGCTGCGAACGAAGACTTGTTGGACGAAGCACAGCCCAATGTAGAAGGTACGACAACACAAGCGATTGGGTTCGATAGGTTGCGGTCAGTTGGATTCAGCGACGAGGAAATTGAACTTCTGCGACAACGGTTCCAAAGCACGTACGGAGACCTGGAAAGTCTGGCACAGAACACTGACGGCCAGCGCGACATCCGACAGCTCGAGGAGCAGTGGATGGAGACTGGTGCCAACGACGACACGGCGCAGATGGGCATGATAGGAATCGCGAATTACAAGCACAATGTGGACCTGTTGGTGGGGCTGGTGGTAGGGTTCGCCCTGGGGGTTTTCAGCTTTCTGCTGATGACGCAGGAGGGGCTGTTCAACAAGCGGCAGCGAATGGCCATCGTGGGCGGGCTTTTGATAAATCTGTGCTTTGGGATAACACTAGGGTTTTCCAGGGTTTAGATCAAGCACAGCGGACAGAGACATAAAAAAAAGGATATTCTTCGGGACACCCGGCTGCGCCTGGACGCGTATAGTTATGTACACGATAATATAAAATGATAATGGAGGATCTGGAGAGGTGTGAGTCTTGCTACTCGTGTTTGGGATGGTTTTGAAAGACCTGGTCCAACAAGTGCTCGATGGGTTTATCGAAAAGGTATGGCAACGCGGGCACCACACTGAGCCCGAGCCCGATGGGCCCCCAGGTTCTCAGCACCGCGTTCTTGGGAAACTGCTTGTTGAACCAATTGCCCGAGTACTTCACCGCGCTGTGGATGGTGAACGCTGGCAGCCCCATGGAAGCAACACTTTGGAAAATCATTCTTTCGAGACTCACCATTTTCCAATCGGGCATCTGCACTGCCTTGGCTTGCGCCACCTCGGTGGGATCAACGGGTGGCAGTGAGTCCCAAGGCCTCAATCCCGGACGGTACCGCCCCTCCTGTTGCAATTTGGCCACCCACGCCGTGTAGGAAACGTCTCCCAGGATGTAGGCCCACGAGATACCGTATCCAAATCTCACCAGCAATGGTGAAAACACAGGGCGGAACGATTCCCCGATGTCTGAAGTGTACGCAACGTATCTATGGGACGCAAGCGCGATGGTCCGGAGACGGCTGGCGTAGGCAGCGTAACGGACGGAGGAATCGGTACTGTCTGGGGTATGCATCAGTTGGGTGGACGAGGGGCCATCGGCCCCTGTCACAGATGCGACAGCAGTTTGGGAGTTATCGGAGCCCATCTTTGAATGTGTAGGATGTTTACTTTGTTGTTATCTATGGCAGGAGGGTGTAGGTAGATGCCAATCTAATTTATAGCCCTGGAGCCTAAACACTGGGGTCCGACGCAGAGGACCGGCAAAGACAACGCTTCTCAAGCGCATTATTTCGTTATTGTACAGTATTATTTATCGGTGATGCTATGCAGTTGGTTGGTGGGTGGAATTGCGGGAGAAACAGCGACGTTTCTAGATTTTCTACGAGTGTGTTCAACCTCTTTTTTAATTGTGTGGGGGCCAAGACATTGACAGCCCAAACAGCCCCAGCCCATTGCGCAGCACGCTGGTGGTTGGTTCGCTTGTCTGGCTGGTATTTCGGCTCAGCGGCGGATCAACAGGTAAGCGTTTTCCTGTTTCAGGTTGCTGAGGCCACGGTAGTTCCCTTCCAAACGCATCAAAAGCCCACCAAACGAGTAGTGCACGGCAATCAGGTCTTTTTTGCCGGCCACCTCCTCGAACCGGTAGGCCGTGCCGTACATCACGTAGTCGTAGTCATCGGCCAGCGACCGCTCGCCGGCCTGGGGAGCTCTCCACGAGCCACCCTGCGCCATTTCGGAGCCGTCCAGGGACAGGCTCGACGACAGCATCACCGTCAAGTTGTCATTGGCGCGGATAGGGAACAATTCGGTGTTGACGTCCAGGGTCAGCTGGAACTCTTGCGACGTGGAGTGGGCTTCGATCCGCGAAACCTTGTTGTAGCGGCCTTGGTCCACCTCGGTGACCTGGAAAATATCGTCGAAAAGGGTCGTGGACATTGGAGCGACGGCAGTGGGGGGTCTGGGCACGACGAGACTTCCTTGGGGGGCGGTGAGCTTGGTGTGTGTGGAGGGTGGGAGGACGGTGTCCACGCCAGATGAGCTGGCGAGTTGGCCCATTGAAAATTTTCAGAATGTACGTTCGTACGAAAGACATGGCGCTCGGCGATGAGCCCAACCACCCCGGCTCGCCTGGGCTCTCGCGTCTGCTCTCGCGCCTGCTCGCGCCTGCGCCGGTGGGCCCTGCCCTGCTGCGACGTGAATATTGACAAAACGGGTTCCCTATATACCTATAAAACTGTGCGCTGGTACAAAAAAGCCAACGTCCCGCATCACCTCCTCCGCACTGCTTCTCCACGTCCCGCATCACCTCCTCCGCACTGCTTCTCCACGTCCCGACGCTGCGCTCGCCGTCTACTTCAGCACGGTGGCCTTGCGCTTCGACTGGTAGTCCTTGATCGCAGCTTTGATCGCGTCTTCGGCCAGCATGCTGCAGTGCAGCTTCACCGGGGGCAGACTCAGCTCCTTGGCGATCTCGGTGTTCTTGATCTGCGCAGCCACGTCCAACGTCTTGCCACGCACCAGCTCCGTCATGTACGAGCTGGACGCGATCGCAGACCCGCACCCAAACGTCTTGAACTTCACGTTCTCGATCACACCCGTCTCGTCGTTGACCTGGATCTGCAGTTTCATCACGTCCCCGCACGCGGGCGCGCCCACCAGCCCCGTGCCCACGTTTTGGAGCTTCTTATCCATAGACCCAATGTTTCTAGGGTTGGTGTAGTGGTCGATGACTCTGGGGTGGTAAGCTCTGCGAAGAGCCGGCGACAGAGCCAGCGAGCACGTCGCCAGGTTGGGGCGTAGCCCATTGGACATCACACGAGTAGTCATAAGTCTTTGCATCATCTTCGTTGCTGCACGCTATGCTGTTGGTGGGAGTTGTTCAAATGGAGATTGCCAGGCTCCCGCTTAATAATTTTTTGTATCCTTTGCCCGCGACAGCGGGGGCCAAAGTGATCTGCTTTTTCCAGCGTCGCCAGCGAAAAGTGCAAAGAGTCGAGGTGCTCGCCGCTGCAGCAGCTGTAGCACGCCGCGGGTTGCGGGTGCGGGCTGCTGGGCTTGGTATACGCGGCCTGGGTCGCCGGCTTCGGGCAGGTGCCAGCTCTCGACGGCCCTCCGGAGTTTGGCCGGGGATAGCGAGCATATAATCGGGTGGGTGAAAAACCGGGTGCACTTGCAGTGGCAGTTGTCGGATGGCCATAACGGCCCCGGGCCCCGAAGCACTGCGACTGTCAGTCGCTTTTCGCCATTGTTGTGGTGGGGAGGGCCAGCTCGTGGGCTGCTGGCCTCGGGCGTTGTGCGCGTGCGCGCGGGATGGCGCGGGATGGCTCGCCGCTGCGGCAGAGGCGCGGGACGGCTCCAGCGGGGCCGCCAAGTGCGCAAAACCTCGCGGGCCGGGCCATGTCACTTTTTACCAATCTGACACCGCGGTGTCAAGGGCGTCGGAAGCATGCGTTTGGCGGGTGGGACACCTGCGGTGGCAATCGCGTTCCCGGGGCAGGCGTGCGCGTGTGTGCGTGGCTCTTCCTGTGTGTTTCGCTTCGTGCTTTGCGGGCTGTGTGTCGCTCTTCGCGCGTTCCAGCTGGGCGTTGTTCTTCGTGCTTTCCGGCTGCGGCGTGTCGCCTGGTGATTGGTGTAATGCTTGCGAGCCGACAGCCGCACCGAGGTGTAGCGACGCACACATACAAGAAACCGTTGACGGCGCCAAATCCGAGTCTTTTTCGGCCGGAAGAATTTAGCTAGCACAGTCTTGAGCACGAAGGTGGCCCCGGAACTGCTGGAGGTCCTGTCCTGCTCGCCATTGAGCCTCTGTGACCCGTCTTCGCTATATTTCCTGTGGTGGGTCCGTCACATTCCGGTACTTTTATTAGCTCACTTAATTAGTTTCCATCATATCTGAAAAACCGACATCTCTGCTTGGACGTCAACGCTGCGCACTTCTCGCAATTAGCGCATCTAACCAGCCTGTAATGGTCATAGCGAACTCGCTGGATGTGGATGTAGACGTGGACTGGCTTTACAAGGGTAGAAGAAAGCCCAAAGCCCAACAGCCTCCGGTAAGGCAAAAAAGGTCATCTTCCGTGTCCAATGGCTCTCTTAGCCATGTTTCTGCGCACGCGGAGGCCCCTGGCGCAGCAGCCGTGTGTAGCTCGCAACCAGCCGGTGAGGTTGCGAAGACGCCGCTGCCTCCAACCCCAGGCAAAAAATCCAGCGACTCGGCCACTCCCGATGCCACGGGGACGGCGAAGATGGCGCGCTCTCATGCTCCGCAACGCTCCAAGTCTGTGAACGAGGCGAATCTGGGCAGTGGGAATAGCACTGCAAAGACCAAGAAGACGCTTTTCGGGTCGTTGTTTCGCAGAAACAGCCACGGCGCCAGTGACAGGCCGAGCATTCCCCTGGCGTCGACGGGGCCCAGAAGCTCGAGTCCCGCCAAGGGAGCTGCTCCGGGCGACGCCACAAGCACGTCGGTGGGGGCTGCTCCAGCCACGCCACCGGCCACTGCCCCGGCTGCTGTGCCGGGTGCCGTGTCAACTCCGAACTCGTCGTCGATGAACGTTGCCGTGTCGCAGTTTTTGAAAGAACCCTCGTCGCCCGAGGTCAAAGATCCGGCTCCCATTCACGAAGAGAGATTCTTTCCCGGACGTGCTAGCACGCATCGCAATTCCATCCCCTTTGAGAATTTGGCCAGCGTGCCGCTCCGAAGGGTCACATTCGCGGTTGACCGTTTTGGAATGGATCCGCCTCAACAGATCCCAAGCCGAAAACCGAAACGTGGGGACGTGCTGATCCCCCAGGACATGATATGTCCGACCCCGTCCATATCGGTGGGCATCACCAATACGCAAGGCAGTGTCGAACACGCGGCCTCGCTTTTCAACGAGGAGTCCAAGGAATATAAGGCCGCGCTAGAGAACCACCGCAAGGCCCTGAGGGAGTCGGATAAGCATCAGCAGGAGGCGCACTACGCAGCGCAGCGTATAGCGCATGAGGTTGCAAACTTCAAATCCAAGAGCACTTCACAAGCGACGAACACCACGGCTCCAGCCAGTGGTCAGCAGGCCGGCACGAAACCCACCACCACGGCGATTGACGACCGCATCAAGCATCTGGAGATCGATAAGCCAATTCACAAGCACGAAAACTATTTCGACCCCTCACAGCCGGAGGACAGTCCGGAATCCCAGACCAAACTGACGCTAGACAAGATCTACACGCGCTGTTGTCATTTGCGGGAGATTTTGCCAATACCATCCACACTCAAACAAGTGAAAAACAAGACTGCTCCTTTACAAATGTTGAAGTTTCTGAACCCTAGGCCCACGCTCATAGACTTACTGTCGTTTTGCGATTTCATCTCGATCACTCCGATCCACAACGTGGTGTTCGATAATGTGAACCTGACCCCCGAAATGCTAAGAATAGTGATAACCTCACTGGCGAATAGCGGTGCGATCGAAAAGCTCGGTTTCCGAAATGTGATTTTCAACTCGGAAAGCTGGAAACTACTGTGCCGGTTCCTGCTGCGAAACGATTCGCTTTTGAAACTGGACATCTCACAAACCAAGATCAAGCCAGACCTGGCACCGGGCCTGTACCGCGCGCATATGGATTGGAATTTGTTTACAGATGTGCTACAACGACGCCGCGGTAGGCCCCTGGAAGAGCTGTTGATCAACGGAGTGAGGTTTGACAACTTTGACGTATTCGTCAACTTACTAAGCACTTTTGCCTCGACGGCGCCTGCCCACAGTAAGAAGAGGCTTGGCATCGCGCAATCGTCGATCACAGGGGAGCAGCTGAAGTTCCTAATGTCGTGGGTCAGCGATTACCAGATCCAAGGCGTGGACCTCGGGTTTAACGACCTGAGTGAGCTTGTGAAACCGTTGGTTGGGAAGCTGTCCGCCTTGCCCTTGGACAATATGCATTACTTCACGCTGAACAGCACAAACATCGCCACCGCGTACGACGCGGCGTTGATCCTACGGGCCATATCCAAACTGCCAAACCTGTATTTCTTGGACTTGAGCAATTTGCCGCAGATCTTCCCGGAGATTTTCCCGTACCTGAACAAATACCTCCCACGCATGGCCAATTTGAAACGGCTGCACTTGGATTCGAACGACTTCACCTCTCGAGAAGTGGTGATGGTCACCAGCGTGCTGTCGAAATGCGACCAATTGTTGCACCTGTCATTGCTGAATATACCGGCGGAGGCGTTCTCCACCGCCATGTGTGCCAACGTCTACGATTGCGTGCGGCAATGTGCCAAGTTGACGAATCTGGATATCGCGTATGGGAACATGCCGGAACAAATCTCTTCGCGCATCGCGCTCTGCCTGATGCGCAGGATGCACCGGGACTTCGAGCTGGACGACCTGACGAACCAGGACGACGTGCTATTCGACGGCACACTGCTGTCGGAAACGGCGGAGAACGTGTTTGAGAAACTGAACAACTTTGAAAACGTGGAGACGAATGCCACCAGAAGGTATCTGCTCAAGAAGTATTGGGAACGCTTCAACCGCGTGCACGACAACGTGCAGAGCACCATCGACCAACTGTTCCACAAGCGGAGCCTGGGGGAATTGAACTTACAAAGTAAAGAAAACCTGCTACGGTTGTTATTTGTGGAAAACAATCTATCGCATATCCTAAGCCTACTCAAGACATACCCACAGGTGGCCGACGTGGCGGGCTTCGAGCCGGACACACAGCCCTCTGCGTTCGAGCACGACCTGTCGGCGCTCCCGGACCCCGAGGTGCCCGCCCACGTACGACCCCATTTGATGGCGACGGACTCCGGGAGAACCATAGACGTTACCACGGGCAAGCCGGTGTTGGTGAAACAGCCGTCGCACGTTGCGCTGGTGGGCAAACGCCAAGAGGAGGAAGAAGGCGAGTTCCACAAGTGGGGGTTTTTCGTGCAACAACAAAACTCTATATACCCGGACCACCAGGTGGTGAATCCCGGCCCCGCGGCCACCGCCGTCTCGCCGCAAACGTCCTCCACGGCCACCGCCGCTGTTGCCCCACAGGCGGCCGCCGCTCACGGGCTGCTTCCCAAGATCCCGTCCGGTACGGAATTGCGCGACGCCGTGATGCGTGCCAAAGGTATAGACTCGATCGAGGAACTGATCCAAAATGTGACTGGGAATAGAGTCACTCTGGACAAGATCTACGGGGTTCCGCTGCACCCGATGGCGACGGTGCCTCCGGCCGCGGCGGCGGGCTCGCAGTTGGTGCGGTCCAGTTCCACTGCGTCCTTCACGTCCTCGGACTCGGACAACGAGGACAAAGTGGACGAGACCTACGACAAGTTGCTCAGCAGCCTGAGCAAAGTGCGGTCCAATAAATAGAAGCTCGGTGTAGAGTAGTAGTGAACCAAAACGCATCCACAACTGTTGTGGGGCTCAAAACAGGGCCCGCAGAAGGCCGCGGTACCGGGCCGCGTCCACAAACCCATCGCCCGCGCTGCGCGAGAGCCGCCACAGCGCGACGAGGCCCGTCGTGGAGACGCCAAATATCAATGTAGACACGGTTTTCCGCCACTTCCACCGCGAGATCCGCGCGAACTGGCACAGCCCGGCGCCCAGGTGGTAGGTCGCGGACCACACCAGCACCGCGAGCGGCACCGCGCCCGCGGCCCACGCCACGGCCGCCCGCCGCTCGTTTTGCAAGATCCATCGCACAAAGTCAAAGTCCACCTCGCTGCCGGCCATCAGGCGCGCGTGGTACGCGACCGCGGGCACCAGCACGTAGCCCGACACCACTTGCGGGTTGTACGCGAGCTCGCGCGCCGCGCCGATGAAGTAGCCCGAGAGCCCGCCGACCAGCCCGAACTCGCGGCGGCGCACCGCGACGCGGTGCGCGTCAGGGCCGTCTTCCCGCGCTCGCTGCCGGCGCGCTACCCATCGCCACACTCGCAGGGCCACTCCGCTCGCCACATGCGCCGCCGCCGACACCACCAGCACCGTCGCCGTCGTGCTCTTCTCCGGCAGCAGCTCCCGCACCATCATCAGCACCTCGTTCGCCGCCGCGGGCGCCACCGCGCCCACCACCAGCGCGTTCGCCGCGTGTAGCGGGAAGTACACCGCCCATGGCCACACCGAGTGTCGCTGCACCTGTCGCAGCGCCGCTCTTGCCCATTGGGCGCGCTGCGCGCGCGCGCGCGCGCGCCCGTCCTCGCCGGGCCCGCCGTCCTCGCCGTCCTGCTCGTGGTAGTGCGCCACGGGCTCCGGGGTCAGTTCCTTCAGCTCCATGGTCGTTGTGCTGGTGTTCGCGGTGGCTCGGGTCGCCCGCCTTCCCTCCACCGCTCGCTTTTCACCAACCTGAAATTGGACCTCGGGGCACCGCCTCGGCAGCGAACGCTCAGACACCAAAAGCGACACCCAAAGCTCACAGACCCAGAGCTCACAACGCCATGGCCACACCACCGCTGCCTGCGCCGGGCGAAGAGGTGTTTTGTATCTGCCGGAAACCGGACTCGGGCGAGCTGATGGTCGGGTGCGACGGGTGCGACGACTGGTTCCACTTTGCGTGCTTGGCGATCCCGGAGAAGTACCACGAACTGGTGTTCTCGTTCTACTGCCCGCGCTGCCAGGCCGGCGAGACGGGCCCCGCGGCGGAGGGCGGCGACGAGCGCGCGCGCGCGCTGCCGCGGACGATGTGGCGGCGCAAGTGCCGGGTGGGCGACTGTTTCAAGCCCGTCGCGGCGACCAGCCAGTACTGCGGCGAGGACCACGCGCGCGCGTACTGGCGCGCGCTCGTGGAGCGCACCGACGAGCCCGCCCGCGACCACCTCCGCCACATGCTCCAGGAGCCCGACGTGGCCCACTTCCAGCGCCTGGGACAGGGCCCGCCGCGGTCGCCGCCGCCGGGCAGCGAGGCGGTGTTGGCGGGCGACGGCCTGCTTCAGGAGCTGGCAGCGCAGCTGCACGGGCTGCGCACGCGCGACCGCCCGCTACTGGACGCGCACTCGACCCGGCTCGCCGCGTATGGCGAGTGGGTCCGCGCCGCCAACCAGCACTTGTTTAGCGGCGGCGACGGCGGCGACGACCGCGGCGACAAGACCGCGAGCGCGCGCGCTCGCCCCAAGCGCAAGCGCCCCGCCAAACCGCAGGCGCTGTGCGGCTACCGCGCGGACCTCGAGCCGCCCTGCGCGCCCGAGCGCTTCGCGGTCGAGTTCCAGGCGGCCCCGGCCGACGAGGTCCGGGGCGTGTGCGCTCGTCTCCGGTGCGCGCGACACCTCGACTGGGCCGGCATCCAGCACAGCGCGCTGCAGTTCCAGCGCGAGACGCTCGACTCCTCCGAGCACCGGCTCGCGCTGCTGCTCGAGCTGCGGCGCGACCAGCTGCGGCTGCAATTGTACAAGAAACTGGGCCAGGACGCCCGCGCGGACACTCAGCCAGTGCATTGACCAGCCAGTCGCCCTGCTCGTCGCCCTGCTCATCGCCCACCGTCGTCGCCGGGCCGCTCGTCGCCCCGCACGGCGCTCTTGCCCATTCGTTTACACCGCCGGGTCCCCCAGGTTCGCTTCCCTCCACCCAACGCACGCATCAAGACAACTCGGGTCCAACAGCGTCGCGCCCTCCCGCCCTCTCGCCCCCCACCCTCGCCCGACCATGAGCACCGCGGACGCCAACAAGATCCGCAACGAGGAGTTCAAGATATGGAAGAAAGCAGTGCCCGCGCTGTACCAGCACATCTCGACGTTCCGGCCGCCGTCCACCACGGTGTTTGAGCGCGTGGAGCAGGTCGCCAAAGTGGTGGCCTTCACGCGCGAGGTGGTGCCGGACGCCGCGCGCGGGACGCTCGCGGCGTCGCTGTTGTGCTCGCAAGGCAGCGACGTGTACGAGGTGGAGTTCGAGCTCCCGCTCGGGCTCCACGACGACGACGACGACGACAGCGGCGGCCGCGGCGGCCGCGGCGACCCGCAATACGGGCCCGCGTTCGCGCGGCCCGCGCAGCGGGAGCCCAAGTGGACCTACCAGGGCGAAACCATCACCAAACTGCAGTGCCTGGGCACGTCGTCCGCAGTGGCGATGACCGCCAGCGGGTCGCTGGCGTGGTTCCAGGCGGGCTGCCGGGCGCCGGTGTCCGTGGTGGAGGAGCTGGTCGGGCCCGCGACCAGTTTCTCGCAGATCCACGACCAGTCGCGCGCCCACGGCGACGCGCGCGCGGACTTTGCAGTTTCCGGGGACCTGGCGACGCTGGTGAAGTCGCAGCCGGGCCCCGGGTCGGCGAGTCTGTTGAAAGTGGTGGACAACTCGGCGCAGCCCGCGGGCCGCGTCGTCCGAGTCATCCTGGTCCCGGGCACCTCTGCGACGCCCGTGGTTCGGTTTCTCGACAACCACCTCTTCGCGGCGTGTTCCGACGACAGCACCGTCCGGTTCTTCGATGTGCGTGGCGACGGCTCGCCGCTGTGGGCCCTAACGGACCCGCACGACGGCAGGGTCACCAGCATGGACGTGTCGCCGTTTGTAGAAACGTTGTTCCTCACGGGCTCGGACACCGGGGTGCTGAAGCTGTGGGACTTGCGAAGCATTGTCGCGTGCGCGCCGACGCGCGAGGAGCCCAGGCCGATCGCCAAGTTTTACCAGTCGGCCGGGGACGCGGTCGCGGACATCAAGTTTGGAGTCTCTTCGCCGACCGAGGTTCTGACCGTGGGACGGTCCGGGAACGTCTACCATTGGGATTTGGAACCCGTGTTCGTGCGCGACGGCGACAACGACCACGACCACGACCATGACCACGACGACGACGCCCCGGACCCGGAGGAATTGCAGCAACTGTGTTTGAAGTTCATGCACACCGGTGGTGGCCGCAGAAACGTGGCGAATTGTAACCAGCGCGACACTGTCACTTGGCACCCGGTCATCTGCGGGCTCGTTGGGTGCGTCGACCCGGACGGAGTCTTGACGGTGTACAAGGGCTTGGTTGGAACCGACGAGGAGTCATCTGCGCCGAGCGCCGATGAGGACGAGCACTAGCGAGGTGCACTGGATACAAGAATGGGGCCCAGCGGGCAGAATGAGGTCCAGTGGACGGAATGAGGCCACCCAGCCACCCAGCACTAGAATGAGGCCCAGTGGCACTAGATACAAGAATGAGTTATAAGAATGAGGCCCGATTGCCAGGCACACTATTTACATAAAACGTTGGTATTTAGCTAATTGCATGATGAATGTCAAGAATGAGGCCGATTACCAGGCACACTATTTAGCTAATTGCATGATGAATGTCAAGAATGAGGCCGATTACCAGGCACACTATTTACCCAAAACGTTGGTATTTGGCTAATTGCATGATGAATGTCAAATGCTGAGTTTAAACATGAAAAGTGGCCCGTGCATTGGTTCCACACCAACAGCGATGATCATTCAAGACCTCGAGCCAAGTCCCAGGCGGTCTCGCTGGTTGTAAGCTGGAGGAGGCAGGGTGGTAGTGCAGTGCCGATGGAAAATAATGGGAGGCCTCGACCCGGTGTCAGTATAGTACTAAGTGATCCAAGCGGCGTCACTAAAATAAGCACTGCGAGCAGAACCTGACGGATTCGGAGGAGTAGGGACTGCGATGGAGGAGTAGGAATATAAACTAATGCACTGTGCAGAGCGTTTCAATCTGGAGAAACCTAAAACAAGAATTGTTGAGTGCAGTTGTTGGACGAAGGCCAGTGAAAACGAATTGAGTTATCGCACAGTTTCCCTGCTAGGGGATTAGCGTTGGAATATTTCTCGCCTGGCGACTTGATACGCTTCTCACAATTTACATATATACACCGCATACCTACAAATTTCTTAGCCACACTTTGGTCAGTAGTAGACACTCTTGTTTCCCCATAAGAACCTGTAGTACAGGCAGTGGACCTACGGTACTCGAAAGTTCCCATCCCGGGCGTAGCCCTCTTGTACGCATTTTCCACAAACATGGGAGCCCTGCCACGGGCCCTGTCACCAGCATTGCCACGGGCCCTGCCACGGGCCCTGTCACCAGCATTGCCACGGGCCCTGCCACGGGCACTGTCACCAGCCCTGCCACGGGCCCTGTCACCAGCATTGCCACGGGCCCTGCCACGGGCCCTGTCACCAGCATTGCCACGGGCCCTGCCACGGGCACTGTCACCAGCATTGCCACGGGCCCTGCCACGGGCACTGTCACCAGCCTCATACGCATTTTCCGAAAACAAACCCTTCCTGGGAAGTCTTGTCACCTTCTTCCCAAACGAAAGCAGACGTCCCGGTATAATAAGCAAACCCTTGCACCTGTACAATCACACTGGTATCAGGACAAACGCTCGCGATCCTCGCTATGAAAGCACCTTCTGCGAAATGATTGGAGATCAGCGAATTGTAGGCTCGTTTTTCCCCTGGGGCGATCAGTCCCTTATGATACCGCAACGCCATTCTAGCAGACACACACGAACCGGTCGGAGAACGATCGATTTCGTTATCTGCGAAATAACACAAACCCGTTTCCACCCCCTCTATTTCTTGCGGACGATATCCTATGTTTTCATCGACAACCATAACCGAGTACAGAAAGGACATGCTGCTTCCTTCGGGATGGTCAAGTGCGTTCTTGACTCGCGGGTGGGACGTCAAAAAGGGCTTCAGGCGCCGGATGCATGCAGTTATCTGATCAATGTCAACGGCCTGTAATCCATTTGCAAAGCCAAGCTCACGGGCTGTCACCAAGGCGTAGAACGCTCCGCCATAGCTGATATCAAATTTGATACTTTTCCTCGTTCCGAGTTCCTCCCACCGAATGTGTGCCGGGATGTCAATCTGCACATCAGTGGCCGCGGCATAAGCAGGCGTCGACAAAAACGAAACAGGTCTTGACGGATCGGATTTTCGCCCGTCCGAGGTCGTAGGAACCGTAATGGTCACCACTCCACAAGGTGCATGGAGTCGTACTTGCGCGGTGCACGTCGTAGCATCGAACGTGAGTTTGCGCCTCCCGGGGAACACACATTCGTCTGTCGTGTCGACCAAAAAGCGGCCCAGTGCTATCGTTGCGTGGCCACACATCGTAGAAAACCCACCGTTATGGGTGAAAAGCACTCCAATGTCTGCGTCTCCAGACTCGACGAGCTCCGTGTCCCTACGTATGATCGCCCCATACATGTCGAAATGGCCCCTGGGCTCCAGCATAATCCGTTTGCGTAGATGATCATAGCTCGTGTGCGCTTGTTCTCTCTGCTCCAGCAAGGTTCCCTGCAAGTCTGGGAACCCGGCGTACACTATTCTGGTAGGCTCCCCAGTGGTGTGCATATCGATAGTTTTGATGGCATGGGAGCCCTCAGAGCAAATGGAGTTGAACAAATCCATGATGGCCCACTGGTACAACTACAGGTATCTCGTCCCGGACCACATATTTTAGACATATAAATGGCGAACTTCCCCTATATAAAGCGATGGTTGAAGTCACATTACTGTGAAGCTTCCGCATTCTCATAACACCATTTTGATGCGTGCACCAACAGACATTACACTACCTCTCTACACCGTTGCAGTTCACTGAGCACCTGTCAACGCCAGGTGTGAGTCCCAGGATGTGTGGTAGGCTTGATGCAAGGTGACTTGACGATGCGGCGCCATTATGGTACAAAGTGACGCCAACTGGTGTCAGTGAGGCAACATAAACTGCAATGAATCGTTAAGCATGGCTGTGGTGTATCCCAAATTCAATCGACAGTAGCTGATTAGTAGTAGACGGCTGGCGCTGGCGCAATGCTTTGGGAAAACCAATTTATTTATGTAGTCGTGAACCAACATACAGACAGTTGGTAGATATTAGATAGCGTACACGGCACTGCTTCATGACCGTAGTAATCATAGAGAAATTACAACCTTCAACACGGAACTAGCGGCAACCGGCACCGTCCATTGCCTTTTACGTACTTCCTCTTTTGGGTCCATGGCTATCTCTCACAATCCCGTCTACGTTAGCGTCCGTGAATGCAATTCCACCAAGCAGAAAGAGCTCAAAGCGACCACAATTACTATTACAACCTCGCCGAAACTCTCCTTCGGAACCCAAACGTCGCCCTATGAGTGAGTTAGTAGCATTTGACTAGCTCAGAGGAATACTACTCACGGTACACGGATGTTGGCGAAATGAAAAATGACTAGTGTGTATGAGCTGACACCACAAGAACCTGTCGAACACTCACCACTAGCTTCGGCCGGACATCCACCACATGGGACTCTTGCGTTCAATTAAGCTTGCTTAATCCACTAAAATAATTCGATCACGGGTGGGTCCGCGACTTTCCATTGCGCACTAATATAGGTACTCTAAGTCTAGCTGTTACACTTGTTGTCGACCATGGCGTCTATGTTTCGGCCGCCAGAATCCGCCAAGAGTAACTCAAAATCCCCGAAATTGACTCTTCCAGCTACGCTAAAGCAGTCTTCGAGTGGCGATGGATCATTACGCCTCGCAACAGCGTCCAATGCTGCAACTCCGAACTCATCATCTTCATCGCAGACTTTGACGTTCCCGCGTCCTGTCATATCGTCTTCGTCGTCGTCATCACTCAACACACTGAAAAAACGGCCGGTGCCTCCCCCAATACCGGCTCTGACAATCCCCAACAGCGCAGGCGCAGCAACACCAGACAGCTCTCTTTTCACAGATTCCATGAGTAACTTGAATATCGATGGTTCAACCACCGATCACCATTCTCGGCCAGCTTCCCATGATAGCAGTGCGCACGGAGGGGTGAAGAGGCTTGCTTCACCAGGCACATGCGTGTTGGGCGACGTGGACGAACTCGATGAAGAAATTTGGCAATCCGGCATTGTTAAAGACCAAATAGTAACTATGGGTGTTCTGGGAGAAGGAGCAGGTGGATCCGTCACCAAATGCAGGCTCCGGCACGGAACCAAAGTCTTTGCGCTAAAGACCATCGCCACTGTCAATTCTGATCCAGAAACAAAGAAACAAGTTTTCCGCGAGCTACAGTTCAACCGCAGTTGTAACTCGGAATTTATCGTGCAATACTATGGAATGTTCACAGCTTCAACAAGCTCATCGATATACATTGCAATGGAATATATGGGAGGTAGGTCGCTGGAGGCCATCTACAAACATCTGCTGTCCAGAGGCGGCAGAATCGGGGAAAAGGTTTTGGGCGAAGTCGCAGAGCGCGTCTTGAAGGGGCTCTCATATTTACAAGAGCGCAAGATCATTCATAGAGATATTAAACCGCAAAACATTCTACTTAACGAAATGGGCCAGGTTAAATTATGCGATTTCGGAGTGAGTGGAGAGGCCGTCAATTCGCTCGCCACTACATTTACAGGCACGTCTTTCTACATGGCCCCCGAACGAATCCAAGGACAACCATACAGCGTGACCAGCGATGTTTGGTCGCTGGGGCTAACTTTGTTGGAAGTTGCGCAGGCGAAATTTCCATTTGGCTCCGAGAAAGTGACCGCTAATATGCCGCCAATTGAGCTTTTAATGCTAATTTTGACGTTCACTCCGGAGTTGAAGGATGCGCCGGAACTCAACATAACGTGGAGCAAGTCCTTCAAGTCTTTCATTCAGTACTGTCTGAATAAAGACCCTCGTGTCAGAGCATCTCCACGTCAAATGCTGCAGCACCCGTGGGTGCAGGGCCAGATCAAGAAATCCTGCAACATGCGCAAGTTCATCGTTAAATGTTGGGAGCAGTCAGAGGCTTGAACTGCCGTGGGAACGAAAATGATATATTATGATACAGGAATACTAGGCTAACGTACGCATGCTTGCTACGCCACCGCAGATGCGGGGGGCAAACAAAGCTAACAAGTAGAGGATGGCCCTCTGGTCAAACCACATGGGCGGTAGAGATGGTAACCCTTTCCCAGATGTGGGTTAGCGTAATTATGCTTTAATGAAGCGTGCATCAAGATTTTAACCCAGGTCAAACAAATAACGCACAAGAAACCCGAAAAAAGCCAGAGATTTTATAGGCAAGTATAAGCCCATGCTGATATGGGCTCTACAGGGTTTGGTATCGTATCGAGAAGTCGCCAGCTCTCATCCTTAGACGGGCCTTTCTAAGAACACTATCTACGATGTCAAATTTTTCAATATTGAATTAAAAGTTATAGCGCTACAGTATAATAAACCCTGAACAAACTAGTACAAGTGTTCTACAGCTTTTAAGCAGAGCAATCAAAGCAGCTTTCAGTATTTTCAGAATGGTCTTGGCGCAGTCAATCAGATACAGTGGTATCCGCCACTTGAGTTATGCAAGTTTGAGAAGTCCGGCTTTTTATGCTCCGGTCAAGCCCGTCATTGGCTCAAGACTTTATTCCGACGTAGCCAAAGATGCAGCTAGTGAGACTGGTAGTGCAGAAGCTGCAAAAGAGACCCTAAGTGAGGAACAACAGAAAATCCAGGATCTGGAGAAAAAACTGGGCGCTAAGGACAAGGAATGCGCTGAATACAAGGATCGTCTTCTGAGGTCTGTTGCAGACTTCAGGAATCTGCAAGAATTGACCAAGAAGGATGTCCAAAAAGCTAAGGATTTTGCCTTGCAGAAATTCGCCAAGGATTTGCTGGACTCGGTGGACAACTTTGGCCACGCCTTGAATGCTTTCAAGCCCGAAACTACGGAACAATCCACTGAGATTAGCGACCTCTACACTGGTGTGAAGATGACTCGCGATGTATTTGAAAAAACCCTGAAGAAGCACGGCATCGAGAAGCTCGATCCCATGGGCGAAGCCTTCGACCCCCACAAGCACGAGGCTACCTTCGAGCTCCCTGACCCTGAAAAAGAACCTGGCACCGTATTCCATGTTCAGCAAGTCGGGTTCACGCTTAATGACAGAGTCATCAGACCTGCCAAGGTCGGTATCGTCAAGGACGTATCAAATTAGACACCAATGCGGGCGCCTGCGCTTGAAAAGACAAGAGAACATGACTGTATACTCCACCAATCGTGCGTTCACCGTTGATTTCTTGGGCCCTTTTTTCAATTTCTCTAGTCCAGCACTTTAATGACAACATGTAACCCTCCAATAATTGCTAACGACTCCAGACCGTGTGTCTGGCACCAATTATCTTGTATATACTTATAAAATCCCAATTTTTTTTATTGAAAACTTGACCTGGAGCTGTGCCACTCCGCTGGATGTCTCCGTGACTTTATCGTGCTCTCCAAATACTATTTGACTATTTTGCCACTTTTACTGTCGCTGCTGAAGTCATTTTAGTTAAATTTAGTAGATGGTTCCCAAGTCACATGCTCGAATCTCAGTTCTGTAACCAGGAAATGTAAACAAAACTTGTTGATCTTTCGAACCGTCAATGGATGAGGACTAAGGACGACCAAAAGACATAACAGGACCTGGAAGACCGATCTATAACAACTCAATTTTGTTGCTAAAAGGACTTACGCAAACGATCAAGTTGAAAAGAAGATTCTGTCAAGCGGTCTATAGCGTCGATTTTTGAGCGGTTTTCCTGTGTGGCCTACAATTGAGACAACTAGGACGTTAGCGTAACCGTGTTCCAATATCGAGTTGAGGATCTAAGGTTCTGAGACAGCTGTGATAGTTATCTCTACTTGTACTGATAAGTAAGCGAGCGAAAGGTTAGTATTTGAGCGTTCCCTGTGAAAGCCAGCCGTCAACGTGAGGACTTCTGTTTTGACAGGAAATTGGCCCTTTCACTCGCGATGACCTCAGTGCCCCAAAGGCACACCTACTATGGGGCGCCTGCATCCACGTACACACAATCACGGCAGTCTGTGGCCTTTGGCAACACTCAAAAACGAAAACATGTAACTTTCGGACCTTACATCATAGGTTCGACACTCGGGGAAGGAGAGTTCGGCAAAGTGAAAATGGGATGGTCAAAGATCTCTGGCTCGTCTTCTATGGACGTTTCCAAGCAGGTTGCCATTAAACTTGTAAGAAGAGACAACATTCCGAAGAACTCAGAAAAAGAGGTCAAGATATACCGTGAAATCAACGCTTTGAAGCATTTAAACCATCCGAACATTGTAAAGCTGGAGGAAGTTTTACAGAACTCAAAATACATTGGTATTGTGCTGGAGTACGCTTCTGGTGGGGAGTTCTACAAGTACATTCAGAAGAAGAGACGTCTCAAAGAAAATGCTGCTTGTCGATTGTTTGCTCAGCTTATTAGCGGCGTTTGTTACATGCACTCCAAAGGTTTAGTTCACCGTGATTTGAAACTTGAAAACTTGCTTCTTGACAAACAAGAGAACTTGCTAATCACGGACTTCGGATTTGTGAATGAGTTCAGTCCCGAGGAAGAACTTATGAAAACTTCTTGTGGCTCGCCTTGTTATGCAGCCCCGGAACTAGTCGTCACCGCAAAGCCATACGAGGCTCGAAAGGCAGATATATGGTCTTGCGGTGTGATTTTATATGCGATGCTGGCTGGATATTTGCCTTGGGATGATGATCCTGATAATCCAGATGGAGATGACATCGGTAAACTTTACCGCTACATCACAAGAACGCCACTTAAATTTCCAGATTATATTACTCCAGTACCCAGAGATCTCTTAAGAGAGACGTTGATAGCGGATCCGACTAAAAGAATCACCACATTAGGAATCCTACAGCACAGATGGTTGCAACCCCATCATTTATTTCTCGCAGTTACACCTGTAGAGTGGGATCACATATCCAAGAATCAAGATATCTTGAGGAGACCGCCTCCCAGAAAGGATGGTGCAAGCTCTACAAGACCGCGGTCGGCGTGTTCCGTCTCTTCCTCAAATTCTAAAGGTGAAAAGCGCAATTCGCTAATTATGGACTCCTCACTGTATTCACAACCCGTTCCACCTCAGCAGTCACAATCTCATGCAGTTGCTGTATCTTCGTCGCCGTCTCCGCGGATGCGTCAATCTCCAGTGAAAAGGAATCGTCATAGCCGTAGCAACTCAGCGGCATCCGTTGCATTACAGGCAGTTGTCGATGCTGAAAAGGAATATCATGCTACTCATCCTACAGTTCCAACTTCCACTTCGGCATCTACTCTGCAATTCGAGTCGCCAGCGTCTAGTCAACACAACACGTCTCCCAGGCTTTATCAACATGCATTGCCCAAACCAAGCATTAATACGGTCTCGTCTTTAAGAGATAGCGTAATCGTTGAGACAAGCCCGCAAAAAGGCTCAGCACCTTTTCTAATAACTCCTGCACATAATGATCTTGCTTCAGGATTGGTCGTGCCGGCCACCTTGGGTAATGTCACCATGCCATCGACGAGCGCCGGACAGAAGACATCCCATTCTACTGCAAGTCACTCACTCCACAGTAGTTCACTTCACAGGAGGCCAAGGCCAACGTCTTATCACCCGACGTCCTTTAGTGCATTTAACGAAAGTTCTACTGGGACTACAACAATTGCACCGTCGAGAAAGGATTATGAAGAAACGGCTACTGTAAGCTCAAAGAATTATCAACCGACGGACAGAGGCTCCCCGCAAATGATTCAAAAGGATTCTTTCACCTTGAGTAAGCCATTAGTAGATTTGCAATTGGTTACAGGCGATTTAATCAAAACCGGAGATGATAGCGACAGTGTTGCTCAGAAGATACACGATCAAGTAGAGGATGCTGCTCATAGAGTCGATATGTCGCGACAGAGAAGGAAAAGTCAGAGGTATAGTATGGTTTACGATAGATTGGTCGGGCTGATGACCGAAGGACCCGAGGAACGGGTGGTAGAGGACGAAGATCTTTCAAAACAAAATAGCGAATCTATTCCACAGGGGGGGCAAGTAAAGAGTGCATCAAGCAATGAGAACAAAAAAAGGTTTAGCATAATGTCGGTTCAACCGTCTTTCAATAACGCATCAAAATTAAGCATGGAATCGGGCAATCAAAGGGAAAACAGCAGTGACACAGGAAGGTTGAAGAATGAGGATTTTGCGACGCTGCATAAACTGAGTTTAGAGAGGGATTCTGCGCAAAGTTCGAGGCAAAGCTCTAGGCAAAGGTTGTCGGCCAAGGAAAATGAAATTTCAGGAAGGAAAGAATCGCCCGTTGTAGGCTCTAGAATACCCTCTACTAAAGCCGCTGTGGACAGAAAGGGAAGCCCTCAGGTAATAACAAATGCATCGAACGTGCAAAGAAAAGTGCCATTGAGAAAAACGAGTAAGAATAGTCAGGATAAAACCAAGATTAATCGCGCTTCTGTGATGATTTCATCTATGGCGAACAAGAGCGTCGACGGCATGCCGGAAGCCAGGCCCCGGGAACCATCCACCGCGAAAAAAGTGATTGATTTCTTCAAACGTAGAAGTATGCGATTATAGGTACGATTATAAATTGTTTATATTTCAAGCAATTGGCTTTGAGATGCGCTCCTTGCAATATGGGACAGCGTTCCTAGACTCTCATCACCAGGGCCTCCACGAGGAACTGGCGATGCACACGAGCGCAAACACCCAAAACTTATGAATTCTTTGTGATACTTGCATTAGTTATAAAGCATATTGGTACTTATACAGTGCGGCTGTGGGTGTTTTTTTGTTCCTAAACTTCCAGCGGGAAACTTAGATAGTGGATGGGTACAAGAAGATTCTGACGGAAGCACCGAAAGTCTTGGCTGGCAAGTTGGACTTGAAAGTGGCTCTGACGACACCGGAGTTACCGTGGGTTCTGTTGACCTTACCCCAGATGACTCTGATCTTGGAACCTCTGATTTCCTTGGAGGCTCTGTAGACGTAGGCAACACGCTTACCCAAGTAGAACTTAGCGTCCTCTGGGGTGGCAACACCTTCGATCTTGACCAAAGACACGTTAGGGTTGTTGGTCTTCTTAGATCTTTGGTAGGACAAGTGCTTACCTTTGACGTACACTGCAGGGGAAGAATAGTTAGTAGCTGGAGCGTGGGAAGCGGGTGGTGTAGGTAGGAGGGAGACCATTCCATGGGACGTGCGGGTTCATTTTGACTCCTGAGTCACGGATGGCAAGCTTGCTCGAGCTAGAGCTGGGTATATGTTCATTTGGTTTCGTAACGCACTCACATGTAGCCCACAACATTACTCTCTGACCCATCTATCTCGACAACAGACCTTAACGGCCGTTGGTTGCTTGCATTCTCTCTTTCATATCACCGCGGACTCTGGCGTTAGCCGACCCAAATAAACATTCGCGCCTTCCGTCAGGTTATGGTCTTATCTTGCCTCCCTAGGCCTATTTCATTGCTCGTAATGCACATACATCTGTGGGATTCAGCCATCGTGTTGATTATCTGTATTTGACCTTCTATCTAGCAATTGAGAGAAAGCGCTATAACACTTGATATTCCGTGTAGTTAATTTTGTCAAGGTTCCAGCTTTGGATTGAGGCCGGGGGGCAATGGTACCGGGTTCCCCACGGAACAGCGCCAGCAAGAGTTTGAGCCTGAGCTAGAAGGAAGCTGGGCGGAGCCCGCCCACGAAGTGGGATCTGTTCCCTTCCAGAGCTCGTGCTGCCCGCCTAGCAGCCAGGCTCGGCTCCTGCGTGGGTCGAAGCTCCGCCGGTGGTGATGATTCTACCCACGCAAAACTTTTTCCAGTAATTTTCCACAGTCACAAAATTATAACACCAGAATGTATGGGTGGAAAAACAGTCAAATCCAAGGGATAACTACATACGGATGCTACTACCTGAGTCCATTCGGGCACTACGAACGCATTACATACATACGATACAAGCAAGCAAGCAGAGGAGCGCTCTGTAAGTAGCAGACGCCCTGTGTAGTTCTCGGGTGTCGTATGATAGCTCTCATGTGTCGTATGATAGCTCTCGGCTGTCCCATGGTAGCTCTCGGGTGTCCTATGATAGCTCTGCTGTCCCGGGAAGACACCGTCCACACCACCAGTAGCCCACACCACCCACACGCGAGTCCTTTACGTACATAGTCAAGTAACTATCCAACACACTCGACGGGTTGCTGGTGGACCGGTAAGCCCTAAAAGGATACCCGGCTATGAAATCTCGAAGCCCTAAGCGCCTTGCCCTGCCCTAAGAATAATCAATGCTCTCGGGCTCTCCGGGTTACCCGGGCTTTAAAGAAGGGCCGGGTAAGAGCTGGAAAAAGTATATAAGCAGCGGCTATTTGTAACCTTCTTTCCAACTTCTGGCTTGTTATTCTTCTTAAAAAATTGTCGACGTACTTCAGTATGCATTATACCCATACCATAGGGCATTGGAATAACCTGTGGAACGGCACCCGGTGTTGTTTCCTGTGTTGTTAGCCCTGGCTCTGTGTTATTTTCCCTCCCACTAACACCTTCAACAGTAGGATCATTTCTATAGGAATCGTCACTCTTTGACTCTTCAAAAGAGCCACTGAATCCAACTTGGTTGATGAGCCTCAGAACCTTTGTGCCCTAGAGTGAGACCAAAGATGTTTCACTAGCTTGGTCCACAACCCTCAGCGGTTTGGCCATCTACCCACATTCTTTGTTTTGCCTGTTGCTTTTTCAGATGCTTCTCCCACCTTGTGTGGGCATTGCTCTGAGTTCAAACAGGCGCGATGATCTTGGCCCAGCTCGTGCACTTCTTCGTGAAGGGACGATCGTGTTGGGTGGGCGCAAATGGCAGTCTGACAAGTTTTATTCTATTATTTTTTTTTCTAATCGGCTGTCCAAAGGCTTGGACGGTGGACTAGAGACTGGAATTGCAGAAGTAGAAGAGTAGTGTACAGGTTTGTGTAGAGACGCGGTAGCTTGAGTGGGGCTGTTGAATGCTGTTGAATGCTGTTGATTTCTGCTGAATGTGAAACGTCCCCGCAATAGCGTTTTCATGTTGTGCTTCTTCGTCCTTTACTTTTTACTGTTTCTTAATCCTTATTGATTAGGCCAACACACTCTTTACATAGTGATACTTGATCGAGGCCAAAGCCGCCGGCACCGTGGCCGCCTGCCATGCTTAAGTAGCACGGCCTTTGGCTCTTTTTGGCGCACAGTTTGGCAACGCGCAACGCCGTTTCCCGTATTGAGTCGTCGGAAGTATCTACCAGCACGGTGGACAAGACCTCTTGAGCCCGCGGAATCGCATACACGTAGGTCTGCAAAGTTTGCGCCGCGGGGGTTGCACCTGTAGCTATTACCATGGATATTGGTGATTTCGGGCTGTTGATCTCATTCTCGGGTATCGAAACCTGGACATGGACCTTGGAGCCGAAAGGGTTTTCAATTTCATGCGCTGTAGTTTTTACCATCTGTGAAGATCGTTGCACTGGGCCTGTGAGGAAGCCACCTTGCTGCTCGATGTCATTGGTGTGAATACACTCAGCGTTTAATGTGTCCACTGTTGAAGAATTCAGAGGTCGGCCACCACGTACTTCGTGATCCGTGGTTCTCATCCCATTTCGAGATGTGAACCAGGCGTGCACATGCCGATGGACGCTCGATCCAGCTAGCGACTGTCTTTGTCCAACACCGGAAGCCTTTTGATTGGCGAGAAATGTCTCCTAAGGTCCCAGTTGTGTCGATTGTCGCTTGTCTAATGCCCGAAATGGGCATTGGCCACCAGGGTAAGCTGCCTTGGAAGCTCAAGCAAGAAATGGCTTATTTCAGACAGGTAACGACCGGAACTTTCAACAGCGACAGACGAAATGCGGTAGTGATGGGGCGCAAAACGTGGGAGTCGATCCCACCGAAGTTCAGGCCGTTGCCCGGACGCGTAAACGTGATTGTTTCCCGGGACCATGCACATGGCTTGGCCCCTGCGACGGAAAGCTCGGACCATGTATGGCAGAGTAACTCGCTGGCCAAATGCTTAGAACTGCTTCCTCAGCTTGTGGGCGACCTCGAGCGCATTTTTGTCATTGGCGGTGGAGAGGTATATGCGCAAACTATGTTATTGAACGATTATATGTTGATGACAGAAATTCGCCCTGAAGATGGAACAGAGCAGCCGCCAATGGACACGTTTCTCGATCGTGGTAAGATCTCCCAGCTCTACCAACGAAACGACGATGTCGCCGGATTTCTACCTTCCAACGTACAGCTGCCGAATGTTCCTCAAATTCGCGAAAAGGGTTACGTGTACGAGTTTGCATTGTACAAGCGTCGGCCAGAGGCATGAGAAACCCACCCGTGAACTCATCTGACTGACGACGACACAATAAAAAACCAACCAAACAAGCAAAACATCGTATTGAGCATATCGGAAGGACCAACGTATGGAAACGCGGCCCTCAATTTAGCGTGTTTCTTACAAATGACAGAAAATGGAACTCAACGTGCCCATCCGCATGCCTACGCCATCAGGACCAAGTGACATTGCTCTTCAAATTGCTGATTCCAATATAAGAAAGCGAGCCACAATTCCTCATTTTTCAACGGTAAAGTAACCAATTTTTCTGAGCTCCTAGTATCAATAAACAATCATTCCTCTATGCATCTTGAATATTCGATCGACTATAGCAGCTATCGCTCCTGTCGTGTTCAACCTTGTTCGTAAACCCAAATGCTGGGCTTGTTATACCTTTTGACGAAAAGGTGAGTTTCGTTAATAATCCCGCCAGATAACGAAATTTATGACCCTCTACGTAAAGCCAAAAGTACATTCGCTGAAAAAAGTGTGTCTCGTAAGTGCCCTGGAAGTATTCTTGCGGCTGCGTTATACTAGGGAGTTGAAAAACTGGTTTACTGGGATTCACTGATAGGTAGTCCTATTCTCTCATTATATTTTTGCCTTTCAAGATCTGAGGTGTGTTGGAGGTCCCAGCTACGAAAATCAAGCCTTTAAATATGTCGAGTTACGCCAAATCTTCATCCTGGACGTCTTTCTTGAAATCGATAACCTCTTTCAACGGGGATTTGTCGACCCTAACGGCTCCTCCATTCATTTTGTCCCCAACATCCCTTTCCGAGTATTCGCAGTATTGGGGCGAACACCCGGATTTGTTTTTGGGTCCAAATTTCATCACCGAACCGGGTGCAGATGGAACTAGCGTGGAGGAACTCCGTATGTTGGCTGTGGTGAGGTGGTTCATCTCCACTTTGAAGTCGCAATACTGCTCCAGAAACGAAGCCATGGGCACGGAGAAAAAGCCACTTAACCCATTTTTAGGCGAGCTGTTTGTGGGGAAGTGGGAGAACAAGGAAAATCCAGGTTTCGGGGAAACGATTCTACTCAGTGAGCAAGTCTCCCATCACCCGCCTGTTACCGCTTACACAATTTTCAACGACAAAAATAAGACAACATTGCAAGGCTACAACCAGGTCAAGGCCTCAATTTCCACGGCATCGCTAAGCGTTAAGCAGTTTGGACACGCGTTGCTGGAATTTGGAAACCTAGGCGAGCAGTATCTAATAACTTTGCCACCTTTACACATCGAAGGAATGCTTGTAGCTTCACCTTTTGTGGAGCTTGAAGGAAGATCCTACATTCAAGGTTCCAACGGTCTGTTGTGTGTGGTGGAGTTTACAGGCAGAGGTTACTTCTCGGGCAAGAAGAATGCTTTTAAGGCTCGCATATTCCAAAACTCTTCGCACGCTGCTGATAAAGAGAAGGCTCTGTACACCATCAAGGGCCAGTGGTCCGGCGTTTCTACCATAAACAAGGGCAAGTCGAAGAGCGAAGACCTATTTTACGATGCCTCAAAACTGAAGGCAGAGCATTTGCGCGTCAAGCCAATCGACCAGCAGAGCCCTCTTGAGAGCAGGAAAGCGTGGGAGAAGGTGGCTCTTGCGGTCCAAGGTGGCGATTTCAACCAAATTCACGAGGAGAAGTCTGCTCTGGAAAACGCTCAAAGAGAGTTACGCAAGCAAGAATTGGCCGAGGGCTCCAAGTGGAACAGACGGTGGTTTGTTGACGAGGACTACTCCTCTGGTATCTCCGATGCCTTCACGAAACTCGCCGAGAAGTGCCAATTATCTAACAGAAACGTACCCAGCGGTACTTTGACGGGCGACAAAGACGACAAGAAAGCTACCACGGCCATGCATTGGCGGTTCAAACGGAATCTGTGGGATGAAGAGAAGGAAGTTGCGGTGTAATAGCAAGGTTACTCGACATACTGGGGAGGGCACTTTTCGTCGCCCGCTAGCAGTAGACACTAATTTTCCATTTTTGGAGGCTATTCCCAGGGGAGTGCCACGCCCGTTTTTAAGAACCTCTTCATTCCATGCCCAATTACGGACTTTAAGTAAGATATATCATGACTTAACATCAGCAATAGTATAGACGATGTCTGTCTGCCTGTCTTTCGTCCGGCTGGCGGAACTTCATGTCATAGTCAACATATACGAGATTCTGAAAAATTTGAAGGCGATGAGCTTGAGATGAGCACATCACCAAGACATTACTAGCACTTAAGGTTGGTAGAAGAGCTCAATAAGTGTTCAAGAGATGGCATCAGCAGCGGAAAGACCATCACAATACAAGCAGTCTTCGCGCAAAGGCAAAAAGGCTTGGAGAAAGAACATCGATATCTCAGATATTGAAAAATCGATTCAACAACAGAACGATGAGGAGATAACGCATGGTTCGAAAGACTTAAGCAGTCTGGCAAATAAGGATCTGTTTCAAATCGACACTGAAGGTGATGAGATCTTGAAGCAGAAACTGATCAAGCGCAAGCAGATCAAAAAAAATGTGAAATCTACTGAAATTTTAGAGTCCATCAAGTCTAACTCGAAAGTCCCCGCGCTAGCACACCCCAAGAATGGGTTGAAAGAGGAGCAGAAAAAAACCAAGGTTCAAGGTGTCTCGAAGAAGGAGCTGAGACGATTGATGGCCTTGGCGGGCCGTGTTGAAGGACAAAGTAAACTCAAGAGTGCTGTATCCAAAAGAGGTTTGGTCAGGGCTGGTGACGGCAATGACTTGTGGGGCGCTGAAGAGACCATAAAGACTCCCTCGGGTATCAAAATGTCCACAAAGAAGGGCCAAAAAATTCCCGAAGAACTGAAGACGTTATCTACCACCGGGTGGTCTAAGGCGACAGTGGCTCCTGACACACTTTCCCGAGCTCCGATCGTGGTAAAGGAAATAGAAAAGTTACCTCATGCGGGCAAATCGTACAACCCAAGCAATTCGAGCTGGACTCAGCTGATAGAGAAAGAATATCAGGGTGAAAAGGCGAAAGAGGAGACTCGTTTACAAATGGAAACTTACAAAGCAAGAATTAGCCAATTAATGGAAACACTGGACAACGAGGAAGAGCTGGATTCCAGCAGCGATGAAGAGGCTAACAAGGGAGAAGACGCAGAGGAGAATGAAGAAGAGTCAGCCAGACTATCTCTCAACAAGCCTGTAGTTAACAAGAAGAAAACGAAATATCAAAGAAACAAACAAAAAAAACATCAAGAAAGATTGAACTTGCAGTCAGAGCTCAAGAATCTAAAAAAGCAGTTGCAAGAGCTAGAGCGTTTTGAGGAATTGAATAATAGTGTTGACGAGGCTCATGTTGCTCGTCAAAATGAGATGGCCAATAAGGTTACCAAGCCCGCCACGGCTAAGAGGACACACAAGCTAGGCACCAAACATTCTGTTAGAGATGACAATCTCGAGGTGAAGTTTTCTGACGAGCTATCAGACTCTTTGCGTAAGCTGAAACCAGAAGGTAATCTACTTTATGATACTGTTCAAAAGCTACAAGGCTCTGGTAAGATAGAAGCGCGTGTGCCTGTGAGAAAGGGTAGAAGATACTCCCCCAAAATCACGGAAAAGTGGACTTACAAAGATCTCAAGTGATTGCTTTCTGCTGCCTGGACTGACCGTTCTTTTTTCGATGAGTTTCTGAGGAACATGTAGCATTTTTATGTATGTATACTAGCATTTTAATAATAAGGATATGCAAAATGTGGGATCCCACGGAAATTGGAATATTGAAGTTACAAAAAGCTGCTTGTGGAAGAAAATTTGATTCGCCTTACTCCAGATGTAATTCCTGGCACTAGGAAGCGGCCTTCGGTGTCACAGTGAGACAACTTTTCTATGTCCTTTCATATTCATATCACGTGGTTCTAAGTATCACCAACTTGATGAATTGATTTATTGATCTTTTGGTTACCGTTACAATTGGAACGTGGGTTGTTATCGATAGAAAAGCCTGTAAGGTCCAACCCCAGACGCCCATGGTCAAATCACACCTAATAATAGTACCCTGTCACGCTATATGGAAAATTGACCAAGGGTTGGAACCCGAAAATTTCGGCCAATCCTTCAAGCAGTGGCACTTGGCGGCTTTCCAGCTCGAAGGCCGTGACCATTTGAGTTTTATAATGCATTCCCTTCTAGCGTTGGATAGGCTGCTTGACAGTACTTCTACATCTCTGCTATTGTTTAGTGGATCGTGCACCAAGAAAGAAGCTGGCCCCGTTACGGAGGCTCAGTCGTACTTTTTGCTCGCTAGAAAGCTTCTCAACGCAGTGACCAACGGTTTTGAGCTCCCGCTTGCCCTTTCAAGCCACAAGGATATAGCTAGATATTGCTCCCGTATCAGCCATAAAATGAACTGTCAGAAGCTAACCGTCGATGAACTTTTCGCGAAACACGTTAGCACTGAAGATTTTGCCCTAGACTCCCTGGACAATTTGTTTTATTCACTATTGAGATTCCACGAAATAACGTCAAGTCATGCCACACAGATGACAATTGCTGGTTTTGGATTTAAAAGAAGGCGCTTTATGGAGTTACACGCTGCTGCGATAGACTACCCTGCGAATCGAATCTCATATTTGTCATATGAACCTCAGCCTGTTTACACCGATATACAACAGCACTCGACTTACAAGGAAGAACTAGAGCACCAGGAGACAAAAAATGCCCTAAATCTCTTTAGCGTAGACTGGTATGCTTCCAAGGACCCGCTATCGAGCAAAAAACTGAAAAGAAACCCTTTTCAAATTTATCCAGGCTATGCTCTACCATATAATGTAACACATCCGATTGAGGACGATCATGCATTTTTTAAATCCATGGTCGAAAACAAAATGCCTTGGTCAGTTGGTAGTCAGATATGAGCCAATTTTCTGGCAAGGGCAGCTCGTTCTTCATCCCAAGCACTTACGTTTTTAAGTTTTTCTTGCAGAGTCTCAATCTCTTTTTCGATGGAAGTAATGACCTCATCTGTTCCAAGGTCTTGCAATCGCCAAGTTTCATCTCCTGTAATTTCTAGTGCGAAATCGTGATACTTGATTAATGATGGCCTTTGAGAAATGGTGATGAAGTTATAGCGATATCTTCTCAAAAGGTTGAACAAATAGTCCTCCATATCGGCACTAATTGCATTGGTGGCCTCGTCGAGTACAACAAATCGAGGCTTATGAAACATGATGCGTGCGAAGTTCATGCGCTGCCTTTCACCACCGCTCAAAACATCCTTCCACTCCGCTATAGCGTCCAGGTATTTCCACCCTTTCCCTCTTCTTAGGAAGTAATCCAAGTGCACCTCACCAAGGATTTGGACAAGCTCTTTGTCTCTGTGGCCTCCCTCAAAAAATGCGTCGGCTGACATTGGATAAATAATTTGCTCTCGAAACGTACCACCTTGGATGAAATACGGCTTTTGAGGGACACAAAACAATTCAGAATTTGCCGGAACCGATAGCAGACCGTTTTTATTGTAGATCGGCCAAATCTCCGCGATTATTCGCTGAATAGATGTCTTGCCACACCCATTAGGTCCTAGAATCAACAAACTACTACCTGGACCCTGAAATGTCAGCTTTTGGCTCATGTTAACCTGCGAGTCGGAATTGGCATTGTCAAGCGTAATAACGGGAGGGATTTGAAATCTCAGCTTCTTAACGAGTTTTGTACCCTCTTTACCGTACTTCGAAGGAATAATCACATCAATGTTCTCCAATCTTATTCCGTTGAAACTTCTTTGGACTGTCCCTCGTACAATCTCGGTGCTAGGCGCTTGATCATCGACGACATTTAAATCTTTTTCGTCTTCTAAGATGGCTCCATAGTTAAAGTCAGATGCATGGACTCTGTGAAGAACCGCCAAAAGTGTGAATATTCTGTTGGTATAGCCCGTGAGTTGCGCAATATCTTTTATGGAGTGCATTAGCCTGCTACCAGCATCGGCAAGCGATAGCATAAGCCGTTTGTTCACGATGAATTCCCGCATATTTACTTCTTCGTTGTTCACACCTGTGGTAAAGGTTGTGATCACGATTGGAATTGAGGCAAAAACATAACCTAATGCAGACCAGGTGTATTTTAAGACGTAGTCCTCCAAAATGTTATAGTTGACTTTCACGCGATCCACGAGAAGCATCTGGTCCATCAGATAGTCATAAAGAGCATTAACCTTTGTACGTTCAACTTTTGTTCCATGATAGAAGGCAATCTCTTCTGTATTATTGATCAAATTCAAGTGATAGTTGTAATAATCTCCCTCGGCTGCAGAACGTTTGCTCACAAGTTTTCCCAAAGGAGGCGTCCAGCGTTTCAACAAATAACCGGTGATGAAATAATTGACAAAAATTCCCACAATACCAATACTCCCTAGGTTATCCCTCAAGTATACCGAAAAGAAGACGAGATCTATTACGGGTTTGGCAATATTTGCGAAAACCGAGCATATGGCGTCGCAAAATTTGGTCACATCATTGGCTATCGAGTTATCAATATTTGCAATAACCGAACTGGAAGCTTGACTATCAAAAGTCAACTTATAAAACGCCAATCGTTTATCCAGATACATGTCATGGATATAACGAGTAAGGTTGATGCGAAAATTCAAGCTTAATTTGCGCTGCAAGAACTTGATCGCGCTGTTGGTATATGAGGCAGGGAAAGCAATCAAAAACCAACAGAGTAAGTCGACAAGGAACTTCCGGCTCTTTCCGGTAATGATGTCTCTAACTATCTGACCATCCAGCCGGGCCACGAACAACGATAGCCACGTCCTCATGACCAGAAAAAAAATCTGAAAGGCAATCAGAAACGAGTTACGATCTGCAATCTTCGGCACCAGGATACGATAGATGATGCTCAGCTGGCTGATGAACTTGGAGTAGAAAACCTGCGATGTCTTGTTTTTGCCGAAATACTTGAAAAGAAACTTGTCGTGCTCGTACATGTCATCGTTCTTAGGGCGAATAAGAATCCGCTTTTTGCTGTCGGCATTCTCCTCGTACGGTACATACATCACCCTCGCACCGTTATGGAGCATGATCTGCGATCTCGTCCGTCGAATTACAGGTTTCTGACTAAACCCTCTGGCTCTAAGCCTGCCTATCAGCCCGCATACCAAGTATCCAGCCCCGGAGACTGCTGTAGCGCCCGAGAACACGAGTGTTATCATGATGATCTGCGCTCGTTTCCTATGGTTTGTGGGCGCATTTGGGTTGCGTACGAGCTGCCACAGATGTTCCAGAATAACTCTTGCAATTCTTGAGCGTGCAACTCCATCTAAATTCAGTCCAATACATTCCCGCGGCAGTTTTAACAACAGGTGTATTAGCCTCTGCCGAGTAAGGGCCGTTTCAACCATACTTGAAATGACAGAAACCCTGCGCTAGACTCCAACAGTCAAATACGTACAATGCTCTATACTAAAGTCCTCACTCACTTTTGGTTTATGAGGAAAACGGTTCAAGCCTAGTCCTAGTGCGATTCGTTATCAGCTTTGCATTCTCATGTCTTTTATACCTTATGATTTGAGGGCCATTCATATTCCAGGAATAATAATGACCTGTCTCCACTGCCCCGAATTTCGTGACATCCCCAAAACTAAGAAAACTTGGTATATAAGAACAAAATATGGTCCCTCATTAATTCGAGCTCTTAACGACCCTTTACAGCTGTGTGTATCTTTCTTTACTACTGTTCGAACTCAATTGTGGGTGCAAGCGGGATTGGTTAGAGCGACTCCGTTGGTGTGAACCTTTGAAGGCTGACTAAGGTTTCGAAAGAAATACAGCAGACGTTAGTTGTCAGCAGTAAGTATGTAGAGATAGCCTTGTTTTCTCGCCCACAAGGTCCTACGGCTCCCGGAAGGTAGCTCCTTATAGGGGTTTATTTAAGGACTATCGAAAAAGTTCCTCTCGTCTTGATCCACCACTTTTCACTTGGGAAAGAGCTCACATTTGCAAAACAAGTAGTACATATGTCGCATACGGGTATTTTGCACAGCTATGCGCCTCAGAAGGCAGCTTTTGAGTTCACTCCTAGGTTGCTCAAAAAGACTATCATTTTAATCGGGGGTCTAGAAGACGGACTTTTGACTCTCGACTACTTCACCAAGGTTGCAGAACAAGTAAGCCCCCTTGGGTGGTCTGTGGTGCAAATTCAAATGTCCAGCAGTTTTAAGGGCTGGGGTCTTTCATCGCTGGATAACGACATCCGCGAAATCAAGCAGTTGGTGGAGTATTTGCGGTCGCCTGCAGGTGGCTCCCGTGAATCAATTGTCCTGTTTGGACACTCAACGGGATCGCAGGATACCATGCATTACTTGCTGAACTACGGCGAGACCGTGGAAGGGGGCATTATGCAGGGCTCCGCTTCTGACCGCGAAGGCTTTTCACAGTCGGTAGATCCAGGGGAATGGGAAAGACTGAACGCAAGAGCGAAGGCCCTAGTGGACAGAGGACAAGGAGCTGAGATTTTACCATATGAATACGCCAAGATTATGATGGGCACTCCTATAACCGCATACAGATGGTGCTCACTGGCTCTCCCGGGCGGCGACGATGACTACTTTTCATCGGACCTTGAGCCTGAAAGCTTAAAATCCACTTTTGGGAAGATCCAGAAGCCGTTCATGATTGCCTACTCCGAATTCGACCAATTTGTACCCAAGTTTGTCGATAAACCAAAACTTTTATCCAAGTGGGCTTCATGTAGTGACCCGACCTTCTATTCCAAGCACTCTGGCCTCATCAAAGGGGCAGATCATCGCGTTGAACAACCCGCTGCAAGGGAGTGTCTCTTTGGAATGGTCAGAAACTTTTTACAAGACCTTTAATTTGAAGTTGTTGGTAAGGCATAAGGGCTCTAGGGCAAGATAGCCCCAATTTTCTTGTGCTAATTTTTGTCAGATCGCCATGGTTCTAGTCCGGACTAGGTGGCTTACTTTTTGCCTTAGAGTTGCTTTGCCTTGAAGCTGCTTCTTGTGACCAGGAAAGTTGTGGCAATTATGACATTGATGTAGATGACCGATTGAGGACTGAACTAACGTAGATTAGACACCCGGCACATTGTCTATACATAATATTTATTCGTCACCAATTTGCTCAACGGCTTGGCTTACCATCATCTGCTCCAAACGATGCGACCATCTTCAATTTGATATGAGACAAATTAACAAACATATATGTAATTCAAAAACTGTCCTGTTTAAGTGGCCCGCAAAGAGATATGGCACGATGTGTTCCGGTTGGAGATTTCAAAAGCTTTAAAAGTAAGCTTGTGTGATATATGCTTGGGAGACGTACAGTTCTATTTTATAAGAAAAATACCATTTGATTTACGTAGTATATGTGAGATTTGAGGCTTTGGAGCAGGAGTTGGCCGTCGTAGGATCTCTGCTTGACGAGAAGTGAGCTCAGCTACCTGCGCGCCAGCTAGAGGGCACGTAATCTTGTACGAGTGTGACACATACTTTGGCGACCGGAATACATCGGCTACCGGAAGTATGAGATAGCTGATTGCTGAATAGTAAAGTATTTGACTCTACAACTGGGGCCCTACCCTACGAATTGTATGGAAGAGCTTCTCCGAACGGTAACGTTATTTGGCAAGGGAGTCATTATTTACGTTATACTCTCGAAAGGTAGGTATACTTCGTTGGCTCGAAATTAACAGTCCACCTACAAACAAGAACAGCGCTCTAGGCCAGCAAAAGGCTCCATGCTTAATGCTCCAAAATGCTCTTCATATGATAGGCTCACCGCATGGATTGAAGCCCTTGTCGAATGTTGTTTTAGGAATAGGGACTGACGTGGTGTACTTACCCAGATTCAAAAACCTAATCAGCAAATATGGATCTTCTGAAGATGGAAAGCGCCTTCATCGCCTTTTGGGGAAGTTCATGCACAACAGGGAACTCTCAGAGTTCCAGGAACTGGTAAATGGTGGCAAATACGGATTACCGCTTGTCCACTACATAGCTGGCATTTGGGCCACAAAAGAAGCTGTTTACAAGGCGTTAGCATCACGACAAGTCGCCTGTGCAATGCCTCCTGCTCAAACAATTTACACCAAACTGTTATACAAAACTAACGATGCCAAGGGCGTCCCACGAATTGAAATCGACCATAGCCTGACCGTGCAATATCCAAAGTTCATCCAAGACAGCATTTTGAATACCAAATTTCTTGTCAGCTTATCCCATGATGAAGACTACTTGGTCAGTTATGTTTGCCAAACCAAAGTTTGACCTTTTTTCGCATTAAATTCAATAGTGAAATGCAGGACTCAACTGCTTTGGACCATAGGGTATTGAATGAAAGAGGTCCTTTCATGGCCCATGATTTTTTATTTGGCGAGGGCCAACACTCCACTGACATCCTGAAACCCAGGCTATTCGGATGGCAATGGTGAGACTCAGTTTACAGTGTGTATCATGTGACGTGTCTTCGGTCATACTGCAAGCATGGCACTGAAAAATTTAATGTTGTGAAGAAGACATGCTTGTGGTATGATCAAGAGTGTATCCATCACCCATCAAAGGCCTGCTTGGACTCTAATCGGTTCAAACACTATTCTGTGTCATGGGGGTTGCCGATTTGATTAAGAAATTTGAGACCTTTTCGAAGGACGAAAGCTCCAGCGGACAGTCAACAAAAATGACTGCGCCAAAGCCAGTTGTGGCCGACAGAGGAAACAAGGTAACTGGGGAACAGGATAGATCTGAACCAGAATCCCAACCGCTTGAAGAAGTGCATGTGCCAGAAGGTTCTCCGAATGCTGACAATGCCCAAGCACCAGAGAGCACCACGGACGTTATCACAAACGAGGAAGGCAGTGTTGGAACACAGCAGGAAATAGACACCCCCCAGTCGCAGGGTACTGTAGAGATAAACCAATACACTGAAAAGGCTGATCCACAAGAAGACGATCAAGCTGAGCCGGAGACACCGGATGCCGAGGGGTCGCATGATAAAACCGAAGAAGCCGAAGAGTCCAACGAGCCCGAGGATCCTGAGGAGGATGGCGAGGACGCCAATGATGACACTCTTAACGCAGAACCCACAGAAGATATTACAGAAGGGGTAAAGACAGAGGGTACCAACAGTAAGAAAAATAAGAAGAAGAAAAACAAGAAGAAAAAGAAGAAGGCTGCTGAAGCAGCCGCGTCGAATTCCAGCGAATCCCTCAGTGAATCGAAGACCGAAGTTGTTGCGCAGGAGACTTCCGATACGCTTAGGCATCTGTAAATCCCCAACTGAAGAACAAGTTCAAACTTTGAACGCCGAGGTTCAACAAGAAGAAGTTGAATCTGCAACACATGAGGATTTTGAATCGAAAGAACCAACTCCAGACACGCGAATTGGACGCGACGATCCTTTCCAGTTTGGCCAGCGAAAGCTACAAGACGAATCTGATATATGGAATCACAATGCATGGGACAATGTGGAATGGGGTGAGGAGCAAGTCCAGCAGGCCGAGGAGAAAATTGCTGAACAACACAAATGTCCTGTCTCCGAATTTGATAAAACCCTTTACAATTCGAACCCTGCAAGATACTGGGATATTTTCTATAAAAATAACAAGGAAAACTTCTTTAAGGACAGAAAGTGGCTACAGATTGAGTTTCCATCTCTTTATGAAGCAACGAAGCCCAACGCAGGCTCTAAAACAATTTTCGAAATTGGATGTGGTGCAGGAAATACAATGTTCCCTATCCTAAGCGAAAATCAAAATGAACAACTGAGAGTAATTGGGGCTGATTTTGCTCCAAAGGCTGTAGATCTAGTCAGGACCAGTGAAAACTTTGATCCAAAGTACGCTCATGCGACAGTTTGGGACCTCGCTAATCCCGAGCACAACCTTCCGGATGGTGTAGAGCCTCATTCAGTTGACATTGCGGTGATGATATTTGTTTTTAGCGCACTAGCTCCTGAGCAGTGGCACCATGCGATGGAAAACTTGACCAAACTTCTCAAACCTGGTGGAAGAATTCTCTTCAGAGATTACGGCAGATACGATTTGGCTCAGACCAGGTTCAAAAAGAACAGATTGCTGGATGATAATTTTTACATCAGAGGTGACGGTACGCGTGTATACTTTTTCACTGAAGAAGAGCTTAGGAAGATCTTCACGGAAAAATATTTTACCGAGAAACAAATTGGAACCGACCGCAGGCTGCTTGTCAATAGAAAACGGCAAGTTAAAATGTACCGAGTGTGGCTTCAGGCAATATTCGAAGTTCCATTGTGACGTGCTCAGAAAATGATTATAGTTTTCCAATTTGCATTTTGTATCATGTATAGACTTGAAATAGCATTAACTGTTCATCTTTGTTAGCTTTCTCTCTGGCCTTCCAAACAGAGCGAGACGTGCAAAAACCCGTCAAAGCTGGCGAGCTGTAAGTACAGAGCTAAAACAGGCGCCTCCACAGGTATGTCAATTCCCTGTGCTACAGCTTTTGCGAGTGACGCGGAGACGCTGCTAATGTTGAACCACTCAGGAAATTCTTGCCCCAAAACATCACTGAGGAGAGTTTCTTTGCCATTATCGTACGTATTGCAGACAGGTTCGACCAGCCTTATATCTGGCAATGAGAGGTGTAATCTTAGTGGAAGTGACTTCATGGAACTTGCCTCGGGAACTATTCGTTGTCTTATCAAGTTAAACTTCCCCAAGTCTCTCCGAACTATAGCATCCCAAAAAGCTAAAGTATCTGATTTAGAAAACGACATGATGAGCTTTGATGATCCATTCATGACAAAGCAGGCTTGCTTCCATTGGTGCATCCACATTTCCCTAATCTGTTCACTACCGGCCCTCAACGGTATCACACTTGAGGGCAGATGGGTCCCGTGTCGGAGAGTGAGGTTCCACACATTTAGGCTGTTATCACAAAACTGTGTAGATCTAATTGCTGGATTAAGTCCCGTCAAAGAATCGAAAAGGGCACCTATAGGATAGTTCCACGATATAGGAACACCTTCCATTTCGAACCACCACCCATTGTAATAATCAACAACATTATTCCTCAGCTGAGGTTCAAAACGTCCAACAATGTACGGTAAGTAAAGAACCAAGTATGATTCTCTCGGAACTCTAATACTGACGGAAGTTAATTTGGCACTTGACCCCTGTGGGACATTGGAACTGGCCAAGAGCAGCTCAGGATCTATAGATATGGTAAGATTGAGTGAGCCGAACCAAGTTAGGTCTCGTATCTCACTCATGAACCGTTGCGAAACCGTAATCACTCTAAAGTGGTTTTAGTGTTTGTGCGTTTTCCATAGCCTATATATTATATTAACCGATTAACTTAATCATTAAGTAGCTAACTCATCGCGAGTTGACGAAATTTAATAAAGTGACGAATATTTCCCATGAGCACTAGCTTCAAGATAGATAATGATAAAGCTTCAGATCTTCTGTGGTTGGATGAATCAGAAGGTTACCTTGATGTAGCTGAAAGGCCAGCCGACATCTTCTTTTTCGGCGTATTTTATCTCGACAAGCTGTGTGGTGAACCTTTGAAACGGCTAGGAAATATAAAAGAGCAGTTGAACAAGCTCGTAGAGGTCTGGAACAAAAACTATCCGTGGGCAAATTACGGCGGTGTTCGTATTGAAATAGTAGAAAGATCAGGAGAGATACCTTTTATCTTTGGATATGTTGATGCGGGGGGCCATCGAGAGGAGGAATACCTGGTGGTATGCCTACTGCAGAGGCTTTCAGAAACTTTGGATGAATACACATTTATTAAAGCATGCGGCTCAGATGGTGAAATACTTTTGATGGAGTGTCACGATCTGTTGCCTGAAGAATATGAGTTTCCAAAAGGCAACAATCGTTTGTGGCTTCATGAAGGTAGGTTCAAATTCATTCCCGCTGAAGAATTGAAGCATAGAGGATTATGGCGAGATGAAGCATTGACTTTTTTGATGAACTCCTACTTCAAACTTACTGACGTATCGCCGTCCATTGATCGCAGACTTAAAGAACTGATAGGAACAGAGAAGTTCCCTGAAAAATACCTAGATGAAATGTTTTGGCTTCCGCTGAATAACATGGACGTATGTTCTTCAAATATTTTGCGGAAAGATCCACAACTCATCAGTTTGGCGGTCAGGGCCATGAGCGATACGGATGTGGACAAGAGGAGGATAAACGAGTTCACCAAAGTGACGAACAATAGCACAGCAAAGGTTTTAATCTCTAAGTCTCAAGCGAGACTCATTTTAGCAGTACTGGAGAGCTTGGGTTTGGACCAGGTGTGTGACAATGTGTCATCGATTGTTGGCGCTCTGATGTCCGAATCTCTTAGCAGACTTATTGATAAAGAAGAAATTGTTCAGCCTAAAAGTCAGCTCTGCTCAGATGGCCAATCTCAACTGGTAAAGCATTTCAAAGATCAAAGGTTAATAAGCGAAGATTACGAAATATCGTCCGTTAACTTCAGCAGTCTGTCTTTAGAAAACAACACGCATGACTCTGACGCAGACCCCACGTCCAGACTAGAGGGTCTTTTTTCAGATTTGCGGAAGCATTTGGAAACAGACAATCGAAGTTCGGCGGAAGAATATCCTCACAGTGATGATGACAGCGACTCAGTCGCAGATCGCGAAGCATTGAACTATTTTAGTACAGAAAATATCGATATCGATGAGGACGATTTCTTTGAATTCTTTCTAACGGAGGCTCTCAAGCTTAACAAAAATGAGCTTGAAGACTATCGACGGCAATTGGATCCGAGTACGGAAGCCAACGAAGGTACTAGTAGCTCTGAGGAGGAAAGAAGATTGATGGCGGAACTTGATGGCCACTTTGGCAAACCAACTTCCAGCAAAGGCGGTGTCGGACTAAGTTCGTCTTTTGATGAGCTCAGCTTGGGCTAGGAAGGACGGCGGGCCCTACCTGCCATGTATTAGATAATCATGTTTATATTTGAAACTCATCTTTCTATAAACACTAATGACTTAATGATCGCGAGCCATAGATGCTGGTTTAGGTTTCCAGGGAGTTGTCTTCATCATCGGCAATCCCCAGCATCAAATGCTCATCCTGGTTGTCAGTAGGTGGCGCGGGTGCTTCTGCCGAGCGACTTTCCGTAGATTCATTTGACCACGGATTACTATCAGTGTTAAAAGATAGACTCATGTTCATTAGTATTGGGCGGCGGTCAACCGCAGGAAGCTCCGGACTGGACATTGAGTTCACTGGTCGAGGCGGATCGCTGTTTATAGCGGACTCCTTTCCGGCACTGGGCAAGGTAGGCTCCGCATCAGGTACAGCTAAAGCGGCGGCCTTTTCTTCATCATCCTCAAATGAACCTTCTTCTTGAATCACAGATTGGGCGGCAGAAGAGCTGTGGTTGAGAAGCTTACGCGTGAGATTTCTTTTCGGAAGTCGTCCTCGTCTCCCAACGGGCGATCTTCCTCTTTTCGCCAGCCAATGTGTCCCGACATTCATCCTTGGCGAGGCAGTGTCAGCATGCTTGAAGGCATTCATGGTCCTCATATCCATGGATTTGGGCGATGAGGTTGTCGAAATCTCATAAAAAGAATCTGTTCTAGAACTCCTCTCCGAGGTGCTAGACGCGGAGGATATAATACTCATCGATCTTCTTGTCGCACGAGTTTGAAAAGAAGAGCTGTCCACACTTTCGACATTTGGGGACAGCATCACACCACTACTTTTATTGGCATTGGAACTCATACTACTATTGGCTTTGGAATTGGATAAATTACCATCGGTCGAATACTCTGAGTTATAAGTGTCATTTGACATTTCGGAATGCTGTGATAAAACTGAATTTGGCCGCTGCCTTTGAATCTCGCCCTTCCCTTCATCAAAAGGCCTTAGGGCTACGGGCGGAGAACGAGGATCCGCTTCACTATCGTAATTTCCCAGAGACGTTTGGCGAGACATTTCACTTGAAGTATTAGATTTGAACTTTTTGAGCATAGGCTCCTCGATTTTTAACTGTAAGCCATTAGTAACGCGGTCCACGGCATGCTGAAATGGTTGTGGCTCATTCCTGTTTTTATGTTGGGGACTTCCACCTGAATTGGTTTGTGACCTTTGCGGACTGTTTTTTCGCGATTCATAGGATATATTATTGTGCTTCCTTTTGTCCACGCCATCTGATTTTGGACTCGTGGACGTATTATCTAAGGCCGCACCTGGCTGTTTTTTGTTTTTGAAGAAATTGCTCATCTTATTGAAAAAATTGGGCTTCTTCGGTGTTCGTTGACAATTGCCCGTGCATACGTGTTCTTCCGACTCGTTTTTATCCTTGGTAGACATCGATTGAGAGATATTATGCGGCTGTCGTACTGACCCCGAGTCACTTTTCATACTCATTATCCTCTTTAGTGATGTAGCTTTTGTTAAAGGATCAAGTTTCTTTAATTCTTCAGTAGATTTCCTGCTCATAGTAGAAGCATCAAAAACCTTTTTTACAGACAAAACTGAGCGGCTCCTTTTGGGATGCCGATGTTGATCAGACCGCTTCTCTTTTTCCAAGAGTAAATACCACATGCCGGACAAACTGTCGCATTTTCGCTTGTTCACAGAATGCTTGATTCCTTGCGTGTCGAATCCGGTTTGTTTCAGTTTCTTCAATAGTCGGCGTTCCAATTTTGTGTTGAAGTTCTTGGGACTATTACTTTGGCGCTTTATGATTTTCTCGGTCTTTTCCAAAACGGAGGCGCCGTATGGGTGAAGAAATGGATGCATTAAGACCTCCTTAGCGGACAACCTTTGTTGCGGGTCCTTGTTTAACAGGTTGGTGATCAGATCCTTACCATCCGCGTTGATCAAAGAGCTGTCAAATGCTGGTTCTTCTACTACAATTCTTCGCTTTGTTCTTATCTCATCGTCTTCGTCGAATGGCATGGTACCATGAACCATTGTGTACAAAATGACTCCCAGGGACCACATATCAGTCTTGTAGCCCTCATACGGCTTGCGTTCTATTAATTCCGGCGCCATATAGACCGTAGTTCCACACACGGTCTCCAGTATCCCCCTCGTAGCACATTCTCGCGTGAAGCCAAAGTCGGTCAATTTCGCTTGTCCTTTCTTATCCAGCAAGATATTCTCTAGTTTCAAATCTCGATGAACACATTTCATGGAGTGAGCATAGTAAACCGCGCCAACAATCTGAGAAAAGAGTCGTGCACACTCCGGAATTGAGATGTGTTTTTTGGAAAGTAGATATTCGTAAAGTTCTCTTCCCGGACAATACTCCAGAGCCATCCAAACGTTGTTCTCCGTTACTATGACTTCGTAGAGACGCGTAATATAGACATAGTCAAACTGCCGGTGATAAAAGACTTCCCGAACAACATTTGGGTCGTGCTTGGACCCCATTTTCAACACTACTTTTTGGTGCGTCAGCCGATGACTGGCCAAATAAACTTTACCAAAGCTTCCCTCTCCAACCACTTTCAGAAGCTTATAGTTCCCAACGTCTTGCAACTCTTTGGCTGAGAACTGGCCATATAGTTTGTTGTATGAAGAGGCAATGCTCGCCTTGAGCTGGTTTTGTTCTAATTTTGACGGAAACATTACTCCCTAGAATTTAACATCGATGGGCCCCGTCTGTGCCTGGTGTAGTCAAGGTTGAGTATTTTATACTGGAACTGGTTTGGAAGCTAGTCAAATGCTGAACCCTCAATGCAGTACAGCTTGTATGGATCAGTACAAGCGTTGATGGAAATTAACTTGCGAATCCAGCAAAGAGTGCCGGTTCAAAAGCTATATGAGTACAAATGTATTTTCTACCTCGGGCCACATTTCAACTTCCTCAGTGTTTCACGGATAAGATTTACGAGGCATGCATAGAGTGGGAATAATGTAAGAGCGAGAGAATGCTGTTCGAATGCTCTATCATTGCGTGAACATCTGCAAGAATTATAATTCTCAAAGTGCAAATTCAAACTGGAATACACAACCTGCGTTTTCGTGGGTGCATAACTCTCAAATTGTGGTAATCAGCTTTAGCATAGAGCTGCGATGTGCTATACATGCTGACACATAGCCTGCGAGAAAACTAGGAAGATGCGGGAACACAATTGCGACTCATTAACCATCCTTGAATGCTCAAATGCTATGTCGTTTTCAACGTGTGTGACGCGAGCGAAAACGATGGCAGAACGCACCGAGGGGACAAATGGTTGAATAATGATGCCCTCATTAGGGACTTCGGCTATGCTAAGTATCCTCTAAGCAATAGTTTGATGTACTCTGTGCTCTTCAAAACTCTTTCGATTTTTCTTAAGGGTTACTCGAAAACCAGGCACCAATCCTGCATCGCATCAGGTATTAAAGAACCCTTTAGCCAAGGCCTCAAAGAAGAGGGCATTCAGTTGTCGTTGTTGTCATTTATTTAACCTCGTGCCATCACATTCCTGATTTCCTCTCACCTAACACTTCTCGCCAACTCACTTGTTAGAACACGAATTCATTTGAGACCAGAAGTTGAAGTCGGACTTTCAACATTGAATATCCTGGCAGGTTGTTGTGTCCGGCTTGGTTGCCTCTCTCACGGTAAGTCTCAAAGAAAGTGTGACATTGATTGACAGCAGTGATATTCACGTGTGAGAGGAGTCAACTACTCGATGCCAATTAACCCATTTCGATACTGGGAAACAACTCATCTTCATAGTCAGTCAGGCCATTTAGACACCTTGAGCATCTATAAAACAGTAATTTGGAGTTTAACACTCGCATGAGACTCAATTGGCCACTCAGAATGTCTGCCAATGTTTCAAGGACCTACAATGATGCGATTTCAGCTCTGAACTCTTTACAATCCAATTACGCCAATATCATGGCCGTCAGGGCGTCTGGTGAGCGCAAGAACCAGATGAACATTTGGGAAATGCAAGAGTGGTCTCGCAGAATTGGGTACAGTACGTCTGATTTTGATAAACTGAACATCGTACACATCACCGGTACGAAGGGCAAAGGCTCCACTGCTGCTTTTACCCAATCTGTGCTCCAACAGTACAGTGACAAAATCCACAAAATAGGACTTTATACCTCTCCACATCTCAAATCTGTCCGTGAAAGAATCAGAATAAATGGGGAACCCATTGGAGAGGAGAAGTTTGCCCGCTACTTCTTTGACGTCTGGGAAAAGCTGGATGCCACATCCTCTGCAACTGATAAATTCCCGCATATGACGCCCGGTAGTAAGCCTGGCTATTTTAAGTATCTGACACTACTCTCTTTCCATGTATTTACCCAAGAAGGCTGTGACTCCTGTATTTACGAAGTGGGCGTTGGAGGCGAGTACGACAGCACCAATATTATTGAAAACCCAACTGCGTGCGGCGTTTCACTGCTTGGAATCGATCATACTTTCATGCTGGGTGATACAATTGAAGAAATTGCTTGGAACAAAGGTGGAATTTTCAAGAAAGATGCGCCTGCATTCACTATCGACTTGCAACCATCGGCCGGGCTAAAAGTTTTGCGGGAAAGAGCGAATGAGCGAGAAACAACACTCGTAGAAATTCCAGTCTTCGACGATTTGAAGCATTTGAAGCTAGGTCTTGCTGGCGAATTTCAAGTTACGAATGCTTCGTTGGCCGTTGCTCTGGCCTCTCGGCATCTTTTCAAGCTCAACATCATCCCTCAACCCTTGAAGATGGATAAGGACCTAGTTTTACCTGCAGAGTTCAAAAAGGGCCTAACGAATGCGGAGTGGAAGGGGCGGTGCCAAACAGTGCTGGACGGAAAAATTACATGGTTAATCGATGGCGCGCACACCAAAGACAGTATACAAGCGGCATCATCGTGGTTTAAGACTCAAGTAATCGAATCCGGAAGCAAAAAGATCCTTCTGTTTAACCAGCAAACCAGAGATGCTGATGCTTTGATAGCTGATCTTTACAGCAGTTTGAATCCCGAAGTGAAATTCGACCGTGTTATATTCACCACAAACGTTACTTGGGCATCTGGTACGTACAGTGCGGATCTGGTTTCTATGAATACGTCCAAAGAGCAAGTGGATAAGCTCGAGGTTCAAAATGCCCTTCGCGATACATGGCTAAAATTAGAACCAAGTTGTAAGGTTGACGTTGCTGCCAATATCGAATCAGCCTGTGATCTTGTGAAGACGTATGAGGAGCCTGTTGAGGTTTTTGTTACTGGTTCTCTCCACCTTGTCGGTGGCCTTCTTGTTGTATTCGATGGGAAATGATTATAGACATATCTTTTATTCGCACGATGACTATTTAGAACTTAATCTCGGCCAAGGTAAACAATTATATACAACTGAAAAGTTGAAGGGCCGTGAAGAACACTCATACTCTCATGTAGCATGGTGTCTCTGTGATGTCACGACCATAACTTATCGACCACTCGCGGTTATATTTCTTATTCATGTATGAATTGGGATTTTCATAGCTCTGCAGAACGTCAATTGCGGATTTAATATCAAAATAACTTATCGAAACACAAAGCTTGCGCGATATCATAGGCGTGATTTCAACAATGTCTCCGAATTTTTCAAAGTCCTCTCTAAGATCTTTAACGTCAAATTTACACGGGCCATGCCGTCTCGAGTGGATATTTCGTGATCGACCTGAGCTCGCGTCAACAGTTTTCTTCACGATAATACACCTCCGTGCATTCGACCCCTCTGACCCGTTGCTTATCAGCTTTTCATCGATAATTCCTCCTATCTCGGTGACGTCCACATTTAAAAGCTTGTTGTTGGCCTTTGGAGCCCATTCAACGGCGAGGGTGCATCCGTTTACTTGGAAATTTTTAGCTTGTGCATACCGCATGAAGCTTTGAGCAGACCCGGTGGATGTGAAATGAAGCTGAATGAACCTTGTGGCAGTACGATCTTGGCCTTCGGTGATAAATTGAATTTTTTCAAGAGGGCCCCCATGAATTTGCGATATTAAACTTCGCAGACCACAGTTCTTGGGTAGATTTTGCAGCTGAAGTATCCTATCGGTCCTATTGCCGGGGTCGTGTCTATCTCCCTGTAGAACCACAGTAGGAACTGTGTTTTTTTGGACCATCGTAAAATCATGAATGGTGGCCCCTCTAGCAGTTTTGTGATCGTGATAACTTGATAGGCCCTCACTTGTACCATTTATTGCGGACATCCTTGAAATTCTCTCTCCCGCGACATTCTTTCTATGTTCCAGCAAGGATTCCACAGAAATGGAGTGGATTTGTCTCTTTTGTGGCAGGCGATTGCAAACTTTGATCATCGTTCCATCTGACAGATGTTTTCCTGGGCTTTTAAAATGTTTTCGAGGCTTTATGTTATCATCCGAGACAGAATGATCCCCTCTAGCATAAAGTTTGCCACTTTTGAAGTAGGCACGTACCAGCCTTTTGAGACCAAAAAGACTTTGAGCCTCCTGTTTCCATTTTGATGCCGAGTGATTTGCGTCCGAGAGCTCTGAACCAAGTACTGAAGAAACAAGTCCGATCTTTGCAGCTTTAACCCTTAGACCCTCTGCTTCGACGCATGTTTTTTGTACATTGATCGTGCGATTATTCAACAAAGATTCTTGTGATACCATGCAATCGGATTTGGGAAAAGTATGCCGGATGATTTAAATTATTGTCTTCTTATGAAGATTTGCGGTTATATTCTTTATCTTTAAGTAAATGTTGGTTCCTGAATCATTCCATCAGGAGAAGCAGGTTTCTCTGCTGTGTTTGTACTTTTATATGCTGTCATTGCAGGCAACTAATTTGGACGCAATGCCATTAGGTGACAAAGTGATTTAGAGAGTTCAACAGTAGAAATTATCGACCTAAACCCTGAAGGTTCGGGTTCGCATTCAGATTCTGTAATATTTAGTTCAAGCTTTGACATCGCACATATCGCCACGGCGTGAAGTTTCCACTTTCATCAATTCTCGCAACATCATAGTGGCATAGGCGGAAACACCCAACGTGAAAGTCAAAATAACAGCTGTGTTATCTCCACCTTTGTCGTCTGGAAAACGGTTGAGCTTCTCTTTCATGAATCTTTGACCGTTCTCCTTACCTCTTTGGTTGTTCAAAATCTCCAAGTCAGTGTTGACTAATTGCTGGGTAGGGGATGAATAATGTAATACTTTGAATTCCAGGTTCTCCGGAGTGTGTATAACATTTCTGTAGGAGCCGGCCAGCGAAAAATCTCTGTTCTTTCTTTTCATGTTGAAAGGATCCAGGCCGTCCTTTGCCATAACCTCAACATACAATTGGCGCAATGTCTCGTTACATGGATACACGATATCGAAGCCGGGTGTAGGCAAAACAATATCTTTCATGCAGAATTTTCCAGAGTCCACTTCCTCTTGGGTTACTGGTCTGGCTCTGACAAAATCCGCTTGACGCAAATCTTCGGCAAATTCAGCTTCATCATCATCCAAATCCGGGTTTGCGACTTCCTTTTCACATGCTGAGCTCGTGTTGCCTTTGTCATCCAAGACCAAATCCCCCGCCACCACTTTCAATCCGAATAGGTCGATACGCTTACTTGCAATGGCATTCCAGACGTAACTCTGATACGCGTGGCCGTACATTGTTCTCAAATTTCTTGGTATCTTGTTAACCGCTTGATAGTAATCGAAAGACGGGGAATTAATCCTGGATTGTTCTGCTAGAGCATTCAAAATCGCATTTTCTGCCACACATTGGCGTGGCATTTTCTTTAGGGCAGCTTCTGCGTCCTGATGATCTGACCATATCCTCCTTGCTTCTTTTGAAATCGGCAAAACATTTTCTTGCTCGGCAAGGATCAAATCCACCACCTTTTTCCAATCTTCGAGTAGAATCCATTTTCCAATTTCGTGAGTCGATACACTAAAGGTACCAAAACGCTGCATCCCAAAGTAGTTGATGAATCCGTGTTCCTTGATAAACGAGCAACCCTCTTCTAGCACCTTTTCTAATGGTACAGTACAATCTGAGGAGAGTTTAACGTCCCTAATCGCAATCGTGAACTCATTTCCTTTCAAGTCTCCCAAACTCAGGCTCTCGTCTTCAAATTTGAAACCACCTAGGACAACACCTTTTAAAACCTTGTTAAGAGAATTCAGCCTTTCAACACCGATTTTTGAAATCGACATGCGCTGGCAGGTTATAGCTCTACGGTCTTTTGTTCCTGCGTATCTGATTAGACGCGTCGGTAGTCTTAAGTACTTGGCCAACAAGTTGGCAACATCCATGGTATCTTTGTTTTCTTTGTATGTTGTGAAATGTACAAAGTTTTTAGATGGCCCGTACCCCCAGTTCTCGACGCCATTCGCATCTTTAGTACGTTCGACTAGGTCCTTTTTGCTTACGCGAGACTTCCGGTTGGCGAGGGCTATCAAAAATGTATTGTCTGGAGAGGTAACAGATTCCAATTGATTGTTGAAGGCGGAGCGCAATAGTTGATGGAGCTTAGTGCGTTGCACTTTGTCACCAAAGCTCCTCTCAGTCTCCATTTTGGTAACATTTCTGTAGACGTCTTCGATTTTTGCTACGTCGGATTCGCCCAACACTTCTACTAGCTCCGCTCTGACTTCGTCTCCAACTCTGAAAGACCTCCTTTTCTCTATTTCTAGTTTTTCCTCTTCCGCTTCTTCGTCTCTGGTCTTCTTGGGTGGCTTAGGCATTTTGAATCCCCTATCAGTCAAGTGAACCACCGAGCCTTGCTTGTCGATCTCGTTGACCATAAAATCGGTGTACCTCTGTTTGATCTGGCCAGAAAATCCCGGTAAGCCTGGAGATAGATGCTTTGTAATCCCCACATCACTCTCAGTGATGGAAGTCGAGCTTTCAGCGCCATTAGAGTCCGAAAGTGCAAGCTTGGCTTTCTTGTCTTTATGTTGGCCTTCTGAAGTGTCTGATGGGCCGCTTGAAGCCACTTCTTCGGTAGGCGTCGATCTATCACGCTTTTTATCCTCTAATTCGGCCATTGGCTATGGTGTAGAGGAAATATTGAGACCAATACGGCTATCTTTGTTAGGTTCTGTAAAATATGAAGATCGAGATGAGATGCGATGAGCATAAAATTTTCCACACTCAATTAAAAAGGGTCCGGCAACATAGCATTTGAGTGCAAATTAGGAGTGACCAACGAGTCTCGATTGGGATGTCACAGGTGTCGATCGACTTAGACGATGCTCGTCGAGCGTATGTAAATAGTCTGTGGGAGAAGCGCTTCAAAAATCTTACAGTGGTACCGAGAAATATAGAGGAACAAATCAATGAAAAGAAAACTGTTATCCAACGGCATCAAGAGCTTCAAGCTAGTGTCACGCATACTGGGGCAGCACAACAAAATGCCTTAGTGAAGTTCAATGCTGAAGAGACCAATAATTTTGCCAGTTCTGGGGCCGTTGACCGTTGGTATGGGAAACAAGATTTGGCCCACTCCGTAGTAGAACGCCATCAGCAGCGTTTGGCGCTCCAGCCGGCCTGGCATGCGCCCTGGAAATTGATGCGGGTTATTAGCGGCCACAATGGCTGGGTACGCTGCGTCTGCGTCGATCCTGTCGATAATGAATGGTTTGTGACTGGAAGTAACGACTCTACTATAAAAATATGGGACTTGGCCACTGGTAGATTGAAACTGACCCTTATGGGACATGTTATGACAGTGAGATCGCTTGCTATATCCACAAGGAACCCTTATATGTTTTCTGCAAGCGAGGATAAAATGGTAAAATGTTGGGACCTGGAAAAGAACGCCGCAATAAAAGACTTCCACGGTCATTTTTCCGGTGTCAATTCCGTGGATGTACATCCAACGCTGGATATAATAGCTAGTGCTGGTCGAGACTCGGTGGTGAGGCTATGGGACATCCGAACACGACAGCCAGTCATGACGCTTGCGGGGCATAAGGGCTCTATCAACCAGGTTAAGTGTTTTCCAGTCGACCCACAAATTGTCAGTTGCTCTGTAGATGCCACGCTACGGATGTGGGACATAAGAGCAGGGAAATCATCCAAGATTTTAACTCATCATAGCAAAAATGTCCGGTCTCTTGCTGCGCATCCAGCTGAGTTCTCTCTAGCATCTGCATCCACTGGCGATGTGAGGTCTTGGAGGTGCCAAGATGGACAGCTTCTGACGAACTTTCATTCGGAAGATTTGGGTATCATTAACTGTCTGTCCGTAAATCAGGATGGCGTTCTTTTCGCAGGGACAGACGACGGCAGGTTAGCATTTTTCGACTACAAAACTGGACATAATTATCAGCAACTGCCCACCACAACGATAACGGGATCTCTGGAAAGCGAGCGTGGTATCTTAAGTGGGTCATTTGACCAAACAGGTTTGAGATTAATCACTGGTGAAAGTGATAAGAGTATAAAAATCTGGAAGCAAGTAGACAATTCGTCTCCTGAGCAACATCCAGGACTGCCGTGGGATCCACAGATTGGCTCACAGAGGTTTTAGAGCTACTTAAACTGATAAATAGGCACAGAAATAATTAGTTGTCTTGGTTGGCAATGTTGATCACAGTAAGACCAATATAGCAAGTTCGGAGGAAATCCAGTCTAATGCGTTTGAATCAATCAATCTAGTATTAGAATTTTGCTCAAGGTATTGTGAGGTCATCTTACTCGTGTAAACTACTTACTCATTGGGTCCAATGTAAAACGATCTACTCGTGTATACTAATGTCAAAAATTAACACATCGATATTTCAGGCATAGTATAGGTACATAAGAACATACATGAGCCCTTCAGAAGATAAGAAACCCGTTGTACCCAGAGATATTCAAGATGTTTCTGAGGTGGTTATAGGCTGCAAATGTTGGGTGGAAAAAGATGGCGTAGAAAGATTGGCGGAGATTTTGAGTATCAACAGTCGTAAGAGTCCTCCAAAGTTCTATGTGCATTATGATGACTTCAACAAGCGTTTAGACGAGTGGATACTCGCGCCAAGGATTAAGATTGATAAGGAGGTATTCTTTCCACTGGTGGAATCAGAAGCGGAAAAGGCCAATAAGAAGAAGCAGAAACAACCAAAGAAGAGCTCGGCTACTCCAAGCAATGAGGTGATCCCCAACTCTGAGCCCCCCGATGGCGCTGACATTATGGATCTGGACTCTTTAAATGTGCAGGGAACCGCGGACAAGGACATTTCACGCCATGACGAGATTGAAAAACTACGCACATCTGGTTCCATGGTGCAAAGTTCACATGAGGTTGCAAGGGTTCGTAACTTGAGCAAAGTAATAATGGGGAAATACGAAATTGAACCGTGGTACTTTTCGCCTTATCCGATTGAGTTAACGGATGAAGACGTAGTGTATATCGATGCATTTACGTTGCAGTATTTCGGATCTAAAAAGCAGTACGAGCGATACAGATCTAAATGTACATTACAACATCCTCCAGGCAATGAAATATACAGAGATGATTACATTTCATTCTTTGAGATCGATGGCCGAAAGCAAAGGACGTGGTGCAGAAACCTTTGCTTGTTCTGTAAACTCTTTTTGGATCACAAAACGCTGTACTATGATGTCGATCCGTTTCTATTTTACTGCATGACCAGAAGAGATGAATTAGGTCACCATCTTGTTGGGTATTTTTCCAAAGAGAAGGAATCTGCTGAAAATTATAATCTAGCGTGTATTTTGACGCTACCGCAGTACCAACGTATGGGATATGGTCGGCTATTGATCGAATTTTCCTATGAGCTGTCAAAGAAGGAAAATAAGCCAGGGTCTCCCGAGAAGCCTCTTTCAGACTTGGGGTTGCTATCATATAGAGCATATTGGGCAGACACCTTGATAGACCTCCTTATGAATCACGGGCCAGAGATCACCATAGATGAAATCAGTGCACTCACTTCTATGACCACAACAGACATCCTGCATACTTCGAAAGCTTTAAATATTCTGCAATATTACAAGGGCCAACACATCATTTATATGAATGAAGATGTGGCCCAGCGGTACGAAAAGATCAAGGACAAAAAGGGTCGGCGCAGAATTGATCCTTCGAAGCTTATATGGAAACCTCCTGTATTTACTGCTTCTCAATTGAGGTTTGCTTGGTAAGCTGTTTAGTCTACGTTAAAGGTTGTATAATACTAATCAAACGGTAATATTTTGGGACCAGCTCTTTTAGCTCCTGTTGCGGCAACAGCGCTCGGAACTCTAATCCCACAACAGTCTCCCCAAGTATTGAGTAGAGGCCCGTGACTACAGTGACCATGGTCGTCTTCTGCGTGAGAGTTTGGTGGTGAAACTCCCTCTGGACACTCCAAAAACGACCCAAAGAAAAAGTGCTGCATTATGGGCAACTTCCCTAATACTTCTATTCTGTACATTTCGACCATACCTTTTGCAACCTTTGTCCAGCTTTTTGCGCCACTGATGTCGTCCAACATGGGAGAGTGCCATCTCAATGAGGCTGTCGTTTTGACTTGATTTATAAATGCAATGCATCCAAAATACAAATATCTATCTGCAAACATCTCGACAGTCTCTGCATTGTGGATAGATTTCGGTTTTAGGTGTTTATGAACAGAGAGTTGGAAAGCGCCGAATAAAAAGGGCAAGAAATGATAATCGTCCAAACCCCACACCCCATGCGAACCTGCAGGTTCCAACCAGTATTTTGTCTCCAGGACCCTCATGATTGAAAGATATCGTACGAATAGCTTCAGCACAATATTCCTGTTCTGAGAAGGGCTAAGTATTCCATACACGCGAAGTCCGTACAGAAAGCACATGAAGTTTAGCTCATGTCCTGAGCCATAATCAATCCTTCTAGAGTCCCCCCATGATTCCCTCAGATAGACAGCCAGTTCCTCAGTTTGGCTTTTCTTCAGGCGTGGAAAAGCCTGAGAAATAAGGGCACTGGATCTGGCCTTCAGTTCATTGTAGAAATAGCGAAATTCTACTTTACCAAATCTTGACGTTCCGGCATCTTCCTCAACGGGAAACAGCTCAATAAGAGCACTTATCTCATCTAATAGTGTAGAACATTTTTCTACAGGTTCGCCAATGGGAACTTGGTACTGGTTATTCTCAAAGCCCTTAACCGAATCCGCAAGTTCTACAATGAACTCAATAAGGTGCTCAAAAGTTTGCGAACGTTTCCACGATTCCAAGTCATCTTGAGTGAGCAATCTTTTCTGAGCAGACATCGCTTTCAAGAAATGAGCAGTCGCCCTAGTTATCAGTCTTCATTTGCTGATAACCGATGCCGTGAGTGGCTTTAAATGAAATTTATAGCTGAGCTACAAGAATGGCCTTTAATTTCATAACGTGACAGTAGGCATACCTTGCAACTGCTCGCTGAACTGGATGCCCTAGAACGGAGATTTAAGTGAACCTTCTAATGAGATAGCGAACTCAAACTACACTGAAATTGCCATTCGCTTTATGCCAAATACCACTCTATTCGTGAACATGCCCACAACGCAAGAAAATAAAGACGGGACAAGCATCATGGAGGTGGAGAATGTATACGTAAAAATCTAGAGTTTTGATGTTTACTTATTCTACAAAATTGAGCTCTTGGCCTTGCCACCCCAACTGCTTCTTGTAGGTGTGAAAGATTCTTTCAAGCTCCGCCAAATATAGCTCTTGGTAATAGTCGATATCCTCAATTGTTGGGTCTTCGTACTTGTGCTTCACGTAGATTGGACTACCTGTGACGATGTTGATTGGTTTGCGGAATGGAATCAAGCCGAAATCGTAGTTGAATAGACCACGAGCAAAGAAAAATGGAATGGTGAACCCGTAAGACCGCTTGAACCAAAGTTGCAACCTACGCAGATACGATTTGTCGTCCGTTTGCAAAATGTTGTAGCAATCGGTTTCACCAAACGCAAAACATGGCACCAGGTTAACATTTCCAGTCTCCAGCGCTAGCTTGATGAACCCCTTTCTGCGTCTCAGCACCAAGTCTGCAGATCCGATTTTACTCATAAGCGCCTCCTGGGCGCCACCGACAACAATACAGATGGAGTAGTCCCGTTGCAAGACTCGCAGCGCATTTTTCTTGGAAACGGTAGTAATGCCAAGTGCAAGCAGATAGTCTCGATAGAATGGGATTTGGAATTGATTTATGAGCGTCATCAAACACATGCGAATCCCAGGAAATAGCTGGGAGAAGTTAGCACCCTCCGTGGCAAACGCACCAAAGGCGCCCAGCGCAGCAACGCCGTGGGGATGGTAGCCAAAAATATAGCGTGGACCTGTAGCTTCCCACTCGACCTCATCCTCGTCGCGCTTCAAGATGCGGAACTTCAAGGCATATTTGAGGGGCCACAGCCGCACGCGAAAACTGATGCGGTAACGGTCTTGGCGGGCTTTGTCAGCACTATTTATTTCCCTGGGCGTGAAAGACGGTTCAAGGTCAGTGGTCTTATGAAGCCGAATTGGGTAGTAGTCGCAGTAGTAGCGCCAGAGAGACAAACTCCTGGCCCACGCTGAGTACCTCTTCGTGACATTGCCATTGGCTGGGGACCGGTCCACAGCGTAGTACATCATATAGGGAATCATGATGGCCCACATCACAGGATTTGCCAGAGCAAGAATGGCAAATGCCAGGATGTATACAAAGGACCCTACATGCCAGGCGACCACCAGTGTCTGAAGTCTGCGCCTCCAAGGCGTATTCACCGAGCAAAATTTGGCACTGTCTTGCCTGTTGCGCACGACGCCTGATCCCGCACGGGTTACCGGTTCCATGGCTCCGCTGCCATTTACCTTGCTCTGACGCTGTGACGATCTCTGTAACGAGCCATCTGTGGATCTAACGCCACTGATCGAGTCGCCTGTTTCTTTGTTGCCCCTGTACTTCACTTTCCCTGCTGAGGCCATTGTTATTCAGCACAATAGTACCGATACTACCACCAACCGAAAAGCACTTGATGGAGTCTTTCCCCAAAGCTAACGATCCTCTCAACACCTTTCGTTTCTGAGCTTCCCGCAAAAACCACCTAATCAGATTCTTCTATCCTGGCAAGAATCCCAACACTTAACGCCCTTGTAATCTATTTCTCGCTATAAGGGATTGAAAGTTGCAATATAAGCTACACCTGGGACTCAATCACAACTCACTTTCGATGTCCACTTTGACGTACGATCAACTAACGCCGGTGTCAATCGTTTTGATTGGGCCAAACACACAAGCAGGGCCTTGTTCCAAACTAGTGTGCCAAGAATGGATACTCACAGTCACAAAAGCAACAAAACCACTTTTGGGTATCCTTGATATTGTACTGCATGTGATGATTGTGCCAATTGGTTCTTGTTGAGTCGAGCGTGAATGTGACTTTGTCCATAAACGTGAGGCCATGTATTTATGGCTTTTCATGACACCGCAGCGACGGTATCGGGCAAAATATGTGTACACAACGCCGGGCTGGAATTTAAGTAGGGAGCCAAAACCTCTTCGTGTAGAGATGGAGAAAGAACTAAATAGAGGAGTTGATGACTATCATAAGTGTTTTTATCGTAACCTTGCTGTTTGCTTGGATGTAATTACCATGTTTGTTATCGTGAACATGCTGGGAAAATGTGAGCTAATGTAATAAACATTAAATTCGGGTATGATAACAACCAATGTGCATCAAAGGGAAGTAAAGGACATGTATTTTATAGATGTTGGAAAAAGATTCTTAGCTTCAAAGAAAAATTCGGAAGCTTCTCCCTAGTTCTTTAGTGGAAACAGCATCGGAGTTAAGAAAGCCAAAAATGATGGGCCACGTACTGGTGGGTTAGTTAAATTTACCTTTGATTCCCATATCATCCGGGTCTAAGGCTTCCAAGCTTAGCTTGAAGGAGGCAGCTTTGCGGCAGTGTGCCTTTGGGCACGGTCAATAAATAAATCTCGCTCAGTTTTTCGCAACTCAAACACATCTGGTGGGTTCTTCACCTCCAGGATGAGTCGTCAGAAATCTAAAAGAATAGGTATAAGCAAGAGCCACGCAGATTCCGATCCGGTGTCCGTGGCTGATAGGGTTCAGCTGGCGACGGAACGGTAGTCCTTTCCTGTCATCATGTTTTCCATTTGTGACATCTTTCTCCTGTAGATCATTAGAGACGCTCAGTTACGCGTAATGTAACGCCATCTCTTCATTTCGCGATCCAAGTAAAATCGAAAGCATAACTGTTAATAGGCTTCCAACTAGCACCGCCAGTCTAGTAGCGGTCACCGCTAGCTTTCCAAATGGACTACGTCACGCAACCAACACAACAGGCCACTCAGGCTACACAAAAATACATAATTGACAAGTTTTCGCAGGAACAAATCGACGATGACATTGTCTTCCGAGTGATCTGTACTGCAGGCCAAATTCCAATCAGAGACCTGCGAGCAGAGTTACGAGATGTAATGCGCAAGAGCGAATCAATAAAAAAAGTCTGGACTTTCGGGAGAAATCCGCAATGCGACTATCATCTAGGCAACACTTCGCGGTTTTCCAATCGACACTTCCAAATCATGCTCGGTGAAGACGGGAATCTGCTGCTGAAGGACACATCGACGAATGGAACGTGGCTCAATGGCGAGCGCATGGAGAAAGATAGGAACCAGCTGGTGAGCCAGGGTGACGAGATTACTGTCGGATGGGGTGTTCCGCAAGACGTCGTTAGTTTGGTGATTTTCATTAATGACAAGTTCAAACAAAGACAAGAAATGGCCAAACTTCAGGGCTTCCGAGTGACCGGTAGAGGTCCCGATGGGTCCAGAAATACATCGCCAAAGATACAACTCACAGGAATACACAAGGACTACTCTATCAAAGACGAGGTGGTAGGTCAAGGTGCTTTTGCCACGGTCAAGAAAGCCGTAGAAAGACGCACGGGCAAAACGCACGCGGTAAAAATTATAAACAAGCGCAAAGTTCTTACGAATATGGATGGTGTGACTCGGGAATTAGAAGTGCTGCGACGGCTGGATCATCCAAGAATTGTGAGCCTTAAGGGTTTCTACGAAGACAAAGACAGCTATTACTTGGTGATGGAATTCGTCTCAGGAGGCGATCTTATGGATTTTGTAGCGGCCCATGGGTCTGTTGGTGAAGATGCTGGCCGTGAGATTACCCGTCAAATTCTGGAGGCAGTGAAGTATATTCATGCCACTGGCATAAGCCACCGTGATCTGAAACCCGACAATATTCTAATCGAGCAGGATGACCCAGTGCTTGTTAAAATCACAGATTTTGGACTGGCCAAGATCCAAGGTAATGGAACGTTCATGAAAACTTTCTGCGGCACACTCGCTTATGTGGCACCAGAAGTGATCAGCGGCAAAACCTCAGAGGGAAAAGAAAATAATTCGTATTCCTCTATGGTAGATATGTGGTCAATCGGCTGCCTTGTGTATGTCATATTAACCGGCCATCTTCCCTTTAGCGGAAGCACTCAAAATGAACTTTACAAGCAAATTTGCGCAGGTTCCTACCACGAGGGCCCACTGAAGGACTACCGAATATCCGATGACGCAAGAGATTTTATCGAATCCTTCCTTCAAGTAAATCCTAGAGAACGCATGTCTGCGGAGAACGCACTGCGACATCCATGGATTCTAGCTGCTCAAGATTCAAATGTCGTGGACTCTCAAATATGCCTGTCACAGTCAATGTCCCAACAACGGGCTGGGGAAAGTGTCAGCGATGCTCATCAACAGTTTTTGAATATACGAGCTTTGGAAAAGCAGAGAGGAGTCCAAGGCAACCACGGCGCCGAAGAAGATATGGATGAGAATCCTTCGCAGCAACCAGTGTTCAAGGTTCCAGCAAGAGCACCCATCAGGTTTACACAGTCATGTGTGCCGGAGGATTCCAGGCCGGACAGTATCAAGCAGGTGCGTACTGCCAATTATGACATGAACTACTCTTCCTTATCCTCCAACGCCGATAACCAGCATGTTGCCCTACCAATCCCTCAAAGCAAAGTAGACTCTAGCGAACTGGATTTCAACGAAGAACATGCAGTGTGCATTAACGCTGACGGCCCACCGACCTCAGGCGGGAAGTTCATAACTCTACGCTCTACAGCTCGAAGTTCTCTCAAGGGCATAATCGACATCAAGCAAGGTGTCAATCCGTTTTTCATTGGCCGGTCACAGGAGTGTAACTGCCAGATAGAAGACAGTCGACTGTCGCGGGTGCACTGCTTTATCCTGAAAAAGAGACACCCTATTGGGGATAGCATCCACGAGTCCCCCGCACAGGGTTTGGAGGATCTGTGGTACTGTCACGCGGGGACAAATCTCAGTTATCTCAATGATGTGCGCCTCACCCAAGGAACCAAAGCGCTACTACACGAGGGCGACGAGATCAAGATTATATCAGATAAGGCCAACGGTTTTGTGATTTCTTTTGTCATGGAGATCAATGACAGTACCGGTCTCTTTAACCACGGCAAACTTTTTCCTGGAGAACAACGTAAAGTTGAAACCCAAGGAAGTGATGAGAAGATATTGCCTAAAATTTTGACCCAGCCCAAGGGTCTGGCGGACAGCCAGGACGTATCAAAGCGCGCGCTGTCCATTATAGCAAGCCAGGATCCCGGCAAAAGAGCCAAGCGTGCCAAGTTGAACAAAGCCGACAACGTTCCCGGTCAGGTACAATTCACATAAGTTTTCTATGATGCACACCCATCAAGCGGCTGTTTTCCCGCCCGGTGCAGGTGAAGTCTCGCCCAGTACAATAATGATACATGTATGGCTCGAACCAAGGCCATTCTCTTCAAACGCTGAGTCGAAAAGTTACCCGTCTGAATTTATGAGTAAGGGGTTGAAATTATAGGCAGACACAATAACCTAAGGTAGGCATCCCTGCTGTATTATATAAAGGGGCAAAGAACACGGAACTACAGGGCTTTCATTCTGAAGAAGTGTTCTACAGCGCCCAAAACATTTAACTGCGTTTTATTAACAAGGTACAACTCCTCGTAGAATAGCGTATATTGGCTTCTCTTCAACGGATAGAGCCTAATTTCCAAAAGCAAATTTAAAAGATGCATCTTCCTTCGCTTGTATCGCTCGCAACCCTTTTAGTTGCAAGCTTGGACGCCGCGCAGGCTAAAGTCCACAAGGCAAAAGTATTCAAAGATAGACCAAGTTCCAAGGACGGCGAGTTTTTGGTAGGTCAAAGTGCCGAACATTTGAGTGACAAGTATGTTCAACAATATGCTAAGGCATATCCGGAGGCAAACTCCATCCTCGAGCAGCACTATCTCTCGAGGCTAGCGTCAAGCGAGGAAGACGGCGTATGGTCGCTCGATGGCCATGACGTCCCTCTATCGAACTATCTAAACGCCCAGTATTTCACGGACATTACACTAGGAACTCCTCCCCAGAGCTTCAAGGTGATACTGGACACGGGATCATCGAACTTGTGGGTCCCTGGCGCCGAGTGTGGATCTCTGGCCTGTTTCTTGCACTCCAAATACGACCACGAGTCGTCGTCCTCGTACAAGGCCAACGGTACCAAGTTTGCCATCCAATACGGCACGGGATCTTTGGAGGGCTATATTTCCCAGGATACATTGAGCATCGGTGATTTGACTATCCCTAAACAGGACTTTGCGGAGGCCACATCGGAGCCGGGGCTCACCTTTGCGTTTGGTAAGTTCGATGGAATTTTGGGGTTGGGTTACGACACCATTTCTGTTGACAAGGTGGTCCCACCCGTTTACAAAGCTATCGAACAGAAATTACTGGACGAGCCGAAATTTGCCTTTTACCTGAATGATGCCGACAATGCGGAGGAGTCGGTGGGCGAAGTCACTTTTGGCGGTATTGACGAGTCGAAGTTCAAGGGCGATATCACCTGGTTGCCTGTTCGCCGTAAGGCCTACTGGGAAGTTAAATTCGACGGTATTGGGCTAGGCGACGAGTACGCCGTGCTCGAGAACACTGGTGCTGCTATTGACACTGGTACCTCCCTGATTGCCCTTCCATCAGGTCTTGCCGAGGTTTTGAACTCGGAGATTGGTGCCAAAAAAGGCTGGACTGGACAATACACAGTGGAATGCGAGTCGAGAGATCAACTTCCTGATTTGACTTTCACCTTCAATGGTCACAATTTCACCATCACGCCTTATGACTACACTTTGGAAGTTTCTGGCTCGTGTATCTCTGCCTTTACGCCAATGGATTTCCCAGAGCCTGTGGGACCTTTGGCCATCATTGGTGATGCCTTTTTGCGTAAGTTTTACTCCATCTACGACTTGGGCAACAACGCTGTAGGTTTGGCCAAAGCCGTCTAATTTGGTAACAGCACCCAAGGGTTGGGATCATTCAACAGAATAAAAACATGAAAATAAACATGAAAAAGCAAACACAGTTGTAGGGACCCATATCTGGGTTGTGACTTTACAATGTGCAAAAATTAGACTGAATGTGATACAGCATTGTGAAGTTTTAAAATATCAAGTAAAATGATAAATGTTATCTAAAGAAATAATTGAGATCGTAGTGTGTAGCAAGATATGCTAACCTCGATTTCGAGCTCTGTACCTATAGGTTTTTTTATCAACTTGTGCTGCAATGGTTGTTTTTCTCGAAACCTGATTGTTATTTAATTTCCTGTTCTTAAGGTGGGTAAACAATAGCCGAAATTAACTTCAAAACTAACATTTAGAAGGGCAACATTTGATAAAGGCTTTTACTAGAATCTGTGGTTTGTGTGAAGGGTCAACTGTCATCGACCAGTTTCTTTTTTTTATCCGCGTTGAAGTTGGAAACTTCTCATCGCTGATATACTATGATCCACAAGAGTCCGACAAGAAGAACCATACCGAGATCGCACCAAACGCCCCAAAGTCCGGCTTTGCGAAGCGGAATGTCACTTTCACTTGGAAAGCGCAAGACGTCAGTCACACCTCTGACGACCCCGGTTTCAGTAACATCCTCAAACTCCCGGAGAAGCAGACAAAACTCCCCGACTCGTTCCACGATCTCGTCACCTACTAGGACGAGCTCTGGCTCAAGCAGCCGGGGAAAGCTTTCCGACGGACTGGTTAATGTGGATAGCGTATTACGCAATGGTAGCACCCCCCTTTACCGGGGCACAATCTCTGTTTCGATAAGAGTGAAACCACCAGAGGTAAACTCCAAAAGCCTGTGGTCAGTACGTGGGGATCATACTATCAGTCACGAAGATTTGGGAGAGTTCACGTTTGATAATGTATTCAATCCACAAGCCGACAATTCCCGTGTGTATGAGGAAATTGGGAAACCGCTGATAGATAAGTTATTCCAAGGATTTAATGCCATCATTTTTGCCTACGGTATGACGGGTTCCGGAAAGACATTCACGATGAGCGGAACTGCAGATGATGCCGGTCTTATCTTGCTCTCCGTAGAGCAGGTTTTTGCCCTGATCGCAGCGGAAAGCCGCGAGCACAAGTCTTTTGCAGTCAAAGTTTCCTATCTGGAGATATACAACGAAAAGATTTACGACCTGTTGAGCTACCAAGATTTCAAACCCCCCCTGCCCACACACGGCTCTTTCAACCCGAAATCAGTTCACAGTTCCGGCACTGAGCTTCAAATTCGGGACGATGCCAAGCATGGTGTCCGAGTGGTTGGATTAACAGACCAACAGGTACATTCTACAGATGAGCTGATGAAGTGGATAGCCATAGGGAATAAGAACCGAAGGACGGGAGAAACGGACTACAATACCAGAAGCTCTCGGTCCCACACAATTGTGTCCGTTGCCCTTACATGTACAGACCTGTTGACTGGCCTAGAGACCAACAGTACGTTGTCATTATGCGATTTGGCTGGATCTGAGAGAGCTGCAGGACAACAAGAGCGCCGCAAAGAAGGGGCTTTTATCAACAAGTCGCTTTTGGCCTTGGGGACAGTAATATCTAAACTAAGCGCTGGCAGCACCCAAGCGAGCTCCAATTTCGGCAACAGTCACATTCCCTACCGCGACTCGAAGCTCACGCGAATTTTGCAACCGGCGCTGTCTGGCGACAGCATAGTGACGACGATATGCACCATCGACACAAAGGCGGATGCCATGTCAGAGACCGCGAACACGATACGTTTTGCTTCGCGGGCTAAAAACGTGTCGATGACCGTGAAACGAAACGAGGTTGAGGCCAGCGCAGAACGTGAGAAGTCGTTGCACAGTCTTAAACGTCAGATCGACGAACAACAGGAGGTCATCTGCGAGCTGAAAAGACAGCAGAATATCTACCATGGCAATGGCAGCGGTGGAGACCTTGGCATGGACGCGCTGCGACGGGAGAACGAAGCTCTGAAGTCCAGGCTCCAGCACTGCGAAAAGCTCCTAGACAAGGACGATACCCCAGTACAGGACGAGCAGTTCCTGGAAATAGTGGAAATGCTGCCCACGGCGATAGGCGCACTACTGGAGAGCAAGATTCAAGGTTTGGAGTCGCAGCTGCGGGAATACCGCTTCCACAACGCCCGCTTGGAGAGAAAGCTGGCTGACGCGGAGACTGACCTCTGTACGAGGCAGCAACAGCCTACACGCGCCAGCCAGGACCTGCAGAGGCTGCTGCGAGAACAAGAAGAGGAGATCATGGAGCTGCGTAAGGGTCTCACGCGCAAAAACAAGATGCTGGAGGCCCTACAAAGCGCCAAGAGATTGCGGGAGGGGGCGCTGCGACCGCTCCCTCTCGAGAACAATGGTGGCACCGGCTATAGAGTTCCTGGGAAGCTGTGAGCCCAGGATGGACAACGGGTTGACCCGGATCACAACCGGGTTGTAATTATATACGAAACACCTACTTGTGAGTTGTTGTGAGTTGTTGTGAGTTGTTGTGAGTTGTTGTGAGTTGTTGTGGGTTGTTGTGGGTTGTTGTCTTCGTGCCGAGCGTCTCCTGGGGGGAGCAGTGGACGATCAGACAAGTGTAAACTGTAACGAAGCGTTACAGCTCAATATATAGAATGGGCAACTTCTTCTGCTAATGCTGGATAAGGCAATCCTACTCTTAGTATCAGATTAACTTCAAAACGGGTAACCAAAATGGTTACTAAAACGGTTACCAAAACGGTTACCAAAACGGTTACCAAAACGGTTGCCAAAACGGTTACTAAAGCTGGTACCAAAGCGGGTGCGGCCCTGCTGAGCCACTGTATATCACTTTATACTATTCTGTCGCAAAACCTTGAACACCTGGCGCGGCCCCGTAAACGCACGTTTCCCCTCGCAACTACCTGTCCCAGGCGTCTGCGCCTCCGCAGCCCTCTTTCCTACACTCTCTTGGCACCCAAAAATAGCCTCAATAGCCTGCAAATATTCCATCCGCACAAAGCTCTATCCTTTTTCCAGCCCACGCTTGAACTGTCCGCAGTTCGAGCATCCTCCAGCAGCCCCCGATGCGTTTTTGCTTGGCATGAGCGAACCCATCCTCGCCCTTCCCGGCTCTGCTTTCCCCTGCCTGCTGAAATTTTTTTGTGTGTCGTTATTTGGCTGGTTTTTCGCGATTGTTGGCCTGCACAGGTTGCCCAGAATAGGAAGCACGCATACTCCCACCATCCACGTTTCTCAAGGCTAATAACGAAATGCTACACCGGGCCTACGCATGATAGTCAAAGATTGCCAATCACGGAAAACCTTGTGAAGCCAGCCCCAGCCTAGCTCGCTATGGACTTTCTGAGTTGTTCGAGTCCGGTGTGTGCCCGATAAGCAGGCTAGGATGTATCAAAATTAGCGACAGAGACCAGCATTTTCTGCCTGATTTGGGGCCGTCTCGCAATCGGAAACAGGGCTGCAACATTGGCAGAAGGTGATGAGTACTAGAGGGCACAACGGTTTTGTGAGGAAATTTTTCTCCTCTATCGGGCATCTCTGGGGTGGTCCCAGCCTGCCGTGAGTCTAGATTCAAGAGCCGCAGTCAAAGGCTTGACGGTAGTCGTTGCGTCACAGCTGCCCAGTGTCCGGCTCTGGTGTTGTTTCGTGTCAAGACAGAAAATGCCTGTTCCGGAAAGAGGTCTGGGGATATTCGGTGCAGGGTGAAACAGCGGTGGTTTTGGATCCGGAGGCGAAGCACCTTGGAAAGCGTTCGAGCAGAGTGATAAAAGAGTATAAAAAGTGGAACGAGTTTGGAAACGGGGACGGGCCAAGCTAGTGAGCGGCTCCGGTGTGCGAAGTGGAAGCTTTGATCTTTTTTCACACATATCCTTCTCCAGGCTACGCAGCGAAGAGCATCATCATGGGCATCAAGGTAGCCAACACCAAAGTTTCATCCAAGTCGTCAAAAGCGGTGTACTCTGCGCTGGGATTGCTGGCAATTCTGGTGTTTGTGGGCTACACGAGCTGCGACGCTGTGCGTCTGTATGGGTCGTTAACACATAGCAACGAAGAACCGGAAGTTGGGACCCCGGGGACAGCCGGTCTGGATCCAGCGGTACCGCAGGCGGTGTTCGAACCGGCTGCGGTGGTCCAGGACGACACGAAGCAGGTGGAGCAGATTTTTTCGGAAATCAAGCTGGAGATCGACGCCAGCAGCTCGACGACGGCGAGGAGAGCGTCGGCCACGCGGGTTGCGACCACTGAGGTAGTGCGGTCTGAGGTGGTACATGGCCCCCACAACTACAAGCCGCAGCATGTTGGGTTCGATCCGGCGGTCAACTTCCAAGAAATCCTCAACACCTCGCCGGTGGTGATCTTCGTAGACTCCCATCACGACTCGCAGCTGTTGCGTACGCTCCTGCAGCGGCACTACGAGATATCGCCCCCACCGGTGGTGGTGGATCTCGAGAAGCATTCCCGAGGCGCTCAACTGGAGTCTTTCATCGAAAAGACCAAAGTGCAGCGCCCGGCGAACCAAAAAAAGGGCGCTCAAGTATCGCACGCGGCTCCGTATCTGTTCATCAACGGCCACTCAGTCATCAACACTGACTTTCAAACTGACATTCAGGATATGCATGCGCGCCACAAGCTTCTGGACAAGCTAAAGTCTGTGGCCGAGGGCAATGTCATGTTTGCCCGCAACAACGCTCCATCCAATTCATGAATCTGGGAGAACTTACAACGTCCATTTGGTCCGTTCTCCGTCTAGCATCTCTGCATTTTCAAGTCATTCGTTTTAACGTCATTATAATCAACAGTATCTTAAGAACCATCGTCATATTTACTCTAAGAAATTACATTCAACATTAGCATAATCGATTCTTCTCTTAGCCGTCAACCGAATAATCTATACGCGAAGAAGTGGCTCCGGGCTTCGAAGTCTCTTGCTCATGCCCGAGTTCTACATGCCCGTGGTAATTGTAGAATCGCTCTCCCCAGAAACATAATATGCCTTTCAAAAAGCCGTTCTCCTTGACGTATAGAACCTTGCAGCGGGCTTGCTCACCTAAAAGTTCTCGTGTGACCCGAGAGATTTGTCCTAGATCCGAATTTCGCGGCAGAAATAGTACCACGTTCCCACTCACTTGAAAGAGACCTTGCAGGGTTTCTCGGAGACCCTGCGGGAGCAAAGCGGCCTCCAAATCGTAGAGCTCGCTTTTCAGATACTGTGGACCGCCCCAGGGAGGAGACGAAAAGACGCAGTCAATCTTAAGCTTGTTGAATCGTTTTTTTCGGCTGAGTGTGGGCCAGTCTCCAAGCTTCAGCCAGATTCTATCTTCAACATTGTAGGCCTGAGCGTTGCGGTAGGTGCAATATAGATGTTCCAAGGAGTTATCCACGCCGTAAACCTTGCTGAAATATTGTGCAAATTGAATCGTATTCCCACCGCCGCCACAATAGACGTCTAGCATCACTTCTGCATCGGGCAAACAGCTCTTGATAAATCTAGCGGCAAACTTGGCAACCACCTCGGGTGTTACACTGAACCACAGCTCGTGCGTCATATACAGATCACGGCATTCCATTTTCGAGAATAAACGCAGCCGGTTTTTCCAGTATTTGTAGATGGATCGATCCTGCACAGGTGTATTGGGTTCAATTCTATATTCATTACGCTTGAACAAACTCTTGAGAGCTCTGCGATGCTTCCGGTACTTGTGCTTCGACAAATGCACAAAATGACTCAGTTGGTCGGGCCTGAGTTGATTTGGCTTTGCCATTTTGCCTCTTCAAATGTTCGTGATGAGCTGAGCTTCAATAAGCGTACTAAATTTTCCAGTTTAAGTCAGTAGCGAATAGCACAGAAAACCAAGACTCTAAGCTTAAAAATGACATTCTGGGTGCCAACTCCACTGTTGCCCGACCTCCGCGTCGCATAATCACGGCATTTCCATAGTTTGATCTTGTTAGCTCTCCAGGTTACCATTTGCAGCATCAGAGGAGCTCTGAAAACAGCTTCGCTGAAGCAACCATTCATCCACCTCCGTGTAGCAACCGGACGTAGTAGAGGGCTCCTCGGGACTTAGTTAATCTCCTTTTTCTGGACCACCATGGTCTTCACTCGGCATCGACGAGAGTTTCGAGACTTGTCCCTCCTTTCCTTTGGAGTCCCCCATGGAAGAAGCATGCAGCCAGGCGAACCCACATGAGTTTAGTACTCTTATACAGCTTACCAGCAAAAACTCAGGATGCTTAAGCTCTTACCTTGGTAACTTTGACGGAGACCAAAATCACGAAATTCGAGTTTGAGTCTAAATCGTTCCATCGAGCCAAATATCACAAACATCCCCCTATGTCTCAACTCTAAATAGAAAGCGAAAACTGTCAATGTTCGAAGTTTCATGTCTAGGGGCCTAGTATCTTCCTCAGGTGGCCGCTATATACTAAGATATCGAAAGACCTTCAGCGGCGAGATAATTGTTTGATACCTGCCGCAAAGGCAAAGGCCAGAGCGTCACGGCCACTGTGTCTCATTACCGCATTAAAGATCAGGAGTAGACCGGGCATTTGATTCCGCTGGATGCGTGCTCTACGAGCTATAAAAGAGTGGCCCATGAAGAAACGGCTCTTCATGACCAGTTAAAGATTCTGGGCTTGTTACTGGTGCTTCTCCAAAGATATGTTCCCGTATCCCACCCGATAACCCAGCATGTTTGGACTGTAGGAGATACTGGACATGATCGTTCTCTTGAGAACTTGGGCTGGATATTATGATCTCAATCGTAAATTTGTAAAACCAAATGGATCGCATCAAATGGATCGCACCTCCCAGTTTGCAATTAACGGCACCAACTCAATGTTACTAAGCGAATGAAGTCCCCCGGGCTACGGCATACGTTACAACTTCTGAACAATCAATCACCAATGTCCATCATGATTCTGATTATGGGATTTCAGATATCAATCGTTCTTGGCCTTACCGAAACCAAAGTACGGTCTCCAGACAGGAAAGCAAATCCCCCCATTAGTGTATCAGTTGGATGGTCATTGAATCGTATCATGATTGATCTCACATGTCTTGCTGTCAAAATGTTTTCCCACTTTTGTTCAGAATTAGGTGCTGGTCATCTTAATTTAAGTATAGGAAACCAGCCATCTTGAGGTTCACAATTCAGAAAATGCAGTGGCAGACAAAAATGGGCAAAGAAGATCAATCATGATACGGGTCATTACCACAGATGTCTCCAAGATCAACCCAGCAATATTTATCCTTTAAAAGGGCCAAGGGTATCGTTGAGCGCTTTCGCCTTCCTGAACCCACCATAAACTTCACAGAGGCGTGATTTAAGTGGTGCCACCCGACTTAGTTGCGTGTACCAGATCCACGAAACGGAAAAACATACATTATCAATGATCAGATCTCCACTCAGGGCCAAGACCAACTCGTTTGGCGGTCCACAATACGATTTCCAATTCCCCAGTTCGGAAAGTATCCAGAACGATATTCTCGATCAATACCACATGTCTAATCACCACATCCTGAATAGCACGCTGCTGCATCGCGACAATGCTTCTAATGTTTTTTCTGACAAATCAGCCGGGTCCTCAAATGGTATCGAAAGCGCTACCTATTCTTTTGCAAATATTTCCGACAACACCACGAGTCGTAGGTTTGGCGCACTTGGCAACAAAAGACCTTCACAGGCCTCATCATGGGCTTCCGGGGCTTCGGCGGCCAATCAGAAGTATCCTTCAACTCTCGCACCAAGAACTGGTGCTCACGAAAATTTACGGAGTGCCTCTTTCCAAGCTCGAAGGTCGGAGAGTGCTGCTTTTCTGCGTAGAAGAAGGTCGCCAGATTTGAATGGGCAACACTCAATTTCGACTGATGCTTGCACAATTCCAACTGCTGACAATGAGTCTTTCCAGATCACATTCGAATCCAGTAAGAGCGCAAAGTCACTTGTGAGTTTCCAGAAGGGCTCTAAACCTCGACGTCCATCATCTTCAACCAACAAAGCTATTATGACACAGAGAAACCCTTCATCTTTGGGAAGAGCCTCTACTTCAAATCGTTCTACTTCAAAATTAAAGAGATCACAGGCTATCCGGTGCAAGGGCGGGTTGCTTCAATTTTTCAACAAGGTGGGATCCAGAGTAAAAGCAAGAGTTTGCCGCTGGAGGTTAGCAGTAAGGAAGAAACTTTTTACTTTCAAATCAAGACGTTTAGCCAAGAAAAACAAGCAGCAGACTACTTCCCACTTGAAAAGGGCAAATGGATACGTTTCCAATATTGAGAGAACAATGTCTAATGCTTCACTCAGAAAAGTTAGCGAGAAACGCCCGGAAGTATGCAAGCCAGGCACAGATGATAGCGCACCGACCAGGAATTCGACAGGTCAGACTCAGCGCACCGTACACGACCAGCCAAAAACAAGCCGAACCTCTTTGAGACGATCTCCTTCATCTATCAAACGAGCAGCTTCAAGCTTAAACCGTGCAAATTCTAGTGCTAACGCTAGCTCCGACGGCGCTAGGCTGGACAGCCTGGATTCTAACTCTCGACCAAAAATCGTCAGATCAGACCCTTCAATGTCATTGAACTCAATCATCCGGCAACCATCGATTGTGGTCAACAATAAAGTGATACCTCTCAGCCGGTTCAACGGGGAAATGAATGATTTTAGTATAAAAGAAGAAGACGAGGATGAATATGTGATCGATACCGATTACATGAGGAGAAGTGATGATAATATAAGCGATTTTTCGACCTCCAGCTCAAGCAGTAATGAAGAGGATTACAAAGACTCCTTAGAGACACCGCTTCCTATGACTTTTGAATCTCACGATGAAAAGGCTACAACTGCCTCAAACTCTTGGAATCACTATCTGCGGGCAGTAGTGGCTCAACGTATCTTGATGAGAATCCAGATCCACAAGTTCCAAGAGTCAGGTGAAGACGTAGTACGCCAACAGCTTATCGACGCTATTATTACGGATTACGACGACAATTCCTCGAGCCACTACGAGACCGATGTTGAGACAGACTCCACGCCACTAACAGCTCTAAGTGGTTCAGAAAAATGTCTATCAAGAACAGATACGTCGGGCGGATACTCGAATGCCAATGACAGCATATTGTCGCTAAGACCATTTCAAGGTGCTCTTCACCAGAATGTCAAAAGGTCGCTCACTTTACCAATGGGCTTTAGAGTCTAGTTTATAATTAAAATTTTGATACATTTTAGTCAGTTCCTACTTGTTTCGGCAGCACCATCAATAATCCCTGACAGTAGCGTCAACATAACGATCACCTTTGAACTTGTTTCGATGCGGTAATGTAACAGATGCCAAATCGGGTCTCAAATTACTCATCGCTATCTCATTGTGATACGCGCTGAAAAATCTGCACAGTGGGTCTTGATACCAACGGTCACCTTTGGCATCGAACCATGCAATATGCCCACCTTTGCTAGATTCTACAAGCACAGTAAATGGATTGGCTTCGATCTCTCTGTATGGCAAAGATTCCTGTCCAACAATAGGATCATCGGAAGCACTGATTGCAAGCAGAGGTGTTCTAATTTGTGGTAGCCTATTGGAGCTTGTACCATAACGGTAATACTCATAAGAGGTATTGAATCCAAACATTGGTGCGGTAAAATATTGGTCAAACTCTTCTAAGCGTTCAACCTTGTTCAGTTTCTCGGCGTAGAGTTTAGCCATGTATGGGTCTTTCTTTAAGGTTTCTAAGTTGTTGGCCACGAGCTTCACTAAGCTTTGGCAAAGCTTGCTGCCATAAATATAGTGTCCTATTAGTGACCGGTTTAAGTGGTAGGACGAATTACAAAGATCCCACGGATTACCCAACACAGCCGCGCATTCGATTTCACAGTCCGAACCTTCTTGACCCAAATAGTTCGCAGCTATGGAGGCACCTAGGGAAATTCCAACCAAGTAAAGCTTACGGTTCGGATAGAGGCCGCGCAGTTTTTTCACAAGATCCCGGATATCATCAGTCCAGGCGCCATTGTAGAGCTGTGGGGTGGTGATGCAGGACTCGCTGCATCCACGAGAATTCAAGACACACACCTCAAAAGAGTACTTCGTTGCTATTGTGTTGACTAAGCCGCGTACATACGCCTCGTGTGATCCGCCTGTAAGACCATGTAAAATGATCATCATGGGCTTCGCATCCTCAGAGCTCAACTGCTGCAGTTCCGATGGTGTAAAGAACCGATACCTGGGCTGGAGCTTTCTTGTCTGATTAGGCGGAACATAAGTGGGTTGTGGATCTTCTGGACTCCAAGGCTCGACTCTGAAATCCACAGCTGCTTCACCTCCGCCGGAACAATCCAAGACCAAGCGTTTGTAGTATACCTGATCAATATTTTCGAATGTTTTCAAGGCAGCAGCTACAGTCTGGAAATGCCCTGTGAAGTATAGTGGGTGGAATAGGGCCATAGCTCCGTGACTAAACTCTGGGCTATACTTGTCGATTAGCCCAAGAAGATCCAGCTTCCCACCAAACTTCAAAGGCTCTAGAGGCCTCGTTTGTCGAACATGCGAATAAAATGGTAAATTGTGAAGCAGCCAATCCATTCAAAGTTCCACAACAAACTTTGCTCGTCGCTATCGTGAAGGCACTGATTTTGGATGTGTTTGCATTTTTGCAACTTCGAGAGTGTAACTTTTCATCAGTAAAGATATATCATCAAGGCGCAAGGCGATGATCAAAAAGAGCCCAAAGATTCAAATAGTATACAAACAGTTCAATTCTAACTCCTTGCCGAGCACAATAAGTAAGAACTAACCCTGCTCACGGGCTCATTAATCGCTGTTAAGTTGATCGAGGATATCCAACCTCAAGGTGTTGCCCAATTAGCATAATAGTCATTTCATACCAAACTGGCACTTCTTACCAAACGAGAGGCACCTAGATTTCTCCTTTCACTTTATACCATACCACTCAGCCACCCAGCCAAGGCTCAACATGTGCGAATTCAAACGAGAGCATAAGAACGTGGCAGATGTACTTGAATGAATATTTTACTTGATAATCTTTCCATGCTGTGACAGCAAAGTATAAAGTGACGCAACTCGTCCTTGCCGGCAAACCCAATGAAGGATTGAAACCGAGATTACAATCCGACTGGATACCGAAACGCGGAAATAAGACTTCAGAATGCGAGTGCCTGCCACGAGGCATACTCCGCGATCTGTCGAAACTGGATTAGCCCAACTGCCTTACTTTTTTACCAAGTTGAAAGGTTGTCGGCCCATAGATTATACTAAATCCCTAGCTTGGGGCCAGATAAACTTGGTGCAAATCAAAATCAATTCATAAGTATGCTAATCCTTTAAAGGACAACTGAGTCGGCATACTTTTGCTTAAAACATTATGACCGTGCTGAAAAAAATGAGGATGAAGAGAACCACATACCACATCTTCGAGATGTTTAACATTGAAATGATTCCATGCTCACATTGTCGCTTGTGCGAGTAATCATGGGCTGGATAGCGAGCTCTTCACAGTCGTCCGGGAGCTCCATTGGGAATTAGGCAGATCATCACTATGGACGAGGAAGACAATCTAACAACCTAGACCGATAATAACCTCTCTCTATCCAAACTATATAACCAGGAGTTTTTAGCTTCGTTCGCAAAGTACCCTTCACGAGGCCTTGTATATGTTCAGATCTACACTGAGACAGACGGGCCTTCGGCCTAGTCAGTGTGGCCCTCGTTTTAATTTGATGCGCAGGTGGCAATCTTCGTACACTTTCTCCAATAACAGATCTCTGTTGCAGAAGGAGCAGTTGAAGAACGACAAACGAAAGAAGCTAGCGGAAAAAGACGCCAAGGTAGAAAGCACCTCCTCTCACGTGGAGAGAAGCTCTCACCAACGATCATCGCCAGTCGAAATGCATGCAAAACCTCGCAGGGTTGCTGATTATTCGTGGTTACCCAAGGCGCCTTCTACTGCCCACCTCAAACAGCGAGATGTCAGCACGGAAGTCTTATATTCTGGTTATAGGCCATTTTTCCTCAAGCCAAAAGAGTCAAAACAGAACGAAAACAGTCTTTATGAATTTGCTATGAAGTTAGAGAGCTTGGGCGAGCCGTTACCATGGATTTCGTCTGCGACAGGGGCAGAGTTTTACGGCGAATGGGATAGTGTCCCCACTGACGTGATAAAAAAGCTGCGACCATTTCATCCACCTGCTTTGAGTTCGGTGAATAACGACAAAGAAGCCCGTAAGGCTTCACATCGCGCTTTAGTGGAGCAGGAAAAGCAAAAACTAGTGAATCGGTCAAAAGGCCGTAAGAAGCCAATATTGAGACTTCTACAACTAGATAAACAATTTAAAGATCAGGATGGGGATTAAGTTAATGAGTAAAATGAACATAAATAAATAATGCATAGACATAATAAGATCGCAGTCATAATACCAGGTCGCAGGAACAAGTGGCGCTTGTGTGACTGTCGCTGTTGCAACTAGTGTCTGATTGCCTATGTCAAGATAGGTGATGTAATATCTCGCTGTGGTTGTTGTGGGGTTATTTTGTTAAACTTTTGGCTCTTAGCCTCTCCGATCTTAGGTGGGCACCATGTTAAGCCACATTTTGGCTACTCTTCGCCAAAAGGAGTAGTGGACAAGATGAGGCCGACCCTTTGGTATGTAATGAAGTTTAGTCTAATCCGTCGCGGGAAGAGTTTAAGAGTTGGCAGTATTGCTACTGTTCTTTACTGTACACTACAATTATGGGCAACACTTAAAAACGGCAACAGCTGTATCTTTCTTTTAAACTTTAAAATCTCGTAAATACATAAGCACAATCTATAACTCGGCTCTTATATTCAAATATTGGAGATAATGATACCAGGAGCACCAGGAACAGCATTTTCCAGTACCTTAGGAGCATTTGGAAGATCAACTTGTTCTCCGGTGAAGATGTCAGTACCAACCTTAGCGCCATGGGGAAACGAAATGAATTGGAACTCTTGACATTTGATTGCTTGGCAACATTTCTTCAAGGTGTCAACAGTGGACTTAACCACCGCAACTTCATCAAATGGCAACTCTCTGTTGAATACGGTCTCTACTGGCTCGGTAGCGAGACGTTGCTTTAGCATAGAGATAAATGGCATGGCACGCTTCATGTCCTTGGGGTTAACGGCCTCCTTGATCTTCTTATTATCATTGAGTCCTTGAGCTTCGAATAGCTTGCGTACCAGCTCAATATACTCACTCTGCCACGATGGGAACGATTCCGAAATGAGGATAGCTAACTTAGCGGGCTTAGTACTGTCAACATCTGCACCCTTGCCCTTCTTTTTTTTCAAAGCTTGTCCCTCACTTTCTCTAATACTCCTTTGTAGATCCTTGAGATACTCCAAAGCAGGCAAAGCGCCAACATCCAGAGGCTTGGAAGCACGAGGAAACTTGGCAATTTGAACTGATGTACTGTTGCCCAAAACTTCCCGCCATATGTATTCCGCGAAATGAGGAGCAATAGGGGCCAAAGCTAAGGCCTGCAATTCAATGTAACGCAAGACGAGTCCCTTATGCATAACACTGCATGATTCACGGTAGTAATCTCTGGCTGTTTGCAAGTCAAAAAGACCGACCTTCAAGGCGGCTTTGTAATTGGTGAGTTCATACTGCTTGTGGGTTTCTTCTATTAAGTGATTCATTTCATTCTCGAATGCAACATCGAAAAATCCAGTGACTTCTCCTGTGCGGAATTCAGAAATATTTTGCACGACCTCATCAGCCCACTCTTTCAAATTGAAAAGTCTCAAAATGGCAGCGTTGGCATTGGTTTCATCCAAGTTGGCATCCTCGACACTATCACCGGCATCGGCCAAAGCAATACGAGCTGCATCAGCACCAAACTTTTCGACAATTTGTTTTAGGGTCATAAAGTTACCAGTCGACTTGGACATCTTGGCGTTGTTCAACATCAAGTGACCATTAGCTCTTATGCCTCTTGGCCAGAATTTCTTGGGGAACAAAGCGACGTGAGTGTAAATGAAAAAGGTTAAATGGTTGGTAATCAAATCCTTACCAGACACGGATACATCCAAAGGATAGAAATATTCAAATTCTCTTCTTAGTCTCTGCAAACTTTCAAGAGGAATATCAGTCTCAACGTCATCAACGTGTTGGAAAACGTAATCAAAAACAGCTGGCGTCATTTGATGAGCCTCAATACCAAGCGGGCCCACTTCTTTACCGTAGTAGTCCTTGAAAAGCAAATGAGCAAACGTGTAGAACGCCTGGTAGATGGTGGAGTCAGAAAGTGACTCTACCAAGTATTTTTCATCCCAAGGGAGATTAGTTCCCAGACCGTAGGTACGACAGACTGCCCAATTCTTCAACCAGTCCAAGCAACCTTCAAAAGCATTTCTTACTTCTGGAGCAAATACCTCCATCTTGTCCAAACATTCGATTGCTTGAGCTTTCCAGCTTTCCTCACCATAATCCACGTACCATTGATCTTCAAGAGAGACGATACAGTCATCGCCAGAGCGAGACACGACCAAGGATTCCGGTTCATTGTATACGAAAGCTGCTTTAGCTGCGATCAAATCAGCCTTCAATTTGTTCTTGGCAACTTCCACCTTATCGCCCTTGTACTTACCATATATCATGGTACCATTGTAAAAGTCTTCTTTGTAGGCCAGCTTCTTCGCTTCAGCTAAAGGGACAGTGTCTTTTGGAGATTTGATCTTTAGTTCTTTGCAGATCGCCTCAGCTGTCACATCGCCGTACTTGTCGGAGTGAATGATTGGAACAATTTCATGTTTTACCCAATCGGCTTGAATTCCGTAGTACTCGGGTTTATTCTGCAAGTCCTTGGTGGTCATAAAGTCATCTGGAGAGTTGGAAGGAACGCAAGTGACAACACCGGTACCTTTGGTAGCAATTACGGTTTCCATTGGCAAAATTCTCAACTCCTTGTAAGCAGAGAGTGGAGCATGAATTTTAGAGCCAATGAAATCTTTACCGCTGATAGTAACGATGGGTTTATAACTGCCTCTGATGGGGGTCAACTTTTGGTATGACATGTTTTTGAAGGCTCTTTCGGTGGTAATGTAGTAGGAATCACCGGCATCAAAGACACCGTAGTCTATCTTAGGGGAAACGAAACAACATGTTTGGCCGTACATGGTTTCTGGTCTCAAAGTGGCGGCGACAAAGTAGAACTTTTTGGATCTGTCAATACCGTCCGCGGTATTGACAATCTTTTGCGCAGCCTCAGCGAATTCAGTAGCCTCAATTTTGATACCGACATACTCCTGAGGAGTGACACCTTCGCCAGACTGTCTGTCGTGGTCCATACAAGCTTGACCATCTTTTTCGGAATAAATGGTGTAGCGCTCACCGAACTTGATCTTACCTGCTTCCTTTAACTTGTTCATTTGCCATCTAATGAAGGCGTCGTAGTAAGGATTCATATCAGTCGTAATGAAAGAACGTCTCCAGTCGATGCGGGTACCGATGGAGGAACAGTCTTCTTGACACAGGGGTGGAAAGTATACTAGCCAATGCTGAGGGTCGGCAAATTTGACCACTTCTTCTCTTGGAATACCTAGTTGCAACATGATCTCAAACTGATACTTACCACGACCCTTCTTGGCAGCTGCCTTTGACTTTTTAGCTTTGAACTTTGTTACATCTTCGGACTCTGGCTTGACTTCTTCTTTGACATTCTCCGTTGCCTCTTCTTCGTCCTCGGCGGGAGCTTTGGCAAAATCTTCACCGAAAAGCTCCACTTCTCTCTTCAGCTTGTCAGCACAAGCCAGAATAGGCATACCAGTACAATGGAATCCCAAAGGAAACAAGGCTCTCTTGCCCTTCATTCTCTCAAACCCCACGGAAAACTCCACCTTGGAAAGAGTGAATAGATGGCCGGCATGTAGGACACCATTCATGTATGGATAAGCAATCGAAGACATAAACTTGGGGTACTTTTGTTGCAGGTCCTCTGGGTCCACACTTACATTTTCTTCTTCGATAGATGGCGCATCAATCTCAAACAAATGTTCATCAGCCCATATTTTTTGGTACTTCTTCTCAATGGCAATCAATGCATCTCTACGAGCAGTGTTTTCTAGCACCAAACCCTTGGCTTCGGTTTTAGAAGACATCTCAAGTTCGATGTGGATTTTTGCTGATTGTGGGAATGATTTTGATCAAGTTCTTTAAATTTAAAATTTTTTTGACTGGTAATTGAGTCAAAGACACATATTTCATACATATTAAAATTCAAACCATCGCTCAGTCTTAAGCTTGAAGAATGATGCGAAAGATTTCTAATTTACATGTAATAAGCGTTAGACAGCCAACAGTAGTTAGTACAACGTTAGAATTTCTTGGGCCCTCGCGATGTCTTATAGTATCACTGTGGTCACAAGCTATCACTAGTTTAATCGCCTAATCTTAAGTATCAAGGGCCTTTTGACCTCCAATTTGTGGTCGGTACAAATAATGTACTGTGTTCCACAACGCTGGTTTTTTGGACTCAGGAGGTTGGCAGCTAGGAACAGATTTGCCTTTTTATTTGCTATGTTGTAGAAAATTCAGAAAATAAGTATACAGTTTCCGCGAAATACGCCTGTGATTGGGCGATGAAACCGATGACTGTGGTCTTTAATTAGGGAAAAATTTCAACCAGTGCCACTATCAGGAAATCCATCAGTTGTCGCGACAGGCCATGCACGGACATGTCTATATATCGAAACCACGATCGCGCAGTTCGTGGATGGTCCATAGCCAGGTTGAAGTAGCGTGATCTAGGTTATTGGCCACATAACTGGGTTTAGATTCCCTGCCTCCTGTGGTAAGATACTTCCCATTATCCCATTCGCGCTCAAATTGTGTGGATAGTGCGGCTCTCAGTGTTGCTACCGAACCTTGTTCATTGGAAACGCCTAAAAAGAATCCCACCAGCTGGAAAAAGAACCAGAAAAAGATTCCGACTATGGGTAGTCTCGTCCAGTAGCTGAATAAGTTTGTCTTCATGACTAAGCCGGGGTGTACGGACATGCAAAGCACATTGGGATGTTTGATCGCCAACATTTTGGCAAACTGAATAGATGCAGTTTTGGCCATTGCGTAACGTAGCCAGGTAAATAGAATATTGGGCCAGTAATTAAAGCTTTGAGAAAGGCTAAAGTACTGTACCTCCAGGTTGTGCCCTATTGACGATACAGAAATGATTCTTCCACGGCACCGTTCAACGCTGGGCAAGAGTAGCATCGTCAAAAGAAAGTGGGCCACATAGTTAGTCTGTAACTGGATTTCGAAATCATCCTCTGTTATACTGTAAGGAAGGGCCATCACACCAGCATTATTGATGAGAACGTCAAGCGTAGTCTCTAAACTTCGGAACGTCTTGGCAGCCTTTTCGACCGTCGTCAATTGTGTCAAATCCAGCGACAAAAATTTAAGCTCACCCACCGGGTGTCTTTCTCCGGGATCCAGCTTCTGTATTCGAGCCTTGGCCTCTTTCTTTATATCTTTCAAAGCTCGAGATACTCGGTTAGCGTTTCGTCCGGCAACATAAACGGCAAAGCCATGCATGTAAAGATGTAAAACCGTGTACCATCCAATACCACTGTTTCCACCTGTCACTAGAGCTACTTTCCGGTTCTTGCGAGGGTTGTAATAGGGTAGCGAACCGAGATCCCAATCCGTCATCGAGACGATAACTAGTCTTAGAGACCCGAAAACTGTTGTTCAACAGAACAGTCTAGCCTTTACACAAATATTTCTCACTCTTTTTGAGAGCACACGCATACGCTTGCAATCCAAGCTGCTCTTAAAAGAAAGGTTCTTATCGCGCTTGAGTGTCTTCTAAGATTTTCTCATCGAAGTTGAATTCGTATAATGAATTTCATTATCTCTACTGTTAATGATAGAGTACGGCTGTTTGCTCACGGAATGACTTCAAAACAGGAAGGCGTATTCTGGAAACAATCTGAGCTCTTGCTACAAACGAAGATCTTCAATTTGTTGCGTTAACTGAAACCCACTGCCTCATACCGTAAAGCCAAGTTCCCAATGGATTTTATATCTTTGTTTCACTACCAATCTTCCTAACACTGGAAAGGACTTGAAGGATAACTGATACCCAAATATTCTTACCAGCATATCCGTAAACTTCTACTACGGCCGGCTTGTATCGTTTTTAATCCTAAGGAATGTGTCCGTGGTTATCCAAAGCTGACAATATGTCAAAACCTCGAGTAGAAGCAGATAAAGAAAGTGCCAAACTACTTGACTCTGAGCCTTTCGAATCCCAGCATGGAATGGTGCCAGCAATATATGTGTGTGTGTGTGTGTCTTGCTGCATCATATGTCAAAGAGAGGACAGGTGAGGAATATACATCATTCTGTACTAATTCGACATCATTCAAGAAATGCACTAGCGCTGGGTTTAGTCATTAGTTGAGAACTTGAAGCGACGGTTCAAGATGGACTTCGAAGAGCTCAGCTTCAAACTCAAACCTCTTTTCGAAGATGAATTTGCTTCAAGAATAAGTAAGGATCCTAGTCTGGTGACGCATGCAGTAGCATCACTTTCGGACCTAGCAGTACGACTTCGAGAACCTCGCAATCGAGACATTCTCCGGGAATCTGGCATTTTACAGCAGTTGCTCAATCTCTTAAGTCAAGTGTTAGATGGCAGCTACTCCAGCTCGAGCGTCATGCAGGTGGGTGGGGAGATCGTACGCTGCCTGGCTAACTGTCTCGCAGACAATGACCATAATCGAACCTTCTTTATGTCACACATATTTACTCCTACAGCAACCCTGCGAGAGCAATTCCGCTCAATTTTCAAGTTCAAGGACCAGGAAGGCGCCCAAGTTGATGTTGATGTCAAATTTTATCTCACAGCGTTGGTTAAGAATCTTTGTTTGGGAAACGAGGAATACACGAGAAAATGCTCTTCGGAGTTCACTGGCGTTCTCTTCGAGGTACTTGAACATAAGCACGAGAACAGTGAAAGGGGTATAGAACTTGTGATTATGACCGCCGATCTCCTCTCCGATTTTGTTGAAAGCTCGCACCAGAGTGTTGCCGTGGGGCAATTAGCGCAATTGGCCAAGTTGCTCAATGAAACAGCACCGAAAGCCGGGTTCGTTGTAAATCCGAATGAAGAAGAAGAGGATGAGGATGAGGATGCATACGGAGAATTAGTGCAGCTGCTGTCTGACATAATTGAAAAAGTAGTTTCCAGGAACGAAGTCCTTGACTTTTCAAATGAAAGTGTGACACATCAGCTCCAGGCACGACTACTCGAAGCTTTGTCGACCCTGGAAGTCAAAGAAAGCTTAGAAAATAAACTTATAATTCTACGCAGGCTAGTGTCGATTATAGGGCATGTTTCAGCTAGTAGGTCGAATTCAAATTTACAAGATCGACAACTGTGCTACAAGGTTCTTACAACGGATTACAAAAGTTATGCCGTAGCGGCTGCCTTAATTGTACTCTCCAACTCCGTCTCTTCGCGTGACGCCGCCAATGATGTAAGTCGCCAGATAACGCTAAGTTCGCTTATTAGACGTTGCCAAGCTTTTCAAGACCCTATGCAGTTTCAAGGCTTGTTGGATCTTCTGAAAAAATTGATCAATTTGTCAAATGCCCATGAGCTAACGGATGCTGACTTGTCACTCTTATACTTGGAGCTGAAGACGTGCCATGACCAATGCCAGTATTTCCAAAGCCTTTCACCTCTATTAGACTCTCTTTTGATCAAACTTGCTGCTGTTTTGCCAGGCACTGTGCTGCGAGGTGCCCTTGATCAAAATGAAAATTTCAAGACCGTGATTTGCGAGCGGGGTGGCACGGCAGCTTGCTTGCTTGTTGATAAGCTTGCCGTTCAAAAACGCCAAGAGGATGAAGACATTTTATCCAAACTGTGGAATTCAATTTTCCAGTTCAAAGACACTTCGACTACGAACCCAGGAGAGCTATCATCATCTTTTTTCTTCCAGTTGATGAAAACTCTCGGAATTTATCTGCGTTCAAGGGATGTCAATCTTCCAAATTCGTTATTTGTTTCTCACTGCAATCAGATTTCCCAGCTGTTGCACGCTGTGGAACCTTTGAAAGGTAAACAAGATTCAGCAAGTCTAAGTATTCACAACAATGCGCGTTTCGTTGCTGGAATGACCATAAACATACTCAAAGATAAAGTACTAACAACCGAGGAGATCCAATTGAGGGACTCGGCCACTAAGTTGTTGGTACCAGAGTCGTGACGTCGTTAATCGTTATATACGAATATAGCGTGTGCCAGATAATTAACAGGTCCCCATCTCATGGGGTCTATCCACTCCATCAATACTGAATATTCATCACGACCGTGGGTCATAAAGTTTTTCCCGTAGTCTCAGTAGCACTCTTATCGAGATGTCCTTGGGTGATGATGAATCATGCCAATTGTTGGGACCCGTTTCGTTATTTATTCAGTCAGCGATGGGACTGCTAGCCATTGGTGGTGTCTTGCTTAAGCGACGCTATGAGACCCCTAAGAGGCGATGGAGAGTATGGCTGTTTGACATTGGAAAGCAAGTGTTAGGCTCATTGATCTTACATTTCTTGAATGTTGGGATCAGTATTTTGAAGCAAGATGATCAGAGTTCCATCAAACAGCTGTTGTATCAAGACGACGGCGATGACTCGGGGGGCGACCAATGCGATTGGTACTTCCTCAACTTACTCATGGACACGACCCTTGGTACGCTCGTGCTGTGGTGGTTTTTAACGATGCTGGAGCGTGGATTTGCCAAGCTAGGGGTAGAAGGCATTGAAAGCGGGAACTATTACGCAGAGGATGTGAAGCCGCCGGCAGGTGAGGATAATGATGACCGAGAACGATTTTCTTCGCACGACAGCTTCAGTCCGCCCCAACACCGCGAACCGCTATTTAGTGCTTTTTTGAAGCAACTTGCGGTCTACGTATGTGGACTGTCACTGACGAAATTGTGCGTATTTTTCATTTTAACATATTTCGAAGTGGTGGCAGTGTGGTTTGCGGACTTGGCGCTTGGATGGTCGAACCCATGGCCCAATTTTCAAGTGTTTCTCGTGATGTTTGTCTTTCCAGTGTTGCTCAATTGTTTCCAGTACTTTTGCGTTGACAGTATAATAAAACTACACCCCAAGACAATGTCTTCCAGCGAACGTGAGAATTTCGAGTATATCTACAACGACCCGGATAACGCGATCGGCCGGAAGCGTCGAAAGAACGACTATGGTGCTACCTGCTGAATGTTTTTTTTTTCAGTTCCCGAGAAATGCTTTATTATATTGTGGGTAATAGATAGAAGTTTTGAAACATACGGCTTCACATTCTTAACCGTGGCCGAAACCAAATCAGATCAATCGACACAGTGTCAATTCCACCGTTCAAGGACCATAGTTACTTGTTACCGTTAATTTTTTTTTTTTTTTTTGGATGATTAAATCGTGTCCGCGAAATGGGCGAAGTCTGAATACGCTTCGAGTATGCCCTGCTGCAGTTGAGAGGATGTTTTCAAACTAACTTAAGTACATTGCGATCGTCAACCCACGGCTGCTAAGGCAGCGTCACAACAAATTTAGGGTCGTTTTTGTCCATATGCCAGACATTAATTTTTTTCGCGGCTCAAGCACATTTTTCGTGGAATTCGCGACTGACCCTAACATTCGCACACGATGGCAGCACAAACGTTCGCTAGGGAAACGAGCAAGCGGACTCATATTGAGATCAAATATTTCGCGTCTGGCGTGGGATGGTTTCAAGTCACTGTGATCTCCGCGATGTAGGCAGATATTTTGCCAGAGTATAAGAATCAGCTAAAATTCTGGAAGGCTTCTTCAAAGCTGCTGGTATTTCGTGGGTTTGTTTTCAGCGTTAATTATTGCAACTAGCCAAACAGCGTTCAGGTTACAGATTCAAATCTTTGAGCCATCTAAACAGGTCTCGTCCATTCATTCAACCGCAGTTTCTGTTCGCTCGTTCAACATCTGTTTGTCGCATTTCATTTCCCACCTTTAGTCACTCTTTGCGCCATGAGATTTTCCTGCATTGCCCAAACGCTAGGTGCGGCCTGTGGCCTGGCTTCTGCTTACCAATACTCCAATGAAACGGTTACGACCTTGGCTCCTAGCACCGAAACTGCAGCCCTTACGGAAACCATCGAATACACCAGCGATGGTTCCGACATTACCTCCACGGTCACTCTTCTAACTACAATCACCTTGAGTGGGAACAGCGCAATCTCCTCGGGTGCCGCTCCGTCGGCCGCGGTCGTCACTGTTGATGCCGGCAATAACAAAGGCGCCGGCGCTGTGTCTGCTAGCAGTGAATTGACCTCAACTTCTGAGGTCTGGTCCACCATTACTTCAACCTTGTATACGACAGAATACTTCACCCTGTCCAACAGCCAAGTTTCCCAAACTGTGAGTGCCTACGAAAAGCAAATCATCGTAGGGACCTCTGTGCCTTCTTGTACCCCCCAGACTGTTACCGTAACACAGCAGGAAACTCAGACCCAATACGTTACCGTCACCGCTGGCCCATCAAGTGCCTACTGGAGTCCATCCTCGGCTGCTTTTTACAACAGCACTAGCATTCAAAATTGAGTCCAGGAGGTCGAATGTTCTCCGCGAACTATGAGAACCGTACAAACCTATCTGGCCATTGAATCGGTCGTAAGCATGTCTTGGTGTCAGATGCCGGCTGCGTGTATCTAATCTCTTCCATATTGACGGCTAGGTACTCTATATACTAAACTAACGACAATCATGAGCTACTGACGGTCTGACAAAGAAAGTGAATTTAGATATATAGCAGTAGATGCGCAACAAATACGACACGTACTTGGGAAGTTTGCATTTCCTCTGCGATACCTAACAACAACGTTAAAAATGGTCCATCAAGTTGAAGAAAACAGAACGTTTATCGTGCTCCGAGAATAGCAGAGGTGGAATAAATCTCATCCTTTCAAACTTCCCACTCAGTTGAACGTTCCTCTATGCTAAGTTTGGTATAATGGTAATTAAAACGTTGGTATAGCCTCATTAGGTTCAATATATGGTCACTAATTACTTTGAAGCAAGTCTGTGGTTACCGCAGCTCCCCTCAAACTTGAAGCCAGGCTACTACATCTACTTTTGCCTCAAACCCAATGTGTGTAGATCCTGCTATGTGTGTACAGTTTTAACGTTGTGAGCTCATCATCACATCACTGACCTCAGTCTACGACATCCGAGAACAAAACACACAGCAGAGCATAGTACAGTGAATAGGCAAGCAGTATCAGCACCAAACCTTGAGCCCGACAGGAACAACGCAATAAGAGATACCCTTTGTGATTTTAAATGACGCTCAGCTATTGTACTAGTCGATCATCATATAGGACCTGACCTATGACAAATAGGACAAAAGTGTGTGAAATGGTAGCCATGAAAGTTGCAAGTCAGCGCCATACCAAAATAGAAGTCTAAGAAACTTACCACCCTAAGCCATTGAACTGACAAAAGTTACTGGTTCATTAATGCTACCAGGCAACAAATGTGTTGTTGAGCAGTGAAAGGGAAACCACCTTCGTGGTGGCGCCGAGAGCTTGTGAAAATACGCCGTGCCTCAAATATCATATTTTCGTTTTCTGTCGATGTTGTTAAGTAACAATCAACCTATTTTCCAACTTGGACAAATATCTCTGAATAACACTACAGCGAAATCTGCTGCTGCTGGCCCACCACTCTGACCGCGTTAATACTACTGGATGTTTGAAGTACGGAAATAAATGTTTCAAGGTATCCAGAAGGTGGATCTACGTGTTATAAGGCTGGATCGTTAATGATCTGCTGTGAACTTCATAGCTATGGCCATTGGTGAGCTCAACCGAAATAGTTTGCAGTCCGAGATAATATATAATCGGACACTATCGATTTGGAAAACAAAGCTTTTACAATGACGGACAACAGCTGGGGACTGAGTGCGAAAGCCTCTGGCTGTTTTGGTGGGCCTTGAGACTGCACTGCACATAAGCTTTAGAAGGAGTACGTTACAACGTCAACACCGATTTGGAAACAGTGCTTCCGACATTTCCAGCATGATCAAATAGAATATCATCTTCGCAGACCAAAGAAAATAGATGTGCTATGATAATTGATCATAATGCCAGTGAAGAGAGAATCAAACTTGAGATAGTTGTTAATGATGCAATCGAGGTCTTGGTGAGTTTGTCTTGTGCTCGACTACCTACTCCGCAGCTTGAACTTACTTCCACACTGCAAAAAGACGAGTATGTCGAAGACTGCGGAAGGGAATTCCACGGTTGGGTAATTCACTACCATCTCATTGATGGTGGGCGAGAAAAGATTCTGGTCCATTTGGATTCACCTGATGTCCTTTGTCCTATTTCGCAAGAAATTGCGAAGGCTGTCTTATTAACACACAATATTGATTTGAGTGATTCAACGCTGTCGATAATGTATTCTCACCCGAAACCCGTGGAACTTATCCTTCGCAAGGCCTCTACTTTAGATGAAGTGTCTGCGTTTCTAAGCCTGTCGATCTGCAATCACCTTCAGACAGGCACTCACCATGTAAGCTTGTAGCGATATCAAGAAGGTGCTAAGCCCTTGCGAACAGAAGACTCCTGCTTAAAATATAGCGCACATTAGAGTTGGAAATTTTGATTATATCCTCATTAGTAACGTGTGGGGATTAGATCATGGCCAACTTATTTTAAAATTTGCTTTCTGGATTTAAAGTATAGTTCCACCACTAGGTGTTGGTATTCATTGTCTGCAAATCTCAGAATGTTATGCATGGTTGCCATCAACAACCCAGAGCACTCTTTGGCCTTATCAATACATATAAGAACCTTTGACAATAATAACAAGCATTGCGCTAATAAATAACCATTCTCTACCACCGTTGCACAATCAATGATTTTGATTAATATCGATAGACATCTTACTTCTAGGCCACATCGGATCATTATTCGACACTTGATCAGATTAAACCTTAATTCATTTTCAATGTCAGTGTGGTCATTCTGACAACTGTGTATTATTGCGTTAACGAGCTTCATTGCTTCGTCACTATCACCAACTTCAATAAGCTGTTCTACTCTCCGCTCTTCTAGGTCTCTTCTTTGGCGGTAGTTCAGGTGCGGCGTATTCAATTCGGTGGCCACATCTCTGCTCGAGTCCAGCTCCTCGGCGATATAATCTTGGATCGTCTGATCTTTTGGCTTATTTAGACCTTGCGCGGATATGCTTTGATATAAGTTACTGAGAGCAGATGATCCCAAATATTTCCAAACATTTGCATTGTGTGCCGCTAATAGCGAAAATTGCAGGCTATTTGATATCGTCTGCACTGCCAATAGAGTAGATTTGAACGTTGCTTCTAGAATTCGGGAAACAGACCCCGTGTTATGCATTTCCCATAATGTTTCATACCGGTATCCCATTTCAAATACAAGAGGACTTTGATCTCCAGGACATGTCTTCAAATTATTGACAATTTGCATAGCGGTAACGTGGAATCTCTTGGCCAAGTTAGGATACTTGTCGATAAATTCGAAGACCCACATAAGTATGAGATGTAGTGTTTCCGTATCTTTGTTTTCCCTGGCCACAGACATAGCTTCTTCGAATGTTTTCACAGCAGCCTCACTCTCATTGAAATGCGAGTGGAAGGAGGCAAGGGATAGTAATGACAAATGGAAGTTTGGCTCACTATTCTGGCCCAACATATAATCAAAGTATCTGTACAACGAGCTTAGAAATGTTTCGTAACGTTGCTCGGTCAGATCTTCCATCCCCTTTAGAATATGAACAGAGGGGAACCGAGACATATCTTCGAGAGACATGCTCTCTATAATCTGTCGCATGTGCTGTCGCAGTCTCTTGTTCCCCCGTACCATTCGTTCCGATTCTTCTGTGACCATAGCCTGAAAATGGTCTTTCGATATCATTAGAAGTGTGCCATTCTCAATTTTCATCAACTCCGAGTATCTTTCGTATACCCCAGCGTCGCGAAAGTCTTCTAGGCCGCTAACGCCGTCATCCTCGTTTTCTAAAACAAATGACATTAGCGGATCGAGCTTTGGTAGTTCGTTACCTATAAGCCCCCCAATCTCGATATTTTCTTCGAATTCTTGCAAATAGCTTTGTAATCCTCTCCATAACTTTTCTGAGTCTTCGAAGTTCTGAATCTTATGCTTTGTTATGCAGCGACTCACATAACTCCCAAGCAAACTGCCTTTAGTCAATTGTCTCTTAAATAGTGCCTTTTTGTCCTCTGTCAACATATCTCTATAAGAGTTTTTGACACAGTGTATCTCAAGTGTATCCAGTAGCCTTGCAACTCCATTTACGGTAGAGATAGATCTCAAAGTAGTCACTAATTTGCGTGATGCCTGCTTATACCCATCCCGCACCAGGAAGATTACAAGGTCAGATAAAATTGGTGATAGAGCTGGTGGACACTCAGATGCTCGAATACTATCAAATGGAGTGTACGCGAGTTCCTTGAGATTGACTGGTGGAATCAAGTACATTAATGTTTGGGGGCCCAAATCTTCAACCTGTAAACAGAAAAAGGTGATCAAAATTAAGATAGACACATCGTGAGGCGTTAGAATATTTGTCACAATTACTGTTAACTCCGGGTCCATCATTGGCCCTTCTGTGGTTTGGTTTGGCTAAAATTTAACCACTGATATAAATTGTGTCAAGTTAATATTCAATTATGTACGACAACACTAACAACAATGGAGCAGAACTACCTAAACAACTTTTGAATCCTCTTCAATTAACTCAAACTTCATGTACCACCAATAGCTCTATTCTAAATATCTATATGATGTAAGGACCATAGCAAATTCTGGCAGTCTTCCGGGTACGGGAAGCAGAATCCTGAGTCTCTTTTTGGTGTCATTAACTTCCATGATGAGCGCAAAGCCTAATATTGGACTGTTCGAAACTATGTCACCAGAAGCCTTTCTTGGAGCATAACTGATCGCAACCATCGCATGCTGCAGATTGCTAGCGTTGATGTCAACGGGTATAAGGTTCTGGTTTGTCGGCGAATTTGTGTTTAAAGTACTGGTAGGTTGCCATACAGTAAGCATGTCGAAGTCTGCCCCGATAGTGTAGGGGCTCAAAACCATCTTAGAATCCCCATAGAAGTATTCTCTGATGGCACTGGTTTGTAAAGCTCGTTTGAAAACGTCATCGGTCTTGACGATTCCACTGGAGGTGGGAAGTCGTACGATCGTCAGAGATTCAACTGGCAAGACCTCATTTAGCTTCATAGCAATTGAGTCATCATGTCCGCAAACAATGATGGCATTGACCTTAAATAGGGAAACGATTTCTTTAATCTTTGTCAAATCGCCGTCCAATTGTTCCAATGCAGGAGTATCGATTATAAGCCCAGAACGACGAACAATTGCATCACTAGCTAATCGAGAATGAATTGTGTCTGCAAGACTCTGTACTGTGTTCATGTACAGACCTCTATTTTCTGAAATGTGTTCCAGACCGAAATTTTTGACTAAAGGTTGTTTGCTGTGTAATTTAGTAGCACCACTTGTCATACTTTGACCCCAAGTGTTGTAGCTAACATCTAGCAAATCAGAGATAGGCGTGGCAGTCAAGCATCCCGGAGGAGAATAAATGCACTCTTGAGGGTCAAGATTGACCATCAGTGGTTGGTAAGACTTGATTTTGAGGGCATACGCGCATAAAATCTTGGCAAGGCTTGTTTTGCCCGTGCACGATTCGCCGACTATAAGCACACGCGGGCCATCGAAACTTGATACTCGCAGTTTTTCCAGGGCAAAATGTACGTTGTAAATATATTTCATATTGGTATCATCAGACATTGATTGACTGGTCAACTCTGGGGAAATCCATTCGATTTCACTATCCTCAACAGCGTAGATGGCCAGATTTGTTGGCCCAAATAAGTACGGTACATCTAGAGATAATTCGGTTCCGAAGATCTCTGCTATGCCAGATAGTTGTTTAATTGTTAGCTTGGAGCCCTGAGGAATCTGAACTCTCCATTCACTGCCAGCCGGTACTGAGACAATCTGTGGTTTGTTTGAGCTTTCTTCAATATTTGGGGCTGCCAGATAGTCTGTAAGACCCGGTAATGAGGCCATAACTTCAAGTTTGGAGAAGCCCTTCGTTGGTTGTTAAGTTTTTGTTTTAATTTATGATAACTAACTAGATATTTAATCTTATTGTCACGATAGTAAAGAACATTGTCTGTTCCTACCCATATATTGGATCATACTGAAAGGGTTCTATAACAACGATATATCAAATCTGTCTTTCGCGACCCTTCGCTACATACTTAGAATCAGCTCTCAAAGCCCATTCAGTCCAGCTGCCGTCATACAACCTTACATTGTGGATGCCAGCACGTTCCAAAGCGGTTTTGATGATTACACCGGTTACCCCAGTGCCACACATAGCTATTGTAGGTTTAGAGTTATCAAAGGTGCACTTGGCCTCGGAAAAGTAGTTCTGTAGTTTTTGGAGGGCTCTTTCTGGATCGTCCTCAAACAGTCCGTCATTCAGAACAGCTGTAAAGGGCAGAGGCTGCGATCCAGGAATGTGGCCGCTTGCTAGACCAGGTCTGGGCTCTGGAGCGTCACCTGTGAAACGGGGTAAAGCGCGCGCATCAAAAACGTTGAACTTGCGCTGCAAATCCCCTGCCTCCACTAGTTTGAAAAGCTCCTCATAGGTCACCACATCTTTTGACGTTAAATCTTGGAAGGATTCATAATGAGAAGGCGTGAGCGTAGATAAAGTGGTTCGAGGGGATGTTTCGAGTGGAAAGCCTTGCCTCTTATAAGCTGGAAAATTATTAAGCAAATAAACCGATTGATGACCGAATACTGCCAATGTCCAGGCACATCTGGGGGCAGAAAAGTTACCAATGCGGTCATAGACAATGAGAATATCAGATGGTAAGAAACCCAACTCGCTCATTTTGACATTGAAGGTATTAAGGTTGGGCAACATATGAGGAAATTGGGAATTGTGGTCTTTGATGTCATCAATATCGAAATAGACAGCATTGGCAATCCTTTCAATATCCATGAATTCTTTCTTCCCATTTTTACCGGTGTTGGGCATATACCAGGTAGAGTCAATGGGAATGACCCGTCTGGCCGTTTCTTTCTTAGCTAGTTCCACAAAAGCTTTAGGGCTTATTAGCTTGTAAAGGGACATGTCGGCACGAAAAGAAACTGAATCTCTATTTCTGGCGTTGAAGACTTGAATAAAATGCCAGCTCAATGACAAATGAAAGGTGGTAGGGGTGATACTTCAAAAACTCCCCTTTCAAATGTAAAGTTGGCTCGATCACGAGGGAACAGCACTTAGAGAACTTAGATATACAATACGTCAATACGATGCTTCGTTTTAAAGACACCGAAATGACTTTTCTTTATTTGAATGTTTGTCAATTTTCGGGTCAGAAGTAAGAGGCAATCCTCTTCATTAGAACCAAGTTAAGTGAAAATCAACGGTGACTCAACCACCATTTCAACTGGCAAAGTTAAGTAGCATTTTTATCTCATCAACTGCTCTTAAATAGGACTGGGACTGGAAAAATGAATGTCTCAAAGGCTTAAATGTGAAATGCCTTTTTTACGAGGTTTTTGACAGAGACTACGATCTGCATAAATTAGCAGATGGGCCAAAAGGTTTGGTACGTGCTCCAAAATGAGGGTCAAATTGCAAAACCTGCATTTTCTACACTTATATAAGCGTATGCTGTGCTTTATGTTGGCTCGTAGGCCATATGTTGGGACCCAGCCCTCGTTGACAAGACTACGAAAAAAAAACACAGCTATTCTTATAACTGGAGCCTGTCCAGCAATGCCTCCTCTAAAGCTGACTTGCTAACGCTCAAATTGGATAATTCACTTAGGGACGACTCCGTTCCCTTGGTGTCTCCCGGAACTTTTTGATTCAAAATTTGTGATGAACGCAAATTGTAGAGTCCCTCCGGGGTGGCAGTATTGCCGCGCTCTCTTGGATTTATATAGCTGCGTTCACTGTCATCGTGATCATCACGTTCTCTGGGTTCGTATGTGCCATCGCGTGAAACATTAGAGTTCACTGTCAATCCGCGAGTTTTCGTCTCTATTTCTTGTTCCAGCAATTTCAGATGCTTGGCAAAGAGCCTGTAGCTTCGCTTACGCAAAAAGTACTCTGGAGCCTGGAACTCTCGGCTCAATTTTGTCCAATCGATGCTCTTCTTACTGTCGCCAAACTTTGAAATGGTTGCCCAAAGCTTCTTATCCTTTTCTAAGTCCCAATGAAACTTTGGTGGATCAATAAAGCCATCTCTGGCCTTACCAGTAATTTTGACGTAGACAATGGTGTTTCCTGCGTTCATTTGTTCAATTTGATCAATTATATGCCCTTTATTGAAATGGAATTGAAATGGAGTTGAAAAGTTGGTCACTTAAACAAAACTTTATTAGCTATTAGAGAACGCCGGGCAAAATTAAGGGAAGATGACGCGATGAGCAACCCCCTCAACTCAAGTATTTCAACATCGAGTCTTTCAGAGCATTTAATACACCTTCAAATAAATTCATTCGACTCCTATCAGGATGCTCCTACTCAATTTGATCGTGCTCGTGGAAACAGCCTTCCTGATCGCCATTTTGAGACAGTACCAGTCATCAGAGTATATGGCTCGTTAGCAAGTGGCCAAAATGTTCTCTGTCACATCCATGGGATTTTTCCTTACATTTACATCGCATACGATGGTAGGGAACACGACTCTTCGAAAACGATGGGCACTAGAGCTGCCAGCCTACATATGAAGATAGAAAAGAAACTAAAAGAAGTTTATGCTCGCAAACCCAATATAGAATCTTCAAAGGGAAGTGAAAATAGTCACCATGATAAAGATTTGAAGTATGTCGCTGACGTTAGTCTTGTACGAGCCGTGAATTTTTATGGTTATCACCGTGGATACTCTGCATTTTACAAGATATCGTTGCTCAGGCAGTCGGCGACAAGAAAATTATCCGAGCTCTTGCGAGATGGCAAGGTTTCTGGCAGTAAATGTCAAGTTTTTGAAGCTCATATACCCTACCTACTACAATTCTCCACCGATTATAACCTATTCGGTTGTTCATGGCTACGCCTGCATAAGTGCTATTTCCGCACCCCTCTCTTTAATACAGACTATGGCCAAGATACGCTTTTGCTAAACGAAGCACTGAACGAGTTTCTAGCTAAATTTCATACAGATGATCATTGTACAAGTTCTCTTCGAAGAGTGGGCAGGGGTCTTCTGGAAATTGACATTATACCGCAGTTTATTCAAAATCGTGAGGAAATCACGTACAGAGACCTTCACAGCTTGTTATTCGAAAGTTCGCAATATGACAAGGAGGAAACGCTCTTCATTCCTTCAACAAAGGAGTTGTGGAACCAGACATGCTTGCTACGCAATGAATTTAGTTTGGGAAACTACAAACGGCCAGTCGAAGTAGTGAGGACAGAAAAACCACAAACATGGCAAAGTCATGAGGAAAATATAGCTTTTCTACGAAGAGCCAGGGAGCGTATGTCTCTCCGTAACAAGACAATTTCAAAAAGCCATAAATTTGCAGTCGAAGAACTGGCATTGCCTAACCTCGCTATAACTTTTTTGTGGCCCACAACGGGCGCAACGAAACAAACTGACTTGAACGTGACGAACATGGAAGGCGAATCCTCTATTGAGGTCCCCATTTCGCCAAACTCTCCTAGAAGTGATGGGTCGGAATCTCCATTAACCTCAGATTCTCCCAAAAATTCAAATATATTATCAAGTCAGGATGAGCGCGAGCAAAACATTGGCTATCCCGATCTTCATACCAGCGAAAAACGCATAGTTAGCCAGGAATTACAGGCTTCAAGTGATTCTGGAGAGCCTCAAGCGGCTATTTCTGCTTTTAATGACAAAATTTTAACACAAGCGATGACCCAAAAACGAACATACAGCCATACAGCCTCAGATACTTCTGAGCGAGACAAGATTCGAAAAATTGTGCGCTCGGGTTGTACTATAGCGAACTCTGACGACTCTTATCGGTACACGCAATTCCCCCTCCGGTATAGTTCAATTTTATCCGATCTTGAGCGCTTGGGCCATCCCAAGATTGATTACAGAGACCCATACTTCAAGGAACCCGAGGACCTGAAAAAGAAAGGTTATACTTATTCAGGGCGAAAATTCAGCTTGCGGTCAACGCATTTGAGTTGCAGGAAGCCAGTTGACTTTGGTGGTGAGTTTCAGCAACTCGGTCAAAAGTTCATCCATGCCGCTAATGACTCGACCTGGAAGTATGCTCCAACCCCACCAAATTACTGGTGCGTGAAATCTTACGCCACGGCAAAAGCTCGTAAATTTCGCTCACAGATTGTGTTTCAAACTTTAAGCAATGAGTTTGGTTACAAATTTAAGAGTGGAAATTCTTTAAGAAGCATGTCCACGGGTAATCATTTGAAACTTTCTCATTTAACCATAGAAGTGTTCTGCACCACTAGAGGGAGCTTATTGCCGGATCCTGCTATTGATCCTGTAACTTTGATTTTTTGGAAAGTTGAACCCGGTTCATTTTCAGTTGATATTGGCATCTCTCAAGAAGGTTTGATGGCTTTTTCTAATGAAAACGACCACTTATCGTCTCTCTCTTCCAACCTGATTGAAGCAGCAAAACCAACCCCCGTGGCCATATACTCTTCAGAGGATGAAATGCTCCAGGGCTTAGTAGATCTAGTTCTACTTCTTGATCCTGACATCCTATCAGGTTTTGAGGTCCACTCAAGTTCGTGGGGGTACGTAATTGATAGATGCAATCTGGCTTACGATCGTGACTTCTGCGAGGAAATAGCTAGAGTGGAAGAGAATCAATTCAACAAAAAAAAAGATGTATGGGGATATTCACACGATTCTGGTATCCGCATTGCTGGCCGACATGTGTTAAACATATGGCGGCTTATGAGATCTAGCTTGAACCTCTTGAAGTATACTTTGGAGAACATTTGTTTCCATACTTTACATGAAAGGCTTGCCCATTTCCCTCCATCACTATTAACCAGGTTATGGATAACCAATAATGACGCCACCTCGCTGATTACATTGTTGAATTATTGGAAGAAGAGAACGGAAATTAACTTAAGGTTATTGGAAAGTCAACAAACTATCAATCAGACTGTGGAACAGGCAAGATTGATAGGCGTTGACTTCTATTCCGTTATATCCCGCGGCTCCCAGTTCAAGGTAGAGTCTGTATTGATCCGATTGTGCAAATCTGAACATTACTTAGCCTTGTCTCCCAGTAAATCACAAGTTAGAAAGCAGAAGGCTCTAGAATGCATTCCACTGGTAATGGAACCAGAGTCTGCATTTTATAAAAGTCCACTAGTAGTGTTGGACTTTCAATCATTGTACCCCTCCATCATGATAGGATATAACTACTGTTATTCAACTATTCTAGGTCGGGTCCAAGAGCTCAAATTAAACGGCACTGAGGTAGGTGCCAGCGACATCAATATTCCAAGAGGACTAATAGAAGAGGTAGCCGACCATCTTTCAATCTCTCCTAATGGAGTGGTATACATGGGAGACACCGTAAGAAGGTCAATGCTTGCAAAAATGTTGGCTGATATCCTTCATACTAGGCTTTTAGTGAAAACCACCATGTCAAACTTAAAATCCAAAAACGAGACTATCTCAAATCTTTTGAACAGCAAACAGGTGGCTTTGAAACTCTTAGCGAATGTCACATATGGGTACACTTCTGCTTCCTTTTCAGGTAGAATGCCATGCTCAGATGTCGCCGACAGCATTGTTCAGACTGGCAGGGAGACATTGCAGAAAGCAATATCCCTCATAGAGTCGAACTCCGAATGGGGGGCAAAAGTAGTTTATGGTGACACCGACAGTTTGTTCGTTTATATGCCTGGTAAGTCGAAAGAAGAGGCCTTTCGTTTTGGCAAAGAAATGGCATCTAAAGTCACAAGTTGTAATCCATCTCCGGTGACACTCAAATTTGAGAAACTGTACCATCCTTGCATTTTGGTCAGTAAGAAAAGATACGTTGGATATTCTTATGAGAAGGAGGATCAGCTTCAACCAAAGTTTGACGCCAAAGGGATTGAGACGGTCAGGAGGGATGGACACCCGGCACAGCAAAAGATAGTCGAAAAATCCTTGCGAATTTTATTCGAGACTCAAAATTTATCAGCTGTCAGGGCCTACGTGCAGGACCAATTTCTGAAGATAATCAAAGGCCAGGTGTCGGTACAAGATTTTTGTTTCGCGCGCGAAGTGAAATTAGGATCCTACAAAAGTGAGAAAACCGCTCCACCCGGGGCCGTGGTAGCTCAGAAACAAAAAGCCTTAGATCACAGGGCAGAGCCTCAATATCGCGAGAGAGTTTCATACGTAGTCACAAAAGGACGACCGGGACAAATATTGCGAGACCGCTGCATTCCTCCCGAGGTTTTCTTGTCTAATGACATGTTCGAACTCGATTCCACGTACTATATCACTAAAACCCTTATTCCGCCATTGCAACGGTTTTTCAATCTCATTGGTGTAGATGTTACGAGATGGTTTGCAGAGATGCCTAGGGTACAGGATTTGAATTACCACCAGGATAAAAATGGAAAACTGCCAGACTTCATGCGCTCCACGTTATGCTTTAGCTGCAAAAGTGAAATGAAAGGAAGCTCTGATGGTCTTTTGTGCGCAAATTGCTTGATGCAGACATGCTCGACGGCTGCGGCAATTTTAGAAGAAGACATAGATTCAAAAAGAAAGCTCAAGAACGTCTTAACCGCCTGCAGAGCTTGTTGTGAGCCTCTGACGAAGAACTCTCAATATGACATGTCAAAAATTGTCACCAAATGTGATTCTCAAGACTGTCCTGTTTATTACTCGCGGATCAGATATGGGTCATCTACTAATTCCCATAGGGCTAGGGAACGCTTAAAAGTACTAAAACAGTTGGATCATTGGTGAATGATGGCTAACGTACCATCTTAAATAACTTTTAACGAACAGTGGGTAAATTTTCGATGCTCATCGCTTTGTGGGTTGGATCCTCAAAACATCAAGCGATCCGTTCTTGATCTGCATCTGGTCGAAAGTGTGAGACGGTCTTTAGCCTGACATACGGAACTTTAGCACGAGAATCTATTTGAGCATACTGTAGGATAATGCCGTTGACCAAATCTTTAAGCAAAATTCAAAAGAATCAAAAGGGAAAAACTGTTGCCCTACATCCCAAAGGTCGCAAGTTCCAAAAGCTGGCCACTGCAACAATGCGTGAAGAGAAGATTGCTGCCAAAAAAAAGGCACATAACGAACGCAAGTCTCACGAACTTGCTCGAGTCAAATTTATTCAAGATGTCATTAACTCAGATTCTTTCAAGGACCAGACGACTTTCAGCCTTGAAGAAACGATGATCTTTGCAAGAGAATATATATGCCGTGACGACGCGGAGTTAGATGAACTTAAGCAAAAGAGAAGGTCCAATCGCCCACCTTCGAATAGGCAAATCATACTGCAACAAAAAAGAGATTTCGAAATGAAGGAGCTTGAGTCCGGATTTCTAGTTCCCGATCTCTGCGATGCAAAAAATGTGGAGTTTCTAAGAAAATGGAATCAAAGTTTTGGGTCCATGAGCACGATGAAACAGATTCGAGTCAACATCGATGGCGAGAGAGTGATTGGTGGTAACGCCAGCACCGGGCCTTCCGGCGCTGATATTGATATGAAATAGAACGATTTCAGATGTCGATGTAAATGAAAAACAAATACAGGCATGCGGAAATCGGTAAAGGACTTCTTTTGGGAGGTGTGTAATGACTAACTACGCGTTTGACCTTCTCTGTTTCTGCCGCTGCGTTACGAAGTAAGTGGTGACCGTGATCAAGAGGGCCACTAAGCTGACGCTGATGAGGTTAAAGACTTGCCCTTTTTTTGTTGTACTGTCCCGTTTGAAAATGATGCCCCTACTCTCGTTCACGTCTACTTCTCCAATCAGTTGCCATTTATCTTCCTCTAGTCCCGTAATAATTCTAAGTAGCTGTTCGGGTGGTTTTGAATTGCCATTGATCACAGTGAACAAATCTTTGTATTCTATATGTAAATTAGTCTTCTGCGTTTTCCATGTACCGACAGATTTCTCGCCTCGTTCCATGTCATAGATCAGAATCTCTGTCGAATCGGCAACCGGGCCTTGCCTGGCATGATCTGTGTTTGATTCAAACTGAATAGAACTGGGGTTTTCAAATGCTTTGAAAATCTTGGACCTTGGTCTCAAAGAGTTATTGTTGAAGATCAGACTACCAGGTGAAACAGCACCCATTGGATTTATATTTTGGTTCCACTCGTACCGTCGCGTTTGTTCCCAAGCGAATTGTCGTTGTTCTCTCTTGGATTTTTCAGTGTTTCTCAAGAACGATTGTAAAGTGGAGATGTCAATGTCACTTTTATAAGGTTCCGGCCTAGGGTCTAACACCGCGTCTCTAATTGATTCAGACCCATCGCTCAAACTAGAATACCCCGTCTGAGCACTCAAATTTTCCAAGGTTTTTTGGAACTCTTTGGAAGTTGAAGGTCGAATACTTAATAGTTCTGTGTTTTTTGGGCTCTCGCCAATATGACCCATCTGCTTCGCCTCTTTCTGTGGTTTGAGGATGTTTACCATGGTCTGTTTCGATGAACCATTAGACCAAGCCTCTTCTATGGCCAGAGGGTTAACTCTACCCTGTAATACCATCTTGTTTATTAACCTCATCTTTTGAACCGTGAGGGAGCTATTATCGATTCCTAAAGGTCGGCATAGGGCGAGTAAAGCAATATTCAGCCTGCTGTTCGGAAGAGGCAGTTTTCCTGACAGAAGCTGGTTTTCAAGCTCATTTACGAATGTATTTTGGCCACTGCTTTTGTTCTTGATCAGCTTTCGAGGCAATGGTGCCTGAACTCGATTAGCCGCTCGACTTGATGCCCTGCTGAAAATCGGTCGACCATTGAGCTTTATTTGGAATCTTGAGAAACGGTTCATGCTGTGCTTTAGGTCTATTGGGTATTATGTCTGTTAAGTGCGAGGTAGTGTAGTTAGCGATTTTTTATTTAGATGGTACAAGATGGAACTCTAGCATTTCAAATAAGATTAAGCAGTTACCAAAGAAGAACAATGGTCAAGAGTCCTGTGAACCTTGACGCTGTATACTCGAACAATGTGGGCACCTTCCAAAAAATCGCCAATACGGTCTTGCCAGTAAAATACCCTAGCAAGTTCTTTGAAGAACAGTTTGACGACAAAGCAAATACAACCGTGTTTGCCCAACTAGGGTACTTTGGAGAAGTGGCCGTAGGTGGGGTAAGAGCCGAGCTGATTGCCAGCAAAAATGGTGGCGTCCAATCGGCTGGTGTTTACATTCAAATCCTCGCAGTTTTGGAAGCCTACAGAAGCAAAGGATTGGGAACTGCACTCTTGAATTACATCGAGGAACAAACCAAATCTCACTACCAGCACAAGATTTTTGTTCACGTTGCTGTGGATAATCAAGAGGCTCTAGAGTGGTACCAGAGAAAGGACTTCAGAATTGAAGGTGACGTCCTCCCAAACTACTATAAAGAAACTAGCGGTTCTCCAGATGCATATGTGCTGCTGAAGAAAGTTTAAGATAGAAAGCTCAACCGCGGTGTGCTGACAGATTAAAGACTTCTAAGGTGTGACATTCACGACTATGTACTATTTTTATCATTACATTTTATGCAAAGGGTGAAAAGTTCGGATACACTTTTGAACTATCTATGAGGTCTCGGGCTTGACCACAGAATTTTCATCATCCTCATCCTCCGTGTCTGTATCAATGTCAGTATAATCACTCTCATCATCCTCTAATTCGTCGTTACTTTCATCATCCTCTTCCAATTCACTACCTTCACCATCCTCAAGATCCGACTCTTCTTCAAGAGCCTCTCTCTCCATTTTTTCGACTTGAGAAGGTTCACGAACACTCATTGTCACGGTAAAATCGAGATCAGGCCCAAAATACTCGGTGCTCTTGACAATAACTCTGAAAAAGTAGTCGCCTTTTTCCTCGGGAGCTGGTTGGCTGTAAGGAATTTTGATAGTACCAATGCACCAGTCTTCGGGATTGAAATCTTTTTCCAGGTCTGAGACTGTTCTCTTATCGAGGTCGTTTTTTAAATTGGTGAATGATAGTCTGTCTACCAACATGGGCGTTTGAATGACCTTACCATCTTTTTGAAGGACAACAAGTGCACACCAGCAGCCACTACGTTTGGCAGGGAAAAAAGGTGCAAAGGACTGTGGTAGTTTAGGCTGGTCTTGAATAGATGCGAATGGGTCTCTGAGAGAATCAAAGTCTTGTTTTTCCCGACACATTTCATCTGGGATTTTTGTGGGACCGAAAAATTTGTGTTTAGCCGAACGCACTAGCACTTTTAAAGAAATATGAGGTGTTGACTGAGGGGTAACAATCGTTTCGCCAGGAACTTTGAACTCTGCCCTTATCAGCTTCAAGAAAGGTATATTTGAAGCGACAGTCAATGTTTCCTGCAACTTATCTTCATCATCAATTCCTAAGATCTTACTGATCTTTTTGTCCTCGTAAGTGAAAAGTTTCCCGAGAGTGCGAATGTCATCCACAGAGCCATTTATAAATCGCTCAGCATCGACATTGGGAAGCTGCAAGATCTGGGAATAAGGAGACAGAGGAGTAGCTTGAACAATTGCCTTTAAGGTGTCAATAGCCATGTTGGAAATTTCGAGGTTGCGAAAAGTGGTGGCAATATCTAACAACCCAAAGAGTAAGACGTGACTTTTAGCCACAATTCTAAACTTTTCATTCTGTAAATCACCGCTGTTTTCGCGGTTGATGTGATCGTGTATCAATTTCTCGAATGTTTCTTGGTGAAGAGCAGGATACATGACTTTAAACTCCTGTGCGTGAGAGATCCAATTGATGAGAAGATCCATCGTCACCACTTGAGAGGGTTTGAAATTGAACAGTCTGTCGGAAAAGTAAGAAGCAGATTTGACGTGTATCCCTTTCTTCGTCATAGATTGGGTTTTGGACCACCATCTGCTGACTAAAAAGGGTAAAATAAAGCCTAGTAATCCAACGTATCCCAAAACTACGAGAGATGAGACAGAGCTGTCAACTAGAAACTTGGGCAAAGCTATACCATGAGAAGTCGCTTGCGGCCCATCTGGGTGGCCGTACCTGAGGTAGTTTTCACGAGTAATTTCTTCGGTAAGCGATTTGTAGGCTTTAGTAATCATAACATATTGCTCTTCCATGGTAGTCCGCTCCTCGGCAGTTAATTCTTTGGGCAGTTTGTCAGGATGAAACTTGATGGACAGCTTGCGGTACGCAGAACGAATTTCACGTTCGGTTGAGCTAGTTGAAATGTTCAAGAGCGAGTAGGGATCAAACAAAGTAGTAGCAGCATCTCTGATTGCATCATTGGATCCAATGTGCTGGACCAAATAGGCAACTAGAGTCCAGCCAGCAATGATGAACAGATTTCGTTTGGCAGCCCACTTGGATTTTTTGGAAACGTACTTCGCTCTGAAAGCATGAATCTCATCTGCAGTATATGCTTCCGACAGCATTCCAAGTTGAGACTTCTGCTCCTGCGCCTCGGTTTCCGCATCGCTGCTTGACAGCATGTCCCATATTTGCTTAACGGTCAATGGTACCAAGATCACACATAACACGGTCAATAAGAAAAATGGCCATGTTTCGGACCCTTCATCATAGTCGTAGCTCTGTGTCATAGCCTAGAGCCTCTATATGGAGGGAACTTGCTTCTTCTTTCAATGGTTTTGGTCGCGCCTGAGACGTGGGAAACGGCCAGGTTGACCTGTACTATATATTTTAAACAGATACTTTTGCACGAAGGGTTTTTGGCGTGTGGACCATCAAAGGCCATTCATCAACGACTCTGCCAGCAACGGCCTCTCTTGCCTTAGCAGGATTTGAAGTTTATTGTGCTAATAAATAAGCTGGGTGCCTGTCAATCACAGCAATAACATCAAGGTTATGTTTCTTTCCTTGAGATACCTTTTCAAGAGATGGTTAAAGTCCAATGCGCACGAAGATAATGATAACCTCGCTCAATAATTCATGAAATAGTGGTGACTGATGTTGAAAAATCATCACTTAAGAAATTGAGCCTTAGGCAGCAGTGGCTTGTGGTTTCAGCTGCTAATTTGCGATTTGTGCCATTGTTGTCGAAAGTGATCCAACGTTATAGCTTGGATCACATACACCGAGGGCTCAACTGCGGAGTACGAAAATGTACTCTTTCGCCTTTTGGATTATCTATTAACTGTATGAAGGCGGGACTCTGAATTCAGTATATTATCTCAAAGCCACATAAACATTGACTTATTAATTCTGTGCTACCACCGTCACAAGGACGGTACTACATTGCTAGGCTCCTCAAACGGCTAGATTTGTATTATAGATGTCATTCACTAACAGACAGATCAGCCTGGCACATGTATATCACGCACTATCTCATCATTTAAAATAATCTCCTTCGCAGCATCTTTTCGTATGAAACAGATCGTAGATAACTAAGCTAATTTTAACTATTCACCATCAACAGCTTGCGCGGCGGAGCATTACGGATAGAATTGTAGACCACATTTCTCTCGCGGTCGCCAAACTGGCCGTCTGAATTAATTTCGTGCATAGTGCTACTGTTCTTAAAAGTTTTCCCAGAGTTCCAATGCTAAGCTCTGTTCAATCCTAATGGGCTCCAAGAAAGCATTGTTGGGGTAGTTGTCCTTAATCAAGGCGCTGATCGCTGGTAGGCTTCGATATAGTGGAGACACGTAAGCCATGCAAAATATATATCAGAATCCTGTCGCGTTTGCGCAGCAAAATGCATTGGAAAGAAGAGTTAAGGTGGGCGTTAGAGGTTGGCAAAACGCTACCAAACAAGACCTGATTAGCTTTGTGAGCCGTAAAACACGCATTGCCATCATGGATTCAACGGTAGAGGGAAATCAAGTAGTTGGCTTTGTAAGCAGCCAGAGCGACGCCCAATCGTTAACTAATTGGAATGGTGTACGTTTTGCGGGAAATGCTCTTAAATTCGAAATTCTGGGCGATGGTAGCACTCCCAGTGGCTCTGGAACATCAAAAACTATAATGCTACTGAAGGCATTTTTATACAAACGCTACAGACCTGAGACTAAGATGCTAGACCTTGGAAACCTTCGAAATGATCCAGACTTGGCCACCAACGGACTTTTCTCTTCGCAAAGCACTCAATCGAAAATCTTTCCAGCTATGATGAAGCTGGCTTCAAATGAGTCGCAACTGGTCGTGGAGTCAATAAATTTATCGGATAATCAGCTCAGAGATTTGAACATGATTTCAACTCTTGCTCAAACTTATCCAGATCTGAAAAACTTGTGTTTAGCCAACAATCAAATTGCCCGTTTCAGGGTACTTGAAGTATGGAAGAACAAGTTCAAAAGTCTACGTGAACTACTGATGATGAACAATCCTATTACCACCGATCCTCTATATCGAACAGAAATGTTACGGCTTTTTCCAAAACTGGTCATTTTAGATAACGTCTTGTTGCGCGATGAGAATAAATTGCAGCAAATCTATACCGTACCGATGAAGTTGCAACAATTTTTTTTCGAAACGAATGAGTTGGGGCAATCGTCGATCGACTTCGTGAGCAACTTTTTGACGCTGTGGGACACGGACAGGACGCAACTGATGGCTCTTTACACCCCTCAGTCTCAGTTTTCAGTGGCAATTGACTCATCAGTACCAACATCCAGTGTCCCAAACTCGGACCAAAATCCAACTTTCGGTTATTATCTGCCTTTATCTCGCAACCTAACCAAGGTGTCGAGTGAGAGAACTAAGCAACAGAGACTTGCTATGGGTCAAGAGTCCATCGACAAAATATTCAAATCTTTACCAAAGACAAAGCACTCTTTGCAAGAACAGCCAACCAGCTATTCAGTAGAAGCTTTTTCATATCCCCAGGTTCAAGGTTTTATTATTACCCTGCATGGATTTTTTGAGGAAACTGCTGCGCCTGAAATTGATGCTAACAAATCTACACCCAATCCTGCAGGTGGAAGGAATAGGCGCTTCAATCACGGTCACAATAATGCCGCAAACAAGCTAGGTAAAAAATCGTTTGATAGGACATGGGTCCTAGTTCCCTCACAAGGATCAGTGATTATTGCATCAGACCTCTTCACGATTAGGCCCTTCGCAGACGGATCATGGACCCCGCCGCTAAGTTCGCAGCAACCCACACAGCCCAATGCTCACCCAGCTTCACCCGCAGCCCCCCAGCCACAGGCTCAACCACACGTCCAGCCTCTTATGCAAGGAATCCAAGGGCCCACTTTAGCAACTCCCTCCTTAGTAATGCCCCCCGAGATTCAATCAAAACTGAACCCATTACAAATGGAACTTCTCAATAAACTTCATCAACAAACCAAATTGAATGCTGAGTACACATACATGTTAGCAGAGCAAAGTGGTTGGAATTTTGATGTTGCCATGAAAGGATTCCAAGAAAGTGTAAATAATATACCTCGAGAAGCTTTTGTTTGATAGAGAACTCAAAAGCTTATGCATGAAGATAAGAAGTTCTGATTTTATCTTCCCCACATTAAATCTCTACTAAGTTAACCAATCCAATAAAAGAATACACGTCATTTCATTGTTCAGATGAACATTTTTCTGGCTAACTACGGCTTGATTCTAGTTCTCTTAATTTTTCCCCGAACTGTAATCGACTGAGTGCCACTTGAGCGTCCGTATTGCGTACATCGATGGGGACGACAGATTTATTTAAAAAAACACAAAACGCAGGAACTTCCTGTTGTAAAGAATATATGCTCGAAAACCTCCGCGTCAATCGTGCTACCAATTAAATCTAATGAGGGCTGTTCCAACACCTAGAAAATCCAGGACCCGCTTTTTGCGCCGGAAGTTTGGACAAATGTATCAAATTGTCTCTTTTCGAAAGGTGCGAAAGAAGCACAACCTCCACCACTTACATCAACTGCACCGAAGGAATACACGGACATCGCGGCAGAAACGGGCCAATTTTAAAAATATTACTACACCTTTGGTTATAGACGATTATGTGGATTTGGATTCAGGTCCCGAGTCGCCTACCGCAAAGCGCAAGCCATTGTTGATCGCGTCGTTTCCTAATGGGTATGGGCGATCACCACGGGTCAAAATTCTGCAAAAGAATATTCTTTCGAGGTTCTGGATAAGCCGCAGACGCTATCGTTTGCGGAAGTACAATCCTGGTATGCTGGAGTTTCAGGCCCAAAGACAAGGTTTCCAGGAAGACGACTGTTTCCGGAGTTGTCGGACTATAAGAAAACAGGCTGCAAAATATGCTGACGTGAAGTTCAATTTTGAACGACACAATGTGGTCAAAACAGTGTGTATTCCTATCGATCATTCGCGAATTCAGCAACCTCAGTTTTTGGAATTCGACCCGGAGCACAGTGTAAGATTGGATGAAATTCCCTCATTAATGGCAGCACATAATGCTATGCATGAGGTGCAGCGACCCCTGGTAAGCGAACAAGGCCAGGGCCCAGGATATGTGGCCTTGTTCAAGCGAAAGTGTAAAAGCACACTCGAGGAGCTTCATTGGAAAGCCAGCGAATATGTACCTCGCATATGTCTGTTAGATCAGCCTGATATAATCATTATGAGCTGTGTCAAAACTCCCAATGACGGCCACTATGCTAAGGTCGACCCTAGTGCGCAAACACTACGAAAGAAAGCCGGCGCTTTTTTGGAAGCTTCCCGTCTGGCTGGAAGTGCTTTGAACAACTACAGTCGAATGTTGCAAAAGTTGGAAACAGTATCACCAGGCGCAACTCGAACGCTGCGTATCGCCACGACGAGCAGTATCGCTCAATAATTCTTGGATGTTTCTCAAATAAATACAAACTAGCTAAATTCTAATGTCCTTCCGAAACGCCAATTTAAATATTTACACCAGGCTCTGGTACCAAAGTCCCAATGCATGGGTACTTCTTTTGAAAATGTTCGAGCCAGCTGTCTAAGGCATCCAGCTCCTGCTTTCCTAAACCAGATAGATCGTCCATGGGCTGATCCCAGTGTTTCAAAACATCAAGATCAAAAGAATTTGTAGCCAATCCTCTCGAAGCGTCATGACCTGCGAAGTTGGAGTAAGGTCCGCTTGGACCATAAAACTGTCTGCCCTGCGTACAGTCGAAGACCTTGCCCTTTATGGCTAAGAAAATCTTCTCGTCATCATGGCCGTTAAATTTGTAGAGTGTTCTTGGAAAAAACCTTCCTTCAACAATAGGCTCACTCTCTTGGCTTTTTTGGGCCCCGTTTCCATTGTCTGTTACGCCTGTGGGGTCCTCACTCGTCTTCACACCTCCAAACAACAGGTTTTTAACAAAGGACATAATTTTTGGCACGTCGATAGATGGAATGGAATGTTTTCGCTGGCGTGGATAGTCTCAACTAGCGACTAGCTACTTAATGATAAAGTAATGGACTTCACTTATGTAAATGCTTTTAAGGTTCATTGTGATTACCATCAAGTTAAACGAAGTTGTAATAACACCAGTGGTCATGGACGGACTTGTCCAAAATGATATGACTTCAAGGTTTCAGCAGCATAAACCTTGCATCCGCGTAGTCCTGGTATTTATTATATGTATAGTATAAAGCCTTCGTAAGCCTCAAAGAGTCCTTATTTCGGAGTTGATGTTGTTTCTTAGTCAACATTTTCTGCGTTTTCCATTATCAAGACCGCTGAATTGCGCAGCAGGTCAGTAGCAAGTGCGATTTGATCCTGTGCACGAGCCTGATCACCATCAAAAATGGCATCCCTTATCCCCGGAAAAGTCCAAGAACCCTGTGATATTTGATTCTTAAATGGCGGTCCGAACAGAACATTCTTGAAAAACGGGCGATTTGGAATCCCGGCAGAAGCGCAATGGTGTTTTTCAAGGTTTGCAATTTTTCTGTTCCAAGTCCACCGATTAACGGAAAGTAGCGAAGGCTCGAGCCCTCCATTTTCAACCATTACGATGTTGTTCCACGCCCGTACCCACGAAGAAAGTCGTTGCCCAATTTGCTTCCATGCATCAATGCTTTCAGTCAAACTTTTGAAATCCAGTTGTAGCTTTCCAGCACTCTGCTGGATATTTTGCAAAGCATGCTCAATGGCTGCCACATAATTCTCAATATCAAACGGAACCATAGGTTCATCTATAAGCTTCAAAGCTGTCTGGAAAACGTATAGAACAACGTCGGCCGTCCTTGTCCAATACTCTTCTCCCCCTTTGGCTAAAAGCCTATCAAAAGTGTCGCTACAGGAGTAAATCGGGTATTTTCTCTCCAAGACGTGGGGTGACGCTAAAATGGCAGCCGGTATGCCGTTAGCAAGATAGGCGCTCCAGTCACCAAATTGCTGAATGTCACGAACCTGGATCTCTAACCCCATTTTGGAATTCTCGTTTTCAAAAAACTTGGACAGCATAGGATGAGATTGAATGTCGAGCCGTGGGGAATCGGGATCAATACCCAGCTGGCTTATATCTAGGATTGAGTAAATTTCTTCTCGTATCTTGTGGGCTTCTGACTCTAATAGTTCCGTAGCACCCGCATGGCCATACTGGGACGCGTCATATGATATGAAGTAAATGTTTCGTAATGGCTTCCAGCCAAATTTGTACTTGGTCTGTTGAAATAATTGAACCAGTGACAGCAACGTTGCTGTACCGTAATTTGGATAGGTAGATCCTGTACATGCTGCGTCACGCGCCGCACTGATGATTATGGCCCGATCATTCTGCTCTCTTCCTTCTATTTTCCCAACAATGCTCCAATGTGCATGCTCTGCTCTCTCTGTAGGTTCCAACGAGAAATTCACCAATACTTCGTCAGGACCACCACTGAACCATCCGTTTTCGTACCTTACCCCTTGCTCTTCAGAGAACAAAAGTTTAATAGCCTCAGCCTGCCGTCTGGAAATTGGTATGGTTGGGATCTGTGGAATTATGGTAGACTTACTCAATGCGAGACGATTAGCAAGCGTGGAGCTCCAACCGGGAGTGAGGGGGTCGCCCATACTATATCGAAAATTCTGAACAGATATCCTTTGAACACTGTCGATCTCGTCCTCTCCATAGCCGTCAGATATAAATATGACGGCTTCGACACCGAATTCCTGGGCTCGCATAACCTGTTCTCCAGGATAAGAATCGTACTGCAAAACTACAGCTGTATTGTCGGTGATCAGATTTTGATCTGCAAGCTTTTGAAAGTCCTGGTAGGAGCCGCAGTTGGCATACAGCAGTCTAGCACCTTTAACTTCGCCTTTCACGCTCAGAGGATTGAAATTCTCGTCTGTCAACTCCAACTGCAAGCTCTGGCCCGCGGATGACTGCAAGTTCAGAGTCGCATTTCCAGGGTAATTAAGGTAAGTTGCGAAAGCGGCGTCACCAACTAGCCGCAGCCCATTGTTGGTAAACGCCTCCTCGATATACTGGGATACCGCTAGGTCCCCCTTGGTTCCCGCGACATGCGCTATGCTACTAATAAACTCTAAGTCACTCTCCATCTTGGACAGGTCCAGAGCTCGTTTAGCGTAGGAAATCAGCTGTGTCTGGTCTGAAAACATCCCGCGCGTCCCTGTCTTCTCTTCATTAGGAAGAAGTCCGCTGGAGGACACGTAATAAATGAAGACTGACACAAACAGCACATATACAAATCTTCGCAGAATAAGCGGATTTCCCACCTTGTTGAGATAAAAATCCACCTTGTGGGAAGCCAACGACATTAGCACCGCCAGTGGGTCGGTGATTCGTTCGCGGACCGGGACGACCAAGTATCTTTTAAATTTATATCTCAACTGTTCTACTTTACCCATGGCATCAATTTCATTTAGTTCTTCGAACTCCATTTGTTCTATACTTGCGAGGTGTCCATCAGATGCGCCTTCTTCATATTCTGGAGGATTGGCTGGTAGTTGACCCTCGCTCTCTCGAGAAGATGGCACATTGTCACCATCGGCCGGTTGCTCTCGCTCGTTCTGTCCCACCGGAGCGTATCTGACGGAAGAGAGTGCCATTTGAAAGCCCTTTTGCGGATTAAATGATATTCGAGGTTCGTAGTAGGTGGTTAAACTTAAGAATTATTTAACGTTAATTAATTATGCCTAGTCAAGAAAGGCCAACTAACAGGGCATCTTACCGAAATGCCCTACAATGTAGCGTATGTTATGCTCTTTAAGGTACTGAAAACGATGTGATAGATTCTTGTGACTAACTGTGAGTCTTTGAAGTATGGTCTGTGACTTCTTCTACCCCCAATTGGGCGGTGTCGAGTTCCACATTTACCACTTGTCTCAAAAACTGATCAAGTTGGGCCACTCAGTGGTGGTCATAACGCACTCGTACGGTGACAGAACTGGTGTGCGGTACCTCAGTAATGGACTGAAGGTTTACTACGTGCCTTATGTTGTCATTTATAGGGAGACCAGCCTTCCTACTGTGTTCGGCAGCTTCCCAATCGTTAGAAACATTTTGCTTCGAGAACAAATACAAATAGTCCACGCTCACGTCAGCGTGTCAACGCTCGCCCACGAGAGCCTACTTCATGCTACGGTAATGGGGTTGCAGACAGTGTTTACAGACCATTCTCTATACGGATTCGATTCCGTAGGGTCGATCTTGGTGAATAAGCTTCTGCGTTTCACACTGACCAATGTAGGAGGTGCCATATGTGTATCTAACACTTGTAAAGAGAATATGATTCTCCGTGCGAAGCTAGAGCCATCGCAGATTTCCGTGATTCCAAATGCAGTGGTGAGCGAGAACTTTGCGCCAGCGGGTGAACGTAGAAGCACTCGAGACATTAACCGACCGATCACTATTGTGGTGATGAGTCGACTGTATCCGAACAAGGGAGCAGATTTACTCACGCATTTGATTCCCAAAATTTGCGCGGTGCAGTCAAATGTCAGATTTGTGGTTGCCGGAGACGGCCCAAAGTTCGTTGATTTCCAACAAATGATAGAAACCCACCGTCTGCAGGACAAAGTAGAGCTCCTTGGAGCTGTACAGCATGAGAAAGTGCGAGACGTCATGTGTCTTGGCGATATCTACTTACATGCAAGTCTGACCGAGGCGTTCGGTACCGTACTTGTAGAAGCGGCATCGTGTGGTTTATTCATAGTAAGCACTATGGCTGGCGGCATACCTGAGGTGTTGCCAAAGCACATGACGGTGTTCGCGGAGCAGACGTCGGTAACCAGCTTGTTCAATGCCACATTAAAGGCAATTTTACTAGTGCAGCACGGCCAGGTCGATACCTCTTCGTTTCACGAAGAAGTTGCCGATATGTACGATTGGATTGATGTGGCTAAACGCACCGTGGCAGTTTATCGGGGCCTTTTGAATCAGTCACCATCCAAGAACCTTTCTTGGTTGGAACTCCTGAAGAACTTCCACGAAAGAGACGGTCCCTGGGCCCGCTGTCTCTACATCTTGTGCCTTCTCACAGAATACATGGTCTTCCTAACACTGGAATGGATATACCCAAGAGATATGATTGACATAGCCCCAAAGTGGCCCCAGAACAAAGAATAGCATCGAAATTAAGATGTCACCAGGCGCTCAAGTAAGTATTTACTTGTAACCTTCCGCTCTCTAAGCTTGTTGCAGTGGTAAATGAGAGTGCTACTGGAATGTGCTTCAAAACCTAGGGCAGCAATGTCGGCTTCCTCCAAGGAATGAAAAAGGTTTCTTCGGGTTCTATTTAAATTCGCAAAGAACTCACTGTTAGAGGGATAATCATCCATGAGTATAGGCTGTTGTAGCCAGGGATTTGCTTTCAAGACATCCGAAGATTTTGTGTCCCTAACGATCACTGCCTTCAAATCATTTATATGGCTAACAAGGCTCAGGTAATTCGTACCTTCCAGCTCTCTCGTCAAACTGAGCAATGTGCTGCTGGGGAGCCAGAAGCTATGCTTGATTCGTTCATCTTCCAGTATTTGTGATAGACTTCTGTTCTTGCTTTCTAAGGTCGATATGGAGGATTGTAGCGATTTTTCTCTTAGCTTCGTTAGGTTTAACTCTTTTCGAAGCTCGAGAAGCGTTTGCTCTTGTAGCTTCTGTCGCTCAATCTTATTTTCGTAGACCTTAAGCTTTAGCTCCAATTCTTCGATTTTGGAAAGTTGAATGGATTCGGTCCTTTCCAAGGCATCCAATTCTTTGTTAAACGAGGCGTCTCCCTTTGATGAAAGTGATTCCTTTTTTCCACCTGAAGCGGGGGGGCACATTTTATCCACTGATACTTCATCCACAACAAGTTCGACCAATTTTGAATTAAACACGTCAATAGACGCGTAACCTTTGGACTGATAGCTTCCGGCATTCCACTTGCTTACCACTTGGTCGAAAAATGCAGTGACAATCGCCCTTACCTCGTTGTTTTCAATCAGCTTTACAGCACCCGGTTTAGTAACAATTGATTTTTCGATACATATCTGACTCATTGACATTAGGTCGCGGCGAACTTTGTCACATATTTCGTTGACCTTCAGAAGTTCACTGGAAGCATCGTGGAGAAAGTTGAATAACAACAGGGCATCTTTTTGTACTATAGAGCATTCGTCGTTGACCCAAATATTCATTCCGAACTTCAAGATCTCTTCAGGAAAGCGGCCCTCTATTATGTTTTCCTTCCATGCTTCAAGGTTAGTCAGCTCGGGCTTTACATAATTGGAAACCTTCAGGAGGCCGCTAGACGTTAAACGGTGTATAGAAGCTTGATGATGTGAGCCGAAGTTGAGGTACAGTACAGCGGGAAGCAAGCGCCCGTAATCCTCTTTTACCTCCTCACGCATTGTATTGGATAAAAATGAAAGCTGTCTGGCAACCTGTAAAGGACTTTGACAGCTCTCGTTTCCAAAGCTTTCTGACAAGAATTTGTTCCTTAGGCTGTTTCTATGCAACTTGAGATGCAAGCCGTCTAAACGTTGGGTCAGCTGCGTTTGTTCCTCTATCGCTGATGGTTCATCATGGGTTTCGAGTTTTTCAATAAGCGCCTCTTTTTCTGACTTAAGTTTGGCAATCGTTTGTTGGGATCGGAGAGCATCCTCGCGTAAAATGCGCAGTTGCTCTGACAATTCTTCCTCCAGGTCATCATAGATGCTCTGCAAATCCTTTGCTACCAATGTCTCACTCCTTAGTTGATCGGCTACCACCATTGCATCTTCTAATCGGGCAGTAAGGTCGCTATTTTCCTGCGTTAGCTTGTCGACAATGTGGCCGTATTTTACCTCCGATTCCAGCTGTGAATGAAAGTTCTCCATCAGTCGACGGCAATTTTCCAGCTCTTGCGAGATATTTCCCAATTTCTTCACAATCATTTCATTTTCCTCCTTCAGATTTTGATTTTCGTCTTGTAGACTCTCTCCTACCTCTTGGGAGCTCCGCAAAGCAGCTTGGAGTTTGATCATAGTTGCTTCTAGAAGCCTGTTGCGCCTTAGCAAGATATCTGGCGAGTCATTGATATCACACTCCTCATCATCGATACTTCTTCGGAGGTCAACCTCTTCTTGGAGCTCATGAGTCCGATCCAACAGTTTCTGGTACGTTTCCTCGAGAGTCGAGAGGTCCATCTGCAATTGACCATTTTCCAACACCAGGGACTCCCGTTGTATAATGCACGCTTCCAGTTCAGCTTCTAGTCCAATCGAGCACTGAATCTGGGCATTGAGCTCTTCTGATTTCAGGTGCATGCTGTAAACCTTCTTTTGCAACTTACCTACCAATTGTTGTAGTCTTAAGTCACCATCGTCAGTCGGGCTGGCTTCTTCAGCTTGCCCACTCCTATCAGTGCCTCCTAGTGCCTCCAATCTGGTAAAAATACCGTAAAGTCCACCTTTCTTTAAGGTTTCAAAGTACTTGATACCTTGAACAGACCCATTGTTCTTCCCCTGGTCATCATCCAGCTCGATACCACACCAAACTCCAGGTGCAAATTTGGTTTCGCCTATAAATCTTACAGTACCATTGAGTCCACGAACTTTTACTCGCTGGTTCAACTGTGCCATATAACAAAGTCGTGTTTCCTGTTGTCCGTAGTTCAAATAGACGTAGCGTAAATATAATATATTGAAATTAAGCTGTAATCAATTAAGTGGAACACCACACATCTAAAGTCGACCTACAGACAAGCGCTGAAAACTGAACCCAGCTACTCAATGAACCACAGAAGAAGCACTCCAAGGGGCCCTCTCAATGGTGCTGGCTCTTTCAAAGCTTCTGGGACAGAAAACGGGGTGCTACAGAAGGAGTTGCTGGAAGAAAACAAACAAGAAATATTCGAGGCTTTTTCATTGTTCGACATGAACAACGATGGGTTTGTGGACTATCATGAGCTCAAAGTTGCAGCACGGGCGTTGGGGTTTGACCTGTCAAAACAGGAATTACTAGAGCTGCTGGAGAAGCACGACCGAGATGGCAGACGGCTGATGCACTATGACGATTTTTTTGTGGTGATGGGCGAGAAAATCTTAAATAGAGACCCATTGGACGAGATCAGACGTGCCTTCCAACTGTTTGACGACGACAATACGGGGAAAATAAGCCTGAAGAACCTGAGACGCGTGGCCAAAGAACTAGGAGAAAATTTGACAGACGATGAGCTACGGGCGATGATCGATGAGTTCGATCTTGACGATGATGGCGAAATTAGCGAGCGCGAGTTCATTGCCATATGTACGGACATGTAAAGACCGCACGCATCACATTTGCACAGCAACCAGCTCACTGGGAAGCTCCGCCTACTGTACTATAAACGGGTTCTATTTCTTGACCATTGTGGCCATATGGAGACAAGATGCCACTGTTCACCCGTTGCATCGAGAAAACACACGCGCTAGATCGCCAAGCAACATCAGTTTACTCAAGCTAAGTGATCACTTTGTACTATTATGGCGTGCGGATGGAAAACTTCTCTGGACCTCCTACACCGAAGACGGTGCTACGAGAAAATATCGCAAAGTAGAACGATGTCTCACCCGCTGGCCCACGCGCATTTCTGGCACGGTAATTCGAAAGGGTTCTCTCAGACTTGAACCAGTATCTGGTTGGACACTGACCTTGGACGACCAGATCGGATGTCTCATATCAAAATCTGTTTTACAAGGAGCAAATTGGGGGTCCGGGCAGCTCCACTGGTGCTGTGTTTGGCATCAGTTACCACTTGCTTAGTACGTGTATTTTGTACTTCTGTCACAGTCTATAATGTGTGTTAGTATTTTGAAAAATTTTGAATTACATTTACCTCTATACATAGACAGATCGAAAATAGCGGCATAACCCAGTCTATCGGACCGCATTTCCAGCGATATTCTGGAAGCCCTATAGACTTATTTGGTTAGCAGATAGCAGAGTGTGTTCAAAATGTCCGGTTATCAGCATCTTTCAAAGGCTGGAAGCCGGTTTTTAAAACAAGTGGAAGCCAGGCCCAAGCATTTGGTTGACCATTTCAAAAAGTTCGAGGAAAAGTCTATGCCATCATTTTTAGTACCCTCTATTCCCAGAGTTGAAGACCATGAAAAGTTTCAAACGGCCAGAGATTGGAAATACATGCCAGGCGACCGGGTGGTTGTGACCAAAGGCAAATGGAAGGGACAAGTTTGCGTAATTCAGCAGTTGGACAGAGAAACCAATGGGTTCGTGCTGGACGAAAATGGACCCACGAAGACGGTTCCAGTACCAAAACAGTTTTGGTCAGAGGGTCAGAACTCACACATGGTGACTTTTCCTATGGCCGTTGCGCAAAAAGACGTCAAACTGGTGGCCGATATTGACGATCCAGCAGTGTCTGGAGCTACCAAAACTGTGGCCGTTCGCGATATTGTATATCGGGGCTCCTATTACGACAGCGAATACAAGAAGATGATGCCGTATCGTTGTGTCTCAGGGCAAGAGGATTTGGTGATACCGTGGCCCAAGCCCGAAGCCAAACCAGACGGCTCCTTGGCCACGGCCCCAGAAGTTGCAAGAGAGCAGACTTTTTGGGTGTCTAGTATAGCTCAAAATCCTATTCCACAGGGTGCTTTACTCACGGTCCGCAATCCGAAGTCGAAGTTTAGAAGAGGAACCCTATCGGCTAGCGATATTGCCAAACTTGTAGCACCTAAGATGCCTTTGTCTGAGACGAAGAAGGCCTATGTTGCTGAGAGAAAGGAACAGGCATCTGTACCAAAACGTAAACTCTCCGAGCAGGATAAAGAACTGATCGGAAACAAGATCTTCGAGCATCTGAGCAAGAACCTGTGATGTACCTAGCTGCATCATGCCCAAGAATATCCCTTAGATTTTCTCACTGTACATAGAACTGTTGCACAATACATAATGTCATCTTGGAATCAACTCTCAAGTTAAACCTGCGGTCCCGGAAATTAAACGTAGTTCAAAGGCAACTAATCCATTGACAAACACAACAAACTACTAGCGACAAAATGTCATTTAGAGACGCTCTAAATGTTTACGTAGAAAAGCCCGAAACGAGAGCAGAAGACGTGATCTTCTACGATTCTCATGTTTCGATTGTCAAAGATCGCTACGCCAAAAGCGAATGCCATCTTTTGGTGATCCCGAGAAACCAAAAACTGAGTATAACAAAAGCATGGGCCTTGAAAACTGAAGAGAAAGAAAAACTGCAACCTTACATTGATCGGGCTTTAAATCATTTATTCAAAACCTTCACTCGAAAGCATGCGTGGAAAGCTGCGGCACTGAAGCCGTTCGAGACAAATGCACAATTTCTCAACTTCGATTTCTTTGTGAATACTTTCACACAAGTCGGTGTGCACAGCGTCCCATCTATGAACAATTTACACATTCATGTTATGACATTAGATTTCCATTCCCAAAGGCTCAAAAATAAGAAGCATTACAATTCCTTTAACACAGAGTTCTTCAAGAATTGGGAACAACTGCCTATTGATACTGTAGATACTAGACATATGGAAGACGCTGTTATTAAGAAAAGTGAACTTAAGTGCGTGTATTGTCAGGAGAACTTCAAAAACAGGTTTTCTCAACTAAAATTGCATCTGGACCAGGAGTTTCGAAAACGATTTGATTAAAAAAATGCATCTCTAGGTAACATACTTCTATGTAAGCTTCGTTATATTCAAAGCTTCTGGTACTCGATTTTACCCTCAAGCTTCTTGACCTCTGCCACCTTTCTCACTGCCTTCATTAAGTCTTCTTGAACAATGTATTCACGATCGTCGCGAATAGCGAAGAACCCAGCCTCCGTGATACAGTTGCGAATATCGGCACCGTTGAACCCATCACTCATTTTCACCGCTGCTTCGAAGTCAAACTCGCCTGACTTCTTCACCTTCGCACTGTGGATTTTGAAAATTTCGAACCTGCCTGTCTCGTTGGGCAGACTAATCTCTATCTTCCGATCCAGTCTACCCGGTCTCAGAAGAGCAGGATCTAATGTGTCTGGTCTGTTGGTGGCCATTATGATTTTAGTTTGGCCCAAATTGTCGAAACCATCCATTTGTGTCAGTAACTCCATCAAAGTACGTTGAATTTCACGGTCTGCAGAGGTACCTTCGCTAAATCTTCTACCACCAATGGCATCGACTTCGTCCATGAAAATAATACAGGGCTCGTGTTCTTTAGCGTACGCGAACATCTCACGAATGATACGGGCTGATTCACCAATGTATTTGTCGACAATACCCGAGGCAGGCGAGAAAATAAAATTGGCGCCAATGGTAGCCGCTACAGCTTTTGCCAGCAAAGTCTTACCAGTACCCGGAGGCCCATACAAAAGAACTCCCTTCGGAGACTTGATACCGACTCTCTGGAAAATTTCAGGGTTTTTCAATGGCAGCTCTATAACTTCGCGTAGTTCCCGAATTTGGTCCGTTAGCCCACCAATCCCCTCAAAAGTGATTTCACCCGCTTCAAACGAGGTCATATTGTAGACTAGAGGGTCTGTTTCGCGGGGCAACACGCGCATAATAGTGAGTGTCGTAATATCGAGAGTAACACGCACTCCCTTTTTGAGTTTTTGCCGATCCACCGAGTTACGCACACCGACAATATACCGAGGTCCTGACGACGCTTTGACAATGTATTTTTCCTCCGACAGCTCTTTCATCACCTCTCCTACAAGCTGTCCGATACTCTGCAATGCTTTGATATCGGTTTCAGTGCGTTCGTATTCACGCTCCATGTCGCGAATTCCCTGACGCTTGCTTTTGAGTTGGTCCTCGTATCGTCTGTGCTCCGCGATTTTTTTACGAAAGCTTGCCAAAGCCCGCTGGCGAGCTTCTTGAGCCAAATCTTGCTCCTGAGGTTGGCTTGGAGGGTTTGAAGCTGTTGCGTCCCCTCCATCCTCGCCGTTTCTCTCACCACTGGCATTTCCTTCAAAAGCGGCCAATAAAGGATCCTGCTCAGCACTCATTTCAATCCAATTGTGTTTCTAATATATCTATCTTTGCTCTGAGGTAGCTCCTGGACTCTAGGATAAGCCTCTCGCCTACTTCAATACTTTCACTTCGGTGGCGAAAGGTAGTTGTCTGTAATGGTTAAATTGTCAAAATTTAAATATTAATGATATGTGGAAGAGATCAGACAGCAACAAAGCGCCCAACATCAAAAGCGATGCTAGGGGCGAGGAAACCAGACTGCCGAGATGCTGAATTAATCGACAATCTCTGCTTGTGATAACGCAGCTACTTGCGCTAACACTTGCCCAGTATTGACTGAATTTGCGACTGCAGTTGACGATCCATGTGAGATTTACCAAGGGTTTCACTACTATCATCGTGATCTTATTCCTGTAGATCACTTGTAGACTAGCTACAAAATCTTGTTTGGGCCACATGCGTACTCTATACTAACGTAGCTCAGTGATGCGCCATCTTTTGCGGCAATCCTGTGGCCAAATGCTCTGGACATGTTATGTGGTCAATTCGCTCGATGATCCGAAGAACAATGTCTAGAATAGCTAAGCCCGTAAAGGAACTAGTGAGAACTATGTCATCGCGAATAAAATACCCTAAGATATCCTTCATGGGGCTCCAGAACTAAACACCTGAAAAGATCATTATGTACTATTTGGCTACTTGTTAGCTGAACTTGGTGGCTTGCAATTAATTGCAGGAGCTTCCTATCGGTATGAATCAAAGCTGTTGGGACCTTACAGTGACCGTCTGGTCAGCTTGCAGAGCCAAAAATACAAGTGGGCCATCTAAGTTTTTATTCTGTGCTAAATGTCCTACCGGAGGACGCAATGGAAAAATAACCGGCATTCTAGTGCAAGGTGAGCGATCGGTTACGCATGGCGCTAGTGCGATCATCGGCGAGTGGATATACATCGTAGATGTTCAATGTTGTAACATATGTCCGTCGTGCGTAGCGATAGATTTCTAGCGATGAGCTTTGAGTTTTCGACAAGTTTTCTGTAAGCTAGTCCCCATTAGACACAACCACCACCACCACTGGTCATTGGAACCGAATGGACTTGCAGGCTTTTATTCTTTGTGGTAATGGGAGGGCCCTAACCCCTTTCACGCATACGCGAGGCGAAACGGGCTTGGTTAAAGCGCTTTTGCCCGTGGCCAATAGACATATGATAGAGTACGTTTTAGATTGGTGCGAGCAGGGTGGTTTTGGCGAAATTGGAATAGTAGCGTCAACAGAAGATTTAGAAGAAATCCAGGAGGCTCTCAGATCATACATGGAAATCCGCAAACGTCAATATGAGCTATTGGCCCAACATGGAGGAACTGGTGTTCATGGAATAGCACCCTGCCAACCAATTCCCATCCGCTTTGTGGCTGCCCGGCATGACACTACGGGTGCAATATTGCAGCAAGAACTTCTTCCCCGTATCAAAGGCGATTTCGTTCTATTGCCGTGCGACTTTGTTACGGAAGTTCCTCCACAGATTTTTATTGATCAGTTTCGTAACAGAGACCCCGACAATCTAGCCATGGCCGTCAAATATCGCAACAATTTAGACAGTATTGACAAGAAGCAACTGGATGTTTCGTATACTGTATATTCTGAGAACAACGACTCTGTGAAACAGCCCGTGCTTCTGGACTCGTATTCGAAAGAGGATGTCGACAAATCCAAGTATTTGCAACTGAGATCACACCTACTGTGGCGGTATCCAAATCCATCGGTGTCCAAGAAATTACTGGATGCGTCGATCTATTTCTGTTCTTACGAGCTCACGGAACTGTTAGCGCCGCTCGGTCTCACTACAGCCCGCTCGGAAACTGAGTCTGACAATGACGACGAACCCATCATAAGCATACACAAGCGTCAATCAATTCAGCCCATCCGCTTTCGTGTCAAGAACAGGCTCGTAAAGGATCCAATAAATTGTGACAAGTCGCTTTACAAACTTTTCCGCGATCTTGCGAGGCGTTCTTGGCAACACTCATCTTCCCGCGAAACTATTGGTGTCTTCATTCTGCCTAGCTTGGGCTCCTTTATCCGTTCCAATGTTTTGAGCGCATACATGGAAGCGAATAGATACATGCTAAGAGTCAAATCAACACTCTTTGCAGCACAGGCCCAGCCTTCTCTGGGTAACGCAATTGGAGGTGATTCCGTAGTTGGCGCCAACAGTACCATTTTGGAAAGAACAAGTATCAAGCTGTCTGTCCTTGGCAAGAACTGTCAAATAGGCAAACGCTGTCGCATTGTGGGATCAGTCATTCTAGACAACGTACAGATCGAGGACGAATGTGTGCTCGAGAACGTCATTGTTGGTAATTTTGCGAAAGTGGGTAAAAAATGTAAGCTCACAAACTCCTACATTGAGGGCTCCTATATCGTTAATCCTAAGACTATTGTGAAGGGCGAAACGCTGACGCATATTTACCTTGAGGAAAGTGACGAAAGTGCCGGTTCTCTGGAAACTTCTGAAGAAGAAGAAACCACTGATTACAGTGAAGGCTATGACGATGACGAATTTGAAGATGATGGGCTTTTCGAGCGTTAAATAATAGTGGCCAGAATTGCAATATGAATTTTGCTGAAGTATGGACTACCGTATTTACAAGTACTGTTTTATACAAATGACTTTTGATCCTCGTTTACATCCCCGAAAAGCCAATCCCAACGACCTTTCTTGTGCAAAATAGCCAATATCAAGACCGCAGGTAGGTGCAATACACTTACCCAAAATGTTTTCCGCGCGTATATGTTGGCTAATGCTAGACCCTTGTTGAATTTAACCCTATCCTTTATTATTTTAGCAGAATAGTTATACCTCTGCTGCCACCAAAATTTGAATGCCCAAAATGAAAGCCAAGCATTTGCAATAGCCGAGTCTAACTGATAATACCAATCTGTAACGTTGTAGTAAGATAAGCCAAAACACAGTGGAAACATTAAGAGCGAATACCTGAAAGCCACTCTGGCATTTAATCTTGGGTTTTTCCAACACGTCATGACGTATCCTGCGTCTTTGTACTCATTTCTAATATTATGGCTTAACGTGTTAAAATGTGGAAACTGCCACGCGTAAAGGAAACCTGCTAGGCACCAACCACCTGGATCAGAGAGTGGATTAGCAGCACTCCAGCCCATAAGTGGGGGAATGGCCCCAACCAGAGCACCAACCCAAGTATTAATGATATGTTTCCTCTTTAATGATGTGTATATCCAAGCATATAAGGCGATGTTGGTGGCGCCTAGCGCCGCGACTGTAGTGTTGACACCGAGATATAGAACAGACACCCCTATCGTGCCTGTGACCATAGCAAATTTGTAGGCCTGTCTTGGAGTCAGGAGACCACGGACAACGGGTCTGGCCTGAGTTCTGATCATTCTGCGATCAAAATCCGGTTCCCTTCCCATATTGATAGCATTGGCAGCTGTAGAGCTGAGGGCCGTACCGACTGTTAAGGACATTAATTCGACCACTGTTGCCGCAGATGGACTCAGCGCATAGGAGCATATACAACTGAGCATAACTAGAACGGTCAGCCTTGGCTTGGACAGCTGGATATATGTTTTGATCAGTTTCTCTGTGCTCAATTTGGTCGCCACCGATCCATAAGTTGCTCGCAGTTGCTGACGTTGCTCACGATCAACTGTTTTCACCTCGAAAGGCAGGTTCTGGACGTTGTGAGTGGTGGTATCATCCGTGCAACTAAGTGCTTCCAGAGCATTTTTAACAGTGACCTGGCTTGCTTTCTTGGTGCTTTTAGCAGATATATTGGAAGAGAATTCAACTGGAGATGTATTCAGCGGTGCTCTAGTTTGGGCGCCATTTTTCGGGCTGCTGTAAGATCTATACCCAAGCACCAATGACTTTGGGCCCTTAAATCCTATAATTGCGGTCGAGACTGGCCGTATAGAGAAGCTCCGTAAAATAATACCATTTGCCAGGTGTACGCCAGCCATGGTAAGGCCTTAGAACTTTGTAACGACTTCAAGGATGCCACTGAATTGATTACAGTCCAAAGTCTTTCAACTCGATGATAATAAATTTTGGAAAACTGGAAAATTTCCTAAGTACATCCATCATCACATGAAAGAACAAGATCTATGATGATGAGGGCTAAGTGTGGAATGACAGTGACAAAATGGTGGCATCGTACCTTAATATTTAAGACATTAGCTATGATAGCGTGTAAGATATACTCTATTAAGTTGAAGGATGTTTTTCAGTAGTCTTGGTGGTGTTGGTGGGGGCAGAATCATCTTCAAGCTTCCTGTCACCGTTGGTCATTTCGGCTTGCTGCTGTCCATGCTGAAGCTGCAATTTACCGTTTTGAATTTTGTTTTCGATCAAGTTGTCGAAGGCGATAATTGCGCGCACTAGATTGGTCACGTAAATAACCATTAGTTCGTCATTAGTCTTGACAGCTAAGGCTTTTTGTAGAGTGCTAGCAGCTGCGGTCAATTGCCCTTCCGCAGATGTGGACATTTCGTCGTCGTCGGGAACACCAAGGTTGGGTAAGAGGTTGAACACGTCTTGCAGTTTGCCCAAGATTATGTGATTTACTGGCAGCTCGCGATTGCTGACCTTTCCGAGATACGCGCTGATGTCTGCTAGTTTTTGTTGAAAGCCCTTGAGCGACTTCAGCTGATTCGTAAGCTTGATAGAGAGTCCGCCAGCGGCCTGGTCACGCACGTCGCGCAGCAGATGTTCCACGCCGATCTCCTCGGCTTCTTCTGCCTCTATCGACGACGGCAAATGGAGAAACGTTTTTTCCGTCGAGGTCCCATCGTCTTTTACTTGCTCGACCGCCATGTAAGCCGTTGTGGGAAGGCCCACGCCTTGCTGCTGCACGTCCACGATCAGCAATAACGGCTGCGCTTGGCGAGCTGGTATGTATTTCTTGAAAACGTCGTTGATGCGCAAATCGGCAGCCTTCAGTTTGGGTCCACTGTGATACCATCCAATCAGCTTCTCCTTGGCGTTGATCTTCTTGCACATTTCGTTCATATTTTCGATGTAATTATGGTCTAAGAACCACACGTCCGAATTCTTCTCGTCTTCCTCGAAGGGCAGTGCGAATGAGTTCGTTACCCTCAGCGTACTGCCTTGCTGATCACCTAGGATAACCCCCACGCATCTCCTGTGCTGCGGTGTATTGATACGCTTATAGTGGTCTAAAACCGAAAGTAACACCAATGGAGCAACTGTAACTTGGTCGTAGTTCACCGACATGTCCAATTAGAAAGAGCACTGGACTAGAAACTTGTAATAAGGAACTCCCGGGACGAATCAATGATAACTTTCCTGTAGGACCGCTCCGAAGATTCGGCAAGTTGTAGTCTTCTAAGGTGGCAAACCTATAAAACTTGGTCTACCGCTTAGTATCAACGTATATAGTGATCTGGATATACTGTGCCCATGGTCGTCCTATCTAGCTGTAGTTTGGCTATGGCCCGGCGAGTGTTTATACTCGACAATTCCGCTCCATTTGGAAGTCTAGGAGAGGTGATTTTCCCTTTCTTTTCTTGTTTCGCGCCATTCGTTAGGTGATCAATTGCTTGTGCATCCATGAGGCGGCATTCAACAAAACACACCACCGTGCATTGGAAATTTCTCGCACACTTTCTCGCACACCGATATACTGTATTTTATAGCGCTTGTGTTTGTTATTAATGCGCTGTTGAACCCTTTCTTTCTCGCGTCAGCTACTTGTTTCTCCAGGTGCTCCCCACGTACAAAGTCGCGACACGAAATCCAACTAGCTGTCGTCGAGGACAAATATACTGGTGTTTAACATGATTAACCGGATACGCTGCACAAAAAATACTTTATATGACTACTCGCTAGTACCAGCTCATGAGAGACAATGCTGTGGTTTCGAAGCAGGTGCTGGACCCAAGAGGACAAGTTAAGATCTGAAAAATTACAACAACCAATTTTAGCTCTTTCTTAAAAGACAACTAGGAGCATGCGATTGAGCTTATGAATTAACGGATAGAAGACACACGGATCTGTTTAGGTTCGGGCCGCATTCGTGGTACAGCGTGGCAATGTTGAGCTTACTGTCATTTTTTGTAATGATGGTGTGTACATCTTACATAGATTAGTGAAAAATTTCGATGAGCTGGACTACTGGATAGATTCCGGCTCCAAAAACAGACTCCACAAGACGTCAATCTGCTATGGCGTTTGGACAAATCGTAATAGGGCCGCCTGGCTCTGGTAAATCCACTTATTGCCACGGATGCGTGCAATTTTTCAACGCCATCGGACGGCACGCGCAGGTTGTAAACATGGATCCCGCAAACGACCGATTGCCCTATCCATGCGCTGTGGATATCCGCGACTTCATCACCCTGGAGGAGATCATGGCTGAACAACAGTTAGGGCCCAACGGTGGCCTCATGTATGCGCTCGAATCTGTGGAAAAATCATTAGATCTATTTGTACTGCAGGTCAAATCGCTGGTAATAGACGAAAGCGCGTACGTTGTTTTCGATTGTCCCGGCCAAGTTGAGCTGTTTACACACCACTCGGGTCTGTTCCGGATTTTCAAGCGACTGGAACGCGAACTTGATCTCCGTCTGTGTGTGGTCAACTTGGTCGACAGCGTGTACTTGACATCCCCCTCCCAGTATGTTTCCATTGTTCTGTTATCACTTCGGGCGATGCTCATGCTGGACCTGCCGCATATCAACGTGCTGTCCAAGATCGACATGGTGAAATCCTATGGGCCGTTGGCCATGCGTCTCGATTACTACACTGAAGCGCAAGACTTGGGGTATCTGCAGCCGTTTGTCGAACAAGAAAGCTCCAGTGCGCTGGGCAAGAAGTACAGCAGGCTTACGGAAACCATAGGCGAACTGGTTGCGGACTTCAATCTAGTGTCCTTCGAAGTTTTGTGCGTCGACGATAAGAGAAGTATGATCGCACTACAGGGCGTCATCGACAAAGCCAACGGCTACGTTTTTGGTGCATCTGAAGTCGGAGGTGACACAGTGTGGGCTGAGGCGTCGCGCCAGGGAATGGCCATGGTAGGAGAAGATGTTCAGGACCGCTGGATTGACAACAAAGAGCTTTACGACCAGCAGGAACAAAAGGAGCGTGAGCGACAACTACAGGAACAAAAAATGAACGACAAAGAGATTAACGTCGACGAAGACGCCGAATGGGCAAACGCATTGCGAGAGTGGGAAGAACAGCGTGGGACCCAACATCCCAGATAATGCGAGAAGTCGTGGACAGCTCTCATAAGGCACATCGTTGATTACGAACTTCATTGGCCAGCCTTCCCAGCCATCTCATTTTTTGAGACACTGACATCGCCCAGCACAAGAAGAGAGCGGGTTCTATGGTACCTTCTATAGCCCCAACCCGCTGAGATGTAAATGGAAATTACATTCTGATTCTGTTCGCTGGTTTTTAGGTGTTCAACTCGATTTCTGGTGTTCATCTTATTAATTCGGCAGGAATGCTAGTTTCCTATAAAAGCATCTTGGAAAATCGGTACACCTCATGCGACGTAGCCATCGGCGAGCTAGACTGGCTTTGTTGTCTGCGTCATCGATTTCCGAACCCCCTCATAAGGCCACATCGTTAAAGAAAGCGAGATCCAAATGCCCAGAAAATTTCTCGGGCAAAGGCTTGATGCCAATATTGACTATCTGCGGCCCGCCTCCATGGGCATCACAAATCTTGATCTGAGTAGGCTACCCGAAGTCCCTGATTTCCCTGATTTGGGCAGCGCCAATATTGGAAAGGAGATCGATAATTCAACGAACGGCCAGTATGGACGGCGTATCTCACGGTCTTTCGGGGGAACAATGAAACTAAAGAAACGGCTAAGTTCCGTGCCAGAACTTCTAATGCATAATCAAAAAATGCTAGAAAACAGGCGTTCTTTGACGGTAGGTGTAGCCAAGGTTGAAAAGCAGACATCGCCTGTAGTAGAGGTAGAACAATCAAGAACAAACTTGAATCATAGATTGCCGAAACCTTATCCTGCTCTTGTGGATACTCCACGATCTGGCGCTGCCTCCCGCAACCTGCGCGCACGCACCTCTTCGCCGCTAGCGGGGCCACCTATAGTTTATAGAGGCGACAAGGTTGTTGCATTTCCTGCGGCTACACACGTCGCATTTCCACCGACCAAGGGCTTCCACACGCGTAAGAAGTCCGATGGAGAGCTCCTGTTTGATGAAATAATTAAAGCCTACGGTCATTTACCTAAAGTTCAAGATGTGGGCAACTCAAAAGTGAATACAGCCGTACATGTTCCAGCAAGCGTTCAAAGCTCTCCGACCAGGTACTCGAGAGCTTCCCATCCACCAAAAAAACAAGCTCATGCATATTTTGACCCCATAATACAGAGCGATGAAGATATGCAACGGTTGTCGGAGGAGTCCTTCCCTTCGCCGATTGCTTTGGAAGAGTCTCTATCTAGTCCAGAATATACCAATACGAGCGGATCTGATCCTTCGAGCTCAGGAGAAGATTTTTCGGATCTAGCCAGTATGGGAGATAGTTTGGGGTCCCCGCAGAGCCCTAGTTTGAGTACTGATGATGATTCAACATATGTTTCTGCCGATGAGTATCTGCCGAGTGTCGCAGACCTGAGTCTTCGCAAGAAGATTAGTACCGCGTGTTCAATCCGCAGAATCCGCTTGAGTCGAGTAAACCCTCAAATGTTTTCCTTCACAAACCTCGATATCGATTCAGAAAATGAGGTTACAGAGCCAATGACGCCATTGGAAAACGGAATGGCAGAGCAGGATACCATGGACGCCTCAAGTTCGCTCTACGAAGAATGATTGTAAATTATATATGAAGATACAAATCCATGTAAGGAATCATATAGAAGCGCTGGCGAATATGAGCAGTAGGTCTCGCTTGAGATAATCTCATGGTCTAAGCAGAGCGTAGAAGCCTAAACCACGGCCCTACGTGATCCAGTTGGTGTGAGTACTCGTGAATACACTGTCTGATTCTTTCCAAAACAAACCTTGTAATACAGCTGGCAGTCAACACTGATCGACGCCAAGCTGAGTTCCTTTCTGTTTACCTATCAAGAGCTGCAGCACGCACAGCACTTAAGTTTCCGACAATCACAATTCTGAAATGGCTCCTTCGCAATTAGAAATCAAGGTCAGATCCCTACAAAGACTACTCAAAGAAGAAAAGTACTACCAACAGGAACTTAGCGAGCAGCAAGCTCTAGTCTACAAGCTCAAGACAGATGAAACAGTGGATCCATATGATTTGAAAAAACAGGTGGAAGTGTTAGAGGATACTGAAAGACTGTTACCAGCGCTCTACGCTAAAATCACCCAGTTTAGGGACGATTTGGCTCAGTTTACCAGAAGCTACAATGGGGCCGAGGATTTAGAGCCTGCTACCATCACCTTGAAAGATGCCGAAAATCTGCTGAGGTCCAAATCTTAGTCTAATTCTCCGCCACTTTAAATAGCTATACATGATCGCTTCTCGGTTCCTAAAGTCAATGCTGAAAACAACACGTAACCCTCAAGGGTCAAGCAACTAGACATTTGGCCACAGCGAAGGGCCCATGAATTTTCGAACAATTTTTGTATTTTGGAATCATTTTCGAACTTTGGACCCGCCATGAAAGGTCGTTAGGATCGAATAAATATATAAATGATTGGGGGATTCCATGTTGGCAGATAGTCGGGTACCTAGTTAACTACCGATAGAGCCTCGGTAGATGCGTGTAGCTCTTGAACTTTGACATCGTCAACTTGTATACTTAAGGTTTTCGTTAGGCCACTGTCTCATCTGAAAAATTGATATCTACAGAACTCATCGCATTTCAAATTGTGGGGAATAAAAGCAGTTGTAGAGGACTGAAGTGATACTAATGCATCGAGTATGCCTTACTCGCAGATATTCGTCTTACAAAGCTCCAAGAAGTTCCAGTTTGATTGATATCAGTACTTCTGAAGCTTATCAAGATTCGCTGTCCCAAAATCGCACACTGCGCAGGTTGGTCGATGCATACAAACAAGGGAAGTTCAAAGTTGTTGACAGCCACGAAGACTTGACTTCGTCCCTAAACTCTTCGCGATCGCTACCTATGATACAGTTTCCAAAAAACCAGGTCTTTCAAGAAGTTCTCCACGATTCTAGCGTCGGTGAATGGCGAAAGCCCATGACAAAATGGCTTCGCCTTGGCAAGAAAGTTCTTAAAATGTACCTGAACGGTATACGAGATACGTGGAAGGTGTATAGAGACTCGAGGGGAGTTCTGACTAAATTCAACGCCAATGAACCTATAGTGACGCATTTATATCGAGATCTGGAGTTTCAACAAATTGAGAATCGCCATAGAGGTGAGGGGCCCTCAAAACTGGCTATTACCAGAAGCGAATTCCAAGAAGTGCACCGAATGAAAGAGGTTTGGAAGCTGCCAACGTTTTTTTTACTACTTTTAATTTTCGAAGAAGCAGTGCCAATTATATGTTACTTACTCCCATCGGTCGTGCCTTGGAATTGTTTGACGCCCGGTGCGTTCAAGAAACTGTCTCAGAAGCGTATTTCATCACAAAACAAATTGCCGTACGCGAAAAGTTTTGACACACTACCCAAATATGCGTCCCCTTATTCCATTCCGCTGGAGGACGTAAAAACGCTGCTCAGGACATTTAGAGTCGCCCACAGGTGGAAGGTAGAATTATATCATTGGTCTGGAAATAGAACCGCACCATCCGAATTACTGGCTCTCTTCCATCAGTACCTGGTATTAGATGACTGGCTGCTTTTGCAAAGCATTTTTGATGAAGGCGAAGCCACATTGCTTTGCGACAAAGAACTCGTAAACGCAATTGTTGAAAGACAGTTATTTTACGCTGGAGAAGACCTGAACATCTTAGTGTCTTCGGTTGATGGACGTAAATTACTAGTTTGGCGTCTGTTTATATACTGGGCCTTCAGATTCGATGGCTCTTTAATGGCCGGCGGCAGTAAGACCTTTTCTGAGTTATGGGGCGTGAACAACATAGGTATTCTTAATTTCCCCGGTTCTCGAAAGCTCATGGATACTTCCAATCTTGAAACAATCGAGACGTTAATAATCTGCGAGAATTAAAAATCCGCCTAACTTACACAACTTCATGTATTCATTATATGTATATGCCAGAAACGAGCGCGCCTTCCAATGATCTCCTTAATTCGCAGTCTGTTTGTACTGCTCTATATGCGCATCGTCCTCAGACACAATAGTATGCACATGATGAGAGGGCTTGATTGTATATTTCTTCTGTTCATTGGTGCAATAGGGAATGCTAGAAAACCACGCGTCGTTGTCTAAATCCTCGAGGGTTGCCCTTTCAGCAGGGTCTATTGTGAGGATTCGAGACATGATGGGCCTCGAAGCGTGGGGCAACAGCCGCAATAAGCGGTAGGGACCATGCAGTACCTTTTTCCCCTTCCCTTGCTCACGAATCCTACCGGACCGCTGGTGCTCAGATTTCGAGGATATATTTTCGCTGTCATTCCCCTTAGGCTTGGCGTGGCCTTCAGCCTTTGCATCCGTCGGCTTATCGCATCCCTCAACATCATGGTCTCCGCGAAACTGCTTCTCCTCCGATACTATAGTTTCATGAGCGCACGTTTTCTCGTCTGACGCCACGCTGACTTGAGTTGGATGATGCTGAGCTGTCTTTGCATTGGACGCGCCATCTTCACTTTGAATATTCCTTCCTTTTGAATGAGGTGGCGACTGTTCGATTGTCAGACCGGAAAGTCGTAATTCCTCTACCCTATCATTGACGGGTCCCTCTTCTTTTAACTTTTTTAACCTCTGTTTCTCCTGACGTCTCTGTTTCATTAAAATCTCATGCTCTTGCGCTGATCTCTCGTAATCGTGTTCTATGTCATCTGGTAAACTAAAGAGCCTGAAATTCTCATCCGACTGTTTTGGACTTTTCCAAGGAAATCGTTTCAACATCATACAACAGTAGATAATACCGATCGACCAAATATCTACGGGCTGGGGATTGTAGCATTTCGTAGAGGTCATGACTTCTGGCGCTAAATAAGGATCGCTACCAACAATGCCGTGTGCCATTGACACATTCGAGTCAAATGGGTACTTGAAGACAACGGCGCTGCCAAAGTCGATTAGTTTCAAAACACCATCAATAGTCATCACGCAGTTGTCAAGCTTGAGATCTCGGTGTGCCAAACCCATACTGTGTAAATATTTGACGCCTTCGGTTAGTTGGCGAAGACAACAGTTTATTTCACCTCTCGTCATTTTGCCAGACATTACCACAGCAAAAAAATCGATGGGACAGTATTCCATGACTTCGTAGTACTTACTTTGTTTGGCGTCACTGAATATATCCAAAGTCTCTATCACGTTGGGATGGTGCAGAGTGGACCCTATGCAAAATTCCGCTGTGCATTTCTTGGCATAGTCTTTTACCAACTCATTGGGCTTTCGAGGCCGAAACTCTTTAACTGCAAATGTGGCACCGTCACTGGGTCTTGTGATAACGCGAACCGAGCCGCCCGCGCCTGAACCTAAAACTTTCCCCAGATTCCCGTATTTCTGGACTAAAATCGCATCGTCATGATATATATTGACCCTATTGGAAAGCGAAAGGGTTGAATCCGAGGATGGTGGTATGGCAGACTGCGTGTGGGAATGGTGATCCGCAGATCTGTTTCGTAGGTTGGTTTGAGAGCCGCCTCTGCCGTGCAACATGGCTGGCCTAAAAAACCGCTTCAGCTCATTCATGGACCCGCCGGATCGCTTCGGATGGCTTCCTTGCTCATGCGTCGTATCACTGCCAGCCGAGTCGCGACTACTGGTGTTGTTTAGGAAGCCGAGGAACGATCGACTACTGCGAATGCTATCTGTAGGTGGAGGGGATCCGGAGTCTCTCACGGGCGACTGTGAGCCCTTACCGTGGTGAAAAACGTTTCTTACCAGTAGCGAAGGCATCGTTATGACACGCACAGGTGGAGGACGGTGGAGAAGGAGTACACACTTGGAAAGTAATGATTGAAGTGTTCACAGCGTCACAGAGTGATCCGTGACTATCCGATGAGATGTGGTCTAGAGTTAGGCTTCAGTCTAACGCTGTGTTTCAGTCTTTAAGGACCGTTGAGGTGAGATCAACCAATGTTAGGCTGTTTATTCCCAGCTGCCGTAAACGTGAACTAAAGGGCAGTTTTCACTAACGGCCGCCAAATTTCCTTGAATATATAAATGACTCAACAGAACCCTCGTGCCAGGACTAAAAACCCAACTTTACAAACGGTTTTGGTAAAAGCCTCTAACTATCGTTGAGGAAGCTCCTTACAACACTGACAGTAGCAACTTGACTATCAAAGCGCTACTCAACCTCACTATGATTAGTTGAATGCGATATCATATACCCGATGTTACCTAAAATTGAGGTTTTTTTATTTTAATATATGATTTACTTTGCGGAAGCCATCATATCGTTTAAGGCTGGAGGACGACATAGTGCAAAACGATGGATAATGGTCCTTAAAAGTAGACTGTTTGATATTGGTTGAGTATGGAAGTTAGCAGATCGATTTGCCCACTAATGGACGGCGAGGAAGGTGGGGTCGCGGCCACCGAATGGTAAAAAAATACGTACAAGTAAACTCAAGGGTACAAAGTAACCCCCGTAACCTGTGTCTTAAATCAATAGGATCAATACCATACGTGGGAACTTTTAGGGCCTCGGGAATGAGTCTCAAGTGCGCAGAGATCCTTCAAAGAATGATTATAAGTTTACCTCGCCCTGAAAAAAAAACTGCCGTAAGTTACACGGACTCCTTAGGAATCTCAGAATAGGGCTACAGACGGAAATGTAATTTATATCTGGACAAGGTGATATTATGTGACTTACAATGTGGTAATACGTGTGATGTCATGATACGATGGGGCCTAATAGACAAATATGATAAATAATCAAATCACGCTTCGTTCTCTCTACCTAGCTACCCACTATCAAGGAGTGTCCACTAGCTGTATTTATACATGTGCCCCCAGTTGAGGCTAAACCCTACCCGCTCTCGAAGCACCACCTGGAACCGATTATTGACATTATTCTGACATCTCGAGGTTTCCCGTGGTGCAACGACATTATAGTACAGAATGATAGCAACAATCAAGGCAGGGGCGAGGGACATATCGCTTTCCCTTGCCGTTAGGTATTGGTATAATAGGCAGGCTGCATTTATTGATAGTGGATGACGGATTTGAATATATTTAAACTGTGCCAATAAGTTTGCGAGGGCGCATTGGTCTTAATTGGACCAAGGTTCAGTAGAAGAGGAAGCAGTATTCAGATTCAATCAGCACCCACCTAGGCTCCTCGAAAGAAATCAACAATAGAGGCACATCAGCTGAAAGGATGAGATAGATCTTTTTCTTTTCTTTTTTTCTTGGCTTTGGATGACTTATTTTCAAGTGCGTTGCGGCTACCTGAGAACTTTTGTTAAGTGACGTGCCATATAGAGCGCATTGACCAGGACAAACATAACTTAAATCATTTGAACTGGATTCACGAAAGCTCCATTTTCAAGCCCTTGAAGGTAGCCAAAATTGTAAACAGTCCAGGTGAGAACATCGAGCTAGGCACTGCCTTCCCCGGGCAACCCAATACGGCTCCCACCCCACCGAGAGCTACTTTGATAGCTCTTGAAAAAGTCAATGCTGGTCTTGTTTTGCCCCTGAACGCGGTATCTGGCGCACAGGAGAACTCTTCTAGGCTTTGGCATTAGCGATTAACTCAAAACTGACGCTCCTCCATCAGCACAGCCCAGCTCATTTCTCGAATATCACTTTGTACCACACTGACGCCCACAGTAACTTTGCATTTACATATCTCGGGTGGATCTAACCTAAGAAATGGACCACGCACAGCATGTTCCCCCATAGCCACCAGAATTCTTGCCTTAGATTGACACCCGCTGGTCAGCAGCCCATTCGTCAAGCCCTTAGTCGCTGCTTGAGTAAACAGATCACTTGGAACGTAGGATTGTTTACCATGTATCAACAACCTCTCCGAAATGTCAACATAGATCAGCCCGAGATTATGCAAGGTCCGAGCGAGCAGTAATATGCCTACTAAATGAGCTTGCTGCCACCAGACCAGCGCCAATCGTTGCACAAATGTCTGCTGAGCTACGTGCAAAGCCAAATTCCGCGGTCAGATGAGGCCTTGCCTACTTCTGTTAATGCTGACGACGTGATTGCTATATTAGCACGGTGGCTCGAGATCGACTCTCCCGATGGTGCGAACCCTTCAAAAACCAGCGACGGGTCTCTTTTGCCGCGCAAATGGACGTCGATCGTGCGACTTCAACGCCGGATTATCGAGTTGGAGAGAAGCATCCAGGAACTGTCAGAAGAGAACAGGACGCTTTTGGAGAATGGCCCCGCTTCGGTTGCCACTACATCATCTTTGAAATGGATTCCCAGGGAACGGAGTAACTTTAATATCAACTGTGGCTCATCGGTCACCAGCGCTAAACTACACCCCGAGTTACCACTTATATTTGTTGCAACCGATGCAGGCTTACTACAGTGTTACGACTTGATGAACTACTCGATACCCGTAGCCTCAATACAGGCTCACATGCGAGGAATAGTCTCGATTGATGTGATTTCAGTCCAAGAATCCGAATGCTTTGTAGTGACAGCTTCCAAGGATCTTCACTGCAAAGTATTCCGTCTAATAGATTCACAATTACAATTAATCCGAACATTGTCAGGTCATGAACATGTTGTGTCGCAAGTCAAGATTTGGAGGCATGGAACTGATGTGCTTGCAGCAAGCTGCTCGCGAGATCTGACTTGTAAAATCTGGAATATTTCAAACGGCTGGTGTCTAAAATCTTTTCAGCCTCATACAGAATGGATACGATCCATTGATATCACTGGTGAATATGCTATAACGGGTTCAAATGATTGTTCTATAAGATTATCACATTGGCCCACTGGAAGGGGCTTGTCGTTTGGCGTTGGCCACGAGTTTCCAATAGAAAGGGTGAAAATTATACCGTTATTGGATCCAAAAGAAGCTTTAGAAGGGGCACAGAATCCTTACAATGCTTTCAGCCAGGATTATAGTGAATTAGGATTCTCTCATGTCGTTTCTACATCCAGAGACAACACCATTCGTATCTGGCAAGTACCACTGCCAAAGTTCGTGGCTCACAGACCCCCACAACCTAATACCTCTAGACAGCATTTTACTTTGGTGACTGTTCTGAAAGGGCATACGTCGTGGGTGCGGGACGTCTGCATCAGAGGAAGTTTCTTGATAAGTTGTAGTGACGACAGAACTATACGAGTATGGGACCTCAACACCACTAATGTCGTTCGTATAATAGACAAGGCCCAAGAAGGCTTTGTCAACTGCATCTACGCCGATTCAAACGGGCTCAATAGACAAATACTAATATCGGGTGGCGCCGAAGGAAAATTGAAAGTCTTTATTAAGTAACATCTACTTTTTTATACTCTTGAGAAAAAAAGGTTTTATGTTCGAAACTAATGGACATTTACTGACTTAACATCAGTGCTTTATTCAGCTAGTTCAAATTCGACAGTTTGAAATTGGAAAGGTTCGTATGGTGTACCTTCACCTTCGAAAAATTTCGACATGGATTCAACCCAATGTAAACGCAAAGAGTGTAACATGGCAGAAGTACCTTCCATCAAGACTAGAATGACGCAGGTGAGTACAAACCACATGGTGAACAAGACAACAGTCATGATAACTCCAACGACACCGGTCATACTAAAGGCAATTTGAATTGTCATGGTCCATAGCACAGTAGACAGCTGAGCATGGGCAAGAGACAAGGCCCACAAACGTAAATAAGAAGCGGTGTGGGAAACAGTATTCAAGCAGAATTCAATAGTGTGAATAACTTGGTGAATGACAACATCCCCAAATTCTTCCCCGTGACCACCATTCTCGTCCTCATCATCATCATCACCATTCTTAGTAGTGTGCCCACTATGTTGCTCGCCCTCTTCCCCACTGACAGGAGCGTATGTATGATCTTCGTGGGTGAGTTTAAAGTGAATTGGTTTAATGAGCAACAAGCAGGGGACACAAATTAAGGCCATGATAAGTAAACAAACTTGAACTTTTGCCTGATGTGGGTAAAGCTCCTCTTCTACGGTTCCTGGTGATAAGAACATGTTGATTAGGGTATTCAACAGACCTGGTGCGACACGTTCATCTTTAACCCAGTCAATGGTCCACTTGTACACAATGCAAATGGACAGATAACCAAAGATACCTTGCATAAACAAGAGACCAGGAATAAAGTTGCCGATTATATCAATCCATTTGCCAAAGTGCAAAGCATTGACCAAAGAAAACATGTAGGAATATGTCATGTGAATGAATCCAAGTAAAACAGACAATTTCATCTTGTATGAGTTGCTGAAGAGCAAAGCATTTTCAGTCCCATGCCAAGCCCAATCTAAACCGATAGGATACGTTCCAACGTAAGTGGCTTGAATACTCTCTCCTTCCTTCCAATGAGATGGCCATTCCCAGCCTGACTTAAATAAGGTAAGGGACTTGGAAAACATATCATTGTACAAGAATCCGGTATAGATAGAAAACAAGCCCATCAGTAACAAAATGTACCTTCCCGAAAATGCCATGTCAAATATCTCATCTCTCTTCATCTTACCCAATGCCTTTTCGTTGAATACCAGTAGCGCAGCAACCATGGCCATCAACAAACCGTGCCCCATGTCACCAAACATGACAGCAAACATAAAGGGAAAAGTGACAATGGTAGGCAGCCCTGGATTGACTTCACGGTAAGTAGCAGTACCGTAACAATCAACAATATTTTGGAAAGCTGCAGTGAACTTGTTGGTTCTGTGAAATGTAGGCGGAGTCTTATTAGTCTCCAATACTTGCACAATGGATGGAACATCAACTCCTAGCGAAGCAGTGAGCCTGGCTAGCTGTCCTTGCAAGTTGCTTAATTCATCTTTGGGAATCCAACCCTCCCCAATCAAAGTTTTACGATTTGAGTCATAATCGAATAGGTTCAAAGTTTCGAAGACAGCCTTTTCCTTAGTTACTTCAACATTCCAAGCTTGCAGTTCCCTGGAGACCGCGTACAATTCTGTCTCCAACGTAGTGTTTGTAGTTTCGAGGACCGTGTTAACATCGGAAAGGCGAGAATTTACTTCGGCTAGTTGGGTCGAGCGGGCTGCGGCTCTCTCACTAATGTCGTAAAGGTTTGCGTCCAGAGATTCTGCGACCTTTCTCACCCTTTGCAAGATAATGTCACCATGAGAGAAAACTATAAAAGCATCCTTCAAGACCTTGGTCTTAGATCTGGAGTCATAGAGCGGCTCTGGTAATTGAACGTGCTTGAAATACAAGTTACCTCTCAAGACCCTCCATAGGATTTGCTCCAAAGTGGCAGCCTTGGCACGAGGAATGGTACCGGTTACAAACGAAACCGAGTGGGGGAAAGTTTCATCCTGGTTTTCTCCATGTACCAGCCCAGAAGCGCTCTCAAAGAACTCCTGCCCGGCCTGCAAAACGAGGCGGAACTGTTCCAGGTCAGATTTTTGTAAGTCGAGCTGCTCGCGGGCCTCCACTAGCTGCTGCATCCGTTGCTCGATGAGAGACCCATTTTCGACGTGATCGTCAATTTTCGACGAGCTAGGGGCCATTTGAAACACATTTGTGGTTGTTTCATCCTCCGCTTCTTCAAACACCGGGATATTGTGCTCGCACAAAACTTTGTAAAAATACCTGTATTGTCTCTGCAGATTGTCCAAGCGTCTTACTTCGGGCACAAAGGTTCTCTGGAAAGCGCGAATTTTGGTGTTCAGGTCTCTGAACTGCACCAGACCCTGGCTTCCCAGACTGTAGACCGCCTCCCTGGCAATTTCCTGAGGAGTGTAAACCTGTATCAAGCTCATTTCCGCAGAGCGGAACATAGCCTCATACTTTTCCACCATGATTTACTACACGTAAATAGATAGCAAAAGAGAGCTGAAAATGGGCAATTACCACGCTGAAGACGACGACGATAGCTGCTGAAAAAGGAGTGGTTTGTTGATAAAGGTGGTCCAATTAAGAGTGGTTAATATTTTTAAGTAAATCCAAAGTTCATCATAGTATACGTGAAGAGTGTAACGACGTTAACTAAGAGCCGAACAAGATCCAAGCTATCGCAATTATTGCCCCACTTTCCATCAATTTTACTGGACGACTCTGTTCAGGGAAATTCGGCAGGATATAGCTGATTGTTTTTGACTAAGCTAATTGATTTCCACGAGCACTTAGGAATTTGGTTACGATTCCCCCGTTGACTATGGCAAACACAACAGGACGCCTTCCCCTCTAATTTATGGCCATAGCCATGCGCCAAGATTGTTGCGCCCTCTTGCGCGGTAGACATCAGATTGTTGAGCAGAAGACAACGGGCGTCAGTATAGTTAAAAGTGATACGGATCCTTGGCGAGTAATTCCCAGCATTCAACGCACTGTAGTAGCAACATAGTGCTTTTTAATGATAGCATAATTTCTAATGTTGCGTACAGCTGCCACTTGGCTTTTTCGGAGACGAGAATCGAACGCAGGGCTTATTCGCATCTACAGGGCAGCGAGATTACAACACGTGATCAAACTCTCGAGAGCCCAATTTCTCGTACAGGACAATGCTATATGTCGACACGCGCTCGAGGTGGGTACGGTAATTGTCAAGAAGCTTGTAGCAACTCAATTGGCGCGGAGTTGTACTGATTGGGCTTGGAATATCGGATCTGTAGCTTACAGCTATGCCTTTGCCACTTTTGACGTCCGCCCCTGGCAAAGTCATCATTTTTGGAGAACACTCAGCAGTGTTCAACGAGCCTGCCATTGCGGCCAGTGTTGCCTCCTTGAGAACATATTTATTGGTTACAGAGGCTGAAAATGCAGACATTGTCGAGCTCGACTTTCCAGACATTGGATTGGACCACAAATGGCACGTATCAGAACTATCTGGTATGCCCGACCTTGGTGAACTAGGGCCTATCGACCACTGCAAAGAGCTCAGTACCGATCTAAACGCAGCATTAGAACCACTACTTCAGTCATTACACGGGTCTTTGAAATATCATGCTGCGTACTGCTTCTTGTACTTGTATGTGAGTCTGTGCGGCGCACGTTCGGGCGTCAAATTTTCAGTCAAGTCAAGTCTGCCGATAGGCGCCGGTCTGGGGTCAAGTGCGTCAATTGCTGTATGCTTGGCTCTTGCTATTGGTAAACTGGGTGGTCATCTGAGCTCCGAAGCTCAAAAGTTAACCAAAGATGAGTTGAAATTTGTCGACAGATGGTCCTTCATTGGCGAAAAATGCATACATGGTACTCCATCGGGTATTGATAACGCTGTGGCTACCTACGGAAATGCAGTTCTGTTCCAGAGACAAGCTAATGCAGAGACAAGATCTGAGCAAATTTCTGATTTCCCACAAATCCCTATGATCTTAACTAATACAGGGATTCCGCGCTCAACCAAAGTTCTGGTTTCTGGTGTAAAAGATTTACTTACGCGGCAACCAGATATTGCAGTGCCGATTGTTAAATCAATGGGCATAATAGCCTCGCGGGGGGCTCAAATTCTGGCCGACCTGAGTGCATCTAACTATACAGAATTATGCGAACTGGTAAGAATCAACCACGGCCTTTTAGTAGCACTAGGCGTTTCACATCCGGGGCTAGAGGTGATCAAAGGTCTTGGTGACTCAATGGCAATAGGAGCCACCAAGCTGACGGGCGCTGGTGGAGGAGGCTGCGCCCTGACCATCTTGAAGCAAGATGCGCCCGAGGATGCGATTACTAAATTCAAGACATCTCTGGAATCCGCACACGGCTACAAGACTTACGTGACGGGATTAGGTGGGCCGGGCTGCGCATTTATTGCCTCAGACCAAATTCTTCAAAATTACGAATTGATTGAATCTCTTTTTGATAACAATGTAGCTGTGTCAAACTTAAGCGTGCTACTTCCAGGTAAAAGTTCCTTGCAATGGATATACTAAGTAACTAATATGCATTTTACTTCATTCTATCAGAGTCTCAAGCATTGTACATGCGTGTCGCACCGCCATTAGATACCTCTGTTGAACCAGACTTTTTCAATGGGCTCACCCTTTTGGTCCTTTTGGTCCACCAGGTGCTTTTCTAGCTTGGTCACCTCAATACCTTGATATTGAGGGAAGACAGCCAATGCGAATGGAAGAGCTGCAAGGGAGGTACCCAAGATCAGCCCTAAGTTAGCTAGGGTTTGTACGCCAAGTGATTTGCCCTTTAAAACTCCTTTTTGAAGTCTCACCAGGAGAAGTGGAGGCAAAACCATGATTGGTGTGCAGTTGATGACTCTGCTCAAGGCCGTTTCTCCAACGGCCAGGAAAGCAGCTTTCTTGGACTTTCCAACCTCATCGCCGTTCTTGTCGTAAACGGAAATACCTTTGCGGATTTCACCACCTCTCATCAAGAACACATTAATGACACCGGCACTGACTACAGCGGCGAATGGTACTAGGCGGCCCAAAATCAACTTTGTGTTGGCAGAAAGATGCTGCAAACGTGGAAGCAACTTGTTGAGACCCACTGCAACACCACACGAGGCAGAAACAGCCATTGTATAGTTGGTCACCAATTGCATGGTGGACATTGGGTGCGACTTGTTAGCATTGGCGGAATTGATGGCAACATTTAGCGATTGATTTGCCCATTGCCAGAAGATGGTTCCAGCGGTTCCCAGGCCCGGCGTTAGCATGCCTGCAGTGACTACCAAGTTGGACAGAACACAACAGGACATACGGAACGGGAGCAACACCGTTTCTCCTGTGTCCGGGTGGACCGTCGAGTCCAGCTGTTTTTTTGCAGCCCAAAAGTCCGGAGTTGTAGTCTTCAGCTCGCCGTGACGAAAGCTAGAGATGATTTTGCGGGCGCCCTCAAGTTGCTTTTCCGTGGTTAGCAGCATTAGTGGATCTGCGATTTCAGAGCAGTGACGAACTCTACCCCAGTAGGTGGACAAGTCGAATTTGGACTCTGGTAAGGGATAAGGACCGGGGACCGAAGATGCCATGGTATACAGACTTGTATTATGCAGCTGGTCTTGTGTAAGACCGATCAATGACTAGTGCTGGGCGCCAACTGAAGTTGAGTGCTATTCAGCAAATTCATTGACTTTTATCTTATAGGTGCGAAGAATCATCATACACGCAACTAGATGACTCAACCTTCAAAGAATCTTTCTGACCCGCTGTTAGGAGAAGACTAGAAAGCCATGCGCATATCCTACCTTGGACGTCGTTGTTTTGAACCCACTCCATAATATCCATATTCCATCCCTCTGCGGATTGGTCGGCTTCTGCTGTATTGCGTCGAAATAATAAGAAAATGCGGTGTCGCATCTTTCCAGAGGTCATATATGCCTTCCCACACCAAACCAGTGAAAATTGAGGATTCTTCTTATGTTTGCGTGGCGAGAGCTCACAATGGTTTACGAGCCGCTCTCCAGCTGTCAAAGACCGAGGGCGAAGACTGGAGGCCAAGCGGCAGAATTGTACAAAGTGACTACCAAGCAGCGCTTTTTGGCATGTAAATAACAAAACAAACTATGTCCTCAAGACTTACCGTAATCCAGCCCTTCACCTCAAAGGACCATGATACCGGAATAGTGGAACTCCAGGCATCAACAAACCACTTTCATATATCAATTTCACATATCACTTTGTACATATGTGACGCAAGTGGTAAACCTTACGTTATGTTTTCCCAGCGCACTTCTTTGGCTCCCTCTTTTCGCCACTCTCCACACCGGCCAGTTGAACCTCGCACCTGCTGTATCTCATGAACTACTGGACCCGTGTAACCCAACCCTAATGCAGTGCCAACTGCTTTTGAAATGTTACCCAGCCCATTTGGAAATTAGTACTATAAATTAGAAAAACTATCTCATTTTGTATATCTTGACTTTTGAAGTGTATTTTAGCTCGGTGATACGAAATTTTAATAGCCTTCTATTCACTGTGCCATCTCAGTATCCGTAGATGATCAGAGGGGAAAAGAACGGCTAGATGAACCATCGCCAGCGTCCTCATACTGTCCGGATCGATTAGTTTTACTTTACTGGGTTCGGTCGGTAACTGCGCAAGCGAAACATCTAGAAACATCTCAAATACATATTGATTATAGGGCCCAGCGCGTAGTTCACTGTGGCACAGAACCGTTTAATCTTGAAAGCGCTCCCCTTGCGGGGGAGGATTTAGCAGGGCCGAGTTTTCTTGTTTGCCCTGCTCGGTTGCCTATCCAGAGTTACGCGCAAGCACTTTGCTGGATGCCGGCTATGCTCTTCATTCTTATAACCGCTCAGTAGAAGACTTGAGGCCGATGTGGTGCGGCAACACGCTTGGATTTGTTGTTCACCATGACTTTTATTTGTTTCTATGTGTGGAATTGCAGTAGTACAATACTATACTGAAAAATTTTGAAAAACTCATCTCATCGGTTAAAGCTCATCGCAGAAGTAAAAACAGCCCAACAGCTCGAAAGCGCCTCGAAGCCTGGTTAAAATGTCAGAAGAAGCCCAGGTTAAGGTCAGATTTTTCACTAGAGAACAAGATGAGAGTTTGCAGGTGGAAGACTCGACGCTTTTCGCCCCAGTGTCATTGAAAAGATATGGTCTCTCGGAAATTGTAAACCATCTGCTGAAGCTGGAAAAATCAGTGCCATTCGACTTTTTGGTGGATGGCGAGCTGCTGCGTACGTCTTTGGAGGCATACCTGACCAAGAAAGGTCTTTCGTCAGAAACATTACTGAACGTGGAATATACTAGGGCGGTCTTGCCTCCGTCCTACTTGAAGAGTTTCGACAACGACGACTGGGTTAGTGCTCTTGACGTGGGGAACTCAAGCATTGTTAGTGGCTCTTACGATGGTATTGTGCGGACCTGGAATTTGTCAGGCAAGATCGAGAAGCAATACGCGGGTCATTCGGGTGCGATCCGCGCAGTAAAGTACATTTCCAGCACAAGGCTTGTTTCGGGAGCCAATGACCGAACTCTACGTCTCTGGAAAACAAAGAACGATGATCTCAAGAACAACCTCACTGCCGAAGAAGATGACGTTGAAGAAGGCAAAACTTTAGCTATTTTGGAGGGCCACAAAGCACCCGTGGTTACTCTGGATGTTCATGCTGACCGTATTTTATCTGGTTCCTATGACCATTCTATTGCTTTTTGGTCGACAAACCACAAAGACATGACTGCCATAGATCCCATGGACTTCTCCGCCACCTCCATGTCTTCTGCTGCGAAAAAGAGAAGAAAGCTTGCTCTAAAGGATGGCTCGGTCAGAAGAAGATCACCATTGGCTTTATTGGAGTCTCATAATGCTCCTGTAGAGGCGGTTGAATTCGACTCCCGTGACAAGAGCGTCGGTTACTCTGTTTCTCAAGACCATACAATAAAAACATGGGATTTGGTTACCGCTCGCTGCGTTGACACAAAGACTACTTCATACTCACTTTTATCAATGACACAGCTACCCCAGTTGAACTTAATCGCATGTGGTTCTAGCGCTCGCCACATTACGCTCCACGATCCTCGTATGGGCACATCCACCAAGATAACGCAGCAGCAACTTAATGGGCATTCCAATTTTGTTGTAGCCTTAGACACCTGTCCTCAGAACGAATACATGCTATGTTCTGCATCCCATGACGGAACTGTCAAGGTCTGGGACGTCAGATCTAGCTCTCCTATGTACACTATCACCAGAGAAGCTGATGTGACCAAGAATGTTAACGATAAAGTTTTTGACGTCAAGTGGGCTAAAGGCTTAGGTATCGTCAGTGGCGGCCAAGATAAGAAAATTCAAATTAACAAGGGCGATGACATCTTCAAGAAATGAATGTTATCAATTCATGGATATCAACTGTGTAAATTATTCTCCTGTGTATACAGAATGGAACTTAACTAACCCATAGTACCCTTGATACAACGATTGTTCGTTTGTTAGGTAGCCGCTTAGTTCTTTAGGATCACAGCTATGGTACAAGTCTTTCCATTTCCTCACTTCGCGCAACTTAGTGAGCTCTTGGTCGGTCAATTGTATTTTGGGCCTTGTTCCATACTTCAATGGTCCAATGTTAATCCAATGAAGTTCAGAAGTGGAGGCTTTCAACGATTCAGTAGCCTCAAAATAGTCAAACAGGTTTTCGGCAGTGTCTATAAAAAATGCCGATAACACCACGATCTGGTCGTAAAACGTAGGAACTTTGAAATTGCAGAAGTTGCCCAAGTGCACCTTTAAATTTGGAGGTTTTTTTAATGTGGAAAGGTCTATCTGGAACGATCTAGTTTGCTGCTCTACGGAAAGTTGGCCAGAAAAGTGTTGTAAAAAAGGCCTCAATGGGACCTCTCCGTCGTAGTTTAAGGCAAACTCATTGCATAAGTACATCAAAGTTGACAATTCGATAGAGTGAACACCAAACTCCGGGAAGGCGCTTGCGACCTCGTACGCAAGACCCCCGACACCAGATCCTGGAACGACTACAAGTGTTTTGCCTTTGAAACGCTGGTGTCTCATTCTTGAAATTGCAAACTCACTCAAAGGCTTTCGCTCAAGAGCATAGTCCTGATGCCAATCTCGGCATAAATGCGATATAGCCTCATTCACGCGGGCCTGGTTGGAGACAGGATTCAACGCCATTCTATGAGCCGGAATTTTTTCCAGTGGTCGGTCACTGTGGCATGTATATCCCAAGCTGTTGCAGATTGTTTTCACCTCTTTTCCCTGGTCGCTTTCCAACCGATTGTTCTTCACCAATTTTGAGAGTGCATTCTCGACTATTGCCCGTGTAATAATTTGATTACCGTCGATGGCCTCGTTGATTCGTTCCAGCTTATCATAGTAGTTAAGCAACCGCAATTGTTCGATTTGTTCTTGATGTAACGCTTTTGATCTATGATAAACGACAGCATTCTGAGTTTGGGCCCTGGCCCCATACTCTTGGAGTTGTTCTAAGGCGTTGAACACATCAAGAAGCCCTTCAGACTTTCGGAAATATGCCGATTGGCCCAATTTGAAATCCGTCGACAGGGGAATATGCTTGTTTAGCTTGGCCAGCGAGCTTTGGAGCTTATCAGCTAACAACAACTTAAATCGGGCATTATTCTTCAAAAACATAAGAGCTATGGATAAAAACACAATGAGCCAGCTGGTCGCAGCCGAAGTCATTATATAATGGTGCAGTTAGCCGATTTGACCTGTGGTGTGAATTGGTAAAGAAATTCCTCGTGGAGTTAATGTAATAATTGAATCAACATAGTTACTCTAACGATTAAAACATATTGTAAATACGGCATACTACTGTCTAAAATTTTGGATTTAACTCTGAAGATCAATACTTTCTCCAATGTTTTGAAACTGCAGCAATCTCGCCATTATCTCAGCTTGGAGATTATTTGTGATTCGCTATGGCTTTTGGTTTCGTGCACTTCGAATTCTGGGCCGTTTTCTGCATCCGTAGTATCCTTAGCGCCTAATATCGACTTCCCTACTCGAGGAATTTTCAGACCTGCGTCATGGCTGAGATTTCCCTTTAACTCATTCCCGAGTTCTCCAGGAGAGTGTTGGACCCAAAGGTTGATCTTTGACGCACCGTCTTGTCATACCTGGCAAAAATCCAAGGAACTGGAATCATTTTCAAGACAAACGAATCCAAACAGGGAGCTAGCCCATCCAATACTCATCTTCTCATACATTTGAATGGTGAATAGTGGGAAAAGACAGCTGTGACATACCGCAGCAGGTTATTAGCGGTTAAATCTGATGCCAAGTATAATGGCGGGTAAGAACTGGAGAAATATATGATGACGCTGTGAAAGATCAAAATCAGACCAGAACCAAATGGTTCTCCTGCAGCAATGGGGCCATTCAATGGACGTTGGCCCATGAAGTCCAGCTGAGCCAGAACAAGCTGATCGGTAATGCAATGGTGCCCATTTTGCAAACATCGAGAAGTCTTTCAGGTTTGATAGGCAATAATTCGCCGATGTCCTCTAAATGACCTAGTTCTCTTACTTGATCGTTGAGCCATTTGCGGAGTCCCTGTTGGTGCAGGAGGGAATAAACAGTGCAGGTCAAATATAATGTAGAAGATGGAACCCATCCATATACCGACACCAATACCAATAAATGCGAGGCCAGGCAGGCCCAACCACATATGATACGCTCCACGAAGGATTACAGGATGGGCCTCGAAGTGAGCAAATAAGACTGCAAAAAATAATTGCTACGTAAACGGAAACCACCAGGACTGTAGGCTCGGTTAGAAGCATTTTTACGGGTCTGAACAGAGTTAGTATTACCGTTAGTTTCATGAACTCTTTCTTCTCCTTACCCTAAGGTTTTTTGAAGTTGATCTTCCGCTTCTGCGCGCGCTTGGTGAGGGTGGCCGTCTTGTAAGTTTTGGACATCAGCACGATGAATGGGATGATAACCCTTCGGCAATGAGCTGTATGTATGTTGCCCATCGCCAACCCTGCTTCTCGGTCGCAAATCTCGCAAGAATTGGACTGATGACTGGTCCCAAGAAAGGTGCCAAATAAAATAGAGGCAATTGAAACTAAGTAATGTCCCACATGTCCAAAATGGTCACAGATGTCACAGAGAGCGCAGGCGAGCCAAATACACCGGCAAAAAAACCGAACGAGCAGCACGATGCGCAAAATCCCGTCTGATAGCGCCACTCCCACGGTAAAAAGCATTGAAAGAGGCAGAGAAATAGCGTAGATAGGTTTCCGGCAGAACACCTCGGAAAGTGGGGCGCTGATCACCGTGGAAAGACCCAATAAGTAAAAGGTGAGTCCTGAAAGCGCAAGCATCTCGCTGTACCCATACCCTAATACCATTCATGGAACACCGCTCACTTACAGGGACGAGCCCATCGTAACCACTAAACACAACATAGCTCCGGTCATCGTAGTGTACCATTTTTTTCCAAGTAGATTAATTGTGTGGATTGTCAGGGTCCGATGGGCTATCCCAATATAACGTTCGAGGACCGATCGGCTTAAAAGCCAGCTCGACAATATCTTTTAAGTCTACTAGCCATCTCTTAAACCTTTATAAGCAGTAACTAGGAACCCAACTTAAGGAAGTACACACTTTTAACCCAAACTTGACGTTTCTAGACGTGGACAAAAGCTGTACTTGTGAATGGGAGGCTTACTATGTGTTCTCGTTCAATGCAAGCCTTTACTGGTAGCGAATATGGTTCCACAAGTGGATAGCGACGGTGGAGAAGGGGAGGTGTTTATGCTTTTCGAAGTCTGCTGATAACCATCCTGGCCGAACATATTCGTGAGTACAGTGTCATAGAAGCTGGAAAAAATGCGTTTCGAGCTAGGTAGACAGACAACGAGTTGGGCTCCTCTTCGTGGAGTGTCTAATGCTACAAGTGTGGGAGAGTGGCTCTTAGCAGTATGCTTCGCTTTTTTTCACTGCGCTTTATTCGCTTCCTACCTTTGAGCAAAACGCTACCTTGGTAGGTGAAAACTAGTGGGGCATTGGTTTGGGAAAGGCCGGTACATGTTAACGAGAGCAAGTACGCCAATTCCATTCGTTGGGGCGAGGCGTTCCAGCAATTGCATTGACAAAAATTCGCAACTTAGCGAAAGGCTAGCAGTACTGAAGTAAAGAGACTGTCAAACGCTCTGAAAACACATCATGCATAGGAACCGAGGGAACCGAGGTTACCAAACCATTGTTTCTCTATCCTTAGTATTTTTATGTTTTTCGTGTCGTTACGAAATAAACCTCGGAAAGTTTGCCTTAATACTCTGCTAAAGGCTAAACTTCATGAACTCACAATCGCGCCCCGTTGTTTGCCGAGCTACGATTATTTACTGACGAGCATAGCCAAGAAGCTAGATGAGTTGTCTTACTTGTCCTTCATGTGACCGGTCGTTCGACGGAAAATTAATGACATGATGAGAAGACAGGCGATGAGCTAACATCTTGGCCATTTCACTTTGTCAGTAACTATCACCAAGTGCTCACCGAGCAAGGTCTTATTATGCGTGAAGTTATCAGTATTAGCGCTTCGCACAGAACAAATCATGTCCTAACACAATTCTACAATTGCCAAGAACAATCATTGCATAGTGCTGATGCTGAAAATGACCCCACTGTTTTCCTCAATCCCACAGTGGATCGGATTTCCAAGACGGTCTCATATGCTCCTAGAGCTATTCTGTGGGATGCAAATGGCGGTGCTGGGTCTCTTGGCGTTCACCAGTATTCAGAGACCAAAGACTACTACTACGATGCGCACCACAAGCCCGAAGAAACGGATCCCAATATTAAGCTGATTCACACGCAGCCCAGAATTCCACAATCAGAATACCAAACAGCTCTAGACTTGGGCCTTCCGCTGCCTGAACTAGACGACAAGAACACTGTATTTTGGTCGGATTACGCCAAACTGGTCTTTGGCCCCGCTAACTTGAACTTTTTGAACGACTGGTATCACAACGTGCAGGATCCGTCGTGCCCTGATTTTCACAATCTACATCAAACTCTTTTCGACAACTTTGATGTAGGGTTACATGAATTCAAGACGAATCACGCAACGCAATTCTTTGATCAGCAACTGCACTCCCAACTGGAGTCTTGCGACGGATTACAAGCTATCAATCTATTATCAGAGGTCGACAATGGGTGGGGTGGCTTCTCGTCCAGTCTGCTAGTAGAGATGCGCGATGAACTACCAAAAACAGACGTGATATCCTGGGGCTTCAACAATGACGACGTTTTGACTCTAAACCAGCCCATACACTCTACTAGAACCAAATTCCAAATGATCTGCAACAAGATACGCTCTTCGCTTGCCCTAGTACGCGACTCCACCCTTCACTTCCCAATCTACTCGAGCCCTCACGAGTCGCTATGGAGATCTGCTGGCTCCACGATGCTCTTGTTCGATGCCGTCAATTCTGTTGGATCCTATCAAGGTGAAGCTAAGAACACGTCGCTGGGCTACCTCATCGGGGCTCTCACACACGACGAGCCCCACAGAAACATCTTGTCTGGGCTCACTGCTGAAGAACACGACTTTTCGTTCTACTCCCGCGTTCCAAAATACAGGACTAGCGGTTCGCAAATTTACTCAAAACTTTCTATCGCCAGAGGCTCTACCCCTACTTCAGAAAATAAAGCAACGATTAATACTTCTGAGTGGCTGCCATCCGATACTATACCCGCGGAGTACAGAACGAATAGTTGCTACTCTGTTGATCTTTCTGTCACTGAAAAGCCCAGAGATATATTCAAGAATTGGTTTGACCTAGTCTCCCGTCACTTTAAGTACGACAGCGATCGAGAGGAACTGAAGGAAGAATTAGGGAGCCTTGCCGCTTTATATGAAGAGGGCTGGTATGACGACGATGATTCTGGCGACGATTTGTGAACTAAATTACGTTCATTCTTTAGGGAGTACGTCCATACGGTGTTGATGGAATCATACATAGTAAATTTTCAATCCTGCAGAATAGGGCGATGAGCTAAACAAAAAGATCATCAGGTTGGAAAAGATGCTTTAATGCTTCGATGGCTAACTCAAAAGCTCAATCCTATGCCAAAACCTAAAGTCATTGTTATAGCTGGAACAACAGGGGTTGGTAAATCCCAACTGTCAATCCAAATTGCTTCTCACGTCTCGGGCGAGGTGATAAATTCAGATTCCATGCAAGTTTACAAGGGTGTTCCCATTATAACTAACAAGCACCCAGTATTAGAGCGCAACAATGTTTCGCACCATGTCATGAATCATGTGAATTGGGACGAGGAGTACTACCTGCACAGGTTCGAAAAGGAATGCCTCAGTGCTATTGAAGAGATACACTCGAGAGGCAAAATCCCAGTAATAGTGGGAGGAACGCACTATTATCTTCAGATTTTGCTTAGCAAACGGGTGGACCAGAAAACTAGGGTACCGACAACGGATGAGCAGGCCATTTTGGACAGCAATGATTCGGACGCTGTGTACGGAGTACTTCAGAAAATCGACCCGAGTATTGCGGCTAAATACCACCCGAACGACACTCGAAGAGTGCGGAGAATGCTGGAGATATATTACACAACAGGCCAGCGCCCCAGTGAGACATTTGCGGGGCAGAAAAACACCCTGAAGTTCGATACTCTATTTTATTGGATATACAGCAAGCCAGAGACACTAGAGCCCAGGCTAGACTCAAGAGTAGATCAGATGATGGACGCTGGTGCGCTCTCCGAACTCGAGCAGCTTTTTGAATTTTACAAAAATCACATATACACCCAAGACGATTGCGAACATGGCGTTTGGCAAGTGATTGGCTTCAAAGAATTCCTTGCATGGCTAGAAAAGACGCCGGGGGCATCATTTGATCTGTCAGTTGACCGCATGAAACTTAGGACACGCCAGTATGCTAAAAAACAGGTCAAGTGGATAAAGAAGATGCTGCTCCCTGACGTGAAGGACCATTTATTTGTGTTGGATGCAACGGACCTCCAGAAATGGGACCAAAATGTTGCAGCACGAGCCATGGCCATAGTCGACAAATTTATTGTTTCGCAGCCCATAGCCGAGGAACATGCGCCACCCACACTCTCAGGCTTGCTCATTGATGATCTGTCTGGTACCAGCAGTCCCAAGGCTGAGAAAGATTGGAATCAATATGTTTGTCACACCTGTCGCGATAAAGAAGACAAGCCGCTTCTGGCCATTGGAGATAAAAATTGGCAAGTTCATTTGAAAAGTAGGCGCCATCGTACTAATTCAACGAGGGCCAAAAGACAGAAGCAACATCAGCAATGGAAAGAAAATAAACTAGAATCTTCTAGTTTCGGTTAAAGTATCAATGCACTATGGTTGTTTAATGCCCCGTAAGATTAGTTCAGTCTTCGGGCGGCCTATTTAGAGTTTCCTCAAGACCTTTTTTTTTCTCTCCTTTCAATCTCGAACACTTGAACCTCTTGCAGCAGAGCGCTGGAAGAACTAGCAAGGTCGCTATAAAATTTGTTACCTCCCTGCACATTTTCTTTGACCTCGTTGAAGAGCTTTAGTGAGTGTTTAAAATCCTGCACATAAAGATCTACAGAGTCTAGCCTTCGGTTATTGTTCTTTGTGCTCTCTTCTGACAGTTGAACCAAAAGCTCCCTGTTCACACGCTTTTCCTTCCCAATACTGTCTAAGTCGTCGCGGAATATTTTAAGATGCTCTGTGAATACGTCTTCAAAATCATTTTGGCCGGTTCGCTTGTACACAGAGACAATTTTTGGTAAAATAACGTTGTCATCGACTTTGCGCTGAACTTCTGAAATATAATCAGTACGACGATTGAATGCAGCCAGCACCTCGTTGAGTACCGGATTATTAGACTGCGGTAGGTTGATTGGCGCTGTAAGAAGTTGTTTGTCTATAGAATCGAATCGTTGGAGAGTCTCGGCATCGATGGCCTTACCGGTTTGTAAGAAGGAAACAATTTTGTTGTGTTTCGACCAAAAACTATTGTTGACTTCCCTTGAATCCTCCAAAGTCCATTTATGAGAGCCATACCTTTCCCTAAGCAACTTGTCTGTATCACTCTCTTGCATTAAAATCATTGACACCTGCCTCAACACATCGCGGATCTGCTCAGCGTTTAATGTGTTCTCTTTGATTGAAGATTGGCAGGCATCCAGTTCCTTTTGCTCAATCGGTTGAAGGAATCCGGGCACGTAATGTAGTGGCAAGTTTTCGCTGAGAAGCTTATTGAGAGAAATTAATGGATCAACGATATATTCTTGGATGTACAAGTCTAGACGTTTCTTGAAAGCAAATGAACTCTCCATGACATAACTTGGCAACAAATCTTTGAACAAGATTTTGTCAAAAGGAAAATTTAATGGATCTTTTAAGCCTTCGAAAGAAGCAGGGCTAACCATTGAAGTTGGTTTGAGATTAGGTAGGGCGACCGGGATAGGTTGTAAATAAATAAGGTCGTTTTCCCTCTCAGCACCTTTAAGCATTTCTTTTACTCTAGATATCAACATGCATACTGCTTCTTCATCCTGGCTTACTGTCTGCAACGTGGTATCAGCGTCGCGCAGGGCCCTCACTTTATATCCGTAGTGCGCCTTATCGTCACAAGATAGACTATAACGGTAGAGAGCGACAGCTTTAAAATAAAGATGCTTTTGTTTGAATCTGTGCTGCCAGTCCGACCTTATGAGTTCACTGCTTGAAGCACATTTGGATGATTGGTAATAGTACTCCGAGACTTGCAAGGCCAACTTGGCAACCAAATTGTTTTTAAGCCCCTCCTTGATAGATTTCAACCAAACCATCTCTTGAGCCTGTGCTAACATAAGGCTTTCAAGACTTTTGACGGCAATGGGCTCCATAACAGGATCGGTCATTTGTTCCAATAGGTCCGCAATATGAACAAAGCAGCCCGCCGCGAGTCTGTAATATATGCAAGCATTTTTGAGCCCTTCCGAAGTTCCATTGTTGATGTCCGCTGCAAGTAATGAATACAAGGCTCCGATGTTGTAAACGATATTAAGTTCTTCGCAGATAAACCTAGAATCCTCTCGGCCATAAGACTTCAGTCCCAACGTCTCGAACCACTTGAAGCTAATTTGCTGATCGGGAAACTTCCTCTTTAGGTTACTGAATTGTAGGTAATAGTTTTGGAGAGTGTGAAGACCCGTGAGTGATATTTCTGCCTCTAGAGCTGACGATCGAAGCCTTGTAAGTGTTTTAAGGTCATCCTTAAAAACTGAAGCTATCTGGTAAAACGACTTGTCTATAATCTCCGATAACTCTCTCTCCAAATCAACATGAAGACTTCTCTTGAACGGAATGCACAGGAGTTGTGACATGCCCTTAATTTTGTGGTCGCACACTACTGTTTTGTGATTAAGAGAGAGTTGATTTAATTTTCGAAAACAAGTGATCTACATTGACGCGGGTGCCTTGTCTTCTCCAACAACGCCTCGATACGTGATTTATTACAGTTTTAAATACATTAAACTCACGCTGTGAATATTTTACCTCTGGTTGATGTGATTTGGAAATCCTCGTGGGCATCTTTGAATTCGTCACCATCCTCTTGAAGCCTTACCGGAATGCTCAAACGCTTGGCACCTTTTGAAGCTATATTCAAAAGTTTTAAAGATTCTGATCTAGCAAGATCTGATTTCTCAAGCCCGATCACTTCTTCCTCATCGGGGTCTTGTATGTTAGAATCCGGAATATCGTCGCCTAGTTCGGAAAGAAGAAAAGTAATATTAGTGATATGGGATTTGACAGATTGCGACCCTCTTGTTGTCAGAGTAGGGGGGTGAGTGGGTGTTCCATTGCTCTGAAGCGCCTTAAGATCTTTGACCTTAGGAGATAGGTGCCTTAAGGTTTTCAAAGATCTAGCGTCAGATTGGAGAGCTAACTTCGGAACCCGATACAAGTCGTATGGCACCGGAGAAGAATCCAATGTAGCGCCATCTGTGGCGTTACTGAAGTTGTGAGTCTCCTCCGTTTTGCCACCAGATGCGCTAAAACCATTTGACATAAGATCCGTAGTTGAAATGTTAGTTTCCTTTGACAAAATAATTCTCTTACCTTTCTCCGAATACTTATTTCTCCCTCCATCAGAGTAGTACTGTAGCAAATCTTTTTGTGCGAATGGCGTTTGATTGGTGTAATTGAGCTTTGCTTGTGATTGATAATCCGTCAACTCAAGAAAGTTGGCAGCTGCCAAATGATAAAAGTAATAACACTCTTTGGCACCCTCACCGTAATTCAGATAATGTCTAAGGCCAGCCAACAAAGCCACGCCTCTGAATTTTTTGAGAGCTGCATCGATGAAGCGATGCTGGTCATCAGCGGCCTTAAGAGTGTCTATAACGTGAAATAACTTCGATAAGGAAAAAGAGCCATTCACGGAATCACTCACAGTTTCAAAAAATTTGAAGGGTTCATCGATGAAGGGAGTTAACTCCAGATAGGTTTCCAAATTTAGAGACGGCCTAAAGGTCGAAGAGGCTAATTCCTGCAAGTCCCTGCGCAGAATAGAGGAGAAGCGTGAATTTCTGTCGTCCTTGAGGCGTATTAAAATTTCTGAGAACATATCAGAGGTCTGGTCTCTGTAATATGTCTTGCGATTCAGATTTCCGATGACGATGGCACATTGATCGCAAACCTCTTGCGAGACGCCTTCGGCCATCTGAGTGTTCAGTACCCTCCGCATTACGTCAAGAACACTCAAACCAACAATGCTGACCTCAGATACTAAGAGGCTAGATATTAACTTCAAGGTGATAACTGCTTGTTGGGAATCTGTATTGAGCTGGCGAATGAAAATCAAAATGACAATATATCTTAGCTGAACTGGAATGCCATTGCAGATAAATTGTAGTAAGCTTTTATTAGGGGTTTTGAGTAACACTTTTAGAAGAGCCTTTATGGATAAGGTTAGTTTATCAGTCTCTGATGTATTAAAAAACGACCGAAGAGCCTCTATCGACAAATCATCATTGCTCATGATGTCATCTAAGCCCAGCGCATGGGTCTGCGTCCTTGTTAGTCTTTTTGTAACAGGAAGGCCTCCTGCAGTATCCAAACTCTCAGTGATGTATTGTGAATGCTTTTCTTGAAATTTTTTGAGGGAAAGTTCCACCGCTTGGGATAAAAGTCTGTTTGCCTGTGGATTCAGAGACAGGTTTGCCACGGTTGAAATATCTGTACAGCCCTTCAGTAATAATTTATCATCACGGACTCTGTCAGTCGCTACTTGCCAATACAAATCGACAAATAGTTGGAATGACTTCATGAACTCCGCATCACCATTGCACATAGCCCCATCCAAATGACGGCATATACTTCCGAATGTCTGCTCAGCGTTGCCTACTACCCCAATATCGTTGTTTACATTATTATTAGACAGTACTTTTGTCATAATCTGCAAGAAGTCCCTGACAAAAACATTCAAATTCTCCTTACAATGATTCACAATCTTGTCCATTAGCTCGAGCGTGACGGAAATGTTACCAATACGTCGATGGTTTAAGTCTGCCGTGCTTTTCCGAGCCAGAAATGTACTGACCTTCTCCAATTTGGTCCTTCGTGAATTGACATAGTAAAGCAAATAGGAGGTTTCTGAGGACTTGGGCTTCTTGTCAGTAGTTCGCCCACTGGGATAACATTGATTGACTAGTTTTTGATGCTTCGGTGTGAACAAGAGTCCCATCTTAGCCTTAGCTATTGCAACTTGCTGTATCAACAAGCCGCATCTAAGAAATTAATCATTCATTCAATTTTCAATGTATATATATAAATTCATTTCACCACCATCTATGGGACATAAGAGGTCTGTGGACCAACAATTAGAACTCCAGACTTATCTGCCACTGCTGGATATTGTAATCTCCAGCAATAAAGCGTCGCTGTTCGAAGTTGATCACTTTTGAAGGTTTATATTCCCCAACGTCGCACATTAAACTGTGCCGTTGACTTGTAAAGAGGCATTGGCTGGTTGAAGCGGTCAGTATATTCGCGTGTAACCCAAGCAAACTTTTGGAAAATGCCACCGGTTCCTATCTATGTCAAAGGGGGTGCTTGGTCCAACATTGAAGACCAGATCTTGAAAGCCGCTATAGAGAAATATGGGACACATCAATGGAGCAAGATCGCGTCCCTACTGCAGAAGAAGACTGCTAAACAATGCGAGATGCGTTGGACAGAGTTTTTGAATCCCAGCCTTGACTTCACCCCATTTTCCAAAGAAGAGGACTCTAAGCTATTAAAACTTGTTAGACAACTACCCAACCAATGGAGGACAATATCAGATATTATGGGTCGTACATCCCAAGTTTGCATTGACCGCTACAACATTTTATTAGAAACGACAGAATCTGATGTGAAGCTCGCTAGCTCGCTTGATTTTGAAGTAGGCGACATTGATCTAATTGCGGAGAGTAGGCCCGCGAGGCCCGATCCCGCCGATCTCGAGTCCATGGATAAGGAAATGCTAGCAGAAGCGCGTGCCCGGCTTCTGAATACGCAAGGTAAAAAAGCTACGAGGAAAATACGAGAGCGCATGTTAGAGGAAAGTAAAAGGGTGGCGCATTTACAGAAGAGACGTGAGTTGAAACAAGCGGGCATAGATTCCAAGATACGACCGCCACGAAAGAAGTACAGCACCGAGATTGATTATAACGCTGATGTAGTTTACGAACAGGAGCCCGAAAGTGGGCCATTTGACACCACAGAAGAAGACAAGCGAGCCACCAGAGCAGTACAGAAGTTTGAACGTTCCATCGAAAGATCGGGTTTACAAGAGAAAGATGAAAGGAAAAAATCAAAGAAAAAGAGAGCACCTGAAGAACGCCCTTCAGCAGACGTTCCCTCCGTGTCCATAAGTAGTGATCACAAAAAACCAAGGTTGGAATTCCCAGTAGCACCATCAAATAATGCTGCAAGAGGTAAATTGGGGTCAAAGAGCTTGAAGAAGACTATACTGCGTCTTTTTCAACAACTCCCGGAGCCGTTGAATGACTTTGAAATCCAACTGGATGATGACGAGGGCAGCAGCGATAATGGTGAAAAGCATTCAGATATAGAGGCTGGTGATGTCCTTGACGATGAAGCTGCGCTCGATTCTGAGCTAAATGTAAAAAAAGAAGGTGAAGAAGTTTCAACTTCTGAGACCGCGAATACAATATTAATGCCTGGCCTTCCTCTCCCTGAGCCGATTCTGGAGCCCTCTAACGCTGTAGACCGCGAATATAATGACTTACTGGCAACTTCGCTGATTTCGAAGCAAACTGACCATGACCACGCTTTCAAGGCCGTGAAACTCAAGCTACTGCAATCAATAGCTGCGCCGCCAAATGCAGATTCATTCAGGCATCTTGCAGAAAAGGTTGCTGAAGATAGTATTCAGAACTCGAATGTCACAGAGCTAATGGTTCATGAGTTACAAGCACGAATTGACAGTTTGGATACCCTAACACAGGATATCGAGCCATTGAGAAGCAAGAATGAGGAGTACCATCACGAACTTTTCTCTACGCTGCTGCCGAAGCTATCTGGAAATCGCCAAACTTACGCGGTCGACTACAAAAAGTATCAAAATGAATACTACACCATTGAGGCGAGACAATCACTATTGAAAGAGCATCTGGATGAGGCAGGTGCGTGATGTTTCGATCAAAGATATATTCAAGAGTTTGTCTGTGAACTGACCTTCCTTAGCTATCTGCATACCTCATCAATATACTTCCTTCCAGTCGCCCAGATTATGATGGCGAAATATCCATGTCAGGAAGTTGGACGATCCAAAAAGGCTCACCAAGTCCAAATGACGGGTCAAAAGAACTACAATCGAGGAGAGTAATTAATCTTTGAGTTCATTGTCGGCAGCCGCTTTGTTGACGCCTTACGGTATTTTTTTGTCAGTATTCGCGGTTCACCTGATATTGAAAAATTTTGAGTCAAGTTTCCACCGACGTTCTCACTTAAAGCTATAAACTCCCAGACAAGCATAATAGTACAGTCTATACAAGCGGCTACATTAGCTTACGAATTATCGAAATGGCCAGATATACTGAAGACGAGCTTTTGCAATTGAAACCAGAGGGTGATGTCCCTGTGAACTTCGACATCGAGTCTTTCAAGGCCGTGATTGACAAGGTTAAAGAAATTCAAGGTCTTCAAGAAGAAGAATTCCAGCAATTCCACCGTAGAAGATCGTCACACCACCATGGCAAGCCCAAAATTAAGCATACCAAACCTAAGATTACCACGGATTCTGAAGGCTGGTCCACGTTTGACAACCTTGCCAGGAGAAAATCTGTCAACACTTCAGGGACGCTGAACGGCAGTGATGAAGACCTAGCCGTCAAGGAGCCCGTTGTGATTGCCCAAGAGACTCTTAAAGTCAAGCCCAACAAAAACATTTCGTCCACCAAGCCGGCAGACTCGCGCGACATCGTCGCCGACAAAGCGACCAACAATTTCAATGCTTTTGCGGCGCTCGAAAGCGACGACGATGAAGAGTAATTGTACAGCACTCCGAATTTGTTGCGCTGTGGGGTCGCTTGGTCTATATAGGTATATAGAAACCCACATCTCCTTCCAGGAATTGTAATTTTGGTAAGAACGTTGTTGAAAGAGTTTCGAAGTACGGCTAAAAGTCTGTCCTGAATCAAGGATGGCTTGGCCAACTGGGCTTGAGGTAGCTGACACTCTGCAATTAGCACTTTGCGGCCCTAAGCGTCCCCGAGAGACGTCAATTAATCGTGGTTTACGAGTTTTCGTGTCAATCATAATTCATATATAACTGATACGTTGCATCTGGCTTAACTTGCACAAACCACACAAAACCTCCAATCAGAGAATTTCTGTGCCTCACCGGGGGGATTGTTGCGCAAGTAGGCGAACTGAAACATGGGACTTTCGTTATTTCGCATTTTGGCCCTTTTTACGCTATTATTGTTCTCAGTGGTGACTGCTCAAGACTACTACGGGATCTTGGGCCTGAGTAAAGATGCTTCCGACAGAGATATTAAGTCTGCATACCGTCAATTGTCTAAAAAATTTCACCCAGATAAAAACCCTGGAGACGAAGAAGCCCACCACAGATTCATCGAGGTGGGAGAGGCATATGAAGTCTTGAGTGACGACGAAAAGCGCCAGATTTACGATCGCTACGGTGCAGAAGCCTTGAAAAATGGAGGACCCGGAGGCGGTGCTGGTGGTGCTGGCTCAAATGGTTTCGGTGGCTTTCGAGACCCTATGGACATGTTTGAGCAAATGTTCGGAGGTCACCATGGTGGCTTTAGAGGCAGACCTCGTGGCCATAACCTGGAGGCTCACGAGGAACTTACGCTCCAAGACTTTTACCATGGTGCGTCGCTAGATTTCAGTTTGAATTTGAACGACCTCTGCGAGCACTGCAGTGGATCTGGATCTGAGGATGGTAAAACGACGCATTGCTCGCAATGTCAGGGCCAAGGTGTCGTGATACAGGTGGTGAGAATGGGTCCTATCACACAAAAGATCCAGCAAATGTGCGGCGCTTGCCAGGGTAAGGGCCAGGTTATCAAAAACAGTTGCCGGAAATGCAAGGGCGCAAAAGTCGAGCGCAAAGCTAAGGCTTTCCATGTGGACATACCACCTGGTGCTCCTCGAGATTTCGTGGACGTCAAACCCGGAGAGGCCGATAAGGGGCCTGGTTTTGACGCTGGTGACGTCTTTATCAAGTTTTCGGAGTCCTCCAAGATTAACTTGGGATACAGAAGGCGAGGTGTTCATTTATACAGGACAGAGGTACTCAGTTTCGAAGAAGCACTCAAGGGGAACTGGAAGCGCGAGCTCGAGTTTCTAGATCCACAAAAGAAGGTGCATCTCGCTCGCAAGCAGGGTATCCCTGTGAAAAACGGCGAGATCGAGAGAATATCACATTTTGGGATGCCTGTCCCTGGACACCAGGACACATTCGGTGATCTTTTCGTGGATTACGTGGTTGTCACACCTCACAAAGCATCCAACAAGCTTATAAAGGACGAATTGTGATACGTGCGTCGTTCCCATCCACAAGACAAGAAACTTTGGGGTGAACGATGTGTGGCCGGTGGTTAACATGCTCGAAAAAGTTCGCCAGAAACACGTTACAATAGCGTCGTGTAATCAACTCCGCAATACAAAACAGAAAAATAATGAGGTAAGTTTATTACGGGACCTACAGCTTCGTCCAAGTTTGTGAAATCTGTTGCAAGAATCATGACCAACTATATCAGATTTTGAGCGACCGAAAGAAAAAGGCTTCCGGTCATTTTCAATAGCTGGAGATACATCTTAAACCATCTTTCTCCCATGCATCGTATGATTATTACCAACGAATATCAAACCGAGCCATTGGAAAGAAGCTACGGTGACATCAGTGGAACACATGGTTGATTGATGGTTTGGAAAGTAAGTGTCAAGAAGGTTAATTGTACATAGTTTAGAATGCATTTTGAATTTAAACTTGTGAAAAATTCTCGATGGTAATTAAGTACGACTTTTCTCACGAGATTTCAAATGTGTCTGTTAAGTAGGGCTTTGTGACCGGTTAGGCATATGATACTGTCGTTTAGCATTTATCATAATTGTTGAATCTATTTGGAGCAGTCCATTCGTGGCCTTTGTAGTGTTATTGTCAAGGTCGCCCTCACGCATATGCGGCACTTTGAGTTCCTGTCTTCAATGGTTCGGGGTGTTCAGCGAAACTGTTGAGCACCACACAGCTAGAATGGGATATTCTGCACTCCTATTCTTAAGGGTTCGTAAGATACCAGAGTTTTTATCGGATCCGTTGAGCTCTAGATGAACTGTAAGCGAAGTTTGAGTGGTATGCAGAGTTCGTGTGGTACTCGGGCACATACAAGTCTAGTTCTTATCCAGCACCTTTCTGGAGTTGACTGAGTCTACATTAAAGGAATATGTGCTTTGTGGCCTTTCCTTTCGTGTTCGAAAGTTGCCGGGGTGTTACCTATGTAATACGGCGGCGACATGAAGAAAAACAATATATTTTTATCATTTATCAGACGTTACATGTGTATGACACCTACACTTCTCGTAGACCGGCTACACCTCTTCTATTCTGCTCGTTATTAGGTTTTCAAGCTGATTTGGAGCCCTTCGCTCTGGCGAAGGTTTGTGCTTTGGTTCTTTGCAATCTGTACCAAAAAGTTAAACTAACATCTGCAGCTACATATCCCATGGCTAGCACGGAAAGGTTTTTAGGGGTAGAAGCGAGCTTGATGGTGTTGATCATCCTGGAGTTTGGTTGTTTTTTGGTTGCAGCCAATTCCAAAGAGGGTGATCGGAATAGAATTATTCCGCCCTTTTATATTTCTAGAGAGGCCAGGATAAGGTTCAAACGCCTTCTGCAATCCGTCTCAACCTTAGTGGTGTACATGAAAGTACACCCAAGGAAATCGCCAACTTCGACAATATCAGTTGATTTTGCGTGACCACATTCCCGCTGACGTACACGTATTAGTGGATCGATACGCTAGATGAGGGAAGAGCGTGGTGGCGATCATACGGTTTAGGTGTTAAGTCCGAAATTCTCTAACGATGTACATCGTTAAGCATTAAATAAACGAACCTTTAGTAAGGAAAAAAAATAGATGTGTCACAGAGCCAAACGAGGTTAAATGTTATCAGTAGTTTTAGCCTACAGTTCTAACTACTGATGTAGCTCGGGAATGTCTGCGGCTCGTACTTAAGATATTCGTATGATTTTAGGGCCCACCTATCTTTGAGGAGTAGTCTCTTCGAACGCGTGCAGCTACGAAGAGAAGAAACGAAGCTAAATTTCAAGTAAATGCTTGGAAGTTGTGCTATCTTGATTTGCTACTCTATGCTGTACATCGCAATTCTATTTTCGGGGAACTTCTTGAAACCAACCAGGAATACCAGCACCGCTGTCATATAACGAGCGGCTGTCTAATTTCAGCCCTTCCAATCCTACGGTATCCTCTAGCCATGGATGATTAACCATCCCGCCGGCATCTGCTCTATCTTGTGGACTTAGGCGCAGCATTGGGAGTAAAAAGTCAGAAATATTCTCTGCATCCTCTTCAGAAAATTTGTATTTTTCATGAAGTACATCCTTCAAAGGCCAAAACTTGAGCTTTGATATATTGCGTAGCATGCCCTTTGAATTGAAAAATGTTCGAGAATGGCGACCAGTCTCCAACATATTGTACGGTAGCTCGCCTAGAAGTTCTATAATCTGAGCAATATGATCATCGTCCTTGGTATATGAATGGCCCTCATCAGGCTCGAACAAAAAGTCACCAGTGAGTAATTCAAAAATTAAGCAAGCTGCAGACCACACATCGGCGCTACAACCCCATTCGCACCCCAATATGACCTCTGGGGAGCGGTACTCCCGTGTTTGAATAGAGTTGGTATAATGCTCATCGTACCAACAAGCATTCCCGAGGTCGGCAATTTTGATTTGGATAACGTCTAAGTTTCTGGGGGTTGCATCTTCTGCATGCTCGTCAGTGCATGTAGAAATTTCCAGCGAAGATAGTGAATTAGTGACCTGCTCTTCTTCACCTCCGGAAATGTTAATATTGCTCTTTGAAGAAGGCATTGGGCGGGGAAGTGACTGTCCCATCATCTGTGATTTCATCTCAAAGAAATTCGTTGAACTTATGGGAGAAGGCAAAGGCTGTGAGCCGGTTATAAGGGTGTGTCTTCGAACTCTACGGGTGCCACTCCTCTCTAAAGAAGTGGACGTGCTACTCCTTGAAGAATTGACAGAAGCTATGTTAACAGAGGGTTCTATAGCAGTTTTCGTAGCTCGTTTCTGGAATTTTCTCTGATCTCGCTTCTGCTTGTCCAATAGCTCAACCATCTTGACAATCGCTTCAACGTCTCCCACCTCCATGAGAACATTCTCGGGCTTGATGTCTGTGTGAATAACCCCGCATTTCCTATGCATGTAGTCAAGACCCAATAGGAGTTGTTTGGCAATTTGCTTTACGTACATCACCGGGATGCCGCGATGTTCATATTTTTTTATCAAAGCGAGCAGATTTTCTCCCAAAACTTCGAATACCATTACGACATGTTTGCCATTAGGGCCAGTATGCTCAAAGCTGTCTGAAAGACTTAGAATGTGTTTAGAAGAGTCGTAATACCCTCCGAGAGACCCATCACGGGTACTTACTCGCCGCAGTAGTTTTATCTCGTCCAGTGCGGCTTCTGTGTAAACTTTGTCGCTCCGCACAATCTTCATCGCTACGTGAGCGTTGCTGACGGTATCCCTGGCGAGCCAAACAGTGGAAAAGTGGCCCCACCCTAGCTTTCGCACCAACATGTATCTGCCTCCATTATAGGTTTCGCCTCGAAATGCTGGGTGATACCCGCCCGGCTTGTAGTCTCTCAAACTCTCCTCGTTTTTTTCGTCGCAAGATGAATAATCTGAATCCGTGTCTGCGTCTTGAACTTCCTCTTTATGTATCGGGTCCATGCCGTCATCTTTCTCATCTTTGTGGATTTGAAGAGCCAGTGACAGTTTGGACTTGGCTGTCCCCTGCTTAGTATTAACGCTTTCTCGTTGGAAAGTGGGGCTACTAATGGCCCTTTGGTTCGGCTTACTTATAAAACCTGGATAATTTATAGAGGATCCCATTGAGCTCTTGGAATTTGGATTTATACCGAAGCTTGTAGCAGTTGCAGTTATATCGACCCTTATAGCCTACTCTCGCCGACTCGAATCAGCTAATTTCACTTGCCGGAGAATGAAATCCGCTAAAACGATAAACGAAACAACAGCAAGAAAAATCTAGTCTTTGAGAACCTAAATTTTGATTCAAGGTCCTGGCCTTCGCTTACTTGATAGAGGAGTGATGGTGAGTCCAGTATCTGATGTTGTTCTGGATAATAAAGGTGGTGGGTGACCTGTATAATATTTATCAGATTCGATATTCACATACTAGAAAATTTGTATTAATAACGTGATGTCAAACATAGTTAAACCCGGACCAACTGTCAGAGTTTAAAGATAAATGACAGTGTATCTGCTTTCAAAACGATTTGAAATGGGATCTCCTTGACTTCGTGGTTCGAAAATCTGAAATGCTATTGTATTTTTATAAAGTTCAAGTTCCTAACCTTAGTCATTGTGTCAGGCAGGAGACTCTCCCTGTAGATTGCTTGTGGTGAACAGCTCAAGATTAATGGCGAGCAGTGGTCCTTGTAAAGGTGACTTTTGGATTACAGATTTACAGAAAAGTTGTTTCCTCCACATGTTTTCGTAAGTTGGCTTCAATGAAGCGCATGTTGATTGGAACTGCAGCCTTCCTGAACAAAAACCACGCTTCAAGGAAATTCCAAAGACAAGTTGTCGTTGGTCCGGAGACTCAATTTTGATTGGGATCCGCAGATTTATTGTCGACAGCCGAGTTTCGGTCGACTTCTGAGTCATTGCTAGCCTTTTGAGGTATCTCGTTGGGGGAAGCAGAATTTCCAAGTACCTGAGGCACATCCGGTGAATTCGAATAGGTGGGTTGGTGAGGGGATGGAGCCGCTGGCACCGTTTTGGCTTCAGGGGCCTCGGAGATTGACTTTGATTCATTGACAGCCGTACTCTCTACTTGGTTTTCAGAGACTGGAGAGCCCCTGGAGTCTTGGCCTTGACTCTGGAGCGGAGCACTCGCTAGTTCAGTCATCTCCACATCTTTGGAATTTAACTCTGCTGGAAAGTAATCATCTTGCTCAATTGATTTTTCAACGGAGCCACTATACCTGGGCTTCTTTAGGGCGGCCGCATTGTTGTGCAAGACATCTTGATAAGGAGCAGGTCCGTCATCTGCACGCATCCTCGCGGGAGAAAGTTCCCGTCTGGGGACTGCATGTTCGGATCGATATTGACTCCTGTAGGACCTAGGGCCATACGCGCCGCGCTTTCCTCGCGAAAAATCGTCTCTTTCCGCCCTGCGATGGTGAAATTCGTCGTCTTGTCCGCTCTCGAAGTTTCTCTCCGAAAAGCGGCTTTGGCCATCGAACGAAGAATCGAATTCATGTTCTCGGGGCCTTCTCGGATAATCATGTTCTCTAGGCATAGTCCCTCCGCGCACGGTATGCCTTCCAATCGAGCCCGAAAATCGAGACGGACGAGCCTCGGATCGAGCGAACTGCACTGTGATTAAAATCTGGGGATCAAACGATAGACGTTGTTGGTTTAACCTGTGTAACGCTTCTTGAGCTTCTTCTGGCGTTTCATACTCCACAAATGCATATGGTCTTGCGAATTCAGACCTAGCTGGAGGCATTTCAATTCTAACCACCCTCCCAATACTAAGGTATTGATGTCTTGTTAGCATTGATGATCAATATGAAATTCAGTTTTAAAAATGGAAGAAACATACTTTTCAAAGTCAGGGGCCAGATCTCTTGTTCCGACCCCCCTTGGAAACCCACTTACGTGCAAGGTTGAACCAGATGCCATTGTGAATGGGAGATATTTTGGTTCCAACTTTAACCAAGTGGGTTTATTTATAATATTTACCTGATGCAATTGAATGAGACCATGAGTAGTGAGCACTAAAAACGACCAGCCGAGGAAGATCACAAGAGCGCAGGAATAGAGCAGCCAATTATGACGCCTGAGACGACCGACCATCACAATTGGTTGTTCATTTAGCATAGGTCTAGATGCTTGGGTGGCCAACCGCATCCAAACTCGGGATAAAACGATCTAACATTAGATTTTATTTCACTTCCCACTAATGACCCGCATTCAAGTTGATAAACAATGCTACTTGGTGCCCTGTGGTTGACATATTTAGGTCTTTTCTGAGGGAGAATCATTGAATGTCAGGACCAACAAGGTTTTTTTCAAGATTTGCTGTGGACGTTGAATGATGCGGGCAAACCTTGCAGTGACTTTTATACAAAGTGAGTTTTTCCTCCTTGTATTCTATCTTCGTTCGCAGAAACGCCGATGGATATATAGCCAGCTACGCGGCGAAAAGCTGCATCAAAAACTCCCTGAGTTACAGAGGTATCATTATCTCAAGGCGGCGATCCAGCAAACATCTAGAAGGAGGAAACAAATTAAGCATAATTGAGCACGTACCCGTGAGTGATCAAAGGTCAGCACCTTATCTAATGTCTATGCTCCAGGCGAAGAACACGGGGTGAGAGTAGGCTCAAATAATTTTTGGAGTGTTTCAGATGATTTGCAAAATTTCTGAGACTCGAGAGCAAAGTCCGAAAGGCTGACAGCGGGTGTTTCTTTAGTTTGTTTGATCTGTGCCTGTTGGTGTCGCTAGTGATTTATTTCGTTATCACTGACGTTATGATCATCACTTTATACACATTTGGCGCCAGTCGTATAGACTGAATGCAGCACAGGACAATTAAACAAAATTAATCAGATACTTTCGTCTGAATGATGTTTTAAGGACCATTCGGTAGCTTGATATTTTTGAAAGATGAATTTGCGCTAAGAAAATGATAAGAAGTGATCGCCATTCCTAGAATAAGATCTGTAAATGACGCCGATCGATTCCCACCTTCGCTGGCACCATAGACTCTTCTTCGTCTCTCAACCCTAAGCGTGCGAAACCAACCTTTTGTAGATGATGCCTTCGAGTTAAGTTCAAAATGTGACTCAGGATCGGTTAGTGTCACCAGAGACGGGTCATCAAAAAATTTTTCGAAATTGGCGATGAGATAGGTGAGGACTATAAATATAAATGAACTTTTCCAACCATTTGTACCCGGGGATCTCTTTCCTGATATTGGTCGTTTCTGGTACTTTTGGCGCTTTCGGTAGCTTCAAATCTATATTCGGTTTATCGATATTCTTCGGCTCATCAACGCTCTACCGATTTAGTTGTGTTCCCATATAATAGCGTAATGTCCTCGACGGTTGAACAAGTTTCCAATGTTTTTGACACCATTTTGGTGCTTGATTTCGGATCTCAATATTCGCATTTGATCACCAGAAGGCTCAGAGAATTCAACGTGTATGCTGAAATGTTGCCATGCACGCAGAAAATCTCGGAGCTTGGCTGGAAGCCCACGGGTGTTATCTTGTCTGGTGGTCCATACTCCGTGTACGCGGAAGACGCTCCTCATGTCGACTTGGATGTTTTCAAGCTTGGGGTCCCAGTGTTGGGTATCTGCTATGGTATGCAGGAGCTGGCCTGGATCAACGGTAAACAGGTTGCCCGTGGTGAAAAACGTGAGTACGGCCCAGCTACTTTGAACGTGCAAGATGCGTCGAGTCCCTTGTTCCAGGGCATGGACCACTCGCGTGTCTGGATGTCTCACGGTGACAAACTTCATGGCTTGCCTAGTGGATTCAAGGTTATCGCCACCTCTGACAACTCTCCATTCTGTGGAATTGCGCATGAAGAGAAGCCAATCTACGGTATCCAATTTCACCCAGAAGTGACTCACTCCACCCAAGGTAAAACTCTGCTTAAGAACTTCGCTGTCAACATTTGCCGTGCGAATCAAAACTGGACTATGGAAAACTTCATTGACACAGAAATCAAACGTATCAGAGAACTCGTTGGACCAACCGCTGAAGTTATCGGGGCCGTTTCAGGTGGTGTCGACTCCACTGTTGCTGCTAAGTTGATGACGGAAGCCATTGGCGACAGATTCCACGCCATCTTGGTGGACAACGGTGTTTTGAGATTGAACGAAGCCGCTAACGTCAAAAAGACGCTAGGTGAGGGTCTTCAGATCAATCTCACTGTCGTTGATGCTGCAGACGAGTTTTTGGATAAATTAAAAGGTGTCACTGATCCTGAAAAGAAGCGTAAGATTATTGGTAATACTTTCATCCACGTTTTTGAAAGAGAAGCCGCCAAGATTCAACCTAAGGGTGGTGACGAGATCGAGTTTTTGCTGCAAGGAACTCTATATCCAGACGTTATTGAATCGATCTCTTTCAAGGGTCCTTCTCAAACCATCAAAACACACCACAATGTTGGTGGTCTCTTGGAAGACATGAAGTTGAAATTGATTGAACCTCTGAGGGAACTGTTCAAAGATGAAGTCAGACATTTGGGTGAGTTGCTAGGAATCTCTCACGAACTAGTCTGGAGGCACCCATTCCCTGGTCCTGGTATCGCAATTCGTGTCTTGGGTGAGGTCACTAGAGAACAAGTTGAAATTGCCAGAAAGGCTGATTTTATCTACATCGAGGAGATCAGAAATGCAGGCCTTTATAATAAGATTTCTCAAGCTTTTGCTTGCTTGCTCCCAGTTAAGTCTGTCGGTGTCATGGGTGACCAGAGAACTTACGAGCAGGTCATCGCCTTGAGGGCGATCGAAACTACCGACTTTATGACTGCTGACTGGTTCCCATTCGAACATGACTTTTTGAAGAAGGTTGCTTCCAGAATTGTAAATGAAGTTGATGGTGTCGCAAGAGTGACTTACGACATCACTTCCAAACCCCCAGCCACCGTGGAATGGGAATAAATATTGTAATATAGTGTAATAGAACTCTTTCATCATCATTTATACCCTTATTTATGGTGCGAATAGAAAACCATTAAAAATCAAATTTTGAATGAACTTTAACCGGTACTAGTACTAGTTGAGTGAGTGAGTGGGCTTCAGAAGATTGGCTCAAACCATCGTTTCAATGGCACTCACGACAAAGGTCTTGCTACTGAAAAATAAAACGGTGCCAATTGATCCCTATGAGTCAGCGTTTGAAGAAAATGGATTTTGTCCTGTTTACGTCCCACTAATCCAGCATATGCACTTACCGGAAGACTGTTTGAAGCTTTTGAGGGACGACAAATACATAACTCAACTTCAGTACATTGTGATCAGTTCTCAGCGGACAGTTGAATGTATCAATGAGTCAATTCTGCCACGGCTTGCGGAGTCTCAACGTAAGACTCTGCTAAAAAAGACGATATACACGGTCGGTCCAGCTACCGCAGATTTCTTGCAGAGGTGTGGTTTCGAAGACATTAGAGGTGGTATCGATGCAGGAAACGGCAGTATCCTGGCAGATTTGATAATAGCAGATTTAGGTGACGTGATTGCAGCGGAGCCAACTATGCTGCCTGTTTTGCTTCTCGTAGGGGAAACAAGAAGGGACATCATACCTAAAAAGCTAGCTAGTGTAAAGATACCGTCCCAAGAAATTATCATGTATAAGACTGAGGTGCTGGGGGATAACTTGGTTCGATTTCAATCGCATTTCACTTCAAATGCATGGGTTGTATTCTTTAGCTCCCAGGGCACAGTCGAAATTATCGACTATTTGAAAACTCAATCCGTCCATGTAGCAAGCATAGGGCCTACTACTGAAGTGTTCTTGGCCTCTCGCGGAATTGACCCTCAAGTGGTAAGCACCAAACCAGAGCCGCTCTCCCTCATAAGCTCTTTGAAATCCCTATAGAACAGCCCAACCTTCTATCAAAAATCATATATAATAAACCAGGCCGTCAAATAACTAACGTTACCTCGTGCATATTCAAATAGTGTACTTCTGAGACCTTTCTGCCATCTGTGGTAATTTCAATCTTTGGGAATTTGAGGTAGCCTCTTCGTAGTGGAATCATGCTAATTGAATATTCTTCCAACGATGGTTGTAAATGAAATCTGCGTTTGCCGTCTACTAGCCATTCATTGGTATTAAAAAGCTCAAGAACAAATTCAGTGGCAGGACGATCTTCTTTTTGCCAACCCTTGCTGACATCCGTTGCTCTCAGTGTGTATTCTATTATCTGACCGACTGCTGGGTTACATTGTATTGGAGAATTGGGTTCTAAGCTCACAGAGAAGTAATATGGCAGCGGTGGAACAGTAACATTCACTAGAAAAGAATCAGGAGTCAAATCTCGCGTATATTCCACAAGCTCTAAGTGAGAGAACACAACTCCATTCTTTAACGCGTGCAGACATCGAGATGAAGCTTCTAAAAATTCATCATCTTGAACTTTGGACTTTAAAACCCGCTTCAACTCATTTATGCTGTCCGCGGAAGTCTTCACTTGCAGGTTGAGCTTCCGTTCGAACAGATCGTAGTCGTAAGTCAGCTTTCTGAGTATCATCGAATTCCATAGATCACGGTGTGAGTCCATCTTCACAGCAATATGTGGGTTGCCCTGAATTAGGATTGCGTTTGTCGCAAGATGATCCAATTGATTTCGTAAGGTACTGAATTGAATTTTTAATTGGAATGAGTCTTTGGTGTCAAAGAGCTGTTCACATTTTGTCCTAACTTGGAAGAAAAAGTAGCAGGTGTTCTCCTCCCCGCTTTTGACCATGACAGGAACTTCAGGTTCAAAACTGCCCTGCACATCGTATGTGCTCGCGCAATGGGTCGTTAGTTCCGATTTGTGAAGCAACACTGGCTCTAACAGTGACGAGGAGCTTACAAGAAACTTGAAGAAGAATGAACCTTCACGTGTAATGTCTTCGACCAATACAGTAAGAGGTAACATGCAAGAGACAGTTTTGGTGTTCCGTTGATAAAATTCAATTCCGGGACAATCTTGAAAAGTAAAAATGAGCTCCTGTTGAAAGGTAAACTTTTCGCAGGAGTGAGGAACAAAGTATTCTATATCAGACACGCTGAATGTATCTATCGTTTTCGAAAACTGAGTACCCTCATTATTAAAAGCTGCCGTTTCTTTGGAGTTGTTTTCTAATGGTAGCGCGGTCAAAATAAGCTTGAAGGTTTTGATATCGTCGCTGTTGAAAAACCCTAGAGCAAGGGAATTTTTGGTCACTTGGACTTGTTTAGCAGGGTTTATGGTCACCTCAAAATTGCGGGAGTCGATAGGACGTTCCAATTCAATATCCTTTTCATCATCGTCTAGGAACTCTTGGCAAAAAATTGTGTTTCCAATGGTGAATTCTAAACTCACTAAAGCAAAAGAGCCAAACAATACGCGCACGCAATCTAGAGCGATACTGTTCTCCCCTGGTTGTAAAGTAACGTTATTTTTCTCGAACGTCACAAATTCGTCTTGGTTGTTTTTGAGTAGCAACACAACAGATTCGACACAAAACTCTCTAGGTATCTTGCCGCTGTGCACCTTTAGGCCCAGGCTAAACATGTTGGCTCTTGTGACAAAAAGTTTCTTCCCTACCTCGATATCGAAAGTATTTCCCAGCGGATAGATCAAACTTCCTTTGTCTCTTCCACTAACATCTAGAAACCGATCCCACCAGTAAACCTTGAGAGTCTCCTTCTTGGCGGATGTCAACAAATCAAGGATCGAGTTGCTTAAAACTGTGGGAGAGGGAATAGCCTCTTCACACATTGTTACTGACTCGATTTCAGGACATTTCGCTAGACAATCAACAAAACATTCCAACAAGTACAATGCAATAGCATCCCAATTTGTTGCTTTATAGTATTCATGACAAGACTGGAGCATAGAGATGGCTTTTTCGTATTCCTTTCTCTGGTAATGGAGCAATCCGATCTCTACTGAATACAAATCGACCGTCCGGTATTTTTTAGAGCTTCTTGCACCCAGCAGTGTAATAATCTCTTTAGTTAATGTGAAAAAATTTTGATGGAAGGTCTCCTCGTCCTTGAAGGTAGCACGTACTTCCTCGGCCTGTGGGGCCTGCGCCATCATTTGATATTGTCGCCCTATAATTTTAAACCCATGTGAAGCAAACGCCAGGTCCATCCAGCAATCTCTTTGTATTATCTTAAGATCAGCCTTAATTTCGTGGAATGTTGCAGTATCCTCTCGATACAAGGCAAAAGCAAGAACGGAGTTGATGAAGAAAAACTTGAATTCTGCAAGTCTTGGAGACTGACTGAAAACCTGGCGTATTGTTCTCAAAAATGACTTGGTTAGCTGGTAAACTCGAACGTTCCTCGCTGCTTGTTCGTAACTGTTTCTTATTAGATCACAGTGTCTTAGAAAAAAAAACTTATTCAAATCATAACTGGTAAGGTTTTCTGTCGCAATCTGTTGCGCAATTGGCTTATCAGTAGCCTTGATTTCATTTGATGTAAATGGGAATGGAATTTCAAGTTCGCCAGTCGATATAGTCGGGGCTAACTTCGAGAATAAGGTCGTTCGCAAATTTTCAAGTTCTCTCGAGGCTTCCTCGTTGAGGTGGAATGAACAAAACAAGTCCAAACTTTTCTCCTGCAAAGTAGCTCTTAGAATTGTATTTTCGTCGGTGATCTTGACCAGTTCCTTTTCTAAAAATTTCAAGCGCCGCCCAAAAATATCCATAGTGTACTTTCGCAGTTGAGTCATGGTTGAACTCCAAAACTCTGCTTTCTGCTTCTCTGATTTATAAATCGACTTAATCTCAATAGCAGTGAGAGACGGAAAATCTTTGCAGAACTTGTCGAAGAAAGACACCGTTTTGAACAGGTTTGTTTCAGAAATATCAGAATTTGAATGTAATAGTGCAATTCTCTTTATAGGCATGGTTTTTTCGTCATGTTGATTAAACCCATCGGTAGGCGAAGGTAGCCATTGCCTAACCAATGGTCGTACTTTTGCCCTGTACTCGTCTATGGACGCACAGCTCAATACCAAAAACATTATCACTGGCCTGCGGCTAGTGTTGGGATCTGAATAGTCATCCGTCTCGCCAACGATTTTGACGGGAAGACTGTGGATCGTACGTAAACTTTCATGTGCGGGTTTCCAATGTAGGTTCTTGAATGGAAGCCTGTCTTCCAACTCCTTTCTAACCGTTCCAAAAACGTCAAAAGGATCAAAGTAAGTGAATTTTACAATATTCTGTGTTGTAGGATGCTCCACATGCATAGTTCCATCAAATACTGGCAGATGTACTGGCCTTGCCGTCTCATCGCCAACATGTTTATTCAAATAATAAATAATATAAATATTATTTATATGGCGGGTCGGCTGCAGGTTACTTTCACAGAAAAAAACCGGCATTCCAGATTTGGATTCAGCCATATTCTCAGGCATTATGGAGACTGGGAAGGAGGATTCTTTATCTCCTATCCAACAGAATGGAAGGGGCAGTTTTCAGGGATCCAATGCCCCCAGAAAACGCTACGTCAAATTTAACTCTCTGTTGAGAAGGCGGGGTCCCTCAAAAAGCCATCTCACGCAGAAACAACATCCTATAAAGTGTATTACTACGTCTTCTGCCAGCTCGGATACTTCACGCACATTGGATTGGGCTCAAACTTTCATTTTAAGGGGGAAAAGTCTGTTGAAGTCCGTTCATGAAGAAGATCTTAGGTTCCGGGAAAATTTGGACAAAAGTAGGGCAAAAGCTCAGATACGCGAAACTTACGTTAACACGCTCTTGGAAGAACCTGAACCTCTTGATGATTTTGTGGCTTCCTCAAATGCCGATGAAATGAGTACGACAGGCTCCCCACGCTATGGCACCGATACGTCATTCAAAAACTTCGACGATACAATGAACAATAGTCTCGCATTCACAGACCTTGCTACATCTCGAAGGGAATCCGAAAGTTTGGAAGAGGAGTCGGCAGAGAGTGAGCTTGAAGAAGCTTTCTCAAGTGGGGACAGTTCTGTCGAGGTTGAATCGAAGGGTGATGATCGTAATGAGAGTGACGATGGCTACGACGATGGCCAGGTCATTCTACTCAGCGATGATGAGGGTGATATAAAGTCACCTTCCTTTCTTCCTACTAAGTTGGTTACAGCAGGCATGAATGAAAGTGACAGTGATCGACATTATGATTATTCGGGCAATAATAATGCTATGAACTTTGACGCTACTGACGAACAAACAGGAGATGGTAAAGATATGGAGAGTATAGAAAGTGGAGAAGAATGTAGTTCTGAGGGAAAAAGTTACGATTTTGAAGATTCTATCGAGAATGAAAACTTCGCGGAAGGTGAAAGTGAAGACCCGGCCGAAATCGAGGTTGTTGCTGAAAGTGAGGACTTAGCTGAAAGTGAGGACTTAGCTGAAAGTGAGGACTTAGCTGAAAGTGAGGACTTAGCTGAAAGTGAGGACTTAGCTGAAAGTGAGGACTTAGCTGAAAGTGAGGACTTAGCTGAAAGTGAGGGCTTAGCTGAAAGTGGGGACTTAGCTGAAAGTGAGGACTTAGCTGAAAGTGGGGACTTAGCTGAAAGTGGGGACTTAGCTGAAATTGGTGCTAATAGCGAAGACATCTCCGAAAGCGAAGTCCTCGATGACAATAGGGACATAGCCAAACGTGGGCGTGCTGCTGAGAGTGACGACGAAGATAAAATTGAAAATACATTCGAGAGTGATGAGGTACGCAATGGAGCAATAGACAATCAGCAAGAGATCAACCGGGCTTGTGAAGAAATAAGGTCAGGTGGTATTCGCCGTAATACTCGCGCTTTTGAAGAAGAAGGGATTCGTGGACAAATTGATCTTGCTAGTAGCGATCATCCTGGTAGCCTTGAAATGACTGGTGAGGCAACTGGCGAGGCAACTGGCGGGCATAATACTCAAGGTTATGAAATTTTTCCTGTGCAGGAAGAAACAGCAGACATTGACGGTGAACTAAGAGCGCGAGATAAGGTCGCTAACCAAAGTGCTGAAGCTCATGTTATGAAAGGAGTGTGTGGACCTTCTGTGTCAAATAATTCCAAAGATGGTCGTCAACCATCGAGCGATGACGAAGTTGGCGATCATATCAATCTACAAACTATCGCGCAAAGAGCTGTCCTTAATTTAACAGACTTACAGCCCTTGGAACTAAGGAATGATGCCATCAAAAGTTGCTCTTCTCTGTCTCCCAGAGACGTCGAAGAGTTATATGAATCTAATGAAGAGAGGTGCTACGATCAAGTGGTTTCTGAGGGAGACAAACTTGAATATGCCCGCGCTTCCAAAGAGTTCATGAAGGAGCATTGTGTACAAAAGGCAGAGGGCTCTTCAGGAGTTATAGCAGATAAAGAGCGCACTTCGGACCAAGATAATTTATCATTCAGCGATGAGCGGAGCAACTCTGGAGCAGCTTTGCACCATCCAGATGATTCCGTTGAAGAGAATTTTCAAGCTAGCGGTGAACCTATTGAGCCAGAAGAACATAATCCCACTGCTAATGAAAATGCATCCCAAGAATTGAATGGGGTTAACTTGAGTGCCAAGGAGGCTGATGGTCAACCAGAAGGGCGCCTCGGTAATGTCTCAACTGAGATTTATCCTGATTTGACATCTATAGATCATGAAAAACTGGCTCTTGTTACGGAAGACACGACTTTCTTTTCGTGTAATAACGATACATTTGAACATTCAATCCTCACCGCCCTCGATACTGAAACCCCGTTATCTGGTGACACGTTTTCCAACACCAGGTATAAGCTTTTGTACTCTGAAGCTCAGTATACAGATTCGGAGGAGGAAAATCTTTTAGAAACAACTCAGTCAAAAGATGAAGAGTATATATCTCCTTTTGGCGCTATTCCTTTTCCCGCGAACGTTCAGGAAAATGATTTCCAAAAACTTGAAGAAGTAATGAAGGTCATAAGGAATTATGAACAGCCTGAAAGAGGCTGTTCAGAGTCTGGTCCAAAGGGCCCACGAAGACCACCATCTGAGGAAGAGGCAGTATCAAATCAACACAACATTGCACAAACGAAAAAAATTTATGTTGAACAGTCACCAATCGAGGATACCTCTGTACCAGTCGAAGATAAAAGAGTTTTTGAAGATGATAGCAGCGGTCAGCCTGAGTTATTCATTCCAATAAAGGTACCTCCCAATCTTGAGATTGAAAATGAAGACCTAGATCACAATATAGAAAAGTCTGTCCAGTCAATGAACTTCCAGCCCATTGGCACTGTGGGTGATAATTCAATCATGGAAATTCGTGATCTGTCTGTGAAAAAAGATTCCTCTACTGAAATTTCTGTCGGCCCTTTGCCAGAAAGCGATGCTAAGCAGCAACGCGTCAGTATGTCACCATCCAATGATCTAACTGCTGAAACTAACATATCTAGCGCCATTGAAGTCTCGACATACAATACGCCAGTGCACTCTCCGGTTCCTCGGGTGCTCGTCGCCCCTACTGTACTGAGTGAGCTAATGAGTAAGGGTGACAAAAATAGCGAAGTCGATCTCAAGACTTGTTGGCCTCTCAGTCAAAATCTCGTTAGGGAAACATCCAGGGATAAGTCTCCATCTCAAACCTGTGAACACAGAGAGAAAGCTCAGTCGGTGGAGATTCAAGAGATTTACGACGATCGAGACAACTCCATGTGCGGTGCCATCGACAGTCAACCAGTAGTCATATTTCCGGAAAGCGAGAATGATCAATTTTTTAGTTTGTCTACTGCTGAGGAGATTTCGGTGCATGATGATGAGACTGGATCAACATCATTAGAGGACGGGCTAAAACTCATTGACGCTTTTGATGAGGTACTTGTAAATCATGATGATTACACGGGCAACAATCTTGGTCACATATCAGAATCTGGAACTGTTGGGAAACTCTCGGCATCCAGCTCTTCTCTAAAGAGGAAGATCGCAAGTGAGAACACTGAGGACACTCCTAATAAAAAAAGAGCTTTGTCACCAAAGTTCGCGATGCTTTAGATTTAAAATCTGGCGACGCTTCTAGAACCGAAAAACATTTTTCTGGTACTCGAAGTCGATTTCAGCCTTTAGCATACCTTCCTCGCTTGTCTAACTTATTTGGAGAAAAGGTCAAGAATTTGCAGAAGGATTTATTTTACGATTCTTTGCATCTGGCTGTTGATGCAAAAGCCAGTTTAAAAAGAGCAACCCGCTCTGCTGGCAATCGTGTCACAGTCGGAATTTTAAACGAACTACGCTATTTGAAAACCAAGAGGTACAATGATAATTTACGACTCATCGTGGAGCAAATGGACTTGGACAGCGAAAGCAGCGTGGACAACGTTGATAGTAGCGATGATAATACTTCCGGTGAATCGAGCACACTCCCAAGCTTTGAAGAGGATAGTCAGAGTGAAGATTCCGACCAAAGTACATCAACCGAGGATCAATCGTTCGCACTCTCTGAGGACTCTGACAGGACCTTTGAGGGATTTAGTGATCTTCCAGATACTGGAGTGATATCAACTGATAACCTGAAAGTTGTTAGATCCCACGATTCTAACGAGGAAGACCGACAACACTCCCTCGAATGCTTGGACAGGGCAGTCTCAGAAGATGTTGAAAACAAAGCGCCGGCAAGCCTGTCAGACGCATCAGTTAGTCCTCAACTTTTAAACCACTTTCAGAACCCGCCGTCAGGCGCTTCGTCTGGTAGTTCGTCCACATCCACAACCGTGTCGAGCAATGATGGCCAAAAAATTAACTGTGAAACCACTTCTGTCTTGCAAACTACTGATAATGACCATTTAAAAACCTTAGAAAATGTGGCTGCTTATGAGCTAAGCTCTTCATCCGACAATGAAAGTTCAAGAAGCTCCGAATCTGATGACTACGAGTCTCCAATAATACCGAATGCGCTTTCGAGACGTAGAGTCCGCACACGACTAAGCCGAAAAGGGCGACAAGGCCGTATACGAAGGTGATATGGATTGAAGAAGGCTAGTTTTGTAGATTACATGCGCAAGATAATTGCGAGTAGAGGATAAGAGACCATCTGTTGTTGATGATATATAATCATTATTCATTTATTAGCGATTGTTGTTAGGCAGACGAAATTTTAATGTTGGATAAACTATACATAGAAGTATCTTCGAAAAAGGAATCCGGAAAACAGAAAAAGGTACTCAGCTCGCGGAAATAGCTTGATGTTGAAGGAACGGGCATTTAGTGCTCCTGGCAAGGCTTTATTGGCTGGTGGTTATCTAGTGTTAGATCCCCAATATCGATCATATGTCGTGGCCCTGTCAGCACGAATGCACGCTGTCGTGGCGGAGACAAAGAGTAGTGGCGAAAATTGGTTCATGGTCAGAATCGTGAGCGCACAATTCAATTGCGACGAGTGGAATTATCGGGTATCCCACTCGTCGAAGTACGAAATTTCGGAAATCAACGGGCGTGTGAATCCATTCGCAGAGAGGGCACTCGAGGTTATGGTCAATTATTGCCAGCCAGACGTTCAGAAAATGGTGGACCTTGTTATTGAGCTTTTCTCGGATGCGGGCTATCATTCTGAAGGCGATAGTCTGATCAAGCGCAACCATTTCAGGCAGTTTCGCTTTCACAACCGCACGATCACTGAGGTTCCTAAAACAGGGCTCGGGTCCTCGGCTGGTTTGGTAGTTGTATTAACTGCTTCCTTACTTTATGCGTTCCGTTCAGAATTTGATGCAACGTCTGACTTGGACAAAAGCACTGTACACAACCTGGCACAAGTAGCGCACTGCCAGGCGCAAGGTAAAGTCGGTAGTGGATTCGACGTTGCGGCCGCAGTTTTTGGCTCCATTATCTATCAGAGATTTGACCCCAAGCTGATAGAAAACCTTCCCACTGACCAGCCTTCTATATACGCCCAGTCATTGCGTCACATTATTGACATGCAATGGGAGTTTACCCACGACAATATCACCTTGCCGAGGGGCATTCGCTTAATGATGGGGGATGTTAATAGTGGGTCAGAGACCACGAAACTCGTGGCCAAGGTTAGAGCCTGGTATGAATCCAACTATCCTAAGAGTTTAGGAATTTATCAAGAAATTAACGAGGGCAACCTTCGATTCATTGACGGTATCGAAAAACTATCCACCCTTTCACAGCAGGATCCAAGTCGGTACGAAAGGCTTTTGGAAGCTGTGGAATCAGATTCAAACACAAAGGAAATCCCTGAAATCGCTCAAATTGAGGCAGCAGTCAATAAAATTAGGAGTAATTTACAAGTTATAACGAGTGAGTCTGGCGCTGATGTGGAACCGCCTGCACAGACCAAGCTGCTGAATAGCTGCTCGAACCTAAAAGGAGTGATCACGGGTGTGGTCCCAGGCGCAGGGGGGCACGACGCCATTTGTCTTTTATTATCAGACGGGACTGATATTGTTAAGCAAACTTCTAACAACGACACATTTTCTTGTGTTGCATGGTTAGATTTGCATCAAGAGAACTTTGGCTTGAAGGAAGAAGCCCCGTTATATTACAAAGGACTACGATGAAGCGCGCTTTATGAACGCCTCATGAATTATATACGCAAAAGTATGTAGTCAATTGGTCATGCACTTATCTTCCCCGGTTGATTTGGTACTGAACCGTAGTCCCAATCCTTTTTCCTTACACCAGCCAAACCTCCCTTAAACCGCTTCATGATTTTACGGATCTTGCTATTGTGGATCAAGTCATTGATTTTAATTTGTTCGGGTGTATGTTTCACTGGAGCGAATTTCTCCGGTAAAAAGCGATTTTTGTTGGGTAACAGCCAGTCTGAGCGCCGGACGGGCTCTACGACCTTTGGTACTATTGACTCGAACAGATCTGAAATGTTGAGTGATGCGTCAGCCGGCTCTTTTTCTTCCAGTCTCTTGGCTTTTCTTTCCAAGATATCCCTTTCCCTCTGGGAAAGCCGCGAGGACCGTCTTATATTACTATCGGTATTATCTGATGGAATGATGCTACCCACCGATATGGTGGTGTCGAAAAAGGTAGGTGACGATTTCGTTTGGCTTCGTGCCAACAGGACCGGATCTGTAAACTCTTGCTTTACCTTAGAAACTTGTGACCGAGTAGTTCGTCTCTTTCCAGTAGAAGTTTTCCTCAGATTATCGTCGTCATTGTCTATGTAATTGGCGTCCCTGTCGCCCTTGTTGTCTCCTGGCCCGCTTCTTGAAATCTTCTCATAATATATTCCTGTACTTTTAAACCTGCCGTCATCAGACCCAACTTTTCCGCTAGCTGAGATTCCCCTTTTGAACTTTCTCAACGTAAAATATTCGTCATAAGACTCGAATTCCAAATATTTGATGGAATTTTTGATATCCCTGCTTTCCTCGAAAATTTGTAGCCTTCGTTTCTTGTTAATAATCATTTTACGTTCTATGCTCAATTCTAAGCTTTTCATTGCGTCTTGTAATTCTGAGTTTTCGGGCATGTTTTCCCATTCTTCAGGCTCTAACAGTTCGTTAGGAATTCCTATGTCAACAGACTCCCTCTTTAATGAATTGTTTATGGTCCCAACTGGTTCTTCATAGGCATTAGACAAGCTCATAGCAATAATCGTGATTCCTTATATTTATTGACCACTCTCAAATGTGAATGGCCGTTATGAGGGGGTGTCTTTATTTCAAGATGGGTCTCTTTTTGTCTATTTGACAGTATGCAGTTAATCAAAATTTTTGTTTATTCAATATCGTGTCACAATTTGAACGAAGTGACATCTTATGTTTAAAGTCTTAAGCATTAGTGCTTTGTTTCTATTTAAAAACTATTCAAACACTGCCGTACTGACCACTTTGATCTAAGTTGGTATCGGGTGAGTTACCTGTTGTTTCTGAAGCTTGTTGAAGAACCAGCATCTTCTCCTCCCTAACCTTACTTTGCCAATAGGTGAAGTAAACCAATACAGAGGAGGCGATGACCGTCAACGTTACCAGGATGGAATTAACTGGGGTTGGATTCATCTGGAAGGTAGTGTGAGTGAGATTGTCCAATAAACTTTGGCCCATGTTGCATACGCCGGATAGGCACATCAGTAAACCGTAGACGGTTCCGAACGTGTCAAAGCCAAAGACTTTGGCACAATAGTCAGAAACGACAGTGTAGTAGAATGGCCTGTAAGCGACTAACAGAAAGATCCCAAGCAAATTGAGAACCAGTGAGGGAATGAGGCCGAGGAAGCCAATAAGGATAGAAATAGACGATACAATAAGTAAAGCCGTCAATGTCGAACAATGGTCTAAAACCATTCCAATAAAAGGAATGGATATAATACCTCCCAAAGGCAAGGCCACATCGAATATCGCATTAACCTTTAGAGCCAAAGCAGCATCATCCAATAAGTACTCCTCCTGCGACCTGACAGTCGCCACGAAGTAATTAATTCTGAGCATGCAAATAACGACAAACATCAGCATTAGCATGAACCAAGGGCTCTTGATCTGTTCGGAAGCAGAACGTCCGTGCATTGCACCAAATATGCCCCTCGTTTTTTTCTCGAGTTTGGCCTCCACGTAGTTTTCCCAGACAGATTTCCTACGAGAGTTGGCAGATAGGACAGGGCGAATTCCAGAAGAAGGATTTGAAAGTAAGGATTGCCTTTCTGTCTCATCTGGAATAATGCGGGAGCCATCCTCACCAGCCGGCAAATTTCCATCCATGTCAAGTCCTTCAACTTCTAATTTCTCAACAGCTCCGAGAGTTTTGTAGGATTCCTTAGGCATAATGAATATTTGACATAGTAAGATAAAGGCTGGAACGATTAAGTAGCCCGTGAAGAACTTTTCGAGCGTTAAATTCGGTGTCCAGTTTTGATAAAACAACCGGTAGAAGAAAAATAGTGCTGAAGATGAGTCAAACGCTCCCGTTAGCAGAGCCAAGATAGTTCCAGATTTTTTGGGAAAGCTATTAGCGAGTTGAAAACTGGAAATAAAAACGAAGGGCCCCCCAATGGCAAAAAGGGTATATCCAGCAAGATATGGGTCAAAGGTTCTGATATTCGCACTCAACGCAAGGCTCAACGTTCCTAAGGTTAAAAAGGCGGAACCGATAAAACCGCAAATCCTTGGGCCGTGTACGTCCAACACATAGCCAACCGCCAGAGCTATGATATTGGTGGTGCCGGCTCCGACAGTGAACATAAAATTAAGTTTCAAATCTTGTGCAGTACATGGCCCTGTTTCCACCTCTTTCAAAACCTGCACATTCGTGGAAGTACCTAACGAGGTAGGAATATTTGCGTGTGGACAAAGCTCAGCGTAGACTCCTTGGTCTATCAAAATTGGTTTCAGAGCTGCAAAACCGAAAATAGGCCCCGCAGCGAATAAGCACCAAGTGATAGCACAAATTACCTGTACTAAGGGCAAAGAAACTTTCCCCATCTTACTTCCAGGGTGTATGCTGAAGGTTGGTGGGCAAGAAAGGAATGCTCGATACCTAGATGTGGGCACGCTTTTTTTTGGTTTTCTTATCAGCCAATATAAAGGCTCAAAAGAATAAAACTATAATTCTGATAGGGTGAAATTATTAGCCGATCGTACACTCTTTCAGATGAACGACACAGGTTACCGTTTGCCATCGGGCTATGTAGTATGAGTACGTGGGCAGAAATGTAGAGTGCCTCAGTCGGTTTTGTCTTCTATCAATTAACTATGTACCTTTGTTTTCCTAAACTTTACCAAGGCCATCTATCATATCCAGTAAGTCATCGTCAAGATCAGGTTTGGAGGGGTCCTTCGAAATATCATTGGAGTCCGATTGTTTATGCTTCGTTACTTCACTGTTGCCCACCATTTGTAGCCAGTTAGTAACGTTGGTGACAAATCCTTTTCCGTTGGGAACGAAGTGCCCTCCTGGATGTTTCAACAGAGTTCTGCTTTTCTCTGAGCAAGAATCATACAACCACATTACTCTACTACTTTCAACTACAGTGTCTAACTCTCCTAAAACATGTAGGGAAGGAACGGTAATCGGGCTGTCCTCGTAGCGTTGTTGAAACCATTTTGGAGCCATTCGAAAGCCACTGAAACTTACAAAAAACTTGAAATTGGGCTGCTCTTCTTCAGATAAGCTCAACAGCCCGCGGACATCAGTGCATAAGTAGCCTGCATAACCAGCGCCCTGACTGAATCCAATAATTCCGTCAAATGGTCCATTCTCAATAATGTAGTCACGTAAGAAGTCTTTTGTGTTCTGAGGGACCCTGTACTCATCATTAGGGTCCTTGAGCCACCAGCCATATATATCATCTGTTCCGGCCTGTGTGTTAAAAGTAGATGCGATATCATCCATGTCCCTGATGTCTGCACCTGATATCTTGTTCGGTGCGCATGGGTAAAACAGCTCATAGCCAAGCTTAGCTAGGTTTTTACGGAAGCCACCAGTCTTGGCGTAGAAAATGGCACCAGATTGAGCATAGCCGTGAAGCATCAGGATCTTGCCTCCCATATTGGTTTATAATTTCTTATCAATTGTGTTTGGTGGGCCTTTCAATCTCGAGCTACTCGAAATTAATCAATCAATGCATAGTGACAGGTCACTTATAACAATCTCCCCACACTAAGACTTTTTGAAACTAAACTAGCCTGACCACATATTCGACGTATTAAATGTTGGCTCATCTATTGCAAGACTGCTATTAAAAGGGCCCAGAGTAAGTTTCGGGGCCCTTTTCCCATACCTTGTGTTCATAGCCATCAATGCCAAGTGCAAGCTAAACAGATTCATTGTAACCCTACTTCATGATCATGATCAAGTGCCAAAGTGTTTACTGAATTAGCGTATTCACTCGCTGATTTTTGTGCTAAAGACATTTTCTTTGCTCTTGGTGGAGTAGGATCTAGCTCGATCCCAAGCTCGGGAACCCCAAACTCGATTGAAACTTAAAAGACGAACAATAGGATTCTCTTGTGCATTCAAATTCTATGAGCATATAATCAAAGTCCTATCAGTGATCTTTTTTCGCTCTCGCACTGCCCTTAGATGAGGCCACTGAACTGAACATTGGAATGATATCCCAAAATTGATAGCTTTAAAGGTCTAGGGGCACAAATCTGCTACATTTTTACAAGCCTCCAGTAGAGTACATCAGTTAACCAAAAGCCCCAGTCTGGGGCATTAATTCGTGATTGTGGCCTTCGATTTTGCTGAAGGAAGAGTAGATGTGCTCAAATATTCAAACGATACCAATTGCAAGACTGGGAGGGAAAGAAAGGCGCGGATATCGCGTATCGTTATATTCCCCTGACCTCTGTATGTGTCCTCTCATGTATTATTCCTACTGTGCTTTCAGTGCTTTCAATACTTATATACACCAAAGTTCTGCCCTCTAATTCAAGCAATCTATACCACACAATGCCCTCATAAGCTCTATAAAACAGTCTAAATACTCTGAACCCAAAGTAACCAGCTGGCTACCGCTCGGTTAATGGTGTGGGTTAGTATGTGGCATAGCACACCGTATCTAGTTATTGTTGATCGACTACAAAAATTCCCATTAGAAGCCTAGATGCGCTCAAGTTGAAGGCATATTAAACCACACCGCCAGGAGGATACAGTTCCTTCCTACTAATGAACTGTCCACATTTGAATCAAGCATTTCGTAATGAGAAGACTCGCGACGGCGTCTTGAAAACATATAATATGATACGTTACATCATCGAGCACAGTACCTTCAAAAATAGGTATTTACTATCGATGAGGTGCTCCGAGTGCAATGAGATAAATTGCGGATCGACATTTATGTGCCTTCAATGTGGATTCTGCGGCTGCTGGAACTCACAACACTTTTTGGCGCACAGTGAAAAGGTCGGACACATTTTCGGGGTGAACTCCAGCAATGAGCTTCTTTTTTGTTTCAAATGCATGGATTTTGTGAGTGGTAACGAAATGCTGGCCAACTCCATGCTGATAAAGTGCTGGGATGATGTTTCCGTGAAGAGTTTGTTGCCCACTGCACGAGGGCGGGACGGTTTGTGTGGCCTTGTGAACATGGGTTCGACGTGCTTCATGAGCAGCATCGTTCAAACGCTGGTGCACAACCCATACGTGTTGAAGTACAGTCTCGATCAGTATCATGCGGCCCACTGTACCGTCCAAGACAGTAAATCTTGCTTCTCCTGCGCCTTAGATTCTGTGGTGACGAGCTTCTATGGCCCCTCCGATGACGTGACCTTTTCTACACAGCAACGGGGGTTCATAGACCTGCTTTCGTGTGCTTGGAAAATCGATAAAAACTTAGCAGGATATTCACAGCAAGATGCGCATGAGTTCTGGCAGTTCTTCCTAAATCAATTGCATTCCGATCACACCAGAATTTCAAAAAACTCACCAACTAAGGTTGGTCATTGCAATTGTATCGCGCATTCTGCCTTTCAAGGTACTCTAAGAAGTACAATCATCTGTGCAGACTGTCATGAAGGTAGCAATAACACATTTGACCCCATGATGGATCTTTCGTTAGAAATAAAGAATAAGTTCAACTTGGTCGAATGTTTGCAAAGTTTCCACGAAGGCGAGACCCTTACAGACTTCAACTACAAATGTTCCAGCTGTGAATCTGTTAGGAATCCAATAAAACAAATGAACATTGCCAAATTGCCACCAGTTATGGTATTACAGCTCAAGAGATTCGAGCATCTGATGAGTGGGACTAGCGTAAAACTTAACGACCCAGTACATTTTCCAGCCTATCTAAACATGACTCCATATTGTCATCAAGATAGTTCCAGTGGTATGCCTGTTATAATCTACGAACTCGTGGCTGTCATTTCTCATGAAGGCTCGGTAAATCAGGGTCATTACACCAGCATGTGCAAGATACCAGGCGGGCAGTGGTTTCGATTCAACGACTCTATGGTTGTAACTATCTCTGAAGAAGAGGTGCTCAAGCAGCAAGCATATCTACTTTATTATATCGTTCGCCAAGTTGGTAGTTCCTGAAGGCGTACGACACCCAACAAAATTTGCATCAATTACACTCGTTAATTTACTTCTATCATCATTTAAACAGCAGCTTCTAAACTTTTTAGGCTCAAAGAGAGCAATGCATTTCAATCAAAAAAGTCCTCATCTTCATTTTCTTCACCGACACCCAAATTGAACTTTCCTGTGATGCCGGTCCTGATACCTTTTCTGCTATACTGTGCCGCCCTCTCATTTCTGACCTCTTCGTCATCTACGTTCATCAGCAGGCGATCATCTTTTTCATTGATAGCACCAAGTTTGACCATCAAATTTTCCAGATCCGCCAACTTGGAATCGTTCCCGCCTAACTCAAGTAAAGTTACCAGATTCTTTAAAACCTCCCCACGATAATAAACAATAATTGTTGGGCAATTGCTTTCAGGGTAGTTCTCAATCGCCCTATTTGCCGGAATATCCACGAATTTCAGCTCAGGAAACTTGACTGCCGCTTGATTAAAAAGTTCAGACAAAAGTCTGCTCTGCAGTTTGCTGCTCAGAGACATATGCACAAAGACATAAACCCCGCCATTCTGTTCCCCCTTTGACCCCATGCTACAATCCGTAATTTCCTTGTTGTATTCTGGTTTATTTACATGAAACACTTGGCCAAACTTGGCCCTTTCTTGCAGTTTTTGTATCTCGCTTATTCTCTGTCGTCTGTAAAGTTCCAAAAACTCTTCATCCTCCTCATCCTCAAGCTCTTCCAAGTCTGATAAATCTTTCCCCTCTAAACGGTTCTCATGCTGCTTCTGTAACGCTTCTTCCAATGCCTCCTCGAGCTGAGCAGTTGGTGAGGGAGCTCTCTCAGGTATAACGCCATGCTGCCTGAGAATATCATTCCACTCTGTATCCTCAGTTTCATCCACATCTACCTTGACTAAAGGTTCATTCTGCATCTTGACTTGTGCTTTAAAATGCTTGCTGATGGAAACATGTACGGGCTCAAATTCAAGTATATCTCACTATTACTGATGTGACAACAATCTGCGTCACTCTCGTACAAGGCGATATTCTCGAGGAAGGTCTGCCAGATACTGTTCCCGTACTCGTTTCATCGCTTTTTACTGGCGAGTAAACTATTCAAAACATCTGTTTTGGGAGTTCTGGATGACCTTCCTCTTGCGCCCCCTCTAGACTTCTTTCGGGGAGCATGAGTAATGTCGCGTGCGCTGCCGTCGTCAACTGAAAGGTCGACTGTGTCGATGCCAGGCCCTTTAGACAGCGAGGACTCTTCATGATCAATGTAAAGTGGTGACATTTCACGGCCACTTTCGTCAGATTCGACTGAATGTGACCGGACACGCTCCTGGGGTTGGTGTGCGTGGGTGGTCCTTAAGCTTCTCTTCGCGGGTGTGTTAGTTGAAGTTTGTGATGGATCTTCGGATCTACCAGGCCCGTAGTTGCCTCGGTTATGGAGGGATGTGGCATGTTGAGCAGCGGCACTCCGTTGTTCTGAGAGAATACGGCTGTTAGAATCTAAGCTGTTAGCAGAACGGACATCCTTCACCAGCCTTTTGAGATCGTGAATATTATCAACATCCAAAAGCTGCTGATTGGCAACTAACAGCTTGATTTCATTTTCGACCTCCTTGTCAATGTAATCTTTTAGAGCAGTTTTCTCATCCTTTTCTACAAAACGGCCAATTGCTTCATTTAGCCCAAGTTCGGGCAATAAAGATAAATTCATCGATTTGACTAGGCTCTGTACTATAGTCTGTACCCCTAGATCATCGTCACGATCTCTGCCTATTGATTCAATGTCCATCTCATCTTTCGATGTTTTAGCTGATTGTTTCTTTCTTTTGTATAGCTGAATGACATTATTTGTATTCGCAACTTTTCCCACAAACCTATTGCTAAATCTCCTTGGATTCTCGACCTGATAGTCCAAGTCGTCATCTACCCTTGAGCTGTAGTCTACACGAAGTCTGATGAGCGGAAGCTCTGAATTCGGTATGAGCCTCTCTACATCATTTGTGCCAGAAGTCCACTTTTCGCCCATCGCTTCTTGCACCATTGTCTCTACCTGCCGATGTAAAAATTTCGTTATGGCCTCTCGATCATGAGCTTTTAATCCTACTATATCTTTAAGCGCAACGTCACGCATAACAAATCGCCGCACGCTTTTAAGCGGGATTCCTGTCAACTGCGGCTGATGCCCACTTCGATATTCCAGGATGAAAACTTGCTTCTCCTTTGACTCCGCCTCGCAAAGAGATGTGGCAACTGACGAACCAGGCTGTAGTACATCGAAGCCCTTGTTGGGATTGGATACAAGGTGTGGAATGCACTCGTGTTCATGGCCCCAGACGACGAGATCGAGGAAGTCTGGTAAAAACTGTTCAGGCAAAAAAGCCGTGTTAGTATGACCGGTATGGTTTTGATGTACACACATAATGTTAAACCACTCCTTGTCTCTCACAGCAGGAACATTAAATTTCACTTTCCCTTCTTTGAAAGTCCTGAATAGTCGCTCGTCCCGGACTGATGCCAACCCATACAAAGCCAATTTTGTACAACCCTTCTGAAATAGCAGCGGAGAAACTTCGATGTTGTCACTTTCCATTACTTTACCAAAATGGTTTATCAGACCGCTAACCTGTAGAATATCCATAGGACTAAGTAGCGCATCGCCCGAAGAGTCGTCGTGGTTCCCTGAGATTCCGAAAACGGGTATAGAAATATTCATGTTCGGATCCTCGTAGTTCACCCCAGTAAATTCGCCATATTTAAAAACCATCGACGCATCACTGAGTAACTCCAGTTCGCAGGGCTTATCACCCATACAATTTGCCCTTAAACTATTCATGACATGGTATAACGCTTTCTTTGACGGCTTATTCACATGAAACAAGTCACCGCCCTGGATGACCATATCGACGTTCTTTTCTCGCGCTATCGACATAATCTCCTCAAAGCTTTTCCAGGAATCATCGCCAATAATGGGATCGTTTTCACTGTAGCCAACATGATTGTCTGAGGTGATTAGAATGCGAATTGTATCGGTATCTGGATATTCGAGCATTGCTCAAGTTACTGATCCTTAGGCGAGGCACAATTGCGTACCACTTCTAGCTTGCTGGTGCTGTTTGAGCCTTACCTAGTTGCATCTGATCTGAACGATGAGCATAAATGTTCGGGAATTTAATACTAAGCTCGAAAAACTGTAACTCAGACACTTGCCTGAAAGAACGCGAGGAAAGCTATATATAGCGTTATAGAACGTGGATATGACTAAAGACATCCCCTTTTACAGCACAAATGAAGATGGCAATCTTCTGCGTGTATTCCTCGTCAGACATGGCCAAACGGCCGAAAATTCGCAAAAGATCCTACAGGGCCACCTTGACACAAATCTGAACGATGTTGGAATCGAGCAAGCACAGAAGCTTGGCCAGTATCTTTTCCAAGAGCGAAAAGTAAGGCTCGATCGGGTATACAGCAGTGATCTGAAACGATGCCAACAAACAACCGGCCAGATGCTCGATAAGTGCTCAGGTGAAAGGCCAGAAGTGAAGCTTGATTCCGGTCTCAGGGAACGCTCCATGGGAGAAATTCAGGGCATGTATCTAAGTGATGCTGAGGACTATGCGGCAAAACACGGCAAAGCTTCTTTTCGCGATTTTGGCGAGAAACCGCAAGAGTTTGAGCACCGGATAACGGAAGCGGTCTCAAAGATCACTGAAAATTGTTCAGACGTACAAAATATTGCAATCGTCAGTCATGGAGGCTCTATCCGCCAACTGCTGAAATGGTTTGACTACACTGAGCACGACATGCATCGAATCATTGTATTTAACACATCTGTCACAATCATTGACTATCGTAAGTCCAAACGCACCTATGAAGTGAAGCGCGTTGGTAACACCCAACATTTGGGCGATGGAGAGTTCATTGTAAGTGATTTACGTTTGCGCTAACAAGCCAGAAACGAGATCACGCTTTTGAGACGCGCAGGCTAGGAACAAGAGACTAAACACTTTACACAAACAATATTTCACTATAAACAATACCAGATATTTGGATATAAGTTGTGTAGTACCCTTTAAAACATCAATAGCAGGATTTCAGGGTACAGGAAGCCGGGTTTGTTAGGGGTCGTTCTTTACTAAAAACTCACCTGTATATATTATGCACATAGTAGCTCATATATTTTCTGCAGTCATCCTTCTTATACCGCTCTTCAGGTTGACAAACAGGAGTGGCCATGTGGAAAGCCGTCGTAGATGCCTTCAATGGTAGTACACAGACACCAAACGATGATAATGAGCAAAGTTACGATTTTGTCCAAGTGCAAGCCATTGTTAAAAATGAGGGCGGATCCCAAATTTTACTGGATGTAAGAGAACCCGACGAATACGCCAGTGGTCATATTCCTGGTGTTCCCAACATGCCATTCAGAAGTCATCCACTTGCCTTACATATTCCTCCTTCTGAATTTCACAAGGATTTTGGATTTGTAAAGCCCGGTAAAGAAAAGGAACTTATCATGCTATGTGCGTCTGGTTTTAGGGCAGGTAAAGCTAAAAATGAAGCACTAAAGGCCGGATACCAAAATGTGAGTTTGTATTCTGGTTCGATGAAAGACTGGGTTGCCAAGGGTGGTGAAACAGTGGTGGAAAGCCAAAGCTAGTCTACGGGGCAAGTGGACAGACGTTTTAAGTTTACAATTCTCAGGTTAGTTTTACGCTCGTGACGAATGGAATTAATCATGTTGACTGGCGGATAATAGATAGCATCATCCACTTGATAGCAAACTTAAGTAAAGCTGACTTTTATTGAATGTGTTTCTTCTATACTGAGTGATGTCCAGAATAATTGAAATAAATTAAAATTGAGGTCAAGATGAAATACACAAGACGGCTATAAAAAACCCCACACGCGCGATATCGAACATCCTTAAGTGAAGCAATGCTTAGATCGGCTTTAAGAACAGCCAAGCCCACTTCGTTCATTAGAAGCATGGCATCCAAGACACCCAAAACCTATGAATTTGACGACATCAAATCCCTTGTTCAAACACCAGATGCGCAAAAGCTTCTGATCGACGTAAGAGAACCTAGCGAGCTACAAGAATATTCTATGCCGACTGCCATTAATCTTCCTTTGAAATCTGCCCCAGGGGCTTTGGGATTGTCTGCAGAGGAGTTTCGAGAAGTCTTTGACGTGCCGAAACCTGCATCAGAAAAGGAACTCATCTTTTTCTGTGCGGCTGGGATCAGGGCCAAGGCTGCCGAAGAGCTTGCCCAATCATTTGGCTACGAGAACACCGCTATTTATCCAGGATCCATCCATGATTGGCTAGATAAGGGTGGTGCTAAAGTCAAGAATTCCGCCTGATTTTGTATGGTTTTTGCCTTCGAACTTACCCTGTATATAAGTAATTGATGACCCGACGGGTATGACGACGAAGCCGCTACCTATCATGAAATGAGAATTGCTTGAATTCTTTCCCCAATCTCTTCTTCCGTTTCCTATCCATGACCTTTTCTCTTTGTTTGGCTTTCATGTGATCAAACTTGTATTTCTGTATCACCTTGCGTTGCTCTGACTTTTTCAAATGGAACTTCGTCTTGTTTCCCTTATTCAAATCAGTTTCATAGTCCTTTATAATTTTGCGGTCCAAATCACGGTTTTGCAAGGTTTGAAGTTTAGACTTCATGCTTGTTAGCCTCTCTTCCATTTCATTTTTTTCATGGTCTGTTATTTTTTTCAGAAACTTACGATCTTTCAACAGCGACGTAAGCTCATTTATCTCATTCTGCCTGTACTCATCCAGAAAACTGTAATGTTTCCGAATATTCCCATAATCATCCGATTTTGCCATCGACTTATCGAAGCGAATGTCCTGATATAGATTTTCATTCTTGCTTTTGGGAATCTCTAACCCTGGTATCTGCCTTATTCTCGAAGCTCGCTTTTTCGCTGATTGCTCTGCAGGGGCATGGCTTTTCTTCTTCGTTTTGGTGTGGTTCAAGCTGTCCGTTCGACGGACACTCTCCTCTTCAAACAGACCCTCGCCATCTGACGAGGAGGCTGAGTTCTCATCAAATGATTCTTCATCGTAATACTTGTCCTTTGTTTCTGCCGCCTGAGGTACGGCCTGAATCGAGGTTCTCTTAGAACTTGAAAGTCCTCTTTTTTTTTCGCCACGCAGTTCATTCTCCAACTGGGCTTCAGCTTTTCGTAATGCGTCAAAAGAAAGGTTCGATAGGCCATCGTCGTCAGTTTCGCTATCGTTGTCCTCATCTTGTATATTTCGTTTCGACAGAGTTCTCAACAACTCGTCATCCTCGGAACCTTCGTCGACCTCATTGCCAGGTTGCAAGTTCTTAAAAAAATACGACATTGTTCAGAAAGTTTCCGGCTCCAGTGGTCTGTTTAGCCAGTGATGAAGTGATTTTTGTTTGTTAACAGTTAACTTTAAGTCCTTCGCAGCTCATCTCATCGACGCTCAAGTTGACGCCATTTTTTTCCGACGAAGATCACTAGTTAGTAAACTGTCATAATGATGAATTTTTATGCGAATCAAGTCCTTTGAAGAACGCACATAGTTGGACACTTCAACTTCACAGCGCATCAAAGTAACAGGATACTTTTATTTGCCAACAGGATCTCAATATTAGAGTTATATATATATGTACAGGAAACACTAGTCGCTCGCGAACGCCTAGCACTACTATAAGGTATTTTTATTGGGATTCAATGCTCTCCTTAAGACCCAGCTTCCGAGAGTGTCTGTCGAAATAGTTTCCTAATTCTTTGAAAGTCATCTTTGTTGGGTCCGCCTCCATTTCTGTTTTATCCTTGAAGGTAATTTTCACAATCGGGCTCTCGGTAGAAGCAGCTGTGAGGAGTTTGTTCTGTATCGATGTACCGGTCAGCCGCTGTGCAGGTGGAATCGCACTCAAAAGAAGGCGAGCGCTTTTGGCTGATTAACAAAGTTAGTAGCTGTCTCCTCAATAGCTCTCCAACACAATATAAAAAAATAGAACTCAGCGCATACCTTCCTTACCAAATGGGTTGAATTTGACTACCACTTTTGTGAAATACTTGGTAATCATTGGTTGTGGCAGGTAATGATCAATCCAAGTAAGTAATATCAAAGAATCGTTGCTTAACGGGCGATCCAGACCATTTTGATCGATGGAGTAGATATGTTTTATTGAACTCGAAAAACTATAAATGCGGGTAATCATTTTAAGCGCGCAAGCTAAAATAGGACGGTGCGCCACTTAGAGCGACACTCACACCGTCAAGCGACGAGAGTTAGCATATTACAAAACTACGTAGCTCTACAACTCATCATGGTGAAACATTGATCTGTTTTTTTTTGACCTTTTTCCTCCCGAGAAATTTGCAAGCCTTTCCGGACAGCATCTAAATATTCTTGACGCTTGGTATATGGGCCTTCGCGCGGTTCTGCCAACAGTGATAAAAATTTCCATACATCCTTTTTATCAAAAGATTGATCTTCATAGATATGATAGTCTTGTGTTTCTGCGTTAAAAGCAACCAAAAGACTTGAGTCAGAAAACGCTTGATCCTGTTGCAGACCTAGCAAAAGTTCCTTGAATTTGCCGCCAAGTGGTTCTAAAGCATTGGAAAGTCCCTGAAGCTTAGAATTAGGGAAGACATGGAAGTCCATTACCCCTAGCCAATCCAAAGCCAGGCTTTTATACAAAGGTGAGATTTTATCCCTTTTCGAAAAGAGAATCACTTGCATCCTCGATTGAGATGAGTTCTTCAAAATTTCGAGCATTTTTTCAATCCTTGGTATACGGTTCACGTAATTTTTAACTCGAGATGTGCAAAAGTCCACGATTGGCCTGAGCTTTCTCTCTCCTTTATATATCTCACTTGCGTGATTTCCCAGAGCAATCCGACTATCTGCACTCTTCTTCAGGTCTACTTTGGGTGGACGAAATACCATTAGTGTTGGAAAACCCTCAACACGGTATTGGGCGCAGAGTCGTTTATTTTTGGCTAGATCACAATTTACACTTGCAATTTGGACGATACCGTCCAAGCTTTTTGCAGCTTTTTGCATTATGCCTTTAAGCTGTTGACAGTATCCACACCATGGGGCATAGAACTCTACCATTGTAGTGTAGTTAGTGCGATGCACCACTTTGTCAAAGCTCTTAGGTGTCAACTCCATAATGTGCGCATTTTTGTCATAAAAATTCTGAGCGCTGGCCAAGCAAAATAGCACAAACACCACTAGGCCCCCTGGTATTCTCATTTGGCATATGCTGTAAGGGGAGTGGTGGTCAAGGCGGGAAAGAAAAGATTTTGTGCCGTCTTCGCTTTCTAGTGACTATAAAATATTGTGCGTTGAATCACGTTTAATGATCTAAAAACACCCAGAATTGATTTCCTAAAACAAAGTCAACAGACCATTTACGCTTATATTTGACAACTATACAACGTGCTGCTGGGGCTCTGCCAATTTGCTGGGGCTCTGCCAATTTGCTTGAGGGTAAGGAGTATTGCTGTGAAACAATACGAATGACTTTTTCATTACCTATTCAAGTTCTGTCCACTGCCGTGCAAGAAATCCAAAGAAAGGACCTTAGAGGTAGGTAGTTAGTTAGCAGGGATACGCGAAAGAGAAAGAGCGCTCTGAAGAAGCGCTCTGAAGCATCATCGTAGCTCAATTTCGCTGAAGTATCTCATTATGGTCAAAATGGCGGGTACAAGTGTACTCGCCAACTCTCGAATAAAATAAGGGATGCCATCAATTTTACCATCAATTTTACCATCCTATTTACCCTATCGCCAACCTTGAGCGCAGATAAAGATGCCTGAGAGCTCGCCATTTGCTTTCTATGCTTTTCATCAACTCGATATCCATTTTCATTCGAAGGATATACCCAACCTCACGTTTGGCGAAATTCAGAAACGATTCTATTCAGACTGCTTGCTAGACAAGAACAAAATCAATGAGAAGAGCTCTCTATTCATAACTTGGAAAAAACGATCCAAGAGAAGCTCCGTATACGAACTCAGAGGATGTATTGGGACTTTTGCCAAATTACCATTATTGAGAGGTATTGAAAAATATTCTCTCGTCGCAGCCCTTCAAGACCACAGATTCCCGCCCATCCGTGTGATTGAACTGCCTCAACTCGAATGCAGCTGTAACATATTGCAAAATTTCCGTTCTATTTTCTCTAACCACGAAGGGGATATATTCGATTGGGAGTTAGGCACTCATGGAATTGAGCTGAACTTCAAAGATCCAAAAGCGGGCAGGATAATGAGTGCTACTTTTCTACCTGAGGTGATGCCTGAACAAAATTGGAGTAAAAAGGATACCTTTAGGAACCTGATAGAGAAAGCAGGTTACCTTGGGGATGTCGATTCATTGATGGACCATTACGAAGATTATTTCGTGGAAGTTATTCGCTACGAAGGCAACAAGAGCCAAATTAAGTACGATGAGTATAAAGATTTGATGAATGATTGAGTAAGGAAACAGTTTGGCATCGGAAATTGGCTCTTCGTCTGAATCGACCGCACCTATGTTACCTGTAAGAAACGAACTTTATGTCAGACAATCTGTAAAAAAGTCGGATACCTATTTTTTTCAAAAATGTTAAAAAAGATCGACAACTGCAGGATTCGAACCTGCGCGGGCATAGCCCAAAAGATTTCTAATCTTACGCCTTAACCACTCGGCCAAATTGCCATATTCCTGGATGTCATGAAGCTACGGTCCCCGATAATCCATCCAAGATAGAAGTGGGACGACATTAGCATAGCCAATAAGGTCCTCTCTTATATGTCGTTCTGCAGTGAGCTCATCGAGTGTCAACGCTCCCTTGCATCCCTGGCACTGACATTCCTGTCGCTGATATTATCTCAGATTGAGTGCTTTCGTTACTTTTAATAAAAGATTCGCATCTAGTCATTTCATGACAGATGTTCTTAAAGGAAATAACATACTCATTCCCTGTATTCAAAGCATTTGTCGTGAAAATATATCACAACGTCAACTCAAAGAATAAAAGCTACTGAATGACAATGGGACTCAGCAGATCTCGTTAGTAATCACTACCCATTTGCTGCTTCTATATCTAATCTTCCTATTTGTTCTGATCCACCGGTCTCCTTTTATACAGCTGTCCTGTCTCTGCCTCAACAGAGAGGAAGGTCACACTGGTGTACAAACCTTGAGTATCTTCCAATCTTGGGCGAGGCTTCTGGGGTGTTGGATTCATACAGTCTTCTCCTTTCTCATAGCCATGTAGATTCGTTGGCTGACTTTGACTCATGCTCTGTCATTATTATCACTCATGTCATTATTACTATTCTTGTCATTCCACGACAATATTCATGAGATGAGTTGAGGTTGTGAGAAAACTTGAGAACCTCACAAATTCCACGAATAAGTTACGGATAAAGGTATAGGTACCATGCCCTGCTGCTCGAGACTAATCCTCCAATTGCTAACAGCCCGGACAGAATCATAAGGAGAATTGGTAAGAGTTCTAAGTGGAATGATGGAAGCACGATACAACGTATGAGATTATAGGTCAAACGCTATCCCTCGATAAAACGTACTATTCACAAAATAATGTACTGGTATGATTAAGGTTTATCCTTAATCCCGTTTGTCCCAGATCATAGATATAGGATTGATGCATACCATAATACGTTGTTCTAATTAACGTGATAAGAACGATTGCATTTCTATCAAAACCATAAATTGTTGGGAATAATGTGAGGAAACTGGTAGTAATGTGCGTCTAATCGCATAATCAGCGTCGGTAAATATGTGACACAGTAGTACAGAATGATTGTACACAATAGAGGCCATACAAATCGACTTACAAGCTAGGACAAGCCGAAGAGAACAACTATTGTCCAATGGGATTGGCGATTGATACGTTATCGACAGCGTATGGCATTGAAACCGTAAATTCATGTGCAATGGAATGATCTAGAACGGGTGATTGATAGTCATGTTAACCAGAGTCACCGAGTGAGAATTGTATAATACCAGGCTTTTGTTCAGATAACTGAACCAACCCTAATGCCTAAAATAATCACGGAGAGATAAATAGAACTCCCTAGATCCAAGTTACTCATCTTATAATGACTATGTCCGACTTACAAAGCAAATTTAGTAAGCTTTCTACTGATGAATCAGATTCGCCTCAATATTTCAGATATCCAATATTTCAGATATCTACTGATGAATCAGATTCGCCTCAGTATAAATCTCGTTGATATTCACAATTGACTTACTTTTCTCTATACCTATTTCTTGTTAGAAATACCGGATGGTAGTGATCTAGTATGGTTTGAATCGCCTCAGATTACGAAATAGTAATCCTCAGCTAAGTGTCAGTATAGAATGAGGTAAAACTGGTGACGACAGTAAAACAATGGACAAGGCAAATACTCAACCAACGGGACTAAGAGGAACAACGATTACACAGAAATGCCCTGGTTAGATATTAAAACTATCCAACTGATGGAATAGTTGGATTATCCAGCCCGAACCGCACCCTGCTTATTCCTTGCCAGAAATTTGTATAAATACCGGCCATATGTCCCAAATATGGACCAGAACTATAGCCTAAATAATCACGGGAAGGCAACCAGAAGTAGCGCTTCAGATTTACTATCAAGTGCTCAGAATATATAGTACACGATGTCTATCAAAAAATTGAAAAAACATTTCAGCAAGTAAACCACTGCCCACGCCCGCTCGCTTCTATTAATTGAGCCATAGAACGAAATTATTGTGTTTATGCTGGATACAATAAACAGTGGGTCAAGAATACTATTCGAGTGGTATCTTCACATCTTCAATGCTCGTTATGCAGTATTTTTATTGTTTTGGACTAGTTCAACCAATTTGCACACTATTTAAAGAAATCTGGAATACGCTCATGAAAACCAAACAACATGTGTTAGCACACGGTCCAAAAAGTGTTACAAACTAAAAACTTCCTATGCTAACCAAATCCTGCCCATTCGATGGAAAAAAAAGAAACAGCTTCTTCAGTTGCCGCTTCAACTTGCGCTCTCACGCCAGCCACAACCCATAGCTTCTTGACACCCGTTCCAAGCCTACCACCACTAACTACTTGTAAAAGGTCCAATGGGTCATTTTGGTAATTCAACGCAGGTTGAACCGTCATATGTGAATGATATCTCAACGGATCACCTGGATACGCTATAAATCTCCCTCCGAATCTTGCACCTGGCGAAAGGTAATAACCGTCACATTTAAGGGCTTTGTAAACATAATAGTCCCCCGGATTTTTACAATTCCGTCGAAGTTGACCGCAAAGGGCTCGTTGTATTTCAGGACAGTCGAACTGATTGGCTTTGACTCGGCGCGCGATCAAATCCGATGAATTCGGAGTCTCCACAAATAGCGAGGATTCCAAAAGAGATTCTGAAGTTCTACTCATCTCAGAAGAGAGACCAAGTTGTTGTAATTTTTCCTGATGCCGCACTTGCTTGAATGCTCTTTGTTCTGCAAAAAAATTATCGAGCTTTCTTTCTGCCAGCTTCATTTCCTGGAGGGAAAGGGTCTGTATGGCAGCAATTACCACCTCAGATCCCGCAATGAAAAAAGCGCGTCCATTTTCCACTAACCACAGAGCTTCCTCGGCCATCAGTCTCAGTGGAACACTGAGAAACGCATTCTGTTGCGCTGCCGAAGGCAGCGTGCCAGCGAGAATCCCTGCAAATCCCAAGTTTCGCAGTTCCCGTATGTGGTCGATGTTGAAAACCATGGCTATCCCACCACACCGTTCATTGTCAGACCCACGAATTAGGTTTATTGGGATTTTGGCACCACTCATTCAACAGAATCCTGAGAGAGCAAACCACTATCTTGTCGTACTAGGTTTCACAAACAACTTGTACCCGCGTATGCCCTTTTGACTGAAGCTCATCGCACGACTCAAACGGCCAGTCCTCACGATTTTTCTTCCGCATTGTATACGAACATGGAGCAATTTGGACGGTCATGTGCGGTACTGGGCTTGGCCGCCTGTGGGAAATGTCTTAGTGCAATGGTTGAACAAAGCAAGGCTTTGAAAGAGATCTCTAACCGCTTGTTACTTCAGTATTAACTCTAGCTCGTGCTCGAGCGAAGTAGGTCTGTCGACGTTCAAAACGATTCACTTGGTAACAAGTCCCCAACAACCGTTGCTGCTCCATTATTTCAGGGCCCTTGACGGTTGACTGGACTACGCAACGGACATATTACTTCTTGTCTTCCTCAAAGTTTCCCTCAAAGACAACCAATCCCATATCGTCGCTCAGCAGTATTGTAGGCGCCAAGGCATGCGACAAAGCCGATGAAGGATAAGCCGAAGTAAGATAAGCCTTCTTTCTGCCGTCCCTAGGACTGGATCGAGACTGAAGATGCTCCCGTTACATTTCAACTGGCTTTACCTTCAGAACTCCACAGGTATTTGTGCATGGTGTGCCGTTCGCAGAGCTGTTTGGTAGCTTTTTCTCTAACTAATTAGGTAAGGGAAAACTGTCACTTGACGAAATAATGAGGCTTAGCAGTAGGCGGGATATTCGTGTAGTAACAGCCTTCCCTGATAGTGAAAGATATAGGAAAGAGGGCTACTGGCCGCTACTAAACTACTGGCTTATCATAGACTTTCAGGGTCTAAGTCCTCAATTGCTTGAGAAGTCTGTATTGGCGAAAATTCTTTACTCAGTAAAGTAAGACAGTTTATCTTAACAAAGATATCGACACCTATTGGACAGAGACTAATTAGCCGACTGGGAGTTTTTGATTTCTCGCCATAAGGAAGAAGTTTTTGGAACTTTGCTTGGTACCATAAACCAGGTCATTCTATCTGGACGGGAGGCTGTGTGTTTTCAGGTGGCTTAAAAGACTCGAGATTAGGGTCTCTTGCGCAAGAGAATTGAAAACAGTGGCGCAGGCAAGTGTACATTAGTGGGATAAAACTGGAAAGCCTCTGGGAATCAGACCATTAGACTTTGTCAGAATATCGCCTAATAGACATTTCGGTGAGTACTTGATTCGATCTAGTGGGCCGAGGTTACACCGGTAGTCCGTAATATAAGTAAGTTCTTTTATGGCCGAGGATACCCACCATAGCTTTGGGCTCAGGCCAGATCAACTTGCCGAGCTACACGATCCGAAATCGCTTGCAGCGTTTGCCAACATCTTCGATAATGATGTCGACAATTTATACACGCGGCTAGGCACTGATCCCACGCAAGGGCTAAGTGTACAGGATGAGGACATATCACAGACCGCGCGGTTCCAGATGTACGGGGACAATAGGATCCCGCAGCGCAAGCCAAAGCCGTTCTGGCGGCTCGCATGGGAGGCTTTTCACGATCAAACTATGATCTTGCTGAGCGTAGCGGCGGTTGTGTCATTTGCGCTAGGACTGTATGAAACTCTCGGGCAACCGCCCGAATATGATAACGAGGGCAAGAAGATCACTAAAGTCGAATGGGTTGAAGGTGTGGCTATTATGATAGCCGTGTTAGTGGTTATTCTGGTGGGGTCTGCCAATGATTACCAAAAAGAACAACAGTTTGCTCGCCTCAATGCCAAGAAAAGCGATCGATCGATTGTGGTTCTGAGAGGTGGCGACGAACACCTGATTTCTATTCATGACCTGTTAGTCGGCGATGTCATCAGCTTGCAGACCGGTGAAGTAGTCCCAGCCGACTGCGTCTTGGTGGACGGTTCCTGTGCTTGTGATGAGTCTGCGCTGACGGGAGAGACAGAGACTATCAAGAAGGTGCCCATCGACGCTGCTTTTGCGCGTTATAAACAGTTGACTCAGGATGACGCCGCTGTAGATATTGGAGGTCGGGTAAAGGATCAAAAAGTACCCGATCCAATGCTTATATCCGGCTCTAAGCTCCTCTCAGGCTTGGGCCGCGCCGTGGTAACGTCTGTTGGTGTCAACTCGGTTCATGGACGAACACTCATGGCCTTGAAAGTCGAAGCCGAGTCTACACCTCTACAAGAACGGCTCGACGGTCTAGCCAATAGTATCAGTGTCTACGGTTCAGTTGCCGCTTTGATTCTGTTCATCGTTTTGTTCTGCAGGTTCTTGTCTAATTTACCGGCGGGGAAGAAACTTCATCATTTGACACCGGCCCAAAAAGGTTCCAAGTTTATGAGTATTTTCATCACCGCGGTTACTGTTATTGTGGTCGCGGTTCCGGAGGGCCTTCCCTTGGCGGTGACTCTTGCTTTAGCTTTTGCAACAACACGGATGACCAAGGATGGGAATTTGGTGAGAGTATTAAGGGCCTGCGAAACAATGGGTTCTGCGACGGCAGTTTGTTCAGACAAAACCGGCACTTTAACAGAAAATAGAATGACTGTAGTGAAGGGGTTCTTAGGATCCACTTGTTTCGATGAGGGTGACGTAAGTGGATCGCATGTGGATGTTGAAGAAGTATTTAGAAGAGAGTGTGCCGAAATTCTGAGGAAAGATGTTTTAAGCAACATAGCGCTAAATTCCACTGCGTTCGAAAATAAGCAAAGCAATACAGAGGCTAGCGCTAACGAAAATCCGTTCCATAAGCCCAAGAAATCACTTTTTCCTTGGAGTCAAAACAATGTGTCCAGCTCACCTACGGAAAGCAATGACATGGCCCAGAAGGAGCAATTCATCGGATCCAAGACAGAAACTGCTTTGCTTTCATTTGCTAGTAAAAATCTTGGCATGAGCGACCTTCATTCGTTGAGAGACCACCCACAACAACTAGAGATCACGAAAATAGTTCAAGTAATCCCTTTCGAGAGCTCAAGAAAGTGGGGCGGTATAATTGTCAGGTATGAAGATGGATTGCATAGATTATACATCAAAGGTGCCGCGGAGCTAATCCTAAGAAGATGCCGGCAGAAAAGGACATCCAGTGGCGATTCAAGTCTCATAACTGCAGAAGAATACGAGAAAAACAGTCAAGCAATAACCAATTTAGCGGCAGGTGCCCTAAGAGCGATATCCCTGGCTCACCAAGATTTTCCGGACTTATCAAATTGGCCACCTACTGAACTGAGAGACGCAGCTGATCCTAGTTTAGTCGCTCCAGATCTCTTATTTGGAGACCCACTTTCATTTGACGATTTGCCTGTGGCATCTGAGCTCACAAAAACAAGCTCCAATAAGGGTTTAACTTTAGACGGTATTGTGGGTATACAAGATCCTCTGCGGAAAGGCGTCAAAGAATCTGTTGAACAATGTCAAAAAGCTGGGGTCACCGTGAGGATGGTTACGGGAGATAACATTTTGACGGCTACCGCAATCGCCAAGAATTGTAGCATTCTCACGCCTGAGGATAGTGAAGACCCTGAAAGTGCCATGGAGGGCCCGCGCTTCCGCAAACTCTCACAGAAGGAAAGAATTCGCATACTACCCAAACTTAAGGTGCTTGCGAGGTCCTCTCCTGAAGATAAGAGAGTTCTCGTTGAGACCTTGAAAAAAATGGGTGACGTCGTAGGTGTCACAGGTGATGGCACCAACGATGCTCCGGCTCTTAAACTTGCCGACGTAGGGTTCTCAATGGGTATTGCTGGGACTGAGGTGGCCAGAGAAGCATCCGACATCATTCTGATGACTGATGATTTCACTGCCATTGTAAACGCTATCAAGTGGGGAAGGTGCGTGTCAACATCCATCAAAAAGTTTATCCAATTTCAGCTCACCGTGAACATTACCGCCGTAGTTTTGACGTTTGTCTCCGCCGTTGCCTCTTCAGACGAGAGCTCCGTTTTGACAGCAGTACAGTTGTTATGGGTTAACCTTATTATGGATACCCTTGCCGCACTTGCCTTGGCCACCGATAAGCCAGATGAACATATTCTGGAGCGTAAGCCCAAGGGTCGAGAGGCCGTGCTGATCGCGGTGTCTACCTGGAAGATGATCCTAGGCCAATCTGCTTTGCAGCTGATAGTAACCTTCACACTCCACTTTGCGGGACCTCAAATTTTTTTTCCGCATAAGACTGTTCTGACTGGTCATGAACAGCAGCAGTTGAATGCTATGACTTTCAACACCTTCGTGTGGTTACAATTTTTCAAACTTATTGTGACGAGGAAGCTGGATGAGGCGGATGGAATCTCCAGCGTTCGGGCCAGAGTAACCAATTCTAATTTGAATTTTTTTCAAGACCTTTGCCGGAACTATTACTTTTTGACTATTATCGTGTTTATTGGAGGGTTTCAAGTTCTTATCATGTTTGTGGGTGGTGCTGCATTTTCAATTGCAAGGCAAACTGGCCCCATGTGGGCCACTGCGATCATATGTGGGTTACTGGCACTACCAGTGGGTCTCATGATAAGAATCATTCCTGATGAATGGGTACTGAAAGTTTTTCCCGTTCGATTTGTAAATGCTGCTCTCTACATCATTGGTTTCAAGTTTTTAAAGAGCTCTCACAGAAAAGCTGAAGACGAAGAATCTTTATTGCATCAAGACAATGATGCCACGCTTGTAAGCTCTTCTGCTTTCGAACGTGCCAAAAACGAGATGACATGCGCCAAAGAAAATGACGAAGGTGAAGGCAGCATACTAAATCCTATTCTGGCGTTTAAAAAATGGAGACGTGGTAGTTCATCAGCTGGCTCTGAGGTCGAGGACCGGTCCTACATTGCGTCGGTGACCATGGTACCAACGTTGGTTGGTGGAGCGGTCGGTGGCTTCTCCCACATTTCCATGAAAGATAGTGACCCATCCAAAAAATCTGCCTGAGATTGATTTTCTTTTCTTATTATTAATTCAGATATCATATACAATGCACCAATTCCCGCGCCAATTAATTGCGATGTAATTAATATAATCGCTAAGTTTGTTTATCACAGAAGGTCAGAATGTTAAAGTCTAGATTAAAGCAGGGTCTGCGTCTTTCATTTTAACGTAAGACTCGGCTTCAGTCCTTACATGGCTCAAAAATCCATCATATAATGTGCTGAATTTTTTTACGTTTTAAAAGTTGGCCTAAGGTCTTCGTAATTTTTGAGCTTCCTCAGCAGATCTTCGTTTCTGCTCTGAGATGACTCGCGCGATAACGATTCTTCGAACTCAGTGCACAAAAGATCCTGCAGTTGCTTAAGGGATCTTTTAAACTCGTTGGAAGATATAATTTGAGGTATTTCGTCTTTGCCAACGCCTTCGAATGAGGCTATTGCTATGGCGCGAAGATCTTCAAAACATTTAGAAACTTGAAGGAGACGTGATTTAACCAGGTTCAAATCATGAAGGGCTTCAGTTGTTCGTATACTTTCTGCGTTTTCAACTTTGAGATTCGAGAGTTGCACATTAACAGTTTCAATGTCTCCCTTCAAATCCTTGACAGAATTGCTTAAGGTATCCAAGTAGTATTGTAGCTTGGTCGTGTCACCCAAGTCAGTGTGTACACCAGTATAAGAAAGCAATTCTGTTGGCTTGCGCAAATTATGCACTGTCGACTCCAATTGACTTGTTAAGCGGTCTGTATAAAGGTCCAGCCTTGATAACAGTGACGAAGACATCGAATGAGTTTCGCCTAAGGGACCATCTGGCGACAAAAGTAAGTCCAAATAGGCAAGCGGCATAAATTGTTCGTCGAAAAACATTTCAAGAATCTCATCATCAGTTGACATGACTTGAACTGAAGTTCACAACTCAACTCTTACCTAAGATCTATGGGTCCAAAATGGCATATGCGGAGAGCGAACTTTAAACTCATCGTACTTAAAACAGGATCACTACTCACGGAATATATTGAGAATGGTTCAGGGCCCATAAGAGACAGCGCATAAACCCTCCTTTCGAACCGCATTTGGCTTTGCGGAACTCCAATTGTCGTTGTGAATACAGAAACTTCAATTAAATTAAGCTACTTGATCAGTAATGTTGACAAGACCCTGCGAGTGCATGAAGGCAAAAAACAGACCAGCTATGTGAAGACAAAATTCCTCAAACTTCCATTCAGGTTTCCTGCGAGTAGTTAATAAGATTTCTTGGAGTTGCACCGTTCTTAATTAAGGCTGTGAAAAACGCCAAGCTGATCTGGGCGCTGGCACCACATTTTTTGTTAGGTGTTGGGTCAAAAACAGAAACGGGTTCAGAAGTATGACTTGCAAACAAGCTTTTGCCCAAAGGTCCGATTACCTTAGTGGTAACTTCACAGATGTCTCTAAGCAGAGTTTCTAATGAAAGCCATAGCATTCGAACTTATGCCAAAGTGCCTGCTTTGTGAAAGTGAAGATAAGATCGCCATTGTGGTAGTCACTTCAGCAGAAAAGGTGGTAGTGTATCCAATCCCACCTTTTGATATTACCATCCTTGAAGACAACAACATGTTTCGACCGTCGTCACTAAAGCGGCCCTACTCACACATCAAGTGACCCTAAGGTTACTTCCATTCTTTGCTGTTTAAATCTACAATGGCAACGGCGTTTCATTCCACTAAGCGGTCTTTCCACTCAGCAAGAGAAATGACACCGCTTATCCCCATCAGATCCCGTCTTAGACGTGCGCACGCTCTTTTACCTAATTGAACAAAGAGATCTGACCATGGTGGTCACCTAAGGCGTATGTTTTAGTTCCACTAAAACTCCGGCCGCATCGATCAAGCGTATAGCAATAGTCCAATTAGTAGCGCGGAGGAGACAGAAATCCTGAACTGTCCAAAAAATGATCCGTCGTCCTCTAAGGTTCACGAGATCTACTTGGAGCCCGATCTATTCTAAATTGCTATTCGTAGAGGTGTCGAATTGGGTGCTAGGTGTCGTCAAAAAGAAAACTTCGGGGTAGTCAGCCACGTTGTGCGCTGATGCTGCGCTAATGGCTGCACAATAGAAAAGAATTTCTTCTGGGTGACTTTTCTGTTCAACAAACCCCTCAGACACTTGGTATGATCTGATTGAATTTAACAGTCCATTTGTGCCACAAACTGCCCTAAAACTCCAAACCCTCCTAGGGTGCGCTGGCATGTTGTCCTTCTTATCATGATCATCCAAACTCAACATTTGTGTATTTCATGGCATCAAGAAGTCTTGAATACAGGAGAAATTTTGGTTTAATCAATTCAATGGATTAACAGTCACATTAGTGATTTGGGGTCGGACTGCTCTAAAATGGTCGAGTTACGTAGAGGAATTAGTGTGTTCGCTGACGGTACGCCTCGATAAAAACGATACCGCTGTTTGATAGTCTTAAGTGGAACGAAGGAGCTCACTAGAGACCGAAAAGCTTGACCGAAAATCGAGTCATTGTGCTTATTATTGTATTTAGGTTCCTAGGATATGTAACTGCGTTGCTTGTCACTAATTTATCCCGGAGGATATTTGTTCACGCGTTGAAACGCGTAATTTTTTCATAATTTATTATGCATCCATTTATAATTGCGAACTAGCACGACCACATTTTAGGTTCTCCGCCACCCATGGGCAGGCAGTTCAAAGAGACCACATATTCCAATTGAACGACGATGTCAGGCATCAAACTGAGCGAAGGTGATATTCGCGCTATATTTACCAAACCAGAGAAGTATCAAAATCCAACTGGGGGTATTTTTCAATGCCATCGAACTCGCAAGAACGACCCTTCTACTCAGCCCAACAGAAAAAACTTAATAGTGATTTCCGACGGCGAGGATAGGGTCAAGGCGCTCTTGAGGAATGAAGCGGTCCGAAAAGCGCGTGAGCTGGAGTTGAATGTGGGTGATATTTTCCGGTTGACGCGTGGTGAACCTGCGATAGTACAGGAGAAGAAGAAATACGTCTTACTGATTGATGACATCGAGATTTTAGAGCGGAGCACTGAACTCCGTGGTGCTGGGGCGGACCTCATTGATGGGTATTTGAATAGTCATCCTCAGGAGCTTGTGTCCCTTGAGGACTCTAATTCTGGAGCTGCAGTTGCGCAAGGGGTACCACAACAACCTCCAAAACCAGTGCAACAACAGGAACAGCAACCATCGTACCAGTCTGCTCCACAATACTCTCCTCAGAACCAATACAATGGTGGAAGGGGAGGCAACGTTCAACCACCATCCTCTCAGAAAAGTAGACCTATTTTTGCCATTGAACAACTATCTCCATATCAAAACATGTGGACAGTCAAGGCAAGGGTATCATTCAAAGGAGATATCAAGACTTGGAGTAATCAAAAGGGCGAAGGAAAGCTTTTCAATGTCAATTTGCTAGACACCTCTGGTGAGATAAGGGCAACTGCTTTCAATGACAATGCAGTCAAGTATTACGAAGTGCTTCAAGAGGGAAGGGTTTATTACATTTCAAAAGCTAGGATTCAACCGTCTAAACCTCAGTTCTCGAACCTTTCTCACCCTTACGAACTTCAATTGGATCGGGACACTGTCATTGAGGACTGTTTTGACGAAGTCGATGTTCCCAAGATGAATTTTACATTTGTCAAGGTCAGTGCTGTGGAAACTTTAGAGCCCAATACAACCGTGGACGTCCTCGGCATTATTCAAACAGTTAGTCCGCCCTTCGAAATCATTTCCAAAGCAGGAAAGAAGTTTGATCGTCGCGATATCGCTTTGGTTGATGATACCAACTACTCTGTCAACGTCGGATTGTGGGGCGAACAGGCACTTAATTTCAACTTACCGGAAGGGTCAGTGCTTGCCGTCAAAGGAGCTCGAGTTACTGATTTCAACGGAAAGGGAATGTCTATTGGCTTCAACAGTACGTTGCACCCCAATCCCGAAGTACCTGAAGCATATGCTTTGAAAGGATGGTACGATTCCGCCGGTCGTGGACAACAATTTCACTCTTTGAAGCAGGAGCCTGGTACTGGTGGTCCCAATAAAGAAAAGTTCATTGCTAACCGCTTGACTATCGCCAAAGCCCAAGCTCAAAACTTAGGAATGAGCGAAAAAGGTGACTATTTCAATATCAGAGCCGCCGTTAACTTTTTGAAGGTAGATAATTTCGCTTATTCCGCGTGTGCGAATGAGGGCTGCAATAAGAAAGTGATTCAAGACTCTGATGGCACTTGGAGGTGCGAAAAATGTGATGCCAATCATGAAAAGCCGCAATGGAGATACATGCTTACAATATCAGTCCTTGACGAAACAGGTCAATTGTGGATGACTTTGTTCAATGAACAAGCCGAGCTACTTTTAGGGATGGATGCAGGCTCCCTAATGGATTTAAAAGAGAATGACGCTGATGAGTTTTCTAAAGCGACTCAAAAAATTCAGATGTACCAGTACGATTTTCGGGTTAGAGCGAGGGAAGATCATTATAACGACCAGACAAGGATCAGATATTCCGCAGCAAATGTTCACAACTTGGATTACAAAGCTGAAGCTGACTTTTTGGCTGAAGAACTGACCAGGACGTTCTTGAGCTAAACAGGTGCTACATTTATTAAGCGGGTCAGAGTAGGGCACATTCCTTACTGGTGATTGAGCATGATTGAAGGCATGTACTGCGCTATAGGGCAAAATTTGCATGGGTGGTACATAAGATCAACGTAAAACGGATAGTTGCCAAACTCTGCTAATCCTTGAAGATTTTATGTAAAAATGGAATTGTAAGAATGGAATCATAAAGAATGGAATTGTAAAGTTTCAAATAAATTCTTATGTGCATTTATCGTTAATGCTTCTTTCAACACCAAGATACGTTTCGGCTATATGTTACTAAGGTTTTAATTCAAAGTCAGCAGGTTCAAATGCTGTCCGATAGTTTTCACTGAATATTATTGATTTAGCTGTTATGATCGTCCAAATGATGAATAAAACCTAAATTCATGGCCAATATAAATAACAATCTAAGATAACAATTGAAAGATATGAAAGGAATCTCAACTGGATTCCAAATCGCTAGATACTATTAGCACTCTTTATCCCTACTGAATAAGCAACTGCTGAAGTCATTGCTTACAGATCTTGATTAAGTTTGCAGTGAACTCAGGAAATGAAGGTGATCAAAAGGCGGCGCTCGATCAAGTCCTGTAGATATTGCTACGAACATAAGCTTCGGTGCAATAAAGGCCATCCATGCAATAACTGCGAGAAGCATGAAACTTTAGATCTCTGCGAGTATGGGTTTGATCGGGCAAACTTGATCTCTGATATACCCCGCCAGCCTCCGCTGAAGAGACTGAAAAGTTTGGGCCAAAATGTAGCTTCAAAGCCTCAAGTTCATCGTAAACCTGATCCCTACTACCCTTACCTAATAGAGGCTCAGGAAGCCAGCTTGCTGGCGGAACGCAGTCGAAGTGATGGCTTTAGCTCAAACGACGATGAGTTCAATAGAAACGCCATAACAGAATTTAATAGGCAAGGAGAAATGTGGGTGTCCACTGATGAAATACAGGGCATGATCCCAGAAAGTAAAGCGTCCATGAATCTCTTAGTGGATACGTATTTTTACCGTATAAACCCAATAATTCCACTTTTAGATCGAGACGCAGTGCTTCAGCAGATCAGGAGTATTTATGATACGTTACAGAATGGCCAGAAGGTAGATACAGTCGACTTGATTATTATGTTCACGATTTTGTTTACAGTTGCCTACTCTCATGTTGCAGAGGGACAAATACCCGATCTCTTACTCTGCAACAACTACTATGCAGCTTTCCAGACACTTCTTCGTGACTCTATCTTTCCTTACAAAGCCTCAATATCATGTATTCAGGGCTTGGTGATTGTGAACTTCGTGCTGGATCCTAACATGGTCGGGACACTTGCTCTGTCAGCAATTTTGCTCCGTCAGGCTCAACAGCTTGGAATTGATAGAGAACTCAATAACCGTTCGAAAGGAAGTATGCGTATCTACCATCAAGTGCTTTGGCATTATCTGTTATATTTTGAAGGTTCATCGTCAGTAGTTGCTGGACTCGAGTTCATGCACTCAGAACAAGCTTTTGTTGCCATAGATTTGCCGCTTGTTGATGACAGTCCAGCCCCATCACATTTAGCTTTCGCTAATGGTCGATTTCTGATAAACCAGGTCTTTCGAAAGATAATGCACTATAAGGACGCTGAAATCATACCGATTGAAAATTCGTTAGAAGAGGTTACCGAACAATTTCAACGCTTGAATGAGCAGGTGGAGGATCTATGTGTCAAAATCGAGCAATTGAGCAAGGATCAAGCAAGGTATTTTGTCAGCACTTTGCGCATCTTCCTGTTAAGAGCCTACTTGAGATTCAAAGCCCTCTTTCCGTCAACTGTCAAACAATCAGAAAAAAACCCACTTAAAGAACGTTTGGATTGTCGTCCACCAGCTATCGTAGATAACCTAATCACAAATGGATCTCCCATGAGCAAAGATATTGTTGAACTTTCAATTCTGCTTTTGTTCTACACTGTTCGACGCCTAACCGTAGGCGGCTGCTCGAGGTATGCCTGGTATACCAGGGGTTCTACAGTTATGCAGTATCTTTTTATTCTCTTGAAAGATATTCACCGGAATCCTACACGAGACTACTACCTTTCGACATCTGATGCATTCCCTGTGTGTATATCTGAGGATATCTTAGAGTGCATCAAAACAGAAAAGTCAGCTTTCAGATTCGTCTTGATAGAAGAATTAATGACGCTAATTGAAGTGAAACTGCTGCCCATGTGGGACGGCCATGATGTGAACAGGTTTCTCCTAGTGCGGTCGATCAAAAAGAGGATCTGGGAGAAGAATCAGAGACATATTGACACACTTGCTCCAACTTTCAGCTCTTTGAAATCCTGCAGACTATTTACCGCATGCCACTCGAAACTGAAGAGACTTCGCGGAAGTAGCTTCGAAGAGAGTATAAAAGAATGGAATTTTGAGAGCGCCGATTTGGATTCCGAAAAGATCATGTCATGGTTGTCCGATATATAGGTTCAAGATTACAAGTGGTTTTCCAAAAATTAGTTATCTAAGTTGGTTGAACGCGCTAAGCAAAGCAGATGCTGGTTGCACTTGAGGCTTGGTTTTCTCAAAAAGTTTCCAATATCGTAAGGTTTCATCTCCGGCTCCAGAAACTATAGTCGTTCCGTCCGCCGATAGGGTCATATGCAGTACTCGAAAGCTGTGTCCCTTTAAAACCGCTATAGGATCTAAAGTGTTCCCGTCCCATAGGGTCAAATTGTATTTCGAAAACCCGTGCGAGGTAACAATTTCATTGGTGTTTTTAGACCAAACCATATTGCAAATTTGCGACGAGGTATCAACATCGTGCATTTTTGTGGCTGTTCTAACGTTCCAAATCTTCAGCCTCTTATCAGCAGTTCCCCCGCCCGTAGCAAGGATTCCCCGCCTGTGCGGCGACCACGCAATGGCCTTCACAGCAGCAGTGTGTTCAGATAATTTCATGCAAGGATCTCGTGAAGTCCCATCGTAAACAAAAACCATATTGTCATTTCCTCCAGATGCAAGCTTGTTTTCCTCTGTATTCCATTTTAGCCCGCAAACTTCCTGGGTATGGGTATGCAGTTCTTCGAAGCAGGGCTCTGGAGTCCTTACATCACGATGCAATATTCTACGATCTCTGCTACCGGAGCTCAGCACGTGATTGTTCCAAGAGAGACAGGCAACTCGATCTATGTGACCTGGAATGGTTCTGATACATTTCTTCTTTTCAATGTCAAATATCTTCACGAGTCCGTCGAGTTGTCCGACTGCCAAATGGGAGCCGGCTCCCACCCAGCTCAGGCTGGTATACTCGTCATCTGTGCTCGATAATTGCGCTACTTCGTTGTTCTTGTTGTCAGTCAGGAATATAGATTTCCCCAGGGCAACCGCCAATATATCCGTGCTAGACCAATCGACAAGGTCATAGTAAAAGTCGTCCGCCAATGAAGGTGCATCAAGTACCCTGTACGGAATTTTCGCTATCTGGCGGGTCTTCTTAGTTGGAAGCAGAAGTAGCCTCTTAGAGTCCGGTCGTACGGGCGATGTAGAGCTTGAATATTGATTTTGTATCAGAGATGCGGTTGATGGTCTGGATGCCCGTTTCTCCGAGTATGTCAAGAGACTCGCACCTCTCGTTGTGCTACTGCTTGGCTTCTGGTGATGATCGTAGGTGAGTCTCCGCGGGTTCGCCGGGCTCTGCGTTGGTGAAAGTAGGGAATCTCTATCAATGGCGTGATGCGAACTTGGTGGCGTGGTAGGCTCGTAATACGGGGCTGAAGGTGTAGATTTTATCCTTTCTATGCTATCTTCAGGTTCGATTGGGTTATTGGATAGTTTCTCGCCGAATATTTCGTTCTTCAAGATGGCATCAAAAGTTTCGTGCGCCTCTTGCTCCCGCCGATATTCAATCTGGTCATCTGAATTTGATGGTAGAAAATTGGGAAGGCTTGAAGAACCAAGGGATATTACAGATTTCAAATCCATATCAGTCCTCTTTGGTAAATATCTGTCGGTGAATCCTCCATTGTTAGATCGAGGTCTTCGCACAGGTGAAGAGTGGACCGATGAATGAGAAGACGACGAAGCATTATCGGGCTTGCGAACCCTGGTTCCGCTTTTCGTTTTAGGCTTAATTGGCGAAGATGATGGCGTATTGCTGATGAAAGGGTTTTTCATGTTGCTCGAATAGTTGTTGGCCCACGGGCGTTGCCGCCTACTTAGCTCCTGGTGCTCTTATTTTGTGGAAATAGTTTGTGATAACACTCTTTATTATGATGTTCGGCGATAAAACAAATCATTAGACACGGGGCACCAAGCAGGGTAGACCTTGAGCGCTAAAATCCCATGCATGACATAGAAATTCTCACTCATTTTCGTTATGCCAAGACTTCAGCATGAGTATGCTTTCGAACTCAATGGGAATAATGAAGCGATTCACATCAATTTCGTTTCCCCTGACGTCAAATTTTTCCATAGAGCGCAGGTCTATTTTCACTTCCTCAGCCTGATCTAGCTCTTGCTGATGGGCCAATTGTCCTATTTGATCAAATTCGTCCTCTTTTTCTCGATATTCTATGTTTTCTTCAACCTCTTCGAAGTCAGGGGCCAATGCACTCCATTTTGGAGGTATAGTGATCGACCAAATGTAAACATTCCCAGTTTCCAATCCATTACTAGCAATGCACATACTGTGAAAGTCCCAGTCTATATCCAGCAATTCCTCGTCAGTGCCTTCTAAAACTCTCACTAAAGTTCCAGTGCTAGTTTCCCACAGATACAAATCATGCGCTGAAGATCCGTGGGTTGAAGCCACTAGATATTCAGCAGAATTGTTACTGAAATGAATGCAATTCCATTGAAGCCTGTTGATTACATCTTGATAGCGATATTCGAGAATAAAGCTGATTTCTGTGAGATCATCGTTCATCGTAAGCAAATATTGCCTTATAGTACGATCTGCTGAATTGATGGCCAAACGATCACCCGATTGAGAAATAATCATGTGCTTCGCATTTGAATGTGCAAATCTATAAGTGTGTACTAGCTCGACGAGATCATCAGAGAGACGGTATAACTTAATCCAGCCCTTGGAGGTTCCTGTAATCAGAATATCGGGTCGCTTGGGGTGCACGCATGCTACCAGAGTATACCCATAATCCAAAGTCTTTACATTTTCCTCTGATTCCGCCTCGCTTTTGTTCATGCGTTCAGTAGAGCCACAAATTTTGGTAGCGGTGGGATTTTCTAAGCTAAAGTCGACTGCAAAGGCGTGGTCTTCCTCGTAGACTGTAACAACACATCCCAATTCCTTCCCAGGGCTCCAATTGCATGTCCAGATCGGTGAATGGAACTTAAATTCTTTTGCAGGTTCCCACGCTTTCTGCAAATCCCACATCTTCACAAACCAGTCACGAGCACCTGTCAAGATATAACGACCATTTTGCGACCACTGTATTGACTGAATGGATCTTACGTGTCCCCCACCTTTATTTCCTAGCATAGTTATCGGTTTTCCGGTGTCCATATCATAGATGATAACCGCCCCATTGGAGCATCCCATTGCCAGATAATCGCCTCCAGGAGAAAACTGAACGCAACATGTATGCAATGGAGTATCAAACGTCTGCGTTAACCGCTCTGGATATTCTTTGAGAACTGAAAATGGATCTTGAAGCAAAAGATTGGCCATTTAGTTTTGACGGTACTCATCATCAGACATGCTGTTCATTAATTTGGGCGCGTAAATAATAAAAGTTTTTCCTTCATAATAATATCTAAAAACACATTCTGTAACAACTTCCTACTAGTCCACACTCCCCTCCCTCCAAAAAAGCTTAATCAACCAAGGTTCTACGATGAGAATTGCCGGTTTGCTACTCCAGATTAGTGTACTGCTAGTTGTGACCCCATTCGCAAGTGCATTCTATTATTATAGCAACGGCGGGGAACGTAAGTGCTTTAACAAAGAACTTGTGCAGGGTACTCTTTTGCACGGAAAATATAATGTTCAATCGTATGATGACAACCTCAAAACTTACAGAACACCTTCTGGCGACGAAATTTCAGTCATTGTGGATGTAGAAGAAGTTTTTGATGATAACCACAGAGTTATGAATCAGAAGAGGGCTGCTCAGGGCGAATTTACATTTAACGCTCTTGACTCTGGCGAGCACAAGATTTGTATACAGCCGCAATCCCAGGGTTGGTTAGCAAAGGTCAAGACAAAGGTCGAAATCGAGTTTGAGACTGGCTCCGACTCTCACCTAGACTCGAAAGGCTCGGAAGCCATGAAATCCTTGCAAAGCAAGATCCAAGTGCTGAATGAGCGAGTGATGGAAATCAAAAGAGAACAAGATCTTGTAAGAGAGCGCGAGGCTATGTTCAGAGATGCTTCTGAATCGGCCAACTCTCGGGCTATGTGGTGGACCGTGTTCCAAGTTATCGTTCTAGGTGGCACATGTGCGTGGCAACTAAGACACTTGCGTACCTTCTTTGTCAAGCAGAAAATTCTTTAAACTAGTCTCCCCAATTGACTTCGCAAATAGATGCCGAGCCTTTTGTTAAAAATTGTTGACCAAAGTCTATGACGAGTATGTATTGATATAGACCTGAGCGAGAATACACAGTGGTACAAATATCTATACGTCAGAATCAAATGTAAAACTGCTAATCAAAGAGTGCACTAGCCTTGTGTTCAATGAACTCTGATTTACTCCAGAATACGGCGGAGCGTCGAAGTCAAATTTATACGTGGGCGCGGTCGACCTTTTGGCCTTCGACATTTCTTGATTTAATGTGCTTTTCTTTAAATCATGCACACTTGGGTTGCCATTCGAACCAAATATCACCTTTTGGCTCGTGGCACCAACGGACGTATTAGAATCGCTTAGCAATGCGGGGTCAGTTTTTGGACCGGTCTGCCTTTCCAGAGCTAACTGTGTATCCTCTTGAACAACTGACCCGTTTGATAGATCTTCTTTACTATCGATTTTACAATTCATACCGCCGAAAGGTTTAGAAGTCAGCTGCCCGGTATTGTTTTCTGAGGTGACAACCATATGATTCGTAGATGGAATCTCAAAAGTCACAGACTCCGAGATGGTAGGGGCCGACCTTAGAGTTTCCTTCCCACTTGACCTTATATCAGTAGATTTTGGTGCGGACACAATGGTACGCAATGACGATGCCTTAACTGGCTTATATTTTGCAAAATGTTCAGCTGTAGAATGCTTTTCTCCACGCTCTTTGTCTTTCTCCTCATTATTTTCAATCTCACTTAGTGCAATTGATTGAGCGAACTTATCAGTATCTCCCTTAGAAGGCGTATACGGCTCAGAAGCACGAGAATCGGCTGTCCTTTTTTCATGTTTGAACTCCGAAATCTTATTAGTATAAGGATTTGCGAGCCCTGAAGCCGGTGGTTTCGTTTTGTCACCATCCAGAAGAGATATCAAAGCAGATGCTGTATTACTCAATTTCTGGTTGGAAGAACTTTGAGCTTCAGAAGCTTGTTCGCAAGACGACTTCAACCTCTTAGGACTACTAACCACTTCCGCTGCACTGTGCTTGTACGAGCATGATCTGTATGGAGAGGGAAGATTAGAGTAGTCGAAAACTCGAGATTTTCTTGAGGACGCGGAGGATGTACTTCTCATTGAAGTGCTGAAAGTCGTAGAATAGTCATCATATTGTGGCACAAAGGATGGTGCCTTAAAAGAGGTTGTACGAACTGCGTCTGCTGGTCTCAGCAATGCAGGCTTCATCTCTTTGGCAGAAAATACACCCGATGCATCCTCCTTTTCTCCAGTGAGGTCGTCAGAACAAGTCCTGTTCTTCTTCATCAAAGACAAAACCCCTTCATATTCAACCTCACTCAATGGCGCATCGCCCTTTTCACGGAAAAAAGCCGCTAATGCTGAATTGGAAGAGTTTGCTTCATCAAGGTTTTCAGCTTCTATTTCTTTGGCTTCCTGTTCACTTTGACGGGCCCTACGCTTATTGACAAGTAAGTCACTTGAGCTCTCACTAAAGAAAGAGCCTGGGGTGCGATTGGGAGCAAATGAGGGAGGGGGCACAAGGTTAACTGAATTTTCAGACGTCAAATTCCCGCCATTGAAAAAGGCTCTAATCTGGGATACGAGTGATTTCTTTGTTAAGGCCAAGTCTGTTAGTATAAAGAGCAAAGCAATCACTACTTCTTTCACAACAACATACCTTCCGAGTTGTAGGCTTGGATATACTCGAATAGGGTGCCCGTGAAGACCTTTCAAGCCTCTCTCCGTGCAAATTATTCATCGTCATCGGAAGTTCTTAAGCTGTAGATGATGAAAGCTGCATCATTAACTTTTTATCAAAAATCAAAAAAAAAGATAGTTGGATAAAAAGGGGGCGAGCTGGGAATTGAACCCAGGGCCTCTCGCATATTTGTGGTAAACAGTTTAAGTTTAAGCTCAAACTTCGCCCAAAGCGAGAATCATACCACTAGACCACACGCCCACAGAATGGAATATCGGATTCTATGATAACATAAACTGAAGCTCCTAAGCACATGAACAAGAAGAGAGTAATTTACCACAATATCAACGTAAATATTGAAAAGGACTGAACTACTAATAATGCCACGGATCTGGTTAGAATCAGCTAGTGAGCTGCTTTCTTCTGTATATAGCTTTCATTTGTTCCGCTCCACCCTCCTTTATAATATGGCTTGGTCCGAATTGCCCTAGAGCACATCCTCTACTATCTCATGGGGCTCAATTACATAATCGTAAACAGATGTGTAAGATATGTACCCCTACTGTACAATGTGATAATCCTAGTGTCAGTGAAAATGATAAATCAGCGTAAATGGCCTAGAAGGAATGCTCTAAGAAATCGAGCCATACTTTATTTGAGGTCTACTATACCCTCCCATTACTCTCACAATTCATGGTAGGTTATTATGTAAGTTCTCGTAGAAGTTTGAAACCTATCTTGAATTTTTGTTTAAGTTTGGACTGCTTGATTCATCTAACCGGTCAACATTATAGTCGAGGTAATCACGGATCGAGGTAACCACGGATCGACAACCAAAAATCGCTTTGTAAGCTTAAAATTTATTATCAAGTACTCAGAACTCTAAACCTGATGTTCATCAATAAAGTGAACAGGGAATTCGGCAAATAAGCTTCTGCCAATGCTGACTCGCTCCAATAATACATTCACACATAGTACTTCACAAGAGGCGCGAGGGTTCCAGCAGCGTATATTGCGTTCCATTTCATAAAGGAACCTTGCTATTGCAACTAAAAAGGTGCATATCGACTGAATACTTCTGCATGAAGAATTTGTTATTCACTACCAGGTAGGATATGTACTCCGTCGTAACAAAAGTATTGATAGCCGTCATTGGTAAAGTACTTATCGCTAACCCGTGATCATGCAAACTCACAATCCCCCAAACTGATGTATTGTTTAGAGCGGCATGCCGCAAAATTCAAAGTAGTGGGGGCCAAGCGATTTGTCATAGTCAAAATTTTACCCGTCCGCCCAAAAATACTAGAAATTGTATTCTTTTACAATCCATATTCTTATCGCCTCACTTCTTGGTAGCTCTGGTGCACCATTGATCTGCAAGTGAACAGGTCAATGAACAATTATGAAGCGTGCAGGGAACCTTGAAAAGTCTTTGCCCATATTACGACAACCTATAATGTGGATAACGACTGCCTACAATTACAAGGATGTTGACCATAATCAATCTCACAAACCCCGGAAACTATGCTCTCAATCTTCTTCATACATTTTTTAATTAGAATTTCTTTATGTATTATCCTAATGGGCCATAACTTCGTTTCCTGAAGGTAACGTTAGTACACCGCTGCTGGTAGCAGATCATTGTCAACTAAAGATTAAAGAGCCAAGAACCATGTGGAGTTAACGAGCAAGCCACCAAATTCTAATTTAGAAACATAACGAGAGTTCGTACACCATATGACAATTTCTTCGACTTCGGCTGGAGCTAGTAGTTGTGCGCAATGCAACGAGAGTCTTCCCGCGGAAATTCCAGGATTAAAGCAGATCTCTAGCAAAATCAAGGCAACTACCTGTTTCCAAACTTGAGGGCGTACTTTTCCTCCACTGTTAATCCAAAGGCGACTATACGGCCTCCCCATAGGGATGGGAATAGACTGAGTCAACCTCTTATTTGAACTTTTATCTTGAAAAACTATAAGGGGGGGAATAAGGGCACCGAATCCATATCTTCGAGTGGTATAATGCATCGGGTGCTCCTCCGACAAGATTGGTACACCGGCCATTGCGATTGAGGCTGAATGTAACAGCTCTATAATAACCAGGGCAGCTTGGTTGGTCAGCTCTTCCTTTATTACCAATCCTCTTCGCCCTTCAAAAATATTCGAAAGCTGTGCATGATATTCAGCTGCTTTTTCCATGCTCTCGAAGTCCCCTTTCTTTACCAGCATTTCATGTAAGCCATCAGTTAGCTGTAGCTTCGATGGATTCAGAAAGCTTATCTGCTTCTCTTTAGCCATATCTAAGACTGTCTTCTCGATGTCTCCCTTTTCAAAAGCTTGTAGGGCACTTATATCATTGAAGCCACCGGTGCCTCTCTCAAGAAGTGCTGACCTGACTGCAGTTCGGATTTGATCTTCTTTCTTGACTGATAAGCATTCTTGACCAGCCCGATACATATAACATTTTCTCAGCAAATTTGACTCACGCTGAACCATAGAAGCAGTCTCTACGGTAGCCGGATGCGGTACATTCCTAGGTTCCCTTATCAAAGTAAACTTCTTCACATTGTCTTCATGATTTCGGAGAAGTTTGAATTCAGTTTCTGGTGGCTTTTGATCGGCACTCTCCCAAATCCTGATTAGTTTGGGCAAATCTAAAGTTTCGACATCACGCATGGTAAGTTGCTCCTCTTTCATAGCCTCAACAAGAATCTTGCGCCATTTCATCTTCAGTGCTTTCCAACCGCCATGGCCCATCTTTATTCTTCTAGTCGTCCATTGCTTCTCCAAATTACTCAACGAATTGCTTGGGAAGAGTTTTGTTATAAGATCCCATACAACCTCCCCATTGACTATCTCTGTAATTATTACAGCCATAACCAATACACGGACCCCAACTTTAGTTCCAACATTATAGCGCCGGTACCCTGAAGAATCCTCTTTTGAGTATTGAGCCATAGTATTGTCAATAAGGGATTGACGCTCTGCAGCCGAATCCGTTAGAGTTATTGTTTCCTCGGCATTATCCTTATCTGGGCCTTTTGGAGCCTTCCTCAAAGCAGGACCGCGCCTACCATTAGAAGTTTTCTTTTCAAAATTTTTTATCCTTTCAGCAGAGCCCCCACCTCTTAAAAACCTTTCGCGCTGTGATTCATCAAAAAAATATATGTCAGCGTTGTGTATTACATCCTTAAAATAAGACTTCTTGCTTTCCTTCTCATTGAGTAAAAACTTGGAAATAGTCTCCTGGGGTATATGAGGCAAGAACAAAACTTTTCGGCTCCTCAATCTATCGATTTGAAAACCAATTTTGTTGGATGCCCTCAATAAGTTCAAATCGCCCTTGATTGTTTTTTTGTCCAGAGTCGTTTTCGAGCCCATAAGCTTTTTGACGTCCTCGAAAAACTGATCTCGAAAAAGGCTAACGCCACCGCTCTTCGTCAGTACTTCCAATATAGCACGCTGCCTCTGCAAAGATTTCAATGAGTTGGCGGATAATCCATCGATAGAGATCGCAATGTTTGCCTTATCATCTTGTCCTGCATCACTAACAGACACCTCAATGTTCTCCGTTGTTTCGTCCTTCAACTTTTTCTGCTCGTCAGTTATGAGAGTCAGTATAGACTCAGTGTGGGACGGCTTCATTTTCTTGGAATCCTCTTGTGCACCTCGTCCAATTAATTCCGCCTGTCCCTTTCGCTTCCTTCCTCGCGGGACAGCATTTTCATTTGCTGGAGCCTTTAACTCTCCATTCCAAAAGAATAAGCCTCCATGATCATTTTCAATAAATCGAAGCGTGTTACTCAAAGGAGAATAAGCTTTATCACTCAGAACTCTTAAAGTATTTTTCTGCACCTTGATCAATGGGAAATCAGTCTCTTCTCGCATATTTTCACCAGAAACAAGGGTATTAAAGTGCCGTTTGGTGAAAAGTCTGTGAAATTTTCTTTTACCCTCAAAGTCATAGACTTTCACTAACCCGAACTCACGGTCACTTTTGTTTTCTTTACCAATCGTGTCAATATAATACTCGCTACATTTAGTAAATGATCGTTTGTAATCATTGCCCGTCAAAATACTCACCGCCTGCATTGAGGATAAGCCTTCTATACCTCGCTTGTCAACCAATGCATACGTCTGATTTTGTAACGGATGAAACCGATTGAGTAGAAACAACTTCCTATCGAAATTAGTTTCGTCTTCTATCACAAGATTTTTGCCTTGAAGAAGTTGCGTGGCATTGTCATTTCCAAGCAATTCTAACTCCTCACCTCCCTCTGCCTCCTCCGCATCGTTGTTCTCACCTCCTTCGTGTCCTTCCTCCAAATCTGTCTCTTCTTCGAAATCATTGCCTTGCTTAAGCTCAGGTTGGTAGTCCTTCAAATACTTGACACACCTGATCTTCATGGAAGGGCTTGAAGGCGAAACGACGAGTACTTTTTTCAAATATCCCCCAGTAACCAGTGAAGATATAGCTGCAATAAATGACTTAGATAAGCGCTTATCCTTGTCAAATTTCAACTCTCTTTTCAAATCAATAAGCTGCCGAACGCCATTTTTAGAACTCTTCACAACTTCCACGATGCTCTTCAAGTTGTCTTTCATACTCGAGTAATTTGAATCACTTGCAATCTGAACGCCAAATTTGCTAAGTCTCAAATGTTTGACGACATGACCTTTATAAATTGTCTGAACCCCTACCACCAGGTTTCCAAGTTTTTTAATGCGACCTGTGATGCTGCGTGGGTCTTGTGAGGTCTTTCTTGCCAAGTCCATTGTATTAATTCCTGCTTGCTTAGATTTTGCAATCTCTATGAGTAATTCGAACGCTAACCCACCTATGGAACATTCTCTCTTGCAATAGCCAGTAAGGAACGTATATAGCATGTCTTCTGTAATTGAGCAATACACGTCCTCGCAACCCTCCGTAAGTTCATCGTAATTAGTAGCCTCTAATAGCTTACCGGCCCTAGTCAATGACGTATCTCGGTGAACGTGGAAGCAGCGGAGTATGAAAATCTTGAGCCTGTTGTCCAAGTTATCAACTTCCTCAGACACCAGATCCCAGAATTTAGTCAATAATATTCCTGTTATCCTTAGTTAATATCCTGCACGCTGCTGTTAAACTCTTCGATCGATTAAACTTACTCCCACCCGAATAGGCAATTTCCTCGCACAGTTTCTCAATTAATTCATCTGGAGTCAAGATAGTCATTTGTGCCGAAACATATACCAACAGAAGGGTTGTTTTTGAGTTCATGAGACTCTTCTTACTTTGGCGAAACCCTATCTTCTGCTAGGAATAAAAGCTACGTTCGTATCCTGTGATCGACATGGTAGAAAGCCAAATTAATTTAATGCCAACTGATCCGACGACTGGTAACCAAATCTCAACGAAAATCACACATCCTCAACCTGAAGTCGGCTTGTAGGCTTCTTCACTTTTTCGACAACAAAGTACAATTGATCTGGCTAACGCTTCGATATAGATGCCTCTCTATTAATTTGGTAAAGGTTCTTAATGGGAAGCTCTAAACAAAATCACTTCGGAAAGAATGAAACAGTCTCCAAACGTTTTTCCTAAAATTCAAAGGACACGACTGTCATATTAAAATTGATATGAGCCATTTTGGTGAGCATTGGCACCCGTCGCAATTTTGGTATGATTACCAGACAGCTTATTTAAACACTGATTGTGTTTTTTAAGGTACATACTCGAGCAAGACCATTGCGATCGTAAGTGCACCAATCGTCAATGCCGCAATTGTCAAAGGAGAAATGTGGAAACTTCAAAGAAAAAAATTTGTCTTTTTGGGTATAGCAATAGGTCCCAAATGCTTCTAGCTGAAAGGTATTATTTTATCAAAAGGACTTGAATAGCTCTCTACCAAGACCTAATTCTCTATAAGGCAACGTTCATCGAACTTTGACGGATCCGCAATTTCCAGCGACGACCGTCATGCCAACTACATGTAGACGGGCGTCACATCTATTGCCGACCTTACTAACTCAGTAAATTACAATATTCGACAACTGTAAAAGCACTGTATTGTTCAAACAAATCGCTTGTCTCATCTACGAGCTGTTTTCAGTGTCGACTGCTTATATCCACCGGTTGAAGAATGGAATTTAATTAGAGCGAGTGTCCGCACCACAGATTAGCAACCTATTCAACAAAAATGCATGCTACGCGGGCCTCAATTGGACATTTTGAACTTATGTGTTCTCAAACAAAAACCCTAATATCTGTGTCATTTTAATACGCAACTGATGAATAATCTACGGGACACTTCGTATGCTCGCTCTGCTCAATCATTCGTCTGTCTGTGAAGGACATACATATATAAAAAATAAATGATGAAAAAAAACATTCTCTAACTGCTCATATAAGATATCTTTATCCTAAATGGCCACCTACTTTTTAAGTTCGGATACCAAACCCACTTGTTTTTGTTTTTTATTGTAAAAAAGTTTTCATTTTTATACAAAACCGTTTTATAGAATTAAAATAAATTCTATTAAAGGAATGAAACCCTATCACATGTTTTGGTTGCTTATGGTACTTTTAATAGTTTGGTGTAAATGTATCTTTTTAATGGCTCATAATTCAAAAGCAGATTTACTTCATATTCAAGGCACTGGGATACGTGGTTTCGGCCCTCGTTTAAAGTCGGCGTTTACATCTCCAAAAACAATTAAGCCAAATTGAAAATTACATCAGTCAATATATCACTGCTTCACGCGCACAGAGATAAAGAGAAAAAGATAGAAATGTCAGGGTTGAATTCGGTTCTTCTTGTTGGTGGTGCTGGTTTTCTAGGGCTCCATCTAATTGAGAAGTTTTATAACTTGTCACCGCGTCCAGACATCCACGTCTTCGATGTTAGGCCGTTGCCCGACAACCTTTCTTCGCAATTTACGTTCGACCCGAAAGCTGTCACAACGCATATCGGCGACCTCACATCCGAAAATGACGTGAAATGCGCGCTTCAGAGCAGTCAAGCAGATGTGGTTGTCCATTCTGCTTCGCCCATGCACGGTTGTAGTCAAGAAATCTACAATAAAGTTAATGTTGCTGGCACGAAGAACCTATTGGAAACCTCAAAAAGGCTTAATGTGAAAGCTTTCATTTACACTTCCTCGGCTGGTGTGATTTTCAATGGTCAAGACATTCACAATGCTGATGAAACCTGGCCAATTCCAGAGGTGCCCATGGACGGGTACAACGAGACTAAAGCCATTGCTGAAGAAATGGTGTTAAAGTCCAACAGCATAAGTCAAAGTTTTGTGACAATAGCTTTGCGGCCAGCTGGTATCTTTGGTCCCGGTGATCGCCAGCTTGTTCCTGGATTGAGAAGTGTTGCAAAGATGGGACAATCGAAATTCCAGATTGGTGATAACAACAACCTGTTTGATTGGACATATGTGGGCAATGTTGCCGATGCCCATGTTCTTGCTGCTGAAAAACTGCTACTTAAGTCATCACAACCAGAAGTTGCAGGTGAAGCTTTTTTTATCACCAATGACTCGCCAGCCTACTTCTGGGCGCTCGCCAGGACAGTTTGGAGAGCTGACGGACATGTGGATAAGTACAATATTGTCCTTAACAGACCAATTGCAATCTGCGCTGGCTACTTATCCCAGTGTATTTCCAAGCTAACGGGCAAAGAACCCGGTTTAACCCCCTTTAGAGTGAAAGTTGTTTGTGCCGTAAGGTATCACAATGTCAACAAAGCTAAAAGACTGTTAGGTTATAAACCTGCCGTTGGCATCGAAGAAGGAATCGCGAAAACTTTAGCATGGATGAATGAGACGTCTTAGATACGTAGTATCGGATGTATGACCTACATTTCTCGCTCGCCTAATTCCTACAGATTTTGAAGTTTAAATTCATCCTTGAGCCCCACTAGACTTAATATCCTGGTGAAGAGTCAAACTTCAACCAGTGCTGTGCGCGCTATATTTATATATCTGCGGCACGCCCAACTATTTTAGTATACTTGCAATCACATAACATTATAGAAACTTGTTCCTTGGGTCTGGTGAAAAACTCGATTAGCAGTGTACTGAAAGACATTCGTAGATCCCTTTTTTCTGTCCTAAATTTATTAAGCAGTTTTCGTGGAAACCGTGGTGGCATTCGAACAACACAATAGAGCTTTTATCCACCTCATTAATGTCTTGTCCTTCGGAGAAGTTAAAAGGCTGATGGTTTTTCCAAACAAAAAACATTCGGCTGGGAATGTTGCAGCCATACAAAATCTCTCCGCAAATTTCACAATCATTCTTACCAATTGACCAACCGTTCCGCCGCATGCTTTCATATCGCGAAACAATAGTAGACGAAGATTTGTTAACGATTTCTAAAGCCTTTTGAAGCATGCATCTTTCAACGTTCGCCAGACAAAGAAGTTCATCAAGTAGTGGTTTTAGGTCTTGAATCTTGGTGAGAATCAGATCCTGGCTCTCTAGAGCACGCGTCATGACGTCTTTCACAATGGGTGTTGCACTACTTGGTGTTTTATGGACAGTTCTCCTTGCCAGCTCGTGAAGAACAATGCCGATCGAACGACGGTAGTAGTCATCCTGACTCTGCGATTGATGAAATCCGGCTGCTAACGAAAAAGCTAACATCTTGGACCAACATATTCTGGCAACTTCTCCCTCAGACGCAGCACACGTCTCCAGGGCAAACTCCAAAAGCCTTTCATTATGCTCACTGTTCTGATTATGTCTGATAAAGGAAATGGATTTGTCGATGACATTTACAAGATTTCCTAATAGACGTTCAACAAGCAATAAGCCAAATACTGAATCACAGCCCTCCAGAATTTCGCGCACTGTTTTTAATTCTGTTATACTCATGTTTAACTTGCGAAGCAGCTTGCAAAGCTCAGATTCACCAACATCTTTGCGCAAAGTCTTTAATAGTGGGCATAAGAGCTCCATTTGCCAGGGATATTCTACCTTGTGATATCGGAAATACTCTCGAAGGTAGGGAACATAAATCGTGCGGTCATCTGTCATGAGTACTTCAAGATTTAGGTCTGGGTCAAATGCGTCAAAAGTTTGTATGACTCCAGCGGGCTCGATATTCAAAATAGCATTTATATTTTCACGGATCACGTCCACGACACATTTACGCTCTACAGGCGAGGAATGCGTTTGACTCAAACAATATCGGAGCACATCTAATCTGTCGTCCGCTCCAAATTTCAGCTTCTTTGATTTTAAGCGGAGATCAAGTAATTTTGATGGAAGACTCAGTCGCTTATAAGCAAGATATAGAACTCGATCGAATTTTTTTTCTTTCAAATAAGGGATAAAGGTTGAAATACCTGTGATGTGGGGCTCTGTGAATAATGCCTCGAGACAATCTTCTACATCTCCATATTGGTCAGGTTTTGGTTCGGTACAAAGGAGCAATAATAGTTTGTTCATCATCTGTGTCGATAATCTAATGAATTGGGGATATTTGGGTATGTTTCTGATGATGAATATTGAGATTAGAATTCTCTGATCATTATCAGAACTGGTCTTGACTTTGTCCAAAAGGTAGTCAACAACAAATTGCCGACTAGTATGAAGTTTACAAATGCTTTCGCCATCGGTGTTGGACGATATAGCACCCTCGTCGTCAAAAAATGGATCTTCAATCACTTCATTTAACATAGCTAAGCATAATTTCAAATCAAAGTTCAAAAGCAGCTCCATGTATGGGAAAGCAGGCTCCTCGTAATAATCGCGGCGGGTATAAAATTTCTCTTCAGAGTGGGTAGGCCAATTTACCAGTGTGCCATTAAAGAGAATGTAGCAGAGCTCAAGCTTTGTGTTCTGTACCAAAGACTGCGGTTTAATTGTGATCTCCGATGGAAATTGTCTACCAGTCAGAACGTATGATAAGTAATCATATACTAATGTTCCATCGGCCTTAACATTACTTGTTAAAAGATGTGGCATATTAGAAGTATTCCCAATTGCCGTTAAAAGATCCATCAATGGCGTTAGAAAATCCTTTGTTGTCATTGTCCATACATATATGAGCTCTCTATTCAATTGAAGCTTTTGACAGAGCTTTATTGCAAAATTGATATCCATTGAGTAAAGATCCAAATGAAATAGTAGACTCCGGAGGGCGTTGACATCCTCGTAGATCGACTTAGATCTTAGCATCTCATTCAAGACTATTGGACTTAGCGTTTTTACAACTCTTTGCGAGGACATGTTAATGAGGCAGGAAAAAAACCAGTCTTTTGCCTGCCTTGGAATTTGATCGAGAGCTAGCTCGATGAACTGCGATAATTCCACGTCACCATCATATATCGCGGAATGGCCTAAGATAATTTCTGTTAGTAGGTTCATCAAAATTGATGAGGATGAGTCGTAGTGGAAGTTCGTCAGGACATGACGAATACTAGAGATGGACAAGTTTCTTAAAGGTTGTGAAAGTTGGTGTTTCCGAGCACCAGACTCCTCCTTCAAACGTAACAGAGCAAAAGGTAAATCTTTTGCAGAGACGAAAAAACGAATCGCCCTGAGAGCAGTCATGTATGCGCCTTTCTGTACCAATCTAAGAATAATATCGGACCAGGACAAAAATTCGCCTAGCTGCATATGAAAGTTCGTCAGGGTGAATAGCCTTTGCTTAAATGTCGTGAGACTTTTTTCAAATGGCTTCGATAGATTGAGAGGTAGTAAATCAGTACTGAAGAACTCATGAGGGCGCCCACGTACATCCAAAACAATAAATTTATGGGAGCTCGTAAGAACCGCTATGAAGTAAGGACATAGCCATTCTACGTGTTGTAGTGACTCTTGAGACACCCATCGCACCCTCGAAGAAACACTGAGAGTGGTGGAAGAATCAATACGATCAAATCTAAAAGCCTCAAGTGCGTTAGCACTTTTCAAACAGAGCCATTCGCCGAACGGGCTCCATATCAGCTTGGGCTGACTATCGCTTTCCACTTGTAGCTGGCTACTATAACACAGTTCACACTTGTTAGCAGAAATGAGTGAGAGACACGACTCCGAGAAAATTGCCACAGGTTGCAAATCTGAAATTGAATCTTTGGCACTTCCAGGGTAAGTGGCACTTAGGGTAGCACCATCGTATGACGGACAAGAGCTCAGCAGTTTCGACGTGCTATAAGATAATTGCCATAATCCTTTTCTAAAACCGCTGTGGTAGGACACTGTTCCCGAGTTGCTGCTCACTATCAGGGCTGTGTGACGCTGTGAGACAAATCCTAAGCCAGTGACCTTTTGATGCTCTGTGATATGCAAAATTGGAAGGATCTCACGGTTCCCGTCCAAACTGATGCTCTCGTCCTTACTACCATTCAAGTCCCAAATGAAGATGTCTCCTGTTTTCAAACTTGCAGCTACATGGGTTCCATCGGCCGAAGCTTCTATTAAAGTGACCTCCGAGGTCGGGCAGTCATTATTGGGAAGGAGCGCGACTTGAATAAATTGCTTATGGTTAAATATCACCACCACCCCTCGCGTTGTTCCAACAGCGAAATATGCAGACGATGGAAGTAAACTGGTTGGGCTACCATATCGGGAAAGATTCAGATAGACTTTTTTCAATGGTGACCACGTTATCCAGCTTATATCGTTCTCCTTCAATTCTTCCAGAAAGTCACTCGCAGAATATGTATCAGAACTGCAGATCGTGGAGTCAAATGTTGGCTTGAACTTGGGTGGTTGCAATTTTAAACCCTGTGCTCTGTAATCCAAAAAGCTACGGGAGTCATTGTTTATGGCGCCATTCATGAACGGGCTTACAATATCGTTTAGGCACGTTCTGCTCCGTCTGGCAGCTACAAAGGCTATCCTTTAATTTAAAACTATTTTTTTAGACATACACTCAGTCTATTTCATTTCCTCTTACAAATTTTTGTTAACCGCGTAATAAAAGGGATTCATTTGTCAAAGTAACAACTATACAGTACCTAAAGTTACTTACAACTTTTGCATGGCAGCGACATCGGTAGATTGAACGTGGTCTTCATCTTCTTCGACAGCTTGTTGCAAATCATCTAGAGAGACCTTGGCATCCTCAACAACCAAGTTGATTTGCAACTTCTTGATACCGAAACCAATTGGGATCCACTGGTGAGCACCCCAAGTTAGACCGTCCATTTCGATGGCCTTGACGTTGGCAACCATTTGTTCCAAGTCGGTCTCGTCGTCCCAAGGCTTGACATCCAAAGTGACAATGGACTTAGCAGCTGGCTTTGGCTTAGCAGCCTTCTTGGCGTTGTATTCTGCCAATCTCTTGGCCTTCAACTTCTCAGCCTCCTCGTCGACTTCATCGTCGTCGGAACCAAACAAGTCGACGTCGTCGTCGTCTTCTTCTTCGTCGGCAGCAGCGGTTGGAGCCTTGGTAGCAGCAGCTGGCAAGGTCTCGAATTGACCAGACTTAGTGGCAATGTGGTTGAACCATCTGGAGAAGTCAGGGTAGGCTTGTTGGAAAGCCTTGTAAGCGGCAACATCGGCTTGAGAAGCAGAAGTACTTCACTAAGTAGTTAGTATAACGATAATCTCCCCCAAAGAGGAAAGACTGAATAAGACATTTCTCGATAGCTAGCAGGCTTCTCGGCCTAATCCGAATGTCAGAGTTGTATAACGAAATACTTCTTCTTTGTCACTCATACCGGGGGTCTTACTTCCCGTCATAAACACGGACCAAAGATTATGATCATCATTCTCGGCGGACTGTCAGGTCACCTTAATGGTGACCTAACTTGAAATCCATAGCAGCTCTTGATCAAGGCTTAACAGTCTCTTCCCATTTGCTATGCTGTAAAATAGGTAACATACCCCTCGACGTAGGACTTGTCAGCCAAGAAGGTGTTCAATTTCTTCAAGGTTTCAATCTTGGAAAAGTCGGTGAAAGACATTGTAGTTAGTTTGTTGATCTAAGTCGATGATTCCTTCAACATCTTGAAATGAATTGGGAGAAATTGAATTGAGCTTTAAAATTTTTTTCAATGAAGAGCTCTCTACTTGAGAAATAGAAAATTTTTCGTTATATAAATCAAAATCCACGATTAAAACTCTGTATCTCATGGTACGACATATCGTGCTAGGTGCTTCTAGGGCTGGAAACAGATCTGCCCGATGCCGCGATCTGACTTTTATAATAAGATCAAGCATAAATGGATCAAACCACCCTAGGACTAACCAGCAGTCACCCAGTATTGCCCCCTCCTGATGGTAGTCGGATTCCCTTTTGAAGGGTGTCTTGCTACAATAACGGCATGGTAGTGATCTAGCGGTGCATGGATAGCGTAAATTCGCATAATAGGATAGATCAATTCAGTGTCAGGATTGTACAAAGTGATATTTGCGACAGTAGAGTGTACGGGGCCGCTCAATGATCGTCCAATGGGGGGAGAACTATTGCGTAGCGATGTCCAGGTCAATCTACTCGAATTCTAACAACTCGGCTAGCCACTGGGTGCAATTGTTGTATTTTCCATCCCTAACTGTACCTGGATGACTCCTGCCAGAATCTTGCCAAGGCCGGCTGTACGTTTCAGATACAGACCAAATGTATGGTTCAAGTAAGCTTGGAGAGACAGCTAGAATTCGCACTGTGAACTCCAGATCTATTATCAAGTAGACAAAATATAATTTACAGTGTCTGCCAACAAATTGAATGGAGAGGTCGGTAAGTTAACTACAGCTGACGCTGAGTCGCTCGAATTGGATTCTCCTTGGCGTGGTTGATCCGAAGCTGTTATCATGTTGGAAGTTTTCGTGTGTTACTTTTAACGAATTATTTCACCACTGCCATAATATTATATATCACGAAGTGGTAAGGTACGCACATGGCTGGCAAACAATAGAGTTGATCGTAGAGTACTGAAACGGTGACTTCGAACTTGACGAGTGGAGCGAGCTGATGTCACAGCAGTTACTGCCTCAGGCATACTTGACCAACTACCACAACAGAGTCAGAAATGAAAACGTACCGTGTTTTATCACTGGGCAACCTTCGAGAGGTCACAAGCGAGCCAAAGTTGTCAACTACGCGGAGTTCGAGACAGATCTACTAGAGGAGTTTGTGGAAGATGAAGGCAAAGATTCTAATGGAAAAGAGGAGGAGAATGGGAAATCTGCAGAGGATCTGGCTAATGAAAACGCGCTACCCGATTTGGAATCGCAAGACGATTCTACCAATATTTTAAAATATCCCCGCATTCGCGAGACTTTTCTGCAGAGCCGGATAGCAACTCCATACAAAATAGCCCTCTCATCACAAACAAACTCCCATTTGGCGCCTATTACGATTCCCATACGGCTCAATGCTGAGCACAACGGCCATAAAATTATCGACTTTTTCACTTGGAACCTGAATGACCAATCCATCACCCCAGATCAGTTCGCAGCCATATATTGTCAGGACTTAGATTTTCCAGTCACCTCGACCCTCTGCAATCAAATAAGCGCAGCGATCACTGAGCAATTACAGGAGTACTCAACCTTAGCTTCGGTGATAGTTCCCGACTTACATGTAATAATCAACCTCACTTGCAACCTAGATGATAAGATGTACGAAGATAACTTTGAGTGGGATTTGAACGACCAAACTTTAACGCCAGAGGCATTTGCTTGCACGGTTGTTCAAGACCTTGGGCTCACACGAGAATTTGCGCCTGCTATTTCACATGCTCTTCATGAGGCTTTACTAAGGGTCAGGAAGGACTGGCTCGAAGGACATCTGAGTCCCGATCAAGTGGATAATGGAGCGGCTTTTGGGCATATGTCTGGCATCAGGCTGAACGTGGACTCGCTGGGAGCAGATTGGTGTCCGAAAGTCGAAGTTCTCTCACAGTGGGAAATTGAGAAGCGCGAAATTGAGAAGGAGAGAAATTTGAGAAGGCTCAAGCGAGAGAGCGCTAAAGTGGAGGATAGGTTATCGCGGCGTAGCCGTAAGAGACGTGTTGATGATTTAGAAACCACGATGAGGATTTGAGTGAGTTTTTATAACGACGCTTACTTATGTACTATAAGTTTTAAAATTAGACTTTGAATCAATTCAATTGTTTGTCCGAAATCTTCTGATCCACGAGACCAAGCTCAAACGACATCCTAACTTTGGTGTCGCTACTGCAAGAATACCGACTACTTTTCGTCCACCAGCTACAGTAGTGACTGACACCTGTATGTCGGTTATCCCTTGAGAGACTGGTAGCTCGTGGAACTGCTTGAGATCGCTGTTGTTTACTTGAGGTACTTATCATACGATACTATGATCGACATTTTTTAGCACTCAGAAGTGTCATCAGGAAGTGGAGATCAGAATGTGCTTACCTATAATGATTAAGCAATCCTCGTCTCTTGACGAATTTTAACTTGATTCTACATATTTTCTCGCATCCCCAGTCCACACTTTTTGTTAAGTAGATAATATATAGCTCTTGGCGACAAAGCTGCGGGCCGGCTAAGCGCTTTTTGGCTCGGGATATAATTATTCTAGAGCATCTTTATTTTTTCGACGCCCATCTGAGTGTCCCACAGATATTCTTACGGAGGGCTAAATCAGCTGTGAACATTCTTTGAAAACCGAATCACCTATATGAGCTCCGATATTTGCAATTTGGCAATGTCCGAGCAAAATCTTATCGAGTTTTTGAGCAAGGGCTTCCTCACGAATATTATTAGCCCAACTCGATTTAAAGACTTAATTTCAACGCTCGACGAACACCTGACGGAAGAGCAAATCGAAGAGCTTTACAGAGGCCTCAGGTCAAACGATGAGGATGCTCTTGACGCTGTAGGTCAAAGAATAAGGGACTGCTTAGTGGATTCACGATCGCAAACACGAAAAAGTGTCGAACTCAATCAACTGAGACATACGGTATCCGTTGACGACCTGGTACGTTCTCTATACACTGCACATCAATTGCTGGACGGTAAAATTCAACACTTAGATAGTACGGTCCAGAAGCATTCGGCGGAGTTGAAGCAGCTCGGCAAAATTCTGCGAGGCAATCAAGTTATGGAAAGCGTTAAGCCCCCTCTGGAACGACTGAAGGTTTTACTAGAGCAAGCGGCGGCTAAACGAAGCTAACAGCATATATTACTATCTATCTGCGGTACAGGGTAGTCTTCCCCAAGCCATCGAAAAACCTCATACTTCGAATTTAACGAACGGTGACTATGCATGCAATAGCTATCCCCACTTCCACAGTCCAGACAACCAGTGTTCTCCATCCGCTTGAGAAATATGCAGCGCTTAATTCGAGAGTGTATAAGTGCCATGGCGCACATAGAACAAGGCTCGTGCGTTGTATATACATCAAAATTCAAGCAAAGATAAGTTTCATCCTGCAATCTGGCATTCGGTGAGCTCTTTCTCTCTAACTCCAAAGTAGCCACAGATGTAATTCCTCTCATTATACTATGATCAAGGGGAGAGGTAGATGAACGAGCATCTGAAGAATAAAAGACCTCTTTTGTTTTTGGATTCACAAATGCAGATACAACGGGGAGGCCTCCCGATCTTTCTCCTATTCTATTTCGTGCTTGTTTGCTTATTTCACTCAGGATGCGCTTGATAAAGGGCAGGTCAAAAACATAATCATTCAATACTTGATCGTTCGGGTTTCCTCGCCAAACAAGCGGCCAGTATATATTTGACCATTTAAGGCTAAGATCCTTTGTGGACGGCCCTACTGCAGGTACTACAGATGACCTACTGGTGCTGTGAAAGCTGAAAGGGGCGCATTCCATTAGCGTCAAGAATTCTGCTTCGTTGTCTATCATCAATGTCGAGCAAACAATCACAGTTAGGAAGCCCTCCGCTTTACTTTTCTTGATCCTTTTAATATGTTGAAATGTTGTAGGGTCTTCATCTTGGACCTTCATGCGTATGAACTCAACGAATTGTCGGCTATTTTGACAGCTAATATCTACTGTCCAAACATTGATCAAATGAGGATCGTCAGTGCCAGCGTTGTTGGTCACCTGCTGTAAACAATTTTCAATGATACCTCTACGGTAATCGATGTGTAGAGGATTGAGCTTCTTTTTGACCATCTTCGGTCTTCTGTTTAAGTTACTGCTATTGTGTTTACTTGAATTCTTTTATCTGTATCATAAAACATTATATTATCAGTGTTCTTTTCTGAAAGTATGTGAAAGCGACAAACTCATGAAATGCTTGAGAGATCTCATTTATCCCGATGTATCAAATTCAGTCTACATAAGGAACTATGACTCGCCTGATCGTGGTGCTGTAACAATTTTGGAAGGGACGTATGCTGACTTTTGGAATAAGCTTCAGGATGTCTATGTGGAGCCGTATTCCGACCGTATACATAAGTTTTCTACTACGATCAGCGAACATGCCTCGGTGGTGGACGAATGTGTCAGTTTCCTGAAAAATGCTGGCCTGCCAAGTAACGTTTTGGCTATTGGTTATAAAATTGCTAAAAACGTAGACGTCGCATCAAAGCTTCATTGCGAATCAAGTAATTTTAATGTGACAAGATTAAAATGTGGACTATGGAAGACGATTCACAGACTTTGGGGAACTGAAAAATTTGTGGACCTAATCATTAACAATTCAATATATGAGTACAATGATGGTGTTTATTATCAATTGACTGGCCCTACGCACGACTGGACACTTTCACCTCTTTCAGGGTCAACAGCACGGAGGACGGTCCTTGATATCAGCAATTCCACTTTCACGTACCGGAACCGAGGAGATTGTAGGACTTCGGCTATACTTCCTCGCTCACCTAAGCTTTTGGTTTCCCAAATATTTGGTAACATCGAAGATGTATCCGGAAATAACAAATCTTCAAAGCGTCTTGAGAGGATTCTGTCCCTTGTAATCAAAAAGCATCGGAAATTGAAATACCGCTTCATGTTCGATGCTAGTTGTCCATCTGTGAATCTGGAAGAATGCGAGAGCAACTTGGATGCACAAATTTGTGCCAAGTCTGTTACACAGTATCTCGCATCTGTGACCTGCAAATTGTTCCCGGTGAGTTTCTTCGGTTCTAAGCACAATCGATCGAAAATTCTCTCCAAGATATCACTAATTGTCGGACTTAAATTGCACGATAGAATCCCAATAGATATTTTGCTCGAAGGGCTTAAAGTCAAAGACATTGAATGGCTGGGCAGGTCCACAAACCTCGACATCACAGAATTGAGGAAGAGACAGACTATACTGGTGAATGTAGTCCAGTGGTTTTTTGGCCAGTTTTGTTCTTCCATAATCAAAACATTCTTTTATTGTACTGAGTTATCTGCTACCAGAAATCTCATTTACTTTAGGTTCGACATATGGGAACAAATAACAAGACCGTTTTTGGATAATTACTTCAAAAAGTTTTTGAAGACTAATGAAAAGTGCCAAGAGCACACCGATAGCATGAATTACAAGCACGGATTCCTAAGATTAATTCCCAAAGTGCCTAAGCACCAGTTTAGAGTGATATTTGTACCACTTAAGAGCCATCCAGATGCGGTGGATACTCAGCTCGATTACATCAGAAATGTCATCAAGCCCACGGGCCGTGTCCTCAACTACATCCTGGGTACAGAAGCTTCTTCCTCAGAATTTGTTTTCTCTAAGACTCTCTCTTCTCCGAACGAAATTCCAGACGCTATCCTCACCTTTAAAAGTTGGTTGACAGAAGTGTACAAAAGTGTGCCTCAGCTCTTTTTCATAAAGTTTGATATCGAATCCTGTTACGACTCTATTCCGACGCTTTATGCGAGGGAGGTGATAAGAAAACGGTTGACCACTCATGTCGACTTTTTTGTTCGCTCGCAATCAGTTTACAATCCTAATAAGGATGTTATTAGAAGACAATATATTGTAAACGGTGACGTCGAAATCGACAAGGACTGTATTGCAATCGATGAAGTGCTCACAACATATCTGACCAAAGTGGATATCCTCCGTGTCATAGATGAAGAAATGAATAAAAGCTCAATGATATATGGTCGTCGATGCTATTTGCGAAGTTCCGGCATATTTCAGGGTTCAAATCTTTCTGCCAACATTGTTGAACTTCTCTATGATGACCTTGTGACTACTGAAGCCGTTTTCCAGGACACGCGCGGTGCACCGGCCATGATTTTAAGACTAGCAGATGACTTTCTCGTAGTATCAACGAGTAAATCTTATATCGAAGCCGTCGGAAGTCAAGTGAAAGAGGGATTTCAGACACACGGTGCATATCCAAACAACCTTAAAGTCATGACGAATGTGCTTGCCACAGAACAGACTTACGTACGCTTCTGTGCAATGGACATTAATCTTGAAAAACTGGAGGTTGTCAAGCACATTGAAACCCTGAATCCCATTTATAACTTTGCGTCCTCTGCAAAAAAGAGATTTACACGCCTGAGATCTATTTTCGAATCTAGACTGAACGGTAGCTTAACTAACCCTGGACTCAATTCCTGGCCTACAATCGTAAAACAAGTATTCTATGCAAGTCTGAGTACAGTTAGGTCGCTAAAATTTCACGATCGCCGTTCGTTGTCTCCATTAAATTTATTGAAATTCATCAAAACCCTTTTATGTTCATCTATTAGATGCTGCGCAAAGCTTTCTCATAGCAATTTCAACAGTAGCGATTTGAAAATAGTCATAGCCAAGGCATTTTTAGAGGCCGTGGAAAAGAAGTACATCAAAGTAAAGATGGGTTCCATGGCTCAAAGCGAGCTCAAACTACTCATTTCAGATACTGACGTAGAGAATTTGCCTAGCGAAGTTCCATCATGATGGCATTTGCGAGAAGTTAGCTCTCAAGTTCTCTTCATCTTTTTGTTGGCGTAACTTTTCGACCTCACCTATGCCTCCTGCCTTCTTGAAATTGTTTCTGACAACAAAATTGCCCAACTCATCCTCAAACTCACTATTTTCTCTATAGTTTCTTTCTCTATCCCTCAATTTTTCTGCTCGTTCAATTGCGTCAAGCCTTTCCTGATGATCTGGAAGCAATGATTCAACCTCACTCAGTACCGCATCTCGGAGTTGATTGAATGTACCGGGTTTTGGAATTGGAAGAATAGGATTGCTGTTTTTTTTGGGGTTTTTTTCTTTCTCCTCACAACACAGCTTCACTAAATGGAAGGTTTCCTTGACTTTATCAAGATCTTGGCCAAAGTCAAAAGCAAGGTCTTCCTGCAACGTCAAGAATTGCTGCTCCTCACAAACCTTTTCCAGTTCACTTTCCCAGATTTTTTTCCAATTAGGCTTTTCGATGAGAACATATTCTTGCATTCTCTCTAATTCAAGTTGCGCTTCTTCCAATTCGAGACCTACCGCTTCTATTTTTTTTTTCGAAGGCTTTGAACCCCTTACCGCAACATCTTTCCTCAAAGCTTCTATGACGTCTTGCAGATCATCAACTTTACCCAGAAGTCCATCGGAAACGTTTGACAGTTTCGAGTGGCTTTTTTCCATATAGACCCGGTTTGCAGTTGTAGATGAGTTGAAAGTCAGGCTTTTGAATTTTGCAACTTTCTTCAAAATGTTGGAAAGGTTGTTTTCATAGCTCTTCTTTCTAGCGTTGTGCATTTGATTCAATACAGCTAACTGATGTCTCAAAATCTCGATATCGGCCCGAGAAGCGCCGGGGTTAGTATCTACCATATTTTGCGACTGACCATTAGGCTGCAATACTGAGATCGAAGCTCGAACGTTCTGGATTTCATCAAGCATATATTTTTGTGATTGGTGGAGAACACCTTCAAACTTAGTGAATAAATCTGAAATGAGAGCGTCATTAGTGAACTGAGAAGTAGAGACATTGAGGGATAAAGTTGAACCATCCTTGATGTCCTCCAAATATTGGGCCTCTAATTCGTAGCAAATATCATAGCATGGATCTTTGATATAAATATTAGGGAAACTTTTTGTACCTGGCGTGTATGTAAACTTCTCCACAAAAAGCAAACGAACGGCATTTAACGAAGTCGGCACATTTAAAGAGCACTTTTTAGTGCTACCTTCCAATTTCAAGAAAACTGTGATGCATTTCCCTTCATGGAATGACGATTCCTTGCTTGGCGTGCCATTGTTATCATGGGAAATGTTTGAATTGTGTTCTGGATAACCTTCGTCCTCGTACTTACTGTTGCGATCCGTACTATCAGGCAAAGTAGCTGACGCGGCAGCGTCACTGGTTGATTGATGACTGAGTTTGGCCATGTGATAAGCCGAAAACCTCTTTGAAGCTCTTCGTTGCAAAGTGTCCGTCTTTTTCAGCTGTGCTAGCGCGGCCTTTTGATCTTCTCTTTGTTTCGGAACATGTAGGGTCGTTCTTGAATCCACCTTTGTCGGTGTACTAGTGGCAGCCGGAGATCTATGGGGTGAGGTATTAGCAGAACTGACAGTAAGCTCCATTTCCCGTCTTACGGAGTTCGACCTTTCCGACGTGGCACTTAACGATGATGCAGACTGCGAATTGCTCGACGGCAGGTAGGGCACTGTTTGTTTCATACTTTTCAGTAAAGTTTGCTTCACTTTCAATTTGTCCAGAAGAGTAACCACTATTTCGCGTATACTGGGAAGGTATTTGTCGAGCGTTTCCTCAGAGGGCCTTTCTCTTAATGCAACCTCCAAAACCCTGCGCAATGTCGTTGGCAGATCACCAAGATCTGAGACTTCCAACCCAGCATACGAGAATTGCTTCGTAACGAGCTTGAAATCATTTCCAAGTTGCACGTATGCGTCAGAAACGTTCTTTTCATTTGCCTCGCCCTTCGACCATTGTGTAAGTCGTTGCAGCAGATGTTTTGTGGACATCAGAAGTTTGGTAACGCTGGTTTCGATGCTCGAAGAGTTTCTCGAAGACCGCATAGATGATTGTGAAGATGATCTGCCACCATTGGAGGCTGCTACCGTCGAATTTTCAGACATTGCTGGCTGGATGATGGTTTATAGGAAGTTTGTACCAGTTATTATATAACAGCTGAGTTTTGAACTTGAAAATAATAAACATACATTATCTAAAGCTTCCATTCAAATGGACTATGGATGAGGCTGCCCGTCTTACTCATATTTTGGACTCTGAGTTTGAAGAGGATGAGGAAGTTGTATGGATACCAGAACACTTGAGGCTATGCGCCTTCGTCCGAGAGGCAGAGCAGCTTCGCCGCGACAGCCTATCTCTGGCGGAGGAGAGAGAAGAAGAGCAGTGGGAACACAATCTCGTGAGGGAACGTCGTGAAATCGTCACACAACGATTTCGCTCTTTTCGCAAGAGAACCGCAATCCAAAGAAATCCGTATAAGCTTGATAGGCTGCGACACAAGCAACTACTGAAGGGGTTTGGTTTAGTACTGCGGGAGGACATCGAGGGCCCTCTTGCAGAAGAAGAAGAAAAGAGCCAAACCGAGGTGGAACAAGTAATGGATTTGCACTCAAAAGATAAAGAGTGGCTGGAGTCTGTTAGTTGGGAGCAACCTGAGTTAAATGATTTATCCGAGAGCCAATCCGAAGGGGGCGCACCATCCTCCAGCGGCAGTGAGGTAACCCACACACAGGACGGTACCTGCTCTCCAGAAAAAAAGATTATTCATTATAGAGGGAAACACTTCAACCTGCGATCTGGTTTCCGAGGTATATTGCCCAAGGTGGCCTGGAAGGCTGCACTGAAAGGTGGGTCGAGCGCAAATTCTAGCTACATGAGGCGAGATAGACAAACAGGGAAAGGTGTAGCAAAGAGGAAAATTTTAAAAGTACATTATGTTTCCGGTGAGAAATCGCACGACAGCGGAGTAGACCCTGACATTTTAGGCGGGCACGGCGGGCACGAGGAAAAATTTCGTGCCCATGAAACAGATGACAGTTTGGATATCCAGGCCATCAAAAACTATTTTGAGGCCAAATATGAGAAGGCTTATGCGTTCGATGGTTTATCTGATGGCGAAGAAACAAACTTGCCATCAAGCTCTCCCGAGCTCTCGGACCATAATGAGACGTTGAAGTCGACAGAGGCAGTTGACAATCACAATGACTGTGTCGACGGTTTTGATTCGGATCTGCAAATTTTGAGTGAAGCAGACCTGCCACGGACAGATAGCAAATCGACCGGCGAAATAATTGACCCGATGCTCAATAAAAGACGTAGCTCTTTTCAACACCCGCTTAGAGCCCATCAGGGTGGCTTCGACCGAGCGCAGTCATCTAAGGGTGGTACCACTCAGAGCAGAAAAAGTATGGGAAGAGAATCCACAAGGAACCGAAGTAGAACTCATATACCGACTCCCAAAAAGTCAGTACGTCATCATAGAGCCGTTCCTTTAGAAAACCAGAAGGCGCTCCAAATTAAAGCGAAGAAAGCTGCTCACTGTAATTCCAACGGTACAAAAAGTGCAAGGGAGGGTTCTGTATATCGCAAGACGCCGAGCGGTGATGTTCTCTCTAATTTTGTCACACCCTTTTTTCGAGCTGCGGGGCCCGTTGCCTTCGAAACAGCTGTAGAGGGGGAAGGGAACAGGTTTAGCATTGTCAAGAAACCCGATCAACATAGAGAACGCTCAGAGATTGAAAGACCTTCCGAAAGAGAGGAATATAATTCGAGCTCTTTTGAAATATTAGCTTCTGCGATTACGGGCATTAAATGTAATTCTCCTGATACCACAGAAATTGCCTTATCCGGCAAAAGCTTCAAACTTTCAAAGTTTGATTCAAACGTCTCTCAACATCTTCAAGACATATTCAGCCACCTTATCGAAAAGGGCGCTTCTGACTTTGAAGTGCTTTCGATGAACGATGCTATTGTGAGAATGCTATCCGACCTTGATAACCCGGGTCTTTGGATAATCGTGGATGATTTTCATAAAGCTTTCAGATCTAAAGTTAATATTTTGAGAAATCGAGCAAAACCTGTGCACTTTTATCAGATTGCTGCATGTCAAATAATGCTGTTGCAAGTAACGCGATACTCGAGAACATCGAAGATAATGGCTCAGGAGATTTCAGGGAAAATTGTTGGTCATACAGTCTCCTTTTTCAAACTTCTCTCAAAATGTAATGGTATTGACATTATAGATAAGCTTCTGATTAACTCTTATGAATTTTTGTCGCAGGTCGCCGGACACATTGTATCGCCTCAAGAGTTTTGGGATAAAATCCCAACTGTGTCGTTTCCACCTAAGATTGCTCTTTTAATTATCAGATATTTCCCGACGGAAAAAATGTCATGGTCAATAGCCGAGTTAGATAACTCATTTAATGGGGTTACAGAGTGGCTCAACTTTGTTCATTATTGTACTACTCGTTGGTCGTGGCAAGTTGATTACTCTTTGATTCAAAAGCTATATGACTTGTTCAAGGTTAAAAAATTTCAAAACTTTGATGAGGAAAACGATGCAGATACTGATCGACCGATATATGGTACCCTAGACTGGAAGCCACCTTTCAAGTCGGTCTTTAACGCTTTTCTTGATCTTCTTAAATCTTGTCCTATGTCAGTCGTGCAGCTTGAGAGGGTTACTCCGCTGGGGCAGATGGTATCATTGAACAACCCGGTTTTACTAGTGAACAGAATCAACCTTTTGTCGGTGCTTGCAACAAAAGCAAGCACGAACTTCGAGTCTAAATTCGAAGATCTTTGCAACCCTTACGTCAAGCGGGAGGTAGAGAAAGTATTCGCACCGCATAAAATGTATGAAATAATCTTGACAGGATTTTGCTCCTTGCTCCTAACAAACGCGAGAAAAGGCTTCATAACAAAGGCAAGAATTGTTTATCAAATTTTCCAGCAAATGGCAAATGGTCGCGGTTTGATCGAAGATGGAGCAATGTCTCAATTTTTTAAGCGCGTATACGCTCTTGAAGGAGAGATAGGAAAGTCGCTGCCATTCTTGTTGAAAGGTCTTTATACCGCTATGACTCTTTTAATCAAGCAAAAAAAAAAGCATGAGCTCATCCCAATGCTCGGGTTCTACGAAAAACACCTGCATATTTTAGATACTGGTTGGGTCATGAGCCATTTGTACCAGATCGTTGGCAATCTCGCCAATGAGGAAGACTATCTTTACCACTTTCATTTTGCAGTTACCAAGTTCCTGGTTTCAGAGAAAGCGATGACATGGTGGTCTGTAGTGAACTATAACAATTTCAGTTCTACGAAAGATCAAAGCATACCTTTCTATACTAAAATTATTGATAATTGTGATGCATCGTCTTTTTTACAGATAAGGCACATTTTCCTTCGAACTGCTGTTGACTACTTGTCACAGAGAAGGGATGTTCAGTTCATAAAGTTTTTGAGAGCCCTCTCAAGAAGAGATCATACTTTCAAAATATTTCCGACTCTACCTTTCACGGCCACTCATTTTGAAATCATAACCCGAACCCTGCGTGCCTTAAAAAAGGTTCACGACGACTCATTGATCACAGCGTTCATAGCCAAACTCAGAGCTAGGCAATTAACCGCACCCCATGCGCCACTGATAATGGACGTTACAAAATTTTTGAACACTGAGTTTGTGGATTCCATGAAGAACAACGCAGATTTTTTGCATCTCAAAAGCCAATTCAGTATATCAGAAGCAGAAACGCAGAAAAGCTTATTTCGTGAGATCTTGTTTCGCTTGAAAGATGAGACCGAGAGGGCATCATATATCGAGGAAGAGCTTCTGAATACTAGTTCACAAGGGCAGCCAGTACAGCCTTTTATTGATAAACTTGCGTCCACTTTTGGAACAGGTCTTTACTCCAACGATTATGTGTTTTTCGCACTTCTGACTGAGGCGAACGTAGTAGCTGGCAACCAATGGTGGGCGCTGCTTGCCTTAATACAGCTAATCAACAGACGGCTGGCGACAACCTTCTGTCAGGTCAGCTCCTCAGAGTTTTACGGGTTGTACCGCCTCCATTTGATATTAAGTCAAATTTTCAGTCGGCAAAACACAGCTTCGATTAGCAGCGAGGCTGAGGCCAATTTTTACAAGGAGCTATGTGTATTTTTTGGACAAAATTTGAAAATATCATCAGGATTTTTAGAGCATGCGAAGCTAATCGCTATGTGTGAAGAGTTTCTGGATAAGTCTTCTTCAAACGTAATGGTACTAGAGAATCAATCTGCATGGAAAATCAGCAATCCTTTCCTCAGCCAGGTAAGGAAACAGATCGAGAAGCATAATCTTCGGGCATTTATTCCCATGGAAAGCATTACAAGCCCCTTGGCGCCCGAAGTAGAAGACTATCTTTCGAAACTTTCTGCAGTTGTCCGTCTAAACAGAAATTCAACAACAAAATCCAATATTCGGTAGCTTAGTTTTAGTACCGATAGAAAGTAAATTTATTGCATAGACTGCGGCGAGCAGTACCCCATTTAAGGCATAATATGATATTTATGATAGACCACAGAATGCAACGCTTTTCTTGCGTTTAGTGGAAAGGGTGAAAATCGGGTGTTGAACTAGCAGAGAACATCAGTTTTTGATATCTCTCTCTGCTTCCAGCTTATCCACCTGCTTTTTCAAATCCAGTAGATTGTTAATTCGGCTGAGTAGCGCCTCATGATATCTTATCACTTCATATGTGGGCATCGCAGGTCTAGCTGGGAGCCCCAATTCTTGCAAAGTTGTTGCGATCTTGCCTTGGGTAGCTGCCTTGAAAGTAGATATTCTGGTGGATCTCAAGTACGCACCAGATGGTAGCTTTTCACCGTGCAGTTGAACTCCCATGGATTTTCGTTCATCTGCTGTAAAGCTTTTGAGAAGCTGTTCTGCATACTCACTGTCCGCCTTCCTCTTTACAGCTATCTGCATTTCTTGCTTTTGTTTTTTGGTCTTCTTCACTGCATTCTGACTGTTACTATTACTGTTACTGTTATTGTTGCTGTTACTACTACTGCTAACCTTTTGATCGTGTAACTGCTGCATCTGTTGTTTTTGTTGCGCAAATTGCTGCTGCTGTTTCATCCAAGGATTTTCAGGAACAACTTGATCGTGCTTGCGCTTCTTGCTTTTATCCGAGAGAAGACTATTGTATAGCTGAGTCATACCTTGAGAAGTTAAAAACTGTCCGATAGGCTTATCAGCATTTGGCGAGTCTAAAAGACGCAATAGACTGTCTCTTTCGCTGGATGTCCTTTTCGCTGCCATTTCGAACTTCTTGGACTCGACGATCAAAGCTTCTTCTTCAGCAATTTCGGCAGCTGATCTTGAAAGAAGCCTCTGTAAATATTTCTTCCGCTCTACTTCTTTTTCTTTTGAGAAGTTTAGAGATGGTACTAGTGGATTGTCAGGGCTTTTCATCAGAAAGTATTGGTGACAAACATAATAAAAAATCTCCTTTATGTCTTCGAGGGTTCTTCCTCCTTTTCCTTCGTAACGATCTTGTATGACAAACCAACGCAAGTCATATTTTCGACACAGATTGAAGAGCCCTTCAATTTCAGAGTATTCCCACTTTTCGCTCCCAATTTGCTCATGTGTACTTCCCATGAAACTATCGTATTCCTCTTTAGTGAAGGTAGGAATCGTTAGTTCCGTATTGTACTTTCCAAATGTATTAGTCTGTGGCTGCTGACCTACCAACTCTTTAGAGCCCTTTACCCAATGTTGTAGTTTTACGTGCGGCGAAGGTTGAAATTCGGCGAAAGTCCATGGAGATGGTTTTGCCATGGCGCGCAGCTTGTCTTTGAATTTCGTACTTTTTTGGATAGCCACTGGAGGTGTGTTGTCTCCCAGGAGATTATACAGTTCTCTCTGCATTCCACTGACCTGAGCTTTAGGAGTCCGACTTGGTGCTGGAGTAGCTCCAGAAGAGCCCGGACTACCAGTTCTTTGGATATTCAAAACATCAAAGATATCCGAAGATGACATATCGGTTCTTTCCGAGTGTCGTTTGCTTTTAATCTAGAGGTTCTCTAAGCGTTTGTTGCCGTATTTATACATTCAATGATTTTTGAATTAATTTCATTTAGACTTTGTAGAAAAGGTAACCTTTTAAACTTCAAAGGAGCCAAGGAAACCACAGAATAAAAAGTAATTGCTCCTATCATTACCCCACTGTACTCTTTATCCAGACATAATCAGTAATGTTCAAAATTCAAATACGATCGCCGGGCGGCTTGGACAATAAATCGAACACTACGTTCGATGCATCATGGAAGATACTAAAGGACGCTATAAAATTAATATTTGATGGCCGAGTTAGTGAATTATCGTTTCAGACTTTATTCCACGCTGTCTATTGCATAACCTTACGAAGACAGGGGGAGAAGCTTTATGAAGAATTACACCACACCATCGAACGGAGGCTTCAGGATATCACACGGACCCATTTACATTCTGAGTCCGAATCCTACTTACGAGACATTTTATCGATCTGGTATAATCACTGCGAAAGTCTTCGGCTTATAAGTAATGTGACAATGTACCTGGATAAGGTATATTGTAAAGAAAATCGCAAGCCACCAATTTATCATATGGGTTTAGACCTCTTTCGCGATATAATTTTAAAATCGTCAAAGGACCAACTTCAGGACCTGATGATTCAAAACATCAATGCAGCTCGTTCGAAGGCTTCGCAGGTAGATTTCGATAGCCTGAGAAGCTTAGTAGAAATGATGGAAACAATCACAGACGAGGATAGCACATATTACGCAACTGAATTTGAGCCTTTTCTTCTTCACGAAACTCAAGAATATTATAGGAGTCATGCTAAGTATTACAGTGGTGACCTTACGGCATATCCACAGGAAGTCGAATCACTCTTATGTGGTGAACGCAGATTAGATGCTAAGTTTCTGAACAGTGATGTATCCATTAAAATTGCTAAAGTGGTAGAAGAAATCATGATATCCGAAAATATACATATTGTGGCCATGGAAGTCGTGCCAGAAATTTTGAGGACTGAACAATACTCATCACTAAGGTTGTTATTTGGGCAATGTCAAATTCAAAACGACAGGAAAAAGCTTTGGAAGCAATGTTCTCAATATATTGTTGGAGAAGGGTTGGCAATTGCTGAGGACCTAAACTTGAAGAAAAAGACACAGGTTGCGGTCAAGTGGATGCAAGAGATGATTGCGCTGAAGGAAAAGTACGAAGTTGTGTTTAAGAGCCAAGAGGATGATGACTTGAATGGTTTGCAAGCAGTCAACGAGGCATTATCTGTGTGCTTTAATCAGAACAGCAGAAAAACCGCCGAAAATTTGGCGATTTATCTTGATTCGATGCTCCGGGCTCCCTCAACATCTGAGGAATCGTTCAAAAAACATATCGATGACTGCATAGCAGTCTTTAAGCTCCTTAAGGACAAAGATTTTTTCGAAAAACTGTATCAGCAACAAATGTCAAAGCGACTTTTACAGCAGCGCTCCTCCTTGAAGTTTGAAAAAATGTTTGTGAACAGAATGCGCGAAGAAGTGGGTGCCGTGTTCGCTCAGAAGCCTGACGGTATGTTTAGAGATATTGCCTTGTCTCAAACCAATAACACAAGATTCCATCAAGCATATCACGTTCCTGTGGAATACGAGATGAATGTGCTCACCCCGACCTGCTGGCCGTTCCAGCAAATGAGTAATGAAGAAGATGTAGTTCTTCCAAGTGCTCTTGAGGCCTTAAAACTTGATTTTGAAAACCATTATATGAAAACCTATAGTGGTAGAGTCTTGAAATGGGCCTATCATCTCGGTTCTATGGATATCGGGATTCAATTTTCAAAGAGCTACCATATAATCACTATGCCTGTCTTTGCGGCAATCATCCTTATGCTATTTGAAGACTATGTGGAGTTGACAGCCCAAGAAATAGGTGACCTTACGCACATTGAAGAAAAAGAGCTGATTAGGAACTTGTTAACGATCGCTGTTGCACCGAAAACCCGCCTGCTGAAAAAACAGCCTATGAACAAAAAAATACTCCCTTCTGACAAATTTCGGTTAAATTACTCATTCTCGGCACCATCCACCAAGGTGAAAGTGCTTGCTGTGCTCTCTAAACAAGATTCTGACTCACAAGGAGTAATGCGCACCAATAATACCTTACATGACGTTGCAATGGAACGGCAAGGATGCACAGAGGCAGCTGTCGTAAGACTAATGAAAGGCGCAAGTAAAATGTATTGCGACATGCTCTTTGAAGAGACACGAAAAATTCTGTGCCACAGGTTTGATGTAACCCCAGATTTATTTCAGGCCAGTTTAGAGAGGCTGGTGGAGCGGGAATACTTGCAGCGCGATTCTGAAGAAAGTTCCTTTTACCATTATTTACCATGAGCTCTCATATTTCGTTGGGCTCAACTTTTCACGTAGGCTGTTTCTTCAATATACTAGCCAGATTTTTGGCGCTTCGAGCCACCCCATGAGTGTCCTCCGAACAAACATAGCATTTTGTAGTTTTTTTGGCCCTGTTCATAAAACAAGCGCTGCAGAAATAATGACCACAATTAGTTACCACAGGAAATTTATAATCCTGTTTGCAAATGAGACATTTAAACGGAACGTCTTCGAGCTGTTTGATGTCTTCTCTAGAAAGATCAACTTTCCATTCTTGGTTTAGTTTCCACCCCGTCTTGAAGTCATCTCGTATATGCAGGAACTTACAACTATCCCCATAGCCACAAAACCCGGTTTGTTTGAAATCCTTACAAACGTCTGGTTGATAGTCCATGTATAGCGTGGTTTTCATATCAGAGTGTGAATTTTTTGTGGGATTTAGATCATTCGAGATCGAAGTCGCAGGCTTATCGTCCAATAACTCAACCCCGATGGCAGCCAGGTCAGAATTATGGCCTAGCGTACTTTTCGTATTTGTGTCTGTGTCGCCACTGAAGCCTTTCTCATCATCGCTATTGTGGTCGAGGCTCGGTTCTAATGAGGTTTCGTCAACAGCTGAGTCAGATTTGTTACCGTTAAGCCCATATTTTTCCAACGATGGTAGCTGCAACACTTCGGACTTCGTCTGTACGATTTTCTGGCGTTTAGATGCAGTTGTCCCTCCCTTGATCCTTCGTTTCTTGAACATTTTAGTGGTGCGATGAGCAAGTACGTTATAAATTGAAGGGATTTTTGCAATAATTTAAGAGACCACTAACTTAACGTTAGTATCGTTTACTGACAGAGTAGAGGCAAGCTTTCATCGTACGATCCCGTAAGACGAGAACCAACTCCCTTGACAATGAGTGAGGTTTCTAAAGAACGTGAGACAAGGGCTTTGTTTGTCGAGGAACCAACAATACGTTTGGGTGGTAAGACCAACAAAGTCTTGAGAAGCGCCATGAAAAGCCAGACCAAGAAGGCATATCAAGAAAATGAACAGGAGCAAGTAGAATCTTCTCCTTTACTTACCTCTACTCCACCAACCGTCTCTAAAGCATTGGTGAGATTGTACCCATACCTCATCATTGCCGATCGAGTTTTGAGTATAACAACGTGGACCAACGATGATATATGGCCAAGTGTTTTGATGGTAGTGGGCTACATAACGACAGTCCTATACTTTCAAAATATTTTGCGGTTTTTCGGGCATCTCGTATTTGTGGGGACATTGTGGTGTTATTCTCTTTTGGACTCTTTTGTGGAAGAATCGATTAAAGATAAACCTACACTCGACGACATTGTCCATGTCATTACTCGTGTGAATGCTAAGGCCGATTTGCTCCTATCTCCTATCGCTGTCTTGAACGGCAATGACATCAAGCGACTCCTGTTTACAACGGTTTTTCTATCCCCCTTGTATGTGATAGTAACCTTATTCATTTTCCCTCCTCGTCGCTTGCTGTTGTTCGCTGGTGTTTATTTACTAACCTATCATTCGTCGTGGTCAAGAGTTAGTCGAAAGTTGTTGTGGAAGTTCAAGCTTGTAAGGCTATTGGTGTTTTACATCACCGGCTTAGACTTGAGCGGGATCAACAAGAATCAGGGAATATTCGCTGCAGTTCAAAGCAAAGTCAAAAGTTTGTCATCCAATAGAAGAAGTACCGAGGATGGGAAACCTATCAGATTCACTTACGTGATTTACGAAAATCAAAGAAGATGGCTAGGAATTGGGTGGACTTCGAACATGTTGAGTTACGAAAGAGCAGCTTGGACCGATGAATTCATTAATGAAGCTCCATCCCCGGAGCAATTTAAGCTCCCTGAGGAAAACATGGGGATGACATGGAGATGGGTAGATAGGACATGGAGGCTTGACATGACCAATGACGGCGCTATACAGCTTCCCAGCTCACGTTCGAGGACAACGGCGCAACCCAACACAGACGACGGATTCATTTACTACGATAACACTTGGAAGAAACCTTCCACGGAGGATTCTTTCTCGAAATATACGAGAAGGAGAAGATGGATACGGACTGCTGAATTATTAAAGTGTGATGCTTTCGACATCAATAATTTGACCAGCGCCACGAGCGTCGCAGATGTAGCCGCACAAGCCGTGGAGGTCTCCGGGGACACAAAGGCAAGGGCAGAGGGCGTAGAGCAACCATCGACCATTTTGGAAAACGTGAAAGAGCTGGAATCTTATAAACGCAAAGTTTCCTTCAATGATCAAAACGATGTGCATCTAATCACTCCTGTGGAGGAAGTCGGCTTCCAACGATTGCCACAATCTGTCGTTGATGATGAAGAGGAAGAAAGTAGGGAAGATAATGGTGAAGAAGAAGAAGAAGAAGAAGAAGGAGAGGACAAAAGTGGAGGGCAGGAGAATGGTGAACTCGACGAGGTGCCGACTGATGAAAAAGACGCATCCTCTCCCACTGACCTGGTGACGGGCACCGAAGTTGACAAGACTGCTGGAAACATAGGGACGTTGAGCTCGCAGGGCCAGAAGACCTTGGACGTTTGTACAACTATCGATGGGCCCGCGGTCGCCAAGAATAAAAAAGATGTTTGAGATATAGCCACTAATTTTATATAAAGATGCAACAAGCAGTTTAATGCACTGGTATACTAACAGCTGTACTACCACGGTGCTGTAGCTACCCCTCATGTCCGGGCCCCATGCGAGCCCATTCATGCCAACATCCCGCTTCACAGATGTACTGAATTCCCATCGAAAAACATATTTGAAATTGAAACACGTATTCTTTTAAAGTTATATTATAAAAGCTTCCCAAACGTCAGTTCGGCTCGAAATGCTATTCTCCGCTGTTCCGCGCTATCTGACTTACAACTTGTTGACCTTCAAAGTTGGAGGCAAAGATTGGATCAACTTCTTGGCCTTACCAGCGTCATTCACAATCAAAGTGTACAAGTATCTGGAACCTCTGACCTTGAATTTAGTTTGTCTGAATGGCTTACCGGCCTTGTTCAACTTCTTGTTGATCTTGACGGTAGCGGTCTTCACGTCGGCTCTTCTAGCCAATTCCAAAAACTCTTTGATATCAGTGATTTCTCTGGCCATTGCTGCTGGTTTCGTCGCTATATTCAATGAGCGTAACTCTCTATAAAGTTAACTAAATTGAACTGCTTAATTCCATCCTGGGCAAAGTTCCACCAGCGTTTGCCAAAGTTCCAATCCCATCCATTGAGAGGTCATGTGGCATTGGCCTGAAGCTTGATTACTGCGTGGTGTCCTATTGGTGGCCAATCTTCAGTATTTCGTAAATTTCACTATTTTTTCATGATTAAACCAGAAACCGCATGTAATTATTAACGTATAGGTGTTTCATGGAATTAAAATGTATGGGTGGTGAATAACATATATGAGCAGTCAAAAGTTGAATGTGGATATCGTTGAGCCTGCATCTACAACACGTCCTCCATCTCGATCTCATCATCTCCATCTTGGTTTTGATTGTTAGGATCGTCGTGATTGTCGTTGAAACCGGTGCCATTTTCGTTGTACTCTTCATCGTCGTCAGCAAGTTCTCCGAGCCTGGCAGCTCTTTCAGCTTCTTTCAGACGTTTGTATTCAGTTTTCAGCGTATACTTCAAAGCGTAGGGACCCTTCTTGACCAAAATGGCTACTTGGTCCAAGCACTCCTTCAAATACACCTCTGGTTGCTTAGTGCGTTCCTTCAAACCCTTCAGGGACCAGTAATCGTATTCGTCAAACAGCTTGAAAAGATAGTCCAGAAGCTCCTTTTTGGGCATCCGAATGGCGCGTACGTTGTTCTTGGCCTTTTCACGCGCGACCTTCAGGAAGTTGGAGTTGTCGGAGCGCATCGACATCCCCGCATGGCTCATAGTGACACCGGGAGTTTGATCTAGTACTGTGACCGTGGGTTTGTGGACGTTGCGTACAATTTGACGACGCTGCTCGACAATCTTGTGATAGTGCGGATCTGACATTGAAGGAATAACATGGCATTCGTGACATACAGTGCCGACAACGGCGGTTTTCTTTGGGATGGTCTTGACGTATGGAATGTAGCGGTCGCGTCCGTCGCGGTCCGTCATCACACGATTTTGGAACCGCCGTTTGTTGTTGCGACGTTTTATCTGTTGTTGTTTCTTGCGCATTTCCTCCTCGCGTTCCTGCCGTCTTATAAATGCCTGTTTTTGTTTCTCTGGGTCTGCGGCCAGTTCTCTTTCACGCTGCTGGTATTTCTTCAAATTCTGTTCGGTGAAAATGTATTCATTTTCAACCAGCTTTTTGGTTAGTTCTAGATCGTATTGGTGAGGAATCTCATTGTTTTCTTCGGTTTCATTCAAGAACATTTGAATTTTTTGGTCATCCTTGTTGATTCGGATTTTACCCAGCTCTTGTCCATTTAGACTCGATTTATGACGCCATTTTTCTGCCAAAAACTTCGGCAGCCTCACCAGCCAAACCTGCCGCCCGCTGCCTTTTAAATCAAGATCAAGTGATTCTTCGTAAATTCGAGTCTCGTTGCCTTCAATATCATTACCATCAAATACTTCTTCATCCTGAGACAGATACTCATCCCCAGAATCCTCTCCCGTAGCCTTTGCTGTTACAGTTGGTGGTGGTGGTGGGGGTGTTGCGCTCATCAAGGTAAGCCTCTTTCGTGGGTCGTCTTACAGTCAAGTTGACGTTCGCTAGACTAAACGTTTAAGACCTTTAAATTTAAAAAATAAGATAGATTAATTATTATTAGTGCGGCGAGAAGCCCCGAATGTAGCCACATATCGACATGATAGATCTCAGTAGCCTGCTAAAGGCGGAAATAGCTAGAAAACAACAGGATATTCAAAAAACCCTGGATGGGGACTCAGTAGGGCCTGAAAAAATGCTCGAAAAGGTACCCAAAAATTTTGGAAAAGAATCGGAAGAGAAAGATAGCAGTCTCGCGAATGATCTAAAGGTCTCCCGTCACACAGAAGTCGAATCTGAAAAACCTTTTAGCCACAAAACGGGTACAAGCTTCGATATATCAGAGCAGGAAAAGCTGCAAACTCGACACGAACGCATCTCTTTTATCCGCCAAGCTGAACAAAACTTGGACACAAAGATCTCAGTAGAATCCATTGGAGTAAAAGACCAGCAGCAACACATCTCCATCCAATGCAACCTATACATCCACTTTTTACTGCGCCAGTGGCAAGAAAATGGCTACAAGCCGGATTTACTACTGGAGACGAGGAAATCACTCTACCCACTTCTGGTAAAGCTGCGAAAGCGGCAGCTACCATCGGAATTTTTGACATCCATTTCCACAATAATATATTACATACAGCAGGACCAATTTTCTCTTGCTATACAGTCCTATATGAAGCTGAGCATCGGGAATGTTGCTTGGCCCATTGGTGTAACATCCATTGGTATCCACGCCAGAAGCGCTCATGAGAGAATCCAGGGAAACGACAAGATTGCTAATGTGATGCTAGATGAAACGACCCGTTTGTGGATCACTAGTGTCAAAAGGCTAATATCATTTACCCAGGCTCTGAGTCGTAAGAAGTCACAGCGTCAGGATGAGTGATTTTTTCGGAGATCGCACGGTGCCAACTGCCTAACCCTTGAAACTCAAGAGTAAGACAGGTCGTTCGTTGGTTTGTTTTGATGACTTCACTCATCAAGGGAATTGTTGAAAATTACGGTCAAGACTACGCTATCGATAAATGGAATAATTACGCTGAGGCCAGATTCCAACCAACTAAAGGTATGGTAATATTGCGTGCTTGAGATGGTCAGAGGCGATCCTTGGTCATTTACTAACCTGACGTACTGCTACAGATCCGTTCTACGAATCAATGCCTAATGGCAAAAAGAAGAGGCGGAAGCTTCCGGACTACTGTTCCGTAAAAGAGAAGAAGCTTTGGAAGAAGCTGCAAAATCGAGCTTGGAAAGATGATAGGTGCTTATGTGGTTGTTTATGGGTTAACTGGGGACTCGGATTGGCTCCTGTGCTCTCCATTATCCCGACCATAGGCCCTATTATCATGTATTGGGTCCATACCAAGTTGATAACCATGGCCGACAAAGAGTTACTCCTACCACCAGACCTGGTGGCCAAAATGCACGGAAACATTATTCTGGACCTACTCATCTCATTGCCCCCTCTCCTTGGCACATTGCTCGCGTGGATGAATGCCTGTTCTACAAGGAACTGCGCGCTGATTTACAACCATGTAGCCAAAAGAGCTACCAAACAGCATAACATGCACGCTCAGAGACAAGACCTAGAGCAAATGCACGAATACGCAAACAATGCACAGGGGACAGCTCCCAATACCACTGCGAGTTATACACCGGTAGCTCCCAAAACAAACACTTACCCAAATTCGCGGCCTCCTGTTCAAAACATCCCAACACAGTCACATAATTTGTGAAGACAAAGGCTAACGACATTCAGCGGTAGTAGGTAGTAGAACGTTTTTGGCCTAACGTTTAGTACTAAAAGTTTATAGGTTTTAGCATCATGAAAAAAGACCTCATTTGTTTAGTGGAGTTGTCGTGAACAAAAAACACCGCGTAGTGAAGAATTGGGATCCTATGGATGACCGAAACAGACTATGGATCGATGGTTGCTTTGACTTCACACACTACGGACATGCTGGTGCTATATTACAGGCACGCAGGTTGATTCCCAAGGGCACAAAAGAGGGGGCATTGCTGTGCGGAGTTCATAACGATGCTGAGATACACTTTAACAAAGGCGGACGACCTGTGATGACCGAATGCGAGAGATACGAACACACGCGTAGTAACAAATGGTGTACCGAAATGATCGAAGATGCTCCATATGTTACACAGCCTGATGTTTTGGATGCTCACCACTGTAGGTATGTGGTGCACGGCGACGACATAACTACAGATGCCAACGGCAATGACTGCTACCAGCAAATGAAGGACATGGGCCGATTCTTGGTTGTCAAAAGGACCGAAGGCGTCAGTACAACCGATATTATCCATCGAATTTTGACAAATACAAAAACTACAGAGAGTCTCAAGGTGGGAAGACGCGAAATTGAAGCACTCAACAAGTTTGCCACTGGCCCCGATGGTCACTCGCCGTGGTGTTATGTCTTTGAGGGAAAAATTGCGAGTGGGGCGGCGATTGTTCACGGCGCATTCGAGCTGAGCCCTCAGGACATGGTTTATATCGAAGGCGACTTCGACCTTTTTCACATTGGCCACATAGAGCAGCTGGCAAAGTTGAGACAGGCGAATGGACCAGGCACACGCTTAGTGGTTGGCATTAAAACTACTGCAGGCTGTTTAATGACGCCTTTGGAGCGTGTGCTAAGCGTTTTGAGCTGCAGGCATGTGGATGCAATAGTGATAGAACCCACGGTCAAGCCAGATGTTCGGCAGTCGTGGAAGCTGGACGACCCGGCCCTTAAAAACGGAAAGTTTGCATATTTGGATACTTCAGTGATCGTCAACAGAATTCTTGCGGAGCGTGCGCACTATGTCGCGCGGAACATTAAGAAGGGTATGTCTGGGTACAATTAAGAGGTGAGCTGCCAATAACCTGCAGAGCGTAAACGTCAAACTTTGCGGTTTGACCGCAAAGTCGCTGTAGGTCGGCGCGGCCGCCGCTGCTCACCAACTCGAACGTCATGTCATCATCATGCATTTATTTCATTATATTTCATCAAACTAAGAGTGTATACAGGTGCGTAAACAAAACAGAGCTGAACGAAGCCGACCTGCAACCACTGAGACTCTCTACTCGTGGAACTGCTGGACTTCCCCGAACTTCCGCTCGTGTGATTGAACGTTGGAACCACGCCTTTCCTTGTGGAAGACCGGGGGGATCTCCCCAGTCTCAATCAAATCCTGAATCTCGTCGCCGGGCTTACCCCAGTTGCCCTTACCGGAACCATGTTTTTTAACACCATTTGGCGCTGCCCCGTAGTGGCCGTTGTGGGTAAAATAATGCGATTCTGCTTTGTCTTCGTGGACCGTCCACTTGTTGGTTCTTGTCATATTGCAAATGTTGCGAAAAGTATACTATGTAGTATGAAACTGCGACTAAAGTCTTTGTAGCAGCAGTGAAATTGGGTTCAACTCTAAGTTGGCTTCTACTGATATACTGGAAATACCTGTGGTGTTTATATATTGTGCTCGCTGAGATTGTGCGTACCTACAGTTTTCGAAAGGTTTACGAGGTGGAATGACGGGCCGGCAAACGAAGCCACGGTATGACTCTTGCATGCTTCCATTTCCAGTTAGTTGGGTGATTTGCTGGTGACCTGAGTGGCCTCTTCTCGCCTCTGATCCGAAATAGTCCCTGACCCCTGAAACGTGAGATTTTTACCAACGGAAGTTGTTAAGAGATACGGCCAGGGGGGGGGTTGAGCGATTGGACTGACTGTAAGAGCAGCTACTAGGTTTCAATAGCCAGCAGCAGCCACCAACACGGTAAGTAAGTGATGGTGACTGGCAGCGTAAGATCACGAAGCCCGCCCCGGTGCGCATGCCACCGTGGCTTTAGAGGGGTTACGAGTATCAATCAAGCAAAAAAGTTCCAAGAATAGAGAGGCGGGCAATTGTATGATGTGTACGAGCTTTTACTAGAAGAGTCGTGCGGGCCTTGGAGTGGGGCTTGGTGGTTACACATTTAGAAACAATGCTCGTCGCCAAAGATGTAACCGGAAAGTGAGGGTGCCATGATTGGGGTTAGATAGGTGTATTCTACTTACTTCGTATCCGGCGCGCAGCCATTGTTGCGTAAGGCTTGAGTCGACACACTTGGGGCCCTGCACCAAAGTAAAATCGTGGGCAGTCAGTCAAGGACAGGCTCAATGTGCGGGAAAGTCGGTTGCAAGAGGGCCCAGATCATTTTTCTCCAGTGTGACTAAATCAGCCCAACGACACAATCGTACACAGTGACAATGACAGCAATGGGTACAACTTTTTTGGAGCCAGGGCTTTGTTAACTCCAGCATTCGTTTTTCGTTGAAGGGATTTAGGTTTGTGCCGTGAGGTGATTCTTGAGGCGCCTGCTTCTCTTGGTGCGTGTTTGTTTAGTCACATAATCCCTACACTTGGCTGTTCATGATCCCCACGGATGTTGTGCCCCTGGCAGCTGTAGTAAGCCCAGACCGGAGGGCCCGGTGCTTCTAGGTGGATGTAGATGTCTCACGCGGGGAGTAACCGCTATCTTGAAGGCTTGATGCCGAGGAAAGCCCAACGTTCAAAATGATTAATAGATTAATATGGTAGCGGTGGTCGGAATGTCCGAACGGCACCCTTTGCGGGATTGAATATTAGCGGGTTATTAGATAGAGTGATAATACCTCGGTGATGGATAAGTATATCAACAACTAATAGAATAACAACAACAATCTCCACTGCAGCAGTTAGGAAAAGTATAAAAAGGAGTGCTTTCCACACCAAATCGACAGCATCTTTCCACCTGTAGCATAGTCAGAGAATTTGAGGCATTTCTGACCAAACTCACAAGCAATTGCCATTTCTACGTTCACGTCCCCTAAATCTAACTATCATAGCGTTATGACCGAGTCTATAGCCAAGAAAGCCGTCTGTGTGTACTGTGGATCTTCATTCGGTAGCAGCAAAGGGTTTTCCGAGGAGGCCCGCAAACTGGGCCAACTGTTGCACGCCATGAAGTGGAAACTCGTGTACGGAGGAGGAACGACCGGGCTGATGGGAGAGATCGCCAAAGCCACCATGGGTCCAGAAGCGGACGGCTACGTCCACGGCATCATTCCCAATGCTCTGGTCTCTAGGGAGCGCAAGGAAGAGAGTGCTGCCGAGCAGCGAGACTCGGTTTCATCCTTCAACGACGAAATAAAGAAATCGGTGGAAAACCACAAGGGTCTAACTCCCTTGAGCCACGAATACGGGGAAACAACAATTGTTCCAGACATGCACACCCGCAAACGTATGATGGCTACCGAAAGCGATGCGTTTGTCGCTATGCCCGGGGGCTACGGTACTCTGGAAGAGATCATGGAATGTGTCACGTGGTCGCAACTCGGTATCCACCAGAAGCCCGTGGTGCTATTCAACACCAATGGATTTTTTGACGGCCTGCTGCAATTCATCCAGCATGCCATTAAGAGCGGATTTATCAGCGAAAAGAATGGCCGCATCATCCAGGTCGCCACCACCGCAGAAGAAGTCATCGACAAGATCCAGCAATACGTGGTGCCAGAAGGTCGGTTCAACTTAAACTGGAGTGACGAACATTCCGATGGCAAATAGATTGACATGAACAGATGCCCCAAAGAGTCCCCGAACTTGCCGTTCTATTGTATTATTCATAGATATGCATCAGACACTCGTCACCAAACCAGAAGATAAAAAAGAAGATCGGGTACCTCTTCCTACCCTACTTAAAAGTACCCTACAGCTAAGCTCTCAGATCGTACTACGTCCACAGCTCCAACACGCTTCTTGTTAATACAAAGATGGCCCGCCGTTAAGTAAGAATGCAGGAGAACCACATCATGCGTATATAATGACATAAAGAACATAGCGAAACGTTGTCCTGGGCGGTTAACAACCTACTGGAACGCTATTTCATGCCCGTCTTTCGAGGCCACCGATCCGAATGGCATTCCAGGGCGGCGAAGGCCAAAGCATGAGGCTGAACTAACAGTCTGTTACCGTTGCAGTCCCGGCAGAACATTTGTCAGAACTACCTAATGGCACAGTTTTAGTGTTGTTTTGGAAACGCCAAAACACCTCACCGTTGACACTGCGCTAGCCTCAGCGACATCTGCCATTCTTACAGACTACATTGGCGGAAACGCGTAAGCTTTAGATTGATGTGTACGATCGACTAGCTGCTGATCCTCCCATTCGGACTGTTGCTAAGTCAGCGAAGAATGCTGGTATTCAACGGGATGGATTGACCTTCAGAAATAGACGTTGTACACCTCTTTCTCGTAGGCACAAGTGCCATGGTCAATAACTTTCTCCGTGGGTGGATGACGGCGGATGTCTTATTACAGTTGACAAACGTGAAAGTCGCCTCGCACCTCGCAACCCCAGGCCTCGAGTGTAGTGAGAATTCACTTTTAGAGAAACTTTCAGAATAAGCGGTGCCCTTTTCGCTGTGATTTTCCAACTGTTTAGTTACTAGAGCAACCTTAAAAGTCGCTTCCCAATGTATGGCGACGTTTCCCTCACGCAGTTGATCGATATCAATAGCTCAATGATGTAAATACGACATTGACACAAAGGGCACATGGCCAGCAAGTCCCCCAAAAGAAAACAACCAACGCTATCACAAAAATCATGTCAAAGGGCGGTGATATCAATCTGACCATTGCATCGCAGCACACACACAGGATTATCCCTTAGCAGTCCTGCCCTCGTACCAACAGATAACCCCAAACCCATACAGATCACTAAGATTATGGCAAACCCGAGGCACATCCATCCAACTCACAGGAATCGAGAGGAGAGAGGAAGCTCTCGCCCTTCAACACTGGGCTATCGAGTGCCAGTGCATGGAGTCACTGGGACAAAGACCTAATAATGCATGGAAAAAATTTATTTTGATAAGGCATTAATCACCCTTACCGCATACAGGCCGCAACCGGGGGTCGTGGCCAGCACCTGGGCCTGCGAAACTCTTCCGATAGTCGCAGCGTTGAGAAAAGTCCCACGGGCTCCCGCATGCCGCTTCCTTAGCACCTTTCGCTAAGGGGCCTGGATCGCTCAGACTCTGATAAAGAACCGTTCTGTACTTGGCCGGCTCATTGCGCGGGGCGATGCACCATTGAAGTGGTCTTAGCATTTCCCCCGCCTCAGCAACGGCAGGCTTATCTCCGCACTCCTGCTCAGAGAACTCAGGCGCTTTCAGTTGGTGCAGTGACGAATCAAAACGTCTTTGAGTAATCGCAGGCAGCATTTGTTTGGCAAAAACTTGTGGCCCGCAAATTATCGAACGTCGTTGCTTCAGATGCACGTCACCTCGATTACTGCGTTTGATGGACAAGAACCAGCTCACAGTTGGTGTCACCAGGCCAAAAATTTGAAGCCGTTTTTTTTTTCCGCGTGTACAAGGAAACACCTTGCTCACGTCGATATGCACAGAGTTCGTTGACGTAACGACTGCCGATACGGATAAAATTTTGGCCGTTGTTCTTACAGCGCTACATTTCGTACTTTTTTTTTGTTTTTGGTTCAGAGCATGGAATGCTACCTCTAGTAATCATGGGGACAGTTGGCGCGCTCACGCAAGATTTCTTGAGAAATTATGTCTCAGTTTTCGGTGCATCTCCGGCTATCGAAGGTCAACGCAATCTGCGTTGAAAAAAAACGTACATCTAATTCGTGCGTGGGGGTCAGCCGAGTTCACTACAGAACCTTTATATCGTGCAAACCCACGCTCTCGACATCCATGGGTTGGCACCGAGCGAGACGTCCAATTGCTTGGAAGATTTCCAAGCATCCAGCAAATATCTAAAATTGTTATATTACGTTCTGACCCAACGGTTTCACCCTAACCTTAGGTCCAAAAGTTGACGTTTGCCGCGACCTTGTTAGTGTTCCGCTAGTGCTCTTCCTCCACACACACACGCTCCTAGCGAGATACACACACAACTTAGGTTTGATTATCATTTTCCTGCACAAACCAGTCAACTGGCCCGGCCCTTGTACTATCAACTCCCTGCCCTGTACATTCGGCATGGACAAACACAACAAAAAAGGGCCCTGGACCCAAGCGGAGGACCAAGCGCTATTGGCTCTCGTGCAAGAAATGGGACCGCAAAATTGGGTTCGAATCGCAGCTGCACTTCAGTTCCGATCGCCCAAGCAATGTCGAGAACGTTATCATCAAAATCTTAAGCCTACGCTCAATAAACGCCCTATTTCAGACGACGAAGGTGCGGTTATAGAGGATCTGGTCAACAGATTGGGCAAAAAGTGGGCTGAAATTGCTCGTTTGCTGAATAATGGTCGCAGTGATAATGCTATAAAGAATTGGTGGAATGGGGGGGCTAACAAGCGGAGACGCGGGCTGTCTCTACTGGATGCGCCTCCTGGGGCGGAGGGCCCTCCGCCTGCAATCGTCACTCACTGTACTATTCCATCTTCGTCGTCGTCATCGTCATCAGCATCTTCTTCAGTCCCAGCCATAGCTCCCTTGGTGAGATCCACCGAATCTGCCACAGTCAATGGCCACCTCATGGCGTCCGCAACACCCACCGATCTAGCGCCCTCCTCATTGCCTGTCCAAAGTACCTACATCCAGGGCCCCATATACCATTCGAGTGCATCCTCGACACTCTCTCCCACACGCCAATCAAGCGCCTGTGGCCCACACCCACCTCTTCTTCCCCCAATGACATTAATTCCCCAGCATATACCTTATGCAGAACCTACTCAACATCTTCTGCATCAATCTACGAATCCAAATCATGCTTCTTACTATGGACCGACGTCTTCATTTTGGAGTCGGCCTCAATCTCAAATTTCCTCTAATTTGCCCCGAGCACCGCCTCAACCACCACTTATAAGCACTAACCCTCAAGCGCACCATCACTCATCGCATTCCAAAAGCCAATCAGAACTTCCATCTTTGAGCACTTCGTTGTTTTTGGGCGCACGAAGGACGTCAGATTCCCAAGCAGATCATACCGTCATTACCCAACACTTCAATCATCCCACAGGGCCTTCGAGACGCTCTTCTGTGGCGTTCCTAGATAGTGCAGGCATTAGTAAACGTCAAAACCACGGGACAGCAGTCTCACCAATATCCTTCAGCCGACGATTGAGTGCGGCTTCCATAGCTCCTTCCGCAAGTAACAGTTCTAGTGCCAGCAGTGTACTGTCATTCAATCCATCTGCTACCTTGGGGCCTATACTTCCTGCGCCGGCCATGCTTGCCTCGGGGATGTCAAGCTCGCACCCCGGTTCCTTACCAACATCTGCATCCGGCCCGATAGATGCATACAGTCCTACAAGCTCTTCAGAATCTAAGTTAGGCATTCTGCCGGCTAAATTTACGACGGCAACGGCTACGAAACAGCCATCGCAATCGAGCCCCATAACAGATCAGAAACCGCCCTATTCGGATTCTTCTTGTGGCCAAGCTTTATCACAGCCTCGCGTCAAACTGCATGATTTGCTCAATGACCCCGAAGACGAACGAGCCAAAACGGATACCCTCAGTGGTCCAATGAAAATTATCGATCATCAAAGCTAATTACCTGCATACAGTTATCCTCACCTTCCTTAGGCGCTTGGACCGCTGAACTTTCTAATTTGGTTTTCATGGACCCTCGATGTTCTTGCGCAAAGGGCCAAAATTGCATAAAAATAATCGCAGCCCGACCAGGACCACTGCTTCAAGGACAATATAAAAATCGTTATGTTTGTTTTCTATCTCACACTGCATTCAAAATAACAGTCTAACAAATAGCATAGAAATTTCTACACTGCACACGATATACACTGCACACGATAAAATGCCTTTGCAAGTGGAAACAGAACCTTGGACATGTTATCGTTTCGTTTTCGACACTTACGTACTTGCTAATGTTCTGTGGCGAGATTCACAGTTGATCACTACGCCACGTAATGTCATCTGTCAAGAAATCAGCTATCACTTGCGTATCCATGGCAGTTCATCCCAAAATTTATGAAAAGCTGGTGCATATAACATGTTACTAGGTGACCCTGTCTTCGTTTCTTCCGGAGTTGCGATTTTTATTGTAATGAGCCCATTGAAGTAAATACGATCAGTGTAAAATCCCTCAGCCGGGTTTTCAAGCTTGAGAAGTTATTCGTTTAGTCGCTTGTGTAGTTATATAAAAGGATTTCTATACCTACTGCCCGTTTTATTTTTTTTGGGGCACAGTGCACTAGATGTTCAGAGGAATTTTAACGTTTATCAAATTTAGTTTCCATTGTACGTTGGTAACTGTTCATCTACGGCATATGCAGGAGGATGCGATTCGACTGTAACAGACTCACAGAATACGTTCACCGAATCTGTCAAGATTTCGAATCAACTAACTAGTCGTATATTGCAAAGTCGTACAAATAGACCTTTTGTTTTAAAATGGGCATCTCAAAATTTGATTGATCTTAGGTGAAGATGTGCCTCTAGGACAAGAAAGTATTGCACTCGGTATTAGACAGATGTCTGGAGAAGAGGGGTCTAAATCCGCTTCCGTCGCTGGAAATGCTATGAAAAAGCCGGGCTATACAAATCCAGCTTTCAAGGCCATGGGTATCCCCCCATTGAGACTTCCATCTAGGAACTGGATGCTCTTTTGGACTGTGTTGACAGTCTCTGTTTCAGGTATTGTCTATGATAAGCATCAACAAAAGAAAATTACGCAGAAGTGGTGCAAGGTTGTTGAACCTCTCTCTCAGCGCAAGTTAGCGGTGCACGAAAAGCCCAGGAAAATCACTGTCTTTATAGCTCCTCCTCCAAGTGATTATCTTGATACGAGTATGGGCATCTGGAGACGTTACGTCAAACCGGTATTATATTCGAGCGGTGTGGACTACGAAGTCTTTACAGAGGAAAAACAGGGTTTGATTCGTGTTGAGGTTGCTGAACGCATACGAGAGTTGAGAAGGGAACTCATCAAGCATGAAGCAGAACTGAGGCGTTATGAAGAAGAGGCCAAACTTTGGAATCGGTGCAAACGGGCGCTATCACAGGGCCTGAATCAGTTGAAATCAAAGGAAGAGATCGACGAAGAAAAAGAAAAATTGTTAGCACTAAAGTTCAAGGCCGAATTTGATTACAAAAACTTACTCGGAGTTTTTCTGAACAATCCTCGCCGCGATCTAGAGGTTGTCAGCGAGGATGCACTTGTATCGAATCCTACGATGGCGGGTGGGGTCATCTGCATTGGTAGAGGTGCATACAAAGAATATATGGACGGTCTACACGAGGGGATTTTGGGGCCACTAAGCCCTGCAAAGGAGAATTCCTCCCCGAAAGAAGAGGTATCGCAGTCAGCCAGTTTAGTGGATCATGAGCTTGAGACAGAAGAGGTTACAAAGCCACTAGAGGACAGTACCCCCGCACCAACTTCGATAGAGAGCACAAAAGACGAGATTACAGCAGAGAAGACGGATAGCGAAACCACGGAATTACCCAAGCCAATACCTAAGCCTTATATTAGCCCTGAAGACTATGCTCAGGCCAAATTACCCAAGGAACTTACATCTGGAGGCACCATACGGGAGTTTGGTAGTGACGTCCCTGCTATTTTTCATCAGCCGGTACTCGTGCTCCCTATGCCCAATCTCGTAGGTTTTCTGAATATTCCAGAGCGTATCTACCGATTTTACAGAAGGCGTTATGCTGCTGAAGCTTTTTGTAAGGCCACCAGTAGTTGCGTTCTGCAAAAAATAAGACCATTCGAGCCGAGTATGGATCTAGACTTAGCAAAGTTTGAAGAAAATGATTGGCCTAAGAAATGGATCAAAGAGGGAGAGTCTAAAGGCAGTGAATGGGTTCGGGAGTTAAAAGGCGACGATCGTGTACTGAGCAAGCTAAGCGTCTTTGAGCCCTCGTTGACTGAAAGCACGGACTTTAAGGATGAATAGATAATATTGTAAATAGAACTAATCACATCATCAGAAACCGCTATTACCGAGCCTCTTTGTTCCCTTCCACAATTTGAAGACCACATCATACAATAACAACTTTTGATTGGCACTTGATGACCGGAACTCTCAAATCATTCTTATTAAGACTATCATCTAAGGAAGATTTTGGTTCGAATAATTGCTGGGACAGCCTAGGGCCTTGTCCCTGTAATCTTACCGCGCAAAGTTGCATGGTTGGAGTGCTAATGACGTGTCAAAATTATACAGTGATGATAACGTACAGTGTCAGTATACCAATTCACAACTGAGAACCAAAACGCCACTAAAGGGAGCTCAATAAATGCAAATGAACTCCACATATAATCCAATATATTTCCAAGTAACTTACAATATACGATGAAAGCTAAAGTTTGTCATTACGTGATTCATCAGATAGATCGAGCTTATTATCCTCAAGACAGGAAAGTCCAATAAATAAAACCTCATGTCTTTGGGGACACGCTTTCCATCCACGGGCGGAGAAGCGCTTGATCTGGCTTTTATACTGTCGCTGACGTTTGGTTGAAAATATCCATCGTATATAGTGCTTTAATTTTGGAGAAGCATTAACCGGTGTGTGTCAGTGTCAGTGATGACTATAACTAATTAAAAGGGCATATATATAGTATAACGAATGTAATGGTAAGTGGTGAGAATTGAATACAATATCGAACACATATCTATGAGCCGTTTTCGAAACAAGCACCATCTGGAAGAGTTGATAATTCAAAAGTTTTGTAAAATCTAGAAGTGCAAGAAATGTTAGAATTTTATCAGAAGCACAGGCTGAGGATTCTGAAGACAACGTATGTCCTGCTGATACTGACGATGTTCAGAAGTCTTCAAGCTAGACCAAAGAGCGCGGGCGGAGAAGATAGATCTGAGCAGGCTCAATTGAAGTCGCCTCGTAATAGAAACAGCAATCCTTTGTCTGTTCCCAATAATGACACCGAATCGTCAGAAACAGGCGTCGCAACGGAGGAGGGCAGTGAAATACAGCTGGAGGTGAATGACGCAGCTGAAGACCAGAGGTCAGTCGCGGAGACCGTCACTGGAAGCTCAGCACGTTCGAACTTCCTTTTCAGTTTGATAGTCAAAGACCGAAGATGCATGGCCCTCTTTCTATTCCAGGCAACGCTATTGGTGATTCGTACTGTCTTATCTCTCCGTGTCGCTACACTTGATGGGATATTGGTGTCACGTCTGGTCAAAGCGGAATACCGTAAATTTGTGCAAGTCCTCCTCGGCCAGTGGATGGTGTTAGGTGTTCCGGCCAGCGTTATAAATTCTTTAATTCATTACGTCACACGCTTGTGCGCCGTGAGTGTTAATCGCATTGTTTCCAAACATCTTCTAGACAGATATATGTCGTCACACCACACATTTTACACCGTCAACAATATCCCACAAGGAGACAAACAGATTGAATCGTACACGTCAACTACGGGGATTAGTGGTGACACCGAGGAGCTTGCCAGGTCAGATCTGTCAGTCCAATACTTGACGCGTGACGTCGGCGCGTTCTCCTATAATCTATCTGTTCTCTTGAACCAGCTGTTGAAGCCTACATTGGACCTGTTATTATGTTCTTTCAAGTTAGTTTCGAACGCGAACAATGGTATGATGGGGGAAGGTACCCTAGCGCTCGGTATTATAGTCCACATTAGTAATCTTCTGTTAAAGATGATTCAACCGAACTTCACAAAATTGGCTATTCAGAGAACTCATTTAGAGGGGATATTCAGGAGTTTACATTCCAAAATCCATAGTAGCAGCGAGGAAATCGCTTTATTGAAGGGGCAGTCTACTGAGTTATGGAATTTGGACTACAAATTTTATCAGCTAGCTGTATTCCTCAACCGAGAACTCAAGTTACACGCAATTTATGATTTCGCCACAACTTTCATTATCAAGTATACTTGGGGTGCAGCCGGACTGGCACTATGTTCAATACCCATATTTTTCCAGAAGCAGCATGGTCAAGACATAACGGCCGAATTTATCACTAATCGTAGATTGCTCTTGACGGCGTCATCATCTGTCGGCAGATTTGTACAGCTGAAAAAGAGCATTCAGCAATTGAAGGGAGTTTCACTCAGATTGAAACAATTCAACGAACGCCTCGATGTGCCTAAAGATACGGTCGAGAACGAAACTAGTAACTCCTTGATAGAGTATGACAGTTCCAAGATACAATTTGTTAACATCCCGCTTGTAACTCCGACACTACAAGTATTGATTCCCGAACTCAGCTTTGAATTAAAACACGGCGACCATTTACTCATTATTGGTCCCAATGGGTGCGGAAAATCTTCACTCTTTAGAGTCCTTGGAGGCCTGTGGCCAGTCATGAGCTCATTTACACATCCAGATAAGGAATCAAAGCTTATCATGCCTCCTAGGCTCGCCAATGGGGAAAAACTAGTATTCTATCTCCCGCAGAAACCTTTCATGGGTAACAAATTTACATTTCGTGAACAAATAATATACCCTGATACCATGGATAGATTTGAGGCCAGATATGACGGCGATTATGCAAAAGGTGATCAGGATTTGATTAAAATTTTGACCGTTTTAGAGCTGGATGACCTTGTGAGCGAAAACATGTCGCTAGTAATGGCCTCATCCGCAGACGGGGTCAGTAAGGAATCAGAAGTGACATATCAAGATGCATTTGATGTAACGCGGAATTGGGCAGAAGAGCTTTCCATAGGAGTTCAGCAAAGGCTGGCGATGGCCAGAATGTATTACCACAAGCCAAAGTTCGCGGTACTTGATGAATGTACCTCTGCAGTCTCATCACAAATGGAGCAGAAAATGTATTCTCATGCACAAGAGCTCAATATTTCACTGATATCTGTGTGTCATAGAACAACTCTGTGGCATTTCCATAACTACCTCCTAAAATTTGATGGTAAAGGTTCCTACGAATTCGGTCGCTTTAACCCTACAGAAAGACTGAGGGACGAAGAAAAGTTGATGGAGCTTAACGCTCGTTTGGACAAAGATGTTCCATTATGGACCCGAAGACTCGAAGAGCTGATCAGTGCCAGAAAGTCGAATGTTCTGAGAAAGTCTCACACTAATTTAAGCTCCCTTAGCTCTAGGGGCAACTTACTACTAAGTCCTAAGACTTTGGGTGCATGATATGAGCCTTTTTGTTCTTCGAGATGAATATTGTACCGGTTTAGTTCACGTTATGAGTATATAACTGTCAATATTTGTTTTCTTAGTTTTCACCTTTGATTTACAGAATAACAATTTAAGGCATCAAGGGCATGATGGGCAGAATTCACATTAGAAAATTATGCGGCTGCGACAATGGCACTTCGTAGAGACTACAGGTTCTGGCCAACCCATTTTACGTGAAAACGAGAAAGATATATATATTGAGCACCCGGTTGGCTGCTATCAGGGAAAGTCCAAAATTTTAGGGAAACAAAAGGGACGAGTTTATCTGACCTCTCAAAGGATAATTTACATTGACGATGAAGAGCCGACAAAAAACTCAGTCTCACTTGAGCTAGATGACGTCGCTCACGTAGAGTACTCCTCAAAGTTTCTCAGAAAGTCCGCCAGACTGAGCATATTTTTGAAGAATCTGGACCCCTCAGAAGGGGCTAAAGTCAATTCAGCCAAAAAAGTGCAACAGACCACATCTAAATGGCCTTGTCCTATTTGTGATTTCGAAAATGAGACGAATGAGACCCTGAGGATTGAGAACATGTCACTATTTTCATGTGCTAATTGCGGCATCACGCCAGATTTCGATATGATCAAAGACCTAACCGTGCTGAAAGCACCTCAAGAACCTACCTCGCAAGTAAATGAAGTTGAATGTTCAGCCTGCACTTTTCTCAATCACCCTTCCTTGACAAATTGCGAGATATGTGGCACAAGGCTTCCTGTTTACTATGACAATGTTGATGCACCGCATTTTCTAGATTGCAGGATCAAGATCGAGCTTCAAACCAACGATGGATTGAAAGCGGATGGACCTTTATATATTCAATTGAGCTTCCGAGAATCTGATGGCATGTTGTTGTCCCAAACTATTGAAGAGCTCATAGAAAATCAACCTCGCGAAGATACGAAGAACGTTTATAACATAGGCGCGACCTCAATTAACGAGTCCTATCCGCATAAGGAAACGCATAAGGAAACGAAAGCGCTAGAGCTAGAAACGAAGCTTGGTAGGGTAGGTATCGCTAGCTTAGAAAAGTCGCAAGAGGATCGTTTGCGAAATAACGATATTATACTAGGGAGCGCACTATCGGATCTGAACAATCTGATGGCCCTCGCCTCGGATATTGAGCAACTCTACGGTAAAACAGCAAGAGATGACGTGAAGAAGAAGCCACCCTTGTTTATTGTCGATAGAGAAAAGTTTCTCACAAAAGAACTTTTCATAAAAGAAATATCGAGAGAATTACACGGGTTCATCATGACCGAGTTCCAGAAGCAGATGGAAGTCGATGGAGTCATATTGATTTCCCTTGTTGATATTTATGCACTGTACAACAAGGCCATGCGTATTGGGTCAGGCCTGGTATCACCTCAGGAATTAAAAGAGGCCTGCAGTCAATTTCAAGACTTGGGATTGAAGAACTTACATTTGACCAAAATTAACGGACGAGTTCTGTGCATCTCGTCTGGTGATTCATTTGGTTACATAAAAAAGAGAATAATCGACATCGTTACTACGAATCCCGGTGCAGACCTGCTTGGATTGACACAACGATTGAATGAGAATGACTCGAATTCTTGGACGGCCGGAATCATAATGGAAGTACTCAGCAATTGTGTTAGCGAGGGTCAGTTACTCATCGACGAGCAGATAACAGGGGTCCAGTACTATGTCAATTTTGATTGGAAAATATAAAATGCTAAAATATGCTATTTTCAGTGTAAGCGTTGAGGAGAGACTTCTAACGTAGAATCACTGTTTGGTGAGACCAGTCTTGGTAACGATTCAATTTCTTGTATGACATACTCTCTTTCATCTAAGAAGGTAGCATCTTTGCTGTCAGTATTGAAAGATTTGAGATAATGCAAAAGTTTGTCTCTGTTTTTCACCATGATATCCAGGACCGGCCTAGATTTTCGAGGATTAGCGACGAAAACCTTGAAAATGTTGAAGGATCCCATCTGAAGGTTTTTGGATCTATCGCTCAAAAGAATCATTATGAGCTTAAGGTTATCAGGCGAATTAATATAGGAAGTAAGCAAATTGTTGTAAGCGCGAATCATGATGAGGGAATGTAGCAGTTTAATGCTCTGGCGCTTGGTGACATAGTTCCCGTGCGCCAGCAACATATTGACTTTGTCGATGAACTTCTGAAGGTTTGCATGCTGGCCAAAAAACTCGGTAGCAACAGGCTTTTGGTGGACTGAGAACATACTAGAGAGGATTTGAAAACTTTCCGTACTAATTTCAAATGATCCTCCCTTAGCAAAATCAAAAAATAGCCATATTTGTGGATCTCGCAGCATTAGCCGGCAAAGCTGCTCGTATTTTAAGCATTCTAGGATGATAAAGCCGGCTTTCAGAAAGAGATCACTGGCGTTGTTCTTGCTAAGTGCAAGCTCTGGGGTCCTAAGTATAAGTGAAACAATTTTTGGCCGCGTAACCATATAGTCCACCGTAACAAATTTGTTATCTCTCGAATGTCGTAGACAGGTGGCAAAGATTAATGCCACATCTTTACGTGCTTCGAATTCCAAGTCATGCAAGTTGGTAAGCAAGTCGTATAATAAGTCTAATTGGTATATAGCACTGTAAAGTTCATCAAGAGCCTCGGCGGTGGGCTCAGGATCCACATCGCCAAGTAGAAAGTGCTTTGTACCCGCTAGATACCGACTGCAGTCATCTTGTATCTTTCTTCGGTTGTCAATGGTAGAGACGTGGTCTAACTTGTTAAGTTGCTCAGATAGGAGTCTTGCGTAATCAGAGGCCGTCTTAGGTGTTTTTTTCCACCAAAACGCCATGTTGATCAGAGATCCAGAGATTCCACAGCTCCAGATGTAGTTTATAAGATTAAGGTATCAATAGTCAATACACAAGCGATGCACAAAACCTGAGACGAGGTCTCGTAATTATTATTACTTATCACGTGACTATAGGGCTTTGAAGTCAAGATTTCCAAATTAAAGAGTCAGGTTCGTGACGGACGGGGAAACCTACCAGTGCAAACCGGAGTCCGAATTCACTTGTTTTCTTATACACAACCAACAGGTAGAAGTGGTGTGGTGCCGCTTAAATAGCGTCCAACTGCAAGATGTACATTATCATAGCGTCTTATTAGTACAACGTGATATTGGTGTTGCCAGTGAAACAAGAATAGGCGCAGTGAATAAACCGCGAATGGAATCCAGAGAATCAGCGACTATATATACACGACGTATTCAACCGTTTCGAGTATCCGTATTAAGCCAAAATTTGAGCTTGTTAGTTGAATTTCTTGAACTATCCAAGAGAGCTGTCAGAACCCAGACTACATTCGCCAGATTATTGCATAAATGCTAGTTTTACGCCCCACTCGTGGATCAGTACTATGTTCCAAATAAACTGTGAAGAGACTGCTAGCAGATCGTTTGCAGCTCCAGACAGATCACCAAATACTCAGAGTCTGAAATGCCTGTAAAAAAAGGCGAAAAGTTTGGCAAGTTATCTAACCTGGCGCTTGCTATAATAAGAATGGTTCTCCAAATGGGGTTACAAGCATTATAATTTTCTCTCGAAGAATGAGTTACGCTACCTGTCATGACCAAAAAGATAGATGGAGCAGAATGTTCCAAAGGCAAAAAATTGGATGATGCATGTTCTTCCCCACTCAGTTGGGCTCTATTCTCTATTCCTGGTTATTTACTTGAGATTCTGCTCAAAAGGAATTCTACGTTGGAGATTTTTCACCAAACGGCATACCTTTCCCCCCATCTTGAACGTTCAGTTGTCTCATGAATATGCCTCGAGATCTACGTCCGACTATAGCGGCCAATGGAAGCGAATTGCAGAGCCACACATTCTGAGCGAGTCCTAATGAAGTTTGTCAAGACATTTTCGAGAGAAACCGCAACGATTCTACTCTAATACTGGCACCATGACCCGAGGTAGACACGATTTGGGAATCAATCTCAATTACCATCGAAAGTAAACAATGAAAAACGTTAACAACTCGTAATAGAGTTGCCCATGTTTGGAAATCCGATAATTAATTTTGCTCATGCCTAGAAATGCTTTTAGCTCGGTCTCCTGATGCCTTTTACTTAACGACACACTCAACATTATATTCGAGACGGTGCGTTCATTGAACTTGGTGGTTGCGCTTATACAGGCTAATAAATTTAAGTTGGCCCGTAGTACTAATATAAGTGGCTCAAGACCCTTTTAACCTTGAGTTGGTTCACTGTCGTAATCATCCATCTGTATTACGAACAAGCAGACTTCGACACTACATTAGTATACCGACTTTTCTGTCAGATCCTGAATTCTTATGTAATAGCCTAAAGCACAGTTACCTAACAGCACTTAACTTTTCACTGGCGTTAACATCTCATGGCGATAACTACGTAGCTCGAATTTACTCAAAGAAGATAGTGCTCTTGCCCGCACCTGAAAAGGGAGGCCGACTTCGTAGTTCTTTAGTAAGTACGAAGAATGTTACTCATGGCCTCATTTTCTCCCTCCAGCCTGCTGATATCTTGTTCCAGGCCCTTAATTTTGAGCTCAAAGTCGTTGGCCTCCATATTGCGCAATTCTTCGCGCTGTTGACGTTCAATTTGTTTCATGTTCAAAAACTGGACTTTGAAATTTTCCAAATCTTCAGTATACTGGATAACCTCTTTCTTCAATTTCTCCCGCTTGACATTCATCTTGTCTCGCTTCGTTGTGAGTTGAGACAGTTCTTGTTCCAATTTCATCAGCTTTGTGGACAGGCCCTCTACTTCTTTCTCAAGCTTCGACTTCAATTTGCCGTATTCCAATTGATCTTGAAGGTGTTTGTCCTTTTGCTGAAAATGCTTCTGTTCGATGTGAACTTCACGTTCCAAAAGCCGCTTAAGTTCATCTTCCAAGGCATTTAGTTGAGACTCACTTTGTTGCAACAACGTTTTCAAATTATCCATCTTGAACGTGCTCTTGCCATCCTGGCTAGCATTTTGAGATATCTTAGCCTTCAAATGATCACTTTCTTGACGAAAAGCGTTTAATTTCTTCGAAATTTCTTTCTTGGTTTTCTTCACTTTTGCCCTTTCCTCAGCGAGGTTAGTATTTGTGGTCAAGACAGAATGCTTCAATGTCAGTAACGGTGACAGAAATTTGCGGTGGTAATAAGAAGGAAAGCTGAAGTCCAGGAGCTCCTTGCTTTCACCAGGTTTTGCACGAGTTCTGACCATTAAGTCAGCAATCAGGTAGTCTTCCTTCTCATTGATACGATTGACAAATTGGATATCATAGGAGCATGATGGCACAAGTCCACTTACGACAGTATACTCCTCGCCCATTTTTTCAGATGTTATTGCTGACAGAACTTGCGACCATATTACCCCATTAACTAAGACGATAAGCTCGCCTTCAAACAAATTTGTAATGCGAAAAGTAATTTGGGTGGGCCCGGTATTACTGATGCAAACCATGTAATCAGTAGATTGCTTGTAGGGCATGAGGTGTAGCTGATTATAATCATCAGCGGCAGGTGCAATCAATGTCATACAATCACTAGAATCTGGCCCAGTGAATACACTTCCATTTAGAAGGGCATTCGACGAGGTTGGGGATATTGTTTGCGAACCATTCGACGCAGCTGTATTGGCTGGCGAAGAATCAAAATTTCTGACTTTCCTTTTCTCTAATGACATTGTTTTGATAGTGGTGAAGATTGACCAAAGTGGAGGGATCAAATGATGATTTTTCCATTTGAACAGTTGCTGAATGAAAGTCTCAAGGTTGGAGGTGGTAATAAAGTATGCATCTGAGCTTTTCTCTTTGGTATTATTGGAATCCAACGCCAGGTCAACTTCGAAAAATTGATTTGTGTAGGAGTTTTCTTTAGGGAAGGAGCTAGCCTGAGACGTGACATTTGTTGTGATCGTCTGCTGGTTGCTCTCCGACGGGGAGTTCATCGAAAGCTCAGAGACATGAAAATCAGTTACTGCGTTGCCAAATTTGGCTTTCTGGCCTGCGATATTGGGGACTGATAATAGTGGGGGTCCGTTAGACGGGCCAGAACTTGCACCAGACCCGTTAGACAATGACATGCCCACATGAGAGGCTGTATTTTGGGAACTATGAGGGCTCATGGACACAGAGGCCGGAGGACCAGCAGTGGTTGACCGTTTGGCGTTGTTGGCTCGAGAGTAGTATGGATCAACCATGTTTTGATAAAATTGAGACAAAACGATGTGGAAAGATGCAAGGTAGCGGCATAAGCGTACATATTTCCCCGACCAGCTTGCTGATTTCAATAGATTCAGCAGGGCTAGCCGGATAATGGGATGGCTGGATTCTGCTGTCTGCCATTGGTAAGGTACCCAGGTTGGAGTGACGAAATAAGTTGAGATGCGAGGACTTAAAAAAGATGCAAGGCGATGGCATAGGTTCATTACTAAACCATACAAAATAGAGCACGAAGTTGCATAGCTCAGGCAATCCCTAGGGTCATTGATGAGCGAAGATGCGATGATGGACATTGCTAAGTTTTCTATGGGCCTGGTGAAATAATGGCTTGCACAAGTCTTAAGAGCAGCCGCTATAGCCAATTCCACTGCAAAAAGGGGTGAGACTCTTGAAAGTAACGTTTTGTGCCTGTGGAACATCGAGTTCGCGTCCTCCGTATGCAACTGAGCTTCATTACCGACATTCTGATTGTGGTCTCCATTATTTGCAATTTCCGAGTTCAGGCCCTTATACCTGATGCGAGACGTAGGTGTTTCAGAATTCGACTTCTCGCTTTGGTGCTTCGACAGAAATAACCTGATGAAACATGTTGCCAAGAAATTTCGCGATTTGGTGGTAACAATGAATAATGAGAGTAAGCATAAGGAGACAAAGTGATTGAAGCTTAAAAACACTATCAGTAGCGCAAGGGTATCTTTGAAGTGGTGCTCTTGTATGAAATGGATGGAGCTATCCACTTGAGGTTTTTCTTTCAGACGTCGCATAGTTACGCTCGGACGGCTGATAATCCTTGCTTGGTGATAAATGCAGAAGTTATGGTAAACCTCACCGTGAGTTTAACCTAACAGCCCTGAAGTACGGCAAATTACAGCGGTGGTATGTTAAGTGTTGTTGCCACAATTGTATTATACTACTTGTGTTTTCGGAATTTTTTTAATAAGTTGATGATGATATATTTATTAATGTTATGTAGAAAGTGTCACCTAAAAAGATCAAGAGTCACGTCAAATTTCTGGCCTCAAGCTCGCGGAGGGTATACAGAACTTCCAAAAAGAAGGGCCAGACTGCTCTTTTAAAATTTGAATTTAATGACAATCATACTTTATTTAAACCAAAAAAATTCTCCCGGGGGCGATTCGAACGCCCGATATCAAGATTTCAATTTTCACATTACAGTCTTGCGCCTTAAACCAACTTGGCCACCGAGAGGGTACTTGAAATTATCAGTCAAAATGACCAGATATAACTATATAAGATCCTCACAAAGGATGACAATTATAGTAATAATAAGAGTTACAGGCTAATCAATGTGTCGACTTAGCCATCAGGGGCCGATATGGTGGCAGGAGGAGTCCCCAGTAGCCTATCTATATAGAAAAAGTAAGCAAATCATGCATACAAGTGGGATGCATTGGTCCTGATAGACTCACTTCAAATTGTTAACTGGAGGTGTGATAGTTACTCACGACAACATCCTCTGCGTGAACAACTATCGCATCGTCAACTCGAAGAATAACAGCTCTAAAGTACGATGAAAACCAGTAGACCATGGCAGTATTCACTATTGAATTACTTCTTTCCATATCGCATCTGCCTATTTGTTCTGATCCACCGGCCTCTTCTTATGCGTTTTCCCTCGCTTTGATTGCATGGTCACCTTGACGTACGAGCCTCCAGTCAATTTGTAATGTCGAGCGACGCTAATGTGGTTAAGGTTCTGCTGCTTTGTCCTTTGTCAATTTTTTGAGGGCTCTGGCTGGGTTCTAACTCACGGTTTGTCATTATTCATTGTCCTGTCGTTGTACAACATCGTGTCCCCAGATCTCGGATCTAGGATTATTTCTTAAGGGCTTCATCTTGTGCACTATTTCTAGATCTGAGATCTGGAGCAGACAGGATTAAGCACAAATCTTACCTATACCATTATCGTATTCAATATGATATGTCTACCGAGAGATAGCGTTTGAACTATATTCTCATATACTGATTCCTCGATTCTACCTAAAGCACTAACTCCTTATGATTCTGCCCTAGCATGTTAACAATCCGAGGGTTGATCTCCAGTAATCAATATATCAGATTCTATCTACTTATCTTCATGTTATACGTGGCCTCCTTAGCTTAGTGGTAGAGCGTTGCACTTGTAATGCAAAGGTCGCTAGTTCAATTCTGGCAGGTGGCAATTTAATTTTTGAGTGTATATTTATGGACGAAACGCACCTTGTCGTACAACGATATAGACTCAAAAAAATTTTTTTGAGAGACTAATGCAGGGCAGACCGGCGGCTTGCCAGCGAGGCCAACGCTTGCAAGCAGCTCCCGTGGTACGACTAGTGAAAAATTATTGGCAAACAGAAGCACAGTATACCGTAATATAGACTGTACTAACAGGCTATCCTATTCGGACTGGCTCTAGCATTTAATAAGCCGAGGCATCAGTCTTGGATTGCGTTGATTCAGGCTTACACTCGGGCCGCGGGACTTGGTGATAGACCCTAGTTCCTTATTTTTGCAGTTGTACAGAGCCAGAAAGATACACTCATTTGAATTTCAATTGGTTTCGAGGTGGAACTAGTACCAGCAAGAAGAAGTTGTATTGCAGCGCACATTGGCAACACTCTTGCGGTAAAATATATTCTGGTCAAATAACCATTTTTTCGTTTAATACTAAACCCGCAACACATCACCATGGCGCCTCTGAAGAGATCAGCGTCTGAATCGACCTATTCTGATACTTCATTGCCTAGCCAAGGTGGTCCTCTTTTGAAAAAGACACTTGTTGAAGATATAACCGCTGGAACCCAGGTTCCTCGGTCTACGGGTCCAGGTTCCGAACGCGACAACGGGGCCACCAAAGGTGAAAGTGATGACGAAGATGAAGGCGGAACTGAAAACGAGGCAAGTGATGACGAGGAGCAGGAGAAGAGGAACACTGGCGGACCCGCTATCAGTGCGCAGGATGTCCAGGTTGCGCGCGCCACAGCAGAACTTTTCAAGTCCAATATCTTCAAATTGCAGATCGACGAACTTTTGCAGCAAATCAAGATCAAGGATTCCCACATATTGCGAGTCGAAAAGTTCCTGCATAAACTTTACGACACGATTCAAAAGGTGCCCGAATGGGAGCCGACTGCGCTGGACGATGTCGAGTCCTATTTCAAGGGCAAGATTGTCGCCGTGCCGTTTGCAGACCCCAAGCCAGCACCTACTGTGCAGTACAAGTTCGGCTACAAAGTCCCAGATGTGTCGTTGATCGGCTCATTTGCTCTTAAGTGTGCTACCTACGACCCCAAGGGCACCTCGATAGACGTTCTACTCACTATGCCCTCTGAGCTATTCGACAAAAAGGACTTTTTGAATTTCAGGTGTATTCATAAAAGAAGCGTGTATTTGGCTTATTTCACTCATCAATTGACATTGCTCTTTGATGAAGAACATCTCTCAGATTTTCTCCAGATCTCTTACCATTACTTTAACGATGATCCATTGTGCCCAGTGCTGCGAATTCAATGCAAGCCAGGTGGTTCTTCTGAATATAACTTTTACAAAGCCAATTTCTCCATTAATATAATCGTTGGGTTCCCTCACGGCTTCTTCGACGTTAAGAAGCTTCTCCCGAACAAGAACTGTATCCGTGTGCAGGAGGACAAAGATACTATGACACCACTTTACAATTTCTCCGTTCTTTCGTCTTCTACTCATGAACATTATTTGAAGTTCCTTTACAAGACTAAGAAGCAGACGGAGGCCTTTAAGGACGCATGCATGCTCGGGAGGTTGTGGCTCACGCAAAGAGGATTTTCATCCAAATCCTCTCATTCGGGCGGGCTAGGAGGGTTTGGTTCTTTTGAATTTGCCGTATTAATGAGCGCGCTTCTGTGCGGTGGTGGTGTTAATGGTAATAAAATTTTGTTGCATGGCTTTTCGTCGTACCAGCTATTTAAGGGCATAATGAAGTACTTGGCAACCATGGACTTATGCTCAGATGGCCACCTACAATTTTACTCCGATCTTAATCCTTCTTCTAATTTGCCAACCTCCAGATACCTTGCAGAAGGCTTTCAAACTCCAACCATTTTCGATAAAACTACCAAAGTTAATATTCTTACCAAGATGTCGGTAACCTCTTATCGCACCTTACAGCTCTATGCGCGTGAAACCTTTGCCCTCTTGAGTGACCTGACTAAAGATCAGTTTTCAAGCATATTTTTGATAAACTTGGATAAATATCAAGAGGTGAAGTACGATATGACTTTTGATTTGGAGTTGCCCACTCAATCTGTTATTGTAGAAAAGTTTGGACCAACGGAGAAGATAAAATTTGTCAGTCTCGAAAATTTTGTGGTTAACAAAATTACTAATGTGGCAACTATTGCCTTAGGCGAGAGAATTAAGTCATTGCAAGTTAACATTTCCAACCATCAGAACTCTTTCTCGGTCACGAAAAGGAGGCCGAACAATACGTCAGACGTTTCCAATATCCGTATCCATGTCCTGATAAACCCAAATGAAAGCGAAAAACTTGTCACCAAGGGGCCGCTAAACAATGACGAAAATAACTCTGAAGCCATTTCTTTTCGAACTTTCTGGGGCAAAAAGTCATCATTACGTCGCTTTAAAGACGGATCCATCACTAACTCTTGTGTCTGGACGACCTCGGCTTCAGAGCCAGTTGTTTCTCAGATCTTAAGTTACATCTTCAAATTGCATCTGGCAGAGAATGCCAAGCTCTCAAACCAAACATCTAAGCAGTTTCAAGATTTATTGCCATTGCCGAATCTCCCAGCAAGCTCCAGTATGTCCATTTTGAACTTAGGTAGTTTCTTCAATGTCCGCAAGTCGTTTGATATACTCTCTGGACATTTGTTCAAGTTAGACTTACCACTGTCAATAAAGTCAGTTCTACCAATTGGTCCAGCATTCAGGTACACGACTACATGTCAGCCTGTCCCTTTTGCGTACTCAAATCCTGATTTCTTACAGGATGTCATTTTAGAATTTGAATCTTCACCCAAATGGCCTGATGAAATAACATCACTCGAGAAGGCTAAAACTGCATTTTTACTTAAGGTTCAAGAAAGGTTGGAATCAACGAATAGCGAATACAAAACTTTTTTCGCTCGAGATGAATCCATCCCATACAATCTGGAGGTGGTTACCCTCAATATTCTGACACCAGACGGTTACGGTTTCAAGATTAGAGTGCTTACTGAGCGGGATGAAGTGCTGTATCTAAGAGCTATCAGTAATGCTCGTCATGAGGTGAAACCAGAGTTGGAAAAAGTGTTCCTCAAATTCACAGCAAAATATCTGGCTTCTGCTAGGCACACTAGAACTTTTGAAAATTTAGCCCATAGTTTTCCGCTATTTCCCCCAGTTGTAAGGTTATTCAAGAAATGGCTGGACAGCCATTTATTGCTCTCCCATATGTCGGAGGAGTTAGTCGAGCTCATCGCTATCAAACCATTTGTTGAAAGTGCTCCCTACTTCGTTCCCGGTTCGCTGGAGAATGGCTTTTTGAAGATTATCAAATATTTGAGTCAATGGAATTGGAAGGAGGATCCATTAATTTTAGACCTTGTCAGACCTGAAGAATTAGACCTCGGTACGGAAATTGGGTCCGCAAATGGCATTGATCTAGAAGCTAAAGTTGGTGACGGAGTACGGGACAATCTCAGTGTAAGCCAAATGAAAGCCATTCAGAGCAATTTTACCACCTTGAGGAAAGTTGATCCTCAGGGATTAAACATTCAGTTCTTTGTCGCGTCCAGAAACGATCCAAGCGGGATTTTGTATTCTAGTGGCATCCCGTTGCCTATTGCCACCCGTCTGACAGCATTGGCCAAGGTGGCTTATAATCTAATTCAAAATCATGGTTTGAATAAACAGACAGTGGACCTTCTCTTCACCCCAGCATTCAAGGACTACGATTTTGTAGTGAAAGTCGAGATGCCAACCTCGTTGAAGCTTTCCTCGGGGGTGTTGGAGGCCGGCGGTTTCAAGAATTTAGAGCAACAACAGACAGCTTTTCCGAAAAACCTGTCGCAAATGAGCGAAAAAATGGATCCCTCCTTTCAGTTGGTGAAATACTTGAACATGAAGTACAAAAATAGCATAGTGTTCTCTAGTCATCGCTATCCAGGAGTCAATGGAGGTGAAAAAGGTGACCAAAATGTTATTACCGGATTGATCAGACCTACTTTCAAGTCACCACTGAAGTTTAGAGCCAATATGGATGCCAATGTTTTACCCGTAAGTGGAGAGCAGGTCATCTTGAACAAAGAGGCTATCTTTAATGAAATCGCGGCTTTTGGCAACGAGCTAATTACTGGCTTTGAATTTAACTAAGCCTTCAGATATATCTAATGGTGTATAGAAAGAATAAAATCAAGCTTTGTACAATAAACCAAATGATAACCGAAGTAGTGGACTATAAAACTGTGCTTGCCTTCTTTAACTATTTCACGTGAAACTCGGTAAATTGATGCTCTTTGTCCAAGTTTATTAAGTAGTTCCCAAATAAATCAAAGCCCATAATACCGGCAAAGTTATATAGTAAGAGGCCCTCCTAGTGCTACACTAAATGACCGAGCATCAGCCCACTACTGTCGTAAAACAGCGAAGTAATGACTTTCGACACCATTTGATAAATCAACTATGCCTCCTTGGCATCACCGTCATAATAATACACTATTTAAAGTTTGGATCGTCCACCGCGGCGCTCTTCTTCCGGCTTTTGGTACAGTCGGTACTTTCTAAGGTTCAAGTATTTGCAGAGCAGTTCAGAAGAATATCGATGAGAGCCCATAGTAGACGTATTCCAGGCTCTCGAATGCAGGACGTTGGAGAGGCCGCGGCGCCTAACGAAGGAAACCCCCCAATGCCTGGCACTTTCACTACCACGGCAGATATTCAAGAGCAATTATCCGAGGAAGTGATTGAGAATACCGCCAATGAAGCAGAGTATAACATGAGGTGGCTATTATTTCATTGCTGTTTTACTTTCAATTGCATTTCCATCTTAATGGCTCTTATTTGGCCTTTAGATTATCATGAGAAAATGGGAATATATCAATTTCACGCTGATGGCATCGGTCTAATACCCTCACCCTTTGATAATGGAAATGGTCGTGTTGGAGGGGAACTGCAAAGGACTCTTTTTGTTCAGCTAATAGGTGAGCGGGTTCCCGGCAGCAACTTTTGGGGCAATGCTACTATTGTATTCCTTGAATTTGTTATATTGATCCTGCAGAGTAGCCTCTATGTTCTGACGGCTCACAACTTTGCCCAACCTCTATCAAACACTGATGACGTGTCGGGTTCAAATGGTAACGAAGACCAGTTCGGGGGAAGTGTGCTGGTCACAACGATAAACCCTGTTGCCGTTCTTAATACCCTTTTGCACGAAAGATACGATCAATTTGATTCTCAGCCTGCGGCAAGTGAAATGGTATGAACACGGATATATGGTAAAAAAATATTGTACACGCTTCAAAATCTATATTTTATACAACATAATGCATGATGCCCCTCAGTTTTTATTGAGAAATGGGACAGTTCTTTAAATACTCAGCTTTATTTTTGAGAATCCTGACACTTTTAAAAAAAATCTCCTCTGGTGTCATGGCGCCAGTACTTTCAACGTTGAAAATGAAATGATCCCTCACTCTTCCTAATTTAATCTTGTCCTCAAATTCCTCATGTCTCAAAACTTCCCTTGATACCGTATCATGTCTTGCGTCCTTCACATATGCCGCTCCATTGCCATCGATGTCAATGACGCCAGGCGAAAACATTCCTACCAACTTTTTGGCGGATTCTCCAGTGATTGGTTGGGTAATATTGATATGGGGCATGAGCCTGTAAGAAGCGGTAGACACGGGGGAAAACTTCGCGTGATCACTACCGACCCCTAGGACACAGTGGGCCCGAAGTGAGATCTCTTGTCCGGGTCTCAATTTTGCGAGCAAAATATCTGGATCCGCAGGAACGACTGGATTCTTCGCAAAAGTGTTGGTTTGTTTTCCTTGTGGTTCGAACTTGAGATCGCGAGCATATATGTGGGCGTTGTGGTATAGAATTTTGGGATCCGTGCAATTTTTGGGCGCATCCGGGTTTCTTGTGCACTTGACATTGAGAGAAAGGACGATCGTATTTTCGTCAGTGAACTTCTCGGCCTCTGGTAAGCTTGGGTCAATCCAGGAAAGCATATCTGGATCTACCTTCAAAGGCGTCAGACCGATCCTATGTGCCAGTACCTCATCCTGGATAACTGACGTGTTGTTGAAGAAGTAAACGTATTCAGCAGCCACGGAAGGCACTTCTGAGATCATGATACGACGGAAGGCATTAGCAATAGACGTGTCAATACGCATGAGATCAAAGTTGGCCTCGCGTTCGTCTAAAGAAGTTATTTTAACATCGAAAGATTTTTTAAAATCCTCCACATCCCATGCTGCACTCTCGTCCTTTTGAAAACCTGGGAAATCCGTAGAGGTGGTGTTTGTTACACGGTTGTATTCGATACCGACAATGTTTGACATTTCAGGACTGATGCTTGTTTCTGCGTTGTTCAGCTTAAGGATAGACCCAAAATGAATGTGGAAAATTAAATGAAAAATGTGGGACTAACGAGAGCCAAGCAAACCTTTTAGTGGGCTCCAGAATCTTGTCTCAGTCTTCAGGTGAGCGTTTGAAACTTTAGCTCATCGCATCTCCTTTGGAAAATTTTTTGAAGATGTTGATAGCATTATATACGTCTGAGATATTAAGTTCCTATAATTGAAACGAGCTATAGCTACTCTTGGCTTCGGCGGCAAATCAAACCACAAAAGCTTTGGAAAGTATCGAGCTTTCGACAGTTTGAGATAGCAAAAGGAGGAATCGAGACTGGTTTTTTTTGTAGGTCTTTTGCCATGACCAATGAGGACCTCTTGAATGAGCTGGATAACGATTTTGGCAGCGATTTCGAAAGCGATGCAGGTGGTGATGATGTCCCCATAAAGCAAACGATTGACAGTGAAGAACCAGAAAATCTACTTTTGATATTAGAGCGGTTCATTTTGAACTATAAGCCAGTCATTTATTCTCATGAACTTCCGAACAACGCTGCAGATATTGCCCCTACATATTGGCAGAAGTCCACTTTATTGCGTTTGATGGAGAAAGGACAAGACGAGAGGGCAGCTTTGCTGCTTAGCAAATTGCAACCAATTATTCAGCAAGAAATTTCAGCAGTACATATGCTCCTGCGGAAGCTATATGAGCCTAAATTCCCCGAATTGCAGTCCATCGTTACATCAGGAGAAGATTACGCACGAGTAATTCAGCACCTAGAGCATGAATCGGGTCAGTTGAACATAGAAAAGCTCCAAGAAATAGTCAGCCGCGAACAGATGCTTGTCTTGTCGATGGCCATCCAAGTTGGTTACGATAAAGACGCCGCGGTATCCTCTCAAATTTCGAATTTGCTGCCAGATAGTATAGATTTACTTCTGCAGCTATGTTCTATACATCAAGGAATCAAAAAGTTTGTCACGTCTCTGATTTCCAACATAGCCCCAAATTTGTGCGAGTTGCTCGGACATGAGATTGCTGCCACCCTCATAGCTTTCACAGGGGGCCTTCAGGAACTCAGTGAGATCCCCAGCTGCAACCTAGCGTCTATCGGTAAGCCTGCTTATCTGAGTCACGCATCCGTTACGGATCAGAGTGGTGTCAGACAAAGGGGTGCTGTGTACCACTGTAAGTTAGTCCAAGATCACCCAGTATCCGTGCGGAAGCAGGCCCTTAAGATGACATGTGCTAAAGCTGCCTTGTGTGCAAGAGTGGACTACGCTCAGAGTAGCCCTAGGGGCGAGCTAGGATCTCAGTGGCGAACCGAGATAGCAGTTAAGTTGCAGAACATACAAGAGCCCCCCAGCGTTGCCAATATTAAGGCGCTGCCGATCCCAGAAGACAAACCCAAGAAGAAACGGGCAGGCCGCAGATTTCGGAAATACAAGCAACAATTTCAACTATCAAATGCCCGGCAATTACAAAATCGAATGGAGTTCGGCAAACAAGAGTCAACCTTTAGAGACGTTTTCGGGGAAGAAATTGGTATGGGTATGGTAAACACACTGGGTGGACAGATCTCAGCAGGTGGATATACCAAAGCTATCCCTACAAAACTTCGAGCCCCTATGAAGGAAAGACTTGCAGCAGCAAGCAAGGACACCGAATCCTTTTTTTTCACAAACTCCGACAATAGAGCTGATCTACTTAAAAGTTCCGCAGGGGGACATGACAAGAACTCGAATGGTAGAGGGGTCAAAGAAGACGTTAGTGACTCCAATCATTGGTACACTAAATTGATGGATAGTCAGGGGTCGCCAAAGGGCTGAGTGTGGGTTAAACAAATCTCATGGGGTCTGTCACGTGATGGTGTTTCAGATTGATCAGAACCGTATTAGGAAATTGTAAATACCTTTGCCGGCCTCTCATTACAAAATTGTGATCTCAAATACGTTGCCAGGATCAAGACCTACCAAACAAATCCATCTTTAGAAGCTTCTTTTGTTTAAGCGTCCCAAGATATCTCAGTCTCGAGACCATGTATTCCAAAACCAATGGGCGTCACAGGGAGATCGACAGTTTGACGGACAATATCGGACAGCTGAGCTTTGACGCTGCTGTGAGCTCTCCCAGATTCGATTTCGAGCCAGTAACCCCCTCGAAATATAGAGGTGACTTTGGCACACCTTCGCCAACAAAATCTGTCAATGGCGGAGACACATCCAGGGTGTCGATGATGGATGTGGATGAGAGTATGCCCAGTGCTGAAGTCGATTACACCCAATCACCCAAGAAGTTGCCCACGGATTTTCATCGCAAAGCTTCTTCGAATAATACGAAACGACTGGTCAATGTGTGCCAAATGTACTTTCTGGATTACTACTGTGACATGTTTGACTACGTTATAAGTAGGCGAGAACGTACGCGTCAAGTCATGAATTATTTGGAGCAGCAACGTGTTCAAGGTATTTCCAGTCCAGAAATTGCCAAAGAATGGCAGTCTTATATGAACAGGGAGGCTGGCATTCTAAGAAATCGCCGGTTAAAGCCAAAGAACAAGGACTTCGAAATGATCACTCAGGTTGGTCAAGGTGGCTATGGCCAAGTTTATCTGGCTAGAAAGCGCGATACCCGAGAAATTTGCGCCCTTAAGATCTTAAACAAGAAGTTGCTTGTTAAACTTAATGAAACAAACCACGTTTTGACTGAAAGAGACATTCTTACCACGACGAGGTCTGAATGGCTTGTCAAGCTCTTATATGCTTTTCAGGACCCTGCTAGTCTTTATCTGGCAATGGAATTTGTTCCAGGTGGGGATTACAGGACCCTGCTCATAAATACAAGGTTTCTGCAGGCCCCGCACGCACGCTTTTACATCAGTGAAATGTTTTGTGCCGTAGATGCCCTGCACCAACTCGGATACACACACAGAGATTTGAAACCCGAGAACTTCTTGATTGACTCTAGGGGCCACATCAAGTTAACGGACTTTGGCTTGGCCGCTGGTACAGTGTCCATGGAAAGAATTGAAAGCATGAAGATTAGGCTCGAGGAAGTGAAGAGTCTCGATTTTCCAAAGTTCGAGGAGACATCCATGAATGATCGAAGACAAATGTACAAGAAACTGAGGGATGAGGATGTCAACTATGCCTCATCTACGGTAGGATCCCCCGATTACATGGCACTGGAAGTACTTGAAGCCAAAAATTATGATTTTACTGTCGATTATTGGTCACTTGGATGCATTTTATTCGAGAGTTTAGTCGGATATACACCATTCAGTGGATCGTCTACAAATCAAACTTATGAAAACTTAAGATGCTGGAAGCAGGTATTGAAGAGGCCACGCTGCGACAATGGGCGTTATGCTTTCTCTGATAGAACCTGGGACTTAATAACGAGACTAATTGCTGATCCAATTGGCAGATTGCGCTCCTTCGAGCATGTCAAGAAGATGAAATACTTTGCCGAGATCAGCTTCGAGAACTTAAGAACTATAAGTCCTCCATTTATACCGCAACTGGATAATGAGACAGATGCTGGCTACTTTGACGATTTCAGTAGCGAAGCCGATATGGCCAAATACGCAGATGTTTTTAAGCGCCAAGACAAACTTACTGCCATGATGGACGACTCTGCTGCAGCGTCAAAACTGGTGGGATTCACTTATAGGCACAAGAAGGGTAAGAATGGATCCAGTGGTGTACTTTATGGAGGATCAGGTCATGCGGATCCATTTGCGACCTTTTATTAATGGAGTAGAATGTTGAGTGCAAGACAGCCAGCATTGGGGATGGATCGGAGGCCGAGGATTTTCTGAAGCTTATTCATTCAATCCATCCCGGGCCACTCAGTGAACTGATATGTCACGCTTGACTCTGGACTTTTGAAACATGTGTACGATGTAAAGATTTCTCGAAACTTGCCGTGAGACGGCAAGGTTGAGTATATCTTTTATAATCAATGCTAGGGGATTTTTATGGCACTGAATGTAACATAGCGTTTGTATTTGTGGGAGCAAGTCACTTGCTCATTGTCTGTGTAAAATACAAGAGGAATGCCAAGGTATCATACCATCGCGCTCTCGTCCCCCTTCAAATGTGAAACCCGAGCGACTTTCCTTTGTTTGAGCGTCATTGAGACAAATCAATCAAGCCACGTCAGCCGGCATTTGCAGTCTCAAATTACCTCGCTGCATGGCATCCGTCGTTTTTGACCCTCTTCTCAATGCTTTGTAATTACCAATTCTGATACTGCCGGCAACAGCTCAGCCTCTTGTGGTCTAGGTATTTCACTTCTGGAGACATGTGCGCAGGGTCTGAAGGCTTATCTCTAGCCATTCCTTTGCAAGTTGGACCTATAATACATTTAGCAAAGCTGGCAAGGCAAACAAAAACGTAAAGGGCCGTGGTTGTTCTACCTCTCTATAGCGTTAACCAGTGTGATCTGTGGAGACCAACAAGACTCCTATCTTTATATATTGAAACTCAATAGCGGTTACTAAAGGAGTGCAGCTATTTAGCGGTACGCAAAAGAACTACATTCAGGAATACAATCTTAGTGTGAGTCTGCATTCAACTTAAAATCCAGCTACAGCGGAAAGTATTGAAGTAAGATCATCGGCCATCGCTTTACTGGAAGGAAAACAGCTGTAGACAATAAAGAGGAATTAACAGGTTGCGCCACTTATTGTTGACGCCGATGGTACGGTATTCAATCTTGATTGGCTGTATAACATGGCGCAAGCTTGAATTTTGGAGAGCCCAAGCACCTCTATATATTGCAACGTGGTGATGTTCTCGATTACTAGTTTAGTGCACTAAAGTACAAAGCCTTGAGAGCTTTAAAGTCGAAGGTTATATACCCTGATTAGTTCAATGTTGATGGCTTGACCAAAATCTCGTGCTGATGGGCCATCGAATTCGAGCAAGGTCGTCACAAGCTACTTAGGTCTAAACATGAGAACTCATGTTCCATGTGTTTACACGACAAATCCCAGCATATACGCGCCAGTGATGCCTAAGATGTAAGTTAACTATTGCAAGCATATTTCCGTCACTTATTTTAGGACTTTTTTACTGACAGATTACTTTCAGACTTATTCTTCACTCAAACTCTAGCGGTTTACAAGCAGTATTAACAAAACTTGAACTATTGAACCGAAAATCGGGACCCTTTGAGTGCGTTTTACTTCTAGGAGAAATATTCGCTACTCTTGAAGCTGCCAAACCCGAGGTATCTGATATTCCCATCTTGTTTACCAATGGACGTACGCTGCTGAGCGAAAAAGTAGGTTCCAACCGCACCGTTGGCAACTGGACACTTCTAAATGGATACGGTCTCTTCCAGCACTCCAGCGGTTTGAAAATTGGTTACCTGACAGGGGATCGAGAATTTTTGGACAGGAATCGAGAAGCAATTCAAACAACTTTCCACTGCACAGAAGGATTAGATATCTTATTGACCGATGGTGGAAGTAGGGCCCTTTCTTTGAATGGCGATCAAGAATCCGAAGTGAATCTTTTGGAAGACGAAATTCTGCAGCTTTCAAAGCCAAAGTATCATTTTGCCACACACAATAAGAATTTGTTTAAAGAAGCTCTGCCATTCAGATGGGCTAACTCAGATGTGATAACCAGATGCTTCAATCTAGCGGAATATGACTCAGGTGCCAGGTGGGCTTATGCATGTAACGTAGGCACAGCTGAACCCGGCAACATTGCAATGAATATTAACATTGGTCCCAATCCATATGAGAAGACGGAGCCTCGGAAGCGAAAGCCAGAAGGCGAGTCTTCAGTAGAAAGATCAATAGTCAAAAGGCCGAAACAGATTTTACCTGAAAAATGCAGATTTTGCTTTACCAATACCTCAATCGAAGACCATCTTGTTGTCCATATTGGGGAGAACGCGTATATAACGGTGGCCAAAGGACCCTTAACCGTGCCCACAAACAAGATGGGCTTTTCCGGGCATTCCCTACTAATCCCCATTAAACATTTACCCAAATTGAACCTACCTGGTATATCTTCCCAAGACTCTCCAGATGCTTCCTTACGTGCTGAAATGCAAAGGCTTGAATCCAATATCAAAACTATGAACTACAAAAAGTTTGAAATGTCAACAGTCGCCTTTGAGATAAATTCTGATCATTCTATTCATTATCACCGTCAACTGTTTCCTGTTCCAAACTACCTGATAAGTAAGTTTCGCCCAGCGCTAGAAAGGCAGGTTCATTTTAACAACAAAGAACTTACTCGGAACGCACAGTTGAACTTTATGGAATTCGAAGGGTTTGAAGACCAGAAATTTGAATCCACCATTAATGACAATAATCTCAACTACTTGCAGTTCACGGTTTATGAAGACAACCAAAGCTCGCCTAAAATATATCTGGCAACGTTCAACTCTCATGAAAGGATTGATTTGCAATTTGGCAGGCGTGTAGTCGCATTCGTACTCAATTTACCTAAAAGAATCAAGTGGGATTCTCCAGTTTGTAGACAGACTGTGGAGGAGGAAAAGAAGGAAGTCAATCAATATCAACAGCACCTCAAAGACTTTGAAAGCGCGCTCTAATTTAGAACGAAATAACGCGTTTGACCTGCACACTTATAGACATCTAAATACCAGTCAACCCATCGTTTCCATCATCATCATCCTCCCCTAGGTCTACTTTTCTCCGACCACCATTTCTCATGGCTGCGTGTTCTTGAGTTTGAACTTGTGACCGGACCTTGCGAGTCATTCTGGCGATCTGTTCCTCTGCATCCTGTGGTTCCTGTTCGGCATGCTGCATTACTAACCTACGGCCCAACAAATGCACACCTTGGAGCTGTTCCATGGCATTTTCGGCTTCTTTCGGAAGCAGAAACTCCACGAAAGCAAACCCTCTTGCAGATTTGTCAAACTTCTTGGGCACTCTGACCGATTTGAGCTGTCCAAACGAACTAAATAGCTCGAAGATCTGCTTACGTTCTGCTTCGAACGGCAAGTTCTTGACAATGATTTTCCCGGTCCCCTTCTTTCCCGCCTTCCCGGAACTCGAAGCATGACCGCCCTGTCTGTGAGACAGCTTGAGTTGGATTCTGTGACCATCCAAAACAGTCCCATCCAAAGCCTCAATAACAGCATTTGCTTGCTCCTTAGTTCTGAACTCGGCAAAGCCGAAGCCCATTGAGAGAGTCTTTCCGTTATTTTTTGGATCAGGTTTGTTTTTAATTTGAGCAACAACAAAGCCAGTAAACGGCTTGAACCTTTCGCTGAGCTGCTGACTGGACGTGGCAAAGTTTAGATTTTTGACAAAGATTGACACTGTAGGCCCGTCCAGGGTGTCATCAGTAGCATCTCCGGTGGCTCCGTCGTGGCCATCTATATCCATCACGTCTTCACCACTCGCCCTGACCTCTTTTGCGTTGGTTATTTCGTCACTTTCGGCATCAACCAATTCATCCCCTTGAGGTTCTCTGTTGAAACAGTTTTTGGGACCCTTTTCTAAGTACAAAATCCCATCCTTGAATCTTTTGTAAGATAGCTTGCTGAAGGCGGCCCTAGCAGCTGTGGCATCACGATACTGTACGACAGCTATTGTTTGAGAAGGAGGCATGAGTAACCTTTTCAACTTGCCGAAGGGTAAAAATAAATCTGCCAACTCGGCTTTCGTCGTTCCAAATGCAAAATTCTTGACCAATATTAGTGTGTCATCACGATCGCTCGGCGATTTTGACTGACCAAATCTTTTGAGGTCCATGCCCTTCGATTGGAAATATTTTGTCACATCTCCTATGACATGAGCTTCTGCCAAGGCCTGTTTGACAGCAGCACTAGAATCGGTAGCATCTAAAAGATCGGATTTTTCAAGCCCCAACTTTGAAGCTACGCTCCCCAAAACGGCATCTTGACTCATGTATAGCGAGTTCCAGGAAAATGTATCCTGGGCAGCATTAGCTTTACGCTTCAAAGTCCTTTGCTTCTTTAATGGCAAGTTTTTCAGGTCAAATTCATCCAAGTGGTGAGATTTCTTACTATCCGCAGGTAAGATGTGTAATAAGCGCCCCTGGAAAATTTGTTTGTCTAGCTCAACATACGCATTCACTGCATCGCCAGAGTTATGAAACATAACGTATGCGAAACCTTTGGATTTACCTGTCCTCGTATCGAGAGCCACATGCACCTCTTCTAAAGCGCCAAATGGCGAAAAGAGCTTGGTGAAATCATCTTCCGTGGCAGTGTAAAGAATATTCCTCAGAAACAAACGACCAGTAACTTTGATCTTTTCTATACATTTTTCCTCTTCGGTGGTATCCATTTCAGGCTGTTGTGGCTGCTCAGCAATTTCCACGGCTTCCGATTGTGCCTCTTCCGTGGGTTCTTTGGAGCTCTTAGAGCCTGTTGCCTTGGGTTCTTCGGGAGCTAATTCTGAGCGCTCCTTCATTCGTATACGACGTTGCTTCAACCAGTCAAGGTCTGACACTTGTTCATCTTGTGCAAAGTGCGAATCTGCTCCCTCCTTAAAGTCATCTAGCTTCATCATCTGTTCTTCCCCCGCGTGTTCCTCATCCTTGCGGTTTCCGCCTAAATCAGCATATTCATCGTCGCTTTCGTTTTCTGGTATATCGACCCGCTCCTCTCCCATCGAAACGGCAGCCTGGCTATTGTCAGGGTTGTCCTCAGATCTCATTGCTAACGCCTGAGCTAGCAGAGAATTAGCCTGTGGCTCTTCAGAGTGGGAAGCAGCTGGCTGAAGATTGCCATCTGGAGATTTCACAGCGCCACCTAAATTGTCCCATGAAGCTACCTGAGAGCTAGGCTTCATAGTGTCAATAAATTCCTGCAGCTGCTTGTTACTTTTGATTTCATCGTCTATGTTGGATGTGGGCCCCTGCCGAGATGGCTGCTTAGGTTTTTTGACATTTTGCTGTTCGATTAACTTCTCCTCACGTTCACGGAGCCTCTTGAGAGCTTCGCGCCTCTTTTCACGCATAGGTTGAGGTACTCTAGGATCAGCGAAACTCTTGGCCATGCTAACTTCAATTTTGCAGGTATCAATGAAGGATTTATCGAAATAACTGACGATATCAAAGGCATCGCTTTCATCACGGAATCCAACAAAAGCAAAGCGTCTAGACTCTCCTGCTCTGTTTTTCAGGATTTTTATATCGGTTATTGATTCGGAAACGTTTTTACCAATGTGTTGTTGGCTCAAGCGCTTAGTTAGGTGCTCTTTCAAGCGATCTTCGCTCAAGTATTTGGGGAGCCCCTTTACAATCACTCTAGACATGTCTGTAGTTGGTAATATAGAGGGGTGGGGTGCTTTAAGGCTGGTTTCAATATAATCGTCAAGTGAAAGTGCGATGAGATGAGGTACTTCCTCTACATAACGAGATCATGCTTGAAATTTTCATCCTCGTTTGTGGTGACATTTCAAGGACGAGGTCGAGTCCTGAATCAATAGCTGATGAGGCCGGCACCTCTAAGGATCAGTACGCTTGAAAAAGAGCTTATTCGGGCATATGAATGCTCCCTTTCATTTCATCCAAGCTGCTCTGGTTTTTTGTCCTCAATAGTGAGTCTTTCATTATTAAACGTCGCCATCTAGTCAATCAGTCGTCTACTTACTTAAAGGGAAGTAGATTTTCTAGTCACCACTTTGGGAAACTTTCCTTTTACATATTTGTTACTAACTCTGGAAATCTTCTCAAAAGTGGAATATTTCCCTTTGTGGTAATCTCAAAAAAAATTTGAGCTCATCTCATACGGATCTGAGTCAGTTGAATATGGATGCTCTCTTCGAACAAGTTTAAAACTATGAACAAGAAGATGTGAGCTACTCTTAGTGCATGTTTAGAGGCCTGCTTCGGATTCCAAGACCCCGTGTACCATCATTTCCAGCCAGCTCATATCATTTACAAGCGCAAGTTGCAGGAAAGATTCCCACAATCCGGAATTCGTTTAGCTCAAAATCAGGCATCATGAGTACAGACCAGCAGTTGCCTCCGGTCGACCCTAAAACAGGAGAGATTATCGTCAATCCTTTAAAAGAGGATGGCAGCGAAAAGACTCCCAAGGAAATTGAAAAAGAGAAGAAAAAAGCGGAAAAGCTTCTAAAGTTTGCCGCCAAACAGGCCAAAAAAGCTGAAGCCGCTAACAAACAAAGCGCTGCCCCTAAGAAGGAAAAGAAGAAGAAAGAGGTCGAGGTCATTCCTGAATTCGTTGACAAGACTACCCCAGGTGAAAAGAAGGTCCTTGTTTCGCTGGACGATCCAGCTTTGAAGGCCTATAACCCTGCCAATGTTGAAAGCTCCTGGTACGACTGGTGGGTCAAGTCCGGGTTCTTTGAGCCTGAGTTTACTAAGGATGGTAATATTAAGCCGGAGGGTGTTTTCACTATCCCTGCTCCTCCTCCAAATGTGACTGGCGCTCTTCACATAGGACATGCTTTGACTATCTCCATTCAAGACTCGTTGATTAGATATAACAGAATGAAGGGCAAGACTGTGTTATTTTTGCCAGGTTTTGATCATGCGGGTATTGCAACCCAGTCCGTGGTCGAGAAGCAGGTCTGGGCCAAGGAGAGGAAAACCAGACATGATTACGGAAGAGAAGCATTCGTGAACAAGATTTGGGAATGGAAAGAGGAGTATCACAAGAAGATAAGAAACCAGATCAACAAATTAGGCTCTTCCTACGATTGGTCTCGCGAGGCCTTTACGTTAAGTCCTGAACTCTCAAAGGCTGTCACTGACGCCTTCGTCAGACTACATGAAGAAGGGATTATTTATCGTGCTTCCCGTTTAGTTAACTGGTCTGTTAAACTAAATACTGCGATTTCGAACTTGGAAGTGGAAAATAAGGATATTAAAGCAAGAACTTTATTATCTGTCCCAGGCTATGATGAAAAGGTTGAGTTCGGTGTTATCACTTCCTTCGCTTACCCTGTTGTTGACTCTGACGAAAAGCTGATCATTGCCACCACTAGACCAGAAACCATGTTTGGTGACTCCGGTATTGCCGTTCACCCAGATGATACTCGTTACAAACACCTGCATGGAAAATTTGTCCAGCATCCTTTTGTGGACAGAAAGATTCCAATCGTTTGCGACAGTGAGGCTGTGGACATGGAATTTGGTACTGGTGCCGTGAAAATTACTCCAGCTCACGACCAAAACGATTACAACACAGGTAAGCGTCATAACCTGGATTTCATTAATGTTTTAACTGACTCAGGCCTGTTGAACGAAAACTGTGGTCCTGAATGGTGTGGCATGAAGAGGTTCGACGCCAGGAAGAACGTGATTGAAGCTTTGAAAAAAGCAGGCCTTTACGTTGGTCAAGAGGATAATGATATGACTATTCCAACGTGCTCTAGATCGGGTGATGTTATCGAACCTCTCTTAAAACCACAATGGTGGGTGTCACAAGGCGAAATGGCCAAGGAAGCGATAAAAGCTGTCAAAGGTGGTAGCATTACCATCACTCCCAAGTCTTCCGAAGCTGAATACTTCCACTGGATGGAAAATATCCAAGATTGGTGTATTTCCAGACAACTATGGTGGGGGCACCGTTGTCCCGTTTACTTTGTTAACATTGAAGGCGAGGAACACGATGAAATTGACGGTGAGTACTGGATATCCGGAAGGACCTTGGAAGAAGCCGAAGCTAAGGCTGCCAAAAAGTTCCCAGGTGTCAAGTACACGCTAAGACAGGACGAAGATGTCTTGGACACATGGTTTTCGTCTGGCCTATGGCCCTTCTCTACTCTAGGATGGCCAGACAAGACGGCAGACCTTTCTCAGTTCTACCCATTTTCTATGCTCGAAACAGGATGGGACATCTTATTTTTCTGGGTCTCCAGAATGATTCTACTTGGTCTTAAACTAACTGGCGAAGCTCCCTTCAAGGAGGTTTTCTGTCATTCGTTAGTCCGTGATGCTCAGGGCCGTAAGATGTCTAAGTCCCTTGGTAATGTCGTCGATCCACTGGATGTGGTTTCTGGTATCAAGTTGGAGGACTTGCACGCTAAGTTGCTACTCGGTAACCTGGCCTCAAGAGAAGTTGAGAAAGCCAAGAATGGTCAAAAGGAATCTTATCCAAATGGTATTCCTCAATGTGGTACTGATGCCATGAGATTTGCTCTATGTGCATACACTACTGGTGGTCGTGACATCAACTTAGACATTCTACGTGTTGAAGGTTACAGAAAGTTCTGTAACAAGATATATCAAGCAACTAAGTTCGCCTTGATGCGCTTAGGCGAGGATTATGAACCGCCAGCTCAAGAGAAACTCTCTGGTAATGAATCTTTGGTTGAGAAATGGATTCTCAATAGATTGACGCACTACTCGCAATCTATCAATGAAGCTTTTGAAAGACGCGATTTCTTGACGTCTACTAGTGGTATTTACGAGTTCTGGTACCTGATATGTGATGTTTACATCGAAAATTCGAAGTACTTGATCAACGAAGGTACTCAAGCTGAAAAAAAATCTGCAAGAGACACACTTTACATCTTGATAGATAACGCTTTGAGGTTAATTCACCCTTTTATGCCCTTCATTTCTGAGGAAATGTGGCAGCGTTTACCAAAGCGTTCCTCTGAGCTTTCTCCTACAATTGTCAAGGCTTCTTACCCAGTCTACAGGAAAGATTTTGACGACGAAAAAGCTGGTATTGAGTATGAATTGATTTTAGACTCGATCAAGGAGGCTAGATCTTTGCTGGCTCAGTATGGAATTCTAAAAAATGGTAAAGTGTTCATTGAGTCATCGAACTCTGCCTTTTTCGACACTGTGGTGTCCCAAAAAGATTCCATTGTCTCTTTAATCAAAGCTATTGATGAGGTGACTGTAGTGAAAGCTTCTGCAGAAGTCCCTGAAGGCGCTGTTTTGCAAGCAGTTACGCCTGAGATCAACGTCCACGTACTTGTTAAAGGACACGTTGACATCGCTGCTGAAATTGTCAAGACGCAAGGCAAGCTTGAGAAAGCACAGAAGACAAAGGAAAACCTTGACAAGATCATGAATAGTTCTGACTATGAAGCTAAGGCCAACGAGCAAGCTAAAGCAACAAACAGTACAAGACTTGAGAATACTGTGGCTGAAATTGAAGGTCTAGAAGCAACAATCGCTAACCTTCAAAGCTTGAAATTGTAGTAAACTTAATTATAAAGCCACAAACCCATTACACTAGTTTAGTTATTATACACATCGCTTTATTCGCATCACTCTCAAATGATGTTTTAATTTCTTGTTGTAACTCATCTACCGCCAAATAAAATCTTCGCGGATCTTGTGCTCTATCACTTTGCGAAGTTCCAATGCAGTTTCCATACATGCCATTTCACCGCTGTGTAACACCTGTAACATTGACTCTTCATCAAACGCTCCATAACTCTCCAAAAGAAGTACATTTTCAACCTTCTTAGCACCTGCTCCTAATTGTAGTGCCAAGACGTGGGTTGAGGTCGACTTTATAAGGTTGGCTTGTGATGGATTGATTTGAATTTGTTCATTGTCTCCCGTGATTGCCAGGCAAACACATGAAACTGAAGCTAGAAGTCCAATTCCTGCATCCACAAGCGCAAGAAAGACGGCGTTGATACACGCGCTCAATTCTTTGCCACTATATTGTTCTTCTGGTTCGCCGCTTTCTAAAACTTGGCAACAAATTTGCGCCAGCTGTCGAGGGTACATGTAACGCGCCAAGATCGGCGTTACAACACCACGTATCTGATCTTCTAACATTTTCTCTCTCGTACTTGGCACTCCTCTGCACGGCCTAACCACTATTTCCAAAGCCAACTGAGATGGTAATTCTTGTCTCGCTTTGGGCTCTACTGGCCCCGTAACCGAGCAGATGACAGACGTTTCTCCACATTGAAGCTTACATGAGCCATCAACCTGGTCCAGTACACCTACTTGAGCTGACAACATACTTGAATGATGTAGAGTCTGCTAAAAGTGATGGTTTTGAAGTGAGCTTTAAATAAGCTTCAATTTTGTCAATTTTTCTGCGAGTGTAGAAACGATCAGATAAACGACTCGCTGGCGCGCTGTCACGGCGAAAGCCATATATATGTATATTTATCCAGATGAGACCAACCGCACACCAGTTCGGTAAAGTCTGCATTGCACTTTTTTTAGTAGCTGTAGTTTCGAATTGAGCTGATCGGTCTTGTAGCCTGTAGCGGAGAAATTATGGGGGTTCCCACGGACACCAGGCCCGAGAACAGGTTACTGCGACAGCATCCGGCTTGTGTTTCTTGGTGCTTTATTTGCAACAGTGATAAGATAAGTTACATTCAGGTCTACTGGCACATTTACTCGATGTTACAACTCGTTGCAAATGTCTGTCGATCTGCTGATCATTGGACAGTGGAGACGTTGACAAAGAACTGAACAAACTGCTGATAATTATATACACAGTTACATCATGAGCTTAACCTTTTTTATCTACAACAAGTCGGTATTTATCATAATTGCAACCTTGGACTTAGAAGTGCGACATTGTGTCGCGTTCTGGAATAGCCAAAAACTCTCGGCCTGCATATTTAATCTACATAATTTGTTCCAGTACAGAGGTCTTTATCATTCAAAGAGTTCTCTTAAGTGCTCAGCACATTTGCCATATGCCAAAATCTAGGCGGTGGACAACTTGCTGGTCACAGATAGTCCGTATTGAATCCAAAAAGCAGCTGTGGACTACGTAATACTTTAACCAAGGCTTTGAGTCAGTATTTCTTGTTTGAGAGGATCGGAGACGCTTTATTGAGCCGGGCTTCTAAATGACAAGATCTTATGCCGGTTGCATTGGATATATTGTTTTAAGGATTCATAAATACATTTTATATATACACTTTAAAGTCACATTTATTCTGAACCGAAGTGGATCGAAGAGAGATTTCAGCGGGATTTCTTTGCCCTTTTACTTTCAATGGGCGATGACCACCTGCGTAAAGGTCGAGAAGTCCCCTTTCATTGGTCATTGTTAGCAGGTTGCACTTCGGGCATCAGCGCCCGTTTTATCACAGCACCTCTGGATACAGTGAAGATACGACTGCAGTTGCACTTGGCTAATGAAACATCATACGGTGGGATACTGCATGTGGTACGTACCATGTTGCGGGATGAAGGCGTGCGCTCCTTGTGGAAGGGAAACGTACCAGCTTTGATGATGTACATACTCTATGGTTCGACTCAGTTCAGTGCCTATTCGACTCTCAATAAGGCACTGGCCGGAAACCAGTGGCCTGCACAAATTCATACGTGCGTAGTTGGAGCGCTGGCAGGCGCCTGTAGTGCTGTGGTGTCATACCCGTTCGACGTTCTGCGAACGCGATTCATAGCCAACCATGATCGAGCTCTTTCCACCGTACTTGGGACAACGGTCGAGATATGGAACAATGAGGGCGCTCATGGGTTTTTTAGAGGAGTTTCATCCTCTGTAATAGGAGTAGGTATTGCCTCATCGTCGATTTTTGCAACATACGAAAGCATCAAGATATTTTGTGAACAATCACCATACCGAGACTCTGCGTCTATTAAATTCTTGGAATCCTCGGCCAGTACTATAGCTGGTGTTGTTTCGAAGACGATTGTTTTTCCTATTGACACAGTACGAAAACGAATTCAAGTCATAAACTCTCGTCACCTGGACCGTTTCGCGCGAGGGAATGTTGCATATGGTGTCTATAGAGGGACCAATTTTTTACAATTGGCTCTCAAGGTTGTGGAAAAGGAAGGAGCTTCAGCGCTGTATCGAGGTTTTACACTCGGGATTATGAAAAGTGTTCCTACCACTGTCGTCAGTATTGGAGTATACGAATGGACTCTACGACGTGTCATTTGAATTGAAGGTCAAGCCCTCATACCACCACGCCTTGCAGTGGTTTGGGCCTTTTTGAGCCTTTTTTTAATCGCATTATAGCACCGTGGTAATCAAAAGCTAAATGTCTGGCAAATTGCGAACTAAATAAGAGCCCGCTACTATGTCACAGAGTCTGGGTATCTTCCATCGAGGTGTCGGAACACACGAACTGTTTCCTCGAGATGGTGTATCAAGGTATTTGCTGAAGAAAATATCGAGCCGTTTGATACGTGGAGATAGAATTATATACACTGCATATTAAGAAGCTAGAGAATCACGACAATATGTCAGCATTATGCGGGTTCTGGTTAAGCAAAACGCTTGAGTGCGAGAAACCCACTAATGGCAAGCCTATCATATTAACTATTATCATTTTGTACTAAACATCGAGTATCTAAACTCTCTTAGAGAACAACTTTGTTCGGTGTACATACTGCAAGGACAAAGCGCACTCAGGACAATACAAGAGCCATCGCTGGTAGTTGATTGCACATATGTCGCAGCGAAAACTACAACAGGACATTGATAAACTTTTAAAAAAGGTTAAAGAAGGTCTTCAGGATTTTGAGGATGTTTATGACAAGTTTCAAAACACAGACGCCTCCAACACTTCTTACAGGGAAAAGCTGGAGGGTGATCTCAAGCGCGAGATCAAGAAACTACAAAAGCACCGTGACCAGATCAAGACCTGGCTCAGTAAAGACGATGTGAAGGACAAACAGCAAGTGTTGATGGAAAACCGTCGATTGATCGAGTCAGGAATGGAGCGGTTCAAATCGGTCGAAAAATTGATGAAAACCAAACAGTTCTCTAAAGAGGCTCTCATAAATCCAGATATCATCAAGGATCCTCGAGAACTGAAAAAGCGCGATCAGTTCCTGTTCATTCAGGATTGTCTAGAGGAACTTCAGAAACAACTTGAATCTTTTGAGGCGCAGGAAAATGAGCACCAATGCGAACGTCATATATTCCATATTTCCAATCTTGAAAACATTCTCAAGCAATTACAAAACAATGGGCTGGAACCGGATACTGTCGAGGAATATCAGGAAGATATTCAATATTATGTGGAAAACAACGATGATCCTGATTTTATTGAATATGATACTATTTACGAGGACATGGGATGTGAAATACAACCTGGCGAAGTGGTCAAGGAAGTCGAAACTCCGTCAAAAGTAGTAAAATCAAGTCGAGTGGAAAAGTCACCCAAGAAGAGAGATTCCCCAATGCCAATAACACCACTTTCCGCTTCAAGTGCTAGTGCAGATAAAGCGAAAAGTGTTTTGGCTTCACCTTCCACCAATTCGACAAATGTGCCTTTTTCTTCTTCAAAGAAAGATGTATCACAAAAAGTTGCCGACAAAACTGGTACGCTAAATGAAAACCTGGTCCTTCAAAAACCAGACCAAAATAACAGCCAAGGGCAGAATCAAAATCAGTCTGACGAAAGTGCGGTGCAACCTCCAAAAGATTTATCAAAAGAAATTGAAGAACTTCTTGCTCAGGATCGGGCCCAGTATTCCGCGTTTCAGAACCCGCTTTTTAGCCCAGGTTTAAATTACTGGTTGGAAACTAAGCGCACTTTAATCCAGCCACATGATACCATGCCTAGTGAAATGGCTTCTCAGCTTGAGTCCTCGCTTCTGAATTGTCCAGATTCTTTAGATGCGGATACGCCTAGTTTACATCAGGACGTACTTTCCATGCCACATCCTACGTCGATTTTTTTCCCTAATGAAACTATCAGGCTTGTTTCAAACGACCCGATTGATATAAGTAGGAACCATCCCAAGCACAACGATATCTATTCCGGGACATCTCTGGCTCGAATCATGTCGAAATTTGATTTGGATACCTTATTCTTCATCTTCTATCATTATCAAGGTTCATATGAACAATTTCTTTCCGCTCGCGAACTCACAATCAGAGGTTGGCAGTTCAACAAAGTTAATCGCTGTTGGTTCTACAAAGAGGTCGAAAAACTACCACCAGGCATGGAACAATCTGAGGAAATCTCATGGAGATATTTTGATTATCAAAAATCCTGGTTGGCAAGAAGATGTGGGGCAGAATTTGTCTACCGCGAAGAAGAGTTCGAAAGGATATAAGATTCATGTAATTAATCATTTAAAGCATATTTTAAAGTTGTACTAATGAAAATGTTAAGGTGTTTACTCGAGAGTAGTGAAAATATCAACCTATAAAGTGATATTGACCTGCTTTACGGAATGTTCACCTTTTTTTATTAAACATAAAAGATGTTGCTAAATGCTTAAGTGTGACAGGCAAGTGTGACCTAGCTATGAGCGATGATTGACTGTATAAACCAAAATTCTCTGGTATCTACTTACAACTCAGCCTCTAGAAATTGTTCGCTAAAGTATTGAATTTGTTTGAAATTGTATTCGAAACCATCCTCACCGCCGTAATAGGGGTCATCCACAATATCTCTGAACTTGCCGTTCTTATTCCAGTGTCCAAACTGGTAAATTTTAGCTTTTGAATCCGAAGGCTTCAACCTTTTTAAGTTTCTTAAGTTCATGTCATCCATACAAATGATGTAATCAAAATCGTCAAAGTGATGGCCCCTGATCTGCTGAGCTTTATGATTAACGGGCACCCCATGCTTTCGACATGTGGCGGCTGAACGTGAGTCTGGATCTTCACCTTTGTGCCAGCCCCCAGTACCGAAAGAATCTATCTTTGCGAATCGCTCTTGAAGTCCTTTTTCCTTAACAAGGTTTGCAAAGACTGCCTCGGCCATAGGCGAGCGGCAAATGTTCCCGAGGCAAACGAAAGCAACCGAAATTTGTTCTCTGGTCATATTGTTTGGGGATGATTATGCGGCCGATGTCTAAAATAGCAGTACTACTATGTGATGTATATTTGAATAAGGATTAGATTAACTCAATCAATCAGTCGAGTTGACGACACGTTCAAGATAAAAAAAGTGTCGCCTCGATTACATGATCTCGTGTGCTATCACAAGTTCCAACTATCTTCAAAATAGCGGATTATTCTTGCATCTCATTTGTCACTCATTTGTCACTCATTTTAATCGTAAACGCTCAGAATGCAGTATTCATTTGCTGAATCTAAAATCTATACATATAATTATTAGTGTTGAAGATGGAAAAAGGTTCGGTTCATATACCTAACGGATGGGGGGAACCCTATAAATCGTCTTATCTCATTTTTATCATTTCAATCTCATTGATGTCAGTTGTGGTAATTTAAAATGGTTTGTGTAGAGGAGAAATGACCTGCTTGTCCTTGTAGAAAGCAATGGTCTTCTCGGCCCTGGTGGCGATACCCTCTGGGGTGAACTCCAAAGACTTGTAAACCTCTGGGGCTTTACCAGAAGCACCAAATCTGTCTAGACCGAAGGATTCATGAGCATACTTGGCCCAACCTGAAGTGGCCAAGACTTCAATGGACATAACTGGGACGCCATCAGGGAAAACGGCCAATTGGTATTCTTCAGACTGTTGGTCAAAGGTGTGGAAGTCTGGTAGAGAAACGATACGAGCCTTGATGTTGCTTTCGGCCAACTTCTTGGCAGCGTCAACAGTGATAGAAAGTTCAGAACCAGTGGACACCAAAGTGATATCAGCGTTCTCCACTTCTTGCAAAACATAACCACCCTTGACGGCGTTTTCCACAGAAGAGCCTTCCAATTGAGGCAAGTTCTGTCTGGACAACGCGATAATAGCTGGTGTGTGCTTGTTGGTTAGAGCCACATGGTAAGCAGCCGAGACTTCGTTACCATCAGCAGGCCTCCAGACTTGCATGTTTGGTAGAGCTCTGAAATGGGCTAGAGTCTCGATAGGTTGATGGGTTGGACCATCTTCACCCAAACCGATAGAGTCGTGAGTAGCCACGTAGATGACTGGGTGGCCAGACAGAGCGGCCAATCTAACGGCACCGGATGCGTAAGAAACAAAGTTTAGGAAAGTACCACCGTAAGCCTTGTAGTTGGCACCGAAAGCGGAGATACCGTTCATGATAGCAGCCATACCGTGCTCTCTAACACCGTATCTGATGTATCTACCGGCGTAGTCACCTAGACCGGACGAAGGAGGTTGGAAGTCAACGGCCTCCTTCCATCTGGTCAAGTTGGAAGAGGTCAAGTCTGCGGACCCACCAATCATTTCAGGCAAGAGAGACTGGATGTTCTGCAAGACAATTTCCGACAGCTTTCTAGTAGCCACGGCGGAGTCTTGAGGAGTGTAGCGAGGCAAAGCCTTGGCCCAATCTTGAGGCAGCTCGCCAGCGACTCTTCTCTTGATCTCGGCTCCCAAGTCTGGGTACTTCTCGGAGTACTTCTCCAAAACTTGGTTCCATTCGTTGAATTGTTGGACACCTGGTTGAATGATTTGGGTGTTGTAAAGGTCGTAAACCTCCTGAGGAACAACAAAAGACTGGTCAGGGTTGAAACCAAACTTGGTCTTTAGTTGCTTAACGTCATCGGGCTTCAAGGCGGCACCGTGAACGGAGTGGGTACCTGCCTGCAAGGAGCCGAAACCGATGGTGGTGGTCATCTTGATCAAGGTAGGCTTGTCCTTGGATTGCTTGGCTTGGGAAATGGCCTGGGCGATGGCAGCGAGGTCCTCGTTACCGTTGGCGACGTGCAGGACTTCCCAGCCGTATGCCTCGTAGCGCTTCTCCACATCCTCGGTGAAGGAGACGTTGGTGTCACCGTCGATGGTGATTTGGTTGTCGTCGTACAGGGCGATCAAGTTTCCGAGCTTCAAGTGGCCGGCCAGAGAAGAGGCCTCGGAAGACACACCTTCTTGCAGACAGCCGTCACCTAGGAAGGCAAAGGTGTACGAGTCGCTCAGGGTGTAGTCGGGCTTGTTGTAGGTGGCGGCAAAGTTGGCCTGCGCAATGGCCAGACCAACCGCGTTGGAGATACCTTGGCCCAGAGGACCCGTGGTCACCTCCACACCCGGTAGCTCGTACTCAGGGTGGCCCGGGCACTTGGAGCCCAGCTGGCGGAAGCTCTTGAGGTCCTCAATCGACAAGTCGTAGCCCGACAGATGCAACATGGAGTACAGTAGCGCACATGCGTGACCGTTGGACAGAACAAAACGGTCGCGGTTGACCCACTCGGGGTGCGATGGGTTCAGCTTCATCTGCTTCCAGATGATGTGCGCCGCTGGCGCCAACCCCAGTGGTGCACCAGGGTGACCACTGTTGGCAGCGGCAACTTGGTCAACCGACAAAAGTCTGATTGTCGAGATGGCTAGCTTGTCAACCTCTGTGAATTGCTGTGACATGGTAGTAGTACTGATGGTACTCGTTTGTGCTAGTGTAGCGATGTGTTTAAAGACCTTGCTACTGCTTGCTTTAACACCACAGGGTGGATCAAAACCACGGACGTTGGCTCGAAAGAGCCTGCTCCTTATATAGTGTGGCCCGAAAATTGGCCCCACCCCTGTTACCAATCAAGCACTCATAATTGTTGAGAAAGAAAGGGCAGAAAAAAAAAAATTACGAAAAATTGCCACCGGCAGCTGAGACGGACCCGTAGAGAACCGCCTCGCCGGGCCCCCGCCGCCAATTTTTGGTCACACGTTATTCTCGTACAGAGAGACATGATGTGACGTGTTAAGCACGTGACAACGCACGTTGCACGGCAAAAGAAAATTTAAAACGCACGTGCATGACACGTGTGTACTAGAAACACGTGCATGACACGTGTCAGGCTGAATGCTCTGAGCTCTCTTTTTTGGAAACACGTGCCTGACACGTGCCAGGATGGGAGGTCAAGTTCGCGGCGACGTGGGCATGCGCTGGGGATAGTGCGAGTTGTACCATTTTCGAGAGCTTCGAGGTGGTTTTGATTCAGGTTTGCTCGGCGTGGCTGCAGAGAGGCAGTCCTTGTTCAGGTTAGCTCGGCGTGGCTGCAGGCGTAGCGGCGTGGGGCTGGGCCAATTGTGGATCTCCAGTTGTGGCCGCTGCTAGTTTGTCGGTAGCTATGATGTCTGTAGGGTCTCTTTGTATTCGTATATACCATCTCTGCCAAAACTAGTCCTTTACGTTTTCAAGTGACAGTGGCGTGCGAAGAGACACCAGGATGGGAGTGGAGGATGGGCTCGTCAGACTAAGCAGTCGATGGTGGGAACCACGACCAAACTGTTGTTAGCACTACCGGATGGTAGGTGGGAACCACGATCAAACAGTTGTCAGCACTAGCGGATCGCGCCGAGTTGCGTAACCGTGATCGTCGAATGCGTGTCAGTGTGGTACGAAGTGATAAAGGCAACGACAGTAACACAACGGAAAGGCGAATAGTCAACCAACGGGGTTCAGAGGAACAGCGACCACGGAGAAACAACCAAAGGTCACCCTACCAGCCCTAGATTCAGCATCAGGTACCCAGAATATTATCCACCATGTCTACCAACAAAATTGAATGAAAAATGCAGCGAAAAAAGAACGTCAGCAGTACTGCCAGCAATGTCGGCAATTTCTGTTTACCCCACAAATGTACATGTCAGAGCAGCTGCCCGCCACACCTACGTTACCGAGCCTCGAATAGCACTGGTAGCACTGGTCACACCGCGTAGCATGTAATTCTACTCTCCTCAATATAGCTAGGTTGTTTTTTTTTTGGCTGTAGGTCGCCGCTTAGAGAGGGCACAAACTTCCCAAGTGCTCTCAAAAACTAAGGATTGCAGACCTGTTCGCAGCAAAGCGCTGCCATCTCTACTTGGGACCTTGTCCTGTCCTTACCGGACCTTCTATTACACCATTACAATTTTATATATAAGCACATTGGCTTCTCACCTCACTCAAACTACCAGAGTTCTCGATCTAATCCCCTATGCGTTGTGTATACTACTATCCATCCCCACGTCTAGAATGAAGCTTCCGTCGTCGTCGTCGTCGTCGTCGTCTTCATCATCATCATCCGAGGGTTCGTTGGCGATGTTGTCATGCGCTTCCTCCTGACGAGAACTTTCGCCACTCGATGGCATTGCAGCCGTGGTTACCCATACATCTTTTTCGTCACGACGGTGGGAGTCCTGGACCGAGCCGTTGTGTTGTGGTTGATGCCCGTGCTTCTCATTCTCCTCGGCCTCATCGTCTTCTTCACTGATTTGAACCAGCTTGGGCCGTGCCCGAATGGCTGTCGTTAATGCATCTTGTGACCCACCATCCTGTGAAACTTCAGTATCTCTTTTCTCCCCACCAGAAGCTGTATCGGTGGCGGGTATCTCACCTTCCAGATCATTATCATCGTCCACCCCACCCAAAATAGAAGATCCCAAGGTGATGTGAGATCTTGTGTCACCATTGCGTAAGAGATGCCGAGGCAGTGGAGGTAGTCTATGATGACTTCGACTACCAGCAGTAACGCCGGGTATGTATGCAATGGGTAAAATATTGGATGCCTTCGTGATCTGCGTTGCGGCTGAACTTCTGTTTCTTGCCTGATATAAAGCTCCGGAGTCCCTGTTTCGAAGATCCCCTGACCCAGATATATCCCCATCTTGCTTGGAGTCCGAACCGGTCTCGAAATCGTCTCCGTAGTGTTCGTGGGCGACCAAAACGTCCTTGTTCCTGGCTCTGTTCTTTCGCCAGTATTTCATGTACAGAAATATCAGTAGCAGTATGACAATGAGCGCAATACCACCCACCACGCCTCCAACGATACCACCTATTTTTGCTGAATTATTTGAAGACCCCGAACCAGAACTTGAGCTAGACGCGCCCGACGATACGACCACTGCCGAGGCAGAACTAGAACCCAATGATCCATTTTTCTTGGCGCAATACGTTTTCGGACACTGAGTACAGCTTAGTAGCGAAAGTACGCACTGTTCGTCACTGGCACAACTGGGGCACGCTGGGGTACCCGTGCACGTCACACAACCAGACCCAGCGGAAGTGGCTGCTGCTGAGGCTGAAGAGCTCGAATCAGCTCTCCGGAATAGCATCCCATTGGCATATCCCGCATCCTCATGGTCAAAAGTGTTCAAACTCAGCGTCTTCGTAGGCCTCAAACGTGTAGTGCCATCGAAGGACATTTAAAGACTGATTAAAGTCTGATAGAAACCTATTAAAAGAGAGAAGGCAGTGTGTGTCTTGGAAGGCGAGACAGATAGCCTAATGAGATCTTGATCTATTTGTCCACCTACTTTGAGACTGGTTTGGGTTCTTAGGAGCTATCGTTCCAAACTTGGCACTCAACCTGATGGAATTTTTTCAGATCTCTCTCGCACCTGGCTGCCGTCGCGAATTTTCGAATTTTGACGTTGCCCGAGAATGTGCAACGTGCATAGGAAAGGCGGAAAAGGGAAAATAGACGGGGAGCCCAACAATGGGAGAACAGCCAGACCCAAGTTCTTAAAGTTCCGATGGTTTAACCGCTTTTTTAATTGAGATTGCCGGCGGTGCGGCTTCGACGGGCAAACAAATCATTGAAGCTGACAAGGTCCTCTATTTAGTAGAAGTGAGAGGAACCACTGGTCCAAAGCCACTTGGACATATCAGGGAGTTCGATAACGACGGCTCAAACTCTCATGGCCTGCATTTTTTAGAATGGGAATAGTGACCTGATCCAACATCACCGTACACGGAAGCCAAGGTAAATGAGATATATGCACCTGCCGCAGGTAGCGGTACCACAACCATCACGGAAGGCCAGCCACTGTAGTCCGATGGTCTCAATTTTGGTTCGTATTCATTAGCAACACATTAGCAACTTGTCTTCATGTATGCTGTCGCGGCGGCAAACCGCAGGTGAACACTCTAAGTTCTCGAATTCGGCACTTCAAGGATTCTATGGCCCTGGAAAATCACCAGGGGATGATTTAATGGACTCGTTGGCTGTCCAAGCTATGTGGATGGAGACTCCCACGGTCTAAAACCATAAATTGTAGACCTCGGCGCTTAGACTGCCCAGATGTTTAGCTTTTGAGTTCAATTGAACTGAACATACCCCAGATACTTTCTGTTTGAGTTCAAATAGGTAGTGATAAAGGTGACTAGATGGAATTCCCAACGAGAGAGTCGTACGCATCATCAACTATGTATCTTTTTCTCGACCTTCTTAATAACGGAATAAATTTGTCCTAATTAATTAGCTTCCACATCTTATAGACAATTGCTAACTTCCGAGACAGACTAAAGCTTTCTTCCATAGCTCTCTTCTACTATGCCATTCAAGCTATCTACAAATTCTTACAAAGAGCAAGACTTACCTGAAGATCCGCAAGAATTGTTGAGTGCGGGAAAACAGTTGATGGATGAAGTTTGCACCAGCTGGAAAAAGGGTAAATGCTATCATCATACTCTGAGCTCAAACCCCACGCTAGATTCCAGTAAAGTCGCAGTACAGACGTATTACACCAACCGTGATAAAGACTACTGGCTGAGTCGTGTCAGCGAACATTCACTGGATTTATCCACATACGAGCGCTTGGTCAAAGTGCTAACGGGAAGTGTGAAAGAGAATTCCCAGTGGACGCTACGCGATAGAACTGCTCGCTCGCGGCTAGAAAAGGAATATATAGAAGTGCTAAGTGCTGTTGAAGTGCTGAAAGTCACGGATTCGGGGTGGGTCGGTGTGAATCTGGAATACGAATTGGGCAAACCACTGACGACCCGTGAGTTTAATGAGTGGATATACATTATTCCGCCATTTCAAGAGGCTGAAGGTGAGGTGTGTATGGTGATCAGCGTGGTTGCCGATGCCCCCTTGAGAGACCCGGAGGCGCATACCCGTGGAGTTTACACCAGTATCGAAATGCTGGAATACAATCACAAATCTCAACAGCTGAAGTGGAAAATGGCAACCACCAGCGACGCGGGCGGAAACGTGCCAAAGTGGGTGCAAAACTCCATGATTGCCAAGACCGTCTCTAAAGACGTGAGCTACATGTTTGAGTGGCTAGGTCAAGGCAAGGATAGAGCCAACATATAGACGGATAGATAGACAGGGCCGTAATATCAACAAAGTAAAAAGAAGTCATAACTTACACATTAAGTGATGCATGTAAGAGCCTTGAAGATCTAGTTCAAGAAAAAACAACTCCGATACGGGGAGTCGAACCCCGGTCTCCACGGTGAAAGCGTGATGTGATAGCCGTTACACTATATCGGACTTAATACGAGGAGTTTCGGCAACCGCACGACCACAGACGTCTGCCAATCACGCATATGTAGCGGACAATGTGCATAGATACAACAACTTTCGATGGTAAAAATGAGAACTGCATCTTCAGCTAATCTCGTAGCCGCTCACTATCTAGCCCTCATTTATATCTAATTTCCTACTTGCGCTTGTGCACGGGCCATCATAATTTGTTTTCCCTTGATCTCGCTCAACATCAAGAAACATTATGTTAGTGAACGAGTTTCAGTCATCTTATTATCCCGAGTGAGGCTATTGCAGATTTACTTATGATATTATATCAGGTCCCTGTGGCTATGCGGGCCTGTCAATTAGCTCCTAACTCTTGGATCGTCATTATCACAATTTGTTTCGTTCTACAACGACCCCACTTTATCGAGCAACGTTCTCAACTCGAAAAGCTACCAAGTGTCGAACTAACAACTCAGTCAGCGTCTTTAAAAAATACATCGGAGTTAAAAACAATATTCCATCCTAAGGTAACTAGTTTTCGATGGCTCAGGCTTAAAGCAAGTTCCCCTAAAACTGGTTGACCCTAAATTAAGAAAAACTGATCTGAGGCGCGCCATGTGAGACTTCCGCCGAATAAAATTGGACCGTGGATCGATATCGATTGCTCGAAGAAGGGGACCGCTACAAGCATGAAAAGTGTCCTCAACAGTTGGTACCCTATCATATGACGCCCAGTAGTTTTACAGGTTCCAAATTCTCGTCCAACAATTCTGACCCATGTTCATTCGTAAATGGGCTCACAGGTTTGCAAAAGTCCACAATTAGTGGTATCTTGACCCTGTGCATTGAAAGCTTAAAGGATTTGCGCTCTTGCAAAGCTTCCCCTTTACCTGTGCTATGCGTTTGAAGCCGAATCCTCTATTTGATCTTTTTATAATCTCAGAAACCGGATCTACATAAGGAGAAACCCTCGACCTGGAAGCGATCGGATCTAGAATAGCGTGAACAAAAGACATAGGAGTTGTCAAACTTGGTAATAACAGGTCTTGAGGATTGAAACTGATCTGAGCTGCGGCCGGAATATCAATAGACGTCAGAGGTGCCAAAGCACTACTGGATGCCGTAATTTTTATTTCTGTTGTACAGGAGCCTCGATCTCTCCAGGCCGCATGCAGTGCCACAAAAAGGGTCAAGAATCACACGGGCAGGCTAAAAACAAAACATAAATCCAAGTGCAAAGAAACAAACGCCCGTAAATACAGTAGCTAGGGTGATGACTTCGGTCACCGAGGGTGAGGACTCGGCCTCTGGTACAGCGTTTGGCGATATTGTCACATCGAGTTCACCCGAACGGCTGCTGAGCTTGCTTACACTGTCTCGGTGTAAGGCGGAGGCGAGTCTTTGCCGGGATTAGAGAGCAGCGGTGTTACTGGAGAAGGTTGTTCCCTAACTACAGGTTCGGAACGGCGCCCGTGATGACAGCTTCTTGAACCTCGGGAGCCATTGCGATGACCGTCTTCCCAGCCAGATTGGTAGTAGTAACGGGTTTCTTCTCTCCTTAGAGGACTTGTGACGGTGATGTAGTAAAAGGCATGAATCATCCCTGGTATAACACCCAGCATTGTCAGAAGGATGTTCAGTAAGAGATCTGATGAGCAACACCCGCTTCTCAGCAATACGCCCACAGGTGGCAAGAAAAACGCCACGACATAAAGAATAAGATCTGAAACTGTACAGCAAACACAATAGCAGCACATCCTTGGATAATATAGCGCTGTCCTTAGTTTGCGTGTTCTTTGATGCTTCACATGCAAGTTCTGAAGACAATCGATGAGTTAAAATTCAATAGCGGCCGGGGGGTTGCGACCATCACGTACATAGTGACATGTGCGTACTGCAGTTGTTTTCAGCAATGTACGTGTTCGGAAAGCGCGGTGTTACCAATTGCGAGGACCATAGTCACTGTGATCAAACCTTTTGAATTTATCACTGGCCAAAGGAGGATTCCGACTTATATACAACATTGGAGCCTGCTGGAGAAAACTTTTTGTTAGTTTTTTAGGCGTAATCAGTATTGGAGTGAGTCTGCTGCTGGGGCAAATAACCAGTAAGCAAACAAGAATGTGAGTCTTTCAGCATATCTCTGAGTCCTTGGTCCAATTTTTGAAGTGTTTCGAGTATACGACTCGTCTATCGGAAATTACCACTTATCACTTATCACTTCATACAATAATGGCGCGGGACTTCTCGACTACTTTCAGTACTACCTTGGCACATATATGACGGGCGCATGGACTACTCTGCGTCACACAGCATGAACATAAGCACACTAAAGGGTTACAGGGTGTATAAACATGTCTATCAGTAGCTCGGGGAAAACGTTCAATGGGCTGATTGTCTCACGGAAATGAGACCCGCTCAGGACTAGCTTATACGTGCATCTTGAACACCTGAAAGGAAGCATAGTTGATTATTTTGAAGACAAATAAAACGAGATGCTCAGGGCAGTCAATTTGGAGGAAGGGTTTGCCTGTTATGAAATAAACTATGAGCAACCATTCAGCTCTCCCTCTAAAAACTCTCGACTGAAAACAAAGGACGCGAACACAAATAGAGGCACTAATAACAAGTGCACGGTCAAAACTGGATCTTTTTTTGGCGGGTTGGTAGCATAGTTCACATACTGGCGTAGATAGTGACTACTTAATTAGGTTGCGCGGGATGGTTAACACTCGTCAATAATCAGCGACACAGGACTATCCACGACCACCCCGAGCGAGGATTTCGAATTCAATGGCTGGTAGACGCATCGAAAGGTCTGAAGATCCGGGCCAAGGCGGAGATGAGTTATTCTGTGCGGTGATGAACCCTCAGACGGGGAATTTTATCGACCTGTCACATCTATCAACGACACCCAACAACCTTAAAAAGGGTGACTCGCAAAATCACAAGAGCCGCAAGGACTGGGAGAAAACGCGGTGGCTGGTGAAGCCACGCGAGCTGAATCTCAATTTCACCCTAGGCATATGCTCTAGCCCCACCATCGAGGGAGATTCAGTGCTCAACACCACGGGCGGGTACTACGTGGATCCAGAATCCAACAGGGAAGTGTCAATTGGCGATTTCACCACCAGACCGCGCTTCATGGGCAAGAAACTGACGCTGACATACGAAAATGGCGACGTCTGTCCGAACGGGGTGGACAGGCGAGCGACGCTCTTCAATTTCGTTTGCGACAAAGAGATTCAGACCAAAGCCCAGATAAACTATGTGGGGTCCTTACACAACTGCTCGTACTTCTTCGAAGTGCGGAGCATCTACGCCTGCCCCACGTCGCACAAGAGCAATGACGTTAACGTGCTGGGCATTTTTTTCGGCATTTTCTTTGTCTTCTTCCTCGTCGAATGGGGCAGACGCTGGTTTTACGGAAGAGTCAGGGCCAGGCTGCGGTATGACAGCAGCGGTGTGTTCCCAAGCACGCGGCCCCACTGGGACACAATCGAAAGCCCCTCGAGATGGAGGCGGTGGCTGAAACGGCTGGTTCATGTTGGGGGGCCGGCCAGCGCCGCGGGGATCAAACTGAGCAACTCTTCCCCGTACCGGAACGCCAGCACAGACTCGCTGGCTCGAGACATCGAGGCCCAAAACCGCCTTCTCGACAACCTAGACGCGACCAGCTCGCATTCCGACCCTTACCGCGAGTGAGACACCCACACACCACCCACCCACCAACCACGTGACCCCAGTGTGACACATCCCGGGCCTGGCGCCTCGTAGCCCCCGCCCCCCCGCTGAATGTTTGCTGCATGCTAAACACCCATGCTGGAATACTCAGTCGACACCTATGTAGCGTGTATGCGCCCCAAAACATCGTATATATTTTTCCTTTCGAACTCGCTTGTTCTGCACACTCATTTGCGTCTGACCTCCCGTGTAGCCCTTTCCTTCCCTGCAACACCTTGATGTAGGTACTAACTAACCCTGTTTCCATATCTGCCACACCTACTCCGAAACCTGAGCAATCCACGGCATGGCATCGAGATGTGACTGCTCCCAAAGACCCACACACCCACAGAACCCGAACACCCACAAAACAATTTCCTGCGTCAGTGAAAAAATCCCGAACTTCCCGGAACGTAGCTCACGCGACTCGGACTCGCTTGCCACTTCTTGCCGCTGGGCCGCCAATCTCGCAGGTGGTTGCCCTCAGCACTCGAGTAGGGTGGCAGCGCCCCTTTTTTCCTTTTGCCATTCCTTTTTGCTGCCCTAGTTAAGGCCTAGCCCACGTCGTTCAAAGAGACATGGACGACGTCAGATTTGGCGCGCGGCAGAGAGAGCGCGGCAGAGAGAGCGCCGCCTGGGCTCTGTCCAGCGCCTGTCCAAGGCCTGCCGACGGTCTGCCGAGGGTCTGCCTGGCGTGCCGCCTAGCGTGCCGCCGGGGCTCCCTCTAGGCCTAGGCAGAGGCCCCGCCTAGCTTAAAAATTTTCCATCAAGATGCGGCCTGATTTGGCCCCCACGGTGGCAAATTTTTTCAATTAGTTTGCAGATGACATTTGGAATATAAATAAGGTGGATTGAAACCCAGTGGTTGTAGTCTCTTCTGTTCCACTTTCCTTATAGTTAGGCTTTTTTATTTTACATCCTTTCTTAACTAACTAACAAACTTCACAATGGGTAAGGAGAAGTCTCACGTCAACGTTGTTGTTATCGGTCACGTCGACTCTGGTAAGTCGACCACCACCGGTCACTTGATCTACAAGTGCGGTGGTATTGACAAGAGAACCATCGAAAAGTTCGAGAAGGAAGCCGCCGAATTGGGTAAGGGTTCTTTCAAGTACGCCTGGGTTTTGGACAAGTTGAAGGCCGAAAGAGAAAGAGGTATCACCATTGACATTGCCTTGTGGAAATTCGAAACTCCTAAGTACGAGGTCACCGTCATTGACGCTCCAGGTCACAGAGATTTCATCAAGAACATGATTACTGGTACTTCTCAAGCTGACTGCGCTATCTTGATTATCGCTGGTGGTGTCGGTGAATTCGAAGCCGGTATCTCCAAGGACGGTCAAACCAGAGAGCACGCTTTGTTGTCCTTCACCTTGGGTGTCAGACAATTGATTGTTGCTATCAACAAGATGGACTCCGTCAAGTGGGACGAGTCTCGTTACCAAGAAATTGTCAAGGAAACCTCCAACTTCATCAAGAAGGTTGGTTACAACCCAAAGACTGTTCCTTTCGTCCCAATCTCGGGCTGGAACGGTGACAACATGATTGAAGCCACCACCAACGCTTCCTGGTACAAGGGTTGGGAGAAGGAGACCAAGTCTGGTACCGTCAAGGGTAAGACCTTGTTGGAAGCCATTGACGCCATTGAGCCTCCTTCCAGACCAACTGACAAGCCATTGAGATTGCCATTGCAAGATGTCTACAAGATCGGTGGTATTGGTACGGTGCCAGTCGGTAGAGTTGAAACCGGTGTCATCAAGCCAGGTATGGTTGTCACCTTCGCCCCAGCCGGTGTCACCACTGAAGTCAAGTCCGTTGAAATGCACCACGAACAATTGGAATCTGGTTTGCCAGGTGACAACGTTGGTTTCAACGTCAAGAACGTTTCCGTCAAGGAAATCAGAAGAGGTAACGTTTGCGGTGACTCCAAGAACGACCCTCCAAAGGGCTGTGCTTCTTTCAACGCTACCGTCATTGTCTTGAACCACCCTGGTCAAATCTCTGCTGGTTACTCGCCAGTTTTGGACTGTCACACTGCTCACATTGCCTGCAGATTCGACGAATTGTTGGAAAAGAACGACAGAAGATCCGGTAAGAAGTTGGAAGACTCTCCAAAGTTCCTAAAGTCCGGTGACGCCGCTTTGGTTAAGTTCGTTCCATCCAAGCCAATGTGTGTTGAAGCCTTCTCCGACTACCCACCTTTGGGTAGATTCGCCGTCAGAGACATGAGACAAACTGTCGCTGTCGGTGTCATCAAGGCTGTTGACAAGACTGAAAAGGCTGGTAAGGTCACCAAGGCCGCCGTCAAGGCTGGCAAGAAATAATCTTGAAAACTCATTACTATTAAACATCATTTTTTCCATTAAATATATAATTTTGTAAAGTTTTTAAAAGATATTTCTCTATCGATTTCTACTCGAGCTGTTTTATGTTCATTATTTCCGTCCTACTTTGTTTGGCGAACGTTCAAATTTCGCCTAATTCATTTTGAATCAATCAACTCTACACAAAGTGCGCGCAATCACCACATGAGCCAAAGAACGTAAGTACCCTGCCATATTCCCTCACCTGCCACCAACTCGTTATACTAACGTCCGCCCCTAGCCTTTATCTGGGTAATCTGCCGCGGAGGCCAGCCAGCGAAGCTAATTTCACTAGACTAGTGCTTCATGCTATAAACAGCCAGAACCCCTACGTGCAAAATCATGACCTTCCAATCCCGCAGGTAAAATTTGACACCTTGCCAAATGATAATCGCCGTGTCTTCCACGATCCATTGTCTTCTGAAAATATTGTGTCGGCATATGCCAACAGTAAGCAGAGCCTCTTGGATTCAGTGGCCAACGAAGATGAACTATGCCAGGAAGTTTTGAGGAAATTTTTTGACAGCCTAGACACATTATATCAGCCTGAGTTCGCCAGGAATTTAACCATTGGAGGTTTCCGAAAGCTCTTTCGCCAACTTCAGTCACAACAAGATCAAGTCCACTCGCTATCCGATCATGATCTGACCAGGATATTGGCGATTTTACGGGATACAGAGGCCCAAATCTGTCTGAAAAGCCGAAAACACTTATCGCTTTTGGATCCGCAATATGGTGTTGTCGCAATATCGAGGTCTAGACGTGGTGTGCACGATTCACAAGGGTTCCTGACCTTCATCAATCACGACAGAGCCAGAGAATTTTTGGAAAGGTTCAAGGGGCAATTAAAGATACGAGGCAGGAAAATACACCTTTCATTCTCCTCCCAAGACTCGCTTCTGGGGGCCTACCTTCATGACGGGAAACGAGCTGTTCAAAAATCGGTGGCTGATCGAGTCAAACAGGGTGATGAATCTGAACCTAATAAGACGTTAGATGACGGTAAGACAAAGCTAAAGAGACAATTACGGAGACTCCGTCACAAGCTTCGCCTCAAAGGCATAGAAGCGGAAGAGATACAGCGGATTGTCCAGAGAATACAGAGAGAGAAGTCCGCCGTAATTGAAGCCCCAACACCATCATCCAGAGCTAAAAGTCAAGGCTCTACACAGGAAATGGTACCTGCGAAGAAGATAACTATTGCTGAGGTTTCTGGTAATCCTCCTAACAAGATTCTCCTTGCGCAAAGGCTGCCCAATGGTGTTTCACACGAAGAGGTTTCACTGCTATTTCAAGCAGAGGGTTTGGTAGAAGTTCGGCTTGTCAGCGTGAGAAATGTGGCATTTATCGAATTCATCAACGTTTCACATGCCTCAAACATGCTGAATAAGTTGGGAACATCTTTTCCCTGGAAAAACAGTGCCGTATCCTTAGGGTTTGCCAAATAGCATAAATTACATATCTTCCTCCACTATGTACAGAGCTGAGGCGCTTCTCATCGGGGCCCCAATGATAAATCAAATAAAAGAACGCAGTCTTACTACTTACCCAAGACAACTGTCCTCATAGCCGACCAGAATGTTTCTTTCTTCTTCCCTTCAATTTCGTCCATCAGACGTTGGTAATATTGGGGATTTCCCTGCGGTTTTAATAGTTTATCGCCTGTGGAGTAGTAGTCTCTGTATTTGTTGTTCAAAATGTGCCCAAGAGACTGGTTCTGCTCTTGGATAGCTTCCACAGTCAAATTTTCTTGCGGCAACGCATCTTGCACCTTTCTCAACACATCCTTGGGCATTCCTAATGGTCCAGATGTTCTATTGATGATATCTTTGATCTCTTGAAGCGAAGGCTTTTGTTGGGCATTTTGAGAACCAGCTTTTAACCCGGCGACAGCTTTGAATCGTTCTAACTGAGACTCTTTAAGCGAGACAATATGTTTTAGTCTTTCTTCCGGTAATTTCTCGAGATGCTTAACCAGCTGCAAAGCAGCTCCCCTAACAGCAGCGGACATCTTGGACTATGTGAACAGTTGATGAGAATGCATTCCACATGAACTTTCAACCATCATCGCCATGCAAATGGGCTTTGATGAAATTAGAAGCACTACCTACGACAAATGCTTGTCTAGAAATTAATCACAGTACTCAGACAGAGGGCACTCTCGGTGACCTCGAATTCCTGCTTGCTATTAGTGAGCACATTTTCACCGATGCTTTAAATATACTACATGTTTATTCTGATTGCGAGACGAAAGGTTCCAATGACTTGGTACCCTCATCCCAGGACACTCCATTGTAAGTAATCTCACGAATGGCTTTCACGATTTCGCTTACTGCTCCTCTAACTTGCTTAGTAGAGTCTCTCTCTCTCAGAGTGACAGTGCCATCTTTGGCCGAGTCAAAATCAATGGTCACTCCGAAAGGCGTTCCCAATTCATCGTTACGAGCGTATCTCTTACCGATCGACACACCGGAGTCGTCGATCTTGAAAGGTATCTTTTCTTTTCTAAAAACCTTTGCCACATCCTGTGCCACACTAGACAAATCAGGATGATTGGACAAAGGCACCAAAAGAACTTTAGTTGGAGCAACCAGTGGGGGGAAGGAAAGGACCGATCTGGCAGTGTCTTCAGGTCTCGACCAGAAGGAGTGTTCAAAAATAGAGTAAATGATACGGCCGATACCGAAAGAAGGTTCAATCACGTTTGGAACAAACTCACGTACGTGTTCGGTTCTTGTTTTCTGTTCAATAGAGACGAATTTATCATCTAACTCAATCTGGCCATCCATTCCCTCAACGGTGAAGACGATCTTACCAGAAGCTTGAAGATCTTTGGCCTTTGCTTCTAGCTCCTCTTGGGTCAAGCCCAGCAAAAAGCTCTCAACCTTTGGTGCATCTTTTCTGAATTTGGGACCAAAAAGCTTTTTGGTCAACTCAATCTCCCACTTGGTGACTTGAATTGGCTCATCCAATTTCTGCCTTACAACCAGCTTTTCCTTAGTCTTGTTAGCGTGGACAGTCAAGTCATAAGCAGACCTGTCGGCACAACCGACACATTCAATCCAACCGTACGAGGTCTTCAACTCCGCATCCCAACAATCCGCAGCGTAATGGGCCATTTCATTAGCCATATGCTGACGGAATCTCAACTTGCTAGCATCCACACCAATAGTCATCAAAAATTGGTAGATTCTAGCGATGAAGTAACCCAAAGTTTCATTATCGATCATCTTAGAAGCGACTGCATCTCCAACCGTAGATTCCACACATTCAGTGGATCCCGATTGTTGAACTTCGCGGGGCAAAAACTTTAATTTAACGTCTTTGATTTCTGCGAAGCGTGGATGAGATTTGTCTAGAGGGTCCACAAAATGTTCAATTTCAGCCATCAAAAATTCGCGTACTCTCAAGAGGCCCGATCTAGGAGAGATCTCGTTTCTAAATGACTTGCCAATGGACGCAGAGGCAAATGGAGCTTTGTTGTTGTTAAACTCTAGCAACTTGTTAAAGTTCAAAAATTGACCTTGAGCTGTCTCAGGTCTCAAATAACCCTTTAACTGACCAGATGGGCCAATAGCAGTTTCGAACATCAAATTGAAAGCTCTTGGGGGCTCCAAAGTTTCGCCAGTGACAGGATTGCCAATGTTATACTTGACCATTAGCTCGCCCAACTCCTCGCCCGAGTAACCATCGATCTTGGCAAGAACCTCTTCGTACTCTTTCACGACATTGTCGTCGAGCTTGACGGCTTTGATTTCCTTGACTTTCTTTTTTCTCTTCTTCTTGTCAGCGTCGTCCTGGGCGTCAGCGTTCGCATCTGCCACCAAACCACGAGCTTCTTGATCACCTTTCAAGCGAGCTTCGAGCACTTCTTCCACCAAGTGGTCTGCTCTGAAGATTTCTCCAGTTTTCATGTCTCTGCACATCCAGTCAGAGAACTTGTCGACGTGACCAGACGTCTTGAGTACTTCGTGAGGAGTCAACATAGTACAGTCGACCTCTAGCATGTCCTCTTCCAGAATGAAATGCTTTCTCCAGGTGTCCACGATGTTAGCCTGGAATGCACATCCTGGAGGACCGTAGTCGTAAAGGCCAGATACCCCACCGTAGAGCTCAAAGGATGGCGCAAAAAAAAACCGCCTCTTTAACACACTCTCTAGCGTTTCTCTAGAGAAAGGCACTGCTTCTCTGGATTGTTTGATCTCCTGAGCACTCATTTTTTTTATTTTGACCGATTTCTTGAATACTTGACTATACGAGCGGTTCAGAAGGTTCCCTTTCAAAAAGTTTAGAAGCCTCACCTTTTAAGCTTTTTTATCACGTACAACCAAAAGCTCAATTGCCCTGCGACGGAAGCTTTTGTATCGTCTTCTGAAGTCAGATTCGTTGAAACTCTCGAGCCTTCAAAATTTTCAATTCCTGGGGCGTTCTCATAACTGCCCTTCGTCAAAAAGAACATTTCGGTAACGCTCACAGCACTATCCCACTACGCCTATAGTAATGGAACTGGTTAGCATTCTACGTTTGGATTCGGAGGAATCTGGGAAAACGAACGATGTTTAGATGAGAATACCTTTTCGCAGCGACAGATTCTTCGAGCTGAATAAACTGAAAAAAAAACAAACAGACGAACAAACAAACAAACCGGTAAATTATTCAAGTAGCGCAATTGCAGTACGTTTACTTGAGATCTCTCTGCGATGGTTTGAAAATTTCTTTTCACACGCGCTTGCTGTTGTAATCATAGGGCGAGACCACCAACCCCTTGTTTTTCCTGGCGCCACGGAACACCGTCTCCAAAATGTCAATCATCTCCTGCTTGTCCTCCACCACAAAATTCATCTTGTTGTTGTTCCCTGTGCCAAAATCACACATCATATGCTTGTTGCGATAAAAAAACATTACCGTCATCGAGTCGTAGAGTTCATACATTTCGTTAAAGTCCTGGACCTCATCGATATCGCAAATATAAATCACCGCAAACCGCCTGACTTTTTCTGCTATAGAAAACAGCACCTCGTCCATTAACATGCAGTCTTTGTCCCAGTCTCTCCCGAACCGAATTACTACAAGTCGATCCTGTTCAGTGACTATAGCTTGATCCACATGCCACCCAGAGTGCAGATGCGGTAAGAATACACTTCCCATTTTCCGAACCGCTTGACAATGGAGCCACTTTTCGTGCGGGTTTCGCTTCAAACTGTTGGGGCTGGTTGTGACATTTTTTATATTATGGTATGCACATTATCATTATTTATGCCGATCTGCTATTTACACGCACGTTGAAAAAAAGAGCCAATGTTGACACGCTTAGCGGCCTGATACTGTACTTACTTCTTATCCCTCTTTTTAGTGGCCAATTTACCACCGCTTTGCACCTGTTGGGCGTTGTCGTTCAGTAGTGCCATGTAGTCGTCCATGCCAAAATCGTCTTCTTCCACTAAGTCTTCGGCCTGCTCCTGTTTTTGGTTCTTGGCCTCGGCAGCCGGCTGCTTGGAAGGCGCCTCCTCAAAACTGAAGACTGGATCGTATTTCTGTTTGAATTTATCTAGTCTACCGCCGGCATTGGCGTCTACAACAACTAGATCGTCTCTGCTCTCGTTCCACAATGGATTGTTTCTCTGGTCCTGAATCAGCCTGATCTGGTCCTTGGGGAATTGAGAACGCCTCGTTATAACACTGCCGTCACTAAGTTCGACTTGCACTTCGAATTTGTGGTAGATAGCTGGTCTTGCCTTGCCCAGCTTGATCTTTTTCAATGGTCTCTTCGGAATAGAAAGATGTGTGGCTCCATGGTAGGCAGCTCCAGAGGCAAACCTCCTCGAAACAAATGACCCGAGCATCATAATAGCCAGCTGTAACTATGTAGAGTCATTCAATGGCGCTCTTTCAACGTTGTTTCGGGCGCGATGAGCCTGTGATTATTGGCTAGGTCGTTGGTACATGGTTCGAAAAATTTTCTATATCATTATACACGCGTGTGTCGCCGGACTCAGCCAAGGCAGATATTGGCAAGTCCATCTACAGCTGGGGAATTCTGCCTGGCGTCTCACCGTGGGTGCGACAATTCCGACTCAAAAATGAGTCCATCCAGTTCTTTTCGGAGTTTTGTTGCCATATCCGGATCTGTTTGATGTACGCGGGTAATGATGTCGTTAAAGCTCGCATTGGTTATATCGAAATCTGGGTCGAGGGAACTTTGTTCTTCCCCATTGCTTGTGGTAGGCTTTCTATCTTGGGAATTATCACCCTCAAAACCACCAAAATCTGCGTCGTCAGCGTCATCCTCTTCTTGCTCCAGTACGGCGTCATCCATCTCTCCCGCTTCAACGCCGTTATCGTCATCCTCACCGTCTTCTTCGCCATTTTCTTCTTGACCTTCTATCTCCTTTGTAGGGTTGTTGGCAGTATCACCGGAAACACCTGATGCACCATCAGATGTGGACATTTGAATATCTCCATCAGCATCGATTCCGGCATTATCCTTGGTCATCATAGATTCCTTGGTATAGAGCAAGTTCTTGAAAAACTTGAGCTTGTACTCACTAAACTCAGAGTTACCTTGAACAAGGCAACCCAATTCATACTTTACGATCTTCCTTATCTTAGTCAAGTCTAGTTCGTGGTACCACCCGGTAAGTTCAGTTGGCTTGCTCAAAAAAACAGCTTTAGAACAAACTTCGGCAATATTTGGCTCATGAACTAGAAGTTCAATTTGCAACATTAAATACCATGGAATTTGCTGTCCATCGAAATAAAACCGACTATCGATGCCATCTTGTGTATCTGACTTATAAAACTTGGCGGGTGGTTCTGGCATATTTTTGGCAGCGAGCGGTGATTTTTGGAGCTTACTCTCGACTTTGAAATATTCGGTCTGGAACTTCGCGTATTCTGAAGAAGTACGAGGATCTACTCCAAATTTGATGTATGTGTTTCGCCAAGGCCCTTTTGTAAAACGGTAAGACCTCAGGGACAGTGCAATTTTGAGCGTTCCATGCAGTTCCTGAGAAACAATCCCATCAAGATGACGCTTTACCCAAATAGGCCGTACTGAGAAAGCTCTATCTAATATGTCCAAGCACTGGTCTAGCCTTTCTTTGAACTTTGATTCTTTACTACTACCAGGATACACACCAGTATCCTGAGCCTTCCTGTAATCTTCCAGCAAGGCAGGATGCGCCTCCACAGGAATTTGAATCGTGTCGTCAAAACCATGAACAAGCTGTTGGTAATTTTTTAGATATGTGCCCTTGACGGTGGATTCGCCACTTGACGATTTCGTGGCGTACGGGTTGCCGCGAAACTTGTATACGAATGGAATATTGACCATAGAGAATCGAGGCGGGGGCGGAAGCTGAAAATCTGTGCTAGGGATGTTGGATGTGCTATTCAGAACAAGGCCATCAATGTTCTCAAAAGGCGTTGAATCATAGTCCGGGATACTTTGAACGTACTTGCGAACGTATCCCCAATCCAAGGATCCAAAGCTGTCATTGAACTCGTTAGCCGTAGGAACATTGTCCAAACGCATTTGAAAATCCGACATTTCACGAAACCTTACAGTGCTGTTGACGATTCCGACTGGGACAATTTTCGCTCTATTGGCTGGCACGGAGGCAATTGCTTTTCGCAGGTCGCCACCATTGGCTTCCAAAGTTCCCTTGGGGAGAGACAACTTCATGACAATCGATTCGTCCCTGTGAGGGGCGAGCCTCCCAACAATAGGGTGCTCATTGAAAAACGCGCTAGGCCCATCAGAATTTCTATCATCATTCAAGTATAGCTCCAATCCCTCCTGTGTATCCTTGTGCGCATTGAGGGCCTTTTTAACATTATCAATACCGCCACACATCTCAATTGCCTTAGTTACACTGTCATGAGAGCCTGACAATTTTAGAGGAAGCTCAACACTAGGAACTCGAGGAATGTCCAGGGTGTATTCTTTGGCGGGCAGACCACTGTAATCCGGTGTAACCGATCTCTCGTTGACAAAATCCATTATCTTTGGAAATTGCTTGGATTTACGCAATGTTTTACCTACATATACACCTTTCGCCAGAATTGATCTATAGGGTTTAACGAGTTAACGAACTACACTTAATCTAATAAGCTCGATGGTACAGAATGATAACAAAATAACCAACGGCTGAGAAGTGAGTGTTTTCGAGCACGCTGCGTTTCCAATTTTGTGGCAGATCCTCATACTGCTGTATCAAGCACTTTAGCTTAGTTTCGTCTTTTATCTAGCGTCTAGTATCACCTATACAATAAGTTCCAGTTGCACATACACTGTGTTCAAAGTTATCCCAAGTGTGCAGCTACGTGGCATTAACCATGAAGGACAGCTTGAAAATGCCAGATCGAAGATACTCATCAGGTAGATAACGCGCGCGCGTGTGTGTATGTGAGTATTTGTAAGTTGCACGTAGCAGAACTAAGTGCATTGTTGGGCTAATGGGCCCTGACTAACTTTTGACGTTCAGTATCTGTCATCCTGCCAGTAGGTGACGACCAAGTGTCACACCCACAATATTCATAATACTCTTCTCCGCATACCCTCAGTCGCAAGCCCTGTGTTTGAACAAGACACCTTAGAATAGTATATCCATCACAGTCAAGCGCACATGCTGAAAAACTCAAATTTTGGGCTATATGCTCGTTTTCTTTCAGCAGAAAGTTGCTCGACTTGGAGCGGTATCACAGACACAGGGGTCTCAACATTGAGAAATGGAGAATAAAACTTACCAACTCGCAGCCACAAGAGTAATGTCGTCAGAGGTTGTAAGTCTATAACAGTGTCCCTTCACACACCCACGACTCGCTATTGGCGTATAGAATACCTGGTACGGGCCAAATCTTCCGGGGCAAGCCGACACATCATTATGGAAACATTAATCTGGGAACCATGAACTCCAAGAGTATTTTTTTACGATATTCTACGCAGACCGCATCTTGAGATCCTCATCTATCAGCCTTTTATGTAATCTAGACCATGGGTGAACGTAAATGCACGCTGTATGCCATTGTTGTAGTCCTTATGCTATTAACCCCTTTTCCCTCTCTAGCCTTGTTTTCATCTTGTTGTACCATTGACCCAACGACTCGTCCTTTCGATTTAGGGAAACTATAATGATCGTCATGTTATCAAAACCCACACCGGTGTTACTATCGGCTGAATTAATTCCGTGGTCCAGCAGTTTAGTCACTATTTCATCAAGCTTTAATCCCAACATCAAATGGTACTTTATGAATTGAACTAGATTTTTATTACTGTAAAGGTCCCATATTCCATCACAGGCTAACACCAAAAATTCGTCACGATCATAGCATATTCGGTGAGGCAGAACATCAGGTTCCACCGTGACCTGTGATTCCTGTGCCGGAGCAACATATTTCTGGCCCGCGTAAGGCCCAGAAGAATTGTTAGTATAGGATACGCTGGATTTAAATTGGAAATCGCCAAAAGCCCTACTGAGGGCCAACACTCCACCGACCCTTCCTAAAGAAACTGTTCCACCGTCATCATTTATCCGTACTAATTCGCCGATGTGTTGCGGCTTGTGATCGTACGACAACGTCTTCACACCCCTACCCTTGGTGGACAAAACGCATCGCGAATCACCTGTATTTGCAACGTAAAGCATTTCTCCATTGATAATTAAGGCTAAGATTCCTGTGGAGCCGCATGACTCCTCGGAAAAGTGGCAGTATAGTTCTCTGTCTTGCATGATAAAAGCGTCCTTCACAATTTGACATATAAGTCCTTCGAGCGTGTGAAAAAGTATAGAACAGTTTCTTTGTGTATGATCCGAGTTAGTCAAAGAACCATATTCGTGGGTTTCGAAGGCATGCTTTATCCATTTGCTAATACCCTCAGACGTGTTATTTTGCGAACCAACGAACTGCGAACACTCACCACCCCCATGCCCATCGAAAACGCCAAAAACTGATATTGACAGATTCTCTTCGGCGTTTAGGAAGGGGTTGTAAAACTTTACTACCAAAGCTGAGTCATGGTTAGCGATAAGATGGGCGTCCTCTTGAGTGAGTCGGTACCCTTGCATTGTCCCTACACAATTGAAAAATCGAAGACCGACTCCGCGTTCTCTACCGCTAGGAAGTGGGTGCTTATTTCCTGAGCGACCTCTGGGCCCATTCGGTGACGGCTGCTCGTAGTCATTGTATATAATAGACTTTTCTGTCAATGGATGTGACAAAAGTTGGCCCATGGCTCTGCACCACGCAAAAGTCTAGTTTAACTTCAGAACGGCTTGATAGATGACACCAGCCCTTACAAATAGTACCAACACCAGTTATCACAAACAAGACACTGTATAGCTTTTATCTGAGGGTGAGTAAGTTGCTCAATCCCCTTCTTTCAGCTCTTAGAAAAATAGAATTAGGCATCTAGAAAATAACAAACGACAAATAGGATAGCCAGTCGAAAATGTCAGAAAAATAATCTCGTGCGTGAATTGCGGGCGTTAAATCGTTGACTTGTTACTTAAAAAATGGAAGACATATTCTAGACTAATGCACTGTTTTTGAAGAATCACAGCTAATGGAGCTCCAAATGGCTGGATAAAATCACTAATCCGATCCAGCATTACCTGCAGTTCCACTAGGAACCGTTCTGTAAAGCTCATGCACGAAATTTTCCCCCCAGAAAGCAGAGGTATACTTGGAAATGTACTTGTAAAGCTTTTCCCAATTTGCATCTTTTTTCTCCTCGGGCAAGGTCAAGGATTCATGGATTGATTCGGCAAGTTCGTCGGTGTTCCATGGATTGACAATCAATGCACCATTTAACGACTGGGCAGCCCCGGTGAACTCGCTCAGAACCAATGAACCTTTTTTCTCTTGCTGGCACGCGATGTACTCGTAACACACTAAGTTCATACCATCGCGAGTCGACGAGACGAGACAAACATCGCTGACAGCGTAAAGGGAAATCAGCTCTTCGAAAGGAATACTTTTGTGCATAAAGTGGATTGGAACAAACTCGACTGTCCCAAACTGGCCATTGATTCTACCTACCAACTCATTCACCACAGATCTGAGGTATTGGTATTCCTCTACGTCACCACGACTGGGAACCGCCACCTGCACAAGCACAACCTTGCCAATCCACTCAGGGTGTTCGTTCAAAAAAACCTCCATGGCATGTAATTTTTGAGGGACACCTTTGATGTAGTCCAACCTATCGACACCGACAATGATTTTGACATCTTTAAAGGTTTCCTTGAGTTTGGTAATCCTCTCCACGACGCTTTCGCCCTTGAGGCCATCTGTAAATGTGTCCACGTCGATTCCTATTGGAAATGCGCCGACGTTGACAAACCTGCCCTCGAACTCAACACCGTTGGGCAACGTATTGACGTCGAGAACCCTTTGCACCGAACTGAGAAAATGTCTGGCGTAATCATAGGTGTGAAAACCTACCAGGTCACAGCTCAAGACACCCTTCAAAATTTCCTGCCGGACTGGCAAAATTCTGTAGATCTCCGAGGATGGGAAGGGAGTGTGCAAAAACCATCCCAGCTTAACATTATTGAGCCCCTTTTGCTTGATACCTGACCGTAACATCTCAGGCAGCAACATTAAGTGGTAGTCATGGACCCAAACGATGTCGTTATCTGAAACATTCTTTTCAATTTCACGCGAAAACGCCAAGTTCGCCTCGTTATACGCCAGCCAGGCGTTCTCGTCGAAATTTATTTCACCGGGATGGTAGTGGAACAATGGCCATAGAATGGAGTTACTGAACCCGTTATAATGTAAATCAGCCACCTCGTCTGTCAGAAAAATGGGAATTGCGTTGAACTTTTCGAGAAGATCCTTTTTCACCGTTTCTTGCTCTTCATCGGGGATTTCTAGGCCCGGCCATCCGTACCACTGGAAGGTAGTTGCCTTTTTGAGGCCCTGAAGAGCCGTTACAAGACCTCCGGAAGACATTGAGTACTCATACTCACCAGTGGCATTGTTCTTTTTGATGGTGACGGGCAGACGATTGGAAACCACGATCACATTACCAGGTTGATCCTTGATTTCGGTCACTTTCTCAGCCCCTGAATTTAAAGTGTTCTTGAGCTGACTGACCACTGATTCTGCCATCTTAAGTAGGTGATTATCCTGTTGATAGGATATGCTAATGGTTAGGTTGTGTAGGATCTTGCACTTTTACCTTAACCCCTTTCTTTATGGCCTTGTTAACACATCGTTATAAACGAGATGCATAGAGAAGATCATCACATGATGTGGTGCTACCGCATATGTGCCATGCCCATTATAGGTAGAGCAACAAAAACTACATCCAAGAAGTGGGCCGGTCTATACTTAGTTGTCTTAGGAAAAAATCCACATGCGCATGGCTAGCTCGCTTCATTTTCATGCCTGTTTAGTTACCGGTGAGGGCTTTTGGGGAGAAATTTGGAGACGTTATGGGATCTACAGTTGATACACATTGAGACCATGATGGAAACTGTTGAATTCGCTTAAAAAAACGAAACACTAGCAGGCTTTCCATACCGCAACAATTTGAAGCAAATTTTTTATATAAGATTCAACTGGGTCTCGACCTATTATATATTAGGAGCAGCTTGCGAAACATTGAGCAAAATCAGCGTTTCGGAAACTAAATCTAAAAAAAATAGTCGAAAAGTTGTATTGCAATGAAGACGTAGCCTTTGCCGTAGAAGGGAGATTTAGTTGAATGGAAAACCATGTGGCCTGGGCCAACTATCCAAATACTTTGATTGGTGCCAATTAAGAACACTATTGCCATGGTCAGGCACATCTGTGGCCCAAGAAGAGCTCTGCCATAGGGTCTACATCAGTCTGTTTTACTTCATAGGGTCTACACAAGCCTTGTGTGCATCCCATCATTTTCGGTTTTAGATGTCAAATGTGTCACCAAATGACACTGTGGTGGAGAGTGATAAACAATAATCTCGGAAAAGACGCATTGTGAATTCAAGAACCTTCTCCGCCAGCAGAGTTTTCAGCGGGTTTCAAGCAACCAAATATCGGAAAAAGCAAATTTGTCTAGCCAGAGTTGACCGTTCATACTAGATTCTATATGAAGTCTGGGGCAACCGACTCGTTCGGAGTATTTGTTCATGTTCATCAGCATTTTCGAAACAAAATATCATCTCAGCACCGAGAAAATACGCCTCCTAGCTCTCATTCACATATTAGATTGCGGGAAAGGTGAAACCAGCTATTTACATACATAAGTCATCACACGCCCACCAGACCGATCAAGTGACAAAGGGAGACTACCTGATAAATTTAGGACTTTCCAACCCTTATTCTCCATACCGAAGAGTGAATGAGACATCCGGAATGATCCTACATCGCTCTCTCTTCCGGCCATATGGACTGTAGCATGCTGCTCACAGCTTTAACTTTTCTCCATATAGATCACGTGAGCGAAGAGACATTATGTATGCATATATAATTGGACTCGGCTTGCGAACGACTTCCGTATGCACTACAACGAAGATACCTCGAGCTATCTCCCCGTTTCACTACCAAGCTTGGCCGTTTCCATACCGCATTTGGTGCATGTAGGGAAGTTGATAGTTCACAGACAATGGAGTATGATGACCCTATAATAAACCATTTTAGAGGTCAAGACCCCATAAGCAAAGAAACGCTGGAGGAACTCATAAAAGAGCAAAAGAACAAGGATTCAAGTTCAAAGAGAGGAACTGGAAAGCTACAACTAGTGAGGAGTAATGAACAAAACTGCATCCAATGTGAAAAAGCGCTGGCTCTCTTTACGGACTTGCTTAAGCTCCAGTACCTCATTCAAAAATCGTGGGACCTTCAGGCACTATGCAAGAGCGTTTTGGTACGATTCGATATACAGACAACAGGACTTAGCGGCCAAGAACCTAAGTTAGACCATGCGGAAACTTTTTACCGCGATCTGGCACTCAAAACCCTCACCAGATGCGGGAAGCTTTCTGAAGCGGTTGAAAAACTGTCCTTAGATTCTCAAGAGCTAAGGGATTACTTAGAGGTCCAATCCTCGGATGATCCTCGCACATGTCTAAGTGACTCGGCCTGTTTACTATTGGAGATGTGGTTTCTTTGTGGGAAAACAATGCGGTCTCTGAAACGCAATGTGGCCGCCTTGTTTATCAAAGCTAAGTTGCTTCTGATAGATTGTGAACTAGAATTGATGAAAGCCATAACCAAGGAAGATGGAAGCGCAACTTGGGGTGAAACAATTACTTCTTACAGATCTTTCATCAAATTGCTTTTACAGCAGATACAGGATGCGGATACTGATAACGATCAATCTTCCTTCGAAGAATGCCTTCAGGTCTTCCTTGACGTGGAAGCAATGTTCAATGCGATGAACATAAATTACATCTTGTATGAAACGCAGCATAATGACCTTGACCAGGAGTCTTCTTCAAACGCCAAATCCAGTATTGTTCAAGAGGCCTCGGAGATACGTGACATCAATGACTTAGTGGAGTCCTCTTTCAAAAATGATGCTTCTAATGACGAAAATGAGTTCGAACATCTTACGACAGGAAATTTTGAATCCTCAAATGAAAGAAGATTATCAGAAACATCGGCTTTGTCTGTCTCACTCATGATGGAAAAGACCTCTTTAAAACGTGAGCTTCCAAGCTTGTTGCAGGCATTTAACAATGCTAAGAGACTGGAACAAGAACTTGAAATCGCTCGTGGGGCCAAAGGGTCGACACCTGAGGGTTCCTTAACTAATTCGTCGCTGTCATCCTCACTTCTTTCTCCTTCATCAAGCATGTTTCTCAGTTCCGCGTCTAGATTTGGCAGTGAACTGGGAGGGGCAATGTACTCATCCAAAGCCAGCACTCATAGTGATGAGGAAACAAATCGGGCAGAAGAATTGCCAGCCAAGGGTAACAATCCAACGAGCTCTCTTATCCCGAGCAGTTTCACGAATCCAATAACAACAAAAAATGATAATTTATCAAGAGTGTCATCCTTACAAAAAGTCCCGCCTGCATTTCGCGCAACCCAAAATATTCAAGGGTTTGGTAGCGATGTGCTCAATAACCTTTACGGCTTGGGAAAAAAGCAGTGAAAGGGAGCGTATCTTTAATTCTCCCATGCATATTTCTACATCATTTCCGAACGCATATTCGATAATACTAGGATTTTTGACCAAGGAAGTAAGCTCATCTATTACAACATGCTCAACTTGTCACTATTTGTATATATATATTTTTAGTATCTGCATTTTACACGAGCACGTCTCTTGGAAGAAAAGGAGATCCTTAAATCAAAGAATCCTCCTGAGGCTTCTTGTCCGGATCTTCCTCTTCTTCCTCTTCGTCATCATCGTCCCTGGTTCTGTCGTAAAATTCGTCCAAAATCTTTGGAGAAATTCTGTTCAACATCTCCTTTGGATAGATTCTCAAGAGCGACCATGCTTGATCCAAACTGTCGAACACTGTTCTGTCCTCGTAGGCTCCTTGAGAAATAAAAGTTTTTTCGAATTTTTCCAAGAATTCTAAAGAGAGTTTGTCTTCAATAGATAAGGCTTCTTCACCAACAACGGCTTTCATGGCAGCGGCATCTCTCCCGATAGCGTATTTGGCGTACAGTTGGTTAGAGACATCGCCGTGATCCTTTCTAGTCATACCTTCACCAATGGCAGACTTCATTAATCTCGACAACGATGGCAAAACATTAATTGGTGGGTAAACACCCTTGTTGTGCAATTGACGATCAACGGAAATTTGACCCTCCGTGATATAACCAGTCAAATCCGGAATTGGATGTGTAATGTCATCATTGGGCATAGTCAAAATTGGAATCTGCGTGATGGAACCATTACGGCCTTCGACTCTACCAGCTCTCTCGTAGATTGTGGACAAATCAGTATACATGTAACCAGGATAACCTCTTCTACCTGGAACTTCCTCTCTTGCAGCAGAAACTTCTCTCAAAGCATCAGCGTATGAGGACATATCAGTTAAAATGGTCAGGACGTGACGTTCGGTCTGATACGCTAAGTATTCGGCGGTGGTCAAAGCCAATCTTGGAGTGATAATTCTTTCAATGGTTGGGTCATTGGCCAAATTTAAAAACAAGGAGGTTCTCTCCAAAGAACCGTTCTCTTCGAAGTCTTGCTTGAAAAATCTTGCGGTTTCCAAGTTGACACCCATGGCGGCGAAAACAATGGAGAAGTTCTCTTCGTGGCCATCATGAACATCCTTAGTGGGTCTAACAAGACCGGCTTGTCTACAGATCTGAGCAGCAATTTCATTGTGAGGTAGACCCGAAGCTGAGAAAATTGGGATTTTTTGACCACGCGCGATGGAGTTCATGGTGTCAATAGCAGAGACACCGGTCGAGATCATTTCTTCTGGGTAGATACGAGCATAAGGGTTGATGGGTGAACCGTTGATGTCCAAGTAGTCCTCCGCAAACACCTTTGGGCCATTGTCGATAGGCCTACCAGAGCCATCAAAGATACGACCCAAAGTATCCTCTGAAACTGGAATTCTTAGGTTTTCGCCGGTGAACTCAACCGACGTCTTCTTCACATCGATACCGGAAGTACCTTCAAACACTTGAACGATGGCTCTGTCGCCTCTGACTTCCAAGACCTGACCCTGCCTGATGGTACCGTCTGGAAGCGTCAAATTCACAATTTCATTGTAGCGGGGAAACTTCACCTTCTCTAAAATGACCAGAGGTCCATTGACACCGCCAACCGTGTTGTAGTTGAGCCTAGGCTTTATATTGAACCCTTGGCTCACGGCCTTCTTATTGAGGTCGTACAACTCCTTGTCAGAAAGCATTACAGATGTGAAAATAGTGATTGGGCTGACTTTCTCCACAAACCTTGTCTAGTTTTGCTTGATGAGGTGGTTCTGGATTCTATTTTCTACCAGAACAGGGGTCTTTCTTGTGCAAGATATCTTATCTTCACAGCACCACCAATAGCGACAGATTTTCCACGCTAGATCCACACAAGCTTTAAGCTGATAATAACCGGCTGTCTACACAAATTAGTGTAAAGGAGGAAGTCTATAATCTGAGTGGGATCTTTACTTAAAGGGGGAGCTCTGGAAAGGGCCACTGGAGATAATTTGGCTTTCTAGATAGAGGGGTGAAAATTTTGGAAATTACCCAGGTCCAAAAAGGCGGGTAAGTCCGAAGAGCAGACGACTATAAGAGAGCTGGTGAACGACGAGCTGGTGAACGGGAAAGATAGGACAAGTCATAGCTCACCATAAACCATTGAAAATGTGCTCGGAGCTGTTGAAAAGTCCACTCTTTTTTGCTTATTTTTGCCCTCTAGTTTTTAAAATCTTGCGAGTTAGGATATAAGATGGCGCATGACTAGAGCAGTTTGCAGACTACTCGACGAGGAACCACTTGTCATCCATAGTATTATTCACGCCGCCCAGGTTTTTTGAACCTTGCAACAAGTTCTGTAATTCATGGTGACAAACTTCGTAGTTGACGAAGGTCTCATTTTTGCTCTGGCACTCCTGTGGGATCTTCCGGTTCATTACCATGTAGTAGAAAAGCTTGTCTACGTCGTAGTCTCGCAGGAGGGCTCTTAAATGGGCCCTCTTGTCAGCGCAATTTTGTGGAATAAGCCCTAGGGTGCGTAAAAACACCAGCATGTTTAACACAATGCCAGTCAGGCTATGCAAAACTTCATTTGCAGGCGTCGTGGACGGAAGCTCTACCAGCAGCACTTTCGCCGCTAGCCTCAAGAATTCCCACATACTTCGAAGCGAGCACTCTACGACGTTGGTGGGCAGGCGATGAAGGTTTTGTATATTGATGATGGGTTGGAAGCTGATTGTGTAAGAAAACTCCGGATGCTCCCTCTCCCGAATAAGAAACAAGTGCACAAGAGTTTGGAACTTCATAGCTTTGGCGTTGGCCAAAACTTTTTGTAACTGGTCTAATTTAAACTGGTAGGTCTGGAAGCGATCCTTTCTATTTTTCAGCGAGAGTTCTCGCACCTCCGGGCGAGTCTCCAGCTGAAAGTCCGTTTCCTCGACAACTTCTCGTAGTTCTTGCGCCTGCTTGGCCTTTTCTTTCACCCGGATACGCGCCTGTTCCGTTTTGTGTCTGAATTTGTTAGTCCTCCGCTTCAAATGAGCTGTTTTGAGAGCAGAGAGGTTTCTCGCAAGAACGTCCTGGCTACGCGAGTCTTCATCCATGGCTTTCTCGAGAATGCTATCCACTTGCGAGCGCAATTGCTCATTGGCAGCACGTATATGGTAAAGTTCCAATTTGAGCTTCAGCAAAAGCTGAGGGCTTGTGTTGAGGCAGTGTCCACAATAGAAAACTTTTGCCTGTTTATGGCACGCACAACATGTAAGCGTCATGAGGAAAACAAATGCCGCTGGTCTGGTTGATACTTAATAGCTGTTGGTGATTCCATCAGCAAAATGACACGCCGTCGGGCGACCTTTACATGCAGAGGCAAAAAATAGAAGCAATGGTCCCTTAACAGTGTTGATAACGGCCTCTCAGAAACGTCCTTGATCCTTCTTCACAGATCTCTCATGGTGATGAATACCGAGCTTCTGGGAAACCTTATAAATCTTGATTACCAGTTTAGTACAAAGTGACCGTCAATAAATGCCCGTCTTTATCGGACTTTTAACAAGGCCATAGCTGCTAGCAGAGGCAAGGCGCTAGGGCGGACTACGACTGGTAATAAAGCTGGTAGCTCAGAGGCTACAAATAAGCTCGGAGACTGCTTAGGAGGATTGTTGACGGAGGGGCAGACTTTGACAAACACGTGATCAGATATTGATCACCGATAACAATACGGGTAAAACCGAACTGGAAACCTGAACTAGACGAACACACTGACACGGCATTTTGACTGTCTCTCGGTGCCTGTGAACACCACTACTTTGCCTTTATAGGCTTTGTCACTAAATACTCGTACAAAAATACTCACGTCAGACCATCGACGGTATATAATATGTATTATATATATACAAGGGTCGATCTCATCGCATGAAGACCTTCTTGTTAGAAGGTCGTTTCCCACAACTACGAGACACTGGAATTATTGTGAATCATGTACTCCTCGGACGATGAGCCTTTCAGAATCGCCATTCTAGGTGGGTCAGCAACAGGGAAATCGTCACTGGTATCTCGACTCACCGTAGGCATGGCTCCAGAAGTGCATTATCCTACCCGAAAGCAAAACAAATGGCTGTTTTCGTTCGACCCGACTGGAGAGCTAGCGCGTACATTGATGGATGAACGTCCACATCAGCGACAATTGGTGCGGACCGGAATATTAGGAAACCTACTTTTTGAGTCACCACAAATAACTCCACTAGTGTTGCTGTCGCCGGTCATGTTCCAGGCATTCGCCAATGAGTGGAAGGAAACCCGAAAACTAAGTTTAAATCAGAATTCCAAGCAGAGCTCTCGAATTCTTGACCCTAGAAACGAAGTCTACAACTACGAACAACGACAGATACCAGAGGGGACTTCGTCTGACCACTCTAGAACTATGCTGACCAATTCTGACACAAATATTCGAAGGACGATTTTGGCAAATAATCAGACGCACAGTAGTACTGAATTTGTCCTGCCAAAGGGCTATGACCCTCCCACGTTTAGTCCCATTTCTGTTGATATTGTTGACACACCAGGGTTTAACCCAGATATGGTGGTGCCATTTTTAGAGGTTTCCCTATTCAGAAACCTTGACAAGGACGTTTTGAAGGGCCTCGCAAACGAGCCTAAAAAGCCCGTTTCAACGACAAGCTTGCTAACCGCGTCTGGTGCGTCGGATCTCAACGGTAGCATAAATGGGTACATTTTTGTTTATAGCGCAGTTCCGGAACTCAATCACGGCGCCGAGCCACCCACATACGATGATGCTGGTCATGATGATAATTTGGGTCTCACTGCTTATTCGTCGAATGATTCACGCCACACATCTATCACGCCTGTTTCGAGCAATGCTAGCGCCGCGGAGAGGGAACCTGATGGTGGGTTATTTCTACTTACTACCATAAGAAATTGCATTCTTGACGCGTGGGCGGAATTCCGAGACTACCAACAAAGGTGGGCCGAAGGCAAAGAGGGGGACGTTTACTCAGTCATGTACAATTTTAAGCAAATGTGGAAATCTCAAAAGCAAAGGGACAAGAAGTTGAAGCAGTTACGTTCTTTCCACACAAAACCCAATGCTGTCGATTGGAATGCCAGCTCTCCGAACTCGCCACCACCCTGCATCATCATTTGCACACACGTCAACGATTCGCTAGCTAGCCCTCTTCTGCTCGAGCGAGGTCAAGAATTAGCGTTGAATTGGGGTTGCAGTTTTGTCGGGATAGATAGTATAGACAACTGTAATGTTGAAGTTGCGTTAGCATTACTGGTGAGGGAGTTTATCGAAAAGCAGAAGATTATAAAATCTGCATCAAAAAACGTTACCAAGTGATATTTGCTATCTATATAAATTCAGCTACCCTTATGATGCTGAGATATCAAGTATCAAAACTCTGCATGACAATGGATCCATCTTCATAGCCTGTAAATATCCAGTTCCTACTAGCAAAAGTTTCTATCCGTCTTTTTTGACCTGCGTTAAAGCATTCAATACTATTTGGCTTTTGCCTCTCCAGGCATGTCATGCTGCTCACCTTGATCCAGTTTTGTGTCTTCTTTTCTTCGGAGAAGCTGCCTGCATTGGAGACTTCAACTAGAACATTGCTACGTTCTTTGGCATTCGCAACAATTGTCTGACTGTTATTAGAGATTAGAGTTTGGCCCTTCCAATTAGTTGCGATTAGGCAGTTGGCTATGCTTTCCAGATGTGCTATCTCACTTGATTGCATCTTTAAAGCATTTTTTGATAAGGATAATTCGTTTGGGATAGCGACACCGCCAATTATCTTACTCTCGATGCTCAATTCAGCAACAGAGCTTAGGTTATGAATGCCAATAACGCTATTAGTTGAAGAACTGTAGACACTTCTTCCGTCGCTGCTGACACATAGAGATAGAACTGGCTCTGGATAATGGATCGAAGACGCATATACTAATGCAAGCACTGGTTGAGAATTTGGTGTCTCCAGCAATTGAACTCCCACCACAAAACCACTTTCAAAACCTAAAAAAACCACACCTTTGTGCTCTAAAAATTTCATCACGATGCCGGTTTTCTCCAAAGCATTATCACGCTTCCAGTTCGTTGCTGATAGCAAAGCATCATACAGATTTACTCTATTGAATTGACGCTTCAAGGAGTGTGGATCTTGCAAGTTGAAGGTGTAGACATCGAATGACTCGGAATCCACGGTATGACAGCACCAAAGACGATGGAGCCCATCTTCTGCTGGGGTTAGTGCGACGTTGGCAAAATTCAGCGTGTTAACGGGGATCTCATATACTTGATGTAATCCCTCACATTCATTTGTATCGTCGTGATCTTGACCAGTAAGGACCACGCAGTTATTCTTACACCAGCACAAAAACCGAAGTGTATGATCTTTCGATAGCAGTGTGATATAATGATCTAGATACCCGATAGACACGATATGGGCTTTTGATTCAAGTTGGTGTTGAAACCTGGGCCGACGAGCGATAAGATCCCATATTATTATTAGCCCGTTTCGATCGCCAGACACCAACATAGGGAATGCATTCAGATGAACAACTTTCAGGCAGGTCACTTCGCATTCATGTTTCCTTAGCGTATATATTGCGGATGCACCTGGCAGCATGTCTAATGAAGCATTGTTATTGAGTTGAAGGATTACAATTTGTTAAATATTTTTAAATACAACGACGCTCACATCTAATTTATTGATAATTGAAGTAGTACATTAAAAAATTGCGCGTCGTAGGGGTCACATATCCAGCCCTCTCGAGTTCGATTGTAACTGTTCTAAATTTTTTCTGGCTAAAGCACAGCTTTTGAGGTTCATGATCCAGTCAATGGTATCTTGTTCGCTAAGCGCGCGGAATTTCAATCGCTCATCATAGGTGATAATGGCAAAATCAGTAAAATTGCGTTGATTTCCAGCTTCAATGGAATCCACCACTTTTCGGAGATCTATCTGACGATAAAGCTTCTTAGAAGAGACCGATGTGATGTGTAATTTGGCACTATCCAACATCACAGCCACTTTTTTCCATGTCTTGCGACCAAGCCTTTTTCTTACCCTACAGTAAAGAATTCCTCTTTGAAGCTCACGAGGAGGGTCTTGCTCAGGGCTATAGGTTGCATAAAACTCTCGATCTTCTTCTGGAACTGGAAATAGGCGGGAAGAACCATCGTGAAACCCTGCATCCGGCCCAGCCTCGGAAATAATCTCAAAGTCGTCGTCATTGTCATCATTGTGGTCATCCTCGACCGCAGCATCTTCATCACTATTCTCATCCTCATCCTCGTCAGCGAAAACAGCAGTGGAAGTAGTACCAGCGTTTGCACCATCGTTCGCTTTTGCAGAGGTGGGCTCAGTTTGCGACCGTTGGCGTCGCCTCCCGACAAAAAACTCCTGTAGCGCCTCGCGCCACTGTTGCAACAGTTCCAAAGACTCTGTTTTGAGGGAAAAAGTTCTCCGCGTTGTATAGAGATCAATTCGAAGATCTTTATCAGAAATGCGGAAATCCAAGGTTTGATCGGCCGATATTACATCCAAAGGCTTGCGCTCTTGCTTGTCCTTGTAATAGCTGAATTGGCCTCTTCGTAAGACGCACCAGTAGCTATGGTATCCACTTTTACTGAATTTGTATTGGGAGGTGGCAGTCACTGCCTCGGGGTGACCGTTGGAGCTCGCAGCTGAGATAGGTCCTTCAATGGTTATCTTTCCTGTTGACGTAAAAGATTTTGCATGGAGAAATGAGGATACAAGCACATCGTTAGTGTGTTGAGTTGCTGAGAACAGCAGTTCTGTATCGCGGTCGGCCATTACTAGCGTGCCTCACGTTTTGTAGTTATGCCAAGGTTCATGCACCTGAACCGTCAGATACATTGTATAACAACGACGGCCCATTGATCATAGTCAACGAAATCGAGGTCGTTCAAGGCTGTGTAAACATCGAACAACACGGGTGAACTCAAAGCAGGGCGAGTATTGCCCGGTATCCGTACTTTGTATTTGACTGTTGAAGGAAAAGCTTAAAGCTAGGAGAAAGGAACATTATTTACTACCGATGTCTCGTCTATTTTCATACAAAACTTTTGGTTATCTTATGGGATTGCGCTGAAGGCGACCACTCCAGGTCGGTCTATAAATGACTAGAAGCTTTGGTTTAATTTTTCAGTGACGTCTAACGAGAGCTGTTGTTGGTGGCAGCGTGATTTCTGTTATGATCGACTACCTGATATGGCTTTGCCTACCCAATGTGAACGGTAGAACTGTAGGAGGTCTTTTGAAAGAACCCAGAAGCACAACTCTTTCGGAAGCTTTGCACCTCTTCCTCATTGGCTGCCTGTTTGTAAGCCTGCTAGGATGATGCTCTAGAATTTTTTGTTCTGGCCCTAACTTGACCTCTTATTTCGTAGCTCGGCGAGAAATAAACAAGAAGCCCTAACCGCATATCCCTCATGTTCATTGTATTCAAGGCAGTTGGAAAGCAAGTAACACAAAAACGAAAGACAGACGCATATATGCAGGATACATGCAGGATGCATGCAAGGAACACATGCGGGGAAGGCACGAACTATTAGGCCTTGGCAAACCACGTGATACATGTTTTGCTGGCCAAGATGCGCTGTCTAGGATGCTGATAGCCAATCTGATGTAATCGAAGCAAACGACATGGCTATTTGAAGTGGCGTGTACTAGTTAATAGAAATAATCGGTGCGTATGGGACTGAAGAGGGTTATACGCTATTTCTTTTCCAAAATTAGGTATGACGATCGCTTTATGATTTTCAATTGCGATTTTGTATGCAGTGAGGGTGTTTAAAAACTTTCCTCGTTGAATGCCACATTAAAATGGTGGCCTATTGGGATTCGAAGGCCAAATTATCGCTGGTTTTGTAAGAGGTTTGAGAAGGAGTCCTCTTTTTTTTGTAACCGGAAAACGGCTTGGGATGGCTCTTGGAGATAGAAGCGTTGATGTCAACCGTTGGCGTCTCACCAGAAGAGTTCCTAGAAGAATGCATGGTACTTCTTATTGAAGTTGATCGCTTCACGCCGGGCAGCGAGCCAGGGGGGGTCATGTGCGTTGACGACGAAGAGCTTTGCCTCAATCCGGGGATGGAGGAAGATGCGACGGTAACGTTGGTCCCGTAAAAGCTGCTTCTTTTAACCGAGGACGACGATGAATTGCGCGTTTTAGGGATCCTGATGTGCTGCGGATTTGAAGAAGAAGCAGGTCCTCCGAGATGCGCCGGGTTGGAAAACACGCCAGAGGTGCTAGATTGAGATGGCAAAGGTGATCGAGACGCGGACCTACTAGTATCATGCCCATGCTGATCTGAGAAGGAAGTAGGCGATTCAGTATGGTGATTTTGGGTGTAATCGTGCATTGTCTTTCGATACTCGCGATATAGATGCTCCCATTTTTGCACATCTAATTGTGCTCGCAACTCATCGCATTCATTATTCAATAGCTGCCGTTTTTCTTGCTCCAGTGAAGCCATAAGGTGAGACTTTTGAGAGTATTCCTCGAGCCTGGTATTTAATACAGCATTGCTATCCGTGAACGTTTTGAGAGTTTCCTTTAGATGAAGCTGATGGTCCTCTTTGAACCTCTCCAGTCCCGCTCTCAACTCTTCTATTTCTCGGGCATACTTCTCCCGCTGACGACTTTGGCCATCCAGAAGCGCATCATATTGTACCTGAACCTGTTCAAGTTGTTGTCCCAATGTTGTTTCTCTCTTAGTATAGCCTTGTAATTGGCTGCTCATAGATTGATTTTCAGAAGCCGCCTCTTCGTACTTGCGCTGTAAGTGTGTCTGTTGCTCTTCTACATCCCGCAAACGCCGTTCTTTACGGCTGAGCATTGTGTTGAGATTTTCATTCTCGTGCTTCAGCGTTGATATGGTTTCCAAATGCTTACTGTGGGCTGCGTTTGCCGTTTCCAAGCGGGATAATAAGTTATTTGATTGCACCGTTAATTCCAAATTGGTTCTCGTTAAGTTATCAATTTGCGCATGCAATCCTTCTATAACTCTGGTGCTCGAAGACCCACCGTAAGAGCTCTCTCTAGAAGGACTATGCCCATTCTGAATATTTGCCATGAATGTGCCATGATTCTGACTCAATTTCGAAGGCGAGAGCTTTACGGGAGAGTTAAGTCTAGAGTTCAACATCTCATCGGGCGTGCTTCCCATATCTGGCTTCTGAGACGATTGGAGCAATACTTGTGATATCTTCAGCTTCAGATCAAGAAGCTACTGCTGGCCAGATTTGCGAATAGACAGTTTCAAGTTATTAGTACATAGTGATTATACACTGATGAATGATCCATCTGTATTCTACTTCAAGGGATCAAACGAGAGTATGACTCCGTGAAAGCTATCTCTTAGACATTATAAATGGCGATCTTTTCGATTATATTTACATCCCCAAACCAAACTGCTGAGCCATTTGTTGCATTTGAGGATCTTGCATCATTTTCATCATTTCATCCATATTAGGCATACCTCCCGCTCCCATTCCAGGCATGCCGCCTCCTCCACCTCCGAACATATTCATCATATTCTTCATCATACCTGGATTTTGTCTGAGCTTCTGCTGGGCCTGCTGCATCATAGCTGGGGAGACTTGAGGCATACCAGGCATTTGAGGCATACCCGGCATTGCAGGCATACCTCCAGGGCCTCGTTGCCCTCCTTTGGTAGACTGAGCCATGCGGGCCATCATTTGTTGCTGCATCAATATCATTTCAACTTCGAGAGCGGAAGTACCGGAACCTTTGGCTACACGGACGATACGGCTTGGTTGGTCGATGAAGATGCGACCATCCGATTCCAATTCCTGTTGAGTCATAGAGTCCAGAACGAAAACCATCTTTTTCATACGCTTGGTGGTTTCTTCCTCGCTCACCTGGTTCAACATATTACCCATGCCAGGAATCATACTAGCAATGTTCGACAGTGGTCCCATTTTCATTATAGTTTGCATCTGCTTCTGAAAGTCTAAAAGTGTGAACTTACCCTGTTGTAGATTTTCCATCGTAGCCTTGGTATCTTCTTTATTGGAAACAGTTTGGAAGTGTTCCAATAAGCTTTCAATATCACCGATACCCAAAAGTTTCGACACAAACGATTTAGGAGAAAACTTCTCGAAATCGTGTACATGCTCACCCGTACCTATGAAAATGATCGGAGTTTTCGTAGCTGCAACAGCAGAAATAGCACCCCCACCTTTGGCATGGCTGTCCATTTTGGTAAGAATGATCGCACCAAAGTCAGAACTATCTTTGAATGCTTTTGATTGCTGTTCGGCGGCTTGACCAATCGATGCATCTAGCACCATAATCGTCTGGTTTGGTTTGACCACCTGCGAGATTTCGACCATCTCCTGGAACAACTCTTCTTCCTGACGATGCCTACCGGAGGTATCCACGATAATTACTTCGAATTTCTCTTTTTTAAACTTGGCAACACCTTCTTGTGCCACTTTCACAGGGTCAGTCTCCGTATAGGACCCATAAAATGGGATACGTGCCTTGATGGCGTTTTGTTTAAGCTGATCAAATGCACCAGCACGAAAAGTGTCTGCGCACACCAGTCCAGTCTTGAAGCCTCTCTTAGAGTAATACACTGCCAGCTTGGTACACGACGTTGTTTTACCAGAACCTTGCAGCCCAACAAACATAATTACGTTTTGCTTGCGTTTCTTGGGTACATATGGCTCCGTCTCACCGTCGACTAACTTGCAGAGTTCGTCAAATACTGTCTTCTGTATCAGTTTTTTAGTCTGGGCGTTGTCTATTGATCGGCTTTTGGAGTCCAACAATGACGTTCTGATGTTGTTTCTCAACGCAAATACCAACTTGATATTGACATCGCTCTCTAAAAGTGCCGTCACGATGCTCTTCAACATGACGTCCACCGTTGTAGTGTAATCATCCTGAGAATTGGATAGCGCGCTGTTGACGGCTGTGTTGATCCGTTTTCCCAAATCTGCCAACACCATACTCCACTTACAATACTTAGAAGTCTAATATCTGAACAATTCGAGATTACCAGCCGTCTATGAGAAGTCCTGTGCACTTGTCAAGTCGTTTTGATCTGATGATTGTTGTCTTTAGTGGTCAAATTTTTTCCAGATGCTTTAAATTGAGTTTGACAATCAATTCAACTTTCATGTGATAGATTAGTCTCAACAACTTGACAGCCTAACCCATAGGTTTTAAGTTCCATTAGCGAATGATCCAAGGTTGATTTCGTGTTTCATTCTGGTACCTGAACCTGTTTCTGTTACAGGTTCTCAAAATGCTACAATTCGTGACGGTATTCAATCCAAGTTTTAGTACTAGTGAGGACGATGCAGCGAAGCAACTTTTGTTGTTCCATTCGTTCCAGGAGAACGAAAGTATGTCCTTGAATAATAAACTTACACAATTAGGTATGGTACAAGCCCTCTGGCGATTCTCAGGAAGTTTTGCGGATTCGGAGGGCATCGGAGAATGCGTACAGGAGTTAGACAACGCCCTTTTGTGCACCATTATTGTTGAAAAAGACTTTTTTATAACAATAGCCGTCGCGGCTACGGACCGGGAGACACCAGCGACGTACGTTCTTGCCAGTCTGCGGAAATGCTATAATTTCTTCGTTTTGCAGTATGGTTCTTGGTCGCATTTCGAGAGCTCCAAAGAGCTGACCGATTGTCTAAACGAGGTTTTAGTACCATTCTGGACGGAAATCAACTTAGTGCCGAGCCATTTGTGCTACAAAGGGTTTCTTAGTTCGTGGCCAGAATTCTATAAAGTCGCAGAACTCGAACATGGCTCTGGACAGCAGGAAACCGTTCAATCTTCTTGGGAAGCTGATCTGAAAGAGCAAATTCTACTGGATGACACCTCCTTTCTGGGTATTCAGGATGTTTTGGTGTACCACTTGCCTAAATCGACATCTCGCAGTGGCTACAAAACTCATGGCCTGGTGAGGAACTTTACGCCGGAGTTTGATTCTCTGCCGTGTGTCTCGAACTGGATCGAACACTTAGATACCATATACACGAGGCTCTCTAGCCACGTCATTGCGGGTAATGTGCAGTACAAGGAGATCTCAGAAGAGGAAATGGCAGATACGGTACCCGAAAATAATGAGCATGAGATTGAATCTACTGGCCAAGTATTAATGAATCACGGAAAGAAGATTTACCATAATTTTACACTCCCGATGTCATTTGCTTACGATGCTGTTCAGGAGGTCGGCACCATGACTGGTGTTTCTAGCAGTATGGCCTTACTGACTGATTTGATGCCAAAGTTACCAAGCTGGGGTTCTTGGACTGGCGCGGCTGAAAAGAAGCCTAAATTAGCCAGAAGCGAATTTTTAATTTCACCACTGTCTGCCGATTTTTTGCCCGATTCTTACAAAGTCAAAAAACTATACCTCTCTTACGGTGGTGTCGTTGATACTTTCAACTGCTTGTTTTGGTATTATAACGAGGTTCTCGTTGTACTGATCTTCAAAGAGAACTTTAAAAAAATTTGGGATAAAGAGTATTTGCATGACACTCATTTCAAGCTAGTCCATTGCATTTCTAAACTATACGCATCACACCTCAATTACAACCGCCAGTCGGTTACGGACAACTTTTGTTATGCCTCTATCTCTAAAAAGACCAAACAGATAAAGAGCTCTTTCCCGCTCTGTAAGTTCCAGCAGAAACCAGAAAGCGCCTCACCTCTCGAGCTTGTGGTCAGTGGATTAGATGAATTTCTAACTTTGGGCCCTAACAGAAAAACCTCAGTCGCTACTTTGAATCCTTCACAACAATTAAGCGATGAACCGGCTCCAGGCAATGCTACCTGGGGATTAAGCTTAATGGGCAGCATTTTTAGAAAGGAACAAGGAGATGAATTGAAACCGTTGGTAGATACATTCCTCGATTATATGCCTGCTGAAAAGCTACAGCAGCTGCACCTAGATATCGTCAGATTCATCAACACATTAACTACTTCAAAACGATCCAATGATATAAAGGAGGAGAAGCTAATAAAACTGAACAATGGTATCCTCTGCTTTCTATGTGATAATTCCGAAGAAACAATAGTATTAGTTGAAAACTGGTTCAACAAAAGTACTGCTAAGCACAAAATGAGAGGCGGCAAGCATACTTTGGTGGGGCATATGGGACCTGAGGCATATCAGTGGTGGAAGAAAGTTATACAATTGTAGCGTCCGGCGGGGAAGTTCTAAAAACTATATTAAAGGGCTGCCAATTGAAATCAAGTCAGTCATGTCGCGCAATATCCATTTTTCACGGATATAGAAGAAGGCCTGACTCTTGAGAATCCTCATCTGCAAACAAAAAATCTGAGCTCATGAGATTTCTAGTTGGGTAATTCATGCTGAAAGTGCTAAAGTGTTATAATGCCACACAATTGATTTAAGCACTAGGTTTATGATTCATTATGTTTACATGAAAAAACTTTTCCTCCCCCGAAGGGCACTGCAAAGCCGGTCGCAAGTATTAGGGAGCTTTTTAATGATCGGTACAGCAGTGAGCAACGTTTCAAAGTATTTCCTAACTACTTTCGATATAATACCGAAACTAATTAACTTTTCCTATATGAACATCTTGGCAGCTGGTACTGCCACTTAGGGAGCAGGTATTGGAAAAAAACTGATAGGTTGTAAATCCATTCATGATCTCGTGTTGTTCAATCGCTAATAAACCAGAAGTCAAATCAACATTCCTCGGATCCTTTGGCCAGGTAGGTTTTTTGGTCAGGATAAATTTATGGGTCAAGTATATTCCAAGGTCGACGAATATCATCAAGTAACAGAAGAGAAAATCCTTCAAACTCCATTGAGAGGGATAAAATACCGAATATCCTTGGACAATTATCATAATAGATACGGATGTAAGCCCTAATATAGCGGTATAGGGCTGACCCCAAGACTTAAAAGGAAGATTTGGTAACGTGGCATGTTGAGCTCTGTAAGCGCGTCTGAAAAATAGGTAGGTAATGCACAAACATGCGAAGTTTATTAGCTGAGAAGCGGTGATCAAATTTATTAGCCAATTAAGAACAATCGCACTATTAGAATTCAACTGTAACAAACTTAAAAGTGCCCAAAGTAAAGAGACAGCTACGGCCCAAATCGGTACTCCATGGTGATTGCATTTTTTGAAAATATGTGGGGCATGTCCGTCCAGAGCTAGCCCATGTAAAACCCTTGAAGAACAGTAAGTATAAGCATTGCCAGCAGAAAAGGCCGCTGTAATCAAAGCTGCGTTGACTACATGGGGAAGAGTCCGAATCCCCAAATTGCTCATTGCGATAACATATGGGGAGGCGCCAGCACCTGGACGAGCTTCATTAATTGCCGCAGTCAAACCCTGATCGTTAGCACTGCATAAAATCCCGACACATAAGCTACTTCCCAGAAATAGCAGCGTCAGTCGATTGAATACATGCTTGAAAGCAATTGGAAGAACTTTTCGTGGAATACGAGTCTCTCCTGCCACCATCGATACATAGTCCGGTCCCGCTATAGTGAAGGAAGCCTGGATGAGGCATGCTAAAAAACCTTGAAAGTAGCCGGCAGAAGGAGAACCAGTCTGCCCTGAAGGGAAATACTCTTTGAAAGGGGCATCTAATAAGTTGCGAAAACCAAATCGGTCCCGTCGTGGATTAGCTCCAAGCATTGTAATAAAGGTGAATATAAATAAGCCTGCCGCGAGAAAAATCTTGAAACTAGCCAGCCAGAACTCCATTTCGCCATAGTATCGAACAGCAAACAGGCTTATTACCAAGTAAAGCACAACTTGCAAGAACAGAGGGATGGCGGGTGAGTAGTCGTCTCTCCAGTAGTGTATGATAGTATTGACCGCCACGATTTCGAACGGGATTTGAACACACTCCAGGAACCAAAAGTTCCAACCCGCCATGATAGCCATAGAATCGTCCACGCAACGAGCCGCAATGCGCAGAAATGGCGAATCCAGTGGTAGATAGCACACCATTTCTGCCGTTGACACAGTGATGCACAAAATTGGCACGCACCACACTGCCATGCCCAGGAGCAGGAAAACGGAGCCTCCATGATATAACGACTTCCCTATATTGACGAAAAGCGCAGTCCCAATCACTCCGGATATCCCAATAAGAAGAACATGTCTATGGTGTAGTTTACGGTGAGTGACAGTGTCACTGTAAATACTGACACCCTGCATGCTTTCTTGCGTTGAAATGCCTTCCTCCGCCGTGTGAGAATTGCCTTCTCCTTGGATATCCACTTTTGGGAGCAATTCTACACGTTGATACCCATCAGCCAGTATTCCATAACTCATTGTAGTTTTACACAGCTCAATGGGTTTCTAAGCAAGTCACTAAACTTTGACGCTGACAGGGCTGAACTGTCCCCCTGAAAAGTGAACTCCCGAGAAAAATATCTGAAATATCAGACAGCGTCAGATTTTCTTCGGGGCCTATCTCAATGCTACGCTGCAACCGTTCGTTACTCACAGAGTTTTGATTATGACTTCTTTACTGCTGTCATATATATATATGTATATCATATATATATATTATAGATATATGATAATATTATAAGTACGACATTGTAATTGCGTTATCGATATTTGTGAACTAATTGCTATACATATTGAAAGATGGAATTGCCAGGCGATCCGTGGGGTTCTAACGAGAGCTCGAACCGTCCTGCTCTTTCAGGTTCACACTTCAAAGCACTGAAAATCCAAGAAACGCTGATTAACTTAAATAACACGGGTGAAGCATGGGAAAGACTCGCACTTCTAATTGGTGAGGATAACCCAAATACAGCTCTCTTTGAAGACATACTGAGGCAAACTAATGATTTAAATGACAAAACAACTACGGGCGTGACTTTGCTTATCTACTGCATAGTTTTTGACCACCCTGATCTGATAGAAATCCTTCACGGGTCGGGACAACTGGATCCCAATGCTCCAGATAGCCTTTTTTCAAATTCACCGCTTACATGGTGCTTTGACCTTGGCAGACAGCAGTGCTTGGTCGAGCTTTTGAATTTCGCTGACGAGTTGGACTTCGATTATAAGAACCCCGGAGGATCTAGGGCGCTGGACACTTTGGTGCCCGATTCTGAAATGTACGAGTTCGCTAAAGACCACGGTCTTTTCCGGTTGGCAAATGCTTCGAGGAAAGACTTTGATTCACGCGACCAAGATCTGTACAAGGGCCCTAGTACCGTTTTTGGAGGAACGGACGTAGATCACACTTTAGAACAAATAAATTTACAGACTGCGGGGCTAACCTTTAATGATGAAAACGGAACATTTGATACCGAAACCAAGACGCCCGACCATGAGTTTGCGGGCCAGTCGCACAGGGGGTCGGAGCTTTGCCAATTCGATTTCCAGCATATATTGCCCGAGCAATTCATTGAGTTTGCAGACTATGATATTCCACGTCTTTTAGACCTTGTCCTGTCTCTACCTTCCAAAAGGCCCCATAAGACATGCATTCCCGCCGCTGTCATCTTTCAATGCTTGCGACATGCTGATTGTAACAAGCACAGCGCCTCTCTGGTGGAGAGCATGGCCCATTTAGCTCTGACCAAGGTTTTAACCTCGGTAGCATCTTCGTCCGGTGGCGTTCTGAATGGTTCAAACGGTGATATTGTTCTACAGTCATATTGGCTTTCGGCTTTGAACTTTCTATTTTACTACCTTTACCGCCAAGAAGGCTTTTTCAAGAGGTACCCATCCGTCCTACAAGAGTTGATCAATGGCATGCGCTCTCTTGTCATTGAACTAAACTCATCAATTTTTTCGAGAATCGAACCGTTGATAGATTCCACGATATTGGAACACACTACAATCGCAGAGGTAAAGGAGACACTTTACAAAAAGGACTGGAACTTATTCAAAAAAAGAAAGCATCACCTGCGAAGGAGCGATGCTCGTGATTCTTATGACCAGATAATGAGAATGCTATATCCTCCAGATCTTGACGAACAAATGAAACCCTCTCCTCTGAAGGTAGTACAAATATTCGGCGCTCTTTCTTACGTGCTGGATCTTCACCAAGTGCATCCATTGATTGCGCAACAATGCTTATCACTGGCTCTTAAATGGTTTTCAGTCGAGCTATTTAAGAAAATTATGGAAAATAAGAAGAAATCCTTATCTCGTGCTCATGCAATTCAGATAAGGTTGAATCTTTCAGTTATACAAGATTGGATCAAAAATCATAACTTCAAAGCTTCTTTCCCGATTATGATGGACGAGTTTATGTGGCAAAGGTTTCCATACACACTAATTTTGGACCTCGGGGACATCGATAAATCACAAAGGCCTGTCGAGCTAAGAAACGTAAGTCTTTACAGGCCTATAAAAGATAATAATACTGAGGATCCATTCAATTCAGCATTTTACTATCAGTCTTTTTACCAAATCTCAAAAATCCACATGGAGCCATGTATGCAATTATTACAGTGGCTCCAGGTGGCCACGTCTCTTCAAGATGAAGAGAGCCTTCAGTCCACTTTATCAATTCTAAACAAACTTACCCCTAAGCAGCTCCACAAGTCCATGAGAAAATATAGATATGAGCTGGAAGAGCATCAACTAGATTCTAGTCTAAGAAAGAAGCTCTCTTTGATGTCTAAGGAAACTGATGAAGCGGATAGTAAAACTTTCGAAAAGCCCTTGTATCCTCTAGTCTTACCGACAATTACAGAATTAACTGAAATGTACACTCAGCGCGAAGACAGCGACGAATTTTTGCCCCTTATCCCGCTCGATATACATGACGAGGTCGACGAAATTCACGAACAAAACACGATTCAGCGAGCAATGGAACAAAAACTAGTCAATGCTTCTGAAAGGAAGGAAGAAGAATTGGAGGTGGAAAGTACCAGCTTACCTTTCGAAAATGAAAATGGCGATGAACTTTTTAAAGAGATTCACGCTCCGTCATCGGCCGCACAACGTCCGCTTTGGGCGATTAACAACGATATCGAAGAAAACCCATGGTAAAAACTGTCTTTTTGTGTCGTATTTATTAAATATATACGGATTATTATTCTATATCAATTAATGATATAAATGCTACTCGTTCACTCTCCTTTATCTTAAAATTCTTAAATTTGATTTTATCTCAGGTTGATGCTGTAAGACTCCCCACCAACATTTTGCATTTCAGTCACACCTGTCTTTACTCTAACATGATATTCCTCACCAGCAGAATTTTCACAACTTCTAGAATCACGACCTCCATTTAGATCAAAAACAGGGACATTGTTGACGTCAAGGCCATGAATGTCTTGAACACTTTTCCAGCCATTTTGATAGCCATTTAAAAATCCGCTTTCGCTATCAGAGCAATCAAACATGTCGTCCTCTTCATTCACTAAGTTCTGAGCCTCATCAGACACAATGGCAGAAGGCTGAAACTGGGCAAAAGTACTTTTGATTCCCATTGATGGTGGAGATGAGTAAAGCTTATTGTTTTGCTGGGAGCTTTTTTGAGCACTAGGTAGCGTGTGCTTTTCCGCCTGTTGAGCACCATAACTTTGCTTTTCCGCCATTACTAGATAAACGAATGAGCTTACAGACCACTCGTACCAGAATTTCTTCTTAGAATAGTCATGGTTGCGAGTCATGAATACTTCAAGTTCAGAGTCATCAGAAAGGAAAAAAGGTTGCCTTAGAGGAAATATGATAGGCGACCAAGATTCCATATTTGGAGTATGCTCACCCTTTAAATATGCATCTGAAGTACTGGAAAGACTTGAATTTGATGCGTTTGCTAGTTTAACTGTTGTCCCGTTTGGTAAGATAGATAAGTAAACACCACCAAAAAGTGATGCATTAAAAAAGCCAATCAGGCCATGGATCTCACATTTGTTTTTGATTTTAAAGTCAGTGACGCATGACTTACTCAGTTGAGATTCATTCGAAGTATGGTGAAATGACCAAACTTCATTCACCTTAGTGGAAGTTATGCAATAAGGAATATTGTGAATGACCCAGGGTTTTTCAGATGGATCCTGGACATTTATTCTTTTCAAAGTCTGGTGAAGTAGTGGTGCAGATACCGGGGCAATGAATGAAGAGTAGCTTTGGGGTATAAATATGGTTGAAGGTTTGCTGTTGTACCTCTCCACGTGCGACAAGCATTCGGGGGACAGCTCGTTACATCCAAATGAACCCAACAGTTCACTTATACAGAGGTCAATCTGGACGTCGCTTCGCCAAGAGCATATATCGTTTTTTGCAATCTCAACACAATCTTTCCAGTATTCGTGCTTGCGCTTTTGCAAAAAAAGGATAGCTCGAGAGCTTTTCTCCAAAGCAATGATTCGAAAGTTTATAATTTTCAGCTCAGTCGCAGCCTTGAATGCCTCATCAACCAGTGGCCCTCGTCCTGCCCCAGCAACCAGAATTACCAATGGACTTTTGGAGGCTGCTAAATCTATCTTTAGCTTATGGAGTGCCTTGATAATTGCTTTTCCATAAAGATGATACTTGGTTTTGTCCTGTTCAAAATTTTGATATACTGCATTGGAGATGTCAGTCGAATAAGGATCAAGTGGTGGCATCACGCGTGGCTCCACGAATGCATGCATATTTGAATCCGCTAACATGATTTTGTCGCCTCTCTTGAGTAGATAGTTGATGTACTCCAGATAAGCCGCTTCACCACCTTTTACTTGGAACGCGTACTTTTCGACGCCATGAAGAATAACGCATAGTTCCGAAAGCTTTGGTTGGGAAGAGGCATTAACTTTCTGAAACTCGAATATGATCTGCTGATTGTACTTGTTGAGAACGGGGTAGTTGTACTGATTTGTAGCAAAAATTGAGGAAGAGACTAAAAGGCAGGTCACTGGTTCGGCAAGCCATCTTTGCAACACATGCGTGGGTACTCTGTCGCGCGGGAGGGCCAGCGATATAGTCAGTCTTGGATGGTAGGAGCAAATTTTGCGTACCGTACACCAAAGTTCCCAGGTGGAAAGAGGATCGGAATCTTCAAAGAATGGAAGTGAAATTGAAAGCACTGGGGCTTCATTCTCTTCGGCATCATTCCACTGGTGAAGTAGCCGCGCCACCATTAGCGCGTACCGATTGAGATGTGCCAAATTCTTTGGCGGGGCTAGAATCAGCTGTTTGATGCTCATGAATGTAGCGTAGCGTTGCTCGTTTGCAAGAACTTGCAGACTCAGCTCTTGAACGTATGGGTCTGGGCTCTCCAAATCAACCCAAGATGCCAACAAACCTATCAAAGCGGGTGCGTCCCTTTTGAGAGACTGTGGAAGCATGCATAGATCTTTGAGCTGCGGTTCGGGAACTTCTAGAATACCATTTTGGCCTTCTAAGTGCCGCTGCCTGTGTTCCTGGAAAGTACTCTTGACTCGATCTCTGTATCTGCTGTTGGTGATGGGATGTAGCACGTAGTCATACCGATCTTCCTTGGGCTCACAAGTAGAGACCACAGATCCCAAAACCGGCTTTAGACCAACGAAGACATTACTCTTCATATCGCTTATGCTCTTTGATTTTTTGGTGTACCAGTGTGGACGCTTAATATCAAATAGTTTTTCTGTTTACATTTGGAAGCCTGTGATGGAGAAGGAAATTCGTTCCATGCGCGTATAAAATAGCACCTGTCGGAGCCATTTCGCCTTAATACCGAGAAGCTCATGACTGCGTTCTGGTTCATTTTGACGTCGAGTAGGAGTCGAGCGATCTTTTGTAGGACATTCAGAACCTGGACCTTCCACACGTTGGTCTTGCTTTGAGTACTAGGACACAGTATTAGGCCAAGCCGGCCCTAACAGGCTATATACTACGCCATTTATTCTAGAGTTTTCTTTCTCTTTGAAAGTGGGATTGCTGCTTGAGGAATGCTCAGGTTTCTTCCATGAGCCATCAGTATCAACGTGGTAGTGATTCAGGTAAGAGCCGGGCTAGTTTTGAGGACGGGTGCATATACCAGCAGTATCTCTTCCTGAAAGTCATAGGCATTTGTTGTGAGCATGCGGTAAAAAGCGTACATCGGCTACCCGAAGGCAGCTCAAGTCAAGTAGAGCTCTCCTCAGGCGGTTGTGTGATTGCCAAGCTTCTCAACAATTTGAGAAGTAAGCTCGAAGCTGGCTCTTGAGCCTTCATGCGCCTGGCCACACATTACTTGTTATCTTAGACTCTCCCAATTACAACAAGGAAACCGGGATATACCACCAGCCGACCATCCAGATCCTCAAGCCCGCTTACTGCAAAGGAATAGGAATTAAGGCTCATAATTCCTTATGAGAACTGAGAAAGCCTGATTTAATGAAGCCTGGTGGCCTATGTTAATGATTTGGACCTCAGCGGCTATTTTGAGAAAAGCTCCGAATGACCAAAACATAGATGCAATATGCTAGTGACCTCTAGGAGCAAAGATGTGGTCGTTTCTAACTTCCCGGATGGAGCACATTCTTATGTTTGAAGCTCGAAGGACAAGCTGCCAGTCTCACTTCTTGGAAGGTGATGCTAAATGAAACGACCAATCAATTAGTTTGGCCAGCAGTTATTAAAAATATAAAATGCTCTAAATAAAATTCGTATACACAAATACCGTTCAAGAACCTAGAGAAACTATGTGACTTAACTACTGGTTTGACGGAGATCAATTGGAATATACTATTTCATAAACCCCCCGAAACCCTAAAAGAGAGGTAACCTTGGTTCACCAGCAATCGCTAATCCTTTCACCGCAAATAAGTGGGCTGAGTGGTCAAAATTTTCCAAACCTCAGTCCATCAAGGGCACCATATAAAGTAATTCAAGTCCTGAACCTTATCCTCAGTTTCACCAGTGGTGAGGATCATGCTCGAACGTCCATAATCCAAACTTGTACTGAAGATGGTTTTCGTTCAAAGTGCCTTTTATCTAGTAAGATGAATTAACTCGTACCGCATGTAGGCAGCTTCGAAAACGTCAACACGGCCAGTTAGAGACATGTACCAACACGGTCACGCATTCCAGGGCAGGAAATTGACCGATCAAGAAAGAGCGCGAGTGTTGGAGTTCCAGGATACTATTCACTACTCTCCCAGGTATTCTGACGATACTCATGAATACCGTCACGTAATGCTACCCAAAGCTATGCTTAAGGTCATCCCCTCTGACTACTTCAATTCCGAAACTGGAACACTTCGAATTTTAACGGAAGATGAGTGGCGTGGGCTCGGCGTTACCCAGTCGTTAGGCTGGGAACACTATGAGTGCCACGCTCCAGAACCACACATCCTGTTGTTCAAGCGCCAGTTATGATTTTGAGAACGATGCATATAAAAAAAGAGGAACGCAAGAATGAAGAGGTCGTATACAAATGTTGGCCAGCTCAGCGGTATGAAAGAAATTAGGGAAGCGAGTGCGGCACAACACTGATGCAACAAACGGGCCACGACGCCTGTAAGTCAGTTCACATGGTGCGCGAATGATGTGTAACAGTATTATCAAGCCGGGCTTAAGTGCCACTTGACTGCAGCATACTTTTATTAAATGAGCGAGGTCAAGCTTCGTATAGGATAAAGAGAGACCCCACACACACAGCACAAAGGATGAGTTAGCACATAAATGGGTTGAAAAGATAGATACATAACTCTCAAACAGCAATATCGATAGTTTTCTGAAGGTCACACGCGTAGAAAATCGTTATTTGTAATTACCGCTTCTCAGTTGCTCCTGCCCGCCATATTCTCATGAAATATCGTTCTTTCTCTGTTTGTATTAAAGAAAATGAAGAATGCTCTTTGAACAGTGGAGTGGACTTTAGTCGAAGCTCATACGCCAAATTTCAAGCGGAGAAGTATGCTTTTCCAGTGGTTCTCTGAAGTAATAAAAGAAAGGACGAGTCCTGATTGATTATAATTCACTAGTACCACCACTCTGAGAATTGCATATCAGCCAGTGAGCTCCAAGTATCAACTTCTGTTTCCCATGGTTAAGGGCATCTGGGACATCTCAGTCTGCTCAAGAGCTCATACTTAATTCGTATTGAAGTATCTAACCTTAATTGGCGGTTTCATTGCATCGCGTCTGAAGGCGAAACCAAAACTCTTGAATTATACTTGGGTAATTCAGTAGATGACGATACATTGTTGGTCATTAAAACGTGCCTTCACTGCATGGAGTCCCGGGCCAAGTATTTGGACGAGTTAATTCTCGCTATCAAAACCACTACCGAGGAGAAAGGGACAACAGGACTCTGTACTTCGCAGCCATCACAGAGGGCAGATCCGAAAGCTTGGAAGGTCGCCGACATTCTATTGAAGAATCTCAACTGTACACAAATAAGTAATGAGATATTTTCAAAATCTCTCGAGGCCCTAGACCTCCTGATTCAAAAGAACACAGCAATTCTACATGACGCTGTAGACCTTCCCGATCGAGCCAGCGGCGGAAAGGGTCTTTTCTGGTTCCTTACTAATTTTTGGAAGATATCATGTATCCAGTGGAAGTCACCTGCATACCAATGGGCTATAAAGCAAAGTGTTGGGCGTTGGTGCTCACTATATGCCACTGGACTGGGCTCTACCCTGATATCGGATTTCATTTTTGGCGAACTATCAAGACTGGAGGGTCAGATCACAGCTGTTTTCACACATCCTCAGGAGGAAGCAACTGTTGTGGAGGCATTAAAAGCGCTTTATGTTCTATGTGACTGGTGTAACAGCCGTACCTTGCAAGTTTGCGATCCTCTGTTGAACACAAATTTTGAAACAAATAAATGGGATAACTATTTTCAAAGGGTAATGCGGATTGTATGTTACGTGTTGGACAACATCACGCTGGATATCAGTATTCTACAAGGGATCCAAATAAAATTTCTGACCTTGATCGTCAATTACGCCCTTTCTCGCGGCACGAAATTCAATCGTCTGCGAAGAGTTAGTTGCTCCAACACATCGCTTCGGTTTGCTATAGAAGCAGTGTCCAGTTTCTTAATTACTCACGCAGAGGAGCTGCAACCACATAATGACCAACCGCTTGCGAAGCTTTTAATGCGTCTCTACCTCATTATTATACCACGTTCATCTTCGGTTGACTTATTTTCCAAAACCATGGCCTTAAGCAAACTTGCCGAAGTTGTTTCTCATTCTCGCTTTGAAGACTTTGATACCCAGCGGGCCGTTTTTTTGATATTATTTGACATGAAACGAAGAGAAGTTAATGAGAGCGATCTCATGGACCATGAGGGGCCCACTATTGTTGTCCACAACAATTATCAAAAATTGCAGTCTGCAGCTGTAAAACCTTTTCTTCGAAGTCGTCAGCTGGAGCGTTTGAGAAAAGCCATACTACAAAACTCCAGTGGGGAAGATTTAAAAGTGACTTCGTTTAAATATAGTGGGATTGATATGCACACTGATTTCAAGTCGATTGACATGGCTTATGATAGCTTAGAGGCGAGGATCACTAAATGGTTTGAACAAAAAAACTTTCAGGGCTTAGTTTATGCTGTCCATTTGTTGAGCAAGCTTTCTTGCTGTGAAAGTAGGTGTATCAAGAATTTGGCTGATATATGGGGTCCTTGTGTTGAGTGTGACAATACGTCGCCAAGTAACTTAATACTCACCGGAACTAATCGGACGACAGTAATCACAAAATGCAGAGCTTTTGGTATATTGTCGAGCCATTTTTTGGCCAATCCTGAATTACTAGATTTTGGTCAAACCCTCCTTGTTGCCATCGTGCTAGGTTTACGGAAAATATTTGTTCATTATAGGCCAGCGTCACAAGATGGTTTACCTTTTACACCTGGGGCCTTCGATTTTTTCAAGTGCGTACTGAACACTTCTGATAGATATCTTCGAATTGTCGCAGTGCCCTTGATGTCTTTTTGGGGCTACTCTGCCGTAAATGACTTTGGAGACAGCCAGACAACTTTATTGATCGAATTTTTACAAACTCCTGGCGTCCAATGCTTTACTGAGACCCTCCTCATGTCGTGGGTACAACTGACAATCTCGTCCTCAGGTGATAGCTTTGACCCATTGCTTGTCAAACTGATTGACATTTTCAATTCCACAAACGCCGCTGAGCGTTTCATGATGACGCATCAACTACGTTACATTGCATGGCTTAAAAATATTACACCATATCGACTTTTGTCGCCAGTTTTGCCATCCATTCTAAAAGAGCTTGGCAAGAACCTCAAAAAACGAAGACAGTCTTTTCAAAGACTGACTGATTTTGTGGGGTATCCACCGAAAACTATACTCGAAAACTACCAAAAGTACATTGTTCCCTATGCTATCACACAATACAAGGGCGATATTGTCACTGAAATCTCCACCATAATGTGTGATAACGAAGAGGGTGAGATGTCAGCAAAGAAAGACGAATTACTACGGAGAAATAGCCGTCAAATTTTTGCTGTCGCGCTCGTCAAGCATGGTTTTTTTGCTGTTGATACAATAGAGTCACTTTTCATCAATTGCCTTCCGACATTTGAAAGATCATTTGTTTCTGCTTATCTGCCCGATTACAAGACACTTGCAGAAGTACTCAAACTGTACAAGAATCATGATAATGATTCTTCCTCAAAGGGTGAAAATGAAAACATGGTGCTATGTGCCTTGAGGTTCTTGTTTATGCGGCTAGAAGCAGAAAAGCGCCGTTCTTCGAAAATAAAGCTGCTGACCGAGTGGTCTGAAGGTCAGGAGTCCAGCTTTCAAAGGAGGTTGACTGAAAACATTCTAGGTGTTTTCCAAGTTTTTTCCAGCGACATGCACGATATTGAAGGACGTACTACGTACTTCGAGAAACAAAGGGTTATCAATGGTATCCACTTTCTTCTCATACATGCCTCCTCTGAGTGTTTGATTTCGGCTCTGGCTCAAATCAGTATTTGTTTACAGAGTGGACAAGAAGCCCCAGAGCTTCAGGACAGTAGTTTGAAATGTTGGTCCGGCTTAATCAAAAGACTTAACCAAGAACAGCTGTCTACTGTTGTCGACAGTTTTGTACCTTTCATACTCCAGAACTGGTCATCCTTCAACCGCAAAACCGCGACGACTGCTAATGAAATCATTACATCACTCATAAATGAAAAAAGAGAGCTGGTTTTGAATTCTAAGCCTTATATCACGATGGCCCTTGTTAATATGACAGGGTCAAAGATACTTGAGCAAAATAGAACTTTTGCAAGATTAGTGAACAGGGTACTTTACACCACTGATTGGTTTTCGGAGTATGCCTACAATTTGGGAAGCAAAAACATTTATTTAATTCGTCAAGTTCTCCGCGACGTAGAGGTATTATTGCAAAAAAAGCAGCTAGATGGCTCGGCTATTTCTCACCGACCACATTCAGATATTTCCACTTTATTAGGTGGGCTACTGGATACCTCTTATAGATTTAGAGGCGAAGATGTTAAGCTATGTCAGAAGTGTACTAGGATAATCGGTATGATTGGCGTCCTAGATACTACCAAAAATCAATTACCAAGGTTACCAGCGCAGATGCGGGAAGTTTACGACTTTGGTGACCACTCACAGACTGTCAGATTTCTCATCAACACAGTCAATGATGTTTTGGTACCAGCATTTTGGGAAAGCGAGAACCCCACAAAGCAATTGTTCGTTGCCTTGGTTATGCAGGAATCCCTAAAATATTGTCGATTGGACTCATCAGCGTGGGATATTCAAAAACCTGACTTGTATCCCAGTGAAGCACGATTGTGGGCGAGATTTGATGATACCGCAAAAACAACTCTTCACCCTTTAAGATCCTCTTTGTACATGGCACAGTCTTGGAAGGAATACACTCCAATGGCATATCCGTCCTTTAATCCAAAGCAAAGCTTCAAAACTTGGTTAAAAAATTTGACATTAGACCTTCTCAAAACAAGCACGGATGAGTACCATCCACTTCATGTCTTTTCGTCACTGATTAGGGAGGACGATGGGTTCATGTCCGAAAATTTACTTCCGTATATTGTGGTTGATATCTTGATCAAAGCTGACGAACGCACGACCTATGCCGATTTGGCAAATAACATCAAGGTTGAGTTTATCTACATCTTTGAGTATGATGCATCTACTCTGAACCACCATCAGATTGACGCGATCAAGCTGTGTTATGAAACTGTGTTCAAAGTTTTAGAATACTGTAAGAAGTGGGTAACCCACTTCAAGCAAAGCTACAGCAGAAAGCATGGAACATTCATAATTCGAGAGCAGAAGTACTTGAAAATGATTCAGAGGTTGCAGGACTTTTTTGAAATGAATCCTTTTGGGTTGATGGCGGAAAAATCCCTGGAGACAGACTCCTTTGAAAGGTCTGCCTTTTTCTTGGAGCAGTCTTACCGGATGAAGGATACAAGATACTTTGGAAACGACAAGCTGTTACCATATCTACAAACCACGTATGCCGAGATCGGGGACATAGACGCGGTAGAGGGGGTTCTGAAGGTCTTTTCTACGGGTAGCGTCGCCTCAAAAATTGAAGAGCTTCAGTACTCACACAACTGGGGGATGGCACAGCAATGCTTTGAAGCGCTGGGCCAAATAACTGGGCCTGACACCAACTATGAGCATCTAAGGACTTCTGGGAATACCAAAATGCTAAAATCCATGTATACCCATCAGCAGTATGACCAGGTACTAACTAAACTGGTGTCCCTAGTGCCAAGGGGACGCTTTTCTGTAGACATGCTTCCTGTAGAGTGGATTAGCATGGGTATAGAATGTGCGTATCTCGACGGTCACTTGAGTGAGCTAACAAGGTGGATTGAAATAGTAGAGAGTATGCAATCAACAAACGATCCAATGGTCCTTCTGCACTATAATTTTGGCAAACTCATGGTTGCCTTATCTATTGATGAGAAAAATAAGGCACTGGTTTATGGTCGCCGCTGTGAAAAATTGATTGGTACAAAGTTTCTAACTAGATCCACAAACACAACCCTTCTGAAGGCTCGGGATCTCTTTATGCGTTTGCATGCTGTGAGGGACCTTTTTCTTCTGGGGGATGAGTCACTCTCATATCAGGATAATGGGGGCAACGAAATAGTAACAAGTCGATTAGAAAATGTTGGTGCTGATTTTGAGCCGCGCCACTTTCTTCTATCTATCCAAAAGTCCTTTAATCTGCTGAAAAGTGGAGGCGAGGGTAGCTCGATACTGGCGAAAAATTACTACCAAATTGCCCAAAATGCTAGAATGAATTCGAGGCCCGACTTAGCAAGCAGTGCTCTCATCCACGCCTTGATTAACGAATATCCTTCAGCTGATCTCGAATACGCGGAAATACTATGGAATCAGGGCGAGAACGATAAAGCCATCAAACTGGTAGCCGAAATTCATCAGAAAATGGAAAAAGATGGAGGGTACAACTCTCGTGAACGTGCTAATGTTTATTTGAAATATACGGAATGGCTAGACCTGTCTAACAACTCAATATCGGATCAAATCATCAGACAGTATAATGACACTATCATGATTGATCCGCATTGGAGTGAACCGTACTACTCACTTGGCTTGTACTTCAGTCGATTATTGGAAAGACGGAGTTCAGAGGGCTACTTGTCAAACGGGCGGTTTGAAAGCAAGTCGATACATTTTTTCCTACTATCATTCGAAAAGGATACGTCGCGCACGCGAGAAGCACTTCCAAAAGTGATGACATTTTGGTTAAACACAACTAATTTGTATCTGACCGAGACCCATGCTTCTAGAAAAGAAAGTTTGAAAAAATCTTCTGATGAGATTTGCAAGGATATTGAGACTGCCATGAAACATTGTCCCATTTACATTTGGTATATGGTGTTAACACAAATTTTGTCGCGCCTGCTGCATGCCCATAAACCCTCGATGCAGCTCTTGATGGACATCCTACTTAGTCTGGCAACCGAATATCCTTCTCATATTCTGTGGTACATATCGGTACTGATAAACTCATCATCTGCAACACGAGCGTCAGCCGGAAGACAGATTGCTGAGCAGCTCATCCGCCAGTCTCCCACGTCTACAAAAATCAAAGAGTACTCTGACGGGCTTGTCAAGAATTTAACTAACGTTTGCATGAAAGAAGTAAAGTCGACAGGTAGTAGGTCTGGAAGATCACTCGATAAAGACTTTGATTTCAATCTTAAGTTGGCGCCTTGTTCCATGGCAGTTCCAGTTAGTGCCAATTTGGAATTGCTTGCTCCCTCAACTTCTCAGGGCCTTTCAAATATTCAGCCTTTCAGGAACCTCATCTCAATTGCAAAGATCAGCTCCTCGTACAAAACCTTTTCTTCTCTCAAAAAGCCCAAGAAGCTCAATTTTATAGGCTCTGACGGGAGGATTTATGGTATTATGTGCAAAAAAGAAGACGTTAGACAGGATAATCAGTATATGCAATTTTCCACAACAATGGATTTCCTCTTGAGCAAAGATTTGGATTCGAGGAAAAGGGGCCTAGGAATTACTACTTATGCAGTTGTATCGCTGCGGGAAGATTGTGGCTTGATTGAAATCGTTCCTAATGTGACAACTTTGAGGTCAATTCTGGTGACAAAATATGATAGCATGAAAATAAAGTACAGTTTGAAGGCATTGCATGATAAATGGCAATCGCTCTCACCGGAGCAAAAGCTGGGATTTTTCGAGGACCTACTTTCTAAATTTCCTCCAGTATTATACGAATGGTTTCTGGAGACTTTTCCTGATGCAATCACCTGGTACAAATCAAGAAACGTTTTCTCTCGGTCATACGCTGTCATGGCAATGGTCGGCCACATTCTAGGATTAGGAGACAGACATTGCGAGAACATTCTCTTGGATATGGAAACCGGAAAAGTGTTACATGTTGATTTCGACTGTTTGTTTGAAAAAGGCAAAAGGTTGCCAATTCCAGAAATTGTACCATTTAGACTGACACATAACCTAGAGGATGCTTTAGGTATATCAGGAACTGAGGGAACTTTCAGGAAGTCAAGCCAAGTGACGTTAAAGTTGATGCGCGATAATGAGGTGGCATTAGTAAACATCATTGAAACTATCATGTACGACAGAAACATGGATCATTCTCTTCACAAAGCTCTTAAAGTGCTTCGCAACAAAATAAGAGGTATCGACTCTCGCGATGGGCTCCTCTTAAGTGTTGCAGGTCAGGTAGAGACAGTCACACAAGAATCAACATCCAAGGAAAACTTAAGTAAGATGTACATCGGATGGCTTCCTTTCTGGTAATTTGCCACCCGTCACCATCGACACCACAAAATCAATATCGACAACAACGATGCTCGTAGACCATGTTTTTCCTCTCTCATTTTGGATGGAATAGGTGACTAACCGCAACGCATCTCTGTCAAATTTCATGCTGGACCTTGAACTGTTGTATCATCTGGTTTAACAAGTGGTGCAGGAAGTGGAGGAACCGGCCTCCTTTTGTTGAGCTCCTGCAGCGATACGTGAAATGTGGAGGCTTCTCGTACCTGATCATCCAACAATCGCTCGGGTTGTCCATGCTCGTCTAATTTAGAGGTGATCTCTGTGGTCGACAATGCAGCCGGACTAAACCCTACTTTCTCGTCGTCCTTCATTTTTGAGCCTTCAAGGACCAATTGGCGTTCTAACCCATCTGGTTGTCCCTTTGTACCTACTTCCTGATTTGCCCAACCAGGTGTATTGGGTGACTGAGGCGAGGTGGTACTAAATGTGAAACTTGTGTTCACAGGGGTTCCTTGTGAATTCACAGAAGTCGATCTCGGCTTATTTTTAGCAAACATCTCAGCAGCATCTGACGAGCTTCTGTCACCTAGTTCAGGGGACTTCAACACTTCCCTCTCTCTCATTTTGGGTAACTTCCTTCTGTTAGATATCATTTTCAAGCTCTGCTCGCTAGAGTCGTCAATAGGCTGGTCAGGATTTACTCCAGGAGTTGATAAGCTGTCTTTATACCACTTTCCAAATTTTTTGATACCGGTATTAATGTAGTTTTTTGGACCTTTTTCGTCCTTATCCACAAATGACTGACTTTCAGTAGAAGATCTCCGCATTTTTTCAGACTCGTCCCATTCATCTAATTCATCTTTGAATGTGATAGATTCAGACTTAGGATTTAGAATGGATTTAATCGTTCCTACTTTTTGCAAAGTTTTTTGCCGGATAGACTGATGATCCGAATCGTCATCCTTTCCCACCTGTAGCATCCGCACATCAAGGCCTGATTCCATAGAGTGATCTGATTGGGCTTCTGACATCTCGTAGTCCAGTTTACTAACATCAGTCTCCCTCACGTTACTCCTCGAAAAATCTTTTTCCTTACTCTGATGGAAATCTAGTTCAGCACTACCCCCTTCCTTGTTTCCATTTGAAGCGGCCTTCTTATGTTCCCAAATTCCTCCTCTATACATCTCCGTAATAGAAGTGTTAAAAGGGATGTCATCCATGAATGGCATGACGATGGATTCCTTAATGGCTTCGCGAAACTTGCTTTTGATCGCATTTGTCACCATATTGTACGAAAGTTGTTTAGTGCTCACTACAGGCTCGACATCCATGTCGATGAACGGCTCAGTTTCAAAGCTATACCACACACGATTTGAAGGTGGTGGCTTGATTAATACTAGAATAGGTCCCACAACTTTCTTAACGGTGATAGCCAGCTGTAAAGTTACTTCCCTCGTCTTGAAACGAGATCCCAAATTTATGTTCGCTTTGGTGGATATTATCATAGATAAAGCACCTTCATAAGAAAACTGAAGACCAATTTTCATTAAGCCTTCGGTGTTGATCTCTTTGAGGCATGGGTGTGTTATAATTGGAGCCGCATTTCCGGCGTCAACTCTGTCGATTACAAAATCATCCAGAAACCCAGGCTTGTTGAGCTTTGTCAGCTTTCTAGAAATCCGCTGGCGTAAATACTCTGACAGTGTTTCTGTCTGCTGTAGAGCCAAAAAGAGACGGCCTGTCAGCGCATTCAACCATTTGGTGCTTAGCTGGCCTTCGCTAGAGTTTAGCGCTTGAATTAGTTGTAGCATGTCGCGAGTTGCAAAATGGGCGGTTTGTGCAGAGATGTTTGGATTTAAGACATCATTCACCACTGACGACTCACCTTTGGATACTGGGACTTTCGAAGCATTGATGAGTGCGAAATACCAGTCCTCCTTCTCGACATTGTTAGTCACATACAGGAAGAAATGATCCAGATGCTTGGAATTGGCAGCTTGTGTAGCAAGACTGAGGTTACCTTCGGAGTCGATCGCGGCGGTACCATTTTTGAAAATGGAAATGCATGTTTTCTTGGTGAACAATGAGCCCTCGGGTGCTTCTCGCGCAGGAGCCCTGGGCCAGATTGAGACAAAGCTATTTTTGAGAACGATTACATGGGACACGCTAGCCTCAATACTGTCATCTTTATAGAGAAAGAGATTCCCGTGTTTCAGAACAGCGTAGAAAACATGCTTGCGCTTTAATTTGTCTCGCGTGCGAACGTTTATTTCATCCAAATCTGCCGTCTGCAGTAACTCCGAAGAGTGGTAGTAGTACTTGGTGGTTACAGTGAGCCAACCTTTCTTTAAAACATCTACGCCCTTTTTCTCTTCAATTTCACCTGCTTTGAAGTCGGGTTCTATGTCGGGTACGAGTAATCTCGGAGTTGGCTTGCGCTGACTTTCAGCTTCTGGGGCAACGACGAACAGTAGATATAGAACGGCGATTGGGAACGTTATTCCACCGAAAAGGTAGACGTACAGGAAAGTGGACAAACTTGCCATCACTCCGTGCGTGTGTCTGCTAACTCGTGTTGTAGAGACAAAATAGGTGGCCCATTTTAAGGTCGCTTAAGCTTTGGATCTTGAGGAGGTCATGTGATAGATCGTTCATAGTGTTCATCCGAAAGCGCGTCATTATAGGCCAGAATGATATAGATGGCCAGGCCGTTCTACGCCAACAATGAGTGTGAGCACCGACGGTGCCCAAATGCTACGGTATTCTTCAAGATTACGTTCTATTTACAGCACCAAATCAGAGTCATTAAATCAGTTTTTTTGTGGTTGTGATCATCAAGCCAGTAGTTAAACTGGACGTCACACAGTGTGAATATAGTTGATCATCACTTGGTGCGTTATCACAAGAAGGGTCCAAATAAGACAATGTATCTACTGATACGGTAGAGACCCGCGGACACTAAGCCCGGCGTTGCTTATGTTGTCTCATTGTACCGTCCAAGCTCTTGTCAGCTATCTCACGACCTTTCATCAATTCTCGCGCAGCCAACGCCCCCAAAAATTGTACACAGGGAGCGCGCCTACGCAGCCGAAGCTCGCGTGGCTGTGCAATACTTATATGTCCGCCCGGTCGGAAAAGGTCATCACTCAGAGCAGAGGCCTCCCACATTTCGAAGACTGTCCCACGCTTTCTTCATCCAACTCATACAAGGCTGAAACTTAACGATAATGCGAGGTTGTCGACACACAGTAAATACAACTATTCAGTCGGAACAATTGGTAATAAATTGTTTAATCACCGTTGGACAGCTAATGCTGAAGACCTCACCGACTGGTGATATCCTGAAGAAAGCGTGGACTTTGCATAGTTTGACGGGGATAGGCAGATGGGGGGAGAGGAGAGACGCCGCCCTGTGTGCTTTTATAGTTAGGATGGAGTTCGTGGTAGGTGAAAATTTTTAGTTTGGTTAGGGCTTTTGGTCAAGCACAGATGATCACTATGAGGGTAAACTGGCGCGCGACACTAAAAAAGCGTTTGATAGTAGCACCTTACCAAATTACGCTTCGTTCTCTCCACTGATGACTAGAGCTAGCAGCTGATGAGCAGCTGATGAGCACCCTCCGTTGGCTCTACTTATACTGGCTCCGGCCACCCAGCTGCTCCAGAGCGCGGCCAACGGCCGTGTCCGAAAATTACCGTACTGATGACCAAACCGATAGGTCACAGTACAAAGCGGTGCACCCACAGCGCAGCACTCCCTGCGAGAGCACACAACGAGGCACCAGGTGGAGCAGCACGTGACCATGTGCCTGAGTCCAGCTTAGTACCGTCAGCCTGATGTGGATTGTAAGGTAGTAAGCTGGTACTATGTATCCCAGCAACAGCCAGAACAGGGGACTGCTTCTGTATGAGCCAGCCCTACTCCCCGTATTAAATGAATGCAGTGAATGGGAACGGGTTCCGAAGCGGGTACTCAGCGGGGTTTCAATCGGGTTCTCAACCGGGTACTCAGCAGGGCTCCATTGGGTTCCAATCGGGTTCTCAAGCGGGTACTCAAGCGGGTACCAGCATGTGAAAACCGAATACCCTTCGGGCACACGTGTCAGAACAAACGGGTTCGTAAGTGGCTTCGCAAATTATGTCTTCCCGGACGAGTCTGGAAAGTCCGCGGCGAAAAAAAAGAACTGTGTGCACGTGCTCCATATCACTTAATCCCAATACTGGCACCGCCTCTCCCGTTGCTTTTTTTTCTCATACGTGGGCCGCTCTTTTTGTGTTTTTTTCTTCCTTCGCAGATCTGCACGTTTTTTTTCTTCTTTTTCGCACAGCGTCCCAAGCTCATCGTGCATGAAATATGTTACCCAAGGCGATGAGCTCCTCCTGCTTGGATATGTCGTAACGGAGAGAATAAAAGGAAGCGATTGGCTGTCGAAAAGGTTGGCTCTCGGTCAGTGGTGAGACCCGCTTCTTTATAAAAGTAAGGGACCTGTTTGTCTGATTCCAGGACAGACTCTCGGTTGAATCTCAATTTCTGTACAGGAACCGTTTGCGCGACACACACGGAGGGATGATGGATCAGAGCTTTCCACTAGAGACACACGGCCACTCGTGGCTACAGGAGGAAGAGGAGGAGGAAGAGGAGGTGATGCTGTTTCCGTCGTATCCCAAACGTTTCCGGGCGTCGGACTCAGCAGAAACAGCGGGGTCTGAGGATGGGTCCAGCGACCAGTGCAGTTCCGGGTCCGCGCCGGACATCGAGTCCTTGCTGGACAAAGACGACTCGGTGACGACGAATGCGGACTTCTGGCGCGAGGTGCCGGTTTCCAGCGAATTCGCGGGCGACGAGCCGGCGGCCGTCGTTGATCCCGGCTCGGCGTGCGATGCGGAGCTGGCGACGGTGTCGCCGCTCGCATCGCCCCAGGAGCCCCGGCTGGAAGACTTCATTCAGGACGTGGAGCCCTCGCTCAGCGCTGGGCCCTCTTCTTACCATCTACAATCGGATTACGCCTGCCAGTCGGACTTCCAAATCAAGAGACTGTGCTTCCGGGACGCGGACGGCAAGCTGGCCCTCACGGACGCTTCTCGCTCCTCCTCTCTGCACCACATCTCCAAACCTTTGCACAAGCGGCTTTCTAATTGCAAGACAAGCAAGAAGCTCTTGAAAAGAGCCTTGCGGCGCAAGAGTGGCTTCTGGGAGATGGCCAGCCCCGCTTTCGCAGTCGCTGAATTCATGTTGTTGTGAATTCGTTTTATCGAGCAATACGAGTGTTGGACACAGAGAGCCGCAGCAGCTCCCCACTCGCGTCATTTCCCAACCTTCACTTCTTTATTCCAGCAGATCACATTCCACACATTCCCTCGCTCTGCCTTCTGACATCAGATTTTTCAAGGACAGGATATTTCACTTCTAGTATATTTATTATCTTACATATTAACACGATTTCTGAACTTCCCACTACTTTCTCGTCACCCAACTTTTGTTACAACTGGTGGTGTTGGCTTGGTGTGTCGTCGCCGGCTGTGTTTTTGGCAAGCGAAGATTCCATCTAGCGATCACGTTTCGGAAGCGTAAGTTCCGCACATGATATGTGATTATAATATTGACCACTTTACCTACTACTTACCCACCAACTTGGTGTAACTAGCGACGCCGAGTCTACTATCATTGTTATAGGGATGTCAAGTCAATCGGGTATCACTGCCGATGTCGCACTACTAGATAAAGTTGGTTCTTTGCTCGAAAATAGCTCTGTGGGAGCGGTGGTGATAGCAGAAATCTCGTCGGACTATACCACGGTGCAATTGCACTCTACCCTTTCCAATTTGCAAGAGCTCCAAAAGTTCACTTCCAACAACGCAGGTCCCTTCTATTTGTTCATCCGTGATGAATCGGGAATCGTCTTTGTCTCCTACGTCCCGGAACATTCGGCCGTGCGTGCCAAAATGTTGTATGCTTCCACGAAAAACACCGTCTTGAGGCAATTGGGTTCTAATCACATCTCCAAGCAAATACTTCTTTCGTCGCCAGCAGAATTGGTTCCGACCTCCTGGAGCTCCGACACTTTCTCCGACAACAATGCCCCTTTAACAGAGGCAGAACAGATCAGCGCCACCATATCTAGACAACAGGAAAGTGCCAGAGGGGGTCGCCAGTTGGTTTCTCAGACTGGTGGTACCTCGCACACGCTGTCTTTCAAGATAGCTAGTGGAGATCCGATTTCCAAACTCTTGGAAATTTATAACTTGGTGGTGTTTTCCATCAACTTGGCCGAAGAACAAGTGGAAGTAATGGACAAGATCGACGTATCGGCCACTTCCGAGGTCCCAAAGGTGCTGAAAGTCGGACATCCCACCTACAATGTGTACAAAACTGAGGAAAATAAAGTGCATTTCATTTACAGTTGTCCCTCAGGCAGCAAAGTGAAGGAACGCATGCTCTACGCTTCCAACAAGTCTGGCTTTATCAAACACCTATCGGAGGTTGACGGCTTGGTCATGCAGTCTATTTCAGAGATCGGGGATCCAGACGAACTTGAACTTTCGCGACTCATCGATCAACCTACCCCGGCAGCGCAGGACACTGCTAGCGGGGCACCTGACCGGCTCAAATTTGACAGGCCCAGGAGACCTGGCAGAAGAACATAGGCATCATAACATAGTTAGAGTTCAACAGTAATGTGTAGTCAATGAACGTCACTTGTCTCTTCAAAATTAGCCAGTTCGTTTAAAACTAGAGCCGCGGCCTCTTGATCATAGTCTATGGTCTCGGGACGATATATGTTCCCCGAAAGTCTGTACAACTGGCGTGAGACTATCTTGTTGACATCAGTGAAACGATCTTTGCTGGTTAACTGCGAGCCAAGGGGCGCTTCCCGAGATTGCAAATGCAAAACCCTTCTGACATGATTTTGGATCTTCCTTTTGTGGTTTGATTCAGCCAATTGTCTAGACTCTTGTTGTAGCTGTGACAGCAGCCTCCATGACTCGTTAACTTCATACCACACTGTATCCCTATTGACAGCTTCGTATCCGGGAGAAACCCGTGCTACTGCCGCTGCTATCGAGCTACCAGTAGCATTTATTCCAGCTGAAGCGCTTGGAATTGGCTCTTCTGAACTCCTCAGCGGTGAGTGACAATTACAACAAAATAAATTACTGCCCATATTTCCCACCTCTAGTTGCAAAACCCGTAAGCATCTGTCATGATATACCATCCCACATCCTGTACAAGCAGCATTGATTTCTGGACCCATATCTCCGCAGATGCCACATTCCAATGATCTCGAAGACCAGCTTCGATTTGATTCCTCCACCACGCCTGGCAGGTTGATGACAGGCTCTGCTATTTCTGAAAGCAGCCAGTTCACCCCACTGAACTTCTTCAGGTCTACAATTGCTTGACTTTCCATGATCTCCAGCAACTGAGATGGTTTCCTGCATGTAGGGCATTTGAGGTCCTGGGATTGGTGATGCCACCGGCGAATGCATTTCAGATGGTATTTATGATCGCAATCTAACAATCGACAGCCTGCAGCATCAAGGGGATCGTAGCAAATTGGACATTCCTCGCAACTCATCTAGACTCAAGTCAGACTCCCCCGTAGTTTTTGCCAATTAGCCTTACTCACCTTCGATTACGGTTGAAGATGTTGCAGGTACTATTATCACTTTGCACTACTGAATGCTCCTGCTTTATCAATAATATATGATCTGTCTTGTTAATGCACAGTGAGAACTACATGATGATACCTGACGCCTATATAGGATATAGCACTGGAGTTTTCTGTCGAGCATGTCCCGCCATCAATTCGACTTAGTAATGTGTATGAAACAGCCCGGAACTTTTGTTGGACTTTTGTGTGACAAATGTGATGGTAAGTGCCCCATTTGTGATTCGTATGTGCGACCAAAGTCTCAAGTGCGGATTTGTGACCAATGCGCCTTCGGCGCCAATCATAAAAAATGTATCATTTGCGGACAGTTGGGCACCAGTGATGCCTACTACTGTTGGGAGTGCTGTCGAGCAGAGAAAAACAAAGATGGATGTCCAAAAATTTTGAATGTGGGCAGCAACCGGACTGACAAACACTTTGAGAGAAAGAGCTTGGTTGATTCCTAATTCCGCAAGCTTGCCAAGATGTCACCGTCGGTGGAACTTGCTTTTCGCAGTGGGTCCGACGATGAATCCGTATTACAAGGTATCAAGCTGTCATCAAAGATGAAACTCTGATCGATTGAATCGCCGAGGTCCTTCTCGTCTTCTGCGTCGTGAGCACTGTCAGCTACCATCAGCAAGACTTGCGAAAATACTTCGTTTCTGCAAGATTCGTATTGAATCCATTGCAAACGTCGTTCTAGCAACTTGAGGTAATCAACAACTGCTGCCTTAATTTTGGCATTTAGAGGGACTAAGCATTTCACATATTGAAGTAATGCATTAGTTCTTCGGAACTTTTCTTCTCTTGGGACTCGCGTTGTTTTAAGCTTTCTGAGCTTTTCGTTAACACTGAACTTACGCGGGGTCACGGCAGTACCTGGAATTGCATTCATATTTATGGAGCAACTATCGGTTGCCGCAACAACATTAATGGCGTCAATCCAGTTGTCACGATCCTGCTTATTTGGGCATGCAAAAATAAGCCTTTTGCTTCTGCTGTAAATGTACATTGCCCAATGTCCAGCACTATGGCAGTCTTCGGGCGATTCGTCTGCTGAACAATCTTGTCCACCAGTTTCCGCTACGCGCATGGCGAAAAGCCCACTAGAACCAAGATTTCTTGCCAAATCCGTTGATGAAGGACAGTCAATAATATAGTTTGAGGTTCCCGTTGTCTTGTCTACAGCAAGCCGTGGCTCGACCCAATCCATGTTACTGAAGAGCAATAGGCAGGACGTTGTCAATACGCCAAAATATCGCTTCCAGCATTGTCGACTGACGTTTCCGACGAGCGAGAATTTACGGTTGGTTATCCGTTCCTCAATACACCCCATTTGAATGATCTTCAAGTACCGGTTTTCAATTTGCCCCACTGGAGGCTCCAAAACATCTAGTGGCATATCAGGAATTGATTCTAGAACAGATTTACGCAGCAGCAAATATCCACCTTTGGTCTCTTTCATTATTGACAGATACTTTAAATGTTGACAGTCAAGCGAAACTGGAACGGAAATCTTTTCGAAACTCGGTAGCAGAACTTCGGCTCCTATTGTACATGACTGGATGTTATCCGAAGCAATTTGATGATAGATGTCAAGACAATCCCCTCTCAGTGACGAGGTTCTGATCTGTAGGCCGGAGCTATTAAGCCCAAAATAAGTGACTGTTTGCACGCTGTCGTATTTGGTGAATGAAGATGTACTGGTACCAGACCGAAGAACCAACTTCTTTTCCTTTATAAGCCTTTTTGGAGAATATTCTGCATCCGTGCTAGTAGCGTACTCATAATCATCCTCACCTTCACCGTTGCCGTAGAAATTTTGATCCAAGACTATATTTTTTGAGAACTCGCGAGCAGTTATGTTGTCATAAAAGTACTCCAGGATCTCTTTTGGTGTTTGTGCTACTTTGGAATCATCCTCAGTTCGCATCAATTTAACAAACTCTTGCTTCGTCATTTTAATTTTATTGTTGGCGTTAAAGTGATCGGTGTGTAGCATTAACAAAGAGAATGACATAGAAAGCACCTCCTCATCCTTATTCCAAACACATATGCTCTTAGTTTGCTCAAGGTAGACCCTGCTAAACGCTGAAAGCACTCTATCAATTTGTTGGCTCTCCTTTGGTAACTCTAAAAATAAGAGTAGCTTTCGTAACGATATATCCAAAGGCTCCATGGCAAAATCAAATTCCTTTCTCAAAAACTCAGTGAGGCACAGATCTTTAAACTCATCATTTCTCTCAGTCAAAACAATTGCTAGGTAATTGCCAAAGTTGGAAATATTTCTCAGGTATTGTTCTACAGTTTCCTCTAGCTCTGGTGCCGGTGGGGTGGGGAGGTCCTCAAACGCAACGGCAGCCTTATACGACGAAGTGCGGCTTGAAACGCTTGCAGATCTCATTGTCACTAGATTACTAAGAGCATTGACGAGGGAGCTACTTCTTCTGGAGCTAGTAGTAGACTGTCTAGAAGAGCTCGATTGCCTTGCGTGAGTAGGGCCTGATGGTGGTAATAGAAAATTTGTATTCGATGGAAGCTTCTCACTGTTCACATTTGAGGGGCTTTTGTCATTATTTATATCTGTCCTTACCTTCAAATTTCTCAGTGACTGTGTCGGAGAGTTACTCTTGTTTTCGAAATCAGAGGCACCCACTGTTCGACTTCGTTGTCTTTTTTGTGCGAAATTTAGCAGGCCAGTGTCGCACCCTTGAACAAAGGTGCTTTCTGAGACATGTTTATCAACACCTAGGCTTCTGCGCTGATTATTGTCGGAGTTGGACCTTATAAGACTAACCCTATGCTTTGACTTAGGTACATTCCGGTTTAATGACGTGCTGGAGGATCCGGTATTAGTGCGAGTAATACTGCTGCCACTTAGTCGCTTTTCTGAAGCACTATGCCGGGACTGCTTGACAGACTCTTTTCTCGCGTTGCATTTCTTTTCGCAGGTAACAGAGATTATGGGCGACCTGTCCGGCGTTGAACTGGAGGTTGACGACGGCAGTTTGTTAGCGCTATTGGAGACAGGGCCAGTCGTCAGTATAACACTACCGCTTGCGGAGGAGAGACCTTGGACATCAGATGTCGACGATACGCTAGAACTTGATTGCCCCATGCTAGACAAGCTTGAAAAAGAGCGAAATTTCAAGTCCGGAAAGCTAGTAATTCGGTCTTTTAAGTTCCGCAGCTTACCGCTCTTTGGCACTGTTTGGCCGAAACCGGAGCCCTCTTTGGAATTGCAATCGGAGCAGCTGGACCCTGAAACAGATCGTTCTTCCTCTTTTATAGCATTGAGAGCGTTGGAGCTATTAGAATGGGGCCGAGATCGTTCGATTATTGCACTCTCGTTCGCCAGTTCCGGGGCCCTGGAACCGCTATCCTTATGTCCTGTCAGATCAACATGAAGAATTCGTGACTTAAACAAACTTGCGAAAGAGTTGCTCATCTTGTGTACTTGGCAAACGCACGACCGACACCGCTAGCCTAAAAAAGCCTTAGGCGCTCTGAGATCACTTTAGAATCCGTCTTTGCGCGACAAAGTAAGGATCGAAGCAAATGCGTGAACAGAATCGCCAGCGATTGATCAGCACTAATTCTCTTAATAGCGTACCACCCTTAGCTGTGGGAATACACCCTTTCAGGATAGTACTTGAGATAAGTAGATTGTAGTTGTACGCGAGCAATGCCCATTGTTAACTAATACAAAGCAATTAATTGCCAAAAAGTTATAAACTGATTTCGCCCAGGATCGAACTGGGGACGTTCTGCGTGTTAAGCAGATGCCATAACCGACTAGACCACGAAACCAAATTCTTGTATTTAAGTGTTTTATGCGCAATATATAGTGGGGCCAAGGTCACCCCCAATCTTAACAATGATTAATATTGAAGTTCCCTTAGCTCACATTATAGGGCGAAGCAAGTCCTAGAGCTAAAGTCCTATATATATAAGAAAGCTTTACTTGCTCGAAGAGCATGAATTTTGAGCTTTCTCCTACTGAGGAACACTACCTCAAACGTGAGCTCATAAAGCAAGAGCTCCAGAGAGAAATTGATGCCCTGAATGACGCACATGCTCTTCGAAAGTTTGGTTATCCCTTTGCGACAGGCGATCCACGGGTAGGTCGCTCCCGCAGGAAGATGATACCGAACTTGAAATCATCGAAAATGAAGAAAGACAATTCGTTGGACTCCGCAGATGCTCAAGATACCGACTTCCCGCTGCTGAGCCATTTCTTACAACACTTTGTCATGACAGTGCCCCTCTTCTCACAAAATATGGTTGAGAAAGAAGATTTCTGGCAACAGAAAGTCCAGGTGTTTTTTGAACATTTTATGCAAATGAAGTTCAGCTCTAGTTTCGATCGCGAAGAACTCACCAAACGCCGCAGAATGGGTATGAAGCTGTCAAAGATTATTTTGCTAGTGTATAACTCGGGAATTGCGAGCGCACAGGAACCCCAATATTTTGCACAGGACAAGTTCAAGCTGGAAGCTAATAATATTGAAAACTACAAGAGCAATAAGCTCGATGAATTTGTGATGCCTACTAAAGATAGCCTGAAGTTACTCTTGACGGAAGAGCCTTATTTCATCAACGGCTGGGACTTCAACGTAATGGCTGCCTTTGACTATTCCAAGTTGCAGACTGAAACAGAGGTCACGGCGAAGTCGCCTACCTCACCGTCCTCAGTCACTGGTGGGTGGATGAAATCAGCACTGACATTTTCCCCAGTCTCTTTCAGCTATCCCGCAAAGCTTTTCTCAAAAATGACTCTCTCCGACAGTTCCCACGGGAAAAGCTACCAATTCGTCACTAGGGTCCGTTCGAAAGAATCAGGCGAGTCCTGGTTTGTTACTAAAACATATTCGGACTTCAAAAATCTAGCTTCAGATCTCGGAAAGGAATTTCCTGGAAAAGAGCTACCTAAACTACCGCATCGTAGTAAAGTTGGGGTATCTACAACTACAGTAGTCTCTAATTCTGCCAAAGATGGAAGCGAAGCGGGCCCTACCACCCCCAAGGAGAGAATAGCCTCCAGTTTTGAAACTGATTCCCCAGTTCCAAATGATTCGGCGTCGGTTTCGGATAGCGTTCAAAGCTCTCATGAAGAGGAGGACTTCGAGGATGCCCATGACACCATTACGCAGCATTTGCCTAGAGAAAGAATGAGAACCTCTCTCAGGAAGTTTTTGCGAACGCTGGTGGAAGACTCCGAAGTATCAAAAAGCATTTCGATGTCTAAATTCGTGAACACTGCTAAGGTTATGAAAGACGATCTTCCACCTGCGGTTGTTCAAGATATGAAACGTAGGGAAGCGGTAGACGTTGAAAATTTACACAATCAGGTTTTGTTCCAAAAACTTGCTTTCGAGCATACCTTAGAACTTCAAAAAGCTATGAAAGAGTTCAAAGCATCATTATTAAAGGATGAAAATTACCTGGTCAACCTTTTCGCAGAAATCAAGGAAAAAACTTGCGTCAGTAATTTATCTCCCACTCTTCAAAGTTTCATGGCGTGGTGCCGAGTCAACATGTCTGCAACGATATACACGACATTTCTTGGAGGTGATGGTGGACATGAACTTTTCACTCAAATCAAGAGACTACACAGGCTCATGCCGTACACAGTCATGGTCCAGATTTTGAAAATAACAAATCCTATGGCTATCATGAAGGGTATGATGGACTTGTTTATGGCACGACCTTTCGGCGGCAATTCATTATTACAGAATATGTTTTCATCAGTTCTGAGCGATGATCTGAAATCTCAATTTAAACTCGCCAGGGAGTTAGAAGCTGCCATTACCGGAGAGAGTAGATTTGGCTCCGAAGTCGTAAAAGTCCTTGCCATGGCAATATTTGAAAATGAAGATAGTCAATTTGTGGATATGGATAGTGTTCACGGTGATGCTACTAGCATGTCCATGCCTATCCCTGTTGTTCTCCTGATGAAATGCTCTGATATGGGACATCTTTCTCAAGATGCTCTGGGTGAGCTTATCGAGTCGTACTCCTTATGGAAAGGTCGCAAGAATGCCGAGGAACTGGAGTTGTCGAGAATAGATTCTTCTACTTCAATTGCAGATGTTCCCGGTCTCTATTTTTCACACGTTAAGGGTCTCCTCCAAATCTACATTCGTGAACGTGATAAGAAGTTGATGAAGCAAGTGTGGCAGGATCCTGAGCTATCGCAGCTTCTAAAGTCCATGGTGACCATACTCTATGAGCCCCTGGTTCGCATATTTCGGGTTTCCAGAATGGATGTGGCATTTCGCAGCTTTGAAAGGTTTATGGACGACCTTGTTAAATTGCTAGACGAGGTTTTCAACGGACAAAGTGCCTCCGCGACCACATTCAATATTGTTGACGCAATAAGTAAAGTGGTTGAGAAACACGAGGATGCATTATTCCAGTTTATTCACGACATCTGCATAAACGACTCAGAGAATACATTCGAAGGAATGATTAAATATTTAACCTCAATTGTGAAGTTCCTGCAAAAAAGCAAGTACGATAAAACGAATAGAGTGGATTTGACGATCCTCGCGAAAGAAGCCGCGCAACGCGGAATTGATGTCAAATCGATTTCAGATCAGGTAAAAGAGCTGGTTGCTAACAAGACCGCGTGTCGGCAAATATATCAGAAGATTGTAGAGACTCGGGTATCCAAGACCGCTACTAAAAAGTTGAACGTCAAGGAAACGATGGAACAAAAGTGGCAACAATCGAACAAGGCTGCTCTGCCGGACGCAGTGACAGACATTGGGTTTGAAGATGGGGAGCTTGTTGACCTTGATCTCGATGTTGGTGACTTCTCGTTCTTGCTAGACAGCCAAGAAGAGACGCTGCAACGTGAATATCAAGATATGCTGGAGAAAATAGTCGATGTCAGCGAGATATCGAAAATGGCCGATTCAACATTCAAGGATTACTTGAGGGAAAATTTAACAACATAGTACACACGAATTGTAAGATAGTTGGATAGCTTAGTTTTTTTGCATTTTAATTACCTCTTTGAGAGCAGCAAATGGGTTTTGCTGAAATTGCTTGTTCTGCAGCACGTCTTGGAACCTGACAGATTCTTGCTGTACAAGTTGCTTGGCACCGCGCTGGTTCCTTATGCTGGGCTGGTTCTTTTTCAGCGTAACAGACCCAGATTCGGTTGGTGTTTTCAGAGTTGTGACTCTTGTTACGCCAGCATAGGTCGAGCCTGAAGCAGGTGTTACCTGTGATAAACTACTATTTTCATCATCGCTGGCATCACTTGAATCCGCTGTCGCACCTTTAACACCGTCCTCTTCTAGGGATACCAAAAGATCTTCCATTCTTGGCTTCAATTGGTCTCTAATTTTCCGTTTTCGACGCCTTAAAGCAGATTTTGAAATTGCACCATTGAGAGACGACTTCTCTTGAAGTTTAGCCAAAAACGACTGCGACTTGCTCAGAAGTTTGTCTTTCTTTGATTCACGCGCCTGGTGTAGGTACGCCTTGGGGTCTTCCGGCAGCTGCAGTGGTATAGTAGCATCGCTGGTTTGTGTATCTTTTGGTTGGCCAAGTCGCAGCGCTGCCTTCGTTCTTAGTTGGTTTCTCTTCTTGGCAACCATTTTAGAATATTCCACGAAAGTGGCTGAATACAAAAGCGAAAGGTGGGGAGCACTAGTGGGTTTGCCGCTGGTTTCGTGGTTGATACGAGCTTGGACACGGTGAGATGAGATGAGATGAGATGAGGTGAGACGAAATATTGAAAAACTTCCTTAGGTGGAAATCATGTGTGTCTGTGAAACGCACAGAGGCGGTGTGCGTTCGAAGACGGCCGCTATGGAACTTGAGAATGGAAAGTACTTTGAGGGTATGGAAGGCGGCGAAATAATGAAAACTCCAGCGATCAAATAAGAAGGTCCACAGAGACCAAGAAGTGTTGGAAACTCTGGCATTCCTCTCAATAATGAGAGCTTTATTTTTTGAACTCTGGCAAGACCTATCTAGCTTGTCCATGCGCCACAGCCAAGATTATACTATTTTTGTGGTGCGTCAGCAGCTTTAAGTCCTTTACCAGCTTCACGCAAACCTCGGCTAAGAAAGCCGTCGACAGAAGGACGATCCGCAACAGATCGATTCGGTGAATAAGGTTCGATTTGAGGCCTCTGGGGTGTAGTGGTACATATGCAAGAGCTCGCCACTAGACCAGCCCTGCACAGTGATCCGGAATTCTTGATAATCGAATTATGATCATCACCGGCGTTGATCGGGTGTCATAATGGTACAAAGTGATATAATGCATTTAACGAAACAGAAATGACACTATAAGTCCAGCCAAAAAGAGAGCCGAGAGCTGGAGACCAGCTCCCTACAGATTAACAGCTTTTTTTCGACAATGAGTGCTCTACGTCACTTTTTTTTTAGACTTTATTTCAGAAATGATAATTGTTTGACATGGCATGTCTTTTCCAACATCGTGGTGCTTTCAACTGAGCTCGCCAAGTATCCAAAATCAATCCACCCTCTAAAAAATCCTTAAAAACTGCTGCTAGACATTCTACGTATGCTCTTGGTTATAAAACGCCCACCAACTGAGCTGCACTTCTGGCAGCTTGCCAAAAAAGTGTGAGGAAAGCAGCACAAACTTCCTGAGCTCAACCTCTTAAAAAATAAATAAGGTAAACCCGTTTTATACACACCAGAACTGTTCTTCCTGTTAACTTTTACCCTCTTTCTGACGGTTATGGCCGTTGGCGTCAGCGGTCCATTTTTCAAAGCTGAAAAATTTTAGGAAGTTATGAATTTAGAACTTCATTCACTTGACTAATTAACTAGTTAAAGGTTAGAAGGCGAATACCAGGACTAGTAGCCAATATAACTATGTCTCAGAACTCAGGAGCTATGCAAAGAATAATTGCCCTCAGCGGAGTCACGGCTGTGGTCGCATTGGCCGGATATGCCGTGTACTTCGACCACCAAAGAAGAAACAATCCCAACTTCAGAAAGAGCTTGAAGCGCAAATTGAAGAAACATGCGGAACAGGAAAAGTTAGAGAAGGAAAGAGCCAAACAGCTCAAATTGGCGCAAGTAGGCGAATACCTAAGTGCGGAATTGGCCAAAGACCCTGTTTCCACAGACCCATCTCAGAGGGAATCAGTATTCACGTCCAACGTGGAACTGGGTGAAAAATTGGCCAGCGTGCCCGGCAACGAGTTGGAATCGGCTTCCAAGTTTTACAAGGCACTCAGTGTGTACCCCAACCCAGCTGATCTGCTCGGAATTTACCAAAGAAGCGTGCCAGAAGCCGTGTACGAGTATATCGTGCTGATGATTGCTATCATGCCTCCAGTCAACGTTTCTACGTTCTTGAGCGGAAGTGCTCAAGGTGGTGCAGCTGCCATGGCCCAGGCTGTGGCTGGCCAATCTGGGAGTGCTGAGAAGGGAGTAGGCGAGATCGACGAATAAACGTCAACCTGTTAAATCTCCACTACATCTTTGTTTTTGGGGCCTCGATCGAGGACCCGGCTTCCTCATACGCACGACAACTTGTTTCTTACGACTATGAACCTTGCGCAATCACCATAACTATGGCGTTGTCGCAATGATTCCCATGTGTTAATAATTCTTCGAACTGTACATAAAGCTGTCGGAACCCGCAGTCGGCACGTCTGTCATGAAACGACGTCGCCAGAGCTGTAGGGTGCGCCCAGCACCCCCAATCAATAAGTCTTCAACCGAAGATCCTTGTCTATTGCTAATCATCGTTTCACTGGTTCTCGGTTCCTACATACAAATAAGATGAAAAGTGTACTTGTTACCTACTTGGGCACAAATCTAATCAGGCCCCTAGCGAGGAAGCAACCATACGCAAACATTCCGATAACGTGTGTCATGTTGAACAAAAGGCTTAGACCGTGAGACTTCCCGAATTCTTTTCTCAACGGGGCGTCTTGCGCTTCTAACTCGTCGCCCTGTAGCGTTTGAGCCAAAGCTTGTCTCTCCTCCTTGACCCTGCGAGTCCAGGGCAACAGCCAAAATAAATTTAGACACCCACTAACCGATGCAGAGACCAACGACACAAGAGGTCCCGTCTGTAAAGGCATTGGTGCAGTCAAGCCCAGTATCAATGGGGATACGGCATGCATCTGGAAGAAATATGGGAACACCACTTTCTGGAGTTCCGAAAAGCTTTCTCTATTAAGATGCTTGAACGCCAAAGGAGAGGCTACATAGGAGTAGAAAGCAGTTCCGCCAAAACTGTAACAGGTAAGGTCCTGGTTAATACTTGACAAAGAGACTTGTTTCCAAATGGCTCGGCACAACTTACGCGAAGGAATAGAAGAGTAGATTGAAAGTAGGCTTCAAGTAGTACATCTTGAGATACCCTCCTTGTCGTTTTGATGGACTTTTTTCCTAGCCTTAAGATGCCAAGGTTTCCGACAAAAGTTAATCTTTATTTATACACTAAATTGAATGGTGTGCAAAGCCAACGTTGGACCCGCAATTGAAACGTCGATGTCTGTGGCATCCGTGGTGCTTAAACGGTAGCTAATAGAGAGTGTAGGGACGTGCTCTCCCTAACCTTGTCGCAAGAAACTCTCTTCCTGTTCCCAACGATTTGGTTGGCACCGCATTTAATCAATACGCACCTCTTAGACTACGTGTGCGAAAGTTATCTTCCAGAACGCTGGCCATCTGGCAATATGCCCTAGTGTGGGATAAAATGGATTCTGCTTGGTCCAGAAAAGAATCAACGTGCGAAGAATACCTTACTTGTCTCGAGAAAATCAAGAAACATCCTGTACACAATCCTGAATTACACATACAAACAGAAACAGGCTGCTGTTATTTCTATCGCGCGCTGAAGCTGATCACATATCGAGTGTTAACGATGGAAGAGCCGCATGCCAGCATAGTGTCAGTGCCGTGTGTAGTGCCCTGTAGGTTTTCTTGAATGTTTAATTACCAAATTTTCCACGAAACTCAGCGAAGAAGTCAACCAAACTGGAACCCGATCTTTTTTAACTCCTGAAGAGCTGATTAACACCCCCTTTGGACTAGTTGAATCAGGTCAAAATAAGTTTGAAAGACCCGTTATACTAGAGAATGGTGGTCAAAGCCTTGAAACAATCATCTATTGCCAGAAATGGTGTGGGAGCGTACCTCTTCCCGTGCAAAAAAATAGTGCTCCAGTATTGTAATTGGGGTGGTTCTTCCCAAGGAATGCGTGATTTTTTATCGAGTAAGAGACTGGATCTATTAGCTCAGAAATATCGTGAAGTAGAGTTCAACGTTTTGAAACAATCCGGCCACCCACTGCTCAGAGCGTATTACACCAATGGTAGAGAGAAAGTCATTTGCGTAAGAAATTTGAACATTGATAATGTGGAAAATAAACTTAAATTGTTGAAAGACTCTTCGGGAGAAATTTTGCATCACCGGGCCGCCAATGACTACGTGGAATCGTTAAATTCCAGTGTGAGAGGTGTATGGTCACCAATGCATCAAGATGCATCGACCAGATACAAGGTATGATGGCAGTAATGGTATGCGAGGCGGTGCACCTACATAGGCTGTATTGCCGTGGGGTTTCGTGTATTTAAGAAAAATGCATTTGTATATAGTAAGGCGTGTAAATATTAATTAAAGCGAAGATCGCCAAATCGCTTCTCTATGCTGAGCCCTTGTATTCTCGCAGAATGACCGGGACCGACGAAGGTGGTAGAGCGCCAAACTCCGTGATGATCTTTTTGATGTACTCGGGCGGTGTCAAATCGTACATTATATTGAAGATGTTGAGTTTAGGAGAGTCTTGCCAGTTTGCGAGAATGGGCTTGTTATCGTCAGCCTTCTTCTCTGGAGACGCCCTGTTGCCTCCTTTACCTCCTTTGCTCTGTTCTTGAGCTTGGGTGGCAATTTCTAATTCACGCTCCTTGATGTATTGTTGAAGCAAAAATCCCTTGTTGCTACGCCTCTGGATAGGGTTATTGGAATCTATGACCACTAGGTCATTAGGATCTGCCAATTCATTCGATGTCACACTGTCTAATTGAACCCTTTGAGAAAACTTCAGACTTTCGCAGCACACCAAAACGGGGATATTACGTCTCTTGGCACTCATAGCTAACATAGCGGTCCCGACTCTTGAGTACAAGAACCCGTTAGACAAGATTGAATGAGCACCTAGGAACACATAATCGACGTGCATGTTGAACACTGTTCCCAGACCCGTCGTTAACACGTACATAACATTCAAGCCATGATGCCTTAATGTATCTGTCATTTTACGGCCCTCGAACAGTGGTCTGGAATCCACGATAATAACTTGAAAATTCTTGCCTAGTGTTGTGGCATTGTGTATGAATAAATCACAGAGAACTTTCGAGCAACCATAAGTCAGAATAGTCAACCCATCAGAAATATGCTGAGAGGCATTTTCAATGATCAACTGATCTGCAAATTCAATCTTTTCTCTCGCAAATTGGGAAATCTGTTCACACAGTTGTTCTTTTGCCTCAACATCCGGGGTGCTTAGATCGATCAGAGATATTTCTTGCTTCAACCACCTAATAGCATTACCCATAGTAACACTCAGGGGTCTTGACTTCTTTAAGAAATCGATTTGGTGTGAAAGATAACTGGTCAAGTTGCGGCAAAGAGTTGTACCTGGAGGAGTTTTGTAGTCTTTGATGGCGGTTTGAAAAGCCTCTAGCATAGCCAGGCATCTGGGAACTGATCCAATAATTTTGTACCCTGCTATGTCGGATGTAAGTTCAATAATTGCTGGATGAATAAGATGTCTGTTTACAATGAGCTCCTTGATTGAGGAGTTTAAGTGTGGATGACTGATTGATTTCAGAAGGGTGTGTGGGATGACTGTGGAGGTTCCGGGTACCATTGAGTACTCATCCTCAAGTGCCATCGTGGCCAAGGACTGCGCAACTTCAAGTGTGGACTGCTCAGCAGCAGTCGTCAGGGAGTGAGCCTGCGAGCCAGCAGAAGATGCTGCAGATGCAATGGCAGAGCCGCTTGCGACGTGGCCAGCAGCTCCTGTACTCGCGGCATGGGGGTGCATTAGCCCCGCAGCAGTAATCTTCGGACCATGGCTAGAGCTTATGGCGCTGGTGACGGCGAGCAAAGCTGCCCGCCTCTCTTCCGTGGTTTCTAGATGGCCGTAAAGCGTTGATTCTTTTACCACAGACACTGGAGCTACAAGCTTACCTTTCTTGCTGTTAATCGCTTGCTGCTGTTGTTCTCGTTGATTGTGCTTCTTCTCTCTTTTCTGTTGAGCTTGTTGTTGTTGTGCCTCTACCGATATTCCGCTGGCTTCTTTTTGGGCAGCTCGCTTCGCAGCCTTCTCCTTCTTTTTCAACTCTTTCAATTCCTTATTGGAAAGTTTGGTCTCCCCACTACTCGTTGAAACGGGAGTTCCTTGCTGATTTCCACCGGAAGCATCGTTCGTGTTAGGGGACTGGCTGGGTTTAGACTGTGTCTCACTCATCTTCTCCTATTGAAGATAGGTATAGGATTTGATGAAGTTTCAAAGCGCTCGTCAATTCTACCGGCCAGATGGTCAATTGAGCATGCGATGATCTCGAATTTGTCAAGAACAACCTTTAATCAGTATCTGAAAAATTTTTGGTTATGCAAACATGCCCTAGTGCGAAGTGACATCAACACTTTTCGACCAGCGACAGTGCTCGTACAACTAACTGTTCGATTGAACCAACTCAAGAAGTGCCTGTTCAAGGTTCATATTCCTCTCGTTTTTTGTTGCGTGCAGACCTCTCATAAGTGCGGGAACAAGAGTTTCGGAGTGCAAAATAGGGAATTAAACGTTTATCAAATTTATTTTCCTTTGTACGTTGGTAACTGTTCATCTTCGGCATATGCAGGAGGATGGGTTTCGACTGTTACAGACTCACAGAATACGTTCACCAAATCTGTCAAGATTTCGAATTGGAAATGGTTCTTGTCATCGAGGAGCATGTGTAAAATAAGTTGAAATTTGAAGACACGCCGAATGTTGCAGGAGGTAAGACTGTAAAGTCTGTTTCCTCTGTACTTGTAATCCTCTTCGTTGAATCTCACCTGATCCAGGGGACTTAGTGTTCCGAGCTCGATTTGACACTCTGTGGTACCGTCCGTTTCTGTGATACTTCGGGAAAGATCAACTTTCAACTCGGATTTCGACCTGGCTAACCGTAAGGTATTGTAGTTTGCATTTGATCTTCCTCCAGCTAAGTAGGTGGTAAACTCTACGAGGTTTAAGTCCACCCCAACGACCCTCAAGTCAGCCGTTTTCGGGAGCGGCGAAGACATGAGTATATAAACCTGGTCAAATTTATCACAGCCCGGGAGGAAAAGATAGTCAAGCCTATAGACTGATCGGAGTTGTTTTGATCTGACCTCAGCCCATAACTTCATATCATAGTTATCGAACATAACATCGAATTTTGAATCGAACACTTCCAGGGGAGCACTACCTTCGTTTTGAAGTATGTCCTGTAGTTCTTCTTGTGCAAGGTTTGAGGGCATCAGCTCAATCGTAGTTTTAGGAGAGCAATAGTTTCTAGACGTTTTAAACCAGGACTCATCATTCCCTGAATACAAGGTGGATTCCACAAAGTATTCTACTTTTCCCAAGGAGTAAAAGAAGACATCTAGATCGAATATTTCTTGGTTGCTCAATTCGTGGTTGAAGCTGGGCGGCAGGCTGACATGCGATAAACTCTTTGTGTACGTCAGTAGGTTCTTCGCGTGAGTCGCCGAACACTGGGGCACCTCTGGAAATGTGAAGGTAAACCCGAAATTGTAGCTCCCTTGTTCCAATTTAAAGGCCGCTCTGCTCGATCCTTTGATGGCAGATCTCACGTTTTCCGGGGGGAAGACAGATATTTCAGAGTCCACCAATTTGTGAAACGATCTTTCGTCATTTAGAGGCATTTGAAGAGAAGTCCTTGTTCCATTTTTGTAATGTTCACCGGGCCGTACAGTAGCTTCAGAGTTCCCCACAAGGTTGACGACAATTTCTCGCACCTCGATTGATTTATCTAGCTCTAAAAGCAACTCTCCTGAGACAGTATCTTCCAGTGTGTAAAATTCCCCATTGTGTGGAGGCTCGAGCCTTAATGTAAGGATTGGTGCCATAAAACCTTGTTTTACTAGTGTGATGAGCTTGAATTCCAGAATGACCAAGGAAAAACAGCTGTAGCTTGTCCAACAGATCGACTGGTGCAAAACTCTAACGACGATCAACTACAATGACACTGACGGCGTTTTCGACACCTTTTTGTGGTTCATGTCTTTTGGCGAGTTTTCATGATTGATATCCACCTGGTACAAAACTAATTTTTTAAGTTTCAGCAGTGTTATTGAACTTTAAGACGGCAAAAGGCTAGGAACATGGAGCTCAAGGTGATATATGGATGCTTCGTTTAAAATTAATTATTTACATGATCTATTCTTCAGCCGCAGGATGAGGAGCTGCAGTGGCAGAGACTGTAGGTTCGACCGCAAGGTGCTTTGCGTTGTTTTTATATTCTTCGTATACGTCAGCGCGACCCAACTTTGTTGCTGCTTTTTGGTAATTCTCATTAAATTTGCCCACAGGCTCAAGAGCTTCCCCAAACTCTGCAATCGTGCGCGTCATGACATATTGGAATCTGTGTTTGCTCAAGAAAGCACTCAATTTGCCGTTCGATGCGTTGGCCGTGTCAATCGCGGGCAGTTCGATTTCTTTAGAAGAAAGTCCTGGCAGATCGTGCTTCATTGTGAAACCTTGCTGCTTTGCGAAGGCATTGACAAGATGACTGGCTAGTCCGCTGTGATTCTGCTTCTCAGAAACCTGTTGCCACGCAGTCAGAAGTTTGTTTTGAGCCGTCTCGACGTTGGTCAAGTTACGAATATGGTTTCTGTGTAGCTGGCAAGTGACCACGGAATTAAAAAAGTGCTCAATGTCATAGATACTTGCATTCTGCGCTTCGGCGAAAAGTGGCTTCCATAGGTATAGATGCTTCAAAAACGATGAGAGCTTACCCAGCTTGAAAGTTGACGCAAACAGAATATTTTGAATGTGGTCTGCAGTGAAATACTTCCAAATGTCTTTCTTACGAGTTGTCAACGACGTCCATTTGTGCAGCAAGTCCAGCAATTGTGATGCTTCTTGCGCCGACCATATATAAGTATTCAGAGCCCTGCGAGACAAAGGTTTAACAGGCTCTCTTGACTTTAGCGGGGTGTCTGAACCAGGCTCTTTTAGATCCATCGCCAATAAGGTGTTTGCGTTGCGCGGTCTGTAAATCCACGGTCTTAGTGATACCCGAGTCGCATGATATTTGTAAAACTCGGCTAGCTTACCATCTGCTCTTTGAAAACTGGAGATGAACCGCCTAGAACCGAACGTCAGCATCTTGACCTTGCCCTCAGTCTAAAGTATATGACCTGAACAGAACGATTACAGTACTTGTTTTCACTGGGTTTTAAAATTTTTAGATTAAGTGATGACAAAATATCTTAATTGACAACGATGCCTACAGACTGAAAGAAGAACGCTACCGCTGATTCTTCCTAATTCGCTGGTGACTACTGATTTGACGTCTCGGGAGAGAACAGCTCAACGGTCTCAAATTTATATGTCAGTGCTACTCCTGAGGAGCCACTACTCTAATTGAATTCTGAACACCCTAATTAAGCCTTGCCAGCTGGCTAAGTTACATGAATAACGTGGTAGACTGGCTGCCTTATGCGGATGAACCGGTTACATCAAGCAATGAATTGCGATTAAAAATTGAGCAGCTGGTGCAGCAAGAGCTTCTTAACTTTGACCTAAATGTTCTACATCCAGGTGTTGAAAGCTTAATAGGCCGCACGGTACCGTCCCGGGCGGCCACACTGTACACCAGAGAGAGGAAGAGGTCCACCGACGAACCAGAAAATGTAGCTGACTCTGAAAAAAGGAGCTGTTCCGGAATTGAGAAGGCGCGGTATGATCTGAGCAATTGCAAGACACCTTCCCAGCGTGCAATCGCCGTGTCGTTCTTGGAACACCAAGAGAGTGTCCTGCAAGAGCTTCTGCCACGATCGCTAGCAAGGCAGTGGGTTACGAACAACGAATACTTGGGCAGGTTATGTGGGAGTATCAAACAAGTTACAGAAGTCCAAACGGGCCAGATCGATGACTTAGAGACGCTTCGTAGGAACATGCAGTCCAACGCCCGGCGGGAATTAGCGTATTTGGAACAGCAGTGGAAGAACAAGCTGGTGGAAAATGTGGAGCGTGCCCTCGGGAAAAGTGGCAGTGAATGAGGCAGCTGGGTACTCTACTGTAAACAAGCGCTCGGCTGAAACATAGGCCGCGTTTCCGGCTACTGCCTGGTCTCCCTGTCACCACCGTTTTTAAAAGTGCAGTTTTCAAATTACAGCATACAAAATTTAATTATATATACTAGGCGGGTAAGAACACTCAAGACACTTATTTGTCGACGACTTCGGCGTCGTATCTTTGCTTGAACCAAGCAATGGTGTCCTCCTTGGAAGTCTTGTGGTGGTTACCGACAACAGCTCTGCATCTCTTTCTTCTGGTGATTCTGTTACCTGGTCTGCCGACAACGATGTAGAAGTCCATACCGTAGATACCAATATTAGGGTCGTACTTGATACCCAAGTCGATGTGCTCTTGGATACCGAAACCGAAGTTACCGGTCTCAGAGAAGTTCTTTTCTCTCAATTGGTATTCCTTGACCTTTAGACCTCTTTCCAAGATTTCCTCGGCCTTTGGACCTCTGACGGTGACGTGGACAGCGATCTTTTCGTTTCTTCTGATACCGAAGGTTCTGACGGTGTAACGAGCCTTGGAGTGGACTGGGGTTTGACCGGACAACTGTTCCAAAACCTTGGAGGCTCTGGTCAATCTGTCACCGGATTCACCGACCGAGATGTTCAACACCAACTTCTCGATCTTCAATTCACGCATAGGGTTCTGGGCTTTGGCAGACATTTTGGGCGATGGATTCTGAGGTTTGAAGAGAAGACTGAAACCAAGCAAAGCTCGCTACAAATCACTTTTGAAAAGTATCCGGTACAAGTCAAACTCGCTCGTGCCAGTGTGGGTTGTTGGTTGGGCTTCGCATCGATAATTTTTCACCGCGCGCCCGTCCCCAGTGAGACCAGGCTGGAAAAAAAGTTTGCGTGGGTAGCGCCAGCTCGTCGGAAATGACCGGCGGCGGGTGTCAGCGCCAGCTGTCAGCGACAGCGAGCAGCTGCGGTTGCGAAACAGACGCTAACACGCCCAGCGGTGGCGACGGGGCCTGCCCGCACACGGTCTCCAAAGGGAGGCCCAAGGGACCCGGTACACCCAGTCGATGTGTTCTCTCGAGCCATGTGGCGCGCGCGCCCGTCGCTGCGCGGAAGGGACTCCAAGGAAGCACCTCTGGTGCGGCCAGAAAAGCCTGGGCGTGCGTGCAGCAAGGCCCTTGCTGCGCGAAGAACGACGAGCCCCACCAGGCGAACGTAGCTTGCCCAACAGTAGTCAGCGCGCCCTCGCGCCTGTCCTGGAGATCACTTCCTCCCAGCGCTGACGTCCCTGGCACGTGACCGAAAGCCCCCCACAGCAGACGCAGATCGCGACACACGAAAGCGGCCCTGGGGCTGTAATTTTTTCTCCTTCCTTCTTTGGTTTTCCAGAAGAAATTTCAGCGCTTCCGAGATTCTGTTGGACCCCTCTTTTGGGTGTCTGGGTGTACCGGCGGGTGTACGGATGGAGGAGACTTGAGCAGTCACAGCCTGCTGGGTGGCTGGGCGTGGCGAGTAGGTGGAGCTTGATTTATGAGGGCGTAGCAGTCGGCGTAGCAGTCGGCGTAGCAGTCGGCGTAGCAGTAGGCGTACAGTAGGCGGAGCAGTATACTGATGTAATGTACATACTAAAGAGAGCGACAGAAGCACGGGCTCCACAGGAGAGTAAGCCAGCTGCGACTCCGTAAGCCAGCTGCGACTCCGTGAGCCCATCTCCGACGCTGCTAGCAGTGGCACTGGCGTTGCCCCTGCCGTGTGCTGTTAGTGTAGCTGTTTCTGCGGTTCGCATTTGGGAGCTGGCCTGGGAGCTGGCTACTCTCCGCCTGACGGCGGCCGAGTCAGAGGCCTTTGGCTCCTAAGTCGCGCTGCTCACTTTGTACAATTCTGTCGCGTTCGCGCTGCACTTGGCACTTGTCAATATTTTTTCATTCGTTTTGGGCCCTTTCCATGAGCGCTCAGCAAGCTTCGCTGCTCCGCCCACCCAACGGAGTCGCGCACGCCACCGGCCGCTTGTGTCGCGCCATTCCAGCGGCCTCGAGGGAGCGCGCTTTGTCGTTTCGCCGGTGAGTGGTTCGAGTTGGCTCACGTTTCGCCCGTATTCAGAGATATATGCCCAGGTGTGAAAAATGAAATATTACTGTGCGCCACTTGGTTGGTACACGTATACTCATACGCCGTTAGACGGACCGTTCTGTTAGCTCTCAGCTCCATTCCACAGCGCTTCCTACTCGAATCATCGCCACCATGAATCCTCAAATCTCCAACTTGGCCATCATGCTTGTCATGATGCAGGTTTCGCGCCGTCTCGATATGGAGGATCCCACGATTGTGCTGTACGTGAGAATCGCCTACGCTACCAGTGTGGCGTTGGCGTGGACTGTCTACCAATTGGCCAGAAACAAGATTGTCAAGAAGAACGACCTGACCACGATGAAGTACGTGGCCCCAGCCAACGCCATGGCCGGCGAAACCGAGGGCAAACTGCAGGTCACCACTGTCAGAGACTACGACCTACAAGAGGTCGACTCGGCCATCAAGTCCATCTACACCGGTCTTGCCATGATGGGTTTCATGCATCTGTACATGAAGTACACCAACCCCTTGCTCATGCAATCCATCTCACCCATCAAGTCTGCTCTGGAGCACAACGAGGTCAAGATCCATCTCTTCGGCAAGCCCGCTGCTGGCGACCTCAAGAGACCCTTCAAGGCCCCATCGCTCTTTGGCGGCCTCGGCGGTGCCCCAGAGGCCAAGACCGACAAGAAGTCCATCGAGGAAGCCGAGAAGGCCGGCCACGGTGGCGTCAAAGCCGAGTAAATGTGTAGTAGGTTGATCCACCCAAGTCCACGCTCGTACCGAGCGATGCGACCGGGCCTTCCAATATCAGTTTGAATGTATGCCACATCTCCACACATACGCTATATAATGTTACGGTGTGAACCACATTGGCATCAAGGGGAGCTCATCCGTTCTAGCGGGCTCCGGTATTTGTAGTGTAGTTGGACGTGTGCAGTGGCTTTTACACGCCCTGCCTTTTTTTTCTTCAAGCGGACAAGATGGGCGACCCGGAGGTTTCCGTGTTAGTGCTTGGGGCGGGAGGCCTGGGTTGCGAGATTCTGAAAAACTTGGCTTTGCAAGGCATACCAACGATCCATGTGGTTGACATGGACACAATTGAGCTCACCAACCTGAACCGCCAATTTTTGTTTCAGGAAAGGGACATAGGTAAGTCCAAAGCCATCGTGGCGGCTAGCCGCATCAATGAAAAACAGCTCATTGGGCTTGGTGGCAGGCTCGTTCGGGTGGTTCCACATTTCCAGGATCTGACCCTGCTTGAGGACGCGTTCTTGCAGCATTTCACCATGGTGGTGTGTGGCCTTGACTCCATAGAAGCCCGCAGAGCCATCAACTCGCAGCTGGTGCGCCTCACGCTGGACTCCAATTTCGAAAAATGCATTCCTTTGATCGACGGTGGCAGCGACGGGCTGAAGGGCCACTGCAAAGTCATCATCCCCGGATTCACCGCATGCTTCGAGTGCTCACTGGGGACGCTCCCAGTGGAAACCGAGTCGTATCCCTTGTGCACCGTGGCCAACAACCCTCGGCTCCCCGAGCATGTAATCGAGTACTTGCTAACGGTGCAGTGGATAGAGGAGCACGCAGATGAGACATTCGACCACACAAACTCCGAACATCTACAATGGCTTATGGACCGCTCTTTGGAGCGTGCCACGCTTTTCAAGATCGACACGTGTAAACTACTTTCCCAACGGTTCGTGCTCGGCGTCGTGAAAAATATCGTGCCCAGTGTGGCGAGCACCAATGCTATCGTCGCTGCCCAGTGTTGTAGTGAGGTGTCTCGGTTGCTGTACAACAAATACGAGGTCGGGAAATCTGACAATTTTTCGGTATACAATGGAGAAGACGGGTTTTTCGCCTACAGTTTTCTGCACCAAAGACTCCCGGACTGCTTGGTCTGTCGCGAAACACCTTGATCCTTCTATCCGGAGGGGAATCTCAAAGAGATAAGATGATCAATATGAGGGACTTAGTTCTGCATCGGATCTGCTATCAAACTACAACTTTGAACTCACTTGCCTCTCAGGAAGGGGCGTATTACGAGAAGGACGCTACAAGATCGTCCAATGGCGCTTGGCTCTGTCTGGAAGAGAATACTGCCGATGGTGTTCTTGGTTGTACTCAGGCCATTTCGCTTTGAGTACTCGTACAAATCATTAGTCACGAGGATCATCACCTTGATTCGTAATTCCATTCTCACCAGTTAAGCCAAAGGAAATGCCATCCATCGTCTTTAAAACCCGCATGCCAGATCTTAGGTTCTGAAGCAGGTTTCAGAAAAATGTACACAAGATGTCTCCTGAAAGCCACGTATCCGATTGCTAGGACCTGGCGTCTTTCGAACACACACTTCGTTCCGTTTCGGTTCTTTTCATCTGCCAATTTGGACAGTTATGTGACGCCCTCTAATGTCATCAATGCACAGAAAAACTTGGGTATCAATATTACCCAGCGAGCAGCAAACAGACTGGCAGAAATCTCGAAAGAGAGTAGCGAGGCCCTTCGAGTTTGTGTAGAGAGTGGTGGCTGCCATGGATTCCAGTACAACTTGAAATTAATTCCTCGCGAGCAGTTGAAGCTGAGTGGGAGCGGTCAGAAGAACATGGCCGCTGCTCCAGAGGGACAAGATGAGGACTTTGAGGAGGACGACGACTTTGAAAGCGGATTGGATATTGTATACGAACTGCCGGAGCAGGGTGGTCAGGTGGTCATTGATGAGAAATCGCTAAAAGTGTTGAACAATACGACCCTGACGTATACCACTGAGCTTATAGGCTCAACTTTCAAAATAACTGGTGGAAACATGAAACACAGTTGTGGTTGCGGGAGCAGCTTCGACGTGGAAATATGAAGTTTTGCGGCCAGTGTGTGAATTGAACTTACGAAACCGGAACGCAATTCTTCCGTGCAGCTAAACTTCTCCTAGAAGATGGTGTGTGTTTTCGAACATTTTATGTCGTGATTTCCTTTCAAACGTCCTTCTGGATAAAAAATAAACCCTACTTATACTACGAGTTGGCCGCTTCGTTTTGAATTTCAATTTTATGTGCATGCCCATTGACCCTACTCGGATGGTGTGGTGATAAGCGATTCCTCCGCACTTTTACATTGAGTATTTACGAAGGCCAAAATTTCAGCCGTCGTACCCGCTATTGCATGCTTGTCGTTTCCAAGTATTTTCACACCGTCCGACCTCACCAGCACGCTGTGATGAACTCGTACTTCCGCCATGGGCAGTTTCTCAGCCCGGATACCGGTTTGATCGTACAGGTATGGCAAAATCAACTCTGAAAAGACTCTTTCGCCGTCCTGGCCTTCACGTAGGGCCTCTACGTCTGGTTGGGAAAAGTCAACTTGCAGTTTTTTCAAGTGATTGTCGTGTGTTGTTGGCATGTATATTATCTTGATGGCTTGTGACCTTTGCTTCAAGAAATAGTCCGCGATTAATGATATCAATGCGTTGCCAAATACAACTCTTTCCACAAAGAAGGTCGTGTTTTCGGCCACCCAATTCCTAAATGCCATCCCCAGTTGCTCACGGTCACTGAGGAAACACGTTTGGAATTGCTGTTGTAGATCACCATCATCCCTTGTACATACGATCAGATTTCCTAAACCTTTGATGTTCACATCTATTTGACGAACATTTAACATTGAATATTCGCAATTTATCGTAGAGACATCCATATTTCTTCGCTGAAACTGTTGAATAAAGCCATTTGCCAGCTCTTCACTTACCGACTGAGTAGCTACCCAGCTATGCCACAATTGTGCGTCCATAAACGGGATTTGCTGGTTCTTTCCTCGAACGCATCATCTGTTAGCCTGTGTGTACCATTTGTATATAAGTCAATATATATTATTTATAATATAAAGTACGGACTTAATTATGATGTCTCAGCAGCCTTGCCAAAAGAAGAACAATGAGTAGCTTCTGGGACCAGAACAAGGGCTCTATAAAGTCTGGACTAGCCACGGCAGGAAAATATGGCTACCAAGGGACCAAATTTGTAGCGAAAACAGGCTACCATGCTGGGAAACAACATTACAACAACACTAGGGGAATCAAAACTGATGACACTGGAAGCAGTTCGGCCTCTTTTCGTGACGCGGCACCCGTTACCTCCTTACCAGACGTATCCAATCTTCCTCCACCTCCATTGAAACCGGGTCAGTCGTCTTACCATGGCCCTGCCAGGCAATCAGGCATGAGTGACACCAGCACGCGGCACGTTCCTGTTCCTCCAGCTCAAGGGCCGACACCCGAAATTCAATATACTGGAACCCCGGTGCCAAGCCAAGCGCCCCAAGTCTCACAGTCAGTTTTTCCGGTGTCGGAAGAATTGCCAAAGTACACACCACTTTCCATACCCCCATCTGCAGTTCCTGCACCAACGGTCCCTAGACCCCTAGCATCCCTACCACCTACAGCCGAAAATAATATCGATAGTCCCGGAATGCTGAGGCTTGATACCTCTTCTACTGCTACTCAAGGCACCATTATAAACCAACGAGCCGTTCCAGCAGTCCCTGGAATGCCAAGTTCCGGGTTTCAAACGCTCGGGATCTCAGACAATGCTATAACGTTAGATACCACCAAACCAGACGATGCTGCTACGCATGAGTTGGCACCTGCTATACCACAGAGAACTTACATGCGTGCCCCGGCCCCGATCCCTATTCAACCCGTCGCAAGTGAAACACCATTGGAAACACCCGCTACTTACGATAACGACAATACATCTGGATCAGATATTGGTGTTAAACCATACGTTTGGAAAAGTCCAGAGGATAAAGAGAAATCGAAAGTCAAAATTCCGAAGGTTGAGCTTGCCAGTCTATCGGAACCACCACGGCATCGAGACAGAACACCGTCTGCTTCAGGAGCCTCAAGCCCTCAGAATGTGCTTGCTAGTCCTGCATCGACAGGCCTACGCTCATGTGGAAGCCCGGTTATGCCAGGACAGTGGCAGACATCGTTAGAACAAGACCATGTCCTCGACGACAAGATGGTGGATGAGACCAACCTTGAACAGCTGGAAAAGGGCGTATCTGGCCGGTACACTAATACCGGAGCGGTAAACTTCCCACCACCTCCTAGAGCATCAAGAACCGACTCAAACCAGCACTCCAAGTCTGCAGCTAACATGGCTATTGCTGCAAATGGCAGTGGCATTGCAAACGCTCCGAGGAAGCCACCGAGCTTGCCGCAACGGTCAAGTCAATCGGCTTCTATTACCGCTCTACCTCCTCGGCCTAAATCACAGACTCCAGCGTTAGCCACGAGGAATTCCGAAAAAGACGCACAGCCCATCCAAAGCGCGGTAGTAGGCTCATACAACAGCAGCCCACAGGTGAATTTTGTGCCTCCCCCCAAGCCATTCAGGAGGGACATGCCATCTTCCAAGAGTGTCCCAGCGAAACCCGTGGCGCCGGTGATTCCACAACGCACTACAGGCACTTATGATACACACCATGACGATAAGAGCCCACCTCCGTACAGAGATGTGGAACCTTTAGAATCACAGCCAAGCATCATTTCTCCGCGCGCCAACTCTCCGATATCTATTGCCAAGGAAAAGAAACTACCCCCACCAAAAAAGGCCATCCCACAAACGTTACAAAACCTGGCCAGAAACAACGAATCCAACCAAGACACGCCCTCCAAAAAAGTGCCGCCACCGAAGCCATCTAGAAGAGGCGTTGCAGCTCCACCTAAGCCAGCACGGAAACCACAGTTGCCGGGGACACCGGGCATAAACGGAGGGTCTGAAGAGACCGACAAGCTTGATACCGAACTACAAGCTCGGCTCAAACTGAGACGAAGCACAGCCGAAAGGACCCCTTCCGCCCGTCAAAATAATGACGAATTATCTGCTTCGATGCATGCTGACAGAATTAGACCTACCATACCTCCAGTGAAGCCTAAGAGCCCGCCTATGGCGGCCAACGACAATAATGAAGTTGAAGACCAGGATCAGAATCCTTTTCAGCGGTATTTGAGAAACGCCGTTCCGCTGGAAAACGATCGACTACATAAATTTGGTTAGACTAGCTGCTCTGCATATAAAGATCATGTTCGATCGTGCATTACATAGTTTGAAGACGTACAGACAGATTTCGGCAAAAGTAGCAATGGTGCTGTGGATCGGAGACTGCAAGACATATTGGTCCACAACAACGTTCGTATTGTACATCCCTGAGGCCGCAGGTGAGTTAAACCGGGGCGCTTCTGGCTTTGATCAGCCTCAGTTGTTCCGGACGTTCATGTACGAGAGTCGGATAGAGTAGATGACAACAGAAGCACGCAGACAGGGTATATTAGACTGCTCTTATGTCCTAGCACACGGATGAAAACTGACTATTTCGACAACAAGGCAGCGAACTGCTTGATATTGATCTCTCCGCTGCCGTCGCTCACTTCTCTTAGCATCTCGTCCACCTCTGCGTCCGTGAGCTTTTCCCCAATCGACGTCAACACGTGCTTCAGCTCTGCGGCAGAGATCAGGCCGTCGCCGTTTTTGTCAAACACTTTGAACGCCTCCAGCAACTCCTGCTCGGAATCGTTGGACTTCAATTGGCGCGACATCAAGGCCAAAAATTCGCTGAACTCAATCTTGTGGTTGCCATTGACGTCGATCTCATTCATCAGATCCGCCACCTCGGCCTCGCTTGGCGACAGACCCAGCGAACGCATCACTGTGGCCAATTCTGACGACGAGATTGAGCCGTTGTTGTCCTTGTCGAAAAGCGCAAAAGCTTCCTTAAATTCCGCGATTTGTTCTTCGGTAAGATTTCCAGACATTTGAAGCTATCTCAACTATCTCCTGGGGGCCTTCGCACCTTGAATTGGGCTCGACTTCCTTGTTTATCGAACTCTTGAAACACCTGTTGGTAACATCAAGCATGACAAGCTCAAAGGATATTTTTGGTCGGGTAGCAAGAGCTGAGCCAAAAATGCCCGTATAAAGGGACATCAACTGGAAAGTACTCGCCTTGATCATGTGACGTACTCGAGTTTTGGCAATTCAAAATCGGCGAGCCCCAGATAGGAAGACTAAGCTAGCCAAAAGCACGCCGGGTCGTGGCATTGGTGGACCAAAGCGCAGGTTTAAGACGAGTAACGAACCAACTGGGCCCCGATAATGTTTGAAGCGGCTCCCCGTCTGGTTTGGTGGCTCCTGGGGCTGTACGTTTTTGTCCCAGTCGTGTGCTACGTTGTGGTACCGTTTCTGTTCTACGGAAACCGTAATACCAAGAAACGGATCGTTATATGTGTGCTAGGAGATGTGGGCCATTCGCCACGCATGTGCTACCATGCGCGAAGCTTCAGTGAGCAGGGCTGGCAGGTGGAGCTGTGCGGATACCTGGTGGAACAGCCTCCAGCCGATATCATGGAGTCCCCCAACATCACGGTTCATAGGCTGAAGACGTGCTCTGCACGCGAAGGCGAGTCGTTTTTGATGGCTGCTGCGCGGAAGGTGCTGGTCCAGGTGGTCTCGATTGGCGGCTTGCTGTGGAGGCTGAGAGGGAGTGATTATTTCTTGTTGCAGAATCCGCCCAGCATTCCCATTTTGCCCATCGCGGCCATTTATTGCATTCTGTTCAGATGCAAGCTCATCATTGACTGGCACAACTTTGGGTATTCGATCTTGAAGCTCAAATTCGGCTCGTTCTGGCACCCAGTGGTCCTGGTGTCGTTTCTAGTGGAGTACCTCTTTGCAAAGCTTGCCTCTTACCATTTAACGGTTACAAAAGCCATGAAAGTGTATCTTGTCAGTACCTTCGGACTTTCGTCCAAACGCGTCACGGTCCTCTACGACAGGCCTGCAGTCCAATTCAGACCACTCACAGGAGATCGACAGCAGGCGTTGCAGCAGGACTTCGTGCGGCCTTTGATTCCTTCTGGCTTTGACATCTCCAGCGGTGACCGCATCTTAGTGACTTCGACATCATTCACGCCGGACGAAGACCTATCTCTGCTGATCGGCGCGCTTAAAATATATGAAAATTCCTACCAGAAGTTTGACCATGATATACCCAAAATTTTGTGTTTTATCACCGGCAAGGGCCCGTTGAAGCAGCATTTCATGGAAGTAGTCAAGACAGAGAAGTGGGAGCGTGTCCACATCGAGTTTCTATGGCTCTCTACCGAAGAATACCCAAAGCTTTTGCAACTTTGTGATTTCGGTGTCTCACTACATACATCTAGCTCGGGTCTGGATCTTCCTATGAAAATCTTGGATATGTTTGGGTCGGGCCTTCCGGTGATCGCATACAACTACCCAGTTCTCGGCGAGCTAATCCAATACAATGTGAATGGATTAAAGTTTTTGGGTAGGCGAGAGCTGCACGAGGCCTTGGTTTTTGTTATGAAAGATAAAAAAGTACACGAAGATCTTAAGAAAGGTGCCCTAGCAGAATCGAAAAATAGGTGGCAAGATTCCTGGGAAGCGGCAATGGAGGAGCTATCTTTGATTAGACGGTGAGTACCGAGACGAGGTGCGTGTCGGATCGTAAAACTGTACTAGTTTGTTTAGGGCCTTTGCATTGTTATCATTTTTCAAGAAATTGGTTTGGCACCCTTCAGCATCATAGTACCAGAACTTGTAAAACTCATCTTTATAAAAGTCAATAAATTCATGGTCTGGGATTGTATCCTCATCTTCTTTGAACGGATTGGGGTATTGATTTCCAGAGAATTCCGCAAGAAGTTTCCAACTCAAGTAAGTGTAAAATCGGCTCGTGAGGTTTATATTATAGCCTCCACCCCCGAGAAGAACTACGTTAGCCTGTGGAAATCTTCGGATGATCGCGCAAATACTTTCCGACAAACCTTTTATAGTCAATTGCCACTCGCCGTACTTGTCCCCCATCAAACCATCGGCTCCACATTGAATTACGATAACTTGCGGATTTTGGTGCTCGATGCAGGGAAGTATTACTTGATCTACAAGTTTTGCGAGGTCATTGTCGCTAAAACCATGCAGAACCGGTAGGTTGACTATCTTATGGCCGTTCTGTGACTCCTTGACACTTCCTGATCCCGGGAAAAACCCTGGCTCCAGCAGGTGAACCGATATTGTCTGAACATTGGCAGAATATTGAAATGCGCGTTCCACGCCATCTCCGTGGTGAAGGTCTAAATCCACATAGCTCACGCTGGTAATACCGCGTCTCCGTAGTTTCTGGATGAGAAGTACGATGTCATTGACAAAACAAAATCCACTTGCCTTTGATTTTAAGGCATGATGCCGTCCACCATCCCAGTTGATGGAAATCGTGCGCTTCTGTCGCGAGACAGCTGGCCGCGCTAAAGCTAACGTAGCACCGGTTGTCACGTAGCAGTAAGTAGGCAAATATTGGAAAATATGGCAGTCATGGGAAAGCCCAAATTTTCCAAGTATCTCTGCACAAAGAGATTGCTTTTCTTCCTCTAAGCCCTTATCGGAATCATGATGCTCAGGATCCAATATTATTTTCCAACGCTCTTGTTTGAAACTCGAGGCTTCTTCCTTAAAGCTCGCATTATCCGAGTAGTACTTCTTCAGTTCACGCTTTGAAGGAAACCATGGCGCTGAGAAAGTCGAATGGTTATTATGCGCCTCATCCTCCCAATTGCTGGCCGTTGAAGCCATATTCATCCATTCTTGATCCTGGATGCTAGAACTTTCATGCACTTCTTCTTCGTCAAGCTGGGAGTTTAGAAGTACCTTCAAATACTCACTAGAATGGAATTGACGAATATCGGATACTGTGCAGCCGGGCAGGTCTATGACTTCGTTAAAATGTTCTAAGAGTCCATACGATTTGAGCATGGTATAAATGAGCACAGATTTCGCATTGTTGTTGCAAGGCAGCAGGTCAGACACCTGGGATTGGAATGGCGATGTAACAATCGTGAAATAAGCCATCTACGACATTGTTCTCGTTTGTTTACAGATTGAGAGGAGGCATTGCTGGCTAACACTTCTTTGATAAATATTTAATTATTTAACGGTGACAATTTAGTATGTGGAAGTGACAGCGTCACAGTTCAAGTTCCTTGGCGGCCCAAGTTGGAAGAACAAACGAGGCCTCGTGGATCCTCTTGTTGTAGTATCTATACATTTCAACCTCGTCCTGGTCTGATTTAGCACGCAATGGTTTCTTGACGTTGGACTTAGCGTCTTTGGAGCACACCATAAAGCCAATTTGGCCGGATGGGTAGGTTGGGATTGTGGTGTAGGCGTACTCAGCAACAGGGAAAACCTCAGAACAGGCCTTCTTCAAGTTCTTGATGACTGGCAAGTGCAGCCAGATGCTCTCGGCTTGGGTGGTAATCACACCATTCTCGGTCAAAGCGCTGTTCAAAAGCTCAAAGTAGGCCTTTTGGAACAAAGTCTCAGCCGGACCCTCAGGGTCAGACGAGTCAGTGACAATCACATCGAAAGTGTTTTGGTAGTCTCTCAAGAATTGGAAACCATCGCCGATGTGGGTTCTAACCTTTGGGTGCGAGTAAGAGGCAGCCATGTCCGGCAGATACTGTTTGGAGAGTCTGATGACAGCTTCATCTATGTCGCACAGCCACGCTTCTTCAACACACTCGTGCTTGACAATCTCTCTGAGCACACCGCCGTCACCCCCACCGATGACCAGCACCTTTTTAGGCTCAGGGTGCGAGTTTAACCCCAGATGGGCAATCATCTCCTGGTAAGAGAATTCGTCCCTTTCGGTAGCCTGGATCACATTGTCTAGCACTAGCACGTTGCCGTAGTCCGTAGATTTGAAGATCAGCACATCCTGGTACTTGGACTTCTCATGGTGCAGCACTTTTTCAACTTTTAGAGTCATGGCTTGGCCTGGCCACATCGTGTCAGAGATTTCTCTAAACCATCCATCCTTGATAGTAGGGTGGGTGATTTGTTCAGACATGTCCAATTGAGTTCAAATAAGGGGAAATGTGGTCTACACACCAATGAAAAGTTAAGCGAGATGAGCTGGCTACATTATCTGGAGAACAATGTGCTAGCTATTTATACAATTTTTTTCACCTTCATTAGGGTGCAGATCACATCAAAACCAGAGTCAACAATATACCAAAGCTTGAACGGTGATAACAACCGGAAGACCTTGTGCTATTGATATACACAGGAACCCTCCACAAATAAAGATGAGCGTCAAAATTCTAGCTTTCCTTTGAGAGGCGCCGGCAAGGGAACGCTAGGAAATTATGGAATTTCGTGAAAGAAAAACCCTGTCATCAACGTAATGGGATGAAAATTTCAGGATGCTGGAGACGCTAAAATATTCATGGGGTACAATAGAGCCCCGTCGCGGGTGTAGCGTCGGCGCACCTGGGTCTCTGCGTTGTGAAGTGGATGTGGTAAAATTCGACTCGTATATCGTGATATACTCTACCACTGGTCACCAATGGGCTCGAAAGCTGTACGCTCAAGTTGTTTCAACTACTCCTCCAGGCACACGTCTGCAAGGGCTACATGCTGGACCAGGAGTTTCGCCAGGTGGTAGACCGGGAACCCTTTTAGTTATTAATCACTAGCGACGAGGTCTATTGTCAAATGATCGTATGCCCAGTTCACAGAGCGTCCAAGACGTCCAGTGTCATACGAAAGAGCAGTGACGGCGCTGGCATCTTTAGGGTCAATTGTTGTGCCTTTTATTCATTGCGGAATGAGTGACCTGTACGTCGAAACCCTGAGTGATATGATAGCTCTGCTGCAAGAATATAAGCCCGGGTTGGTGACGCTGGAAAATGTAACCCGACTATGCAAGACTTTACGACTGGAGTCGTTCACGGACAATATTGACAGCGAAACCATACGGCTTTCTGCAGCTTCCAACATCATCGTGATAGACATGGACTTCCACAAAGCGGACGAGCGCGTCAAGGACGTCAAACTGGTGCTGGCCAGCAATTTCGACAATTTCAACTACTTCAATGACGAGGACAACAGCAACATTCTTTACAATTCGTTGAGCTGCTATCCTGATCTGCATACGTTTTATTTCAATCTCAAATTTTTGTCCATCTTAGACACCTATTCCAACATCGAAACGGAACCAAGGATATCTGGTCAACATGATAAGCTGGATCTATTCAAGTACTTTACCGAACTTCCTGACCAGCTTCGGACCTTTTTTAAGGATATGTCCATGGTGGAAGAAATACGAACCAACGTCGACAATAAGTTTGGTATCTATGTTATGCGTGCGGGCACACTGGTTGCGAAAATCGACATTGAAGAGTGTGATGCTCACGGAGAGCGCTTCCACGACTATCGATATCAAAACTCATCATGGACTGCTGATGCTTCTCACAAAAACGCTATGGGAGTCATGTTGGTTTTGAAAATATTCGATACCTCCCTTCATTTCCCCCAAGAACTCATTTCTCGCGACCTGGTACTTGATTCAGACTCACACAAGCCATATTCAGTGGCCAATCATCAAAAGTCTTTGCATCTTTTCAACGACATCACTTCAAACCTGATACCTGCATCTAAATTCAAGATCAGCAATGACAACATAGAGCTGCTCGGAGAGCTACTTAGATGGGTCAGTTGGTGGCAGCATGTTCTCTCCCCGGTGCTACAAACACTCAAGTGCCCAGCCCCACACCCTCCTAATGATCCCAAGAGGCGCACCTCCTCTAATTCCACCTCAGCCCCGGCTCAAAGGCGGTTGAATCATACCACCAGACGTCGCAGGTCATCGCAGAAAGGGAGAAGACCGAGTCTAACGGATTCCAGTATGATGAAGGACGGCGGGCTACAACAATTTACGCTAACCGAGGTCATGAGCCAGCCTGTCGTAGAGGAGGATGAGCCTTCTGATATCATTGACCTGGTGTTAAATGAAGAGTATTTGGCTCTAGGCACCCACCACCGCTGCCACATTGAGGGTGGATTACAGGAGTGGCAAGCGTTTGTCGGTAGTTTCAAATCGATCGCGTTGTAGCGTAGATGCAGATCAGTTATAATTACATTAGAATTATTTTACGTTGTATATTTTACAGCTGATACTGTTGCGCTAGTCTGATGCCCTGGGCAACATTTTGCACACGCGCATCTAGCTTATAGCCTTGTTCGGCGAGTTTCTCCATATCGCTGGCAAAACTTTTCAAGGGGACTTTAAAGGACTCGATGAACTCGTTTTCCTCCAGTTCCGTCTGTAAGTTTTGATTTTCAGGCGCCAAGGTATCCACTTCCACAGTGACCAGAGACAAATTGGTATTTGTAAATCCGGGGTCATTGAAGATGATGGGGGTCTTGCTTACAATTTTGCCAGAGTATCCGGTTTCTTCTTTGAGCTCACGCAAAGCGGCTACTTCCACCGATTCGTTTTCGTCAATTAGCCCAGCTGGCATCTCGATGCAAACGCCTTCCACCGGGGGCCTAAATTGTTTCTGTAGCAGTATCTCTGGCTCGGCGCCCGGTGACTTCAAGATCGCCAGGATTCCCACGCCGTCAATCCCACCACTATTCCTAGTTCTTCTGACTGCACTGTCCCATTGTCTTGGTGTCCCGTTAGGGTCGAGATACTCGAGCCGTTCGAGGCCAATCCATTTGCAATCGTCCGCATTTGACACCGGATGCGCCTTCAAAAACTTAGCGTCTTCTGGTCTCCCTGTCATTCTTATTCTAGAGCTAATCCTACTTACTTTCAACAATCTATAAACCGGGTATAATCGTTTAACTACTGGTGTGAACATACCAGTAGTGTAAATTGATGCAAACTTCGGACAGACCTTTAAAAACTAATATATATATATATATATATATATACATATTAATTAGCTAGAATATATATGTAGTAAACTGAGGATCAGGAATTACAGCGCTAGCCACCAGCACACCGAAATCCATCATATAATGACTTCAAGTGACTCTCGGGCCCTACAACTGAAAGGACAGATCCAGCAGCATTTGGTAGAATCTGGAAATTATGAACTGTAAGTGGAAAAGCGAGACAGAGACAGGCCAACATGGTAAAAACAGTGTTTATCGCTTGCAATCGAAATTGGTAGTTGTGGTAGCCAGTATCAACTACGCTTTTATCTAACTACTAACTCTCGGCAGTATATCTAACAAGTTGAGCCAAAAACTACTACAAGAAGGCTGGACAGACCAAGTAAAACGATTAACCAGTGTTGAGATAGATAACAATAAAAATGCCAGCTTTCCAGAAGTCCTGGCGAAAGTGGAGCCAAAGGCGATACGTATGTTGTCGAGAGCCTAGGGAGGAAGTAATTTTGACCATTCTAACAGTCTGTAATGATCCCCTTACTAACGAACTATATCACTGGATTGCAGAGCTGGTTTCTGAAAGTACGAAACAAGAGATTATATCACAAATCCAAAGCTACCTGAGCGAGATCGTGGAAACCGAGTGACCGGTGGCGAGGTCTTTATCTTCAAGGGAAACAAGACGTTCAAATACGTGTCATGAGAATTGGGGGGCATACATACACATGGTTGGCCCGGCAAGACATGTGTGCGCGCTTTCATATCTGTTTATCTAATTATAGTTACATCTGCAAATGCCGTCAATCGTCATAATTTTCGTCCTCTTCCACCTCCCGAACAGCCCTTTCGTTGACGGAAGGCTTGGAATTCCCGTTTCGTGATGAAACAATATCATCAACCAAAGCCTCCTGTTCTTCCTCCTTACGCAGCTCTGCCTCCTCGCGGAGTTTAGCAATAGCATCTGCGCTCGCCTTTATCACAGGTTCCTTCTCATCCGGCTGCTCCTCTTGGAAAGTTTCTGTATTCTGGACAGATTCTGAGAGCTCGACAGTATCGTCCTTTTTGTCACTTTGAGGTGAAAGAGCCGGGGGTTCTTCAACGGGTGCCATTGCCGTCGTTAAACTTGCCACGGAGGTCCTACTTGCTTGACCATTGGGTTGCGAGGGGGCCGCTTCCAGTGGATCCTTTGAAGGGGCTGTGGAAGCTTCGTTACTCTTGGATGTGGTTACAATATGATCGGAGGGTGGGTTGGATTCGCCCTTGGGAGCCGAAGCGTTACGCTTGTGTTTCTTGTGGCCTGTGGCTTCCGAGGTAACGGAGGACTTGCGGCTGGTTTTTGAAGCGGAGTTCTCGACCACAGCCGTGCTGTGATCCGCAGGGGTGCCCGCATTTGAGACAGCAGCATTTACCAACGTGTCCATTCCACCTTCGATGGGTCTCTTTTGAGGTAAGGTGAAGTTGGTACTGTTGAGGATAACGGGATTCATAATCTGGGGTAATGAACTTGCAGTACCACTGGCCTTCTCAGTAGTAGGCGTCTGAGCTTGAGCTTGAGCTTGAGCTTGGCTTTGATTCCCAATATTCTGTACTTCACTGAAGGGTCTCAAAGTAGCAGGGGCATGGGCATCCTGGGAGGCAGCGACACCGGGTGCCATAGCCTGGGTTGTTGGTTGCTGTGTATATTGCTGCGGTACGCTAGTTTGTTGTAGTTGCGATTGGAGTGATAACTGAGGTTGAATGGTCTGTTGTGGCACTGGAGGGGCCGGTTGTGTATTCGCAGAAAAAGGAGTATTTGCAATTTGGCCCGGAACAGGAGGTTGGCCATACACCGAGCCTTTATTCAGTGGGTTTCCGTCGTCTGTGGATTGTAAAGTAGGTTGTAGCATTACCGGAGGTGGGTTAGTCACCGCGGGGGCTTTGATCTGTGGGGGGGCAGCAGCCCCATTCGATTGATTAGCCAGCTGTTCAGTGAGGGCCGCTAACCTTTCTCTAATATGCACATTGTTTGGGTCGAGTCTTGCGGCTTGCTTATAGGCGTCAAGCGCATCCGTTAACTGATTATTACACGTTTCGTAGAGGGTACCGAGATCATACCACACTTCGCTGATGTATGGGTTGAGTCGTATGGCTCTAGTATAAGCATCGAGCGCGTCTCGATATTGTGAGATTTGGTAGTATAGCACACCGATGGAGCACCAGAAAATGGGGTTTCGTGAGTCGCGGTTGACCGCGTGTTGGAAGGCGTCGTACGCCGCTGTGTAGTCATTTCGCACCATGTGGATACGGCCCAAGTGGTACCAAGTGGTGGCATCTGTTGAGTCCGCGCCCAAGGATTTGAGCAACAGGTTCAATGCGGTTTGGGTGTCGTAAAATTGAACGTTTTGCATGCCGTACAAACACCCGAGCTGTTGCAGCACCTTGGCGTGGCGGTCGTTCTGCAAGAGAACATGCTCGTAGGCCTCGCGCGCACCCTGCCATTCGCTCATGCTTTCCAGGACGCTACCGAGCTGGAACCACACGTCCCATTCTTGCAGCGGCGCCGGCGGCTGGGTGAGGATGTAGCGGAAGCACTCGAGCGCCTGGCTCCACTTGCCTTGATGCTTGTAAATAATGCCCAGCCGGAAGTATATTTCGTTGGCCTTTTCGAACTGCGGGTCGAGCTCCAGCACCTTAGCAAAGGCCTCTTCCGCGTAATCCAGCGATCCGTAGCGGTCGTAGAGGATCCCGATGCCGTGCCACAGTTTGGGCACGTTTGGATTGCTGAGATGGTACAGCGCCTGCTGGTAGGCAGCGTACGCGCGTTGGAGGTCGTCAAGCATCAGGTAGCAATGGCCCAAAGTGGCCCATATGTCGCCGAGCTCTGGGTTCACCGACAGCGCGCGCTGGTACAGTTCTGCGGCACGCTGGAACATGTCGCGCGACCTGTACAGGTGTGCCAGCGACGTCAGCGCCTTGGTGGATGATGGGTTGTATTGGAGCGTGGCGTCGTACGCCATGGCAGCGCGATCCGCGTCGCCAACCGTCTCGGCCAGCGACGCGATGGACAGCCACGTCTCCGCCGTCGATTGCGTCAGCGGGTCTGTTGGCACTGCCGGCTGTCGCTGCACCTGCACGATCGGCTGTGTAGCGGCGGCTGAGGGCGCGGGGGGCACCGAAGGTGCTGTCGCCGCGGCTGTTTGCGATGCCGCCGCTGGCGCAGCCGCTGGAATCGCCATGGACGCGGCTGCCGCGGCTGGCGAAGGCTGCGACACCCGCGGCGACACCGAGTGCGACGCCAAGTGGACCGCCGCCAGCGAGCCTTGCTGCGAGGGTAATATGTTCATCCTGTGCGATTGTGCGTGTTTCTTGTGTCTTTAGTCTTGTGTGCGTGTCTGTGTGTGTGTGTGTGTGTGTGTGTGTATCCAGATGTTGTTGCACTTTTGATTTCTCTGCGTGGCGCTCGCCCTTGCCGCCCTTCCCTGTTTCCCTCTTCTCTGTCGCGGTGGCCTGAACCCTGTAGTGTTTTGCCGCGTGTTATGCGATGTGTTTATGACGACCTGGCCTCTGTTGTTTTCGCTTCATTTTCACGGGCCTCATTTATAGGCAAAATTTTTTCGACACTGACGACAACAACAACAACCAAAGACACCACGGAATAAAAAAAAAAACGAACCCCAAAAAAAAAAAACGGAAATCTAAATCGAAAACACAAAAACGAGCTTGGAAAAAAATAGGGGAGGGTGGATGTCTCGTGTGACGCGATTTAGGGGCGGGCTGGAGGATCTGGTGTGTGGGTGGTGGTGGTGGTTGGGGGGCCGGTGTCAGTTTCGGGTGCGAGTGACACGGGCCCGGTTTCCCGTGTATCGCGATATGTGAAAGTGGGCGACCCTGGTAGTCACGTGCTTTTTTGATGACGTGTACTCGAAGGCACGTGAGATGAGGTGTACTGGCGCAAGGGGCGGTAGTCACGTGGCTTATATGACGTGTACTCGAGGAGGTGTACTCGTGAGGGCAGGGGGCGGCGGTTGCTGAGAGCAGGCTCCCCGAGTAGGCTCCGATACGGGTCAACCCGGCCCTTTACGGGCCCAGGGAGGAGTCACGGGGCCAAGGACAGCTACCGCAGGAATAGCCGCCAACACAAAGCGTGTGCGGAACTTCTGTTGCTGGTGCCGCTGACACGTCCAGCGAGAGCCGCTCCAGTTGCGCTCATCTGTAGTGCTAGCACAAGACACCTGGCGGCGTCTGGTGAGCAAGGTATGGCGTGTTTGAGCGGCCTTATTCCCGCGGTCGGCGGCTATTTGCGGAGATCTCTACCAGCGTGTGCTCCAGCCAGAGCGCCATTGCCCCAAGCTCTTCGTTGGGCAGCATGGAGTGCTGTTGCTTGCCATTGTGGCGGTCTGTGTATAGGTCCTTTAAACACTGGAAAACACTCCCCAGGTCTAATGAGGGGATGAAAACAGTGGGAAACGCAGTCCGGAACTGCTTTTATATTGCACCGAGATATGGCACTGTGTACGAACAGGATATTGGGACGAGGGCTGTGGAGGCTGGCCCAGAACCCGTGACCCTGAAAAGCCCGGCGGGGCGTTGCTGAATCGGGTACATCGAGATACTTGTCCTGGGAATAGCACTGGTCGCGTCCAGGGTGGTTCTGTCAAGAGCGTGTGAACGGACGAGTGTACACTCCCAATAATAATGGTGAAACAAGGACAGGGCGCTGTATAAGCCCCGCATCAGAACGCTATTTTGCGTTGTCACGCCAATGAATAGTGTGAACAAAGCAGTAGTCCATCAGCGTTGCAGCTGCTCGCTCGCTCCACTATTCATTCACCGTGTCTCTCCACCAACCACCGCCAAGGGCCGAGGTAGCTGTTTCTCACGTGACCAAAGCTACTGGGTCACGTGGATGGATTTCTGTGCCATTATTGTATGGGATGACAGGGACTAGATGATTTGCTGACGTCCGGGCTTAGTAGTGGCAAAATTGGAGCGGATCCAGACCCATCGACAAGGCGCTATGGGAGAGACATCACTCTGTCGATTTCACTCCCCGGTAGCTTCCTGGGACCACATGTGTCACGAAAATTCACCCCCACCTCCGCCTCAGATTCCCTGGCGCAACTAACCTTTATAATTATTCTGCTGTACTTACTAAACGGGGGTGTTAAAAAAATTCGCCGAGCCAGGATTTCAATCGCCAAACTCTTTTCTCCCACCTTCATTGTATGTCCGATGATATGGGTTAATTTGGAGTCCGCCAAGCAATGAGTTATTATACGCGGTTGTGATTCGATATTTTGATTTTCGAACCCAAACGCCTTTCGCTCGTATGGGCCTGGCCCGGCTCTGCCGGTCACGTTCAATGTTTTCTGCCACCCTCGGCCCTCCTGCAAGTTTAAGCAGATCACATCATCGCCCAGCTTTTTTTAGGATTTCCTCGGAAGAATTCCATCACCGTGTAATTAAAAAAAATATTGGACGGTATCGGAGATGCCCGAAAGTTCGCGCAAATTGTGGAGGCAATGCTCGAGACCCGGTCATCTCTCGTGGCTTGCTCTGTAGGCGCACCAATAATGCATTCGATTATCACCAGTAATTTTGGGCTATCCGCTGCGCGGCTTAGATAGAGGTCATTAGGCGCCAAGACCGACATAATAGCCGCAAACTTATCTCGTATCGAACAGTTGCCAATCAAAGAAGGCTTCAAGGCGATCTGGCATCTAACCTTATCTCTTACAAAAGAAAACAAGATAGCAGCCTCTGGAGCATGCTTGTTCTCCTCCGTATCAGTCCACTTGTTCTTTCCCCTATCAGTCCGGGCCATCTCAGTAGGGTGCTCATCGCGATGGCACAAACACTTAAATAAAAAGCAGCACAGGTTCATGCTTGGCAAGAAAGGCCCCAGTACAACCCCGTGATCTCTAGCGGCAGGTATCACAATGTCCACCGATGTCAAGAATCAGGATAAAATCAACGTTGCTGACTCCCATTCGGAGGGAACTCATGACGCGCTGGAAAAGGACGGGTTGTGGAGACGGATTCTCAATGCGCTCGAAGTCCACAAGACCTCTCGCCACGAAAGTATCAAGGAGACGTTTCTGTTCAACCACGATTTACAGCCGGTGGAGACGGAGCGTCGTTTGTGGTCGTGGTTCAACTTTGTGTACTTTTGGATTGCTGACTGCTTCAACATCAACACCTGGCAAGTCGCCGCAACCGGTTTGCAATTGGGCCTCACCTGGTGGGAAACGTGGATCACAGTCTGGATCGGATATACCATCGTGGCTGTGTTTGTCGTTTCGGTGGCCAGAATTGGCTCGGTGTATCACATATCATTCCCCATTGCTGCCAGGGCCTCCTTCGGTATATTCTTCTCCCTGTGGCCTGTTTTGAACCGTGTGGTCATGGCTATCGTCTGGTACTCGGTGCAAACCTGGATTGCTCTGTCTCCGGTTTCCTTAATGCTCAAATGCATATTCGGTTACAATTTGCCAGAACGGATTCCTGACCACATGGGAACGCCCAACGCTACAACTTATCAATTCATGTGCTTCTTCATTTTCTGGGTTGTCGAACTGCCCTTCGTCTACGTCCACCCCCATCAAATCCGCCATCTATTTACGGTCAAGGCCTGCTTGGTTCCATTTGCTGCTTTTGGCTTCTTGATATGGGCTCTCTTGAAGTCCCATGGTCGTATTGCTCTCGATACCTTGGTTCAAGGGCCCTCCTTGAGTTCAAGCGATCGTGGGTGGGCTTGGATTCAAAGCATTCTCGCATGCATAGGTAATTTCGCGACGTTAATTGTCAATGCTCCAGATTTTTCTCGTTTTTCTAAGACTAAAAACTCGGCAACTTATTCCCAGGCCCTCTCCATCCCATTTTTCTTTTCTATCACCTCCCTAATTGGTATCATCGTCACTGCTGCTGCTTACAAGGTCTACCAAGTTAACTACTGGTCGCCTTTGGATGTACTTGACAGTTTCTTGGGTGATGGACAAACCAAAGGGGAACGGGCAGGTGTTTTCCTGATTTCCTTTGTGTTTGCACTGGCTCAGCTGGGTACCAACATTAGTGCAAACTCTTTATCGGCTGGTACTGACATGACGGCACTTTTACCCAAATTTATCAACATCAGACGCGGTGGTTTCATTTGTGCTGCTCTGGCACTATGCATTTGCCCTTGGAATTTGATGTCCAGCTCGAGCAAGTTCACATCAGCCTTGAGTGCTTATGCCATCTTTTTGAGTTGTATCGCCGCTGTGATGGTTGCCGACTACTACGTCGTACGGAGAGGCCAACTGAACTTGCAACACCTGTATTGTGCTGAAAAAGACATTTCCATCTATATGTATGGTAACAGGTTTGGTGTCAACTGGCGAGCTTTGATTGCTTATCTCTGCGGTCTAGTTCCAAATATGCCTGGGTTTGTTGGGACCGTTGGCGATAATATCTATGTTCCTATGGGAGCTATCAAACTCTATTATTTGAACTACCTGATAGGCTTTCTTGTGTCTTTCCTGATCTACTGCGCGCTCACTTACTTCTTCCCAGTTCCCGGAGCCCCAGTCACAAACATCTTAGAAAAAAGCGAGTGGATGGAATCTGCGCCAGACGTGGATTTCTTTCGCGAGGAAAGAGATGCGTTCCTTGGTGACATGCAGCTTGGAGTTGTATCATCCAGAATCAATGAGGGAAACGACGACGCTGCTGCGGCGTTCGTGGTCAGGAGTCGCGACACTATATCTCGCAAGCTAGAATAATTAAATTTTAGGAACTGCAAGTGTTCCAATTGTATAAATTTAAGTAAACACTAATATACTCAATATATCGACAATGTAAATTTTATTCACACGACACAATGGAAAAGGTGTCATTGACAACTTTCACAATCTCGTCCAAATAATTGGAGATCATCAATTATTTCCACTATCATCCTAGTCTGATCATCATTATAGGTTTGCGCTCGCGCCCATATGTCTTTGTTAAGGTTTACCCCGTTTTAACTCAACAACTTCCAAATGCGTCACAGCACTTTAAGCAATCTTACAGAACTCTGTTACTTTCGATCGTCCAGCAATAATTTTTAGTCCCCAGGGGTCCTGATATTTAACCCTGGTGCGCTATAAGCACCACAACCTAAGGTGTTGACAAATTCGAGAAATTGGTTTTCTGTTCTAGGCCTGTTCCACCCACGACAGATCGATCACTATTAATTTTGTCAGTACTTGAACATGTTGGTAAGTATTATGCAGGCAACTTTGAGAGGAGGAGTGTCAGTTACAGTTAGAATGTCAAAAGTTCTTTACTTTGTTGCGCTTGGTTTATTGCCCCTAGTTGATCTAAAATGCGCATCTGGAGCATGCAGGAAAAACCCGAATGTGTACTATAAACCTCCATCGTATAGTTCGCTGCATATATTAGGTGGAATTAAGAGCGTGAATATTGCTCTCCCCCTGAGGTCTTTGACGTTTCTTTTACTACTTGATGGGAACACGAAGTAAGACGAGGTTAAACTGATCAGCCCATCTGTAATTTGAGTCTATTTGTCCTTTCATTTGGATTCAGCTACGTTTTTGGGCCTCACAGCCTAGTTCACCCTGTCATGATCGATAACCAAGGCTAGAAAAGTAGGTGAACAATCCATAGAGCAGAAGAGGTCCAAATTAAAGCGTCCCCACACAGGATTATTGGCGTGATAAATTTCGCCGTAACTTAAAGAGATGTAGTTGGCATACCCTGAGAACACCATCATGGTATAGCGTCCACTTAATGCAAACACAACAGAAAACAACTCTACGTGAGTCGAGTAATACTACTTTAACGACCTCTTCCTCTCCACCTTTTTTTTACCTTCTTATCTTCTGTTCTCCTCATGTGCTATGATTGGGCAGGGGGGCGCCGTCGTGTTTGCCGTGGTATTAAATAGCACACTACGCCCGATAATTCAAAGTATATCAGATACAATTTTATTTCGATGACAGTTAAACTGTTTAATTCTTCTCAAATCCAAGGTAGGGTTGACTAATTAAACTTTTTTGCATAACCTAGGTACAAGAGTAAGCCTCTTAAGTGTAGTTCCTAATCAAGAGTGCTAATATAAATATTGCAGAGGAGCATGGTAATTTAAATTCGGGCAGGGGAAGTAGAGAGAGTTATAAAACATCCACTAGGGAGGGCGAAACCATTCTCGTGGCCAGCTTCACGTACGGCTACAATCTCGGAGCTTACTTTATTCAAATACTGAGTACGTTCAATAACGCTTATCACTATTTACAATAATGTCCTATTTTCGATATTTGCCCTGGGCGGTCTAAAACTGGCTGTTTGTAGTACCAATAAGAACGTGTTATTTTCTACAGGAAACTACCTTGAGGCTAACAATTGGCCTATGCTCGACGTATTCCTGGACCAGGCTTCAAAAGAGTTGAGCCTGAAGTTAGCTACTGTATGATCATTTGTCGAAGTGCCACAGCTAGCATGGCGGACTATAAGTGGTGTGGTAATTTGACCTCACAAGCCCAAAATACTCATGGCACATGCAGTTTTCAGGCGCCAAATATCCGACTACTAGGACGTCAATGAATAAATTGGATGATGGGCTCAGGAAGTAACCAATCGGTGCCAATAGCTCATCTTAACTAACAACTGATGATTACGTGCTCAATTCCATTAGAGCCAAATCAGCTTCATGCTCATCACAATCAACAAAGGTCGACTTTCGACCAGTAACTTGATGCCATCTCCCTCCCATAGCCCATGGATGGAGCAATATCTAACTCCGTCGGTGCATGGCGTCCTTGAAATGACGCATCATTCAACAGACTTTGCACTTGAAATTACACAAGAATTTCCGGCACTGCATTCGAGACCCTTGTCAAGCAAGTGGCTACAGAAACAGCATTCATTAAAATGGAGAAAGTGCTTACACATAGACATAAAGTGCTTACACATAGACATGTCTAAGGTACCCCTAGTAGAATTCTCCAGATTCTAGCACGATGAGAGACAGAACAAGAAAGTATCATATCTGTCATACAGGACTGCTGGCTCCAGCTTTTGAGTGCTTTGAACTTTTAATGATAGTTCGTGAGCTTCATCTAAGGATTGCATCTATTTCTTAACTATAGTTTTGATTTACAAGAGGGTAGCCTGATGTGCTATTTATTATTATGCAGGTTTGTGACTTGTTTATTGAGCGCTTCTAGGAGAGAAAAGGTCTTTTGTTGCATATACGATGCGCCAGCAACGTGCCGCATCTCTCTCTGACAACAATTTTTTACTATGATTGCCCTTCCTCACTTTCTCTCTCTGATCGGCAATTATTTCCGTCAAAATAATGGCAGCCTCCGGCACAAAGCATCCAAGCAGAAAGTGTGAGCCCTAAACTTAGTCATCTCTTGAGCTATTTCTAATGTGCTGCCCTCAGGCCAGCATCTTTACACGAGGCGAAAGAGTATCAAAACGGGAATCATTCGCTGAATGCGCCCCAAGGTGAAACTTTGACGCTTACGGGGGTTATAAAGGGGAAAGAAATGTCTTCCTAACGTCGCCCAAAGAATGAATGGCATCCCGACCACACCACTTCAAATACCATGAGCATTACAGAACAATAACGTCACCTTATGATTGACAGCTCCACCTCAAAATGGAGCAAAGCTTCCTCGCGAAATTTTAACTAACAGAGTATATTATGAGTTAATTCGGAACAGGGTTATTTTTTAGCATGGCCTTAACCGATATTTCGGCATGCTATTTTATGGTTTTCTTGGCCTCAAAATTCCCTCAGATATCTGCTGCTTTCTTTGCGAGCTCTCTTACCGTACTTGTGTCACTGGCACTTGACCGCTGCCTATACCAGTTGGCCAACCATGTCATTTACTTGCGGGTGACCACGGACGCAAATAAATTGGCTTTAATAAGGCAGATTGCTGCAGTCACGCCGGGACCTATGTATGATTGGGATGATATCGCAGTCGCAATGGACCCGCTGTTTTGTAGTAGAAGTCCACTTCCATTCCCCTACTTCTTTTACAACGGAGAGTCATGCTATTCTTTTGTTATAACCACCGACCTTTAGTCCAATTGAATCGGAAAAAAGCCAAAAACAATAAACCATTTGACGACCTCCACGCTTTTATGGACAAAGCTATCCACATGTATGGACAGAGGGCAAATATCGATTGTAGAAATGTGTTGAGTGGGACTGCATAGACGATTTCTGAAATTAGCGCAGTCAATTTGCCAACTGATATTTTTTCGGCCGTAGCATTCAATCCTTTAGTTCGATGGGGAAAGGTCTCACTTGTTCGTGACACTAACAATGAGGTACTTGGTCAGCAGCTGCTTCAAACCAACCTCTTATCACTATGTACATTTATGACATTTAATTTTTAATTGACCATTAAAGATACGGCTCCCGAGGTAGCTGAAACATCATGAAGTCTCAAGCATTCGGTTCTGCAGCACCTGATAGCGTATGTCAATGTTATTATCTTTGGAAATTAGAGGAAATCTCAATTGTCAAAAAAGTCTCTGAAGTCTATTGAACTAACTTGCAAGCCAAAAAAGAAAAAAACGAAAGCAAGTAAAGCTATCTATTAAATCCTCATCGTCAAATATTCCGTTCTGCGATCAAAACTAACGTTTTTTTATGAAGGCCCGCCACCCCAAACATTAAGATTGAAAGGAGCTGTTTGCCTCTATTAATTAGTTAATTACATTTAGAAAATCGAATTGCTGACAAGCAATCTTCGAACCAAAACAAATTCCAAGAGGTCCCCTATTCTAAACGCTGGTCCAAAATTTCCTGTGATGTTAGAGGAGGGTGGATTTATAAGAAAGCCGAGGACCCGACCTAAACGTAAAGTTGATTATCAAGAGGATGATGAAGGCGAGATTGCTGTAGATAGTGGGTTGAGAATCGGTGATGATGGCGACGACGACGATTACAAGGAGGAGTACGGTAAAGAAAGTACCCCTGTAATCGTGGAATCCAGTGGGGAAGATGCGAAGCCCGAACCTTATAACTTGATAGAGCTCAAAAGCGAGGACAACGACGATGATGATGATGATGACGATGTACCCTTGGCTAAAAGACGTAAATCAGATCAAAAACCACAACGCAAGCGGACAAGTGAAAAAGCTACCAATGGAGCGAAAAAAAAAAAAACTCAGAATACCAAAAAGCCCAAGAAACCAACTAAACCAAAGACTACGCCCTACGAGCGTAACACTGCTCGACTTTTCGAAAACCATCCAGAGTTGAAGACAGTTTTCACTGATTTAGCAGATGCCCCCCAATACAAAGCAGACAGAGCGTCGCAACCCTCTGGAATGACCATCAAACTGTTACCTTTCCAACTTGAAGGCCTACACTGGCTGATAACGCAAGAAGAGAGCATCTACAATGGTGGAGTCCTCGCAGACGAAATGGGGATGGGAAAAACCATTCAAACGATTGCTTTACTGATGAACGACGTTACCAAGAAGCCATCCCTGGTCGTTGCTCCCACAGTAGCGCTCGTGCAGTGGAAGAACGAAATCGATCAGCACACAGGCGGCAGATTGACAACCCATATCTTTCACGGCGCAAATCGTACTACCAACATAGGCGAATTCAAAGACGTGGATGTGTTGCTCACCACATATTCTGTGCTGGAATCGGTATTTCGTAAGCAAAACTATGGGTTCAAACGTAAAAATGGCGTCTACAAAGAGCGATCATTATTGCACAACATGAATTTTTACAGAGTTATTCTCGATGAGGCTCATAACGTTAAGGATAGACAAAGCAATACTGCAAAAGCGGTAAATAACCTAATCACAGATAAAAGATGGTGCCTAACGGGTACTCCTCTACAAAATCGAATTGGCGAAATCTACTCGCTAATTCGATTTCTGAATATTGACCCATTTTGCAAGTATTTCTGTACTAAATGCGAGTGTGCATCGAGCGAGTGGAAATTCAGCGACCATATGCATTGTGATAGATGTGCACACGTTGTTATGCAGCACACCAACTTCTTCAACCACTTTGCATTGAAGAATATTCAAAAACACGGGATGGAGGGTCCGGGCCGTGAGTCCTTCAATAACATCCAACTTCTTTTGAAGAATATTATGCTCAGAAGGACTAAAGTAGAAAGGGCTGATGATTTGGGACTTCCTCCCCGCATTGTCACAGTACGAAGAGACTTCTTCAATGAAGAAGAAAAAGATTTGTACCAGAGTTTGTACACGGACGTTAAGCGGAAATTTAGCTCCTATGTTGAGGAGGGTGTGGTGCTGAATAACTATGCGAACATTTTTACCTTAATTACGAGAATGAGGCAGCTGGCTGATCATCCTGACTTAGTCCTCAACAAAATGAAGGACCGCAAAGACTTTGTTGACAACGTGATAGTTTGCCAATTATGTGATGACGAAGCTGAGGAGCCGATCGAATCCAAATGCCACCATAAGTTTTGTCGTCTTTGCATCAAAGAATACACTGAATCTTTTCTGGGAAATGCTGAAAAGCTCACCTGCCCTGTGTGCCACATTGCTTTGAGTATTGACTTGTCTCAGCCCGCATTGGAAGTAATAGAGGGCTTGCACAAAAAGAGTAGCATTTTAAATCGTTTGAATGTCCAGGGTAAGTGGAGGTCGTCTACCAAGATTGAGGCCTTGGTTGAAGAATTATACAATCTCAGAAGCGACCGACGGACCATAAAGTCAATTGTGTTCTCACAGTTTACCAGCATGCTGGATTTGGTTGAGTGGAGGTTAAAGAGAGCTGGGTTCAAAACTGTTAAATTGCAAGGTAGCATGACTCCCACCCAGCGTGATCAGACCATCAAGCATTTTATGACGGACATTCATTGTGAAGTTTTTTTAGTCAGCTTGAAAGCAGGTGGTGTGGCTCTGAACCTTTGTGAAGCTTCTCAAGTGTTTATTTTGGATCCTTGGTGGAATCCTAGTGTGGAGTGGCAAAGTGGGGATAGAGTTCATAGAATTGGGCAATTTCGGCCGGTGAAGATAACTAGATTCTGCATTGAGGATAGTATTGAATCAAGAATTATCGAACTTCAAGAGAAAAAAGCAAATATGATTCATGCTACCATAAGTAAAGATGATGCAGCCATCAACAGGTTGACACCAGGAGACTTGCAGTTCTTATTCAACAATTAGGGTACTTTGTACAGATCAGCAGGCGCTGATATCTAGTTTACATTTGAAAAGATACAAAGTTGATCATTTAAAAATCTATACATCGCATGGCGTCGTTAATTCGCGGCAGAGCTACCACGAGCACCCGCGCCTGAGGCAACAAGGTTGATCTGTTCTTCCGATAATTCAATATCAGGAATGGCCAACCTTCCTTTTGATTGAGGAGGAGGCAGAAATCCAACTTTGTTCAAGAAGGCGATATAAATACCGATTTGCTCTGGAGTAGCACCTTTGCCACCTGAGAGATCTTCGCCCGTCCATTCTGCGTCTTTTTTTAATGAAATGATGGCATTTGAATCATCCAACTCTGGAGCTTTGGTGTTTTCCGGTAGGTTGTCCAAAACCATATGCAAAAGTGGGTACAGCGCATTCTCTTCGTTGCGACTTATGACAGAATCTTCAAGGTCTTTTCTCCATTTATCATAGCTTTCAACCTCAACTGCGTAACCGTATTCCTTCAATTCATTCATGTAATCAGTAAACAAACACCGAGGATGAGCGGTAACGTGGGCGACCTCAAGCGTGCTTCCCGAAGGGGGAAATAGAGCTGTAGCGGTTACTACTCTAGCTACTTGGTCAACTGGGACCATATTAACCGTATTTCTGATATCCGGGATTTTACCTAGTTGTACAACCCCTTTCAAACATCTTAACAGGAAATCATCAGTGTTTGATGAACCATTAGCGGATGCACCGGTGACGTAGCCGGGTCTTACAATACAGCCGCGCAATCCGCGCTCGCCGGCACGTCTGATTATGTATTCAGCAGCCCATTTCGATTGCCCGTATCCACCACCCAGCCCTGTCGCAGATCCCATCAAATCGTCGCTTTCGGGTAAACCTTTGCCCTCTGCAGCAAGTCTGTCTGACAAGTCGAAGTAGTGTGTGGTATCGATAGTAGATGTAGATGAGACAAATGTAAAGTATTTTGCCTTCGAGCCGGTGGCAGCCAGATTCATGACATTAACAGTAGAGATTACATTCGCGTCTCTCAATTTTGCGTAAGGGAAGACCCAGTGCACCAATGCACCGTTGTGAATAATGACGTCAATGTTATTTGCTAAGTACTCCCAGTCTTTATCATCCATGTCAAATTGAGGTTTCGACAAATCTCCCAATACAACCTGTATGCGAGAAGTGAATCGTTCTGACCAGGTGCCGTAAGTAACTCCAGCTTTAGCAAGACGTTCCATGCCACTGGTCTCATCCTGGGCCCGCACATGAGCAAACACCCTAATATTTTGGCCAGAAGTTGGTCTGTTCAGTAAGTCGGCCAAGATATAAGAACCTAAAAAGCCCGTCACACCTGTGACAAAAACATTTATTGTATCCGAATTTGTTGACCTCAAGTTAGGACGCGATGGGTAAATCTCGGGGATCATTGTTTCAACAAGTTGCTTGGCGTCTCCATAGTAATCGGCAGTACTGGTAATTGTCTCCACGCTACGCTCCGATGTTCTGACCTTTTCCACTTCAGCAGCAAATAACTTAATGGTAGGGTACTTGAAAATGGTCCCGAGTGGCAATTCAACATTGAGCTTCTTTCTCAAACTGAAAATCATCTTTGTAGCGAGAATCGAATGTCCACCAAGATCAAAGAACGTGTCTTCTGGAGAAATGGAGGATGGTCTTGTGGGTAACACGTCCAACCACAAATCACGAACCTCCTTTTCGGTGTTAGAAAAGTCAGAGTCATCTACATCAACAAAAGAGTTATCTGCGGCAAGGGCTAATTGCTTTTGGCTTGGAAACTGCAACTTTGGTTTGTCGACCTTCCCGTTAGGATTTAATGGTAGCTTTTCGAGGACGATGATAACCGAGGGAATTGCATAACTTGCCAGACGCTTTTTCAAGGCCTCTTTTATATTTCTGGAAAGTGATCTATATTTGACAAGGCCCTTTACCACTGCATCCTTAGCAACATCCTCAGAGATTTCAGATTCAAATTTTGAAAGTTCGTCAGGTTTGTCGAACCTGGGAACCATAAAAGTTATTAGTGTCGGTTCGTTTTCACTGTTTTTCCGGACTAGCGTGATGTTCTCGCGGACGAGTGGATATTGAGAAATATGTGTATCTATTTCCCCTAATTCAATTCTGAATCCACGAATTTTAACTTGATCATCAGCGCGTCCACAACACTCGCAGTTTCCTTCCGGGGTGTAACGGCCCAAGTCACCCGTTCGATACAGACGGTCGCGGGGTCCGTACCAAAATTGCTTCCAGGGTTTATTGGTGTTCTTATCTATTGAATCCCAATGACTTGGGTCCACAAACCAGTTTTGGACAAACTTTTCTTTATTCAAATCAGGAAGGCCACGGTAGCCTTCGGCCAACCCACCAGCCCGCACATAGATCTCTCCAACTTCGCCAACCCCACAAATCTGAGATCTGTCATTTCTGTTAACAACTAGCAATTGCACGTTAAGCATACCCTTCCCTGCAGGCATGACATCTTTCAAACTTTTCAAAAAGAATGGATCCTCGGACCTTGATTTGACCTCATAGAACGACACTGCTCTTTGAGTCTCGGTTGTACCATACATATTAACAATCCGCACGTTTTCAGCCAAGGTCTGAAGTCTCAAACAGTCTCTTTTGGTTAGAATATCACCGACAAAAAAAGCATGGTGCAATGAAGGAATTGGAGAAGTCGCTTGCGCTGTGAGAAGCTGACCCATAGCGGGGGTCAAGTGAGTAATGGTTGCACCATACTTGTTCATCCATTCCGCTAATTGTCCAGGGGTACCAATGTCATCTTCAGTAGGCACTAGAAGCTGAGCACCCAAGAACAAGGGAGTAAACATGTCTCTTTGGATAGGGTCGTGGGCGATACCAGAAAGCATAGTAAATTTGTCTTTTTCTGAGAGATTGAACTGTTTTGACATCCACTTGAAGTAGTAAGCAAGAGAGAAGTGTCTGCCTAGGACACCTTTTGGAATACCTTCAGATCCTGAGGTGAAAGATAGGGTCGGGTTGCTATCGGGGCCAACCACGACGCCGGATGGGGTATTCTTGAAGCTTTCAAATCTCGTTAAACAGTCGGCCTCAGCTCCTGATAATCGTCCACCTTCCACTGTACCCTTTGCTTGAATAGCGATAGATGGTATTCTGGATATGATATCGAGTTCTTTTGAGATGTAGTCCTCAACCAATTGGTCCAACTGGCCCGCCGCCCTAATGACGATCAGCCCCTTGGGCTTTGCGACGCCAAGGTAAATGGTTTGTCTTGCTGGCGGATATGCGGGATCAATAACAGAAAAGGTAGCACCGGCCTTTAAGACCCCAAGGACACACACCATCAAATCTACACCTCTTGAGGAATAAATCATTACAACATCGCCTCTCTTGATACCTGTATCGATCAGGTAATGGGCCACCACGTTTGAGGCTTGATTAATATCTTGATAGGTAAATATTCTGGGCTCCATGCCAGACTGGGAACTAGGCGTTTCAACTACGCAGGTGCGCTGAGGAAATTTTGCGGCATTGTCCTGGAAAATATCTTGGATACAGCCTGCAAAATCACACCAGCCCAAATCGGCGGTTGGGTTTGGTAGAATCGATGTATCCGCATTAGTGATCAGAGAGACCTTGGTTACAATCTTTGAGTCATCTTGCAGCACCGCAGAAAGAAACACTGTTAATTGTGACAATAATATCTCAATTCTTTGATCGGAGTAAAGTAGACCATTATACACAACGGTCAAAGTCGACTTGCCTTGTAAATTTACAGTCAGGTCGAGTAGTTGGGTATCAAATTGATTTTGCAGGGAGAAATTGGGTTGGTCTTGTATGCACCCTAAACGGAACAATTGCACTGGAAGTTCCTTGTCTTGGACTCTTTGCATATATTGAGAAAGCTCGTCAATATTGACGGCTGGTAGAGTTTCCAGAGTAGCTAGCTCCTGGGTAATAGTGGCATATAGCTCGACGAAAGTCCAGGTTGGCTGAAAAGTGAATCTCAATACTTTGTTGTCACGTACCAGCAGCACAATGTCATCATCACCGGTTAGTCTAAACATGAGAGACGCCCAAACGGCTAAGAGCGCCGTGTAAGCGTCCTTGCCATGTGGGAGTTCCAGCTGCGGTACCTGAACACATTTTTCTTGTTGCTGAACTAGAGGTTCACTGTGAGGACGCAAAAAATCGTGGGGAAGAACACTCAGCGTTGGGTTATCCAACTTTTGAGTCCATTGGTCTGCACTGGTCATGTTGCTTGGGTGGCAGAAAGACCAGAAAGTGAGTGGGTGGGGAGAGAGAATTAGCAGGTTTGGAGTAGCAGAAGAATCGTTGGCACTAGTCGCTTTTTCATGATTTCTTGGTTTTTCAACTTTATTAGAAAATTCCACAGGAAATTAAACCCAACTGAGAGTAACGGTGACTCAATTAGAAGGCGACGAAACGATACCGCTAAACTAGTTGCCACAATGAAATATTGGGAGCCTTGTTTTTAGACTATAGCCGACAATATAGCAAACGGAAGCAGGAGTTTGGAATAGACTGTGGTATAAAAATGAGAGTTATTGGGCTAAGCCACAGCTTTCCAAAATACACCTGTGTGATACCATTCGGCTACATGTAAAGTGGACGTTATCTGTGTTCTTAATGCTGCATGTTTGAGCTCGACCGCCACTAGTAAATTCAACAATACTCAAACTATCCTCCTGCTCGCTGCTCGTTTTCTTCCGACTCGCAAGACATTACACCTGGAGGGGGTGCCGCTTCTTTTCCGTGAACCCATCTGTCTCAATTGGTTACCTTTCATAAACTTAAGAATAGGGTTCGTGGTGACACATATGTTAACGCGCATTAGCCGCCGTTGCTGCCAGCGAAGACGCCACTTGACTATATCTGGTGCATTCGAAAGTGTTTGCTAAGACACTCAAAGCTATCAAAATCGCTACTTAGATACATATACTGACCATGAACCTCGAATGGCTCCATCTTCAAGGACCGCTGAGTGACTTGTAGTGGGCACTTCATAGTGCGTCCACTTAAAAAGCTTGACCTATCATTAATAACGATAATATCTAATCCCAAGATTCTGTCATTTCATGTTTCTTTCTCGCAAGCCACTTTTCAGCCAACCCAGCCCGAATCTCAACTCGGAATTTTAAAACTATGTTCCAGCTACCAAATGATGATGATCTAGTGTTGATTGAAGAGCGGTGGTTGTACAAGAGTAGACAGAGGTTGGCACAGGGCTGTACAAAGTGATAACACAAGCGTCAGTGAAATATATGATAAATGGGCATGAAAGATCTAGAAAGAGAGGCTTACAGATTCGGATGATGCTCCAACGATGCATCGTCAATCATCCTGGAAGTTGTGTGCTGTGGTAGCATTTCCTAGTTAGCCTGAATTTTTCTATGAATACAGGCTATTTGATCCACCAGGTGGATCAACGTTTTGGTCTATGTAATCACTGAGAGAAAACCCGATGTCGTTTCATAAGCTCCTCGTTTAGTATGTAATACTCAGAATATCATATTCGATGGGTATCAACAAATTGAACGAACAGTTGAGCAATTCAACTACTGCCGACGCTGACTCGCCAAAAAACAAAATTCCATGCCGATTGTACAAAACGAATGGCCATCTTGAGTGTCTGGAGATAAGCCTGACATTCGAAGCCTCACGAGTAAGGGAGCGTCTCCACTTGGCCAATACTACAGCGACGGATAAACATCCCTTCGTACATTACGATATCTCCAACGTCGACGCTGTTGCGGTTGTAGAATAGTGACATGTAGGGTCATCGTCATACTTACATTATATTGACAACAAGCCTGAGCTATCCTAACGAGAACATCCACGAGCGTTGGCCTGACAGTTACTGTGTATTCTCGGTTTTATGACAGACTTCAATATTCGTGGTTCCGGATTTTCTTTCGATTTCATTTTTCACGGTTCCCGTGTATATAAAGGGGTCCCTGGAAAAATCGCTAAAGTTACGGCCTTTAAACTGTGAACCGTTGGTAAAGAAAGGTAAAGGATTCAGCCCTAAGAGCACCTTGCATTCAATTGATAGCACTGTTTATTTGTGAAATATCAAGTTTTGACTGACGTGGATTTTTGAGACGAAACTCCACGCTACAAGAACTTCGAGAGGCAAACACAAGAGGGCCTTATTTACTCAAGAGAAGATAGGTATAGTCCCCGAGAACAACTTCTTTGGCGCGTTTTCTGCTATGTCTGTAAACGAAAGTGCCACCAGCATCCCTGCGGCGGACCCAGCACCTGCAGCGGCCCCCAGAACCATTGTGGACCCGGAAACGACCATTTTTGTAGGTAATGTGGCTCGTGATTGCGATGAATCCGACCTATCACAGGTGTTTGAGGAAGAGGTGGAGGTTGAAATCCCTTCGGTGAAGAGCGGGAGAACCTTCAAGCAACGGTACGCATTTGTCAAGTTCCCTGGCAAGATCGATTTCGACGCTTTGAAGGCTAAGTACGACAAAACCGTTGTCAAGGAGAGAGGAATCTACATCAGACGCGCTCAAACCGAGGAAGAGCGCGACCTGAAACGCAAAGCCAGGGCCAACAGGCCCAAAAAGCTCAACAAGAGCAAAGACAGTTCAACAAAGACGGCCGTAGATTCGGGCACGGTTGCAGCTGATTCGACTGCCACTGAGGCTGCTTCCTCTGCCGGTGACGGTGAAGATGACAGTGCTGCTCCTGCTGGTCGTCCAGAAAAAGGAACTTCAAAAAACCCGGTGAGATCGGCTATTCCGGCCCCTCCCAAGAGACAAGATAGACCAAGAGCGCCTCTCGAGTCTATGGAAAGATCTGCGGACACTCTTTATGTCAATAATGTTCCCTATATGGCTACCAAAGAACAAGTGGCGGAATTTTTTGGCACCAAACCTGAGCTCGTGGTTTTGCCCCTCAGAAGAATGCGTAACGTCAAAACTAAACAGTTCTTCTACTCCAAGAGGATGAATAGAGGCATTGCCTTTGTTACCTTCCAAAACTGCTCTGACATTGCACAAAAGGTTGTCGAATTCCAAGGTAAGTCCTTTAACGACCGTGAGCTCGCCGTCGATGTCGCTGCTTTAAAGCCCCCTCGTGAAGAGGTGTCGGCTGAGCAAGTTCAACCAACTGCGGCCGACTCCAACCAAGACGAATTGTCAACGGCTGCTTGAATAAAAACAGCGTACGCATGCCTTAGTTCGTGACGTTTAATGAGAAACTGAAGAAAAAAAACTGCAACACATTGCAATTGGCTTTTCTATCCACACTAGGATCGAGCAGCTTGTAACGAAATGTACATAATCTATTTAGCACATCCAATAACACTTTTTCATCTCATGAATGGTTTCTGGACAGTAAGATACGTCCTGCGTGGTAAAACAAACCACTACAAAACGTAACCAAAGTCGTCTCGACGAGACAATGTCAATGCTTGACAGAAGACAATTTACCGTCAGTCAAATTTGTGTCAGGCCGTCCGACCTTACGCATGAAAATTGACGTGTGATCCCATCATCAACTCTTGCAAAGGAAACCAGACAAAAACCTCAAAAAGTACACCTTGCAGATCAGTCAAGTCCCTCCATCATGAGTGATCAAGATTTAAGGACGTTGAAATTTATAAACTCTGAACTCCTGGGTCGCAAGAGACCTACTATCGAGATAATATCTGACGACCCAGCAGATCAGCAACCACCTCCAGTTTGCATGGCCTTTCTTAGCACAGAGACAACCGAAGACAGGGAACAAGTGCTACTCGAATGCTCAGAACTTTTGAATGCTCTAGAACTTAATGATGTGACCCTTAAGAAGCAGTTCCACAAATCCTATTTGGACTTCTCATTCAACCATGCACTGCCACCTCAAATGAAGGCACTGGATGCTTCTCAACCATGGATCATGTACTGGATTGCATGCTCGCTACGGCTTATGGACGAAGAATGGCTAAGTCAAGTGGTTCAGCGCAGAATGGCCGAGAAACTACTCAAGTGCTCATTAGAAAATGGACCCTTCTGTGGCGGCCCCGGACAAGATCCTCACCTAGTATGTACCTATGCTGCGGTTAATGCCTTAGCTCTTTGTGGTAATATCGATGATTGCTGGGGTCGAATCAATAAAAAGGAGATATACGAATGGTTGCTTTCGCTTAAGTCGAGCAACAATGGTTTCAAAACTGGTACAGTCGTGGGAGAGTGCGACTCCAGGTCCACGTATTGCGCATTAAGTGTTGCCTCGATGTTAAATATTCTTACGCCAGAACTAAGCGAGGGAGTGGAGCAGTTTTTGCTGGACTGCCAAACTTACGAAGGCGGATTTGGCGCATGTCCTCATGAAGATGAGGCCCACGGTGGTTACACATTTTGCGCCGTTGCTGGCCTAATGATTTTGAAAGGCCTCCATAAGTGCAAAGTTGATAGTCTTCTAGAGTGGTGCAGTGGTCGCCAAACGAATGGGGAAAAGGGATTTTCTGGAAGAAGTAACAAGTTGGTTGATGGTTGTTACAGTTATTGGGTCGGCGCCGTCAACACAATTTTAGAGATTCACGGGTACGATCCGAGTGTTGACAAAACTGCTCTGCAAGACTACATACTGAAGTGTTGCCAGTCTACGGAGAGACCGGGGTTAAGGGATAAGCCTGGTAAGTCGCCTGATTATTATCATACGGCGTATGTCTTGATGGGTTTTTCGCTTACCGAGCATTCTTACAATACCACAGACTCATCAACGGCCATTAGCGTGAAGCCAGGTACCAATCATTCCCAATTGAACGCAGTCAATCCTGTCTATGGTATTCCTATCCATGATTTGGACCAGTTTCTAAAGTTCATGTCTACTTAGATACGAAGCCTGAAATGTATAAATATATTGACCAGTGGGTTGACACATTCCTCTGCGCGAATGTAGATGGATCACAGGCCAACCGCCGCTATGGAATATCTTCAGCGACTAATGAGACCAGGAGAAAACCAGGGATTCAGGCCCATACCTGGGACTTTTTCAGAAAACGAGCGACCAGCGTCAGGGGAAACGCCTGAAAATACAGACAGAACATCGTGGAAGAAGGTGGCCAGATTGTGCTTAGGAGCTCCGCTGCTCGCCATTTACTACCTCATGGTTGTTGTTATATCTTTAATGAATATACTGCGACCTTTGAACAAACTGTGGTCTTTTTATGATCGGAAGAACAGAGCTGTCAACCACGAAGATGCATTTTCGGCCCTGATGGACAATTTGGCTTGTGAACATAGTTCTTCTGTTACGAAGATGGCCCCAGAAGAGGCGAATTTAGATCATTCTTTTAGTTTTGCGTCCATTTATAAATCAGAAGATGGGACGTTGTTATCATCTCTGCGGCCCGGGTATGCCAAGTTACTGCAATCTGCTTGGGACCAAGGGAAGTTTGGCATCGTGTATTTGCACGATCCTTTGCTTGATAACTGCGGCCAATTTCTGGGCCCGCTATGCTCGGAAAAGTTTGTGAATCTAGCTCGACAATACCAAGCATTGATCTGGATGGGGGATATCACAAATTTAGAGGCGTTACAAGTTGCTAATAGTCTTAAAGTCAGAAAGCTACCGTTTTTGGGTCTTCTTGCCCCTAAGGCTGGCAGTAAGATCCAACTAATTGATTCAATCGAGGGAGAACAATTGGAGTTCTCACTGGCCTCCCTCGAAAACAGTATGGCTAAATATTACCCTCGCCTCATCTCGCTACGGCAACAACAACAGAATTCAGAGCTTAATCGTCTTATGCGCCAACAACAAGATGCCAGGTTTCATGAGTCGTTACGGCAGGACCAAGAACGCGACCGAATCAGAGCAGCTGAGCTGGCTAGCGAAGAAAATCAGCAACGTGAGGAAGCGCTCAAGCAACAGTGGCTTCTGTGGCGTAAATCTGTGCTTGTAGATGAGCCAGTAAGGGCAGATAATGCTTGCAGAGTTGCCATTCGAATCATTGATCAGGGGCGCATTGTGCGCCATTTTGACCCAAATCTACCAATTGAGGAGATCTATGCTTTCGTTGAATTGACTCGGATGGGTCTCATGAACGAAAGTCGAAATGACTCACCTGCCTTTGGAAGGCAGCCGGATTATGAGTACAGGTATCCTTTCAAGCTGATTACCCCGGTCCCGCGTTGCGATCTTGATCCTCAAGTGCTGATTCGTGATGTTGACGCGATTTTTCCGTCCGGAAACATCGTTATGGAGTTGATTGCTACAGATTGATTTACTAAATGTACGTGACACCGAGGTGGTGAAATTCAATGCAAAAATTTCCGGGCCGATTGCCATTTTCTTGAACATTCTATTCGTTCATTTCCTCGCAGACTTCCTGACCTTCTTGTTCTTGTTCTTTTTTTCTTTACCAAGCCAATCATACCGCCTTTTATCGCAGATGAGTAGTCTTTCCAAAACTTGTCAAGTTGGTCGGCTTTTACCACTGTAGAGTGTTTGGACACAGAATCACCATGGCCCTTTTTGATTCGCACCAGAACGTCGTATTGTTTGTTTCTAGCCCCTTGAGGTACTTCTGTGAATTGGGATTTCATGGAAACATCTGAAAGTGGTAATTCTGATGCATTGAACTCGTCATTTCCCTCTATCAGATTTCTTTCTACCAGCCTCTTTATGGACAGATGTATAGATTGTTTCGACTGGTTGGCGGCCTCAAACAAAGGAGGAACCACTTTCAAAAATGCCTCCGGGGAAACGCGGCCTGAGTCACTCATCTTTCGAGCGAACGATTTTTTATGACTTGCACAGACGGATGATTGTCTTAGTACTTACTGACTGTTATATCTGAATAACTTTTAATTCGAATCGAGCATTGTAGACGACCATCAATACATGCCAACGTTGATTAAGGCACGGTCAACTGGCGTCAGCATACACTAAGCTGAACTTTGGTTATGCCAGCGACTACTGGGTCAAGCCATTTTCTGTAATAGGATTGAGAAGCTTGATTTGTCTTTCTCTTGAGCTCACTTTAGTACCAAAAAGAACCCATGCCATTATTCAACGATTGCCGCCGAAGGAAGGGGAAGAGAGGATGGGGAGAGAACTTACGACAAAAGTGGGGCGTTTCTTCAATCAAAAGCATGAGAAAACAAGAAAGAGCTCCTGTAACGACCCTCGCTTTAGAGAAGCTGGGATTTTTGGCATTATTTGGTCTCAGAATTACCTAGACTCATAGATTGAATCACAAGACGCAGTAAGCTTCAACAATAATGATGATTTACACACCTACCGAGGCTGCAACTTCATTTTTACGTGGGAGTTGACTAGTGTGTCATTAGAGAAGCACACCTTTTTTATTCGGTACGAAACCATAGGGGCAGAGGAAGAAAGCACTACTCCCCGACCTAGGCCGCCCTGCGCTGCTGTAACTTACACGTAAGTTTATTAAAGCTTCAACACCATCCAAGCCGCTGGGAAGAAAGTGCTATATCTTTATCCGGATAGATTAACGTCAGATCGTGCACTTTTTCTATCATTGGGCAGGGAGATGCGTGAGATCCTGAACTACCAACAAATGCGTTTGAATATCACGTCTTCCAATAGGAACAGAGGTAGGGCACGCTACACTCGATTTGCTGGTCGCCCTGTCCCGCTTTTTCCCATAAATTTTTGTTTTTCGTGCTATGCAAAGGCTTCTCTACGTCCATTCCAATCCTTTGGTAGTAGTCATACAGCTGGCCCTGTCTTCTACAATCACCTTGACTGTCTAGCTCCAACGACTCGGCCGTGGTTTTCGCGACCCTTTGAGCTCCCGCTTTGCCCATCGCTTAGGTAAGCGAAGTTCGCAGATGAGCGAGCTATCGCGATAACAATAAAGAAAACATCCTAAAACGTCCCAAGATATACAGTATATTTACCAACAGCGAAAGTAGTTCTCATTAGAGTGACCTCGAAACCTAAGACTTGACAGGTTGATTGACATATCCAAGGGACTCAAGAAGCCGTGGTAAAATTAAAACTGTGAGGAATCCCGGGCGTTTTACCTGGAGGTTGCCAATTCCATTATTGTAAAATTTGGTAAGACCAGATTATTTCTGTAAGAACCCTAGAACTAACAGCTGTGTGAAACTCCTCGGCACCCACGTCATAATGGCTCCTTCAAAAACGCAGCTGCTGGGTTGCTTCATAGGAAGTAATCTTGTCGCCCTGGGCGCAGGAACGCCCTATTTGTTCAGTTTCTATGCTCCTCAACTCCTGGAAAGATGCAAGATTCCAATTTCACAGTCAAGTACGTTGTCATTCTCCATGACAATCGGATCGGGTGCTCTTGGGTTTCTGGCTGGTATAATCATAGACAAAAACCCCCAGGCGTCATGCGGCTTGGGGGCCTTTTGCACATTTTTAGCCTATGGGATTCTCAGATGGTGCTACATACGAGGGGAATCTAGTCTCTGGATAATATCAGTGGCTTTGGTTTTGGTGGGTTTTGGATCTGTTTCCGGCTTCTACGCGTCAGTGAAATGCTGCACAACCAATTTTCCCAAGCACAGGGGCACAGCAGGAGCATTTCCCGTGTCACTCTACGCACTGGCGGGACTCTTGTATTCTTCTATATGTGCGTGGCTATTTCAAGATCGCGTGGATGAGGTCTTCACCTTTTTAATGGTGGTGTGTTCGTGCTTGATCTTGGTAGGATGTTTTACTCTGCGAATTCTGGTCACTCATAGAAAAATCCATAAGCGAGCCAACTCATCGGTGTCTTCCGAAGGAAGCTCGTCATTGAATTTGGCCCTTGCAGATGCCGCCTCAAATGCAAGTCAACTTCCACAACCGATTAACATCAGCGGCTCGCGTTCCTCAAAACGTGACTCTAGAGACTCCTTTGGTAACTATCGGTCGCTAATGAAGCGTTCAATGTCGAGAATTTCGAATTCAGATGACTCTCTTCTTTCATTTGGATCGGTTAACAAGAACAACAACTCATACGTCTGGGCCAAAGAATTACCGGGATCTTTGTCGTTTTGGGGTTGGGGTAAAGCCAGACCATCAGATTCCAATATTTCGTTTTCCTCAGCTGACGGAATTCCTAGTTCTAGCCAACAAGATTACACTGGACCTTCTTCTGTCCCCGTTTCACTCCCAGAGACGCCAAATCCAAGAGCTCTCGTCCAGTCTGATAGACGAGATTCTTTGCTTAAGCAATCTTCTTCCACACAAGCTCCTATAATCCAAGAGGAAATGGAGCCAGCAACGGAACCTTTTATTGCTGAACAAGAAATCAAAAAGTCTTTTCGAGACAACCATATCTATCAAACAGTTACGCAACCAAAGTTCATGGCATACTACTTAATATTGGCCACATTGCAAGGCATTGGTCAAACTTATATCTACTCCGTCGGGTTCGTTGTCGAAGCTCTAGTGCACTCCAATCCAGATGCTAAGGTCAATATCAAAGCCATTCAATCACTGCAAGTGTCTATTATATCCATCATGTCTTTTGCAGGAAGAATTTGTTCCGGCCCTGTTTCAGATTTACTGGTTAAAAGACTAAGGGCCCAAAGAGAATGGTGCATTTTAGTGGCGTGTGCTTTGATGTTTTATGGCTCCCAACAACTAATCTCGGATATATCTTCTGTGACCAAATCCGAGAGCACACAGAACATTTTCTTTATCAAAAACGTTTCAATAACCTCATTCATATTTGGATTTGCTTTTGGAATAACATTTGGAACCTTTCCTGCAATAATTGCAGATCAGTTTGGAACGGAGGGGTTTAGTACTATTTGGGGTCTTTGCACTACCGGTGGCATTATAAGTGTCAAACTGTTTTCAGCACTGTTCGCAAACGATCTTTCAGAGAACACCAGCCCAAACGATTCTGTGTGCGACAAGGGCTCCCTCTGCTACTCCTATACATTCGATATTGTAAAGAAATTTGCCATCCTTGTGGCACTGATGAATCTTGTTTTGATCACAATAAGGTATTACAAGAAAACTATGAAAGCAAGACAGTTGAAACATAACGGTGTTTTCATATTAGATGAAGATGACGACTCTTTAGAAGAGTGAAGAAATCAGCAGCAGCATGGTCAATGCTTCAGGATTTGACAGTGTCTTGCACTTTCGACAAGGTTATATAGTTTGCGTAAAAATTTAACTATGAGGGGCGTAACTAAATAATATCGGTATGAGACCGGTGCTCTACGCTTAATACCGAGCCTCCATTGCCCAAAACATCCTTTACAACATCAAAAGGCAATTCATTACCAAATTGGTCGATAAATTTCTTCAAACCAGGTGAAGCCATGATTTCATCAACGTCAAATTCTTGAGCCTCGTTGTTGGAATCTGGTTGTGGGATGTCTTCAGGTGCGTTTTCAAGTACTTCATGAGGCGTATCCTCAAGAGCCCCCTGAGCGACGTTGTCAGGAGATATTGAACTGCCAGTAGGCTGACTATCTGCTTCAACCGTATGTGAGGGATATAATGCTTCTTGTTGCTGTTTCGTTTCAAGGTTCTTATAGTCATCGTAAGATGACAGGTAATTATGACAAGAATAGTCCCAACCAGAAACCCACTTCGACTTCTCACATAGCTCGGAAGTCCACGGCGTACCATAGATGATTGCACGGTATGAAAGGAAAAAGTACACGACGCCGCTGACAAAGGTTCCCGCAATAACATAGCCATACACTTCCCTTTTACGGAAAACGTAGGTTACGACAATTTCCAAAGCATGAGCGAACGCGAGAATTCCGAAATAATATGCAGCCAAATAGTGGTGCAAGAACAACTGACGACCCATCAAAAAGGAGGGTGCATAGTGTAGAGCGTAACCAAGTAAATAATGTACCACTTGGATGTGAAAATTGACAACCTTCGAATCTTGTAGGATCTTGAATCCAAGTTGCCACGAAATTAATTCTCCAAGTACTAGAACGGCAAATAAACCAATAAAGGCCGTTACGGACCACCACATAATTGCGTTTCCCAAAAGGTAAACTTGTTTGTGATTTTCACCCCAGTAATTGATGCCGCGCATCAAAAGAGGCCATGTATAAGGCTTAGATTCATAGATGTGAGGCTCTACCAAGTTTTTGTTGATGTGCCACATTCTTTGATGAGACTCTAGGAATTTACCTAAAAATCCAGGCATTTTGTAAGAAACTCGTTCGGCATCCTGAGGCAACAGGGGGTGTGTGTTTCCCTCAATATACCATAGGGTCAAATGTTGTTTCCCTTGACTAGCGCATGTAACTTCTTGTTGCTCAAATCCCCACTTTGGCAATTTTACTTCGTGGGAAAATAGATGGCAGTTCATAAACGTATGTCTCAAACGGAATTTTGTGTCCAACGCCTTAACGCGCTTTTGAGCTTCGCCGGGTACAGATGCATCCTGATCAATTTCGATCACCCAGTTGTCATTAGCATCGCCTTCAAAACCTTCAAAACCGTACCCCGAGACTTCTTTTTGCCAATCAGAACTTTCAGAAACGGGAGCTTTATGATCATGGGAGTGCAGCCTGCGCTGGGTGCTAACATGCTTCAGTTTGATCGTAGTGCCATCCATCAACCCTTCGAATGACGTAACTGGTGTATTTGGCTTGTCATGTAGCTCGACCAACCAATCGTTGTTACCGTCTAAATGAGGGTAAAGTGTAATTTGTTGTTGTTGAGAGCCTTTTTCCAGCATATGGTCATGAGAATGTAGATATCCCCCCATGGTGGCGATGTGGCGAATTGAAACAACAGATCCGATCCCAACATCGGCCAGAATATCTTTGGGTATAGTGTTACCCTGTAGAGAAGTTCTGAATGCAGATGAAAAGAATCCTGCTCCATCGGAGTGCAGCGTCAATGTCTCGAAATGCATGTAAAAAAATGCAATGTACAAAACAGCTGGCACTATTAGTAGAAAAACGAACTTTCTTGAAGCTTCGATAACAGTGTGACTAACCGGCTTCGACATATCACCGATCATAAACCATAGTCTCCAGACACAAAGAAGGCCAATCCATGCAATAGTGAATAATCCAACCCACTTTGAAGAGACAGCCATACCCAAGGCAAGACCTGTGCTCAACAGAGCTTTTTGAGAGGCCCAAGTTCCCTGTGGATAAATCTCGTACTTCTTGAAGGCGTACGCGGCTGACGCGATAAAAAACAGTAAAGGAGAGTCCAACAAAATGTAACGAGAAATAGTGACGAAACTGTTTTCCACAGCGAAACCCAATGATACCAAGAAAGCAATTGGAATCCTTACACCCGAGCAACGCAGAGTTAAGTACATTAGCAACACAGTCAAAACACCTAAGATGCTAGGGAACAACCTCATGAAATAATATGGTGTCGATTCTGGAAAATGGTCTCCGATTGAGCTGAATTCGAAGTCTCCATTGAACCCAGCAATCGAACCCACTGTGGCAAATAGCATTTTTGCCAATGGTGGATGAACGTCTGTGAAAAAAGTCCCCTTTATGTATTTGGACGCGAACCCACCAAAATGAACTTCGTCGAAGACCACCGAATCCGGATGAGAAAGGTTGTACAATCTAACAGTAGCAGCAGCTAGGACAAGTGCTGCAATTGCGAGCTTTTCTTTAGCGCTGGTTGGAGAACGCAGTTCGCCGAGGGTAGATGGAGGATCGGTTATAACATAGGGTCTTGTTGGTCCCTTGCCAATGTTCAATTCTGGAACGGGATCTTGGGAATCCGCCCCATTTTTGGCACCTTTCACTTTTGAAGGCATTGTGCAGTTCAATGACTTGAAGGTATCGACACTTGTGAACTGGCCTGAAGCACACAGATTGTATAGAATGCGGTGAATGAACACGTAAATAACCCGAAAATTTTGAAATCAAATTAGCCCAATGGAAACCTGCAGGTCAGGTGTAAAGAAGCGACGACTCGAAAAACGGTGCTGAGACAAGGTTGTTCTGGGAAACTGAGCTCAACGAGCGAGAAATGGAAATAGCTAGACCCAAAACTAGGCAGTAATAATCCGGCCGTAACTTAATCATGGCCTGCAATCATGTAACCAATCATGAAAGTATGGGTAATTGCGATCACCTGCGATCCCATCGAATTCTACCAAGCATGGAGACGACATCCGTTCCACCAACACATGCCACTTGGGCATAATTTTTGAGCCGACGAATCAGTTATGTCGAGTGTTCCTACTCTTCATGGGCCACAGCACTCAGCTTTCTTCGCTGTGCCAAATGAAGTGCCCCTCCAGTCGACCGCGAATCCAGGCAACTTAAGCCAACCTCCCAGATAGTGTGATGAGACTGCCAACAAATCTCCCCAGTTAAGAAGAGGCTCAGGATTTTGAATGCAGGAAGAGCTTCATTCTTGCGATCCCCGATTATCGCATCTCTCTTAATCTTAGACAACAACATAGCCACCAGCACACATCATTATTGATGGAAGGGAGAAGCGAACATATCTGAATCTTCTCCAGGACTTGAGGGGTAGACTTCAGCCTTCGATCAATATAACTCCTAGCCGCCAAATGCGACTGTTTAGTAAAAAGTGATAGACAATCCAGATGTTTAAAATACTATTCTCAACCATTAGCAGTTACACAGAGCTCCCTACAGCTGTGCTGAAATTTGAGCATCCAGCTCACCCCGTCTTGTTTGTGCTCAATACTGTGTCACGAAATACCTACGAACACATTTGTTCGTAGGTATTAATTGTAAACCGGCCAATTGTTCTGAAAGCAGCTTGATGGGATGGAAGCAGGTTGAGGGTTATATTGTATGAGAGTGGCTACCGCGTCAGGCGAAATATGCTAATTACAACCCTTCGTGTCTGTTGAACTATATTTGTTAATGTGCATTTTAAAATTCCCCGGTTTTAAGTTGCACGCACAACAGAAACCAGGCCGCCGTCTATGAGCGCGGACTACCAATAGCCAGTTTTCAGAACAGAAATACAAGGAGGGGTTCTCTAGATGTGTCCCAGGTGTCCTTCGGCTAGTTTTGATTCTAAAGCATTGAGTCTTTAGATCTCATTAGTGACGAAGTGACATGCTTATACAAGGTATTAAGCATTTCAAATGTATAAGGTGGCAAACCTACCAGCAAGCAAAGCAGAATCCAAAACAGAACAGTGGTCTTGTGTGGGTGCAATGGATACGATTGATGAAGCTAGGAAATTTGTTGAGCTTAAGGACTATGTCAATGCCGAACAAGCGTATCTTAAGGTTTTAGAAGAGTCTTGTAGCGCCAGCAGTGGGGTTTTGACCCAAGCCCAAACACAGATCCAGGAGCGGAGCATAATCGAACTGGGAAGTTTATATGGGCTCTGGCATCAATCAGGAAAACTTGCAGAGTTTATCCCTAAAGCTAGAGATATGATGATGCAGCATGCCAAGTCTAAGACCGCTAAGGTGATAAAGACCCTGATTGACCAATTCGACCAAATCCCATCGTCCCTGGATACACAAATCAAGGTCTGTCAGGACTGTATTGAGTTTGCTACTCGTGAAAGGCGTGCGTTCCTGAAACACTCCCTGTCAATTCGGCTAGCAACTTTGTACTTGGAAAAAACTCAGTATCACGATTCGTTGCAGCTCATTACCGACCTGCTGAGAGAATTCAAGAAGCTAGACGATAAATCCTCACTTGTCGATGTTCATCTGCTAGAGGCAAAAGTGTACCATAAACTAAGGAACCTGGCTAAGTCAAGAGCGGCATTGACGAGTGCCAGAACTGCTGCAAACTCTATTTACTGCCCAACCCTTACCGTAGCAGAGCTCGACTTGATGAGCGGAATCTTGCACTGCGAGGACAAGGACTACAAGACTGCATTCTCGTACTTCTACGAGGCCTTTGAAGGATTTCACAACCAATCATCGAATCCCCAGGAGAAAGCTGCCCAAGTCTTGAACTACATGTTGTTGTCCAAGATTATGCTGAATTTGATCGATGAGGTCAATTCGATTTTGAACGCGAAATACACCAAAGAAAGCTACCAATCCCGGGACATCGACGCCATGAAGGCTGTAGCGGAAGCTTACTCACAAAGGTCTCTACTGGACTTTAATGCTGCTCTAAAGCAGTATGAAAAGGTGCTAATGGGAGATCCTCTTATCAGATCTCACTTCAACGCCCTTTACGATACACTTTTGGAATCAAACCTGTGTAAGATCATCGAGCCTTTCGATTGTGTGGAGTTGCGCCACATTTCCAAGATGATCGGTCTAGACAATCAACAGGTTGAAGGTAAACTTTCGCAAATGATTCTTGATCAAGTTTTCTACGGTGTTTTGGATCAAGGAAATGGATGGCTGTACATATACGAAACCCCTCATCAAGATGCAACTTATGATTCCTCATTGGAATTAATTGGACAACTGAATAAGGTCGTTGAGCAGCTATTCGATAAGGCCAGCGTTTTAAATTAGCCGCTAAATCTATTTACATAACTTGGAAAGCATAGAAAGAATTCCAATGGTTTAAGAAAATATTTCTTCTGGGGTTCGGAAGCAGCACCCAATGGCCTGTGCAAATAACTTGTCACTGTCGCTGAAGTCCTGAGGTCTTCCTGCTGCATCGCCACAATAGTATTGCAGCTCGAAACTGGCACCAAAATCCTTCTTGAACTCTTCGTACAAGCCTGGCATTGGTTTTCTAACCGACAGAAAGCAGTCATCATCAAGCACAGCCATTTGCTGCTTAACTTCTTTGAGCCCAGAACCTTTTTTCACAACTTTCTTAGTGGCCATCTTATTTCTCTTGACTGTTGATAAGGATGCTGGTTTTTTAGTTGAGGCATAAATCCAAATACGATTTTCTATGTCCGTATGGAGGTCAACGATTGCATCCAATACTTGACTGATCTTCGAGGTGAATTTTATGCAACTTTTAGAATTTGGAGGATGCGTTATAACGCCGCCTTGATTAGAGAATATTACGATCAAGGAGTTTGGGTCTTGCTTCAATATGTCAGTCATTGTATCGATTGTTTTACACCCATTCTCAGTGCTGCTGTTTCCTTGATACGCCATGAACGTCCAATCATCCGCAGTTCTACTGAATCTTCCACCTAATTTTGGCTTTATCAACGTATGGTCCAAATCAAAGCCATAGACCTTTACTTCAGCATCGGTCGAGGCTACTTTGTAGTTCCTTGGTAAGTATTTAATAATATGAGGAAGGATAATCGTTCTGTGAGAAGACTGAGATGCCAATTTCAAGCCCTGCATGTTTAATCTCTCTCGGTTTGGTGTCAATTTCAAGGCAAGAGCGTGAAGAAAAGAGGATGACTATTAAACAAAACATTACCAAAGTCCACAATGGGCAGTGTGAACCCTTCATCCACTTCTGATTATGGGCGTAGAACCTGGAATCGTGAGGAATACGCCCAGCTAGAACAAGAAACGAGACATAGGCATGAGTCGAAATTTACACACCTCTCAACGGAGCAACTCAAGATTTTGAAAGCTAAATACACCAACCACAGTAATTTGATCAAGACGGCTACACAGGATGGTAATCGAAGAACGTTAACCACCTCATTGAGTATATATAAAAGAGGAAAACAGTTTGGTTTTTACTGTGAACTTTGCGACTTGACTTTCAAAGATACGTTGCAATTCGTGGATCATCTGAACCATAAGGCACACGAGATTAAGTTTGAGAGAACATTTGGCGAACCCCTTATAGTCGATCTCCGAGATAATGACGACGTTCCATTTGATGAATTTGATGAGGAATGCTCCGCTACAATACGAGAATTTCTGAAAAGTCACGGCAAGCTCCCATCTTCAAAACCAGCGAAAGCTCCAATAAAACCAGAAGCCCAATCTTATCCACCTAAAACTGAAGAGGAAGTTTCTCCGAGTAGTGCGCTGGACTCTGTTATGGGATTCAAGGGCTTTGGAAGCACCAAAAGGTGAAAGAATGATATTTACAGGATGGTATTTATGTTACCCCAGGACTTGAACTTTGTTCACTGTTTGATAATACTGAGCGAGGTCTGTCTCAGCGCTGGAGGTACCAAAGTACACATTTTCCACGACGCTCACCTCGTTTTCAAACTTTATCGCGTCTTTAACGCTAAGTGGAAAGTTTATCACGACGACATGATCTCCGCCGTGAAATTTATCTTGCAGGTAGCGGCCCACAAGCACTACACCAAGACCTTGCGGTAAGTGATCCAGGTAGTTTTCGCCATAAATCTCGTGAATTTCATTTAATAAAGCGTAGTATCGGTCGTCTTGCGAGTGCCGATAGTGCTCTGCAACCTCCCACGGATCGACCATGCTAGCGTTTGGGTTGGATTTCCGCAACTTCGCAATTGGAATACCGACAGTTGCTAGTTGAATATGGATATCTCCGGGCTTGAACATTACTTCACGACGTTTTACACCTTGCATCGCAGTTGCAAACTCCGATTCTGAATAAGAATTCTTGGGCTTGTTCTTTTCAAGTGATTTGACCGCTTCCACAAAAATAATCGAACCGACCAAACCGACAAGTGCAATTTTTGTAAAGCTGGGCAATTCATCTTTTTTCCGCGCGGCCGCTTGTCTTGAATACGTTCTTATGGGCCGAAGCTTATCCAGCACTAGCGTCCTACGCACCCTGGGCAGTGCTCTTTTGGCCCAACTACTCAAAAACATTGTAGTCCTGAGCTGTCAAAGAGATCACAGCTTTTGAAGAGTCGGAATAAGCGCTTGCTGAAGAAAGGTCAGCAGTACGAGGTTTGGTAATGCTTTGATACTGAGTATATAATATTCACGGGAATTTACCCTCTTCGTTAAAAATGCTATCAACACTTAACAAATCAACTGGCAATTGCAGCGAAAATTTGACCAATTGAGGAAACTAATATTGAAGACGAAACAGGTTCCATTTGATCGTTACGTTTGAAAATTCGTGACCCTATTGATTATCCTTTCATATTTGCTACCTCCTTTTTGAGCATTACACGGAGACCGTAGAATGTCCTTGGTTCATTTAGCGAATGTGTGTGCGCATCTACAGAACTGCTCCAGAGCGAGGACGTCCCTAACGTCCATTCCATACACGAAACTGCATCTCAATTTTGCATACAACTTGTACAAACATGGGTTCCTATCAAATTTGCAAAGAGGATCTACGAAAGGGCCAGACCCAACGCTGGTTGAAGTAACACCAGACAACATTTCTACACGTAGACTTTGGGTCGGACTCAAATACCGGGAAAATAAGCCAGTGATAAGCTCGTGTAGGCTAGTGTCCAAGCCCAATCTACGTATAGATCTGAAATATGAAGACCTAAAGCAATTGTGTACAGGAAAAACGGTTCGTCTCATCAAGCCGCTGCAGCCTGGCGAACTAATCCTTGTGCGCAATGGTAACCAATTACTGGATATCAATGAAGCGATTGCACGTAAGGTTGGAGGCGAGGTTGTATGTCGGGTAAAGTAAAACAATGACACCAAAAGGGTTACTTCTGTAGATAGACAATGAAAGGAATATCAAATATAATATTACTCATTCCACACTGTACATACACAATAATAGCAAATGATGAGCACCTAGTACTAAAAGTATACGATTGGTCCAGATCCTATACTCCTCCATTGAGTCATATCAACATTCCAGTTTTTCCACTTGTCAATTGCTTCTCGATCCACCGCTGAATTTACTACATAAGGCGATGACACAGGGGGCACAGGCCAGGGGCTGGCATTCTGGTTCACAGTTTCACCCCTGTTGAAGTTTAGTTGCTTCTCAGCCGCGAGTGCTTGCTGGGAAGTATTCAGTTGCATTTGAAGTTCTTGAACGGTCTCCTGTAGCTCCTCTATATGGGTCTCTTGCTCCATGTTCAAAAACTTGAGTTTTCGAAGCTCAGAATTAAGTTCGCCTACCTGCTTTTGAAGGTCTAATAGTGCCATGCGGTCGTTTTCACGTTCTAGTTCCGATAAAAACGTGGAGGACTCTTCAGGGAAAAGCGCCGACGCTTCTTCCTGTGCGTCAGCGCTTGAGTTGTTTTCTTGAGGCTTTTCAGAGTTGACAGAAATAGGTTCTTCTGGAATTATGGGCTTTGAGGACGCTTGATCTTGTTCTGAGACACCTGTTTCCGAGTTCGCAGGAATAGACTTTTCAGGGTCTGATTCCGAAACCAAGTTGTTGGCAGTATTCGTAGGCTTTTCGATTGATAGGCCATCAGTGGTACTTAGCTCCATAGAACCATCTGCTTCATCACTAGATTCATCTGGTGTGGCATCGTGGGTTGTCGACTTCTCTTGCATTATTGGTTCCTCGTTTTCGACATTTTCCTCGTTCTCCGCAGCTGATTCATGGTTATCTAGAGTATCATGTTCCCCATGATCCGCAGCCACCTCTTCCACATTACTTTCTGAAGGTTCAACTTCACCTTCAGTCCCTACCTCGTCAGTCTTGATATCGTTCTTCTTCTTTTTCTTGTCCTTTTTCTTCCGTCTATTCTTCAGCTCTTCCACCCGCTTTCTCGCATCTTCTAACTGTTTCAACCGCTTTTCCTCGTCTTCTGACATCAACAATGTGGTTGAATTGGCTACTTCAAGTGCGCGCCTTGGCACTGTTAGCGAGTTTGCAAGGTGTGGTCCCACAAATACCTTATATTGGCTACCGAGAGCTCACACGTGATAGCCCGTGAACTTAGTACACCCATAGCATGCCCACTTTGATCATTCACCACCAAAAGTGTCCCAAGAGGTCCCTGACCATATACACTCGTGTAAGAATTGATTGTGATCATTTACCATGTTCTCGCGATAAACGCCCTAACTCGGAAGGTCACTATTTTCGTGAGTTTCTTGAAATATAAGATACGAATACTACCTCGTGCGAGATATGGATGGGAGCTCTGAAACCTTACCGAAGTGATTGAAAAGTTTACGCGTATGTCGAAAAATTCATCGACGTTTACGCATGTAATTAATGATGTTGTTTGGCCTCATAAGCACATAGCGAAGTAAAACATGGCTTATTTGGAAAATAAAATTTATTTGTGGACGCCAGGATATTACACCACTTGGAGACTACCTCAAACTGGAGATGCGAGAGGTCAAACTAGTTCTTGCTACATCGTGGACCTTCAGATAAATTGAAGATGGAACGAACGAATGTGTATCGTCAAGAACTCATACGTTAAATGAAAATTGGTTCAGACAAAGTTGGGGGAAAACTATTCTCAATATTCCCTTCACAACCCGATAAACATATAAAGGACACATCTGTCCAACGCCTCCGTCATCCGACCAGAATCGAAGATTGGACTGACGGTCGTATAGAGGTATGTAGCTGGAAGGTTCGATTACTTATGATTCTAACTATATAACCAGAAGAGTAAGTATACCCAAACCACTGGTATACAAGACATCAACCTACGGCGCTTGCACTCATTATGGATTTGACAGTGGAGGCTAATTTGCATGATTTGATTACTTCTACCACCCACAAGTGGGTTTTTGTAGGTGGAAAAGGTGGTGTTGGTAAGACCACGTCTTCTTGTTCTATCGCTATCCAAATGGCGCTTTCTCAGCCCACCAAACAATTTTTGTTGATCTCGACAGACCCGGCTCACAACCTGAGTGACGCGTTTGGCGAAAAATTCGGGAAAGATGCGCGAAAAGTTACCGGAATGGATAACTTGTCATGTATGGAAATCGATCCGTCTGCCGCCCTCAAAGACATGAATGATATGGCCGTGGCTCAAAATGGCAGCGGCGATGGCCTTGGCGATTTGCTGCAAGGAGGAGCACTAGCCGACATCACAGGGTCGATCCCAGGTATCGACGAAGCTCTTTCATTCATGGAAGTGATGAAGCACATCAAGAAGCAAGAAGAAGGCGAAGGTGAAAAATATGACACCGTGATATTTGATACCGCACCAACAGGCCATACTTTGAGATTTCTACAACTACCTCAAACCTTGTCGCAGCTGCTGGAAAAATTTGGGGAAATCGCCGGGAGATTCGGCCCAATGTTGAACTCTTTCACCGGTGGTGCCCAGAACATGGATATTATGGGGAAACTCAACGAACTCAAGTCCAATGTGGAAAAAATCAAACAGCAGTTCACCGATCCTGACCTGACTACATTCGTTTGCGTGTGCATCAGCGAGTTTTTGTCTTTGTATGAAACCGAGCGTTTGATCCAAGAATTAGTGTCCTATGACATGGATGTCAACTCGATAATCGTAAATCAATTGTTGTTTGCTGATGACGACCCAGAAGTCCAATCAAGGCGTTCAATTGCCCGTTGGAAGATGCAAAAGAAATACCTGGATCAGATTGATGAGCTCTATGAAGATTTTCATGTGGTTAAAATGCCACTGTGTGCTGGTGAGATCAGAGGCCTCAAAAATTTAAAGATGTTCTCTAAGTTTCTGGACACAGGTTACGACCCAAAGACCGACTATGATGTGATCTACGAGTTGGAAGAGCAGGATTAGGGTGACCACTTCGCGTTTCAAACGAGTAAAAGTATCTAGAAATATATCTAATGCGCTTATATCATAGAGGGCTTGTATGGAGCTGAAGGAAATGATATTACTCGCTAGCCAACCAAAGATTATAATTAGGATAAAAAGTAAAAATGCTCCAGGGGAGGTTCGAACTCTCGACCTTCAGATTATGAGACTGACGCTCTTCCGACTGAGCTACTGAAGCTATTATCGATCGCATCTGAAGAAATACATGATATAGGCTTACTTTAAAAATCATAAATTCTGTACACCTCAACCTCTGACTTAGGTCTTGTCATTATTTTTACTCCTGTCAATTTTCAATATTCGTGTCACTTTCAATATTCCTGTCGTTCCATGACAAAAGCTGAATATTACCAAGAGCGGCTAGCTATTTAGCCACTTCACACGGGCTTTTTCATTAATTGATCTTCGTCTGGCTTTCCACCTCTTTTATGTTTAGGCCTCGAAGGTTTACCCCCGAAAAGGTCTTCGAGTTGGTCCCATAGATGATCCCGAAGTTGCGTCATATCAACTTGCATATCTGAAAACTGATTGGCGTTGTGAATAACTAGCATACCTGTCTATTATATCAGGCTACCTTTATCAATACCTCACTGTCAGGAATTGGGATTATTAGTCTCCCACGTATTGCCATCATAGGTCTATGGGAAGTTTGTAAATTTACAAAGTGGGAGATATTATGAGAGTAAATTAAAGACAGTCTCTGTGGGTTAAAAGATATAGAGGAGGCTCTCAACAAAGCTCTAAAAGATTTAAACAAATGTATCGACCTTACCCCAAAAGAGTATGCAGATGTGACTTATGAACAATCCAAGCTTTCTACAGGGATTGTGAACGTCAATTTGGCTAAATACTATATATATATATAAACACTGGTCCAAAGAGTGGTCGGATGTTGGGAATCGAAAGCCGATAACTAAAGAAAGCAGAGGGGATAAAGTAAGCATCCGCCCATGGAGTGTGTCTCTTGAAATGACTGTAACTAACTACGACAATGGCAATTATCTCAAAGGAATTTGATGACAAGGGAGTTAAACAAGAGCGGCACAAGATAGTGAGATTCGGTTCATCAACCCAGCGGCGACTAACTATACTCAAATAGAGTACATCGCAGATTAGTTTGAAAGTAGACCTTTCTCATTTTTTACTCAAAAGGCCAGGTTGACGACTGAAAAGCATGGAAGACGTTAAGGTCGCAGTAGTGACAGGTGCTTCTTCGGGAATTGGCTTCGAACTGACAAAACAACTGGCAAATAAAGGCTACAAGGTTTACGCAGCTGCAAGAAGAGTGGATCGTATAACTCCTTTGCAGACTGAATTTCCAAACTTGGTTGTGCCAGTTAAGTTGGACGTCGCGGAACCAGCGCAGATCGCCACCTTTAAGCTCCGTTTGCAGGATGAACTCCCTGGACAGAAGCTAGATCTACTCTATAACAATGCGGGTCAAAGCTGTACGTTCCCAGCCGTTGATGTTTCTAATGAAAATTTGGAAATGGTCTTCAAAGTGAATGTTTTCGGTCCAATTAATCTGTGCCGCGAATTAATTCCATTTCTTCTCAAAGCTCGAGGCACTATTGTTTTCACCGGTTCCTTGGCAGGCTTGATATCCTTTCCGTTTGGATCGGTCTATAGCGCCACTAAATCGGCGATCCACAGCTACGCAAGAGGACTGCACCTTGAAATGAAACCATTCGGCGTCAAGGTCTTAAATGTGATCACGGGAGGTGTTGCTACAGATATTGCCGATAAGCGCTCTCTGCCAGAGGACTCCATTTATAATATTCCGGAAGCCCAAGATGCCTTGGAATACCGCCGGAATATGGCCAAAAACCATAAACCAATGAGTGCCTCTGAATATGTCTCCGACGTTTTGAAAGACGTCGAGAGTTCTAGAAGGCCGGTCGATGTGTATCACGGATCTTTTGTCAGGGTTGCATACTGGTTGTCAAGTTTCGTACCTGCATGGATTATGGAGAAAATTATAGAACATCGGTTCAAACTAGATACTTTCTCTAAAAAGCTCGGAAAACCAAAAGCTCAGTAAGATGGTGTTTGCCGAAATCCGTGAAATTTCTAAGCATTGTATAAGGTTCTAGTAGGAAACACATCATCCCCTTAGGTTCGCAATTCATAGATGATCGATGTCGTTCTTGAATAATTATTTACTTTAGACAATAAAGAGCTGATTCAAAGCGGACAGAAACACTGATAGTTCAATACAAAGCCCATTGCTTACGCGCTTTAAATTTAGCGGTCATAACATTTCTCAAAGATATTCTATTCAACAGAAATATCACTTTGTGGCATTGCCAGAAAAAAGGAAAAGCCCATCTACCGCGGGCCACCCTGCACTTGAGTTTGTCTTCTCCATGGAAGTAGCCCTTTCATAAGCCCTGGAATCCTTAGTATTATTGGAGATTCCCACACCAAGTCTAGGGAGAGCGTGGCAATCATTCAATTTACAAACCAACAGCTAATTGCTAGCCAGAAGTAAAACGTAGTGATGAGTGTGATCAATATTTTACAAAACCGAGAAGCATTCTCTTCCTACCTTAGTCTTTCATTCATAGAATCAGCTTCTTGCTGAGCCTTGTGTAACCACCTGGCAACAATATGGTCGTGTTCTGCCTTCATCTTGTCGTACCGTTCTTGCAAAAGATTGTTCTCAATAGTAAGAGATATAATTTCATCATTTAACCGCTCAGCATCTTTGTTTTTCAGCCTTAGAGTAGCATTGTAGTCCTCAATTTGTCTATCCCTGAGTTCCAGTTCTTTTTTCAACGCTTTTAGCCGAAGTTCGGCATCATTTTGGTCATCCAAATCACTTACTATGATTGCTTCAGGAAACAATTCGATGAAGTTCTTCTCTATAACGTCTCTTTGCTGCAATCCTTTTAGCACAGTGTGATTCATTGGATGTCAATATGTGAAGCTCAAGCGGTATTGTCAAGCATTGATATCATCGATGAACTCTTGGAATCAATTTGACTTTAAGGTTTGGGTTCATTAATTAATTTAACCTAAGTTTTAATGAAATAGCAAATACACAACCGAGCGAAACTAAGCCTTAGCGAAGGACTATAGCCTAGTAATCAAATTTGTTCACCATTTTAGATGAATTCGATAAAGGCTGAGAGACATTAACAGCCAAGAAAGGTAAACCATCGATGAACAAGTCAAGCGATGATGGAGTAAGGGAGAACAACGTTGATCCCAGCCATCAAAACTCAAGCTGGACAGAATGGATCATTTCTCCAGTAAACGGCCTTAAATTACCTGGAAACAATGAACTCTTGGAGTCACGATCAGGAAATGTGGAATCGAGAGGTTCGGTTTCTGATAGTTGGCTTCAAAATGTACGCAACAGATTGCCCTCCTTATCATTTTTACAAGAGCAGGAGGCTGTTGACATGAATAATTTAACTGATTATGCCACCCTTAGCAGCAAGCAGATTCACTTCTTAGAAGCGGAGGCCCAACAGGGAATCATGAAGAAGGCTGATACCTGGTGCTGGTTTGAAGATCCTACAGAAATCCCAGAAGAGAAAGTAACAGCTCCCCATTCTGGAGAGCTCAGTGTCGCCAATACGGGATCGGCCATGTGTCCTCTTCCCTTGGTAAAATTTCCGATCTCAATGGAACCTCAACCCGGTTTTCACGCTGAAAATTCATTACTGTTACCTACACCCTTTCCACAGGAGATATATCATGAAAGAACTGTACTTAACAAAGTTTCGATTGCTTTCAAAAACTACTATAATTTTAAGAGTGAGAAGCACACTTATTCAAATGGCAAATCTCTAAGCGATAAACTGGAGGGCAGGAAAGCCGTGATTATTTCTGTTGTAGGAGGTTTACCAGATAAGTACGCTGGGGGAAACATACAGTTCTCTGCAAGACAATTTTCAATAAAACTTGCTTCCGTATTGAAGGAACAGCTGGTCTCAAAAGTACTAACTTTTTCACTCGAAACACCATTGGATCAAAAATCATTAGAAGTATGTTTGGACGAATGTATTCAGTTGCTTGCCAATGGTCAGTCACATTTTTTCAATGCCGACTATATCCTTTTGATTGGCGTTTATCATAGCGTTCCTCTTCAAATATTGCTCGCCAAACATCTTTTAGAAAACACTCATAATTTTGGCTTGAGTGGCGAGCCCACCATTGGAATTATGGGCTTGGACTCATGCTTAGGTGGCTACCAATTTTGGGATTATAATGTAGATTCTAACTCTGAAGTGAACAGTGCTAATTACCAAGCTCAAAGAGAAAAAGCTTTACTGCAAGGGTGCTCACGAATACAACAGGATATTCTTTCCCAGCTGTCGCAATACAAAGACTCCATGTCCGCAAAATCGCAGCAAATCAGAATGGCACTCAATTGGATGTTTTTGCATCATCCACGAACTAAGCTGGTATTGATCGGCCGACTTTATGACAACTTCATGACGATAGCTGAGAAACTCGCTATTTCCTTACAGCATCCAAACATCCTACGACATATATGGTGCGCTGGCTCTAGTTTAGGCTTAGACCTCAAGAAAAGTGCAACATTCTTATCCACTGATAAAGTCATGTCACCAGGTCCTCTATATTATCAGGAAGAAGTGGCTGTTCCACAAGAAAGGGAGTTTGAAGTTTGTCTTCTTCAAAATATAATAATGGCTATAAACTTAGGTCATTATGAATTGGTCCCAATGTTGAGGCTGATTAGTCCGTTCTTTATTTCACGGTCCTTTAACAAACATACTTTACCGCCAACTCTAAAAAAGCAACAGCAATACGAACTTAAGGCCTGGATTCAGGATATGGAGCAGCGATGGAAGAGCGTAAATCCGACCAAAGATGGCTCGATTCCTGCTGAAATAAAAAATATCAGCGACTTTTTTGAATTAGTGCTATACCAGGGCAACAAGCAATCGCCAGGTCCTTTCCAGCTGAAAGGGGGAATCTATGATGATCATCAAATATACTGGGCTTTTGCATGTGATACATTACAGACAACAAATCTCTTGGAGCCGCGAGCTGTCTACTTGTGCGATGATACCACCATTCCCATACACATTGTGAACAACCAGAATCAGTATGATTTGGTATGGAAGCTACATGACTTTCTCTCTTATTTTGCAAAGATAAAAAACCTTCCTGCTACGAGGAAGGCCACCCTGCAATTTTCCCTAGTGGATTATGGTTTTATTCCGCCGTTTCAATTTCCAGAAGAAGTACAGTTCCAGAAAAAAGGTGAAGATGCTCTCAACAGAGTCAGTGATATTTGGGAGTGCTACCATCGTTGGAAACCTCCCACAAGAAAGTTAAAGCAGCTTCAATGCATTTTAAGCTTTCTGTCACTTTACAGATCGGGCCAGCAATTGCAGATTGATCTACATCGTGTTAAATGACTGCAGTTAGCATTTGGAAGAATCGCGTATTCCATAATTGTAATTCCTCCAAGCACGCGAGCAAGTTGGAAGCGTTGAAGTTCTAGTTTTTGATGGCTAATTCTCTGAAGAGGGTATGTGCTACATGATTAGAGGCTGCTAAGTTGTTGTGTCATTATCTGTAGCGCTATACTAACCGTACTATCGCAGCAACTGTCCAGTGAAGCAGTCAACTCAGATGAAAAGCGATTTCAAGCTACGCTTAACTCAGGACCAGGGCAAGGTGACGCCTTAGCGGTGTTGGTGAGCTTAGTACCTGGCAGAGAAGGAAAATTCACTTTAACAGATGCATCGGTAACAAAAATTGGCCGAAGTCGAACGTGTGATATTGCCCTCTTGGAACCTGATATTTCAACGTTACATTGTGAGCTGTGGACCCTGACCTTGGAAATTGATGGTTCTCGACGGCGGATGATTAATGTCATCGACAAGAGCCGTAATGGTACTTTTGTAAATGGCAACCGACTGGTCAAAAAAGATTACATTCTAAGAAACGGGGACAGGCTCGTGTTTGGAAAAAGCTGTTCTTTCCTGTTCAAATATCTAATCGACGAATCGCAAGGGCCCCACGTCCTTCCCTCGGACGAAAATAGTACAGAACAATTCAAAAAACCTCTTTTGAGCAGTCAAGATATTGTGAGGCGGCCACTTTCGTTGAAAAACCTCTCTTTTTATGACAGATACGTACTCGGGAAAGAACTTGGAAGTGGTCATTATGCTATAGTGAAGGAGGCTACAGACAAAAGCAGTGGAGATATTGTTGCGGTGAAGATATTTCACCCCCAACTGAATGACGACCAGAAAAAGACAAAACAATTTCGCGAGGAGACCAAAATTCTAATGAGTATTCAACATCGCAACATCGTGAAACTAATGGATAGGTTTGTTGAGCCCGTAAGCAAGTCTCAAATTCAAACTTATCTCGTTCTTGAGAAAGTCAATGATGGCGAATTGTTTGATCGGATTGTGCGAAAAGGAAGATTGAGACAGAACGAAACAAATGCAATTTTTAGGCAAATTTTAAATGGTTTACGGTACTTGCATGCCAAGAACATCATCCACAGAGATATCAAACCAGAAAATATTTTACTTAACATAAGAAAACGTCAGAGTCCTGATGAGCTACAGCAAGGTCCATGGGATGAAGATGAGCTTGAAATTACGATTAAAATTGCTGATTTCGGCTTGGCAAAGTTTATTGGCGAAATGCAATTCACAAATACCCTCTGTGGGACACCATCCTATGTTGCACCGGAGGTATTAAAAAAGACAGGCTATTCAGCGAAAGTTGATTTATGGAGCGCAGGTGTCCTCTTATATGTATGTCTTTGTGGCTTTCCCCCTTTCAGTGAACAGTTAAGCCCGCCCTCCATGAAAGAACAAATTTTACGGGGGAAATTGGCATTTTACTCCCCTTATTGGGATGACATTGATGACTCTTGTCTACATCTGATATCAAACCTCTTAGTCGTTAATCCCGCTACAAGATTTGATGTAGGACAAACCATCAATCATCCATGGTTCGCCAGAGAAGCTTTTGAGCCGGACTCACTACCTCTTAAAAACCGAGAATTGGTGAAGGCCAATAAAATTCTGAAGACATTTTCGGAACTTTCTAACTTAAAATAGTGTTAAATAAAAGATAGCGCAATAGTGCGCTCAATTTACAATAAACGTGATGCATTTACCATTTGCTGAGCTCAGATACTTTCTCTTGTAGTTCCTTTCTGGCTTTGACCCTCATGTAGAAAATGTCACAGTTTTTATTAGAGCACAAAACTTCGTTGTGCAAGCTTCCCGAGCAACGTTGACATTGAGTCCATAAACGGGCAAATTTCTCTTGGAGGTCTTTGACATCGTAAAGAGCCCGCACGTATAGTTCGCCAGACCTTTCCACACAATTGGAGCATAAGGGGCCCTCGCCCCTTCGTAAAGGACCCTTACACCCTTTACAGGTCTGCACCTTTTTGACAAAGCCCATCAAGCCACCTTTTGTATTTCCAGTGCTAATTTTAATTGATTTAACCACAAACATTGAATTGGCATGCTTTTCCCCAATGATAGGGGCGATAATGCTAATGATGGGGTTTTGTAGTTGGTTTGTCAAATAGTACTTAGAATCAATCTGAACGTTGTGCTCCAACACGTAGAGAGGATCTTCTGCCCTATTGTACAGCTTGTCATTGCCACCTATCACGACATAGTCAACACGGTCACCAACATTAGGGCCCACACCATCTCTCTTGATCATACGTTCTGCGAGAACAGCATGTGGCTGTGGATTAGTGTAGTTGGGCGCTAACGTTTTCGATATAATCAGCTTTGAAATATCAGCTCTGTTATGAAGTATGTCACCAATGGTTTCCTTGATAAAATTAAGGGCACCATCAACGTTACGATCGATAAGTATCATCTTTAAGACCTTATTCATGACAATGGAGACAAGCGGACAAGAGTCTCGGCGAACAGATGCTAAGCCTTTTTGATCGAGCTTATCATATTTGTCCGCCCTGGTCCAGTAGAGTCCGGCATATCGTTTCTTGTTGATCAGCAAATAAGGAAAGTAAGCTTTCTCAAATTCTAATGCAATGGGATTTTTGAATAAGGACGAAACGTATTCTGCTGCTTCTGCACCGAGATTCATGGCTTGTGATAGGTCGTCTGTACCGAACTTCACCATGACAGAATCAGTATCACCATAAACCACGACTGCATCATGGTTATAGCCATTCTTTATACAATACCGCTCTTCAACCGCTTTCTTTGTGCGTTCAATCATGGTGCGGCCATATGAAGTCACAGAAGATGAAATTGCCAAGCATGGCAATTTACCAACGGTCGCACCGGTAAACCCATACACGGAGTTGGCCGAAATTTTCAATGCTAGTTGTCGACCGTTCAAAACATCTCTTCTGAATGGGTCTTTTTCTTCCTTCAAGTCTTTCTTGGCTCTCTTACGGGCTGCTATTAATTCATGCAAAATCTCGGGTAAAATCCCTCGGCGTAATTTCGAAGTAACGAAGTAGTCATTGTTAGGTGTGACAACATAGTCCTCATCTTTTTTTAGATTCAAATTTTCCACTGTAGCCTTGTTACAGAGGGTGGTATAACAAAGATTGTGAGCCATCATAATGCTCGGATACAAAGAGTTGAAATCGAGTGTTGCAATGGGAACATCATAGTACCCTCTCATAGGTTCTATAACAGTGGCACCCTCATACTGTTCATCTGAACCCTGAGACTGCATATTTGGTATGACTGTATCGATTTGCAGACATTTACGAAATAACTGTGAAACGACTTTGATTTGTTGACCCCTGGCAAGCAAGTAGGAAAATGGAACACCGGTGACACGAGCCATTTCTGTGTAGTTGACCAAAGCCATGAGTTTTTCTAATAATCGCAATGGCAAAAATGCATCTTTCAAACAGTAAACAGCTAGTCGTCGTCTAGTTTCGGAATCGCCGTTTTGTAGAGTGCTGATTATACTGTGGTGGACATCTTCCTTCTGTTCTCCAAGAAAATGAGCGGATACAGCGTTTAAAGTGTACGACCTGAGCTTGTATTCACGTTGGACAAATTGTAGTAAATCAAGCTGCAGCCGACCATCGATGTTGATAACCTTAGACTCACGAGTGCCGTAAGCTTTGGAAGAAAAGACGGCATCTTTCACTTCTTGCTTCACGGTCTTGAGCCTTCCAAAATATGGAAACTCTTCTATCTTCAATGCACGTCCTCGACCTAGTAAGTATGGCAAATCAAAGTTGGTTGTGTTATAGCCGATTATGAGATCGGGATCCACCTCAACGACGAATTTGCGCCAATTTTTAAGCATGTCATTTTCTGTCTTGTGGTCAAATATTTGAGAGCCTGTAATAGGTGAACACGTATTAACCGTGAATACATTCCTGACAAAGGATTTGGAAGCGCCAGCAATGCTGACAACATTTGCGATCTGAATGACAGGATCGATCTCAGCTTCTGGAAACACACCTGGTCTACCAGCACACTCTATATCAAAAGACAGTATCCTAAGTGGGGCTGTATTAGACCAGTCGCCTTCAGCAGGATGTGCAATAAGATCTCTATAATTGATTCTAACCTCAAGTTGGCAAGTACTGATCTTTTCTTTGGATGGTACCATATGATATTTGCCCTCCGGAAGTGTAATCCAGGACATGCCTGTAATCCCACAATCTATCATCAGCCTCAAGGTGTAAGTAATATTGTCGTAAGTTGTGGTCCCACCTGAAAACCAAGTATCATTGTAAGTAATATGCCCACGTTCAAATCCAGTTCTGATCTTGTTTATTCCAGCAGGACTCTTTGCATATATTCTCAAAAATGGCAGCTTTGCTGTACCCGAATAACCCCAAATAGATTGACGTTTGGCGATCTCGATTTCATCGACAACATCCTCGAAAGCGTCATTCAAATAGCTTTCGAAGGGCTTGATATCTTGCAGGGTAAAACCAGATGGGGCTGGAACGTAAAGATAATGTCTGAACCCCGTAACATTGCACAGCACAGAGTGACCCTCCTTTGTAACACCAAAAAATCGCACGGCGTATGAAGTGTTGTTGTCTTTTACACCAGGTAGAATGCTTTGCTCTGCATCCAGCTGCTGAAAGGAAATTGCGTGCTTTTCGGGAGAAAAGTCCAGAGGTAGAGGCTTACGGGCCCACGCATTTTCCCGTCCATGTTCTTGAGCAACTACCTGTTCATGATCCATGTGGGAGAGCTCTTCTTCGAAGGCCGTAGGATTGACTGGTTGTGAACCATTTACAGCGCCTTTAGGTGTGAAGCCCTGGGTCTGCTGTTTTCTAAATTTGTCGGTGGGGATAATCTCAATAGTGGACACCGGCTCACTGAGCGCACTGTGGTCATACGACTGGGGCTTGAGACGCTTTTCAAATGTTTCTGAGCTCCGAGATTCACCTTCACCGGGTCTTTTAAGTCCATTTGAGTCCATTTTTGGTCCATCACACATCGAATGCTGGGTGAGGGACATCAATTTTATAATCGCGTCTTAAATAATTTAAGAACACGAAAGGAACCTACAACAGACAAACAAACATTTTCAAGGAACGCCTACTTGTGACTATCTCATAAAACACCGCCGGCTTCAAAATTACTCAATATGCGTTGAATTCATATATCTCACAACTCCGCCCGTTTGTTGTTCTGAGCAAAGACTGGCGTAGCAGGGCATGGCGTAGAAGGACAGGATAGAGCGACATTCGAGCTATCCTTGCCACGGCCTCTAGAGTATCCCAGAAAAAAGTGACCAGCATCTGTCAATTTTGCAACCCCTCTAGTTGGCGAAGTCTACTCGAAAAGGCATTCTTAGTATACACACAATCCAATTGAGATTGCGATGACGACCCTGATGGGTCGTAGACCTCGTTGGTCTAGCATTTCTGCCTATCATGGTTTTATTTTCAAGTTTACTTTCAACACTGACCCATGGGAGAGCAAAATCCATCATCGTTGAAAGCCTCGAAGTCAAGCGGCAACAGCGATGCGCCCCAGTCGTCTCTATATCACTGTAAACATCCTTCGTCCAAAAATAGTGCACAGAAGACATCACTTTTCGAAATAATACACTCATTTCACCCTCGCCCCACCCCCCCCACCTGAGCTGTCACTATCGTCCACATCCTTTCCCATTTGATAAGTTCAATCATATGTTCCGCATCATAAAATGTTCAGGGCGTGAAAAACGCTTAATGAAGCAATATGAAGGCTTCTTAGCCCTATTTTAGAGAAAAACACCAAATTCATCGCTTTCACCAGGTGCAGAAGCTCTGAATTCGAACAAATACGTCAACTAACGAACATGTTGAGCGTGATTTTTCTACAACCATGCATTTTTCGCAGCCAGAAATTCTAAGCGAACTTAATTCTGGCTCGAAAGTACTGACCTGTTAAATGCAGAAGGTTCTTACTCTGTGGCCCGAAAGAGTATTCCTTAAATATGTTTCGGCTTGCCAATCGTCCTCGGAGTCTGGAATCATTAACACTAACCACGAGACATGCTCCACAGAAAGTGAAGGTGCAATGAGATGTGCAATCAATTCTTCCAGCTTGATCAAATCACATCGCTCAAGAACATACGCTCTGCACAGGCAAAATGCTGGGGTTGGACCTTTGACGGCGGCTATTTTGGTAAAACCCTGTCTGCTGTGCATTATGAAGATTTCAAAAGCCGCTTTCCACAACGACCGCTCTCTTAATAGTCACACATGGCTCACTTAGCGCGTTGTCTTTCTGTCAACTACTCGAGTGCCTCCTTATATGCCAGTCGAATCATTACAATTTGCCGCGGAGACTCCTTCGTGAAATATGCTTCAACGTATATATTTATACTAATTTATCTCCGTGCTAAGAATTATGTCTCGAACAGCTACGATTGATACATATAGTCAAAATTGATTGATTACCAAGAGTGTAGTGTCTCTTTAGAGAGCTTAGGTCGCAATTTCCAGGCTTCGGTATTACTTGAATTAGTCTCAGAGACAAATCACTATTCGTCGCAGGTTATCAAATTTGTTGATACGCGTACTCGTGAACAGTGCTGGTTCAAAAAGCACTTGATTACTTGAAGGCTTTGTGCAAGGTAAACTCGACTGTAACTCCCAGATCAGCCTTGGATGACACGAAAGAGAACATTTTCGTTACGAACACAACTGTTCAATAAGCAGCTCCACGATAAAATTCAAAGGGATTACGAAGTGGAATCTCATATGGATGATATCGAGACTGAATCGCGCCAGAGTCAGGGCGGAAAACCTAGCATTGACATCAACAATCTATTAAATTGGCTTCTAAGACGTAACAAGAATCGCCGTTCCGAGTCTGGTAGGAGGATACCTGTGAGTGTAGATCACTCTGATGGAACTTATCGTGAATTCACCGGGGATTACGGAGATTTGCTCATAGATGAGCGAAACTCAAAACCTTACAAGTCTAATGTCATAACCTCTTCTCGATATACCATTTACTCATTTCTACCGCGTCAGCTCTATGCCCAATTCTCGCGGCTCGCGAACTCATACTTTTTTTTGGTAGCGGTGCTGCAAATGATCCCTGGCTGGTCCACTACAGGAACGTACACCACTATCATTCCTCTTGTAATCTTCATGGGTATATCGATGTCTCGAGAGGCGTGGGATGACTTTCGCCGGCACAAGCTTGATCGGGAGGAAAACAACAAGTCTGTGAAAGTGCTCACCAGAAACTCAGACGTATCTGGAATTGCGTCCGCGGGGCCCTATCCTTCACAAGATGGCCTATACTCCTTGCCCCAATGGCAGCGAACTGCATCGTCAACAAGGGAATTAAATGCCGACACGGATGACTTCCCAGAGGAAATTTCCTCGTTACCATTAGACTCCCAGCCCTTTACAAATTGGAAATTGTTACAAGCGTCCTACGGAGTTTCCATCGTCGAGAAGCAGTGGAAAGACGTCAAAGTTGGGGAGTATGTTCTTCTTTGTCAAGATGAATGGGTGCCCGCTGATATGTTGATTCTGACGAGCGATGGTGATAATAACGATTGCTTTGTTGAAACGATGGCATTGGATGGAGAAACTAATTTGAAAAACAGACAACCTCTCAAAGAAGTCAGTGAGAGAACTAGTACAGTTTCAGGCTTAGCTCAGTTTAAGGCTAAGATAACAGTGGAGGACCCCAACAACGATTTGCATAATTTCGAAGGTAATCTGGAATTGCTGGGCGACAATAAGAAAATCACTATTACTTCGGACAACATTGTTTACAGAGGAAGTATTATTAGGAACACACAGAATGCTATTGGCATGGTTGTTTTCACCGGAGAAGAAACCAAGATACGCATGAATGCCATCAAAAACCCAAGGATTAAAGCACCTAAACTTCAAAGAGCCATCAACTTGATTGTTTTATTTATGGTTTTTGTGGTTGCAGCCATGTCTTTATTTTCATTCATGGGCCAAAGATTTTTAAAGAAACGGTGGGTAGACAACAATAATGCCTGGTATCTTTTTAATCAAGATGCTGGCGTTGCGCCTACGGTAATGTCCTTCATAATCATGTACAACACCTTGATTCCTCTTTCTTTGTATGTGACGATGGAAATTATCAAAGCTATGCAAAGTAAACTGATGGAGTGGGATATTGACATGTATCACAAGGCGTCTAACACCCCTTGCGAATCTCGAACGGCTACTATTCTAGAAGAGCTGGGGCAAGTCTCTTACATCTTTAGTGATAAGACGGGAACACTGACAGATAATAAAATGGTGTTCAGGGCCTTCTCTATTTGTGGGATATCATGGGTACATGAAGCAGATAAAACAACTGATTCACTAAGCAGTGTCAAATCTAACGATAGTCAGAATATTGATGTTGTCTCCGTTGATGATAGAAGTTTTCTTCAGCACTTTCATCCAAGTACCTCTGCTGCCTCTCGAAAGACTTCGATAGAATACAAGGGCAATAGTTCTGCTACATATACCGGCAGGCCAAGCATGGCGTCTCGTATACAACCCAAAAGAAGTATAGAAGACACGAGCTTCAATCCCGACGACGGGAGCAGAAACGAAAGTACCCAAGAATTGGCAAAATCGTCAGTTGCGCTTATTAGCTATATTCAAAGGAACCCTGGTACTTATTACAGCGAAAAGACTAAATTTTTCATTTTAGCGCTAGCGTTGTGCCACTCGTGCTTGCCTAAAAAGGCCTCCGTTATAGAGGACGAAGATGATAGAATTGAATATCAAGCATCGTCCCCTGATGAGTTAGCCCTGGTAACTGCAGCTCGTGACATGGGATATGTGGTCATGAATAGGAATGCCAACATACTCTCAATAAAATCATATCCTGGTGGGTTTGACAATGAGCCAATAACTGAAGATTATGAAATTTTGAACGTCATTGACTTTAGCTCTGACCGCAAAAGAATGTCCGTCTTGGTTCGTCTTTCCCAACAGCCACATCGCGTTCTTTTGATTTGCAAAGGCGCTGATAACGTCATTCTGAACCGACTTCACAACAGCGACATGGCAACCCAAAAAGCCTCTGAGCTTCAAGAAACCACCAATGAAAGAAAGACGGCAGAAGCAGATCTAGTCTTGAAGCAAAGAAAATCATTTGATTCGGCCATCAATGGCCGTCACAGCGGAACTTTGAGACGCTCTTCCTCGCAAAGAGCTAGCATGGCCAGAATGTCCCTTAATGCCGTTAGGAGGAGCTTCTCAAGGAAAAGCCTGGGCAACGGAGGGGATCCAGAAGGTCAAATAAACTCCATCGATGACTTTCTCAGCAATGTGGAAAAAGCAGACAATGAGCTGAGTGATATTTTCTCTAGGAGTCGAAAGTCGTTGCACAAACAGCAGCAAGAGCGCTACGGACTGAAGGCACAAGGCTCAACAGAGGTTGACGCTATCAATTTTGCTTCCGACTTTGTGACTGAAACATCCTCAACAGCACCTTTAAAGACGTCTAAGGACAATATCGAGGCTCTCCTTAGTGATGAAACACTGTTAAAGAATGAGGAGTATGTATTAGAAAGGACTCTTCAAGCGATAGACGAGTTTTCAACAAATGGCTTACGAACTCTTCTGTACAGCTATAAATGGATTGACATGGAAACATATGACAAGTGGGCAGAAGAATATAACGCAGCCAAAACTTCCCTGGACGGGAGAAAAGAGAAAATTCACATTATAGGGGAATCGGTTGAGCAATCTCTTCGCTTGTTGGGCGCAACTGCTATCGAAGATAAACTGCAGGAGGGAGTAGCGGATGCGATCAAGAAGATAAGGAGAGCAGGTATCAAAATGTGGATGCTGACAGGCGACAAGCGGGAAACTGCTATCAACATTGGCTATTCTTGTAATCTTATACACGACTACTCAACTGTTGTTATTCTTTCCGCAGAAGACGAGAATATATCTTCTAAGCTGACAGCCCTTACCCAAGAAATTGAACGAGGAAATGTCGCACATTGTGTGGTTGTCATCGACGGTACAACCTTGGCAAAATTTGAGAGCAACCCGACTTTGATGTCAGTTTTTGTCGAGTTATGCACCAAAACTGATTCCGTTATATGCTGCCGAGCGTCACCTTCTCAAAAAGCTCTCATGGTAACCCACATTAGAAATACCGATAAAAAATTGGTAACCTTGGCTATTGGGGATGGTGCAAATGATATTGCGATGATTCAATCTGCTGACATTGGAATTGGCATTGCTGGAAAGGAAGGTTTACAGGCCTCGAGATCTTCAGATTATTCTATTGGACAGTTCAGATTTTTATTGAAACTTCTTTTGGTACACGGACGTTACAACTACGTGCGGACATCAAAATTCGTTTTATGCACTTTTTACAAAGAGCTGCTCTTTTATATCACACAAATGATTTATCAGAGACAGACCTTATTTTCGGGGACTTCGCTATATGAGCCATGGTCTCTATCGATGTTCAACACTCTATTCACCTCTCTTCCCGTTTTATGCATCGGCATGTTCGAAAAGGATCTGAAGCCCATGACCCTTTTGGCCATACCTGAACTTTATGCAATGGGACGCAGGTCAGAGTGTTTCAACATAAAGGTTTTCCTCTACTGGATGTTATTGGCTGCTATCAACTCTGTACTGATTACATTTCTAAATTTGAAGATTTGGGGGGTTTCTTCCCTTTCGGATAACACAATTTATCCAATTGGCGTCATTAATTTCACTGCGATCGTCACACTAATTAATGTCAAGTGCCAATTATTGGAGACACACAACCGAAATATATTAGCTTTTGCATCCTTGGTCATTTCAATAGGTGGTTGGCTTCTCTGGTGCTGCTTACTGCCAGGAATTTATTCAACAGATGGCCCTTACGACGTTTTGGTTGGACTCTACCATCAATTCGGGGGTGATATAACATTTTGGTGTACCTGCTTGGTTTTGGTTGCACTACCAATGATCATCGATGTTGTGAGCAAGACCGTTAAGGTAATGATCAAGCCCTCAGATTCGGAGGTGTTTGCCGAACTTGAACAGAGAGACGAAATTCGCAAAAAATTGGAGATCAAAGCCTTTAATGAATTGAGGCAGGGTTGGACTTGGGATAAAGACCGCAGCACAATCACCAGGTATACGGATAAAGTGCTACATCGTGCAAATGACTCAGCAAATAGTGACAGCGACACTCTTACGCAATTTGGCAATACTACAAACTCCAACACATCTAGGCTTCCAGCGGGTTCTGGGAGCAGAACTGCATTTCACAATAAAGCCTCATATAATGCGCAAGAATACGAGATGTTACCTAGTGGAAAACTGATCAAGAAGCGACTGTCCACGACTGGCAATGACGATGCGCGGACACCCTTGACTCAAAAGTTGGGCAAGACGTTGCGATTTAAAGTCAAGAACAATGAGGAAGTTGAAGATGTAGACGCTATTATCGCGGAACGTCTGAAAGATTTGGAGTAATCTAAAGTTTCCGCAAAACGTACGTATCTTTATCTTTCTAGGTGTGAATAAGGCCTCTATTCAGGCTCAAGTATGATAGAGTAGAACAAAAGGCATTTATTATTATTATATTTTATTATACATACATGATTATTCCCTGCTCAACAATAAAGAAGTTACGGGATGATAAGTGGACGCGTTTGATTTCTTTTTAGTCTCCAAGAACGCCCCGATCTACAAGTTGTCTTGAGAAACAACAGCTCACAAACTCCTTTGGGCATGACGAGATTTAAGCCCCAAATAGAAGCCTTTCGAGCATTGGCAATAACAAAATGACCAGGATGGGTAGTAATATCCTCAAAATCTGTTGGACTTCGCGCTCTGTCTCCTGCTGTTGATGCTGATTTTGCTGTTGAGCATTTCCAGCAGTTCGCTGAGTGTGACGAGTTCTGGGACCTCCATTAGTATAAACTTTAAATCCACTAGGTCCGCCAAAAGAAAAGGTGGTACCGCCGCCAAAAGGTCCATCGAACGGTCCAGCGCCAAATGGCCCGCCTCCAAAGGCAGAGTTGAATGGGTGACCGCCGCCTGCGGCTCGTGAATTGAACAAAAACTCAAATATATCCTGAGGGGGACCAGCTGGAGCTCGTCTAAAAAACATTCCCTCGGGTGAAAACCCAGAACTATTGGCGAAACCACTGCTGGCGCCAGAGGGATCACGGGCCCCTCTTTCGTCTGGGTCCCGACCAATCTGGTCGAAAATACGCCTTTTCTGCTCATCGCTGAGTACTTCAAAAGCCCTGTTGATGCGTTTGAAGGCTTCACTGGCTCTAGGATGCTTGTTCTTATCTGGATGTAGCTTCACCGCTAGTTTACGGTAAGCCTTCTTTATCTCATTATCGGAAGCTTTACTATCTACACGGAGCAGCTCATAAAAAGCATGGTTGTTCTGGCCCACGATATCCAGAGTAAGTGTTTCTTGTTCCTTGGTATACTCCATTTTATAATGACCAATGTGTGCTCTGATTGGGTACCAAAGGACTCCGCAGCTAAATGAATCGAAACCTAATCGATAATGGATACCTTGGGATGTTGAATAGCCTTGGCTTGGGTTTTATCAAATTGAAACTAGCGAAAGACAAAGTCCTGGACCACCAATAAAATCTCTACCAGCGAGGTGGAAATATAGCTTCTAAACCTTCTCAACCGCGACGTATAAATTTCGACGATGCTGTGTCCAATTTAATAATGGCTTATCCGAGCACTACGCACGGAATAGAACAAACCTCAGCCGTCGACGGCTTCATGAGATGACGGGAATCGCACACTTGCATTCAAGAACTATCACCAGTCAAGAGCTCTTTATGTGGTCAGAAGAAGGAAAGTTTTGAATGCTGAACGTCAGTTTATAAAGTGGTGGCGAAGAGCTAAAAAAAGTACGCTTTATTTGTTGATGATTCATTAATGATTGCATGTAACTACTTATAAAATCTTTGGTGACTCTGGAGTCGTTAAGATTGTCATTGAGGTCCTTTGTCTGCGTTTTTATTTGTCCTTTTTTTTGATTTTGGACCTGAATTGGTGTACTTCAACTCTTCCTTCCCAAAAAACAATCGAGAGTTATTACAGAATCCAGGGAGCGGGTATAATTGAGCAGAATAAAACGATCATGGGTGTACCGAACAACCCTAATCTGCCGAGTCTGTTATCCGATAGGAAATCTAGTTCGCTAGGCTCAATAATCACTTTCTACTATGCTGACGCTGTATAACCACTGCCAAGCGAGATAAAAAGTCCGATGTTGGGATCTCAATATTTACATAATAGCGACTGCTTTGCGGATGTTGTTTGGTAAAATAGAGTGCCGAGTTGAAGTTATTAGGCTTACAGGACCTTCCTCTAGTATATACTTTTTTTCCGCCGTCATGAGAGCTCGACGTACAGTAGCTTAATCTGTGCTAAACGACAAGTATCCTTTGCCCCCAAAGTACTTTGAAATATACACAAAAGCTTTAAGTTATACAGTTGCGGCCTCTTATGTGCAGCTTTCTCCGTTGCCACTTTTTTCCTGCTCGAACATAACCTCGTTGGACAGTAACGGGAAGTGAAAGGCGCCTCCATCGACGTGGAAAGAACAGAGCATCTACTTATGCAGCTCACACGCTGCACAAAAACCAAAGCAACTACTCTAAATACCCCAGCATAGGGCCTTTCCTGCAAATGTGAATACAGACGTCCTATGAGCTCCCTCTTCTTAAACCACGAAAATGACCACACAACGACGACACGTTCATAATTTTTGAATCGTCGCTAATAATCCAAGCTCTGGTTCTACTAACGCGTTAATCCTCGTCGAGACTTTTCGATAATAATTTGCTTGTAATGTGTTAATAGGCTGCACCCGCAACGCGCATGAGAAAAATTCACCGTTTCTCAAGGCCATACCGAGGGTGACCATGTTTCTACTCTTGACACTCGGTGGGATAAAGAAGTATCGAAGATATCGAGCAGATAGCGTTCAGTAATTAAATTCTAGAGGTTTTCAAATTCGACTTTAGACAAGTCAGCTTGGATTGCGAAGCAGAAAAAGGTTAAAGTCTTGGTAGATAACAAACCTCGTCGTGTTAAGCAATGGTATGTTATATTCACTGGTTGCCCTCTCGTATATTTGCTTCTATCACGCAGAAACTGGCTCTGAATTTCAAAAAAATACAGTTAGCGTGCTCGAGCATAGACTTTCATTTTAATGTACGATTAGTGTTTGACCCCTCACTGCAACTCACGTTTTCTTCCACGCCCCTCTCAACTTCTACTGGTGGTAAATTGTTGCTGCCATCGCCATTAGTTAACTTTAGGTTGTGGCGAGAAACATTATTCTATCAGATAACTTCTCTTGTGGCATTGCATGATGATGGATTGGTGAAGCTTACAATTTAATCGTGCCAATGATGGTCATACCGTATGCTCGTCATACCGTATGCTCGTCATCTCATATAAATATCTATATAAGTATATTATTATATTATATACATTTTATTTATAGGAACACGTCCGAACATCTTACTGAAGGCAGAGCGAAAGGTATGAGCATTAAACAAGCATACGAGCAGAGTGGTCAATCAGCCCTCTTTGAACATTGGGATGACCTATCTGATGCTCAGAAAGCATCATTCGAGGAGAATCTGCAGGAAACAGCAATGAAAAATGATCCAAGCCAGCTGGTGGAGGATTGCAAACGCGCTATAGAATTGAGTTTAGAGAATTCTAACGGCAACGATTCCATTGAGCCACTTCCGCATACATCTTACGGGTCTATACTTGGTAAAGCAGAGTTGGAAAATGAATATCGTGATGTAGGACTTCAGGAGCTCGCACAAGGTAGTGTTGCTGTGATCCTAATGGCTGGTGGACAGGGAACTAGACTAGGTTCTTCTCAACCCAAGGGATGCTATGATATTGGGCTTCCTTCTAATAGGTCCCTTTTCCAGATTCAGGCTGAGAAGTTACTGCGTTTGCAAGCTATCGCCAACTGCCCTAGGCCAATTCCCTGGTATATCATGACTTCAGAGCCTACGAGGCAGCCCACTGAACAGTTTTTCCAAGAAAACAACTACTTTGGTCTGTCTGCTACTCAGGTTACTTTCTTCAACCAAGGAACTTTGCCTGCATTCGACTTGAAGGGTGAACATCTTCTCTTAGATAGCCCTACTGATCTGGTCAAATCTCCGGACGGAAATGGTGGCTTGTACCGTGCCATCAAGGATAACGGAATTCTAGAAGATCTTGTTGCCAAGAATATCAAACATGTTCACATGTATTGCGTGGATAATGTACTTGTGAAGCTGGCCGATCCTGTCTTCATTGGTTTCGCATTGAAAAATAAGTTCGAGTTGGCGACCAAAGCCGTACGCAAGAGAGATGCTTCTGAGTCAGTAGGTTTGATTGCCAGTAAAAATGGGTCACCATGCGTGGTGGAGTACTCCGAGATTTCAAAAGATATGGCTGAGGCTACTGACGAGAAGGGCCTATTGAAATTCAGAGCCGCTAACATTGTTAATCACTACTATGCGGTTGATCTGCTGAAACGTGAGCTTGACAACTGGTGCAAGTCAATGCCATACCACATTGCTAAGAAGAAGATTGCATTTTACGACAACAAAAATAAAACTTACGTGAAACCGACTGAAGCTAACGGAATTAAGCTTGAACAATTCATTTTTGACGTTTTTCCCAATGTACCTATTACCAAATTTGGTTGTCTTGAGGTTGACAGGGCCAGCGAGTTTTCCCCTTTAAAGAACGCTCCTGGAACTGCAAATGATAATCCAGGAACCAGTCGTGCGGCGTATTTGAACTTAGGCACAAGCTGGTTAGTATCCGCAGGAGCCAAGATCGGCTCTGGCGTACATGTCGAAATTCCTGGCACTGTCAGTTACGGTGGAGAGGCTCTGGAAAAATATAATGGTGAAGTTTTTGACAAAGATCTTGCCATCTTGCCTTGATTATTCGGATCGACCTCAGAAAATTGAAAAGCATGCTATAGAAATTAGCTATACTACTTCTTTTGCAACATCTGTTTAAGTTCATACAAAACAGGAATACTCTCTTCTGAGGTGAGTTTCGACATATATGAGGGCCGGCTTCCAGGCTGGCCCCTGTCTTTAATGTTCATTGCTTTGGATCCATCCAGCAGTCCAAAGCTTTTCTTCGTTCTTAAATTTTGCTTACCTTTCCTGTTTTCCATTGCTAGGCTCATTATTCGCTGGTTAAGCTTCCTTCGTAACTCTTCATCTGTTAACGTATTAATCACATCTCTGTTTTCGCTATCTTCATTCGCGACGTAAACATTTTCCGTATTCATAGCGTCTCCTTCTATTTCCGATTCGAAATCTGAGTCAGATGTTCCTACTTGCTTGAATTCAATATCGGACGCCAACATGGGTTTATCAGCAAAATCAAGATTTCCAGTCGTGGAAAATTCACTGCTGTCTATTGAAGGAGACTGGACAATATTTAATTGTAATCCACTGCAATGTCTTTCCTTCCTAGTTTCTATAGTGCTTCGTTTTTTGTCTTGAACTGAGCTCTGCCAAATTTTTGTAAGTGTCCCCAACTGTTTTAGCACTGAAGCGCAAAGTTGCTCTTCTGTTAATCTAGAGTCTGTGATTATAAGGTTTTGCAAATCTCGCAATTCGTTCAATGTGGTTTTATTACGATGATTTTGGTTGTGTTGTACTTTTAACGAGTGACTCGCCTTCGAAGGTCCAAGATTGTCAGAAAGAAGTGATTTGTATTGTTCGAGAAAGGAGATTAATGTTCTCAGTAGCTCAAAAATTTCTTGGAGTCTTTTAAGCCGTGAGTGTGATCGTTTCGATTCCGAGATTCTACCCGCGGGTTCGAATTCGGCAAATATCTTTCGTAGTGTATAGTTGTACTCCTTCTCATTCTCATCAGAATCCTCCTCAGCTCTTTGATCAATCGACAAAAGGCAGCACAAAATAAACTTTTTTAACAAATGAGTCCTGGCTGCCTTGTCACTCATGTCATTAGCTTCGCTGTTGACGGCAAAGTATAGGTCCACAAAATTGATCCCGTAAATTTCACAATACCGAAACAATTCTTGATTTCTCAGTATTGGTAGCAGCTTAACAGCTATCGATTTAAGTTCATAGTACATCATATCCAATGATGCAGCTAGGATATCCTTGATAACAGCAAGGTTTGCATCATATACTTGTGGCGACTGTATCAATGCAATGGGTTTATAAATAGTTAGCTCCTTGTACCGAATATGAAGGCGGTGTAGAAGCTTATCCAAGATTTGCAGTTGTTCCACAACATTGCGCAAAGTCACGAGCGCCAAATGCTTAGGATAATGCGAGAAGAACAGCTCTTGCTGAATTGCTAGATAAATAGCAACACAGAGGGTACAAAAGATGACTCTGCTGCTTTTTGTATCTATATTTGATTTGTCAATGAGAATTAAACACCGACGAACGAGCACGAAGGTGGGGATAAAAGGCATTGTTCTGTACAGCATGAGCTTTTTATTTGTGGTGACAAACTTCCCGTACTTGCATGAAACTTGTTGTCCACTGCTAGACTCACGCCATCCGGTGCCGGTGCACTTTTTGAAGAACAGTGGTTCAGGACGATTCGGTAGGGGATTCCATAGCGGGCGAATTGAGTCAGTGAGCAATTGCGACGCAACTATCGTATATTGAAACTCTTCTGCATAATTTTGAGCACCGAACGGACTTTCTGAAAATATTTTCATCATCATTCTCTCGAAGCTAAACTTTCGATTTGCATCGCATCCTGTCATAGGAATACCCACTTCGTCAAAGTCATCTTCAAGAAAAGGGCTATGGTCCTGGACACTGAATTCTGATGAGCTTACGACCGTAGGCGAATTATCGTGTATTGACTCAATTCCCCAGTCGGAAAGTTTTTTGTTGTGCAATTCAATATATGGCGGATGTTGAGCATTAGCAAGTAAAGTCGAATTTGGTCCAAGATGCTGGAATGAGTGAAAAGAGTTCAAGGTTGAGCTAGACCGTGTCAAGTTGCCATTCGAGTACACTTGCAGCCCCGGAAGCTTGACTTTCAGCTCATTTCGATCGTTAGACATGGCTCAGGGCCAACGATTAGGTTTGCTGTTTGAGGTTTTCTATTGGTGGATAGAGTTGTGCACAGAAAATGTTTGTTTACTTTTGAATCAATACAAAAGAGATGTCATTTTAGTGTGAAGTGACAAGTAGTATCATCCTCTTCAGAGACTGGACAAGGAGCCAGTGTATGGCCTGGATGTTGAAGCTTGCAATACTGTCATAGCTTTTGAAGCGCATTTCGCTTGTAGCGTTCTAACTGTTTGGTGTAGATTCAAGTAAATAAGTAGCAAGCAGAAATCAAACACTAATCGATATCTTCAAAAGCGTTCTGTAACCCACTTCATGCTACTAGTAAGAAAATAAGAGGTTAATCTTCAAGTGAGAGTTTTGTGCAGTTAGAGAGGGGCACACAGGGACCTTTCAAAACTGTAAGCGCTATCACGCAAAAAAATGATTTCGCCCAGGATCGAACTGGGGACGTTCTGCGTGTTAAGCAGATGCCATAACCGACTAGACCACGAAACCACCTTAGGAAAATGTCAACAATGAAACATGATAATGATATGACACACGAGCCATATGAGCATAACCGAACAGTGTAAGAGCTTCACGGGCATGAGGCGCATACACCTTAGAGGTCCATACATGTTTGAGCCTCAATATTCAAGAAGCAGTAATGTTTGGAGCCCAAGGTGGAAAGGCAGTGTCGTCACACCATGCTAATTACGTCTAAAAAGCTCGCAATAGGTAACTAGAGATCCAGAATTGTTATTGTACTAGAGTTCGTGTAATAGTCTTATAGCATAGTTCCAAGCTACTTCGGATCGACTATCCTAAACTATCGCATGAAAGTACTCTTACGCACTCATGCTAGGTTTAAGATTTAGGGTGGACGACAAACCTCACTTATACTAGTATCGTATTCAATATATTACGTCCTACCGAGACATAGCGTTTAGACTATATTCTCGTATAGTGGTTTCTCAATTCTACTTAGAACTCCAACCAGTTCTCCTTACAATTTGCCCTGGCGTGTTGGCCAATCCGAGGGTTAATCTCGAGTAACAAGGTATGGAAGTTATACTCTTATTCGAGCTGACTGGCGTGGTTTGTGAAATTCGCAAGTTGCCTCACAACCTCAACTCATCTTATGAATATCTTGAGTACAAGTTTTTATCATGTCTGATTCGATTCAGGACAATAACAGCGAAAGCTTCGTATTTACAGTTCTTTTTAGGCATGTGAAGAGGATCAAAGAATCCAATCTTTTTGACGTAAAAGACCCATTGCACGTCTATCAGACTCGCGCTTTAGCATCAGCACTGGCATTAGTTGACTTTACTGGCGGTAGTGTAAAATTGCTTCTTTAAATATCACATACCGTGGTTTTATGCATTTTTATATAGCTCCCACTTAGTCATGATACGAGACGGAATGACGCAACGGTACACCATTTCCTAGCAGCTCTCTGGTAATCTTTTCATTAGACGCCTCGCCAGTAAGGGCATCAAGATGTGGATGAGTTGTAGTTTGGTTACCATTTTTTCCGGACATTCCTGTGGTTAAAGAAGGATTGCCTGGTTGCTGTTGTTGTACCATCATCATATTCAGGTTACTAGAGTGGTCGAGCACCCCATTGGCTGTAAAGGGGTCAGCGTGGTTCGATAAAGGTTCGCTCGAGGGATATTCAGCATTGATCCGCCTTGCTGAATTTTGCCTAGCAAGTGATACCCGCTGGTGCTGTAACAGTTCTCCGTGTCCGTTAGACACATCTGACTGATGTCTTTGATTCAATTCTTGTCGATGACCTTGCTGTGGGTGATCTTCTGCGGTATGCTGTGTGCCGTGCCTCTGATTTTGTATATTAAGTGAATTTGTGGATGGTTCTGGGGTCAAAGTAGAGTATGGAGTAGCCTGATTCGATTGTGGCCTCTTTGAAGAGTACATCTGATTATTTGGAAGGTGTTGCGACTGTTGGGGCTGTACTTGATATTGTTGGAGCTGTTGTTGGTACTGTTTGTAGTGCTGCTGTTGTTGATGTATTCGATGTCGTTGTTCTTGAGACATTCTGTGTGTTTGCTCTTGTTGCTGGTGAGACTCTTGCTGTTGAGTCTTGTAAAATGATTTTGGTGCCTGTTCGTGTGACTGCTGCTGCACGTCCCTCCATTCTGAGCCAGCGTTCAAACTCTCCGCCCCTGTCTGACTTCTCTCGAACAGTACAGCATGTTCATGTTCCATGGAGGTCATATTATCAGGTACAATAGCCACGCCGCCGGCCGCGAGCCTATCACCATTTTGGCGTTCCTTGTCTAACATGATCTCCTCATAGCCAGGAACCAGTTCGGCATTTGAGGGAGTATGCTGGAGTGGATAGCTGGTGGCATAAGGGTGGCCTCCATTCAATGTTACTTGTGCGCCAGGTGCTTCCTTTTGTATTCTTCCTGTAGTCGATCCGACTGGTCCACTAGGTGTCCGCATTAATCCCTGTACACTCTGAGAGTGTGAATATGCCGCGGCGGTCTGTCTCGATGGAGACGTGGGTGACGCATTAGGTCCTGAAGAACCAAGATCATTTACCCGAGGACGTATCATAGAAGGTGGTGCGCTTCCTGATGTGGAAACAGCGCGGTCTGGACTAGAGTGGCCTTGTTGCTGGTAGTACTGATGGTGCTGCTGGTCATGCCGCTGTGGCTCCAGCCCTTGCTTAGGTTGTTGTTGCGGCTGTCGCTGTGGCTGACGTTGCTGTTCTTGTATTTGACCTTGGTGGAGTTGTTGTTGTTGCCGTTGTTGCTGTTGTTGCTGTTGCTGCTGTTGCTGCTGTTGTTGCTGTTGTTGCTGTTGCTCCATTGCTTGACCAGATCGTTGTTGGCCTTGTGACAGTCTTTGTTGCTGGAGTAGGAAATACTGCTGCGGTAGCTGCCGCTGTTGTAGCTGCAGTTGCTGGAACTGCTGTTGCTGTTCCATTCGTTGTTGCTGGACTTGCTGTTGCTGGACTTGCTGCTGCTGGACTTGAATCTGAACCTGTTGTTGAGCTTGTTGCTGAAGATGCTGTTGTTGGGACCAGTTTGGATGAGAAGTGGGCATGGCCTGATTTACAGTAAGTCGTTGAGGCAAAATGGGCATTACAGGCTCGTTGAACTGATGACTGTTCGACATCTTGTCCAAAGGTTGCTTTTCGACAAAGTTATGGAGGGCCCAAAGTGAGTCCCACCACTCACACAGAAAGGTATCTCGAGAACTCATCAACATTTTGGTTCGCAATAACTCATCTTTCTTTGGTCGATCTTCTGATGATGGCTTCGAAAGCGGTACATCAGCCTCGTCCAGGAGCCGACGGGCCGTAGAATAATGTTGATGCTCTATTAAGTAGTTGTAAATGTGGGCGTACAGTAGTTCGCGAGAGTTTTTAGCCATTGCATCAGAAACAACAACTTCATCATTGAAGTTTTGGCGCCCTTGGCTGTTGTTGTCATTACCAGTAAACGGTGAATCGGGGCCTAACGAAGACTGGGGAACCTGGGCCATGGGGCTCCATTCTCTCAATTTGGATAGATCTTTGGTGTCTTCCTTGGCATGAGAGCTGTCCCTTGAGCTCCCAGACATGGCAGTTTCTCTAGAGCAAAGCCGTTTTTCAGTTTTACTAAATCTAACTCCAAGGTCAATCACTTGTTAGTATGGGTACTCCCACGTTTATCAAAGGTTATTGTGGTATGGACGGGGCTTTGTTCAAATTATAGATGGATAAACTGTCCCGCAGCAAAAAACCCGTTTGAAAATGAGTTCAAACGACTTGTTGAAGCCCTGGAATGCTTGAACTCTTGACACATACCTCCAATCTTCATCGTCTACGGTTTTTAGTTGCAGTAAGCATCCCTCCACTTGATCAATTCGTCATCAATGATATTGGTTTATATAAGTAGAAACTACCAAAATGCAGAAGTGACTCGCAATTACCGTTAGATACTGTACAGTTTGCTTTATGCTTATTTCAGGTTGGCGTACTGTTCTGCTCATGGGCCAAAGTTGGATTAAGAAAATCGTCCACGCCCTTCTCTACTATTTTACCACTTTCGTTAGAAAACTTTAGAGCCTTTGAGCCTCCACCAAAATTATAGTCTTCGGCTCCTTCTTCACCGTTACTTTTATAATTACTTTCATCTTGATTCTTTGTGATCTCGCCCCCTCCCCCGCTGTCGCCAGGCTCATCAAGATCAAATTGTTGATAATCGTCATCCTCTTCGTCTTCGTCCTCTTCCTCGTCATCACCTTCATCATCGTCATCTTCGAATTCGTCTTCATCGAACTCATCATCAGTAGTTTCCATTTGTCCCGATGGAGTGAGTGTACTGGTCACCTTCGATTCGGGGGCATCGTCCGCTGAGCGACCGTCATGCAAAACCGACAGTGCAGAGACTTGTGTACTGGGTTTACTGAGCGTAGAAATATTCAAAGCTTGAAAATGACGGTCAAGGCTACGAGTATCGTCCATATGGCTTAGCCTTGGAGATGCCAGCGGTGAACCAAGCTCTAAGTATATTTGGCGGCCCACATCTTTTGAACTGCTAGGTTGAGATTTTGATGTCGAAGTGGTGTTAGGCTTCGCAGAATTGATGTCATGACTTGTACCCTTGGAACCCACAGCATTAAAACCAAAATCGCCAAAAGTCGCCTTTTGTTTAAGATTAACATCTTCATCCGAGGCAACGGTGTCTAGGTCGGAAAGGTCTTCGACATTTAGAACTGGTTCCCGCCAAAAATTAACATCTGTAAACTGCACGGTATTTGGTCTGTGGAAAGACCTTTCGTCCATTGCAGCTCCTACAGGGGAACCTGGTGCGGGCGACAAGCTTTTGTGATCGTCACCGCCGTTGGGATAGTTGATACCCACAGGTGGGAAAAAGTGATCAACCAACTCGTTAATGTGGATATAGGAGCTCCGGTACCCAGCAAGTTCCAATAACTCCATATGGACTTCCCCATCAGGATTAATCGTAAAAATTCTAGAGCTTGGTATGCCAACTGTACGGTACGCAAGCGCGTCAGTTATGCGGTTACCAAATCCTGCTACGAATGGGGTCGGGCAGTCGTCTCTTCTTTCTTCATCGTCTGCTCTATTGATCTCACAATCGCCATAGTAGAGCTTTCTTAGGTCATTCAAGCAGGCAATTTTGAAAACTTCCGGCTTTTTTAAGATAACTTCTCTTCTTAGCGCGGCCATAGTTCGATCCGGTGACAAGATGACAGGTCCACGCGGCAGTTTGCAGCCATCTTGGACGATACTGTTGAGGTAGCTTCTGGTCGAATCTGCCTGGCCTGCACTCCTCGCAGTTAGATAAACAACATTGTAACCATTCTTCTTGATTTCTGTAAAAAGTTCAGCGACACCGAGGTGTGTCCAGTCTCTCCCTATCATGGTGAACACATGGCCCAAGGCATCAGACTTTGTTATTGTTCCGTCAATGTCCGAAATCACTAGCGGAACGTCCCACCTCCAAAGAAAGAGTTTTGCTGTAATGATGGCTCGGCTATTATCCACCGAGAAAGATAGTTCATTTTCACCATACCTGAGATCTAGGCAGTGTAATTGTTCTGACGTCAGTCTAATAGTCTTGATGAAATTCTTGGCAGTCGCAGCAGAATTAATATTAGCTGAAGCCATGGGTGTAAAGTCAGTGGTGGTGGTGATATCCGTCTGAGTAGAAGACTCTGAGAGGCACGGACTGGCTATGTCTGGTTCATAGCTCACTAAAGCTTGAGGAGATCCGGGCGGCGATTGAAAATGGCTATCGTCTCCGGGATTGATGATACGCATATTACCGTTCCTATCTTCCTTTACCAGTGATGAGATGTCAAACTGTGTACCTAATTCATCCCTTAGCAGTTGCTTTAGCATAGCGTCTGTGTCGTGAACTTTATCTTTGCTGGGTTTGTACCCCTCGATATCCAGCAGCAGATCGCCGTTGTTGTCAAATTTGCTTGGGATTTGCTTTTGATGTAGTCTTTCATTCAGTTTCCGGGCTCTTTCTTCGAATATCGAGGGCCTTCTTGGCGGAGGAGTAGACGGTGGAACGTGCTGTCCCATATGAGCAGGTTTTCCTATGTCCAAAAAATCAGGTTCCTCTAGGTCCGTAGCATTGGTTTGCACGTCATTAGGAGATGCTGAAGGACTGCTGGTCGCACTGGCAACAGGAGAAGATATAAGCTCATCGGGGATTGTGCCGCGGTCTGCTTCGGTCTCGAAAACAAAGTATGCTTCCCCCGAATCTCCCAGTTTCATGGGGATATTGGTTGGCTGCCCATTAACCGATACTAACACTTTCTTTTGCGATGGCTTTAGGATTTGGAACTTGCCAAATCTTACGTGGAAGGGCGAGCAAGCTAGGCGACCATCCGGATGTTCCACTACAACCACGTCAATTGCTCCGGACAAAGTCGCCGGATTGATCGAAGACCATGTCTTCGATACCGTACCTATTGCTCTTCCGACGTATTGCATGTAGCCAGCCGGTAACGATGCAAGTTGAGATTGGTGAGCTAGTAGTATTCATGAGCGAGTAAGGGCTTCTGTATATTTCACATTGGGTCAGGGTTTGTCTATAGCTCGTACAAAAGTATACAATGTGTCTGTCACCAACGACAGCGTTATGACAATGGCATTCAAAATCCCATTTTATTGCTGAAGATCATTTGAATTTACCTAAATATATAGTGATGCTTTATCCATTATGATATCTGCTCTCAGGATAGCTTGTACCCAAAGATACGGTGAGTCTAGCCTTCTCTATGTGAAAGAATATTGAAACGTGGAAGTAGTTTACGCATTACCACAAAGTTAGTGAGATTATTGTTGCAGGTTTAGCTCGCGAATCCGCGAATGTATATCTACAGGACCCCGTCGGCAGCGGGTAGATGCATTTTAGCTCATACCTTAGCTTAGTGCCTTTGGCACTCATGCATATCTATCGAGGGATTTGAGAGTCACTTGGTATAGTAGTAACATTATGCTGCTCTGAACGCTTGCCCAGATAAATCTGGGCCCCACACCGCTGAAAAATCCTAGAGCGCCTTCCGATCTGTATACAGCACCCAGACCTTTGACTAGTGAGTTTTCGATGCGTATCACTTGCTGTCCGTCCATTGATTTGGACGACGGTCTTTGAGTCTGAATTCGTGTTTTGATGACGTCCAATGGGGTCGTCAGAATGCCAGCTAGGCCGCCGGCGGCAGCTCCGGTACCTAGCTCACTGAAGACAGAAAGATCCTGACCATGAGACTTGCTCTCAAGCCTGAAGGCCCACTGCCGAAACTTTTCGTAAAATGCAAATTGGAAAGCGCTGAAAGGCAAATCTCGGCTCAATGTCGCCTTGTATCCAAAGAAAAGCGTTTGCCAGCCTTCGGTACGTACAACTGTCATCAGCGCATCTCTAAAGCTTCGGTAGGAGTAACCGGAATGGAAATGCGGATTGTTGAGCCTTCCTTGCAGTTGAAGCCGCGTTTTCAGAACCTCGCTGGGAACGTACACGACACTAGATACCAAGTCACCGCCCAGGCCCGCTGTAAGGTGTGAAACAGTCTCGTTCACGGCCCAATCGTCGATCATCTTGCGTTTGAGAAATTCGTACGTACCGAAAAAGATAGCGGCGCTTGGCAGAGAGCCCATCATGGCCGCACTATATCCACCATATAGCCCCTTACGAATCCCCTCCTCCACGAAAATCGTTTTATAGGCGGAGAGCATGTGTTTGTACTTGGCTGTGTTAGGAGCGCCTTGTTGTCTCGTTTTTACGGTATCCAGCGAGTGCATCACCGAGTCTCCAATCGCACCTCCAATCCCCCCAGCTAAAATGCAGTGCACTATAGGGCTATATCCACTGCCAGTATTCGTGGCATTGTCGCTCCCAGCTTGACCTTCGTTGTTTCCTGTTGACGACTTGCCAGATTTTCCAAGATGCGTTTGTTCATGCGGCGGATGTATTACAGGTATCGAAGAAGTAAAAGAGAACATATTCGCATCAGGCAGATGTTCTGGGCACTCTCAAAATTGCTTCTTGAAGCTCTTACTTGTATATCTTTGTATGTTGGAAAGCGTTTTCGCAGTGATGATGAAATTTTAGATCTCGAAGATTATATATGTCACATATGTAAACGCTAATAACGACCTACAAATTTAATCCACCCTTGGACGTCCGATAACCGCGTGAGCCCTTTGATGTGTATCGCTACTTCCAATCACTAAAATACAAGCAATAAGGACCGTTTACCTAAGATCCTGGAAAGCTGTTGTTGTTGCGTCGCCCAGGTTTGGGAAATCAAATCGCTTGATGTGGCACTGAAGGTAAATCAGTACCGAGAAAAAAAAAGGCCTGCTGAACTTCGAATACTCTTCTTAAACTGGAGTTATTGAGCTGCACAGTTGCAGTTTATCAGATCTGCACGCCGATATCTCACGCTGAAAACGCGATATGGGTGACGCCGCCGTATCCGCGACCGGTAGATCGAGGCTGGAACATGTTCAGTGCCATTTCGTCCGACAATCATTGACCACTATTGCATCGCAGCTCAACGGAGCTCATGATGTGTGTAAGCAGCGTATCTCTCGTGCATGTACCTGAGGGCCGAGTCTGGCATACTTGCCGTTCCATGCGATCCAACATCAAATTTTAGCTATGTGGAATAGGCATAGAAAGGCATCCGACGGGCATCACTGTGATGGTTCTGCCAAGGGCATTCATAAGCTGACTAGCAATGTTTAGGATATGCCCAAAATCTATGCATTTTGCTAGACCAAATGTACGAAGGCCGGGTTTTTGTGTTCACGGACATGTCGCAATGGCCATTCGGCATTACAAAGTCCTAGCTATAGAGACCAGTTGTGACGATACTTGTGTAGCTGTTCTGGATCGTAGGGAGAACGGAGCAGCGCCCCAAATTTTGACACATTTAAAAGAAACATTGGACAGTCAAAGGGACGGTGGCATAATTCCGACTCGCGCCCATCTGCATCATCAACGAACAATAGGTCCGCTAGTAAATCGAGCACTGCAGGAGACAAAATCCCGAGACGATATCGAGCTCATATGCGTTACGAGAGGTCCTGGGATGCCGGGTTCCTTGTCGGGCGGGCTGGATTTCGCCAAAGGTCTTGCTGTAGCGTGGAACAAACCCTTAGTGGGAGTCCATCACATGCTGGGTCACTTACTAATTCCTCGAATGCAGTCTAACGGAGCAGCCCCAAGTTTCCCGTTCGTAAGTCTTCTTGTCAGTGGTGGCCACACTCTCGTAGTGCTCTCCAGGTCTTTGGGCCAGCATGAAATACTTTGCGACACAATAGATATTGCAGTTGGCGACTCTTTGGATAAATGCGCCAGAGAGATCGGCATTCGCGGTAATATGATTGCAAAAAATATGGAGTCTTTCATCAACGAAAATCTAGATGAAGCGACAAGTGGAGCATCTCCCATGAATCTTCCCAGTCCACTACGAAATCAGAACGGGCGCATGAACGTACAAAAGTTTTCGTTTGCTCCTTTCCTTACTGCTGTTAGACAGCATCTCGAAAGGGACCTTCATTCTTACAGCGAGCGGGAAAGACGTTCGATGGCCTTTCAAATTCAAGAATCATTGTTTGACCATTTGATTACCAAACTCAGATTAGTCATTACCATGCAACCAGATATTTTCAGCCAAGTTAAGCACTTAGTTTGCTCTGGGGGAGTGGGTGCCAATAAACGACTCCAGGAGAAGTTGCAGACAGAATTTAGCGATTTCTTTGACTCATTCTACTATCCTGAATTAGAGTTGTGTACCGACAACGCTGTGATGATAGGCTGGGCAGGAATCGAGATAAATGAAAATCTAGGCCTTACAACAGAATTGGGGGTAAGTCCCGTCAAAAAATGGCCGCTAACTGAATTGTTGACCGTGGAGGGGTGGATTTGCAGATAATTAAGCTCTACCGCCAGGCTTTCCTTGTGCACCAAGAAATGACCTTCGTATATCGAACCTGTCTATCAATTTTCTCCAGGTATTGATATCAAGTTGAAAAATCAGATGAGATGGACGAGTGTCTTTACGTTTCTGTACTTCAATTTCTCTGTCATGAACTCCAGAAGGCAGTGGCTCTTTCACTCGTACAGCCGGAAACCCTTCTTCATCTTCATCCATGACTAATTTGCCTTCTTTTATCAGAAAGCTGGTATAGAACAGATTCTCCACCGATCGCGCAAAGGAATTTGGGTCTATGATAAACTTGTACAGGTTGATGGGTGAGTGCCCCTTCTGCTTTCGCAAAATCTTGAAGCATTTTTTAACGTTCTCTGGAGTGGATTCATCCTTCTCGGACTCAATCAGTGAGTCTCTGGTTACACGCGCGGCGGTTGCCGTCCTTCCCACTACTTCTATAGAGCGAGCTGCTCGTTGGCTGGAAGCCCTCACTTTTTTCTCAGCGGCAAATGGGCCGAGCAGGTGATCCACGACTGCGGGGGCTCGAGACTTGGCTTGAAATAGCATTCCTAGTTTAAACCAATTGAAGTGAGTGAATTCATTATACCTTCCATATGCATCCAACAAGTTGCGCTGTGCTTTTTGACGAGAGTGTGCTTGTAAGTCATGATTGACCTCATCGTCTTCGTTTTGCTGACCTTCATCTTCATTGTGGCTCAGGATGTCCGTCTGCGGCTCTGGAATCCCATTCACCTTGAAATAATCCTTTAACATGTACCTTTTCGTGTAATTAATAGCATCATTTACTCCAAGAGCTAGCTGTGCTGCATCTAGCTTGAGATTTCGAACACTTAACTGAGCGAGCTCACTGACGCCCAATAATGCTCGAGAGTCGTGCGCTAAGAGAGATGTATTTTTCGCTTCTGCCTCAGTGAATCTTTCAAACAGTCGATCTGCTAACTTTAAACGATCTATGACCAGACCTACATCCCCATTCCTGGCCACTTCTACTCTGTCTTTGCTCGATTTTTGGTCCAGATCCCGGTACCCTGTCAAAATCTCAAAACCAGCAGATTCTTCATTGTTGTTCTGGCTATCTGGAGCAGTAAAATCGGCAGGCGAGTCTGTACTATTGGTGTCTAGCCTAGTACGCTTGGAAATGCGTGACTGAGCGTCTTCAGCTGATCTTTTGGCCATGCACTCCAAACTTACCGTAAATGTTGTTGAATTTAATAACTTATTAGACTCAAATCAAATATTGTACATCATATTGACCGCTCAAAGCGACAATGAATAGGCCCTCTAGAATCAAAGTATGTGGTTAAGCTACTAAATCCACGATTGTATTGTCTCATGCATACAATGACTGACCTTTTTCGAGATAGCCTCTTCAGGAGTCGGTGGTTAACAAGATCGCTGCTGGAGAGATCATCGTAGCTCCAGTAAATGCCCTCAAAGAAATGATGGAAAACTCCATCGACGCGGGGTCCTCATCTATTGATATTCTAGTACGGGATGGTGGACTGAAAGTACTACAAATAACCGACAATGGATCAGGAATAAACAAAGAAGACCTATCCATTCTGTGCGAAAGGTTCACCACCTCAAAATTGAAATCATTTGATGATCTAAGCTCCATTCAGACATATGGATTTCGAGGCGAAGCTTTGGCGAGTATTTCACACATTGCTAGAGTCACCGTAACTACTAAAGTGAAGGAAGACGCCTGCGCGTGGAAAGTATCGTACGCTGCAGGGAAAATGCTGGGAGAACCGAAACCTGCCGCAGGCAAAGATGGGACTGTTATTTTGGTGGAGAACTTATTTTACAACATTCATTCGCGACTCAGGACTCTGAAATCTCCAAATGAAGAATTTGCTAAGATTTTGGATTGTGTAGGACGCTATTCTATTAATGCCGCCCACGTAGGCTTTTCGTGTAAAAAGTTTGGAGAGTCACATTTCGCATTATCAGTTAAGGGAAATTCAAACTCACGGGATAGAATACGATCGGTTTTTGGTCGTTCCGTGAGTATTAACCTAGTTGATCTGTCCTTAGAGGTCGCAGAGCTTGGTCTTGCTGCCCGTGGCCAAGTTAGTAACCTCAACTTTATCAGCAAAAAGGCCATTTCGCCAGTTCTTTTTATTAACGACCGTCTGGTAAGTTGTGACCCAATCAGACGAGCCTTGAACCAAGTGTATGGGTCTTTTCTGGCTAAGGGTAACAAACCGTTCATTTTTCTCAGTATTCGAATAAGACCTGACTGGGTGGACGTAAACGTACATCCAACCAAGCGGGAGGTCCGCTTTTTGAGGGATGAGGAAATTGTAGAACGGCTTGCAAGTCAATTAGAGGATACCCTCTCAAAGGTTGACACCACCCGTTCTTTTAAGACTACATCAATATTCACCTCTAATCCAGTATCGGTTAGAGAAGGCTTGGGCCAGCCTCATTCCCAGCTTCTCAACAATATGCCTGTTACACCGCGAAACAACAAGATGCACCGTCAAGACAACAAATTGATAAGGATCGATGCCTCTCAGAACAAGATTACTAGTTATCTTAAGAGTGCCGAGTACTCACCTACTACAGCCCACCAAACTCGGGATACTGCTATTTCTCAAGATTCAGGTGGAAGTCCGCAGCTTTCGAATATTGTGAATGAGAAAGACTCGATTACGCCCTCAACTAATCACGATAAAAAATCTATCTATACAATGTTAGCAAAAGGGAAAACAGATGTCAACCTTTCAAGCATTAAGACATTAAGGAAGTTGGTTGATAGTGAGACTGACCAAAAGCTAACCAATACATTTGCCAACTTAACTTATGTCGGAATTGTAGATGAGCAAAGGAGGTTGGCCACATTTCAGTATGGTTTAGGACTGTTCCTGGTTGACTATGCTTCGATTTGCTCTGACCTTTTTTATCAAATAGGTCTAACAGATTTTGCGAATTTTGGAAAGATCTATTTGAAGAGAGACGACAGTCCAGATCCTTCCCAAGGTATATCCATTGCAAGAATAATAAACGACACTCTGAATGTTAAAAACGATGACCTAGACTCTTTGTTAGAAAACCTTTGGAATATGAGAGATATGCTCGATGAGTATTTTTCTATAGAGCTTTACGACGGAGAGAAAAACTTGGAACTTATGAAAGTCCGGAGTATACCAATGCTGCTAAAAGATTATAATCCTCCGCTCTCTAAACTAGGGCTGTTCTTTTATAAGATGGGCAAGAAAGTAAATTGGTCCGACGAGATGATGTGCCTGCAAGGCATTTTAAAGCAGATAGCTCTATTGTATGTGCCAGAGGTGATTGAAAAAATTGATCCACAAGATGCTTCAATTGATGAAGAAGTAATGGCTAAGAACATTGCCAAAGTTGAACATATGGCCATTGCCCTCGAAGAGGTGATATTCCCTTGCGTGAAAAAGAGATTCCTGGCTTCTGAGTCTCAACAAAGTAGCATAGTCGAGATAGCCAATTTGCCAGGCTTATATAAGATTTTTGAACGATGTTAAATCGTTAGCTATCTACGAGAGAATAATTTGTAGATCGAAAGCGCTCTCAAAATTTCTAACGACCCTCATGAACTCTTCACTTTGAGCTTCTTCTTCTTCGTTATCTCTGACTTTTGGTTCCATCCCTTCCGGCTTTAAAAATATGCGATGCAATCTTTTACTATCGTCTTGCATCATTCTTATATCATCTAGCAAGATTCTGAAGACCGGATGGTTGAGTGTGTTTCCGTCGTCCACTACGCGTACATTGCGCCACAACCTTCTAAGCTCTCTAAGCCGTTGGGATATGCTTGATGCAGCTCGTAATATGCCGTTCGACTTCAGGTGTTCTTGTTGACAAACTTCCATGAGATCCATTGCCAGCTGTTCATTGAGGGAGGATTCGTCAAAAATAAAAGACATAGAATGGAAGCCAAGGGTTGTCACGAGAGCCGGCAGAACGATCGGTATCTTATTTAAATATGCCATCCCAATCTTTTCGTTGTGCAAAACCTGAGCGATCATGAGTGTTGTGCATTGGCATAACTTAGCCCAGCCAGCATCCTGGTCATAATAAGAATATACCATATTGTTTAATTTCCAATTGACGGCATTCAGCAAGAATGTGATGATGAATTTTTCGCCATGAGCGGTAGTAGAGCTATCCTCGGCGAAAGCTTCTGATTTTCGGAGAAATATGTCTAACTGTCTTTGGACTGCATCAAGAGTCTTCAGCGGCGGCTTAGTTTGAGTCCCGAAGTACTTGTCCAGGTCGCGGTCCAAAGAAGTGACCTTCCAAACGAGAGCCTCAAAAGTGTCTTCACTTCGGTACACGTCCACGTTGGGTTTGTCCATCAAGAAGGCAGCGTGGTTGAGTAAAGAGCTGTTAGTTTCGTGTATCGATATAGGCTTGTTGAGGCCAGATTGCCAAAAGTCATGAGCGCTCAAACGATACCATAGTTTTTCACAGCTTAGCTTTATGAGCCTCACGTCACTTGCGTCCGCAACTAAAGGTCGGAAGAGATCTATCTGCAAGCACTTGGCTAGGTGTAGGCAGTGCGTAAGGAGACTGTTCGCGAAATTGAGGTTTTGGCTACAGATTGATGTACAAGCCAAAATCAAATACGTTTGAATGGTTTTCACGTTAGGAACTTCTAGAAAATTGGCCCTCTGCAGTAATTGACGAACAACATTGGTGAAATTGCTAAAAATTTCAGCTCTCTTGGTTTCCGAGAGTGCTTCTTCCAACACCGCCTCCGAAAATTGTGTGGATTCCGAATCCGATATGATAGTCTCCAATGTCTCAAGTGGAATATAGTACACCGTCAAGGTGAAAATAGACCATAGAACTGCATCCCAAAGATAATTGTCAGGCGAGGACAGTTGTTCGGGATCCTCCATGCGGGTCCAGTATTCTTCAAGTTCCATGTACAGCTCGCTTACATCGCCTAGGATTCCAAAAAAAAGACCCCCAAGTTTCTCCACCGCAAAGTCCAGAAGTTTGAAGGACATCGTAGAATTCAGTCGGCCAATCCATAAATCGGCTCGCTCATTGTCTAGTTTCCAATTATACCTGTTTTCTTGCTGTTGCCCTTTAAGACTCCAACATGTATTGCCCTTCTGTAATAGCCCGTAATCGAAAACCCAAAATCTATAGGCATACCAAAGTTGTAAGAACTCCACTTTATATTCTGCAAGGTCACTGCCGGCTTTGTTCAGCCTTACGCGGTAAGATGCCGTGCAACTCTCCTCTTCGCCTCTCTTCCTGCAATTTGAACATGGAACTCCACGATCACACTTGACCTTCCGCTTGACACATATTGAGCAAGGGTTTTTCGATTTCTGAGGCCTGGATAGCGGTATCATGGCCCAACAGATCTCATTGACTCAACATCAGAGTCTCGAACGAAGCCTAATTTTTCTAATGATTATCGCCTACTTTACTGCCGACCAGTTAATTACGACAAAGCACTATTAGCCAGCATCATCAAATTCGACGACTGCGATCAAAGAGTCCATCTACCATTTATATCATCTAAATCTGAAGGTCTACTTATAGCTTTGACATGTTAACGTGCACGGCTTTGGTTTGCGTATAAGCTTCCATGCCACTTTCTCCCAGTTCGCGGCCAATGCCACTCATCTTGTAGCCTCCAAATGGAACACTTGTTTCTTCGTCGTTGGAGGAGTTGAGCCAAACAGTTCCTGCCTTGATGTCTCTGGCAAAATGATTAGCCTTGCGGATGTCCTCAGTGAATACAGCTGCTGCTAAGCCATAGTCGGAGTTGTTGGCAGTCTTGATGGCATCGTTGTAGTCTTTGAATTTCAGCACAACTACCACGGGCCCAAAAATCTCTTCTTGGGCTAGCTTAGAGTCGTACGTCACATCAGTGAAGATGGTTGGAGGGATGAAAAAGCCAGGCTGGGTGGTCTCGGAGGCACCCAGCTGCTTGATAGTCAACTTCTCAGAAGTTTTGCCATGGTCAATGTAGCTGTGGATTCTGTCGAACTGAACTTTCGATATGACGGGCCCCACGGTGCAGGACTCGTCAAAGGGGTCGCCACTGGCACCGAATTTCCATTCTTTTTCGGCATGGTCGACAAATTTGGCAAGAAACTCGTCGTAGATAGACTCTTGGACTACCAAACGAGAGTTGGCCGTGCAGTTCTGACCCGAGTTGTAGAAAATACCAGCTGCGGTCCATTTCGCGGCCTCGTCCAAATTTGCATCTTCAAAAATAACAGCAGGAGACTTGCCACCGCACTCCAGAGTGACGGCCTTCAGGTTCGAGGTTGCGGCCGCGGCCATGACTCTTTGCCCGACGGCGGTGCTGCCTGTAAAGGCGATCTTATCTATGTCCATGTGGGACGCCAAAGCCTGTCCAGTGACGGATCCCAAACCTGGAAGCACGTTCACCACGCCAGGTGGAAACCCTGCTTCTTTGAAAAGTTGTGCGAAGTACAACAGCGACAGCGATGTATTCTCGGCAGGTTTGATGACAATGGTGTTACCAGCAGCAAGCGCACCTTGGATTTTCCAGCTCGCCATGGCAAGAGGGTAGTTCCATGGGACCACCTGTCCCACGACGCCGTAGGGAGCCTTGACGGTGTACGCGTATTTATCGTGGTTGATAGGGATCATCTGGCCCTTGGAGAACTTGTCAGCGGCGCCGGCATAGTAGGTAGTCAACTGGCTAATCTGGTCGAGGTCGGCCAGCGCATTGGAGTGATACGGTTTGCCTGAGTCCAGAGTTTCGATCGCCGCCAGCAGACTCTTGTTGTCGTCGATGAGTCTGCCCAGCTTGGCCAGCAGCGCGCCTCGATATTCCCCAGAGGTCTTGCTCCAAGTGCTCTCGTACGCCTCTCTGGCAGCAGCAACGGCTCTGTCGACGTCCAAGGACGAGGCCGCGTGAAACGAAGTGATAGGCTGGTTGGTGGCAGGGTTGACTGTTTCGATGTGCGACCCATCGCTGGAAGCGACGTATTTGTTGTTGATGAACAGCCCGAGAGGCTGCTGGTACGAAAGGTTGAGTTGTGGTATAGAAATTTCGGTAAAGAGCGACATGTGCACACGACACTAGTGGTTGAAGAGCTGCTTTCGAGCGGCAGAGCGGCGGACAAGCTGTGATAGCGTAGCTAGTCTTGATGGGTTTTTATCAGTTTGGGTCCAGGAAGCGTGAGATACGCATGACTGAGCCAGAGTTTCTTGCCAGGTACCTTCGATAGGAAACTGTAGCCCGTGAGACATAGATAACGGGCGGGAATCCGCGGGAATCGCACCAACTGGGCACGAGCACGCAAAGTCACAGTCCCAGCCACCACCAACGGCCAGAGGCATAGTGGGTCACGGCCAGAGTCGTGCGGCGCTGGGAAAGACACCAGTCCCCTGGTCCAGTGTTCCTGCTGGCTGCAGTGCACTCACCGTCGGGTGCTCGGAAACAGGCATTTCTTGGACATATGTGGGGTTCAACGTATATACATCCATCTACATAGAGCGACAGCCTCGGGATCGAGCGACCACGTCTCGACTACAATCTACTGCGCAGTCCCCTCGTCCAGCGTTCCTGCTTACCCACCACAGGCACTGCCTTGGCATTGGTTTTATGTCGATCGTCCATGCCATGTATCTATTCCATTTCATGTTTTGTTCTCCCAGTAGGCGTTTAAAACCACTGCTGTCGTTCCTCTTTAAAAAAAGCTAACGACAGTAAAAAAACTACCCGTTAAAAACCAGACCACTGCCTGCCACGTCTACTGGCACCAGCTTTCTTGAGCGAGATCGAGCTCTAGAACTCATCCGACCGCTGCCGTGGCCTTGCCCCACGGCTTAAGACCCCATTTGACGTTCATCCCCACTAAAGCACCTTGGAAAACTCTAAAAAGTGTCACAGGTGGCACCAAAAGGGATGCTATTCAGCGTAGTACTGGTCCCCGTATCGCCACACATTCGTTCCAGGCGGTTTGACCACACTTGAGCGGGTGTCCTTCAGTCGAACATCCAGTCGAGCCTCTAGTCGGCTAACTCGACTGGAGAACACTCTCTGGTCGTTTATCGAGCGCTTAGATATTACTGATAAGAAGAGGTGGTGATAGGCGTGGCGGGTTATCGTCACTATTATTAAGGCGTCTATGATTCCGATAGCGCAACGAGCGTCTACAGCGTTCAGGCGAGCAAGATCGGCCTCTACCAGACCAGTATTTAAACGGTGAAAGCATTGGCAGCAGTGTGGAACGAGTTCCGAAAAACTTGCATCTACTGAGACGTTCGCGCGAAGAGATAGAGGTTTTCTTTCAAGACATCCGTTTCTTGCATTAGTTGTTAGCACTTTACCACTCTCTAAGCTGTACTAGTCATGTTCCAAGAGGTGCAATTGCCCTCTGGTGGGTCCTACGAGCAGCCTTTGGGTTTGTTCATCAACAACGAGTATGTAGCGTCGTCTTGCGACGAGATAATAGAGTCCATGGACGCTTCGACGGGGAAGGTTATCGCAGCAGTGCAGGCAGCAGACGCCAAGATCGACGTCGACAGAGCCGTGGACGCGGCCCGCAAGGCATTTCCCGGCTGGCGTGACACCCCGGCCGCGCAGAAACGGGATCTGCTGCTGAAACTGGCGTTTTTGGTCGAGCGGAATGTGGACACGCTCGCGCAGGTGGAGTCGCTCGACAGTGGCAAGCCACTGGCGACCAACGCCAAGGGCGACATCTTGGGCGTCGCGGAGGCCCTCAAGTACTACGCTGGCTGGGTGGACAAGGCGCAGGGCCAGTCTTTCAGCCCGGATCCCCGGACGCTCACGTACACCATTCACCAGCCGCTCGGTGTGGTTGGGTGCATCATTCCCTTCAACTATCCGCTGGCGATGATGGCGTGGAAGTGGACGGCCATCGCCACGGGGAACACGGCTGTGTTCAAAAGTGCGGAACAGACCCCACTTTCCATTTTGTATTTTGCGCAGTTGGTCAAAGAAGCGGGCTTTCCTCCCGGTGTGTTCAACGTCCTGTCCGGAACGGGTGCCAAGGTCGGTGACGCGATCGCCAGGCACCTCGGAATTGACAAGATTGCCTTCACAGGGTCCACCGCGGTGGGCCAGTTGATCCAACAGACTGCTGCTGTCAATCTGAAGCCTGTGACGCTGGAATGTGGCGGCAAATCACCCAACCTGGTGTTTGCGGACGCTGACTTCGAGCAGGCAGTCAAATGGACAGCGCAGGGCATCTTCTCCAACATGGGCCAGATTTGCTCCGGTACCTCTAGATGTTTTGTGCAAGACTCTGTCTACGACAAGTTTGTAGAAGCCCTGGCGAAACATGTCGAGGAAAAATACGTGGTCGGACCCCCTGCGGACCCTAAAGTGGTTGTCGGCCCGCAGATTTCCAAGGTCCAACAGGAACGCATTCAATCCTATATCAAGAAGGGCATGGAGCAAGGCTGCCGGGTGGCACTCGGTGGCCTGGGACTACCGGATGCTATCGCAAACTCCCAGGAGCACAAGTCCGGGTATTTCGTCAAGCCCACGATTCTGGCCGATGTGACGTCTAAACACATCGTGGCCCGCGAAGAGATTTTTGGACCCGTCATTGTCGTGGGTAAGTTTTCGACCTATGAAGAAGCCTTGGAGGTTGCTAATGATTCCACCTATGGGCTGGGGTCTGCCATTTTCACCCAGGACATAACGAGAGCTCACGACTTCGCAAACAAGGTAGAAGCCGGAATCTGCTACATCAACTCTTCCAATCAACTTGATTTTGCCTTGCCCTTTGGTGGTGTCAAGATGAGCGGTCACGGCCGCGAGCTTGGCGAGTACGGCTTAGCCAATTTTACCAACGTGAAGGCCGTATACGTGAACTTGGGAAGCAAGCTATAGCACAGAAATGCAGGTGTCGTTGGAGCAAGCTGGTCTCTCATCGTCTGGTTACTTATACGGCAGCTTGCTGGTTTAATACCTATGTAAGAAATGTACGTTTTATTCAAAAAGTTTCGAAGCTTCCATTAGCAATTGGACGGCTAGTTACGAACACGTTCGTTCCTAGCCGTCATGGAATGGAAAGGCTAGCCCCGCGACCGAGGTTGGTGAAGGCTACGTGGCGTTCGAAGACGATACGATGGTTCCTGGATCACTTTCTTCTTACCTGACGCTCGAAATCCAGTACTCACGTGGGCAGTGACCGATTTGCAATTTTTAACAAGTTGAACTGTTCAAATCTCAAATTAAATGTTTACCGAATAGTCAATCCAATAAACAGGTTGCGAAAGTTGGACGAATACCAGACGTTAGCCCACTAAGAAAGAGGCACTTTCCCAATTTTTCGAGAGTCATTTTAATTGGTAGGATTTGCTTACTGATACGTACTCCTGAGGCACATCTTTTCGTGTTTGAAAAGAAACCAGAGTTTTTGAGGAAGAGGTGACATAAAATATAAACTACTTCACAGATTGTAGCTGCTTATTAGGCAATGGAGGACTACAGTGGTAACAGAATGGATTACCAAAATCAATATCAAGATGCGTATGAGGTGTCGCACCCTTTAGGCAAGGGTGACGGGCACGATAGCAATGGACACGCCCACAGCGCCGACACGCAGAACATCTCGCGTTCTGCCAGTGCACAGGGCGGGGACTCAGGCGACAGACCACGAACAAAAAGAACGAGGGCCACGGGGGAGGCTCTCAATGTGCTGAAGCGGGAATTCGACGATAATCCAAACCCCAACGCGCAGAATCGCAAACGAATCTCGGAACTGACCGGCTTACCAGAGAAGAACGTGCGGATCTGGTTCCAAAACAGACGTGCTAAGCACCGGAAGTCGGACCGTGGGATTGGTGGTGGTGGCTCGGCCACTGTGGGCCACCACAATGGTGGTGGCAAGAACAGCATCTCAGGATCGACTACTGCAACCGACATGAACGCTGCGACTAACGCTGAGTATCCCGCTGCCGATTTTGACCGGATTCCATTAGAGGTGAACCCAAGCTATTCTTTTCTGGATGTCAAGTCGCTCACAGTGGGCACTTGGAAGCGTCTAAAAAGCGGGAATTTGAAGAAAGAGGAGCTTCCAACAATCAAGAGCTTATCAAACCTGTCCCCTTTTTCCATTAATGAAATTATGGCGAATGCAACTGATTTAATGGTTTTAATCTCGAAGAAGAATCAAGAGATAAACTACTTCTTCAGTGCAATCGCAAATAATACGAAGATCTTATTTCGGATTTTCTTCCCCATCAGCACAGTTGTGGGCTGTTCAGTCACGACTAGCTCCGAAGAGCTACCGGCTTATGATGAGGATGAGGAGGACGAATCCAATGCCAAGGATGAAGTACGAGAAAACGAAAAACTATTCGAACTTCGGCTGAGTGTCACCAAATCACCAACCTTTGCTGTTTACTTCTCAGACGGTGTGGACCAGTACTCTTCAAACCAATGGTCTATTTGCGAAGACTTTTCGGAGGGCAGGCAAGTGAGCGAGGCTTTTATCGGTGGATCCAACATACCTCATATTATCGTTGGCCTAGAGGAATCCTTAAACTTTATGAATGCTACGATACACGAATATAACGGTGGAGATCGTGAAATGTCCCACAGATCACAAGACCCTTTAAATGCTTCAGATTCCCAACCGTTGATACTTCACCCTGAACCTCAAGCGATGGGCCAACAACAGCAGCCTTTTTTCGATGAATTCAACGACCAAGACGGAATCTACGGTATGAATGAGCAGAACAACTCACAATACGTGTCTTCGTCTGCTGCTCAACAGCACACGTATACCCAACACCCCCCTGCTTCTACTGAAAATGAACACGTACCGTCCCAATTTACCGATTCGAATGTGCCCAAAACCCCCGACTTTCTGAAGTCTGAAATGGGAAATGAGGAGCAGAGTGGGCTCAACAATTTGCTGATTTTTGACGATCAGAATAACGCAAACCAAAAAAATGTTCAGAACTACTTTTGAACGCTTCAACAGCATTTTCCATACATTAATAGCATTGTATTATCGATCAAGCAAGCAATCACCTTACATATGTTAGACGAAAATCTTACTTATAAGCGCCCGCAATAGCTCCCCGCCCCTCAAAATGTGTGGTAGATAGGATTAGAGCCGCTTCACAAAAACTGGTTCGCCATGGTATTTTTCCTTAAGTCATTTCCCTCATAAGCATCATCTAAAACGTCACCATTTGAAAGCTCTTCCAATTGAGCTAATGTCTCCGATTCTGCAACTGCATTTTGTTCGTCGGATGCATATGTCGGTGGTTCCGCTGGCATTGTATTCAAGGTGAACTGACCAGAGATTGAGGGCTGAGGAGAAATGCTGAACTCAAAGCCTGGCGGAGGTGGCAGTAAATGCCCATCCTGGTCTATTATGTCTCCGTCGCTTGTTGAAATGCTTTCGTTGTCGGATGCTTCATCTTCGTAACTACTTTCCAGCAGTACATCCTGACCGTAATCGTCATAAGAGGGTGGAGGAAGCTTCATACCGTGCGACTTGGCATACCCCCACTTCTTCACGTTCGCTTCGATAAAGACAAACCCATAAGTACCAAAGTTAACGTGAATCTTACAAGGCACATTGGATCCTACTATGGGATAAACGTACTTGAATTTCCAGCCCTTAATATGACCACCGATAGATTTTTCACTTAGTTTTTTACCATTCCGAGTGAAAAAAACAGTTCCGCTATTTGTTCGATACCCAATACCAATAACATCGCCCTTTTCACAACGCGGAAATATGGACGCCAGCTCAGCACTTAATTCGAACGAATCATTCAGCCGACGAGCGCCAGTGGAGTCATATGCCACCGAATGGTGGTGCCGACCCGGAAGTCTGAAGTATGGATACGGAGAAGTAGAGAGCCCAAACGATACGGTTTCATTATTGAAGAGATGGTTGTTATTACTGCCAGCAGTGTTCAACTCAAAAATTTTGAACTCGCAATAGTAGACTCGATTGAGACGTGGAATCGGAAGATTAGTCATTACGGATGCATCGTAGTTGTAGTTAAGAAATGTGATCTCGCTTTTATTCTCAATGAGGATGCTGTCGTTGGGCAATTTTGGGTCGGGTTGAAATTCCCAAGCAGATGCGCCTTCCTCATCAATGAATTGCAGTGTCTGTTCGTTGATAATAGGATCTACCTGGGTTTCATCAGCAGAGTTTGTAGTCTGCTCGGGGATGAGCAGTGGTGGATTCTGTCGGATGAATTCCTCGCCCTGTTTGTAATAAAACTGCTCCTCGGGAGACATTTTGGCTAGCTTGTCACGTACTGCCTCGGCATCATCTAGCGTGTTGGGCCATCTAGCGGTTCCCAAGGCCCCTGTCACACTGCGTTCGCTGTCACTTCCCAAAACAATGCCAGAAGTGAAATATCTCCTTAGAAAGTATTTAACGACGAAGTACACGATCGTCAATACCAGGTAACACGTCAGCATAAAGGCAAGGCTGAATATGATGAGATCCACGTCCAAATCTTCGGGTTCACCACCGTCGTAGGGCCCTGAGGGCACATATCTCTGATCGCCACGCTCAGCCACTACTATACTCCCCTGTGCCTGCTTCCACGACATGGAACTCGCCAAAACACTAAAGCATACCTTTCGGAGCAGTTGAGAGTTATCCATACTCGTAGGTAGAGGTCGAAGTGGTGCTAATGATTGGAGCACCTCTACAAGATGGCCTTTGTCTTCGAGTTGATGGCACGGATTGTTTAATAGTTAATCTCTCATGAAAATAACGTCAATAGTGACATAGAGTAGCAGGCATATGAACCATCATCACATTCTGTCGAGACTGAAGCTTCCGTGGGCTACCTGCGCTTTTCACGATAGATCAAACCTTGCCTCTGCAGTGATTGCATATAGCAACTTTGTTTTCAATAGCTCACGGTTCTGATAGTCGGGCAATTTGAGCAAATTAACACAAGTTGATGCCGTTGGAAGTCTGGTCACATCGGAGCCAGCGTTTCGTATTCCAAAAAGAGGATTAAGAGCCCTGAATCCTTGCAAAGGAGCTCTCGGAACAGATGTGACAAACTTAACAAATTTCAGTCGATCTTGGGAATCAAAATCAGCCAAAATGGACCAGAAATCCTTAATGGTCTGATCTTGCTCAGAATAGTCGCCATATTCTGTGTGTTTGTGAAGATCAGTGAGATCTATGTCCTTTCCTCCTCCGGAAATCAGCATCTGAAGCTCGATTGAGCTAAACATTTCAAGCCAATGTGGTGGAACGATGGTGTAGAGTCCGCCAGTGAAGGAGCGGGTGCCGAGGCGTAACTTCCGGTTCAGTTTATAATCTGCCACGGCAAGCAAATATTGCAGGACATTTGTTTTGGTTACAGCTGTATCTGCGCCGCTGGGTATTAAGTCTACGGTCTGCAACGATTCGTTGTCAGTTATTTCGAACCTCAATCCTAACGCTTGTAACTCGCTGGAGTTCATCTTGATTAACCGCGCCAAATTGGTATAAAGAGAGGCGTCAAAACTAGCGAGATCATCAAAAGATGAATTCATTTGGTTCACGTTTAGTAGCTTCTTCAGAAAGAAATCGGCAAACGTTACATCAATCAATACATGATCGTATAGGCATTTGCCCAGAACTTTCCCCAGAAACCAAAGGTATTTGAGGTGTTTCGAAGAATGTATGCTGGCTGAGGGGTAAATTTCATGGTGCTCATTTTCCTCAAAAAGATGATACTTTTCATCTTTAAATCCTTGATCTGAGACACTAGTTAAGAATTCCTTTGTGATTCCTCCGCCATCGATACCTGCTTCTGGCCCAAACTCACTAACGAACGTAACAGAAAGCTTTGATTTGAAATTTTCACCAATAGGGTTGTAGGCATTGAAAGCATCTTCTAAAAGGTGCTCCCGAGAAATTGTGGCAGTCTGCTTCGAGGAAGGGGAATTGGCATGCCAAGGAGCAAACATGCTCGAGATATCGTTACCATCTATATTCAGACGCTTGTGGTCTAGCGAAATAAGAAAATAGAGCCATTCTACCCGTTGCTGAAAAGGTATGAAAAAGGGCGCCTGTGAAAGTACATTCAATTTCCTGAATTGTCTCGTAGTTGCTCGATTTCCAAACGATTTTTGAACCTCAATTAAAAATTCGTATCGTAGCTCTCGCTTAATCTCAAAAAGTTGCATACCATCAACATCTTCATCTCTTATCTCGAGGTCATCAACACGGCTACGATAAAAAGATTCGTAATCTTCAATGTATTTTGTAATGTTGATACTAACAAAATTGACATCAGTCACACTCCAATAATCAGAATCCATTGAACGGGGAGAGAAATTTAATCTCGAGTCTCGAACATGAATCTTTTTGAGTGTCTTCAAAAACGTATCAGGAAGAGCATGGCTCTCTTCTTCCAAATCCCAAAGACTTTTAAAGCATACAAGCTTCAGGTAATCCGTCATTTCCAACAGATAGTTCAGCGGGTAAGATTCGGTGTTATGCATGATTTCAAAATCGCTGGCAACTGACAAATAAATGTTAAGCATTTCAACTAGAAGTAAAGCTCCAGTTCTAGGAATAATACTACTTCCAGAGGAGATGAAAATAGCTTTATGAGCCTGAACCATAAACTGAGGTCTTGCTACTAAGCCAACCAAAACGGTGTTTTTACAGTCCACGGTCGGTGCGCGGCTTATGAAAGTTGAGAGCATGCTGAACACTTTCTCGAGCTCGGACAACATAATCATATCCACGAAATCTCTTGTGTATAACTCCTTGAAATAAGTGGCATCTTTCAACGCTCCTTCGTCAACCAATGGTAAACAGTTGACAATATAATGACAGTAGTTCTCCCGTCGCTCCACAGGGAGGTTAATAAACAAACACGACAAATTCTCTATCAGGTAAGGCGTAGCCCAATTGATGGGAATTTTTTCTAGAGAGCACTTCAGCCCCAGCGCAAGCAAGAAATATTGAAGGTTTTCCGCCTTTTGCACGTCTTTGCGAGGAATCCCCAAAAGAGATACTACCCGGCTATCTTGTGGAATCCCAAAGTCTTCTATGAGCTGTACAAGTCCATCCAGGGCTTTTTCAGGAATGGCATAGGGCGCAGATGTCACCAAGTCCACAATTGCTGATACAAACTCAGTTCCTGTGGAACAATTGATGTTAAACGCGGCCCAAACCGCCATGAAAAGATCCTCCGTTGAGCTCCGGGTTCCAAGAGCTCTTACCATTCGACACAGGCTTTCATTTAAAGCAGTTTGTCCCTTGTTGATTACTTTCTGCAGAATCTCAACTAACTCATGGTCTTCTAAAAAAGGGAAAAGTGACTGTCCATAGGCAGTAGTCAGCTTAACGGCTTTTGATGAGTTCAGGTCTGTAATTAAAAACTTGAATAAGGTTCTGTTGCTCAAATGTCGTCTAATGGATTTTTGAATCAACAGTGCACTTTCATCATCTCTCCTTGCCAATGCTCGTTTTTCTCGCTCCTTGCTTGCTTGACTTAGAAGATCTTGTTTCGATCTCGCTGCTCTGGTACCCAAATTGACATTTCGCCGCTTAGTTTGACCAGAGAAGTTTAGCATCTTTGATGGCAGCATGTTATAATGTAGATTTCCAGTAACTGATTCCTTCATTTTAATATATATATAACATAAAGAAATGGTGATGACAGCATATTCACAGAGCACGCATGGTCCAGAGAGCCGAATCAAAACTTCCTGTAAGCCTTTCACGTACTCGCACCTTTCAAATAAATCGATATTAAGAGCTTTGGTTTTGTTTAGGTTCGCCAATGCCTTTTTTGTGAATTCTTTCTTTCAACCCGACGAGTTTTGGCAATCGTTGGAGCCGGCTCATGTCAAAGCGTTTGGTTACGGGCAACTGACTTGGGAATGGGAATATGGACTTCGAAGCTACGCTTTTCCATTTGTTTTTGAGCTGGTCTATAGAGCAGTTTCACTTCTTGCGAAGGCTATGTCTCATCTGGTGGCCATTCATGTCGATGTTTTCGTACTGGGAGCGAGCAAACTTGTTCCTGATTCCACTTTGGCGTGGAGCATGGCAGCTGAAATGCGCAGCTTCCCACAAGAAATTCAGCGGTTCGTCGAGTACCAAGGTGTCATTTACGGCCCCAAACTCCTTATGGCAGTTTTTGCCGGAGTTGGGGAATTCTATGCAATTAAGTTTACTGAAAGGATCTATAATATGTGCTTTGGAGGAAAAAAGAGTGCATTAGATCAACGCGCCCAAGTCAGATTCAGTGCAATGGTGCTTTCTTCCACTAATTTTTTCAATTGCTTCATGATCACCAGGACTTTCGTGAACACTTTTGAAATGGACCTCACAAGTATTGCATTTTATTTTTGGGATTGGACGAATGGCGAGCACGTAGAGGGCACTGCTTTCACAAAGAGCTTACTTTGTGGTATCTTTCTGTGCATTCAAAGACCAACTAATGCCTTCATATGGCTACCCATGGGCCTGTGCTTATCGTGGACTCTCTTATCCAAACGCAAATATGCTTTGCTCGCAAAACTAATTGCCAAAGTATGTTTAACACTAATGGCTACTGTTTTTTTCACCACTGCCATCGATTACTATTTCTATGGCGAGCTATTTCTTCCAGCGGCCAGATTCATCAACTTCAACTACACCAGCGCCCTCTCTACATTTTACGGTACAGCCCCATGGCATTTTCACATTTTGCAAAGCGTCCCTCTCATCGCGGGCTACTCGTTTCCTGTTTTGATCTATGGGTTTGTATCACTGAGGGCCGAGAGCCATAAGCTATTCGGCTTAGCCGATCCGTTGCAATTGATAAAAGCAATCATCATAGTTAATATCGCCTTATACTCGTTGATTGGACACAAGGAATTTCGCTTCCTTTATAATCTGCAGCCGCTTTTCCTAGTGATCTCTAGTATTGCTACTTTGAAATTGTTTTCATTTAGAGACTCCCGGCCTCATTGCCAACCCCAATGGTATTATTGGATTATTCCCTTCACATCATTACTTACAGCCCTGCTCCTCTCATGCTTCCACGAATCCGGTGTCATTCGCGTTGTGAAGTTCCTACACCATGTTCCTGACCTTCACAGCGTTGGTTTTGTGATGCCCTGTCACTCCACCCCCGGGCAATCCTTCATTCACCGGAGTGACATCCATGATATCTGGGCCATATCTTGCGAACCCCCTCTCCATCTTTTGTCAGACCCTGATGCTGCCATCAAACTGCCATCATATATGGATGAAAGCGATTACCTTTACGACAACATACCCAAGTTTGTTTATCAAAACTTTCCCCCAGTTTTCCGTAGAAGCCTAAGGTCACCCGGCAAATCCTACTCCCATGAGTGGCCCGAATATCTGGTAATCTTTCAGCACCTTGACGAGGTGTTCATGGATGAGTTTCTTCAGGATACCGGATACAGAAAGGAGGTCAGGTATTTTAATACCCTCAGCCATTGGGATTCGAAAAGGGCTGGAGACGTTGTCGTATATCACAAACCACCATGGATATAGCGTCGCTTGACTACAGTTCCCATCGGTTTTTCTCAGATACAGCTGTAATCTCCCCACTGTGCTTCTCAGGAGAATATTTGAAGAACGGATCCGTTAAACAAGATTTGAGTCTTGTAATCTGAGCCTGCCGGGAATTCAAAAAACTCTGGAAAACAGCAGCAGACGATTCATTTGTCTTGGACAATTTGGACATGCTATCTAGGCAATTCTTCGCACGCCTTGGGGCATTCAGCTTTAGTGAGCAATCAAAATAGCCTATGAAACACTCAATGTCGTATAACTCCATCCCCAGTTTAAACCACTGAAGAGCTTTTTGATACTCATGAAAGTAGTTCATTTCTAGAAATCCCAACATTTGAAAAGATTCTTTAAACCCTTCACTTGCTGCACTCTCCATTAACGATCGCGCCTTTACCGGTTCAGAGTCCATATACAACTGTGCGAGGTGGTAATAAGACAGCACTACATTTTCTAGTGGGGCCAAACGAACACTTTCTAAAAACTTCCGTTCAGCTTCTTGCAAATCTGGTTTTTTGAAGCTAATTGTTCCAAGCTTGCAGTAAACTTCTCCTGCCCGAATAGTGTCGATCTCGACCTCTAAAAACTGGTTGAAATATTTTTCTGCATTAAGGAGGTCATTATTGTCAAATGCAAGATCTCCTGTAAGCTTTATAGTCAATGGGTGACCCATTTTGTATAGCTGCTTGATGAGCGTCTTGGCATGAACCACATCCTCCGGCGCAGACCTCGCAGGATTTCTCAAAACGTCAAATGCAAGCGAAGAAATCGCATCATTATTCCCCATCTCCGCAGCCCTGTCTAGTAATTCATTTTCCAATCCAATCAGATTCTTATTGATGCTCTTGGTGCGACGTCGTAGCCTTTCCAATACTTTCTTCATTATCATGATGTCGTCGGCCTGGAATGAGGAGGGGACATGGGCAGGCGTCCCATTTGGTGCCAATGACTCGTAGATTGACTCGTAAACTGGGTATAGTTTGGCAAACGTCAGCTTACTGTCGAGGTCAAATAAAAAACGATTTACCAGTTTTTTGGTTGGGAACACTGTGTAAAAGGGAGGACGTTGGGAGGACAGTGAACTTTGAAATCTTTTGAGGTGCACTCTCAAGGTTAAGGACATTGAAAAGATGAGCAGAATAGCTTTTCCGAGAATACCTCGTTGGATTGTTGTCTTGTCCTTGTCGTGGATCAGCGATGCCATGCGATGATTTACGTATTTTACATTTTTTTAATTACAATTGTCCTGGAGAACCATTACGCCTGTCGGGCCAAAAGAAGGGAATCTTACCATAGTCATCACCTGGCCATTCGGTTGTCTATTGGTCACCAAGCCACCAAGCGAGTGTCATGCTCAAATCATTGAAAAATGCTGATAAAACGGTTCTGGCTAACAAACGCATTACTTTCAAGCGCGGGTTAGCCACATCGCGAACTTTGCTTACAGCTGCGGACTTCTCACACGCCATTGTAGGAGGTGGGGTAATCGGCCTATCCATTGCATTCGAATTGAGTAAAATCCCGAGCAATCGGATTGTTTTGATCGAAAAAAATGTAGCCCCAGGACTTGAGACATCAAGTCGCAACAGTGAAGTAGTACACGCTGGTTTATACTATCCATTAAATTCACTTAAGACTAAATTTTGCTTGGAAGGTAATGCAATTATTCATCATGAGATGTCTAACGTGGATAGTGGAGTCGAATGGAAAAATTGTGGCAAGTGGATAGTTGCACAAACGGAGGAGGAAACAGCTGCCGTAGAGGCGCTGTATAAGAAGGCCACGCAAGATTTAGAGCTTCCAGTAGAGCTCATAACAGGGCAAGAAGCCAAGTTGATAGAGCCTCATGTTAGTGTTCGAAAGTTAGTTCTAAACTCTCCTACCTCAAGTATCATCGACTCGCATTCTTTGATGCGCTATTTGGTCACAAACCTAGACAATAACGGGGCAGAAATAGCTATTGGTACTGAGCTTATCGATATGGATCATGTAAAGAATATGGGCTACAGCTTACTTTGCAAGTCAACTGTGAACAACTCGGATGAAACCGTCAGTATCTCTGTTGAAAACGTGGTTAACGCAGGTGGCCTATACGCTCACAATATAGCGAATATGCTGCTTCCAAAACATCGAAAGTGTCAGCAATTTTTTGGGAAAGGAAATTACTTTAGTTTGGTCGGCTCAAAATTTCCTAGTGTAAATCGTCTTATCTATCCAGTGCCACCGAAAAACGGAATGTCGCTAGGCACTCACCTTACTCTAGACATGAACGGTCAGATAAGGTTTGGTCCTGACTTGGAATTTGTGAATGACCCAACTGATTATGACGTTAGCTGCTCAAACGTCGAAGCTGCATCGACGGCCATTAGAACCTATTTCCCGCATATTACCAGCAACGATCTTCAGCCAGCATACAGCGGAATTCGGCCCAAGTTGAGCAAGCCCGGCGATAGGGAGTTTAAAGATTTTTACATATGCGAAGAAGATGGGTTCCCAGGATTTGTGAACTTGCTGGGCATCGAAAGTCCCGGCTTAACCTCGAGCTTGGCAATCGGGAGGTACGTCCGTAAATTATACCACGGTTAATTTCAGATAATCAGGTATTCTTCTTGAGAGTCGGTAGTTCTGAAGGCACAGTAGGCTCTGGAAGCTCCAAGAAATACTCGCTTGTCAAACACTGGATAGGATCGAGGCGTTTGTGTGGGTTCATGAGAAGCATTCCCGACATCAAATCCAAGGCATTTTCTGTAGCTGCAATAAACCTCCTTCTGAGCTCTTCCCTAGAAGGAGGAGGGTATATTTGAATCTTGTTGTATGCACTGAAAGTGGAAATCTCTGGCCAATCCTTATCTGTTGGAGTACCCAGAGCCCGAAAAGTAACATCGATCTGGTCTATGTCATCTTTGCCTGGCAAATATGGGATCCTAAGCATCAGTTCAGCAAAAATGACACCAACGGACCACATATCTACGGCACCAGTATAGTGCCTAGCACCGAAAAGAAGCTCTGGAGCCCTATACCACCGTGTTACCACATTGCTGGTCAAAAACTCTTGTGGGGAGCCCATGTTACGCGCAAGACCAAAATCTGCTATTTTCAGCTGTCCATCGGGTGATAGTAATAAGTTGTTGGGCTTCAGGTCCCTATGTAAAATGAAGTTTCGGTGACAATGGTGAACCCCTCTCAGGGTCATTAAAAGCCACGACTTGATATCTGCCTGCGTGAATAAAATCGAGGTGTCTTTAATAACCATCTCCAGATCAGCTGGTAGGAACTCCAAAACAAGGTTCAAGTTATTCTGCGCCATAAATACATCCACCAATTCTATGACATTGACATGCTGCATTTCTTGAAGATATTTTACCTCTCTGATTGCTGACATATCGAGACCATCTTTGAAACCAGACGTTTTGATTTCTTTGATGGCAATCCTGCGATTAGAGGAACGCTTAGTTCCAAGGTATACCACAGCATAGGTACCTTCACCGACTTTCTTCTCTGACAACGAGTTATGGTTAGTATTAATTGATGATGCAGATACTCGAAAGAGTCACGACTTACCTTTTGAGTATTCTGGTTGCGAGAGCATGACCATTTCTCACTAGACTAGTCAAATCGATATCGTTCGCATTAACATTTTAATTAATATAATATGAGATGAGCTAAATTGTCAAAATCTTCCAGCCGAGTGACAAAGCTTTGAGTGTATCAGAGTCAATGGTTTGATTTGGAACTTGATAGATGCTATCAACTTTGCTGAAGACAAGAAGGGTGTTTGTATCGCAAGTTTGGTCAAGATACCAGACGACTGTTGCCAATGTGGAATTCCAAGTGCTACATCCAATGTTGATCAAGCGAGCGGAAAAATACGAAAATGAACTGGAGGTCCTGGAGCAGAAGATGGCCACCGGTGCGATGCATTTCGATGTTGAGCGCGAAAAACACTTCTCGAGACTGTCAGCGGTCGTAGACTCTTACAGAAAATATTCGGATGAGATCTCGACCTACAAAGAGCTGCAGGTCATGATGGTGGAAGACCCTAGCTTGCGTCAGGAAGCGGAGCAGGAGATGAAGGAAATAGAGCCAAACTTGCGTAAGATCTCAAGTACTCTTTTGGCTCAACTTTTACCACCTCACCCGTTCGCAGAAAGACCATGCATACTGGAAATTCGCCCCGGTGTGGGAGGTATTGAAGCTATGATCTTCGCACAAGATCTGCTAAATATGTATATTAACTATGCACAGAACAAACGCTGGAAGCACCATCTGATATCGTTTAATGAAAACGAAAGCGGCTCGGGAATTGTTGATGCCATTTTGAGCATGGACGAGGTGGGAGCCTATGATAAATTGAAGTTTGAGGCTGGTGTGCATAGGGTTCAGAGAATTCCGGCTACAGAAACGAAGGGAAGAACACATACCTCAACGGCCGCCGTGGTTGTGCTACCCCAAATGGCAGAAGACTCTGAAAGGGAAGCTGAGAACTACGAAAGAACCTTCAAGCCCGATGAGATTCGCATCGACGTCATGAGAGCTCGCGGTAAAGGTGGCCAGCACGTGAATACTACAGACTCAGCGGTTCGGTTAACCCACTATCCATCGGGCATCGTGATTAACATGCAGAACGAGCGCTCTCAGCACAAAAACAAGGCAAAGGCATTTGCCATACTACGTGCTCGACTGGCTGAGATAGAGCAAAAGGAGAAAGAGGAAAATGCCAGGAAGGAAAGGAAGGACCAAGTTTCCACTACTGACCGTTCTGACAAAGTTCGAACTTACAATTTTCCACAAAACCGTATAACTGACCACAGATGCGGATTCAGCTTGCATGATATAGAAGGGACTATGGCGGGGGAACGTCTAGATGAGATCATAGAGGCGATGAAAACTTACGACAGTGATGTACGAGCTAAACAGCTGTTAAATGAAGCTGACGAGACCACCTCCGTATGATTGGGAAACCAGCCCCTTTCTCTTGTATATAACAATATAACCTCAGCTACAGATGATAAAGCTGCTCGCTGTCGCTTATCTCTTTCCGTACTTCTTTTGTCTGATCATGTAATATATGTTATTCATATAAGATGTATTCAAAATGTGAAATTACCACACAATCCATTAGCCATAGTGCTGTGGGTTTTAGTAAAAGCTGAACATACTGATGATCTACAATGACAACTACATCAGCTGATGATATCTGGTGGCATTTTAAATCTTCCGTCAAGGTAGGCCAAACAGAACGCTTTGTCATCAGTTATCAGCTATACGATGATGAGGAAGGGCTGCCTCCAGATTTGTCCTTGAATTCTTTGTGGTTAAACATCCAAAACATCGAGAGTATCACATTTAGGGCAGCGTACCTTATGGGTCCGTATTTACTTTACTGTGATGTGCGCACCGGCGATTACCACCATTCCCAACGACACTTTGTTTCTGCAGACCAACCACAATTCGAGCCCATGCTGCAACCACAGCAAAACTTTTGTGCCGAATTATCCCTACACAACCTAAAAAAGAAGTATGTGTGGATCGTGGACGTGGCAAGCCAAATTATATTCACCAATACCAGCCAAGTCGGCTTCGAAATCACAGTTGGATCATCCAAAAAAAGTGTACAAAGCTTTTCCAGTAATGCATCAATGACAGTCTCTCCTTCTTCCAAGCTGAGCGTCACACGTCTCACGTCACTCGATTTGTGGAATTTGAATGATCAAATCTCGCCTAATGTAGCTCAAAATGAGCACTTGGTTGTGTTGACACATGGCTTGCATTCCAATGTCCCTGCAGATCTCTTCTATCTGAAAGAGCAAATTGAGAAGTGCCAAAAGTACTATACAAACGAGCAAATAGTAGTGAAAGGCTACACGGGGAACGTTTGCAAGACAGAAAAAGGTGTTAAATACCTGGGAACAAGGCTGGCTGAACACATTGTGAAAGAACTCTATCACGAGCGCGTTAAGAAAATATCGCTGGTTGGTCACTCTTTGGGCGGCCTCGTGCAAACTTTTGCGATTGCTTATATCTCAGTGAACTATCCTTGGTTTTTCGAGAAAGTCGAGCCTATTAATTTCATAACCCTTGCATCGCCTCTCTTGGGAATAGTCACCGACAATCCCGCCTACGTCAATCTTCTGCTGACATTCGGGATTGTTGGCAAAACCGGGCAGGACTTGGGTCTCAAAGAGCTACACGAAGGCGATAAGCCACTTTTGTACTTCCTTCCTGGCGAACCAACCAAAGAGATACTTAAGAGGTTCAAGCGCCGCACTCTTTATGCGAACGCTCTTAATGATGGTATAGTACCACTTTATTCTGCATCTTTATTGTTCTTGGATTACCCAGGCATATTAGAACAATTAGAATTCGACAAGGGTATTCAACAAAGACTAGGGATTCCTACCGACTTCATCAAAAAAAATTTACTGTCGCCTATATACAAAGCGATCAATCTTTGGGCTCCGCAAAAGTTTCCTGACGATGGCTCTTCTAGAATACCGAAATCATCAGTTATTGATTCAGCAACGTCGGTTTTGATGCCACCTCTGCCTGACAAAGATTATATCATGGATCCCAGATTTCGAGACAATGTTATTATCCATGACAAAATCTATTCGGATGATGATCTCCCCGAAAGGGAGTCTGACCACGAGAAAGAGATGTTAGGCAGCAATAATGTCTTACTGCGGACGTTTACCGCTAACTCGGGAAGTCCGACACAAAATTTAGAAGAGAAGATTGCAAGACGTTGGCATGAAGGTTTAAAATGGAGAAAGGTAGTAGTACGGCTTAAGCCTGACGCCCATAACAATATTGTCGTAAGAAGGAGATTTTCAAATGCATATGGCTGGCCAGTAATTGATCATTTAACACAAAACCACTTCAATAGCCTTGATGGTGACATCGAGCCGTTTTCTAATGATTTAACAGTAACAGAAACCAACAAACGTGCAGCTGATCACAAGTGGGTAAATACTGTTGACAAGAGAAGCGTGTTTGATGTAGGTCCAACAGGCATGATATCTACCGTAACTGACATTCTGGATTCATTAGGCAAAAACAACTTTGTATTGAATCACAACTTGAATGATACTCGCGGGCGGGAAAGCTCTTTTGATCAGGAGAATCTTTTTAAATATGACATTGAAGGTACAGATCTAACCTAATCTTTCTATAGAAGTCTATACAATGCATTTGCTAATTCGCTGTCGGTCGAGTACGTAATTTTCAGCTTGTCACGAATACCTGAAAACTCCCTCCGATCAACGTATTTTTTGGAAATAAATTCGTCAAAGAAGTCATGATGCTTGTATTTGAGTTTAAGGACCTCCAAGGTTTCTCTGAATACACCTTCTTCTGCGTTCTGGGGTACAGCGCTGCACGAAAAATTAAGACTGTCCTTAAGAGCTATAAAATCCAGCTCGAGCTGCCTGAGCCCTAATTCGCTGAACTTGTTGAGATTTACCACATAGTCCATCATATAGTGCACTAGTATATTCAAAAGCTCGCTTTTTATGGCAAGCGAAATATCGCGGGTCAAATCGAATTTGTCTATGGTGGAAATCAATCTCACCAATAAGTTGAGAGAAGTAACGAGCTCTGCACTACATTGTTGGGGCTCTGAGTTTATATTGGCCCACTCATTTACCTTGAAATAATTTCGCAGGGAAACGTTCATCATCTTTTTCAGTCTGTGGATTATTGAGTCTCTTACAGCGAGGACAGCTTCATCATAGAGGCGTAACACATCGCTGAATACTGACGGATACGCAGAAGATGTTGCCGCATTTAAATAATTTGTAAGCAAAATGAAACTCAGTCGATCCCCAAAATCATCGATAGTTTTGCGTACGAGCAGTAAATTCTGGAGTTTCCAAAGCGTCTGCTCAAATTGGGCTTCATCTGTGTACGAGGCAGATCCATCTTCCCTGGATTTGAAGAGAAAGTCTCGGTACTTGTGCGGGAGATCCATAAAGATGGCTGTAGTTGTTTTAAGCTTGTAGTCCATTAGTTTGTTGTACTCAAGGCCAAAAAAGGGCTCAAAATAGGCGTAAAGGTTCTCGAGCAGTTTGCTTAAATCGTGGCCGCTCTTGTCCAAACTTAACTGAGCAATCTTACGAAATTGATTGGCTGATGACTCAATTTCGAAAGAAAGCCAAGTATCCAATACCTCTCCGGGAATAATTGCCACCAGTCCCACCCCATCGTAAAAGTGCTTCTTCAAAAGTGCATCGTCAATAATGAATATCTGGGATATCAATATCATTAGCGTCTTCAGACTCTCGTTGCTTCCGCCGGTTGCGATTTTTGTTAACGTGGTGTTTACCTTCTCCCGAATAGGCATCAATATGTGGTTGATGAACTGCTGGTGGACGAAGTTCTCGGTCAGGTCTGCGGCTGTCGGGTCGCTAAAAATGTTGATGCACTTGAATAGGTTTTCGTCAAGGTATTTCTCCAAAAACCTGAAATAAACCTCTACGGAGCTCGGTTTCTGCACCGACTCGTTCACAAAGTGGTAAACGAATTTGATCTTGAAATTATGCGCGATACACTGGAAATTCCAAATCTCGTGGTCGTTGCGGTGCGGCAGCAAGAGAGCGTTCAAACTGTAAATCTTGGTAGAGAGCTCCCTGAACTCAGTTTCCGGCACCGCCATGTCCTCAGAATCCCAGCTAGACGCCAGCAGCTCGGATTCCAGCCGGTCCATGAGTGGTTGAGCCTCTTGTCTCACGAGATCGTTAAAACGCTGGAAAACAGCGCTCAAATCATGGTCTGGAGCCTGCCGTGCCGCAAGCTTCAGTTTCGCACGCCATTGCTCCAAATAGAGTGCATTCTGCGCGGTATCCACTGCATCCATCGCCTCATGCACGCTCTGGACCTCATCTAGCGCGCTTTTCTCCGCTGTTTTTGAAGCCTGCTGCACAAATAACGCCTCTAATTGGTCCAAGATCTTGAGGGGCCCATATCGTAGCCTCAATTCTGCGATTTCACCAACCGTTCGTACACTGCTGATCTGCTGAGCCGCTGTCACCAGCTTCTCACTTACCGAGTCAAAATCCGTCAAAACTGCATCGTTTTGCTCCGCTTTCGTCTGCAACTGTAGAGCAAGCTCATCCCTTTCCAATTCAATATCCTTGGCCAGTTGCTTAACACGTTTCAAGTCCGCAATGGACTCAAGCATTTCTCAAAACGTTGGGTCCTTGGGCAGCACACGCTCTGATACCCAATTCTCAACAAATTCCAATGGTGTTATTACAATATGATCACATTAGACGGAGGAGCAACGGCGCTCCCTTAAAAGGTCATCGAGAACTGAGACTATAAAAGGACCAAGGCATTCGAGGACCTGAAATAACCATTTGAGGACCACTTTTGTTTGTGAGAGCAGATTAGAAGTTACAGGCGTGAGTTATCTTCTTTTACTAACTAGTGGAGAAGAGGCTAAGTTCGGGCGGGAAAGCTGGTGTTTTGACCCCCATAGAAGAGCGCAAATTTAGGTAGTAAGTCAGTAATTGTACACATTCTGGTTGGCAATGAGCGACGCTACGAGTATGAGAAGACCTGTGGAGATCACAGAGTTCACTGAGGTCATCAGCGATTTGCCGGACGAGCAATTGGCTAAAATCCGCAGCGAGCTAGAAAACAGTTTACGGCATTTGGATCGGTCCAACCTGCGTCTCAAAAAGTATATTGCGAAGATCGAGGGCAAGCGAGAGGATACCCCGGACGGCGTGGACCAGGAAGAGCTCGACAAGGTGGACGCGAACGACCTGCAGCTTTTCGAGGACTCGTACCGGGAAAATGAGATAGTACTCAAAAACCACTACGAGCGTCTGGAGGCCCTCGACCAGGAAGAGTCGTACCGCGCCAGCGGATCGAAGCAGCCTTCGACGGCCGAGGCCCAGAAGAAGGCCAAGCAGAGAGCCGCGTCTTTCGACACTGACAACACCAACGGTGACGCAAACGCCGTGAACAGCGTTTATTTGTAATTGGTAAGGGACCGGGCCTGTAGACAGGACTGGCAGCTCTTTATATAGGTCATTATAAGTCATTTTGTGTTCCACGACACGCCGTGAACGAGCATCGCATTTATCGGTTGGTGGTGTTTGACGCCTTCTATGAACCCCCGGTGAACGTCTGCGCGTTCGACATATTTGTGTCGTTGCAGATGTGACATAAGACCAGAAGAGACGCCGCTCAGGAAAGTTACGGACCCGTTTCCCACACTTGCAGGCCACAAAACCCAAAACCAACAAAACATGCTAAAGGAATCAGTGCTTGTGCTTTACGTCTCATCGCTCGCTTCGGTCGGCGTGGCACGAATGTCTTTGTCACAGCCGCAATTGTCCTTCGCATGTCCTCCACTGAAAGCTCATGAAATTGATGGCCAAAACTGGCGGGACAAAGCATCGTGTATTGATTTCGAAACACACGCTAGTAAAAGCCCGTTGATAATCTCCATAACAGCAAGTGATTTTCTGGATCACCAAGTAGATTTGAATCGATTTGGACCCACCAGTTGCGAACGAGGTAAACAATCGTTGGATCTCGTTATTGCGGCGAAGAACGGCGACATTTTAAGATCTGTACACAATCTTAAGAGTGGATCAAATTTCATACAGCTTCAATCTACCACCCCCAGCTCATATGTTTCAATGTGCTTTTTAAACTTGGTGTACGACGGATCTTGGAGATCCATCGACTCGCACAAGGCCGTAACTCTGGCTTTGTTAAAAGACCAAACTGCGCAGCCCGGAGCGCTGGACGACTTTACCAAAGAAATGTGTGACAATATGTTGGAGTCTGCTGATTTATTGTTTTCCCTAGTGGATAACCAAAGTGGCCAGCAATTGTTCCTGTGGGAGCATGAGCGACGCGATTTGAATGAGAGCACTTTTTCGTGGCTTTTTACAGCCCAACTCATACATCTTGTTTCCTTAATCGTGGCCAGCTGGCTGGTGGTGCGGTACGCAAGGGCCAGCCAAAAAGCGGCATCACTTACAGGTAAAACCAGTTGATTATCTGGCCGGTTTCTCTAGTCGATCGACTCGTTGACGTTAGTGTACTCGTGCACTCGTGTACTCCTGCGCTCGTGACCAGTGAAAAGTTTAACTAGCTTTAACTAACCTGCGAACTCATGATCATCTCATCTCTGGAACGGAGGAGGATTGAGTGCTCTGCTTAGGTGAAATTGCGCATCGTTCTCTATTCTAGTACACCTTTGATTTTTCTATAATGGTTTTGTCAGTCACGGAGAAACTTTATCTGCACGAAAGTCTAGTGAGCAATCCGCCAGCTCGTCCCGACGGTAGAAGCGCAGATCAGTTCAGACCAATTGAGATCTTCACAGATTTCTTGCCAACATCCAATGGGTCTTCTAAGATTGTAGCCAGTGACGGTACTGAATGTATTGTGAGTGCTAAATGCAAGGTGGTGGACCACACCTTGGAGGAGGATTTGATAGAAGTGGATGTCGATATCGCTGGCCATCGAGACGATTCGCCACTCGTCCAGGGAACGCTTTCTGTTTTGAACCGGGTGCTGCTTTCGCAAATCGATCGGGGATCGCTGCGGCTCACGAAAAAATACAGTTTTAAGCTTTACATCGACGTCCTGGTGCTTTCAAGCTATTCTCATCCACTAACCTTGATTTCGTTTGCCATCTACTCCGCACTCAACTCCACTTTGTTGCCTACCTTAATTTCAAGCGACGATGACTTAGATGTGGCGGAACTGCCGACTTTTCACGACTATGACTTGACCAAATTAACCATTAAGGTACCTGTGCTGTTCACAGTCGCCGTTTGTGGCAAAAATGTCATTGTCGACCCTGCCTCAAGTGAAAGCGATGTCGCTAACAATGGTATTTTAGTAACATGGTATGATGGCAAGGTAACAGCACCCGTTAGGACACTTGGTCTGAATGAGGATTACGTATCGGGTATAACGCCGCAGAGCCTCGCGGACGGTCTCAAACTGATTGAAGACATTGCACCAAAAGTGGTGAAAGCTCTAGACAGCTAATTACTCGGATCATCTATAAAAGTTATGCAGGCGAAAAAAGGTTAAAATGCTATAGTCCTCATTAGGTGTGCTGCGCTGAGTATGAATGTACAATGACCGCAGTTGCCGTTTGAATGTTCATTGAACGAATCACACCGGACTGCTTTATCTCCAAGCACAGATCTAGTTCACCCAATAAATGGCCTGGAATACCTTGCGCCTCAGTACCCAGCAAAATTAAACTTTTCGCAGGGAAGGGGAATTTGTTATCAAGTTGTAGCGACTTGTCGGTTTGCTCAAGACCAATCAAAGTATAACCCTCCTTTTTTTTTGAGCGCATGAAGGACGTTATTTCATCAACTGGCACAGCGTCCATAGGCATCCAACGATCAGCCGTCACGGCAACACTCTTAAACTGTGGATGGTTTTTCACTCGGAGATCGTGGACAGTCAATAGTCCAACTCCCAAAACGTCACAAAGTCTACAAATACCTCCTAAGTTCGGGGCCTTGTCAACCAAAGAAGCAACTACGATCAAAGGAGTACGCTTGACAGCTTCGCTAGATTTCATGTCCTCTACATTCATAACGGTTTCCCATGCACCGCTTTTCGTCTGTAACGGCGAGTCCTTTTGTACCTCAGTACCTGACGCTTTTTTGGCTTGGTGTCTCTTAGCTAACCATAGGTCTTTCTCGTCTGTGCCAATTGGTAACTCATCCACACACGTCAAATATTTCTGAAATGTGTAAGAGCTTATATATGGGACATCATGATCTGTAATTTTGAGTAAAACACCACCAAAAATGCCCGTGAGATTGAAGTCAGTATGAAGATTCCAAATGATAGCGTCACCTGGTCTGAATTGTCCATGAACTTGCAATTTTTGAGCATTCAGAAATAAGTTCTCTAAAACACCTTTCAACGCTTCTTCGGTGATATGTTCTTGTAGCGACGGCCACAAGGACAGCATCAGGGAATTAGAAAAGTGCCGGATAAGCGGTTTGTTAGAGGCACAGTTGGGTATTTGCTTAGAGATAAATCTCTCTAAAAATCTTGTGCAGCCTTTAGTGCCAATTACACCTTTCAATGAAACAAACATCACTCTTGCTGCAGTTACTGCCAATAAAGGCCTCGATTGGTCCTCCAAGATTTCAAATAGAGCATCTTCGAGCTTGCTAGCAGACTTTGCAGAGCATTCTTGCGACAGAACAAATGCTGTTATCCATTCCGAGTAAACCCTAACGAGCGGGGAGCCTTCGACCATAATACTCGGGAGAATTTTTTGCTGGACAATGGAGCTTAAATCCGTTATGTTTATCGATTTCACGGCTAACATCAACAGTTGCCACTTGAGTAACCTTTCCAGCTCCTCTGACCCATCTGTACTTTTTTTTGCTTTCAAAATATTTGAATCATTTTCAAAGAGCTGAACGACAGAGTCCTTTTTAAAGTCATCGCTTGCATGAAGAAGAGCGCTGACAATATAAACGCGGCTCGCAATTTCTGGAGTATGATAAACCTTTTGGTAAAGCCCTCCAAGAGTACCGCCAAAGACATCAATTTGTTCATCAAAAAGCTTGGCAATAATAGGTTTCAGTTTGAAAGAATTGACGGGTAGTTGATCTTGGACAAAAATTTTGAACAGGAGTGTCACAAGCCAAGTGTAATTGTGTTGATTGGATTTCAAATCGGCTCCGAATGTCTCCATGAATTGATTTAAGCTGCGGCTTAGAACCGGCAAAAATGTCCGTCTTGAGTATGACTGAGCCGCAATGTCGAGGCCCTGCTTTAAAAGCGTACTATCCAAAGGAAATTGTGGGTTGCTAGGTCCAACGGCAAAGAATAGAATCGTAGGATGGAAAAGAGTCTTGATGTAGCTGAGGTGGAGATCCCTTTGGTTCAAAACAAGCCTGTCGCGAGATACAAATTCCCATATATTGCTCAGTATTTGAACAATTTTCTCGACGATCGAAACATCAGTTTCTATTCCATCTTCCAAAGTTTGTAATTTTGACATAACATATGTTTCCAGAATGAAGTGGCACACTTTGACAATTGTAACGTTCGCCTCGTAGTTACCATTGTCATCAAGTACATTTCTGTTCAAAAGTCCCAGGACAATGTCAAGCTCACTTTCCTTCGTATTAGAGCCTGATTTTAAAGTAGTACACTTCAAAAACGATAACAGTAATTCGAAAAAATCTCGATAAATCGAATCTCTGTATCTAAAGTTCCCAATGAAGTGCGTACCACAGTAAGCAACTAAAGATTCATAAATTATAAGTAGGTCTTCGAATGTAACCAGGTCACAGTTGAGGCAATAGGTCACAGTTTGCTGATAGCACGAGACGAAGAATCTAAACTTATCAACGAGAAAATGTTTTTGAAAGGCAAGATACAGGTTGTCCAGCTTTACAGAGTTCCATGCCGACGATCCAAACAGCGGTAGCTTACTAAGTACATCGGCGTCCGTGTAATCAGAGTCATCTGCCTTGTTGGAAATAAGGTTGGTAAGTTCAGCAATGTAAAATTCTTTGTATTCATCAGTCTTCCACTCGGATTTAACGAGCTCTTTGAGAAATAGTAAGGCTGGGGCATGAGGTTTTACACCAAAAATGGCGTATACCAAAACCTGGAAGGTGCTATCACTATCTTCCGTGAGCGAACATTCGTTTCGAGCAAACTCTTTATCAAAGCATTTGAGTGCCACGTCAATATAATCATCAAAAAGAGGTGCGATGTACTTATAGCTTCCGCCATTGGCTCTAATGTGTTTGATGAAAGCGCTTATCCACGCAAGCGGAGAGGTATCAACTTTGATATGCATCAGCATCTTCAAGTACAGTGTCTGTAGCGTGCACTCAGAAACTTCATCCTCAGAGGTCACTTCAAAAAGTTGTGATATGAGGTTAATGTGATCTTCTCCTAACGAGTGCAGCTTCAACAACTTTAAAGCGCGGTACAGACCTACGCTAATGTATATTTTCGGAGGATCGAATGCTGCCCGTTGATTGTATAAACAGCTCAAAATGGAGAGGATCATTTCTGGAACTTGATCTGAAAATGGACTGCGTTGAGTATGTGTGATGAGCTCTGCAACAAAGTTGCTTAAGGCTTCACCAAATGGGCACTCGTTCCCTATAACTGAAAAATATGGTGCGTACATTGAGGCAGGAAGATACTGGAGCTTTAATTCATGGCAGCAAGTGTGAAAAATAGCTTTGTCCCTTATCTGGAACATGAGACTGACAGTGAACCGACGGACACTTTCCATGCTCGCTTTGAGCCCTGTAGTAAAAATTATAATACCCCACTGGCCATTTATGAAATCGTTTTCCAAGAGGTCTAATATCTCTCCACTGGCAGCTTCAAACTGGTTCAAAGCGGTATCTAGAGCGACTATTTCGTACAGGGTAATGAACCTCTTCCAGGCAGCCATGATGTTTGTGTGGTCCTTGGAAGACCAGCGCACCAGGGTGTTCTCAAACGACTCTTCCTCGGGGAATGCTTGTAGAGTTAGCTTTATTATTGAAAGAGAGTACTTGCGAATTTCGTGAATGTCATGGCCCAGGCCCTGCTTCAAAGAAGACCAATACACATCTGTCTTCGTTAAAGCCATGAACTGTGGACTGATGGGGTCTTTTCCAAGCATAGCCCTCAATATGAAGAGAAGGCACATTTTATATTTACCGTTGTCGGCACCCAGGGCCAACAAATTCGATATTTGGAGCCAAATATCGCGGTCAAAGTCTTGTGTCTCCAAGCACTCCCTTTTAATTGCGTCAATTCGCCATTTGAGAACTTGGGAAGCTTGTTCAGCAATGGGTCCATCCACACTGGCTAAAAGAGAAATGAGTTTTCGATCCAGTAGTGGATCCTGAGGAGACTTTTGGCCATTTCGGAGGGTATAAACTTTATCCAGTAGCTCCAGAGACGCTCTGGACGCATTTTCTAGTCCTCTTTCAAGGTTTTGGAGCGCCCACTCCTGTACACGAGCAAACGTCACATCGAGGCTCGCTAATAATCCCACGATTCCCTCCGCGTAGCCCGCCTCCTCGGAGTCTAAGCTAGCATCCAGACTTTTGATCACTCGTAAACTTACTGATTCCTCGATTTCAGACACTACAGAAGTGCTGAATTCGATTTGGCCGAGCACTTCATGTAGCTCTTCAAACTGCTGTTTGTCCACCAAATTTTGCAATAATTCCAGCTGTTTTGGAGCAGGCAAGAAGGATCCAACCAAACTGGAAATTGCCATTTTGGTAGTTGATTGATCCACTGGTATAGTGGTCTAAACTTCGCAGTTCTTTGATTTCAACTCTTAGCTCATCGCCAAATATCTATATTCTTCGAACTTGGCACTTAATTCTACAGGTCGTGTTATATTCTACGAAATATAAGATGGAAGGTTAACATGACAGCTAGCAACCCCCTAACAAAATCACGCTTAAAAACCAGTCTGACAAGTAGTTTGAACAACTACAACTAGCCTAGCGGATACTTATGGATGATACCAGAGCTATGGGTGACTCGCACAAAGGCGAAACAGCAAGTGGAGCCGACTCCAGCGTGTTGGTAGACGTGAAACGGGTTTTGAGTGGGCATGAGTCTGATCTTGACAAGAAAAGTGAAAGTGGGAGGAGTGACAAGGTAAGCTTGGAACCTGAGGCTGTTGGGATGGTTCACACGGAGATTTTTGACCAGGACAACCCTTTTTCAGCGTCCCAAGGCCGCGCTGGGACCTATGCCAGGGAACAGAGATCAATGGTCAACCCTAACAAGGCCTTCCAGGACAGCGAGGATACTGAACCATTGGTGGTTCGGCGAGGAAGTCACAGCAGTAGTTCGGGGAGCATCGAGATTAGCCCTGATGAAGCTCAGGGCGTCCAGGCTAAGAGGCGATCTGAAGACGAGGTTTACATTTTGGAAGCCTCTAAGGCTTCCGAGGGCCAGGGACGCACGTACATTGCCTATACAATCAAGCATGGAGACTCTACGGTGAGACGCCGGTACAGCGATTTTGAGAGCCTGCGAAAGATACTCACGAAGCTTTTCCCGATGACGTTGATACCCCCAATACCAGAAAAACAATCGATAACGAGTTTCGGAAGAGTGATGGCTGGGTCCAAACCCAACTATTTACTGCCATCGGAGACTGCTGGATCAGTGGACTTGTCGCTTTCGGTGATAAATGGTTCCGTGAACACCAATGATGAAAAGCTCATCAGACACCGTATAAGGATGCTGACAAGTTTCCTCAATCGCCTTCTGCGGAACGAAGAAATTACCAAAACTTCCATCGTGTCTGACTTTCTAGACCCGAATAACGCTAACTGGAACGATGTTATCACTAGCTCGGCCACTATATCATCATTACCCAAGAGCGTTCTGTTGTGCAATCCATCAGACCCTACGAATACCACCAGAGCCCATGCATTTTTGCCTATTCCCTCGTCATCACCCCAGCTACTGTTAAACAAAGAGATACTGGCCTCCTCGGTGCCAGAGGAAGCAGAAGATGGATTCTCAAAAATCGAACAAGAGTATCGAAAGTACGAGAGCATTATGGAAAATGGCTTTTACAAATACAACAAACGAGTGACGAAAAATCTGCATGCTATGCGCCAAGATATGAAAGAATTGAGCGAGGCATTTGCCGCGTTTTCAAATGACCAAAAAAGAGGTGCTGAATTGGCCGAACAGTTGTCCCATTTTAGTAATGCGTTCGATGAGAGCTCCTTAGAACTTGAATCGATTGTCGGCAAGCTTTACTACAACATCAATGAGCCCTTGAGCGAAGAGGTACACATGGCAGGGGCTGCTCAAGAGCTGTTGAGGTATCGGAAACTGAAATGCATGCAAAAGAGCATACTCGCCAGAACCCTTCTCTACCGCAAAGCTCAGTTAAAGAAGCTACAAGAGAAGGAAAACGACGCCAAGAAAATTGACCACCTGGTCAATCAGCAGATGGCCCAGAGCGAAAGAATCAACCTCAAGCATCCCGAGACAAGGTCGTATAGTGGTAAGTTCATCAACAAGATTAACAAGCTCGCCACCATCGTGAAAGACACGGTAAGCTACCAGGATGCTGATCCAGCTACTGCCATAGAAAACCTGGAAAAGGACATTACGCAACTCGCAGAGTCGTTGGAAGTTAGCGAACATGATCTTCAAATGATATCCGACACCATCAGAGACTTTGAGCTGCCCAAGTTCTCTAAAAGCCGGAATGAGGAGGTTTCGGATATTTTGAAGAATTATTCGCGGTATCTGAAATGCTATGCAGAACGAAACCTGAGGATATGGCAGGAGGTAAAGGAGCGGCAAGGAACGTAGCGTAGCGTCTTTTTATTATTCGGAATTAATGCGCGAGCGCAGTTTTTCTTCAGCTTTTATTCTGCTTCCGTGGAGCTTTGCATAGGTTCCCTGCCCTTGTCGAAAATCAGGCGCTGCTAGCCATGACAGCCTTTTCCATGATTTGAGGTAATGGTGATATCCCCCTGGGTTGGGGTGCGAAGACCTGTAAGTTCCTTTTATTTAAAGATAGTACCTATTCAAAACTGTCTTGGCGGATCTATAGTTGAATATACGGGCGGTTTGTTTGTTTTTAGTTGAACGTGGTTACATATTTTCTACACTTGGTTGTGTTCAAATTAAGGGCAGTCAAGTTTGTAATGATTGACATCGCATACTAAACCTTTACAACTTAGAAAGTAAGGTTAAAAATGGGCAAAACGCATGCTCCCGAAGTTATCAGAGTCAAGCGAAAAAGAGAAGAGGATTCTGTAAGAGCCCTTGGTATGTTTTTCTTTCTATAATCGAGCCCACTTCGCCAATTGCAGTTTCTAACAAATGTCTGGGTCGCAGTACTGCAGGAAGATGGATCTAGCAAACGTGCCAAGTTTGTCTTTAAGCTGGCTAGGACAATTGAGTCAGGATCTTATGCAAAAAGCCAGGAATTGAAAACTCCATTGTTGAAGTTATCGGAAGATGGCGATGCAAGACATTTTATCCTGGAACAGCGGAAACGTAAGAGAGAGCAGGGAGACCTTCCCACAGAGATCTCGGAGATGCTTGATGAGTATCTAAGTCTAAAAACTCCCGCTCAGAATGGTGGTTCTGCTAAATTGAAGAGGCCCAGCCGAAGGAAATCAGAAACACCAATTGCATCAGAGATTCTACCGTCAGGCTCGTACGTCTACGACATTTACTACAGGGAGCTAGCTGCGGAAGACGAGTTCGTGTATGATCCAAGCACTGTGGGGTACATCAAGATCATCGAAGATCATGGGGATATGATACCGGAGGAGGAAGAAGCCGATCAAGCTGCTGCATTGTCGGACGATGAGGACTCTAATGACGAGGCCTACTATAGAAACGATTACCCAGAGGACGAGGATGACGACAGGCCCGTGCTCTTCGGGAGTGACGACGAAAATGGGGTGGAAGTGAGAACGGACGCTTGGAGCGACGAGAACTCTCTGAGCGATGCGGCAGAGGCCGAGAGCATCCGGAGGGATATCGCCGCGTTGCAGGACTCCGAGACGGATGCTCTTTTTGAAAAATACGCGCAAGAAACTGACATTTTACAGGCTGCCGGAAACAATTTCTACGACGTAGACGATGTCGATATAGAGGACTCCGAAGACAGCGGCGAGGACGGCACCGCGAGCTTTGCGAGACACAGCTTTTTTCCCGGCGACGCAGAGGATCCCCTGGCCCTTCACCGCGATGAAATATTTGGAAGACTCGAACAAATGCTGGAAAAAAGATGACGAGAAAACCCATGCGTTCTGGTGTGGCCTCATCGTTGGCAGGCCCAGCAAAAGTAACAGTCAGAGGCGCCCAGAACGTGAATTCGTAGCCGATCCCGGGTCCAAAATCACCACTTCTACCGACAGTAACCTCCCAGTTTCTCAATTTTTTTCCGAAAAATTGTTCCAATACAAACCAAGCTCAGATTGAAGCCTCGCCGTTTGTGCTCGACCCATCCTCAGCGGTTCCTCATACTGTTCCGTTTACCCACCGTCGTCGCTTCTCACCTTGCTTAAGGCCCTGTCACTTATGACTGTTTTCTGTCACTGCTTGAGCTCCACCCAAACCTTTTGCATCACGTGATCTCATGTGCTTATGGATCTTATCGCAAGTACGTTCAAAGGACGCACAACATCAACCCACGCAAACCCGATGGTGAAAAATTCGAGATGGCCATGGGCCAGCAGCGGGCGGACCGCGGTGGGCCGTGCGTCAGCGGCAGGAGATGGCTCGGAATTGGCAGGCAGGACACACGACCATGGAACATGTCAAGATAGGTGTTTCTACGAAGGTGGGTATTTAGTAACGGTTAAAGTACCAACGGCGTTCTGATATAATGAAGTACATCCAAACCGATCAGGTTCTAGACATCCCAGAGGGCGTTACTGTCAACATCAAATCCAGAGTGATCAAGGTCACTGGTCCAAGAGGTGTTTTGACCAAGAACTTGAAGCACATCGATGTGACTTTCACCAAGGTCAGCAACAGACAAGTCAAGATCACCGTTCACAATGGTGACAGAAAGCACGTTGCTGCTTTGAGAACCGTCAAGTCTTTGGTGGCCAACATGGTGACCGGTGTTACCAGAGGTTTCAAGTACAAGATGAGATACGTGTATGCGCATTTTCCCATCAACGTTAACGTTGTTGAGAAGGACGGCGACAAGTTCGTTGAAATCAGAAACTTTTTGGGTGACAAGTTGGTGAGAATGGTGCCAGTCAGAGAAGGTGTGTCGATTGACTTCTCCACCAACCAAAAGGACGAGATTGTTTTGTCCGGTAACTCGATCGAAAACGTTTCTCAAAACGCTGCTGACATCCAACAAATCTGCCGTGTCAGAAACAAGGATATCCGTAAGTTTTTGGATGGTATCTACGTTTCCGAAAAGGGCTTCATTGAGGAAGAAGCTTAATTGTTTAATCATTTAAAGTAAGTTGATATTTTCCTGTTTAACAAAAGCTCCTATTAAGTGACGTTTTATTCTCGGTCACACGGACCAGTAGTACATACTATGTCAATACCTTGTGCCAGTGGGGCTGTATCTCGCGCCAGGACTACACTAGTGTGGCGGTCTTTGCAATTAATTGCAAGTATTCTTCGAGTCTGCCACTGGATTGGAACAGTAGATATATCTGATCCGTTTCGTTGGCCACTAGGGTTGCCAGTGAGAGGGCTTCTGTGACAAAACTGGCCACCTTAAGATCCTCGGATGCCGCAACCAATGCCTGATGTAATTCGAATACCATGTAGGGTGTATACAGCGCTCGTATCTCGTGTATCACGTCTTGGTCTTCGCTGTTCATTACTTCTGACAATTCCACCAGAAAGGTCTTGACAAATTTGTAAACAGCACCGGATATGGTTTTTAAAGAATCCAGTGAGTGCGGGAGAGAGGCATTGTCCTCTGAATTAGCTGATAGTTGTTGCCAGTGCTCAAAGTTTTGAAACATGTCGAGCAAGGCTTGGTATTGATGTATCTCTTGAACGGCTGTAGTGCGTCCATCACTGTTATGCAAAGTATCCAGTTCATAGTTTTTGATTAAGTTACTCAGGTCTTGTTTCTCGTACAGATATCTGAGGGAGCCTATTCTTCCGGTTATTAAAAACCTTCTCGATATTACCACATATGCTTCAAGGGCGTCCACATGTAGACGCCCTTCTAAGAGCCACTCGGCACCTGCGACCAGACGTTTGTCCGTTTCTTCAATCTCAGCATGCACGTTGACGCCGGTAATCGGGACATAAGAACTTGATGTCTCTTCGAAAATTCTTTGGGCTGTCTTTTTCAGAATATTGGTTGTCGGCATCTCTAACGTGCGACACAACTCCAGCTGTTTGCGGCGAACACCCGCATCGATGAGGTTAGATAAAAAGAAAGAGTAAGCCTCCAATGTCTCTTCTTCACCTAGGAAGCTGATATAGATAGGGATAATATCGTAAAGTTCGTAGAGTGACAAAATTGTCACGTAAGCGGTAATCAAACTCGACTTGTCGTGCTCTTGGATCGAGCCTGGGTAAATCATATCCATTACGATGACAACATGAGTGACAACTCGCAGTAAATAAGGCTCCTCGACCATATCATTGCCAGGTTCGATGCCCTTGATCGCATTGACTAGCATTTGAACGGAAGAATTGACAATTTCAGGAATTTTATCAAGTATAACGGCACCCATAAGTACACGCAATGGATGTTCACTTTCGCTGGCATGTTTGCTTGATACGAGGTCCAGTATGTTTTGCAGTGATAAGGGCGTAGCCTCAATCGGGGCTAGAATATCCTTAGTGTCCATAGCGTGTTCACTTAACACATGTTTCTCGAACGTTGTTTGCCATGATTGGTTCAAGTACAACAAGAGCTCTGTATCCCAATTTAATGTTATGGTGTCGGCAGCATATACAACATCGCCGGCTAGATATGAGTAGATTGCGCGCTCATAATGTCCAAGGTCCTCACTCAAAGAAAGCGCATGTACGGCTCTCCGCCAAAGTGCTCTTTTGTATACTGCTTCCTTGGTCTTTGGATTTCCAGAATCTGGTGTCTCTGAATCAGAAGCAGTTTGGTCGTCAATTCCGCATAATATTAAAGCAAGAGTCAAATTGTCCGAGTACTCGCATTCTCGCCTAACATCATCTAGTTGGCCTGCCAATATCAGCTCGTAAGCGTACTTGTAGAAGGCTTGATCACTTTCTAGATCCTTAGCGTCAATTTTGCAACCAGAATCTCTAAGCGGGAAGTCCAAATCGGAGCTTCTGAGGTCTCCGGAAAGAAAGGAATTCGGCCATTTACTTGTTCCGATGTTGGCAGGTCTCTCTGGTGCCTTCACGTTCGACTGAATCCATACCATGATCAACCAGAGCTCGTAAAGAGACTTGTCACTCTCTAGTAACGTTTTGCGATAGATAAGCTCTAGTCCAAGGGGTCCCTGAAGACCAATGTCATTCTGATCGAAACTAATATCTGCCGTTCTGAAGTTGATCAACAACTCAATCAGGTGCCATAATTTTGCCTCCAGGTCCCAATTCTCAAAAGCAGTTTCAATATCGGAGCTCTCGTCCATATTAATGAGTTCCAACGCAGCCTCTCCAGTGATGGCGCGAAAATCTTTCACAATATCAAACACATCTCTTGATTGAGGCTCGCTCAATTCACTAATTTTGAAGTCCTTGAGTAAGTTCGCATATTTAACCAGGTGTGCAAAGCTCTGAGGGCTATCTATCTCCATTTTCCACCTTCAGTACGCCGTGCTTTGAGAAAAGTAGTTAACTTGTGCACTTGGATATCTGATGAGATTTGTATTTATTTTGACTTAATTGTCGTCAATATGAGAAGATGTCCGTGGGGAACGAGTAAACCAGGATAAATCGTCTATCTTTCGACAAGCAACTTGAAGGCTATATATTTATAATTATAATGCAATGCGGGGCTAGCTGACCTCCTTTACTTCTTTGTAAGGTCAAATATGCCACTCATAAAATCTTGCACAGTTGTCACCCAAAAAAGTAAGGCTACAATCGGGTAGGTCGATAATAATGCATCCTGATCCGCTGACCATGTAGTGACTCTCTAATTCTGCTTTCGGTATCGAGGTTTGTTTCGAGAGGTCAGGAAGTCAGAAGGTGCCTACCGACAAAACCTCAAAGCAGATTCTGGCTGATTTATTCAATGTCTTACTCTCTATCAATTGTTGGGACCGTTTGAAAATCAGCGGTCTAGATACATCTCCATTCTGCAAAAGCACACCATCCGGCACCAGCATCAGACGTGGCCAAGCCAACCCATTTCCCAGACTCCATATCTTTACCCTTGATCGACACTTCCCAGGTTCCAAACTCAAAATTAGGATCGCTTTTGCGTAATAAATGTAGTTTTCCGGAAGGCGACTGTATGGCAAGGGCCTGCTTGAAAGATTTGTTGAATCCCGGAGATCCATATATGACACCATCGCACGGATGTTGGATAATTTCAAAATCATAATCGTTGTTTGGGAAGAGATATTTGTTTTGAGGTTCTTTGATGTACATGTCAACTTTTTGAAGGGCTCTCGATGGTATCCGAGTGACAAATTCGTAACTTTTGGTGGTTCCGCTGTGTTCCAGAGGTATTATAAGGGACAGCGGATGAATGTTTACCAGGGTTGTTTGCGTGCCTTTGATGCCTGAGTGGATGTGAAGAACTCCCCGTGATGTACCTGGCGTCAATACGGCCTTTACCACAGCCAACCTGTCTTTCTTACGATGCTTAATCTGTACCAAAGACAAGTCCATCTTCTCATTATCCTGGCCAGCCGGTTCTTCAACTACCACTGAGGAAAAAATCTCAACATCGTTGGGAATTGCGATTGTCACCTCGTAAATTTGGTTATCCTGTAATTTTGCCAGTCCATTGCTAAATTTGTGGAGTATCAGCTCATTGTAGAAGAAAGATGGGAAAACGACAGGGAGGCTTAATGCAATGGTCTGATCTACAATTGGGATAATATGCTGCTCCTGGTAAAGGCGTGGCACATGAGTGTATATGAATTGGAGAGGTTGGGAAAGGAAATAAAAGGCTTCTGCATGTTCAGCCTTAGCGTTGGTGATATACTCATGGATGGGATTCGACATGTTTCCAAGAATTACGTCCACCATTCGCCATTCTTCGTTGACCAATACCCGTAGCCAACAATGGTTGTACTTAAAGTCCATATTATTAGCACCTGGAGTCTTTAGAAAACCAACCACAATCTCACAAACAATTCCTAAAGCATTGGCCATTCGCTTGAAAATCCAAGTCAACTCATATGGCGTACAGTATGGAGTGTGCAAGGTTTTACTAAGATTTTGAGGTTCCTTACCAAAATCAGTCTTACCGTGATCATCAACTAGGGCAAAGGTCTCTGTGCAAAAAATAAACGTCGCAAATAACATCTCGACCTGACTTTTAAACGAGGAAGTGACCGTTTGACGAGCAAACAATTCAATAGAAGACACACCTCCTTTCCTCGCCTTCTTTTTGATTAAGTCAGCGATGAATTCCTTATCTATGCAATTAAGCTCCACATCAACGAGGCCAGGTTGCCGCCTATGTCTAACCTCATTCGAATTGATTTCGTCCAATATGTACTCTTGAGGATGTAACACCAAATCTCTGTTGTCCTCGAGGGCTTGCATCTGTCTATCATGGCGCTCCCGAGAGTTCAAAGTTTGAGCCCTGTGGAGGTGCGCTTTGGCTTCCACCCACCCATGTGCATCGCCTTGCGAAGAGTCAAGCTTGAGCGACGTCAAATCTGGAAGTTTTGGAAATGAACCAGTCGGAGAAGTTGGAGAGCGATCACCGCCTCTCGACATAAATTTTTTTAGGATTCCATTCATTTTCCTCGGGTTAGATGAACCATTCTTCGACCTCGCCAATCCGTCATCTGCATGGCCCTGGGACCTCTTAATAGAATCATTGAAGGACTTTGCAAACCGGTGGCGGGCAAAGCTTCCGGCACTCGTTGCGCTGAAATCACTCATGAGGGAAAAGCTGTCCACGCTGCTGGTGACCGAATCATCCAAATACTGAGACTGAGAAAAAAGATTTGAGGAGCCTGTAGAAGAGGATTCCCGAGGACTATAGCCATCGTAAAAATCAGCTGAAGTTCTTTTATAAGACATGCGGGAGTCTAATCCAGAACTGTTTATCTCCGGAAGATCGTTGGAAGAAAAAGACTTCGGTACTACGTTTTTAGGCTTCAAACGCTGCTGTAGCTGGGGGATGGGTGGTAGTGGTGGTAATTCGCTATCATTTTCCCGGCGGCGAGCTCTGGAAACCGCTTCTCGCTTTTGATAATCACTTGACTTCAGTCCAGGCATAGTCTTGTTATGGGATACTCCAAGTTGTGGGGTGCTGTTGGAAGCTGGGCCAAGTTTAGCAAGCGGCTGAGGTATTTTATCCATCTGTGAACCTTTTATAGGAAGATTTCTAGGGACATGGCGTTTTTCATCCTTCACGTCCTTCCTTGGGTCACTCATGGCCTGCTTATTAAATTTTTGTGAGCAAGAGTCGACGCCTCTATTAGGGATAGCGAATTCATGTTTCGAAAGAGTAGTAGAAGAACTCCCTAGATTCTGTTTTCTAGTCGACGTATCGAAATTATTGAGGTTTTCTTGGATGACGGTAACGAAGTTATTAGGAAAATAGCCGTATTTCTTTGAATTTCTGAGCAGCGTGCCATAAAACCAGTCTCCCTTAACCTTTGTTACTTGAATGATATCGTTTTCAAGGAACCCAAGGTCAGAGCGAGTTTCCCCAGACCACGAATAATGTGCCTTAACTTTGAATGGCGGTTGAGGCACAACTGATGACATCTCGGCGAAGCAAATCTTATTTCAAATGAAGGTGAAGAGAAAAGACGATAATAAGTGTGTGTGGTAGCGGAAAGTTGTGCTTTTACTCGGGTAGTGCAAATCTAGATGAATTAAGGTGCAAACATGCAACCAGATGCAGATAAATTTATCAAAAGTTGTTCCTCAACAGCAAATTGGCTGCTGGTTATGCAAAATTTCAGGGCCGATATAAACGTAGCTGAAAAAGCGAATGTTCCAATGCAGCAAGATCAATCAAAGCTATTTGCCAGTCGGCAAGTGCTACTTTCTTCTTGCAAGTGTGTTCCAGTTTCAGTGAGCGGTTGCTCAACTCTTTTTTCTGATGCAGATATGTAAACAATGAATTTAGTAACATCTAACGAAACAACGCTATGCCGACATACACATATATACAGTAGATCCCGACCATAGCCTTCCACATTCCTTTAGTATGGGTCGCTACGAGACTTTAACTATTATTATGGAGTTGATTGGTCGTGAACCTGTCGTTTGGCCTTGACCGCTAACTAACAATATTTTTACCAAATTCACGTGACTTCTGCACCATCACAGCATCCGCTAGCACTAGAGCAGTCATAGCTTCCACAATTGGCACGGCTCTAGGTGTCACAGATGGGTCGTGTCTTCCTTTAGCAGCTAGTACACCATGGGCACCCTCGTATGTGGCTGTGTTCTGTTCCTGAGAAATGGTAGCAGCAGACTTGAAAGGAACCGAAAAGTAAATGTTTTCACCATTCGAAATACCACCTTGGACACCGCCAGAGTTGTTCGTTTTGGTACGAAGCTTCTTGGTCTCCTCATCGAAATAAAAGGGATCGTTGTGTTGCGAACCTGGCACCTGGACACCTTCAAAACCGGAGCCAATCTCGAACCCCTTGGAAGCAGGAATCGACAACATAGCATGCGCTAACAGAGCCTCGAGCTTGTCGAAGCAAGGCTCTCCCAAACCAATAGGAACGTTCCTGACGACACAAGTGACGACACCACCGATGGAATCTTTGTTACCTCTGTATTTCTCGATTTCGTGAACCATGGCTTCAGCGACCGAGGAGTCGGGGCATCTAATTGGACCCATGCTGTCTACTTTTTCTCTCGTAATAGTGTTCAAGACGTGCTGAAATTTGGCATCCAGAGGGTCGCGGTTCATCTTGATGACACCAATCTGAGAGACAAACGCTACAATCTCGACGTTAGAGAGTTGTTTCAAAAACTTCTCTGCGATCGCACCAGCGGCCACGCGGCCGATGGTTTCTCTCGCGGATGAACGACCCCCACCAGACGACGATTTCACGCCGTACTTCTCCAAGTAGGTGAAGTCTGCGTGGGATGGTCTAGGGTATAAATCCATTTCGCTATAGTCGTGAGGTCTTTGGTCCTCATTCAAGACCAGCATACCAATGGGCGAGCCCAATGTCTTGCCGAACTCAGTCCCCGACTGAATCATCACTCTGTCTTTTTCATTTCTTGGCGTAGAGAGCTTCGATTGACCTGGTCTTCTTCTGCTCAGCTGTGGCTGGATATCCTCTTCTGTGAGGCTCATTCCCGGAGGCACACCGTCCACAATACAGCCCACAGATTTACAATGTGATTCACCATAGGTGGTGACAGTAAAGAAACGGCCAAAACTTGACATTGGTCACTAGCTGTTGAACAATTCAAATCAATATCTTCTCCACAAATTCTGTTACCGAACGAGTGGAATCGGTAAGGTTGGTGCAACTTTTGGTCGGTTTGATTGGTTTAGTTGCGAAGACCTTCCTCTGTTGGTATTGTCATTGATTTATTTCACAATGTAGTCATCATAATGTGAAAATTTGTCACTTCGTGCCAACGTAGTCATAGTCAGAGCACTCTAAAATTTCGAACAAAACTGTTGCCCAATCGATCATATCAATTCTTATTCCGTAGTTCCTGTTTCTGTGGTTCTTATTGTATCAAATATATTCCGATTTGGGGTTTAAAGTAGTGGTACTTTCTCGCAGGTTTAGGGTCCTCTTATAATAAAGGCTGACGTAAAAAGTCAGGAAGTTGGGTCCAAATGCAAGAGATTGGAGATTTTGACCAGGTAAGCACCCATGCGGTGACATGCTGTAGTGTCTCTTATGTTTGTGCAGCCCCGGCGTTCTTCTGTCGACCCATTGTTAGTATGTAATTAGTCACAGGAAATTCAGAACATCGCTGTCAGCGGCAATATACTGTCATTTCTGTGTCAGTGAGCGAATAAAGCAGTTTCCCTTTGTTTCATGATTAGTTGGTTACACAACGCGCGCGGTAGTATTTTATATGCCTTGCTTGAGATGATGACGATCCGAGGACCCACTTTCGTGATGTTGCTTTAAAAGAACGTCACCTGGACTGATTTGTTAGGACGTGGTGACGGCAAAAAGAACCATGGAAGCTTGCGGGACGAACGATACTTCACAGTTTGACCCTTGGAGTCTCAGGCTGTGGGGTATCGCACGCGGTTTTGATTAATGTAATTTGTCACTTCGCAATCATTAAATATTAAACTTACTTGTGAGTCTGGGTCCTGGACACAGCTCTTCTTACCAATCAAAGTCAAGTGGCAGACCGATCTAGACAGTTTCGCTATATTTTATATTCATCCTCTAGAGATATAAGGCCCCAACTCTCGTCAAAAACTTTTTGACACCAACACGCATATCTGAAGTCATACCTTTATCCAAGATTTGCATAGCAAGGTCGTACATGACAGCACAATTGTCCTTAAAATCAATATCGTCAAATTCAGAATAACCTTCGAGAATTCCCACCACCACAGGACGCCAAGCGTTGATGATGCGCTCCATTGTCCTGTCATTTAGACTGACATATTTTCTAACGATCAATACTGTCACAGATATTAGTCGAGTAGACAAATCCTTCCTTTCAGCACTAGGGATCTCATCTCTATTCAGGAAGAGAGTAAACAGCACATTGACAAGCACCGCAGCAGCGTTAGCTTCTTGTTGTAACAGGCTAGGAACTTTTTCAATCACGCGGCTGTTGACTAGACGGGAACGCAAGCCGAAATCGTCATTAAAGTCCCTGGCAAATTCGTATGCCTTCTCCAACAAATTTGTGATCTTGATAGCGTCCCTGTATGGGATGTGACTGGAGAAGCCATCGTCGTCGAAAAGGTCGCTTAAGCATTGTATGATCATAACGTGTAAGACACATTTGATAACGATTGCGTTTCGAGTCGTTTGCGCACGCATCAAGTTTTCGCTGCTCTTTGTTTTCACCAAACGTTTAGCAGGCTTACTAACGTCTGTCGCAGCAATGCCGACATCTTCTCCCTCTTCCTCTTGATGTGCCCTCTCAACCTCCTCATCTAGAGATATCTGACTTGGATACTGGCCATTGTCAACCGAGGGCCTGCGTCCTTGATGTAGAGGATCCATATCAAATAGCTCATTAGCAGTCGTTAACTCGAAAAGTTTGTCAAATGCAGCAGTGACCTCATTCCAGTGTTCCTCACTGAATTTGCTCACATTTTGGATGATTAGGTGTTGCAAGCACGATTGTCCGATACGAGCGATTGTGTCATTCTCCTGACAGATGCAAGACACCAATAATCCCAAGAATCCATGCAACATGCTGTTTAAGCAGTCAAAATAATGAGTGAATAAGGCAACCATATTCCTTAATGCTTGAATGAGAGTTGTCGAGAGCCAAACTGATAAATCATCATGACTGTTAAATTGATTAACTTCCCAGTGCTTGGACAGAACTCCAAAAATGGGAAAAAGAAGTTTTGTGCAAATACTGGTCCAAAAAGCATCGTCAAATTCGCCTCCGTAGGCCACCAAAGCATCAAACATGTAATTCAGTGCCCTTGACCTCACTTCGAGGTCCTCTGCAGTCATAATCGCATCATTAAAGCAGAAAAGGACTGGAAACCAAATATCTTGGAATAGATCTTTGCCATGTAGCAACGTCGTATAATCCTTTGATTTGAAACATATCTCAGCAATCTTCTCGGTGATATTTTTCAAAACGGCCAAAGAATGTAACGACATTTTTTGAAACTTTTGATTTTTGGTAATTTCTCTCAACACGCCAACTAAATCAACAAAGGCACTATCCTGACCCAAAACACTCTCGAGATGATTTTTAACTATATCAGTGGCGACCAGTTGATAGGTCTTGACCACAATAGGTTCATGCGTTGACTTCGCTGTAAACTGGAGTGACTCGAGAATGGGCTTCCACCCTGACTTGATTCTTGAAGATTTTGTCAAAATAAAATTTTTGAAGCATTCAATACACATCTCTTGAACCTCAGAATCAATAGTGTGGTAAGTAGCGTACTTGAATGGTTTCAAGAAAGCATTCTGGAATTCAAATCCAGTTAATTCTTCAATATCCAAAAATCTCATGGACAATTGACGAAGAGAGTCAATTGCGAAAAATACAACTGCTAAATTGGAGTTTGTAACAATTTTATTGAATGCTTCACCCATAACTGCCCAGATTGGAGACCATTCAACCCTGATACGATCCATGTTGTAATAACAAACATCCACCATTTTTTGCAAAGAAAACATCCTTGGACTAGCCGCATTGTGTGAAGAATCAATTTCATCTAGAGAGACTTCCGTCAGCGCCTTGATGAAATCAATGATCGCCGTCCCAGTCAAACTGGAACTATTGGTGAAAATGCGATCAATTAGTAACACCACATGACTCGAGGAGATGCTTTTGGAAATCTCGGGAGAAAGAATCTGGTTGTGATGTTTTTCTTGAGCGAGTTCAATGGGTGTCGACTTCTTCGTCCACCTTTCGAAAAAGCCCATAGAAGCTGATCTAGTAGAATCGAAGGAGCTTCTGCTGTTAGCCAACCTTGCTTGAGACACATCAGGTAAAGTTTGTCCGTCAATACCTTTCGAAATTAGCTGCAGCCTTTCTACCTGCGATACGACCAGTAAAATTTCTTTCCACGAAGATTTCAAAAAATTCCCTTCTGTGAGGGCTAGTTCGAGAAGAACAATAGTTGCGTTGACATTTTTGAATTTAATTTCCTCCAAGTTCTGCAGATTAGCAAATTGAACTAATGCCCCAACAAACGAAGTCCTGGCATAATCATTTCCAAAAGTTGAAGATATCTTTATAGATAATTTGATCCCTTCCAAGCACATTTCAGAAGTGGAAGAATCATCATACTCCTTGAACGGTGGCGTAAGAGCAGCAAGAAAAGACATCCACAGTGTATCAAATACCGATTTTACGTGTTCAATGTGAGAAGCAGCATGGTACACAATACTTTCCTTGCCCTTGTGCTTGGGAAGATTCTTGAAAACCAATTCTGTTTTTGAAGAAATTTCTTTAGAAACCTGCAAATACGCTTCTCGATTGAGATCGCGACTGCTGAAAAAATTGAAGGCAGAGGGCTGTGGCTGATTTGTGCTTACATCCCCAGATAGCATGGCTTGGTGTTGCTCTGATTGCAGTTTTATTTCATTGTCCGCTATTTCATTGAAGAGATTGACCATGTATTCCTTTGGTAAATCGTTGCCGTTGTCAATACCCGCATTGTTTTCTATAAATTCTTGAAGACTCATCTTATGTTTGATTTGAGAGGAATGCAGATCTGTATTCAACATAATAATAGAGTACGATAACACATAAGCCGTATCTGCATTTGCAAATCTTCCCGTGTTTTGTTCAACATACCTCTCAGCAAACTTCAGCATAAAACGATCAATTTTTTGCCCTTCACCAGGCAACCTAAACTTTTGCAGAAAAATTCTTAATGCATCCACCAGCGACATGCTATTAAAATCGAATTCGTCAACGAATGAATGCATAATCGTGATGTTTTTATCATCTCCCTCACCTAGGAAATCACCAACAGCAGCCAAATCGAGACCGTCTGTCTCTAAGAGCCACTTGGCCACCGAAGACGGAGTGTCGTCATGTATGAAACCTCTCGCTATCAATTCGCTTATACCTTTCTTAGGCTTATAATTGAAAATGTTGATACAGTCTTGCAGTTCTGTCTTCCGCAACTTTAAATTCTCAAATTGGGCCGGGTCATCAGCTTCTCGACTTAGCTCTAACTGAGATTGATCGATCGATTCAGATTGGCTATTACCAGTGACTTCACCATTGACGTCCATTGATGAGCTGCGAGGGGAAAGTTGTTTTCTTCCGTTCATGCCGGAGAAATTAGAGACAGAGCGCATTCTCGTCTGTGTATTATCGGAGGAAGAACCGTTAGAATTCAAAGCCTTATGAGCCCAAGAGCTCAATGATCTGAGAACTGCCACCATACAATTTAAAGATGTCATTTTGAGCGCAAATTCCACTGGAAAGTTCAAATTATCGGCAGGAGTTGTTGAGGAAATGTTAGAAATCGATAACAATGGAAGCTGGGCCAAATTATACGTAGCCAAAGGCTTTGTTCGTTGGTCATCATAATAAGCTCTTTGTGAGGGGGAGATCTCCACTCTGGTAAGGGCCATTCTGGTTAGGTAATCAACAATGATTTCAACAATATTTGGCAAGTGGGTATCACAATCATAATTCAAGTAAAACTCGATCAGAGTCCTAGGGTCGTTGCAAATGCGTTGAATGACGCTCAAAAAATATCTTTTTTGATGCGGAGTGGAAGATTTGAGATCTGAAATAGGGAAATAAATTTCCGTGAGAAACACTGGAATTTCCCTTTTGAATTCAGATCTTAGATTAGAGATCAAGAGCCACATAATCTCTAAAGTGATTTCAAAAACGGGTGAAATGGGCGATGCAGCATTACGTGAAAGCAGTAAACACAAATATTGCCTGATGGAGTTGACTAGTGAGGTTTGATCCTTGCCGGAGAGGGTAAGCTCCTGCGATAAAAAGATGTCGATATGATCTTTTATAATACTGTGAATAATATGCAGCGATAGTAGCTTTGACCGGACACCATGCGATCTCATATCAGTGTCGTTTTCCAGAGGCTTCGCTGAAATTTTAGTCATTGCCCTAAATACCAGGAACGCGTCTTTTACCAACAAAGATTTTTCATCCTCAACATCGTCCTGTTGCTGTTCGTCAACGATTCGCTCCTGCTCATCATTTAAGTTTTCGAGGTTTTGGAGTGTCAAGGGGGCTGGTGAGTTTTCCACTTGAAGACCACGCACAGATGTCTTTGAAAGGGACCTAGTGGGGGTTGGCAACGAAGACCTACCTAGCTTATCGAACACCAAATTGACCACTTGGGTAAGCGTGGCCTGGGCAATTCCTTGGTTCGACGAACTTAATGAATAGATGAAAATGTTGTAGATTTGCCGAATGGCCTTCAGCAAAGACTGCCCGTGGCACACAGGAGACACACTATCAGTCAGCGTACAGCTTGCCAGGGCACGTAGTACTTGGAGCTCAATGCGGGAGTCAGTGCCCTCGCCCTCGAAACAGTCCGTGATAGTGTCAATAGCGGCATCCACAAGCCTTTGCTTCGGAGGCGGTGTGATTCCGGCTGTTTGAGTATTGTTTTGGTCGTTGGATGCCGTGGAATTGGGTGGATTTATCATGACAGCGTTGTCCAACGCTTGGAACGAAAAAAGTTTGGAAAGACAATCCAGAGCCTTGAGCATCACATGCGTGGATTTGGTTCTACAGCACAGTCGTAGGGGCTCAAAAACTACGATGGAGTCCAAAAACTTCGGGTCGTTATTTGTGGACGCCAAGAGGTCGTCCAATATCTTGATGCTTCTCTCTATTGATTTCTGGACATCGGAGTGCTTTTTCAAGTCCTTTTCGTGCAAAATAGAATCGAAGGTCGTTCGCACAAGCCCAATGGTCGACCTGCAGTTACTGTGTCCCACAGACGACGTGGATATTTTTCTTGAATGCGTACCATTGCTGACCGTGCCGGGAGTTACGGGTGCACCTGGAAGGGTATCCTGTCCAGAAATTGAGACAATGGACGCGGTTTCTTCGCCAACCGTCAAAGCTGGGATCTCAGTGGGCGGCAGATGAGACTCGTTTTGAGTCATAACACTCAATTGACAGGGCTATTGGCGTTCTTTGTCCTGGATTGAAATTCGGAGGCCACTTGCTCATATATCGAAGACTGAAGTTGTATAGATCATATTTAAACATAGGGGAAATAAGCCAGCATCACAAGCCACGAGACCACTGTACATAGGGACGATATACTCGAGGAAACCATAACAGTAGCTCATCGCCAACCAGCGCTTGTCATGTGGATGTTCGGAAGGATATGGGCCAGAGGGCCCGCTGGTTTTCGAGCCAGCAAGATGACGCCAGGGTGGTGTGTTGCACTAGGGCTAGCTATGTAGTAAGTGTGGATGAGTTGAGCCATGGGAATGTGGTGGCCGCCCGGCCACCGTCCGGGCCTTTTTTAGGATGGCGGTATTTAGCATAGAAGTGATGTCTACAGCTGTGAGATTGATTTAGCATAGAAGTGGTATCTACAGCTGTGAGATTGAAATAGCATAAAAGTGGTATCTACAGCTGTGAGATTGATTTAGCATAGAAGTGATGTCTACAGCTGTGAGATTGATTTAGCATAGAAGTGGTATCTACAGCTGTGAGAATTATTTAGCATGTTGGTATCTCCAGCTGTGATATTGATATAGCATCAAGGTATTTAGCCTGGTGGTATCTACAGCTGTGGGAATTACTTAGCACGGAGGTATCTCCAGCTTTGAAAATTACTTAGCCTGGTGGCATCTACAGCTGTGAAATTACTTAGCCTGGTGGCATCTCCAGCTGTGAAAATTACCGGTGGCATCTCCAGCTGTGAGATCGATACTGCACAGAAGTGCTGAAGTGGTATCCACCGCAGCAAGCCAATGAAGCCGATATGATCCTCGATCAGCTATTATTCACCCAGACGACCCGCTTCGAACACGCCCAACACAAGCGATAATAGCAACACTATTACCCCCATAGTCAATTCACTTGTCTTCTGCTAAGCACATTTCTGGCCAGGGTCCAAATCCGCCAATTGGCCCTTCCACGCTACAACCGACGGACTTGTACACTTCCTGGTAGCCATTGTATCACGTGTTCCCAGGCGACTCGGCATGTAGCGAATGACCAATTCGCTCACGCCAAATGGACCCACGGCGCTGCTTGAGGCTGTTCACGAACCCGCCAAGATTAGTAGTCTACCTGACACCAACCTGTCCACGCCCAGCGGCGAACCCCGCGGGGCTGGCGACTGTGAAGTTACACTGCTGCTGTGCTGACTTGTGTCACGAGATTCCGACTCCGTCCAGAGTGCGAGCTTGCATCAACTGATAACACTTGATGCTGATAACAGCATCAAGATAATAACAACCAGGTGAGCACGCTGGCACAAGGTTCAGAGCGGTCTTATCCGTTGGACTTAACAACACCCTGATACCGGAGTTATTTGTTGGCTGTGGAGTTCGACCACGTCGTTGTCGAATCTCGAATTATCAACAAACACAACCAATAGCCCACGCTTGGATGAGATATGACCGTCGGAAATTGAGCTCGCAGAGGAAACAAGGAGGTTTAGGCTGTGCCATGTGTGTCACAATGGAGTTGAATATAAAAGGAGCGCTGCAGAGAGCCGAGGGAGCTGAGTTAGGCTGCTGGAACTGAATTTGATTCCCAAAATAGTCATCGTAATACTACGGATATCACAGTCTTGGCAGCTGTAAGGTACCGTGTGTCACAAAAAAATAATCGGACAAATTTCCACCAGACAGTGTTACATTGCAGGATGGCCCCTGTCGCATTACCAAGAACAAGTGGTCTCCCACAATCCCAGATTTTTGCAGACCACCACATTTGCAAGAATCCCGAGAGCCACACGCACGCACCCCAGAAAGTAGCGGCACCAAAAAAAACATCCACCAAAGCTGCGCCCTTCGATGACTTGGTGCTAACCACCTACCCTGAGGACTCCAGCCCCATTCCTCTCAGCTGGGGGGCCGCGGGCCCGCAGGCCCGTGGCCCTGTAGTCGCGTCGCGCTACCATGACGGCCTGACCAAACACAACAGTATCGGCGCCCATTCCGGCTCGTATTGCGTGTACCACGCTCTGGCCGTCGGGTCCAAGCAACTGGACCCCTACCATGTTGCCGACTACACCAACTCGCAGCCTGCGTTTTCGGTTCCTGAACAGAAGAGCTGGTATAACGCCAAGGACATCGTGGCGATGGATCCCTTTGGCCATTTGACCCCATACTTATTCGACGAAACCTCCAAAACCGAGAACGTCGAAATCAGACCCACCATTGCCATCACGAAGGCGACTATGCAGTTGTTTGAGATGAAGGACGCGGTGGCCAACAAGCGCTTGGAGGTTGACGGTCAGGTGGTGCTCAACGAGAACGGGGATCTAAGCGTCTCCAAAGTAGCAGTCGAGCCGGTTTGGTATTTGCCCGGCGTTGCAGAACGGTTTGGCGTGCCCGAAACCGAGCTCAGAAGGGCTTTGTTCGAAGACACCAACGGCATGTACCCGGAGCTGGTCACAAGACCCGACATCAAGGTGTTTCTGCCACCCATTGGCGGCTTGACCGTTTACATTTTCGGCAACCCTGCCTTCGTGTCAGACCCCTCCAGAAAATTGGCTCTCAGAGTCCACGACGAATGCAATGGCTCGGACGTGTTTGGCTCCGATATCTGTACTTGTCGCCCTTACCTCATGTTCGGTATCGAAGAAGCCGTCAAAGAGGCCCAACAGGGCGGTTCTGGCGTCGTTGTGTACTTCCGTAAAGAGGGCAGAGCGCTGGGAGAGGTCACCAAATACTTGGTTTACAATGCTCGCAAAAGAGGCGGCGACACCGCCGACGAGTACTTCCACAGAACCGAGTGCATCGCTGGTGTTCGCGACATGCGTTTCCAGCAGCTGATGCCCGACGTGTTGAAATGGCTGGGCATCACCAGAATAGACCGCATGCTGTCCATGTCGAACATGAAGCACGATGCCATCGTGGAGCAAGGTATCCCAATCGTCGAGAGAGTTCCTATCCCAGATGAATTAGTCCCACCGGACTCTCGCGTGGAGATCGACGCCAAAATCAACGCCGGTTATTTCACAAACGGTAAGGTCATGGATCAGCAGGAACTGAAGTCGGTGCACGGCAGAACGTGGTCCGATATCGAGTAAATGCGGAACTCGGACGGCTGTTTTTGATGTTGATTGTCTCACGGCCAATGATAAATATGAAAACAAAGAACCTTTTGAACCTTTTATGGGAAACCACCAGCGTATGATGTAAGTTAGATAGAATACAAATACGCCTGTATGAGCTGGAATGAATATTAAAATATGTTTAAGAGCGTGAAAGCTGAGGTGTCGCTGTTTCCTGTCGCTGACACTTTAGCCAACATATCACTTGATACTTTCCTGACATCGCAAAGAATTTCTACGCACTTCTATAAGAATTGCCGCCGCGGTATATAAAGGGAGCCCATTCCCGAGAAGCATTTTCCATATCCATCACACTACTTCTACTAATCACACTCTAGAGTATACGATTGTCACTCAACCAAGATGAGCTTTCACCAACCGTCATTGTCGTTGTACGATGTTTTAGATGCACTGTCCAGACAGGCAGCTTTTAGACAGGAGAGATCAGAGAGCAGAAGACCTCAAGCCAGAGGCCATTATGGTCGGTTCAACAATAGGCCAACCGTGGTTAATTCCGGCTTTCAGTCCCCTTATTACCCCGCCGAAAGACCACGTTCGTCTTACTATCGCCCCCGCTACTACCAAGAGTACGATGAGTTTGAAAGCCCTCATTTGTGGAGCGAGTATGAACGTCCTAGAGCAGCTCCTGTGGAAACAAGAGAGCAAGAAGTCCCGGACTTCTTACCCAGGCTCTTGAGAGCAGTTGCTGAAGAGGGAGCCATGCAAAGGCAGTATCAAGAGCCGGAAGAGTCAGAGGATTATGATGGCGCTTCGAACCATATTGAACACGGCCAACCTTCCGGCATTCCACTCTTGGATGCCCTGCTAGGAAACACTTTCCGGGGAAGTGAGGTAGGCGATACAGAGGAGCCCAAGGAGCCCAAGGAGCCCAAGGAGCCCATAGAGGCGGCTCCTATGGATGCTGAGGTGGAGTCGCAAATCAACCCCACGCCCGCTGCACTAGATACCCAAAGCAGCCCCACTACCAAAGAAAACGTCCAAGCAGCAGTTGAGGAACGTTCGGATGTACCAAGCCCAATTCCAGATCCACTGCAAGTCTCCAAACCTCAAAAACGCCGCGGAATGCCATTTTCTCCCGCCGTTAATGTGTACGATACCGATGAGGCTTACGTCGTTGTTATGGCACTTCCAGGTGCCACTTCAAAATCCTTCAAGATTGACTACCATCCTTCTTCCCACGAGTTATTCATTAAAGGGAGTTTGGACAACAGATCTGGGCTCGACGAAAAAACACTTCGGGTATCGGAGCTCAGACTGGGGAAGTTTTCGCGGTCTTTCAAGCTCCCGGTGCTTCCAAGGATTCAGGACGAAGCCATAAAAGCCACCTACAACAACGGGCTGCTGCAAGTAAAGATCCCCAAAATTTTGAACGAGTCTCATCAACATCCTCCTAAGAGACACATCGTGATAGAAGATGTTCCGGACGAAGAACTAGAGTTTGAGAAAAATCCAAATCCGCCAACTAGCCTCTGAACCTACAGCAATTAGTCCCTTCTCGCGCATGAGTTAAGGGGAAGAGCCAGGATCTATAAATTATACGAAAGATACGTAGTTATGAATACATGAAGAACTGAATACCAAGGAATCCCCTTTGACAGAAGTACAAGAGCTACAAATGAACTTTAATCCACTTCCTTCTCAATGAAGAGAAAGCATTTGTGAAGTTTATGTATTCGTTGATATAAAGTCCACATGCATTCGGAGCTTTGAATCAGAGGTTTTATTTGCGGAGGCCCCCTTTTAATTTGAAAGATAAATACGTCAAACCGCCCAATGAACTAACTAAAGCATGACAGAACTAGATCCCATTTATGCCTGGTGTTTAACTTCTTGATAAATTGAATTAGTCGCTTGTATCTTTTCGTGTCACTTATGTACTTATAAGCAGCTCTCAATTATACCGTACTCGCCATCTTGAAAAATTTTATATGATGAGTGAAGCTTCCTTAGGCCTTCAACCTCTTCGAGCTACTAACGTAAATAGTTCAACGAGCTTCTGGGCATTTAGAACTTCCAAATATGTCTGAACAAGGACAGGATCAATCACAGAATCAACAGCAGCGTCAATACAATCAGTATTATCAGAACGCTGCTCAACAAGGTGGCTTTCAACCTCAGGGCAACGACTTCTCGCAATATTACCAAAGTTACGACCCATCGGGGGCTCAAGGCTACCAGAGCTACTCCAATGATACGCAACAGGGATACCAGGGATACCAAGGATACCAGGCTCAGGGCCAGGGCTACAACGCCGGCTACCAAAACTACAATCAAGGCGGTCGTGGTGGATACAAGAACAATCGCGGTGGATACAAAAATTACAACCAAGGATACCAGAACTTTAACCAAGGTTACACGGCCTACAATCCAAATCAATCTTTCCAGACTTATGACCAACAGCCTGCATCCCAAGGCATGACTCTACAGGACTTCCAGAGTAAGCAAACGGGCACTTTGAACACCCCTGTGACTAATTCTACGCCATCAACCGCTTCTACTGCCGCTCCTGCTGCCAAGCCTAAGAAGACTTTGAAGCTGGCATCTGGCTCGGGTATCAAGCTCGTTGGCGCAACGAAGAAACCGGAGGTGGTCAAGCAGGAGGCCAAACCAGAGGAAAAGACCGAAGATGCGAAAAAAAGCACTCCGGAAGCCGTCTCCAACGCTTCCGAAGAGCAAAAGGACTCCAAAACTACAGAAGAAGCTCTACCTAAAGTAGAAAAGCTTAAGGTCACTGAAGACAAACCTGCCAAGAAAGCAGCCGAGTCTACATCTGCCAACTCTGCTGAAGCCCTTATTAGAGAACAAGAAGATGAGGTTGACGAGGAAATTGTGAATGATATGTTTGGTGGTAAGGACCACATGTCCATCATTTTCATGGGCCACGTCGATGCTGGTAAGTCCACCATGGGTGGTAACCTGCTGTACTTGACGGGCTCTGTTGATAAGAGAACGGTGGAGAAGTATGAAAGAGAGGCCAAGGATGCTGGTAGACAGGGTTGGTATCTATCGTGGGTCATGGACACTAACAAGGAAGAAAGAAATGACGGTAAGACCATTGAAGTCGGTAGAGCTTATTTCGAAACAGAGAAGAGACGCTACACCATTTTAGATGCTCCTGGCCACAAAATGTACGTATCAGAAATGATCGGTGGGGCCTCTCAGGCCGATGTTGGTATTTTGGTTATTTCTGCTAGAAAAGGTGAATATGAAACAGGTTTTGAAAAGGGAGGACAAACGAGAGAACACGCTCTACTGGCCAAGACTCAAGGTGTCAATAAGATGATTGTTGTGGTCAATAAAATGGACGACCCTACAGTCGGCTGGGAACAGGAAAGATATGATCTATGTGTCAAGAACATCTCTGTATTTTTGAAGGCTATTGGATACAACATCAAACAGGAAGTTATCTTCATGCCTGTTTCTGGTTACACAGGTGCTGGTCTCAAACAACGTGTCGACCCTAAGGACTGCCCATGGTACACTGGACCATCCTTATTGGAATACTTGGATGCTATGACCCATGTTGATCGTCGTATCAACGCCCCATTTATGCTACCCATTGCTTCTAAAATGAAAGACCTGGGTACTATAGTGGAAGGTAAGATTGAATCTGGTCATATCAAAAAGAACAGCAGTACTCTGCTGATGCCTAATAGGATTCCTGTGGAAATTGTCAACATTTTCAACGAAACTGAAGCTGAAGTTGACATGGCGGTTTGCGGTGAGCAGGTTAGACTGAAGCTTAAGGGTGTAGAGGAAGAAGATATTTCTGCTGGCTTTGTTCTGACTTCGCCAAAGAATCCAGTAAAGAATGTTACCAAGTTCGTTGCACAGATTGCCATAGTCGAATTGAAATCGATTATTTCGGCTGGTTTCTCCTGTGTTATGCATGTCCACACTGCCATTGAAGAGGTAACAATTACAAAGCTACTGCACAAGCTAGAAAAGGGTTCCAACCGTAAGTCAAAGAAACCTCCCGCTTTCGCCAAGAAGGGTATGAAGATCATTGCCGTTATAGAAGCAGAGGGACCTGTATGTGTGGAAACATACCAAGATTATCCACAGTTGGGTAGATTTACCTTAAGAGATCAAGGTACTACCATCGCTATCGGTAAGATTGTCAAAATTGCGGAGTAAATATGCTAAATCATGTACATGTAGTTCAAACTAATGCCGAGGCTTGAGACGAGCCTTTTTATCAAGCTAATGGCTGGTGGTAAGCCTCTCAAATACCTTCAGAAGCGATTCCACACCCACGATGACATTTTCATCGTAGCCTGCACCAGGTTGCAGTGTTGAGTGTGCAAAATCGATCAACGACAAAGAGCTCAAGTATTTTTGCTTTTCGTCAGCCTCCTCTTCCTCATCACTGTCACTTAGGTACGACAGTATAGAGCCCTTGACTAGCTCGTGTTCATTGTTCAACTCTTCCCAACAGGCGGAGTCTCCCTCGTATATGAACAATAAGCTTGATGACACCATTCGTATTTCTTCGTCAAGCAAAGTGTTATAAAATAACATCAATCGTTTGTAGAAGACGTTGTAAAGTATACGAATTTGGTCTTCGCTCAGGTTTTCATTCCCAAAGAACAGCTTGAAAGCGTCGTCTACCTCTTCGCCCGCTAGCGCCCGCCCGTAGAGCTTGTTAATAGCTACGTAGTTTTCCTCGTCCATCTGGTAGAAACTAGGGTTCAAAAGCTCCGTTTTTGAAGTCCGTTGCATTTTGATACCACAGATACGTATCCCTAAGCTCCCTGAGGTGGTTTCATTACTAACTTTCTGCATTCGTAGTTTTTTATCTTCCGACACCAGCTCATCATACAAGACTCGGCCAAGCTTGATATCAAGGATGTTAGGTTTGCTAAAGCCCACTAACAAATTCTCTAGCACCAAGATTGGGTTTTCCTTCGGGACCAAACCGGGGTTGGTCCGCAACGACGCAAGATGTGCTGCTAGCTCTGGATCTGTGTGTGGCGCCCACGATTCGATAGAAACATTCTCAGCAACCCCCGTGACTAATGTTCCTACAAACGTCGGCATCCACGCTGCCAGGGGTACTTGTTGCCCGGCATCGTCGTCGGACGAGGTTGTTTTCGACTGAATATTTTGATAGAATTCGATTTCAGCAGGCGTCGATGGCTTGAAAACAAAGTTTCTTTGACATCCGTGAACGCCCCATCGTGACCGGCGGCCTGGTGTCGTGCCCTTCGGTATTTGCTTTCCATCTGTGTGGGCCTTCAGGTAGTCTGGTGCCATCAAGTCAATCGGCCACGCTTCCGTTATCCCATGTACAGGATCACCTACAACGTCACAAGAAGCTAACAACTTTCAACACACACTAGTAATTATGACCTAGTTGTTCAGCTTAGCATTTATCTGGCTTTCTACCAGCATCTAGCCCCGATGTTGGTACTTCTCGTAGTTCTTGTTATCTAACTTATATTTTTAGTCAATAGAGGACCTTCCTTAATCGAAGGCCACATAAAAATGCCATCTCAAGCGACCTTTCTTTGGTCGAACACTGTGCTGCTCACTACGAAGCACAAGAGCGACTGATGTGGGCCTACAGAACAATCTTGGACCTTCCCTTGCATGCACAATAACCATTGTAGCTTCTTTTGGGCCGGAACTCTGTCGTCAAATTGCCTTTGCGTTCCGGGTCACCAGTTGGTATTGTTAGATAGACAGATCCTGCTGCAAAAGACGACTTTACTATTTTTCTAGAGCCCGCACGAACCCCAGAACCATGTGGAACCATGTGGAACCATGTGGAACCATGTGGAATCAACAATATTTGGCACGCATGGTCACCAGTCTCCTGTGGAACAATTTTTTATCGATTCAGTATCAATGATTCCCCTCTCGCTCCAATTTAACAACTGCTTAGACTACTCACTGTGCAGGTAGCCATCAGAGCACACTTGGAAGATAGAAAGATATTCAATAGCCGTTAGGCGTCGTTTTGTTGAAGGTTGGCGATAACTCACTCTTATCAATTTTACCATTTTCGGAAGTAAAGCTCCAGACCCTATCGGCATTGATTATCCCTTTTGGTATGTGCCTCGAGATAAGCTTTATCTAGCTGGACGATAAGCCTGGCCCTCGTCTGCTACTTTGCTAAGAGCCGATAAGAGGCCCATTGGACACTGTAGCGGGATCAGCATCGCTCGTGTAAATGCCACCGCAAATATGCGTACTTGAAGCGACTCTACTATCGATTTAGCACTTATATAAGAGGCTTGGCTGGGCGATTTTCCATGATGTCGAGTTTTGTTTTGTTCTTGCCACGGCCGCTGACACAATGGCATCACAAGACACTCGCGACATGAAAGAAGATATCAAGGAGCCTTATGGGATTCAAACCGGGGAGATCTTGGAAACGAGAGGCTCATTGTCGTCTACAAGCGACAGAAAGTCAGGCGGTCTTGGAATCGAAGCAGAGCATGCTGTTGGCGCCGAATTATTTCGCGAGGCCATGGAAGGCCATGTGGACGTTGACGACAAAGAATATGCACCCATCAGACGAAAGATCGACAGATGGCTGCTGCCAATTCTGTGTGTCACGTACATGCTGCAGTTTTTGGATAAGTTGTCGCTCAACTATGCAAATGCGTATTCGCTGAGCGAAGACTTGAATTTTAAAGGGAACGATTACTCGAACGTGGCCGCAATCTTTAACGTTGGGTATTTGATCGGGTCGATCCCGGGAAACTGGCTGTTGCAAAAACTCCCAGTCGCTAAGTTTACTGGCTGTACGTTGATCGCATGGGCGATTCTACTGATTTCCCACATTGGTGCCACTAACTACCGCACCATGATGGCGTTGCGGTTTCTGTTGGGTCTCATGGAGGCGACCATTTCGCCTTCCAACATGATGATGTGCAGCATGTTCTACAACAAGCAAGAACAGCCATTCAGAATGTGCACGTTCCTGAGTATGAATGGTGTGGCCACGATGGTGGGGGCCCTTTTGGCCTACGGACTGGGCCACTCCACGAGCACGTCGCTAAAACCATGGAAATTGATCTTTTTGGTTATTGGACTCATCAACCTCGTTTGGGCTTTTGTGTTCTTGTACTTGGCACCTGATTCTCCATCTAACGCTCGCTTTCTGACGCATGACGAGAAGCTGAAGGTGGTGCAACGGGTTTCAAAGAACCAAATGGGTCTCAAAGACACCAAGTTGAAGCCCAAGCAGGCAGTTGAGGCACTTTGCGATTTGAACTGTTGGATTTTGGCACTTATCGGTCTCGGATGCGGTATCATCAACGGCGGTACCTCAAACTTCATCTCTTCGCTCATCAAAGGGTTCGGATTTTCAGGCTTGAATGCAACACTACTACAACTACCCACCGGTGCAGTTGAACTGCTCTGTGTATTCTCGGCCGGCATCCTTGCCCTGTATACAAAGAAAAACATTAGAGTCATCCTGCTGTTTATTTTGTGCATTCCTACACTTGCTGGTCTCGTGGGTATTCACTTGATACCATTGGAGCACAAATGGGCTCTGGTCGGCTGCTGTTGGTTGCTATACATCATTGGTGGACCAGTAATTATGTGTTGGATTCTGCTCAACGTCACCGTTGCGGGCTCCTCCAAAATCTCGACCTCTAAGATTATGTGGTTCTTGATGTACACAGCAGGCAACATCATCGGGTCTAAGATTTTCTACGCGAAGGAGGCCCCACGATACTTGACCGGTATGAAGGGCCTGATTTCCTCATACGCTTGCATGATGCTCTTGTGTATCGTGTACTATGGTATGATGCTGTACAGAAACAGATCCAGAGACAAGAAGTACGGGCCACTTACGCCCGAGTCCGAGCAACAGGGTATTATCGACGGATTCAAAGATTTGACCGATTTCCAGAACAAGAATTTCAGATACTCCTACTAGCGTGCTGGCATAATTAGGTACTGGAGGGCTCTCTTGTTTGTTCGAGGCGAATTAAATACAATATAGAATATAATATACTGCGGGCGACAGAAATATACAAAGTGATGACTCGTCATATACCTCGCCACAATGATATCAGACTATCTGGGGGCAGTTCATTTTCCTCATTCTGCTTCAATTGTGCCATCCGTATGACCATTTGGCTACCCTCTTGTACGCTCGTACGCACGGCGTCTTTTTGGCCCTCACAGTGAACCGCGCTAGCTACGGTCGCTCTTCAGATGGTTCCCGTGCTGTTGATCCACTTGGCTCTAGTAAATGTGAGCTATCCAGCGTCCTCTTTGGATAATCATCTTCAAAAAGATAGGCCAAAGCCTTTCGCCGCCGCCAGTCCTACAACTCCGCGTCACACTCAAGCCAGTGACACACCCGTTATAAACGATCACTTCACACGCGCCGTGCTAGCGAATTCTGCTAGACAGAAAATTTTTTCCTAGGCAGAACGGACGCCGGCGAATTAGGCGGGATCCTGCCTAGTTCTCCTTACCGGAACTTTGACCTCTAGAAGGAGAACTTAACCAACTCCACAAAGGAACTCTTGGCTACTGGAAGTGTCACAAGCTATCGGAAACGATATCAACATAAAGGATAACAGCTCCACACGTGATGTCTGAGCCATCCATCAAGCTCAAGGCCGCCAAGGACACGGTATGTCGTTAGTTTATCGCGGTGTTGTTTATATCCCGTCAGCCACCAGCAGATCACGGTCAAGGTGTTCAACAGGCTGGGAATTACGTTCAAGTAAAGCAATGCATCATCGTCTGTGTTGATCGCTCACAAATACTAACTGGAATGCGCCCATGCACATAGCTCGTGTCGTCGCTGTTCGAACTGTCGAAGTCGGCCAACCAAAGTGCCTCCTGTATCATTGATTTTTACAACGCCATCGGCGAAGATGAAGAAGAGAAGTTGGAAGCTTTCACTACTTTGACGGAGGCACTACAGAAGCTGACGTCAGCCACCAATCAAATCCATGGCGTCAGTTCGGAATTGACCAATCCAATGGAAGACGACAAAGATGTGATTCCAGCCATCGTGTCGCCAGTGAAGACACCAGCAGCCAGGAAAAAGCAGGAACGTGACCCAAACGCTCCAAAGAAGCCCTTGACGGTGTTTTTCGCCTACTCTGCGTACGTTCGCCAAGCCTTGCGCGAAGATAGGCAGAAGAGCGGTCTGCCACCTCTGTCGTCGACGGAAATCACCCAGGAGATTTCTAAGAAATGGAAAGAATTAAGTGAGAGTGAAAAGTACAAGTGGAAGCAGGCCTACACCGCTGAACTCGAGAACTATCAACAGGAAAAGCTCAAGTACCTGGAGGCCAAGAAGAACGGGCTTGCGCCCGTACTGGAGGTCCCCAGTTCCGCTCCGATCCCAATTCCAGACTACCTTCAAGGCGGGCTAGAAGATGAATTCGAGCCACCAAAGGAGAAAAGACCTCATGAGGAAGACGGCAACACCGGCAGTTCGGAAAAGAAGAAGAAGAAGAAGAAGAAGGACAAGAAGAAGGACAAGCACAGCAGCAGCAGTGCTATGTAATATTAAGGGTAGCGAAAATTCAAGGCAAAACCAGTCTAAAAAAAATTAAAGAACCAAGAAAAGTTGAGTATTCTTCCTTCTTCCCGCCTCGATATATGCTGTATTTCTATCTTCTCCCACATTTGCCGTTGGGCGTATTTGTATCAATATATCTGTGAATATTACTTCAAAATCGAGTTTCTTTATTAATATGTACAGGTATACCTTGCATAGTCCTCTACTGTTGTAGCTGCTTCTGGATCAACTCGGTCATGTTAACCAACTCCTTTGGAGCGTCCTGAGGCCTCTTCCACGATTCGGGGAACTCGAAATCGCGCTTTTTCTTGCGCAAATTCTTGGCTATCGTGTGTCTGGTATCTAGAGGAACGTCTGCAAAATCGTCTTTTGTGTCCTTGGCTGCGTTGAACAGAGCCTTTAGAGTGTCGCTCAAAAAGCGGGCATTCTGAGCAGGCTCGGGAAATTTGTCACAAGACATCTTGAAGATATCAGTTAGGTGGTCATACCGGGTCTGAGCCAGCAAGCGGAACTTGTGAACCTCTTTTTCGGAAAGACCGAGGTCCTTGGTTTTTAGACTCAAGACCACTTTACGCGCGTTCGGGTGCTCCTCGCCGATGTAGGTGGTGTATTTGTAAGTGACAGGACTGGCCTTGGGTGACGGTCTCTGGTACTCCTGGCGGTATTGCACCAAGGTGGGCAGCTCGTAGGCAGCTAGTCTGTTGTAGAAACGTTGTTCACGGTGTTGTTGAACGAGGTCTTGAGCCTGTGACGGCAAGTCGTCAAACATGAACGGCCGGGGCTTGAAGTTGTCCTCCATGTTCAAGCCTTTCAGATCATAAGCCGCCTGCTCACCACCATAATACATCGCTGTAATGGACCTGGGAGCCACGCCGGTGTGCTCAGCCGTGGAAAGTAGCGCATCTAGCTCTTCCTTGCACGGTTTGTACTGGGATCCTAGCTTGACAACTCTTTCCCGATACAGACGGAAGATTTCTTCTGGCTGTAACGCTTTCCATTTCGAAGGGTCCAGATACAAATCAGCCGCGATTGTGCTGGCCTGAGCTGGTTTACTCGCAACTGCGTTTCTACAGCTCACAGCAGAGCGGAACAAAAGCGAAAGTCCAGGACGCATTGCTCAAACACGATTATGACGTTTAAAAGCTAAAACTGGACAAAACGAAGTCTCTTCTGTCTCTCTTCCGCTTCCAAGTCTTAATGTTCGTACCGTACTTGGGACATCAAACTTCATAAAAGTTCTTTATCACTGAGCACGTGTAAACTTTTCAGGTTAAACTATTACAAGTCATCTGTAAACTGCATTTACAGAACTGACTTCGAGAAGCTAAAGCGATTTTAAAGAGTTAACGGGCTTCACTTTGATGTCAGAATGTCTCGTCCACCACGTAGAGGCAAAGGAATAAAGGACGAGAATCAAGAAGACGAATTGGCGCACGAGCCGTCTCGAATTCTGTCTTCAGTGCTTAAGACGTTGGATCTGACATTCGAAAGAGATATTGGCCTGTTAAATGGGAAACATGTACGATCATTGCCGGGCTTACCACCGCTACAAAACCTACAGGGGCTGCTGAACAAGCTGGAGACAACTTTGGAGCGGATTTCCGCCAGTGACCGGGCCACTATCGCTACAATCAAGGAAATTTTGGAAAATGCTCCTCAAGCAGCAGTTGCAGCAGCAACTGCTGCTGTACCTGGCGAAAATTCACAGTTGGGTAGCTCGCGGCCACCAGAACCAGTCTCGGAAGCCGGTCAAAGTGACGACGAGACGGGTGTTGTCCCTGTGAGGCCCGCCACACGCAAGAGATCTCTGAAAATGGAAGACGAAGATGAGGAGGAGGTGATGATTCGTCCGCCTGCCAAGAAAGCGACACCAGCAGCTCCACCCGCGGAACAAGGTGGCTCACCTGAAAAGAAAACTCAATCGGAAATTGACCGCATCGAAAGCGACCCCTCAGTAAAAAACCCCAAATCAGAGTTTGTAGGCTCCCAAACTCTTCCTGCAGCTGCCGTAACACTTGGCTTGTTCACAAATGAAGGTCTCGAGAGCACTGGAGAAGAATTTTTGAAGAAAAAGTATGGGGTCTCAAGTTATCCAGCCAGTGATTTGAAAGATCTATTACCAGGAGAAATTCCGGACATGGACTTTTCGCGGCCCAAACCCGCTAACCAGATTCAGTACACTACTTTCCTGACCTCTGTGGACAACTTTTTTAGGGAACTGAACGAGGATGACATAAAATTTCTGAAAAACAGGTATTTGGTGCCGCCCAATGTCTCTGTAGAGAGATCTTATGATCCTGAGGTAACACCATATGTTATCCCAAAATTGGGCCCAACTTATATTGATGCATGGGCTAAAGAAGATAATAATCAGAACATTGCTAACCTATCACCGCCCCCTTTACAAGATCCTTCCAGCATTCTGCCGAAAAAATCTAGTAGCGACTTAAATGATGATGCTTTGGAGACCGACGAAATATCTTGCGGTCCTTTAGTCTCTAGACTGCTGTCTGCAATCATGAAAGATGAGACCAAAGATGAAAATGAGCTGGATTCCTTGGGTGACAACGAGTCTAAAACTCACACTCCTAGCCTGGGGAACTCTGCTTTGACACCTTCTAGCGAGATAGACGATGAGAAATCGGCAAAGGGTCAGAGTTCAAATTTTCTCCCGCAGCAGCAAGAATGGAAAGCCAATAGTGTTAATCTTGATTATCCCACGTTTGAGGAGCGTTTGAAAAGAGAACTAAAGTATGTTGGAATCTATATGAATTTACCAAAGGATGAAGACAGCAATTATGGTGAAGACCCTGATTGGCTTACCGGTAGGGAAGATGATGAGATTAGTGCTGAACTACGTGAGTTACAGAGTGAATTAAGGCAAGTTACCAAGAGGAATATAAAGAGAAAGTCGATTCTTGTGCCTCTGGTAGAGCGGCGTTTGGCTTGGCAAGAGTATGCCTCTATCCTCGACGACCTAGACAAGCAAACTGATCAGGCTTACGTGAAAAGAATCCGAGCTCCAAAGAATAAAAAGAAGAAACAGCAGGCTGTCGCTTCTGGCGCAAACTCCACCTCCCAAGCTGCAATCCAGGCGGCACATCAACAAGCAGCTAGCTCGAGTTTGAAATCTCTGTTAGACAAGCGAAGAAGGTGGGTGTCTAAAATCGGACCTTTGTTCGACAGACCAGAAGTAATGAAAAGGATGCCTAAGGAAAGTGTTTTTAGAGACTTAGATCAGGAAGAAGACGACGACGATGCTGATGTTTTTGGGAGCAATGGGAATGGTAAAGATGATGAACTCACTGACAGTTTACAAAGTAAGGATGAATGAATAAATGCATTTTGTTAATATATACACGATTGTAAGAGTACTCGGTCGAGGTAACGAACTACATATTTAGACCTCTTTCAATATTACTCAAAGATGGAACAGTCTTGGTGTTTCCTAAAGCTACTATGGATATAGGCTTATCTTTCAATCTGTAGTTAGCCCAAGTTATAATGTCATCTTTAGTTATACGGTCAACTTGCTCGAAAACTTGCTCGGGAGATAGCCTTTTACCAGTAGTGACTATTTGTCTTCCAATGTCTTCGACGATAGCCGTGGAGCCATCGAGGGACAGTAATAGAGAAGCCTTCAGTTGAGCTTTTGCCCTCCTCACTTCGGCATCCGTAATGTTCCCGCTCTTTATTCTTTTCCAGTCCTTCAGCACTTCATCGATAATGAGCTTGATATTGTGCTCTTTCGAATCTGTGACAATGTACATTCCCCACAGGCCAGAGTCCGCGTAGGATGTGGAGAAAGACATGTAAGAATTGGCCAAAGTTCCATTATTGGAGGCCGCAACGGCTAAGGGTGAAGGTGAGTTTGTGCCAGTCCCTAAGGCTCTATCCCAGTTGCCGACGATAGCCTGAGTAGCAAGAGCAGTGAAATAATCTGGAGCAGACCACGAAACACCCTCGACTGACAATGCTATATGGGTCGTGGGTAGCGTGTCTTCCTGGATCTTGAGTTCATTTCCGTAAAAAATGGGAAGAGGACCACGAGGAGATCCTAAAGGAACAGGTGATTCAGATTTAGGAATGTGCCCAAAAAACCTCTCAGCAGCTTTTACAAGCTCTTCGTGATTGACTGCGCCCGCTCCAGCAAGCACCATACGATCACCTTTGTAGTTGGTGGAGATGTATTCCTGCAGATCGCGTTGCTGAATGGTCTGGATGTTTTCGATGGGACCCAAGATGGTACGTCCTAGTGGTTGGTTTTTGTAAGTGATGGCATGCAGGTGGTCAAAAACAACCTCGTCGTACATTTTGTCGACTTCCTCACTCTCACGAATAATGACATCTCGCTCCCGTTCTATGGCGGATTTGTCGAGCACTGACTTTGTCAGAATGTCGCTCAAAACGTCTACTGCGTTTGGGATGTTTTGAGTTAGCGTCTTGGCATAATACACTGTGTTTTCTCTCGACGTATAGGCATTCAAGTGCGACCCAATGTTTTCGATTTCCAATTCAATTCCGACCTGAGAGCGAGTTTTTGTTCCCTTGAAAGCCAAATGCTCGAGAAAATGTGCCGTTCCGTTGTTTTTTACGTTTTCGGCTCTTGATCCGGCATCTACAAATATACCGACCGTTGCGCTCGAAGTGTTCGGGATCATTTCAGTCGCTACCGTGAGTCCATTAGACAACACCGACGTTCTTGTGCTTGGCAAGCTGGTTGCAAGCTTCCTAATAAACTGGTTCCTAAGACCCAAGTTGCGAAACATGATTGCTAGGACTATGAATGCACTTTTTCCGCGGACTGGTGCTTTTGATAACCTACGCTATTTTATACCTAACCAGTCTAGAAACTTGGTACTTACAAATGTCATGAGTCTCGATTCATTATTACTCAAGACACTATATACGGAACCTGGATAAGTCCTACTTCTTGAGCGTTTGTGGTGATGTTGGTATGAACACAGCTCTATGACAGGTTGACTCATGTTTCAGTGGGCACGTTTAGTCCATCGGTGTGATTGCATTAGGGAGTTGGCGTCGGCCGTAATTAACTTGGTGAACTGTTTGATCAATTTGTTTATAGACATCGTGTATAAATTTCTGGGTGGCTGAAAGAAAACCCTGAGCTAGTAAAGCAACTTGTTGCTGTCTCTGTGTGATATTTTGGGCTATATATTTGGTCCATATCTGGGACATACGGCCGGTATTCATACGAAATTGTGAAGAAAATAATCTGCGTGCAGTCGGAGCTGGATAATCCAACAATTGAATCCCACAGATGGATAATTGGGTCGTTGGATGATCTGAATGACTGGTCAGAGCATTTCAATGTAATTGTTGCCCCTCTGAATCCTAATTGTTGTAATTTTCGCCTTATACACTTTCGCTTTAGTGACGTTGTGAGTATCACTTCGTACTATGCTGACACTAGGTTGGTGATTACTGTTATGCAACTCGATGCTATTCAAACAGTGCTAGATTACTGGCACTTGGCATTTCCGGTAATAATTGAGATTTCATTTGTTGCAGATCACATAGTTTGCGCTTCAATAAACCGAATATGGGTCTCCTTTTTTGACCTTCGCACGTTGACTACGTGGCCTCAATCCCCTACAAAAATCCTATCGAAACCTTATCGAGGATTTCAATCTGCACCTCCTGTGAGTCGAGAAAGGATACAGATGTAATTGCTTTACATCAAATGCATAGCACAACTCTGCTCAAGACGGCGGTATTTCCCGCGATGTTTCAGATTTTATCAGCCGTCAACACTCCGGAGTGGCGACTCCATATACTGTTCGCCTATTTTTGAGACATTGCTCTTCTGGCTACGGCAGTCACCGCTCTGCGACGTGGTCTTTACAACAGCATTGGACAGACAAGTAAGCGTGCTTTCTTGGCGTTAGTGGTAACAGCCGTATTTCTACACAGCCGTCGTCTTGACATCTTGGTGGGGAGTGTATAGTGATAAAAGCGAGGGCCCAAAGACTCAATGTGTATACTATGCTAAATCAAGCCGCAGCATTGGGGTCAAAGCATCTGATCCACTTATATAGTTCTTCTGAAATATGTATTTACAACGATCACCTTAGCCAAGTTTACTCTATGGGCCCCTTCTTCCCTGTGCAGTTTCTTTTTTGTCCCTTGACTATCACCGCTCTGCTCGGTCTACCATCTTTACATGCGCTACTCTCACTGACGCAAGAAGCTAGCTGAAGGCATTTGTTCAATGCTTTCGGATAGCTCTGTGTAGGTAATATCGACCATGCCAGTATTGGAAAAAATGATGATATTGATGTCAGTATTGCCAACGTCGGGGCAACATATGAATTTGTGAAAGCAGTCAGGTTTGACGCAAGCACCCAGTGCCGCAACACTTTGCAGCTGTGCAAACGTGTGCTGTTCTAAATTAAGCAGCCGGGCTTGACATGTAAATGCTACATCTGAGATGCACATTTCTCAGTCGATTGGATTTTTTACGAAACGTCCTGCTGATGGTATTAATCATTAATTTTTAGCTTTTGGGCTGAGTTCCAAAAGGCAGACCCCATGCATACGCCCAAAGTACGCGCCAGACTATCCTACCTTACGCAAAATTCGGTGTCCCAGGGTAGCATCCGTAGACGGCAGAGTAATATCGAGCGACAACAACAACTAAATCTTTCCAAGAACCAGTTTCTTTGGTTTTTTTTTTTTTTTGGACTACAACAGAGCTCGAAACTAGTTATGAAGCGCGGACTCGGCTAACTTACACACTGCAGGCATGCAATCGCGTCTTCAACATGCCAATCCTTGTCGTGCTCGAATCGAACCATATCACAACATACGAAATGGTACATTTTCGGATCCGATATTACCACCGTTATACACTTAATTAAACCTCATGTCCAAAACCTTTCCTGAGGACGACAAGTGTCTAAAAGCCGAAAAATCGGTGGCCTGTTATCTGGATTACCAGCTTCGCATTTCAACAACAAACCAAGTCCTCAGCCTCTAAACGTCGGCGTCCACTCCCTCTTCAAGTCCAAAATGTTTTCCAAATTGATGTCTAGAGGACTGATGCAAAGATCAGCTGTTAGATCGCTCCACTGCACTAACCAAAGATCCTTCACTATCCCTTTTATCCCCAAATTACCCCAAAACCCAGGTGGCGTCAAGGGCGACGTTAACGAAGCATACGTTCCCCCTTCTTCCGACAAGCTGCACGGCTCCGTGCATTGGGACTTTGAACGTTTCACTGCAGTCGCTCTCTTGCCGCTGGTAGGGAGCAGCTTGGCCGCTGGCGGAGACGTGAGTGTTGTTGCTGACTCCTTGCTAGCAACGACACTTTTGGGCCACTGTTACGTTGGGTTCCAATCCTGCATCATTGATTACATCCCCTCCAGAGTTTACGGAAAATACCACAACTATGCCATGTACATGCTAACCCTCGGCTCGTTGTTTGCTGGTGTTGGTATCTACAAGTTGGAGACTGAAGAAAATGGCCTCAGCGGTGTTGTGCAAAAGCTATGGACGGCTAGCACCCATTCCGAAGGGGAGAAGAAGTAAAACCTACAATTAGGACCCGAATTTTCCATTTAGCGCGCAATGGGCCGATCTGCTGCGCCATATCTATTTATTATTCTTTATTTATATATACATTCTTAAATGTTCGATAACTTGTTACAATTCACAGGTGAGTTTGGTTTTCCATTTTCGAAGGTCCTCCAATATTGTTCGGCCGGAATTTTCCACTGTAACGAACTTCAAGGACTTTTCTCCGTTGTAAACATCCCGATGCTCGTGGCACTGCAGTATACATATCTCTCCGCTGACTTGATCAATACTGAACTCTACCCAAGTGCCAATACTCATCAATAATTGATCAGCCTCTATCGAATTTTGTAGTCCACACTTCGTTCGTATTTCTTCGACAGTTAAAGTTCTTTTACGGCAACATAAGTCCAGAAGCGTTAGTCTTTTTAGTTTCCGCCACATTAGGTGCGTGAAGTCGTTGATATCGATATTAGATGCATCTTGTACTTTACCAAAGCTGAACAGTTCCAAGAGTTTATTATCCAAATCGTCAGCTGCATCAAGCCATAATGACTTGTAGTGTATTCGATCGATGTTCTCGAGCTCTCGAAGAAGCTCTTCATTTATCATTCTCAAATGATGACAGGTCTATGGAATATACGAAATTAGTGTTCTTGTTACTCGGTTCGTGATAAATAAATCATTATACCTAAATTCACCAAAATTCGAAGCGGGGGATGCAGTTTCAGCTGACATAAATGTCAACAATACTTTACAATGCTAATTCGAGCTTGGTTCCAAGGTTCCAGCGGAAAGTTAAGCTGAAAAACGATCCAATTGCAGCCCAAGTTGGGGGTGCGAGTTTTGAGTCTAGTCATGCCAAAAATTCTCCCGAATACCTCCGGGAACTTGCCCAGTCTGTTTACCCAGATCCACTTCGATCTAGAATTACACAGATGGATTACCATAGGCTCACTGTCCATGCCTTTTTCGCGCTTGTTTTCAAAAATTTTGTAAGCTCTTGGTTCGGTCCCAAGATACCTTCGACAAACCAAGACTTTCTCACCGACCTTTTTTCAGCTGTCGACCAGCTGATAGACCATTTCGAAAATCATTCTTTCGATTGGGAACGGCTAGTCCTTGACGATATACCGTTCGTCATAATACGGCATTTCCAAGTTTTTAAGGAAGGTAGCAACAGCTTTGCCCGGGATCCGGCATTTTTAAACGCTTCCTCTTTCATTTGCTCTCTCGCTAACAGTGAGTCCAAATTAGAGGCCACTTTACTGAAATCTCTGTATGAGAACTTGATTTGTGGTAAAATCCTTAACAGCATTGCGAATCCTGACTTGGTGCTTGAAGTCTTAAACAAATTATTAACCTCTGTTAACCAGAGGTCTCAATCAAGTCCTGTGAATGTGAAGAGAAAAACTGGCGACTTGAAACTGATGTTTTCTTCCCTTTTTCAAGGTCAATCTCCTCGTCAATTACAAAGACCGTTCGCTTATCGTTACCTTTTTACATGTTTAAAGAAAATGACTAGCTTCGAGCGACGCAGACCACTGTTATACTGCATCTGCAAATATGGGCAGCAAATTGCCATTAAATTACCCGTGGTTGACAGAATAATGTACCGCTTATTCCGGGAAAACATTGTCGACAGAGTGTCTACTCGCTCGAGGGCTTCACTGATATTTAACAAACTCCGACAGCTTGTGTTTCCTACAGATATATGCATGGGACCTCCCAGGGTGGCTTTGAATGAAGCGCAGAGACAGGCCCTTCGGCTTGAATGCCAACAGAATCTTCATAAGTTGGTAAGCCAATACCGAATCGATCTATTTTTAGGCCTTACCGACAAGGACCTTCACGACTTTGTGGCTCTTTTAAGCATGGATCAGAGGTCGAACCGCGACTTGATGCAAAGGATTTTGACGTGCGTAGTGGCACATTCATGCTAATCGAATACCCAGTCTTCAAGAAGAATTCTTTCTACTGCAGGTTTGAAGTTACCACAGTCGTCAATGTATTCGGACCAAAGAGATTCTTGTCCAGAATTGATCGCTATCAGATGCTTACGACGTTGCAGGCCTACTTGTGTATGTATCATGGCCGAATGCAACCCGATCTGGCGACCGGCACCATTTATTGGAGCACCTCCATACTTCAAGTCATTTTTTATGGGAATCCCTATTTTCGATAGTTGTAGTCTAATCTGATGTTTTCGGCCGGTACAGAGCTGAAGGGCCAGGGCACCTGAATCAATCTTCCGAAACCAGCTTTTCATTCCGTCGTACTCTAGGTGGCCCTGATCTGGAATGTGGTTTGTTTCCCCGTCAACAAGCGCTATGTACTTTCGTATGAGCTTGTTCCCAGCGTTTCCGCCTTTTCGTAAGTTCTTTGAGAATGACGCCGCGGCACTCTTTGTTTTGGCAATGAGAACACCTCCTGTCACATTTGTGTCTAATCTATGAACAGTGCGCCATTCTTCGGCGCTTTGGCCTTTATTATTTGCTTCAGTTCTTACCAGATCGAGCAGCACTGGTGGTGGGTTGCCATCATTATTGCTCGCCCATTTCGCGAGATCAGGCATCTGGGAAAACACTCCAATTGGCTTGTTCACCACCAGATAGCATTTACAGTTATATATGATACGAACAGGGACCTTCGGAGACATTCTCTGATCGAGATCCTGAGTGTGTAAAGTTAGATCAATTTACGAGATTTATTTATTAAAGCGTTAACTTCACCTATTATACAAAAACCATACAGAGCCGGCAAACTGCACAGGATCGCCGTTGATAATATATCAAAGTATTCAATAACCGGATAACTTTGCTGTACGCTTCAAGTGTTTGAAACCTGGGTAATAAGCTTCGAAGAAGTGGTAAGACTGTCGCTGTGCAAAGGCGGCTAAATGACAAGTTTCCCTGGCGACAAAACGAATATTCCTAAACGCTTAACAGAATGCTTAGAATACCAGCCCTTGAATTTTCTCATTCCAAAGAGTGGCTTGTGTGAGCTACTTCACTCGTCTCTACGAGTCGCCCCCGTCATCAAAGGACCAGAGTTTCGCGTTGGCGAGAGAAAAGAGGCCTCAGTACATAGACTTGAAGTCGATGAGGCACCTGAAATTCAATTTCGCGAATTTGCACTTCCAGTAGGAAACACTCAAGACGCGTCTATCGATCTGTTTTCGGGTTTGTCTGATGGAGCACAGCAGTTTTTGAACCCAAATTGCTTCGAGAGGGCCAAAAGGGCCCCAACTTTGAGCGCCAGCGAACTTACAGACCTCTCAAACAACTCAGATAGCCTTGAAAGATACAATGATATATCTGTTGTTGATGATGATGCAAGTTACAGGGACATAGAAACCGAAGCTAAAGCTAAAAAAGTCAAAGCTGCTGCTGAAGAGTATTCGTTGGATCAGGTTACTATGCACAGCCAATACCTGAAAGAGTTAGAGAGAATCATGCCTTACTTAGGCGATGATACAAACTCGGCCCATCTTCATAATCAGCTTTATTGGACGAAGATTGGAGATCTTAGGGTGGTTTCTGAGACCTGCCTTGAAAGAATAATGCTGATTCTCAAGAATATCTCCCAAATTAAGGATGTTCTAGAGAAAATTCCATTTGACACATTGAACAGGCTGTTACGCGTGTGCTCGGAAAGCATAGATGCCATTTTGAAGACGGGGGAAGTTGGCCATAACAATGCAGCCTTCAAATCTGCCACTGTCATATTCATGATATTTCTAATGGACATTGATGAAAAGCGTCTTTATTTGGAGCGTTACCTTGTTTCAGTTGTCTGCTTCCTACAGAAGGTGATCGAGTCCTTGACGGACAGCGACACCAGTATGGCAGCGACAGCGGATGACTATTTACAATTGAAAGCAGCCCTGTCCTTACTGTCTTCCTACATTCAAAAAAAGCCTATGCAAGAGGAACAACTGATTACTAAACTAGTGTACTTGCTCTCTGACCTCCTCACGTTCAACCCAATCATGGTCAAAGGCATGTCTTCCCTATCTACTTGGCTTGAAACTCTGCGAAGAGAGAGTTCTGTCGCTCTTATAACAATGTTTGAAAAGCTTCCTACGCAGCGGATATTTATTCTCGATGAGCTTCTCTTCAGAATCGATGCTCTGCCTACAAGCAGAATTCGGAAGAAACTTCAAAAAATTGGCGACTCTTTATATGCAACACACCTTTTCTTGACAATAGCTCGCATGCTTCAAGCGGTTAATTCATCAGCATTTCGACCTTCATCAGAAGGCCTCGATAAAACCCATATTGAGGAGTTCATCAATACATTCAAAGAGCAACAGTCTGAGCTTTCGTCATTTATTGAACATGTCAACAATTCTATTCTGAACAAATGCTTTGCTGTCAATTCCTTTAAGAAGTACATTCTGGACAATTATGTTCAAGACCTACTTGCGATGACCGTACACCCGGCTTGGTGCGTGGGTGAGATTCTGCTTGCATCTTTATTGAAAAAAATGCTGCTAGTATTTAGTCCATCCCATCAAAGCAACGCCACTAAAGAGTCTTCCATTCTACAGATTATCGCAAACGTTGGAAGTACTATACAGGATATCAAACTTAAAATCAAATCAATTGAAGGTGTCACATTCATGAGCGTCTATAATGACGATGAAATGCTAGGGAAAGTCCTTTCAAGCTTCCAAAATTGCCTGTCCTTTCTATCTCAGGCCAACAACGATGTTACTTCGCGAGATTTTTTGTGGGACAGGAAAATAGCGTGTCTAGCGGCTATTTCAGGGCTGACAGTAGATAATGCGATTCGGAAGGAAAGAATTGACTCGAAAATTTTGATGGCCCTACAAGAAGTAGGTGGAGGAGATTGCCATAATAGTTCCTTACTGTCATCTTCAACACCGAAAGACCCCAAGCATGACTATTTTCTTTTACTTCAAGTGTCTGAATTATTAAGTCTTTTCGATCCTTACGTTAGACTTGTTTTGTCGCTGCTAAATAGGCAAAGTGTCAAGCTAAGGTCGGGGGCAATCAAGTGTCTCGCCCCATTAGTATCTAACGATCCCGGAATGCTAGAGGTGCCATCTATAAAAAATGTCATAGAGAAAAGGCTCTTGGATTCATCGTCCTCCGTTAAAATGGCAATCTTGGATTTATTGAGCTCGACCCATTTGACTGGGTATTATACCCTCATTAACTTGAATTACAATGATGAAAGTGCCACAATCCGAAAGCAAGTTTTAAAGTTAAACCTTGATATTTATGAAAGAACCAGCGACGTTGGAATTAAAGCTTTTGTGGCCAGTAGAATATTAAGAAGAACAGAGGATGAAGAAGACTCAATCATTGAAAAAGCCCAAACCTCTTTGCTAGAATTTTGGTTTTTGAAGACTTCGGGTGGGGATCGATATGCTTTAGGCGAAGACGCCCACCAAAAAGAGGTTCTCACTGTCATTTCCACTCTTGTTGGCCAGTATGAAGAGGATTCACAATTATTTGAGACCTTCTTGAATGAATATGTTCTCGACGGGACTCTGCACACCAAAGAAACTTTCGAAGCGGTCAATTTCACTATTCGTCATCTTACCGGAAAGCTTGTAGACGAAGCCATATTAATGCATTATGGGAATGACGAATTGAAGGAAGCGAAAGTTCAGTCAGACGCTAACATCTTTCAACTGCTGGCAATATTATCTGCATGCGAACACGCGTTCATCAGCAAAGTTCACATCACAAACCTGTTCCCCTATCTCATGTCCTCCGAGCTTTCAGACCTGCAGTACTACATTTTAAAAGTTTTCAAAAACAGCTTCTCAAAGCTGTCATACTTCAAGACCAGTTTCCTTATTGAATTAGAGAGTACCACATTGGGAAAACTTCCAAAGATGAGCGTTCGAGAGATGGAGGAGGCCATTCCACTTTGTTGGTCCATACAGCGCCAAAAGGGCGACGATACTAGAATTTCGAGGGCCTGCGCGTCGTGTTTATCGTTACTAACACCATACATCAACTTATGCATGCAAAATCCATCGTCAGTGGTAGCAGACGGTAAGGTGCAACGACTACTTTACCTCGCTGCTGGCTTCGCAAGATTTTGCAATTTCACAAACTTGGAGGAGAGATTTCCCAACCTCAAGTCAAATGAACCTCTTAGTGAGTATGTTACGAAATGCCTGCTTCTTTTCACAAGGCCAGAGATCGACCCACTCTTGAGAAAGATCGCGTTCAGGAACCTACTTAAGGTTGGCACTTCCCATCCCAAACTGTTTAACTCACCTAAACTTTTAGGTGTGGTTGACAAAGAGTTTACCTCAAATAATTTGGTAACAAGCCTAGTGATCGTTCAATGCTTCTCAGACTTATTTATAAGTGAAGAGCAAAAGGCCCTCCAACTGACTCGCCCCGTGCGCTACTCCACCTTGAAAGTCCAGAGGGGACGCTCAATCGAGCAGTCTAAGCCTAGTAGTGCTATTTGTCCAGCTGTGGCCTCTCGATATTTGAAAAAGGTCTTGAAATTAGCCCTGCAAGAGGATACCGCACATTCTTGCGTCACGTTGCAATTTATCGAGCTAGTGCTTGACTTTGGTTATACCAACCCTGTGAACTGTCTCCCAACACTTATATGCTTATTAGGTTCTCCCAGCAGCGAAACGAGGAGACAAGCCATAGTAGTGATAGAAAACACTTTCAGCAAAAATTCCAGTTTACCCTTCAGTAATTTGGGAAATGGGTTTAAAGCGGGTGTTGAACATATTAAACGGATGCAAGAGAGCGGAAGATCTTGCAACGCAATCTTTTTACCTGCAGTGCAAAGCCTCATGTATAAGCTGGGCATGAAGCCATCAAGATTTTTTAACGCTTACAAAAAGACCTTATCTTCCTACTTTGGCGCTGGAAAAGGCACATTCCCCAGAGTGCAACTCGTTATTCTCTGCATGAATATGGCTGGCCTCGGTTTTGACAGCATACTTGACGTTTGTGTCTTAGCGCGGCTGCTTGACGTCAGGGCCGAAGAATTGTTGCAGTCCATTGAGCAGATGGCTGACGATGCCACGAACGATACAGCAGCAAAAAAGCTTCCTAGGGATCTTATCATTTCTCGTGAGTGTCTTTTAGAACTGAGGATTTATTTATGCCGGAAATTCGGGATCAACGATGAGACGGTCGCCGGTGTAGGAACCAGTGAGGACGAAGACTTGAGAATGAAGCCTGCGGAAGCGAAGCATCTCGATATACAGTTCCAATTCCCGCCAGCTGGTCTCGATGAGCATGAATTGTGCAATCGTTTTTGGAGTACTCAATGATGTGCAATATACGGCGTGATTTTGATAAGTATTGAGGCTTTTTAACCAGCGTACACTTTTCAGACTTGATGGCTCCTTTTCGTTGGGGAAGAAGAGTTACTGCGATGATTTTTCCTGCCACTTGTCCTCTTTTTGGGGGCAGTACTGGCTGGGGCTGCCCCATCACGATGGCCATTGGCCCAATTTTGATGCTTCACTGGTCTGGTCACATAGCTTTGCTTAGGAAATTGTGCATAATCTTTAAATTTAGGCGGAAGAGATTCCGCCATCCGACACCATTTTTCTTTCTCGGCCTTTGAACATCGCACAATGTATGCTGGCCTCATGGGTTCAGCTACGATGGCATACTTGTAGTAGCATGCTAAACTTTTTCTCAATTGTATCACAACAGTTCCACCATACCGGCGCTCTTGCCGGCTCTTTCTTTGCGCTTTTATTTCCGAGTTTGATAGCCTTTCGTCGTCCTCGTCGGAAGTCAGGTTCAATTCGTCAAAGTCTATCAAGGCCGGTCTTCTATAATTGTTTATGCGCTTTACTGTATTGGAAAAACTAAGATCTGGGTCGACGACTTTGGCCCTCCCTCCGCGAGCAAACGAGGACGCAAGATTTTTCATGTCGCCAAAACGCTGCAGCATAGCCATGATGCTCGATTGCGTTAGGCTTCTTTTCTTTTGTAGTTCCATCTCATCGTCAGGATTTTGAACGATTGTGGTTTTTAATAGCCGTTTGACCCAATTGGCTTCCGATTGCAGATCTTCCAACACACCTCCCAAGCGTTCCGCTTCGGTTTCGGCTTGAATTTTGTCTTGATTGACCATTCGTACCTCCTGCTTGTACATTTTACGATGGTAAGCTGCGTATATCTCGTCTGATAGTGGGTCCATTTTGGCTTCTAATGATTCCATATGGTGTGGCTCAATTAGAAGCCTCGGCATCTGATACAGTTCACGTTTTTTAGCAAATATTTCGTCATCCTCTGATTTGTTAGCTACCTGACGATCACTACCAGTGTAGCTTGCACCGTGTCGAGTCAGAACAGTTAGTTTCTTCTCGCTAAACAGGCCGCCATGTGGATTATCAAAATTGAACAATTCTTCGTTGTTAGACGCAGCTGGAGATTTAGATCGAAGTTTCCGTTCAGACTTAACATTCATCGATTAATTGCCTCCATCAAGGGTCCACGAATTGGGTTCTTTCGCGGTTTTGATTGTGGGCCAATTTCTTTATCTTCATGTTTTCATTAATCAATAGGAAAACACTAATCGTTTCCCCCAGACTTCACAACCGTAACAAATAGAGTAAGTCTAAGGAACCTTACCTAGGGCTCAAATGTCATTCCGAAGACGAGAAGTTGACGATTGCCACAACACTGTCGACCCAGGGTTAAAAAAAAGCGAGTTTTTTAGACCAAGATTAGGCTCACAGGGGAAGCATGGGTCAATACGGCAACAAGTCCACTGGCGCTATCTGATTGCATGGCTTTGTCTGTGGGTGTGCCTCATTCAGTACTACGAAGTTTCGGTAGTGAAAAGGGCGATGAAACGATGCCAATGGTCGAATTGGGAAGAATGGCCAGAAACGGCCACTCCTCATCATATGGCAGTGCTGGCAGACCCTCAGATTATGGACGCTCACTCATACCCGGGAAGACCATGGATAGCCAACTATTTTACTCAACAAGTGGTAGACAACTACCATGCTCGCAATTGGAAGTATATGCATCACATACTCGATCCACATTCCACATTTTTTCTGGGAGATCTCTTCGATGGGGGGAGACGGTGGAATGACTCGGATTGGATGCAAGAGTACAAACGCTTCAATCAGATTTTCCCCAAGAAGCCCAACCGCTTAACGGTGATGTCATTACCAGGAAACCACGATATTGGGTTTGGTGATACCGTTATTCCGGAGAGCTGGGCACGATTCAGTACCTATTTTGGCGACCCTTCCTCAAAATGGGATGTAGGTAACCATACAATCGTGCTGTTAGACACAATTTCCCTGTCAGACTCGCAAAACGAGGCCATTTCTGCTGTTCCGCGTGAGTTTCTCGACCGTTTTGATGAAAGTCCAAGGTCTACACCCAGGGTTTTGATGACACATGTTCCTTTGTGGCGCGACCCCAACAAGCAACTTTGTGGTGCAAAGAGAGAATCTCAGAAACCATTTCCGATGGCTAAAGGCGAACAGTACCAAACTGTTATTGACTGGGGTTTGAGTCAGGAGGTGCTGCAAAAGATCGAACCTTCCTTGGTCCTCTCAGGGGATGATCATGATTACTGTCATATTGAGCACACTTACTTGTCTGATAGAGGCTCAACCAGAGCTGATGAAATTACAGTTAAATCGTGCGCGATGAATATGGGAATTTCTAGGCCAGCAATACAGTTACTATCACTATACAATCCCGATCTACTGTCAACTTCGAAAGACACGTACCATACAAACATATGCTACCTACCGGACCCTTACAAGGCTCTACGAATGTATGTGTACACATACGTGAGCACCATACTTTTTCTATTTTGGATCATATTTCTTCCAAAATCTTTTAACAAGGTTTTGGAGTCAGCCATGCTGAGGGGATCTCGAGAATTTACCCATGTACTGCCAATTGCGACCAAGAAGCACGGCCTTAAAGCAACCCAAGAAGACGTTGACGACCTATTGGCGGTCAATGGAAACAGAAAAATCAGAAGGTTCGTTATGAATGTCACTGTTATGACTTTCATGATTTTTTGGTCTTCGCGATGTACTATAAGAAAAGCTGAAATCAAGACAACCCAATCTTGCTAACAAAACTGGTCTGATTAAAATCAGCCCTTCTCGATACGTAGGCGGAAATGAGATTTCGATCAACCGTTGCCAAGTGTCCCTCACTGGTCAAAGAGTTCAGTTCTTCTGGTTGAACTGTGAATAGATTTGCGAGCTCCCGCAAAGTCGCGAAATCATCCAAAAGTGGGTCAACAGACCACTCTTCAATTGCTGTTTGGATACCTATTATATCTTTTGTTACAATAATGCCTCCAACAGAACTAACCTGGAACTTTTTGTAATGGTCAAAAAGATATAGGCACAGATTTCCTCCAATCTGTTGTAAAAATGATTTAAGGTTTTCGGACTTGAGATAGGAGCTCACTTGTGGGTACAGAGAATTGAGATCCCTAATTATCTCTGCTGCAGGAAGAGTGTCATTATCCAGAATGTCTTGCGACGAAGAGAGAAAATCTTTCTTTTTCTGTTTTGACAGGGAGGTTACGAATCGCTGAGTAAATGCGATTATGGTTTCGTCCACCACAATGTTCATTAGCAGCTCGCACCGTCTGATGTAATTATTAGTAATTGATATGATAGCTTTTTTGGTGTCTGGAGAATTGACGAATAATGGAAGAACAACTGTTTTTATAGAAGCAGATATGAGGCTCAGGATTTCGGTCGATTTAGCAACGTAGTCGAGATAAAATAGCTGAACTTCTGAATTTCTCGTTAAGTCTTGCTCTAACATTTCTGAATAGGCAACTTCCAAACCAGCTTCTACATAGGACCCAATGGTCCCAATAAGTACAGTTTCGACAATCTCGTAAGTGAATTCATTAGCTTTACTGGGAACTAACTCCATGATGCGAGCAATCGATTCAATTGCACATTTCAGCATGCCATCAATTCCTTGTACCGAAAAGCTAGGGTCAATGCTATTACTTAAGAGCCCTTCAGGCTTTCCGTCAGTTGTGCTGCCAGTTAATTCGGGCGTCATCAGCCTCTTTTTTTCCTTTTCTAGCTGACTCTTCAAAAAATGGTTTATCTGCGAAAGCTTTCCGCTTGATGTCGAGGATAGTTCCTGTAGATCTAAATCATGTGTGAATGAGGCCCCATTAACTAGCTTCGCATTCAGGGCTCTAGCATAAATTTGTTTGTCGTGTTTTAAACAAAAATTTGAGGTCTTCAAAACCAGCGCGTGCTCCAAGCTCCTTTTCTCGAGCTCAAAATACTTGGTTCTATCATAGATCATCTTGGAAAAGGCGTCTCCGAAGCAACGCTCAAGTGAGGAAGCGATTTCACCTTTTGAATCCATATCTTGAAAATGAAAGTATTCAGATAAGTCTTTAACAAATTGACCCACAAGTGCAAACAGTGCATATAACATTCTCACGAACGCTAGATCGGAAAGGGATAACGAGGCATTTAGTAACATCTCGATACTAGGTTGGATCTTTTGAGTGAAAATCCTTTGCACAAACAGTTGCATGACATAGGCACATTGCTTTTCAAATACTTGCTTAACAACCTTCGACTCCTCTTTGATCACAGTCTCTATTTCATCGAGGTTTTGAATAATTGTCTTTTCATAGCAAATAGAATGATAATCAATGTCGGAGATTTTGCTTTTGAAGGCTTCATCGAACATAAAATCATCCTCATCTCCGACCAGATCTGCAAAATATGCGTGCTGATTTATGAAGCTCTGTATCACATTTAATCCGTTATTGTAGCGATTGAGAATGATCGCAATTTCGGTCAATTGCTCGAAATCACTGTCACGGTATGCAGAATTAAATTCCACTAGAAACTGGTTCTCCATGTCTTCGGCATACTTCTCTATAGCAGTTGTGGTCGCTACTGTGGTGGGTAACGATTTGGTTTCTATTTTCTTGGCGAGAATTAACAGATTTTTAGCTAGGATCGCAGCTCTGGCTCTGGACTTCCAAGCCCTAGAGCCCTTCAACAGTTCAAGCTCGTGAGAGAAGCCTTTTGTGTGAAACTCCGAGTAATGTGATATTAGCTCCACGGACTTGATGTACATGTTTTTCTGTTTAATGGACTTTTCCAATTTTTCCCCCAACGGCGCTACCACTTGGGTGACGTTAGTGAGCTTTGAGTCCAACGCATCACTATCCCTCACAATACTCTTCAAATTGTCTCTAAGTTGGAGCACCCGTTGCGCATGCAGCAACTCAAATTTCGCGACTTCCTGCTCCAAATGGCCCTCTTTGTCGCTTGCCTCGGTCTTTAGTTTCTGTAACTCTTTGACGGTCGACTCAAAAGTTCTTATGTATGGTTTCGGATCCAAATGTTCCCAAGCTCCAGTATTTGCAGCTCTATCCCTTAGTGAGTTTTCATTGCTGATCTCCTGAACAAATTCGTGAACCGTTAAACCACCCAGAAAGTTGTTCAACTTCAGCAAGTCTCTCCACTTAGAGTCCAGTTCATATAGAGAGTTCATATATGCTGAAAGGGACAAGTCCACAGCCCAATTGTTCACAAACGGTTCAGTCCAACGTGTGCCTTATTATGCGAGCGAGTTAGAAATGACAACCATTATAAGATTAAACTTCCGATGTAAACAATGATCTAAAAGATAAACGATAAATCAATAGTCATAAAGGCTGATCTGGGTCCATGAATAAGCTCCAGCAATACGAACGGCGTCTACTGGATGATGCTAATGAAGCCGGGACCGAAAATAATACAAACGATGGCACTCGAAGGAAAAGTGACGCTTCTTTGGATGAGATTTTAGAGCACCTGGAAGATGACGACGAGTTTATGCACAACTACCGGGAAGAACGTCTACAGCAGATAGCGGACGATATGCGAAAAGTGAAGGAAAATGTACGAACGGAAAACTATGGCCTGCTGACAATAGTGGAAGAGGAACGCGAGGTGATCCGACTCACAACGAAAACCGATCAAGTTGTAATCCATTTCGGGCTGGACGACTTCCGCAAATGCCAAACCATGGACGCCAAACTATCACAACTGGCGCAAAGGCATTTGATGACGCGGTTTCTCAGAGCCAGTGTGGACAAATGCCCGTTCTTAGTCGCCAAGTTACAGATCAAAGTGCTGCCGTTTGTCGTCGCGTACAAGAACGGGGTGGAGCGAACCCGGGTTGTTGGGTTTTCCAGACTGGGAAACCAGCCGGACGATTTTGACATCGCCGCGTTAGAAAATGTGTTTTACGAAGCTGGCGTGCTGGCAAAGAAATCCACTCCATGGAGGCCGTCAGCGGGCGGTCGCGACGGCAGCGATGACTCGGACCTCGATGTGTAGAGGCAAACTTGAGTGAAATTAACAAAAGCAAGACATATTGATGGTCTAAGCTTCTGCATCACAGGGATGCGGTAATTGTTGTTCCCTGCCTGCTAGACGCAAATTATCCATGTGCCCATGGAGTTAAGACTCGTATCCCGAGTGATGTGGCATCTAGACCTGTTTCAACATAAACCTCTATGCCACCACTATCGATTGTTCAGCGACAGCGAGTCGATCCTCTCCTTGCACATCCACTCAAACATATAGTCAATAATCGACTCACTTATCTACTCGAACATCTATCCATTACTCTAGTCGAGTTTTTTCTGATTTCGAAAAAAATTCTATTTTTAAAAACCCATGCACCAAAAGAGCAGTCACAACCTGGACCCACGCAACTTTTCAAACGTCCCGTGACACAGCAGTCACAGCAGAATTTGTCATTATAAGTATATTACATGTTACCTTTGGTGAGTTCTCACCTAGCTTGTAGTTGTCTTCTTCCACTAGTCAACTTGGTCTGAAAGAAGCACTTTTCATAGTTTGCCGACAAATCAAGATGCAAATCTTCGTCAAGACCCTAACCGGTAAGACGATCACTCTAGAAGTCGAGTCTTCTGACACTATCGACAATGTCAAGTCCAAGATCCAGGACAAGGAAGGTATTCCTCCTGACCAACAAAGATTGATCTTTGCTGGTAAGCAATTGGAAGATGGCAGAACTTTGTCTGACTACAACATCCAAAAGGAATCTACCTTGCACTTGGTGTTGAGATTGAGAGGTGGTGGTAAGAAGAGAAAGAAGAAGGTCTACACCACCCCAAAGAAGATCAAGCACAAGCACAAGAAGGTCAAGCTTGCTGTCTTGAACTACTTCAAGGTTGACTCCGAAGGTAAGGTCACCAAGTTGAGAAGAGAGTGTCCTAACTGTGGTGCTGGTGTCTTCTTGGCCAACCACAAGGACAGACACTACTGTGGTAAGTGTCACTCCACCTTCAGAATCAAGGCTTAAGCAGTGTATAGATCCCACTAGGGTTTGTATAGTTTAATGAGCATTTTGACACTGAAGCGTCAGGTGTCTGTGGCCCGAGGGCCGCAGTGGGTGCGATTTGTAGTTACTTGCCAAAGTGTGCGTTCTCCGCAATCGTCCGAATACCGAGTACAGCTTGTTCTTGCACAATGATGGTAAATGCTTGGTATGCTCAGGCATTAATAATTGGTTGTATGCCGCAGCAAGAGTGTGCGGGTTCCTCAAAATGATTTTACTTTACAAGGTAATGCTAATAATATTTATATTGTGCGAACAGATGCTGTACCACATGCAATGGACCCGGGACAAACACATTTATAGTTTTCTTGGCTTGCGCCCCGAGCTTATCCGGCAATATTTTGGGCTTTCAATTTTTCGTTCTGTTCTATGACTAGTCTCTTGAGCTGCTCATTTTCCTGAAGCAATTGGGCTCTATGAATTTCGCTTTGTTTCAATCTCAGCAGGGCTTTCTTTAGCTCCACGGTAGTCCGAGCATACCCATCCTTCAAGAAATTGAAATTAAGCAAGAGTTTATGTGTGCTGATGATCCTTTTTTTGACATCGGCCACCTGTGCCATTGTGAACTCATTTGTGAGCTTAGCAGGTGGTTCCACAGGACTATGAATTCTCTGAGTCAGAGTTGTAGCGTTACTCGTAGCAGTGAGGGCTGGTTTCTTGAAACCAGCCGAGTGCTGTTTCCTGTGTTTGTACTGTAGAGTTTCCGAATCTGATATTGGCGACAAACTAGCTGGTGATAAGGTCTCATAGGCGGTAGATTTACTTCCAGTTTGCTCATCCGCCGGAATATTGTCGAGATGAGCTCTATCTTTAGCCTGGTTCTCGAGTATCTCCTCATGGCTTCTCTTCTGACTATCCCTGGTACCTAAGCCCTGTAGTAAGTGGTCTGCTAGGATGTTGTCCACAGTTAGGTGTAACGATGCGGCAGCCCCAATGCCGTGTGTCGTGTCTTCACCTTTCCCGTCACTCTCGTCTTCCGTGGGACTCCATTCTTCTGGCGAAACGATCACTTCCGGTAGCTCCATTTCTGAAATTGCTTTCTCTATCGCACTATGCAGAGGATCTGAAGTGTCATTCTGGCCATCTCCTTGGGTTAATAGCGAGTGTAGCGTTAGCTCCAAGTCGTCCTGGCTAACGTTCGATTCAAGCTTCATCAATTGCTCAAAACCATTGTATGCAGCTTCCACATGACTTCTAGAGTCTATATCGTTACCAACCATGAGATTGAAGCCGGCCTGAATCTCCTTTCTTGGTGCATGCACTTTCAACCTCCAGCTCATCGCATCTCATCTCTTTGATTTTCGTCCAAAATTTTTCATTAGACACTGCTCGGGCAATGATCCGCCATAACGAAGAGTTAATTGACAAGCGATTAATTGCCAAGTGACGGCTAACTAAAAGCCCGTTTTACTTTCTAGCTACAAGACCGGTGAATTGACAGGTCGAGTTCATGTGTATAGGTGATTTTTCAATGTATGTAGATAGAAAAGAGTATATGCAGAAACCGGTGTTTTCACAGACGTCGCGAGAACTGCGAAAACAAATGCAGATAGAATTTAGCCTGAAGGGGGATAGATGCGAGGTATGTGCCTATGGCACATGGTTGGTCGGCTTAGCAGGTTGATCCTGGGCGAATTTCCCGACACGCTCAGTTTTTATTTAAATTAAAGGCCCTTTGAATCTCCCTACTGTAGCGCGAAATCAAAGATGTAGACTTGAGCTCTGTTTCTTTTAGTAGAGAGTCTGTACTGCTGCAGATTTCATCAACGGTATCAGCCACTTTGTGACTAAGCTCATCCACCAATTTTTCTCGCTCGCCCCAATTTTTGCTAAGAAGCTGCAATACGGAATCAAAGCCCTCGCGGCCCTTGGATGCATTCTCTCCGAATCGCTTGACTGACCATTCTTCTATCTTATTGCAAAGCGTGTTGATAGTGGCGTAAGCCGTTATTTGCGCCTCTTGGCGAAAAAGGGTTTTGTTAGCATCGAACTGGTCCGGCGTGTACTGCACTGTTTCGTAGACTTTTAGCAAATGGGAAAACGTCAAATTGCAGCTTTTCAGTGTCAGTGTCTTCGTACTCAAATCCACCACGGAAATTTCCCGTATATAGCTCACATTGGAGCTGCCGATCAACATGGTCAACCACTTGGGCACCGACTGTTTGCACGTTATTAGCCGTTCACTCGTGAGTTTTGTACGACTCTCGTCTAGCTCTCTTCTCAGCACATCAACGGCAACAACATGTGTAGAAACCTCATTCGGGTATTTACGCCAATTAGCAGCAGTAACCTGTTCCCACGAATAAGGGAACTCCTGTGTATTTTGAAACAATCTCATGGCTTGTTTATCAGGCTCTGTTAACCAAGATTCGAACCTTGCTTGTGCAATGCTTAAAGTCTTCGCACAAGTTTGTTGTTATCAGTGAAGGTCTTGTATTTGGATCATTTTTATCCAAGATACTGTAAGAAAAAAAGGAATTTCTAGCGTCAGTAAAATCCAAAATACACATGTAAGCAGGTTCCCAATTAAACTAGTCTAGGGTTCTCCAATCATTTATTACAAGCCTCTAAACTTTCTCAAAATTATGTGGATGGGGTAGTTTCAAAAATCGCCAGTCCCCAGGTACGTGCTTACCCCTCGCACTCACTAAGCTGAATCCTCTCCTTTGGCACATTAGGGTGTACATGTTCCGGGTGCGGCTAGCGGTGTCAAAAGAGTTGGTAGGAGGAGACTTGAATCCGCGAAGAAATTCTCTCCTAGACCTTATGTTTCTCAAGTACTCTCGTGTGGTTTGTTGGGTAGACGTCACGAAAAAGTGAAAAATTAGTAAAAGCAGAGGATAACAAACCGCAAGTACGCAATACACTATTAAAAATACCGCTGGAACAGCATCACGCGTCCTAGAAACCCGGGACAAATGAAGCGCACAAACTGCAATGCAAAGCACACTTGAGATAACACCACTGCTCAAAAATGTCAGAAAATAGCGATAATTGCGCTGACCGACACAGTTGTTGATCCATACGCAGTGGTGATCATGAGTTATGATACAAGCCTCACATGTAGAGCAGTGCGAGGCTCTGGGAGGGCGCCAAATCCTACATGTAGTGCAGTATTTGACTTCGACCGGGCGTTTGTTGTGGGCCGTACCGGGCAGTGTGATGATGTTATAGTATTCTTGCGGAATCTCGAAATCATTGTGCGCCAAGGGAACATGCACGTTGCGCGGCAGAACTCCAGGATCCGAGGTCGCGCATTTGAGTAACGAGGCAAAACAGATGGCCCAGGTGTAATAGAACAACACGATGAGCGCTCCATGGCCATGGCCAAACGTCCATACCTTGTGCACTTCGAAGATGGAAAATAGGACCATAGGCACCACGATGATCGCGAAAACAACCACGGAAAGAGCCTTAGTACCGGAAACTGTCCTCAGGCGCCCACCCAAGAAAAACACATAGTTACTGATCTGCGGTATAGTGCTATAGTTTTCAGTTGTAGGACTGGATGTGTCAAGAGTCACAATCCAATCCACGAACTTCCAAAACACGGACGTTTCCGTGCCTTCAATCTCTATGCTGCTTCCGACGTTACTGCTGCCATTGCTGGAATATCGGCGATGTGCCTTTTTAGAACCATTATCCGTCATATAATATCGAACTTTTGGAAACGAGTACTCAATACCATCAGCTTACCAGCTTACACAGAACCTGCGATCACCATCCAAAGACAGAGTGACAGAAGCCGATGAATATGTATGCATTCTACATGTGTCAAACTATTAATCTACTTTCCTGCTGATTAACCAACAGTAAACTATCACATGATCACACCAAACGAAAACGTAACGGTCATGGCACAAACGTCTGATAGCACCAACTGAGCTGCAAGCCAGCAATGGACTCTAACGCTCGATATGCCTCGCGATTTACTATGGGATTTTCCTTGTTTTATTTGAAAAATCTCAGTTTCTATCCATACTTAACTCCAAATGACAATTATAAAGTGTTGCGAGACTAATGTACATCATGCAAAATTAATGGTTGGGGCAGGTAAAGCCAAAGTTAGCAAAGAGTATAGCAGCGACACAAACAACAAATTTCTGTTTACCTAGCGGTTTCCTCCTAGCAGCCATCCTCCGGTGGAATGCATTTCCTCATCGTTGTACAAGTCTAAGGTAAACTTAGGTTTCTTGTATGTTGACGATTTCGCGGTGGTGCTATTCGGTGTCTTGATAGAGCTCGAGGCTACATTCGAAGTCTTGTCATCTCCATAAAATTGAATATTTAAAGATTTCAAAACTGGAGAGACAGATTTCGAAGGATCATTTCCGTTGCCTACCAGTGTGGAAACAGACTCCGCGTTGGACTTCGATTCCTCGTCCGACGCCTTTGATTCATTAACTTTGGCAGAACCAAACATCATACGGTCCTCATCATCCAGTGCCTTCTCGGTGGCTGGAATCCGCTTGCTACTTCTGAAGTTCAAAGCGAACTGATTCATATCGTGAGGGCTTAATTGGTTGCTCGCGAGGCGGAAAGACGCGTCTGTATTCAGGCCGCGACCGGAAATATCGGCAGTTCTTCTTTTTGACAGAAAAGGATCCTCGTCTTCGCGGCTATCTCCGCTTGAGGTGTGAAGTAGCTTTGAAAAAGTTCCAGGAAGAATGCTTAAGTTCGTGAGAGATGTGTTTGAGCTGCTATTGCTAGAAGAGGGTGAGGATATTCTAGAGAAAAATTCGGGCGGAATAAGCCCAACGCTGACATTGTTGGCGGAGCCTGTGCGCTGTAAACGCCTTGGCTTTCTTGGAGTAGTCGATGCTGCGGGCTGGCCAAAATGCCCATCGTGCACGTAGATATTGGTACAACCTTGGCTTAAACCGTTGGTGGTGGGCGAGCACATTTCATCCTCTATAATTTCCATAGTTGGTGGCCGTCGTGCGTCAGGCTGCTGCACCTGAATTGCGTCTTGGGCGAATGGGGATCGTAGTGCTGGGTCCATCAAACTAAGGGAGCGGAATCGACGTGTAGTTTCTGACTCCGGCGATTTCATCCTCGAGAAGTCTGTCTCAGAGCCGCAGCGAGACAACCGACTTGGTACTGAAAAGCTCAATCCATCATCATCGTTCTCGTCCTCATCCTCGTCCGGCTCTTCCTCGTCGGAGTCCTCGTCATGTTCGAATTGTTGCAAATCGGAATAGGACGCAGCTTCGTCCGTGCTATGATTATCCTGCCCAAGTTGAAAGGTATTCGCAGTTCGAAGCCGTCGGCTGCGTGCACCTGATCTGGCATAAGGAGTTGACCTTACTTTGACGGATTTATCTTTGTTAGAGGTAATCAAGGAGTCCTGGAAACTTAACAGCGAAGAAGAGTCCCTGTTTAAAGGTGTATCGTCCTCATCACTATCTGTGGGATCCACTTCTGGTTGTTTTGAAGGCTTTTTCTGCAGGGCGTTACTGTGCAAAGCCTCGAGAGAGTCCTTTGAGAGATAGCTGGTCAGCGGCTTGTCAGACAAGATAGTAAGCAAAGCCTTGACACCAGTATTGTTTGTAACGACGACGATGGAATCGCTCGTTTCCAAACTCGTATAGCTTGGGGTGCCATCTTGTAAATACGAGGAAGAGGTAAATTTATTGTTCAGTTTGGAGTAATACTCCTTGAAAGGCGTTGTGGACGACGTGATCATGTTGTAGTTGCCGATAACTTCGAAATCGACGACCGCGTGTGCTAGTAGGTCCTTGTCAAGAAACGTCTTGAACCAGATCAAGGAGGTGGGGGATACTTGAAGTTTGAAAATAGTGTTGATGGAAATCGACGACTGCGGTATTTCCTGGATGCGGTGCCAGCACGATTCTACCAGGAACTTGATGGTCTCGACGTAACGCAGAGCGCCACTGGATGCCACGGAAAACTTGAATTTGATGGGCGAATCAGGTGAGGCGCGCTGCATGATTAGATCCCATGCAGAGTCATCGAAATTCGTGAAACTCGCCAATATTTGCTCCTTGAGCTTGTGGATTTTGAACTTCTTGTTAAACTTCGTCAGCCGAAAATGTGTGAGTTGGTCATTGTAGTAGTCGATAGTGGGAATATCGATGTAGAGCGAGATATTAAACTCCTTGAGAGACGGCAGCGACAAAGGCAACTTCGAAGACGCTGCATCCGAATACGAGATCAAGAACAAGGAGTCCACCCGTTTTACTCTAACCTTTGGTTCCTTTTTCCACCCCTGTGGCGCCTGGTCGAGTGCTTTGGCAGTCAGCACTTTTGACGCCAGACTTTTCCCACCGCTTGGTTCTTTCATGGACGATGACGATGCCCGAGCACCATACGACAGTACTTGTGCCAATGGATACACTCAAAGGAACTTAGCCAACGGATCACAATCTTCTGACCACGTCTTCTGACAGTGGATGACACTCGAGGATAATTCGATTGTCTGTGAGGATGATCCCACTGTGATTATCATTTTTGAGCAGGTTATACGGCAAAAAATTTCGACAACTGGCGGCAACTAAACGAGTGACATTAGAGGGAAGGAGACGAACCAAACAGGGCGTAAATTATATAAAACTTCCTCTGGCTAGCCCAGATACTGTTTTGGATCGATATTGATTTTCTGTGGGCGGAAACGGTCGTTTCAACAAGAGGTTGCGGTATTTTACCACATAAGTCACTATGTACGCATGTGTCGCCCAGATGCCAAATTCAAAACACTTTCAAGTAACGCTTACAGTTGGGTCACAGTTGTGTCCGATTGGTGCTCTGTTACCCACTTACGACTTTTCTCGCTGGTCTCTCCCTCAAGGTTAATATGCTGATGTTATTATTTGCGCGACACAGTGGGAACAAATGATAAAAATGTCATGAGGTCAAATGAACTATTGAAGGCCTGATTCCAAGTAGGTCTCCTGATGGCTCTTCAATCAGGCCGCACCCTCTTTTGTGAATGTTCCAGTACTATTTCTTCTACCATTGGGCTGTTTCTGGAAGAGTGCAACTGAATATAATCAAATGGAAAAAGGTCGCTTAGATTATTTTCCGAACACTCCAGAACTAGGAACGAGAAACTCAAAAAGACGTATTTCCTGTTAGCCTAGCCAACTAGAAATGATATTTTGTATGCTGCCCGTGTTGGCCTTGAAGTAGTCTTGCATCGTAGGCACTTCCTTTGGCCCCACCATTCTTATCTTTACAAACATATTTATATGATATAAAAGGGTAATGAAACGGTGGCGAAATTGACCATCTCTCAAACTCACCATGGCACTTGACAACATGGAAGGCAACAGTCTGCCTGCTGGTCTAACACCCGAGGAATTTCAGAGCTTGAAATCTCAGGCGCTAGAAGCACGGAAGCTCTCTTACAGCCCGTACTCGAAGTTTCCAGTAGGGTGCTGTCTAATGACCAAATCTAAGGATTGTTTTCTGGGAGCAAACGTTGAAAACGTAAGCACACCGGGCGGAATATGTGCGGAGCGCACCGCAATTGTCAAAGCCGTCACATCTGGCCACTTGAGTGACTGGTTATGCATCGCCATTAGTGCAGAGTCTCTAGAAACATGTATCACGCCTTGCGGAATCTGCAGACAGACGATCCGGGAGTTTGCAGACCCACAGCTTCCAGTTGTGATGCTCAATGGCGATGGATCGAAGTGTATAATCAGGACCTTGCAAGAGCTGTTGCCCCTAAGTTTCGGGCCCACGCCCGGGACCTTTTGATTATGATCATCAGATCGGCACGATACAAGCAAAAGCCAAAACTACTATTTGCCAGCTGAGGGCTCAAGGACAGCACAGCCACGCTATAAGATAGGAAATTCTTCAAGAACGGCCCTGACCAGGGCCTTCACATCATTTGTTGGGTCGTATACGGCTAAAGGACAGAAGGTTGGAAAAAGTAGTAATTTCCTTACAATCGAACCAGTGAGAACATTGGTCTTGTTGAAACTGCTTTGGCAAGACTGGTCGATGGTATTACATACATTTATAGACCCTCAGCTCAGGCCATCCGGAGCATCGCACATAGTGAAAAATTATTTCAGAAGCTATATGAAAACGAATATTTACATCACATCTTCCATACTTCAGCGTTTACCATAGTCAAGCTTCTGGAGACTATTATATATCAGATATGTCTGAGGTCATCCAGCGTTGTTCAGATTTGCAGTGCGGTACCAAATGTTCCTCTGGTCTGAAATGCCCCATCTGTTTGAAGCAGGGAATCGAGCAACCATTCTGCGATGAGGGCTGCTACAAAAACAGTTACAAAGCACACAAGGCTTTACACTGGAAGGACGACAAACCAGAATCGTACGACCCGTTCCCAAAATTCAAATATGCCGGTAACCTGAGGGCTGCGTATCCTCTAACTCCGAAGAGAACCATCCCAGAAGGAATTGAACTACCAGAATGGGCGGAAGACGGTCTTCCCCGTCTAGAACAACGCAACGATGCAACTAACAAGATCATCGTGTACTCCAAGGACGAAATTAAGAAGATTCGCAAAGCTTGCATGCTAGCGAGAGAAATTCTGGACATCACCGCGGCCGCAATCCAAGTCGGCGTTACTACAGACGAACTAGACCGCATTTGCCATGAGGAAACAGTAAAGAGAGGTGCTTATCCTTCTCCGTTGAACTATTACAATTTTCCCAAGTCTCTCTGCACATCTGTAAATGAAATTGTGTGTCATGGGATTCCCGACCAGACGGTGTTGGCAGATGGCGATGTGGTCAACCTCGATGTCTCGATTTACGTCTTCGGCGTTCATGCCGACCTCAACGAAACCTACTATGTGGGAGAAAATACGCGGAAGGAGGTCGTCAATACCGTGGAGACTGCGAGAGAGTGTCTAAAAACCGCCATCAAACAGTGCAAACCAGGCTCCACGTTTCAGGAGTTGGGTAACTACATTGAGAAGCACGCTAAAGAGAACAAGTGCTCGGTCGTGAGGACATACTGTGGCCATGGTGTTGGTCGGTTTTTCCATTGTGCTCCCAGCATCCCTCACTACGCCGGAAACCGCACCTCCGGTATTATGAAGCCTGGCATGGTTTTCACTGTGGAGCCAATGATCAACGAGGGTACCTGGCATGATATGAGCTGGCCTGATGACTGGACGTCCTCCACCAAAGATGGTAAGGTGAGTGCTCAATTTGAACACACTTTGCTAGTCACCGAGAATGGCGTTGAAATCCTCACGGCTCGCAACAAGAAGTCACCAGGTGGGCCGAGACCCAGAAGAAAGTAGGCCTTAATACTGAGAGAGCCATGTGAACGAATCAGCAACGCTGAAAAGAGCATAGCTTAAATACTGTTGGCACGGCTGGGGCCTCGGAACTGTCTCACTCTGTACTAACGGGTCATACGGAGCCTCAACAAGAGTTTTAGCATCTTCAGCGACGTAACGTATGGGAATGTAAGAACACCCTGACAATCACGCTATACCCTTCGAATGATGACTCGAGCCGTGATTTATTGAAGGTTCTCAGCTACTCTTGTGACCAAAGGGCGCACTACGTCCTTATTACGAGAATTTGACGATATAGAATAGATGCGAAGGCAGCCTGGTCTGGTATGTAGACGAGATAAAACAGGTTAAAGCACTACAGTGTCTCAAGAGTCCTGGTCCTGTATATTCTGGGCCAGTTTTACTGATTATCACTTTGTACTTTCGAGTCATGAAAGGTGGCCGGGTAACGTGGTGGCGAATCTAAAAATTTTGACTGTTATTATTCTAATAGGTTGATGGACATACGAAGTTGGAACCTGTTGCACATATACAGTTGACTGCGTTCTCGTTCAATTGACCATCTATTGCGGTATAAATGTCTCTACAACTGCTAAACCCAAAGGCCGAATCTCTGAGGAGAGATGCCGCTCTCAAGGTGAACGTTACATCTGCTGAAGGTCTGCAATCGGTGCTGGAAACCAACCTGGGTCCTAAGGGAACTTTGAAGATGTTGGTGGACAGTGCTGGAAACATCAAGCTAACCAAAGACGGGAAAGTACTGTTGACAGAGATGCAAATTCAATCTCCTACTGCAGTCATGATAGCCAGAGCGGCAGCAGCCCAGGATGAGATTACAGGTGACGGAACAACTACAGTGGTATGTTTGGTCGGCGAACTGCTGAAACAGGCCTACAGACTTATTCAAGAGGGCGTTCATCCTAGATTAGTAACAGATGGCTTTGAAATCGCACGTCGCGAGGCCCTAGAGTTTTTAAACGGCTACAAGATAGACAAGGCCGCAGACGAAATGGATCGCGAATTTCTGCTACAAGTAGCGAGAAGCTCTCTTTCAACCAAGGTGACGCCAGATCTCGCTGAAGTTCTCACGCCCATTGTCACCGATGCTGTCCTGAGCGTTCAGAATGGAGATAGCCGTTCATTGGATCTCCACATGGTAGAAATCATGCAAATGCAGCATCTCTCGGCCAAAGACACTAGCTTCATCAAGGGTTTGGTCCTTGATCATGGTGGAAGACACCCTGACATGCCAACGCGAGTTGAAAATGCTTATGTATTGATTTTGAACGTCTCTTTGGAATATGAAAAGACTGAAGTCAATTCTGGTTTTTACTACAGTTCTGCCGACCAAAGGGATAAACTTGCTGCCAGTGAAAGAAAATTTGTGGACGAGAAACTGAAAAAAATCATAGACCTCAAGAACGAAGTATGTGGCCTGGACTCCAAGACAGGGTTCGTAATCATCAATCAAAAGGGTATTGATCCAATGTCGTTGGACTTGCTTGCAAAGCACAACATCCTAGCTCTTAGAAGAGCAAAGAGACGTAACATGGAGAGACTGCAGCTTGTGACGGGCGGCGAAGCACAAAACTCAGTGGACGACCTATCTCCATCTATACTGGGGTACTCTGGCCTCGTGTTTCAGGAAACCATTGGTGAAGAGAAATTCACCTACGTCACTGAGAACAAAGATCCCAAGTCATGTACCATTCTCATCAAAGGGGCCACTTTCCACGCTTTGAATCAAACAAAAGATGCTGTAAGGGACGGTTTGAGAGCTGTTGCCAACGTCTTGAAGGATAAGTCCGTCGTCCCAGGTGCTGGCGCATTTTACCTTGCTGCTTCTAATCACCTAAGGAATGCTAACGCCAACAAGTTAGGAGCAAAGGGCAAAAAGAAAGCTGGTGTAAATGCATTTGCCGAGGCTTTGCTTGTAGTCCCCAAGACTCTTATCAAAAACTCAGGCTATGATGCCTTGGATGTGATAGCAATGTGCCAAGATGAACTAGATGAGAATGCTGACAGGTTGGTGGGTGTTGATCTAAATGTTGGCGACTGTTGTGATCCTACAATTGAAGGTATCTGGGACTCTTACCGCGTAATTAGAAATGCCATTACGGGATCCACTGGTATTGCCAGTAATTTACTCCTGTGTGACGAGCTCTTGAGGGCAGGAAGATCTACCTTAAAGGAGGGTCCACCACAATAAATTTTAGCATAGTGTAACTATCTGTACATATAATGATATTGCCTACGGGCCGTACTTCAGTCAAAGAGAAGGTAATAAGAGTTAATGGAATTTAGCCCTTGCTTTGGCTCTTCGATGTAAAGTTTATAAGATATCATTTCTGTATTTGCTGTCGCGCAATAATAATTCCAATTAAAATCTCACGTACATGGACAACCTTCAAATCTGTTATTATTTGACCGTTGAGCCTATCACCAACTGAAACACACAGCAATGTCCAGCTCTGATGATTTGAGTCTTCGAGACAAACAAATTGGTAAGTGTCAAGTACCCGAACGATTATCTCTTTGATAAAGAGTACTAACTCAAAACACGCAAATAGCTTTGATCGAAAAGATGTTGATCTTCAACACGGACAAATCCACCTACGACCTAACCTCCGGGTTGGACGGCCAGGAAGTTGTGTGGAAAGTTCTTGTTCTAGATGCTAAAAGTACAGCCATCGTGTCATCCATTTTGAGGGTGAACGATCTTTTGAAATCTGGTGTTACGGTTCACAGCCTTATTCAACAAAAAAGATCACCGTTGCCAGATGTTCCTGTTGTTTACTTTGTACAACCTACTCAGGAAAATATCAATGCAATTGTCCAAGACTTGAAGGACGATAAGTACGCGGAATTTTACATCAATTTTACCTCAGTACTGAATCGCGAACTGCTCGAAGATCTCGCGAGACAAGTGTCCATGACAGGCAAAGTAGATCGAATCAAACAAGTATACGATCAATATGCTGAGTTTGTGGTCACTGAACCTGAGCTTTTCTCGCTAGAACAACCTGCTGTGTTTCGGCAGCTGAACAGCCCTGAAAGTAGCGAAAATTCTATAAACGAGCTTTGCGACAGCATTGCCGATGGGTTGTACGATGCGGTTATGACTGTTAACTCCATACCTATTATCAGGGCTCCCAAAGGTGGATCCGCAGAACTGGTGGCTCAAAAGTTGGAAAGTAAACTACGAGACTATGTTATCAACACCAGGTCTAATAATGATGGGTCACCTGCCTCAATTGACAGATTTGTGCTGATTATTTTGGATAGAAATATTGATCTGGCATCTATGTTTTCCCATTCGTGGATATACCAAAACTTGGTATTCGATGTTTTCAAATTGGCAAGAAACACGATAACAATTCCAAGCAAGACCAAAGAAGGGGAAGAGATAGAAAAAAAGATGGACATTGATCCCAAAGATTTTTTTTGGTCTGCTAACTCCCATCTTCCATTTCCAGACGCTGTTGAAAATGTCGAAGCTGCTCTTGCGAATTATAAGACAGATGCCGAAGAGATCACTAGAAAGACTGGAGTAAATGAACTTAGCGACTTAGACCCTAGTGCAAATAATGACACACTTCATATACAAGAAGCAGTCAACAAACTTCCAGAATTGACTTCAAGGAAGGCTATAATCGACACTCACATGAGCGTTTTAGCATCGCTACTTTCGCAATTGGAAAGCAAAGGCCTAGATGCTTTTTTCGAAATTGAACAAAATCCAGATTCCCCCAAGACCAGACAGAGATTTTTAGAAACTCTCAAAGACGACAAAACTAATAACCTAGAGGATAAACTAAGGACCTTTATTATACTGTACCTGACATCTGCCGGCGAGATACCACAAAGCTTCATTCAAGAAGTGGAGAGATATTTTGAAAGTCAAAACTACGACATTGCGCCCTTGAAATATATTTATAGGTCAAAGGATCTCATGAAGCTGTCATCCATGTCGTTACAAAATAAATCCCTGGAAAGCAATGGCTTCGACGCCAAACAGCATACTGCGGGTGCTAATTCGTCTGTTCTATTATCAGGCTTATCTAATAAGCTTTATGGGCTCACCGAAGGTAAAATTCAAGGCGGGGTTGGTTCTTTGATATCTGGTATAAAGAACTTCCTTCCCGAAAAGAAAACTATTCCAATAACAAATGTTGTAGAAGCCATTATGGATCCATTGAATAGCTCTCAAAAAAATTTGGAAACAACAGATAACTACCTCTATTTCGACCCAAAGGTCATTCGCGGCTCTCATAGCAAGAAACCTAAGCGACAGTCATACAACAAATCGATTGTTTTTGTGGTCGGCGGAGGGAATTACCTAGAATATCAGAATCTGCAAGAATGGGCCCATTCTCAACCTTCAAATGCCAAAACAGTTATGTACGGTAGCACTGCCATCGTTACCCCAGAGAACTTTTTGGGAGAAATAGCAACTCTTGAGTGAAGTCATTGCGTATACATCTGTATATATGATGTGTACCGGAAATCGAAATGCACGCTATCCCCATAGATACACTACAAATAGTTGTCACTCGTTTGTAAAATCTGTGTTGATCTCTTGGCGTCCAGGAATAGTAGTTTCGCTTCGTTGACATCACCAGAGGTAATTTCCGAACGACCCGCGGTTTTAGCTATAATTCCAGAGGGAGACAAAAGTTGCAAGGCGTAGCGCAAGGAAGTTGCAGTGCCCATGTCGGCTAGAAGGTCCAACGCGGTAGCTTCGCATTTCAGATTCTCTACCAGGGATCGTCTTTCTATAATAGTTCTGATTTCCTCCTTGGAGTATGGAAGAGTGCGGACGATAAGTAGACGGTCGATCAGATCAGGAGGAACACCATGGGGAGAAACAACATCGTCTGTTCCACGAACAGTGGTCATACCGCGGTTCGAGGCAAGTACCACCACAGGAGCGATGCTGGATTCTAAAGCACGGTTGAGGTAGGTGAAGATCTCAATATCCAGCATGTTAACTTCGTCAATGAACAAAACACCTGGAATGAGCTCGGCCACGCCTTGGTCAATGTATTTGGCCACTACGCGGTTAACTTCATGCCTCAATTTCTCAGTAATTTCGGTCTTTTTTGGCTTCATGAGCTGGCCCATCATGGACACAACATCCTGGCCACCTTGTGGACGCGCATTAGCCACATCGAGGTCGTGTAGAGTCACATCTTGTACTATCTCTTTTTTCTTGTGGACCTCACCCTTGGGGAGAGGAACGTATTCCTCGGCCTCCAGATCGAACTCGGTGGCGTAAGCATCCGACCTTCCTACACGCTTCACGGCGCCCGTGTTTGCCTCAATATAAACAACATCGCCGACGCTGACGTTCTCTCTCTCGATGCTTTCGTACACGGTGGGATCCAATCGCAGAGTCTTAGTTCCCTTAGCGGACTTGAGTCCCACAATAACGTGGGCGATGGTCTTTCCATATCCTCCCAACGGGTTTTCAGCAGCTTGCGGGGCCAATTCCGTCACTTCACCTTCATACACCTCTTTTGTCTCTTTGATTCTCAAACCAATTGCTCTCCTAAAATTCTCCATAAGAGCCTCAGTCTTCTTGACCTCCACCGAGTACAACTCCGACCCGACAACGGGGCAAAATGGCACTTTGGGCCCCAATTCCTGTGAAATAGCCAAAGCCAAGGCCGTCTTACCGGTGGACGGACCACCTGCCAGTAAAATCGCTTTCCCGGACATCTTCTTGACCTTGATCAGGTCCACAATCACCCCACACGCCTCACGGGCCTCAATTTGCCCAACAAACCCACCTTCTACTGCCTTTGCCACACCTTGCGAATCCAGACCCAGTCCCTTGATGTGTGTATGAGCCGCTGTGCGGGTTGAACCTTGAGTTCCCGCTCCTGAATCTTTTACTTCACTAATTTGCACCATTTTTCAGTATTCTAGGAAGCTGTTCGAGTCGTAGGAAAGACTAACTTTGCACTGTATTAACACGGCTATCTGAATCCGAGTATCAAATCCTCACCAATGTAAACCAATTGCGTTACTAGCACTAAACTCTAGGCCCCACGAATTCAACGCTTGCGTATCATACTTATTGTATACTATGTAGTATATTCCAAAAAATTTTGGCAGATTGTTGATAGCACTATGAACGAAAGGTCTTTAGAAATCAAAACTTTTGATCCCTTCCTTCGACCTTTCTCCAGACTCAGGGAGACCCCAAGCCGTAGCTGTAGCCACGAACTAAAGCCAAGGACAAGTGTGCACTGAAAGTAAAGTTAGAGAAATCACGCGTGCGTTTATTTTTTTCGCATTTTTGAAATTAACGCATCTACCTTGTATTTGCTTTGATCGCTCCCTCAGCCTCCGTCTTTTGGCACGCGGTATTCTCTTTGTAGCCTAAGTTTCGAATAGCTCTCTAAACCTGTCCATTGAGTGTTTTGGCAGTCATCATTTCTATTACTATCCCCTTTTAAGAAAGTTGAAAACAAAGACTTCATTCAATTAGTGTAAAATTCCAGAAATTTAGGCATTTCACCGGTCAGCGACACAATAACCGTTGATTTTGTGTGGTGATAGCGAGAATCATTTCAAAAGATACTGGGGATGGAAAACTCGCCCCGAGAACCTAAGAGTTCACAAGACTCGCCGAGATGGCCTGATAAACGCGCATTAAGATCATCACCAGAGCGCTGGCAGGCTAATAGAGACTCGGAAAAGTCTTACCTTCCTCTTTCACCGCCGCCTACGCTTAAGAAGGAATACTCAAAGGAGAAACTACCGGCAGTCGCGAACGTACCAAAACCAAAGAAGCTTCTGCCAGCACTACAGCAATGTACTTCAAGGACGCGCAAACCGCGGCTGCAATACCGGCCAGCACTCAACTCTGTCTTTGACTTAGAACTTTACATTTCGGGAGCAAGACACTCACCGCACTGCAGTGAGATGAACGCCCGATTTTTGCGTTATGCCTTGCAATACAGCAAGCGCACGGTGGTCATCGCTGGTGCAGGAGTATCCACAGATGCTGGCATTCCAGACTTCCGATCTGCAGATGGACTATTTTCGAAGTTAAAGAGTCCGGGTCTCAGCTCAGGTAAAGACCTCTTCGATTTCAACGTGGTTTACTCAGATGCGGCGATGAATCTTAAGTTCAATTCCATGATAACCCAACTGCATGCCCAGTGCCAAGAAGTCAAACCCACCCGGTTTCACCGACTGCTCAATTCTATAGCACAAGAAGGTAGGCTTCGTCGATTATACACCCAGAACATAGATGGCCTAGAGGACCAAACTTCACATCTGCAGTCCAAGACGCCACTGGAACTACCGTTTCCCACGACTATTCAATTGCATGGAAGTATAAAACACATGGCGTGCAATAAGTGCTCTAAAATCTACCACTTTGACCCGTTGATTTTCAAATGTCAAGATGATCGTACGGATGTCGAGCTAGTTCCTTCCTGCCCACAGTGTACAGAGTTTGAGGCTGTGCGAGCAGTGGCTGGTATGCGCTCACAAGGCATTGGAAAACTGCGTCCTAGAGTTGTTCTTTACAACGAGATTCATCCCGAAGGTGAGAGCATAGGAAGCGTGGTTCTGAAGGATCTGAAAGGCAAGCCAGACTGTTTGATAATAGTTGGAACCACGCTTAAGATCCCGGGAGTTCGCACCATGTGCAAGCAGTTTGCGCGCAAGGTTCACGACTCTCGAGGGATAGTTATATGGATTAACAATGAGCCTCCAGCCAAGACGCTTGAGGAATTCGTGGAATGCATAGATCTAGTGGTGATTGGGGATTGTCAAAATGTCTCAGAAATACTAGAATAACGAACGCGAAGGAAGAAAGATGTTGTATTCAGCGTCCGTTTGCATAATGTACAATAGTTTATACGTGGCTGCCTTGGCGAATTAGTCGCCCGACCATATAAAATCTGTCTACATGTCCTCTAGTTCAATCTGATCGTTGGGCTCTTTAGGCTCTTGGCCCTCCGCCCATTGCGTAACATCATCAATGTAGCTTAAGATGCTAGCTACACTTTCTGGATTTTTGGCCTCAAGAGCCAGAAACTGAACCATTCCAAAGTCGTCGACCAAGTTGGCAATTGTCTTGTTGAGCTTTTGGAAGCGAGGGTTCCAGGTTTCATTGGTAGAATCCAGTAACAGCGTGGGATCGGGGTTCAAATAACGCTTCAGTTTTCTTTTGCTGTACTCGTCTTTAATCTGATCAGTTTTGCTCAATATGTTAATGTGCGGCAGCTCCAAAAGTATCATAGCAGACATGGCACTGAGTGCCCCGCTAAAGAATTTGGATGAGTCCACCACGAATGGGGCTTCCAAAAGATATGTCGCACAAAGGCTAAAGTTGAGCTGTGTTTGCAAATGGCGAGCGATTGCCGGAAGAACAGGAATATGGGTGTATAGTTCGATCTGACCTGGACAGTCAAATATCAAATACTCGTCGTTATATTCTCCCAGCTCTTCTTCCAGCCAGTCCAGGTTGTTCATCAGATACTCAAAACAATATAGCAAAGACCCGTTGGGTCCCAAATGCAGTTCCTCCATGACATCCTCTAGAGATATCAGATCTCTTATGTCAATCGTAAATTCGTATTCCTTCGCCTCTGCGGCCGGATCCAAATTGACAATATGAGCTCTACGCCCTATCGTCTGCATGTGCGAGATGATTGCATTGCAGAAAGTACTTTTGCCCGCACCAGCGGGCCCCATTACCAAGACACCTACCTTCGACATAGAAGAACAATGACTTAGAAGTACTTCTAGCTAACTCAGCTCCACTTTCAATCCAAGCGATGAGCAGAACAGTGGAACTTACCTGCTAAAATTGTAGTAAAATCATTATCATTAAATACGCATATAGAACGAGACTTGAAGGTGGTGGGCCATCTCGTTTGTTAGCTGAAGAAGGTTGCCGGGTGGAAGATCCCTTAGGACTCCTTCACCGCTACTCTAGTTGAGTTGCAGTGAAACAAATTCTCAAACCCACCATGTAGACATTCAAAGACAAACTCGAAAAATACTTTTTTCGGGCCAATCTGGATGATAACCGATTCAGGTGCGCAGATTCAGAACTTGTCTCCATTCCTATTGTAATTATTTTCATTAAATTAGTCTCTGAGAGGTGAATCGTCTTTTTGCAATAGAGCAGTAGTTACATTCGCTGTAAATTGCCTTCCTGAATGAAAAGCAAAGGAAAATCGGAATTCTAGTTCACAAGTGTAGAGGGAGGCGGGATGTCTGGTACTTTGCCGATAGTGAAATTATCTGCTTTGAAATAATCGACTACTTCCTTCGGGAGGTCCGATTCCGATAGTGTACTTTCCTCTGGCAAACCTTGGATAAAACTTTGAGTGGTCTTTTGAGGTATTCCAAGACTGGTAGACGACGGCTGTGTATTAGTCCCGATAGGATTGTTTGATATACTGCTACCAAATGGGTGTTGCATGGTTTGAGCGTTTGGCTGAGGGTTTTGTGCATTAGCTGGGACGAAGCCAGCAGATCCGAATGGCGAGGCAGCACCAAAAGGTGTTCCGTTATTTGTATTGTTTACTGGTTTTTGAAATGTACTGCCGAAGGGGGTGGAAGAAGATCCTGTAACCGCAGGATTTGTGCCAGAGCCGAAGGGAGAGCTTCCACCTTGTATTGAAGCAAATGGCGAAGACGTAGAAGTCGACCCAAAAGTGGGCTGTCCAAAGGCTGATGGCGCACCGGCATTTGACGTGGTCTGTGTGTTAGAGGTAGAGCCGCCTTGACCAAACGGCGACGTTTGTGAGCCACTTGGTGCTGTACGAAACGCCGGTTGACCGAAAGCGGAGGCATTAGAGCCACCACTAGAGCCGAAGGTTGGCTTGCCAAAAGCTGACGTTGAAGCTGAAGCAGCAGGTGATCCGAACGAAGTGCTTCCTCCAGGGCCAAATCCAGTTGATGGGGGTTTACCTCCAAATGCTGAAGACCCTCCAAAGGGTGAAGTTGCTGTATTCGGTGCAGCTCCAAATGTAGGCTGTCCAAACGCAGTTGTGGTGTTGGATGAAGCGAATGCTGGGGTTCCAAATGCTCCTGTGCTACTTCCGAAGGCACCCGAGGAACCAGACCCAAAGGTATTGGCAGATCCAGATCCAAAAGCATTGGAAGATCCAAAGGGTCCCGGCTTTGTGCTATTCATGGTTTGTCCAAAGGCATTAGGAGTAGTATTCGCGCCAAATAAATTCGAGGTTCGAGGGTTGGGACCTGCATTGGCATACGACGCACCCGTCAGATCTAGCCCATGTTCTAGGTAGCCTTTTGAAGGAGCGGCTCCACTTTCGTGGGCTTTTTGAGTCGCTAACTGCAGATAGCGTGCTGCTTTGCGGGTATCCGCCAAGATATACTTCCGGCTCTGCTCAAAGTCAGAAGCCCGAGCTTTCATTTGGACCTCATACGTTGGAACAGAGTTATGCATTTGGGATTGGTAAAACAGAAAACGCGCTTCCTCTGGTGAAAAATCGCGGCCTGTGATTAAATTCACAGCACATGGACTCCCCAATCCATAACTTGAGCTTAGAGGCTGGAACATGAATTCAGATGCCCCTGTCAGGTCGTCATTGACTTCATTTGCGTACTTCCCCAGATTTGAAGCATTCACAAAGCTTTGGTATCTATTTGCCCCGCCAGAATCGTTCGCATTTGTGTTGCCGTTGTTGTTATTGTTTCCGGTGTATACATGTGCAAAATTGCAAGCGTTTCCTTTCTTACATCGTCCTTGCTGAAAATATTTGCATGGTGTCTTATTTCTACTACCAAAGGACATTGGAATAGTTGGATAAGTTTGGTAAAAGCTATGCACTTTCAAGCTTATTGAGTTGGCGATGAGTTCATGATGGTTTTCATTGTTAATAAATTTAAGCTTCGCATATTTATGATATTAATAAATGTTGATAATTCTAACCTGAATCTTCATAGTAATCAGCATACTTCGACATATCACGTTGGTTACTGAACATATCAAGCTTTAATTCAGCTCTAAGGATGGCATGATCTGTATAAACTGTTGCCGCGAAACAGACTGTTTATATGTTGAATACTCGAATAATCACATCCGCCTAACGGACTGTACGGATTGTCATGATGTTGTGGATCAGTACGTCGAAATAGATAACGTTTTGTTGTTTATTGATTTGCTGCTTTTGAAACCAGGAGCTTATCGACACCTTGTCTATAACTCGCTAGAACTGGAGCTTTCGAAATTTCCTGATGAAGCCGCGTTCGAGTCCGCTCCAAAGCACGAGGGGATGGCGACGTCGGTTCAAGAGTCGAACAACGGCAAAATAGGCCGAGTAAGAAGGATAGGAAGATGGGGTCGTCGTTTACGGAACTGGTTTGTCAAGTTCGACAAACTGAACCGCATTTGGGTCATTATTACGGCGTTCGAGGTTTACCTGACTTGGGTATCTGAGGAGCGAAAATTTCAGGAGAATGGATCCGATGCTCTGGTGGCTTCCATGTTGTCTCAAGGGGCTCTGGGTCAATATATGTGCTTTGCCGTCTATTGCGCGATCGATTTCATGGTCTTACACAACACAACATACTGTTTGCTCGTTGCTCTTTTCAACTGGGGAAGCAAGATCAAGTATGCAAAGTACGTGGTGTCCTATACCGTGCTACTCTCATATGGTGCCAAAATATATCCAATTTTGATGTTGATTTGGCCATATGACACGTTGTTGACGACCGGAATCCTGAAGATTGTAGCCAACTTGTACGTTGTCGAAGCACTGAAAATTGTTACCAATCAAAGCTATGCCGCTATCATATCTCTCTTTTCCTTGGTGTTTTTGATACGATCACTGACGGTCAAACCATTGGTCTCCCTCGTGGTTACTAAAGGCGATGTCATGCTCTCTTGGCAATACGCAAGAGCAGAGTATCATCAAGTATGGCACAAGTTGATAAATCCTTTGTTTTCCTCATAGGACGAATATTCGGTGCTTAAAAAGTATCTCTAATTTGCCAAAGGTAACGCCAACTTAACCTTAGGTGTCCTTTTTGCCTATCCTACGAATACATATTTGTATATGACAATACATTTCCCCCATCCTTAAATTTCGTTGTCTCAAGTTTGATTTACACAGCTTCGCTAATTGTAAGTGGCCGTTCCAAGGGCGCAACGAGGTATGGGTACTGGTAATCACCCATTCCATTTGAGCTTGAAACTGTGCTATTATCGCGCTCATATTCTCGTATCGAGCTAAGTGCAATAAAATTCGAGAGGGGGAGGTAATTCTTTTCGAAATCCCACAAAAAGCTGAGGGTTATAAGTGGTAGAGGGGCGAGAAAACACGAGAGAATCCAGCCTCCTTGGAAGCCCGCCAATGTCCCGGCCATTGTGAGTTGAAATAGCAACAAGCCAAGAATTACTCTTCTGAATATTAAAGGCCATACCTTTCCCGTCGAATGAGGCAAATGGTCGGTAGCAAACACTAACTGATATTTGTACACGTAAAACCCAATCACAAAATACGCTAATCCTGACGCCAGGATTTTGGTGCTCATCACACTGTATATCAGAGTAACAATCAAAATAAGTATGGGTTGGGGTAATTGTAGACCGAAGTTGAAGATTGGAGGCTTCATGAGTGCTCTTTCTTGTCTGGGTGTTTTACACTTAATCTTCACGAATGGGAATCCGATAAGACTTCCCGCCAGTAGAAGCTTGAAAGGAAACATTCCGATTCCTTGCAAAATAATCAAGTCAACATAGAACAGTGAAAATTCTTTTACCGAAGTGGCTAACTGGTAAGCTATCTTTGTAGTATCGCTCAAGTAGCCCCAATAGTTAGATGCAGTTCCTGCCAAAGTGAAGACCAAAAACAAATTAACGAAAATGTAAAAGAAGTTTTTGGATACTAATGAGACCTCCTCCTCACTATAGGAAACGAGGCCCTGTCGAGACGTCAGAAATTCGTAGAAATACGGGACACCAATATTCAACAAGGTGAATAAATAGGTGGGCAATAGGCCAGTCACCAAATTTTGAGCCCATCTATTCTCCTTCAAATAATCCCCAAGTTGTGGCCAAAACCTGGATATAGATTTCAGGTTTAGCAATGTAGCGAGGTAAGACACTGGGATAACAAGGAAAAAGCTGCAAAAGCCGATGAAAATTGTCACGGACCATACTTTTGTTAATCTCTCTCTTCTGGATAAGCAAACGTTATCCCATTTGATGTCATGAGGGGCGGGTGCTAAGCGTGTAATGAAATAGTGTACGCGAGGGTCAAGTACAGCTTGTGCAGCCATCTGGGCATTTGCTACAGAGTCCATCGTTACGAAGGCCGTTGGCGTGGCCGGATAAGACTTTTGGCGAGCTTCTATAATTTCATTGTCGATGAACTTCAACTGCCTTTCCAAGTAATCAATGGCATCCACACGTTCACCAAAGATGCCAAACAATCCTGTCCGAGTCTTTTGACGGCCTTCCAACCTGATGTGAGAGTACAGACGGTTTGAATCTTCTGCATCCTGATTATTACCATCGTATTGGTCATTCTCTCCTAGGTCTTCTCTGGAGGAGTCGCTTCTCAGTCTGTAGTTTTCATCAAAATGCTCAGGGTCGCGCAGTGCTTCTGGGCACTGAGCATACTTCAGTTCTAACTTTTCGAGTACCTTTTTGCGATAGTGGAAGAGGTTATTCAAGGGCCCCCATTCGCGACAAATACTGATGGATGCTACGCTCCCAATCTCCAGTTCTTCAATTCTTGCCTTTAATGCTGCAGCATCCCGCAGCTCTACTGGTATACCAGTGAGTCTTATAGTTCTGTCAGTTAAAGTATTTTGTCGACCCAAGTACCATTGCCTCGTGTCTACAACCACTTTGGTCTGTTGAATCAACAAGTAGAGTGAAACTAAAGTGAAAAAGGCAGTGAAAATCACATACATCCAAAGATACATTTCCGCCCTCTCTGGATTTGGATCACCCATACCATCTTCCGCCTTCTTTAGGATGTTGAAGGTGCCATCGCCGTCATTGCCATCGTCATACCTTCCTGTGTAATGATATCTTATTGGAGAAATCAAGCATACAGAAAATCCACAGCATATAGCTAGAAGTTTAATGCTCATTTTGAAAAACCCCAGAAACACATATGCATCCAAACCTGCACACTCCAGCACTTGACTCTCACTTATTTTGTACAAAACAGGAACCCAGGCAAATAATGAATTGTCATTCCAAGACGGCAACGCAGTCTGCGTTCGTCCTATCCTGCTTGCGTACAGCTTAGGCATCTTCTTGAGCAGTACAGAAAATGTTAATAAGGCAAACAGCCCAAGGCACGAGGCTATCAACAGCTGGGCTGTTGCTACCCTGGTTGTGGGTTTCCTAAAATCCGGATGGTCTGCGTCATCTGATAGCTCTGAAAGCTCATTGAGTGCCAGCAAGAAGTCCCAAAGGAGCCGCATTGACAGATTTCAGGCTTCAAACACGGTTGGCAAGGCAGATGGCCACCGTCAAGTAAAATAGCCTCGTGCTTGTGTATATAATAATGTATACACGAACTGGCGCGTCAATTCCTCGTTCTCATAATTGATAGCACTGTGAACGATCATTAGCGATCAAAGACAGGCCAATAGCAGGATAATGAGTTTGTATCGGCTGCAACTCCACTCTCTTATTTGTCATTGGATTGTAAGACTATTTAAAATCTTGTTTAGGTCAAGTCTGTCTTTATTAGGTCCTTTCGGGTACAGAAACAGTGGTTAAAAGTGGTAACCAACAATTGCATTACATGGGAGGTGACGATCTACATCAACACTATCTATTAGGTCAATAATGGTCTTTTAAATCTTGAATCACTGGGCGCAATGGCATTATTGCAGCACCAGGAGCCTGTGGCAACATAGAGCCTGTCACGACACTTCCACAAGCAGTTGTTGAATGGCGCATTAATAATGTGTACCAACGCTCTGAACAATTCAACCGGAGAATTTGAGATGTTCGCAAATTGCACTTTACAATTGGTTAAAGCGATCGTGGCCACTCGGAGCATTGGAAGCACTTATGACTACGCACGCCAGTACTGTGCCAAATTGTGGAGACGATCGATGACGAGTGGTAAGAGCGCATTGACGCTTGCATTAATTAGGTTTTGAAAGTGAATTATAGCTTCTTCTTCCGACATATCCAGACAGAATTTTTCTTTCACTTTCAAGATTGCACCATCGGGGTCTATTTTGATGTCAGGAATTTCTGACGGCTTCATTAACTCAAAAAGATTCAAAATCAGATTGGCGTTGCGCCGCAGGATTGAATACGCAACAAAACAATAACTTCGAAACTTGTCATAGTTTTGAGATTCAGCACCTCCAAACGATTCGATAATCTGAGGTGGCAGTTTCATCAAGGGGGGGAAGGGCTTTGGGTCCTGACCCAAAATATAGCCAAAGTCTGCATGAAAGAAATGCCCGTCAGGGGTAATGAGAAGGTTGTCTAGATGACGATCGCCAACACCCAAAATATACGTTATAACACAATACCCAGCACACGACTTTACAAAGTTGTCCATAACCCACTCTTGAACCCCGAGTTCATTGTCTGGAGACGGGTGGTGTGTTCGGAAAAAAGGTAGTATACCGTGATGCTTATTGAGAATACTAGCCATTGTATCATTTGGAATGAATTGTATTGCACCCTCTCTGGAACCAGTAGCCAGAATCTTGTACGGCGTGAGTTTCAGATCAACATTTTCGTTTTTCAACAATTCGTTCATTAGAGATATGATTTGAACGACCAGCTGATCCTGTCTTAAATCGTCACCAACCTTAAACATCAGAGAGTAATTTTCCTGGCCTTGAGTGGTAAATACAATCTTGATGGGAGACAAAGAACTTTTGAAAATTTTACAACCGCCGGAAACTACATCTGTCAGAACATAATCGGGATCGAGCGGTAGCTCTACTGGTTTAGATTTCAAAAAGGGCTTCATCTTTGTAGATATAAGGTGTAACAAGAGCTCCAGCTTCTTCGGTGTAGTATCCCTCAAATTTTTAATTTCCTGACAGAAATTTTCTAGCATGGACATGAATTCAATCTGATTATCCAGCTTGGCACGCTTATTGTTGGGTAAGCGGCTGACAAAGCTGTCCAAAATGTATATCAAGTATTGATTGCCTTCCGATTCAGACTTCAGATACCAGTAAAAGAAGTTGCCCAGTCTATCATTGATGATAGCTCGCCGTATTAAGAATTCCGCCAGCGGTGATATCAATACAGAGCTTTGGCCCATGGCAGTGCTTTCAACACTATTGATCGAGTTAGCCCCATTTGAATGGTCGTATTTGGGAGATGCAGGAACCGGAGCAGTACTCTGCATCACATCAACTATTGTGAATTCGCTAGCTGATTTATCCGATAATGGGGAGGCGCTCTCGAAACAAACAGCTTGAACCAACTGCAATAAATACAGTTCCAGTTCATTGTCAGACGCTTTCTTCAGCCTATTCACCGCATACGATCTCAAAGAGAGATTCTTATACGCTGACCTTAACAACTCAATGGCATCTTCTATATCTATTTCGGCCCATGAGTCCACAAGTTCTAAGACTTCTTTCCTTTCATTTTCCTCAGTCAAATTAGTACTTTGCAACAGTTTAGTTAATGCCTTTTTATTATTCATTAAGTAATAGCGGTATTTCCACACCAAACCCTTTTCATGAGCTGTGAGATCGCTTCCAGGGGGGTAGCTGATTATTTGGTTGAGCACATCTCTCTTTTTCAAATCCGGTTTGAGCTCCTTCTCAAAGCTTGAGTTGGTAGTTGCCCTCTCTAGCCGCCTAAACTTCTCTTCAATCGGATCAACGTTGAATTGATCTGGGTCATAGAATTTCAAAGTTGACTCGGTTCCACTGCCTAGTGATAATTTGGCTTGGGAATCTTGACGCGCGACCTGATCGTTGATGACATCAAAATTGTGGAAGTTCGGTACGTTCTTTAAAGCCTTGTCTGAAATTTTCTCAGAGTAAACTATGGGAAGTTCGAATAGTGGATACTCGATGTTCAAAACGAATGTACCTGGAGGAAGTTTTCTTTTTCTTAAGGATTTTTCTAACTGCGGGAGAGTAATGCCGTCCAACCAATCAACTGCTTTTATTTCGCTTTGTTTATATTTGTTGACCAGGTCTTGAACTTCATTTGTTTCAATTCGTCCGCTGTCTGGATCATCGATTTGGAACCGTATCGCCTCCGTCCCTCTTTTCAGAGATCGACTTCTTTCCTCGAAGAGAGGAGTTTCAACCGAAAAAAATTCCACTTCGTTGTCCCCATCAAATTCCCATAAAATTATCGAGAGCATACTGTGAGCAGTGAGTTGTTCTAAGGTTATGGGTAATGTCAGCCATACATCCCATTTTCGGGAACTCTTGAAAGGGATGTATGGTGTATAGACCGGAATAGTCAAATTACGCTGCGATTCTTTATCGAAAACTTGCACAGAAACAAACATATCGCTATTCGCCAACACGTCTGACGTTCTTTGCGACAGTGACGGCTTAGTTAACCTTTGAGACGTTTTCAACAGTGGCTTCGATCCCTCCAAGGAGTCGATTTTAACCTGCAATGGTAACCCCAATTCATTTGATATGCAGAATGTTACGCTCTTGACGGACATAAGAGAAGAGTCAGGATAAGAACATCGGCTGAGTGTCTGGCGCGGGCACATCGAGTTCACGCATGTAATCTATTTATCTATATCTATCATGTTTGACGAGTGAGGTATTAAGCTCAAGCTGAAGAGTTCTTGTAAAATCAATGCTTTCACGCTTACCGACTAGGTCAAGCGAAGCTCGAGAACACTCAAGAACTATTAAATCAATGTTTATGGTGTGTATTCAACACATCTATTTACATGCTATTTACAAATGAAACTTTCCGTCATTGAATTTGCTCGGAGGATGAGTTTCTACATTCTGAGCAGTTAATCAGTCTCGATTCTTGGATTTTGGCCCTTACTGTAGCCCTGGTTACGTCTGTCGCTGAATCTCTTGCTATCATTGTTAGAGTCCCAGCGTCCGCGTGTCCCACTGTAGCTTTTACCACGAGACTCGTATCTTTGCTTCCCTCCATTCCTGCGGGTGTCAAATCTATCACCTCTATCATAGCCATCGTAAGAATTACTTTGGTAGTGTCTAGGTGAGCCGGAATCGAATAGCTCTTCGACGATTCTTCCTCGCAAACCATATCTCATATTGGCTATGTCACGGCTAATTTGTAATTTCTTGGTGGTATCCAATAGAGATTCACCGTACGAACCGGCAAGTTGACGAGCTACGCGAGGCATACGGAAACCATAAGCTTGCTCGCAACCTTTATAGAAAGACAACATTGATTCTAAGCCATCTTTGAACAAAAATTCGTCACGCATGCATTGCTTGAATTCTTCAGCATCTGCTGGCTGGGGAACAAAGTCTTTCTGATCTTTGATGTTCACACCCTTTTCGGCTGACAAAGTGTCTATAAAAGAAAGTTCATCCTTGAAAAGATAAATGGAGGCTCTCCCTTCTTTACCACCTCTGGCAGTTCTTCCAATACGATGAATATAATTGGAGATTTCAGATGGAACACCTAGTTGAAAAACTTCCTCGACACCGGGGAAGTCCATACCACGAGCACCGACATCAGTGCATACAAACAAGCCCTCATGGGCGCGTTTGAATTGCTGCACCATTCGAGTTCTCTTCTTCTGGTCGATCTTACCGTGAAATTCATAAATTGGCAAGGATGGAAACATTCTCTCCAAAACGTTACTATAAAACTTGGTGAATTTAACGGTTGGCACAAACAGAATCGCTTTGAGCGGAGTGTTCAATTCCAAGCGAGCCTTGATTGCCGAAATTGGCGCATACATGTTGTGGGCAAAGGTTTCAGAAATAACCAAGCTTTGCTCAATCTTTTCATGAGCCTCGGGTTCATTCTTGTCAACCGTGTCCAAAAACAGGCATTGCCCTTTGTTCATGATGCCACCCGCCAACTTCTGCACGTTATCACCCAAAGTGGCGGAAAACAGAAGCGTTCTGATGTGATCGGGACCCTCTGCATTCAAAGTATTCAATGTCCTCGATATGTCCCGCAGATCTTCGTCGAACCCAATCTCCAAAAGACGGTCTGCTTCATCTAGGACCTTGAAGTCCACAAACCTGAAAAATTCGTCCGAAAATTTGGAAAGAACATCGATGAGCCTACCTGGAGTCGCAACAACGATGTTGGGTCTTTCCTTGAACATCCTGCGCACAGCCATCTGGAAGTTGCTGCCACCAATCAAGGCAATGGAACGAAATTTTTTCAAGCTGTGGTTGTTTCTTTGAAGCTTGGAAATCTCGGAGTCAATCTGCAAGGCCAAGTCTCGGGTGGGTGCGACGATTACGCATTTAACCATGTCTGGAGACTGGACGCGCGTCTGCACCAAGTGCTCAAAAATTGGCACCAAGAAGGCCAAAGTCTTACCAGTACCGGTTTTAGCGCGCGCGATAACATCGTCTTTGGTCGCTAGGATCGGTTTCATTGTCTTTTGCTGCACGGGTGTCAAACTCGCAAAGTTCATGCGCGCTACGGCCCTGTGGATGTCCTTATGCAACACACCCTCATCTCTGAGAGCATCCAGCGTCACTTCCTGTTGGTTTGGATCGTGTGGTACTTGTACAACGGTTTGATTTAGTTTCGATCCGCGCAGTAGCGATGCTGCTTCGGCATCGTCGCCAGCTGGAGCTCGATTTCTTCCACCAGCCCAACGCTCGCGTCTATTTGAGTTTCCTCCCGCAGACCTTCCGCGTCCATTGTAGTAGCTTCTGGCAATCCTCACACCGTCTAAAGTGGGTAATTTTCCAGCAAAAGTGCTCGGAAATTTGACAAAAGCGACTCTTTTCACTGCACCATTGCGAGCCAGCAATAATTTTCCTATCATACACTCTTAGATCTAACTTCGTGTTCTTTATTCACTACTGATAGCTGCAGACGAGATCTATTATTTGAAGTGCTTAAAATGGGTCTTGATGAGAAGTGGTGTTCGTAGCTTTGATCGATGAGTTTAGTTCAGTCAACTTTTATACTTCCATATAATAATATAATTTTCATAATTCCTTTACACATTGAAAAACTACATCTGAGTAACTGAACAAGTTGAAGTCAAGCACTTTGAGTGCTTGTAGAAGGCCTGATTAGCGAAGTTCAATCGAACTGAAGAATGTCAGGAAGCCCAATTCCACAGCTGGTAAACATATCGCATGCCCTACAATCGGCGTTTGTACAGAAACTGCGCTCGGAAGTGAAGACGTTCACGGACAGTGTTCGGCTGTCTGATGAGCAGACGCAAAAGATTGACGAGTACATTATTTCGCTAGAGAGTGCCTTTGCAGAATTCACGCGGGACAATGAACACATTGAACGTAGGGACGCCCATGTTACCGCAGCAGACGAACAACTTTATAGTGGGCTGAAAACAATGTACGCAGACTACCTGTCTCAACTCGTGAAGCTGAAAGAGCGCAGTGTAAACCAGGAGGAGCGTGTTGGGGGTGATAGACCTGTCGAATACGTCTGCGACGAACTACCTTACAAGCAACCCAACGAGCGGAAGTTGTACGTAGATCAGCTGCTGAAGGATTCATCAGTGGCCGGTAAGCTAGCGAGAAACAACAAATTCCTAGAAGGCATTGTAAATCTGTCGGTGCTGGACTCCACGGTGCCCGATAATGTGCAATGCTACCTTGCTATATTGCGCAAAGTAGGCTATTCCGACCAGGAGATCGCGCGCCGTATGCCGCACGCTGGTGGGCAAGGCGACAATGACAACAGGGGAAATGGTACTCTCGGCTTCACATCAATAACGAATGTTGAGCAAGTGCAGCAATCCAACTCAGACCTCAAGACCAAACTCATAAGCTCAGTACCCGAGGAACCCAAGAAGAAAATATCGTTTTCCAAGTATCTGAAAAAGGGTGACGTTGTAAACGAAGCGCCCAAGCGCCCGCTCGAGAACGCAGAAAATGGCAGCGCCCTCGTCAAGCCTGCTGTTAAGCGAGCTAAACTTGAAAGTAACAGTTCGAGCCCCACCCTTGCATCAATACTCAAGACTGAGAACAACAAGAAAAAAAGGAACCCCATACGTTTTGTCGATGACGAGAAGTTGTTGACGGTCTATGGCGATGAACTGCCCTCTAAGGGTCTCATTGTATCACCTAGTAAATTAAGAAAAGTTTTGAAGCCTTTCAGAGACGGAGAACCTAGAGAGATAACGTACTCCGCGTGGAACAACCAAAAACTACTAGAGCTCTCGTTTCCAGAACCTGAAGAAGGCTCTGATATCGTGGACATTAAAGGAGGGCTGGTACCGTGCGAAACGCGCGCCGCACCGGCATATCGACTCACTTTTACGTCCTTCAGTAAAACGCTCACAAAGGTGCCCTTGGAGCCCGCAGAGTACGACGACGCAGATTCTAGCCTATCACAGAAACCCTTAATCGTGCGCGCATTTGGTAAGAATTGTTTACTACTACAGAAAGACCGTGGAGGAATTCCTTATAAGAGGGTACCAGAAGTGCATGCGAATGAGTACCCCGTAAGGCCAATTTCAAACTGAAGAGGGAGGTCGCAATCATCAACGCATTTTGTAACATTATAGTATAAAAGACTCGCAGCAGCACCAACAATCTAACTAGTGGTTTGTGCATTCCTCCAAACACGCACATATATGTTAGCAACATAGCCTACTTGGCCCGCAAGTATTTGATCATCATTATGGCAATAGCACTCACAATGGCGAAAGGTGGGAAATACTCCAGAAGAGTGCGGGTCCAGGAAGGTTTGATTTTTCCTATCAGCGAATGGACTTGGCCGTACAGCGCTTGTGGAGAGCCATCATTTTCTAACACATAATCAGAGCGCCGTGTTCGTTCCTTGTGTGTCATTTGCGCCTTAATTCGGTTTTTGACACCCTCCACAGACAGCTCAGGGTTTCGGGCCCTCACTCGCTCGACCTGTGTGGCCTGGTCGCACACTACGCTCACAGTAACTCCACAAAAAAAGTCCAGCTTACTTTCAAATAGCAATGGGACGTCAAGCAGGCACATTTTCTTGCCCTTGAAGTAATTGCCCAGGATTTGTCTGAATATTTCGTATCTAACGGCTGGGTGCGTAATGCCGTTTAGCACCTTTAGATCAGCGTGGTTTGCAAAAACATGTTTTCCTAGTGCAGCTCTGTTTAAAGAGCCGTCTGCCTGTAACAAGTCCGGTACCTTTCCTCCAAAGTACCGCACGATGCGTTTGTAAGCATCGCGATGAGGTTCCACAATTTCCCTGGCTATTTTATCAGCATCAATTATAGGTATACCGTAGCTTTCTTCGAGCTTTTTGGACACTGTTGACTTTCCACAAGCAATTCCTCCAGTGAGCCCAATCACAAGCATTGTTCTTGGTGGCTGTAGGCTTTAAAGCTTAATTATTATCTAGTTGTTGATGAGGATCTGTATTTACATATGTTAATTTACAATAATATTCACCAATTAATGTCTGCTATCTGCTGCATTAAAATCCAATTACTGGACTGCTGAACTATGATATGAGCGTTCCAAGGGTCTATACTTTGGGTAGCGCTCCCCTGGTGTATTTAATGAGTCATGAGCTGGCGTCTTTGAGCTTTCAGCCCAAAGTGCCTGAGATTGTACTGTTGCTTCAGGATCAGAAGAAACTGAACCGATTTTTAGAAAACGAGTCAAAGTTAGTCATCCGAAGTCGCGGGGGCGGAGCTGATTACTCCTGTCAATATATGGCATCCTGCTCACCGCCTAAATTTGCGTCTGGCGACCTCGCCAAGCTGGACAACTTGGTTGTAGGTGAAAAAAAGCCAAGAGCATCTATACAGGCGCTGAAGAAATATTCTCGATCGCTCCATTCTGATACAAATGTGCTGCTATTGAATCCAGCGATGGGTCTGCTGGATTTGTTACGGAAAAACATTTGGAACGAACGAGGGTTCGTTCCCAATTTGTTCATCGGTGTGACCAATACTAGTGGCTTCTGTAGGCCCAAAGAGTTTACTGCCGAACTACCGAACTTCCAGAATACTCTTCAGATTTGCTCAGTACCGAGAACGCATGAGGGATATACTTATGAGGGAGATGTACAAGGGGCTGCAATGGCGATGGAATCCAATAATCTGCTGAAGTTGTTTGCAGCAGTGAATCAAGAACAGTCCGGGTCTGGGCTTGGTATCGTATGCCGTCCTTACGGGGATGTTCTGCTGTATCGGCTCGAGCAGCTCATAGTTCAGTCATGTGTGAATCCCATAATGGCGCTTTACGGTGCTCAAGCCCACGATCTGATGACCAGTGAGTCCCTGGTGAAAATGACTCGAGCTCTAATAACAGAGTTTGTGCATGTCCTCAAATCAACTGATAAGTTCATTAACAACATCCCATATTCTCAAGGTGCGCTTGATGCAGAGCGGTTACTTGCTGCGGTAGCGAGGTACTGCAAAAGCTATAATAGTAAGGCATTCAACGAGCTTAATGTCCACGACGTAAATCAACTGAATGGATTTTTCGCTCTGAAAGCCAGGAGGCGAAACATAAGGTGCCCCTTAAACGACGCTATCATGGCATGTTCCAAGGCAAAGCTCGAACTGGCCCGCAATGCGAGGTTGGATTTTAGATACCTGTAAATAGCATACAATAAAGCAGACATATTGATAGAATTAATGTGCCAATACAGAGTCCTTGAGATGATTCTTGATGATGTTGGTATATCCGTTGTAGATTTGTAAAATGTTATTCACGCACTCCTGATCGCAAAATTCCGGCGTTTCAAGCTGTCGAGTTTTGACGGCGATCCCTTCCAAGAGAGAGTGCAGAAATTCTTGAAGTAACGTCTGCAGATGGGGGTAAAATGAATCTTCTGTTAGATACCCTAACATGAACTTCTCTACTTTTCTTACATTAGAGCTGCTGGCAGCTGCCAGTGCAACTAATGTGCGAAAACTTATGTCACTTTCTGAAATCGTGTAGTCCCCCCAAAATCCATTCTCCTGTAGAAACCGTTTCGTAGTTTCCTCTTCGATAAGTCTTTCAACCTCTGGGGACACGTCTATATAGTTCCACTTGTTGTCCTTAAGCGTAAAACCGTACTCGCAAAGTAAAAAGTCGTTTGAATGGGCACCATAGTTCAGGAGGATCTGTTCACCGACGGTGCTGTATTTGTAATTTCCACCCACAATGTTGAATGTCCCAAGACCACATACACCACGCTTCAAAACTTCAATACGCGGTGTACAATACAACTCAGAATCTGAGGAGTGATTCAGAAAGTCTACGAAGGGGACCATTGTAAAATTATCTGCAATGCTTTTCTTGAGAGGAACATCAATGTACAAGCATCTTGAGTTGATCACAAAATAGGTATGAACAAAGTGCTGAAAAAGTTCATTCACTGTGGGTCGTATACGTTCCTCGATGGCATTAGACCACATTTGCAATACTGGACTTACCGTTCGCCAGTCTGTAAGTACCTGGTCCGCGATGCGTTGAGCGTGTATCATGGATGCAGCTGGAAGAGATTCAAAAAGTGCTTTATTGCATGACTCGGGTAAAAGAACCCAGCTCGATGGAATGCTCTTAAGTTCGCTTGCAGCTGGGAAGACGTCGAAGAAAGGCTTCCAAAAGGACACTGGACCATTCAAAAACGGTAGCAATTTCCATTCGAACATAATATACAAACACAGCAGCTGGAAAGAGCTTAATTTCGACACTACGTTAGTTGTCAAAATCTTGTAAAGTTTTGACCGCGGATCGCCACCATCTTCAACGCGATCGTTATCCGAACAAGTTACTCGCTCAAAGTACAAATCCGCGTTGAACTTCGAAATATGGTACACGACTGAGTGAAAGTTAAGCTGATACTCGCTCGGTATAGATACCACAACATCGTTTTTGCTAACAGTGTCTGCTTTTAAGTAAAGTCCTCGTCCTGATTCCGGTGTATCTTGCAAGAACACATTATCATTAACTCTAAAGTACTCTGAGCTTTTCAGCCAGCTAACAAGTTTGGCGATTCTTAAATCCCAATCCGACCCTTCGTGGTTTTCTTTCATACGTTCTTTAAAGCCGAAATGTCAAATGGGCCGTTTCATCTCATCTCTACGCATCTCATCTCATCTCATCGCATTTCATTTAAATACTTTTCATTCCTATTGACATACAAAACCAATTGTTAAAGAACCAGATGTCGCCAAGAATCACTTTTAAGCAATCTAGATGGTCAATTCAACAATGCTTAAGAGCCTCGTACGTGAACTCTAGGTCTTCTAGCTCTTGTAGCGGGAAGGCTACCACTTTTCCAGTTGAAGAATCATCCAGAGCCCTGAGGCATCTAGAGTTCGTCAAGCCCATGAATTTCGAGAAGGGTCTCAAGATACAAGAACACTTTGTAAGAGCACAGTTAGATATGAAGCATCTCACGTCGAAGATTGACAGAAAACTTAGAGAATTAGAAGTAGAGCATCCGGGAGCTGTAATCAACGAACACGAGGAACTTATTTTAAAGAATATCTTACAGATGAAACCCAACCCCGTGGTCTTGACATTTGAATTTGATCCCACTTACACAGGTGGTAAGCGGAGTAAGAAGGATGTGACCCCGGAGGAAATTGCTATATTTGAGTCTTTCGTTCCCAAAACTCAAATTGATAATCCTCCTCCGAGATTTGTTCAGGCAGAGAGAGGTGGCCAAGTCACATTTCATGGCCCCGGGCAAGTAGTAGCATATGTGATACTCGATCTGAAGAGTTTCAATGCTTTTCCAGCAAAATGCTTGGTGTCGGCTATTGAAGATTCAACCATTAGCACTTTGAGAAAGGTTCCCGGAGGTCAAAATGGTACTGCTTTGGGCTTAGAAGCCCGCAAGACGTCTGAGACTGGAGTTTGGATCAATGAGGAGGAAAAGATCGCCAGTATAGGCATTCACGTTAGAAGATCCATCACATCTCATGGTGTATGCATCAACGTCAACCCAGATCTATCGTATATGAATGGTTTTGTAATGTGCGGGTTGCAGGGCACAAAGGCTACATCTGTCCTGGACCAGCTCCCACAAAGCTCTTGCTCAACACACGATGTTGCGGTCATGTTTGCCAATGAACTGGCCAGAAAACTGGGGATTGAAACCGTGGAAAGGATACAACTAGATGATATAGATATAGATTAAAAATTGTAGAATTATATTATCATCTTTTTGAAGTATACTGAAATGCAGCTGCGATAATTCCTATTGTAAATGCACTGAACAAGATTGTCGATTTGTTCCGTTTAATGCCCGTTTTCTCTGCCATGTCATTCACCTTTTTTGGGGAAATGCCTTCTCGAGTACGCTTAAGTGTGCTTCCTGTGTCCTCGTGGCTTTTTCGAAGCTGTGCGTTTTTAAAGCACTCTACCTCTAATCTTGTGTTTAAGTCTTCCACTTCACGCTTCAAATCAGTAACTACATCATTCTCTCGGGTCTGCTGTTCTCCTAAAGAATTTCGCAGCTTCAAGTTTTCTTCCCTCATGGCGTTCAGTTGCTCTATGTGCTCTACCATGAGTTTCTCGTGCTTTTCGTTTAGCTTCTGCTTCAACGCATTTTGCAAGTGCGCCAGTTGCTGGTCGTTATTCTCGACTTGCAACTTGTTAATATGCTCTAAACTTGTAGAAAATTGAATCAAAAACCTCTCTATAGACTTCATCTTTTCATATTCGTGCTTTTCCAGTGATATCTCCGTAAGCAACGTCTTTACAACATTTATGAGATTCGGACTGGTGCCAATGGAGTTATTAATGAAAATGCCACTTAGAATTTCTGTTTCTGAACCTAGTAAAGAACCCTCGAGATCCAGGTTGTTAACGTCGCCAAACATGGCTGCTTCGAATGCGGCACGCTGAGCATTGGGTGTGAAGGGGCTGGTGTAGCCTGTGATTTCATTGGCTATCCCGTTGGCCCCGTCCAGTGTTCCTTCAAACAATGCACTATCGTCATTTATCAATGGAATCACTGAAATGTCCTCTAGCAACGCGCTGATTTTTCGATGTTCGAACTTCGCGTCTATATCGGTACCCAAGTCAATAATGTCACCAACCTTCAGCTCTACATCGCTTTGCGTGATGCGATTTCCATTGACAAAAGTTCCATTGGAAGACTTAAGATCCCGTATGTATACCTTGCCGGAAAAAGGCTCGCAACTGAGCGATGCATGGTTTCGTGACAAAACCCGCGAGTCAAAGTTTCCATTATCAGGCCTCACCTGTGATTGCAAGTCCTGTTTACCGCCTTGTGCGACCGTGGGGTTGGCAATAGGTCTGCCCAGCTTCAAACCGTCTGGCCTGAAAGGAATCACCAAAAACTTCGTTTCAAAAGTATTGTTGAGCGACTTGAGCACTGCAATATGAGTATATCTGTTTCGGGGAGCTGCAGTGTTTACCGTGAATTCCTGTGATGGTAATGTACTGGATGACCCATCACTACTCGAATTTGATCTCGAACGGCCCAATCCACCAGGTTTGGCCTCCCTGTTAGTGGGCTTTGAAGGATTAGCAGTCTCCCTCTTGTCTAATATCGCTGAAGGCATTGAAGAATGCTACACGATTGGCTTTCGATGGTCAAGTGGATTCCTTTCAGTCACTTTATGGAAATGTTTATATATTCTATGAAATTAGGTCGCTAAAACTGGGTACATCACGATAAATAGGACCAGGCTTCGGAAAGATAATCGGCAAGACCCGCTCCAAGATGGCGGAGAGTCTTTCGCAATGCGTTACGGCTATGGAATCAAGTGTCAGATGCTTAGAACAGACTGTAAATCTTTTGAAGAAAGAATCAGCACCAAGCAATCGCTTGACAAAGAGTCTGATTCAATCACGAAGAGTTTTCGAGCTGGTCCCCGAATATGACGTCCAGCGGGCGAAATTGGATTTGATTGAGGAAGTAGAACCTTTGGTTAATAATTTGAGCAAGAAACTGGCGAAACAGTTGTCAAAATTGGAACGCGAGCGTGACAACCTGCAACAAACGCTGGAATTAAATGCCTTGAGATTGAGAAATAGATTTAATGGTGAGGAGGCACAAGACCAAGACGTGGGTTCCGACTTGGTGATAATGACTTCGTCAACCACTGAAGAGTTGGATCAGCTACGAGACCTCAAGGCGCAAAAAGCGCAGCTCTTAGAAAAAATACAAAGTTTGGAAAGTTCTACTTGACTGTGCACCCTGGCTATATCAGTGTGACATTGGTGTAATAATTACTCACACAGTTTTCCAGCCCATTTAGCTTTGAGGTGATGCTAATGAGGCTGGGATCGCTGGTGGAGATGGATACCTTTTGGCATTCGGATACCAAACCGTCCTCAAAGGTGACGCAGCGTGCCAGCACGTTTTGCGCGTCTTCTAAGGTGGTACACTGATGGGCGTTTTTGTGCGGAAAGACGTTTCGCAGCAAAGAAGGCTCTTCGATTTGCAATCCCTCGTCCTCCAGAATCTCGCTTAATTTCTTTCCACGTTGCGACTTCAATTTCTCACGTACTATGTCTGCGAAAGTTTTACCCGTTTCAGAATTGTAATCGCACCATGGCCTGGTGGTGATTTTCTGTAGGTTACGGAAATCCATGCTTATCTCGTTTTTGAGAATAACGAGATCCATGTTCAAGATGTGATGTGATGTTTGAAAAGGTCCTTCGCCGTTCGAAAACAGACTTTTCAAGACTATGTTCTTATTATAGGGGAACAATAGGTCCTGGGGAGGAAATTGTAGCAAGTTGATGGACTTGGATAGTAAGTCCAGCACTTTTGCTAGGTCACTAACAAAAGTGTCCACATCTTCCGATAGCTGGAGAGTATCCAGCAGATCAGCTACAGCCTTTAGGTTCTCAGTTATTGTAGCAATCTGCTGTAAAGGAAATGGTTCACCGGTGTTCATCTTCAACACAGTTTGTCTGCCTCGGTTGAACTGCTTGAATCTAATAATCAGCTGCAGATCGGTGACGAATCCGCTCTTCCTCGTGAGAACCCCTCGCACGTAAGCTGCGTTTGAATCGTTGCCTGCTCCATTACTTATAGGCACTTTAAAGCTAGTTTCGCTTGTCAACAGCTCTAAGCATTTATCCACGTTATCGATAATATTAGGTAGTTCGGGCTTTATGATCTCATTAATGAGCCATTGCCGTTCCCCTTTCTGATCTGACGACCTAGTAGCACCAAAGTAATCATTGGGGAAGAGTGTGGTAGTCATTCTAGATCTCGCTTTTGTCCTATGGCTAGTTGCTAAACTTACTTAAGTTAACCTTGGGATATAATATTTATTCAATATTTAAATATGAAAGATCAGCACCCTGTCTCGAGTGAAAGGAACTAATGTTCAAAAGCGTTACTCAACGATCTATTGGCCCATCGCAGAAATTTCAAAAGCGTCAATTCGTAGTGGCCACGGCTTTGACGCTTGGTGGCTTCGTCTTTGGCCGCAACGCCCGCTTGGCCAATGCAATGGCCAGGGGAGAGATACATAACAAAAATTATGAGGCAAAAGCTCAGGTTACTTCAATAAAAGATTCCAGGCCAATGAAGCCTAAGTATGACGGACATATTCCACTGTATCCGCACGAACGCGTTCTTTTGTTCCTCGTTTCAGGACTTAAATCCTACTTCCATCCCGAAAATGGTGATAACATCGTACAGCTGGGCGAGGCTTCTGCCTTTACATTCTTCCTGGAGAATCTACAACGCACTATGCTTGCAGATAAGACTGGAAGACGAATATTGCGTGAACAGCCAGATATCACTTCGGAAAGCTTAGACATGGAACGCCTGAGTAAAATGGGCCCTAACACATTGGGTTATAGCTACTACAAATGGCTGCTCAAGGAAGGGGTCTCTCCCGATACAAGGGCCCCGGTGAAATACGTTGATGACCCTACGCATGCTTACATATTCAAGCGCTACCGGCAGTGCCACGACTTCTATCACGCTGTAAATGACCTTCCCATTATCATCGAAGGCGAAATTGCAGTAAAAGCCTTAGAAGCAGCAAACATTGGTGTCCCCATGGCTGCTTTAGGTGCTCTCTTCGCCCCACTACGCTTGAAGCCAGCACAACAACAGCGCCTCTATGAGATTTACCTTCCTTGGGCTGTCAGAACAGGTTTGAGTTCCAAGCCACTAATTAACGTGTACTGGGAAGAGCTGCTAGAAAAGGATGTAGATGAAATCCGGAGAAATCTGAACTTCACCCCACCCCCAGACTTAAGGGCCCTTCGTCGGGAAAGAATGAAACAGCGCCAGCAATTCAAAGTCAGGTACGACAAGCATGAAGTAGAATGATGGTGAAAAAACGTAATTTTGTCAGTTCGCATTCTATCTATTATTTCCATTATTACTAGTATGTCTATCAAAATTCAAATGCCGAGTAACCGCATATGAAACCTATTTATCCTCCAGTTTCTCGGTGCTGGCCTGCTCGTGTGCTTTATCCGCCTCGACGCTTCCATCACTGTCGTAAGGTGGCAAGGCATCCTCGCCACGGTGATAATCGTATTCGTTGACTTCACTGTCATGTAGCTCACTGAAGGGGATCAATCCGCGTTTCCTTGCTTGCTCATCAGTGAATGCTCCGTAATAATCCTTGTCGTCTTGTTTGATATTGATCTTGACTGGGAAGACCAAACATAGTATCCAGTATACGAAGAAGGAAATTAGGAATGATGTGAAAGAGTCAGCCATGTAGAAGTTTAGGATACCCTGGGAAACTTGAATGTTTGGGTTGGCCTCAGCAGCCAAACCTGGCAAACCGGGTGCCATACCACAAGTAAAAGCGAACATAGCACGCCAATTGACACCCCAAGTGTAATAGTACTCACCATGAACCACGAATGCTTGGGAAATAGCGTAATTCCGCTTTCTCACCAAAAAGTTGTCACAAATCATAACGGAAATGAGCGGAGTCATGATGACACCAAATGAGTACATCACCGTGAGGAAGGTGGAGGATGAATTGTAGAAGTTCCAAGGCTGGACGGCGATACTGAGAACTGCGCAAAAGATGGCTCCTCTGAAAATGTTAATATATTTGGGCAGAACACCACTTAGATCCATGCCCGCCGCAAAACCACAGTTGGAGATAGTGTAAGAAATCTGCGAGCACAGGAAGGCTAAACCGCAGAAAAAAGTGGCAGCCCGGGCACCTGAAGAGTAACCATCACTCAACCAATAATCGCAAATGTCCATTGGCATCCAGAATGGAGTGCCATAAAGCTCTTGTGACGTGGAAGCACCAATAACACCATACACAGGAATTAGCGTGGTGGGAACCAGCAAGGCCAAAGTGGTGCCCACGTAAACAGCGGTCTTTGAAGTGGCAAACCTGGAGTAATCGCTTTGGTTGACAGAACCGGGCGACACAGAACCAAACCAGTAGGAAACCATGTAAACCCAAGCCCACGACCTGTCAGAACCCGTGACCGTCGTCTCCAGGTCACTGAAGTAGGATCCAACCCCGCCATTCTTGTGGCACAAGTAGATCACCATGCAGGTCATCGCAGCGCACGTAGCAGAGCAGGATGCAATCAGGAAATAGTTCATGCTCTTGGGCTTCATCAGATAGAAAAGCGCGGTGATCACGTGGAACAGCATGAACCCGATCACCTCTTTCGTGGTCATCGCCACATTCGAGGACAGGGTGTTTTCCAGAGTAAAGTAGTGATGCGACCACGAATCCAGAATCATGTTCACACACAAACCTCCCAACCACGCGTTGGACCCGTAGTTTACTATGCTCATCAGGAAACGCACCAATATACCCAAGCCAGAACCGTAGATCCCAAACACCAGGCGTTGCGCGATCGTGTAGCCCACTTTCCAGTCTGTTCCGTGGTATGAGTTCGCCAGTGTGAAGACGATTGTGACAACGTCACCCACGATAAATGTGCCGATGGTTTCGGCGTACGACAACCCCACGGAAAGCGCAGCGTTGGCACTAATCCACGTACCCACGCTGAACGAAATGATACCCCAGTAACAAGTGTTCGACGCAATGCCCCACGTTTGGTCTTTGACAGGGATAGGCTGCAAATCTGGGTTTCTCAGCACATTCAGCGTTTCTCTCTCACCAACCGGAACTTCCAAAAACTGAAGGCACCTGTTGACGCCCCGCGTGAAACCGCTGGGCTTTTTCTCATTTCTGCCGTTCTCGACTGACATTTTTCACTTGTCCAGTCTGCTGATAACTTTGTTATATGGATAACCGAAGCGAAGAATTAAGAACCCACCATAATGAACATTACATGTCTTCGATGGCTTCGCGGTCCATTTAAGTAGTTTGCACACTATGAGCAACACAATCCGGCACGCGGCAATTTCATTCGAAATTTTCCAAAAAGCAGACGATTCTTTTCTTCCTCGCACCATGCTGAGAGGTGCATATATGTGGAGGAAAGTTTAAGCATGCCATGCGTTTAAAAGCCTTCCGGAGTAATTCGAGATGAGGTCGCTAACCACGTAAGAGATGAACGTCAACCGTGCTACCAAATCGCAGCCTCAGAGCTAACCAAAGCCTGACGCTGCTAGCGATTGTCGAGTGGGACAAACGACGCTGTTATTGGCGTCCATTGTGGGTGGTACGGCTCGCGGACCATGCTCTACTTCAGCGATTCTGTCACTGCACATCTTAATGTCATTATATATGAATGAGACATAAAAAAATTGACTTGCGGTAAGAGAGAAGAATTACCGGTAGCCGGTAGAGGCCATCTTACAAGAGAGCATAGTTTTACCAGTAGAGCATCAAGCGGTAGAGCTGATGACACTAGGTTATGAACGCTATAAGGCGCCGCCGCCGGTGGGGCATGAAGAGAATTGCTCTCCCGGTCCTGTTAAAAAATTACGATCACTCTGAGGTGTGTTCGGAGTTTTCGATCCACTGAGGGTCTCGATAACCAGTGGTCCGGCCTCCGCGTGGGGTCCTACAGAACTACCACATTGTCGAAGACCAGTGCCAGAATTGGAAGAAGGTGATAAAAAAAGACGTCACGTGAAGGTCACGTGAAAGTCACGTTTTGAAAAACATCGAAATCCGATAGTGCCCGCTACCTTTATGGTTCTCACACTTGGCCCTCTTTTAGGTGCCAGTCCAGAAATCGACATTAGAAGCGAGCTGTTGCGTGTAGCGAGTTTCGTCACTACGCAAATGGTGCTTGATGATGTACTCTCGCGAATTCCACTCATCCTCTCATATCCCACCGTTCTTTTGAGCAGCAATCTGATCGTTGGCACAGGTGCTGATGCTTCAGTCGGGTCTGACGGCCTCCTGGAACCCTTTATGAAGCATTTGATGGCTCCTCTTCTCTGCGCCTCGGCTGCAACAGCCTTTGGGGGGGCATTCAGTGCTGTGGAACAACTGAGCTCGTGCATGCTTTTGGCGTTCGTAAGTTTCTCGTTAAACTCTTTATTGGGCCACACACAGACATCGGTGCTATCAGCGCTGCTACTCCAAGCACTGAGCGGCTGCATCACCTACAATTGGGCTTTCACAATATTTCCGGCATTGAGTTTATCGCTCAACTACCTGGAAGGGCATTCCTATTACAAGACGGCACTTAGCTACATCGCTATTCTATTGACTTTACAACTCAAAACAAAGACAATCATGGGCTCGAAGATCATGATCAATATTCACCTAAGGCCTGCCCACTATGCACTTATCTGCCTCAGCATTGCGGGGTTTTTGAACCTGGCTTTGATCGACCCTCTAAATCTCTTTTCTGAAGCGAGTGGATCAAGACTCACTGTACAAAACTCCATGGTTTTTATTTGCTTCGGATGTCTGGCACTCCTCCTGGTTAGCTGGAAAGAAATTTGCAACGAAGCACATCCATCGAACGCACTTAAAGTTGTAGGCTCGCCCTATGTCCCGCCAATGTTGGGGCTCGCTGCAATCATGGTTCAGTTCCTCTCTTCCAACAGAACAAATGAGCCCCTACCGCGGTACGTGATTATTTTGCTCTTTATATTCTTCAGCGGTATAATTTCCGCCAAGAATACTCGTCAGCTCAGCTCAGACCCCCACGAAGACGACACACATACGACGTGTGTTGAACATCATCATCATCATCATCATAATCTTCCGTGCGACGCGAATCACAAAAGAACTGAAGTTTCGAGTCATGATGACTCTCACCACTCCCATGGTCATAATCATGGTCATGATCATGCGCACAGTCACTCGCAAGACAGCCACTTTGACGAAACGCCCAGCCAAATGGCTGGAATGTTCTTTCAGCTTGCCACTAATCCCGAAACGCGGCCAATATTTTCCTTCCTTCTACTCAATACCACATTTATGTTCGTGCAATTACTTTACTCATTCCGCTCGAAGTCGTTGGGCTTGCTGTCTGATTCTTTACATATGGCTTTGGATTGTATGTCCCTGCTATTAGGGCTTGTAGCAGGTGCATTGTCGAAAAATCCAGCTAACGACAAATTTCCCTTTGCTCTGGGATATCTTGAAACCCTAGCAGGTTTCACTAATGGTGTTTTATTAATTGGAATAGTTTCAGGTATTTTGGTTGAGGCCATTGACAGAGTCATGAATCCGACCGCGATTTTAGAAACGACGGAATTATTGGTGGTGTCGTTTTTGGGGCTGGTTGTTAATTTATTAGGCCTTTTCGTGTTTGACCATGGTTCACATGGGCACGACGGAGAGAACGAGAACATGAGAGGTATCTTTTTACACATCATGGCCGACACTCTTGGATCTGTTGGTGTTGTCATTTCTACGGTCTTAACAAAGTTGTTCAAACTACAAATATTTGATCCGATTGCATCCATTTTCATTGCGACATTAATTCTGATGAGCTCTATCCCCCTCATTCAATCTACCACTGCGAGCATGTTACTCAGACTCAACGACAAACAGTACAATAAGCTGAAAAATGCTCTTAACGACATTTCAATGACTCCAGGTATCACTGGGTATACCACTCCACGTTTTTGGCCCTTATCCTCATCCGGAAGTCATGGAGGTCATACGCACGCCCATTCCCACTCTCATTCTCATTCTAATGCACACTCCCACAGTCATGAAGGCGCCACCGACGACAATAACCTTCCAGCCGCAACGAGAGCTTCTCAAAAGCTCGTTGGTTATATCCACATTCAATACATGGACGGGGAAAATTCGACCATCATCAAGAAAAGAGTAGAGAAGATTTTAGAAAGTGCCGGGATCCAAGCGTGGATTCAAGTAGAGCACAAGGACTCATCATGCTGGTGTCGAAGTTATAATTCGTCGGGTGGCCCAGTGATAGCAAATCAGCAATGAAATTTGGATTTTCTTTCATGCAATGTAATGTTGGATAGATTTTATATTAAGGATTTAATATTCATATAGGTTTCTACTAACTTATTCTGATTTGTGCTAGTCAGCCCATAGTATTCCTGGTATTTGGTAATCAAGTCATTCACAACCTCTAACTTGTTCTTGTTACCATCACAAATCAACTTCAGATCCACCTCCATCTGACGGCGGAGAAAAGGCTTGGCAAACGAATCCTCCAAACCAATGGCTTCGAAACCGTGGACTAGCGAGATTCCAAGTGTTGTTGGTATTAAGTAAGTTTGTTTGCTCATTTTCTTCTTCTTGATGTAATCTCGTTGCTGAATCTTTTCTATGTGTTCTGCGATAGTGGCATCTGTTCCAATACCATTGGCGTCCATCAACAAAATCAACTCACTTTCTGTCATGTGGTTTGGTGGCGAAGTTTGGCCATCCTTCATGAGACTTGAAGAGAGCTCAACATCTTGACCAAGAGCTAAGTTCGGTAACTGCTTTGTGGTTTCCCACTTCATCCAAACGTAAACGTCCAAGAAGTTTCGTTCCAACACAACGATGCCGCTCGCTGTGAAAAATTCAGTTCCCCATTTCAACGTCATGGTTGTGGAGTGACCCTTGGAATCTTCGGAACAACAAGCTAAAAAATGACGAGTGACATATTCATAAACCTTTTTTTCATTCTCGTTGTCTAATCCTGCGCCACAACTAATTATCGGGTGGATTGGAGGATGGGCCTTGTCATCATTCTTGCCAGCTCTAGGCCATTTGAAGCGATTTGAACCAGGTCCGTTAAGCAGAGTCTTGGCATAATCTCCCCAACGATTGTCAGATGTCTGTTGCTCCACAAGACTCTGTAAGTCCATCTTGGACGGAAAGATGTCAGTTTCGGTTCTGGGATAAGAAATGTAGCCTTTTTGATATAGTTTTTCGGCTGCGTCCAGCGAAGCCTTCGCACTCATCTTATAAAAGCGGGAGCAATTCTTTTGAAGTTCTACTGTAGTTAAGGGAAGGGGCCGGTACTTTGATGTGGATTTGGATTTTATGTCTGTAACTTTTGCTATGTTTCGTGACGTTTCTAGACATAGTTCGAATATTACAGCCACGGTAAGCCGGTCAAAAAGATGGCCGCGTTCCCATTGAAAATTTGTGGTATCGGGCCCATTGGGAACGGAGAGCACTATGTACCAAAACGTTTCGGGAATAAACTTTTGAATCCTTTCAAAACGATCAACAACAAATCCCAAAGTGGGGAATTGACATGTTCCGTATGATATAATTGGCCGCTGATTATTTTTAAGACCCAAGTCCCTTTCAACCTTGGAACCCAAAAGTTCCGTCAGAAATCTTGTAAATGCCACTCCTGATCTTAAGTCCACTTCCATACGTGTCCTCACAGCATCCACAGCGCGCTGATCAAGTCTTTTTGGATTTTTTGCTGCGTGTATTATATGTCGGCTTTCCAAATGCGAGAAAATCGCCCGGTATACGTTCCCTTGCAGATTTCGATTCCCCTGCAAAGCCGCTTGCACAATTTCCCATCCAATGTATTCACCCTCTCTATCACAATCTGTCCAAATCATGATGTAGTCTGCATTTCGACATTCGCGCTTGATATTGCTAGCCATTTTCTCTTGGTCCTTTGTGTGGATTTCAACGATGGGCGCGTCAAAGACTTGTGGGATAGGGCACTTACCCCAGCCGTGCGCTTGATCCAGGTCTAGCCCTGTCAAGTGACCGGCGACAGATGTCATTGTTACGTCGCTTGACCCAGAGAATGGAAAGTCAAACGTAAAATCATAGTTCTTGATGTACTTGCTAGGACTGTCGCGCCGAGAGGATCTTCCACCACTCAAAATTCCTGCCACAGATTTAGCAATTGAATTTTTCTCAGCAACGCATAGTACCCGTGGCATAGAATGAAACAAATGAGTCCTGGCGTTCGCCTAGCTTGTATTCTGATGGATTCAGTCACTCGCCGGTGGTTTGAAGATCTGACATTGGATCGTGTACTCTCGTTGAAGATGATCAGCGGTTATACCATTTACTGCTCGAAGCTCTCAATTACTGCCAGCACTTGGAACACTACTAGCGATTCCCATGTGCCGCTCCTCGCAGCTATGTTTCCTCTATTTGCTTAGTATAACGGATATCTGACTTGCTTCAGTACTGAACGACCCGCATGTGAAGTGCTATAGCCGCAGATTTGTTGCAAAAGCTGTCAGGATAATAAAGGTCCATATAGTGATTTATATTGAGGCGAATCAGTAGAAAGCTTACTAAATTTGTCTTGTAAGTCGGACATAGTCATTGTAAGATGAGTAACTTGGATCTAGGGAATTCTACTTATCTCTCCGTGATTATTTTAGGCATTAGAGTTGGTTCAGTTACCTGAACAAAAGCCTGGTATTTATACAATTCTCACTCGGTGACTCTGGTCAACATATTTATTAATCACCAATTCTAGATCATTCTATTGCCCAAGGATTACGGCTTCAATGCCGTACACTACCGATAACTTATCAATGGCCAATCCTATTGGACAATAGTAGTTCTCTTCGGTTTGTCTTAGCTTGTAGCTCTATTTGTATGGCCTTGATTGTGTACTATCATTCTGTACCACTGTGTCACATATTCACTGACGCTGATTATGCGATTAGACGCACATCACCATCAGTTTATTCATATTATTCCCAACAATTTATATTGCTGAGGAGAAGAAGCTCGTATAACCTTCGACAGAGATGAACATGCGCGATATCGAGACTTGCTGAGTGTATTGTACTCAAAGAAATCTTAGTGTTGGCCATGTGGGTGGCTAAGTTGGGAAGATCGCTTCCAGCGTACCGTTTCTATATACAACTATTGGAGCGAGCCAGCGTCGAGAGTAGCTAACTTGCCGAGTTGTTTGTTCAATTTTGTTGCTAGACATCACCTGTTATATTCGGAGTATTCTATACTTAATCTTGAGCTAGTAAAGCGACTTCCGGTTGTCTCTGTGTGATTATTTGGGCTATAAGAAAGTTCCATATCTGGGACACACAGCCGGTATTCATACAAAATTCTGACGTGAATGATATGAGTGCAGTTAGGGTTTGATAATTCAACAGTCGATTCCAACAAATAAATTGTTAGACAATTGAAATAGCTGACGAGGGCTTTCCTGTACAGTCGCTGCTTCTCTGACACCAATTGGATGACTTTTATTCACATTGTACACTGACATGTCGTTTTACTGACGTCGCTAGTATCACTTTATACTATAATGACACTAGGTTGATGGTTACCATCATACAACTCGATGCTATACAAAAAGTAACCACCAGGTGGTAGTTCTAGCAATAAATTTCAAAGTGGGGTGTGATAGTGTTTTCTTAAACAAGCCAGACTCCTCCAGCGTACCCCAAAATACACCCGAAGGCTGTGGTGACCGACAGGTGATTATTGAGAGGCCTAAGTGGTCCTCGAATGTAGCTGTTGCTAGACCATATCGACAGCTGGGTCGTGTACCATAATCCCACACCGGGTTCTTCTACTAGCGAGTCGATCAAGATGGATGAGTTGTTCAAGGGAGTAGTGGACGGCTGGTATAAACTAAAGAGAAAGAAAAAAAAAAAGAAAAATAGCCATTTTAGCTTCATTTACCTCCTAACACCTCCCGCACTACCCAGATACCAGAGAGCTAGGAAAGAGCATGCTTATTAGACACGGAACTTGAAGTAACCGATACGAAATTAAAGAGACATTTGCGCGTGTCAGCCCACGTAAATAAAAAAAATTCAGGCCATGACCAAACCTAATAATTCTATATCCATGTCGGTGCTCGTAACGCTAAAGCACGACGGTTTCGAGGTCCTCTCAGTTGGCTCTTAGCTTCAGGATGATAGTAATCCATACTTTCGCCAAGTCACATTTCGTGAGTAATGCCCAACTATTGAAAAATTTCACCAATATTGACCACTGCTTAGACAAATTTCAAATTATCATGCATGGTTGGGCAACACATTTGACTCGTCTGAGACCTTAACGGCACGTTCTACTGGGAAGCACAACACTTGTGGACTTATGTGAAGAAATTTGGTAGCAATATTTTACAAATTCAAACCTCCCTCTCTGCAAAAAGCTCACTAAATATTCATTTACTCAACCCATGTCACTTCCTGAGCATTTAGACACTGAGGATATTAATCTCCAATTCAAAAAGTACCAGGAACAGGTCGCTGACATTCTCCAGGCATATTCGGCTAATCAAGACGATGCTCTTTTGAGTGGTTTCCTTACTTTTGCGCATTCTAGATGTGTCAAGTACATCGACGAACTCATGGCGCCAGAGAGCGCGCCAGTGAACAGTGCCGAAGTCGCACAACTTATCATGGACAACTGCTGGAAGTGCGTCCACTACCCCATTTTCAAGTGGTTCCAGCTATGGAGGCAGCACTTGATCTCTTCCAAAGTGGATCAAAAACCAAGGATTGTGGAATTTCGCAAGCTCAACGCCAAGCTTACCAAGTTCTTCAAGGCCATTCACAAGTTTTACTATGGTGTTATAGAACGCATCACCACAACGTATGATTTGCATAGCATAATACCGAAGCCGTTGCTTCTACAACTCAACTTGAAAGCAGGACCCACAGTCACCTCACCAGGCTTTCCTCTAGGTAATGAAGATGCCAGAGCTGCCTCCGTTATGTTTTTAGTCCATGGTTCGCTTTTGAATCTGGGGTCTTGCCATCGGTACAAAAGCATGTGCGAAAAGGTGTACAATGGTCCCCAGGATTTTTCACTTTTCAAAAAGACCATGAGATATTTCAACTTGGCGACATTAGTGCTACCATCTGTGGGGGAATTGTATCTGCAGAAGGGTTTAGTTTACGTTCATGTTGGAGATTTTGGCTCCTCCACCTATTCGTTTGCCAGAAGTGCTCTGTCGCGTCTGCCAAGCAGCGCTGGCTTTGCCAATTTTATGAATTCCGTTTGTGATCGTAAAAGTAAAATTTTCAACCAGATTGTAGGCTCCTTCCATGATGTGCACAAACAGGCTTCGCAAGGGAAGATAGTCAATCGCGAAATCATAGAAATATACTTTTTGGTGTTGTTTGGATCAAAGTTTGCGCCGGAATTATGGATCGGTAATGATCATAAAAGTTTAATCAGCGAGATGATGCTAACGCACGTTGAACAGCAAGTCTTGGGTAAGACGGCAACAAAATATGCAAGAAACCTTGAATCAATCTTTCAGAACTTGGTTTTAATTATTGGTGGGTTTGATATCCTCAAAATTTTGAATCGTAAGAGTTCACAAACATCGAATGCCCAAGAAACTGAGTCGAAATATCTTGCATTTGCTTTAGATTACATCAGTAATTTCATTGACAACGTGGTTATAAAAGAACTGGACAATGTAAATGAGTGGGTGTACTTGGCTTTTGTCCGTGTTTGTGAATGTTGGTTAACTACGAACAAAAGCGTTCTCCATTTTGCGCATCGCAGTACCAAGTTTTGTGAGGTGATGATGACGTTGATTAACCTACTACTTGATCACCTTTCCACCAGTTCGAAACAGAAAATGGATCTGACTCACAGACCTCGTCGACCATATTTCTTTGAGGAGGACGTGATGCTGCGTGATTTCAAACCCTTGAAATATTCTTTATGTGACTTCAAAGATTCAGAACTTTTCCAGGGCGACAACTCATCTCAAGCGCTAATTGGAATGGTTGACAAGAAGATATCGAAAAAAGAGGAGCACGAATCCAGAATTTTGGCTATCGTTGTGTCTGGAAAGAAATTTTTGGCGAAGAATGCTTGCGGAATTCAACTGGTAGGTGATAAATATGTTAGATCTGCAGTCAAGACGATGGCAGGCCAAGCATGGGACCCTAAACCAAGCAAACTTGAAAAATCGGCCACCAATGATAGCTGGTCTATTCAAAAAGACATTGGCTCTGCTAAATGGGGTTATAGCGGCTCCTCGGTACCACTGGCCCCAAGCACTTTGGACATCAGGCCTAGTGTGGAGTTTACTCGGCACCAAAAACCCAAAATATCCGCTAATTCAAGTAATCATAGTGCCGAATTTGCCGATCAGTTTCTGCAATCAGAGTCATCTTCATTTCGCGCTAATTCTTCGTCACCATCTCACCCTATATCAAATTTAATCTCCAAAGAAAGTGCTAATGGCTCAGGTCTTTCGAGCAGCAATAGTCAAAGTAAAGGATCCGATAGTGCTGCTTTCCCTCCTCCCCCTGGCATAAAAACCGCTATCGAACCTCCTATCATGAACTCAGTAGCGACGGAGAGAAGGTCGCCATTTTTGGCAAACTTGCCCAGTGCGCCACCTATCTATCCAAGCATACCCCTCCAGTCAACCTCGTCAGCAGGCCAGCCGCAAGGAATGCCCCAACAATCATTTGACATTCCATTTGGTGGAAACGTACCTCCCCATGTCATGAACTCATCTTACGTGCCCTACTGGCCACAACATTATCAACCGCTTCCCTACAATAATTTGCCGCCACCCGTACATGGAGTGCCCGTGAAGCACCCTAACGTATTTGTCCAGCAACAGAGTGGATCGCAAAATCAACCCTATGCTGCAAGTTACGGCTTCCCCCAGTATTGATCAACAATCTTCCTGACGTGACCAAATGAACCTTTTTTAAGTTCATGCCGCTGGAACTTAGCCCTACGGTGGGCCATTAGTTGAACTTTGATTAAGATGCTGCTTTAATCTCCTATTATGTCGGTCTTGATGACTACCGCAATTAAATATGCTGGATACCAATAGAAGATACCTGTTCAAGCCTTGTTTTTGCATGTTCAAAACTCTCCACGTCGGCCGTTCATCTTTCATGAGGTTCGAATTTCTCTGTGCACACAGTACATCCTTGATATAAAAGTCAAAATATATAGTTTGGTGATATCGTTATAGTGTCATTAGATATGTTAGTCCATAAAACTAAAAGTAAAATGGACATCATGGTCTTCGTCTCATGGCCGCGCGCTTGGCTTCCTTGGTCTTCTTCTTAATTTCTTCAAGTTTATCATGTTTCTTAGCGGGATCTGATATAAAATCCGGTTTCGTGTGATCGTAAAAGCATTGTAGATTGAGCCGCAAGCAATTGTGACAGCTTGGTTTCTCTTCTGTACATTTCTTCTTGCGAAGTCTGCAGATCCAGCAACCGCTTCTCGACCTTGAGCCCGCGGCATTCTTGCGACGTGGTTTGTTACCCTTTGGAGAAGAAGATTCAGAATCATCTGAGTCTCTCGGGCTCGGTTGTTTCTTTTTCTCATTTTTGACCTTAGATGTGCGCGGCTCCTTGCCTAACAGTTTGGCAGCTGACAGTAGGGAAGTTACGTTCGAGGAAGATGACACAGAAGAATGGCGAGAGCCTTTCGTTCTGTCAGACGTTTCTTCTGGGTAGCTAGCCTGCCGGCGCTTCACGTTTGCCGATGGCGCGGATTGGCGCCTTGTAACTCTTTTCTTCATGCCGCTTTTATTCCAACTGATTTTGTCCGAATCGCGGTTGGGCATCTCGTCGTAGGATTCGTCCTCGGTATCATCCTCGATGACTGCACTTTCGTCACTGTCATCTGGTTCATATTCCCGGTGATTTATACGAACCACGGGTCGCATATAATGTCTGAAGCTCGCAGAACCAGGCCGACTTGAGTGAGAAGCCTCCTCATTCGTAGCATAAGGTGAGGAACGCATCTTGGTAATGATAGCAGCCGCGGCTCCTGCGGCTGCAATATCATCATCTGCGCGAGGGGACGAGGACGTGTCTAAGTGGCTCGATCGGAGTGGATCAATATTTGGATCCAATAGCACACGAGACCTTATGTCATCAAGCTTGGATTTGATCCGCTGGGGTTGTGTTGCTGGTGGTGGCACGATCGCAACTGCAGATGCTTCAGTCTTGAACTCTCGCTCACCGTTCGACGACGGCCTGTGCTGATCGGAATTATCATTCTCATCGTTTCCCTCACCATCGTTTTGAAGTTCCCCACTCCCCAGGAGCCCTTGGAAAGCTGGTGAAGAACTCATTTGTTCCCGAGACCGTAGCGTATACATATCTTCTCCGCGTGAGTTCAACAGAGAAGAGATGTTAATCTTTTTGTTATTGTCCAATGTTACATGCGGATCTGTGACCAGACGGCTGGTGTTGAAACTTAGCCGATGAGGAGTAAGAAATGTACGATCGGCGGAGGGCACCAGCGGACTGGTGCCGCTGCCAACACCACTGAAACTGAACCCTCTAGGCGGAAGCTTGTCGGTATTTGATGTAGAGTGCCGCGACGCAGAAGTCGCGAAAACATTCCGTCTTGTTAGGATCGAATTTGGCGACGCATGTCTCGCCTCAGTCGAGCTTGGAAACGAAACCAGCGACGAAATGGTGGGTAACTGGACTGATTCCGTCGCAGGTGCAGACACAGTTGTGACTGTGGAGGAGGCAGATGTTGAAGAGGACGTAGACAACGAACGCGATTTGTGGGAAGCGGGAACGGGTGGTTTGGGCTTAGAGTCATGGCCGAGCTCGGCCTCGTTGCTGGTGACACTGATGGTAGCTTGTGGTGCGCCCAAATAACCGCCCACCTCGTTTTTAATGACCGCGGCTCTAGAGTCGTCGGATATGATCTCTGTCCGCGGTTCCGACTCCTGATATTGGGTGATTTGACTGGGGTGATCGACGTTGAGGGTTCGGGGCGATTGGGAGCGCTCTCGAGCGTTGGGACCTTGGAGTGCAAGCCCATTATCCACTACAGGATCCGCGGGAAGTGCCATACTCGGGTCGCCGTGCATAAAACGGGGCGGCAACGCTTGTTCAGCGGCCAAGCGACCATCGTTCTTCGTGCCGTAGGCCCGTGCTTGCACGGATTGCAAGTAGCCAGAATCCGGACTCTGTTCTGGCGTGTTTTGCGGGGCGGATGTGGGTTTCGCTGTTTCCAAATCCGCATCGGAATTCGGCTGTGGCGAGCTGGACTGCGCGCTTAAAGTGGGTCCACGCGTTTCTGCGCCAACAGGCTTCGGCTTCCCGTTGGAATTGGGAGAAACGTGCTCTAGAGCATTACCACTCGGCACATGATCGTTGTGGTCGGCTTTAAGCTCCGTTCCAGAGGGCATTTCGGCTTGTTTTCAGTGGGTTTTCCTTCTGCGGCAAAGTTGGTTTTAGATTGATTGTTTTGTCTCCGTCTTGCGAAAGCGGGTAAATGAGACGTATGAGATGATCTGGGTGTTCAACAGGACTGGCACACACCAAATTGTGATTGAAAGTCTATAAAAGTCCAAGCGCTGAGTATTTGGCCGTCTGGTAGCTGTCATGAGCAGTGAGTTGTGGTTAGATGGGCATTTTTGTCTTCAACTTCGCCGACATCTTTAAAAATTCGGGTGACAAAATAGTACAAAGTGATGACCAGATGAGCTGCCAACATTGGGTCGCTTTGGCTTGTGGAGTTGTATCCAGGTTTGTAGGCCCTTCAGCACAGAGTTGACGGGCTTTTAAGCTTTCCTCCTGTCGCTGAAGGGGCTCTGATCCTATTTTTTTGCAAAAATGTGAGATGCTTTGGTGTTGGCGTAGTCATCCTCGCCAATATTGAAAAAGTAGACATAGCTGTGACCGCCCGTCGAGCGACATGGTCCGACATCGCGGCTCAAAAAAGGTCTTTGGCTCTGGAGTCCCGTACCAGGGACTTAATAGGCGGGCCTCTACAGCAGTAAGGCATATAGACCAATCAATGGTTTCTGGCTCTCCATATTGCTTGTAGCGTAGGCGATTCAGTGGGCTTTGGAGCTTTGAATAGTAAACAAGACCTCAAGCCTCTACGGTAGAAAAATGGGCCAGGTACAGTACATATGTGGGCGCATAGTCTAGGGGCTCTTCGTTTTTGAGTTTCTTCTGAAGCCACACTGTGGGCAAGCATCTTGAAGCTAGTCACCAATAAATATCCACACTTCAAGAGTGTCACCAACAATCCTTTTGTCATCCGAACGAAAGCTAGCACAGCAACTGCTGACTTTGGCCCCCTTGTTCGGCTCGGTGTTCAAGAAAGAGCCCGTTTTGCTCCTGTCAGCAACAAGAGTCTGAGCTTTGTCATACTGCTGCTCATAGTCGGCTATGAACATTGAGGAACCTTTATTAGGTATTGGAAGGTACTTTGTAGGTTGGCACTTTAGCCAGGAATTATATACGCAAGTTCCTAAATTCTGCAAAGTAAAATGAAGTTCGTTTTCAGACATATAGCCACGTACTCACTACTTCATAGCGCCAGGCAGATTATAGTCAGGCAACCACTATGCCTCTGGCTTTCGTTGGCAAAACTATTCACCGTGGTCCTTCAAGCCTTGTGGACATTCTCGTTATCACTTCATACTATTCTGACACTCACATGCTTTTGATTGTGCGACCAGATGTTATTCAAACAGTTCGAGAACAATGCTGCCGATGGTTTCAGCCGCTTGGGGGCGAAGCTCTGAGCTCGCAACAAATCTACCGGATGATGTTTTTCGCTGACACCACGCAAATGGTCTTGTATAATTATGGCATAATTTGAACAGCGTCAGCACATCTGTGATTACAGTTCATTGCCGCGACCCTGAATATGCTGAAACCTTCTCTCATAACTAGTTTCTGTTTCTGCTGGCTGGACATTTACATTCCATCGGGAGACAACTTTCTACCCAAACCTTCCTGGATGACGGTAAACTTGACGTCTCAAATGTCTGGTCAAAGCCTAATCTCACAGGAATAACTGTAATAGCAGGAAGTGGGGGGATTAGGAGCTTAGAGACCACCTCAAACTAGGTTGACGTTCTTCTTCGTGGATGGTGAGTCTTTTAATGTGATTTATACGCTCAGGTTGCCCAACCATGGCACCTTGACACCATCTCTGAGCAACGAAACCAAGCCAAGGGACAGGACCATGGACAGAGCACTTGACCTGGATCGGAGATATCCTGCTACACACCGCGATGCTTTTTGTATTCCCTCATTTGGTTCAATGGGTCTGAAAAGTGGCGGAAACACCTCAGATTATTCACCTGTCACTTACATGTGCGGAAACTCGCTGGGATGTATGCCCAAGTCTACCAGAAATGCCATCAACCAAGAATTAGACGCTTGGGCTGACCGTGCCGTTGAGTCGCACTTTCGCCATCGTGGTGCCTCTGAGGGCCTCACTCCCTGGATGGATATCGATCTGCCATTGTCCAACCTATTACCTTCCGTAGTGGGAGCTTTGGAATCGGAGGTTGCAGTGATGGGCTCCCTCACATCGAACCTCAATGCATTGCTGGTGGCTTTCTATCGCCCCACTCCCTCCAAGTACAAAATCATCTGCGAGAAGGGCGCATTTCCGTCAGACTTCTATGCTTTTTACAATCAGTGTGGTCTCCACCACGTCGATCCAAAAGATGCACTCATTCGACTAGAGCCGCGTAGCGGAGAAACTTTTTTACAAACTGACGATATCATTCAGGCTATAAGTGACAACAGCGAGCAACTAGCTCTCGTTTGTCTGCCTGGAATTCAGTACTACACAGGGCAACTGTTCGATATGGAAAAAATTACTTTATTCGCACACCAATTCGAGGGTGTAGTTGTTGGATGGGATTTGGCACATGCCGTTGGTAACGTTCCCCTTCAACTTCATGATTGGGGGGTGGACTTCGCCTGTTGGTGCTCCTATAAGTACCTCAATTCTGGGCCCGGTGGCATTGCTGGAATATTCGTGCACGAAAACCATGCGCAGGTTGGCGCTTCCGAACCAGATGGATACTTGCCTCGTCTGGCTGGCTGGTGGGGTAATAACCGCGAAAGAAGGTTTCAAATGAAGGAGCTTTTCGAGCCAATTTCAGGAGCTCTTGGGTTCCGTCAATCCAACCCTAGTGTGATTGACGTTGTCGCATTGCGAGCCTCGCTAGAAATCATCAAGGATTTTGGTGGAATCAAAGCTTTGAGAGAGAGGTCTTTACTCCTCACCGGTTATCTTCTAGAGTTACTGCAACAATCAAAATTCTATCGTAAATCTCTTCCTTCTGGTAAGAACGAACCCGGATTTATAATTTTGACTCCATTGGACGAAAGGGAGCGTGGTGCTCAACTATCGCTATATTTCTTTCCTCACCATGATGACCGCAAGTTAGATACCATGGAGAGGGTTTGTGCCTACTTAAACCAACGAGGAGCGATAGTAGATGAGCGTAGACCAGATGTCATAAGAATAGCACCAGTCCCGCTTTACAACACGTTCCAAGACGTATTCAGAGTTGTTGAATTGCTAAACGGGGCATTTCAAGAGATTCACGAAAATTAGCCCTACGGTGATGATTTGATGATGCCCTTTGCATTGTTTGTAGTATTATTATCAATAATATATATATATATATATATATATATATATTTTGATGCAATGTATCTAAAGATGTCTCATGTGAGAAGGAGGGCGTCGAACAAACATCATCACGCTTGAAGCAACAACTATGGTTTTAATCGAATTTTGGAAGCTATTATTTGCCTTCACCAAGTGTTGTTTGATAAGCTGTGGAACCTGAGTAAGATGTGTTGTATTTTTCGAAGGGGTCATGAACACACTTGTTTTCCAAATCACTCTCAGGATTGTTGGCATGATCCGAATTCTTGAAATACAATCTCTTGAAGTACTTGTATAACTCAGCACCGGCCCAAAATACCAGAGTATAAGCAATTGCCAAACCCCATTCGTAGCCGATGCCCGCATGTTTAAAGACGTCGTCATTGATAACAGGGATGTAGACAACAGGGAACACTGAGACGAAACCACAAACGACTGACCAAAATAGAAACTGGTTTGACCAAATGTCTTTCATCCATTGGGTGTAAGGAGTATCGGTTTCCGGTTGCATTTTGAAAAACGATCTTCTCATGTCAATAACTTCCCAGGCCAAAATCAGTGCGCACCAAGTCATGGTAGCAAATGTGGCAGCACGGCCACGGAAAACGTAGTGGCAACTATCGTTATATTTGTTATTACAGTTAGTTCCCAGCTGTCCTTCGCCCTTACCATATATGACAGTGACAAAGCAAGCTAAACAGCATGCTGCCATCCAGAATCCATAAACAAACATATCCGAAATCACTTCCCAGGTGAAGATACCTGCCTTAGAGTCTTTTGGAGGTTTCTCCATGACATCAGGAGCAGACTTCTCTAACCCAAGACCCATTGCGGGGAAGCATGACGTTATCACAATAATCCATAAAACTTCAACCGGGGATAACGGGAAGACTGACAGATTATCCTCATCTAAGAACGCAAGACCAATCATGAGGTAGAGTGCTTGTGCGACATTTTCTGCCAACAACTGCAAAACAAACTTCTGGATGTTGTCAGTCATTCTTCTACCTTCCTCAACAGCGTTTAAAATAGAGGCAAAATTATCGTCACTCAATACAATGTCCGAGGCATCTTTCGCAACATCGGACCCATTGATTCCCATCGCAATACCTACATTGGCGATCTTTAGACTGGGAGAGTCATTTACACCATCCCCAGTCATGGCACAAAACTTTTTTCTGCGATGAAGAGCTTCAATCATCTTGACCTTCGTGGCTGGGCTGCACCTTGCAATTACCAAGGGTAAGACTGGCAAGTTATCAATCTCGTCATCGGGCAATTTGTCAAATTGTGTGGCAGTCATAACCATTGCGTCCACAACTTCTTTAGGATAGTGGTAAAGATTGCGCGGCAGGATACCAACTTCCTGTGCAATGGCCTTGGCGGTTCCTGGAAAGTCACCTGTTAGCATGTGGACATTAATGCCAGCTTTATGAAACTTCTTAACGGCACTTGCGCTCTCCTGGCGTGGAGGATCGTATATTCCTACTAAACCTTGGAAAATCAAGTTATTCTCAACAAAATCACGATCCTTGGTTAACTTCTCACCCAAGTCCAGCGCCTCCTCCTCGGTGAAGCTCTTGGTAGCGAACGCAAGAACTCTGAGGCCCTCGGAGGATAAAACCTCGACGTTTTTCATCACCACATCTTTGGCGTCTTCAGTCATGGGCTTGGCGCTTGTCTCTTCGCAATCACTGGTGGGTAACCAGTGAGTGCAACAACTGAGAACTTTCTCAAAGGCCCCTTTGGTGTGAACGTAGTGCTTGTTGCTTTCGTTAGTACAGCTGTAGACAGAAGACATTCTTTTCACAGAGGAGTCAAAGGGGAATTCTGCAACATGCCTGTGGCTGGGCACTACGCCACTGGCAGTTGACTTCTCATCGTTGTTATTGTTATCGCTGTCATCCGGTTCGCTGTCGCTAAGTTCACCTTCCAATGTTAAAGCCGATCTGGGCAAATCCATTCTGTGTGCAAACACCTGAATTGCAATTTCAGTTGGGTCGCCATGAGCTTTCCACTCATGTGTTTCCGGATCTTGGTATATTTGAGCAATGTTTGCAAGGGTAGCGGTCTTCAACCAGTTGGCGAAAAGAGTTGTATTCAGCTCTTGTGGAAGGGAGCGCTTCTTATAATGGTCCTTGAAGCCCTGAAGAATGCCCACATCTTCGGTCTCATTGTGCTTATAGTCGTGTGGAGAAAATCCAGGAATCAATTCAGTTGTTCCAACGGTGGGATTGAATGGTTCGTTGGAGTTGGACACGGTGACAGTGCCAAAGGAAGGCACCCAAGCCTGCTTGACAATCATCCGGCCCTGGGTCAAAGTTCCAGTCTTGTCGGAGCAAACGTCGTTGACAGCTCCGAGAGCCTCGAGGGAATCCAGCTTTCGAACCACCACATTTTTGGTAGCCATAATCTTGGCCCCAACCGACATCGTGATGGTCAACACCACAACTAGAGAAGAGGGAATCATGGACACAGCTACACAAATGGCGTAGATGGCAACCTCTTTGTTGACATTGTATTTCTGGGTGGCCATCACCACCACAGCAAACACCACGGCAACGCCAAAGAGCAGCACCGCCAACTTGGACAGTTTCCGATGGAGAGGAGTGCCGACATTGGTACCCAGAAACGAGCCCACAGTGGTCTTGAGAGTGATGTAAGCGTTCTGCCCAAACGATTTACTCTCGTCTTGCGAGATCATGGACGTCTTGCTTTGCAAACTTTTGGCGATTTTGCCGATTTCGGAGTTCAACCCTGTCTGGACTACAATACCCGTGGCCCGTCCTTTGGACACAGTGGAGCTGGCAAAGGCCAGATTCAAACGGTCTCCCACGGGCGTGTCCTCATGGGCTGGGTACACCTGAGTGGCATCTTTGGCGATCGGCAGCGATTCGCCCGTGAGTAAAGCTTCGTCCGTTTCAAAGTTGACACACTCCACCAGACGCAAGTCTGCGGGCACGGTGTCCCCGGCTTTGACCACACACAGGTCGCCGGGCACCAGGTCCTTGCTGGCAATGACCTCGTCGTTGCCGTTGCGAACCACGTGCGCGGAGGGCGTGGACAAGCTCTTGAGCGAGTTCATGGTCTTGGAGGCGTTGTACTCCTGGACTGTGCCGATGGCGACGTTGATGAACACCACGAATGCGATGACGCCCCCGGAGATCCAGTCGCGGATAGCGAGCGTGATCACCATGGAGATGAACAGCACCAGGATCATGGCGTTGCAGATCTGGTGAAGCAGAATCGCCTTGACGTCGATTTTGGTGTCGTCGCCCAGCGTGTTGGCGCCGTACTGGGCGCGAAGATCGGCCACCCGCGACTCCGCCTTCAGCCCGTTGCTGGCGTCTGTGTCGAGCGCTGCGACCGTGTCGCGGACTGTGAACGTGTGGTATGGCGGCACGATGATATCCTGCCTGGCAGCAGGCGATGGTGGCATTTTGTACGGTGGCGCTGTTCCGTGTTTATTTTTCGCGCGCGGGTATTAATGTCAATAGTAGTGACAGAAAACAACAGAAGCCCAGTGGAGAAAATACTAGACACTAACCGATCTAAACACTAATGTTACCAGCAGTAGCAGTAGCAGCAGTAGTGGTAGGCCGAGTCTGTTGTGGTATGAAGTGGAAAACAAGCAAACAAATGTCCGACAGTATCTAAGTGTGCAAAAGTCAGTTACTGGATGCTCCAGACGTATGTAAGGGTGTCTATGTTTCGTAAGTTACTAACTGCTTAACATTAAAAATCTATAATCTAATAACACAACCTTTCTTATAACAACAGAGAAGGGAGCAAAGTTCAGTCCTGGAAACTCGTGCTCCTTATATACCTTATTCTGGCGTGTCCCCCCTTAACGGCTCCTATGCCGCGAACATCACAGAATATGGGGAAACGCATGTGCTATCAACACGGGAGGACCCTGATGCCTTCTGAGGCGTTCTGAGGCGCAATATCATTCGAGCCCCGCTGGCGCTCATACGGAGCCGCATGACATGATCAGGGGTGGCGCAGTTGTATACCAGAGCGTGCGTCATGCAGGGTGCAGGGTGCATATAAATAGGGTGATAATTCCGAACGTTTGCTGTCACCTGGCAGGTCACATGCATAAACTACTGCTTTTTCCGGTCAATATATATATGCAGGGGCTATGTCTGAGTGCCTACAGGAGCTGTGCCTGACGTGTGTAGCTACATTATGTGAGTTAGGTGCGGCACATTCTGCGGCGAGCGCCCGGCCGCTGTGCCACATTACGGATGCGCGGCACGTGGCTGGACCCGGACCCTTTTGTGGCTGAGCATGTCCGGGCAACGGAACGCCGGAACGGGGACGGAACTAAGAGCGGGGAAGCGGCTCGAGAAACCGGTCCGCGGCAACGTAACTACGGCGCAAGATTAGGAGCGGAGTTGTCGAACAAGTATGGTTGGTGAGTGGTGAGGCTGAAGGCAAGGTCATAGTGCAAGTGCAGTTAGTGGTGTGAGTATTGTGGGTGTTGTGAGTGTTGTACGCGTTGCGAGCGTTGTCAGCCTCTTCGAGGGAAGTGGTTCGGGGATTTTGGTGGTGCCAATGAAGTAATGCTAGCGACATTAGAAGAAGGTTGTAATGCTAGTGAGCGTGGTTACATATCTACGATGCTGACAGAACTACAGCGGTGAGAGAAGTTAAAATTGCCTGTGGTGAAATCTGCATTCGCGGCGGTGTACGTGTATGCGTGAGGATTAGGCGATGCGTTTTGTGCTCATCACTCTGTACAATACTGTCGTAATTTGGGTGGCGTGATACGATCGGGCATAGTACGTCACTACAATTTAGATCAAATCACGCGTAGTTGTCTCTATGGCGAGCTGTCAAGTACCGTGGAGTTTCCCTCAACTCTACGTCAACTGTGCTTGAAACACCGTCTGAAACCGATTATTGATGATCCTGCCATCTTGAGGTCCCCCGAAAAGCCTAGGTGATGTGCAACTCAACACTTTTTGAGCAACAATTGGTTACGACGATTCGGTATCCCTAACGTATCAACCCTACGTTGATTCATAAAGCAGTCGGTTTTCGATATATCCTGACTGTTTTGGTAGCCTATCAAGTGGAAATAGTTTCAGCTGTGGATGGCACACAGCTGATTGTTGACCTTGGTAGCCTAGGGAAGAAAATCTCCCCATTAGCCTTGCGAAAGCTACCGAGTTGTAGTGATCTGGTGAGTGATCTGGTGAGTGATCTGGTGAGTGATCTGGTGAGGTTTAATAGCATCGAGTTGCAACATAGTAATCATCGACCTATAGTCATCATGCTACGAAGTGATACTGCCGACGCCAGTGGAACAAGTATAGACAAGGTGAATAACCGACCAGTTGTTAGATTATCCAGTTCTAACTGCAGCATAGTTATTCCTGCCATAATTTGTATAGATGCAGGCTATATGTCGCAGATATGGACCAGAAAAAAGCCTCGCTTTACAAGCTCGAGCTTTAGTATCAAACAAATTGAATGAACAATCTGACAAGTTATCTACTGGCGGCACTGACCGACTCAAAATCTCCAACAGTAACACATCGTAGTGTTCTAGTTTTGCTTGAATAATATCAAGCTCTTGTCAGTAGTACGAAGAGATCATATTGCCGCATTAACCAACAAGAGTGCTTCGTTCGCTCCGCAAATGAAAGCAATAACTATGGTATGGCGAAGCGGATAAAAAAGCCCTTAATTTCAGATTTCTTGGGTCAAAAAGAGCTCTTCTCTCTTATCCGACTAAAAAATTCTGGAATCTCATCACAGTCGTAGCGCATAATTTCGGGCCGTCACAACCTCTGGCGAGGCATCAACAAGCGGCAACCGGAAATTGTCAAAGTTGGTGTTTCATGCTACTTTCCTAATTCGCAAGGAGTGTTGTATAGTTATTAGAGGCATATACAATTTACAACGACGGTTCATTGGCAGCGCTTTTTCCATGCACCCCATGCTCACGACTTTCTTTCTAAATCAGCCAACCGATGTTCAAAAGTCGCTGTACTTGAACAATCAACTCTTCCACCATCAAGCTGTATCATCTTATTGAGGCGAATCTGATTCATCAGTAGAAAGCTTACTAAATTTGTCTTGTAAGTCGGACATAGTCATTATAAGATGAGTAACTTGGGTCTAGGGAATTCTATTTATCTCTCCTTGATTATTTTAGGCATTAGGGTTGGTTCAGTTATCTGAACAAAAGCCTGGTATTTATACAATTCTCACTCGGTGACTCTGGTCAACATATTAATCACCAATTCTAGATCATTTTATTGCCCAAGGATTACGGCTTCAATGCCGTACACTACCGATAACTTATCAATGGCCAATCCCATTGGACAATAGTTGTTCTCTTCGGTTTGTCTTAGCTTGTAGCTCTATTTGTATGGCCTCGGTTGTGTACTATCATTCTGTACCACTGTGTCACATATTTACTGACGCTGATTATGCGATTAGACGCACATCACCATCAGTTTATTCACATTATTCCCAACACATCTTTAGAACTCAAGCGGCTGCATCAACCAGCCGCAGTGACTAGTATTTTGTTGGCAGCTAAACTTCTCATCTATGCTTCCTTTCCTACACTTGAGAGCACGGCCTGTGCCATGCATATATCCATGATGGCCAAACCTACTATCTTGCACAACGTGAATTTGTTACCCTTAGTGCTTTCCACAATGGGCACAGCGGTCGTATCGCGCAATCTCCCCAGTTCCTGCAGATGCTCAGGCTCGATATCTGCGTCGATGAGTTCACCCGACTCTGTAAGAGTATGTTCGATCGAGTCCACCAAGATCGGCACACCCCTATTCTTGAACTCTTCGACTAGCGGGCCGTCACATTCATGCATGTGCGGTTTGTAACTTCCGATCAAGGAAATGTAGGTGTATTTGGTACTTGAACTGGCATCTAGATGTTGCATCAAGATAGCAGGTTCGCTAGATGGCACGCATCCAAAAATCACATCACTTCCCCCCACCAAGGTTGCAATAGCATTTTTATCGCTAAAAGGTATTTGAGAGATCTCTACTTGGGGCAAATGTGTATCAAACAAGGAAGTATCCAACGGGGAAGATCTGTATACAATCGTCGCCCTGATCTTCTTGTCCTCTAAGATTTTACAAGCGAAGTACACATGCCAAAAAGCCTGCAGTCCGGTACCAAATGCGGTGATCTGCACCTCAGACCCAAACATCTTCGACACACGGACAAGTCCAATGCAGCTACTCAATGCTGTCCTTGCTGCGGTCAGCTGCTTGGCCTGTACAACGCCTACCAAACTGCCGGACTTGGGATCAGTGACAGTAATGCCGCCTACAAACCCTTGACCACTGGCCGGATTGCAACCCACGGACTTGACACCACAAAATAAGTCATCCACGACAGACATGATTAAAAAAGTGGTACTACCATCTGGTGTAGGTCCAACGTGTCTTGGAGGGATAATGCTAGGGTTATTAGAATAACGAACTAATGCAGAGTGAAGTAGGTCAACGTGAGCGATCACTTGATCCCTTGATGCGGTCAAAAAATGGTCTCTAACTTGTACATCCTGGACTATAGAGTTACTCATTGTCACAGGGAGCTTGGAAGCTTTTGGTCTTGGACGGAGAGAGAACGATTCCCACTTTATCCATCGGTCGGACGGTTTATATAGGCCACTATCAGTTTTCACCCTGATCACGTGCTGATGATAAGCTTCGGAGAGCCTCTACCGATAGTACCATTTTGGCAAGTGGATGGTTTGGTCGTAGATTCCACCGCAATTTGTAGTGAGTAAAGCGTGTAGAGAGGAATGAAGCTGTATATCACACGGTAGCATCTTATTACACCGCTAAGTCAAACGCTAAAGTTACTTGCCACCCGGCCCTATAACCGTTAACAGAATGAAACGCGCCGGACATGCAGTGGATGGAATGTCACTTGCGAAAAGGCTAAACCTTGTGCACGGCAGAGACTACTGGCCCTGAGTTTGATCAAATTGCAAGCTTGTGAGAGGATGACGGCTTCAATCTTGTGCCCCACTTTTCCTATATAGAAAAGAGAGCGGCGCTTCACTTGTCTCTTTCAGTTTGCTGTTGAGTAATTTTTGAAAACACTGTAAAACTTGGTCGCTGTTTTCAGCAACTGATCGCGCCAAATGTCTGTCTTGCACCATCTTGAGTGAGATTTTTTAAATATGGCGAACGTGGTGCACTCTCTTAAAGGTGATATTTCTTCGCATCTGTCACTTCCTTCCATGTCACCGCTAAGTTCTTTAGACAATCCACCGTAAGTTCTCCATGTCGTGGTGTTTTGAATGCTACTGATGGTACATACTACTACAACCTTGATTTGATCTTCAAAAATCGTTCATTAATTTCGCGACGCCGGGCTTTTCCAATGTTGTCGTTTTTTTCGGCATCGCCAGCAGGCTGATAATTAAAATTGTTACACACGGTCGAGAGCACATTCCATTCCTCAAGAGATTTTGACAAACTCAAGACGTTTGAACCTGTATCCGCTACCATAAGCTTTTGATATGACTGCTGCTATACAAGATGAGCTTTTGCCGGCTCGAGATACCACTTCAAACACTCCGCGATCCTCTCAGGAACGGCGTTGTTATTCCTCGCCCACCTCCATGGAGAGCGACGACAAGAAACAGAACCCAAAGGGGTTCGTGACCTCCAACGTTGATCCACTAGATCAATCCCAACCCATCGAATATCATTCGAGCTCAAAGGGCCGTATTGGCTCGGACCTGATGGCAAACTCCATGAAACTGCACAAACACAAAATGAAAGAAGAAATGGAGTCGGGGACCGTCGCAAGCGGCGCTGGAGGGAGACATGGCAGCTTTTTTACGTCTAACGATGATCTTTCCATATTGCAAGACGAAGGTAGCATTTTGGATGCTCACAGTCTTGTTGATAACGGATCGTTTATACAGGGGACTACCGACGATGACGTTATTTTAAATGGCAGCACTTCGCGTCGAAAGCCTATTAAAAGAGCCACTCAGGACTCTGGTAACTCCCTAAGGCAGTTTCCGTTCGATTCTGATAAACACGCCAAAATTGTCCCAGCACAAGAACCGCCGGAGGAAACCCCCGAAATTGACGGGCCAACATCTATCCATGGGAGCCCCAAGAAATCGAGAGGTTATTCGCGGCGCGAAGTGGGCTCTGTTGACAGCCGACCCCCACGAACATCCGAATCACGTGCCACATCAGCACACTCTCTAAACATTAGCCATCGACCCAGTGCCCTCAACGATGGCGCCTTAAAGCGCTCAGAATCGGCCACTGCTGAAATCAAGAAAATGCGTGAGTCTTTGTTACATAAGCGGGAAATGCGTAAGAAACAACGAAATTTTCTGGACGACGACAGAGTCTTGATAGGCAACAAAGTTAGCGAAGGACACGTCAATTTTACGATTGCGTACAACATGCTCACTGGCATTAGGGTAGCGGTCTCCAGATGCTCGGGCATAATGAAGCCTTTAACACCACGCGATTTCCGTTTAAGTAAGAAGCTGGCCTTTGATTTTCACGGTAACGAATTGACTCCAAGCTCACAATATGCTTTTAAATTCAAAGACTATTGTCCAGAAGTTTTTCGCGAGCTAAGAGCCTTGTTTGGTCTGGATCCAGCAGATTACCTGATGTCTTTGACCTCGAAATATATCTTGAGTGAATTGAATTCTCCTGGAAAAAGTGGATCCTTTTTTTATTTCAGCAGAGATTACAAGTACATCATCAAGACAATTCACCACGCAGAACATCAACATTTGAGAAAGACTCTCAAGGAGTATTACACACATGTGAAGGATAATCCTAACACATTAGTTTCCCAATTTTATGGCCTTCACAGAGTGAAAATGCCAATATCATTCAAAAGTAAAATAAAGCATCGCAAAATTTATTTTCTGGTAATGAATAATCTGTTTCCTCCGCATTTGGAAATCCATACCACATTTGACTTGAAGGGGTCTACCTGGGGGAGGTATACGAAGGTGAACCCAACACCGAAGTCTGATGAGGAAGAAGCGCATCGGCCGGTTCTTAAAGACGTTAATTGGCTAGAGGAACAACGCAGCATTGAATTTGGGCCCTTGAAAAAAAAGAAATTTCTTCAGCAACTGGAAAAGGATGTGGACCTTCTTGCAAGACTGAACATCATGGACTACTCTCTCCTTCTGGGTATTCATGACGTTGAGAGGGGAAATGACTTGATAGATGAACGGAACATTTTAACCAAGTTTAGTCCCGACCAAAACGGGCTGCAGGAAATTAAACGTGCTTCGATGGCTGAACAACAGGCACGGTACAAATCGGTGACAGCAGTGCAGCATTACTTCCAGCAGGATGAGGGAGGCATAAGAGCTTCTGACCAGTTCAACAATGACCTTGGAACCATCTACTACATTGGAATTATTGACTGTTTAACAAACTATTCATACCTCAAAAAGTTTGAGACTTTTTGGCGCGGCCTGAATCATGATTTAAAGGTAATAAGTGCAGTACCTCCCAGGGACTACGGAGATAGGTTTTATGAGTTCATGCAAGCATCCGTTAACAGGGTACCTCAAAAGCCGTACAAAGATGACCCCAATGCTTCGGAGTATAAAGACATGCTTCCTATCGACGAAAAAAATTGATTGCTGATTGACCTCTGAGTGGACGACAAGGAAAATGAAGTGCGTATGTTACAGTTTAGAAAGGGGGCAGCAAACTTCACTTGCCACCTAACTGTTTATTTTTGAAAGTGGTTTCAGCTACAACCTAGTTTACTTTTGAACTCTATGTACGTCAACTGAGGAAAGAGAAGGTAGCGATAAAAATATACAACTGTGATAGAATGTGTGTCCCGACGTAGATTGTAGACTTGTTATCTTTATTGTCAATTTAGCAGACAAAAACAAATAAAGAAAAAATGACAAAGTGTGGGTGTTGGACTCATGAGCCTTTTCTACAAGAACCATCTTAGCATAACATGTTATCATAACCTTGACAGAGGCATCCATGCTACCGAACCCCTATACAAATCATAAAACCTTATTTTCTTACACTTTCTACAATAATAATTATGCTTGCTATGGATATGAACGGTTTGGTGTGCCAGCTAAAGAACTAGTGTTCTAAAAGAAAAGTGATTGAATCGCAGCTACATCATGTTATAAGTCTTTAAAGTTTACCCACATATGAAAATATGAAAACAATTAAATCTTATACCTAATCAGTGGGCCATGTATACGTTGAGCTATTCCAGGAGCTAATGTCCTTCCTTAGCTTGACGTAAAGTACCTTGATAAGTTACCCCACATACCCTCTATAGATGGCAGACTTCACTGAGTTGCTTTTCGGGCAGTTGATCCCTAAAAAACTAAGCTCTCTCAAACCTACATCAAAATAAAACGACAATCTGATTTCTCCAGATATGTTGCGTTAATGCTACTCAAGTTCCTCAACCAAATGAAAAGACAAAGCAACGATTGAGGAAGACTGAAGTCTTTGTCCTGTGCTACTCGACCAATTTTACATATTTATTAGAATTGAAGAACTTAACATAAAGCGAATACTTTCCTATTGATGTTAGCCTTAACCATCAGAATTGATAGTTATAGGAACCAGCAATACAATTGAAAAGCTGTGGTAGCTTTGTAATGGGGTCTTTTTCCGGGCGAGATTCCTCGAGGATCGGAGATCAAAGTCGCTTATAACGAAAGAGATGCCAATTTTTGTAACGTCGATCGAGGCTGGGCATATGCAAAGAAAATTGGTACTTCCTAAATTCTGTCCAAGTTACAAGTTCTCGAGAGGTTTTCAACGGAACTTTCCTCGGCTGACATTCTGCAGATTTATCCTTCACTTTATCATCGATGAACAATCAGGGCTACTATCAGCAAGGACCACCACAACAAGGTGGGGGCTATTATCAACAGGGGCCTCCTCAGAACCAAGGTTATTACCAGCAGGGACCACCACAAGGTGGGTACTATCAGCAACAACAGCCCATGTACCAACAACAACCACCCCAAAAGCAGGACAAAGGCTGCTGCGAATGGTGTATGGGAGCGTTGTGCTGCTGTTGTTTACTGGAATTGTGCTGCAATTAGATTTCAGGCCCAAAACTCAAAGGCTTGTGGCGTGGCGTTGGCCATCGCGAATAAAAACATCGGAGAAAAAACTCAACTATCAAATCGTCCGCCAGGTCGATATGAGTAGACAGACGTTCCTATCGTCGAGACGCCCTGTAAGATGACCTACATCCGCTATATAGTAGAGATCATTAGAGAACTTCTCGGAAAAATAGATAGAAACTGTATCATAACTCTAGCGAAGCGTCTAACTCTCCTCGGCAGTGCTTAATGCCTTACCTGATAGATTTGCATTCTCCTTTTTCTTGTGATTCGCAGTTCTGATACTTGTATGGTATGATCCAACTCTTACTTTCGAAAATGCTCGTGTAGCTCAGTGGTTAGAGCTTCGTGCTTATAGATGCATTCGGTTCTCCGAAGCTTTCTGTGAAAGTACGGCCGCTAAACACGGCCTTTAAAGCAACGCGACCGTCGTGGGTTCGAACCCCACCTCGAGCACTTTCCATTATTTTTTTCCATTTTTGTCAAATAGCCATAGGTGGAAAGCGGACGTGAAAAAGTAGCATTGTCAACATACCTGGTTCCTTGCATTTTGGGAGTGCGCCAAATAACGGTGTAAGGATTATGCTAGTGAGAGAGTTTACAAAAATGTTTTTCCCTTGAGTTTCGGTCGTACCTTAAGCACCGAAAGATCCAGGCTTTATGAAAGCCTGGAGATTCTGAAAACGTTGGAGAAGCTGGAAAGCATACGGTGGCTTTAGATATCCTGCCAATAGAGATCTCCATGAGGCTAGAAAGCATACGGTGGCTTTAGATATCCTGCCAATAGAGATCTCCATGAGGGCCGCCTGGCATTGACTGCACGAGCCCTATGCTTATAAGCATTGCTTTAATTCGTACTTGTATGATCTTACCTCAAGTAAACTTCTTATGTTCCACAACTACGAATAAGGTGGCGAGGTTCTGCATTCGAAGAGCTATATTTGCTTTCGAGTGGCTGCGAAACTATTCGAAAACTCACTTTATTAAAGAATTCAGCGTCACTGGTCGAAAGCTAGCCAAATTTATTGGCAATAGCGTCTCTGCATTGGGTCAAAATACTTTTAGGATGCTCAAGGTCATATCTGTGATTCATTGTGCCATGATGGCCATAGCATCAATCCAGCAACAAGTATTTAAATTTCAAACCAGCTACCGAAACGTCTCCGAAGACTCCACAAAAGCCCCAGTATGAACTGCTAGCTGGACAAATTTGATAGTTCCACCCGATTACCTGACCGCTTTACATAGATCAAACCCGTCTTGCTCACATCGTAATCGTCCTGTGCTTTGCTGACAAGACACCAAAGGACATGCTGCAACCAATAATCAAGACTATTAGATGCTCAAGGTCGACCAGTTTTTGCATTAGGATCACAATATGATCGCACTGTTTTTGTAACATTGCCAGTACGTCGCAATGTTTTCTTTTGACCAACAGGTGTCACATCACGTCTTTTGCACCCCTTCACCTCAGCACAAATGCTTGAGATATCCTTATGTCCCTGTAGGGGGGAGTCCCTGTTTCCGATGCGCTAATTGCTCGGGCGTTTCGGCGAAAGTTTTGTTCATTTACTGCAGTCGTTCTTGTTAATTTCAAATAATATGCGAGTGCTCTTGAGCAGTCGTTACCTCCTACCGATAAAATACATGTATATGCCAGTCTATTATAAAATACCTTTAATATTTGATCCCAGCTGATGCTGAATCTGGAAATAAAATGTCAAAGAGGCTGTGATTGGCGCCGACCGCTCAGCTCGAGAGCGATATGGGCGAGGGATATATCCGTGATGAGGTTTCGAAGAATATAAAATCAGTCACAAAACGACCTGTTGACTTGCTTGCAAACAGGCTATGGACTAGACTACATTTCTTGGCTAGACTCTATAAGAGTCTAGTTTTCTACGTCAATCACATGGGCCACCATAGTTCAGAAGGGATTAGACGTCGGAGCGTAGGTCACTTTCCATTATAGAGAAAGGAAAGGTCCAAACAACCTTGCATCTTCACAGGGGGGAGAAGGCTCAGTGATTTTCATTAGATCAACTCCGTGATGTATACTCTTGATCTAAGTGCTCTCTTTTATTTTTGGACCTCCCACTGAAAGTATGAATGGTCAACATTGTACTAGAAATGTAGCCAAACTTCTTGACGGATTGAGCTCTATGACTCTATTAGCCGATGCTCTTCTCACAAGGCCTGTCTCGATGTGGCAGCTCTCTTAACTCTTTCCAGAGCCAAACATCCGTACATAGTGCGCTTTATTCTTTGCAAGAGTAGAATTCTTAATTGGAATCCATCACTGCCAATCATCGCTTAGTGCCCACCCAAAATCAACCTTAGAACCAAAGTTCAGGCTCCGAAAGTCATTGATATAATATTGAAGATGGCTGGAAAGAAAGGGAAAGTCACTGGCAAAGGTGGAAATGGTGGCAATAAAGCTGAATTAGTTCAAGACGAACGTTTGCAAGCCATCGTCTTGACAGATTCGTTTGAAACCAGGTTCATGCCCCTCACAGCTGTGAAGCCGAGGTGCCTGTTGCCTTTGGCCAATGTTCCATTGATCGAATATACCCTTGAGTTTCTAGCGAAAGCTGGTGCTAGTGAAGTGTACTTGATGTGCGCTTCTCACGCAGATCAGATAAGTGAGTACATCGAAAACTCCAGATGGAACATGCCTTGGTCCCCATTTCGAGTTTCAACAATTATGTCTCTAGAATCCAGATCTGTAGGCGATGCTATGCGTGACGTGGACAACCGAGGGATTATTACGGGGGACTTTATCCTGGTAAGTGGTGATTTGGTCACAAATATGGAATTCGACAAGGCGCTGGAATTCCACCGCAAAAAGAAAGCTGAAGATAAAGATCACATCGTGACTATGTGCCTAAGCAAAGCTAGTCAGTTTTTCAGATCTCGATGCCATGAGCCTGCAGTATTTCTTCTCGACCAGTCAAACGACAAATGTCTATATTACCAAGACATACCTCTTGAAAACTCTAATCAAAAGACATCAATATCGGTAGATCCCGAGCTACTCGAAGATGTGGATGAATTTACAGTGCGCAATGATCTAGTTGATTGTCACGTTGACATTTGTTCGCCCCATGTTCCAGCAATTTTTCAGGAGAATTTCGATTACCAATTCCTGAGAAGAGATTTTGTCAAAGGTGTTTTGACAAGCGATTTACTCAAGAAGAGTATATATGCATTCATTACGGAAGATTATGCCGCGAGAGTAGAAAGCTGGCAAACCTATGATGCCATTTCACAGGATTTCATTGCCAGATGGTGCTACCCACTTGTTTTAAATTCGAACTTACTTGAGGATCAAACATATTCGTACGAATCTGAGCACATTTATAAAGAGAAAGGAGTCGTATTAGCACAGTCCTGTAAGATCGGCAAGAGAACCGTCATCGGGTCCGGTTCCAAGATCGGAGAGGGCACCATTATAGAAAATTCCGTCATTGGCAGGAACTGTCAGATTGGCGAGAATATAATCATCAAAAACAGTTTTATATGGGATAATGCCATCATCGGAAGCCAGACCGCTATAGAACATTCCATAGTGGCATCCAACGTTAAAATTGGATCTAAAGTGGTCCTGCACGATGGCTGCGTCATTGGCTTTAATGTGGTATTAGACGACAACATGGTGGTCCCAGTTGGAACAAGACTGTCAGAAGCTTGTGTTGAAAGGCAACCATCTCAATTTTTAGACAGTGAACCTTACGGTTTCGATGACACGGTTGATCGAGCAGCCAAATCCACTAATGCGCTACCTGCTCGGGAATTGGTAGGTGAGAAGGGTGTAGGATACGTTTATGAGAGCGATGATAGTGACTATGAGGATGTCAGTAGCGTTTTGGACAAGGTCACCAACGCACTCGCTTACCGTTTTGACGACTTGTACTTGAGCGACAACTCCATTTCTTCTATCTCTGCCAAGCTCAAGAAAAAGCGCAGGTCGTCGACTACAAGTGCATATACCGATCGTGAGGAAGACGATGACGATGAAGACGAGGAAGAAGATTTCGATGCAGAGGCCATCGCCACAGTTGAGAGAGCCATGGAAAACAATCACGATCTCGACACTGCTCTGCTGGAATTGAACACCCTGCGGATGAGTATCAATGTGACGTATCACGAAGTCAGATCAGCCACCGTGGTGGCCCTGTTGAGGCGGACGTACCATTTTATCACTACTCAGACACTCGGACCCAAGGAAGCGGTTCAAAAGGTGTTTGGACAGTGGGGCCTCCTCTTCAAACGTCAGGCTTTTGACCAAGAAGAGTTCATCGATCTGGCCAATCTCATTTTAGAGAAAGCTGTTGTACAGGCCTTCGAAAAGCCCGAGTTCATTATTTTTACTGCTCTATCCTGTCTTTACGATCATGACATCCTGGACGAAGACGTCATATACACTTGGTGGGACCAAACCTCCCAGGACTCTTCCCACGCGGAGGCAAAAACACTGACCGGAAAATGGGTAGAATGGTTGAGGACCGCGGATGAGGAGTCTACTTCTGAGGAAGAAGAGTCGGACGTGACAGACAGCGAGTAATCAAAAGAAGAACTATTACGTGGCACCCTCCTACCCCATGGCCCGTTATAGATGGTAGTCACAAGCGGACTCCGTAATAGGAGAATCTTTGATTTCGATGCTGGGTTTTACATGTAATAAATGGTGATTGAAAAATAACTACACAACTAAACACTAATCACGCAAGAGAATACACAAGAATAATTCAATAAGCACATTACTCAACTGATTAGAGCGCCCATCTTGAGTGAAATAATCATTTGTTAGACAGTTTTGTATTGTAGATGGACGCCGGTAACTTATACCACAGGTCCCCTTACCCGGCAATAGGTTATCGAGCACGGCACTGAGAGAAAAATTGTATATCAAGGAGAGAACTAACTAACTGCCTACGATCTCAAGAACGCCATAATAGACGTGAGCCAAACGAAAACAGGAAAGTTCAGTCGGCCAATTGCCTTTACAGCAAACTTAAAGTTACTTTATTCAGGCTACGGAGAAGCTTCAAGAGTGAACGGACGCAGGAATTTATAAGCTTCGCTCGAAAAGCAGAAAAACAACTTTCGGAAGACTCTTCAAAACACGAGAAAACATAAATTATGCAGACACTGAAGTGCGTGGTCGTTGGCGATGGTGCAGTCGGTAAAACCTGCTTATTGATTTCCTACACAACAAACCAGTTTCCAGCCGATTACGTGCCCACTGTTTTTGACAATTACGCGGTGACAGTGATGATCGGCGACGAGCCTTACACACTGGGACTATTCGACACTGCAGGCCAGGAAGATTACGACCGTTTGAGACCACTCTCGTACCCGTCCACTGACGTGTTTTTGGTGTGTTTCAGCGTAATTTCGCCTCCTTCTTTTGAGAATGTGAAAGAGAAATGGTTTCCCGAGGTACACCACCACTGCCCTGGTGTTCCATGCCTGATTGTTGGCACGCAGGTCGACTTGCGGGACGACAAAGTGATCATTGAAAAGCTCCAGAGACAACGCTTGCGTCCTATTCTTCCAGATCAAGGCGAACGGTTGGCGCGTGAGCTTCGGGCAATCAAGTATGTGGAATGCTCGGCCCTTACGCAACGTGGCTTGAAGAATGTATTCGATGAGGCTATTGTCGCGGCTCTGGAGCCTCCTGTTATCAAGAAGAGCAAAAAATGTACTATTTTATAAGATGGGGTGCCACGCTAGATGCAATATTACGGAGTTTGTTGTTGTCTTACCTCACGACAAAGGAGCGGTCAAGCGTGCAAAATCAAACCTGGCCTTCAAGGCTTGTGTTTTGTCTGCTTTCCCTCTTTTCTTCTTTCTGTTCTCTCCTCCAAATTCTTCAAATGGAGAGGTCGCATACTTTTTCCACAGCTTTGGCTCGAAGAGCTTAAATCTCATGTGCTGGATACATATATGACGAGCAAAACTGGCCGGCAGAGGGCGTCCACCAAAATCTAAATTTTTCCAGTTTACAAGTTACCATTCCAAGTTGTGTTCTCGTAGTTACCTCCGTAATACAAACTATAGCAATTCAAAACTAAATTACTCTAAAGCCTCTTGTGAGAGCAGTCAGTGGTATCTATAGTGTGGAAAGGGCTAAGGTTATGCCAGGATAATCGCTTTCCAAGAGATCATCGTGTTTCACGAATGGATTTTTCACTACAACTTTTCTTGAATCAAGCTATCATTTCTATGCGTACCTACCAACTAAACTTTACATAGTCAGATCACCAGGAGAACGGCATTCCATTGAGTTACCAGAGAATTTAATCGATAACCAATTCAAGAGATAGGTAGCTGGTTTTGGAAAAATGGCTTCTGTACTAAACAATTCGCGTTCTGATACGCTTTTTCTTGGTGGCGAAAAGGTTAGTGGTGACGACATTAGAAACCAAAATGTTTTGGCTGCGCTTGCGGTAGCGAACGTCGTCAAATCATCTTTAGGTCCAGTAGGATTGGATAAGATGCTTGTTGATGATATTGGTGATTTCACTGTGACCAACGACGGTGCGACAATTCTATCTCTGTTGGACGTACAACATCCAGCGGGCAAAATTTTGGTAGAGTTAGCTCAACAACAAGATCGGGAAATTGGGGATGGGACAACAAGCGTGGTTATCATCGCATCCGAATTATTGAAGAGGGCCAATTCTCTAGTGAAGAACAAGATTCATCCTACCACAATCATTACTGGCTTTCGCGTAGCCCTTAGAGAGGCTGTCAGATATATTGAAGAGGTTTTATCGATGAGCGTAGAATCACTGGGCAAAGAATCCATGGTGAACATTGCCAAGACCAGTATGTCTTCTAAGATCATTGGGTCCGATTCTGATTTTTTTGGCAACATGGTCGTGGATGCTCTACTAGCCGTGAAAACTCAGAACTCCAAAGGTGAGGTCAAATACCCAGTAAAGGCCGTTAATATTCTCAAAGCTCACGGGAAATCTGCCCGTGAGTCCGTACTTGTGCAAGGCTACGCCCTTAACTGTACCGTTGCGTCACAAGCTATGCCCAAGCGTTTAGACGGGGGCAACGTCAAGATTGCATGTCTTGACTTAAATTTGCAGAAGGCTAGAATGGCAATGGGCGTACAGATCAACATCACCGACCCTGACCAGTTGGAGGAAATTCGCAAGCGCGAAGCCGGGATTGTTTTGGAAAAGGTCAGGAAAATCATCGCCGCGGGTGCCAATGTTGTACTAACTACCAAAGGTATTGATGACCTCTGTCTGAAAGAATTTGTTGAAGCTAAGGTTATGGCTGTGAGACGTTGTAAGAAGGAGGATCTAAGAAGAATTGCCAGAGCCACTGGTGCAACCCTAATCAGCTCAATGTCCAACTTGGAGGGTGAAGAGACTTTTGAAGCCGCCTCTTTGGGCAGCTGTCAGGAGGTTGTTCAAACTAAGTTTTCAGACGACGAGTGCATCCTTGTCAAGGGAACTGCTAAACACTCTTCTTCATCCATCGTATTGCGCGGTGCCAACGATTATTCACTGGACGAAATGGAGCGTTCCATTCATGATTCCTTGTGCGTTGTAAAAAGAACCCTAGAGAGTGGCAACGTGGTGCCAGGTGGTGGCTCTGTAGAGACCGCCCTGAACATCTATTTAGAAAACTTCGCTACCACCGTTGGGTCTCGCGAGCAGCTAGCAATCGCCGAGTTTGCGGGCGCTCTCCTCGTGATACCGAAGACTTTGGCTGTGAACGCCGCAAAGGATTCCAGTGATCTCATCGCCAAACTGAGGACATACCATGCTGCTAGTCAACAGGCTCAACTCAACGACTCAAAGAGAAAAAACTATCGCAACTATGGTCTAGATTTGATTCGCGGAAAGGTTGTCGATGAAGTCCACTCGGGCGTTTTGGAGCCAACCATCAGTAAAATTAAGTCTTTGAAATCTGCTCTAGAGGCCTGCATCGCCATTCTCAGAATTGACACCATGATTACTGTGGATCCGGAACCACCTAAGGAGGATCCTCATGATCAATGTTAAAATCGAGAAGGACCTTGGGCCCTCGAGCAAATACCCGAAACTGGAAAGTCATAGGTGCAACAAAGCGCAGCTCCAGGCGGACTACGCTCTACCTTAACTAAATGTCTACCCTTCAAGAAATAAAGAGCCTCTATATGGTCAATCCAACTTTACGATTCGTTTCGTGAATGACTGACTCTCTTGGCGTGACTTCGTCTCAAACCTCCCTCGCTACGTATTGGCGCCTGAAATTGAACTAGACCGCTCTTCACGGGAATAAAATGTATATACAGCTACTTGATAATCTATTACAATCAGATCTACTTCAAAGGTCTTTATGGTTCTGATCCGAAATCAGTCCATATTATTTCCTTCGCACCAAAATTTTTTTTTTCTTGGTAATCAGCTCACTACCGTCAATTATTGTCGGCCATCACAGGCATTAATAGCCGAGTCATGGATATTGAACCGTAAAACAGGTATAGGTCTAGTTTGGTCCTTAACATAACAGAACATTCATTGTCGTATTTAGACCCTAACGAAAGGTGACAAAGAAACTCTTTGAGAATTTCGAGCAGGACGAGAAAGAGCGAGAAGTTAAGCTGCTTACTTGTGGACCCGTGGACATTTCGGTGATCGTCGAGCTAAACGAGCACAGGGCGGTTGGACCGGTGACACTTTGCAAACAAAGCAAAATAATAATAAGAACAGCACTAAAGATATTTCATTAGTGGGTTGTTTAGCATTAACCTTTGGCAGCTTACGCGATATTAACCCCGGGTAGGAAAAGTGGCCTACGACCATCGGAAACTTTAGTGCGAATAAGAACGTCGAATAAAGTGTAAACAGAGGTCACATCTGGCTTTATAACGAGCTTTTCACAAACATTGCACTGTCAGCGGAGAACTGAGTGAGTTTGGCGACCATCAGCATGAATAATGAGTACGGCGATGACGACGGCTCTGATAAATTAAATGCGCGCAAAGGGAAGTCTGTGGATCTGATCGAGGTGGACGGTAAGCAGGTTAGCAAGACGTCCACGGGGAAACGGAAGTTTCACAAAAAATCTAAGAATGGCTGTGACAACTGCAAACGACGTCGAGTGAAATGCGATGAGGGCAAGCCTGCCTGTCAGAAGTGCCTGTCGATGAACTTGGAGTGCGTATATACCCCAGTCGTGGCGCGTAAGCGTAAGAACAATGGAGCCACGAACTATCGATCAATCAAGAACGAGGAAGAGTCGGAAGATGTCGAAAATTCTATCGAATCAGAGGCTACAGACAATTTAGGGCCCTTCCCTGGGCTGAAGAAAAACGAAGGCTATGGCAACAGCGCCATGGCCGAAGCTCAAAAATCTGCACAATTGCTCACACCGGTTGCTGGACAACCTGGTTCACCAGAAAGTCTGCTTCTACCGCCTTTATTCCCTGGAGCCAACATGCAACTTCAGCAACAAATACAGCAGCAACCTCAACTGCTACCACAGCTAATGACATTGAGCAACTCAGAAAAGTGCGCCGGATTTGATTTTCCAAACAGTCCTCCGTTTCAGTCAACTTCCATGAACTTGACAAACAGCATAGGAAGTTTCTTTGCTGCCAATAAGCTCCCCTCTAACCTACTCCATAATGTTATAAACCAGCAACAGTTACAGCAACAACGTTTCTCTTCGCCTGAAAAACAGCAACCCCAAAACTTACAAGCATCACCTTTGAGCTCGATACTACAATCGCAGGAAATGGTACAAACTTTGAGTAAAGCAGGTCTCAGTTTTAAACAAATGGCAATGTTTTCTACAGCCGGCATTGGTGGCGTTACATATGATATCCAAGAGATGCTGGGCATGAAGGCTAACGCGACCGGGGAAAATGGAGAGAAAAACTCAAGTACAACAGCTGAGGAAATTTTGGCTACAATTCAACGCCAGCATCAAAATACGCAATCAAATTCAAATCCTAAAGTAGCAGATGATCAAGAGGACGGCAGGCGTTCCAGAAATACCACTAATCTGGATCCTGGCGATCCTTCCAACTTCGTCAACAACCCAACAATATCTCCTGCAGCCCCCATGTCACCTATGGGCAAAGCCACCGGATCTCCTTCAGCATCGAATCGAGACCAGCTTTTCAATCACAAGCTTTCTTCGGATCAGGATGCGAGCTTATCCGGCAAAACCATGAACAAATCTGTGACACAGGAGTCTGATTCCACAGATGATACTCATACTGGAACTATCGGAAGGTTAGTTCAGCTGTCTAGCCAGGGAACTTTGAATTTAGTAGACTTGAAATTATTCCATCATTACTGCACCGAAACATGGCCGACTATCACGTCCGCTGGCATCAGCGGTAGGCGCATTTGGAGCGATGAAATTCCGAAGCTGGCTTTTGATTATCCGTTCTTAATGCATGCGTTGCTGGCATTCAGTGCTACGCATTTGTCGCGCACGGAACCCGGCCTGGAGCAGCACGTTGCGGCACACAGACTCGATGCATTGAAGCTTCTTCGCAAAGCTGTGCTTGAGATTTCGGAGGACAACACTGACGCCTTGGTAGCAAGTGCGCTCATCCTCATTATGGACTCCTTGGCTAATGCCTCTACGGCAAACACATCTGCATCAGACTCATTGACAGCTTCCATGTCTCCTTCTGCATGGATTTTCCATGTCAAAGGAGCGGCCACTATTCTGACTGCCGTCTGGCCCTTGACTGAAAAGTCCCGTTTCCATAACCTGATCTCTGTCGATTTAAGTGATTTAGGAGACATCATAAACCAGGATAGTGGCACAGTTTCAGAGCTTGTTTGCTTTGACGAAAGCATATCTGATCTATACCCTGTAGAGATCGACTCTCCATACCTGATAACGTTGGCCTACCTCGATAAACTGCACCGTGAGAAGAGCCAGTCAGATTTCATTTTAAGAGTATTTGCATTTCCCGCTCTTTTGGATAAGACATTTTTAGCTCTTCTCATGACCGGTGATATGGCGGCCATGCGTATCATGCGATGTTACTACCAGCTACTTCGGGGCTTCGCTACTGAAGTAAAGGACAAGGTATGGTTTTTGGACGGAGTTACTAAAGTTTTACCCCAAGACGTTGACGACTATACTGGGGGAGGTATGCATATGATGTTGGATTTTCTCGGAGGTGGCCTACCATCCATGACTACGACGAATCTTCAGCCTGGTCTAACAGACTTCATGTAGTCCCACCAGTCACCTCTCGAACTCCGTCTGACATGATATCAACACTTTTCTGAAGGAATTTTCGAGAAAAGAATCCTAACTTTAAAGGGTCGATGTATAATTGATTAGTATAAGAACTCTTCACCTGCATGATGGTAGTAATCTAAACGAGCTAGAGTCAACGGCTCAACTCTATAATTGGAGCAGAAAATTTCGTCGTAGTGATTAGCTCGATACGATGGTTGTTCACAATCCTAACAATTGGCATTGGGTTGACAAAAACTGCATTAACTGGGCACGTCAGTATTTCGAAGAGCATGTCGTTGGCGTGAAGAGCTCAGCTGGTGGGTCCAAATACGTTGAAGTAGCTTCCGTGTCTTCCATGGAAGGTGATTGCGAAGTGAGTCAACGTAAAGGCAAAGTCATATCTCTGTTTGATTTGAAGTTGGTGATGATGACGAAGGGAAAGGTTGACGACGAAGAGTTCGAAGGCAGTATCACAGTTCCTGAGGTCGCATTCGATTCGGAAAAAGAGGATTACCAATTCGAAATCTCAATTTATAAGGAGACAGGCAAGCTTAATGAGGCCAGGCCCTTGATAAGAGACCAGCTTTTGCCTCAGTTGAGGGACATTTTTTCCCAATTTGGACCTGCGTTGTTGCAGACCCACGCTAATGATATTCAGGTTCCTCAAAGCCAGGTGAAATCAGAATACACTCGGGCTAATTTGACGCAATCAAAGGCGAGCGAATCTGCTAGTTCAGATACTCCAAAACCCACATCGGCTGCATCAACAAAAAGTTCTACTACCGGAGCAGATTCGAAGTCCGCCCCATCCTCCCTATCTAAGGCTCCACTTTATAACACCACGGCTCTGCATTTGGAACCCACGTTCAATGTTCCTGCAATTGAACTTTATCAAACATTCCTCGACAAGCAACGTATCCAAGCATGGTCAAAATCCCCACTAGTTTGCAAATCGACTAAAAACGTACTCGAGGTAAACGATGAGTTCACTATCTTCGGAGGTAATGTCACAAGTAAGTTGATTGAGTGCAGCCCTGACAAACGCCTTGTGTTTGGGTGGCGTCTTAATGAATGGCGTCAAGGTCACTGGAGTAGGCTGACAATGGAGTTTCACGAATCTAAAGAGTATCATGAAACAAAGTTGCAGGTCACCTGGACCGGTGTCCCAGTTGGCGAGGAAGATAAGGTCAAGGGTAACTTTATGGATTACTACGTGAGAAGTATCAAGTTAACTTTTGGGTTTGGAGCTGTTTTATGATCCAATTCCTCTAGCCTTCGTAGATTTATAGTGTTTACAAGTAGCGATCAAGTCCATCATCAGTTCAATTTTATACATGAACCCAAGCCAAATGCTACTTCGGCGGTGGAGAGTATAGCCAAGAAAATGTAAGAGAGCGGCGGCAGTTCACGGCGGAGCGCGGAGCCATATAAAATGTTTATAGGTTTCCATGATTTCTCTATTTATATTATGCAAACGATTGTTCCAACGACAGGTTGCTTTCAAACCGAGGCTTGTGCGCCTGAGGTGCAATGCAATGGGCAAAAATACCCTATCTACTAAAGTAGATTCATTTATTATCTTTGTGAAACTTTGGTCGTCGTTTCCTCAACGACTGGAACATCCACAGCAGAAGCATTCCACTCTTCTACTTCCTTCTGGTGCTCCCTTTCAATGGCAAACTTTACAGCCTCTAAAACATTGTCAGAAATATGCTTGGGCGTGTATTTTGGTATCTTGTTGTCTTGGAAAACACCAGTTTTCACCAGAATCGAGTACCAGGAAGAATCATGAGAGTTAGCAAATCTGATGTCGGATTCGGGAGTATCACCAACGAAGTACACGGTGGAAGCTGGAGGTAACTCCAACACTAAACTAGAGTCTTTCTGCAACACCAAACCCTCCGCTTCGCCACCGGCCTCAGCTTCCTCTTCGGATTCCGTGGCATCAGCATCCTCCAGATTCAAATTTTCAACATGCTCTGTCAAAGTGTTTCTTCTCCAGTTAGACAACACCTTCTCCGCAAATCTGAAAGTACCACGTTGAGGCTTACCAAATCTGGTGACTTGAAGTTCTCGACCGGTGTGTTCCTGGTACAAAGCTGCAATGGACACTTGCAAAGCACCCATACCGTAACGGGAAAGGCCGTAATCAGTAGCCCACACAAAGTCGGAGTGGGCAAAATATAGACCAACCTGGTTTTCAGAAGGGTCTTGAGCAACCGTACCCATTACACCGTTCTTGGACAAAAGAATTTCCAAGATGATCTGCTGGTCAGCAGCCCAGTTTCTAGAGTCGGCAAAAACCAAAATTGCGTCTATGGAGATCTTGGAGAAATCCACATCTAGCGCAACTTGCTTTTCTTCCTCGGATAGTTCGTAGTATGGGGTGACACTAGGGTTCCACTTCATAACGTCAAGCGGAATGTAAACATTCTGGAAGCCATATTCTTGTGCAACGTTACGGCACGAGTCCAGTACGCCGCCGACAACCAACACATTTTTGTAGGCAGGCACCAAGTCCTTCATGGGGGTGTGACCTTGGATAACCTGATCCTCGGTAACAGTTATGCCCAGTCTCTTGGACAGGTCCTTGCAACGGGCCTTTTCGGATCTACCACCTCCGTTGGTGATGAAAATGTAGGGCACCTTGATGTTGTACTTGTTTTCACCGTTCAGCATGCGCAGGGCTGAGCGGGCCTCTGGGATGGTCTCAGGTCCGCGCACAATAACACCGTCGATATCAAAGGCAAATGCGTACGAGGCAATGCGCTCGTGGTCGATAACTTGCTGGCGGTAGCGGACAGAAGAGGCACGGCGCGAAGACACCGAGGGCTTACGGGAAACCGAGCGCGACGAAGGCGTTCCATCGTTCACGCTGTCCATTGCGGTCAATGGATGCAGATCTTGGTTGGCGCGCCATTGGTCGCTGAGCGAGATCGACGACACACGGTGCTTTCTCGTCGTTGGCTTCATTTGGTCGATTCCGTCGTTTTCCAAAAACGACTTGGTCCGCGGCTTGCCCTCGCTAGCCTGCACATGCGACCCTGGCGCGTGTGCTTTCTGGTCTTCGGTCACTTCGTGCGATTGCGGATCCGTGCTGGATTTCTGAAGAGGATCAACATCCGCGTCCTGGCTGTCCCCAGCAGCTGCGTGGCGAACAGAAGGGCCCGTGCTGGATTCCGACTCCGCTCCCATCACTTTATGCGAGAACGCCTTCAACTTTTCCGTGATTTTATCAGACATACTGCGTTATAAACGTTCTCAAAAAAGTCTCTGATATGATTGCAGCCTGTAGACTACTTCTATATCTCTGTCTGCTGCTGTGCTTGAAATCTCCAGGATCTCTGTTGTGCTGCGGCCGGTCTTCACAGAATACCGCACTATAACCCCTTACCAACCAGTCGGGACCCTCTCCTTATATACTTCAAATAATTCTCAAGGGTACCGCAATCATCCTTCCCTTTAGCAAAGTACGCGTGTTCGATTTGTTTTTCTCACGTTATTCCATCACTTTCTATAAGCCTTCTCCAACGTCGTGGTAATTTTGCCTGTGAACGACGTCATCACGAAAATGGGCGTGACACACCACGTGCCCATCACGTGGTGTGTCACGCGACCGCTGCGCACGTCGTTGGAAGTGACATGGTCTGCCGGCGTGGAGGGACTCCTCAGGGCGAGGGAAGCTTTGCAAGGATGGGTCCGAGATGCGGCTGGATGGGCCCGAGATGCGGCTGGACTGACCCGAGGCTGGTGTGGTGTCTTCGCTTCTGGGACGAGAGCGATGCGAGAGAACAGGCGTCTGCGGGGAGATGCTGGATGTTGGATCGTGTAAAATGATTGTGATTCATGTGCTTTGGGAACTGGGATCGGCAACGTTCGCGCTTTGTTTGGGCCTCGAGGGGCCAACGGTCGGTGGCGCGCGAGCGCTGGACCTCAGCCCAAGATTTGCGTTTCGGAGGCGTTTACGCTGCGTTTTTGGGGAGGCGGGCTGTTTTGCGGTGCGCAGCTGGCGCAGAGCGGCGCCAAGAGGATATCGAAAATGGCGAACGCGAAGAAAACGCAGGCTGCCGCATTCAGTGCAATAACAACTGAGTCTTACCTGATTTTGACTTTTTTTGTTTTTGCTTTTGATTTTTTGTCACCATTTCTGTGTTGCCAATCGATATGTCATTTTCTTCGCTTATAGTCAGTCCCACAGCGCAAGTCCTGCCACGGGACGTTGGGCTCGTGGATTCACATGTTTTCTGGCATTCGGTGCTCGAGGCTTCAGCTCTCGGGACGGAAGTGAAAAAAAGAACGCACAAACGGGCCCAATATCACTTGGCCTGCATGGTGGAGGAGTCTTCGGCACTGCCGTCTGCAAGGGACCACATATTTTGGTTTCCTGGCTTTTCGGCCACATGCTTCTCGTTCATGGCCATTACGGCTTTCAAGTCACTGACGCTCCAAGGGCATGTCCAGGCCACCACGGCATCAAATATTTTTTTTCCCCAGTCAAACATCCTGTCGCTGTCTCTCCGCTACAAAGAGCTGAGGTGAACCGCGTAATCCTGCAAGGCGGTAGCGGGCCGATGGGCATCGCCAACCACTGTGGCTTACCGCTGAGTTAGTAGTTGCCGCCGGTTGGTATATAAGAAAAACTCTCATGAAGTTATCAATGTCCGTGATGGTGATGATTTCTGCACCCAAGCAGGATGGTCGGAAGCGATACACTGGACTACATACACGAAGAGCCAGGTAAGGTGCCAAGCCCCAAGAACAAGGCAGATGCGCAGAGTACTTCTGTGATGGAGATCGAAGTCGCTTCGACGGGGCTCGCCCAAACGGACGTGAAAAGAGGTTTAAAACCCAGACATATTTCCATGATAGCGATCGGTGGAACCATCGCTACCGGGCTTTTCATGAGTATATCGACTCCGCTGCAAAATGCGGGACCCGCGGGAGCTTTGATTGCGTTTGTGTTCATCGGAACTTTGGCTTATTCGGTAACGCAGTCGCTGGGCGAGATGGCAACCTTTATTCCAGCGGCCTCCTCTGTCACAGCTTTTCCGGAAAGGTTTCTCTCGCCATCTATCGGGGCTGCGAATGGGTACATGTATTTTCTGGCCTGGGCAATTACCTTCGCTTTAGAACTTTCCATAGTGGGGCAGGTAATTGCTTACTGGACCACCGCTGTTCCTGACCCTGCTTGGATTGCTATCTGGTGGGTTTTGTTGTCGGTGTTCAACATGTTTCCCGTTAAGCTTTACGGCGAATTTGAATTTTGGATGTCGTCGATAAAAGTCGTCGCCATAGTCGGATTCCTTATCTATGCGCTATGCATGGTATGTGGAGCTGGGGTTATGGGCCCCGTGGGTTTTCGCTACTGGAGCCATCCTGGTCCTTGGGGCGACGGTATAGTTTACAGCGACGGATACCAGACGCCCGGTCTCTCCCTACGCAGATTCCTCGGTTGGCTGTCATCTCTGGTTAGTGCTGCATTTACGTTTCAGGGCACCGAATTGGTGGGTATAAGTGCTGGGGAATCCGCTAATCCACGAAGATCGCTTCCGAGAGCGGTGAACAAAGTGATCTTCAGAATTTCCCTTTTCTTCATAGGGTCTGTGTTTTTTGTTGGACTACTTGTGCCATATAATGACCCCAGGTATCAGAGCGACTCCAGCGATTACATTGCTCAATCTCCTTTCGTCATTGCCATTGAAAATTCCGGCACTCAAGTCTTACCCCATATATTTAACGCTGTCATCCTCACAACTATCATTTCCGCTGCCAACTCTGATATCTATATATCTTCCAGGGTACTTTATGTCCTGGCAAAAGGGAATCTGGCACCAAAATTTTTCGCGAAGACTACGAAAAGTGGCGTTCCTTACTACTCGGTTATTGCTACCTCCTTGGTCGGGTTGCTTGGCTACATGAACGTTAGTACTTCTGCACAGAACGTTTTCAACTGGTTTGTGAACATAACGGCCATTGCATGCTTTATTGCATGGCTATGCATTTCCCTCTCACATATCAGGTTCATGCAGTGTCTTAAGAAGAAAGGAATTTCTCGAGATGATCTCCCTTACAAAGCAAAGTTTATGCCTTTCAGTGCATACTACAGTGTGTTCTTTGTGACTCTCATTGTCATTATTCAAGGATTCACTGCTTTCATCCCATCATTCAGCTACTCAGGTTTTCTGGCAGCGTACATTAGCGTTTTCGCTGCTATATTCATTTGGGCAGTGTTCCAGTTCCTCATTTTCAGAACAACCAAGTTAATATACACCATTGAAGAGATCGATATTGACACGGATCGAAGAGAGGTTGATGCTATAGTCTGGGAAGATAACGTCCCACAAAACAAGTGGGAGCAGTTTTGGGATTACATAGCTTAATCGGATGATAAATTAGTGTTTTTTTTTTTAGCTCAAGCATATAGGTTGTTGAGAAGATGGGTCCAAAGAATATATGCCGTCTTCTCTAATCAATATAGACTTATGGCCCTCGCGGACTTCTTTTCGTAGATAGAAAACCATTATTAGTGTGTCCCTACCAATTCCTCATTCCACAAAGGAATATCCCAAGTGAACCTTGCCCATGATTGTGGCCACTACACAAATAGCTCTTTTGAAGGCAAGTTTTTGAAATACATGGTCATGAGTTAAACATGCCAGGCATGATTTCACGATTTAACGTTCGGGATGGCCCATAGGAATCGGGCTGTGTCCAGCTTCTATGTGCTGGTAGCTGAATACCCGTTGATATTAGCTCAGTAGATTCTAAGCAAACTCTGTACTTATGGGTCGTTTCTGTCACTACATTTGAATCTCACGTTCTCTGAACCTATGAATGTCACCAAAACTTCGGCTCCTGGTACCATATTCGGATCAAATAACCTTACCTTGATGGTGCAATTCGCCCAGCCCCGTGCTATGCACTGTTGGTGTCTATCAAAAGTGTCATGTCTCTTCGGCCTTATCAGCGGGCCGGTATCGGCTAGAATATATGAGTCAGCTGCTACGATTTCTTAGTCTCCTGATAGTGAAAAATTACCGCATTAGTGGCCGAAAACCCTAAGAGAGTTGAGACGTCTGGTGGTGAGCATTATAAGACTAACGAAGCCTTAATAAGTCGAACTAACGAACAGCCACTTTGCTTGAAGTTGCAGCGATACGCAAGGACTAGCCATTTATAAGAGTCCAGTCGTGTTTCAAAATTGACCGAAAAGGATCCGGTCTAATACTAATTTGAAGATTTTACTCTCGTTGAGTATCTAATCTGATATTATATTGAAAATTTTAACTCTCATAGAGTGAGTGACTCTGACAATCCATTTACCACAAGAAAATTTTAAAGCTATAAATCTTACAAAATGTTGAGAACGGCTAGCCAGTTTAAAATCGCAAGCAGACTATTTAGCAGTGCCGCAGTGAGAATGACCTCCTCCCCAGTTATGCCCTTAGACGCCAGTAAGGTTGAGATCCAAACCACTAAAACTCCATCCAAACCTAAGTCCAATGATGAATTGGTTTTTGGCAAGACATTTACAGACCATATGCTTACCGTGGAATGGACTCAGGAAAGTGGATGGGGTACTCCGCAAATCAAGCCTTACGGAAATTTGAGCTTGGATCCATCTAGTGCAGTTTTCCACTACGGATTTGAGCTTTTCGAGGGCCTTAAAGCGTACAGAACCCCAGGTGACAAGGTTGCATTGTTCAGAGCTGACAAGAACATGGAGCGTCTTAACAAATCTGCTGCGCGTATCTGTCTTCCCACCGTGGACGGCGAAGAAGTCATTAAACTCATGGGAAAACTTATTGAACAAGACAAATATCTGGTTCCTGAAGGCCAAGGATACGCTCTGTATTTGAGACCAACTATGATTGGTACTACTCCTGCGCTTGGCGTGACTGCCCCTGACAAGGCTTTGCTATTTGTCATTGCCTCCCCAGTCGGCCCTTACTACAAGACTGGTTTCAAGGCGGTTAAACTCGAGGCTACTGACTATGCCACTAGAGCTTGGCCGGGTGGATGTGGTGACAAGAAGCTAGGTGCCAACTATGCGCCTTGCGTCCTGCCCCAGAGACAGGCCGCCGAAAGAGGCTACCAACAGAACTTGTGGTTGTTTGGACCTGAAAAACATATCACCGAAGTCGGTACGATGAACGCATTCTTTGTCTTCCAAGACTCGAAGACCGGTAAAAAGGAACTGGTTACCGCTCCATTGGACGGCACAATTTTGGAAGGTGTAACAAGAGATTCTATCTTGTCTCTAGCTAGAGAAAGACTAGACCCTAATGAGTGGACTATTTCTGAACGTTACTTCAGTATTACAGAAGTGGCAGAAAAGGCCGCTTGTGGCGAATTGGTCGAGGCCTTCGGTGCTGGTACCGCTGCAGTTGTTTCTCCCATCAAAGAAATTGGTTGGGAAGGTAAAGACATTAACGTTCCTTTGCAACCAGGTAAACAAAGCGGTGCTTTGACTGAAAACGTCGCTAAATGGATTGCCAACATTCAATATGGTAAAGAAATGCATGGTAACTGGTCTCGCCCCGTTGCTTAGTTTATCACCGTTAGACATTAGATAAAATTTTGATCCAAATGCGATCCAAGGGTAATTCACTATTCACTTTAAGGTATATAAACATTTTGTGCTTCTTAGCTAAGCGATGATAAAACCACGCTTTCTGTTGGGTAGACAAGCTTACTTGAGGTGTACATTTCTCACGTATACAAAAGATTATTTAACGTGGTGGCGAACCCGACTCTTCGATCGGATATGACGTTCACGTTCTGGAAATGCCTACTGCATGTGAGACCCTTTGACCTGAAGCTGCTCATTTAAACTAAGGATGTTGATACCTTTTTTTATGCCAGCAAGTCCTTGATCTGACAGCTGAGCACATCTCGAGAATACAGTCCAAAGCTCGATAGGGAAAGACCGGAGGAGCAAAAGCCCACAGCTTTTTCATATAGTTACTGCCGAATTTCTTAACATATATATAAGCAAATAAGCTTCAAGATACAATATCCCACGATGCAGGTAACTATGGTAAGGAAATCAATACCAAAATACCTTACAGTTCAAGTTAGGCTTCATACGGGAACTCTGGTGGAATTTGAGAAACTATTTTCTGACACAAGGATCTGATCACACCGGCATTTAAATTCTCTACTGCTTTATACGGAATTGTGTTATCTTATAGATCAAAATTTGAGGTTAACGGCGACGACGGCGATAAAGTATCTAGAGCGGGAGAGCTGTGTAATAGTATGAATGTTACTTTCATGAACTCATCTTTAATTTCAAAGTAGGACGTCAATTCATAGAGCGCTCGGAGCTAGCGTTATTCACGTCTGGCAGCGTGTTTTTTGAATGCCCAAACACTTGAAACCAAGTAACAGCGCAAACTTAGTTCACAAAGATGTGTCAAAGATTCAGGTAACTTTGTTATAAGTTGTAAAAAGCATGCATTGAACACATTAGCAATTCCATTATGCACTGATAGATCTATTCAAATCTGAAAGTCTCGAAGCATGATGGAAATGAGCAAAATTACGAAACGCTTAGTTTGGTTCTCAGCCAAAGGAAATGTACTCTTTATGCTCGCTCTGAAATTTGCATTTATTCTCAACGTCTGGAGGAGTCTACTTCTATGAGGATCTGTGTTTGCAGTTTTTAGGCACAGGCCCTGGCTCCGAAAACTGGTCCCAACTAACAAAGCTCTGTTATTCAACATAAAAAGCGTGAGGCCAACAGAGCTTGCAGGAAATGCCATTTGGGGGAATGTAAGCATTTGCGGCCCCATATATCCTATTAAACAACGGACCTTCAGATCTTCCAAGCTAACCAGTACAATTCTTTTGTCTGGTGTTGAGTGGGAAACTATTTGAGTTCAAATACCTAAAATTGTCAAAGCTTAAACCACGTTGGTTGCCTCATTTTCTTGATTTCAAATAGATTCAAACAGTGCACCCAGAAGGTTATCAAGCAATCAGGCTCTCACTTAGCTTTATTAGAACCCTAAAATATAGCCTTTTCAGACAGTCACTAGAAGTTTACTGAGTAATCAAAAACCTTTGCTATCTCTTCTCTGAAAAAATCACCGTTTGATGTTTGGACTGAACGTCGAGCTGCCGTCTGAGATCTTACTGTGCAGTATTAAAAGTTCTTGAGGTGGGTTCAGATCCTTGTACACTTGGAGCATATGATATCTGCAACTTGATGAGGACTGAGCTGGCGACTCTATCTTAAAGATACACCACATATCCCTAGGAACATAACACCCGAACCAGTTACCATTTATAGAGTTGCTGACAGTTTAGCAAACAAAGTGAGCACGGGACATTTTCCTTGCGTCTCAAAAACTCACAGGGTTTCCTCATTCAGGCGTCTCGGTGAATTCTGCAGTTATTCACTGTCAACTTCTTTATTGAGAGGAAAAATACTCACTATCCGTACGCGTAACCACAGCACCATCGAGATTTGAGCGGATATTCATGCATATTGTTGACATAGCTGTCACTGATAAAACGCTTTTAGATAGGAATTTCCTGGAAAACTGATGGTCTGTAATTAGAAGGGAGAAGCACAGCAGTTTTCGTTATTCCAGTATTTTTTCGCGGCTGGTGGTCCCCAAATATTTCTACTTGGCTCATTATCTCATGTTTTTCATAATTAAATTGTTTTTCGACAATACTAGCAATACTCTGAGACTCAGCCATTTCGTCGTTTTTTCTCACAAATCCAGCACTTACAGGTTGTTGACACAACTTTGCAATGACAGCCTATTTCCTTCGAAACAATGAACTAGACGATAACCAGACCATGACTGAAGCTACATATTAGTCACCATATCCCTTTACGGATAGTGAAAGGAACAACGTGGCATTGGTGAGAGACCGGTCGAGTTTTTATTTTTAGCTAATACCTCTTTCCGCCATTCCTAGAAAGCTCAGTTTCTTATTAGGACCAGGATTCACGAGGCGTACTTTGTTGGTGGTGGAATCTGAGCTTTATTGAAATTACATGGTGAGCGAACCTTGCTCATTTCATTTTAATTGTTCGATTGAGTGCATTTCGTTTTGATTCACTATGATTAGAGAAAGATGTTTGAGTAAAATTGCTCTCCTTCTTCATGAATTTTCGGTGCTGTTTTCTAAAGCTTCTCCATTACCAGTCGCTGGCAGCATGAGAGGAATTATAATCTTAATCTCGTTGTCCACAATCTTATCTGCAGTTGAGTAGTCCGATAATGTTAAAAGCAATATTTCTTATCCAATTAAGATCATTAGTTCTTATAGTTGACCGCAGAAGCTCGAAATCAATTAGGTTTCTATGTTTTGAACTCCGATATCGAGCGGCTAACTGACCTTCTCCGTTTTCTACTGTGGCTAATTTTCTTGAACTGAATAATCTTAGCATCCGTGCTGCCCACACCGCATCGTTACACGGCAAAAATTGGTCGATCTCACACAACCCTGCATAATACAGGCCGGAAGAGAATCTTGGCATGCATCAATCACGTGGATATAGGATGCTCCTTACAACTGTGGTAACAAAGTTCAGATTGTTGCCAGATAAACTTAAGACAAGCCTGTGCCGTGCGTCAGTTAGGCTATTTCTTAGTTGGGAAGATACTGCTAAAAATGCTTGATGCACGGAACTGCACGTTGGCGTAAAACGTTCGGAACACGTCTCGGACATATCTTGTGAGCATTAAGTGGTGCGAAGTACTGCAAAGTACTGCAAAGTACTGCGATCTACATTAACGTGTCTAATCTATGACTTCCGCCAGCTCGAAGGGACACCAAGGAAGACAGAGGGAGTGCAAACTCGGACCATCGGAATTTTTCTATCTTATCAATGTCTCCTTCATTATCTTCACCCGTGAAGTGCTTTCGGTGCAACCTCAGACTTCGATCCGCCATGGCCTTGGATCAAAAACTGGGAAAATTGTATAAATGCAGGCCCAAGTCGGCGAAAGACCGCGATTGAGTGTAATATATATTCTTAATCAAGCATCGCACCTAGTACAACCCACGTCCACCAGGCCCAACCTCAGACAATGTCGCTGGAAAAAAAGGAGCCAATAGTCACAGAGACTGGATTCGATTCTCGCCGTGGTAGCGATGCTCAATCAGACTCCCAGGACTTTCAAGAACACAAACAGCAGATTGTAACCACTGTAGACTCTTCTTTGGGCTCAATCAGGGACTTTTCTGATGAGCAGATAGCATATCTGTTGAAAAAGCTGGGCTTTGATCATGCAGATGATGTGTCAGATATACCACCTGATATTGAGTACATCGGTGAAAAAATAAACCAAATGACCGTGGAGGAGTCTATCAGCGTACTCTCTAAAGCAACTGAGGACTATCAGGATGATCCTAATATACCTAGCGATGAATATCGTGAAATGGAAAGATTATCTTGCTGGGATAATGTAGATATTAACAATGCCAATGATGTTTTCGAGTTGAAGGCCTTGGCAGGACTGGTAAAGTACCACTCTCCTTATAAAGAAGTCAGAGCCACGGTGGATCCCAGAGACGATCCTAACATTCCTGTCGAGACTTTTAGATCATATTTCCTGGCACTTATTTGGGCAATAATTGGTTCTGGCTTTAATGAGTTCTTTGCTCATAGACTTGTGAGTATAACTATCAGTACTTCAGTCATACAGTTGTTTCTCTTTCCTTGTGGAAAATTTTGGGCGAAGTATGTTCCTTGTGTTGGATTTCCCATCTGGAAAGGCAAGAGGATAAATTTCAATATTGAATCACCTTGGAGTGCAAAGGAACAAATGTTCTCAACACTATTGTTCGCCATTTGCACAGGTACTTTCTACACTCATTACAATATCCTGACTTTGAAAGTTTATTATGGAGATGATGTTGGCTTTGATTACCAATTTTGGCTTTCCATGAGTATTCAATTTATGGGGTTTGGCTTTGCGGGATTGTTGAGAAAGTATGTGGTTTACCCAGCAAAAGCTATCTGGCCAATAAGTCTGCAAACGATTGCTTTAAACAAGGCACTCTTTAGCGAAAAAGATTCGAAGAATGGAAAGTGGTTGACGGGTCAGCGATTTTTCTTTTTGTCGTTGTTGTTCATGTTTTTCTACACGTGGATACCAACTTACCTGGCTAACTTTTTGAGTTACTTCAACTGGATGACTTGGATTGCACCTAACAACTTCAATCTTGCAATGATCACAGGAAGTATATCAGGACTTGGGTTCAATCCGATCTCCTCTTTCGACTGGAATGTGATCAATTGCTATTATCCCCTAACCACTCCATTTTTCTCATTTTTCACTCAAACTATTGGAGCCATTTTAGGTTTTATTATTGTTGTTGCTCTTTACTGGTCCAACTATTATTACAGCCAATACCTCCCCATCTTTTCCAATGCTTTGTTTACGAATACTGCAGAGCAGTTTGAAGTGACCGAGATTTTGGATTCGAATTGGAGACTTGACAACGCAAAGTACCAGGCCTATTCCCCTCCTTATTTTTCAGCCGGAAATATTGCTACTTACGGTACTTTCATCTCCTTTTATCCCATGATGATAGTATATGGATTTTTCTCAGAAACTAAGGTGATAGTTGATGCGGCGAAAACTTGGTTCACCGATCTTGTATCATTGTTCAAAAAAGAAACCTGGCAGAATTGGAACTCAGAGGTTCACCTACTTGACAATTTTGACGATGCCCATAGTAGATCAATGAGAAAATACAAGGAGGTTCCAGACTGGTGGTATTTCCTAATCTTCCTCATTTCGCTTGTTATTGCAATCTGTGTAATCGAAAAATATCACACAGGCACTCCTGTTTGGACGTTATTCATGTCAATTGGCTTTAACTTCGTTTTCCTGATTCCACTAACTCTTTTGCAAGCTGTGACTGGGTTTTCCATGGGCCTGAATGTCTTGATTGAAATGATCATGGGTTATGCGCTTCCAGGTAATCCACAAGCATTGATGATTATCAAAGCTTTTGGGTATAATATCGATGGTCAAGCAGACAACTACGTTTCTAATCTCAAAGTTGGCCACTATGCCAAAATCCCCCCCGTGGCTTTGTTTAGAGGGCAGTTAGTTATGGTTTTTGTGCAAGTTTTTGTTAACTTAGGTGTTTTGAATTGGTCAATTTCTAACATCAAAGATTTCTGTCAACCAACTCAGGCTGCCAAATTTACATGCCCCGACGCGGTGACCTACTACAATTCGTCAGTAGTCTGGGGCGCAATGGGACCTAAAAAGATCTTCAACGATGTTTACCCAGTACTGAAGTGGTGCTGGTTAATTGGTGCTTGTCTAGGGCTGTTCTTTGGCGTTTGGAAAAAATACCTCAACAGGTATTACCCAAGATGGTTCAACCCAATGTTGATCGTTGGTGGAATGATAAACTTTGAACCTCCTTACAATTTGACTTATTATATTCCAGGAGCAATTGCTAACTTTCTCTCTCAATTCTACTTCAAAAAGTACCATGTACGTTTGTGGTCCAAGTTTAACTACGTCCTCAGCGCGGGGTTCTCTGCCGGTTTGGTATTTGCCTCTATTATCATTTTTTTTGCAGTCCAGTATAAGGAGGTTGATCTCAACTGGTGGGGAAATTTGGCTCCTTTTGAAGGCCTAGATGGCCTTGGACCCTCATTGAAAGATGTCTCAATGACTCCAAACGGGTATTTTGGACCAGGTCCTGGACATTACCCTTGATTTTCTTCCTAAAATGCCTTTTTTTTGCGGAAGGGCTTAGGATTGTTTGATACATTCGTTTATATATTTTATATATTTTATATACAAAGTTGTTGAATGCCTTGTTTTTCAGAAATGCGTCAGTTTAGATTGTGGTAAAATAAAATTGATAAACACCAGAACAAATTGTTGAAACCTCTTCTTAAGCTTGGATGGACAAAAACAGCTGGCTATGAAACTTTTTCAAAGGTCTTGAGAATAAAATTGGCTTTGTCGATATGGTCACTAAATTGATGATAGGGTTTCCTGACTCTCAGATTAAGTTTGGGCTGAAAAGAGGTATGGCACAAATTGAAGTGCCTATATTTATCAGCCTATTTTATGGAATTGAAAACTAATGAGGCGAATCTGATTCATCAGTAGAAAGCTTACTAAATTTGTCTTGTAAGTCGGACATAGTCTTTGTAAGATGAGTAACTTGGATCTAGGGAATTCTATTTATCTCTCCGTGATTACTTTAGGCATTAGAGTTGGTTCAGTTACCTGAACAAAAGCCTGGTATTTATACAATTCTCACTCGGTGACTCTGGTCAACATATTTATTAATCACCAATTCCAGATCATTCTTTTGCCCAAGGATTACGGCTTCAATGCCGTACACTACCGATAACTTATCAATGGCCAATCCCATTGGACAATAGTCGTTCTCTTCGGTTTGTCTTAGCTTGTAGCTCTATTTGTATGGCCTCGGTTGTGTACTATCATTCTGTACCACTGTGGCACATATTTACTGACGCTGATTATGCGATTAGACGCACATCACCATTAGCTTCCTCATATTATTCCCAACAAAAACTATGAGGATAGGATAGGTAACAAAAAATAGATATCCAAAGTGCTGTTTACGAGAAGTAGATGCCCGAAGAGTTGTTTCCTCAAGTTAATTTACCACAATTCAAACTTCGCAACGTTATCTCTTTCAAGCGTTGTGTTGCGGTCTTTCGATAAGTCTTTACAGAAAACCCAATAATTATTGATCACATTCATTGGAAGAGCAGGCCGAAATTTGAATGTGTGGTATGATTCAAACTCTGATGATAGCTTTAAAAAATTATATCAAGGATTAGAATGTTCAGTGCGTATGCACAGCTGTCAGATTAAAGGTTAAAGCTAGTGTGCATTTATTTAACTACACGAACTGCAATATATGTTACAAAGTTCTGTCATCTTACGAACTTCACCAGATATGCTCTGTTTTAATACTGTTCCTTAATGATAATCAGGGGGAGGAATTTCATAACAGTTGGTTTCACGACGCCTCACTTTGGTGAAAGCATCCAACGGAAAGGTTTTTACATGTCTGATATTGTTTTTCCTCGTTCGCCATTAAGCCGGCGTCGAGTTTTCATATTTATTTCCCTGATCTAAACAAGTTTCCATAACTAATAAAACTCTTTAACATTGACCAAGATCTTAATAACCAAGATCTTTTCATATAGTCGGTCCACCTTATGTTCTCCCGAGTATTGCTTCTGAAAGTATTGATTGTTCAAGCGATATTATTAATGTCACTAAATAAAAAATACTTCCAGGCGGGCGTCAGATCGTCACCATAAAAAGTACTAATCAGCTTGAAAGATGTGCAGATATTGTCAAGCCTACCAGGAGGAAGTTCTTTGAAAGATGCGAACTCACTCTCATGATTTAGAGAAATCAACAGACTCTCGAGATCTTTTTTGGCAACCTCAAGGAAAGGTTTTTAGTGCTCAATATCAATAATACACATGTCTGTTATTCTTTATAGAATGCATTATAATGCAGTTGTATGCATGCAGAGTAATTACTGCTACCCCTCCAAACAGGTCCGAGTTTTCTATCTCTAGTGCGTCGTGCTCTACATACATGAGAATTTGATCGGTTTAATTCAATCTATTTAACACACCACAACTACTACATCTAATACACATATCTGAATGTTATATCCTCGAGATCAGTCAAGTCGAGCGTGGTAGTATCTCGGCGTAGCACCTCAGGATCCAGTCCGGTGCACTCTTCGTCGCGCCGTTTGTTCTCCGCAACTACGATCGCACGAAGACACAAACAGAGAACGATGGCAATGGCAAGCTGAGCTATAAGAGCGATCTTGGCCGGTGTATAGTTTGGAGCATCGTTATTTTTGAACATTTGCGGTCCGATGAGGTTCCCTACACAGAATGCCATTAGAGTGAGCGCGTTTCTGGAAACTCTTTTAGTGTGTCCCGACGTATTTACCGAGTTCCAATTGTATATCATGGGAAGAATGGCAGGTGCAGAGTTCAGAAGGTAAACGCCGAATAACTTACCGACCCTATGGTTCTGGTCCAACGCTAACAGGAGAATGGCCCCAACAATAGAAGGTACACACACTG